CTGAGACATTGTTGAGGTCGCCTTGGGAGGTTGCTAAAGTCATCATGTGCACTCTCTGGATGTGCTGCGACTGCAGTAAGCTGAGTCGCCCTATCGCTGACAAAGTTCTGACGTGAGGCATGAGCTGAACCTGTATTTAGCGGGCGGTACGAATATACAAGATCACAATGAGCGAAAGAGACGGCTGCAATGACAGTGTCTAGCTTCAGCGAAAGCAAGGCCCCGGGAGATTAGTCACGTGTCTAAGCAGTTTGTCACTCGCGGCCTATCATTGGCGGAACATTTCAAGCAACTTTGATTTTTGGCGTGAGATATTTTACTTCCGATGCTCCCTGGCGTGCTGGGCGCCACCGCGAAGCGTCCGTTGTCATACGGCAACCTCTAGTGCTGTCGCAGCTATGATTACCAGGCTCTTTCATCATATTCCTCTGTCAAGTTTACAAAGTCTGGTCCATTTTGCACCCAACCTGTGATACCCCCACTTAGGATAACGCTCTTGATGTTATTTATGCCGTGATCCTCGAGCAAGTCGCTGAACCACCCCGCGGCGCGACTGCCACGGCCCTTGGACGAGCCTGGAGTAGATAGCAAATTAGTGAAGGACTGGTGCTTTACTATCGCCAGAGTGCCTTACCACAGTACCAGACTACCTGTTGCACATGCGGCAGGCTTTGGCAGATCTTCAACAGAACAGGTAGACTTGGATATAGCGACTGAGCAGGCAGATTTATAGACCCTCGTATGGTACCACCCTGCCATCATCAGCATAATGCTCGACGCCTCAGCTATCTGCCGGCGGGGAAGAATAAGTCCCCGATGACGCTTACCTCGTGGTCAACACGGCGCAGGTCAATAAGTAGAAAGTCAACTCCAGCCGTCGCTCCAGCCTGAAATAGTGCAAGCAGCTCCTTTGCCGACACCGCTTTCGGGTTTGTATTGCGTGGTTTAGGGTACGCGTCGTACCACTTCGGTGCCTCTGCCATTTGGGCGGCAAAGTCAGTGTTCAAACAGATCGGTCGTAGCGATGAGGTTTGCTTGAAGGGCTTGTGAAACGAGATATCAAGGGCGAAGAAGACAACTACACAAATGCTTCCAAAAACGTGCTAATGACAGTTAGTCATTCGCCATATCTGATTGGAGGAGCGGAATGATGTCCAACGATGCAAATTCTTCGGTGGATCAGCGGGCAGGCGGCCATGAGCACGGGGGTGGCGAAGACTCAGCGATCGTCGAATTTCTTCCGCTTTGTCACTAACGACTTCTTATTGGTGCGGGGTACTTCACATCCTGCCAACCAACGCTTGGGCGACCTAGTCCGGGCAAGTATAAGTAGATCGAGCATACCTGAGCTCGGCGCAGAGCTGATGTCAACAAACAAACAATCAATCATTCATTCTAGCCGCCGCCATGCCTCACGAAGTCGCCCCCCTAAGCTTACAGTCGCTTGCCGCACCTTTGGCGTCGGGGACCACCAATAGTACCCACGATCCCGAATCCGAAAAACAACTCTCTGTCCAACCGGAAGCTGAGCAAAGTACCATAGAGAACCCAGACAAAAAGAAGACGTCGATCTATGCTGGTCTCGGCTGGCTAGATCGCCTACTCGTGCTTTGGATTCTGCTCGCGATTGTAATAGGCATCTTGCTAGGAAATTTTATCGACAGTGTCGGCCCTGCTCTGCAGAGGGGAAAGTTTGTCGATGTTTCCGTTCCGATCGGTATGCTCTCAAAGGCCCATTCGCTTGTCCTATCAGAAGCTCTGACCCTAATTAGCGGTGGGGCTCCTCCTCATGATGTATCCCATACTGTGCAAGGTCCAGTACGAGACGTTGCATCAGGTCTTCGCCCATCGGGTGATCTGGGTACAGCTAGGATTCAGCATCATTGTGAACTGGATTATTGCTCCCTTATTGATGGTAATAAACACCTCCGGCATTAAACATGAGTCTGTGCTGACTGATGACTAGCTCGGTCTTGCTTGGGCGTTTCTGCCTGACAAGTCTGGCCTCAGAAACGGACTCATATTTGTCGGCCTGGCTCGCTGCATTGCAATGGTATGTTTCTTTGGCCCCTGGTCTGAGTGGTCTACTAAAGCTTGTCTCGCAGGTGTTGATTTGGACAGGATTGGCTGGTGGAGACCAGCAGTACTGTGCCATATTGGTCGCTGTCAACTCTCTCCTGCAAATGGTACTCTACGCGCCACTGGCCATTCTCTTTGTCAATATCATTAGCCATGGAGGTGGCAGCGCGGTCTCATATGCCATCGTTGCGCGCAGCGTGGGCGTCTTTCTTGGCATTCCTCTGGGCGCTGCCATCATCACGCGACTCTCTCTTCGTGCAATCAACTCGCGATGGTACGAACAAACCTTCATCAAGTGGATTTCGCCGTGGTCACTCATTGGATTGCTCTACACCATTCTGGTCCTGTTCGCATCGCAAGGCAAACAGGTCGTCCACCAAATCGTCTCTGTCCTCAGAGTGGCCGCTCCTCTGTTCTGCTATTTCGTCATCATTTTCTTCATTACACTGCTGATCACAAAACGGCTGGGATTTGGTTACAAGTTAGCAGCTACTCAAAGCTTCACCGCTGCCAGCAACAATTTTGAGCTGGCGATTGCCGTCGCCGTTGCCACATTTGGGGTAGATAGTGACGAGGCCCTCGCAAGCACAGTTGGCCCGTTGATTGAAGTACCTGTCCTTGTACTTCTTGTATATGTTGTCAAGTGGGTGGCAGGGCGTTGGGGTTGGAAAGATTGATGGACATCAAGATGACGGGACTGCTGGTGTATAAGTGCCTGCATTTAGCGGCTTCAGTGTTTGTTGGTATAGGGTTGTCAGGGATGCTTATAGATTAAAGCAAGAGATAGGTTTACTCATGCTGGTTTTGAGATGGAAATGCAGTGGTGCAAATAGGAGGCTGTGCAGAACTTGAATCGCCCCGCAATGGTATTTGGCACTTTGTTCTAGCTGTGCAAGACAAGTCTTCTCACAGGAAACCAATTGAAATTCTGACTGTAGACCATGGCGACCTGTGGTCCCGCTATGGCAGCATGAAGTCGTGCTTGCGACTCTTGGCAAGCACCGGTTGCCCGACTAGCTTACATTCAAATGACGAATTGAACAGCGTCTGATATTCTTGGCGTGATAAAGCGACACGTCAGACTGAAAGGCCGCGCCAAGGATAAAGTTCAATGTGGTTCTAATTTTGGGCATCCTGCCGTGATCGACCTAAATTTGGTGTGAACCTGTATTAAGAGCCGAAGAATTCCTGGTCAAAAGACCGATTTTGACACGCAGGGACTATTCTGCACGTAGGGATTCACGTTATATCGGGAGTTGGCTGACACATATGGTTCATATCTTACCTTTGCACGGGATGCCTCGGTTGCTCGCTCACACTGGGTGTTTAGCCAATGCCAGGACTGGCGGTATTTCCTGACTTGGCTGAAACTTAGCGCCAAACGATTGAGGCTTCTCGAGCTCGGCATCAATGGTGTTCGTTGCCCAGTACTCAGTGGTTATTACCCGTTCCTGGCTATTTTTAGAATTTTCACCGGGGACCTCCTTCCCAATCAGCTGCCACTTCCCTGACCCATATCTGCGGACATGCGGCCCCCTGCGACTTACGGCGCCAGCGCTGAAGACATATGGTAGGTCCACAGCCCGTGTGTTCGTGAAAGACTGCTCTGCGCAACCGTAATCTATTTGACGAATATCTAAACCCACCAATCTGGAGCAGAAATGACAAAAACTAAGGAGCAGGTACGGGGATGAAAGTCTGACCTGGCTAATTGGCTGTTGTCTAGCGCGCTCAAGTAAAACTCAAGCTTCTCGCACGTTGTCGTTGGTGGGCATAACTCCCCTTGATCGGTCAACGATTGGCTATTTTAATGCCGCCAAGCCAGGACACCTTCATTTTAGCGAGTTTCAACTCCTCGGCGGCTGAATCAGATCGTCGGTTCCCCGCAGCTTTAAAGAGCAGTCTGTCTACGAACCCGCTTCTTTCTATCTTTAGTCTCCTGCATGATCTATAGACTGCGGGCTAGACCTACATGTCACTCATACCACTTCATTGCCTCATTATCATGTCACTTATCGCGTTGCAGCCAACCAGCACCGCCAGCCAATCGTCTAAGCTCAAAGAGCAACAGCCCGCGATTCAAAGAGAAAAAGTCACGAACTAACAATAACCGCAAGAGGAGGACAGCAATATAGACCAACAGGAACGCAGCCCATTGTCCTAAAGAGCAGGACAAAGGTCAATCTACGGCTTCGCCAGTGGGCCTTGGAACACACAAGAGCAGTCAATTGCGTCTTGTGTAACACAACACACTGAGGCAAGAACTGGGCCCTTCAGCCAGAAGATGTTTCAAGTTTCACGCCTAACCTAACGCTTACCGCACACAGTGGCCTTGAGGAATGCGAGAGAACGAAGTATTTTGGCTCTATGTCCGTTGTCGATATCAAATGATGTCTTCACACAAGAACGAAACTTCCACGCTAATCCTAATAGGTTTGTGGCCTTCAAACAAGAGAGTCACCAGACCTACAGAAATAGACATGGAGAGGAGATTGCGTTCAGCCCGTGCGATCCACCTCCGGGATATGTGTTCGTCCCTTCTGGTAATACCTTCATTACTCGGAGCTGCCGCAAGCTTGCACAGAAATTATTCGCTGTCTATCGCCCTATGAATCGGAAAAGGCCTGCTACACAAATAGGCCTCCATGTCCCGAGGGACGTCTTCAAGAAAGTTGAGTCTGACTTCAAGGCGAAAAGAGCAAAGATTGACGAAAGTTTGTGGCGGACTCTTGACAAAAGCTACCCCCAGATTCCCTCCGCCGATAAGAATGAACTTCATCGCCTTATTTCTTCGCGATATCCCAGCCTCACTGGCAAATCGGCTCTGGATCACAGCGGGATCATAATTTATGCATATGTTCGGGATCGGTACACGCCGTTCAAGTCTCTTGGTCTCTATGGTGAAAGTCGGGATTCCGAAGCGATTACTGAGGCGCATCAGAGAGCTCAAGAGATTATAGCCTCCTGGCGTGGCGAAGACGCGTCTCACGACGCCACCGTCCGGCAAAAGGCCCACCTTCGAATCCACGGATCCAACATATCCCAGCAATCCCTCTTTCAGGCAGAGCCACGGGTGGCTGCGGACGACGGCGTCGCGGACGTGAAGCATGCCACAGAGGGCCGCAGGGAATGATGTTGCCTTCCTTCGAAGAGAGACATTGAGAATGGGTATATTTTCCAGTCCAGGCAAGAAATCGATGGACAACAGACGAAGACCCTGGAGGATGGGTCCCGCGGTGTTCACAGAGTGGCTGGCCTCTTGACAAATCGGTTGAATGGTTCACCTTCATCGATGCCCTCTCGACAAGGAATTTAGGTACTACCCCTATCGGATCCATAACGGCGCTGAGCAGAGAATCGGGGCGGGCCAATTCAAGCGCAGGACGTGCGCGTCCTGACAATGGACATGTACTCTCCTAACGCAAGCGAGACAGCAGTCATGGGGGAAGCGTGCGGACAGGAAAGGAAGACGGAACACAAAACGGTGTGCTTACCGTGAAGGAGGCCAAACGGCAGAAGTCGGAGCTGCAACTGCGGAGAGCGCAGGAGAAGAAGGAAGCTAAACAGAGGAGGTTTGGTACTGGAGCAGCGGAAGGCGCAGGAGAAGGAGACCAAGCGGCGGAAGGTGGAACTGGAGCAGCAGCCCAAGAGACTAGCTAAGCGGCGGAAGGTGGAACTACAATAGCGAAAAGCGCAGGAGATGGAGACCAAGCGGCGAAAGGTGGAATTGAACAGGAGAAGGTGCAAGAAGAGAAGACACAGGTGTTGTTCCAGGGCTTCTTCGCTGCCGAAGGATCGATCGCACTCCTCACAGTTGAACGACGCGGGGTGCGCAGGCGAATCCCGCAGGTGTTGCTCCAGGGCCTCCTCGCTGCCGAAGAATCGATCGCAGGTTGTGCAACTGTATTCATGCGCAGGAGAATCTCGTTTGTGCTGCACCAGAGCCTCGTGGCTGTCAAAAGACCGATCGCAAGGAACACAACGGCAGCTCATATTGGGAAGGAATTTGTGCCCGTGTTAATCTGTGCAGCACGAAAAGCACTGATACAGTCCACGATTCACCTGGAAGCGGTGACCTGATAGCTAGATCTGTTGATACACTGTTCAGCGAATGGAATGTCGACGTGTCAGCTATGTCGTGTAACAACAATGCTTCATTGTCGTCCAATGATTCTGTGACACGAAGCCTGCCTCTAGCTGCCAGCCTTGGCTTCTTCGCGAACATCTGACTGGCTCACCACAGCCATGGAATGAACGCAACATTCCCGTGAGGCGATTGTTTCACAGCCTCTTCTGGCGTCTGCCCATTCCTGAGTTCCGAGTAGTAGCTCCAACTCCTCTCGTACCTCCCTTGCCTTCCACGTCTCCTTCGTCGCGCGGCGGGGCCGTTTCCGAGTAGCGCCATCGTCGAGAAGAACCTCGGGCCCCACCGATGACCGAGATCGTTTCGAGTTCGTGCTCCTTGGGTGAGAGCGCTGGGTTTCAGATCGGGTAGCCTCGTCTGCGGTCATGCGAGGCGGCGACGGCGAATGCCGTGTAAGGGTGCTTTCTGTGATCCGCATGTTAGCAATAGGACAAAGTCCAACAGGACCGGTGCAGGATGAGGAGGGTGCGAGGGAATCGGACTTTTATTTTGAGACGCGTACGTCATACAGCCACGCATGTGGAGACGATCAAGTGCCCCATACTGGGAAGGACACGTGACGGAGAAAGCTTCGGTGATAACTGATATCCTGACCCAGAAGGTCGAGGACGACAGGGCTGCGGGGAGACTTGGCATCCTGAAGCATGTCTCCTTAGCCGCCTTGGCTCCCCGGTCGTTTCTCCCCAACGCCCGCTTCTCCTCAGCTCAGAATTCTCCTAGGAGTTGTCTTCCGGGATAATCTTTTTCCTACGCCGGAGCAATAATAGTGATTGGATGCATCCCCATTTCTGGCCCATCTAGTGGAAGGACTCGGTCTTGGCATCCGCTAATATCTGACAATGGGCCAGCCCATCTGATGATTGGGGTGGGCCATTCAGGATCTGGGCTAGACCATTCTGATGTTTGGGTTGGACCATTCTGATGTTTGGGTTGGACCATTCAGGCGGTTGGGGTAGACCAGTTGGGTATTCCGGGTTCAAGTGTGGTGCAGCCACACATATGTGCTGACTGGGCCAGCTAAGGGTAAATTCAGGTGGCAAGGGACAGATCCCCATAACCTGCGCCAGGGTGTTAATATCCAGTAGACATATATTCTCCTGAAGTCTCTTTCTGACAGGGCCAGACTACAAACAGGGCAACGAGGCGCCTGGAAGACCCAATTGATTTCATCAACCTCCGTCCAGGCAGAGTACTCCTCTGGCCAGCGCCTGACACACTCGGCACTGAACAGGTGGCCACACGTGGTCACAGTCTCCCTCTAGGACCAAGCACACTTAGCCTTCTTCCTGGTGGAGCACCCTATTGCTTTCACCATGTCGACCTCCTCACTTGTTCGCTTCCGCATTCTTAGGGTCGCAAGGCGATCCCCTCGGTTGATCTCTCTTCCGTAGGCTCGTAGAAGATCAAACGGCACGCCTGCGTCGGCCCTGAGCCACATCGTACCCATAAGCAGGTACTCGGGCCCGCTCGCTGTCTCTCGGTGGCCTTCAACGTGGAGGAAGGTGACGTCTCCAACATTGACGCATATTCCACCTTCACGACGTGCGAAATCCCTTGCTGGCGACACAGCTCGACTCACAATCTGTGCTCGTGGACGACACTCCTGCACGGCCTCCGCGCTTTGACCTTCAAGGATCGTGCCAGACTCCAGGACCGGGATGGGAGACGAAGGAATCCGAGCGTCAGGCGGTCTGCTAGGAGGCAGATCGCCCCCGCTGCTGTAGGGCTCCTCCTGTCCTTGTTCCTCCCCCTCCGGCTGGTCCTCGATCTCTGTATGCGGAGGGATGACCTGGGTGACGGCAGCGGTCGCTGTGGGCCCTTACTGCTACCTCTATTGCTGTGACAGCGTTCGACACTTGCTGCGGGGCTCACTCGAACTGTGCTAGGGGACTCTGGGATCTCCATCTTGTCCGAAGCTAGGCAATCCACGGCCTGAGATGGCTGGTTCACGCCTAGAGGTCTGTTTCCTAACGGAGACCTCTCTAGCCGGCTAGGAGGTGTCGCGAGGTTTGTCGCCCCTAAACTCGACCGTAGGTCCCTGGCGGAGAACACGGTGTCGCCCTGTGTGCCACTAAAATCAGTCCCAGTGATCATTCTGATTTCTATCCAGATGATGACGCACCTCACTGTCCGAATCGCCCGTCAAATCGATCAAGACGTGGTAATCGCCGAAGATCACATCTTCCACATCAGGCAGCCATTCCTCGTCCGTGTCGTCACTTTGTCGCTCACATCCCGCAAAATTAATGTCGAACGGGGGAGGCGGGCGGCGTAAGAAAGACACCTTCCCCTCCGAGTCGTGGTAAGATGCCAGAGAAGCCATTGAGGTTGAAAAGAAGACCGAGGCTGCGCTTGAGGCGTGCACAAAAACAAAAACATGCCAGTTGATCTGCTGAGGGTAGAGCCAGAGCTATATAGGTAAGCGTCGCTGCCGCAAGCACGTCGAGAACGGCCGGAGTCCGACGCTGTTCGCTGCGCCACTCCCTGCTCTGTGTTGCACCCAGGCCCTAGTCCCTTATTGCACCATTTTTCCGTCTCCCGTGCGCCTGCCTGCTGCGTGTAGCCGGTGGATTGCATAGACAGCCAATGGTACCTCCTGCCACCCCTGCGCTCTGTCGGACGAGCCGTCGACTCAGCCGTCTCTTATTTCGCCCCTGCGTAGGTGCGTGGGTGCCTGGACTGACCGATCACCTCTCGCTTCCAGGTACCTCCTTCATGGACAGGGCTCGAAACCATTACTCCAGGTGGGGAGGCCTGGGTAGACGGCCTCCCAACAGCCACGTTGGTTTCTTCCGTCGACAACCAGGAGCCCTGCGGCGCCATTCAACACGCTTCAGGTGCAGTGATCGACAGCGCTGGATGAGTGAGTTGAAGGTGGATTGAGGAATAGAGGCGAAGGCTCCTCGACACCCGCTGTGAGCTAACATTTGGGTCCTGGGTCTTCGGTCTTCGGTTCCACGGTTGCTCGCAATGTCACCCCGGCTGCATGTGGCCACAGATCCTACCTCAGCTCCTCGATGACGTGCCCCCAAAACGTCGACAGGGTTGGTCCCCCCGGGGCGGGCGGGGACATGCACAATCTCCCAACTGCGGCATTTTTCTCATTGGGCCCATCTCAAGCTCCAAGTCCACCAGGGCAGACTCAAGGCAGAACGGCAGTGGCGGCGCCCCTTGTAAAGCGCCTTCCATGTGAATCAACTCCTAAGTCCAGAGACGATGTCGGTTGAGGGCGATCAATGCCGGGTCGATGAAGGGGAGACGGGCTCTCTGAAGAAAGGCTCTCTCGCTGTACCTTGCTTGCAGGAGGGATGGAGTAGCGGGCGGCTTCGGAGCGGTTGCGAATACAGGAGGATCAAGGGCGAGGTCGGCGACCGGTCGAAGGCACAGCATCAGCGTCCAAAGGATGTCAGGGCCACGCCGAGGAACGCGTGCCTTGCTCGCTGGCCGGTTGGCATGCCGAGTCTGCTGAGCCTGTAACAAGGACATCGAGAGAAACAAAGCGGCGACGGATGGTGGCAGGTCTTATAACTCCCTGCGCGCTGCCAAAATAGGATCTACTGATGGTACAAACGTGTGCACGTGCTCCCTTTGCTCAGGAGAGGTAGGTTACCCGAAGCGGCCGTAGCCGAGTCGGGGATAGAGCGTGGCGCTGCTTTACCAGCCAGGCGAAGTCAGACGAGAGCCTGACCGGCCGGGCTCACCCCCCCCCCCCCCCGGCACCCCTCACCCGGGTGGATCCGCCCGCTGCTGCTGCCTAAACGAGCTGACCAGTCGCCGACGGCGCCCAGGCGCTAGCGTCTCAGCACGACCGGGGTTCAGGGTGAGCGCGCACCCGGCCGTCGCGCGACGCGGGTGAGGCGCGGGTGAGCGGTAAAGCGGCCTCACCCCGTCCCGAAGCAGGGTGAGTTGGATGCAGATTTCACTTACCTTGGCGAAAGCGACGTACTCGGCAGAACAGACCAGACAAGAAATTTGGCAGCTGTCAAGCTTCTATAGCAGCCAGGCAACAGGCACGCGTTCAATCCCTGCGGACGACAACTTGGAGAATATATGGACTCTGTGGCTCTCCTGCTCAGTTGTCTACAGAAAGCATCAGTTATTCGTTTCGCAACCGAATCGACCATTACCAGCGCCTCATTCTTAACAATCTTCCCAACCACTGTTCACCGACATACTATCGTTGATCAGATGTCCCAACGCCCAGAGAAAGTCACTGGCGGCTGCCTTTGTGGCAGCATTCGCTTTGACGTTGCCTTCCCGGAAGAGGCGCCCTGGCCGCCCAATGTGAGAAAACAGGGAATGGGAAAGAGCGCCACAACTAATGTCTTCTAGTCATGTTCTTGCCAATGCGGCATCTGCCGCAAATTCAGTGGCTCATTGATTTCTCACGATCTCATCCTGATGCCTCAACAGCTGAGCGATATTACTAAAGCGCCAACATACAAGGAATATCAGTCGAGTGAGGGTGGCTACAGAAGCTTCTGCAGTAATTGCGGCAGTGGACTCACGTGGAAGCTGTCATTCATACCAGACATGGTTATCGTCTTTTTGGGAACCATTGACGAGGAGTTCTTGATGGGCAACAAGATCGGTGACTCTGAAGAACAAACCGAGGTCGGCCTCACAATCAAGCGCGATGGCGGCCTCTGCAAGGAGCTGACAAGCATGAACTATGGTCACATCTTCTGGAACAACAGGATCCCAGGAGTCACCGATCAGGAGTCGCTGGCCGGACCCAAGTTTCCCGGGTCATTTCCAATGGAGTGATCGTGGTGAGCTACGGGTATCAGCGGAAACCACGCGGACAGGCAGTGAATGACAGAATTCAGCGGTGCTCGGGCCCCATGTTCCTGCGAGTCTCGACTTGTACTCAAGTCAACCCGTTGATCATCGAATACCCATTCAGACTGCCCCTAGCCATCGTCCGCTTTGTTGGCAGAGCCGTCGCCAGCGCTTTGGCTCCATTCCTCTCACTTGCATTGCCATACTTTCCGCAAAGGCGGCACAGATTCCGCGATCCCAGGACGGAATGCATCCCCCTTCCCCACACTTTCCCCCATTGCCGCCCTCTCGTTTACTGCCTGACGGTGGGCCGGGCAATATATTACCTTTCGTACAGCTTACTGACGGTTGCCCACGATGTGAAATGATATCGCTGCTACACCCCTCCCTCCTCCGTCCATTGCAGCTTCTCCCAATGCGCCACCATGATCGAAGGCACCCTTACCACCGTCCACACCACTGCGATCCATACCTTCCAGCACTCGCCGTTGCTCTTTCTATCTGCCGCTCTCATTCTCGTCACCTTGGTGTATATCCTCGCCACCGAGCTCTACCGCGCCCGGGCCCGCATCCCCGGCTACACCGGCCCACGCGGGCTCCCTGTGATCGGTAATCTGCACCAGATCCGCAGCAATGCCGCTGAGCAGTACCGACGCTGGGCTCGAATTCACGGCCCCGTCTACCAGATCATGCTGGGAAACGTTCCTGTAATTGTGGTCAACAGCGCCAAAGCCGCGCGCGAGATCTTTGGGGCCAACTCGCAGGCCCTTGCATCACGGCCCGAGTTCTACACCTTCCACAAGGTGGTCAGCTCTACGGCGGGGACAACGGTGGGGACCAGCCCTTTCAGCGAGAGCCTGAAGCGGCGGCGCAAGGGCGCGGCCAGCGCCCTCAACAAGCCGAGCGTCAATAGCTACGTGCCGCTCATCGACACCGAGACACGCGACTTTGTGCGCGAGTTCCTCGAGTACGGTGACGCAGGCCGCCGCAAGGTCGATCCCATGCCCATGATTCAGCGGTTGAGTCTGAGTCTGGCGCTGACGCTCAATTGGGGCGTGCGCATGAAGACGCAAGATGATGACCTGTTCCATGAGATCACTGAGGTGGAGGAGGAGGTCAGCAAGTTTCGCAGCACGACTGGCAATTTACAGGATTATGTGCCGTTGCTGAGATGGGTGCCTGGCTGGCTGAAGGGCGGAGGGAGTGCGAGGGCCGGTGAGTATCGCAGAAGACGGGACGTGTATCTGAAGCGCCTGAATGGGGATCTGGAGCAGCGTATGGCCGAGGGCTGGGAGGGCAAATGTATTCAGGCGAATGTCATGCGCGATCGGGAGGCCAGGCTTAATGCGGAGGAGCTGACGTCTATCTCATTGACGATGTAAGTGTTTTGTGGGATTTAAATGGTTGCTTGAATCTGAAAAGGGATTGCTGACTGACATTTTGCAAGGCTATCGGGTGGACTCGACACGCTGACGACGCTGGTGGCGTGGAGCATGGCGCTACTCGCCGAGCGGCCGGACGTGCAGCAGAAGGCGGTCGACGAGATCCGCAAAGTCTACACGGCCGAGCAGATTCTGTGCGACGCCTACGATGACCAAAGCATCCCCTACCTCGTGGCGCTCGTGAAAGAGCTGCTACGGTACTACACCGTCCTCCGCCTCAGCTTGCCGCGAGCCACCGTCAAGGACATCGTGTGGGAGGGCAAGCGCATCCCCAGCGGGTCGGTGGTGTTCCTTAACGCGTGGTCCTGCAACATGGACGACACGGTGTGGAAGGACCCGGAGGAGTTTCGACCGGAGCGTTGGCTGGCGGAAGATGCGTATGATGCACCGCTCTTCACCTACGGCCTCGGCTACCGCATGTGTGCAGGGAGTCTGCTCGCGAATCGAGAGATGTGTATGTGAGGTACTGTAAATGGCTGGCTCATGCTAACAGAACTACAGATACTATCTATCTGAGGCTGCTCAACGCCTTCAGCATCGAGAATGTCGAGGCTGAGGACGGTGGAAAGATCGACACCCACCCGGTCCGCGGCGTCACGGACCCGACACAGCTTGTGGCCGTTCCGGTCAGGTACAGAGTTCAGGTCGTGCCCCGAGACTTGGATGGCCTGCGCAAGGCGCTGGCCGAGGACATCGACGAGAAGGTCTACCAAAAGTCGAATTAAGAAGGCCTCGGTGTGTGTGTTCACTCTCTGATGGCGTCTTCAACGGCTACCCCGCCCCGTAACCGCCTAAGCTCCTGATCCGCCGCAGCCTGGTCGAACGAGCTCGCACGTCGAGGCTTTTGTGTGCGCTGGAGCTCGATAGAGTTGGTCCGTACTCGAGTCAGACCTTCTTCGGCCACCTTCTTCACGCTCTTCTGGCCAGAAAAGATCTCTTTCGTTTCAGAAAGAATGTCGGTCCAGTCTTTGAAGGTGGTAAAGGGGATTCCTTCACGCTCGCAGTATGTCACCAGATCCTGGCCTTCCTTGGCGAAGAGAAGGTCGCTTTCCTGAGACATGTTAGAAGAGAGGAAATCGGGCTTGGATCGAGACCGGGTATCGACTTACCCGGGCAGCACTGAGATCGCTGACACCATCACCGGCATACAGCATCGACGGGCGGTCTGGCTCTGGGAGCTGCTGAATTGCTTTGGCGTATTGCCGCAGAGTTAGGCTCTTATCATGTCCAAAGCCGCTGTCATCATGGTACTTTCTGAGGAAGGGCATGAGCGAGCTTCCACATAATTGTCAATGAATACTCACATCGTCCAACCGTCCGTTTCGTCTAGACTGTTCTTGGGTGATAGTAAACGAGTCTCATTCGAGATGATCTCGAGATCAGCGGCAAGATCGTCCCCAAGAAGCAATTTCAACAGAGTCTCGATAACGGGGTACATGCCGGAGCTAAGCACAATGACGGGCACCTTGTTCTCCCGAGCCCAAATCACGAAATCCTTAAAGCCGGGGTCGAGCTTGATGTTCTCACTCAGAATCTGGAGGACACGAGGGAAGGGCATGTGCCAGGAGTCGACCATCTTTTGGAAACCATCTCGGAACTGTGTGCTATTAGCACTAGATCAGTCACTGAACACGGGCCTTACCGTTTCTTTCTCCTCGAGGATGAGGTCCATCAAGACTCGTCGCTTGTCATAGCCCATACCGTAGCCATCAGTGATGAAATCGTTCGTACTGTGGCTGTCAGCACATTGATCACCATGTAGCCACACCGCGGTATGACATTTCTGGAGGTCGGAGAATATGAAAAGAATGGCGGTAGCCTGTGGAATGCTCAGTGTGCCGGAGACAAATCACTCACTCCTGCAAAGTAATGGTGCCTTCTCAACCATCAGCAAATACTCGTCTCACGCATCTACCAAGCCAAGAGGTGAATCTCGTCCCTCCTTGCTTGAGAAAACGCCAGTAACTGACCATCGAACTGACCCCGTCAGTACAAGTCAGGCGAGGGTTGAGTTCCGGAGACACGTTTTGTAGGTGTCGACCAGAGGGAAGTAAAGAGCAGCTCGTGGCATCGTAACCGCTACCCACAAGCACTTACATCTGTGAAGAATAGAATCTTAGGCTTTCCAGCCAGTCGGCTTTCTAAAGTCATGGTGGGATGTTTTCAACTAAGGTAGACCGGAGGGCGAATAGAGGTCAAAGGTCGGTGTTGGTCTACCGAACGATCTTTGGCTTGACCACAAAAAGTCGTATATCAAGGATATAACTCTTCTCCAGTAGACATGTTGTCGACACGGGATACCTGATTGGTGCTTCCAGGCGTGCAAAGATCCATGTCGTCGGCGTTTCCACCGGTTCACAGCGGCCCATCTCCGCGCCCATGTAGAAATATTGTGGGCCTGCTATACCTAGGGTTTAGGGCTAATCTCGAATACCACAACCGCTTCTACTTGGAAAGCTCGCTGAGCTCGTGCCCACCATAACTCACTTTCGCACGCCGACAATCACCCTTGCGACCAGTTTGGAGATGCAGCAGGCACCATGCCGGCTATCTCAGACGTTGTGGTCCGCATTCCGAGCTGCTAAACCTGTTTCAAGACCGACGCCCGTCCTCCGCAGACAATTTCACAGACCTGTCCCACAATGGCAATCGACGAGCTCGTATGTCGCCGGACAAGTTCGCTTCTACAGCGACAAGACTCAGGAGCTCGAGCGGAAAGTTCAAGAAGCCAAAAGCCGTATCGATGAGAGCTTGGACTCAAAAGTAGAGATTGCTGCCGACGCAGACACGAAATTGAACGATGCACAAGAAGCGACAATAGTCAAGACAGACCCTGTGGCTTCGTCGATAGTCGAGCCGTCCCCTGGAGGAAGCCAAGATAGCGTACAGTCCGAGGATGCAATACGGAGGTCGGAGCAGCACGATCCCTCGGCCAACCCCTCCGGCCAATCCACAGCAGAAACCCTCCGCGCCCGCTTCGGCCATTTCATGGACAACTTCCAATCCCACCTCTTCATCGCCTCGCGCCGCCTGAATGACCTGACGGGCTACTCGACCATTGAAGCGCTCAAGAACGACATTTCCTCCCAGGAGGCCCTCGTCGCCAAGGCGCGTGCCGAAGTGACCGCTGCCCGTGCCCGCTACTCGGCCGCCATCGCCACGCGCTCCACCACACAGCGTGAGGTCAATGACCTGCTGCACCGGAAGCACGCGTGGACGCCCACAGATCTCGAACGCTTCACAAATCTCTACCGCAGCGACCACGCCAACGAGCTGGCAGAGGTCGCCGCGCAGAAGGAGGTCGCCGACGCCGAGGCACGCTATGAAGAGGGTAGCACGAAGCTGGGGCGCGCCATCCTGGCGCGGTACCACGAGGAGCAGGTTTGGAGCGACAAGATACGGCAGATGAGTACATGGGGTACGTGGGGACTCATGGGATTGAACGTGCTGCTGTTCGTGGTATTTCAGATTCTCATCGAGCCTTGGAGAAGGAAGAGACTAGTAAGGGGCTTCGAGGAGAAGGTGGAGCTTGCTCTACAGGAGCGGGACGCCCAGTTGGCGGGATTGCAGAAAACAGTCGACTCACACGCCGCGGCTACAGCGAAAGCGGCCGGGTCGAAAGACGCGGTACCCACGCCGGAGGCTGTGCCCACGAAGGCGGTAGCTGTGGCAGAGACGATCGCCGAGCAGCTTGTCGATGCGATCAGCGGCGCTTCACCTGGCTCAAACGAGGCAGAAGCAGTGCCCTCCAGTTCACGGGCGGATATTGAAACGGCAACGGAGGTGGTCGCAGCAGACGAGATCAGTCTAGACGCCAAAGCATATCCCACACCCTCGGCGTCCTCGGAGGGTGTGTTTGCGTCTACCGCATCGGGATATGCGTATTACGCCGACGCGTTCCGGGAGCTCTGGAGTGAAGATCGTCTCGTCGTGTTGACGCAGCGAGAAATGACGACGCTCGTACTCGAGGGCGCTGTTGGCGGAGCAGCACTGATGGGCCTAATCATGGCGCTGCTGCGACCGCGGTGAAACGCTGTAATGTAAGTAGTGTACCATAGAAAAGACCAAGCCACACGGACTGTGCTGAACACACTCGACATGGGAAAAATGTAATGTTAGCATTTGTGATGTCTCCTCTCCTCGCTTGTCTTGCCGTTCAAGACACCGATCCGCTCGCTTCTTTGGCTCTGCCTCCGGCTTGTCTTCTCTAGTAGACCGAGCTTATGTACAATCACCAATCCCCATCGTCACGCGACTCCGAAAACCAACTATCTATCCGATGACCAAGCTCTCGTCGGTGGGGAAGTCGTATTCGGGGATCTCGAGGTTCAATGGTGCGGGACCCTTCCTTATACGCCCGGAAACATCGTAGTGGGAACCGTGGCAGGGGCAGAACCAGCCGCCGAAGTCGCCGGCTTCGCCGATGGGCACACAACCCAAGTGCGTGCAGACGCCGATCATGATGAGCCATTCGGGCTTCTTGACACGGTCGCCGTCGGCCTGGGGATCACGGAGAGAAGAAACACTGGATAGCTGTTAGTATCGGACGAGCGGGCAGATGATCGGGTGATGCATACTTGACGGACTCGGCAGACTTGATTTCGTCGTCGGTGCGGTGGCGGATGAAGACAGGCTTGCCTCGCCATTTGATGATGACATTCTTGCCCTCTGGAATGGCTGCAAGGTCGACTTCGACCTTGGCCTGCGCCAGAACATCGGCGGATGCAGACATGTTGACCAGGAAGTCTGTTTCAATTAGCTCATTATCCGGAGCAGCGGTGATCTGTCGTACCCTGAACGGTAGCCTTTGCGCCCGCGGCCGTCAACAAACCCATCGAGCCGACCATGAAGTACTGGAAGACGCGGTTGGAGACTTCGGGGGACTTCGCCCGGTAGGCCTTGAAGCTGGGGATCTTGTTGCTGTCAACTTTGTTGGATCTGAAGGGCGAGTCGAAGCTGGAGGTCGAGGCGGCCTGGGAGGGGCTTGATTGATGCCGGCGTTGCTGGACAACGGTGGTCTGGGAAGCTACGGAGGAGGTGGCTAGACGAGCTGCAGCGCTGGAGCTTTGAGAGGTAGGAAGGGCATGCTGGGTCCAGCTGCGCAGCGCAGCGCCTGCGGAGGAAGGTGCTGGACGCATGTCGACGGTTGCTGACAGGAGAGGGTCTGTGGCGCAGGATACGGGAGCTCAAGAAGGTGGTGAGAGGAGGTTTGCCAGCGAGCGCAGGGAAAATGTAGGCCAAGCCCGACAGCCAATACCGGCCTCCTGATTGGCCGGAAGCTACAACCACACTCGTTTCGATCTCTCAGCGACATGAATTTCGTTCAGTTTGTAAGACCGCTTATCCAAGGCATGATCACTATTCCATAACACTTCTGCAGGTAGGTATCTTGATACACGCAGACTCTTTTCCGCCCTCTTCGATTCGCCACGGTCGCCCGCCCAAGGCTCTACATCAGGTGTTTATCGGCTACCAAGCACCTACGTGAGGCTTCGTTGATGCAGCTGTGCAACATTCTAGTCGCGAGAACCGCGCTTATCTCCTCCATCGCCCTCGACGTTTGAGCTGATGCATCTATCACACCGGGCGCTGAGCAAGTCGCGATGGACGAGCAGAGTGGATGACCAGCGCGATAGTATGAGTGGCGTGAAGAGCGCACGGTCTAACGAGAGCCGACCTGGTACAAATGGCGGATTTTCTGAATCCATCCGTCCAAGTTCAGGATGCTCAGCCGGTCATGTCCACGTCACGGTCGAGGTCTCTCACTGGATCAGGATGTGAGTGGCGAATTGTCCGATCCGCGATTGGGCTATGAGGATGGCCGTTTGGCATATGCTCGCCGCTCCCATTCGTTTGAGGCTGCTGCATCATGTCTTGAATGTTCCGTGAGCTGGATGTGGGACGATTGCCATTGACAGCCGCCGCCGCGGCCTTGGTCGCATCTTCCTGGGCCTTGTCTTCCTTATATTGACGGTAAGTTTTCGTCTTGGGAACAATGTCGGATAGAAACTCTAGATTATCAATTCTTGAGACAGCAGTGGCTACGCCTGTCAGTTGCTGCAAACTCAAAGTCGAAAACAACATACCAATGTCCTTGTACGCGATGTTTCGGCGGGGTTTCCGCTCGGATTTGACGACGTTATGCGCTTGCTCTGTCAGGTACCTCAAGAAAATTTCCTGGAAGGCAGCGTCAGATCTTTACAATCCTGGCGATAGGGAGAAAATTACCGTAGCCACAGAGATAGCAAACGCTGCCGAATTAGAGCACTGGGCAATGTCTTCATCCTGGGCGATGATTTTCTTGACCCGAGCAACTACAATGATTAAGATAAGCGATAGAGAAGTCGTCCGGGGTGGCCTTACGGGGAACCTTGGATGTGCCAGTGATCTCTTCTGGAGGGCTGATGGGTGCGTTGTTATATGGCATGGCGGAGAGAGACACTCCACGACTAGACTGTGACGGTCCGCTGTGGTAGTACGGCTAGTACGGTGTCCAGATACTGTGGCCGAGGGCCCAATGCTGAAGTCCAATCTAGAACTGATCGGGCGCTGGATATGTCCTCGACGCGTCGAATAAGTCCACCCGCAAGGCAGCGAACAGTGGCTCAAGAACGGCTAATGATATCGGAATCAGGGAATTACTCGGGATCTAGAACGCGTGAAAGACTCGCGATGGATGCTGACCGAGCAGTTCAAGATGCACAGCACGTCGAGAGATTTTGAGAGCGACGAGGCGTCGAATCCATGGCTGTGGCCCGAAAGGGAAAAGCGTCAGTCCGACCGTCGACGCCTGGGGTAAGGCCAGCCTAGCGGTTCCCCGGCTTTCCCTGCTCATACATCGCCTGTCGACCTTATTCTGGCTTTGGACTGGCTCGTCTCATTTGATTCTCGTATATGGGACGATGACACGCCGTCCGATGTTATGACCTCTCATATTTCCTTCGCTGCGAGTGCGCCCCATCCCGAAAGACCTTCAGTCTCCGCCCGAAGACGTTCACGGCGACTCTCTTCTATATCTGCGACCCTCGAAGATGGACATGACGTTGCTCAGCCTGTACCAGCGGCCCAGACAATTACAGAGGAAATAGCCGAGATTAAACGATACGAAGACTTCACCACCATCGACTGGGTACAGGATGCGGCTCAGGAACATGTTCGGAGGCGCAGACGGCGAAGGGAGACTGCAAAGTTCTTCGACAAAGATGGTGCACTGGGCTGGAGACGAAAGATCTGGGAAAGCTACGACGCAGCACAAGCATGGGTTGTGGTCACTCTTGTGGGCATCGCCATTGGCCTGATAGCAGCCGCATTAAACATCATAACCGAATGGCTTGCCGATGTCAAACTCGGGTACTGCACGACTGCCTGGTATCTGAATGAGGGCTTCTGCTGCTATGGCTCCGAGGAGGGATGTGACGAGTGGCACCATTGGACGTCGTTTTCAGTGGCCAACTATTTGATCTACGCCATCTTCGCGGTCCTACTGGCCTTTCTGTCGGCCTATCTGGTCAAGGCGTACGCACCGTACGCTGCTGGGTCTGGCATTTCCGAAATCAAGTGCATCATCGCTGGCTTTGTCATGCAAGGCTTTCTCGGTTTCTGGACTTTACTCATCAAAGCGCTGTGTCTTCCTCTGGCTATTGCGTCAGGCTTGTCAGTTGGCAAGGAGGGTCCCAGTGTGCACTATGCGGTGTGCGTCGGAAACGTTATATCAGGCTTCTTTGACAAGTATAAGCTCAGTGCTTCAAAAAGGCGGGAGATTTTAACAGCCTCCGCCGGAACTGGCGTTGCGGTGGCTTTCGGCAGTCCTATCGGCGGCGTTCTCTTCTCGCTGGAGGAGATGGCGTCTCATTTTCCGTTAAAGACTTTGTGGCGAAGCTACTTCTGCGCCCTGGTCGCGACCTCTGTGCTGGCGGCCATGAACCCCTTCCGGACTGGACAGCTGGTTATGTTTTCTGTCACCTATGATCGCGGCTGGCACTTCTTTGAGATCATCTTCTACGTGATGCTTGGAATATTCGGCGGACTATACGGTGCTTTCATGATCAAATGGAACCTGGTGGTTCAGAGCTTCCGGAAGAAATATCTCGGTCAATATGGCATTCACGAAGCGGTCGTACTCGCAGGAGCAACAGCACTGCTTTGTTACCCGAACATGTTTTTACGCATCGATATGACTGAGATGATGGAAATGCTGTTCCGAGAGTGTGAGGCCGACTATGACTATGATGGGCTATGCGAGAAGAGCAACCGGTGGTCTCTAGTGTTCTCTTTGGCCGTTGCCACCTGCCTTCGAGCGTTTCTGGTCATCGTATCCTACGGCTGCAAAGTGCCCGCCGGAATCTTCGTCCCTTCTATGGCCATTGGAGCTTCCTTTGGGCGTATGGTTGGCATACTTGTTCAGGCTCTGCATGAACGATTTCCAGACTCTGGTTTCTTTGCTGCGTGCGAGCCGGACGTGCCGTGCATTACGCCGGGCACGTACGCCTTTCTGGGTGCTGGAGCTGCGTTAAGCGGTATTATGCATATTACTGTTTCAGTTGTCGTCATCATGTTCGAACTGACCGGAGCTCTGACATATATCTTGCCTACGATGATCGTGGTAGGTGTGACAAAGGTGGTAGGAGACCGCCTGACGAGCGCTGGTATCGCAGACCGCATGATCTGGTTCAACGGTTTTCCTTTCCTCGACAACAAAGAAGAGCACAGCTTCGGTGTCCCTACATCACAAGTAATGACTAGCGCAGTCGCCGTGCTGCCATCGACAGGCATGGCGGTCAAAGATCTACGGAAGCTTCTGGACGACACGAATTTCTCGGGCTTTCCAATTGTCGACGATATGCAAGATAAGACTCTTGTTGGCTACATTGGCAGAACGGAGCTCGATTTCGCCATGGAACGTGCAAAGAAAGGCGGGATGATCGCACCCGAGACTCGATGCGTATTCATTGCGGAAACCAGTGATGACCCACAAACGCCGATAGTCACGGAGCCTCCAGTCAATTTCGACAGCATGGGCCTGGCTACCGTTGACTTCAGCACCTTCGTTGACCGGAGTCCGATCACCGTCCACCCGAGGCTCCCCTTGGAAACGGCAATGGAGCTTTTCAAAAAGATGGGGCCTCGTGTCATTCTGGTCGAGCATCATGGCACATTCGAGGGTTTGGTCACAGTGAAAGACTGCCTGAAGTACCAGTTCAAGACGGAGCATATCGATCACGCGGCTCAACAGCAGAACGAACCACAGAGCTCCGACAAGCTTGGAGATGTCATACAACGAGTCAGTGAGTGGTTCGCAGACCGCATTAACAACCTGTCGCGAGGCAAGCTCAAGCTCTCGCCCCGGCAGGCGCAGCGCTGGCAGCGAGTTCCGACTCAAGCTCAGGACCATCCTGCCGATGATTATCGCAACGAAAGCGAGATTCTAGACGGTACTGAATTCGTCATCGAAGACGAACCTGACGGCGTAGAGATGGATGTACGATAGCCGATAGAACCCAGTCTAATGTCCAAATTTTGATCCGTTTCATATGATATGCACTCTAGATCTCTCCTCTCTACAACGGGGAATCCGCAATCTCCCCCCTCCTGACCCTCTCCCTCTCGTCCTCCACGGTGCCCTCCAACTCGATCAAATCCTGATCTTGCTCCAGCCTCTGCTCCTGCGCCCGCGCCGCCATCAACCCCTCAGCCTCCTCACCATCCCCCGTCCCCTCCCCAGTGCCCCCGCTCTTCACCCCAGCCCCACCCCCGTCTTCCTCCCGCCTTCCGATAACCACATTCCCCACCGCCAACAGCCCAGCACCCACCCACCACAGACCCGGCAGGCGCTCGCCGAAGATAGCGGCGCCCAACAGCGCGGTGACGACGAAATTGGCCGACACGTTGACGATGCTGACGCGGGTGGTGGAGTCCCCCCGCGTGAGCGCCGCCGTGAAGAGCGCCCACATGGCCGCGTTGAACAGGAGGTTCATGCCGAAGAAGAAGCCGCGGGTCGCGACGTCGACGGCCGTGTTGTCGGGCGCGAGCCCCAAGAGGGTCGAGATGTGGGAGGAGAGGGAGGAGGTTAGGGACGTTGTTGTGCTGTTGGTTGGGGGAGGGGCAGTGTCAGCGGTTGTAGATGTAAGAGGTATACCCTAGGAAGGGTAGGAGGACGGGGCCAGCAAAGTGAATGAGGGGGACTGGCAACGTACAGTTTCGCGAAGACGCCATTGAGGGCGGCGCATCCGCCAGAGGACACGGCTAGGATGATCCAAAGGGGCTGCCGGCGCAGGAAGGCGAGAGGGCCGCTGGACATGTCGCTGCGGTCCGGGGACTTCGTGCTCGGGGCAGGAGAGGTCGGTGCGCCGCGTTTGGGTCGCTGGCGCAGGGGCATGACGAGCGAGTTGGGAACGACGGGGGGACTTTCGCAGTTGTACTGAAATGCGCCGGCGGAAGAGGGGCGGAGAAATGTTTGGACGCTCCGGTCGGGGCAGCCAACATCAAGCATAACTAGGTATCTGCTTGTGTAGAGGCTTTATGTGTTAGCATGTTGAACAGCTTCGTACGACATTGCGAATTTTGCGAAGGCAGTGCCGAAAAGATGAGGTGCACGGACATACTGCGTGAGAAGAGTCAGGATGCTATCCCTGATTGGACCCTGCTCAGCTACGTGCTGCACCTCTTTGCAGTGTACCCAATCCTGGTGTTGTGCTCATGTGGAGGGCACCGCAGCTGTAGCGTGACCGTGAACGTGTCGAGAACGAGTGTGCATGAGGCGGCATATGTCACTTGTGAACAACCTTCGCTTGGATGGCAACATGTCTCTGGGGGAAGGGCCTCAAACATCTACGGGCGGGTTCCTTCAGGGTCACCATTTTTCAGAAGATCAACAACTCAGATCCCTTGAATTGTACTGACCGAGTGAATACTGTTCACTTCAAGTTCCCATTTGCAATCGACAATCCCGCGGAGACTCCGTGGCCTGAAAACGACGCACCCCTTTCCTTACCTTTGCCCTTGCTCACAGCTTCTGCCTCATTGCCATTATTGGATACACTGTTGCTGTCCATCAGACTGGCTGCGTTCTTTCCCAAACTTCCCTCCTCAAAGCCGAGAGACTTCACGATGCCTAGACCCTTGGTACGGCCCTCGCGGAAGAGTATGCGGTCGCCAATATTGAGGTACTCAGGTCGCTGAACGAACCGAAACGCCACGGTCGCACGATCTCCAGTCCGGATGTACTCGCGGTCTATGTCGATGATTGCGCAGGTCTGACTGACGGGACCCACATGAAGCATCGCCTGATACTTTGGGCGAATGGTGGTGGCATGAGACAGGATGAGCACCTCGGCAACGAACTCCCGTTGCACCCTTGGCGGAGCGTCCAGCTTCGGCAATACGACCATGCCTTTTCGTACCTCCTTCCGTCGTATTCGCTTTAGTGCGAATGATGCAGACTGACCAGCTGAGCACACAGGCACCTGTATTCGCTTACGTTCGATGGAGCGAATGCTGGTTGTTTGGAATTGTCCAAGTGAGTCCGGGCCAATCAGAACGGTGTCGCCTGCGTGGATAACACCGGACTTGACCACACCAGAAACCACCGTGCCGACGAATGGGACAGAAAAGGTGTCGTTGACGTGGAACTGGAAGGGCGCCTGATCATCGTAGTGACCGTGGTGGGGCAGAATGTTCAAGAACGTCCGCACAAGATCCAGGCACTCGCCCGTGACATTAGACACCTGAAAGACCGGGCATATTCGCTGCGACACAAACTGCGTGGCGGTAGTAACAGTCTGCTCGTGGTTCTTGATGAAGACCGGGATTTTCCTAGCACCAGGAGATTTGAGTATTCGAGTGAGTTGGGTGATGGTCTGTTCGAGAATCTGAGGCGGGCAGATATCAATCTTCGTGATGACCACCATCACCGGAACGTTGAGAGCCAGAGCAATGCCGAGGTGCTCCTTGGACATACCAATGAGGCCATTATTGGCTGCCACCATCAGCAGACAGTAGTTCGGAGAGCTCGACAAAAGTCCAAAGACGGTGGTACGAAGGTACCTTTCATGGCCAGCCAAGTCTGAGAAGCTGATGACTTTCGCACTTCTGTGGCCTATTTCGCCCCAGGTGAGCTTGCGACCAGGCACCGTCGAGCCGACAATATCGCCATGAGTGTCGAATCCCATGATCTCCATACCGACTGAAGAGGTTCGTCCAGACTCAATCTCGTGCTTGTGACGGAACAAATTGACACGTGCCTTACCGCGGCCATCGTCCAAACCGCCTTTAACTAAAACGCCCAACATGGTTGACTTGCCTGCATCGACATTGCCGACCACAGCTATTCGGGTTTCGATCACATCCTCCGGTGTCCCCGGGCTCTGGCGGACGAGCAGCTTGCCATGGCAAAAGTCATCCTTTGCGCCATTGCCCTCGGCTTCGACATCACCACCAACATTGTACGTGAGTAGCACTCGAACATCGGCCTTGAGAGGGTGGGCAGCCTCAGTCACCCTTGCTAAAGCGATATCCCAATGAGCCCTGGTAAATTCCATGGCCTCCCCATTATCTTCAAGGCCGAGCTCAAACAGCGTTTCTCCATGGCCCTCATCTAGTCGTGCTTGTATTAGACCGGTGAGCAGCTGCAGTGTGGCGCCGGCATCTTCAGATTCGTCAAGCAACCATTCCTTGGGCTTCACCTGAGACGGGGTATCGGACAGCCCGAGCTGGTCGATGATATCAAGCTCAGCGTGGTCCTCGGTGGCAGTCGCACCAGTGGCGGTGGAATAGCCGCTACCGCTTGGGGCTATGGAGCCGAGTCGCTCGCTGCCCCGCGCACGAGTCTTCTGCTGTTGCTTCTCGACATAGTCTGCGAAGTCAGAGAGGGCCTGCCTCACAATCAGCCTTGAGAATAGCCACACTTCAGGGTGGACGCACGAGTTCACCTTTCCGGCGATCTGCCGGTGTTTGTTTCATGCGCGTCCCCATATTGTGTAGATGAGATGCGTATGCTGTATGGTAAGTCGAGGTTGAGTTAAAGAAGAGTCGCCCCCGCGGTTAGTGAGGTATTCGAGGAATCATTGTATGGTATGGAGCTGTGAGAGTGGCGCAGGAAAGACTATGCTGAAAGCATTGGAATTCTCAGGGCGTCGAAGTCGGTAGGCTATGATAGACGTGATAGGTAAGGGATGATCGAGCAAAAGAGGAGGAAGGTTCGCGATATAGATCATCAAGTCGCGGTGGAGGAGTCATTGACTGCACTTGAACGTGGCGACTGACTCACCCCACCTCCACCCCCGCCCACCGCGGCTTCTTCTATCTAGGTACGCGAGGCTCTTTTGAGGCGTTCTGCGCCGCATCTGTCACTCAAGGCTCCTAACTCGGACGGTTTATGGATATTTGTGACTCTGCCTTCAATATGACTGAGCTTTTTCGGTCCTTAACCTGTCTCTTGAGCCCCAGCCTGCGATTCAAGGTGGGGTAGATGGGATCGAGCGCAATGCACTGGTGTTGCGAGCAATGACTGTTGGGCGCCGGCTTGCCATCTGGACCCGTGTGTCTGCCTTAGTTTGCGCTTATGTATCTTTTCATAGACTGCTCGAGTGCGACCGAAGGGCTACCAAGTGAACCCACGATGGCTCATGCAGGTTGTGGAGAAATAAGGACAACCGAATCACCTTCAGTGCTGTTAGCGAATACAATCAGTCTTGATTAGAGGTCGACTGACCTCTGACGAATAGCATGTCCGACTGCTTCTTTTGTGTCTGGCTCCCGTTAGCATCAATGCATAACAAATGACTTAGGCTCAGTACCCGGACAGCGTCCTCGCCTTCTTCATCTTCGTCGATGGTGTATATGGTTTCTTCCACCTCGCCCAATACAAGATTGCAATGACTGTCGTAAGCCTGGTCTTATTAGTATCGGACCTAGTCTGGGAGCTGGAGTATGTACGTGTAATCGTCCTTTCAATTCACGATCGCCTCGGAGCTTGACAAACACGACCTCATCCAAGGACAGTCGCACCAGGTCGAGGGGCTCCGAAACGGAGCCACCGGCTTCATCCGCAGTGTCGGCCATCGTTGGGATACACCGAAATAGCTGCTCTAAAGAAAAGGCGACCAATGTGAAGGTTGGCACTCTGATCTGCAAGCAAGAGGGGATCTTTTTGACAAGGCTACGAGGCTGTTGGATTGCTTGGCATATATGTACCAGAAATTCCTGACGAAACAGACCATGTAGCACACCCATTCTACGCTCAGCCCAGTTTCATAATACTGTTACTTACATCTTACCAAATACTGACTCTCTGGGTAACTCTCTGGGCACTCTCTTGAGGCAACCTCTTGAACGATCCCCCTAGACATTAGCAAGTCAATAATCCTATACAAAACAAGAGTGGGACCTAAGTGATACCTGCATGCCGTTCTGTTAGGATGCGAGTAAGAGGCGGGTAATGGAATGAGTGTAAAACGAGAGCGATCTAGACTGGTGTATACTAAGGGTACCTAAGAGAGTATCTCGGAGGAACCCAGAGAGGTCCCCAAAGAGGTGCCCCCAGAGAGTGCCCAGAAAAATGTCCAAAGAGTAAGTGTTTAGTAAGCAGTAAGTGATAGTATGACACTGGGCTGAGCGTGGCTCACCAGGGGTCGATTACTGTTCTTTCAGCAAGGCTCTATCTTGATGCAGTCCGATCTCTCGACCTAAAAAAGTTATAGGTTCAGCTGGAACTTAGGATGCGTCCGTATCCGTTCGCCGTACCGCATGAATACCCAGACGACGGGGAGCATGCCAAGAGCAAGAAACGCCAGCAGAGAATTGCCCCATCCGTACCCAAGCGCATCATACATCTGCCCTCCGCACAGTGGCAACAACGCACCGCCCAAACTTCGCAGCACCGTGTTGGCCGCCATGGCGCTTGCGGCGTACCGGGTGTAGGCGTCAACGAGATACGTTCCTACCACCGAGATCAGCATAGTCAAGCAGAGCCTAGGGTTGAATCCTACCGATGGGCATGAAGATCAGAATCATCGCGGCCCCCACGATCGTCGTGCCTATGATGGGAACGATCCAATGGACTCTGTACTCGGCGCTCCAGCCGTACAGGAAGAGGCCTAGTGGCATCAAGACGCCCCCATAGGCTAATGGCGGTAAGCGGTACTCTGGCTTCATTTCCCCACCATCGGCCATGCGCTTCAGGGTCTTGTCGGATATGGCGCCGAAGATGAAAAGACCGAAGAATTGGCCTATGCCGATGCCGAGATAGGTGAGGCCGACGTTGGCGCGGGAGACGCCGTATACCGTCTCGTACAGCTCCGTGATGGTGGTGAATAGCAGGTACAGATAGCCGTAGCTGATGGCCACGTATAAGGACAGCAAGAACACGATCGGCGAGAGAGTGAGCATTTTCGTCGGCCGGACAATGTTGGTCCAGAACAGTCGTCCAGGCGACATGGTGGACTGCAGGATAGATCGCAATTTCTCGTTTCCAGTTTCCTTGCGCAACCGCTTCGCTTTCCGCTCGAGGAGGGTCATAGGATAGGTCTCGTCTTGTAGCCACAGTGCAGCGGCGAATGCGACTGCGGCTGCAATGGACAGAATATAAAAGTCCCACCTCCAGCCGAGGGCTTCCCCAATATAACTTCCAGCAAGAGGCCCCAGGGTCGGGCCAAGCAGGATTGGCAAAGTCCAAGTACTCATGACCTTGCCCCTTTCTTCCTGCTTGAACAGGTCCGCGATCGTCCCTGAACCCACCGTCATTGGCGCAACGCCTGCAAAGCCGGCCAGGAATCTGAACACAATAATCATAGCGAGGTTCGTTGACAGACCACAGACTAAGTTGAAAATGATAAACAGGCCGGTATTGATATGGTACACCCAAAGCCGACCGTAAAGCTCGGACATGGGCCCGACGATCAGTGGTCCAAAGACGTATCCGACTACATAGACCGAGACAACGAACGCTGCCAAAAGGATGTTCGTGGAGTTGAAATCTTTCATGACATCCGGGACAGCGGGAGCGAACATGGACGAGGCGAACGGTGTCATAAGCGTAAGGGTGGAGACGACGAAGATGTTCTTCCACTTCTTGAAGGCAGGCCAGTTGAGTGGCCTTGCCGGGTCATCGGGCCCCTCCCAGTCCACAACATCTGGATCGTCGACAACCTGGACAGCTGGTCCGGGAGCTTTAGCGGGCGCCGCTTTCTCGACATCTTGGACATTGGAGTCCGTTACACTCTCGGAGCCGGTGTTGTCGATTGTCGAAGAGTGGTCGATTTCTTTGTCGGGCCGGCCAAGGTGGTCCACCATTTTCGGCTAAACAACGTCGGGATTGTCCAACGAAACGATGAGACTTGCGTCAATGTGTGCTATAAGGACATCTTTCAGGTGATAGTAGATGACACTTGATGAAATGGTCAAGAGATCTGGAAGGTGTGGTAGTAGGGAGGCAGAAATAGTGATCTACAAAAGAGTTGTGAGAGAAACAAGCGACTTTTGGAAGATGCACGATCGTAGCGATCATACAAAAGGGGATTTGGAGCCTTCCCCTCCTGTAGACGATGGAGGAATAATGCGGTAGCCTGCCTGAAGATGCTCGAGCGGGTAACTCACAGTAGCAGCATGGGTAACCAGCGTACTCGGTTATAGGTAGTTCGTCCCTGTCTTCGGACGAAGGATGGAGCTAGTCAGCAGCGCCTCGGGCTTTGGCGTGCCGATATCCGGGCGAACTATACGTACCCCAGACTCTGGCACACGAACCGCCTGTTCAATCACAATTTACTGCCGGGAAAAGAGTATGTGCAAATGAATATAAAGCGTCTCGCGGCCTCTTCTTCAAGGTACTGTCGGTCGTGAAGATTGGAACCTGGTCGGTCATGTTCTACGTCAATTTAAAGACGAGGGACAAGACACACACCCACGCAGACACCTGCCTCTTATTGGCCGCGGCTGGAGTCATTCATCCCTAGCCACCAGGGGTTGACAAAATTGACGGGAGGTCTTCCAGTAACTCATAGTAGAATACCACGCGAAACAATTAAATGTGAGTCCGAGGAGGGCGCCAACCAATATTGTCGAATCCTACATATGATCTACTGATCACAGTAGATGATACCCACTGGCGGTCCAAAACAGACAATGCTCTACAGCAAGGGGTCCAGATTGGCGGCAAATATATACTACTGATCTACTGAGGTCACTCTATGGTTCAACCAATTTAAAGTGACATCCTGTCTATAGCCGGTGAACGCTAGTGTGATAATTAGGAAACAATGGTCTTTCATCTATAGTCAGGAGGCCTCCCGTCGATTTTATTAACTACCTGCCGGCCTCTAAATTTCTTACCTGGATCACGCCGCCCTACCTTTCCTCAAGACCTGGTCTAGAGTCGCGCCACCCCGGAGAACGTGTTCATCCGACCACCTCGGTCCCACTACAGTCAAGCCCAATGGCAGGCCACCAGTGCCCTTCAGCCCAGGCACGTTCACTGTCGGCACATGCAGAGCTGACCACATGGCGTTGAAACACTGTAGACGGCCATATTAGCGGTCGAGACACCCAAAAATGGGAGGAAAGTATTGCATACCGCATCTCCGGTCCATCCAAGCCCCTCTGGTGCACTATCTGTCGTGCTCGGTGTAATGATCAGGTCGTATCCTTGGGCGATCTCATCCCAGACGGGCCTCAAGCGCGCCACGCTGTCGTATGTCTCGCGTATCCTTTCCGGCGTCAGGGTGGCGCCCCGGTCAAAGATGTTCAAGATGACCTTATCGAGCTGGTCTCTGTCCGTCATGGCGTGGCCCAGGAACATTGCCCGGCTCTCGTGTGCCATCAGGTTAGAGTGCCACTCGGTCATGCGGGCGAATTCGGCCGGCAGCTCCAGGTCCACGGGCCGATAGCCCTGCTCTACCAAAAGCGATCGGGCGGCCTCCCACGCTGATTTAAGACCTGGACCCGCCTTCGTCCAGACGTGCGTTTTGAGCATTGCGACTCTGGCGGTCCGCGGCATGGGCTCGTGCAGCTGCGGTGATGGAAAAGGCCGTTGGGTGTATACGCTGGCAATAAGGTCGATGTCATCAATGCAGCGGGCGAAGTATCCCACCGTGTCGCACGTGGTGGAGTAGCGGCTCATGCCCTCGGTAGACGCGGTTCCCCAAGTGGGCTTCAGACCCCAGATGCCACAGAAGGAGGCCGGGCGCACGATGCTGCCGCCGGTCTGGGTCCCAATGGCAAGCGGGACATGTAGATCCGCAACCGCAGCGGCAGAGCCGGATGAGGAGCCTCCTGGTGTATGCGCGGTGTTGTGTGGATTGGCGCATGGACCACCCGTGGTGGTGGAGGCAAACTGTGTGGTGTGAGTCTTGCCGAAGATGAGAGCACCAGCAGCACGGAGGACTTTGACGGTGGTGGCGTCCAAGGGAATGGTGGGACTGTTAGAGAAGATGGGAGAGTTGAAGCGCGTGGGCATGTCTGCGGCGTAAGTTGGTGTGTTTGTTTCACGAGAGAGTAAGTACCTTGAGTAAGCAATACATCTTTGATGCCAATAGGGAGGCCGTGCAGTGGGCCACGCTTGTGGACGGGGATCTGGTCGAGGACCCTTGCTTGAGAGAGCACCACATCTGCGTTCAGATATGCCCAAGCATGGACTTCGGACTCCCTTTTCTCGGCAACTTCCAGGAGGCTCTTTGCATATGCTTCTGTGGACAGCGCGCCAGATCTGAGGCCGGAAGCCAGGTCATTTGCTGTTGCTGTGTGGAATGAAGACATGGTGTGGTACAGTGAAGGCCGAGACGTCTAGTAGCAGATAGATTCTATGTTTAAGTTCTTTTGCAACATCTAGAGTGAATGGACAACTCCTGGAGAAGAGAAAGTGAGATTGGGGTCATCTCGGTCATGTTTATGCCGGACATCAGCGTTGACGGAGAGGGTTAGGGGATAGGATAGCATGTCACAATGGATGGAGGTCCTGATCTCCGCGATCACGGTGAGACATATGCTGCTATGGGCCTGAAATGAAGGTCTGCACAGATACATAGGAGACCGCCTCCCTGGTAATCGAGAGCAGTGTATGTACTTGGAGTGGCCTTGCCGGCTCGGGCTCGGGAAAAACTAAGTGCCGAGCGCGCCTGTGGGCCCTGGAAGTCGAGGTCGCGGTTGCCCTGTAATTTTCCCCAGAACAGTAGACAGCTTCGTCCGACTCAGATTCATCACCACCACACAGCTGGTGAATGTTCTTGATGACCGGCGCAGCTCCTCTCTTGAGGACCGTCGACACTGCTGCTCGTTCATCACGAAGCCGAATTCCGCACCTCAAAGCACACATCAATTCTCGTCACCTACGGCTTCCAACGGCCTCCCTAAGTCCTCGACCATGCAAATCGCAGCCGATAGCCAGACAGCCATCGTACGGTACTCGCTCATCTACCTCGACCGCGGTTAATGGCCATTTTTTCGGCCAGCTTGGGGACGCACAGGGGGAAGCTCGACACGAGAAATCAGCGGTATGGACGGCACCGGTCGAGTTTGAAAATATAACCTCGGACCATGGCGTTGGCCTGGATTCTTCACGCGGCTCTGCGGACGAGCCTAAGAGCTTGTCTGCCTGGGATCTACGGGAGGACGAACATCCGGACCGTGTCTTCTTCGCCCTGATTCATGCCGCGGATGGGGCACAATTCATTCATACCGCCAGCGACCATGCCTTTAGCCGCGCATTTTGCCAGCTGGATCCCGAGCACTTCATTGAAGCCTACAAGCCACTATACCAAGACCTTCCACCCTCGCTTCACATTGGCCCGGCCTTCCGAACCGTTCGGTCCCTCGAAGATAGGTGCAAACGCTTTGTACGACGCATTCAACGCATTATGCAGATGCGGACCGATGCAGGCTTTCCTCTTACGCTTGACGTCTATCGCCACGTCCTTTGGTGTGCCGAGGTCGCATGCGATGAGCAATTCGCGAGGCTGGTCTTCGACCGCGAGATGTCCGCTCAAGGTGTAGATCCGGACGAGGACTGCTATAACAGCCTTTTGGCCGCATGTGCCAAGTCTGGCTTGAACGATGTAGCACACCGCAAGCACCACCGCCGTACACAGTATCACCTGGATCGGCGAGAGAACGTCCACGGTATAAGGGACCAAGGACAGCTGGCCGTCCTCGGCCGAGGTCGCCCTCATCGCTCGGAACCGGCAGGACTGCGAGATTATGTTTTGCGGGTGTTCAAGCAGATGGGCGAGCAGGGTTTCGCCGGGAACGAAAAGACCTTCACGAGTCTCATGCTCGCGCTAGGTCAGGACGGAGACATGAATGGAGTCAAGAGCATCCTCCGCTCCGTTTGGAACATCAACACCGAACTTCTCCTTACCTTCGATGAAGAAGAGATCGAAAGTCCGACCTTCTACGAGGAAAACTCTCCACTTCGCCCCACGGGGCGCCTTCTCGACACTGTGGTGCATGTCTTTGGTAACAATAATGAGATGTATGTGGCCTCGTTACTAAATGACTACCTCTCGCGCAATTACAACATCAACGCCCCACAACATGTGTGGGAAAAGCTCTTTGAGCTCACTTATCAATTCGCTCGCCGGGAGAACGCCTGGCACCGGTCGAGAAATTGGAGTCCTGGGCATCTGCCTGGTCAAGCACTACCCCGGCTGTTTGAAATGATGACGGACGAACCACACAATGTACAACCAACTGTACAACTGCTGACGAGGCTGTCTCAAAACGCAGGTCAGCACTTTGAATACGATGCTGCCATTGGGCACCTTCGCGAAGCTGTGCGGTTACTCGATGTTGAGCAGACGAAGCTTTCGGAGCTTTATGACCGGATATTACCCAGCGTGACAAATGTCCACAACGAGTCCTACTTCCTGTCCGACGAGTTCTTTGCTGATCGGCAACTCTTCATTCAGCATTCCATCCAGGTCGACGCGGATTTGCAGGCGGTGATACTGGCAGTTCGGCGGCTGCTTCGCCGTCAGCGTCCGCCAAGAAGCGAGTTGGAGCAACAGTGGGAGCATGTCACTCAACGCATTCCGGATATCATTCGGGAATTTCAGACAAAGCTTCCCAACGAGATCGGGTATAAAACTATGAATGGCGCGGTGAGAATCAAGAATGGCTATTTGCACCGCAGCTATGCTATCGAACTTGCCGACGCTCACTTCATTGTTAAGACTGGGATTCTGCGCCGCGCGCTTGACCTCGACCATCATTCGATAATGATCGAACGGCTCCGACGGGTTCCGAGGAAACTGGAGCGATTCAGCAAGTGGTGTTTCCTTTGCTGTAAAGAGGATCACAGTCTATTGCAGTGTCCGGATCGGGACCGTATTCTGGCAGGCCCCATGGAAGTGCTATCTTATGCCAGGCCAACTCTTACGGAAGACGGAGCCGATGAAGAACCAAGCACCGGATGGGCTCTGTTCCCAGAGGTGGAAGAGAAGCCCCAAGTAGTCGAGCCTCCTGTACGCGAGTCTCGTTCAAATGTGCTCTGGATTCGATCCTCTGCGGAGATGTGGCACCAGGAACACCTCAAGGCGCGTTGGCACGCTGCTGAGAAAGGCGATGGGTATGCGGGCCAAACGCCAGATCCTGTGAAGAGACCTGAAGCAGGCGAGGAGAAAGAAGTTGAACAGGATCTCGAAGACGAATTCGAAAGCGAACCTGACGAGGCTAAGACCAGGCCGTAGTTTCAGGTTCAATGCGATGGGCGCAGGATTGTACAATATATATACTCCTGTATACTAGCTGTAGATGAGGCTGTAGAACCAACTCAATCTTGACCATCTGGTTCATGTAATAGAGCGGATCAGTATGGTTTTCGTTGCTATATGGCTAATCGTTCTGTTATGTCCTCTTGGGGAGGGACAGTCTGTACCGCCCTCCTTGTGATGCAGTTGCAATGCAATAATGTCTGCTCTGCTCTGCTCTGCTCGACTCACGCTTCATGCATGCAAATCGCGCCCTCGTAAAACCACGCGGTGCAGCCGCAGAGAAGCCAATGCCACATGGAACCAACTTCGCCAACACTCTCGCGAACGACCGAACAACCCCCCCTGCTCCTAAATATAAGCGTGAGAGACGAAGAAACCTCCCATGCGATAGCCGGGCCCGAGCTAGTCCTTGCCGTTCCAGACAGTACCAGTGGTTTGAGAGCGCAAGCACTTTCGAAACCTCCCTGGGTCCAACGATACAGTAGAGCACGCTTCCTCTACCATCCGAGCCCATCCCTTGCACCGTGCCATACATACATGTGTTCACGACCCAGCAACCCCCTCCCTCTTCAGATCATTCACGACCATGTAGCGGCCCACGCCGATCCACCCCCAGCGGAACCAGACCATCTGGCTCTTGTGGCCGCTGACCATGGCGTCGCGCGCCTTCCAGTACCTGGCCAGATCGCTCATGAACATGACGCGCTCGCCCTTGGTCTTGCCCTTGCCGGCGCCGCCGCCCAGCACGCCCTGCACAAGCGTCGGCAGCGCGTCCAGCACGAAGCTGTACTTGCGCGCAATGTTGACGGAACTGAGCGTGTAGAGCGACACGGGGCACGCATAGCCGGCGTGGCCCTTCATGAGGTTGCGGAGGAAGGTGAGGGCGCCGGCGTGCAGCGCGATGTGGTTGGGGTGACCGGACACGCCGGCCTGATCGAAGGTCACTAGTACGTCGATGGTGGCGCGGGGGCCTTCGGGCACAGCGGGCGGTGTGGGTGCTGGGGACGGCGTTGACGGCTTGCTAGTGGCAGCGGATTTCTTGCTCTTGCTCTTGCCGCCGCTCTTTTCTTTCTTGGTGTCTTTCTCTTTCTCGGCTGGGGGGGCTGGGGCGGGTGCGATCAGCTGCGGCGCAAACGCACTGGCTAGCACACGCGCGATTTCCTTGTCGTCCCACTTCTCGGTCATGCCGTCTTTGAAGCGGCGCTCGTCGTCCATGACGAAGACATCCTCGCGCCGACGTAGCCCGAGGGTCACGGCGGCAGCTTCGAGTTCGCGGATGCGGGTGGCGCCGAGGCCGTCGGCGTTGCCGGTGCTGAGACACAAGATCTTGACGTGATTTTGTAAAGAGGGGTGGGTTAGGGACTGTAGAGTCGGAGAGAAGAACATGGACTCATCATCCGGGTGTGCGATGAGAAGAATGATGCGCTTGTTGCGCAGTGTGGCTGGGGGTGGTGGGGTGAGCGTGGATGTAAGGTGCCAGAGTGCGAGGAAGAGGATGGGCGTGAGCGCGAGGAGGTAGTACATCGTGGACATCTCGTTCAGGTTCGAAGGTTCCTCGGCTATCGCGTACGGGCGGGCGTTGTCGCGTAGCGGCGGCGACGGCGACGACGGCGTTGGTGGTGCAGCGCACGCGACTCTGGCATTCCCGCCCGGACACGAGAACGGGTGGCCGCAACAAGTTCAGGAAGTGTGGCAGGAAGGCAGGCCTGATGCTGACAGCGGACTGCGCATGACAGGAGAAAGGATGCAGGGTTCGTACGGTGGATAGAGTCGGTGATCGCACCTTACATGTTCACAGCGAGATGAAGAGGCGGTCAAGAATCCGGGTTGCATTGAAGCGAGATTTCCCCACCTAATTCTAGGTAGCGTCGGCCGCAACGGCGACATCATGCTCTCCAAAGGGGGGGGGTTGATCGCCAGGAACACAGCTAGGGTGGCGCACAGTGCCGTGCTGAGACTTATCTTGGACGCTGAGTAATAGTCGTCGAGACTGAAAAGCGGCCATAAATACCACACAGCATTGAACGACTTCTTCTTTTGGCAACGAAAGCGGCGAGGGGAGCCTCTCATTGGTCTACTTGGTGTACGTGGTAGATGGCCGCGCAGCCAAGAAATCATTTGTACACGTCGGACGAGACCTGGTCCGGTCTGCATGCTGCTTCTGACTGACCAATATGCCCCGGCCGCTTTGTGGACTGACATTGGCAATGTCGCGAACCGACAATCGCTGCTCTGGGCAGGACATAAGCCGAGTCGTGGACACGGAGAGCGGACAGACATAAATACCATGTAGGCACGCTTCATGTGCAACCGGATTCACTGCTCCCATCAATCCTATCAAGGCATATATTCTTTAGCTACCATGTCCAAGCCAACAATCGTCACCGTCCACGGTGCATGGCACAGTCCGGCCCACTTCGAACCTTTGGCCAGAATCCTGCGCCAACATGGGTACACAGTCGTGTCCGTCAGCCTGCCTTCCGTCGTCGACAGGGGCACAACCCCGCTTGAGGATCCAAGAGATGATATTCGTGCAGTCAGAGACGTGGTTGTGCAGATTCTTGATGCTGGTGACGATGTGGTGCTTGTTCCGCACAGCTATGGAGGCATTCCAGCCTCATCGGCGGTGAGGGCTCTCGATTCCAGGAGTCGGTCCGCAGCCGGCAAGAGCACTTCGGTTATAGGCGTCGCCGCCATCTCCGCCTATGTCGCCCGCGAGGGTGACGACATCGCTACGGCTCAGGACTTACCGTCTGGAGAGCGAGCCGAGTTGTACGCGATTGACGGGTTGAACAATTACATTCAGTCGGAGCTCAATCCACACAAGCTCTTCTACGCCGATATACCCGAGAGTGAGGCAGAGAAGTGGACGGCCATGCTCCGACCAATGCTTCGCACCGCATTGTGGACCAACAAGTCAGAGTACTCGGCACACAAGGACATCCCGATCCATTACTTGGTATGCAACCAGGATCGGGCCCTCCCCAAGGATACCCAGTGGCTGTTCATCAATAAAGTGCGTCAAGACGGAGGAAGCGTGAGGGTCGAAGAGGTCGAGGCCAGCCACTCGCCTTTCCTGAGCATGCCCGATCGCACCAGTGACTTCATCAGACGAAGCGCAGGGGAAAATCTGCCTGCATGAGCAAGGCGATAACAGTGGGCCTCCACAGGTCGACAAAATTGATGGGAAGGCTCCTGGAACTCACAGCAGACTACCACCCAAAAGCCGCTGATGCGGGTCCGAGGAGGGCGCCAGTCGATTTCATCAACTACCAAAAGTAATCTGCTGTATGGCCGGGGAGCCCTCTGGTGGATTTTGTCGGTCCTTTACTGTGAGCTTTTAGTTAATCTAGGAACCTTCCCGTCAATTTTGTCGATCCTTTTTGGTGAGCTTCTAGTCAATCCAGGAGCCCGCTTGAAACGCGTTCGCTCGCTCAGTACCGGTAGCGAGTAGAGTAATCCTTCGGAGAAACCACCAGACCCCTCCCTTTCTTTGCACCCTTGTAGATGGTCTCAATGATGTCGATGAGCTCCTGCTTGTCCTCGAGTACCCAATTGAGCTTGTTGTTGTTGCCCGTGCCAAAGTCACACATCATGTGCTTGTTGCGAAAGAAGAACATCAGAGTCATAGGGTCGTACAGCTCGTACATCTGCTTGAAGTCGGGAACTTGGTCAAGATCGCAGACGTAGATGACGGCGAAGTTCTTGACACGGTCCGCGATTTTGTAGAGCACCTCATCTTGGCGCATGCAGTCGGGATCCCAGTCGCGACCGAAGCGGATGACGACTAGGCGCTCCTCCTCGGTGAGGATGGCTTGATCCACATGCCAGGCGGTGACAAGGTGAGGAATAACAACGGATCCCATGGTGAAGACACGACGGTCGAACTGATGAGGCCGGTGAGCGCTGTTCCAAGGGGGAGGCGACACTCGTCAATGCGGAGGTCCGTAGTGTGACCAGGTTGTGCAGAGGTTCGTAGTGTGACTAGGTGATGCAGAGGAGACAACACAAAATATCGTGAGGCAGAGGGCTGAAGTCGGGAGCCTGGGCTTGGCATATCTCTGATTATCTTATCAGATCAGCGACCCCGCAGGCATCGTCACATGGAATTTTTTTACTTAAAGATGTCAACCTAATCGACAACTCGATTTCGCAGCCTCGCATCTGGTGATACTCGTACGTCCGACAGTACTGAGAATAATTGAATCAACTATGTCGCCTGCTGCAGTGGAAGAAAATCCCTTGAGCACGAACACGACGGTTGCAACTCTCCGAAAAGCACTGACGGATGAGAGTGTGCCACTCGCGAAGCGTTTTCGCGCCCTCTTTTCTCTAAAACACGTCGCCTCGCAGGAATCCGGCCCAGATGCTTCGGCTGCCATATCTGCTATTGCCGCTGCCTTCGCTTCCCCATCTGCCCTCCTCAAACATGAGCTAGCCTACTGTCTAGGGCAAACGAAGAATCTAGAGGCAGTCCCCTTTCTACGAGCGGTGCTCGAAAACCGAGCAGAGGATCCTATGTGCCGACATGAAGCAGCCGAAGCCTTGGGCGCTCTGGCTGATAAGAGCAGCCTAGAACTATTACAGCGGCTAAAGGATGACGAAAAAGAACCTGTGGTCGTCCGTGAGACCTGTGACATAGCAGTTGATCGCATTCGGTGGGCAGATTCAGACGCCCAGTCTAAAGAGCAGCTTAAGGCCAGCGACTTCACATCCATCGACCCTGCCCCACCGATGCCCTCGTCGAAAGAAACACCTTCGATCAGCGACCTGCAATCTACATTGCTCGACACTTCACAATCTCTGTTCCAGCGGTACCGAGCCATGTTTGCACTGCGCGACCTGGCTTCGCCACCTGATCTGCCTAGCGCCAAACCAGCGGTCCATGCACTTGCATCCGGCTTTCAAGATCCTTCGGCGCTATTCCGCCACGAAATCGCATTCGTCTTCGGCCAGTTGTCACATCCAGAATCGATACCCGCACTCCTCGCAGTATTGGAGGACCGGCAGGAGCAAAGCATGGTCCGTCATGAAGCTGCGGAGGCGTTGGGCAGCTTAGGAGAAGAACCGGGTGTCGAGGATATGCTAAAGCGCTTCCTGGACGATCCTGAGCAGGTGGTACGGGAGAGCGTCGTTGTGGCGCTGGATATGGCCGAGTATGAGAAGAGCACGGATATGGAGTATGCCACCGTACCTCCTCTGGCTGTTGCTTCGTAAGAGTTGAGCTACTAACAGGTAGACCGAATTCTTCTCCGTTTGAAGTGACTCAGTTGTTCTGAACTTCCTTGTAGCCACACTCGCATCGGTAGAAAACAGTAGTACCCTCGTCAGCGCTGCGCAGTTGCTTGGTGTGATAAAACATCTCCTTCCTCCCGCAATCGGGGCAGGTCTTGGCTATGACTGCTTCAACCTGGAGCTCCTCTGTATTGACGTTCTGCACGTCGGAGAGCTTGTCGCGCAGACTAGACGGAAACGCACTGGGTTTGGATTTGGACATGACGACTTTTGACGATGTGTCTTTGGTGTATTGAGAGCAATCATCGCATTTGATCATATCGTTCGCATTCTCGCCTGGGATCACTCGTGGCAAGAGTGACCCACAGGCATCGCAGAAGAGCAAGCTGCCAATGGCGACCATCTTCGTGACACTGAAGGTCGAGAACTGAAGTCGATCTGAAGACTCGTCTGCAGTGAAGAAAAAAGTCATGATAGGGAAAGCGGCAAATGCACGTGGAGTGGCCGCTAGCAGGGGATCTGCGCCAAGAGCAGAACAGGGCAAGGGTGCCTAGGAATCCCCCAAGCCCCATTTGGGGGTGTACATAGTGGCTGCCCTGCAGGTGCATGCGGCTGCCTTGCCGCCAACCCCAAACTGCGGGCAAACCTCGCCAAACTCCGCGCTGCATCTTCTAATTCATCCACATCCGCAAGGTCACCTCTAGATCATTTCGCAATCGTGACAGTTCTGCGCAATTCGCTGCGAACACTCGCGTTGGTCAATACGACACCTGTCATGTCACTTTACCCCGATGGCTAGACCTCTGTTATCCCGCTGCAGAGATACAACTTAGCCTCGTCCCACTCCCTCAATCTTTCCGCCGGGCCCCTCCCATGGCACTTACCTCAAGACTCCGAGATGACTGAGCCTCTCGCACGCAATGCTGGCGATCAGCACGCTCGGACGAGAGATGAATCCTTCATCCGCCCTCTAGCCTTTAGCGAGGCCTTCAAATTCACGCCGCTGACGACCTCGCCGCTACAGCCTTCAGACCAGATTCCTCTCCCGTCCGTTGGCGCAAGTGGGCGCGATCTCCGTCTCGCCAGCCAATCCGAGCGGAAAGCCGTTGCCAGTATCAAGATCACTTCAGATGTCCAAGATCAGCTACAACGGCTGCTACAGCCACGGGACCTGTCCGAGTTGTAAGTTGATGTCGCAGAAGCTGTGATATCCACTGACCAGTGCGCAGCAAGTTCAAGAGGAAACCCAACACTAGACAACCCCCATCTCAGCCGCCCAAGTTGTCTCCGCTGGCCAACCACGTCTATAACTGCGGTCCTCTAGATTACAAGTATCAGCCTGAGCCAGTCTCATCCTCTACCCATCCTGCAACATTCACAGCCACTGCGGAGCAGCTCAATGGCTCAGCCCATGCTCAAAACTTTGTTCTCGAGGTTCCCGCTGCACAAAAGTCCTCTTCAGACGGCCTATTACCTGTTGTTGCCGTCCCACAACCTGCAGGCTTTCGTAGAGAGGACTACGCGGCGGTGCCGGATTCACCCAAGAGACGAAAACTCCAAAACGAAGACAGAGAGGCTCAACTTGCTCTACGCCAACGCACTCAGAGAGAACAGGGCGACGCTGCCGTTCTGCAGTTTCAAAACTACCTACTGACTCTCCTGGAAGTGCGAGATCGTCTGGAGGAAGACGATTCAAACGATGCAGCGACATCGTCTAACGGCCTCTTTGAAAGTTCTAACGATGACGACGATTTCAAAATTCAACTATCAGCCACCACCCTGAGCAGACTTCAAAGCAGATTGCAAGAACTTGTCGATCTTAAACGCCTTGACGATATCTCCAACGAACACATCAACGCGTTACGACATTTATGCGAGGGTCCTGTCGCCCGATCACAGACTCTCAATCTCAGACTCAGTCAGGATCCTTCGGATGAAGACATCGAAATCTGGCACTCGCGAATCGCTTCGGCTGAAATCGGTGCGGCATCTGCGTCCGTTACGCTGCTGACAACTCTGGGTGACAACACACCAGATTTATCTCCAGATGTCCTGCAAGCTGTTTCTGGACTACTTGTCAATGCTTTTGAATCGTGCCTAATTCCAGTCATCGAGTCCCGCCCCGATGGTCAATCTGGTAGGCTGTTCAGCTGTGCTGTCGCAGCTGAAACAGGACTCAAGAGTCTGCTAGATGCGAGCAGGAAACTACTCGATCAACTAGTCACTGCTTGCGTACAAATCAAAGTAGATGGTGACTGTCTTAACACGACTGAGTTCCTGGCAGCAAAACTTATCTTCGTGCAAAATGGGCCAACCGAGAAGGTCGCTGCACTGGGATCCAAAACGTACGAACGCGCGCGAAAGCAGGTGATGTCGGCTCTGGCGAGGCTTTTTGCTGCGTTCCCGTCTGACCGGAAAACAGTCATGGACGAAATCCTGTCTTCTGTCGACAAGCTTCCCTCCACCAGCAGAAGCGCTCGACAATACACATTGGGGGATGGTAAGAGTATCATGCTTGTTACTGCGCTGTTTGTGCAGCTCGTACAGACCTCAGCACTTGATGTTAATCGCAGATCGGCCTCACTTCGATTGCAAGGTGCGAAACAAGGCGCGGTTGGCGATGAGGTTTCTGCAGCAGAAGACGACGACGAGGGAGAAGAGATGCATGTGGACGATCCGGAAGAAGCCCAAGATGAGTTGAGCAGACTCCGTCGCAAAGCTGAAGCTCTCTACACACCGACTCTGAGGACTAGTCACGAGATTGTGCTTTACCTTGTCAACAAAGCTTCCAAGGTCTCGAAGACGGGGGATTCTCCGTACCGCAACATCCTCGATCTCTTTATCGAAGACCTGGTTATTCTATTACCACTGCCTGACTGGCCGGCCTCACAGCTTGTCTTAGATCTCCTGTTCAAAAAAATGGCCGACACTGCGCAGACTGAGAAGGCTGCTGGTGTGAAGAACATGGCTCTCGAATCTCTTGGAACAATGGGTGCTGCAATCGCGTCCTGCAAGGCTTCTGCTGTAGCTCACGCGGCTGGTCTAGCAAGGGATGCAGACGGTGCTTCGACGGTTGCACAGTCTGTGGTCAGGTTAGCCAATGACCACTTCTCCAGAGGATTGACCAAGGAGGAACTCTTGGGTCCCGAAGGGCCTTTTGCTCTGACTTGTCGATACTACGACATGCAGCAAAGCAAAAGGGAGAGCAAGAGTCTGAGAGCGCGATCTGCTCAATGCTTTTACTTGGCTCAGTATGCCACAGCTTTCTGCCGAAACATCACAGCGGAACCTGGTGAAGAATTAGGACAGTCTCTCCGGTCCGAGGCAGCTGAATTGCTCGAAGAGATCGACAATGCTGCTTCTGAGGCGCCTCCTGTTGGAATCTTGGACAACTTGCAACCCCGTGAGGCTCTACTTGCCTACTTACTGAGCATTTTGAGTCATAGCTTTTGCCGTCGCTACGAAGCCATCGCACATATCTTGCTGGCTTCGCTCTCAAGTGAACAGGCACAGGTCCGCAGTCGGAGCATCAAGAGCGTCGTGACAATGCTCGAGACCGACGCAAGTCTTCTGGATTCTCAAGATATGAAGATTGAGCGGTACATCTTCCCGTGCGCCTCTGATGACTCTGCACTGGTGCGCGACGCTGCACTATCTCTCATTGCCAAGTTCTTGATCTCGAAGCCCGTTTACGAAGAGCGTGGTATCAAAAAGCTCATCGAATGTACTCGCGACGGCAAGGTTGGCGTACAAAAGCGATCCATCAGCCACCTTGCTGATATTTACGCCCAAGAATCTCGTCCGCAGTTAAAAGCCTGGATTGCGGAGACATTCCTTCGTCGCACCGGCGACTTGGAAGACAGTGTTAGCGATCTGGCAAAGCGTACGCTCAGTGATGCCTGGTTCAGTGGAAACCTCGCACTCGCCAGTGAACCGCAGGATTCTGCAAAAGCCAATGTCGCCATTGAACAGCTTACAGCTGATATTGTGGCAACCATCGAATACAACGCAACCGAGCTACAACCTCTCTTTACCCGGTTCATTATATGGCAGCTGAAGGCTAACAAGGCTGCCAGCCAGCTGGGCGCTTTGCTGAATCGCATTGTAGCTATCTTGTTTGGATCCATTGTTGCCGGCAACGCGAAAGAAGCCAGTCTGACGCTGCTGGTGTGCCTGGCACAGGCGAGACCTGAAGCGGTCGCTCCGGCTCAGCTTTCGCACCTGCGACAGTACCTCACCCACCTCACAACCACGGAGGAACTACCCATGTTCAAAGCTGTCATTGGGATATTCCGGCACGTGCTGCCACGCTTGTCTGTAACCCATCAAGATCTGCTGTTGGACATACAAGGGGATCTCTTCAGCTCAGTCACCAAGCTGCGGGTCAGAGGCGATCTCGACGATGTTATGTCCTGTCTGCGGACCATCGACGATGTCCTTCACAACGGTGCTCGATTCGTCAAGCTCCTAAAGTCCATCATCGATCAGCTGAGTGGCAACAGGGGAAATGATGCCACCCGGAAGCGACTGGTGTTCATTGTAGGATCGCTGACAAAGCATATCGACGTAGACAGCCTTCAGATTCATGGACAAATCTCAGCATATCATGGGGGCTCGGTGTCTGGCTTCATTGCGGATTTGCTCTACCCGTTCGCTGCCAGAGACGAACCGGACGAGATTCAATTGACAGCACTGGATAGCCTCGGATGTGTCTGTCAAGCCTGGCCGGCCCAGTTCGAGAAAGAACCAATCAGGAAGCTGTTCTACAACAGCCTCGGTCAAGCAGATGGCTCGAAGGCCCGTCGGTGTGTATTGAAAACCTTCGAAGAGATGTTTGTTGCATTGGGTGACCCGCCTGAAGAAGATGCAAGTGAGAAGGCCAAGGGAGAGCCAGCTCAAGATTTGAAGAAAATGGGCGGCAATGCTAAGTTGCAAAGCAACAACAGTGCGATCTCCAACATCGCTCAGCATGTATTTGGGAGGATTGCCAAGATTGCACTCTCTACTACCGGGCCAGATCTGATTCATGCCGCACGGACGGTCGCCATCATGTCGAAGAGGGGAATGTTCCACCCCAAGGACTATGCTGGTGTCTTTATCGCGCTGGAGACGTGCGACGATGCCGAAGTCCGCAGCATTGCAGAGCAAGCTCACGCCAAAGCGCACACCCAGCACGAATCCTTCTGGGAGCGTGAGTACATGCAAGCCGTGCAGACGGCGTTCAAGTACCAGCTGCAGACAGTCCAGGATGCGTCGGGAACTCGGCAGGGCAAGGCCAAGTTGGGTGCATGTTTCAGCATTATCAACACCAGCGGGTCCAAGTATGTCAAGAAGTTTCTCAGCAATCTCATTTCCAGACTCAGCACGGACGTATGGAAGCTCGAAATTGCGCGACAGATCCCGAACCACATACTATTTGTGCGGTTTGTGGCGCAGAATCTGGCGTTCTTTGAATTTGCCAAGATGGAGGATCTCTTGCACACCATCTTGCAGTTGGAGCTTGTATTCGGCAAGAATGGCAGCGAAATCTCTGAAGCGATTGAAACCAGACTTCCAGTCGATCCTCCCCCAAGGACAACTGAGACAGTGGACGTCAATGGAGTAGCCGGGCAGCCAGAGAATAACAATTCCGTCGGCGATGCGGACCAGGCTATCCAGGATCGGCCGACGCCTGTGACGGTGGCGGACGCGGACCTGGTCAAACGGCTTGCGGCAGGAGCGTGCGCAGTGACAATAATCTCGGAGGCACGTTCACACCTCAAGCGACAGTATGGGATCTCTCGAGACGTGCGAGCAACAATGCATCAGAACAAGCAGGCCAAGGAAGGTGGCAAGGCGCCATTGAAGGTGCATGGGATTACGGGGGATCGGTTCCTGCAAAACACCAACGGCATCCTATCTTCGATGGAGACGCAGGAGGCTATGCTCGGTCGTTGTCGCGAGTTCCACGGCCTCATGAACATCGATGAAGACGTGGTAGTGGGAGAAGAAGGTATGGATATGAGGGAGGGTCATTCTGCCAGCGTAGATCCAGACGGACTTATGGCGCCGGGTAATAGAGGTAAGAAGAGGAAGAGCACAGGCTCGGTGGGAGGAACGCCGCGGAAACGTGGAAGGCCACGCAAGAACACGACTCCGACCAGGCGTTCGTCGAGTGTTTCTTCGCGTGACGACCCTGAAGCGGACTTTATGGGCTAGCCACGACGTTACGATATGGATGAGGCGGCAAACACTGGCGGCAGAAGCGATTTTGACCGGGAATCACAAAATGGTGGCAAGATTTGCCCCACATCTGCATGCATCAGCAGCACTGGGCACGCGTGTATCATCAAGAGGAATAGAGCTTCAGATACCCCAAAGAGCGAGACAGAGAAAGAGAGAGATGTATAATGCGTACAGTGTGTCTGTCTCTTCTTGGTATTAATGCACCGGGCACAAACTCCAGTCCCACTTGTGATTGGTCGGGCACATTGCCATCAGTTGCCGACGCTGAACTCAGCTTTTTGCAGCTTGTCGATGTGCACATGCCGTTGCGTCCCCGCTGCTGATCTACCCTATCTGGCTTCCTGGAGCCACCCCCCCCCCGAAGATGCTGCCACTAGTCACTTTCAGCAACGGGGCCATCCGCGTCGCTGCTGTCTAGGAATGACCTCTTGCGCGCGACGCTATGTCGTCTTCCTTTTCCATGTACACATTTCAATGGTGTCTCGCACCTGAGCTGTGATGCACGACCGGCCCCACGGTCATGGCGAAAAGCGTCTCCAGCGCGCCGCCCTCACGCATTGGGCGCCCCCCTCCGAGCGCGAACCCCATCTCAAAACACCCGGAGCATCCGGATGCACAGCATGGTGCTCGCAAGACCGAGCCAGTGTCGGAATCCAGTTCGAAAGTGGCTGCTCACGATAGCAAGAATGCCAAAGGTATGCCACAGCCGCACCTGTCTGCTTTACACAGCTTCCACTCCGCTACAATTGCCAATCCCTGCGGCTGCGGCTTCCTCATACACGCAGTCAGCATCTCACTCAAGCTCTGCAAGCTTCTCACTTGAGCGAGCTTGCGTCCATCATGATCCACCGTTGGCCCCCGCTGTCCACGTATGCTGACACTATATCTCTGCCATATCAGTGCCCAATACGACCAATACGGCCGACAGAGCCGGTGGCCTCAAAATGGCCCCCGAACCACCACGCCCCTCAGCAGACCAGCACTCACCGCAGTCCCCCATTGACCCTATCTCAAGAGTATACACCGCTCCTCCTTCTCCGTCTCGTGTGCTCTTCGCTAACCTACGTCGACAGCAAATCTTCGAGCGTACCCAGTCCTACTACAAGCATAACTCGGCTGCGGCTCATGTCTCTTCCGGCCCATCCGAGCCGTCGCTTGCTCGGTCCAACACGGACAATACATCTCTCCGACGAGTGGACAGTGCTGCCAGCAGCAAGGCGACAAAAGACAAGAAGTGTGTGACACCGTCCAACCTGCCATATCTTCATCGCTGCCCATGCGTCCCCATTCGCACCCCGCCAGTGATCTTGTTCACCTGTGGCACATCAGGCTGACATGTTTCGCGCCATAGGAAGGGAGTCTCGTTCCTGAGTCGGATAATGGGCAGCAAGAAACGCGACGATACTGTCGACGTTTTTGACATCCCCGAGATATCCGACAACCGTTCCAATGGAAACGACGCCGAACTCTTCTCCAACCCCGTCGGTTTCATCCCCAGGTTCCCCACCCCACCCAGATACATCAAAGTCAAAGCGCAGAACCGCCGATCCCGAGACTTCGACCGTCTGTTCTTAGCCCAGATCCTCCTCGACAACGAAAAGAAGGCCCGTCTTCGCCGAGGATCCATTGACTCGAAGATTCATGGCATCGATGATACACCTCACCTCCCCCCACCAGACAGTCGTGCCTCGAACAAGGCCATATGGGCTCTGGAGTTCTCCCAAGATGGGAGGTACATGGCTGCCGCTGGCCAGGATAAGAAACTCAGAGTCTGGGAAGTCATCTCGGCTGCAGAGGACCGCGAGCATGATGAGAGGGATCCTGGTAGTGCTGAAGGTGAGGGCGACAATCTTCGCCTCAACGCCCCTGTCTTCAAGCAGCAGCTGGTCCGAGAGTACGATGGCCATACCTCAAGTCTACTCGATCTCAGCTGGAGCAAGAACAACTTTCTCCTTTCCTCCTCTATGGACAAGACGGTACGACTGTATCACATCAGCCGCGCTGAATGCCTTTGTGCCTTTAAGCACAGTGATTTCGTCACCTCGATCCAATTCCACCCCAGGGATGACCGCTTCTTCTTGGCCGGTTCGCTAGATTCCAAAATCCGACTTTGGAGTATTCCCGACAAGACGGTTGCATATTCGCAGCAGGTCTCCGACATGGTCACGGCTGTCGCATTCACGCCAGATGGCAAGACTTCCATCGCCGGTTGTCTAAATGGTATGTGCATTTTGTACGATACAGAAGGTTTGAAAGCCCATTCACAGATTCACGTCAAATCATCACGTGGCAAGAATTCGAGAGGCAGCAAGGTCACAGGCATCGACACCATCTCAATCCCTCGGCCAAACGGTCCTCCTGACGTCAAGCTGCTTATCACAAGCAACGATTCACGCATACGAATGTACAATCTGAAGGACCGGACTCTCGAGGTCAAATTTCGGGGCCATGAGAACTCCTGCAGTCAGATTCATGCCTCTTTCAGCGATGATGGGAAATTTGTGATTTGCGGGAGCGAGGACCGCAAGGTCTACATTTGGCCCACGGGCCCAGTTGAGCGATCAGAGAGTGATAAAAGACCAGTGGAAGTCTTCGAAGCCCACTCGAGCATTGTTACGTCAGCGGTTCTTGCATCCACCAAGACGAGGAAACTGCTTGCACAATCTGGAGACCCCTTGTTCGACCTGTGCAACCCGCCTCCTGTGACTCTGGTCAGCCGCACAGAGTCGATAGTGTCTTCCAGAGCCCCGACCCACGCCAGCACCACCTCGGACGAGCGTCCTCCTGCTTCGGGGTCTCCGAGGCGGGCATTGGAAACACCAGCCTATCGAGCCAGACAAGCACACCCTGGTGGACACATTATCGTGACCGCTGACTACTCGGGGCAAATCAAGGTTTTCCGGCACGACTGCGCGTTCTTGAAGCGAAGGCAGGAATCGTGGGATGCCAACTCCAGTCTATCAAAGAAGATGCTGGCGAGAAGTGGTTCAGTTACGACACGGAATTCGGTTGGCTCTTCGATACATCGCACATCCATCAACCTAGGCTCAAAGAACCAGTCGGCAGACCGAATCCTGAGTTGGCGCAACTCGATATCTGGAACTGCTGCCAGCGCTTCAAATAGCCTGTCAGAGGTAAATTTGCGAGCGAGCTTCACCGATGACCCCCCACGCAGCGTATCTCCGAGTAAAAAGTGGCATCATCGCCTGTCGCTGCGCCAGTCACCAAGAGCTACACCCCTCACACAATCTACCTCACCGCCATCTCCTGCTCGACTGCCCCAAGTTGAAATCCAGGCGCCTGATTCACCTGGTTCGTTTCATTCGGCCAAATCACCCCCACGACAACGACCCGAGGATCTTCGCCCACTCCCATCTAACCCTACGAGTCGCGACCTCCCTCATTCTGGCAACGACCTCTTCTTGATGGACGGAGGACAGTCCATGCTGGCGTGGAATGTTGAGCAGAATATTGTCCCTATGGCCAATCGAACACCACGAACACCTGGTCTTCTCGGTCCGGGATCGAATCCCATGTCGAGAACAAACAGTATGATCAGCGAGCTTAGTAGCGAACTGATGAGTTCGGAAGGCTCTCAACGTGAGGCCGTGTCCCGACGTCCGAGCAAGGTGGACTCGGCAAAGAGCGATGCCGAAGATGACTTGAAATGCTCACGTTGTGGTAACACGACGTTCAGGGCGACTATGGGAGATACCGGCCATCGGCTGCGATGTAAAAAATGTGGCACTATGCTGTGACGGCGAGAGCGGTGACTATAAAAGGTGGAGGGGTTTCAGGTCTGGCGCAAGGACCATTTAGGACAATCACGGTCGCCGCTACAATAAGCGGCAAGGGATGAGGCGCGCAAAACTTTGGTCTGCGAAAGAGTAAAAAGCGATCCGGTATCTGCAGCACCGTGCTCACGGCGCTTGTTGATCTGACCTGGCGACCTCTTGTATATGCATTATGAAGCGATGAAACAAGTGTAGCAATATATATCTCTCACAAATCTTGTATCTATAGACAAGATATTTCCTGTTTGGAAGAAAGCTAGAAGCAGCCAGCACCCAGTTTTGTCACCTGCGATTCATCTATTCGCTGTCTATGCCGTTTCTATGCCTTTGTACCAAGCGAGGGTATCTCATATGCGAGACTACTGTAAGGCCGATGAGCTCGCCCGTAGACGCTCGGTCGCTCGGGTTCAGAGCACACACACACACACACCCCCATCAATCTGGGCAGTGCAGGCCGTTCTCGCCTGTTCAAAACTTCCTCCCGTCCTTCAAAGTTCGTCTCTCACCCTATTGCCCTTTACCTGACAGCCACTCACTCACCCCTACAACTACTACTACTACTACTCCAGCACAAGCTCAAATTCCCACCCTCCACCTTCAACCTTGAGCGCATACTCGTCCAGCGTCTTGGGCCCGCAGCTCCCCGTGCCCAGGCCATGGTGGTCGGCGTCCAGGCGTAGGATCACGTAGTCACGCTTCAGAGCATGCAGCTCGTGGGGGTGCTTGGCGGAATCCACGTCTGCGGAGCTGTACCGCGAGGCGTGGAAGGAGAAGTTGGGGCGAGAGCCGAAATGGGCTGTTAGGCTTGATGATGGGGCTGTGGGTGCTGGTGCTGGTGCGGACGGGGTTGTGTCGACGGTGCATTCGGACCCGCCGAGGGCTGAAGCCGGAGGCGCGGTCTGCGCGCCTGGCGAAAACAGGTTGGACATAGCGTTGGCGAGCTGGCCGACGACGCCCTGTGCGGCGTGCTGCACTGAGGATAATGCTGCGTCTGTAGGGCTGGGGGCGGAGAAGCGTACCCAGCGCACGTCGGTACGGTTCCCACCTTCCTGAGGGAACTCGTAGTCAACCCACAAGTCGTCGACACTGTCAAAGCCCCAATTACCAAATTGTTGGCTAAGCTTCTTGTCCTTGTACGATTCGCCGGGCCCGCGGCCGAACCAGTCCACGCGCGAGAACGCGAGGGGCAAGCCCATCTCCAGGCCGATGCGCGGGAGGGTCGGGGGTAGGTTTGCGCCCTGTGGTTTGCCGGTCACGTGGATATGTAGGCGGCCAGAAGGATGAAAGGTGTAGGTGGTGGTGGCGGCGAAGGACCAGGATAGGACAGGGGGAGCCAGGCGGGCTTGCACGGTCACAGTGGTGGTGCGATTCGTGGAATCAGTGGACCAGGAGATGGAGCGCATATGGCCGCGGGCGAGGTGTAAATAGTTCCGCAGCCAGTCTTGGCCATCCTGGGGGCGGTCGTTATCGGTCAGGGCGCGGGAGAGGGTCAGGTGTGGTCCTAGGGAGGCGTGGATGTGTTCGGTGCCGGACTTGATGAGCGACGTGAGATGACCGCTGGCGAGGGAAAGAGTGAAGATTGTGCTTGCAGTGGTAATAGTGAGGGACGAAGCGTGTTGGACTATGCTGGGGACGGCTGCATCGGGGGTCGGGACTGGGAGGGAGGCGGAGAGGGCGAACGGCGCTTGAAGTTGGAGTTGGGAGGTCGACGTTATGTGTCCTGCAGCGGCCCAGAGAGTGAGGTTGGCGAGGGAGAAGTCGAGCTGGAGGTAGATATCGCCTTTGAGGTCGTGGACATCCAGCTCCGGGATGGAGAGGATGGCCTCGGTATGGGGGTCGATATTGCTGGGGATGGAGATGGAACCCAGAGGTTTCTTGACACCATCGCCCACGAGCTGGGCTTCGCACTTGAGGTGGTTGAGACTGATTGTATCGTAGCGATTGATGATTGTGACTTTGCCGTCGGCATGGCTCAGGACTTGGACCGGCTCGATGGCTTTGGTGTACTCAATCAAGCCAGGGGTCGGAGTGTGGTTTGAGAACAGTACGCCATCCATGATGAAATTGTAGTCATTGGGCTCGTCACCAAAATCACCACCATAGGCCATGAACTCGGCGCCGGTCTTGCGATCTTTGCTGAGGAGACCGTGGTTCGCCCATTCCCATACCCAGCCGCCCTGCAGGCGCGGGTACTTGTAAAAAGCATCGACATACTCCTTGATGTTGCCAGGGCCATTGCCCATGGCGTGGATGAACTCGCAAAGGACCAGAGGCTTGGTGAAGTTCTCTTCTTTGGCGAAATCGATGATGCTGTCCACCGAGGAATACATCTGGGAGAACAGATCCGCACTCTTGGCTTCCCTGTCTCCTTCGTAGTGAACGGGACGACTTGTATCGAGAGTCTTGATCTTGTCATACATGGCTTGGTGATTGCGGCCGTACATTGCTTCGTTGCCCAGGGACCACATGATAACACAGGGATGGTTCTTGTCCCGGTTAACGAGTTGCACGGCACGATCAACGTACTGATCCTTCCATTCTGGGTTGTCCGACGTCCAGCGAGCGGCGCGATCATAGCTCAGATTCTGCTGGTCAGCTGCCGACTTGATCTTGTCCTCCTCGGGCATGGCCTGCTGATCGATAACACTAAAACCATGGCACTCGAGGTCTGCCTCGTCCATGATCCAGAAACCAAGCTCGTCGGCAAGACTGTAAAGTCTCGGATCACTCGGCTGATGGCAGGTCCTGATGGCGTTGATGTTGTGTTTCTTCATTATCAGCAGATCTTGCTTCATGAAGTCGTAAGGAACAGCTCGCCCGTGCAGGGGATGATGCTCATGCCTATTGGCGCCGCGGAAGACGATGCGTCGGCCATTGACCTTGTAAATGCCATTAACAATTTCGATTCGACGAAAGCCGACATTCTGTGCGATGAACCGACCGCCAAAAGAAAGGACGAGCTTGTATAGGTTGGGGTCCTCGGCGCTCCATTTCCGAGGATTGGCAAGTTTCATGGAGAAAGCAGTGGACACGTCAGCGGCGTGCTTCGTATCTGAGGCCACTGCCTGTCCCGTTATATCGAGCAGTTTGAGGTCGATGGGTCCGGTTCCCTGTGTGGTGACCTTGACCTGCAGGTCTGCATCCTTGTACTCGTCGTCCAGGAGAGTCTGCACGTGAAAGTCCTCAATGTGGGTGTGGGGAAAGGCCACAAGTAGCACGTCTCTGAAGATGCCACTGAAGCGCCACTGATCTTGATCCTCGATATAGCTTCCGTCCGACCACTGATAGACACGGACAGCCAACGTGTTCTCGCCAGGAGTGTCAAGGAAGGCAGTGATATCGAATTCAGAGGCGTTGCGAGAGCCTTGGGAGTACCCAACCTCCCTCCCATTCACATAGACGTGGAAGGCAGAGTCGACGCCCTCGAAGCGGAGTCTGATCTGCTGGTCGACAAAGTCCTTGGGAACCACAAATTTTCTGACATAGCTACCGGTTTGGTTGTCATCGTATGGAACGTGTGGGGGGTCAACAGGAATGATGTAGTTGAAGTTGGTGTAATGAGGCGCACCCCAACCCTGTAGCTGCCAATGGCTGGGCACTTGGATGTCGCTCCATGTGGAAGTATCATAGTTGGGCTCCTCGAAACCATGGGGAGCTGTAAAGGGGCTCTTACTGTGCTGGAACTTCCATGTACCGCTCAGGTTGACCGAGGATGAAGCACTGATGTCGGCCTTGAGCGCCGCCGCCTCGTCGTCGTACAAGAAGAAGTATGAGCGGGGGGCAAGCGTGCCCTTGTGGATCACCTCGATATTGGACCAGTCAGGCGTCGATGGCGGGAATGTGCCAGACATCATGTACCGCCGTCCACTATTGGCAAGGACACTCGGAAAGGAATGAGGGAGGGCTGTCTCTGCAGACGTCTGGGTCTTGTTCCGTCAAGCTTGCACCTTCCCTTGACGTCTGACAAGCCCAGGCAGGCACAACGTACGTCCAACACAGACGTGGCAGAAGCCGAGAGACGTTGGCGGGGTTTCTCCGCCCAGCGGATTGATGGTACTGTGGTGAGAGGACGGTTCCACTTGGAGATGTACAAGACCCGCCGCCCGGGGCTGGCGGACCCCGGGGCAGGTTGATCTACCCAAGTAGTCAAGCCCCCCCAGACTTGAGGATGCAACGTTGCGCTTTTCTGATTCGATACTACGAGGTAAACGCCACGCCCACCACCGGAGTTGTCCTCGAGTCTGTGCCACTTGCAAAAGAGCATGAATCTGTCGTCAGGCCACGAGACGCTGTGAGGACGGTTTGCATAATGCGAGGGAGTCGAGCTTTGGGGCTCATCTCCCCGAGTTCTAGGCATCAGCGAAGGGTTCGCTCACGCAGGCCCGCTGCCAGACTATCGATCTTGTCGACATCTCAGAGCTCCTGCATTTCAGCTCGAACACAAAGATCAACACGAATGGCAGTCCCAGTCAGTACTGGAGCTACGCTTCACAAGGACAGAGAGGCACCGACCCTGCTTCAACGTCGCCATGGAACCGTAGAACAACCCTGATGCCCACTTGGACATGTTGAACACTTGCCTATACTACCCCAGAATGGCTTGTTGGCCGCCACCGGAGAGCTAAGAATGGCGTTCCCGAAACCCATTGTTGCTCGACAAAGTATGGCATCTCGTGCTTGGCTCCCACCCGCTTGCATGGTGTTCGGCTACGTGTGGCCGAGCCTGTATTACCACATAACTATGGTGTCCCACCCTTTCGGTTCGTGGATCGACCGCCCCAGTCTTCAAGTGTCTCATACCCACCACTGTTTCCTTGATCTCATGGCTGAAGCTCACAAAGCCTCCGTTGAGGTGGTCGACATGGCTCGTGAGAAGGAGGCGGTTGGTTTCCGTCCATCGCGTTGATGCCAACCCAGCAGCAGCCGCGCTGGCGGTTGCGAATGAGGCCAATCAGGCTCGTATGTTCTCCAAAGGCATGATCAAGCTATGGTTGATCGTGGGTTTCTTGTTACTCCTCTCCACTGAACCATCGGCTCTGCTAACGTACCTCAGTGCTCTGTTGGATACCTTGTGTCCACGTTAAACGGCTTCGCCTCTTCGCTGATGGGATCGATCGGCGCCATGACCGAGTACCACGAGACATTTGGTCTCTCAGGCGCAGGCTCCCCGACTGGCATCATCTGCATCATCTACAGCCTCGGTCAGATCGCCGCCTTCCCGGTCTGCGGTCTGCTGGCTGACGGCCTCGGCCGTCGCTGGTGTATCATGATCGGCTGCTTTATTGTCGTTGTTGGGACTGCTATCTAGACTCCTGCCAATTCCACTGGCATGTTCATTGGCGGACGCTCCGTGCTGGGCTTTGATGCTGCTATAGCCAGTGCGGCAGGGCCGGCGTATATCGTCGAATTGGCCCACCCTTCGTACCGTGGGTCTCAAGCTGGAATGTGTAAGTCACAGATTTCACAGCAACAAGTCGAGACTGACGGTACCCCTGACAACAACTTCTGGTGGGTAGGCAAAGACAGGAGGGCCAGTGATGCAAGTGTCCGGAGGGGCAATGATGGTTCTTTTTTTGCTGGGGGGAATATAGACGGAGAGAGCCCCAGATCCCTCATAGCATTGATGAGAACTCCTCTTCCCTCAGTCTTTGCACCCTCTTCTCTGGCAATATCCTTGCCGGCTGGACGACGTACGGCAGCGATCTTCACTTGAAGAATAGCTGGGCATGGCGCAACCCCACTCTTGTGCAGTGTATCATGCCCGCCATCGCCATGATTTTCATATATTGCTTCCCGGAGAGCCCACGCTGGCTCATCAATCAGGACCGTCGAGAAGAGGCTATAAAGATTTTGCCAAGTATCATGCCGACGGGGACGTCCATGCGCCGATCGTGACCCTGCAGGTCAATGGAATTGTCGAGCAGATGAGCCTCCAGCGCAATGAGAATGGGATTTTCGCGAGCTTTTCAACACCCGTACTGCGCGCTACAGGTTGGCAATGGTCATTGCAATGGCCTTCTTCGGTCAATGAAGTAGTAACAATGTGGTACGTATGCCCCTATGTGAACTCCAGCGTGAATGAGACCTAACCGGTGGCAGGTGTCGTATTTTATGCCACAAATGTTGAAGCAGGCAGGGATCCAGGACCCTTCGACGCAGCTGCTGCTGACTGCCATCAACCCATTTTGTAGTATGATGGGCGCGATTTACGGCGCTTCGCTGCTTGACAAACTTGGCCGGCGGAAGATGCTGCTGGGCGGACTGGCGGGCGGGCTATTCGCATACTGTCTTCTGAGAGCCTTCACTGCCGAAAGCGAGGATCATCCGGATCTCGGCTATGGTGTCATCGTTGCCATCTACATTTTCGGCATTTTCTTCGTAAGTCGTCTGCTCTTTGGCTCGCGGACAGGGACGGACGAGAATAGGCTTGGGAATGGACGCCACTCTAGACACTCTACAGTGTCGAGTGTCTCGAGAACCGCACGCGAGCCAAGGGATCAGGGGCCAACTTCCTCTTCCTCAATATTGCCATGGTCGTTTATACTTACGGCATTGCCGTTGGTATTGAGGCCATTGGATGGAAGCTGTATTTGGGAAACATCGGGTGGATTGGTGTCGAGGTAAGCAGAATCGGATCCGTAGTCGATCAATGGTCCTTGAGCAATATACTGACAGGCTCTAGATGGTTGTTATATTCTTCTACTTTGTCGAGACTGTAGGCAAAACGCTGGAGGAGATGACGGAGATCTTTGAGGCGAAGAATCCAGTCAAGAAGAGCCTGGAGAAGACGAAGGTGACTGTGGATGAGTCTGGCCGAGTGATGAGCGTGATTGGGGAACACAGTGCATAAGGCCCATCATCGAGGTATAGCTGTAGGGCAGAGCATCGACCTGAGCGAGATTGGTAGGACAATAAGCCGTGACTCTTGACTCTTCTCTATTTCATGTATCCGCATAAACATGCTGGTGTCAAAAAGGGAATAGCGCGTGATGGGAATGGCGGGGCAGTCGAGTCGGGCCTGTCGGCCAGCGCCGCGTTGTGGCCTGCCTGTAATTTTTTGCGACCCGGCACCAGCAGCGTTGTTCTCTGGGTTGCAATGAACTTCGGACTCGACCACAACCTCGTCCTCTTCGCTACTCCTTCTTCCTCTCCCTCCAGCTCGACATCTTAGTGTTGCCGTCAAAATGGTTGAAAAAGTCTACGTCACGTACAACGAGGTAACCTCGCACCAAACTTGCCCACTCGGCCGACATGAGGCTCACACTTGCTTGACTCCAGGTACATAAACTGTGCCAGGCCGCGGCACCCCGGATCCTCGATGAATTCACGCCAAATCTTATGATTGCCATCGGCGGTGGCGGCTATGTCCCGGCTAGAATCCTGGTAAGTGGGCGAACGAGTCACGCGAGCGCACGAGGGGACTGATGTGGGAGCAGAGATCTTTTCTTAAGCAGCCAGGTGCCCCCAATATTCCCATCCAGGCTATTGGTCTCAGTCTGTACGAGCAACTCTCCGGCGGCGACCCTGTCGAACAACCAGGCACCAAGGTGACCCGCACGCAGTGGCTGGACCTCTCGTCGCTGGAGATGGCCAACTTGATCGGCAAAAATGTCCTGATCGTGGATGAGGTGGATGATACTCGCACCACACTCGAGTACGCCGTGCGGGAACTGGAGAAGGATGTTGAGCAAGCGCGACAGCAGCTAGGCAGAACCGAGCAGACCAAGTTCTCCATATTCGTGCTGCACAACAAGGACAAGGAGAAGAAAGGCCATCTGCCAAAAGATATGATCGATGATAAGCGCTATCTGGCTGCAGTGACCGTCTCGGATGTATGGATCTGCTATCCATGGGAGGCCACCAACATCGATGAGCATGACGAGCTGGCTAAAACCAAGAGCGCCGTAGCTGGGCCATAGGGTTGGGCTCTGGGTCTCTCCATTAGACTTTCAGCATAGAATGGAACAGCACGAACTGCGGGCTGTAGAAAACCTCTCTTCTGCAGTAGCACACCTTCTGCATTCCATGTTATTTGGACCATGTTTCTGACGCCTCATTCATCGTCTCACATTCTAATCGGTGCCGACTTTGCGGGCCGACAGATCCTTCTTGGCCTGTTCGATCTGAGTCTGGAGCTCGACATAGGCATCGTGGGTATCGTTGAAGGTGAGGACACCGAGTCCAAGTCGGCCAAGCAGGTACGCGCCGAGTGAAATCACAGCCCAAAATGGCAGCACTGGGACGATTTCGTTCTGGATCTTCGCTGGCAGGATAGATGGAATGGGCGAGTTCTCCGTCAGTAGTGGAAGCGCCAGCAGGAGGTATGCCTGTGACCGGATCATTAGCTACTGGTGACCTCTAAAGGAGAGGCCACGCCGTACCGAGGACACCAGCAGTGCAAAGGAAATAGTCTGCGCGGCACGCGTCATTGTGGGCAGGCTACCGTCGGTGAGAGAATGAGGTTGCGAGTCGCGTGTTGTGGCCGTGAGGGACGATGTAGATGTGATGGAAATGTGGTCTTTTTCACCACGCCGCGACTTTCGGAACTTGGAGCAGGGGTGGGATTGCACGCGTGCGCCGCTCCCTCCACCGTACAGCTCGTCCCCTCGTTTTCTTCAGCCTCGTCCTATGGTCCCTCCATCTCTTGCAGTACACTCAGACAGTAACTGCTCAGCAGATCTGATCAAGCCCACTTTGACCCGAAACAAGAAATACAAGTCCTAGATATGACTTGTTAGACTTGGAACTCCGTTATAATGCAAGCAGAAAATGTGAGTTGGCCCACGATCGATCCATCATGCAAGCGGCCGCCCTCGTCAAACATGATGAAGTTTTTCCTGACAAACAAAGGCTTGCAGAGATATCTTTCCGAAGATAGTACACGTCGCCAGTCAGTACAACTTTGGGCTCGATGACCGTGTCACTCGTCTCTGTGAGCCGGTCCCGGACGATGATCTTGCCCGCCACATCTCCGTTGCTCTTGAGAGACTCGCCAATTTGCTGGATCAAGCACTGAATCATGAAGCGTCCTGGCTAGCTCCTTTCATGTGTATTCTTGCTGATGCCACGAGAGCACATGCCTTCTGGCGACCACTATTCGGTCATGCGTCTTCGCCCGGAAGCGAACAGGACCCCGTCTCAAACTTGACAAAACCACCTGATTGCATCCTGGAAGTTGCAAGGCGGGTGATCGCCAATGAATCCATTGCTCAGGGTGACGAGCTGCTCCGACCAACTCTTCGCCTGATAGCCAACTGTTGTGCCGACGACAATGTCAGCCGGCGTGTACTTGTCCAAAGGGACGGCATCAGCCACCTAAAACGACTGGTGCTAAAACGGAGAGCACTGGATGTACTGCTTCCCACGCTTTACAACGTCTGTGTCGACTACGACGAAATTGCAGTTGATGCAAATGGGAAGCAGCAGAGCTTAGACAATTTGGATGCCTCGACGCAACTGACTAAAGCCGAGCAGGCTTTGGGACAGTATATCGAGCACGACGGAGAGGCTCTGATGGCAGTCGGGCTCTTTCTAAACCCGAGAATGCAACGTGACCAGCAGTTGTTTGGTCTGTTAGCTGATCTTGCAGAAATGGCAAGCAGACCTGCTCTGTTCGGTATGCACCAGATAGCAGGCGAGGACGAGGGGAAGTGGCCATCCCGAGCTGATGAGCTGCTGCAGAGCCTTGTCGAGTGCGGCATCCCCCTTGCCGAGGAAGACAACGACTCACAGCAGGCCATCCTCCAAATATTCCTCAATGTTCTCACACAGAAGCAAGTGCAACTGAGATTCTTACAAGGGAGCGAACGGCTGAAGCACCTTATCAATCTCTTCACGATTGGTGCCCCAGGAGACCCGGACCTGAAGTCCTACAGAGATTCTCTGCTGCAGATGGTATACACGCTCTCCGCCCTACCCGAATATGCGTCTGCCGTTTCACCAGAGTCTACCGTGTTCCAGGCACTAGTTCGAAGACTGGAAACGCTGGGATCGGCATCTGGAACAGCAAGTCCTCCCCAGATTGCAAGCATCATTGTGCTTCTGGCAAATGCTATCACGAGTGCGGATCATGTCACACTGATCCATGAACATCACACGGCTCAACAATTGAGCTCAGCTGTGGTCTGTGTTCTATGCGATTCATCATCACACATCGTCACTGTCCCCGCCCTTGACCTCATCGGCCGTCTTGCTCTGGACCGTCGCACGCAGCACCACCTCTTATCTAATCCTGATCTTCTGGAGAATCTGACCCAGCGCCTTCAGCAACCCAGCTCCACCTCCATCTCCACCTCCATCTCCTCGCTACCAACCCAGGCTCAGTCCCAATCCCAATCTCAATCTCACACCCTGACCATCCACCGCGAATCAATCGCTCTCACACGCCTCCTCTTCCGCTCCTTGCAGACCCCGCTCTCATCCCTCCCCTCCTTCGCCCTCCTCCACGCCAACATCCTCGCCCTCTTCGACCGCACACTCGATACCAACACAAAGCTCGAAATCGGGCGGTATAGCATCGAGATTCTGCGCAACATCTCCCTCGTCGCAGCCCGCCCCGAAACTACCACCACTCCCACCAACGCTGACGCAGACCAAACAACCATCTTCGCCTCCACAGTCACCAATGGCACACCTCCTTCCATACCACCGCTTCTCCTACCCCTCCTCTTCCTCACCACCGACTCCCCCACCGCCGGCTCCCGCTCCCAAGGCGTCTTCGGCCTGGGCCTCCTGCTCTCCACCACACCACCGCACGCGTTCCCAGAGCTTCTGCCAGCCTTCATCGCTCAGAAACGCGTGCTTCTCGACGTGTTGGGAGCGGTCGTGAGAGAGGATAGAGAGGGTCTTCAGGGCCCGCCGGCAGCCGATGCGGGGGAAGTGGACGGGGAGCCCACGGCAACGCACAAGGCCGATGCGGAGAACGTCAAGATCGTGGTTGTTCAATTGCTGCGTGGGCTCCGTTATGGATCTGAATCTGCAGGCGCGGTTACTGAAGTGGAGGGGAGGGAGGAGCTGTTGAGGGGCTTGGAGGAGCTGAGTCAGGAGATGGGCTTGCAGGTATAGCGACTATGGAGGCTGCGCTAGACTAGTACTTCACATCCTCTGGAATAGATCGTGTACAGCTTTGGGTTCAGATCTATTTGACTACGGACAACGCCGGTTGGTCCGTTGACCGTTGTGTAGCTTCGTGGTTATCGACACGTCTACGGCCGAGCTGTTGACGTAGTCCGGGTAACTATATTGTCCACTTGCCTGAGACATTTTCTACCCACGAATCTCGCAAACATCTCCTCCCTCTCGTGCCTCGACATGCTGACCAGCTTCCTCAGCCCCCATGTCCCTCCTCCGCCGTTCCCAACCCGATGGCAATCACCACTTACCTGCACAGAGGTTTCCTTCTTCAACATCCCCAGCATCAATTGCGCAGCCAGGGCATTCACGCCAGCTTCACGGAGGAAGAGCTCCCAGAGCGTGGCGTCATCGATAAATGACATGCTGTCGTTTCTTCGAAGGCCGTGCTGCGTTATGAGGCGCCAAGTCCATGCGGTGAGGGCGTCAGACGCTTTGTCTCTAGAGGTGGGGGCGGCACCGCCCGCAGCCATCCAGATCGGACACACATTTGCACCGATGGCTTGAAAGCTGGCGCAAAAGGCTGTGAAGTCCGTGATTGCATGAGCGTGGTTTTGTATATCGGCTGCGTTTGTGGTGACAATGATGAAGAGTGTTTCAAACTGGACGCTTGCCTGGCGGATCCGGTCGTGCAGGGTGTTGACGATGTTGGACCGCTGACCAGGCAAGTTCTTCTGTTTCAGCGCTTGTACGTTGGTGTATATGACGCACATCGTCGGGTTAAGAATGATCTCTGCCAACCCATGCAGATCACGATAGATCACCCTGAGAAGATCGTCTTCCTGTCGATTGATGAGCGCCATCAAAGGTCTCTGGCTCACCAGTCTCTCGTCCATAACCACAACCCTTTCTTCCAAGATGGCCTCAATGGCTGGAACTGGTGTGGAGCTACGGCTGATCAAGTCGCTCGGCGTCGACGGGACCTCAATGTGCTCATCTGGTGCAGCGACAGAAACCTGTGAGCTCTGTATGGCGTCGCTGGCATCTTCCGTGGGGTTCGAATAGAGATCAATGGCAGGGGATGGGCCAGTAGCGGGTAGGGTAGGTTTCTTGAACTGGCCACCTCTCAAATCTAGGAACGCGGCGAGTGAGCCACTAGCTGAGAACTTTCTCGGTGCAGCACCAGTTACATCCGGTATCATGTAGAGTGACTTGTGGTTGGGCCCATCAGGCTTGCCTGCCATGAAAGGATTGAGCCGGGGACCATTTTCAGGGCGTGAGCTCGCTTCCATACCCGTCTTCCTGCCCACAGCAGCTTTTAACATCGGCTCAGACACTTGATGACGGGCAGCGAAATCCTGTTTTGGGATTCTATCGGGTTCGCATGCAATCGGCGCTTTTGGGGCATAGCGGGTTCTGATGGCTTTAGAGACCGTTGATTGCTCTGTCCATGTGCAAGAATCGTCCTGCAGAGCGTGCTTCTCACCTGCAACTCTGTCGAGGTTTGCGCCGAGCGAGTTGACGAGGGTTCTATCGATCTCAAGCTCCTCGTCTTCGTCCTCTGAGTCATATGGTTCCAGCAGCCTTAATCCTGGTTCTTTCCAGAGAAGCTCTTCGCTACGCGTCACTATCTTTGGGATATCAAGATAAGATTGAACACTGTCTGAGCCTTCGAGGTTCTCGTTCAGGACTGGCTTTGTCGAGTTCTTGGTCATTGGAACCCAGTTGAGTTGGGCCAGTCTGGGGGGATCTTGGTGGCTCATCACGAGATCATCGCCACTGATGATCTTCTGGACAGACAGCTTTCTGGCCCCGGGTTGCCATCCTTCGTTCATATGCGGCACCGGAAGGCGAAGATCGCGATCTTGAGGCGATGGGGTTGACGTCCAGATCTTGTTGAGCTCGCACTCGTTGTATACATCAAGCTGCCTCCTGAGCGGATCTTTCTCTAACTGCTTGACGTGAGTATCCTTCTCTTCTTCCGGAAAGATTAGAAAGTCTTCAAAGAAAGCGTTCATCGCATCTTTGGAGATATTATTTGATTGAGATTTCGATGGCGATGTTAATACGATCGGAACCTCCAACTTAAGGCCTGTTGCATTGATTTGAACGTTTTGGCTTATTGGTGAGATGGATCGTGGGGTTCGTCGACGCTCTGGCGTCTTTGATGCTTCTGCTAGAACCTGACGAACTTTGCACGGGCTCCCATCGTTGATGTCGCTCGTACAGATCTGGTCATGCTTCTTCATGGTCTGCTCAAGATGGAGCATGAGGTTGTCAGAGTCTGATGAGTTCTCCGACCGTGGTTCGAGGCCTAGCTGTGGTACTAGTGGAAGTGCTACCTCACCCATAGCATGGACTGTGGGTGAAAGCATAGGAGTAAAGGGTTCCAGTTGTCGGCTCTGAGAGCATCAGTCAGTATTACAGCCCGCTAATACTGAGCTACACACCTGTAGCCTGACAATCTCGTCGGTATAGGAGTCGTCCAGGTCTCTTTGGGTGCAGCTATCAGTCATAGCGACCGTCAAACGCCTCATCGCAGTCGGAGACGATTCGAGCCGTGGATAATGGATCTCGGTCGAGAAAGCCTCCGTAGCGGCGCTGCACTCAACTAGCCACTGCGACTCCTCTACGGACGACAAGCCGTCCGGTCCAGTGTTCGCAGCAAGTTCATGGATGAGTTTCTTCAGGTCCATGGGCCTCTTGAACCAGCGCATATCTCTGTCATGGTTGCTTCTCAGCAGCGGAACTTCCACCACTAACTTTTGATGACGGTACGGATCTTCGAGCACATGGTCCCATCTCAGCTCTGGTTTCGGTATGGTCAGGTCGCTTAGATACGTTGCAGCAGCCTGACTCAGCTGGAATTTGTCTTCGGGAATTAGATCTTCGACAGGTGCAAGTGATGGATGATGAAGCTGGGTTTGTTCACTGTTGATTGGTGAAACCGAGGCCAGACGCTTCAGTAGGTCGGGAGTGGACTGCGGAAGAGCTAATCGATGATACCGAGCATATTGAACCACCGAGTGGCTTGACATTATGCCATGATTGGGCATGTAAATGACAATATGCGGTTGGGCCCAAAATAAGGATGTGCGTGCGGTGATCGCTTTTCTGAACGAAGGGTCAACGTGAATGCTAAGTTCGGATGTAAGTAAAGAAAGTGAGGCAGGAATGAGGTATGGAACTTGACATCAATTCTGGAATCTCCTGCGCCTGCTGTTCCCCCAGAGCCTCTCCCAAAATGCCTGACAGCCCATCCTGAAAATTCGCAACTCGTTCTATCGTCGTACTGTGCAAGCTTTGCCAGTCCTTGCGGATGGCATCTATCTTTCTTCGTCTAGCCTTGTTACGCCGAGCCAAGTACTGATCTGGCCAGTTACTCCATTTCTATGGTGCCAGGCGGCTTGCTGGTGACATCGTAAACGACTCGACAGACGCCATCGACCTCGTTAACAATCCTACGACTGACACGCTTCAAGAACTCGCCATCGAAGGGATACCAGTCTGCCGTCATGAAATCCGTCGTCTCCACTGCGCGGAGAGCGATGACCTGTGCATGCACTCTCTTGTCGCCCATGACACCCACAGCCTTGACCGGCAACAGAGCAGCGAATGCTTGCGAGGTCTTCCGGTACAGGCCGGCTGCCACGATCTCGTCGATGAAGATTTTGTCCGCCTCGCGAGCGATTCGAAGCTGCTCCTCGTTGATCTCCCCGAGGATACGGATAGCCAAACCCGGTCCTGGGAAGGGATGTCTCCAGACCAATTCCTCGGGGATGCCAAGAGTAGTTCCAAGTGCTCTGACCTCGTCTTTGAAAAGCTCTCGAAGTGGCTCAATAAGCTTCAAGTGCATATCTTTGAGCAAACCTCCCACATTGTGGTGGGTCTTGATAGTGGCTGAAGGGCCTTTGAAAGAAATGCTTTCGATGACGTCTGGGTAGAGTGTGCCTTGCAGCAGAAACTCGATATCGCCGGCACTTGGTGTCTGCTCCGCGGCTTTCGCAATAGCCTTGGCTTTGTCCTGGAAGATCTCGATGAAGGTGTTGCCAATGATCTTGCGCTTCTTTTCCGGGTCGGCCACCCCTTTGAGCTTACCAAGGAACAAATCAGTTGCATCTACTACTTCAAGGTTGATCTGAAGGTGTTCTCGCAGCCTCTTCTCCACAGTCTTGGCCTCGTCCATGCGCAGCACGCCGTTGTCGACCAGCACAGCATGGAAGCGATCGCCAATGGCCTGTTGCATCAGCTTAGCAGCGACTGTCGAGTCGACACCTCCGCTAACGGCTCCAATCACTTGGCCCTTGGGTCCGACAGTAGCGCGGATTCGTTCGATCTCCTTGTCAACAAAGGCCTCCATGCTCCATTCTTGGCGCGCCTTGCAGATGTTGACTGCAAAGTTCTTGATCACTTCCTTCCCACAAGGAGTATGCGTCACCTCGGGATGGAATTGGATGCCAAAATAAGGCTTATCCGTACTCGCGATACCTGCAAAAGGGGCATTCTTGGTGCTCGCAATGGGTTCGAAGCTATCGGGCAATTTGGAAAGCTTGTCTCCATGGCTCATCCAAACTTCAGTCTGGTCGTCCAGGCCTTCGAAAAGTCTGTCGATATGTTCCTGCTTGCCAGTGTGCCGCTGAATGTTCAGATAGGCGTGCCCGTACTCTTTCTTGTCACCGGCCGCCACGTTCTTGCCGTGGTGCCAGGCCAGCTCTTGAAGCCCATAGCATATGCCGAGGATGGGAACACCTAGTTCAAAGACAGCTGGGTCGACATGCGGCGCATCTGCATCATAGACCGAGTAGGGCGAGCCCGAGAGAATGACTCCGGTTGGTTTCCAGGGCAGTTCTGCGATCTTCTGGGTACATGGCAGCATTTCAGAATAGACGTTGATCTCTCTGAGCCTCCGAGTGATCAGATGAGAGTACTGAGATCTGCAGCATCCATCAGCCCGTAGTTATCTTGCGCAGAAGAGGAGTCATACCCAAAATCGAGGACGAGGATCGTGTCAAACGATTTATGCGGCTCATTAACGGCAGCGCCGTTGACTTGACCGTTGGTCGCCATTGCGCACGACAGTATATACTAAGCGAGTCGTGTGAAGCCTGAAGTGTATCGTCGGCGCGTTGGCGACCGCACAATTGCAAACGCGTGCGAGGGGCAGGATAATCGATAAACATTTTTTGGTCTTTTGAAGCCTGTCATTCAACGCTTTTTTCCCCGCACTCCGCGGCCCCTTGCAAAAAAGTTCTAGATGGCGCTTTTCTTGTGTTGTAGAAAACCACTTAAGGCAGAACTCCAAGGCTTACTACCCCGGCACAAAGATGAGCAAACGAAAATCGGACCTAGGTGACCAGGTCATGGCCAATGCGGGCAACGAAGACGAGGAAGAAAGCGGTGATGAGGTAAGGCAAGCGTACTTCGGTCCCACGACTCAGGATTAATGATTGTAGGACTTCGACATGCTCAATGTCGAATTCGAATGGTTTGATCCGCAAGAGCTCGATTTCCATGGCATCAAGTCGCTGCTCAGTCAACTCTTCGACGTTGACGCTCAGAAGCTCGACATCTCGGCTATCACGGATCTGATTCTGGGTCAGCCGTTGCTTGGGTCGACCGTCAAGGTTGATGGGCAGGATACAGATGCTTACGCTTTCTTGTCGGTCCTTAACTTGCAAGCGCATGCTGAAAAGTCCTTCATGGCGCAGTTGATTCAGTATCTCAAGTCACGAGCAGCATCTAATCCTCATCTTGCCCAGTTGGGTAATCTTTTCTCGCAATCGCCAACGCCAGCCATTGGGCTCATCCTGACGGATCGGCTTATCAATTGTCCTTCAGAGGTCGTGCCGCCCATGTATACCATGCTGCTGGAGGAGGTCGAATGGGCGCTTCGGGAGAAGGAGCCGTACAACTTCACCCACTATCTCATTGTGTCCAAGACGTACACGGAAATCCAGTCTAAGCTTGACATTGAAGACGATCGGCCCAAAAAGAAGCAGAAAGGAGCAGGCGGTGCCTTCGAGATCATGTATTTTCACCCCGAAGATGAGGTCTTTGAAAAGCACGCGCTGTGCGCCGGTGGATTCGATTATGCTACGAAGCGAGATGAAGGCCAGTCGGATTCGAAACGTGCTTTCCAGGAGATGGGCATCAAGCCGCAGGGCCATGCCATCCTTATCGAGGCCTCTAAATTCAAGGACGCTGTGAATGCTGTGGCCGACTACCTCAAACCTTCGGCCTAGGCTACTCCCACTGGGTACCTTTTAGTCTCTGCATAAGATATTCGACCTCGACGACTTTGGTCAGTGGGATGACAACTTCTTTGTACATCCTAACCACGGCATCCACGTCGATCTTACTCACATTCTCGTCTCCTTTAACAGACGGGTCTGTTCCATATGTCTTGGCCTTCAGGAGCAATCTCTCAAGGACCTTCTGTTCCACCTTGGCGTCAGTAATAGCCTCGTCGATGCCATTGCGGTCCTCGGCCTTGATCAATCTGACGAAGCGATCGGTCTCTTTCTGGAACTTGCTCTCCGCGACGAACTTGCCGAAATGGATTCTGCGACTCAGGGCGTGGAGGCAGTTGACATCGCAGACAGCTGCACTACCATAGTTCTCCTTGGCCGCACCTCTATCCTTGCGTCCAAAATCACGGCATGCCTCCGGCAGAATCTGCTTGGTATACTTGTCCTTGATTGTGTCGTTGACGTTGACAACATTGTCATGCAGAATCCTGGGATACTTGAGAGGTTCAAGCATGGGCCGCTGTAACGTCTGTGGGAAGAAAGGGTACTCGTCCGGGGAGTCGTAGCGGCGAACGCTTGAATGTAGTCGCTCGGTCTCGGACAGGATGTGATCTAAAAGCGAGATGTTGGCAGGTAGAGCGAGGTTGCTACAAGGGATCGGGAGGTCTTGTGCATCGTAGATGGCGGGGTTCAAAGGAAATTGGACTCGCTCAATGAGGTGGAATATGATGGTGTCCTCAAGGCGACTGGTTAGGATGTCGGTCAGTCTGGCTCAAGAGCCCTCTTCTATAGACTCACATCAATTGGAAGCGAATGTTGGCAAGATCCAGCGCCTTGGAGGCGTCCGAAAGGTCAATGGCTGTGTCCATGGCTTCGTCCAGGAATCCCATCCGTCTAGAGCTGGCTGGCAGCAGAATTGACCACTGCAAAGTGGAAGGCTAGATTCGTAGGACCTGATGATCAGTAAGAAAGGAGTGAAAGAGGTCCGAAGACCGGACTGTGACGAGGGTAGCCTAATGAGTGAGAAGTGAAGAGGTGCGCGGGCCGCTTGTGAGGTTCGTTCGGGGCGGATTTCCGGTACGTCACTCTATCGCAGAAACAGTTGAACCGCCAGAATCGCCGCGGTCTCGCGTACCCGCAATTCTCCACCCCAGCTTTCATCGTCTGCATACACGATCACCTGCAACATCCACGCACGCGACCACACGTATCGCGTCCTCCTGGTTCTGTCCACGCGCACCAATTGTTCATTGCGGGGCTTCTGTAGCCACTAATCCGCCGCATGGCTGGCTCGGCATCGCATAGTCGCAATGCTTCCCAGGCCAGACCCAGCTTCGATGGCGGCGACGAGGACACCTCGGTCTTGGGAACAGTCCTTGATGTGCGGCAGACCATGTTCCTATAGGCGTAGCTAGACTGACACATGGAGCAGACGCGGAATCTCGAAGCCTTTGGGAGAAAGGTGACGGCTACCGCAGGCCAACTCATGGGCGAAGATTCCACTCCACACTATCATTCAGCTATGAGCAGTATATCTCGAACTATGCGCCGACCGGCCCTGCAGCGCTCGGTCTTCTCTTTCACACAGCAAGCCCCGTCCGAGCTCATACGAGCGAGAGTGTCCACATCCGAGATCGCACACCGAGCACTGACTTTCATTCCCGACGAGCAGCTCACAAACATTCCCGACGATGACAATACGTATTCCTTATTCCAAGGCTTCCAGGCTTCGATGCCAGAGAGCGGGAACGAGCATAGAAAGGGCCACCGCCGGCGGAGCTCAAAGCAACAGAAGCTATTAGGAGCCGGCGATATTGAAGAAGATGGTCCTCCAACCCTTCAAGGGCTGAAGAAAAGGCGCAACAACACCAATCATAGACTAGAGATGATGGCCATCCGGAAGAACCTGTGTGCCACCGAAATAAGAGAAATTGACAACAAGGTCGCCAACCTTAACAATATGCGCCGGATAGTGCTGGAGAGGCTCGCCAATCTGGAGGATGAAGAAGGTGATGTCGAAAAGGAGCTACAGGAGTTGGACATCAGCATCGAGGATATGCAAGAGGAGCAGGACGCACAAGCTGAGGCCGCCGGGGATGATACGACTCGGTCGAGGCCTGTCACTCCAGATTCGCCAGAGGGCTCGTCATTCATGTCCGAGTCGATCTACCAGAAGTTGCCGTCATCGGTATCACCCAAGAGCAAGCGCCGTCCGAAATACACGAAGCGGAAGTCTATGCCAGTCTTGCATGAGCATCTCGAATCTGGAACGAATCTTAAGACCATTCCCGCCCATAACGATGTTGTGACTGCTCTAGATTTCGATATGCCGTTCGGTACTATGGTCACAGCTGCTCTGGATGACACCGTCAGAGTCTGGGATCTTAACCTTGGGCGATGCATGGGTTTTCTCGAAGGCCACACCGCGTCTGTCAGGTGTCTTCAAGTAGAAGACAACATCGTTGCCACAGGCAGTTTGGACGCTACCATCAGGTTGTGGGACTTGTCCCAAGCGAAATATGAGCCTCACGAACACAAGTCCAGCTACGATGATCCGGACAAAGCTGAGGAGGAGGACGAAGAGGCAGCGTTGGGCTTCGGCAATGAAGGAGAAGATGAACCTCCTCCGCCTCCACCTGATGCAATGGCGGACTGTCCACTTACAACACTTGAAGCCCATATCGACGAAGTTACCGCACTCCATCTGCGTGGTGACACACTCGTGTCTGGGTCCGCGGACAAGACCCTACGGCAATGGGACCTAGTCAAGGGCCGATGTGTGCAGACACTGGATGTACTGTGGGCTGCGGCACAAGCCACAGCCACGATGAACGGCGCAGACGCCCAGTGGCGACCTACAGGGAGAGCATCGGACGCCAATGCTGACTTTGTAGGTGCTCTGCAAGTTTTTGACGCAGCTTTGGCTTGTGGCACCGCAGACGGCATGGTCCGCCTTTGGGATCTCAGATCGGGCCAAGTGCACCGCAGTCTTGTCGGACACACGGGACCAGTCACGTGCCTGCAGTTCAACGAGACGCACCTCGTTACGGGTAGCATGGATCGATCGATCAGAGTAAGTTCCCCATTGGAGTCCAACGCTTTAAGCAGACATTAATGCACAGCAGATTTGGGACCTTCGCACCGGCACAATTTACGACGCCTATGCATACGACAATCCAATTACCAGTATGATGTTCGATACCCGCCACATCGTGTCTACCGCCAGCGAGGATGTCGTCAAAGTATACGACAAGACCGACGGTCGCCACTGGGACTGCGGCGTCGGTACCGGCATCAGCGTGGAAGAGCGAATGAATGACCCCAAGACCAGCATTGTCGAGCAGGTCAGGCTCAAGGATGGCTACATGGTCGAAGGCCGCAGGAACGGCGAAGTTGGCGTGTGGACCTGCTGACAGGGGATAATGTTGAACTACAATGATACATATACATGTACCCACGCCCGTTCTGGTACGCGAATCGAAGACCTGGTCTCCAGCACGCAACAAGTTGACCCTTCCCTCTTGCACCTTCAGGAGTCCTGGCGATCAACCACCAAGCACGCAATTTGACCCAACCATTGACACCACCATTACCACTTCCCCCTCCCTCAACCCTCCTATCACGTCCCCAGAAAAGCCACAATCTTCTCCCCCAGCCCCCGATTCTCCTTCGGCCTCTCCACCGCACTCCCACCAAACCCCAACGCGCCAACCGCCGCCTCGCCCACCTCGCCCGCCTTCCCCGGCGCGTTCTGACTCAGACTCGCGCGCCGGATCGTCGTGTCGCCCTCGAGGCCCTGGTGGCCGTCGCCCTGGATCGAGGGCCGGTGGTGCGCCTTGAGTGGCGCGCTGTCCGTGGCGGGGTTGACGGGCTCCGACACGTCGCGGGCTGGGTGTTGGGAGGCGGGGCTTCGTGCGGAGAGGGAGGTACGGCGGCCGTGATCGTCGCTGGTGCTGGGCTGGTTGGAGGGCATGTTGGCTGTGGCGGTGGGGTCGGTGGCGGAGGAGGAGTAGGCTATGGAGTCGGTGCGGTGGCTGGACATGGCGGCTGTGATGTTGGTGAGGTAAATAAATGGTGTTTCTTGGTAAGGGATGCTTGTGGTGCTTGTAGTGCTTGGAAATGCTTATGCTGGCAGGGGTCGCGGCCGCCAGTTATATAGGGCAGTTCATTGTGTCAATCTGCTCGCTTTCTTCCTGCGGAGTGTCCCAATCGGTTGTCTCAGTTAGACTTTGTTCTACGTCACGATCAACGAGGCGTCGACGCTCCGGCACGCCTTTCTGGGACGTGGTATCTGACACGTGGCTCAGCCATGGGCCTTCACTGGAGAGCGACGAGGAGCAGGAAGTGAGTTGCTTCTGTTCGCGATCATCGAGGTATCCAGGATCATGTCAATTTGGCGGATGTGGTAGAGGTGGCACTATTGGTCCGTGCCATGTGGATATGATATCCGGAGGATCAGGTCACGCTTGTACCCTGGAGTCTAATGTCACTTCATGCATGGAAGTGAATGTTCCCGATCTGCTATCAAGCCAAACATGTGTAAGTAGAGGTCTCTGGAGGGATGACGAGACACAGCAAGAGCCTATCGTGTTTTTCATTCACTCACAGTTGTCTTCGGTGTTTGTACCCCTCGCTGTCGCCGTCTGAGCCGAGCTTTTGCCAACGAGCTGGAGCAGAAGCGCAAAACAATTTCCGGCTTCACTGATGCGCACTCTTGCGAAGTTTGCGACCCCGCTTCGAGGGCAGGTCTCTGAGCATGTCCAAGACCATCGCATCGTGAGTTGCGTTTCCTGTGCCGTTGACTGTCTGCTCAGCCTCGATCTTTGCTGCCGTTGACAGCCTGTTGAACAATGTCTGGCTGTCTATCGTCCTCAGAGCATTCGTCTTCTTGGACTTTGTTGCCAAGCGTGAGTGAGAGTTGTCTTTTCTCGACGCTGGCTTGCTCTGTTGCGTCGCGGTCGCCTCCTGTCTGAAGAAGGGGTTGTCGCTACCTTTGTCGCTGGCGAGCAGGCGAAACGACCGCTGACTCTGCTGGTTTTCCGACAGCTCTTCGTCCTGCTGACGCTCCTCCGACTGTGATTGTGAAGAAGCACTACTGTCTGAAAGTCTCGAGACCAAGACTGGGCTTTCCGACCTCTGCTGCTGGTCCAAGTCGGCAAGAATGTATGACCTGTTTCGAGAAGGGAGCAAGTCCATCTCGCTTGTGCGAGCTACGCCATCGAGACGTCGTGGCGCGTCACTGCTACATGCGTGCTCCATCCTGATTATGAATGAGGGAGGGAGAAGCAAAAAAAATCTGACCAATAAGCCCTTGAATGAAGCAAGGTAAGTGAATGTTGCACTTGAGTGAATCTTATTTCTGTCGAGGTCGAAAACAAGAGAAAGAGCACGATGCATGTCAGGAAGTCGTATTGAAAGGCGGTCCAGAGGCCGTGAAGCAGGTCCTCAAGCTCGCGATAATTAGGTTTCGATATCGATGCAAACTTTGGTACAATTGATGAGAGCCTAGCCGCTGAGGTACTCCCGACGGCGTTATACCGGCAGTGACCCCTAATGTCACTGAAAATTATGCTACCCAACGAGCTCTGCCGTGAATCCTCGCGCAGCTCTGAGTTTAATCTTCCAGCTTCTGCTATGATGTGCACATTGCCAGGACAGGTACTCTTTCTAGCAAGACTATAAAGCTGCCCTTGCTACGGCTAGTTCCTCTGCAATCTCTCATAACATACTGTACAGAACTCCCAACACATCGGCCAGTTGTGGATACGAACCACTGCTTCAAGCGACTGCTTAAGGGGTCATACCTCCACAGAAGCCACCAACCTGCTTCGACACCGGAAAAAACCAGCCGACATGCCTTCTCTTCGTTCAAACCCCAAGCCAACAGCTCAATACGTTGAGTACGTCCAGAATCTGACGGCTACGAGGGGCACACAAGCCTCCTACACGAACGAGATGGCATCAAACATCGCGGACAAGAGCAAGCCCTCCCTCGCCAGCGACCGCCGCTCTTCCACGAAATCCCCCGCCCCAAAAGTCGCCACCACAGAAGTATCTGGAACGACCAACGAGCCGCAGAGCACAGACCAGGCACAATCTCAAGCAAACGTTCAACTGAAAACGCCGCCGGTCACCCCTCCCGCTTCCGACCCACCCACACCCATAGTCCCCGACACTCCCGAGCCCGGCGTAGCACTTCCAGAGCTCACCAAGAAGCAGAAAGCCGGAATCCGCGCCTACCACGATCTGGTGGAAAAGCACCGCCGCATGGGCGCCTACGGCTGGAGCGGCGTGGGCAAAAAGGGCGCCATGCACAGCGGCCGCAAGCACGACTACAACCAGCAGGGCACCAACCGCCTGATCACGAAGAAGGAACTGGATGAGGACCGCGCCAGTCTGGCTGCGGTGGGGATCGTGATTGAGGGCCTGTGAGCCTCTTCCAGACCGCTTCCCCAACAAAATCGAAACAGGAAGCATTCAGGACAGGGAGGGAGCAGAGAGGGGAGAGAAGGAAACGACGGATGCCTTGTGTGCGCATGTTTGGGGGTGTGTGTGGGGACATGACCCGGGGCAGCTGGGAAAGTGGGAGAAAAAGCTGCCTGAATATGACCCATGCGCGTTCAAGGCACCTAAACACACACCCTCGCAACAACAAACGAGGCTATGAATGTATGACTGGAAACGAGACATGGACGGTACGATAGGCTGATAGCAATGCATAGCGGGGTTTTGAGGTTCATACGTCGATATACACCTTCGCGATTTAGACTTCTTCCGCTTCCCACACCGCAGCAAAATACAATGTAAACAAAGCCAGTATATCCGCAGTGGAACGTTTCCAGCTTCCGGCTGTTGGCTTCCGGCTCTTGCCCCGGGCAATGAAGAACTTCCTCTCTTCCTCATCGCGTTCGAGTAGAATACAAGAAATACCTCTGAGTGTCAAAATGTGTGTATTTTGCCGTGGCCAGGACGCACCTTTACGGGCGTCATATGAGCGATCTGACTTCTCGGTACAGCCGTTTTTTCTGGTGTTGAACGCGAAGGAAATGCGAAGATACAGATCAGTCATGAAGACTACATACCATCAGGGTAGACATCAAACTTTGGACGAATCCGGCCTCTCTGCGAGTTCTCGGGGTCCTGCGCTACATAGGTACGAGATGCCTGCACATCAATCATTCGAACCTGTCTCTATCGACATTGCACGCGGACGACAGAACTCGCCTTGGAAGCAAACGTCCCATCTTGAGTACCGGAGCAGCTAGGGGCGCACCGAGGATTGCACTGCGATTGCATCGACCCCAGATTGGGCTATATGCCGGTACTCCATTCCGCAATGCAACGCCTGCAACGACGTACGTCACGTACTCCGTCTTGTAATAGTATATAGAGCCGTTCACGACCCGGCGCTGACTTGGAACGGGGATATTCGAGGAGGCTCTGATGAGATCCAGGATGCAGTTACGAGATTCCCATCACCTCAGCTCTCTGAACAATTGAATTTGAGCGTCAATGTCGACAAAGCAGATGTCTAGTACACAGTCATCGTGTTTTGGCAAGTCAGCTTGATGGACGAACTGCACATCAACCTGCGACGCCGGTTCGGTGAGCTCGACGGTGTTGAGATATGTATCGCTGCTGGCCGAGGGAACCGTCTGGGATAGGACGAGTCATTCGATGTCAGTAACGTGGAGATTGCCCGTGAGACAGGAAGCACAGGTATAAGATATCACCAGCCCAAAGGCTATTAGCAGGCTGAATTTATTCAGAACATACGAAAAAGTACACAATTCAACTCGCGGTCTGGGGTTTGTTCTTCAGAGTTCGCATAAGTACGCAGCAATAACTTCAGACTATTCGCAGAAGAGTCATTCAGCTTACGACTCCGTAGCTTCATCGTGCCTCGAGCATCGGACTACGAAGTAACAGAACAAAGACAGTTGGCGTGCGACCGCAGAAAGCGCTGCTTACCTGTTCCATATTAGCGATTTCAGCACAACTCCGGCATAGGGATACTTATAAAAAGGCAGATCTGCTGCTCCTGGAGCCTGGAAGCAACCAAGAGCAGCTGGGACCACCGCTGTGGTCAACTCCGTCCGAGCACCAAGCCACCGTATTGCACATTTATGGACCGATACCAGAAACCAAACGTACGGCCCACCTTTCGCAAACGCCAGCACCTCAACCACAACCGGAGATGCTTGCCGGCCAGGAGACGGGCGAATATCGTGTTCGAGTCAGCTGGCCGAGCCAGATCCCGAACCAAAGCTTACACACTGTGCATGGCAAGGAGCAAGAACAGACAAGCACAAAGCTTTGATCCCCTCTATTGAGAAGTCCCGTCTTGAGCACTTGGTGGTCCCATGCAGCAATGCTTGGGCCTTAGTCCAGAGTCCGACCCCTCCCACTGACGAGCAGATCACAGATTCTAGTGTCGTTGGCTGATGGCAGAATCTTGCAAATTGTGTATAGTGTAGCGGGCTCCGGGTTTGGACGTACCCATGTCGCACGTTTGGGAGCTGATCCGGCCAAGAAGGCCTTCGGGCGGTCTTTGAATGCCGGCGAATATTGACTGAAGCTGATCGTCGCCCCCAATTCCTAGACTTCCTCGCCAGGGTGTATGTTGACCATGACCTTCTCACCTTCATCACCCAAAGCCGCATGAACGCCTCCCACAGACCTTTCCAGCATCGAGCTTCCGCCATAGACTTCTCACGCCAGCTCCATTCCGACCAACGCTCTCATGTGTGGTGCAGCAACCTCGGGGACAAGACTTTAGTTTCTGCTTCCTTTATGCCTTGCGGCAAATTCGAAGAGCATTTGCCATCTTGCAGGCAGGGCGCACAAATGACATCCGTAAAAATCACCCTCTTCCCACCGAAATGGGGGCACCGTACGCATCAGGGCCGTAATTGACCAAGCCACGCACTGTAATCGGCGCTCGCTGGGGACTCCGTGACAAACATGAAGGCAGCGATTGACGCGGCTGATCGAGATCCTCCGGAGGAGGTACGCAACAAGTGTCGGGTGACTGATGCGCGTCTCAATGGTGGACTGCCGCTGTAATGCGGTGTGAGTCGATGGTGGAGGTGAAGAGGAGTGGCATCATGTCGCTGCATGCTTGAGTATTGTTGAAGATGTGGCAGGCTGGAGCAGCCGAAGAGGGCCATGGTTGTGAGAGGACAGAAGCAATGGCAACGCTATACAACCTGACATATGCTGCACGAAGCATGTTCTGGTCAGAGGATTGTAAGCGAGGCCATCAAAGACGTCCGTATCCACGTGTGAGCCAACACTTCGAGCTCTGAACCACACTTGTCGCACACTCAGTTGCATGCATCTCCGCTTTTTCGTACTAACCGCCCACGTCCAAAACATTGGAAACATCTCGTATGTGATCAAGTATTATGCCCAGCTTAGGAACACCGACGCGTGGTCCGGATTGGACTCTTATCATTGTGACGCATGGTAGAACCGTCTTTCACTGCCCCGGAGAGCTCTGGACGCCTCTGCCTCCTTGAGCCCGACCAATCCTTCTTGCGCCTTTCTGCCGCAACAGGTCCAGCACAAGGGAACGCGATCGGACCCGCCGAAGGTGAGACAACAGGACCGCGAAACTGTTAGACCGACAGCAATCTTAGGGTTAAGTTCCAACAAATGCCCTACCGCTGCGCTTGGGACCCTCCCACCGGTGCTCTATGAGACCGTGCTATGAGGCTCGAGCGGTGGTGAAGAGGAAGGCAGCGGAGGCCCGTGAGAGCTAAACAAATGCTGGGAAACTGTGGGGAAGTTGAACTGCACAATGATCCCCGAAGGGAGAGAGGGTCAGAACGGACTGTAATCGAAGCTGGTTCTATGGTTTCTGATCGATAGTCGAAGAGGGTCGCGGTGACTGGCGTTCAGACAGGCATTTGAGATCCTGCGAGGGGCTGTGCATCTAACAGGGACAGACCGAGCAAAGCAAAGTATGGGATATCCTGGGGATGGAAGACAGTCTTGCTTAAGTTCGGTCGCGAACGCGTCGGGTCGAAGCGCGTTTCAATGACGTCACGATCACGTGCGATGAAGACTCGCGGCTCTTTTTCAACCTCAGGCCATCGACAGATTACTATCTCGACCGTCAATAATGTCTAAGATCTTACAACACTGTTTACAGAGGAAGACCTTGGCAAGATTCGAGACTTTGCTCATGAAATCGATCTCTGTGGCGTTCGAAATCTGCTCAACCTTAGGTCCTTAGTCGTCTGATGAACTCTCCTCAGCAGCACAGAATAGGCTACGTGCTCTCTACGCCCCGTAGCCATGCGGTTGGGGCCTAAACAATTGGAAATGGAGTCAGATGGGATTTAATAACCGGGAGTCCCAACCTTCTTGGTAGCAATGTCGTACGAAGCTAATGTCAGGAACGGTTTTCTAACGGCGATATGGTTTACATGCATCGACGTTCGATCAACAAACCGTATCAATGTTCCTGAGATACCGCTCGAGACCGCCTCGGGTGATGGCGCGACATCGGTTGAGTATCTATCTTAGGTTGCGGTGGCAAGGCTACCAGAACACGTTTCCGAAACAACAGCATGGTCCTGACATGCCGTACGGCTAAAAGCCTCTGCCTTTCCAACTCATCAGCCAACGGGTCACCTAGGTGAGGCACTGGCGCGTGATGTTGGCTTCTCTTGACCTGACTGACCATCGGCGTATGGCCGCGTTCTCTGCAAGGCTGCAAGCAAGACTAGACACATGACTTCAGGCTCGTCGACATCATCACTGTCTGTTGTGGCAGTATCGACACGCCTTTGGGATTCAACGGGTGGGCCTCGCTTCCATCCTCATGCCTTCAGCCTCACTACGATCTTATCGACCATGTCAAAGTCCCCCAGCATACGCCATCATTGAGAATGGGGTCATCGGATGAGGAGGCTGGCTTTGCTCAAGGTCCTACTGGCGTGAGATGCTTGATCTCACATACTGGGTGAAGCAGAGTGCAGAAGCAGGGTGTGTCATCATCCACAAAGTGCAAACTTGTCCTCCGGATCAAGGTGCCGCCCTCTGCGGCGGCTTCCTCCGAAAAGCGTTTAGCGCCACTGGTTGCCACACAGCTTACCGCCGCCTTTTGTGTTTGCAGAACATTATTGCACCTTTTCCTTTCATCCAACGTCCTTCCTCACAGCAGGCACCAGTCTCCAATTCAAGAACAAACACTACTCTAATCAACGAATAATCATGTCCAACCAACTTCGTGGAAAGAAAGGCGTACATGTCGTCGATCATCCCGATGGCCATACCATGATTGGCGAGTGGGCTATGGTCGACTATGCATCCCGCGATCTCAAGCTACCTGATGTGAACAAGGCGCTCAAGGATGGGACCTTGAAGGAAGGTGAGCCCACCGTCCAGCGAAGCACCTACAGTAAGTTCCCTTCTCGAACAAAATACTTCCAGCTACTTCATATCTCGGCCATTTGTCTGACAATACCGACCATGGTAGTTCTCGACTACGTGTTTCCCGACCTCGGACGTGCCGTCGACCCTGACCAAGTGCGCCCGCAAATCAAGCACTGGTTCAAGTAAGTTCACCCCATATCACGACCTCAGACGAGCCACTAACGTTTCCTTCTCAACAGCAACGTCATTGAGAAAGCGTACGACGCCAAAGTCGTCGAAGACAAGATCAAGTCGCGCTACAGCAACGAGCGGGCTGCTCTGGCGCGCGAGATCGATAAATACAAGCAGGCGCGGAAGAGCCTCGAGCGCGAGAGAAGCGAGGTTCTCAAGGACAAGTCTCGCCTGCGCGACAAGGTCGTCAAGGCAGTCAAGGAGGACCGGGTCGTCGACAAGTCTATCCTCGACGACGAGGAGCTGTGGGATCACCTGCCAGAGGTCACCAACAGAGTTGAGTGACTGGGCGTATGCACGTTGCGATAGGCTGGCGGGCGGTGACTGTACGCCGGCCGATTGATAACATGCAACAGTGGTTATGCTACAGAAGTAACTCGATCGGGGAAAGAATACGTCGAGTGAATGATACGAGATGAGGCGTCCATGAGGCAACCGTCTACCGTTCCTGTTTGCGCTTTTCGAATTTTCCTCTCACCCCTTCCACTTTCTCGCGGCTGTTGAGACGAGGCTGAAGCCCCCGAAATGCCAAGAGTTGACGAGCGATCCTAGCTTGGGTACTCTTTCGACACAAGCATTACATCGCAGCAGCAGCAGATCGTGAAGGATTACATTCTCTGACTGTCTGTCGATGGCCGTAGCCAATCAACCGTTCACTTACGTGATAAAGTCTACGTCCTAGCGCTACATGTGCACATCAGCAGCCCAAACCGGGCTACCTCCATCGCTTTCATCAAGTCTTTTTGATCTGCTTGCCCGCTAGAAAATCCCGTCAAACGAGCAGTGACAAACACTGCCGAAGCAACGCCAAAAGCCCCTACCAATGCTGTATCTTACTACCGTGCGTACAAAGAATGACAGAGTTGTAAACGCCTTATGCGGCGTTGACCTCGACTCTGCCCTCGTTGCCAAGGCCGCCCTTTGCGAGCTGAGGAAGAAGGTAGGTCTGAAGATCAGGTCAGCTAATGTCTCAAAACGGGGTACTGCATTTAGACTTACGATATCATCCCAAGGATGACGGTACAGGCCAGTCCTGAGACGCTTCTGGTCCAAGAAGTGGGCAATCAGACCAATGGATCGGCCAAGAACGAAGAGACCGTTGAGAACACCCATGCGTAGGTAGTCCTCGGCTTCCTCAGGAGAGAAAGCACCGCAGTTGCGGAGCAGGTCAACGAAGCACACAGCTATGCAGCCGTCAACGTTCAGAATAAGGTTGTCCTTCTTGGAAGTGGTGACAGTCTCGACGGCAACGGCGTAGTCGAGAAGCTTGTGGGATGGGAAGTTCTTGATCACGAACTCCTTGACGAGCTCGACACGGAGATCGGGGTTGTTGCGGGACTTGACACGGTGACCAATACCTGGGATGAGCTTGTTCTCTTTGCGCATGGTGTCGACGAATTCTCTTGGCGACCAGCCCTTGTCGAATGCCTTAGTGAACTCTTCAGCAGCGCCATCGAGGGCACCACCGAATCGGGAACCGATGGTCAAAAGACCAGCGACCAAGGAGGAGATCAAGTCCTTGCCGGCACGTGTGGTAATGATGGTGTTCATGGCGCCGGACACAGCTGGACCGTGGTCGGCAGTCAACATGAGAACCATTTCGAGGAACTTGCTGGCATAGCTGGGTAGACGGCGGCGGAACCAAAGCAGAGACATGACACCGCCAATACCGATATCCTCTTTGAAAACATCGGAGATAGGCATGCCGGCGTACAGGAGCTCCTGACCTCTGTCATCGGAGATAGTAGAAATAAAGGCAGCAGGCTTTCGGATGAGCCCTAGCTCCTGGGCCCAGGCGTAGTCGATGGGAATCTTGGGAGGAATTGGCTCGGGCGCGGGCTTGACGATGCCCTGCTTGACAAGCTTCTGATAGACCTGAGCTAGAGTAGCGGGCATGTCCTCGAATGTATCTGGGACAAAGAAACCTGCCTCCTTCATAGACTGGTTCTTGACCATGGCGGTCTCGAGCTGCGAGTTGGCGGAAGCACCCGCATGTCCAAATTGAACCTCGGTCTTGAACATGCCGGCACAAGTACCAATGGCCCAAGCGACAATGGGCTTGGTGATGATGCCCTTCTTCACAGCCTCAATGACGCGATACTCCTCGACACCACCAACCTCACCGAGCAGCATGAGAATCTTGCACTCAGGGTCGGCCTGGTATCTGAGGAGATGATCAATAAAGGATGTGCCAGGATATCGGTCACCGCCAATGGCGATGCCCTCGTACACGCCATCGGTGTTCTGAGAAATGATGTTGTTGAGCTCGTTGGACATACCACCAGACTTGGAGACGTAGCCAACGGAACCCTTGCGGTACAATTTGGAGGCAACGATGTTGTCCATCATACCGCCAGTGTTACCAATCTTGTACGCACCAGGCTTGATGCCACCGACAGTCGCGGGGCCAATGATTGTGATGCCCTTCTCCTTGGCGGTAACCATAATCTCACGGGCACGTCGCTCAGGCACACCTTCGGCGATGATGGCAATGGAGCGGACCTGAGGGATTTCCATAAGCTCCATAGTGGAGGTGTAGACAGAGCGAGAGGACGCAAAGTTTACGATTGTGTCGACATCGGGGTGTTTCTCGAAGGCCTTGTCTACGGATTGGTAGACGGGGAGGAGGGTCTCGCTGGTGCCCCAGTACATCTTGCTGACGAACTGGCCGCCGAAAGTGTAGATTATACCAGCCACGGAGGGTGTGGTACGCTTGCAGATGAAGTCAAAGTCGAGCATACCCTGGACAGCTTTGGGCTGCATGCCACTGTGTGGTGTTAATCACTGTCTCGAATCTGCACGGCAGGCCGGCGACTTACTAGACGAAGCATCTTGTTTTGTTGTGGAAGAGGATATCTTGAAGAGGGCTGCCGACGCCTGAGGGAGCATCGAAGCGGCGGATGTTGTCGTTCGCAGAGTAAGGCTGGGGGGTGGAAGCGCCGTTGGTTCGCTCACCGTTCTGAGCGGCGGCGGCCGGGGAGAGAGTGGACGGCATATTGTCAGGGGAGTTCTCTCTGACTGGCAAGCCCATGGTATTAGCGAATGAAGCAAAGAATTATCTTGTATTGCTGTGCCGGTCTTGCTGTCGAGATACAGTGGTCCGCGGTGGAATTGGGCGAGGGGCAGATGGATTGAAGGATTGAGCTTACATTGACTTGATCTATCACTTGGGGAGAATGGGGAGGTGTATGATTGGGAGGTCGGAAAAGAGGTGGGTAGACGGCGATGATGGCAGAATGTGAAGGGGTGAGGAGGCAGCTGTGTGCAGAATAATCCGTTGGATGCTGCTGTAGGGGCACCAACACTGGAAAAAAACGTAGCGGAGGAGTTGGAGCAGGGCACACGATTGCCCGCACTGTTGAGCACTCACTTCCGTTTAGCTCAGTTGTGGGCCGGGTAAGCTTGACCTTAACGGGAAACACGCGGCCCCAATGTTCTGTCCCTGCAAGGCGGTGAGATGCCTTTGGGCGGCTTCCGAATGGCCTGATGCCTCGCGGGCTCCAATACGAGATACGAATAGCTGGCGATTTCGCAGTTTTCAAGGGTCGGACTCCGATAGCGCGTTTCTCGGAGACCCTAAGTCGGTTTCTTCGGCAACTATTTTATATAATGCTGTTGTGACCTGTCGTACACAGCTGTACGCAGTAAGTATAGAACTGCCCGTGCAGCTCACTCCGCGCGCGATCCCTACTCGTCCGCAGAGCATCGGGGAAAATTATTCGGGGTTGTGGCCTAAAGAGTTACATCCAACAAAAACTCCCAGGGTCTACCTTCATCGTCATACGTGCAGCAGGGGCAGTGGGCGGTGGGCGGGAGTGCACCGGGGGAGCTCCGAGCGGCGAGCGGCGTTTTGTGCCTGAATTAAGTGCGTTGGCGTAGCTTAAGTTAGTAAAGTCTTAGCCCGGAAGAAACAATCCCCCAACAACGGGAAGCGATCCACCGCTGCCCCAATCCATGCAAGTTCTGGATAGGGTGTCGGGGGACCCAGCGAAAAAGTAGGCGAGCAATACCCTCTCCGAAAGCCAACCATCACCGCTGCACCAACAACAGCCAGCAACAATTTTTGGTCTTGCCATCACCTCACCATCCCTTTGAGCATTTCATTGCTACTCCTCACCGTCGCAACTGCTTCATTCCCGCACCTTTTCCCCTCTGCAATTGCTCCTTTGCATTGCTCCTTTAATCCCAAACCCCAAATTACCCCTCCTTAGCCTTCACAAGACCACCAATCTCACCGCCCTCACCACTCTCACACCATGTCTGCTAAGTCGATCCTCGAGGCCGATGGCAAGGCCATCATCAACTACCACCTCACTCGCGCGCCCATAATCAAGCCTAGCCCTCTAAAGGCCACCGGTCAGCACAATGCTCCTTCGAAGCTGGCCTCTCTCTACTTCCCGGAAGACGAGCAGGTCTCCGCCATCTTGGACCAAGCTGAGGCTACATACCCGTGGCTGAAGGCTCCTGGTGCCAAGTTCGTTGCGAAGCCCGATCAGTTGATCAAGAGGAGAGGAAAGAGCGGCCTGCTTGCACTCAACAAGACCTGGCCCGAGGCGAGAGCTTGGATCGAGCAAAGAGCAGGCAAAGAGCAGCAGGTTGAGCACGTGTCTGGCTATCTCAGACAGTTCCTTGTTGAGCCTTTTGTGCCTCATCCTCAGGACACCGAATACTATATCAATATCAACTCAGTCCGAGATGTAAGCTGATTACCACCATCAACGTTGCACAGTTGACTGACAACTTCGCAGGGCGATTGGATTCTGTTCACCCACGAGGGTGGCGTCGATGTTGGCGATGTCGATGAGAAGGCGGAGAAAGTTCTGATTCCGGTCGACTTGAAGAAATTCCCTTCTCACCCCGAGCTGGCCAAGGCTCTGCTCAAGCATGTCCCCAAGGGCGTACACAATGTTCTCCTCGACTTCATCATCCGCCTTTACTCCGTCTACGTCGATTGCCAGTTCACCTACCTCGAGATCAACCCCCTGGTTGTCATTCCCAATGCCGATGCTACCTCCGCAGAGGTCCACTTCCTTGATCTTGCGGCCAAACTTGACCAGACTGCTGACTTTGAGTGCGGTGTGAAGTGGGCTATTGCTCGCTCACCTGCTGCTCTTGGTCTGCCTGGCGTAAAGACTGACGGCAAGGTCAGCATCGACGTTGGCCCTCCCATCGATTTCCCTGCACCTTTCGGCCGTGAGATGAGCAAGGAGGAGAAGTATATCTCAGATATGGACGCCAAGACGGGAGCTTCTTTGAAGCTGACCGTTCTCAACTCTTCTGGCCGTATCTGGACTTTGGTCGCCGGTGGCGGTGCTTCCGTCGTCTATGCCGATGCCATTGCCTCTGCTGGTTTCGTCTCCGAGCTCGCCAATTACGGCGAGTACTCCGGTGCGCCTACAGAAACCCAGACCTACAATTACGCCCGTACAGTCCTCGATCTCATGCTGCGCGCTCCCATCCACCCCGAAGGCAAGGTTCTCTTCATTGGCGGTGGTATCGCTAACTTCACCAATGTTGCCTCTACTTTCAAGGGCGTCATCCGCGCCTTGAGAGAAGTTGCGCCTGTTCTCAACGAGCATAACACCCAGATCTGGGTCCGTCGTGCTGGTCCCAACTACCAAGAGGGTCTCAAGAACATCAAGGGCGTTGGCGAGGAGCTCAAGCTCGACATGCACGTCTTCGGCCCTGAAATGCACGTTTCCGGCATTGTGCCATTGGCCCTGAATGGAAAGACCACCACAATCCCCGAGTTCGGTACTGCTTGAAAGACCACTTCTATCCCTGGGTGAGATGATTCCTACCTGCACAGATCTGAGCATCAGCTTGGGCAGTGTGGACTGTATTAGAGCGCGCAAGTTGCATGATACACGGTTGACGGAACAAAATTTGGGCGTTGACTTTGACTGCTTTGACCGACTGGACTGTTTAGTGTCGCGCTGAGACGGAAATGTAAGCAGCGGAAGCGGGCGTGTTTGTCTGTCATTCACGATGGAACCGGTTGGCCCGCGAATAGCGAGGCCGTTCGGAAATGAAGTAGATATCACATTAGCACGAGAGCGAGATGATAATGAACCTTTCGAACCATATTACAATCTTAGGAGGGTCGTGTTACTAACACTAGAGCACGGCTACTGTAGCCGCTCAGCCACTCACTGATGAGTATTTGTAAGGTGAACAAGATCCCTCCATCTCCATTCTGTTGTGTCTCGTACGGCGACCGTAGCCGCTTCGCCGCCGCCGAAAGCCCTAAGCTATCTTCCCGTAACGCCATATTCGTCTGTACACATACACTTCGGTTTGGCATCACGTGAGCCGCCGTATCACCCGTTCAGGTAGCAAAACTACAGAAGCTTGCCGCGACACCCCCATGTCGCTTTCCCTTCTCCATCGTTCAAGCGTCGACAACCCCGACTCGACCGCCAGCCAGCTCGTCAATATACGCCCACGCGCCACATCCCTGCGCCCTGCTTGCCTTTGCACCTTTGGCGCCCTTGCCCTTGGCTTTGCTGGTTTGTGCTTCAGCACCGCTGCCTTCAGCTTCTCTAAGCAGCACCGCCATGACCTCCAAGGGTGGGGAAAGGCCCAGGCTGTTGGCACGCCGCCAGCGATTCAGCCGTGTGATGCCTATGCATGAGCCGTACTGTCCGGAGAGGTCGAAGTTGCGGAGGATCTTCTCGTGTAGGGGCACTGCTTCTTGATGAACTGTGTGGGGTGTTAGTAAGAATGCTGGGGTTGAATGGAAATAGAGAGGCGGAGGAGGGCCATTGCACAGGATCGGAAGGTCCTGATAGGTGGCCGATCGCGAACGAAGATGAGGAACACGGTTTGAATGGAGACATACTGGCTGGAACTCCCCGATGCTTTTGTTCCTGGTCCCACCACTTTCTGATCTGGTTGTCGGTGATCTTCTCGGCCTCCACTTCTCTAGGATCAACAGCACTGCTGGCACCAGAGACTCGCTTCTTCTTGCGAGGAGTCGGAGCGGCGACTGGCTCTGCTTCGGCCTCGACTGTGACGGGATCTGGATCCGGAGTGCTGATGCTCTCGATGATTTCCTCCTTAGCAGGGTCGGACAGGCGTGGCTTGGATTTGGTCTTTGCTTCGCTATGCCTAGTGGCTGAGGGCTTGGTCACTTTGGCTGACTCGTTCTTGAAGGAGAGGGTCTGTTGGGCGGAGGGGGGTCTGGCGGCTCCGCGGGGGCGGCGGGTTTGGGTGCCCATGATGGCAACGACAACGGCGATGGCGATGACGAAGCGCTGTCTCGAGGAGTTGCAGGTTTGTTCGAGTCCAAAGGGTAATCGTCTGCAGATTATTGAGGCGGAATTCTCGGTATTTCGGGGTGGAGTGAGGTCAGGTTGCCCGTGAAATTGAAGTCAAGGTCGATGATGAAATAGGGCTGAACATTGGTCGTAGTCCATGGCAACCGCGTGACGCGCCAAGAAATTTACGTGGCGCGTTCTTTAAGTGTTTGCATGAGCGCATCATCTTCCACGCCACAACTGCTCAGAGGCTACTAGGGATTTCTCAAGGTATTGTGATCACTATCTCCCGCCAATTTCTCGTCTACTGCTTGAGTGCTTGAGAGATGGCTTCCGTCATTTCGAGCACTTTCTCTTCTTCCAGCCTCTTACCTACGCATTGCAGGGCAACCGGAGCGCCGTGGTAGAAATCCGGGTCGTAATCAGCTTGAATCCTCCCATCTATATCGCTGAGCTGCTTGAACTCTTTCATATCCCTTGGCTTGTCGAGGCGTTTGTCCGCGAACGTGACAGGAAAAGTGCAAGATGCGAAATCTGAAACTGTTAGCTGCGAAATTGCTTTGCGTGAACGTGCAACTTACCAAGGATATTCCAAACACCCGTATACCCGATGTAAAGGTCAGGCTGCGTGCCACCGAGCCTTGGGGCAGCATGTGGCGCAACAGCCATCACAATGCCGTCGATCGGGCCCTTCCCGTCCGCTGCACCACTCATCCAGTAGTCCAGGTAAGCCTTCTGCAGCTCGTTGCGTTTAATCACCATTTGGCGCATCTTCGTCACGCCAATCTCTCCTGCCTCGGCTGCTACCTCATATCCTTTCATTGAGGGAAAGATAGGTTCCTCGTACGGTTTGAGTAAATCAACGATAGCCGATCCGCCCAAGTCAAAGAAAGAAGCCACGAGGTTCTTTGTCAGAACGTCATGGCCCTTTGGTGCCCATGGAATAACAGTGTGGCCTGCAGCTTCAAGCTTCTGCTTTGTGATATTGAGGGCTCGCTCCACTGGTGGATGACAATGGACTAGTCCATCGTTATTGCCAATCAGACCAAGTCGAAGTTTGTGACCTGTTGGTAAAACATTCTTTCTCCAGGGGATGGGTAAGCACTTATGGTCGAGATTCCAGGGCGCAACCTGTTCGGAAAGCAAGGCTTCTGAATATAGTTGAAGGCTTTTCAAAGATCTCGACATGGGTCCATTGACTGCGAGGATAAACTCTTGGCCTGGTATTCCAGATTTGCCGCCCCATACAGGATATCGACCGAACGATGGTTTAAGGCCGTATATGTGGGAGAATGCTGCCGGGATTCTTATGGATCTAAAAGTTGTCAGCAAGCGTGCTCCAAATCGAACACCATGGCATCAGCCGTGGAGAGTGAATGCTGACCCGCCAATATCAGTACCAATACCCAGTGGAGATGCTTTGAATGCAATCAAGGCACCTTCACCTCCAGACGAGCCGCCCGGGGTAAGCCCTTTGTGCAACGCGTTCCTTGTCTCACCCCAGACATTGTTGGTGCTCTCTGCCATCATCCTAAGGCCGGAGATGTCAGTAATCGGCATCAAAATCGTCTAAGAAGGGTGCAAAAGGCGAAAGCGGCATGCTTCAACTTGCAGAACACGTCGATGTGTACTTCGCACAGACTTCGCAGGGGTTCTCACATGGCCACGGGAATATTCGTCTTCACATAGAAGACGGCACCTAGATCCCGCAATACGGTTACGATTAAGGTCTCCTTATCGGTACTAAGATTGGCATAGGCAGCCATGCCTATGGAGGCTGGATGAGGAGGGACGATGAACGAATCCTTGAGAGAAATGGGCAAGCCATGTAAAGGGCCAATGGTCTTCCCGTTCTTGGCTAGATATTCGTCGAGATACTTGGCTCGCTCGAAGGCTTCAGGATATAACACTTCGGTCACGCAATTGGTGAGTTCCTGCGCGTAAGCAGAAGCCTTGCAGAAAGCTTTGGTCACCTCGTGGGAGGTCCATTTTTTGCTGGCGATATTCTTGAGGATGTCCTCGGCCTCAGTCTCAATGATGGCGCGTTCCTCGCTAGTATAGTAGCCAGAGTTGAGGGCATACTCGGTGAGATTGTTAGGCAGGGAAGCCTCTTCGACTTTGGGGGGTTGGAAGAAGGCAGCAATACTGGCTTCTCGTCGTTTACGTGCGATTGCCGAGACTTCTTTGTAGTTCTGCGGAGCCATGTTGGTGATCGATTAAGGTCACGACAAATGATGAGTGTATGAATTAAGAAAACGAGTTTGCTGGGGAAGAGGCAGAACTATGTACAATCAGGTTGGGTACTTGGGTGGGTGATGGTCCCTCGGTCTTGTATGGTGGGGTGTTTAGAACATGATAACCTGCCTTTTCTGACGCTGGCGGTCATATCCGGCAAGAGCGCGTGGGTGGTAGAAGCCCGAAGTGCGGATGCGTGCCATGCGTTGGAGGAACTCAACGAACTGCAGGGGTGTGGAGTGGGGGCGGAACAGGTGAACCGTCGTGGGGCCTTTGAGGCGAAATGCTTGTAGGCGTCTACAACTTTGGACATTGTCATTTGAACGGGTCAATTTGATGCTTCAAGTTCTTCACAGGCTCGAGCAGTCAACGCCCATGCAATTGTACACTACTGTATCCAAAGGGAGTCGCAGGCGTCATGTCAGTCACGCTGCACACCACCCACGGCGACTTGAAGATCGAGGTCTTTTGCGAGTCTGTGCCGCAGACCGCCGAAAACTTCCTGGCCCTCTGTGCGTCCGGAGCATACAACGGTACGCCATTTCACCGCATAATTCCGGAATTCATGGCCCAGGGCGGAGATACGTCGCTCTCGCCTCGCAACACACCAGAGACACCGATTCAGAAAGGCGGCACCTCGATATGGGGCGAGTACTTTGATGACGAGATCAAGGTACCAGCCTTGCGCCATAGCAGCAGAGGCATGGTCTCTATGGCAAACAAGGGTCCTGCTACGAATGGCAGCCAGTTCTTCATCACTTTCAAGGAAGCTGCCCACCTCGACGGCAAAAATACCGTGTTCGGCCGAGTCATCGCAGGCGCCGAAGAAGGCGGCACCCTGGACAACATCGAAGGCATTGAGGTCGACAAAAAGTACCGGCCCAAAAGTGAGAAAGTCATAGTAGAGCGAGTGACAGTCCATGCAAACCCGGTGGCAAGCTGAGCGAGGCGATGCTGGGTCGACATGATACAATTTTACAGCCCGCACAACGCGCCCAAGGCCATGCTGGAAGTGGGCGCTCCAAGCAAGCGAACGTATCGCACCGTTGCATAGTCATCATTCCAAGGTGTGGGGAAACACTTGTGAATCTCAGGATACAGCGAGTCTGGACTGACACCGACCACGGCACTATAGGGTGGCCTAGACCTTGCAACGACAGATGTCTGAGACAATGGAGGACCTCACCAGCCCTCTGGGAGTGCACTGGTGGCGAATGGCCGAGTCTGGCGTCACGCAAGCAGAAGTCTGTGATGATTCGTCGAATGGTTACACAAAAACCAGCAGGTGCTGGAGAGATAGACAAGACAAGGCTCAGATGATAGCGAGTCGTCGCGCCAGTAGGGAATGCGCTGACATGACACGTACACAATACGCACAAGGTAGATATCTCATCAAGACATCATGCTTTCTGAGCATTACTGTGAAGACTTGGGCAATAATCCATCGAGCCTAGCCCTTCGACCAGACGGATCTATTGGGGGCCAATAGTGGCCTTACACTGACGTTTCTGTCAAGCTCAAGGACTCCGGGCGGGCGCCAACGCCCACGCCAAAACGCTTGCCTTGTCCGAGTGCCCGTAACCGTCCCCGATCAAGGTTCACTACTCATCAACACCGCAGTCTCAGCTTACGCCGCGCAGTTCAGACACCCATGATTATGACAGCATTCACAATCCGTACCATCTGAACCGAAACAGCATTTACAGAGCCCATCGTTGCCTGTACTGAGACTTGAGACCTGACTGGGTGCGCATTGCCAGCATATCCACTTTCATCTCCGCCGACGTCAACGACAACACGAGGCGGCCCACGAGCTCACACGAGAACAAAGACACTCCTGTACACTACCCGTCCGATCACCTATGTGACAGCGTCACTGCTCCTCAGTCTCTATGGGCTTCGCAAGATCACGCTGCAGCCCACCTTTGCCCGCCATAAAATCACACACGAGCCTCACCCTAGCGACACCGCCCCGGCCCGCCTCTGATGACCACAACCTCGTCGCGCCGCCTTCAAAGATATGGCCGCATTCGTGCGAGTGAGTGGTCGCCCAAATACAAACTATCTGGTTGGATACCCGGGTATCTCTGCGACGCTAGTAAGCCCAATTGTAGCCTTGCGCCTGTCCCACGCTGACATCTGTAGCCTCGCATTGAAGGAACCGTCGAAATACGGCCTCTTCATGGCATCAGTAGTGCCGTCAATATCGCCATTGTCACCATATCTCTCCAGCGCAAGGAGAGCATTCACCCCCATGCCGACTCGATGGCGAAGAAGCATCTGGCTGCGCCCAGGAAGGAGTCGACAGAAACGGTGGGAAAAGAGATGCTGCTCTACAGGTGTCAGGCCAATAAACCCTTTGAGGAGATCATGTTCATGGACCTTCCTTTCGTGATATTCATCCCATTTGGAAGGGGAGGACAAGAGACACATCGTCGCCTACCCCCAGCAAGTCTACAGCTGAAGTCGCGCACCGCTGAGACATACTACGAGCTGGTGGTGAGTATCGGCTACGGAAATGGAGATCAGAAGAAGATGCAATTTCCGGTGCCCATCACTCGATACGACACTCTTTCCACCTTCGGCATGTACAATCGTCCAGAAGCGGCAGAACGTGTGACAGACCATTTGGTGACTCTGGGCATCTCTCTTCCACGATGGTCGTACGGCCCAAATGACCCCGTCAGTGTCTACATCAAACTATCGCCAAATCCGGACTGGCTTAGCAAGGCGAAGAAAGTGACGATCAAAAAGATCGAGATCTCGGTCGACGAGGAAGTCATCTACAACCACGAAGGCGACGAGCCCAAGCGAGTTGCTCGGTCCTTGCAGCGGCGGACTGAGCAGGTCGGCATCAAATTACCAGAAGGAGGCTATTTCACCAATATGGGCTTTATCTTTCCATCTACCGACCCAAGGGATAGCGATGGACTTTTACCCAGGTCCAAAGATAGATTCCCTATGTACGGAGTCAGCGGCTTTACAACCACGGCTGGGCTGTACAAGGTCGAATACTACCTGACGATAAAGGTTAAATTCCCTTCGAGACCGTTTGCCGCCTTCTAGCCAATGCTAACTTCTACCAGGCTTCTTTGACGGGAGCGAAAGATATTGTCCTGAAGCAGCCCATTGTTGTGTGTCCACTTGATCACGCTGGATGCAAAGCTGAAATGGAAGCAATTGAACAAGCAGCGAAGGACGCTGCACATGTCAATGCCGACAACCCGATGCTGCCGCTCGCCACCATAATACGTGCTAGCGACCATAATGCCCTTGCTGCCCTGGGTGTGGCCATTGTCGGCAGTGTCAAAAAGCCACTAATCGAGTGAAATTTAGTCATCGGACTTGATGTACATTTTCACAACAAATCATCTTCCACGGATGGACTGGAGCTCCTGGGGGCGTGTTGGCCTTAACAGGAGCAGCTAAGACCTTACTGCGCTGAGGAAAAAAGACGCCCGCAAGAGGCAAGCTGTCAGCATCTCGGTTGAACGGCCTGGAAAGGTACCCTCGGAATGGGGACCCATCAGGATGGGCATCTGGTTCATCCCATTATTACCATTAAAGAAGCTGTCTATGGATTGGGGGACTTGGACTACAAGCTCGACGATCCCATTTTGTCTGAAGCATTGGCTGCCCATTTCTTGTACAGCAGCGAGACGGTAATCACAACCTCTCAACATTTTGAATTAATGCGAGGAGTCTTGCGATGGATACAAGCGAGTGATATTACAGGATCACGGGACCATGAATGAGCATGCTACCACATTCACACTGAGCGAACAGGTAGGATACCGCTTGATACAGCAATCCAGCCGTTCTCAATTCTACTATTTCCCGACCGACCCGGTTGACATCCAGATTCGCACTACACACGGGTCAAATCGTTGGTGAACAGTCTTATTCTATTTCTCAGATCCATAATCGCATTTTACGCTCTTCATTATGGCGGGACTCGTCACCCGAGCCTATCATTCACCGTCATCGACGAATGAGCGAGCGAGCGAGCGCAGTCTTCACTCCCCGGCGAAGAAGTACACCTCATCGTCGCCATCATCTTCGTCCTCCTCCTGATGACTCTCGTCTCCATCCTCCTCTCCCTCAACCCGCTTCTCCATCTCATCTTCCCACCCATCCATCCACTCCACCACCAAACTCTTCCGCTCTCCCCAAACCTTCTCCTCCGCCGCCAACGCCAGCCCCAACGCCTTCAGCTCCTCAAACTTTCCTTTCGTCCTCGCCTCCTCCTCGTCTCCTTCGGCACGAACCGCCTCCAACCTCCGCCAAAACGTCTCCAACTCCCCCCGCGCCATCTCCACCAGCGCTTCTTCACGCACCGGGTTTACTGTCATTGTCGCTGGCATTGTCGCCTCGGCTCGGCTCAGCAGCTCCATGCGCTCGTCGTGCGCGGCGATGGCGGCCGTGGCGTGGCGGACGACTCGGGGCAGCAGCTGGCCATGCAGGATGTCGATTTTGGCCCAGAGGCTGAGGTCTGGGAGGGCGGGGGTAGGTGCTGGTGCTGGTGCTAGTGCTGCTGTCGTTGCTGCTGGGGTTGCGGTGGCTTGGTCTTGGGCTTGGGAGCCCGTACGGTCGGCGGCAGGCAGCTCGAGGATGAATTGCAGGCGGGCAGAGGAGGAAGACATGGTGGTAGTTGCTGCTGCTGCTGCTGATGTGGTGTTCTGGGTGTGTGCGTGTGTGTAATCTAAAGTTTAGTCATGAAGAAGATGAGAACTCGAGGTCTGGTAGGGACGGGGTTGCGTGAGGTAGAAGTGCAGGACAGGTTGCCAACGGAGGGATCGAGTGAATGCAACTTGTCAATAGGAACCAACAGAAACGGCTGTTTCTGTTGGTTCCTGTGGGACTGGTTTGGCTATTCTGATGCTCATGCTATTGTTGCAACAGGGTCATCTACCACAGGCATTCTTGCTACGCGCAAGGTGGACCCGACGGCGAGGAGCCCGCGTGACGACTTCCTATTCATCAAGACCTTAAATTCTTTGACAACTCTGGTGTGGTAAATAGCTATTTAGGACGAGCCCGCAATCAGAAGCAGGTCATGTATGCTTCAGACTCACGTGTTCTTCGCCTTGCCAGAGCCAGATGCTCAAGTGGGTCATCCTCCATGCTTACGCCAGCTGATCATGGCCATCCCATAACCTAGGATTCAAGTGTTATCGAGGCCGATAAGGACCTGGGTATTGAATATCTTCCCGAATATCGCCTTTCTGCCCTCGTATGCGGCAGGCAGTCGGCCAGCTTACGGTAGATACCAGGAGCCTGCGCCTATCTTGATGACAGCATTTGTATATCGACGCGCATAGGCAAGCACAGGGGCATGGACCATCTGGACTGATAAACTTGGCTCGAAGTCGTGTATTGGGATGCAGGAACCATCATCTGCAGGGACGTTAGCAGTGAATGGCGATGGTGAAAATAAGATGCCAAGGCCGCTAAGTGGTGTAAAAGGTAATAAGGCGGCGAGGCAGCAAGGCAGCCAGAAGGTAAAGAAGTGACTACATTTCACTGTCATGTGTGAATTGTTGGCACTGACTAGGCCGAATCTATTCATGCATGTGTTTGACTGCCTTCCTATTAGATTGCACTATTCAAAGTTGTCTTGTTCGGTGAACCCTAGTCGTACTGCTGTCTCTCCTGCTGCCCTCTTGACTGATTGCCGGCTTCGCTGAATTGATGGATCCTTACAGCTTGAGCTGATCCAGCAAGTCCCCCACCTCCCTCGCTGCATCGTCATGGTCGTCGATCCAAAGAGCATCAATCAAGTTGTTCATCTCATTCATGCCCTGCTTGTTCCCCCATCGAACCAGTCCTGTTGCTTGCTTGTGCTCCTTGATCCTCCTTTGTAGCGCCATAACCATCCATACTAGATTCTCGTAGTCCGCCGTGCCGACTCTATATCGTCGTAGACCGTCGCGACATTGCATCAGGATAGTCTTGAGATACTCGAGCTCGTCGTTGGCGAGGGTTCTAGGACTCGTGATGGGGGAGTTGGTGACGAAGACCTCAACGCCGCCGAAGCGTCGGTCTGGGTCTAGAAAATAATCAACATGAACATTCGATGTGGATGTGATGGGCGCGGGGAGATGCTCGAGGCGTTGTATGACCAAGGTGTTCAGGCGTGTTCCCGAGGAAGGTACAGTGGGGTTCATGATGGTCGGTGTTCGGGTTTCTCTACTTTGATTCTCTGGTTGCTTGCGCATTTGCTAGTGGTAAGTACTACTGCCAGGGAAGCTCCTCGCTCTTATACCTAACGATGAAGCGGCAGAAAGCGCTTAGTCAAAGGTATTGGATTCGGTGGTTTGGTTAAGATCTACGCTCTAGACAAGCATTATTGCAAGACAAAGGGCTATGAGACATACAAGATACAAGAAGAAGTTGTGCCAGGATGGGTCTCGGGTTTAGATTAGTTGAGCAGTTCAGTTGTACAAAGGAGGAATGATCTGTATGTTCCATTGCTTGCGCCTGCTGCTCAGATTGGCTATCTGATTCCTGGAGACCAGAAAGCCATGGTGATCGTCTTCTACAGTGACAACCTTTGCTGGTAGTGCTGCCAATGGAAGGCGATCTTCCGTCCTGCATGCTCCCTTGTAGCCAGTAGTCTCGGAGGAAGTTTCGCATGCCGTCTTAGAATGCCAACCCCCCTTTCCTGCCAATTAGTCTCAGCCTTCGCCATGCGAATCATTTCTACAACGTAGAACCGTAATCTGGTGAGAGGCCTCAAGTCGCTGTTGATCACAGCTTGAGGCTCTCCATCATCTCTTCGATCTTTTCGCTGGCTTGCGTGTCATTCTTGATGCTGAGCACGGCGAGTAGATCTTCGATATCCTGCGACTTACCGGTCTGCAAGTGTTTGGCTTCTCTGTGCTGACTGAATGCACACTGGAGAGCAGTGATGTACCATTGAACGCTGAGCTTGTTAGTACGGTTGGGCTGCTGGGTAGTCAGTACATCAAGAAGGCTGGCACGTAGCTTCGACATCAGGAATTTGAGATAGTCGATCTCATCGTTGGCCAAGAGTCGCGGCTTTGACTTTTCGGTGTTCTCCAGGAAGAAGTTGACAGCATTAAGACGGTTCTTTCTGTCGCGTTGAAATTCCGTGATGACTGTTGTAAATCCTGGAACAATCTCATCTAGTTGGTCTGGGATGTCGACTGAGAGACCTCGAGTTTCTAAAATTTCGTACTCGGTGGTTGAGGCCATGGTTTCGCTCGTGGACTCAGACGTCATGGGGTGTGTTTGCAGGACGAAGCACAGACTGATGAAGAGATATGTACTTGTCGACATGAGGCATCCACCTGGCGAAGATGTTCGACCAAGAGGTCACCGTCAATGACATGCCTCGCAATCTACGTGTGGAATCAAAGAACAAAGGTAGAGAGCACAAGAAGACTTTGTTGTCGTGTCACAGGTGACATAATCTGGCCAAGAGGTCACCATGAAGGACATGGTTCGTAACAAACAAAGATGAGGAGTACAAAGACTTGGTGTCACGCCACTGGCGAAGCCTCGGCGCCTGGATTGGCATTCCAGAGGCCACAGGCAGTTGATGGCTGAAGCAGCGCTCCTCTTTGCCAAAGATTGACTCACATTTCGTGAGTATCCAAGAAACTTACATCGTGACATCGATGTGTGCCTCCTTCTGCTCCTCTTCCTGCTGCTCATGCTCCTCCCTGCCCACCTTCGCCTCTTCTTTGGACTCAAACGGCATCGTACCTTCTAGCTCGAGAAAGTGGTCGTCAGATCCAGCAGCCTCCTCCTCTTCGGTTTTCTCCATCTCCTCGTCCTTGTCATCATCCGTCATTTTCAGACCATTCATAAGCCCTGCCAACTCCTCTTCTGCCTGCTCGTCCGTCTTGTTGAGGTCCATCAAACCAACCATCTCCTCAAGGCTGGTGGACTTGTTGGCATTGGTGGCGTACCAGTGCTGATTCAGACGCACTTGCAGAACCCGCATGACGTAGATGAGTCCATCCCGAACCGCTTCGCCGTGCTCGCTGTTGCTCGTCGCGGGGGCTTGGGAGCGAACATACTTGACGATGCGCTTGACCGTGGCCAGAGCCTTGGTCGATAGTAGTCTGGGTTCGCCGCGAGGGGCGTCGACACCGATCTGAATGCTGACATTGCCGTTCTTGCGGCTGATATTCATGGTGATGTAAGAGTCATCGTTGACCGGGGGCCGGTTGTACTGGAAATTCATGTTGAGGCCGTCGGTGCCCTGGTAATTGTTGTCCCACTGCATGATGCCGGTGATTACTGCTGCTGGACAGAGATGTAAAAGGGATAAGCGGGTGGTTGGTGTTGAAAAGAGGACTTCTTGAAGGTGGTCGAGGGTTTGATTTGGTTCAGAACCTTTGTTTGGTCGAAGAATCTGTCAGAGCTACTAGTGTGCAAGACCGTGTACCATGTACCGTACTTCCGTGGCAGAGACAAATGGGTGAAATAGGACAAAGTTTTGTTCAAAGGGTAGAAATGATGGACGGTGGAATGACTTGGGACGAAATTTCGATCTATTGGCATTAAATTAATGCTAATCATGCCAACCTCGACGGACAACGTATTCACTGCCCTGGTCTACCAAAGGCAACAGTGCTCCCATTGCTTGGCAAAACAGCCCCCCTGGACCAAGCTCCCATGCCACGTAGAGACAGGCATTGGTTTCTCGTATGGAAAACCATCTCTATAGTCCCGTTGTTGTCCAGCCAATAACTTTCGTAAGTTTTATTGGAGGAGATGTGCTCGATAGGCAGGCGTATGCCATTTTCCGTCCGAAGTTCGTCGGAAGCTGGTATGGAGTCTGAAGCATGTAGATTTCTTATGCTCTGGGTGCATCAAGGGCAAGTCCGGTACGCAACAATCTGGAAGCTCAGGATTAGTGCTGATAGTCTTGACAGTGTTCAACTTTGGCTCAGCCCTCGGCCGGTGCACAAGCTTGACTTGGGCCATACTGGACGTTGACATTTGTATGGTACAGTTTGGAAAGGTGTTGTAGACTGAAGCATGGCCCCGTTAACAGCAGAACCTAGTTATTAATAGTCCTCTTGACGAGCATTACATTTGTACCGTTTACGGAGCTCACAAGCCTGTCTAATACGTTCACAATGCAATACAAGCTGGATCACAATGAACCTGGCTGACATCAAGCGAGAAGCAACAAAGCCAGGTTCTATACCCGTTCAATAGTTGGGAAGTACTTTCCATGCAACAATGTTATCTTTTGGTCTCATGGGAGTGCACAGAGCCTATGCACAAGGGCCACATAATGATCTATGCGGCTGCTGCTTTATACTGCCAAGCCCGGGCAAGGCTACCACCCCCTTATGTCCATATAGTGTCTTGTGACGACCCGTAGGAATAAGTTGATGTGTCACTGCACACCATTGCAACTGTAGATTGTTATGTGATTGCTCTGCTGTAAATGTCCACTCCAATAAGTAGATTACGGACCTAGGCAAGCCACACAGTAACTCTACATAGAATTTATGCTTCGCAAGAGCAGTTCAGTTGCTCGATCGTTTGCCTGGCGAGAATGCGCTGCAGTATGATTCGTGAGGCATCCAAGGATAGTCAAAGTTCTTGCTTGCTGGTTATGACGACGTTCCAGCTTTACGTCTAACTCTCATGCTGGCCTTGGGCTTGGTTCCCACATTCGTCATGGTCTCTTCCGACTCAGAATGGGCATCGATATCGTAGTGCAACAGTATATAGGCCATGACGATCTTGATCTCATTGCTGACAAGCATCCTACCGGCGCAAGGCTGTATGCCGGCACCAAACTGCGTATCATAATCTGAGAGCGATACAAACTGGTGCTTGTGCGCGTGCCCGGGCTGTTGGCGAAGCTTGTAAAAGCGCAAGCCGTCGAATGCTTGAGGCTCCGGGAAGACCCGTGGGTCGCGAAAGATGCCGGCCCCTGATGTGCCGATAAAGGTCCCCTGGGGAAGGAGTGTGCCATTCGAAAGTGGAATGCCACCGGGGCGGTTGACTCGTCTCACCAGACTCAGGTCGACGGTAGGCGACAGACGCTGGCCTTCTTTGATGAAAGAGTCGAGCTTCTGAAGGGATATCAGATCGGCTACCGTCAGTTCTGCGAACATACGACCACGAAGTGCTTGTTCAATCTCCTCGAGTAATGTAGCCTGGTACTGCGGATGGGCGGCCAGGCGAATCAGGATATCTGTGAGCTTCGAACTGTTAGACATGGTCACTCATTCGACGATCAAGATACTCACCGTCGTGGTGGTGGTATGGATGGCAAGGACGACTAGAGCAAGCATGTCGTCCGTCAAGTCACCCACAGTGGCTGGTTTCTGCGCAAGAATTGCTCCTAGTATGTCTGTGGGTTTCGTACCCGTTGGATTGTTTGTCCGCTCATTAACAATGGGTTCCAAGATGGCACGCATCTCGCGTTTATCTTGATCCAGCTTCTTCAACTCCGGAGCGAATAGGCCATATGGACGTCTCAGATACCAAGGTTTCATCCAAATCTTCCAGGCCGTCCGTGCCACGTTGTAGATGTGAGTTGACCTGGCGGCAGTTAGAATGGGATTTGGAAAGAGGTGAGGGATTCCTACGCAAGTGCGCCCCATCTGGAATCGTGGGCTAATTTGGGGCCAGCAGCAAGCAATCCAGTCATATTGCTGACGATTCTGACGCCCAAATTCTGAAGTTGGACGTCCGTCCAGTCCTGAGCGGCGCCAACAACCTCGGGCATGATGCGTGCACATTCATTGATAAGTGTCCCGATGGCAGAATTGCTCAACTTCGTGAAGTCGTTCCTCATGACTTGGAGGAATTCGTGTCTTGGGATGATCTTGGTCCATCTGTCCGCAAAGCGGTCTCCGACCTCTTGGATCCAGCTTGCGTCGGTATGCGGCAATCCTTTGACCTCACTTGCCAAATTCATGGGAAGCAGAATGATGTCGTGCATTGGATGCTCTAACTTACACATCCGACTATTTCGGAGGTACTTATCAGACTTTTAGCGAGGCAATGTTGGGGCATCAGTCGCTAACCTTGTCGTATGCTTCTCTCATGGACACTCTTTGTTCCGCCTGCGACCGCATTGACAGTCGGGGCAGGTTTCGGAATGGATCGTTCTTTTGCAACAGATTCCAGAGCCAAAGAGTCGCAAAGAAAGCGCACGTGGTGACGGCAAAGACACCAATCGTGGCCTGCAAGCTGTATTCACCGTTGCTACCATGAGAAGTGGCCATTTTGAGATGCACAAGAGGAAGGTTACTGTACAAAGCGGTAGCACGGTTTTCCGGTGATCAAAATCAGTAGGGTGGTCAGTATCGAAGCTGTGGTGCATTGGCTCTTTTCAGAAACCGAACGAGGGTACAGTCAGCATCGCATCGCGTTACTGGCTATCAAGGCCACGAAGTACACTGTGGACGCCTAACGCTCGAATCCGCACCCTTCAGGACAAACGAGCCTCCTAGTGCATTAAGCGACGACTTTCTGGCGAGCACTTGCTCCTGAAACATCCCTCTATCCGGGAATCGTTGTCTTGATCTTACACGTCGTACGTACCATCAGCCAGTCTGATTCAATGAGAAGACGCGGATAGCTCTCAGGCATGATCTGCACATACATATCATGGAAGTTATCAAGTACTTCACTGAGGTCACGAACGGCAGTACGACTGATGTTTGCGGTCCAGCTCGTAATGTAGTTATTCGTTGCGATTCTCTTCTTCGCGGCTGCCTTTATCGTCCATATGAATCATCGTCGCGCAAGAAGCAGCTGGCCTGATGCGCATTACATCCGAGGATTTGCGTGTCAGAACTTCGCGCTTGGCTGCGAGATCATTGGGTCAGCGTTTGATTTTCTGAGCGTTGCTTACACTTCGAGCTAGGCTGACCACAGCTGTTGACATAATCATCCTCGTTTGTCGGATTGCCGCGAGTAACCAGGGCCACCTCGCTAGGGGAACGACGAGAGGGAGTGGTGCCATGAAGTTCATTGATTCTCTAATCTAAAATGCGACTGCAACCGACAGAAATGACCAGCATCCAGAGACAACCCAAACTCAAGTTATCAAATGTCAAAGCACGTAACTGATCAAGCTTGCAGCATCTGGCTCGCTAGAACGCTGTCACTATCCACCACAAATCCGTAATTCCTGGCAACATTCCACTCGACAAGCTCTTGCGCCATCAGTCCCGTCGTGGCTGTTGCGACGCAGTCCTTCACCATCAAACAGTCGTAACTCTTGCTGTAGCAGTCTGTCAGTGTCCCCAAAACGCACTGATCAGTATTGACACCAGCGAAGAATATCGTCTTCTTGTTATGGTTGGCAATGTACCGCGCCATATCGCAGTCAGGGCTCCACATCCCGCTTGGGCGGTTCTTCAGAAAAGTAACATCCTCTGGGCGTGCAGCCGCCCTGATGGGCTCGTAGAGCTCGGCATTCCAACTACCTTTCCACAGGCATCGCCCTTGCCCGTCAGGCAGTTCTGAGCCGAGATTGACATGCCAGCCGATTCCATGAGTCTTAAGTCTGTCGGCGCTCCACCCGCGCTGCACGGCCGGTGGCATTTCCTCCAAATCCTTTTCCTCAATGACCCAATTCAAATAGCCGATCTGGATGCCCAACTGCCGGCATCTGCCTATGACATTGAGAATAGGCTGAACGGCAGCAAGGCCGCCCACGTGTGGATAACAAGCAGGGTGGATGAAGTAATTCTGCATGTCGACCACTACCAATAACGTCCGCGTCGGATCAACCACGATACCGGACATCTGCTCATGTTGGGTGGGAATGAGTAATTTCGAAGGCGAGAGCCGAGTCAAGTCAAAGAGCCTTGATTTGGGATGATATAACCAGCATTCTGGGCCATGGCCAAAAGGTATCGCCGAGGCTACATCGAGTAATTCGTTTGCCTGTTCCGCTTTCTGCCAAAGGCCAAGCCCTGCATCTGGCCCTGAGACAGAAAATGTCGGTTGTTGCGGGTCACACTGGTCGGTCTGGTGGTTCGAACCAGGGTCGACTGTAGAGAGGCTGCTTACTGAAGTGGAGAGTGAATCCGCTGGCGTAAAGACAACGTCTTGATCAGATTCGGGAGACGAAGATAGTGTCTGTTCAGGATGATTGTGATTGGGTATGTCAATGGGCCATGCCATTACAATCTCCGCCACCAGGAGGAGTAACGAGAACGTCGAACGAAGTTCTTAAGAGACTCACAGGATCTTTCTTGATGGAGGAAGAGGAGGGAGAGCGGGACTGAAAATTCCGGGAACCGAAGGGGTCAGGAAAGCAGCGGGGATTTCTTATCGTGTGACCTGTGGCGCTTATCTCGGCGGAGATATCTTCGCCGATAAATATGCTTTAATATTCCTGACCGCTCGTTTGCTATCAAACATTAAACATGATACGACCTCCGAAAGAGTCTCAACAGAACTACCATCTAGTTGGCGACTCGTACATTTCGAGAGGCGCCCAAGCCCACGAAAAGATCGAGGACCGAAATTGCGGCATGGCGAGACCACCGACAGCCGCCTTGGCAGGCAACTTCGACTCAAATAGGCGGACGCTAGATCGAGAATGGCTTAGTTCAATTATACCGCCAAGAGCGGAACATTCGACGGCATTCAAGGCTGTTCTTACCATGCTTAGACGGTCCAGGTGCTGCTCGATCGTCAACCTGCCCAAACACTGACGAGGATTTCCTTGTTGTGGCGAGCTCCGGGTCCTCGCGGGACATCACTCATTCCTTTTGCTTAGGAGTTTGTGGGATCCTAGTCACGTCGAGCGAGTAATTTTTGGCATGTGAATCGATATCACTCTCGTTAGAAGTTGAATTTGACGAGAGTGGCACAGCACAAGTAGCAGCCACTTAAAGTGAGGTAGTATGTAGGCTCTGAGCAATTCGAGGGGTCGGTACTGAATTGTCGAAGTGTCACCAACGAGGTTTGCCTGGGTTGGTCCTCAGCAGGCCGACTCTCTTCATTCGGTCCGGACTCTGAATTGATCTGAGTAGTCAATTCAGGCAGTGGGGTTTCGTCTTTCGAGTGTATCATCGATCGAAAGCTTTTGCATCAGATCATCGATGTCCGATCGCTTGACATTGATTTTTCTCAAGTTATCGTCAAGGTATTGTTCCATGATAGTCGAAGCGCTTTTGAACTGCGTAGAGTCGCGTCCCCATACCTTTTCGATATTGGCCAGATTCCCGCGGATGAAGTCCAGTACATTGTTGATTAAAACGAGCGTCTCGGGTTTCGTCTCATTGTGAAAGTTGCTCTGGTCCATTTCCCACGCCACTCTGCGCTCAAAAGCACAAAGTCATGTGGCAGCGGTTCGCTGCGCCTCAACATGAAACGAGACCGCGTGATGGATGAGAGGAATCGAGAAGAGTAGTCGTCGACGGTGGACGAAGAAAGTGTCGTAATGGGAGGACGCTAAGATAAGGCACGAGTCATGATCTTATCGCGATGCCGAAGCCTGACTCATTTTGCGATTTTGGGTTTTGGGAATGCTCACGCCCTGCTTCTCAGTCGCAGTCTCCGGTACACCTTCCTTACCACATAGCGCCTCTCCTTGCGCTTTCCAGGCGATATACCTGCCCGAAATGGCAGACGCTGACGAAGATGCGCTTCCATCGAGCTCTCGGGGCCCGCAAAGTGCGGGAGAAGGAGAGGAAGGGGATGAGGAAGCACAAGATTTTCGATACCTGGCATCGCTTACCGGCGGTAGCAAGCAATTGCAAGGAGCTACTCTCAAACGTGGCGTCAAAGACTTCGAGCCTAACCCTACCCGATCGCAGGCCGACGCGCTCGGTGAAAGCCGAATAGCGATGTACGATGCGCTGAGTGTGCTGCGGTCGCAAGCAGCAAAGAATCACAATGTTGGGCAATTCGTAGATGATAGGAGCTGCGGCAGACCGTGGGACTTGAGGCTGAGAGCTTCACTCCGAGGCGAGGACTGGGATTCACGTTGCGTCGTGATCTACAAATTCAAAAGCACATTCAGCCGCACCATTGGAAGAGGGGACTTCAGATCGTGGACGTGGTTACTGCCTGAGGAAGCGCTCTATCTTCTGGAAAGGGGCTCATTGGATATTAGGTGGCCCGATGTACCGAGTCCGGACGAGGCTCACACAGGCGAGCCGGAGCTTGCATCAAGCACAGCCAACATCGACTCTGAACCAGAACAGGCATCTGAAGCTGAACCACTTGGCGAGCTTCCCATGAGCTTGCAAGGCGCATATGCAACATTCGTCGGCAGAAGTGGCTTGACTATGGACCGATATCTCGTCTACACTGGATTGCGCAGGCTTGGATATGTTGTTCAAAGGGCATCGAGCTGGTTTGATTTCAACCAGACCCAATCAAACGACGACTCGTCAGACAAGTTACCGTTGCCAGCAACACTCGCGACTCGGCCTTTCACCTCGCCATCACTCCTCTCGCGCCTGATTTCCTTCATAGTGAACCCTCGGATCGGGACGTCCTGCCCCTCGCACGGACCTCTACTTGCACCTGGCCTCTACCGGAACTACAATGACGTCTTCCGCTCATTTTCTCTGATCCCCTATGGCCCTCCACGTCTCCACAAAGACCGTACCGAACCAGGAGGACCTTTCTCTATTGCCTTCCACGTATGGCGACCTTCGAGCCCTTATAAGAAGAGCGCTCCCCCACCAGTTGATTTCCGCATCTGTGTTCTGGATGCCCGTGCCACTAACGTCCCGACCATGACCGACATTGGGACATTACTCGATTCAATGCCGAGTGATGAGTTGCCAACAGACAAGCGCGCCGAGGCGAAGATCAAGCACGGCAAGCGTAGTGTGATCTTGGCAGTTGTCGACATCGGCGTGGTCAGCTATCTGCGCTTCAACGACGCGAGTGTTGGCAGCTACAAGATCTACGAGGACAAGACGGCCAGGGCGCAGAAGGGCAGAGCGAGAGGTGGCAGTGCAGGTGGCGGAGGCAGGGGCGGTGGGAGAGGACGAGGCCGAGGGCGAGGGAAAGGAGGGCGCTGACCTACCTGGTATGATTTACGAGCTTAGACTTGATACCCCACTTAGCGTTGCATTTTGCATAGATGGGATGGTGTGGGGAGGATGAATTGGTAAAGGTAGAGGCATCAGGGTATAAGATATGAGCATTTTCTTACTGGTATCGGAAAGCGCTATGATATATTGTTTCCACGAATAGAACGTCCCCTTGCCAGCATGGCTTTAAGCGATGGAGCGGACTGCCTGATGATCGTTGGAAGGATTTGCTTTGCCATTCTCATATAGACATTCGACTGTAGAGCACGAAAGGTGAATGTATATGCTTGAGATGGGTTTGGAGGGGGTGTAGGGTTGGAAGAAAAGGTGAAACGGCACGTGCCGTTCGAAGGCATTGTGTGTGAAGAGTGTGCCTTGATTCATCGATGGTTTGCATTCCTCACACAAACCTTTCGATCGGCTACCGGACAGCTCTGTCACCAGAACAGATCGGGGCCAGAAGAGTGAGCCGTCATATCACAGCAATGTCAAACGAGGCATCATGTCTAACGGCTGGCCTTCATGGTCTGTTCCATCATCCGAGACGACCGCTTGAGTCTCGCGATGAGTTTGAAGAGGCTCGTAACAAGCCTGCGATTGCTGGTAGCTGCTGGGCCCAGCTTCTGCGAGAAAAAGTATGTGCCCGGATTTGGGGTCGTCGTAACTTCGTGTTCGTCGTAGTCGTCTTGTTCTGTCCATCATTGAGCACCGCACTCGTTGGCAGCGTGTCTCAGCAGTCCAGATAGTCCGCAGCCATGAGAAGCTCCAAGCATAGCTCGCTCGGAATTTCCATGTCTGCCACACCCATCTGCTCTCGCATCTTCTCGTTGTAGTAGAGATACTCGACGACTTTTTCGAGGACGACACCAGTGATATTCTCGAGGTGGCATTCGCCGCTTACTGCTTCACTGAAATTACCTGGGAGATGTTTAGCACAAAATCAAACATGAAATTCGCAGACCTACTCTGGACGTCGAGCATTCGACGAATGGTTCCGGATCTCATCGCCGCGGATCGTCGAATGTGAAATTCGAAACCATCATGTGACACGAGCGTCACGTAGGGAGACACAGAAGCGTCGGTGGTAGCCATGTTCACCTTACAGTCTGTGGTGTGGCTACGTCGCAAGAAAGGTTGGAGAAAATGAAAGCGATTTTTCCGGCGCGCAAGGATGCGTTATGGCAATAACGGGCCACCGTATCCAGACAAGGCAAGAAGGCAACCTCAGAAGCCTCACAACACCTCTTCTCCTCTTCGCTGCGGAAGGATGACGATAGGCCTCCGTTCGAAGAGTGTCAGAGCTTTGGGTCGGCTTCTTTCTCTGCGATGGTTTCCTTCTGTTCACAGGTCTGCCCCTTACTTAGAGGCATCCGAGGCGCGTTACTATTCAGTGGCGGGTGACCGCGAGCGTCAGCAAGATGTCGACCTCACTATCGCTCCTGCGAGAGGATCGGGAAAGGGCTTCCACGGCAGAAGTGTTCTATTGACGGGCGGGACATCCGGTATTGGTTTGGCCGTCGCAAAACGCTTGACAAGCGACGGCGCGGGGCGTGTCTTAATTCTGACCAGGGATGCGGAGCGCGGCAACAAGACTGTCGAGAACATCAAGACCAGCACGGGCCTGCCCGACGCTCCTGTCTCATATCTCGTCGCGGACGTTACGAGTCATGATGATATTGAAGGGCCTGTCGCGTCCGCAATGAAGCAGATGGCAAGTATCTGCATATCCATTTACCTCCGACGCTAATTTCAAAAGCATTGCAATTCTTTCATTGCATGTGCAGGCTTGGCACAGAACAGCCTGCTAGTCAGATCTACTGCTGATGCCGAGAATATGATCCTGGCAACGAATTTGACGTCCACCATGCAAATTGCCAGAGCTTTCCTACGCCATTATCTCAAAAACGGCGCACGGCAAAAAGGCGATATCATAAACGGAGGTTCTGTTTCATACTGTTTCGTTGCTCTTTCGTCATTGCTTGCTATCAAGGGTGGTGAAGGGGCGTCAGCATATGCGGCTTCGAAGGCTGGACTGCTGGCCTTTACCCGAGCATTGTCTCTCGAAGCAAGTACAATTCAGAAGAGAAATCCAGCCGAAAACGTGTCTTTCAGAGCAAACGTCGTGCTTCCCGGCTATGTGCACACCCCGATGACAAAAGGTATGTTGCAGCGACGAGAATAGTGTTGGGAGTATAGGGACTCACGTGAACAGGATTCTCGGATACGCACATCCAGAAACTGAATGAATCAATCCCCCTAGGCCGCTTCGCTCGGGCGGAAGAGGTTGCTGATGCAGTCGCATTCCTCGTCACCAACGAATACGCAAACAACACGGTCCTCAATCTTGACGGCGGTCTGAGTGCGACCTAAAGCTAACTATGGAGGTGCTCTCATCCTGACCAGCCAGCATGTCGTTCCGTGTCTGCCATTCGGGCGACGAGAAAGAGCAAAAGCTTGATCCGCGACACACTGGCTTCCCAAAATCCCTTCGGACAAAGCTTCTCCAGATCACTGCTTGCTTGAAGATCGCCAAACATGCTGGAATAGGGCATGGAGTGGGGGGGAAATTGGCCTGCAACCACAGTTACCGGACGAAGGTCACTTTTGGGCGCCAAGCCTTTTACTGCCTGACATTGGCGTGGTTGCTTTCAACCATTCCGTCAACCGTTTCGCATCTCTCGTGGCAAAAGTCTCATAGAAATCTACGAGAGATAGACCACAGTGTCCATCCACTGTGCCTTGAACGCAATCTCCTGAGGGAGGGCCCTGGAAGAGAAGAGAGTGCGTCACGCGCCATGAAGCTGGTTGGCAAATGACTGAGGTATGCATTTCCTCGGCAGGAGCCCTCCCTTCTCACAGGAGACTAGTCGGCGCATTAAAGTGCCCCCCAGGCGGAAGTCTGCGGCTGTTCAGGCGTTCTACGAGAGTATTTTGGGTGACAGGGATGTGGAAGGAGGAGCAGATAAAAGAACGGTTTTGGCGGGAGGTCATCCCTAGCTACGATCCTGGATTCTCGTGCTCTGTCTTGAATGATTCTATTTGTGTGTTCGTGTCTGAAGCGAACCCATCACCTCCCAAAATGTAACGTGTGACCAGAATGTCCAACCCGAAAGACACTTCAAGCTGCCTCTGTATGTCCGCAAATGGCGCACGTCGGGGGAGGCGAGCGCGTCAGGAGCGTCACAGTATCGCTCTTGGGGTGGAAATGCGCGGTGAAGTAACTCATCCATATCGCATCAATGCCAGGTAAAGCGCCGCAGCTATTCCATCTCGAACAGGCCGCAAACTCCAGACTCTCCAGCAAATGTGCTTCGTATGGCCATGTTGCTAGGCTGATTCAAATGAATATATCGGCCGCCGGAAGATCCTTTTGGTGTATCTCAAACAGAACCTCGATGTGCTGAGTTCCAAAGGTCCACCTCGAGCTCAGTCATCGTCAATCATGATTGTGCCATCTCCATCCTCTATGACAGTGACCTCGGAATCCACAGCCTTGCTCTTGCCCTTGAGATCGACATCGGGCTTGGTCTTCTTCGATGGGATGCCATCAGCATCGAGACCCGCTTCATCGGCATCACGTTTGCGCTTTGTAATGCTCGAGGCAACCGCAGTACCATTCTCCTCAACTGGTTGAACATTGTCAAGTTCACCGTTGCCATTTGTGATGCTTGCCCCGTCTGGCCGTGTGTTAGGTTTCCGGGGGATGTCGAGTACTGCACCCTCTTTCAGCACAAGGCTGATAGATGGGCCGACTTCCTCACTATCGGTAGCTCTGGCCTCCACTGCGAGTTGCAGGTCAACGCGTGGGGTCTCATCGTCGTTGTCGTCCTTTACAGTCAAAAAGGAGCCAGGCTTGACTTCTAATTCGTCAAGCTTCTTCTCAAGATTGTCGTCCATGTCGGGGTCATAGATGAGGCCTTTCTCACTCAAAACAGAAATTTCGTCCCCGTACCCAAGCTTCGATTTCAGGATTTCGTCGACCAAGTCCTTGAGTGTAGTTGCCGCAGGATCGATCTGTAGCCTCACCATGGCAGCGCCGCAGACGACGCAGTCGGGGTTCGGCTCGTCGAATACTGAGGCGCTCATGTTACCCCGATCAACGAAGATCATCTTGGTTTTCACATAGTCGCCTTTCAGCACCTTGAAGGCTTGCAGCACGCACAAGCCCGCAATCATAGCATTAGTCGTTGCGATAGCCGGGATAATGTTGCCAGCCATCTGTTTCGTATCGAACTTTGACTTTGGCTCGAGGCCGAAGATCTGGGCACGGAGGTTGGCAGCAGCCGTTACGAGGTCGAGAGTATCGTCATCATCCTTGTCGAATGTAAGCGCAGCAGAAGGTAGGCCGTTTTTAGCAGCATTGGCCTGCTCTTCGGCCAGGCGTTTAGCAAGTCGTGACAGGCTGTCGCGGAATACGACGAAGTTCTGTGCAGTCGACCAGACCTTCTGGTCCAGCTGCGATATGGATGGCTCGATGTCGCGAGCTTCGGTTTCGAGTGTCTCATATGACAGAGGTTCTGGAGCAGCTTTGTCTTTCCACATGTCTTCCATCTTTGCAAGGCGTTCAATGTCTTCTCTGAAAACCTTGTCGAAGACTTGTTTGGCGAAACCGTCCGAGCCCATGGACTCTCTAATCTTCTTCAGAGCTTCGGCCTCCTCTTTTAGCTTTGCTATCTCTTCGGCGTTCTCAGAGTCTTGGGTCACATCGAGTTCTGGGGTGGTGTCTTCACTCTCACCAAACAGTTCAGGTAGCAGGTAACTCTTAGCCCAGACGATGCAGTGTATTGACTGGCTAGGCGTGCTTCGAATAGTGCACACGGGGAAAGATTTTGGTGTCTGCTTCGGACTGCAGTCGTAGCAAGCAGAGACGCCTTTCTTAATGACTTGAACCTGACCGTTGAAGCCAGTTGTCCCTGACTCAATCAGCGGCACATCGGCGGCGAGGCACATCTTGTTGACATGTCGGCGAGCTTCGAGATTGTCGAGCGCGTTGAAGACAACTGTAAATTGCGAGAACCATGCGATGTTGAATTGAGAGTCCTTGATGTTGGCATGGTAGGCTTCAAGCTTGATATTAGGATTGAATTTCTGAGCAGCCTCTTTTGCGACGAGAGCCTTGGACTTCTTGATGTGCTCGTGTCGGAAGAGGAACTGACGGTTGAGATTGCTGAGATCGATGGTATCAAGGTCGATGATGTGAACTTCGCCGAAGCCGGTCAAGACAAGGTTCTTCAAAAGTTCGCAGCCAATGCCGCCGGCGCCAACGAGGAGAACTTTGGACTGACGTGGGTAAGTTTTTGTCATTCTGTAGCAGTCTTGAGAGCTCACCTGGACCACACGCTTCTGGGTCACACCCAACGATTGCTTGACAAAGCGGTCGCGCGGCATCTCAATCTCAAGCTGGCTCACCAATTCGGGTTAAGGTCGGGAAACTGGCAGCAGGACTCAGCTTGATGCAGAGCGCACTGGGTGCATCGCCAGCAGCCGTAAAGAGTGTGTGAGAAAGAAAAAGCCGAGTCGTAGAGGTAATGGCTGAAATGAATGTCTGAGTCTGAGAAGAAGACCTCGCGAAGTAAGAGAGAATACGGGAAAGGATAAGTCAATCGCGATTGAAGGATGGATGAGATGCAATGCGCAAGCAAGCCACCGTCACAGAAGTCACGGTGGATTCGCGCAGCGTGGCCGCCTAAACTGTAACAGGATAAGCTTGACAAGTCAAGCCCGTGGGACCTTCGTGACGCCGGCCAAGGGGACTAGAGAGACTGTCTGAGGCCCGTGCTCGTCGCCCCTAAACGCAAACCCTGGGCCCCTGGTCTTCCGTACTGCGTACCCCGTAAGCGTTGCACTCTCGCCCCCCCTGCGCTTGTGATCGTCTCTGCATGGGCCGCCTACGCCACGCCTGCACTAGAAGCCCGGAGAAATGGCTATTACGCATGCCCACGCGACGATTGATAACCCTTGGAGCTTAAGCAGCCGAGAGGGCAGGACGATCATGGGAACTTCGCGCTCGCCGCCAACCGGTCGACGCGAGTCAGGGGTCAGACTTTTGCCTCCTTTCACGATCGCGGGCACTTGCCGTGGCTTGCTGGATAATCAAAAATCCATCGCTTACGCTTCTTGACACACACTTCGGCAATCGCAGACGATACGACCAGCGTCATGTCCGACGACGAGGCTGATCCCGAACTCCTGGCCCTGTTGGCCCAGTCTCTGGGTCTAGGATCTAGGCCTGAGGCGCCTCCATCCACCGGTGTGCTGAAATCAGCTGAATACGTCTACGACAATGCGCTGGACGTGTCAATATCGAGCCAAGGCTCCAAAGCCGCTGCAGAACTGCTGTATCACCAGCTGCGGCGGCGGCAGTATTCCACGCGTGAGTGGGCCAAGCATGAACTGCATCCCAAACCCTCTGGTGGAGAGGCGACCGTCAACTTCATCTTCATCATGAACTTGCTGAACTTCTCTTTCTGGTCCGAGCTGCCGGAAGGCGAGCGGTTCGCCGTTGACTACAACGGAAAGCGTTGGACAGGGTATTGGTCACTCGTGGCAGCCCTGCAACGCGCTCTCGATGAAGGTCAGTTTGTCCCCCGACCCCATCCTAAGAAACCCTTCACCCTGCTATAACAGCAGACTAAACCCTCCCTCCAGTTACTCACAGGTAAGCACACTCGTAGGCCATCCCATAACCACCCCATCCTTCTGGTCGACCTGCTCCGAAGACACCATTTCCCAAATATTCCGCTCCACCACCGCCGAACCCATTCCCCTTCTCAACGAGCGCATCACCCTCCTCCGTACCGCCTCCACCGTCCTCTCCGACCCGACCACCTCCCCTCTCGCCCTCATCGACCAAGCCAATCACTCCGCCGCCCGCCTCGTCAATCTTCTCACCACGCATCTCCCCTCCTGCTTCGCCGACACGACTACGTACCGTGGACGCACTGTACACCTACACAAGCGCGCACAGATCCTTGTCGCCGACCTGTGGGCCTGTTTCAACGGCAGCGGCCTCGGCGCATTCGACGACATTGACACCGCACTCACGATGTTTGCCGATTACCGTGTGCCGCAGATGCTGCAACGGCTAGGCGTCCTCTGGTACAGTCCGCGTCTGGAGGGCAAGGTGAGGAGGGGTGAGATGTTGGAGGCGGGGAGCGAGCTGGAGGTGGAAGTGCGGGCATGCAGCGTCTGGGCGGTGGAGCTGTTGAGGAGGGAGATGGAGAGACGGGGTTGTGGGGAGTGGGAGGTCGAGGTCGAGGATCATGATGAAGATAAAGAACATGTGGGAAGTGCGTCAGCGAGCGTAGACGAAAGCAGAGCGTCTGAGCCCCACGAGGGACAGGCCGGTGACCTCCAGGCCACAACTGAGGCCACCACCGGGGAACAGGCGGCAGTCACGGATGAAACAGTCGATCATAGCGCCAACAGTGGCACCGAGGACATCAGAAGGGCAAACCCGCCACAAACAAGCAACGCCACAGCACCGCCGCCACCTGCAGCTGAGCCGAGAAACGAAGCAGTCGACCCATCGGCCGCGCCGGCCTCGTTCCAGCAAGCCCAACCAGAGCAGCAGAAAGCCAAGCCAGCCAAAAAGATACAGGTCAAGCTCAACGCCGTCCTGCTCGACTACCTTCTATACGACACCGCGAAGGAGCAAGAGAAGCTGATGCTGGAAGAGACTGATGCGGGCGGTGAGCGCGAGCACGGTCCCGACGGTCCAAATGTACTGCCGCATCATCGTACACGAAGTATCTGGTATTGAATAGTCGTGCCGAGGAGTTTGATTGATGTTGACACGAAGGATGTTGGATTAGATTACGGGGATAGAGAATAGAATCAAGGCGAAGGCTTCTTTTCATGTGATCACCTGCTGGGCCAGTGTCGCATGACGTTCTTATGAGTTCGCTGATGGTATAGTAGTTTTATGATTCTATCTCTCGCGACCAGGGAATCGCTTTTTTCTGGGGGCTGTGCAATTTCTACATTTCGCTTAATGCATCGAGGTGCGCCGTAAAAGTTGCCCATGTACGTGACGCACCAAAATGCTACCAACTCTTTCCTGCTGCACTATTGCAGCCGTTGCCAATTTCAATTTGTTCAGGTTTGCATTCCGACGATGCAGCGAACCTCTAGTCCTTCATGCTCTCCATCGGTGTCGACGTGCCACGGCTGCCGGCCATGCTGTAGGGAGCCTACCAACTTCGTTAGCATTTGTAATTCCTTCAACACATCACTTCCACGGTAATGTCACTTACCAGCACTTTCTTCGCCTCCCAAATCCGCCAGGCCAGGTTTTCCACCTTGCCGTCCGCCTTGACAACCTCCGGGGCGAACTCGATGCCGAACATCTCTTGCAACGCATACACGACTCGTTTAGCAAACTTGCCGTCCCTCTCAACGAGGCCACCGAAGACTTCTTGCGGGTTCGAAGGCGCAATATCTGGATCGCGGTCAAAGCAGTTCTGCACGGTGGGCAGCAATATGCGCTCGATGTCCTGGCGGATATGGTTTTCGCTTTCGGGAGAGAGGCCTGGGCCGATGGCAAGCTCTTCCTCTCTCCAGTGCGGAATCCTGATCTCGAACCTCCGCGATATCGCCAGGACATTGTGCTTGCCGTCATGGTGGTATCGGAATTCAAATACACCGGTGGTCCAGGGAAGTTTTGCTCCCGAGAATTCCACTTCTCCTGTAAGACACTCTTCTGGAAGGCCAGTATGCGGGCTGGGTCGTTTCTCCTTGACGTCGGACCAGCGTATACCAGCTTCCGAGTTCAGCAGGTCAAACTCGCCTTGGTTGGTGGCGACCCAGCGACCAGCGGAGGACACACGTGTAACCTCTCTCGATGGGTTATCAGAGACTCTGTATAGTCCAACCCAATCCATCTTGGAATGGTTGATGGGAGCCGTCCATTTGACTCGAATTGGGGTACCATAGTCAATACTGAGATGTGGGCCGTCGGTGTTTCGTGGCTTATCGTCGCCAACAATGTCGAGAGTGTACTCTGCTGGGTCGATGCCAACCAGCTCTGGAGAGACGCGAGTTACATGAAGCAGACTGGGGTATTTGCTGAAGAAGTCGCGAGTATCCTGAGCCATATTATTGACACCATCGAGGAGTTTGGGCCGGGCCGAGTCGAGAATGTTCTCGACGTGATCGAAGGAATCGGAGAGAACCTTGTCAAGACTCTCTTGCCACTCACGGAAAGGTGGAGGGAGAGAGCGTCGGAGGCTGCGCACAAGACCAGCATCCTGGCGTAGATTACGCCCATAGAGTTTCTGCATGTGAGGCCGTTCGACGAATTGGATGAAGGCCAGGCTGAGTGTATGACTGAGCAGGGCAAGTGCAAAGATCGACTTGCTACTAGTGATCAGGGCAATACCCCAAATGCCCGCCAGGCCAAGCACACGCTCGGGATTGTTGAGGAAGCGATAGATGCCGCCGTAGGTCAACTTGGGGTGCTGATCAAAGAAAAAGTCGCCAAAGAACCAGCCAAACTCTCCAAGCTGGTCGTAAATGCTAGTCGCGACCCACATTTGAAGGGCGATGAGGCCAGCACCGATGACATGCTTGAACAGGACCAGACTAGAACTCCAGTCTGAAGGCAGCTCGTAGCTTTTCCAGGCTGCCGCGACGAAAGTTGCATAACACATTATCATGCTCAAATGGTAAGTGCCCTTCCACTGTCGCCAGGCTTCCCAGGTGCTCTCACCGTACTTGAGGAAATGTCTCGTCCATCTCTTTTTGTTTGATTGCCTATTCAACAGAAAGCCGATGCCAACTGAATACCAGATACGGCAAAGAACCGCTGCCAGCACAAAGAGCCCCCGCACGACCGGAGTCGTTGGGGTCAAGACGGTCAGTGCAAGAGTCAGAAACTGGATGATGAAGATGGACGAGTCGGTTGTTCTGTACAGGTCAATGTTTCGGAGACCGAGCAGATTATGTGTCGCGGGCGGCTTGCTGCTCCCAGCGCTGGGCCATACTTCGGTGGTGTCGCTTCGGCTGGGCGGCGGGCGCTGTCCACTTGCAGTCCGAGGTGGTGTATTGGCTTGTCGACGAGGAGGTGGAGAGCTATAGGTGCGATCGATATGGGGGCTCTCCACCCAGACAAGAAAGGCAAACTGGGCTGCATGGGCGATGATGGAAATAAACAAGACTTTGTAGCTGGCTGCCATCAAGGAGATGCCATAGTAGCCTGCATAGCCTATCGAGTACATTGGGTGGGGAGCCATTTCGAAGACACCATCGAAGGTGAGCTCTTGGTCGATGAGGTAGAAGAAATCACCCCAATACCAAGCAAAGTCTTTGACAACGCGGTGGGCATCGAGCTTCACCCATAGGTTAAAAGCGAACAACGAAACGCCAGCGACCCACCGTGCGATAGTCACGAAGACACTTTCAGCGGCAGGTTGGTGAGCGCAGGCGAAAGCAAAGAGACAGTAAGAGACAAAGTCGCACATCAGAATGAGGTCGACTACACGTCTGAAGAGGAGCCAGGTATTGTACTCGATGGGAGCTTCCTCGAAACGATAATCCTTGGGGATCTTGGTTTCAAACTCCCGTTTGAGAAATCGGTAAAGGCCGGGCCGTGGATTGCTGCCTGTAGTAGGATTGACGAAGATCTTGGACTTTCGAGCCCAGCGGACCAACATCTGGTAATGGGACTGCATATGCAAAAGGTAGCCGATGCCGACATTATATCCAGCTCTCCAGAAAAGGTAGATGGCAGCGAAGACAGGTATCTTCAGGTTGGATGGTAATGCCCACAAGGTGAAGATGTGAACAGCCAGGACAAACAGAACAGCTATATCGGAAATATTCTTGGGCTCTGACGGGGAAAGCAGCTGGGATACCATATCATGGGTGTACGGCACGGTGAAGACTAAGGTATGAGGTCAGCAGGCAGTAGAGTGTACCACAAAGGGCATTCTGTTTACCGGTTCCGTCGGGGGTACGACCGAAGACTTTCTTGTCCTTTTCATCTGCGACATCTTTCTTGTCTTCTAGCGCATTCAGCTCGAGTACGGTTTGACGAGCTTCTCCGACGGTTTTGGCCTGCAGAGGGGCATTTCGCTGCCTCAGACCTTCCTTCTCGGTGGCGTCAACCGCGAGTGACCCCATGGTGATGAGACGAATGTTCAGTTAAGGTTTCGACATGCATTAGATGGGCTTGGGAGGCAGAAGGATGGGTTGCATGTCCAGAAAACTGTTGAAGGTCTCCGGAAGAAAGAAATGGAAACGCTGAAAGGGAAGTAGAAGAGTAGAGATGAGTCTACTTGTTTCCCGCTAATCCGTGGGTCCGTGGGGTGGTATGCACAAGAGATGCACGAGATGAAATGTTTTGGTGGTAGACGCTGTCACGATTTGGAGATTTGCTTGCTGGGCCTTTGAACCTTGCAGCGGGGCAGGACTTGGCCATGACGTCCCGACATCTACGGCCTCAATGTCGAAGTCGGCAGTTGCATGGTGTCAAAATTTTCTCGCAGCAATGAGCTCAGTATCAATGTTCTGTACGGAAGGCAGACAAGGCAACGGCAAGGCATCGATGATATTGAGTTGCCCCTTGACGTTGCTTGGTCATTGGCTCGGGCAGCTAACTGGCGATATCTGGCCTTGATAGCGGGAGATCTTCCTGGCACCGCCACCGCGCCCTGGCGCCCTGTGAGGGGCAGATAGAGAATATCTAGGCACTACTAGCGAGCCACAGCTCGGCACGCATGCATCGTCTCTGATCGCGCGAAGCTGTCCTCGTGAGGTCAGATGTAGCCATCAAGAGACTTTGATCCGGAATACGTGGTAGTAAACTTGTATCTCTGTCATGTGAGAGCCGGAAGCAGAGGACCTAGCCACGGTACCAAGTGCCCAACCGAGCAACGAGGGCATTTGCCGGTATCGATAAGCACTCGCCACAGCCCGGCTTCCCCCGCCGTTGCGGCTCTGGTTACAAATCTGTTCCTAGGATTTCACCAACTCTTCTTCGTTCGCAATCATTTTCTACAGTGTTGTCGCTCTCAAGATATGGCACCGTCGCTTGAGGAGCCTGTGGCCGAGGCCCTCGAGGATCATCTCCGGTCAAAGCCAGGTGAGCAGCTGCGCGTGACCCACACCAGGATCAAAAGAGACTGACTTGACACCACTAGAGCTTGTTGCACCAGAGCCCGAACACTGTCCCGGCCCTGAATCGGAACAAGCAGGTCAAGGCGATGCTTGCAAAGGCTGCCCTAACCAGGCGATTTGCGCTTCCGCGCCCAAAGGCCCTGACCCAGACATACCCATCATTACCGAACGTCTCGCTGGAGTACGGCATAAGATCCTGGTGCTGTCAGGCAAAGGCGGCGTCGGGAAATCTACATTCTCAACGCTATTATCTCACGCGTTCGCAGCCAACCCAGAGTCGACTGTGGGACTGATGGATACCGATATCTGTGGCCCCTCCATACCCAAGATGATGGGGGTGGAAAGTGAAACGATACACGTCAGCAATGCTGGCTGGAGCCCTGTATGGGTGACAGACAATCTCGGTGTCATGAGCGTCCAGTTTATGCTGCCCAACCGAGACGATGCGGTTATTTGGCGCGGTCCTAAGAAAAATGGTCTGATTAAACAGTTTCTAAAAGATGTTGAATGGGGCGAGCTCGATTACTTGGTCGTCGACACCCCGCCTGGCACGTCCGACGAGCACTTGTCCGTCAATTCCTTCCTCAAGGAGTCCGGCGTCGATGGCGCAGTCGTTGTCACGACCCCGCAGGAGGTGTCGTTATTGGATGTTCGGAAAGAGATCGACTTTTGTCGTAAGGCTGGCATTCGCGTCCTCGGCCTAGTTGAAAACATGTCGGGCTTCGTCTGTCCGAAATGCACTCACCAGTCTCAAATTTTCAAAGCGACCACAGGCGGAGGTGCGCAATTATGCAAAGACATGGGCATACCGTTCCTCGGGGCTGTGCCTCTTGACCCACGCATTGGCATGGCGTGCGACTTTGGAGAGAGCTTCATGGATAGCTTTCCCGACAGCCCAGCGTGCAAGGCACTGCGTCAAGTTGTACGGCAGGTTGGTGAACTGGTTGGCGAAGATCCAAATGCAGTTCTCCCGGATGGTCCCATATGAAAGAGCTTACAGCATTCATGAGCACCAGCGAACGAACCATGCCCATGACTTGGCGCAAGTTCTCTGCACCCCACTGCTCACGCGCTGCCGGCCCACCCGCGCCTGGCCGGCGACGAGGATGTCAGCAAAGCTTTGCAATCCTCGCGAAGGCTTGCTTCTTTGGCGAACAGTCTCGGCGCTGAATCCGTATCGATACGATCGACTTTGGACGATCCAGTGGACACGAGCCGAGAGACGACAAAAAGGCTGGCGCGGAACAGGGGGGCACAAGAAGCGCGTGTGGAGGAGGAAGCGAGGGGGAGGGCGGAGATTATTGGTCGCCGCTGCAGGAACGCGCGCCAAGCTCCTCCACTTCAGGGGTTTCAGCTGAAACGATTTCAAACCTCAACCGGATACCGAAAAGTTTCAACCCCTTGAGACGACCATATTTTCTCTCTCCACCGCGTCGGCCATGGTTGTCCATCGGCCAGTCGGTCAATTTTTGGGCCTGCATGGTGAGGAGCAACCCCCTGACTACCGCCCTTGCGCACACGTCCGGCACCTGTCTTCGCCGCCTGCAGTCGTCAGCTTGCTGGATTCGTGAGACACATGGCCAGCACCAGCCTCATGATCCACCGATGTTCATCGAGCTGCACGTTGCGACTCCAGCTAACCCGTATCTGATGCTCGGCCATGCACTCCTCACAGAGGTTTGCGTTGCCCGATGCTCTATCTAAATGTTAGCCTGTCCCTGCTTCGACATGTTCTCCTACTCCTTCAGACGTTGACACGCCTGCTGTCTTGTAGCCATTTTCCTTCCCTCTCGAGTCTGGACTCAATACTCTCCTTCACCTTGCTGGGCAAGGATATTCTTTCATTCAACATCTGTCGAGTCCAGAGCTCCAGTCTCTCTCTACCCGTAGATCAGCATGGCCAAGATCTACTCGTTTCTTTCCATCGCCTTTTTTGTTTCACTAGTCTTGGCTAGCCCAGTATCTCAACGAAAGAAGCGATCTTTCAAGGTTCCCACCATACCGAACCCGCATTATGTACCTCACGGACCACGGGCTTACAAACGCGCTCTCAACAAGTTCGGCTTCAACGACATCACCTTCAAGCCCGAAGGAGAAATTGCCACCCGGCTCAAAGCAGCCTCCAACGGCAGCGCGGTCGTTGGCCAGGGCACTCAGGATGGATCGACGCCCACAGCACCGACGCAGAATGATGCGCAATTCCTCTCGCCCGTCACCATCGGAGGCCAGCAATTCATCATGAACTTTGACTCCGGCAGCTCAGACACATGGGTCTTCAACACCAACTTGCCGGCCGCTGCACAGCAAGGTCATACCCTCTACGATCCCACCAAGTCTACTACTTTTCAGAATTCTCTCGCCCAGTCCGACTTCAACATCAGCTACGGTGACGGGTCTTCCTGCTCCGGGCCAGTTGGGATTGACACCATTGATATCGGCGGATCAACTGTAGCCCAGCAAGCCATCGGTTTACCTGACACGGTCTCCCAGTCTTTCATTATCGACGGCCAGTCCGATGGCCTGGTTGGCCTGGCCTTCTCCAAGCTCAACACTATCCAGCCTCAACCACAAAAGACATTCTTCGACAACATCCTGCCCGATCTGTCCCAGCCTGTCTTCACAGCTCAACTCCTTGGTGGAAAAGTTGGTGCTTATGAGTTTGGACGCATTGATACTTCCGCGTTCAAGGGCGAGCTAGCACGTATCCCCGTGGATTCAAGCAATGGATTCTGGCAAGTGAAGTCCGATTTGGCAGCCGTCAATGGTCAGGATATCCCGTTACAGGGTGGCGCTGCCATTATCGACACGGGCACTTCACTGATGCTGGTACAAGACGCGATGGTGACTGGCTACTACACTCAGGTGCAGGGCGCGAAAGTGAATGCCCAAGCTGGAGGCGTCATCTTTCCCTGCAACGCAGATCTTCCTGATCTTGATGTGAGAGTCGGAGACTCCTATGTCGCCACGATCCCTGGCAACAGCATCAATTTCGCCGAGGTCGGCACCGATACGGAAACCGGAGAGAGTTTCTGTTTTGGAGGTATTCAGTCGAATCAGGGTATTCCTTTTGCGATCTACGGAGACGTCTTCTTCAAATCGCAATTCGTTGCATTCGAAGGCGGCAACTCGCCGTCCATCGGTGTTGCTCCTCACGTCTGATTGACTCAGAGCAATGGAAAAGTGGTTCACGATGCATAGCGGGAGGCGTTTTGATCCATAGACTATTCAGCGCTTCACGTTCACGAAGGCAACTGGTCCTCCAACCAGAATATGATGTTATGACTTCTTAAAACCAATGCTTCCTCTACGACGAATTGTATGCTGGCTGCCGGTGGGATGACCCAGCCGACCGGGTATCGATAGGCGTGTTAGATTACCGTTCTCCTCAAGCGGTCACTTCTTACCCTACGTAGCTTCGCATAGAGGGGACGCGAATTGCCCAGGACCTGTGTAACTAATATGGAAGGAGCAGTGCGCGTAGCTGCTCGCTCGACGCGCCTCAAGGTGAACACAAGACAGCATCGCTTGCATCCGGTCTACCTGAACCGACCGGAGCATCTTTCATCTCAGAGCAAGCGTTCAAGGTTTGCATCATATGGGCTGAGACAGTCCGCAGGATGCTTACGGCCACACAAAATGGAGAATAGCCCAAGTGAGACGACATACCTGCTCGGGTTCAGACGCGACACGTCCGAGGTGTCGGAGGATGCGCAGCAGACCAGTCCCTCGCCGCACGGAAAACTTTTTGAACAGCACAACGTGAACCCCACCACCTCACCCCCAGGTTGCTATTCGACTTTTCATACATTTAACGACGGCACTGTCTATGAGCAAGTGCACTATTCAGCACCCTACAAGCCGGCTCGATTAGCTCGAAACACCATCCCAGAACCACTGCAGCACCAGTTAGAGTCTCCGGAGCAGATCGCGACAAACGAGGCACGAACCTCTGCAAATACCACCGTCGAACCTATATTAGCAAGTCAAGAGGTGACACTGTCAAAGATTGACCCAGGCAGAAAGAGAGCGCAGGCAGAAGGTTACGGCGATCTTGACCGTAACTCACCCAGCATCCGCACCCCGCCCTCCAAAAATTACTTGGACTTAAATTCCAGCCGTCCCATCCACGCTCGTGTCCATTACAAAGTTCCTGGCATGAGCGATCAGCCTCCCGCCCCCGAGGCCGACGTCAACAAGTCTCCCGCAAAACAACACAAGCCTCTGGTCGTTGGCCGTACCAAACCCCAGACGCCCACCATGGAATCTTCCAACCCCGAGGTGAAGCCGCCCTCCACCGAGGAGAGCAAACAAGAGGTCGAATCCAGCACCAAGAATGCCGCCGATGGTGCAGCGAATGCCGCGGGAAAGAAGAAAGAGAAAGCTCCTAAGCAGCCCAAACCTCCCAAAGCCACCCCGCCAGCAGCCCCTCTGTCACCTGCTCTGATAGACCTCCGGGTCGGCCACATCCTTCGCGCCATCAACCACCCCAATGCCGACTCGCTCTATGTCTCAACCATTGCTATGGGCGATCCTGAAGGCGCGGATCACACTCAAGTTGACGAAGAGACTGGCAAGGTCGTGCGCACCGTCTGCTCTGGTCTGAACGGCCTTGTTCCGCTTGAAGAGATGCAGAACCGTAAGGTTATTGTGGTCGCCAATCTGAAGCCGGTCAATATGCGTTCTATCAAGTCTGCTGCCATGGTGCTCGCCGCGTCCCCTCAGGCCGAGGAAGGAGCGGATCCGCATGCCGCTGATCGTGTTGTCGAGCTAGTCACTCCGCCCGAGGGGGCGGAGGCTGGTGAGCCAGTTTTCTTTGAGGGTTGGGAATATGGCGAAGGAAAGGGTCCGGAGAAGCAGCTCAATCCCAAGAAGAAGCAATGGGAGGCTATTCAGCCGGGCTTCTATACCAGTGAAGACCTGGTCGTGGGCTTTGACGCTGGAAAGAGCGAAGTCGAGGGCGAGAAGAAGGGCAGCTTGATCGTCGAAGGCAAGGGCAAATGCACGGTGAAGACGTTGAAGGGCGCCGTCGTCCGCTAAACTGGACTGTCCATCTTCTGTTTGTTGAAGTAGTAGACGATGTCAGTGGGGTTGTTAGAAGAAAGCCTGAAGAAGAAGACGAAGAAGAAGAAGAAGCGATCACGGCATTTTTACGGCATGGTGTGTCACTGATGCAATTGTCTGACTTGCTAGCAGGCAGAGGAAGGGCATGAGCACGGATAGAGGCGTATGAATTTATCATGACAGCGCGCCTGGTTTACAATGTAGATGGGGATCGGTAGAGACTTCTACCAAGAGCATCAGGCCGCGGAATAAACGCGGCTTGCAAGCGTCTTTTGGATGAGTAGACCCATGATGATCAAAAGAAAGTGTCGTTCAAGCTCACCAGATATATTCATTGCTTCACGAGATTCCGAACCGTCATGCTATGTCATGCTAATATGTTATGCTATGCCGTGTCATGCCGTGTCATGCTATGCTTCGTCGGCGGTACCGTATTCCTAGCCCCGAAAACTTCCATCGCCCACTGTCCGCTCCCTGCTCCGTCCCCACTGCAGCAACACTCACAATTTCACCCGCTCCTGACTTCCGCTCAAGCGCCTGCCACCCGCCCTCGGCGCCACACGTGGGCTCACGCTGACACTGTCGCCGGTGCCATGGCTGAAGCTGCTCCTCGCAGAACTGCTGCCCTCCCCCAGCCCAATGTTGGAGCTTCGTCCGCGTGCGAACCCCGGCCTCTCTGCCGGTCCTCCCGCGCCTCCGCTGCTTGATCCGGGACCTTGTCCTTGGGTCTGGCTTTGACTCGCGGCGCTCTGTGCGTGAGCATGTGCCATCTGCATCCTCTCGCGCTCGCGGTTGAGCAGCCACTGCACCTGTGCGCGCGTGCTGAAGAGGCCGGCGCCCTGCTGCGCCAGGTCTTCTTTGAGGCGTAGCGTCTCGTTCATGACCATCATGGAAGTGCGGGCGTCCAGGTCGGCGAGGTTGTTCTGGACCGTCAGCAGCTGGGTGGAGAGGTTGGTCATGCTGTCGGAGAGGTGCGTGTGAAGGTTCAGGATGTCAAGCTCGTTGAGGTGGGGGTGGCCAGACGGGCCTGTGGCAGGCGGGTTGGGGGTGAGAGGTCTGAGATGGGCAGGCAGGGCCAGTGGTGGGTCGGAGTGTCGCGGAATCTCTTCAATGGAGAGGGAAGAAGGTGTGGGTGAAGGGGCGCGGGTTGGGGCTTGTGAGGGAATGGAGGGGAGGATGCGCGTGTTGAGGAGGTCGGTGATTTTGTCGAGGGAGGTCTCGAGGACTTCGTTGCGGACCTTGGTGAGGGTGAGCTGATCGGTCAAAGATTGTAGAAGCGAGGACTGCTTTTTGAGGTGCGGCGCCAGACGGGCGAGGGGGCAGGTCTGGGTATGGTATTCGAGATCCTCTGAGGTGCCGAAGACTGGGTTCGTGACGCAACCATATTCGTATCCTGGACAGCGAAGAGCAGAATTCTCAGCAGAACACACATGAGTGTCTCGACCAGCGAGATAGTCCTTTACTGAGATGCGCTCGGAACAGACATCGCATTTGACGCCGGTCGTTGGACAGTCCTCGTCCTTGTGCCGAAGCCATTCTCCACGACCGAGCTCAATGACAGCGCCGCAATCGCACTCTATATGAGAGCTATGGATGCATTGCTCCGGGACAAAGTTTTTTCGTTTGACGACCTTGGAGCAGTCCGATCCAGGACAGTCTAACAGATACTCCGGACAGTCCTTGGTGGCGTGCTGCTCGATACAGCCTCGAGAATGGACGGTGTCGCAATCTTCGTTGGGACACCGCACCTTTATATCGTTGCACATATTGACAATAAGGCGTGAGGCTTTATGAGGTTGAGAGAGTAGATATGCTCGGCAGGTGGGACATTGGGTGCGAGGGCTGTTTTCCGCACCGTCGCGGTATTCTTCGAAGCACAGATTGCAGAAGGTGTGGTCGCAATCGAGGACCACCGGGTCGACAAAGGGGACATGGCATATTGGGCACATCAAGTGCGAGTCATAGTCCGATACGTAGTCGAGCGCCCGCAGGTCAACCTTGTGATCCACTGCCTGGACGTCTTGGACCGGTATGGTCGTTCTAGGACGGCGAAGAGCCGCCGGAGATCGGGGAGGCGGAGTCAGTCTGTGGCGCGATCGACTGAACTCGGCAAACAGCGTGTCAAGGTGCGGTTGAATGGGACTTTGGTTTGTGTTGTCGTCTGAGGCAAATGCCCCAGGTTGGAGGGAGAGGAATTCAGGTCTTGGGTGCGTCATGGTCGAAGATGGGCGAGGAAGAAGGCCATGCTGTGCATTCAGATCACAGAAGTCTGTGTATATAGCTTGTGCTCGGACTGTTCCACGTGTACAAGGTGGAGAGGGAAGAGGAGGCTGGTGTTGACGGTGGTGTCGGACGGTACCTGACAGCGCATCCCTTGACCAACGCAGGTGGGCTCCGGTGCCTTCCCCACAGCCCCGCTTCCGATCCGATCGACCATTCAGCCGCGGGAACTTCGTGCCAGTCACGTGAAAGTGGACTCCAGGATCAGGCGGATGATGGAACTCAAGGAGCATCGGCTGCGGTCCTGACATCTGACACTCGACCTCCTGCATTCGCTGTTCAAGACACACTACCCCGAACCACGGCCGTCTCTCTCTAGGCCATCTGCTAGGACAGAACTAGACTCACTTTCACACCGCAAGTCGCTCATCAACCTTGGAGAACTGCCTGAGCTGTCCAACTGTCGCTTTCAACCCCCGCCGCTTCCGTCATCTAGCGAGTCTACGCAGAAGCCAGCTGTGGCTTCTACACTCTTTCACAATGTCCAATGCGTCGCAGCTACTGCTGCTAGCAGATCATATCAAATTATCGCTCCTCGAGCGACAAAGGGCGGTGTCTTTGAAGCTCGACCCCAATCCATCGCAAGATTCCAACATTGCTCGGTCGCTTGAGTCTTTTCGAGAAGGCATAGAGTCTCTAGCGGGGCGGTCTTCGGATACGGAACAGCTTGATACACTGAGATCACAATACGGCGATCTCTTCCGGCAGTTCCACGGCGAATCATCAAGTACGGCTGCAGCTACTCTGACGTCGCCAAACGATCCAGCACTGAAGCACGACTTCGAGCATGCGCGAACACGATCGAGTCTCGATAAGTCCGGCAGACCACAGATGACCAAGTCGTCGAGCATGAGGGGAAAGGACGCTGCCTCTGCTGCCAAAAACGTTCGGTTCCGCGACAACCCCTCGCAGGAATCACTCGATGCGGATGACGAGGCCAACCGTGCCTCTCTTTTCCCTCAAAGATACACCGATGAGCCCGAAACGCCGGATCCGACGGCCGAAATGAGCAACCAGCAGATTCACGACTACCATCAGCAGGTGCTTCAGGAACAGGACGATCAGCTGGATACTTTGAGCGACAGTATTGGTAGGCAGAGACAGCTAGCTATGCAAGTGGGCGACGAGCTCGAAGGTCAGGTTGCACTGCTTGACGAGGTTGACCGAGGCGTCGATCGACATCAGTCCCGCCTTGACGGCGCAAAGAAGAGGCTAAAGGGCGTCAGCGAGAAGGCCAAGGCCAACTGGGGCGCGACGACCATCCTGGTACTGATTGTGATCCTGGTCCTTCTGATTGTCATTCTGAAGTAATTACAGCGGCTAGAAGTCTGCTTTAAGTCCACTAGCGTATATACCTAATGATGTACATGAAAGCCTTCCCATGTGATGTTTGAACCTTCCGGCTACAGCTACCAAAGACGTTCCTACTTGGTGGATTCCAAAGAAACGGTCGCCAACTGGAGTACTCGTTGACATCCTGGTCAGCCTGCATAATGCTACTCGGTGGAAGCGATAGACTGCCAGTGGTGGATCTTGAAGAAGGCGGTCAACAGGCGGCGGGTGGGTCCGACGCGGACGAGTAGCGCAGACCTAAACTTCACTGCACCAATGTCTGAGTTACCACTTGAACAACTCCAATCTGTCCGCGAATGTCCATCGCAGGTCAAGGATTAACCTGAATGGTAGGTCATCAAGAATCTCTGTGACATGGGTCACAAGGGGGCTGCAATACGATGCCTAGCAAACCGATGAATGCCTCCAGTGGCAGCTCATGGGTGCAACCGGACCCCCTTGCAGCACACAAACATCGCGCTTCCCAATCATGTTGGGAACACCAGAGCGCGGTTCACCCAATGTAGGTTCACGTTCTTGTTACTGATAGAGTGATCGCAGAACACATTCTATATCGAAGAACTATGGGCAGCCGCGCTGCTGGCCAATCGACAAGGGAAATCTAAGTGACGTGGACTGTATCACAGGTGGTGGGAAATAGGACCAGAAATGGATCCACCCTGCGAGAGCTTCGTTAAAGTCGGTGCTTCTGTCCTCGAGCAGCCGTCTCCTGCCGCTTCTTCGCCTCTGCCTCCGCCTTCGCCTCTGCCTGTGCCTCTGCCTCTGCCTTCTTCTTCCTGGCTTCCCTTTCCGCTTCCTTGCGGGCACGGCTCTCCCTCTCCCATTGCTCGAACTTCTCTCGTTCTTCTGCACGCAGTCAGCTCAGTCTTCGAACCGCTACTTTCCAGTTTCTCACCTTTGTTCATGCGCCGTCCAAAAATTGGAAATGCTTCCGGGATGCCGGAGGGAATCTCCTCCAGGGAGTCAGTGCCCAGGACAATCTCATGATCTGCGCTGTCGACGATGTTGAAATCATGCTCCCAGTCCCAGCCCCCCACTGACCACTTAAGGTTCACTGGACTCGAGGTTGGGTTGAAACCCATCGATGCAAGACAAGCCTTGGTGATCTTGTTCTCTTTGCTGCTTTGATCACGGAAGGCTCGCCTCCCTGCGGATTTCTTTCCGTGCGTCCGCTCAATGTGAATGGTCACAAAACGGCTATCCTCTGAGCCTGGTGCGCCTGGAACGTCCGTCATGGTCGAGCTTATCTGCTTCTGTGCTTGACTTGGGGTTCTGTTCTGCTTTCTTTATGCCCGTTACTGTTATGAGCACAACTCACCTCCATAGGAGACTCCGGGCCCTTTATATGCCTCTTTGACAGGATTTTGCAGATGCCATCAGCGAAGCAGGGCGAGTGCAGTAGCGGTCTCCTGAACGGTCGACGCATCAGACGGTCGTAGAACTTCAGTTCAATTGGAGGCTATTGGAGGGCAGCGCATAGATGCGGCCTGATGGCTACACCATCAGAGCTTTTTGCGACCAACACATAGACTACAGGACACCAGAGCCAGGCAACCGTTTGCTCACCACTCTATCACTACCGCCCTTCATCGGCGGCCACGAAGCAGCGGTCAGTCCCATCCCTGGTGAGTAGGTCTTCTATGCAGCTCCTCGGCGTTACGGACACCACAGTCAACCTGGCCGTCAAACTCCTGGACATGCCCATTCGTCGGAGTGGAATCTAGCTGACGCCCATAAGAGCCGCAGCAGGTTCACCGGTTTTCTCAGCCCGAAAATGTCAGATTTTCGCCTTTGCCGCTGAGCTTTTTCCGGCAGACCTCCCTTTGCCAGGCCCTCGCACGACAAGCTTCGACCTTTCCAACACCTTCGCGCTCAGCGAAGCTCGAAAGGCCTTATGCACATACTGGTCGGCGATCACGAAGAATAGTATTCTGTACTTCTGGTCACACACGTCAATCACCAGGGAAATCTTCCCTTCGATTGGAGTACTCGAAGTCGACAGCCCGAGGACGGCAGTAAGTTCTGGACATTTGTTAACCTGACCCAGCTGTTCGGCTCTTGACCTGCAGATCAACGAATACTTTGAGCCGGTGTCCAGTAGGAGTGGGACCATGATTTGATTCCCGTGCCTTTTCACATGGCCCATTTCGTACCTCCAGGACTGGCAATCTTCGGTGCCTGCGTCCGAAACGGTGATCACAGTCCCACTGCTTTCTGTGCGAGCGTCCACTGACTCAACATCGTCGTCTTTTTCATGAATGCGGGTGCCGTCTCGGAGGAATGACCAGAAGTCGTCTTGTGCTGGTGCCGACGGTTCGTCGTGCGAGCCATTGACACAGTCTTCTGTGTTGGGTTTCCCGCTCGCAGGCTTGTCACGATGGTCTACCATTTTTGCAATATCTCAGCCCGGTCGGTCCCAAACCGATATGCTCCCACTGATCTTTTAAAGCAAGCGCTTGCCAGCAATGTTCGATCACTCTCGCTCGAAGTTGCACAACTATCTTATTCGTGCAAAAAGCACACTCCTTCTTCTCGCACGCTCGGCAGCCGGCAAGCACGCGTTTTGGGGAGCTGGACGACCGTGACTACGGCCCTTGACCCAGCTTGCAAGGCTGCTCGTGGAAGCAGTCCGTAATTGAGAGCAGGTACACGCTATGGGGCTCGTTCTGGGCAGAGTCGTCTCGCTGCAAGGGCTGGTATTCGACAGGAGCAGTGTCCACGATCGGGGATTGGGCTTGATGATTTGACGGGTCACTCAAAACAATTGAACAAACAAGGCTTCAAAAGCGACAAGCAGATGTACAGAAGACACAGGGAGAATTCACTGCTGATCGCTCGTGGCTCCTTCCACGTGCCTGGAGCATATTGAATCCCGTTGTGCGGTAGTCGTCTTGGAGAGCAACGGGCGGGGGCCGCTAGGCTTGGCTAGTTTTCCGTCCAAACTCGCCGCCGCGTCGGCGACGCGGAATCCTCACCTTCATGACATTCGCGACGAAGCTTGCGCTGCAACAGCCCGAAATCCTAACGCGAGGACCTTGAGACCCTGTGTGGGAGACTGGCCGTACACCAGGCATTTCCGTCGCTATCTACTTCGACCTGTCTAGATGGAGGGCGCTCTCGGTGATCAGTGCCAACGTCCGTGACATCTTAACGTAGCGACCGAGAAACCGTAAGCAATGCTGCGATGACAAGGAGCTCGTTCAGGCTGTCAAAATGCCCCTTCTTGCAGTCTTGACCTTGAGCGGACTGCAGTGCAGGGGCGTCGCGTTGCCGAATGCCGCTAGGAGTGCGATTGCCTCACCTTTCGGAGACGTCCGTACTGCTATAACTAAGAATGTGTAAGTGCTTCAACAAACACAAACTGAGATGCAGAGACTGCGTTATAGTTTTACCACGTTCATGGGCCAAGAGCTCAGCGCTGACCCAGGAGATCCATTTTGCCGGGCACAATGCCGATGGAACCCGACAGCGAAACACTACGTGGGGCTTCGAACTTAGCTTGCAATGCTGTTACTTCGAGTGAAATAAGAAATCTGAAGACTACAGGGGAGGGGCCCGCAAGTCTTTATGTCTCGCGTCAGAGCGCCGAGCCGAGGTGTCTGCATGCCTGTCATCAGTTGGGCTCAAGTGCCGCCACCCTAGATGTGCGATCCATGATTGGACTGTTCCACACACCCTCTGCTTCTGACATCTGCATTAGATCCTTCCACAAAGGCTCGGTCTGCCGGGACGGCTCGGCCACTGGCGGCTTCGACGCGAACCACCGAGCATTGGGCCAACGAACCGGGGTTCGCCCGCTTACCAACTCCTGATATTGGCTGACCTGTGCCCCTTCTGCGCCCGTGCCAGCTGCGATTTCCCTTCGAATGCTGCTGGGTAGTCGTGGCTTTGCCTTCTCCCGGGCGCAGGCTCCCAGAACCTCAAGATGCTGACCGTGAAAGAATGTCCATGTGTGACCCTGCCGACACGGTCACGTTCTTACAGCACCATCAGACAAGATGAACGGCTACTACCGTCTCGCGGCGGCCCAGGCTACTCACACTGACTATGCGATATTTCGGCGTTACATGCCCCTGCACACTGTTGACCTTAACCGGCTGCAGGCCGAGATCGCCTACCTCTGGGACGATCTCCGTGGCCAGCTCGCCGCCGACCGCGCTTCTGGAGACGCCACTCGAGCCCGCTACGAATGCGAACTCCGTCTACTCCTCGAGTCGAAGGACGTGAAAAAGCCAAAACAGCTTGTGATCCTCGACCAGCTTCGTCAGAAGCTCAAGGAATATGGTGCGCGAAGCCCTGCCCCGGCCTTGCTGGCGTCCAGCGCTGACACACCGGACCAGCTGAAGCTCAACTTCGCTACCACGCTATCCAGCAACTCCCTACTGCCGCCCCCGTCCACCAACAAGGACTGCGTGACTGGATGCTGGACCAAGAGGGCGGCGGCGACTGCTTCCCCGACATCGAGGGACTCCTCTGGGGTGCCGAGTATGCCTACGACCTCGTCTCCCTGTCCGCAAAGAATCAGAAAGAGGACGCAATCACCAGCTTCATCAGCAACACGTGCATGGCACTCTACCACCAGACTCTTGGCCACAGATGGAAACAACAGTCCAAAATCCCTGACCCCTTTAGCGGCCAGCGGCAACCGACGCCCATCTATTCCTACTCCGACAAGGCCATCGCCTCGGTCGTGGGGACGTGCAGCAATCTGCTGGCCTCGATGATACCCGCCCTGGGCGCCCTCGCCTTGTTCTACATCAAGTCAGCAGAGGCACGAATGGGCGCCATCGTCGGCCTGACCTTCTCGTTCAGTGTGGCTGTGTCCCTCGTGGCGGGCGCGGGAAGAACCGAGTGCTTCGTGGCCACGTCGGCATTCGCGGCAGTTCTGATGGTATTTGTTGGCAACGATGGGGCCGTCTGCAGTTGCTGAAGAGAGAGAGAGATCAGGAAAGGGTGACCCAGGCCGAGTTGGTGCTGCTGCTGCTGTTGTGGCTGCCTGTCCTGTGGTCGGGGACAAACGGGCTCGGCAGTTCACCGCCGCAGCACGGACGTATATACCTTGTCTCGTTGACAAGTTACGGCCTTACGGGATCTCAAGGAATGCCTGTTGTCGGTCCAGATAAGGTTCATTCTGTTTGCCTGGAAAGTGGATCCGGGTCAGCAGCGAGGGTGGTGGGTGGTCTTGCAATAGCCGCAGATCCGAAGAATCTATAATCAACAGCAATTCTGAAAGGTTTAGCCTCATCCGCCACGGACATACATGTCGATCACGCTCTGCTAGGACCGCTAGAGGCGTATCACCGTAACATGACCACACGTGTCTATCAGGTGTGAGGAACCCCTTTTCGAACATGTCACCATAACTTCGAATCTAGTGAGAACCTTCATCCACGACTGAAACTTGACATGCACCCTCATGGCATTCTCTATCAATCTAGACCGGCCATGTTTGGGGGATACCGGACCGGGCATCGAGTGACACTCGCACAGACTTTTTGTGAGACACGACACTTTGCGTGAGAGCGCCCTGACTTCAGGTACAGGTCTGCATATCACAGTATCCCGAGACACGAAGCCATACCGAACACACAACAGGGCTCGCTGTCAGAGCAGGAGACACACCCGACCATGAGCACAAATCTCGAAATTATTGGCCGTGGGTATAAAAAGCCCCTCGTTGCCCAAGCCTGCCCTCAGACCGGCACCAAGCACCAGGTCATCCCACACACGTAACAAGGTTTCATGAAGTCAGCACAGCACCGTTCTACTCGAGCCATGAAGACCCCTCTCATCTTTTTCACCTCGTTGCTCCTATCCGGCCCCGTCTTATGTCTGCCGGCGGCCGGCGCGGCCGATCGGATCGACCGTGCCTCAAAGTCACCAAGCCTCTCGCTGTGCGTCCGGGGCCCATCTACTCTTTCTTCCCTTGCTCACTGCTCACTTTGTCTTCCTTGCTACGCCTTCACTGACAGTCGGTCCTGTTCTCAGTCCTTCCAAGGCGTGATCCCACTAATCCCCTTTGCCGTCCCGCCCGGCAGGTATCCCTTGCCCATCGCCCAAGACAGGCTCTCGTTCCTCAACTTCTTCGCCTTCAACCAAGCCACGTTCCCGGACCCCTTCCAGCCGCGCACCGGGGTCGACACCGCCCTAGCCCACCTCCTACTGGCCAGGGTGATCATCGCGTCCTCCACGACCGCCAACCCCGCCGGCGCCACCGTCAAGGCCTTTGCGCTCGAGTCCTTCGACTGGAAGGCGGCGCGCAACGGGACGGGAATGCCGACGTAAGCGACGTTGAAGGTCGTGTGTGAGACGGTGGACCGCGACGCTGCGAGCGTGACGAAGGATGGACTGCAGTTCCTGGACGTGCAGGCGGGTAAGAACGTGTCGGGCGCGCGGGCGCTGTTCAGGGACAGGTTTGAGAGTGTCAAGGCGTGTGAGATGCGAGCGTTCGCCGGAGAAGGAGATCAAGCTGAGTTGGCGCTTGTGCTGGATAACTTTGTGTACTCGGTTTGGGTGGTGCCAGCTGGGCAAAGTAGGTGCAAGGTACCGAGCTAGTTCAGGGGTGTGGAGGGAAAGTAGAACGCTGAATTAGAGCGGAAGGTTCTCCCTCCTGCTATCTCCCGAGGACCATCGCGCTATCTACTTCGTCCCGATATATCAGCAACGACGCTCTATCGTGGCCATGTCGATGGGCTTGCGGCGTGACATCTTCTTCAACGAGTGTCCCTAAACCAGGGTGACGCCGCCGAGCGCGCTCTGCCGCGGTCTTCGCCCGTCTCCGCATACGCAGAGAGAGGTTTGGTGCCGAGGTCGATCCGGAGGCCATCTCTTGCACCGGCAGAGCCGCTGGGAGTCTACGCAGGTCATCTAGATCCGGCCACTTAGGTCGCTTTTTCTCGCGATCACTCTGCTCCTCGAACAGCTTGTTGAGCTCACGTTGGTACGGCCAAGTGGGTAGCGTAACATGTTCTCTACCGTCCGCTTTTCTGACTCTCCACTGTGGGACGTCCTGTCCGTCGACGAGTCTGGGGCGTGCGTGCCTAGCTGCTCTGGTGATCCACTCGTCCCACACTTGATTGTGTGGGGCGATATTGGTGTGTTCGAGCCAGGCAGCGGTGCCAGTGAGAGCTATGGCTTTCCAGAGCGCAGTGGTGAAGTTACGGAACTCGGCGGTGACTCGAGGCTCAGAAGTCTGCGAGCTTGTGCTCTTTTGGGAGAAATGTGACCATGTCCTTCGCGGCCGCTGCTGCGTCGGCGGATAGGAAGGCCCCGGAGTCGCTTCCACATCGCCGCTAATCTTGCTAGGACGAATAGCAAACGTGAACGTGGCTGAGGATGGGTGCATGTTATTTGCACTATGATGAGCATCTGCGATCGGTGGCTGACTCGGCGGCAGAGCCGTCGAACTTGAGAGATTGACCTGCTCCGGGGAGTCGGGCATGACTGGGTGGGAGTGCGTGCGGTCGAGGGTCCCGATATGCGGTACTTCGCTCGGTTCCGGTACACCAGAGTTTGGAGGGTCGATGTCTTTGACACGTACCGTATAGCAATGAGTCCAGTGCCGTTGGAGATTGTAAGCCGATGCTACCCAATAAGCAACATTCAACAGTACATAGGCGGCTGCAAAAGCAACTTGCAACGTCGGGCGGGAATTTCCAAGAGAAATGAGGCCGAATATCAATGTTATAGTACCCGACAGCGCCATGATACGGTAAGCGTCTTCGGACAGCAATGGCTGGGCGATCTCAGGAGTAAAGTACAAGCGCGATATGAGCTCGCTACATCTGACAATGCGAAAGGCTCCTTGGCTCGGATAGTAAATCACAACATCACCATCTGGAATGTGGTCTTTTCGATGCGGGTTCGGCGAGTCTTTGGTCAGCTTGATGGTCCAGCGGGAGGCGAAGCCGACCAGTGTGGAGGTGCCAGATAGGAGGACGGTAGCTATCAAAGCCCACCCATCATCGTATCGAACAGCAACAATGATGAGAGCAATGGCCATGGCAGTGCCGAGGGCAGACAGCCAACAGAGAACGCCATCATGGTTGGCATAGTATGCATCCTTGTGGCCTAGCTCCTCGATCTTGTCTACCTCGACGAGCTCAACCTCATATTGTTCGAGCTCCTTCTCATGCAAGAGCTGGCAAAAGAAGTTCAATTCATTCTTGACTTTGCCCGAGTAGGCGCCAACGACCATTCCCTCTTCTGTTGGAAGACGCTTTTCGCGCGCATGTTTCAAGAGAGCCTGCGGCGCAGGCATAAGGCGTGGGAGAACATGATGCCAGGACAAGGCTGAGATCTGGGAGGTCCGTAGAGTGGAAGCTTCCCCTAAAATGGCAACTATGCCTACTATATCCAGTCGCAAAGCAGAAAAGGATCCTAAGAAGAACATAGCGAGTAGGGCGACGATCTTGTCTGGCTGATGTCTAGAGTTGAGCGAGCAGTAGGCACCAGGCCGGCCTTTATATCGCGCAGGCTTCTTAAATCAGGCTGGCCGCAAGCCATGGCCACGGTGTGATTGTCGAAGACGGCATGAAGCACTTGGGATAGCATAGAGCCCCGCGGGACGGCACGAGAAACGTGCAGGGATGCTGGGGAGGGTGGGTGGCCGGACCAGGATGTGTGCCTCTGCTCATTAGAGCGAGTGCATTGATATTCGACATGGCACATGCATGCTGTAGGTGACGCTGCACGTCGTTGTTAGCCATCATCTTGGCAGCTGAAAACCATCACCACAATGCAACTCCTGAGCCTCGTTCTGATCGAGCCTTATCAGCAATTTCATGAGTTAGGACTTCCGGCCATCGTGCAGGTAGGTACAGGAGGCGGCCGTCATTGAGCTGGCAGGTCGGCGTGCCGCCACGACGGGCAACGATCCGGATATACCAAGGTATTGCCGAAATGGCATTCAGCAGTGCACAAGGCTGAGACAGCAGGGCGCCATTGGCAAAGGACCGAGGGTTCCGGTTTTGAAGACTCAACAGTGTGTCTTACATCGAATCAACGTGTGCAGATGATTCATTGGAAGAGGTGGTATGGTGAAGGTGGGAGGGAGGTTGCCCGGCACTGAGCTTGACGCGGAGCTTGGCAGCTAGCTGATCGTCACTGCATCAGGGCTTCAAGCCATTATTCCTCCTGTCTTTCCGCGTGCTTGCCACCGCTAGGAGGGACACAGAGAGTGAGGCAGATAGTCTCTGCTGAGAGCGGAAAGGAACGACTGAGAAAGAATGGTAAGAAGGAATATGTTGAGCCTAAGAGTTTGCAGGAGATTCCGGTTGCTGCTTGGGGGTTTTCAGACTGTATGCGATTGTTTCGATAATCGAAACAATAATTAGCCAGCTCATAAAGTCGGGATCACTACATTCTGCTTGTATCAACCAGGATACCGCGTGAGGTTCCAGTCCAAGCAGCAGCTCGCCAGCAAGTCGATGGAGGGAGGTTCATTTCACTGCCTAAGAGTTGAGGAGCCAAAAATCCCTTCATCACTCGAAGAGCACATAGCAGGGTATAGACATAGATTCGATTTGGATACCGTAAAATTGAAACTTTGCGTAGTGTCGTGAGACAGTTGAAAGCGAAGAAGCATGCTCTCCAGAAGATATAGGTGGCTCAGTCAGGATGGCCGCCTAGACGTGTTCCGGGGTCGTACATGCGGAACCGGTGCCGCAGGGTTTCGCCGCGCGGAGAGAAAAGCCGCTCGGAAGGCTTGTATCTAGCGAGTACAGACAAGCCTCAGACGAGAATCCAGTAGGGGTCGATAAAATTGACCGGCGGGCTCATGACAAACTCGCTACTAGATGTACCTCAATTGCGATACAGCATCGACGGTGCCGCACAAGGGCCCGTGCTCCCTCAAGAGCTGGTTGCAAGTGCGTACTCTTGCTTTCGAAAGAGCGGTAAGTGTTGTTATCATCATCCAACTCCTGTACGAGATGGTTCAGCCTCTTCAGGAGGAAAACATCCACAGCTCCAGTTGGCAGTCCTCCCAGCGGGGGACGCGGTCAATCCTCTGAGCTGGTTGGCTTTACTTCTTTAGAAGAGAACCATTCTCGGTGGCTCATGACCATCTGATAACTCCCTCCTGTGTACGAAGCCGACGCCACGAACTCTATTAAGCGACAGAGGCCGGACCGTCACCACATTTCTGCTTTATCATAATCATCAAAGCAGGACATGTCAAAATGCAACTGCCGAGCAATTTCTGCTCCAGTCCCCAGGTTGATCCCCCAGAATGCCCATCTCCGGCCCTCCCAGGCCCCACATGGTCGCGCTCGAGGCCATGGGGGTATTATCCGGTGCTCACCAATGACCCTGTCAACCTTCCGGGCCTTTCTCCAATGTGCACTTTCTCGCTTATCGCCCTATATGGGATGGCAATACACCCGGATCTAGACGCTATGGCTCGCAGACCCGTCGAGTTACCATCAGCCCCGCCGAGGGCAATATAAACACGAGCTCTCCCCAGCCGAACTTGACGGTCCCTATCATTGCTTGTTTGTGCTAACAGAGAGAACGAAATCGATTCCCACAATGGATGAAGAGAAGGATGTCCCGACCCCCCGGGTGATTGAAAACCTGACCGACCTGCACGAGTACAATGAGGCGGAAGGCTATGTGATCACCGACACGGCGCATCTCAACCTCAAACACGCCCCTGATGGACAGACGATCCTGCTTCCTCAGCCCAGCGACGACCCCAGGGACCCTCTCAATTGGAGCTGGGTCAAGAAACACACCATTCTCATCATCATATCCATGACCGCCTTTCTGCCGGACTATGGCTCCGCTACCGGTGCTGTTACATTGCTCCCCCAAGCTGAGGTTTACGGGCTTAGCCCGGACACCGTGAATCACTCTCAAGTGGGCAACGTCTTCATGCTCGGTGCTGGAGGCGTCGTCGTTGTCGCACTCTCGGCCTACTTCGGCCGCCTGCCGGTGCTGTTCTACTTCCTCGTCCTGGCAACTGCGACGGCAATCTGGTGCGCGGCCGCGGCCAGCTTCGAGTCCTTCATGGCGGCGAGAATCCTCAATGGCTTCTTCAGCACTGTGGCACAGGGTGGAGGGCTCATGTTCATCTATGACATGTTCTACTTCCATGAGAGAGCTCGCAAGATCAATATCTGGGCGGCATTTGTAAGTTTACCCGCTGCTGCTGTCCTACAGGGGATGGGGACGCTTCCCAAGGACCACGACTTCTAACTTCTGGCAGATCATTCTCTCGCCGTACTTCGGCCCGCTCTTTGCCGCTTTTATCATCTCGACCCAGAAGTGGCAGGTTCCATTCTGGGTCTATGTGGCCGAGACGGCTCTTTGCTTGGTGCTTACGATCCTATTCGTCGAGGAGACATACTACGACCGCCGACTGCCCATCGACTCACAGCCAGCGAACGGCTCCCGCATCTCTCGCCTGCTGGGAGTATCACAGTTCAAATCACGACACCTCCGCAACAGCTTCGGCCAGGCGATGCTCCGGCCCGTCAAAGTGCTCCTGAAGCCGACTGTCTTTTTGTCGAGCTTTTATTATTTACTGACCTTCGCTTGGGTTGTCGGAATCAATACCACGCTTGCCATCTTCCTCACTCCGCTGTACAACTTCAAGGCTCTGCAGATCGGGTACTTCTACTTCACACCCATTGTGGCGGCTTTGCTGGGTGAGATCATTGGCCATTGGTTGCACGATCAAATCGCCAACCAGTACATCAAGTCGCATGCCGGTCATTTCGAGCCTGAGGTGCGTCTACGGGCGATCTATGTCAGTACGCCGTTCATGCTCGCGGGGCTTGTTGGTTTGGGGTTTGCACTGGAGGAGGCTTTCCATTATATGATAACGAGCTTGTTCTGGGGCTTGTATGTGTTTGGTATGCTATGACCCTGTTCCATCGCTCGGCCTGACTGATATGACCAGGGATTATGATTACCACTGTGGCTCTCAATGCCTACAACCTCGATAGCTATCCAGAAGCCTCTGGAGAGGTATCGGCATGGATCAATATGGCCAGAACGGTAGGATTGGCGTTTTTCTTTCTGTCACGCTTACTGATACCGTACAGACTGGCGGCTTCATCATCAGCTATTTCCAGGTAACATGGGCAAATGCGCAAGGCACCAAGGTCAGCTTTGGCATTCAGGCAGCGATCTGTGCAGGAGCTTTCCTCATTATCGTTGCACTTCAGTTCGTCGGGAAGTCCTTGAGAGTCAAGAGTGGACCTTTGAAATTCGCTACTGCTTAGAGTGCGTGCATGGGTACTCCTTTTGATAGATTACGAGACCTGGCAGCATCGTAGACAATTCGGAGCATTCCAGGGCGGACCGGAAACGGAAGGAGCAACCGAGGCAGTTGCGCCGTTTGGCGAGGCTGGCACCACGGCGGTAACGAGGCTGCAACTGTCACTGCGACTACAAGTTTGAGGGTCGCAGGTACCACTACTACTGTAGATAACCTGACAAAAGCGGATACCACTGCCGAAATCATTGTCAAAAGGACTTGCAGTGAACTTTGTGGTTGCAGCTGAAAACCCCAGAACCAATGCACACCATTGGACACAGCCTCACCCCAGACAGGCTGCAGACTGCGAAGGGATGACGACAATCGGATCAGGCCGCCAAAGTTCTTCCAGAACACCTGCTCAAGCGAAAGTCAAGGCACGCGAGTACTGAGGCGGACCACGAGTGCCAGCAACGCAAACTCCGTCGTCTCGGCCCCTTGTCGCATGGCATGATGCATGGAAACCAGGGCCAGGTGCTGCCAAACAAGGCGCAGCCCTTTTCATTTCAGGGTCTATCGCCTTCTCGACTCCCTGGATCGACATTGATCCACCCTCTGACAGCATTCTTGGGAATGCGGCAGTCGCAAGGGGCGCGGATGTCTCTGACAACGACGCCCAACACAGCCCGACACTGATAGCTGGTAGACTGTATGGGCAGTCGAAAGTGTTCTATGCTCGCCCTCCAGGTCGTCCCGACAGGTCGAATGCCCCAAACGCGAAACGCTTCTCGAAACTCTCGAGGCGGTGACGGCCGGAGGACGACGTGTGTGGAGGTGGCGACACCCAACCACGCTGGGGCAGGGCAGCGGTGATTCGGCAGAGGCACGCCATCCACCCCACTGCTCTTGACGCAGCGCACGCACCACACGGACAGCAACCTGGGCTAGCAGGCCCCACCGACCGCTGGAAGTGACCTAGCGAGCGATTAACTGAACCAATGGTCAACCACTGTGGCCAAAGAGCCCCCCGGCCAGCGGCTTTGACAGTGTGCTGAGATGTACGCATAGCTCCACCCTGGCCAATAGTCGCTCGGCAGTGGCTAAATTTGCGACGATGCTTTGGCCGGATTGCTCGTTGCTAGTGGTGAGCCCTGCCAACACCTTTCGCCTCGCCCGCTGCTCACCTGCTTGCCCATCAGGCTCTCACCTCTCATCCTGCCTCCCGGCTTCACCCTTCCCACCACTCACCCTACATCATCTTGCCTGTTCCCCGATATCCCTCATTCTATACCGCTACTTTGCACCTCTCCCAACACGACCTTCCTCCCAATACCTCCAATACTCTTCCGCCTTTCTTCAACTATAGCTGTTTCCGGCTCCTATTATTACGCTGACGTGGTCTTTGTCCCGACCTGCATCTGAATAATCAACAACCCTGACCGCCCTGTTCCCTGTTCACTACCAGCCTCAAACATCCTTCAAAATGTCGGCCTTCTTCTACTCTGGTCATCAACAGCATCATCATCCTCAAGCCATGCACCATAATCCTCAACCTCATAACCACCATGGTCGCTCCCGGCGAGCCCCGCGCTTACCCGCCTCCCATAACCGACACTATCGTCAACAAAAGCCGCAGAAAGAGGTGGTCGTGTCCGAAAACCCCAACTTGACTGCTTTCCGGGCGAGATTCGAGGCTGGCCGTTCTTTCGACCTCGATGATGACCTCGAGTTCTGCCCCAATTTGTTGACGTTTGATGAAGTATGTTTGGATCCCAGCGAGCTTATCCGCTTGGCAACAGACACTGACCGCTTCCAGAAACAGTCAGTGTCGTCAGGCTCTGATCGCTCGTCCCTCTCGAGCGGCTCCCCCGAATCGTCTCCTCTCCAACATCAGATTCAACCCGATCAGATAACACCTGCGCTATCCCTATCTGCCACCACCTCGGCATACGTTTCCCCTTCGTTCCACAATAATACCCTCAAGGTTCACCAGCCATCGGCCATCCGTTCCGGCACCAAGGCCATCCCCATAGTGAACCCCTCGACCGGCATCCGCATCGCAAGCCCGCCATCTAGCATCTCGCCCGGCATGATGCAGATGTCCGCTGGTCGGTGGTAGAGTTGTGCCCGCACCTCTCCATGCCTTCCATCGCTGTGTCTGTATTCGTGTGTCGGGGCGGTGATGTTGTGATGAGTAGCTAGCCTTGCGGTTCCCCTTTTCTCGAGTCCGATCCCCCTCACCTCAACCCCTTGTTTGTACATAACTACTTTTTAACGACACGATACCGGATTGATTTCGAGCGAGCGCAAGGCATAGCGATTGACGATTTTCCATCATGATACCAGCCATTATGTGTGAAGATCCCTGGAAGAGGAGTATGGTGGCACAGCGATTCCTCCAAAGACGACGTTGCAAATTTTTGGACTATGGGCATGGAGTTCTACCCCCAAGCGAGCACAGGGGCGAAAAGAAGAGTCTCACGATAGATGACGACAATACTGCATCTGTATGGGTGTTGGATTGAGTTAAGGTTGCGTTTATTTTTCCATATGGACATGCATTGCTTTTTATTTCTACACCAAAACTGGGAGCTCAAATAACTTTTGAAGCTGGACTGGGCTGGGCAAGGGGACGAAAACAAAGATACCAGACGGTTGATGAGGCGTGTTTCATGGGGCTTGCATGGGGAAACAGTGACTTTGGGAAGATGATCAAGTCATGCACATCTACGGTTTTGGACGGGTATATGCTCAAAATGACCGAAACGGATCTGGGAGAAGGCGTGCAGTAGTACATTTGTTGGCATTGGGGTTTTCATTGCTGTCTACGGGACACCGGCTTGACTGCGGCTGAAAATTGGCTAAAGCCGCCTGGAACATGTATTCCTAACTATTGATCAAATAGATCCCAATTTGAAGAGTCATCAACAATCCGCGTCCTTCCTTTGACTTTATCCGAACTACTCAGAGGGTCGCGTGCAAGGTGACAGGGAACATTGGTAGCTTACAAACAAGGCCTGACAGGAGGCTGAACCGATGAGTCCAACATATCTGCCATCTGCAATTCGTTGCTTCGCAGCAAATGCCCAGAATGGTCTCACATCCAATTTGACCGTTTAGCCCGCTACGTGCATGGTCGATCCAGACGTTGCATTGCCGCTTGCCGACCAAATCCCCCTCGCGCTCGTTGACGTGAGACGTGTGTCTTGGCATCGACCCCGGCGAGGGGCACTTCACTCCCGCACAAGCAAACCACCCGTCATCGTATCCGACGCGTGCGCCTACTTTTTTATTACCAAGCCCATCAACGTTGCTGGATTGACCAACATGGCGTTCTCATTCAGATATTTCCTACTGCTGTGCCTCGTCGTCCTGGTCTTCGCTTCCCAGGCGCAGGCTTTCGGCGCGGGGAGTAAGTGGATTCCACCCAACGTATCAACAGACTACAATCGCTAACGGCCACCACAAAGACATCGCCTCCATCTCGGCCATCGAAGGCAAGAATTGGCGCCATGGTGACATCGAGGATATCCTCAAGCAGGTGCAGTGCATTCGTCACCATAAATGGAATTCCATGATGATGAAAAGTAAGTTTGGTGCACGTTTATATTCTGTGTCCCGTGCTGATGTTCCCTATAGGAGTCTATTTCGGGTGAGTGCAAGATACCGGCCATGATCTCTGTATCTGGCTGACAGCAGATGTGAATAGCAACTGGCTGCGCGACTACTCCCAGGCTATGGACACTGGTGCCTTGAAGAAGGCTCAGCCTGAGACAATTCGAGTACTGGTCTGGTTACTGTCGTTCCTGGGATTCGGCTATGCGACTGCAGAGTTCGAGGTAACTAGAGAAAGGCTGGGTGTCTATCGGCCAGAGGAGCACATTGAGTAAGGACTTCTCTCACGAGCACCTGCTGTCACCCCTCCTCCCCAAACAGGGATCTGACAGGTATACTCTAGCAATCCCAAGGACTATAACGACAATGAAGATGCTAGGAAGTTCGATGAACGTCTCCGCGCACCTGTCCGTGACATCGAGTTGGGCATTGACATGTCCACCGGTATGAAGAACTACATTGCCGCCAAAGGCGACTGGGCCACCAGCGCCGCCTTCGTCAAGTGGAGCTTCGAGCGCAGCATCCATCACGGACGACAGTATTGTTCCGGCCGCGGCATCTTCAAAGGCAATGACGACGAACTCGCCGAAGCCTGCCGTCTTTTGGGTCAAGGCTTACACACTCTAGAAGATTTTGGTGCCCACACGAACTACGTCGAACTTGCGCTGCGCGAGCTAGGCCTGCATAACGTCTTCCCTCACGTTGGTGAGCGATCAATGATCAACGTTCAGGGCAAACACATCTTCCCACTCGTCACAGGCACCTTTGGAATGATCGATTTCTACCACTCAGTCCTTGGCGAAGCGACCGATCATTTCACGCAGAGCGAGATCAGCGAGATGGACAATGCTATGGGCATGGCCGAGACTGCTGCGCAATCAAATAACCCTCTAATGACGTTGGTCAAGCTCTTGTCGAAAGTGCCAGGGACGAAAGATCTCTGTGACGAAGCTCAGCGTCTGCAAGCCAACTCTCAGCGAGCGCGTGAAGCAAATCGATCGGCTGGAGTCGGTGAATCGTCACGTGGCATGGATGATGGCTATAGCTCCTCCCGTGCCGGCCCTGGTGACTGGAATCAAGGCTACCAGCAGCAAGGCTACAACCAAGGCTACCAACAGCCACCTCAGGCCCACCAGCAGCATTCATGGGGTGACCCGGCTTATGATCAATTTATACAGAGCCAGCAACATGGTCAGAGCCAGCAGCACAACCAATGGCAACAGCCGCCTCAGCAGGGTGGCTGGCAGCAGCCTCAGCAACAATGGGCCGGCCAGCAGCAATCCTGGCAACAACCTGCTGAACTCCCAGCTCAAACCAACTGGAACCAACCCCCTCCTACCACCCAAACGCAATCGACTCCTGCCCAACCTCAGCAGAAGCCAGCCGGTGGCGCTTCGTCGGCGGACGGCAAAGTCGACGGCGGCATAGATCCCGGCAAAATTGTCCAGCAGATCTATCCCATTCTTGCCTTTCGCGACAAAGTTGTCCGAGCCATCTCGTCTGTCATCGAGAAGATTCCCGGTCTGGAAGCCCTGGTCGAGCGGATCGTGGAGACACTCACAGTCTTCATCCTCTCATTGCTCGCACCCATCGTCCGACCACTCATCGAAGTCCTCTCCAAGACTCTGCAGACCGGGTCCGAGGGCGTCATCGCCAGCAACGGCAAGCATCAATTCGATGTCTGGAACGACCCCAGCTCTACAGATCCCACGCACAGCATGCTGAGCAAAGACCACTTCAGTAACATCCTCAATTCGCCCGCTGGCGCGGTCGCGGCGGAGATTTTGAAATTCATCGCCCCGCGTGTTCTGTATGCATGGGAGCACCCTGATGTCCCTGTTCAGCAGGTGCTGGCAGACGTCGACGTCATCTTCCACCACCCGGCGCTGCGCAACGAGCGCATCGAGTGCCATCGCAACATGTTCAAGGTGGTGCAGGATTGGGTGCATAGTCGCTCGGATCGGGGCCGTGGCCTGGACCAGCTGCTCAGCAGCCAGTCAGTAAAGGACGGGAAGAACCACAAAGCTGGCGTCAACGATCACAACATGGTTGGTGAGTTACCCCCCTATGCGTCCCGGCGGATCGCGAATCTCGCCCCTGTAGCCTTTTTCCCTCCTCCCCTTTTCCACGCCTAGCACAACTCGTGTGTCTGACCCGTACTAACATCCACAAGACCACCACACGATGAACCAGCAACAAATGCACAACGCCGCCTCAGGCGCCAACGCCGGCGGCATCATGAGCATGCTAGGTGGCGGCGGGGGCGGCTCATCCCAGCACCAACAAGGCGGCGGTGGCCACCAATCCTCCTCCTCCCCGTTCGGCATGGTCGGCGACCTAGTCGGCAAATACACCGGCCAAAGCAGCGGCGGCCACCAGTCCTCCTCCGGCGGCTACGGCGGCGGCAGCAGCAGCAGCAGCCACGGCAATCAAAGCCACCATCAAGGTGGTGGCGGCGGGTTGGGTGACATGCTGCACATGGCGGAGAAACTGCCCGGCGTGGGCGGATATGCGCACAAGCTGAATAAATTCGGGCTTGGTGGTGGTAGTGGTAGCGGCGGCGGCGGTCTAGCGAGTTTCCTTGGTGGTGGTGGTCGGCGCGGTCTCGATGATGAGCCTGGCTCCAGCCGAGGCGGCATTGATGATCGTGAAGTCGGTGTTGGTGGGCAGCAGACGCATTTGTCCGGCGGGTATGCTGGCGCCGGCGCTGGGACGTATGAAGGTGCTGGTGCCGGTGCCGGTGCTGGTGCTGGCAGTGTGGAGCAGCGGAGCCGTAGTCCGAGTCCTATGCCTCTACCGCCTCCGCCGGGGTATGAGAGCTATACGGGTAGGGGCCTGGAGTATGATGGGCAGACGGCTGCGCCGGCTGCTTATGGCGGCGGCGGCGGTGGTGAAGCGGCGTATGGCCAGCAGGGTGGTTATGGACAGGGCGGGTATGAACAGCAGACTGGGTATGGCCAGCAGGGCGGGTATGGGCAGGGGCAGCAGGGTGGTTATGGCCAGCAGACTGGGTATGGACAGCAGGGTGGCTACGGTCAAGGTGGCTACGGTCAAGGTGGCTACGGCCAAGGACAGTATTACTGATAAGCCCATGCGAGCGCGTCGAGTGAGATAAAACATATTAGATTTGCTGCTGCTGCTGCTAGAGCACTACCATGACTGGCTCCTAGACAGACCACATCTTTCTTTTACAGCAGTGGAAGGTTGTTCATTTCCTGGCTTAGATGCCTATGCATGCTCGCCTTCTGCCTTCCGTCCTTCTCACAACTCTTTTCACCGGGCGAGATCGCAGTCTGGCATTGTATACCTCGTCAACAAGACGGTACACGTAGTTTCGACTGCCGGTCTCCATGGCCATGGACTATATTGGGTAACGCTTGTGGTAGAGAATTTTTGCTCGAGGCGAAGCATCACACCTTCGTCCAATGCCAAGAAGGTATTCGTACAGCATGGAGACACCCTCAATTGGTGCCTGGCCTCGTTTAGCTGTACGATGGCTGTTGAGATGGCAAAGCTGGGGTATGAGTATGTAAGCATGGCTCTGGGGAAGGCTGCCACATTTCCTATGTGGCAAGTTTTTTGCGACGGCGACATGGCAGATGTCATCTCCCCGCATTCCGCTGATGAGCCAAGCTTGCTCAGCCTGTCTTAGGGTGCTTGAAAATCTGAGACGTGTGGAAATAGCATCCTAGCCAGCGCCCCTGATACGTGTCCATGTACGTGTACCCTGGCTTCTTTGCCTTGCCTTGGGTGGATTAGCAAGCCTAGCAAGAATACAACTAGCCCGGTAGCTGCCTCGCAAAACTGTATCTTCTTTCGGATTTCGATCACCCTCCGGTGAACTTGGCTGCATACCATGGTCAACAGAGGCGCCTCGACTGGCTGCATTACGTGCAGAGAGCGGCGGGTCAAATGTGACGAACAAAAACCCAAATGTAAGGAATGTCTCCGTCTGGGACGCGAATGTGCCGGCTACGGGAGGAGGAGCACCCGGGTGAGATTCAAGGATGTCACTGCTCGGTTTTCAGGAAAGTCTTCACGAGGAAGCTCACGGGAAGGCTCACGCAATGGCAACAGCAACAGCAACAGCAACAGCAATGGCGGCAGCGACCGCGACTCCCCTCTGAGAACGACAACCACGATCGTACCGACTGAGGCCGGGAGCACCTCACACCCTAGGACGTCATGGTCCGACGACGCCATCTTGCAGGGCCCACCACAAGTCCAGCAAGACTATGCCGTCGACTTCTTCCTCACCTATGTCACCCACATAGGCCGGAGCAAGGAGTCAACCCGGGGCTTCCTGGAATTCATCCGTCCCGCGCTCGCGACTGAACGCCCCGATTCGGCCCTGTCCACTGCCGTCAACGCTGTGGCCATGAAGCTATGGGCCTGGCTCAATCACCCCAACGTCGATCAAACAATACCAGGAAAACTGCTCGGCCACGCACTGGTGCGACTGCAAGATGCCGTCGAAGACCCCGAGGAACGGGCACGTGACACCACCGTGCTCGCAGCCCTGTTGCTCCAGATGTACGACACTTTGGCAGCGGTATTTGACCAGCAAAGAGCCCAGGGCACCCATCGTGAGGGAGCATTGGCCCTACTCCTGACCCGAGCAGACGGCGAGAAGCGCTCCAAGTTTTTTGCCAACCTTGCCGGGAATATTTTGCACGCCAAAGTCTCCATGTGCGTCAGAGAAGGGGTGCTGTTGCCTCCCAACGAACTCGAATGGCTCGAAACGCAGGTGATTCCGATCGTGCCGATGAACCCGAGCACGCTGCTTGATATAATTGGCCTCGACGTTGCCAAAGTCCAGCATCTTTACTCCGAGGCAAAGCAAGCTGAAGACATCACGTCGTCGAGCGCACCGACCGAGCTATTTGAAAATATCCAGGCTGTGGATGCACAACTCAAACAATGGCTGGAGGTCGTGCCACAACATTGGTACCCCTTTAGAGTACACACTGGCAGGGATATCGACCCATCCATTGCCACATATCAGGGCGCCTGTGAGGTCTACCCGAGCGTTCAGGTCGCTAACATTTGGAACGCATGGCGTATCTACCGTCTCATCGTCGAAAAAATCAAACTCCAGCTCAGCAACAGCGGCTTTGCCTTCGTCGCTCCAGCTCGAGCATCGGTCCTACGCAACGACCTCGACACCCGCGAAATCCAAGACATCACTGACGGCCTCTGCCACAGCATCCCCTTCTACCTCGGCAACCGCACCTCTCCGGTCGTCATGTCCGACATGGACGACCCGCACCTCACCTTTCCCACCTTCCATGACGTGCAGCAGACCACGACCGATGGCCAACGTGCGTTCCTTCAATACCGCGCCAGCGACCACCATGTCTCCCGACTCGACCATGCCCGGCACGTCATCCTCCAAGGACCCTTGCACATGACCATCATTCTGTCCCGCATCATTGACATGCTATTTGCAGAAGACGAGGACAGCGGAGAGCGTGGTGGTAGTAGTGGGAGTCTGCCAGCGGGAAACCCCACGACTGCCAACAACCAGAAGCCTCTGCGGCCAGAGCAGGAGCAGTGGATCTCGGAACAGTTCCTCCGCGCGCTCTACCTACTACGACTGCTGCCGGAAAGTGCGCGTGTGGTGTCACCCGAAAACGACACGAATGTGGATGACAAGAACAATCAAATTCCAACGGTAGCGGCAGCAGCGGCAGCAGCATCACAGTCTGCGCAAGCGGCACCCAATAAAATCTCAAAGGCTAGAATTCTGGCCAGCGCGTTGAGGCGAGGGTTGTGGACGTTGACTGTCCTGTGATTCCGCAATGTCGAAGCCTGACGCGCTTCTCAGGGGGAGTAGGACTTTTACATAAGACAGTCTCATCGGATGAATTGAGCTCGATCGCGACGTGCGCTAGACACTGGACTTGAAGAATGGCAACGTCGCTTCGAACGGTGACTCTGACTGGCTCACTGCCAGTGGCTCGCAACTGGCTCGCAATAGAGCTCATTGCAGTCACCGATGCAGCTCCGTTCCACCTTTGCGCTCTTCAAATACCAGACGCAACGGCATCGCATGCGTTGTGAACACATCCTCACTCTCCCGCAAGAGCCTGCTGCCATCCTCTCCCTCCGCCAAGCTGATCTGGAACGCCAGCACTAGCCTTGCCGCCACGGTGCGCAGCTCCATCATCGCGAGCTGCTTCCCGATGCAGCCGTAGGGGCCGGCCAAGAAAGGTGCGAAGGCCGATTTATTGAGGATGAGCTCCGGCCGTGTGGTCCAGCGCTCGGGGATGAAGTCGTTCGGCTGCCGGAAGGCTTTGGGCGAGCGGTGGATGGTAGAGAGCGGTGTGGTGATGGTGACGAGTCCCGGGATGAAGCGGTCGCCGACCTGGAGTCCCTCTGCCGGGGTCTCGCGCATGGTGGAGGTCTGTACTGGTGGGTGGAGGCGGAGGGTTTCGTTCACGAGGCCATCGAGGTAGGGGAGGTGCTGCACAGACTCGACGGCGATGGAGGCGCTGTCGTGGAGATTGTTGGCGGCGAGCTCTTTCCGAAGTCTGCGTTGCAGCTGGGGCTCGGATGCGAGGTAGTAGAAGAGGAAGGTCAGGGTGCTGGCGGTGGTGTCGCTGCCGGCGATGATGATCAGGCGTGAATCGCCTTTCATCAAGTCCTGCTGGGCTTTGGGGTCGGCGTAGAAGGCGTCGGCGGCGAGCAGGTGCGACATGATATCCGGCTCTTCCGGATCCAGCTGCTGGCGAGCCTGCAGCGACGCATCACTGAAGCGCAGCAACGCCGCCTGTGGATTCAACCAGTCCGGAAGTCTCGTGAGTAAGTGGGCCAACCACGGGGTACAGCCAACCACAACGGTGGTCTTGTTGCTGTCGTAGATGGCGTCGATGGCCCAGTGTGTCGTCTCGGACTGCAGACCGTTGAAGGAGCGTCCAAAGGCCAAATCACCCATGACATCGAAACTGAACCAGCGGATCCGCTCGGTGATGTCGATCGGGCGGGCGCCTGCTCCTCGAATGGATGCCTCGAGTTGGGACACGTATTTTAGGATCCGGCTTTCATACCCGCGCAGTGCTTGTTACCAGAAGTTAGCTTATCTAGACACACATCTTGGGTCTCGAAGACCTGGGGGGTGGGGGAAGGAAAACCAACACTTTGCAGTGAAAGCCTGATCCCAACCAAGTCTCCTGCGGCGGTTGTGCATCGTCTTGTCCCGCAACTGCTGGAGCGTCGTCAGCGGCCATCCGGGCAGGTAGCCGATGGGCTTCCCACAGCGGGACATCGGGCTGTGGACGGCTGCGATGATATCCGGGTCCGAGACCGAGATCGTATCCGACCCTAGTAGACGGATGTTTTAGTCAGGAAGGGGTCCCGTTGGAATGACACGAGACAGACATGCTGCAGCGGAGGACGGAAGGTAGACGGTTCGAAGGACCAAAAAAAAACCCTTCCCTTTTGAACAGTGATTTGGCATCACGTACCTATCCTCACGACCTCGCCATACCTAGCATGAATCTCCTCGAACCAGCTCGGCCCCTGCAACCCGACATTCTTCCACATGAAGTACCAGATACTGAGCCGCGCGGCAAACGGGCCGGGCACGCCGTGGAGTCGATGGGAGGGGGAGACGCGGTAGATGACTGTGCTGGCCAGGCAGCCCGTGACGAAGGCGGCGGCGATGGATGTGATGAGGAAGGCGGTGGGGAGGAGGGGGAGCTGGAAGATGAGGGTGCGAAGAGCGATGGTGGTGGTGCAGAGGAGGGTGGTGGTCAACAGGAGGGGAGGGATGGAGAGGACGTGCTCGCCGCGGATGAAGTAGGCGCGGTGGGCGAGGATGCCTAGGGCGGCGGGAAGGAGGAGGTGGAGGGGGAGGGGGAGGGGGAGCCATGGGGTCGTCGTCGTGGATGGGAAGGTCATTGTTGAGGAGTGTTCAGCGTTGGGTCAGGCAGCGTCGGCGGCGGGGACGGAATGATGTTCAGTATCTGAGAGCGTGGGAAAGGGCAGGGGCAGTCCTTGGTCATTATGTGTGCGTGGTTATCGATCGGTGCCTTGTTGGGGCTGACACAGCAGACCGGACACTCGTTCAATGGTTTCACACATCGTTCAGTTCGCTGCTGTTTACTGTATGGCGGGTGGGCGAGATTCGTGTCGGGGGCGCGGCCTAGGCGTCCAGTCTACAGTAGCCTGTCATCGCACAAGGTTGCGAGTTTGCCCCGCGGTGTCAAGCTTACTGTGTACGTCTCAGTTAGGCGCGTTAAGCGCGCAGGGCACGCAGTATGTCTCGGCGTTCCTGAAACGGGTCTCTCAAAGTTCTGGCAAGGAAGACACTCGTGGGCTGCATTGCCAAGCTCGGTTGCTGTACCGAGTCTCCCGTGTCATTGCTTAGGTACATAGCTTGCCTGGGTACGGATACCAGTAGAGTATCTAGATTGGTCGTGGCTTGAGGTCGTTTCTTCACGCCGAGTCGCGAACCCTGTATAGCAAGATAACTTGAAGTGATAGCACGTCTCCGGGAGATATAGCGTCCGCTCGAGACTTTTCACCGAACAAAGTACATACATCTTGCTGCCTTCTGATTCCCCCTCCACCACACCTCAACGGCGATTCAACGCCTCCCCCGCCTTCCAAAACAGCCTGACGCAGGCCCAACCCCCAGCATACCAGGACAGCGTGCGCAACAGACTCAACGGCGTCGTCTCAATCAGCACGTAGCACGCCCCGTAGGCCACACTGGCCACCGAGTACAGCAGACAGTTCGCGTTGATGACGTCGTTGGGCACACCCGCCGCGACGGCCAACACTGCTGCGGCCGCGAAGATCGAGTAGTTTTCGACGCGGTTTGAGTGCGCGGCCGAGGAGCGCTTGATGAGGTTCAGCTGGCGCTGCGTGATTTTGCCCGACTGCACGGCCGCGTCGCCGTACTTGGCGATGTCGTCGCGTGGGGCGTGGTTGTGGTCGATGCCGCTGTCAGAAGTGTGTTGGTAGGGTGGTTGCGTGGGTATAGGTCGGTCGTGAATACGGGGGAGGGGAGAGGCTGGGATTGGGGGCCTTACTAGTATTGCTTGAAGCTCCGAGGAACGAGGATGAAGTGCGCGAAGACGAAATTGCCGATGAGGTAGTAGGGCGCGTGGCAGCCGGCGCCGGCGTGTAGGCCTAGCATGGACGTTATAGAAGACATGATGCCCGAGGGCCGGCCAGCAGGCGTATGGGCCAACGAGGAGAGCTGTTGGGTTGCGAAGCCGCCCTTTTCCTGCACGAACGGGCGAGGGTCGTTGAGTCGGTGGTTGTTGGCCATGAGATACTACGAACAAAGTCTTCCACCAGTTCCGACCCGTGTAAGTCTATGTGCTGCCAGTGGCATCGTGAAAGCAATGCCTTGGAAGCTCTAGTGAGGTATTTATATACCTCGCTTCAGCTGTCGTGGAGGAGTGTTGCCCCGCCACGGTTCCCCCCCACGTTAGGGGCTCAGAACCAGTTGCAGACTTCGCTGTCCTCCATTGAAGCAAATTGCAGGGCGCGGATGTAGCAGTTGATCCCAGGTACAAAGGCTCCGAAAATGGAAAATGGGTGTGAGAATAGCTCACTGATATGCACGTACACTTGCCACAATTTACAGAACCCATCACGGAATCGCACAATATTCAAGCTGATCGTGTTATCGTACAACCGTCGTAGTCGAGTGCGCCGCCGAGCGTATCATATGGAAAAGTGGTTGTTATGCGTCTACCCGACAGCGATTGACTTCCTGGAATAAGGACTTCGTAGGCAAGACCCTGCATCCGTTGAAGCTTTGTATGCCACACCAATGCGTTTGTATGGTGTTGTACTGGCATCGACGACCAAGAGCCGGGCGCCGTGTAAGCAAGATTTGGCCTTGCGGTAGGGAGTGCTTGCTGAAGAAAAGTGTTGTGTTATAAAATCGAGGAAATCTAGCTACTGTAGCTTCATGTATCCCGAAGTGCATGGGTAGTTTTGGTATCTACCGACCAATGTATACAACTAGTAATGTACAGCAAAATGAAGTTGAATATCTGTAGCATCGTGAAAGTCATGCTCGTAGCTCGTGTGGCGGCCAGCCAAACAACACACACTGACCTTTCCCTTCTCTTTCCTTCCCCATCCATTACCGTTCTTTGACTCTTGACCAATTCAGCCCACCATAGCCCTCACCCTCTCGACCCGCTCAACCCTCCCCTCCAACCTCTTAAGCCTCTCGCCCTTCTCCTTCTCCCTCCTCTCCAGAATCCTCACCCTCTCTTCAAGCTTACTCCTCGCCCGCCGCTCCTCCGCCACCATCTCGTTCGCCTGCCCAAACAGCTGCGCCGTCAGGTCCTCAAGCTCCAGCTGCGTCTGCGAGAGGCTCGTTTCCGCCTTGAGCCGCATCTCGCGCTCCGACGCCAGGTCCGACTGCAGCGAGTGCAGCGTCGGCTCGCTGGACGAGAAGGGCAGGTGCGGTTGCGACGCGGACCCGAACGACGTCTGCGCGTAGCCCGGCAAGGTGAAGCTGCCGTCGATGCCCGAGTCCGAGGGGTTGCGGCGCTGGCCGCCGAGCAGCGACCGGAGGCTGGACAGGCGAGACTGCTGCGGGGGCATGTTGCGGCCATCAGAAAGAGGCGGTGGGGGAAGGTTGGGGTTTTGCTGCTGTTGCTGTTGTACGATGCTCTCGGCGACCTCACGTTGTTGTCGCTCCGCCCGTAATGCGCGCACTTCGTCTTCATAGTCTGCGAGCTTGTCGACCGCCGCGGCGGCTTTGGAGTTCAGCAGCTTGACTTGTGCCTGAAGGTCGTTGATCATGCGCTGGGCATCTTCGGCAGCGGACGAGGCGAAAGCATGGCCGCATGACGGGCAGGATGTGGACGTCGAATGTGAATGGGAGGGCGCTGCTGGTAGAGGTTTCCGTGATATCGCGGGCGACGGTGGCTGTGACCGGGGTGGAGAGGACGTCTGCGGCTGCGAAAAGTGATTGCTGTGGAATGCGCTCATCGTGAGAGCCGAGGATGCGGCCATGAGCCGTCACGCCGCTCGGAGAAGTCGCCACTGCTCGCTACACGATGCAACCGTCAGACGTTGGCGGTACAGACCTTGTGACGCGCTGGCAGAAATATTCGCGACCTTGGTGGTTGAGGTGTGAGTGGGACGCCGGTGGAAGATCTTGGGTCGAGTCGAGCTGATTTTAAAGTGGCATGCGCCAGTGGCTGTCGATAGCGTGGCACCAGGCACGCAATCTTCTACACCTCATGTACAGTGGATCTCCATGCGGAGTGTCGAGCGTAGCAGTCGGTAGACAGGAGAATGTTGATCCAAATAATGCCAACGCGGTATCTGCTTGTCGCAAGTTTCATGAAGTGGTTACAGGTGGAGCGGAGGGATTTGGAGCCGCACGCCGTCGTGGGAGTACCCCGGTTTGGCTGTTGGCCCCTTCACGTGTTTAGAGCACCAGGAACCACGAACGCCTGCATTAGGGCGATTAATTTCGAACTATCCTGGACAGAGTCTGTCTGCCGACTCGTTGGTCTGCCTTCGAATCCTGCGGTACAACACTCCAGTCATGGGGGGTATATGAACTTCTTCTCCGTCGACGCCGCCCATCGACAACACTTCCTGCCTCTAATCACACATCTGGGGAGGAAACTCCAATCCGTATCTGATCCTGACAACAACGCTCTTGCCTGTAAACAATTGTTCAAGCCATGAAGCCAAACTGGAAAACGTAGGGAATGGCAGCCCTGTCACTCGTTAGCCGAACAGATCGCTCTGACCTCGTGGAGTCTTAACTTACGCAACAGTCAGGGTCGCCGCAACGCCGAATAGCGCGCGGTTGCGAACCTTTTCTCGCTTGAGGCTCTCCTCGAGTACCCGGGCCTTCTTTGCAGGCTGCTGTGGGAGCTCTGCATCCAGGTCTGATGGCTCGACCTCCTCGACCTTGCGCTTCCTCGTGACTTTTGGTGATGTTTCAAGTTCCTTCGCCTCTTCAACCATCCGCTTAGCCGTCTCCAGCATCTGCTCGGTATCTTGCGGAAGTGGCAGTTCTGGGGAGCCGGCGGGCATCTCGACAGTGACATTGGTGTGAGTAGTTTCGGTGTTGCCCTTGACTTCGACTTCCTGGTCGACTTCCACCTTGACAGACTCTCCCATTAACGAAGGAGATGTAGCTGGTGTCTCCTGCGGCTGATCCGTAGACACCGATTCAGCGCCAGCGATCGAGACAGCATCGTCCAAAGCCGACTGGAGAGCGGCGCTGGCTGCAGTTGTACTGGCCGCGGCGGCTTCCTCTTGCGCCTTGTTTTGGCTGGTCTGACGCTTCCTGGGTGATGCCTTGCTCTTGACCGGGCTCGCAATCTTGCTTGGGGACGCTGATCGTAGTCTTCTGCTTCCTCTTCCCGGAGTCCGACCAGGCGGCGGCAGCTTGACCTTGTCCATATCCAACGGCGCTTCGAACTTGGGGGGCGCGTTGATCTGCTTCTTTGCGCTCGAAGGGGACTGAGAGATATCCGTGGGGTCAAGGAGAGCGCGAATCCACTGAGTGAGTCCGTAGGCCTCTGCAAGTTCCAGGGCTGTCAAGTTACGTCAACACATGTCGTCACCCGAATTGGAGAATACCAGGGTACGTACCAAATTCCGGCTCAATCCAGATATTTCCCGCTACCTCGTCTGCGCTGGTTGTATCAAGTGTCTTGAGGTAGTCGCGCTCCGCTTTTTCTTCTGCTTGAGTAGCCCAGGGGTACGCAATTTTGAACATTCCAGTCGCCGAACAGTAGCCGTCGGAGCTTCGGCGCATAAGAAAGTATGTTTCAGGATGGCCTTGGTTGGATTGAGTAGTAAAGATCTCCGAGCCTTTCAGGTCACTGGGAAGGGGGGCTCGCAGGTGCGCGTATTCGAATACACCAAGGTTCTCGGGTTTCGTTGCGTTCGAGGTGCCGACCTGGGTCGGCTTGACCGCGAGCTTGGTCTTACCAAGTCTCCTACGCCCGAGCAACTCCTCATCTTTCGTCCATGTTAGCAAGTGGCGTGATTAGTCGCGCGCGCGCAATTAGTAGAGAACGTACAGGAGGGCGCCGTAAGGGACGCGATGAGCGGATTCTTGCGCTTGGGGAGCTGACGATCGGCCATCCTAACCGTGCCGGGAGCTGAGGGTATTGCAGATACTTTAGATGTCGGCCGCAACACAGCGCGGGGTTCGCAGAGTGAGGCGCAAATGAGTCTTGGGAGAATGCGAACGGTAGGCTGTCACAGCAGCGCGACTGGACGAATCTCCTTGTCGCGTTACCGATGAGCGGAGATCAGCGGACGGTATTGAACAGACAGGCTCGAGAATGCGCCGGCCGAATTGAAAGAGATTCGCGACCAAGACGCGCGCAAAATGAAGGCAGCTTTGTAAGGAAGACGAGGAGTACGGAGGAGGTTTCGTGAAGTGGACTTGGGACGGCCCCTGTAAGTTAAGCGTAAGGCGAGCGTACCCCCGGGGTCACCACGGAGCTAGCTGTCGCTCGTCGGCGCACACTGAACGGGGGGGCTGGTGCAGGGGCCACCGAGACAGTGATGGCTGCCGGCACTGTGCTCCGGTGGCTGGGCCGCCCTTTTTCCCAACCATGGCCACTAAACCCTTTTCAACCACTGACCACCCCGGCCGGGCCGAGTTCAATCTCAGGCTTCATACTACACCAACGAGATGTACGGAGTACTTGGGTATCGCACTGAATCATTCTGCGCTGTTGACCTCTATAATTCTACAGATATATACACGACGCCGTCGCTTGCTAGCATATCAGTCCTCATGCGGCGTCAAGTCATCACTATGCTAAGCGAATCCTTACAGCTGTATCAGATCCACCTCGCTGAAATCTGGAGGGGCTCGGCTGTAGACACACTTGCCCTTCCCTGAGAGCCCAGCACCAACATTGCTCGCCCAAATCGCGGAAGAAAAAGCTCCCATTCTCGTGATCTCGTCGTCGCTGACACCAAGGTCGTCGCGGGGCAACCATATGCACGGTCTTCTTGCTCGAAGAGCGGCGTGTTGGAATGCACGTTGCACGAGACTGTCCCTCTGCTCTGGCGTAAGATCTTCAAGTTCGTCGTTGCGTCCGCTAAACAGCGCATCCGCCAGACGATTGCGAGCATCCTGCTGAGCCTCGATATCTCGCTCGTTGCCTGTGAGCGGATTGAAATTGTTGATCTTGTCTACCACCTTCCTGGGAGGCGATTTGCGTCGGGTCCGGTGATCATGATGATGCCTGTCCTGGGTTGAGAACGAATCGGACCTACCATGGCCCGCATCAGCGCCACCAAACGACGATGCATGACGATTGCGTGGGTCGTTTCTGTCGGCCCATGAACCGCGACGATGGAGGTTTGGTACACGATTAATAGTCTGATCAGCCGTGACAGCGCCAACCTTCTTCACTAGCTTCAATCCTTTGGACTCCTGGTCGAGATTGCGATACTTCTCCGAATTCTGGAATTTCGAATCCGAACCTTGATGAGAATGGCCTCCACGTTTCTCGCTGTTGATCCGATTCATCTCGTACTCGTCAAGCTGCTCGTTCTCTTGTCGTTCCCGGCGCTCGTTCTCGTGGAGTCGATCCTCAAGATCTTCTTCACCGTCCTGCTCATCACTCGTGCGACCCTGGCGTTGTGCCAGCGCTCGGGCAAACTCCTCATCGCGGCGAACAGCATCATCCTCGAGCGTGATGGGTAGATAACGGAATAAGGGTTTGAAAGCTTGGTTGAGAAGAAGTTGATACGCGGCAGTGAGAATGAGGATGACGATCATGCCGATTGCCTGACCTCGGCAAACACCAACTTTACCATCGGGGCCAGCCACCAAGAAGAACATACCAATTAATGCAACCTCCATCACGTAGATGCCGACAAAGGTGCAATTGATGGCGTTTGGAAACAGTAGACCACCCGTGTCACGAGTGAATTGGGTGACGAACAATGAATTGTACCGGTAGGCGACCCAGAACAATGTGAAGGTGATAACGTTGAAGATGAGAATCAGTGGCGAGATGACAGAGTAAATCAGGCCGATGCAAGCTAGGTTGGTATAGACAGGGAAGAAGGTTCCCCATTTGACCTCGGATAAATCGATCTGCCGCTTGAATTTGTCTCGGGCAGTGCTGTCAACGAGTGGCGCGATGATGAACCACCCGACGAGACTGCCAACCTGAAGAAGCGCTCCCGCACTGACGGACAAGGCCTGGAGTACCATGTACGAGATGAAGTAGTTACTAGCTCCGGGTATGCTCGCACCGAGAATCTCGGGTATCTGAGTCCAGCCGTCGGCGGACGAGAAGATCGTGACCACTCTTGAGATGATCGACGAGACCGACACGACCAGGAACAGCTGAACAAAAAGGAAGAAGAAGTAGAATTTCTGGACCGAAAGCTCAACCAGCATACCAGATTGGGTGCCTTTGAGTTTGACCAGGAAACGTAGAATCAACGGCAACAAGAACAGCAGCAGACCGATCATGGCTGGTGGCAGAATACCCTGCAACGCGGATCTGAACCATTCTGGAGTTTCGAGAATCCATCCCAGCCATGTATAGTCTTGAGCAAATTGATTCAGCTGCGACAACGCCGCGGTGAAAGCCACAGGAATGGCCCATAAGATGATCATGCCAACAATGACAACAAAGACGGCCGCCGAGCGCATGTAGTTCTGCCACCATGGCACCGACATGTTGTCCCAGATAACATCATTGGGATCAATCTCAACAAGGCGAGGAGCCATTTGCTTCGGGATGTGGTGGCTCAGAGACTGACAGGCCATGTGCGCAGCTACCTGGTGGTTGAACTGGATGAAAGCCGAGTTCATCAGAGGGTATCTCTCAGGATGAGCCTGGTCGTCTTCGATCTCCACATTGAGCCTGGCTACCTCCTGACGGCAATACTCAATGGTGTCAACCTTCTGACCCATGAGTGGGAGAGATGGCATCCACTGCCAGCCGAAGATTGGTAGACGCATAGTGTCACGATCTTTTTCGCGCAAATACTTCTTCCACAGAGCATCCGCCGGATTGTGGACGAAGTCTTCGGCATAGGCCTCAGGATACTCGACTGGTTCGCGAGGGGCGGAAGCTAGGCCAACGGCTCGCAGCACTTTGGTGAAGCGCCCAACACTGGGCTCAGGAGTAGCTGTAGCGGTGTCTCTCATCGTGCTTGATTGTGAAAGAGGACTTTTCTCAGGCTCATCGCGCGGATTAGACTGTTTCTTGGTACGGTCTGTGGACCCTTCTGCTGCATGAAGTCCAACAAGAGAAGAATCTTGAAGCCCGGATTTCCGGTTGTCGCCAAAAGCACGAGCTCCATCACGGCTGCCAGGATTTATAGGCCTTTCGTCAGTTGCAACCGAATTCGCCCAAGTATCTTCACTGGGTCTGATAGGAGAATCATCATGTGCGCTAACGAACCCATTCGTGGTGTCAATGGTGTTGTTGAGGCCTTTCTCGGCACCCTTGACGCCTCCGAGGATACCCCGTGTCATCTTTTGGAAGCCTTGTCCAACAATTTCGATGCCATCACCGAGGATTGGCACCGGAAGGCGTCTCATGCGACGGTTCTCATTTTCACCGTCGGCACTGTGAACTGATGAGACTGAAGAGGCGTCATCGCCGGTGGCTTCATCAACGGTGTGGCGAACTTGATGCGGGTCGCCGGAGCTGACGCCCTGTGATCGAGCTTGTTGTTGGCCAAGTTTGTCTAGCATTAGCGTTCTACGCTTCTTGTCGCCCTTGGTCAGTGTCCTGCCGGCCTTCTTTTCTGACTTGACAAGTTCTTCTTCATGCTTCTTATAGCATTTCCTAATGAGCTCTGTTTCGGCATTTTCAAGCTTCTTCGCCAGTTTGTCTCGTTTTTTGACCTTGTCGTTTAATTCATCGAAATTTCTGTTGATCCAGATATTGCGTAGGCCACCGGGGAAAACATCGTAGAGACCTTCAAGCGCCTCAACCGTGCACCACTTGGAGGGTATGGAGCTTACCAAGACCGTGGTGGCTGAAGCACGGAGGCGATGCTGTGGAGACGTCATGTAGGCCTGTCTCATGCGAATGTAGTTCCTCAACTCGTCGAAGGAAACGTAGCAAATCCAGCAAATTAGGAGGAAGGCCAGAAACCAATGGGCCCAGTAGCGATGTGTTCTGTCAGGCCGAACGTTGCCCCATGCGAGTTGATCAACACCAGACACATTCATGGCCTTGTTGTTGTCATCGGTCTGACCTGCCATAAATTTGGGTCCCCGGCCACCCACCAGATTCAGAGGCAGCAGAATTGGCAGGATGATACAGGTTGCGGGGACGAAGATTTTGAGTAATGTCCTCAGGTATCGCAGGAAGAAGTATGCGTCGAGTCCACATCTTTGCACGAATTCGGAATTGGAGGTCTGCAGGACAGGCTGAATCCATTTGAACCAGCCCGGAGGCGCTGCTTTTGTTCTTTCTCGTTCGGGGACCAAATAGGTTCTGGGCTGGTAGATTCTGGCGAAACGATCTTTGATTAAGAGGAACACGCCGACCTGAACAGAGAAGGCGACGATGGCAACGATGAACGAAGCAGCGAATTGACCTGCGGTGAGGTTTTGTTTAGCTTCGACCTGCTCGTTCGACTCATTGTTGTTGCCAGAGGTGATGTCGTTCAACGACATCTTGGATAGCGATTAATTAGAATCGATTTTCGAGGTGCCCGTCAGGGGCCGGGTGACATGTTGCACGATATTCTGCAGCGTGTTGAAATGCGGCGGATCGTGTCAGAAAGAGTTGATCGGCTGAGGTAGCAGTTCAGAGTGCCTGCGTACAGGGATAGATCTTGAGGGTGTTACGACTGGCTCAGTGTGGCGGAGGGCAGGCGTCGAGGCAATATATGGAGATACAAACGGACAGACAAAGCCAAAGGCGACTCTAAGCGTCGTGGACAAAGATGGAAACAAGGAGAGGGGGCGTCTAAAGAAACGAGTCAAAGAAGAGTCCTAGGTGTGGAAGAGTCGAGGGGCGCGTGGTGTTCGAGGCATTCGCCAATCTGGCAAATCCATGGCATGGTCAACGATGGGCGAGCCAGATCCAATCGCGCTCTACGTCATACTGCAGCTTGAAACCGGGGCGGTTCCAGGCGCCATGCCGCCCGGGCGCGCGCCAAGGGGGGACCGCCTTTACTTAAACATTGGCATCCGCCACTCAAATTGCTTGTAGGGCACGACCCGGCGCGCCACAGCGTTGATTGCAGCCCGTGCACACGATACCTGACCACGTTGCTGCCTTGTTTACAGCTTCCCAAAATCTCCGTGTCGCCCTTCGCCGGCCGAGAATCTAGCTGCGCCCTCGGCAGCTTCTTTGAGGACCGTCGCTCCCCGCTCAAATTCCTGTGTGAGTGCGTCGTCGAAGGACGTGGCCGAGAAGGCGCTATAAGCCAGACTCGCTCTGTCCGCCATCATGCAAGCAAATGGAAACTTCAAGAGCTCCCGAGCCAAGGCGAGCGCGGCGTCGAGCCCTTCACCTTTCCCAACGACCCGGTTTGCGAGACCCATCGCCAGAGCCTCCTGAGCTCCAACTGGACGTCCCGTGAGTATCATACTTGCTGCCGTCAGCGAGAAAGCGAGAAGTGGGGAGGCCCGGGCATAGCACTTACTCCATAGCACGACCATAGCCAATGATGGCCTGCAATCGGACGGTGCCCCCGTCAATGAGTGGCACACCCCAACGTCTACAGAAGACCCCTAGCACAGCGTCGTCTTCTACGATGCGCATATCTGCCAACAGACTCAACTCCAGACCACCAGCAACAGCATAGCCCGACACTGCTGCGATCATGGGTTTCGCCACGGCAAGTCGACTCGGTCCCATCGGTGCTATAGTACGCTGGCCTGGAATGATCGGCTGTAGAAGTGGCTGCTGTTTACCCTCTGCCCCTTTGGCCACGGACTTCAGATCCGCACCCGAGCAAAATGTGCCATTAGATCCATTGAGAATGCAGACCTTCTGGGTTGCGTCTTGCTCAAAGGCGATCACCGCATCGTAGAGTGCTTTTGCCGTGGGTCTGTCGACTGCATTCTTCGCCTTTGGTCTGTTGATCGTGATGACAGTGATTGCTGCTACGGGCTTGGTGACCAGAACAGATGCGTCCGCCATACTGTGAGCAACTGTTGATTCTCGACTACTATCAGAGGGGAGGGTCATATGGCTTGCAAGTGCCTCAAGCCAGTGAACCGAGGCAACTTCTTGCGTTGCTGATCGACCGCTGCCAAGACTACGTCTCACCGTCCCAGGATCGGTATTACACTTCGGGTCCCATCGTATGTTCCTAAGCGCTTCTGGATGCTACTATATATGTGTGCTTGAGTTGAGTTGGGGTGGGGCAAGGCACCTGCATGACTTGGGATTAGCAGTGTTATTTGGGGACTCGGGATGAAGGTCCAGTCGTCCAGCCACAGACTGACAGTAGCTGCGCCACATCGCTCGTTGCTCGCTTCGTGGCGCGTACGTCATCCGCCTCGTTGGCCGTTGTGCCAGGATTGCGCGTTCATAAACAGACAGTTGCTTCTAATTACTGCTGCCTAGGGTGTCTCGTAGGCTCAAAAGTGATAGTGTCCATCAATAAATCTCACTGTCTGCAACTACTGGCACCATTCGAGCTTTACCAATAAAACCCACTCTGAACACCCATCACCATGGCCGAGAGATCTATCGCAGACCAGGAACTGTTCTTACCCCCCGAGAATCAAACCCAAGGTCAGAACCAGCAATCAATACCTCCACCAACTCAGCCTCGCTTCTACGAGCGTGTCAACAACTCCTCTGGCACAGGTCATGTTGAGAACGACGAGGGTCAATCCAGTGTGCCAAGCTTCAATGTCATTCCGGCCACACCCTCAACCACCCGCTCATCTACTGTTCATACCAATGCCTCGCAGGCCACTGAGCCCAAACAGATGAGCGGTGCTCTCCCAAATCTCGCAGAGGAAGACGACATGTACGCCGCGCCATCAATAGGGCCAACCCAGGCTACAGACACTTCCCAAACTCACGCCCAGCCTACCTACTCACACCCAGAAATGAAGCCTGAACCACTGTCAATAGGAGGACGACATCAAGCGACATCCTCTTCTGATGCACAGCCCTCTGGGTATGCCTCTGGGCAGCCTCTCGAGTATTCTGCCCCACATCCGAATACACAATATCAACCCATGTCGGTACCGCCGGTGGCGCCGCAGCATCAGGGGCTTGGCTCTGCTCCCGATAATCAGTCTTTTGGTTATGGTGCTCCTGTGCCTCCTCCGAATCCTCCAACTTACGACGAGGACCAAGCGTCCCGCACAGGCACAGACATCGAACATGCACCCCAAATGCCTGATACGCAGCCACCTGTCCCGGAAAGCACAGGCTTTCAGCATGGAGGACCATCATCTTCAGCACACCCAGCCGTGCATCTTCAATCTGACGAGGACTATGCTATGGCTCTACAGCTACAAGAGGAAGAAGAAAATCAGGCTCCCCCACTGCCCCAACGACCAGCAAGACAGGCTGTTCCTGACACGGACCGAAGCCAAGGACTGTCCTCACACGCCCTCTCGGCGGAAGAATCAGACCATGCTTTTGCAATGCGGCTCCAACAGGAGGAAGACGCCAACGCACCTGCTTTGCCCACTAGACCCACGAATCTGAGTGCGCCGGGCCCAAAGGCTTTCACTCGGACCCCTTCAACTGATCGCTTTCTCCCCCCACCTCGTCGACAGGCCACCGACTTTGGTATGGACAACCCCTCCTCGGACCCCATTCACTACACCAGAGATCCCCACAAGCTCATCGCATATCTTGTTCCGTTCCCTACCCCACATCTGACGAATGCGCCATCTGATGCTGTTCCCACGCGCTTCTTGATCTACACGCCCCCGCCTCCTCCTCTGAAAGCCCCGCCGGAGGGAGTGAAAGAAGATCGAACCCACAAGATTCAACGGAAATGGCAAGATGAGGTCCGCAAGGCTAAGCTGAGCGAGGCCAAGACAACAAGCTGGCCTGGCTTCCGCGCCAAACTTACTCGTGGCGTCAGCAAAGCCATGACTTACACCACCAACAGCAACATTGATTTCCTCAGCCGTGTAGCGCCAACTGCGTCTCCTCCTCATTCCCGCTCACCTTCACAAGGTCCAAAAGGGGAAGGAGAAGCCTTACACGACGAGGACCCCATGCATCAAGCGCACGAGACCAAGAAAACGATTGGCGTCGAGGAGATGGTTTTCGTATACTCGCCCTCCATGAATCTGACACCAGACGCCATGCGTGAGGAATTCGTCAACACTGTCCTCCGCACCAAATCCAAAGCCATGCGAGATTCCGTCATCGCCACTGGGCTCCTCCCAATTTCGCTTGCTGTCGATATTGTTCTTATCGCCGTGAGTGGACTGTTCGAAGTCAACGCCGCCTGGGCGTACTTCAACATCAAAGGCGCCAAGACCGCACGCTCCGTTGGCAAGCGTCTGTCGTCCTCTACCGCAACTGCCGAGAACGTCGACCCAGAAAAACCAGATGCCGAGATGCACCAGGAGGAAAAGCTGAAGCTCGACTTCAAACCCGCCGCCCGCATCGATGTGCTTTCTCAGTACCTCGTGGCCGAATGCCACCGGGTGAATCCCAAGTATTTCCCAGAGTACAAGACTCCTCCGACCGAGTCGTAAGTCAAGATCCCCGGGTGAACACCGCAGCCTCATGAATTTTGCTAACAACACCTCAGTGACTGTCTCGAAGCCATCGGCTGGGCACCGCACGAGACGGGCGGCGAGAAGAACTGGGAAGACGAAGCCTGGGAACTCAACGAGGTCAAGGAGGATCTCAAGGTTGTCATGCACAAGGCCGCCAAGGAGTGGAGCGGCTATTGCAAGCAGTTTGAGAAGAACCCGGAGAAGAACTTGAACAAGTAGGAGTACGATGCACCGGCAATGGATCATCGCGATGATGAGACATGAAGTGGGGGCCTGGCGAGCGGTCTATGAGGATACCCTTACGGCAGACGTGCCGCGGCGTTGTTACTTTGTTAGCATATACATGTCTTTCAGCGGTCAATAGATTCCTCTTGCCTCGGCCCATTGCCGGTACGCTTTCGTCAAGCAAATTTCTTAGGAGCGTCGTCATACAGATCGGTTGCAGATGTGGTGCCGAGGAATCATTAGCGCCCTCCAGCATCGTGTAGTATCTTCCTGATGCCCATATGGAGCCCGCGCCACTACTCTCGCCAGCTGACTTGCTGTTCAAGCCACCTGTCCCACAGTCTATACGAACAGTCCACTCCCTAAAGTTCTCTCAGCTACCAGCTACAGCCACTTGACCAACCCATCAACTATCCCCCAGACACCTTATCCTCCGCACCTGCACCAGAGCCGTCGCCGCAGAGCCCCCGGAGCCACCTCCCCGAACCCCTGGCCTCCCCCAAGCTTAAGCAGTAGTAACCTGCACCTCGGCACTCGCCTTCCCATCCCTCGCAATCTCCTCCTCGACACTCCGCCTCCCCAACTTCTCCTCCACCGCCGCGGCATTGACGGCGCCCACACACCTATACGTCCGAAACTTCCTCGCGGGCAGCCTCGCCTCAAACATTTCCGTCACCTCCTCGAGCGTGCGGTTCTTCACCTCGGGCAAGAAGAAAAACACCCAGACGGCCGCGACGACGCAGGACGGGAACCAGATGTAGCCGTACTTGGGCCCCCAGTTGAGGGAGTCCGGGTTGATGAAGTAGGGGGCTGTGAAGGTGGTGAGCCAGGCGCCCGCGAAGCCGATGGCGGCCGCGAGGCCGAAGGTGTGGCTGCGTAGGCGCTGCGAGGGGATCTCGCCGCCGGAGAGCCAGGCGTACGTGGCGATCATGCCTGTTTCGGAGGAGAGGGGGATTAGTTGTCTGGGCAGCGCAAAAAAGGCGGGGGGAGGAGGGAACAAGGCTTTGGGAGTGGTGTGTGTGCGTACCGTTGTAGCTCATCATGTAGATGCATGAGAGGCCCACGATGACTTTGCCAGTCGCGGTCGTGCCGGGCTTGTGGTCGTAGACGATGGCGATGATGAGCTGCAGGCATCCACAGACGAGCAGACCGGTGATGAGGAGGACGCGGCGGCGGCCGTAGCGCACGACAATGAGCGAGTTGAGGATGATGGCGGCGAGGCCGGCCGTGCTCAGCACGTTGGACATGGCGAACGGGTCGTCCACGTTGGCCATGGTGAAGAAGTATGCTTTGTATGCTGGTGCCGCGAATTAGTGATACGCCCCGGTTTGAGAGTGCATTGCCAGAAAACCCACCAATGATGAACATGGATCCCGAGGCAGCCTGGAGGGTGACAGCGGCGACGGACAGCATCGTCCGACGGCGGTCGACCGGGTTTCGAAACATGTCAAGCACGCCGACACTGCTGCCCAGTTCACGCTCCTTCTCGATGGCGGCGCGAATTTCCTCGGCTTCGAGTGCGACGTCTGCGCCTGTGGGCCGGAGCCAGGTCAGAGCGTTGATGCCTGCCTCTTGTTTGCCCTGCAGGATCAGCCAGCGGGGGGACTCGGGGATAAAGAACATCCCGATGCTGATGAGGACGGGGACGACGTAGATCAGCCCGAGAGGGATCAGGTACGCTTGTTTGCCGTCCATGGGAGCCGTTCTCCAGTTGATGATGGTGCCAATCAAAGTCCCAAACGAGGTACAGAATTGGAAAATCGAGAGGAACAGTCCGCGGTATTTGGCAGGGCTGGTCTCCTGAATGTAGAGTTGAGAAAAGGTCATGAAGTAGCCGTTGGCAAAGCCGATCAGCAGCCGGCCAAGGTAGAGGACTCCGATATTCGTTGTGACCATCATGATGATGTTGGAGATGCAGCAGAGGACGCATGCTGCCCAGAGACAATGTCTTCGGCCGAACTTTTTGGCAGCCAGTCCGGCAAATCCAGAGCTGATGAAGGCACCAAGGGTCATGAGCGAGGTAATGAGCTGTTGGCGGGTGTGCGTGAGGTTCCATCCTATGGGTGTTTCGGGAGCCTCGTGGCCAAAGACCTGTGGGTTTGTTCAGTATACGACCGATTGAAACTAGAAGGTCCTGACCTCGAGGAAGCCTCGCATGGCCTGGAGACCACCGATGAGACCAAAATCGATTCCATACTGGAACGGAGACAAAATAATGACACCAATGGCCACAAAAGCCTTCCAGTTAGCTCGAATAGTATCCTTAGAATGATCGGTCGCCATTGTCGCGCGTTCTGCAGAGTGGCATGGGAGTGCAAGTCTGGCTCGAATCTGGTTTATACGTTATTTTCCCAGACCCGCATCCGAGCTCGACCACCTGGTAGATGCAGATCTGATATTGCCGAAGTCCTGCCAAGCAGGAATGGTCGTCCAGCCACCCGCTTCAGAAGAGCCGCCTATTGCAAAGCTCGACGCCCAATTCCCAAGACCTTGGCGTGCCAGAGTCGTGGGGACCCCGCGGGCTGGAGATTCGGTTCACCAAGAGTGTCGGCAGCATTGCTCCGACCTTAGCGAAGGCCCCTGACTGAGCCGCGTGGGCACCCACTCCGCTCCGCACTTATTCGAGAGGATACGATAGAGCCCCGCAAAGAAACCGCTGCATTCGAGTCGACGAGCTCGTCCGGTCGGAATACCGCTAGGTGGAGGTGAGCATCTATCTCGTGGGAGTGTAGCCGATTGTCTTGGCAGGGGCGGCAGTGAGGGAGGCTTCGGCGAGGCCTTGTGGGAAGCCACTGTTGATTGAGGAATCGCCCCAGCTCAACAGATGCGGAAACGCCAGGAGCTATTTTCATAACGCGTAGTAGCGGGCATGAGCTACTGTCCGGGGGCGGGTGAAGGATGTTGAAAGATATATCAAGCAAGTAGGCTGTCTGCGACGCCACTAGGTCGTGTCTTTGCAGCCTCAACTCACCTGTATAAATCAAGCTTGCCATTATACGATGTTGCTTGGATGTCTGGTGCGTGGCCATGTCAACATACTTTGGCTGTGGCTATACGCAAATGTTCTCGAACACACTGGGAATTACCACTGGCAAACATACCTGCGGAGCCTCGGGTAGACGGGATAGTATCACGAAACCCTTGAGACACTCCACGAGCGGACTCTGGACGGCTCTTCTCCTACGGCCCAAGGCTGAAGGCATAGATTCGCGACTCCCGCGTGGCTCATGCGTTCACTCAATGTGCAACGCATGCATTCAAACAGAGTGCAAGCTCCAGAGCTCCACTTTGGCCACGTGGAGGTGCTTACCGGACGTGACCCTGCTGTATGCCGAGCTCCTTTGGTGCCATAACGGCAAGACGAGATATTTTCCTGTCTTATCAGGCGGCAGGCGGCGGAAGACGTTAACCAGTGCTAGTATTGTGAGCTTCCCAATCCGGTCTAGCGCATAGCACGTAGCTACAGCTTCAGGTCGCGAAGTTGATTCAATTTCTTTTTCTTGTATATCAGCCCTTCCGACCTCGCCCACCGCCCTGAACCATCATCATCATGAGCTAACCGTCCGATACAGTGACTAGAGAAGTGAATATACCGATCTCGGGGTCTGCTTTGCCTTGCGTACCGCCAGAAATGACGTTTCTAGCGTGCCAGCTACTCAACACCAAGACGCCTAAAAACTGTTATCTACAGAGCCAAGACCATCAATGCAAGTGCTTAGAGCGACGGTCGTTCGTACCCTGGCATCTAGCACTGATAGCAGGCAGTGGCCTGGCCCACTCTCGAGCTCCGTGACTAATTGAGATCGTTCATGTCCGCCCCCGAGTACTCTCATGCCGTGCAGCTTCAGCTCCCGTTGTACCACGGGGAAAACCGAACATGCTGTGCACTTATAAAGGTAAGTGGCAAGGTCTGCAATGAGCGGGTCGGCGTGCTTCCCGGCTTCTACCATGGCTTCTTCGGCTTGCAAAGCTCTGCTGAGCGTTGTGGCATTCCTGCCTCTCGCACTTGCGAGCATCACTTCTAACGGCTTCTCGGTGACGCTTGGCGACGTGCACTATTTCGTGTCCCCATACGTTGCTGGAAATATTTCGGTAGCAGCAGAGAGCCTCTCATCGGTCGAGTCAGTGCATGGCTTCTACCCTGTCACGGTCATTCAGCAAGGAGTCAGTGCTGAAGAGATTCCGACAGTCTTGTCGAACTTCAGCCAAATAGACGACGTCTACTCCGAAGCATTCTCCGAGACGGTGTTGTTCCCTGAAGCAGAAACGTCTCAGGTAAATGAATACAACTGCCTCTCTCTAGATGATGCGAGTGTCCCATCTGGACCATACTTTTTGGAAGCCTCGACCGGAAATCTCTATCAGACGTATCGCCTGTACTCTGACTGGGCAGGTGCCTTCATCAGCTCGCTGCTTCAGGATCCCGAAGGCTCCTTTCAGCCCCTCTCCGCTCAGATACCAGGCGCCAATGCTCTAACCATTGGTGTGCCGTCCAGGCTTTACTATACCAGAACTCCAGAGAAACCATTGGCAGGTGTCCGCATCGGTGTCAAGGACATTTTCGACCTTAAAGGAGTCAAGACCAGCTGCGGTAACAGAGCATACTACAGCTTGTACCCTCCGGCGGATGCAACTGCTCTTTCCATGCAACGACTCATTGATGCGGGAGCGATCATGGTAGGCAAGCAGTTGACAAGTCAGTTCGCTAATGGAGAATCGGCTACCGCGGACTGGGTGGACTATCACTCGCCCTTCAATCCCAGAGGCGATGGATACCAGCAGACCTCGTCCTCGTCAGCCGGTGCCGGGTCTTCCATGGGCAGCTATTCGTGGCTAGACATCGCCATAGGTTCTGACACCGGAGGATCGATTCGCGGACCAAGTGGAGCGCAAGGACTCTTCGGCAACCGGCCATCTCATGGTCTGGTCGATCTGTCCACAAATGTCATGCCCCTTGCAACCGCTCTCGACACAGTCGGGTTTCTGATGAGAGACCCGTATCTGTGGGACGTGGCACAGTCGGTCATGTATGCTGAAAACTACAAACAGTCCAGCACAACAAGCTACCCGAAAAAAATCCAGGTTGTGGCTGGCTATCCGACCAATGAGTCCGAGAGTACATCGGCTGAGCTCCTGGTGGGCTTCTTGGACAGCCTTGCAGAGGTTACGGGGGCTGCCATTGAAGACTTCAATATTACAGAGGCCTGGGCCGACAGTCATCCCGCCGATACACCGGAGAGCCTCAGGGACTTTGCCAACCTGACATATGCGATCATCGTTGCGAAAGATCAGACAAATTTGGTGCGAGATCGCTTCTATGCCGACTATGCGGCCGTCCACGACGGGCGAACGCCCCACGTGAATCCATCGCCGCTGACCCGTTGGATATGGGCTGATACACAGGACGATAGCCAGATGGAAGAAGCTCTTGCCAACAAGACCCTTTTCATGGACTGGTTCAACAGCGCGATCATGCCCGCTACCGGCGACGATGCGTGCTCCGAGTCACTCATGATCTACGTTGGAAGCCAGGGCGGTGATGGCAACCTAACACCTCGTGACACGTATGGGAGTGCGCCTGGTGTACCTTTCGGCTTCAGCACTGGCCGCATCTCAGTCTTTGCCGAAATTCCCGATTTCGTCTATCCCTGTAAGTGTGGCTTTGTGTCTCCAAAGGGGTACCTACTAACTCGGTTACAGTGGGCGAGAGTACCTTCTTTTCCAACGCATCGAATCATATTGAGTCCTTGCCAGTGGCAGTCAATATCATGGCTGCGAAAGGGTGCGATGGCATGCTGACCAAGCTAGCACTTGACTTGGTCGAGGCAGGAATCGTCCCGATTCCAGAGGCAGGCCAGACATTATCCGGTGGAGACGTGCTTCTGAGAAGAGCCGCTGATAATTGATGCGTATAGACAGCCAGCCCCAAGCTCTAGGCCAGTTCGTAGTCTGACACAAGTATGCATGCGTCGAGACTGACATGTCGTGGCTCAATCAGGCAGCCATTGATGTTCCTCGTTAGCTCAGACGTGTCAACCTTTTGTAGTTTGGGCACAACTCAAGAACGGTCCGTAGTCTATAGACGATGTGAGAACTGACTTCAAGTTGGCCTTGGCGCCGATAAAACTGGGGCACCGCGGAAGATCAACGCGGGAGGACCTGAACTGCTTCGTTGCCTCGTCCCTCTCTGCTCGTTCGCAACATCTGTGCCGCCATACTTCCTTTCACGGCCAGTATACGAAGTTGCAGGGGGATAAGAACAGTCATTTGGAGCTGGCACTCGCATTCACGAACCACGACGCAGCGTAAACCCACAACCTATCGCCAGAATGGCGTCCGTAATGTCAAGCGCTCCGCAGAATCCCCCGAGCTCAACGTACGGTCGCACACTCTGATCCAGGCACCAGAGGCTGACAAGTATGCAGTGTGTATGCGAAGAACCTAGAAGAGCGAATCAAGATCGACCAGCTGAAAGAAGCCCTCACCGAGATCTTCTCTGAATACGGCAATGTCATCGATCTCGTCGCAAAGACCAACCTCAAGGCGAAAGGGCAAGCCTTCATAGTCTTCGACGATCCAGCATCAGCCGCCAAAGCGATCGAAGAAGTCAACGGCTTCGAGCTCTTCGACAAGCCCATGCAACTCGACTTCGCCCGCACACGATCCGACGCCATCGTATTAAAAGAGGAGGGCGAAGACGGTCTCGACCGGTGGAAACGCTCCAGACAGGCGGAGCGCGACCGCAAGGCCGCACAAGAGGCCGCCAACCAGAAGCTGAAGCGGCCCGCCGGCCAGACTGCCGCGGAGGCAGGCCTGCAGGCCCGTCCCGTCAAGTCGCAGAAGGGCGCGGGACTGAAGGGCACGAGCACCAACACGGCCGCCGTCATTCCGGACGAGTATCTACCGCCGAACAAGATCCTGTTCCTGCGGGAGCTGCCCGACGACTACGACGCGGATGGCTTGTCGCGAATCTTCTCCAGATTCGAGGGTTTCCGAGAGGTGCGCATGGTGCCCGGTCGGAAAGGGATTGCGTTCGTCGAATACGAAGCCGAGGCTGGAGCCATCAGTGCGAAGGAAGCTACGGCTGGCATGCAGCTCGGCGACGAAGGGAAGGCTATTCGCGTCACGTACCAACGCGCCTGAAATGGTGGTCCAACCGGTGGACGTTCTCTCTCATTGTCTTTGTACACTGAATGATACCCATGCATGGCGGCGGCGGGGCTGGAATAGCAATAGGCGTTTCGTGTCTCGCAGGAGACTACTACCAAGGGCTCTAGAATATCACATCGTCATCCTCGTGCTCCCCAAGCACGTCCACTGGCTCTGTGCCGTTTTCCTTGGCCTCGCCGTTCTCCTGCCGCGTCTCCTTCGCTCGCTGCTCCCGGATCTCGGCGTCAGCAGCTGCTTGATCGCGCTGCTTCTTGTTCGAGACTTTCTTCAGCCGGTAGAACTCCTCTCTGTCAAGCTCGTCGAGCTCGGAATTGATATCTGGATAGGGTCAGCACATATTGCCAGCACTCGTGTGAGGGAGCATACATTTGATGGTGTTCTCCGTTCTCGGGATAATGACGTGCTCAATGGCGTTGACTCTTCGATTCACGACCTTGATGACCTCGTCGAGGATGACGAAAGCGGTCTGCAAGCTGGCAAGCTCCACCAACGTCTCCACGGCCCGGGTGTATGTTTCTCTGCACCGCTGCACTTGCTGGCCTCCCTTGCCCAAGCCGGTCAAGCCAAAGTCGTTGATCTCTTCCTTCTGGTACCCCTCGAACTGCGGCAGGAACACACCAGAGACGTTCTCTTGCTTGGTCCTTATCCGGAACTTTGCATTCTTGACAGACTCTTGGACCTGGAACCCAATATCACCGCCAACGGCGTATGTGACCTCGGCGAGAGAGAAGGCGGCGATCTGCATGACTCGTCCCATCTTCCGTTTGGCTTCATCGATGCGCTTTAGGATTTCTGTAGCGTTTAGTAGCTTCCCTTAGTAGCTTGAGTGTTCAATCTAACCTCGAAACCGCCTGTATTACCGTTAGCCGCAGTGTTTCGTGGGAGACGGGAACCACTTACTTTGTCAAAGCTTCACTTTTGCGCTTGAGCAAGCTGTGTCCAGTCTGTGCACCCTTCAGCTTGCCTTTCATCAACCCCAGCGCCTGCCGCGTGGGGAAGACGGGCTCGCGCTGTCGTTCGTGGTCAGCAACCTGTAGATTCGGTGCAACGCGGTACTTACCCCGGCGCCGGAGGACATTCTGATAACAGTAGTTCAACAAGTCACAGGAGGAGAGTCTTTCACAGCCTATAGTAGTAGAAGATGAGTATCTTGCAGCTGGTCAACGCTGACAACTGACCTGAAAGCGGGAGCGAACTGACGTCGATCAAGCATGCTCGGAAAAACTTTCTACCGAGTGAGCGCGAAAGTTCATGTGCAAAGGATGCGGAACGTCGAATAAACCGCGCCCGTTGTTCACGCAGACTCATCGCAAGCTGCTATGCCTGGCATTCTCCTGCGACAGCCCGATACCGACGCTGTTGCTATGGCAGGCACTACCGCCCGGTCCGATTTCTACCTCATCGCGAGCGAGGATGCGATCTACGAGCAGGATATCCTTCGCAACCCGGGCAGCGTGCGACCATGGCTGACCTACATCGACTACAAGCTACGAAACGGCACGCTCCACGAGCAGGCCTTCATTATGGAGCGAGCATGCGTTCAACTGCCACGGTCGTACAAGCTGTGGAAGATGTATCTCGATTTCCGAATCAAGCATCTCAAGAAGAAAAATCCCGTCAAGTTCAAGGCCGAGTTCAACAAGGTCAACGCTTTGTTCGAGAAGGCGCTGATCTTGTTGAACAAAATGCCAGTCATCTGGGAGACCTATTTGACTTTTCTGCTACGCCAGCCATTCGTGACAAGGACTAGACGAACGTTTGACCGGGCGCTCCAAGCTCTGCCAGCCACCCAGCACAATCGGATATGGAAGCTCTACAAAGCCTTTGCAGACTCGGCGTCTGGCGAGACTGCGGTGAAAGTATGGGCTAGATATGTTCAGATACACCCAGAAGACACGGAGGATCTGATCGATCGGCTCGTTGATACGGGACACTATCGTGAAGCCGTCAAGCGGTACATACAAATTCTCGATAACCCCAAGTTCCGATCGAAGCACGTCAAAAGCGACTTTCAGCTATGGACGGACATGGTGGAGTTGATTGTTAATAAGGCCCGCGAAATTGGCGATAGCTCAACTTCGGGAATTGATGCAAACGCCATCATCCGCAGTGGCATCGTGCGCTTCCCCGACCAGCGAGGTCGATTTTGGGCGGCATTGGCTACTTACTGGATTACAAGGGGCGACTTCGAACAAGCGCGGGATGTGTTTGAGGAGGGCATCACGACCGTTATGACCGTTAGGGATTTTACGATGATTTTCGACGCGTATGTGGAGTTCGAGGAGACAGTGATATCTTCGTTGATGGAGGCTGCTTCAGCTCGTGCCGCGAAAGGGAAGGTCGACGCAGAGAAAGATTTCGACCTTGATGTGGGCATGTTGCGTTTTGAGCACTTGATGGATCGTCGGCCGTTTCTGGTCAACGACGTGTTGCTCCGTCAAAATCCAAGCAACGTTGTGGAATGGGAGAAGAGGATAGCGCTCTGGAAGGACAACAAGGAGCAGGTGGTTCAGACATACACGGACGCGATCGCGGCGACGAACCCGAGGAAAGCCGTGGGCAAATTTCACGAACTCTGGCTCAACTATGCCAAGTTGTATGAGGAGGGAGGAGATCTCGACACAGCTCGCATTATCCTCGACAAGGCCGTCAAGGTACCATACAAGGCCGTAGTCGAGTTGGCGGACACATGGATCGGATGGGCTGAAATGGAGCTAAGGAACGAGAACTTCGAGGCTGCCATGAATGTCATGGCCGCCGCTACCAAAGCGCCTAAGCGAAGTACGGTCGACTACTTTGACGAAACACTGTCGCCACAACAGAGGATTCACAAATCGTGGAAGGTTTGGTCTTTTTATGTCGACCTCGTCGAATCAGTTGGTGATATCAGTGAGACACGGGCCATATACGACCGAATCTTTGAGCTCCGCATCGCAACACCTCAAACGGTGGTCAACTACGCCAACCTGCTGGAGGAACACGGGTACTTTGAGGAATCTTTCAAGGTCTACGAACGCGGACTGGACCTCTTCTCTTATCCTGTGGCCTTTGAGCTCTGGAATCTCTACCTCACCAAGGCCGTGGATAGGAAGATCGAGATCGAGCGGCTTCGCGACCTCTTTGAACAGGCAGTCGAAAACGTGCCGGCGCAATTTGCCAGGGCCATCTTTATGATGTATGGCGCTCTTGAGGAAGAACGAGGGCTCGCACGGTCTGCTATGCGCATCTACGAGCGAGCCACCCGTGCCGTCTCGGACGAGGATAGACAGACCATGTTCGACTTCTACATCGCGAAGTCGGCACAGAACTTTGGCCTCACATCGTCTCGCCCGATCTATGAGCGCGCCATCGCTGCATTACCTGACCAGGAGGCCAAAGAGATGTGCCTCAAGTTCGCCGAGATGGAGCGACGCCTGGGAGAGATTGACCGTGCAAGGGCCATCTACGGACACGCCAGCCAATTTGCCGATCCACGCGTCGATGCCGCATTCTGGCGCACGTGGGAGCAGTTCGAGGTGGCGCACGGCAACGAGGATACCTTCAAGGAGATGCTACGCATCAAACGCAGTGTGGCGGCGCAATTTAACACCGACATCAACTTCATCGCCAGTCAGGCTGTGGCCAAGGGCCAACAAGCAGCTGCTCTCAATGGAAAACACGATGAAGGGCATGACGGGGAGGCGAAGGACGCAATGGCTGCGCTGGAGAGGCAGGCACGTGCGCCGGTCGGCTTCGTTGCTGCCTCCTCCGGCCCAGAGGGTGGGAATCGAGCTCCGCAGCCTGCACCGGCCGCAGCACCAGCAGCAAATCCGGACGCGCTGGACGTTGATATCGACGATGACGACTGAAGCTGCAGAGCGATGAGAGTCTGAATAATGGAGAAGTAACTGCCAAGTCCGATCGACCCCCCTTGCAAATGCGAATACGCGAGACTTGGCATTCATCTCAAGTCGATCACTTCCTCAAGCCGCATGGCTTCAATCACTCGGCTTTGCAGTGTCAGCCTCGCGGCAAAGGTTGGAGTCTTTCTCAGTAACTCTGGGTGGTCCTATTGGCGGAGGCGAGATCTGACAATGCCATGATCGCTGCCAGGTACCGGAGTGGAGAACTGCAGGATAAGGATACGATGGAAGGTGTTATGTACTGAACTATTCGTGGTATACGTCCACACAGCGTCCAAGATTATTTAACAGGGGGAAGGGCCTTCTTAGCAGATACACAATGGCAAGCTGCTTGACGGCAAAGACATCATGGCTCCTGTTCATCTTTACCTGTTCTCTACATTAGCCACGCTGAGCGGCCTGGTGCACGCCGCACCCCCCTTCACTGGCCCGCTGCTCCCTCCCCCTAACCTGACTTCCTCAGAACACTTCGCCGAAGTGACCGCCAACCTCACCGCGCTCCTCAACGACGCCCTCGCCGACGACACGTCCGCCGGCTTCGCCGTCAACACAACCTCCTTTTCGGTAGCTGTCACCTCGCTACACGCCCCCGCCTCATCCTCCGTGCTCTGGGACTACCACCACCTCGCACCCAATCGCTCCGCCAACAGCACCGCCAACCTAACCGGCGACTCTACCTACCTCATCGCCTCCATCAGCAAAGTGTTCACATCGCTACTGGTCCAACAAGCCAACCTCCCCCTCTCAAACCCCATCACCACCTACCTCCCCGAACTCAACGGCCCCTCCAACACCACCATCCCCTGGACCTCCATAACCCTCCACCACCTCCTCACACACCTCTCCGGCCTCCCACAAACCTACGGCTTCCCCGAAGTCTACTCTCCCGCTCTCACCTCCCTCTACACCACCCTCGGCTTCCCCCCACTGGACCCCTCCTCCGATGACTACCCCCCCTGCGGCATCATCGGCCTTAACCCAGGCTGCAACGCCACCACCCTCCCCGCCGCCCTCCTGCAGACCGCCGAACCCATAGCCCCGCCGGGCCACACACCCACCTACGGCTCCCTGAGCTTCTCCCTCCTCGGCCTCGCCCTCGAGCGCGCCACCAACACCACCTTCGCGGACCTACTGCACGCGCACATCTTGGGCCCGCTGGGCATGGGTGCGTCGGGCCTCAGTGGATCCTCTCCCCCCTCCGAAGACGACACTCCTGCGGCCGACGCAGTGATCCCCACCGGCGAATCCAGCTTCAACTCCGCCTTCGGCATCAACAACCCGGCCTCCGGGCTCGTCTCGTCGAGCAACGACCTCGCCCGTTTCCTGCGCGCCATCCTATCCTCCTCCTCCTCCGCTGACGCCGACGCCGACGCCGACGCCGACGACGCCGACGCCGACGCCGACGCCGACGACGCCGACGACGCAGGCAAGATCCTGCCCTCACAGGCGGCGGTGCGCGATTGGCTCAAGCCCGCGGCCTTCCTGCCCACCGGCGGTGGGAACGCGGTAGGCGCGCCGTGGGAGATCTATCGTGTCGGGGCTGGGGTGGTGACAAGTGAGGCGAGCGGGCAGGGCGTGGAGCTGTACGCCAAGGACGGAAGCGTGTTGGGGTATTATTCGCGGGTGGTGCTGGTGCCGAGTGTGGGGGTTGGGGTGGTGGTGTTGACGGCAGGGGAGGCTGGGGCTCGGGCGACGGCGGCGTTGCAGGCTGTGAGTGAGGCGGTGGTGGCGAGGGTGGTGAGCGGGGCGGAGGCCGTGGCGAGACTACAGGCTAGGGGCGTGTATGAAGGGGAATACGTGCTTGAGAGTGGGGAGGTGGAGGTGGAGGGGAATGCGACGCTGAGGGTCGCTGAGGATGGGCCTGGCGTGCGCGTGCAGGGCTTGTTCAGGAATGGGAGCGATGTTCTTGAAGCCATACAGACGATTTTCGCGCAGAGTGTTGTGGGTGGAGGGGTGTTGAGCGATGAGTGGAGGATTTATCCCGCGGGTGTTGAGGAGAGGGTGGTGGAAGGGGATGGGGAAGAGGTGGTGCTGGAGGATTGGCGCCTGGGGATCGAGCCGGTGACGGAGGAGGCGAAGGGTGTGTTGGCGGAGGCTGGCCATGGGGTCTTTAAAGAGGCAGACAGTGCGTGGTTGAGGGTTGATGGGACAATTGTTTACGGTGGGAAGTCGTTGGATAGATTCGTCTTTGTGAAGGGGCAAGGAGGAGAGATCAGGGGATTGAGAGTGCCGGCGTTGAGGATGGAGCTGACGAAGCAGTAAATGTGGTGGCTTTCAGTTCACGGCTCGACATGAGAATCCAGGGGGGATAGTCAGGGAAATATTTATTTTGGGTATCAGGTTCACTTTATGTACCCGTGCGTACTGGCCTGGTACACCGTCAACCTTCAGACTCCTCCTCCAAATGTTGGGAGCAGCTAAGTACGATGTCCCAAATGCAGACCACTGATTCTACTCTTGCTGTTTAGATTCCCACAGACACTGCCTCAGTAAAATGTGTCATCATCGTAATTCATCTGTTGATATCCATTAGTGTTGGTCATCGAGTTGCCGTTACTCATTGTCGCGGTTGCGCCGTTATTCATGCCGGCGCCGCTGTACTGCTGCCCGTAGGACATGGAGCCGGTTGAGGTCCCATACATAGACCCTGCCATCTGCTGAGTCCCCTTGACGTCCCCTCCGGAACTGAAGGCTGGTCCATCAAGGCCGTACCAGTCTTGAGTAGGCGCGTTCCAGTTGTCGAAGCCCACAGCCAGCTGAGACTGGTCCTTGAACCACCAGTCCTGTGAGTCCTCGATCAAGCTGTCCACACCACCGAACAAACGAGCGGCGTTGGCGTTTCGCTCGTTCTGGGGGGCGGCTGTACCCGAAGTGCCTGAAGTCGAGGCCAGACGGGCTTGGTGTACATTCCATGCGTCCTGTTGCGCCTTGGTCAGATGCGTTGAAGGTCTACTTCGGTGCGCTCCTCGGACGAGATCTAGCGCGGACTGCGGAGGCAGTGACAATTGACCTGACGATCGCCTTGTGTCGTCGGTGTCGGCGGGTGAAGGTGCCATCCCAGCAGACAAGCCACCTTGCATCTGCAAAATGCTGTGCTGCGGATCGAAGGAACTGAACGGCTGGAACGATTGCTGACGCTCGCGTTGAGCCTGTACATTCTGAGCCATCAACTCAGACATTGGCTGGTTGCCCATGCGTTGAACCAGGTTGCTGAAAGGTCCAGTATTGGGTGATGGCGCCTGAACACCGAGGGACCATTTCAATTTAGCTCTCGCAAATGCTGCCTCAGCCTCCTCTGGAATCTCGACTTTCCACTTTTCAGCACAAACGCGCACAATCTCCATGTTGCGGCGAGCCATGGTCCAACACTCACCCATTTCCTCCATGTGTTTGATGCCGTGCACTACGTCTCGCTTGGCATTCTTGTCCGGAATGTTGAGTAGGTGGATGGTGCATGCCGTGTGGAGAATGTATATGGCAATGTTGCAGATCTGCCGCAGTCCATGAGTTCTTTTATAGAGGCGAAAAAGCTTTGATATCGCCCCAGCAGCTTGGGTACAGAATTTGCGTGGTGATACATGAGATGGAAGTGGTGAGGTCTGTTTCGTGTATTTGAGAAAGGGTCGATAGAGGTGGATATAGAGCAGTTGGTAGAACATATGCATTAGGAGCACCTGTGGGAGTTGCGCTTCTCGAGCATCGAGCTCAGCTGGCAGCTCTTTCTTCCAGGCTTCAAGGCGTGTATGGATGTCGCTCAGCCTTTTTAGCTCGGTCTGCTTACTCAGAGGTTTGTCCAATAGGTTGGGATGATAGAAAGAGGCGAGCAGGTCACCAGAGATTTCTGCGAGCTGCGAAATCTGGAGAGCGACGGTGCGAGTCCGGGCAGGTTGCGCATTGGCTTGAACAATGCCCGAGTCTGTATATGGCGACCACAGCTCCGAGTCTTCTGATGGAAACACTTCGGGCTTGCGCACGGTTATATGGGAAAGTTGAAGCTGGGGTTGGCGGCCCAGGTAGTTGGACCAGCACTTGTCAAAATGGAAGCAGCCCCAGAAGGTGATTCTCCTGGCGTCAATATCTTCATCTGATAAACGTGATGATTCGTTCATTGGCTGTGCATCGACGTTGAGGCCCAGATCGGCAGCCATACGAAAGCTCATGCCGCTGTACACCCAGCCTTTGCTCTCACGGCCACAGCCAGCCTCCCGAACTGACATCAAGGCAAGTGCCTGGACCGTGCAAAGTTTTGCGTTGGCGAATTCATCGTCTTCGTACAATAGTCTTTTCGCCTCCTTGAAATAATGCTCACCGGTGGTGGTCGAATCGTCAGGATCTTCTTTCGCGGCAGGCTTATTGGAGAAGTGGCATCCAAGAGCCAGCATAACGTTGACGAGCAGCGATGAGCAATACTGTGATGGGTTTCCCGTCAGGAAGTCGCGGTAGAAGAGCTCTTTGGACAGAGTAGTGAAGTAGGAGTAGTGCCAGCAGAAATACATGTTCAGGAAATGTAAGATCAAGTCCGTGTCCTGAGTGACAGTGGTCCAGGACAGGATAGCTTCCTCTTTGGGCTTGACGACGTCGGCCAGACTGCTTGAGGGCGACGAGCCAATGGTGCGCTGGTCGAGACTATCCGGCATCCAGATCAGGTTGGACGTCCCACCGATGAACTTAACGGAGCCGTCCAGCCATAAGTCGCCCATCTTCCCTGACAACTCTGCTTCAAACTGAGGGACCTCTGGTGGCTGCAGACTCGCTAGGGGCGAGTCCGGAGGGGCCGGGGCCGTGATCTTGTCGCCGGCTTCTATACTGGCTGCAAGATCTTCGAGGCTGTCGCATGTGCGAATCTGGCGCACCAGCTCGCCGACATCTTCCTCGTCCGCGTTCAGGATTGCTTGAATCAGCAGTTGTAAGGTAGAATTCTTGGTCTTGAGGCTATCGACATCCTTCTTGTAGACGCCTTTCCGACGATGGTCGGTATGCGGAGCGTATTCGCAGTCGGTCAGGTATACTGAGGCGCAGGCGGCACATTTGGGGAGGTTGCCATCGCATTTACTTTTGCGTCTGGGGCATAGTGTTAAGTAGAGCCCATGGAGTACTGTTCGAGATGGAAAACTTACCGGCGACAGGCGATGCAGGCAGTGCTTACGCATCGTCGCTTGCTGGCGGCTGCAGCGGAGGGATCGCTTTCCTTGCTCTTGTTCTTAGTCTGCCGCTTGTCCGCGACCTCTCGAGAATCGGCGTCGTTCAAATTCGGACGAGCGTCGTCACTGGGTAGGTTGTCGAGGTCCATGGTGTATCATGGGGTGAGGGTATCGCAGGTGTCGACCCCGCTATCTCCTCGGAGATGATGTTCGACGGCGGAGGGAAGTCATCTGGGGGAATACATGACCGATGTTACGCAAGGCCGCTATGAAAGGATTCGCGGGAGTCTGCAAACTGATTTCTAAGGAATCCGGGGAGTGATCCAGATCGTCGGCTGTTGAGGCGGGCGAACGACCGGCTGAACCACAAAACGAAATCGGAGCCACACCATTGGATCCCCCCCTCGCCCTCGCCTCCTCGCACTGGATTTGTCCGGCACACCATATCCGTCCTTTGTTCACTATCAGTCGAGACTGGCAGGCGAGCGCCGCCATTCCTTGGGCATACAAGTCCAACGGCGTGGCGCTTGGGAGATAAGTGCAGTTCTCGGCAAATGATAACAGCGCAATATGTGGGATAGAAACATATCAACATCTTGTCGTGAATCGTCTCTATCTATGACCAACCCCGGCCATGGGTATCTATCTACTGGTCCAATCACCACTTTGTGCCTAGAAGGGTTTGCTCGAAATCTTGATGCCCATCAGCCGGACCGACTGCCATACACTGGCTGAGACCTTGACAGGCAGCTTCCTCCCCTTCAGCCGTTGGTCGATGAGCCACATGCCAACCACGAATCGCTCCCGATTGAGCGCTTTATAATCCTCCTCGGGCGAAACGAGATCCCAGACCTCTTCCAGAACATCTTGTGGCAACCGACTGCGGCTCCAGATATCCCGAACCACTACGCCGAGTACGAGGTCTTCCTGCCCACTGTCTTGCGGTCGCTGTCTTAGAACCGTACTCGTCTCGTAGTCGTGCAAGAGGCCTCGGTTGGCAGCCCAGACGCCCTCGTACCGTTTCCGTTCGCTTTCGCTGACCTTATCTCTCCATCGTTTGCGAGCGCCTTCGTTGTGCATGTGAGGGTGCTTGCGGATCAGATGCTTGCGACCACGCCTGGTGTCATCTTCTTCTTCGGCCTCTGGTGACTGCTTGCGAAGCGTATGCTTCATGGGGCGTTTGGCTAGAGGCTTGAGTGGTGGATGCTTGTCCCCTGTCGTACTAGGCCGGAGAAGGTCGACTGACTGTGATCGCCGACGTGGTACAGGTGGTGGCTTGTATTTCGCTGGGGATGCAGCCCGTGAGCCTTGTCGCGATGAAGCTAATGACGACGCGACCATTGCGTCTGCAAGACTGTTCGCCGTCATGCCGCCTCTGTTGTTCCCTGGCGACACTTCCGGGGCGTGTGGTGAACTATAGCTATTTAGATAGCTACGAGCCGACCTTTTTAGTGGCATTGGAATTGGCTGAGAAGCTTTCCTTGTCGGGCTTGCTGGCGGTGGTTTAGTCTTTGTGCGAGGCTGGTCGTCCGGCCTGGATAGAGTGACTGTTGGTGTAGTTGCCGACCTAGGTGCGTCCACGGTGGCTGATGGCTCTGGTTCACGACGTCGTTGAAGTTGTCGCTTCGGCGGAGGCGGCGGAATGCTGTCCCTCGCCTCAGCTACATCGCTGGCTGCTGTGTCAAGTATCAGTGAGCTCTTCTGCGGTTTCGGTGGCGGCTGACGTTGTGCAGTGACCGGGTTAGTCACTTGTTGGGCAAGTGATGGGATCTTGTTGAAGTCTAGTTTTCCGTTCTTGTTGGAGAAAGGGCTTGTGTTTGGCGTCGAAGGACTGGCGAACATGGATAGCGTAGCCCCTAGTCGTGCATCGCGTGTGCTCGCATCTGAGGGAAGTCGACTGCGTGAGGATATGGACGAATCGCGCGACACCGACCGCCGCTGCCCCTGCGGTGAGCCAGGTCGGCTGCTCAAGGTAGCTTGGCTCCTAGCCGGACTGCTGCTTGCAGAAGCGGCCCTTGCTGCTATCTCAGACGCTGTGCGTTGCAGTGGGTTTCTGCTCTCCAGTCTCGAGGTCTGTTCTGCGACTTTCTGCAAGTCGAGGCTCAATTGTGATCTTCCTCGAGCGGGAGACCGTGCTGTCCGTATCTCCGCTGCACGTTTCTGCTCCTGCGGTCTTCCATGTTTCTCGGCGAACGTTGCTGCGTTCAGAGCGCCATTGCCGACCGGCTTCGTCCCGGTTGCGGCCGCCGGTTTCGCTGCGGCTGGAGTGAAGGCTGCTGTGGCACCTCGCAAGGCAGACGAGACATCTCTCACGCTATCGTTCGCCGGCCGGAGGTTCGGCTTAGGCGCCACAGGGGGGCGCCATTTCTGACCTTCGCTCATGGATCCATATATGCAGGATGTGGGCTCTGGCTCAGGAATATGCAGAGCCGTGAGACGAGTAGGAGCTGAACGTCAGAGGCCTACATGAACCATGCCTTCTGCGCCTTGGCAATGTGACCAAGAACAGGCTGTAGCAGTTGGAAAAACACCAGGCGAGCGCTCCCACCCTGACCAAAGTATCACTAACCAAGCCCCATGTCTTGCCTGGAAGCTCCAGGACCGCCAACGCTGACGACAAGTCGCTACTGGTCACGTGCTTTCGCTTCCCTGGCGCGGGGAACACGCTGCTTTTAGAGCCCAACTTGACATCTCACGCGTTTGCCTTGTGCCTGATCCGGGCGTCACTCACCGGGCTAGCCACTGGCTTGAGCTTCATGTCCTTCTTGGGGTAAACCGGCTCATCAAACCACCTCTCTTTCCTTATCCGTTCATGGCGACAGAATGGACGTGGACAACCGGTCTTCTTCCCAGGCCCAACCATCCCAGCCTGTAATCGATACCGCTGCTCGTGAGCTTGAGTTCGATCAGAAGTACCCAAACCGGCCGCGCAACAAGCAGTCCACTCTTCCCTTTCACTCACTCTATCAGGACCTGTGCAATCCACTCTTGGAAAATAGGAAGAAGCCCCCGGGCCAGGTCCAGAACCGTAGGAAGCTCGGGCCACAGAATGGGCTCGCTTTGGGCTCCCATGAGAAGCGTCGGGCAATCATCGAGCGATACATATCGAGATGGCGACGCGAGGTAGGCCCGGACTTCTTTCCAGCGATGCGACTTCTTCTACCCGAAAAGGACCGCGATCGTGCCATGTACGGCCTGAAAGAGAAAGCTCTGGGTAAGTATCTTGTCAAGATCATGAAGATCGACAAGAACTCTGAAGATGGCTTCAGCCTGCTCAACTGGAAGGTCCCTGGCAAGCACACCACGAGTGCCGGAGATTTTGCCACCCGCTGCTACGAAGTCATACAGAAACGTCCCTTCCGAGACAAGCCTGGGAACATGACTGTACAAGAGGTCAACGACGAGCTTGACAATCTATCAGCTGCGCAGAAGGAAGAGAACCAGCTACCCATCATTACCAAATTCTACCGCAACATGAACGCCGAAGAGCTTATGTGGCTGGTGCGTATCATTCTTCGCCAAATGAAGGTAGGTGCAAGTGAGAAGACCATCCTTGAAATCTTCCATCCCGACGCGGATGCTCTATTCAATGTCTCGAGTAGTCTCCGACGTGTGTGCTGGGAACTCTATGATGAGCATATTCGCCTCGAGACCGAGCACAAGGGTGTCACTCTGATGCAGTGTTTCCAGCCACAGCTGGCGCAATTCACCAGCGGCAACTTCCAGAAGATGGTCGATCACCTGCGCCGCTACTCTACCGAGGAAGACAAAGAGTTCTGGATCGAGGAGAAGTTGGATGGCGAGCGTATGCAGATGCATGTACAAAAGGATGCCGCGAAGGCTGGCGGATTCAATTTCAAGTTCTACTCCCGGAAGGCCAAAGACTACACTTACCTATATGGAGACACCCTCGACAACAAGAACTCGGCCCTCACGCAGCACCTAAAAGATGCTTTTCGGGACGGGATAGAGGACGCTATTCTTGACGGCGAAATGATTACATGGGACCCTGAGCAAGACCGCCAGGCCGCCTTTGGCACCTTGAAGTCTGCTGCCATCTCCGAGCAAAACAATCCGTTCACCGACAGAGAGCGGCCCCTCTTCCGTGTCTTTGATATGCTTCTGCTAAACGGCAAGCTCCTCACGCCGTACACACTTCGTGACCGTCGCAGAGCCCTTGAGCAAGCCATCAAACCTGTGCATCGGCGATTTGAGCTCCACCCTCATACGATCGGCGTGGAAGCCGATGACATCGATCCTCATCTCCGCGAGGCGATTGAGACCGCCTCCGAGGGTCTTGTTCTTAAGAACCCGCGCTCACTCTACACATTGGCTGACCGCAACAACGACTGGATCAAGGTAAAGCCTGAGTATATGCAGAACTATGGCGAGTCGCTTGACTGCCTCATCATCGGTGGCTACTATGGATCTGGCAAGCGAGGTGGCTTCTTATCCTCCTTCCTATGTGGTTTACGTAGCGACAAGACGTCCCAGCAGTTCATTTCATTCTTCAAGGTCGGCGGCGGCATGACGGCAAATGACTATGCTGCCATACAGTACGCGACCGAAGGTAAGTGGATTGACTGGAACATCAAGAAGCCGCCGACACAGTATGTCAAACTTGCTGGCCCGGAACTGAATCCAAGGGAGCGGCCCGATCAGTGGATTAAACCTCACGACTCGATTGTAGTCGAAGCCAAAGCTGCGAGTGTCACAACTTCGGACGAATTCGCAGCGAAGCTGACATTGCGTTTCCCACGCTTCAAGAAAATCCGCAGAGACCGCAGCTGGGAGAACAGTCTGACTCTGGAAGAGTTTCAGAATCTCAAGGCGCAGGTAGAGGAGAAAGAAGAGGAACAAAAGAAGTTCAAAGCTGAGGAGCGAAGCAACAAACGCACCAATCGCACCAAGAAGAGAGCTTTGCAGGTTGTTGGCGGCTACGATGATTCTGTTAAAATCGACATCGATGCCGTCATGTCAAACGTCTTCCATGGCTTGACCTTCTTCGTCGCCACAGAAGCACTCAAACCTCAGAAGAAATCTAAACCACAGCTCGAAGAACTGATCAAGAAGCACGGCGGTAAGGTCGTACAGACGAACCATCTGCGAGACGATAGCGTCACTGTCTACACCATCGCCGACCGCAGGAACGTCAAGGTCGCCAGTCTGGAGAAAGCCGGTGACACGCTCCTCATCCGCCCACAGTGGCTCCTCGACTGTATCCAGCAAGCGAAGCGGGACTTCAACATGGGCATGGACGAACGCGCGCTTCCGTGGGAGTCTGAACGACACTTGTTCTTCATTCCAGAGAAGTATCGTGAGGACGAGCCGTTCGAGTGGAACATAGACAAGTACGGCGATCCGTACTACCGCGACACCGGCGTCGAGGAGCTCAGAGACGTGTTCAAGAAGATGACCAGCCCCGATTCCCTACCCAACACAGCGGCCGAGAACCTGATCGGTAACGAACTCGACGACGCAAGCGACATGCGAGGCTGGATGTTCCGCGGCTGCCACATCCTCTTCGACAGCCAAGACGCCCAGAAAGATATCGCAAACGAGGCCTCCCCTTTAACACTAGAACTGACCATGGCGTGCACAACAGCCACCTTCGCCGGCGCCACCTTAGCCACCGATATACAAGACTCGGGGCTAACGCACATCGTCGTCAGCCCCAGGAGTGATTTGAAAGCCCTACGCAAGAAAATCGCTTCAAAGCGGCGACAGAAGATCCCCAGGCTGGTAGTACCCGCATGGATCGCCGAGAGCTGGGAGAGCGAGACATTGCTGGACGATGAGCGCTTTGCGCCCTAGCTGGTGACAGACCTGACACAGGCAGAGAGCCATGTGGCATGCCAAGTGTTCTGCGGTCGACCTGTTGTCCAGGGTCAGCTAGCCTGGCCCACAAAAGTGCTGGCTACTCGACGACGGACATGTCATGTAGTTCAGCTTCAGGACAAGCTATGCTGGGCGTCAAGGGAGAAAGCTATTGATGAAGAAACAAAGAAAGATGATATGCAGGTGTCAAAGTGAGCTGAGCAGCTGCTATCACAACTCTTTCTAACTCGAACGACTACGATCGACGACGACGACGACGACGACGACGACAACGACAACGAGATTACGTGATGACCTGGCCGGACTACTACCTTCAAGAGCGTGACGTAACAAAAATGACAGTGTAGTTCTCATGCCATCCAGCATGCAGCATTCTGCGTGCCTGCCTGCATGCATGCATGTCTGCCAGTCTGTCTGTTTGTGTATGAGTGTGCTATACAACTACTTCTCCCTCTTCTACCGCCCGCTCTTTATCCCGTACACAACTAGCTCAGCTGTGCTACCGAGACGCGGCATGGCGTGGCTATCTATCTGTCTGCCTGCCTGTCCATTTTTACACCCCTTCCTCCCCCGTCGATTCAGCAGCAGTAGTAGCGGAAGCAGTGTCCTCTTTCTCCCCGCCCTCGACGACTCCGCCCCCGCCAGGCCTATCTCCTACATGCGTCTCACCTTCCACCTCCATTTCCGCTTGCCCCTCAGCCACCGCCCCCTTTTCGGAAACCCCAACCGCCAATCCCTCCTTCTCCTTCTCCTGCGGCGGTGGCGGCGGTGGGGCCGGGAACAATTCCGCCAACAACCCCGGCACGACGCGCTCAACCCTCCTCGCCGTCTCGCGCCACAGCTGCTCTCTAACACCCTCACCACCCGCATCACCACCGCCATTATTGTCGGCGCCTCCTGATGTTGGTGGCGGCACCAAATAGCCACCACCAGCCATGACCAACAGACAATTCTTGACGCCTTCAGTGACGGCCTCGAGCATGACCTCCTGCTCGCGCGCGCCCACGCCGCTGTTGAGCATGCGATCCAGCAAGCCCAGCGTGCGTGCCCACGTCAGCACGAGCCAGTTCTTTTGCTCCGTTGTTGTTGTTGTTGTCGTCGTCGTGGCTTTGCCTTCAGCAGGACCTGCCGGCGCTGCTGCTGACGCCGACTCAGACGAAGCTAGCGTCGCCTCCGCGCCGGTGTCGGCACCGCCGCTTGTGGCCGTCGAGGTTGCAGCCCCTGTCTTCTGCGGCGTGGCCTCGGGGCTCGCACCGTCGCTCTTCTCGATCACCAGTGGCGGCAGCGCGGCCAGCGGGTCCAGGTAGCGCAGGAAGATCTTGCATAACAGCGTGGCGGCCTGCACGCGGGTGTCGCCCATGCCCTGTGGATCTAGCTGATAGACTTCGGGCTTGAGCAGTCGGAGGATCAAGGGGAAGAGCACTTCGGTGAAGATGGCCGTCCACTCTTGATGCTGCTCTTCAGGTTCCTCATCCACTTTGTGGTCCTCCTTGGCGGTCTTAGATCGGTTCGCACCTGCAAGGTCCTCTGAAAGCAGCACGCGCTGCAGTGCCGTCATGGCGCGGTGCCGCACCTCGCGGCAGGGGTTGATGCTCTGGCTGCATAGGGAGCGGAAGATAGGGGACCAGTATGCGGCCCAGGCTTCATTGTGTTCGAGGTGAGACTGCGCGATCAAGGATGGGGTGAGAACAGTGAGGTTGTAGATCAGTGTGATTGCGTGAAGAGCCCGCTGAACGACGACGTTGTCCTCGGGCTTGGCTTTCGCGGGAGGCTGACGCGCGCCTCTTCTCTGGGCCTCCCGATTCGGCGGGACCGGAGCGCCGATGCGACCAGCAGTGGCGAAGTCATTCGCGAGGTTGACTGTGGCTTCGTAATTGTCTGCTGTGATGGCGGTGGGCTGAACTGAGGCAAGGCTGGCAAGCACGTTGAACACGGGCTCAGCCTCGGTTTTGTGCTGGTGAAGTCGCTGGAGAATGGACCAGAAGTCAGGGGAGTTGGTGATTTCGTTACGGAGAGGTGCTGGCGACGAAATGCAGGCAGCCAGACCAGCCACTAGGGAAGATGAGGTGTGCTCGAGAACGGCATCGTCGAAGCTGTTGAGGCTATGCAGAACAACGGGAGCGCGAATGAAGTCGTGGGTCTGCCTGGTGTTAGTCTGAGCAACGGCATCAGAGCCCATAATACTTACATATCCATGGCGCAGCATATCCAGTAGGTACCGCACCACTCTTGCCGCCGCAACAGGATGGAGATTCGATGCATCCCTTACGTGGTTGTGCAGCGTGCCTGCCAACCGTTCACCTGTCGCTGCCATTGTATCTTCATCACGGATCGAGAGGATAGTGGCAAACTCGAGCAGGAAGATATTGCCTGGATCGTACCGAGGTCCGGATGTCTGTCGATGGCCATTGACACGGGCAGTCACGGGCATAGGTCTCTCCGGCTTGACTGTCACTACAGGTGAGGAGTCTTCGATATGCGACAGAAGGGCGTTGACTAGCAGCTTCGTTTGCTCCGCTGGAAGCTTAAACATATGCGTGATCACCATCGCTGGTTGACACGCTTTGACACAGTCGACAGAGCTTAGAGTGTTCTCGAGTTCCTCCTCGGATGGCTCTGGAGGGTCATCTGCTGCATAGCTGGATAGGTAAGACGTGAAGGTCGAGAAGATCCCACTGTCGCCTAACTTGCCGTCCCGATCAATAATCTGTGAGGGCGGCTGAAGGGGTATAGGCTCTAGCCGAGCCATTCGACTGTTCTCAATCTTGGGCAGTGTCACAAGAGAGTTGACGAACAGATTCCGCAGAATGCGCACAATGTAAATCCAGGTCTCACCCACAGCGAACTCATGTCCCGTCAAGGTTCTGAACAACAGCACTGTCGAAAGCTGCGCGCGGAAGTCCCTGCCCAGCCGCACGGCGAGTTCAGAGACCATGATGCGCCTCTTCCCTACTTGCACCTCCGTGTTGAGCGAGGTACTAGGTGGAATCTCAGCGGCCAGACCGGTGATCTGACTCAGACTATAGATAATGCGGTCAAAGGCTTCCGTGACATCGTACCGTGCAGCAAGCTGGGCGCACTGGTCGAAGCCAACCACAACTCGGGAAAAGACAGCGTCATCCGATGCCGACATGAAGACGTAATTGAGGGTGGCAATGATCGGCTTCCACGTCGCATGGAACATCTCCGCATCAAAGGCGTTGGTTTGACATAGCTCCAGATCACCTGCATCGTGGGTCTTCTGCAGCAGCTCCTTCCATGCGTAATCGAATGCGTGCTTGTTATCGTGTTCATCTGGCAGGATGATCTCGTTCTCTTTGATACCATCATAGATCTCCTGAAGATACTCCGGCGCAAAGTCCATGCCACTGTTAACGCCACGGAGATTCTTTGCAAAGTCCTCGGGCGTCATGCGTTTCTGATTCTTGGAAGCGTTGGGATTGTACAGATCGGTGTTGAGCATGATGATGGCGTAGGTCAGGACATAGGCGGCATCCTGGTCCGCAATATCTTCTGTCCCGTTCGCGGAGCAGTACCTGTCTGTGAAGATATTGATGATCCTCTCGATCAAAGCCGACTCGCCAGGAAGGCGGAAAGAACCCAGCATATCCCGAAGGGCCTCGTCTATGCGCTTGTCATTGAAGTCGAAAAGCCCGATGAAGGCTTTAAGTAGAGGCTCATTGTTCTTCTTGGTAATGAAGTCGCCCAGCACCTTTTTGGAGATGTGGGATGTCCCACGAAGGAATTGAGCAACCTGTAACGGATCGTCTGGACTCTTGATGATGCCGTTCTTCACGAGGAAAGCCACGCCTGCCTTTGGATCGTCGTTGAATTTGGCGGCGCCACTCTTGATGATCTTCTTTCGCACGCGCTGAGCCCGCAATCTCTCCAGCTGTTCCTTTCCGTTCTCTGGCGTTCTGTGGTGCAGACGATCAGCCATGAACTGTATGAAGCTCAACAGCGAGTCCAGGCACAGCGGCGGTACGCTGGTGGTGCTCCAAGTTGCGGCATCAGGGAAAGCATTCCTCGAAAGCAGGCCGACCATGTCCTCGCACAGATCCTGTCTGTCCACATTACAGTCATAGTTGACGAAGAGTTCCACCATGAAAGTAGGAATGCGTATCAGCGTGCCGATGTTTTCGACCATGGCTTCCCTCGCCTCCGGCCGTCTAGCACCCCCTTCTAGACCAAGCTTCTGACGCTCCTTGACTGGTACTGGTGTCGAACGCCCACTATTTGGCTGTGAGGCTGCGGGCTTCACCAGCTTGGGTGATTGTGGCACTCCCTCGTACAACGAAGGGTCAATGCCAGCCTCTTGGGGGATATCAACCCGGACATGAAGACACGACACCAGATAGGAGAGGAACAGCTCCTGCTGCAACTTCAAGAGATGCCGACACGTCGTCAACAGCGTGCCGGCCACCCTCAAGGAGTTGTTGAGCAGCAGCATATTGTCTGACCGGACAAGCTGGAACAGATGCCTGCATAACGGGTCCTGAACCAACTCTGCAAGCGCCGGCTGGCGAGCAATAGCTGGCCCCGCCACCTCAAGCGCGACGTCAATGATTCTGAGAGCCATAATGCGCATCGGGTCCGAATGCGTCTTGTTGTGAGGGTCCAGCAGATCTATCAACACTCGAAAAAGCTCCTTGATGGACGGCAGGGCATAAGGCTTGATCTCCTCGCCCGTGTTGCCGGCTGACTGCACCGGCTGCAGCTGTTCCAGGGAAGAGGTCGGCCTCTCCGTCGAGGCGGGTGGCTCCAGCGACTCGCGATTCTCACCACCTTCCACACTGGGCCGCTCTTGACCCGCGCCATTCCCCATGACGCTGCCAATCATGGGCGGATCAATCTTTAGATCTTCTGTGGCCGCCACGCTAGCAAGCGTGGTGGATCTGCTCCTGGTCTTCGGAATCGGCTCCTCCACCTTCAGCTCCTTCAAACGGCCAAACACTACCTGACACATCGTGACCATAGCCATCTCCGCGCTGCGGCGCAGCACCTCACTCAGCCTCGCCTGGCAGCACATGCTGAGACCCGTGCTCATCATCTCACAGATACTCTCATCCCCTAACAGCTGACCTTCGGCCCTCGTCATAATGCTCTCCATCAGCCTGAGGATGCGCAACAAGACCACCTCGTCAGCCGACGTGTCGCTAGCCTCAAAGCGGCAGTGCGTGATGGCGGCGCTGAGCAGGTGCATCGCCAGGGAGATCCGGGGGCTCTGCACGGTGATAATATTGTAGGCGAAGAATTTGGTAATCGAGATGACGGCGAGACTTGTAATCGCGGCGCTGGTCGAAGATGACCTGATGACCTGCAGGAAAGGATGCAGCAGCTCGGGCGCATCGACAGTCGAGATGTCTCGACACCCCGCCAGATCTCTGCGCAGGCGAGCAAAGGCCGAGAGGAGAGGGTTGTCGGCCATGCTCTTGCCCTTCTTGCCCCGCAGACCCCATCTGCTGGCGAGGCTCGTGTCCTCATCGTCGGGAGCACCATCCCCTCCTCGGTTCGGTGTGGCGGCCCGACTGGTGGGATCCGGGATACTCAAGCGGCCGCCCTGCTTCGCGCGCTGGGAGGAGGAACGTAAAATATCCTTTTCCTTCTCCTTGCTTGCACCGCCTCCAAGGATAGTGGAGATGGAGGATTGGGCCCAGCGGGCGTTCTTCCGCATGGCGGAGGTTATGGTGATGCATTCTGTAGTGATGAGGGCGACTGGGTCGATGGCGATGACGGGACGGCCGAGCGAGGCGCGACGGGGGAAATCAAAGGGCTCGATGAAGTCCGGGGATGTGACTTCTGTGCTGTAGGCGCGGTCTTCCGGCCGCGGTGCTCGCGCGAGCGGATCTATTTGTTCGGCCATGTCGAGCGTTGACGGGAGGAATAGCACGCGCACCCTCGGCTGGTTCGATCGGATTTCGTTGACCTAGGGACAGCACATTTTGGTGAAATTGCCACTATTTCCAGACACAGACCAGAGCCTTCGAGGGTGGAAGAGATGGCATAGGTGTCACCGCACAAACAGGTGGGTTGTCTGGTTGAAGAACACTCTGTCTTTGTGTTTCTGGGGTAGGCGCAGACCAGATGCTTTGACAAGGCTCTACCGAAGAATAGCCGGTCGGATACATGGTCATTGATACAGGCATTGCAAGACCAAGTACCTACACCGCAGACTCAGAGAAAGCTTACTTTATGTCTCTGAACATATCGATCTATACACTATTGACAGTAGTACACCGCTCTAGCCCGGGGTACTCTTCCCAAGCACCCAACTCCCGACGCCTATCGCTATGACAAAGCACAATGGCCAGTCTAATCAATGTCCCCAACATCCTGACAACCTAGTAATTCACCCGCATAGAAAGTCTCACAAAGAGAAAGCATCCACCCTTGAAGCCACGTCTCCAACCCTTCTTCCTGTACCGCCAGCCTCAATTCCTCAAGCCTTGGCCGCAGGCCCAGCAGCCAATTCCTCTCCTTCTTCCAGCAGATCTGTCATCCGTGCCAAATTCGAGATCATTTCCTTCCCTTGTCCAACCAAGAGCAGCTTATCTGCATTGTCCGGTAGGCCCAGGTACGCCGGTGGCTCTCGCTCTGGCAGTTGCTCCACCCAACCCATGAAGTCCTTGATTGTCGTTCCGCCAGGCACTTTCAACGGCTCCGTGTTGCCCTCGGACACCAACTCGTGCTCACTTTCATACGCTGCAGGGTCGAATATCTTACGTACCAGATGGCCCAGGAGATTGAAATCTCCTTCATCGTCAATCTTGCCTCCGTACATCTCCATGATCAGTGTGCGAATGAGATCCCAGGGCAACTTGACCGGCGCCACGTTGGAACGCCCCTGCGCGATATTCTCGATCCACGTATCGATGATGAATGCACAGCATTCGTAATCGCTGTCGTTGAATTCCCAAAAGCCTTTCCAGCCGAGCGTAGGTGCGTATCGTAAGCGTTCTTGGAGAATAGCGTGCAGAAAGCACAACAACAAGTACAACCTGCCCTTCTCCACAGGTGCCTGAACACTACGGTCGGACAGGACGGTCAGGGTGTCTTTCATGTTGGCACGCATACCGGCGGGTTGCTCATACACCAATGCCCGAGAAGCCCGGATGAGGTTGACCGGAATCTTTGGGCTCGACTCCATCGACAGGAATAGGCGGAAGTCGTCATGAGGCTTCAGGGCTGACAAGCGTTTCTCCAGTGACTGAAGCCATTGCGGAGCCAGGTGCACGTTCTTGATCAGTACCCAGGTGCCGTTGGCAGCCGCGCCCGTGATGGCCTTGTCCGCACTCGCAAGACTTTCTTCCGAACCCATAGCCACGTTGGCACAACTGGCATTCTGCTTCTCAACAAGTGCATCCACCTTGTAGCTGGCGTCAAAGCCAGGATTGGACATCAGAGCAATAGGGATCGAGCTGTTGACTTGCTGCACGATGAGCGCGAGGCTGTCGCTGCCTGAGAAAATCTCAGCTCCAAAAACTTGCATCACCAGCTTCTGTGCAGCTGGTAGGAGCCGATCAGGTCGAGCCAACTTGACGGCCAGTAAACGCAGCAGCTCATCTGTGATGCTATTGTTTGTTGGCTCCCAAATGGCAGGAACGTACCGTTCGGCGCGTTCGGCAGACATGAATTGTTGCCATTCCTTGCTCCGAGCATCGATCGCCGCGTTCTTGAATGGATCCTGCCGCTTGATTTTTGCAATGATGTTGTCAGCAGAGCCGGTCTGGCTACTTGCACTGCTAGACGTGGGTCGCTCATCAAGCACGAGCTCGAGAAAGGATCGGTCAAAGTCATACGGCGTTGCTCGAATCAGTAGGACGGCAAGTGTGATTCGATCTTTCTGAAGCAGAGAGAGCGAGGTGCGCCGGAACGTCTCGATGAAGATGTCCTTGAGAATGATCTCGCCACGTTCCTTGTGGTCCGTCTTGTTGGTCATAGCTTTGACTTGGTTTAGTACGTGGTTGAAGATGTTGGTGAAGTACTGTAACGAGAACCGATAGGTGTGGTTAAGGTGATGCAACTGCTCGAGAATGGCAAAGATTGCGCTGCAAGCATTGGCAATGCGGGCATAGTCTTGAGTGATCCGCTCGACCTCTGCCATAACACCTTCTGTTTCCGACATCTTTTTGGAGATGACTGCAGCTTCTTTCTTGAGTGTCTCGAGTGTCTGAATCACGTTGTCATCATCCAGGATGTTGCCGCGTGACTCGTTCAGGGCTTGCAAGAGACGCTTCTCTAACTGCCGGAGATTGGTGTTGAACTCGCCTTGCATCTTGATCAGGTTTGTCCTTCTCTTGTCTACGTCTGGGCGCTCGGCCTTCAGTACCTCATTGAGTGATTGCGTTCTCAGACTGCTCTGTGTGACCGTGAAGTTGACGAATGTGGTTCTACTGCAGATGTCTGGTGCGAAGTTGGCTGAAGGATCTCGGGTCGACAGATAAAGCTTGAAGCTAGGTGAAAAGTCGATCTCCTGCTTGCCGAGCTGGATCAAGACACGACCGCCGGTTTTCTGGTACTCTTTGTTGAGCACATGCGTCAGAATGGGGTCCAGGTACTCTGCGTCTTGAATCAAGATCGGGTTGCCGAAGCGCAGAGCACTCTCCAGCTGCTTGGTGAAGGCGTCATCCAGGAAGCTGGTTACGGTTAACTTGCGACCTTCATGTTCATGCTTCAAGAACTCGGTGACCCGACTGGAAGGATCGATGATCAATGGATATCGATTGAACCGCTTGAGCATGATTGCATTCTCCATGCATAGGTCATCGGCGGGCAGAGCATTCTTCTGCCACTGGAGTCGCTCGTCGGCGGTGGACAGGTAGCCCAATACAGAGCTATCACTCTTGCACGCAATGCCAGATTGCGAGAGCTGGTGGAGCCAATCATCGACCATACTCTTACGGAACTGCTGGTCGTATAGGCCTCCGTAAGCGAGAAAAGCTGAAGCGATGACAACATCGCCAACGAGTGTCTGGATCTGTGTTTCAAAGGAGTGGCTGGCCTCCTCCCAGCGACCTCGTTCACTCGATAAGCTGTCAAGAAGACGCACACTTCGATCGACCTTGGTCTGGACACGAGACATCTCAGTCTTGATGGCCTGGGTTTCGCTGATCAAAGCAGCATATTCGGTCTTGTAGGTAGCAATGCTGCCTTCCAGCTTCGCGATGGTGTTCTCGATCGCCTTGGCCTCGGCCTTCGTCTGCAAAGCCTTATCTTCAAGATGCTCAACTTCAGCTCGAAGCGGGCCAACTCGGTCAAGGATCTCGGAGTAGTTCACTTGAGCATTGACCCATTGCACGAGCGGGCCACAAGCCTTGCTGGCTCGGTTGACACGCTCGAATGTGAAATCATCGTTGGACAGGAATTCGCGACGCATCTTCTCACGCAGCGGCGCAGTCATCTGCGCCTCGTTGTCGTAATTGACGATACTGGCAATGAAGTCCTCGCGACGAACAATACCCTGGATGGTCTTCCAGCTGTCGACCTTGTTGCCAAGAAGTGTGCAGACAGACTCAAGAGCCAACTTTACACCGTTGGGTGGGTTGCCCATAGATCGCACTTCGGTCAAATGTTGTCTCTTGATGTTACTGACGCTGCGTTGAGCTTCAACGACGGCAGGCTCGGCTTTTGCGAGATCGTTGAGCACAATCTCTTTGCGTTCTGCGACCTCCTTCTCCTGGACCTCCAGAGCAGACTGAATCTCCAGAGACGCAGATTTCCTGGTCTCGGCTTCGCGTTGATCGGCCACCATGCGTTGCAGCTTCTCGTTGGCTTCAGCATCTTTGGCTTCCAGCTGCGTCTTCTTCTGGGCGAGACTGACGCGCAGATCGCGGACTTTGTCTACCGTGTCTTTGAGTTTGTCGAGGCCAACATTTAAGTGCCGCTGCTGGTCTTCCAGATCTTCGCGCTTTTCGTGAAAGAGCTTGACGAAGTGAGCTACGAAGTCAAGATAGTGGCGGGGAGTCAGGTAAGTAACGATGCCCTGCTGCTTTTCCAGTCGCGAATTGATCTGCTGTATCGAATAATGAATGTAGACCATGGCGTTGACGATAGTGTCTCGGTGGGATGCCGGTAGCTGGAGGCCACGATACGCGACCGGAAGACTGTCTGGAGATTGGAAGTTGGGCTTGTCCAGATCAACAGATTGAGTAAGCTCAAAGCCAACTTGGAAGAGAGCTTGGTCGGACCAGTCGCCCATCCAATTCAAGACACAACGATTGAATAGCGCAGGAGATGTGGCAGCTTTAGATGACAGTCCTTCCTGCGGTGGATTCATGGTGAACACAACGTGCAGGTTGCGAACAATTTGCTGGGTGAACCACTTGTAGAGCTCTTCTTGAGAATCAAGAAGCAAGCCCTGTCGCTGAGCACCTTCTTTGCAAGCCGTCATGAGCGAGGCATACTCATCGCCCTCGAACAGACCAGGGACTTCACCATTGGCGAGCAGCGTGTTCATCCGCTCCAAGAAGCCAGAATCAAGTACATTAGACTCGTCCATGATGAAGCATATCTTCTGAGCTTGAGTACCGCAGCGGCGAAGCACATTTCTCAAATCGTCATCGAAGTCTTCCGCAGAATATCTGCCGTGGACCTTGATCTGGAACACCGAGAGACCATTCATCCAGGCAACGAAGCGTGATAACGTCGTCTTTCCGCTACCGCTCGTACCAATCAAGATGAGATGGCCCTGAGGTTGGCGGAAGACACGATCGATACGAAGCGCGTGTTCCAACACATCATTGAACAGGACAAGGGGTACATCGACCTCTTCCTCGCAGAATGTCTTGAGACGTGCCTTGACAAATTCACGAAGCTGCTCTTGCTCAACTGACACATAATTGCGAGACAGCCAGTTAGAGAAGAGAATGGGACCTTGTAGAGCATTGTTGATGTCTGCGGATGGGAAATGCTCCAAGGCTGTCTGTCGGACCATGTCGGAAGTCCAATCGCGCTCTTCTTGGGAGACAAGCCTATCAGAGAACAGACGAAGTGCTTCGTGCGCCCAAATGCGGAGCAGGCCCTCGAGGGTAAGTTGTTCGAGGGGCGCAATGGCTTCATACACACCGCGCACCCATCTTGTCAACTCACGTGGCGAGTAGACGTAGTGTGGCTGAATGTCGGCAGTGAAGCGAGACTGAGACTTTAGGAAGAAGCCCACCATTGCGCGTGTCAGCGCATCCGCGAAACCGCGCAGTGAAGGGATAACCTTGAGCACGGCATTGTTAAAGGTACCATAGATCTGAAGAAGAGACAGCTCTCCCGGATAGTCGACCATGACAACAGGCGCATGACGGAGGAAGCGTGCTCCCATAGCATGGCGACCTGCATCTTCAGGAGGATTGCAAGCGCCAACGAACTGAATACGCTCGAGTGATACCCAAGCTTTATCTGAGGTCCTCCAGAAGCCGTTCTGCTCAATAAGCTGACGCAGGAAGCTGATTGCGCGTTGAGTGCCGTAGGTATCAGGTGCTGGCAAGTTGATCTCATCGCAGAACACGACAAGCCATTTACCCATCTGTGTAGGGGCCAGGACCACGCCGTTCAGCGTTTTGCGATACTCGCAATATTGCTCGAAGGTCTTGGTGATCAGCTCAGGTTGGGTGGCGCTGGAGAAATTGAGGCCGACGACTTCCATGTCGGGCAGCTTGCGAAGCGCACTGAACAATGTCATGGTTTTGCCGGAACCTGGAGGACCGCAGAGCATCAGAGGCTTATGCTCTGCCAACCAGGAGTAAAGAACATCCTCGTGACGAACCGTGTCAACGGTGGGGATGATGACATCGGTCTGAGTGATTGAATGCGTGTTGACCTCAATGCTGGGTACCTGCGACTGCCAAGGCGCCCATTGAGCTTGAGGGAGCGTAACATCGTAGTCAATGAGTGATGTCGAGTCATCGAGTGTTGGCAGCTCTGTATTGGTCAGAGTAGTTATGAAATCGCCGAAAGATTTGCGGATCGAAAGGGATGAGTCTCCCACCAGAGCCCACACAGTCGCAAGCAGTAGCTTTTTGGCCACAAAAGACTCCATTTGCTCATCATCCAAGGGAAACTCGGGATGATTAATATTGTATTGCAAGATGTGGCGGCAGGTCTTGACGAGTAACGAAAAGAAACTGTCGAGCACCCGTGCAGCCGTAAACTCCATGATGTGCTTGTAGACTGCAGCTTGATCGAGAGCCTTCAGCAGGAAGTCGTTGCGATCGATGAGTGCTCGGAGAATCTCAACGATGCGGACCTGAGTATCGTGGACCTTAGCAGGAGCGTTCCCAGCCCCAACGTCTTCGTCAATATCATCGAAGCTTCTGCTGGCCATTGCTTTCAGCTGATGGTCAATTATGAGCGATGGGGTGACAGTGTCATCACTGAACCAAACCATACCGCAGCGGCTGACAGTGGCCAAGGTGGCGTACTTCAAGCTCTCGACCTCGAACATGATCCGAACATTCGAGGGAAGATTCAGGCGTTCGCCGTTGGGCAGCGTAAGTAATTTGTTGTCATCGAGCACGCTGTTCAGGTTCTCAACCCACACAGGATCGACATCGCCATCGAAAACGATCCAATGCCTCTTCGAGTCTTCACCACGAAGGTTATCGACAATCTTACGAAGGGTTGCAGTGAACAGCCCGTCGGTCCACTCACGAGTAGTATTGTCGAGACTGCCGTACAAGATCTCTTTAGACATGACCTTGGGATCAATGACGTGGTGCACACCTTCGATGCCGTCGACCTTTTGCAAGGCCTGTTGAAGGACGCGCCAGATGGCTGTCTTGCCTGACGCTGATTGTCCGACCATCATGACACCATGGTGAATATTTTGGATCTGGTACAGCTGGATAATCTTCGTCATCCAAGCATCGGTTGGGGTGAGATTACGCTCCATCATGACGTCTTCAATGGCAGTCTTCAGCTTGGTCAGGTCGGCTGGGACATACTCGACGCCTGGGAAATCTGTGGCCTGTACCTCGACGAGCCGCTCAACATCCGACTGAATAAGCTTCGGAGACACAGTCTCTCTAATACTCTGGACAATTATCTGGGGTTCGCTAATGTCGAGTGTAGCTTCGCCTGCGGCGCTGGCTTGGACGTGCATTCTCTTCAGACCACCAGAGCTGACCAGCACGCTCTTCAGCGCTCGAAGGCCAAAATCGTAATGTGGCTGCTTTGACAGCATCTTCGCGCAGTGGTCGAAGAATGGGACGACTTGTCTTGAGACTTCCTTGGCTTGCTTGAAACCTTGGGCGAACAACATAACTTCAGCAATCAATTCTTTGTCGGGCTTCGACATAGCAACACTTCTGAACAATTTCTTGAGATTGTCAGGCAGATTCGAGCGTCCGGCATAGCCAGGATTCATGGTGATGAAGAGTCCAGAGTTCTGGTTGACCCTGAAGCGCCGGCCAACCAGCTCGATTTGCGCCTTCTGTTCGTTGGTGCTGTTACGAAGACCAATTTGAATGTTCTGGATCTGTTGAGACACAGCAGACAGAATGCGCTCTTCCAAACGATTGAACTCATCGAAGCAGCCCCAGGCGCCGACTTGGCAGATACCCAAGAAGATACGACCCATCGCTTGGAAGTCAAAAGTGTCGTCACAGCAGAAGACGAGGGTAAAGCGCCCGAGTTGTAGACCAAGGGCTTTGACGGATTCAGTCTTGCCAGTACCTGCTGGCCCATACGGCGAACCACCTAACCGCTGGCACATGGCTTGTGTCAAAGTCAGGAAGCATCGGTCTGTAAGCGGCGTTCGTACGAGACGATCAGGAACTCCGAGGTATTCCCAGCCATAATTCAGGCGTGCATTGGCCATCTCAATGGCAAGGCGATCAAGCAGCTCTGCCTCTGGGTTGTATACATAGCGCATGCACAAGATCCAGAGATAGTGGCCGGGTGTATTTGCTTCGACTTGAACGAGCTTCCCAATCATGTCTCGTTGGTGGACTGCTTCAGTAATGAAGTGCTCACATTTTCGCCGAGTAAGGGCAGGAAGATCTTGCAGCACGCTCTCTGCAAGCATTTCGAGAATTCGAATCTCGGCGTCATAGAGCTTCGATAGACCCTGACCGGCATCCTCCAAGCAACCCTGCACGAGTTTCGTCCAGACCACTTGCGCGCCCAAAATGGCAATCTGGGCAGGGAATTTGGTCAAGTACTCCAAAAACTGCGACACATTGAGCTCTGACGACTGGAAGATGGGCTCAAACTCAAGGACTGCCTCAGCTAATAACTCGCCGAGTGTGGACTTGACGCTGTTGTCGAGAGCGGTGAGCCAGTCATTGATCTTGGGCAGCTTGAGCAATGACACTTCCTTCTTGAGCGGGACGACTTCCCCCTCTTTTGAACTGATGGCAGTGATCACATTATCATCCGTGACCTCCACACCAGAGATGCCCGCGAACATTTTCTTGAAGTGCTTCGCGACACGAGTTGTCTCATTGCTATTACCGATAATTTCGAGCAGATCCTCATCACCCACGAAGTAGAATCTAGGAAATTGCACTCTCTCTCGCTCGAGGTATTCTCCAAGAGCTTTTTGAATCTTGCTCAAAAGATCGGCTAAGCGCTCAAGAGACTTGAGGATTCCGGCGATGCCGAGCACGTCCATAACGAAAGGAGACTTGGCAACTTTCTTCATGATCGTTGTGAACTCGGTATTGATGTTTGAGAAGCGGCTGGACTCGGTCGGCAGTAGATGCTGGATTTCCTGATTGCCGATGAAGACACCCTCGAGGTAGACCCATTGGCGCTGGACGTCAATCCAGATGTCGAAAAGAACATGGACGCGATTGAGCTTGTCTTCCCACGACGACGCCTCTTCCTCAAATTCTTTGTAGTAAGGCGAATGACGCATGGCTTGTAGCGAGTTCAGGTTCTCACTGCACTTGGTGAAGAGGTCATCCCAGCCACGAATGAGGCGAGTCTTGTTCTGATACATGACCAGATCCAAAGAGTAGTTTTGCCATGTATCGCGGACTTGCTTCACGAATTCTTCCAGTGCAAGCTCGCCCTGTGCTTGGAGAATAATGTCCTTGATCGTAGCTTCACTTGTGACAAGTTGGAGGTCCCACACATCGCCGAGAGTCATGGAGACTTCGGAATACCGCTTGCTTGGTCTAACAGCCTTGAAGATTCTCACCCAATGACGCTCTCTGATAGCATCAGACTTCAAGTCATTGAGAAGCGAGTTGGCCTTAATGAGTTGGCGAAGGACATTCTGAACATGCTCAAACGCCGCATATTGACGCATGCGACTCGGCATCTCCTTTGCCATTTTGACAAGACCTTCGAGTGACTGCCTTATCTTTCTGGGCTGAATGCTGGTCCACAAGGTCTCCCGAAGGTCGTTGATACTCTGCCATATGGTCGACAAAGCAGACCAGACAGACATGAAGTCGTGCACTTCTTCTAGAGTAGCAGCCAGACTCTCGTCCTTGCTGAATGCGAGGCCGAGGGCTTCCTTGGCACGCGAGACAGTATCGAGATCAGATTGTAGCTTCTCGAGCTTGGTCTGGAAGGTACGGAGGAGTGCAGAGGCCTCGTCAGGCGCTATCGTGCCTGAGACAGGCTTCTCTTCTTGCCATTGTGAGATCGTTTCCCGGACACGGTCACTGATGACGGAATCCTCTGCAGCAATCTTGGCTCGTAGAGCATCGGTTTGCTCCTCGACCAGCTTGCTCTTGCGGTTGAGGATTTCCTCAAAAGCATTCCACTCGTCACTTACCTGGTTCGCGGAAAGCCAATCGTTTGGGAAGTTGTATCGTTGGCGTGACAGAGTAGTCTGACCTTGGCGGAACACTTCAACTTCAGGCTCCCAGAGGCTGGCATTCCTCTTGCATTGCTGAACAACAGTTATGAAGGCCACAGCCTGTGCAGTGGATGTAGTCTCCAGCGAGTGGTTCTCCAGATCGGCGCGACACCGCTTGAGATCGGTGAAAAGTTCGCTCATCCGGCCACCCAGGAGATTGCCGAATTTCATGGTCACCTCGTATTGCCACTGGTCATACTTCTGCGTGATTTTCGACTGTATTTGTTTATAGTTGAAGCTGACGTTTCCAAAGTCCTTTTGGTCGCCAGAGGTATCGAAAGTCGAACGCGCTTCTCGAATCTCTTGAAGGAGCTGGTGCCACTGAGTGAGGTCTTCGCCAAGTGCTTCGGTTATGTGGTCGGATCGCAGATCCCACAGCGATTGGTATCGATACCACTCTTCGAGGTATCCAGCCATATCACCGAGTTTCCCATCAATAGCATCGAAGGCTTTCTGGAGTGAAGCTACACTTCCCTGGACAAGGTCGGCGAAAGTAGCGTCCGCTTGCACGAGACTAGCTGCAGCTGACATCTGGTAACGAGACGATTTGATTAAGCGCAGATGGCACAGCACATCGAGATACTGCTCCAGATCGGACAGCCAGGAAGCCCTCACGAAGTTCAGTGGAGGCTCGATGAAAATGGTCTGGTTGTTCATCTGGATGCCGATTTCAATGTGCGGGAAACCAACATGGTACACGTTGTTTTCGGGTGATTGAAGCTCAAAGGTATCGTTCTGGGAGGCGTTCGAGAATGACTTCGTCCAGTAATCGAGAGCGGCGTTCAAGCGCTCTTGTAGTATGAGGCGCAACTCCAAATTGAGCTTCTGAACCCAAGAGTCTAGATTTGCATAGTTTTCCAAGTTCAGTTTATCGACCCCGTTCTGAATAGCATCGACCTGAGTCTCGAAGGCTTTGAGGCTATAGTCGCAGGTCTTCATCTCATTGAGAGCAAGCGTGATGTTGTTTGAGATTTCCTGCAGGGTCCAGGTCTTGCTCTGCAACACGGCAACGGCTGCAGATAGGTCTCGCACATATTGGACGTGCTTGCTGTCCGAGCGCACAACAGCTGCGGAACCGGCATCGCCAATCGACTTCTGCGCGGGCATGTCGTAGATGTGGACGAAAGACTCCCATCGGAGAGGAATGCCCCTGCTGAACAACATCTGCACATCCTTTTCATACCCTGTAAGAAGTTGTGAAACATCAGACATGCCTGAGATGGTTCTCGTAATGGAAATATAAGCAGTGACGCTCTCCATTAAGCTCAATGCGAAAGGATACACACGTTGAGCTTCCTTTGAGACGTTCGAGATGGCGTGTGGGATTTGAAAGTTGAGCCAGGTCAGGTTTCGTACCTCCTTGAACAATGAGATAACGTGGTTGTCGAAATTGACACCGAGCTCCAGAGCTCCAGACGCGCCACGGGCACGTGCGATACTGAACAATCTGCCAGAAATTTGCAAGTTGCGTCTCTGAACATCGGCGAGCCAAGCCTCGTAGATGGGACGAGTGGTGAGTTTCTTACGGAACATGTCACTCTCGGCCGCAAGCTTTTCTCCATCGGTGTGTAGCGTCCAGTCCTGCCCAAGAACTGCTTCGACCTTTTTCATGTAGCTGTTGAGCTGAGCTTCGATCTGCCGTACCCATAGAATCGATCCGGCTACGGGAGGAATGTCGCGCAGCTGAGCCATCATTTGGGTTTCGGAACCTCCATACTGTCCCTTGTATCGTTCGTGGAGAGCAGCAATGTCGTTTTTGACATTGTCCAGAAGTTGAGTCTGATACTCGCCAATGGCACCACGGACTTTTGGTCGAACTAAAAGAGCGTTGAACTTGGCGAAGACGCGGAACATCTCGTTAGCGGTTTTTGCGGTGGCTAGACGATCACGAAGGCGCGCGATGATAGAGTTCTCAACGCGCGAGGTCCGCTCGGTGTACTGCAGCTCTGCCTGAACCCAGATCTCGGTCCCTGTCTCGGATGTGTCAAGGACTTCGACGTCGCGAATGGCATTGTAGGCATCGGCAACTTCTTGAACAGCATCAACGTCGCCGATCTCCTCCAGGATTGCGACACCATCCGAACTGCTAGGTCTCGACAAAGATTCCGTAGCTGATTTTGGCCCAAGTACCGTGGTGATGGTTCGCGCCAACTGCTCATGATTCCTCCGGAAAGTGCGAACATACTTCAAGCGTTCCTGCGTCTGAAGGTGACGAGGCGTAATCTTGATAGGCACGAATTCAGTGTTGCGCTTGCGGATGAGTTCACGCGCGACCGTGGTAAACTCTCTGACTGCATCGTCCCAAGTAGTCCAGATTGCATCAGCCAATCGCACCACTTCCATGAAAGCCTCATAATTGAGAGATAATAGGGGCTTCCCACGGAGGACGCGGTGTATTTGCGTGTTGAGATCTTCTGAGATGCCCTCGACCAACTTCAACGCGCGCTTGACGGGATAGTTCGCACTAACCCGCAGTTTCTTGTTGATGTGGGAGAAGATCTGGCCCAGAGCCTCCTGGATCTTTGCAAGGGTCGTGGCTGACGACAGCTCATCCAATGGAAAGTCGCGCATGAGAACATTGTAGTTGTGCACAGTTGCCTGTGCAGTGGCCAAATTGGTGTCATCCTTGAGCGAGATTCCAGCCTGGAAACGTTTGCCGTTATTGAGAATGTCCAGAGTCAGTACTACACCCGGACTCTGGAGCGACTTCTCCACGCGACTCAATGCCGATTCGAGGGACAGCCAGAAGTTGATTTCCTGCGCAGCAGAACCGCATTCTGAGTCCTTGACCAGTTTCGTCATGCCCTGTATTGATTTGACCCAACTGTTCACCTGGCTCTGCACACTATTGAGGACTTTTGAATCATCGAGAACGTTGTTGGGGATCATCGAAAGGGATGGAATCTTGCCTTCGGCCTCCGCCCGCTGGAGGGCATCGGCTACGATGGGATGCATACTCAGATTGACCATCGGAATGTCGGTGTTCTGTTGGAGGTGAAGTAGGCTCATTTCCAGCTCGCCGAGTCGTCTTCTCGCACCAGGAATACCAGACTTGGCTTCAGAGTCGTACCATGTTCTGCCGGCGGAACTCTGACTTCTTGTGTAGGCCTCGAAATAAGGCACAAGGGCATTGTGCAGGATGGAGTGCATGACCTCGAAAGGGGACGCACCCTTGATATCGCTGTTGCCATCCTCGTCGGCCACTATTGAGCTGGGCAGATTGATCATATGTATTTGTTCCGCGATCGGCCTGGAGCCATCGAGCTGGGAGGGCCGCTTCAGGAAGGCAAGGGAAGCGACGGTTGATCGTGACGATGAGAACTCGGAAGAGAGTGTGTAGACATGTTCTATCCCTATATCAACCAGATTAGTGGAATTCCGTGTCAGAAGTGAAAGCAGATAGACTTACGGGGCGATTCGTCGTGGCCGTTGACCATTTCATCTCGCCGATCTTTCTGCGCATAGAGGGCAACCTGTGAGTCGGCAGCGAATTGGGACACCTTCTCCAAAGCCTCTGCACGCTTGCTATCGGATAGCAGACTGCCAACAGCCTCCAGCTCTTTGCGAGCTGCTCCAAGAGCAGTTTCGATTAGATTGGCGATGTGCTCGAGAACCGCTATGGGGTCAGCGGCCTCGATGGTGGGAGTAACCCCGTTGCCATTGGGGGCAGAGGGGCTAAGGACTTCCATTATCGATTCATTTGATAGAGAGTTGATACCACTGCCTTGATGAAACCTCCAGAAGTGTCAGAACGCCAGCGCAATGCAGTGGAATGGGGTTCTGTAGAAGGAGAAAGTGGGTTGTTGATGGGATGAACGCAGGTGACGGCCAACTTTCCTCGAGGCCTCGGGGGGACGCGATGCGCGCTCTCACTGACTGGTAACTTTCGGGTGGAGTCGCGATTGCCAAGCCACCAAAACCTCCGACGAGTGCAGGGGTGAAGGTCAGCCAATCAGGGCCTGGCTGTCATCTGGGAGGTGAATGGGTTCGACACAACATTACTTTTGAATCTTATCATTTACCATAATATCATCGGGGGTATCTAATAGTACATCTGGACGTATAAGTCGTCAACTATTCGAAAAAATTCTCTTCTCCATAAGCGTCGTCATACCCGAACGGACGATCTACTTCGTCATTCTCGTTCCATGGTTCCGTAGACCCAAGTGTAGGCTTCTGCTTGAGACCAGCTTCGTGGTTCCCAGCGTAGTTGTTGTCCTCATCGACTTCTCCTTCTTGACTGTGAAGCGGGACCTTCAGGTATTGGACTGATGGATCGTTTCCACCATCGTTACCATCGATCTCCAGAAAGAGGTTGTCAAGCACCATATAGTAGTGCTGACACGTCCATCTCAGCTGCACGAAGTCGTTCAGGTGACAGATATAGCCAATTGCACCGGCGAAATGGCGAACATATCCGTAGGACAGTTCGTTCGAGTCCATGCCATTGGTCTCGGCCCCGTCGATGAAGGACTGCTTAAAGTCGGCGTGGGGGTTTCTCTCTGGGCCAACGATCCCACTCCTGGCCTTGGGTCAGGCTATCTGCCTGTCGAAGACGTGTCATGCACAGCACACAGTCAGCGCGCTGTACAGAGCCACCATGATTACCGTGCAACGCCGACGTTATGCCGTGGTTTCGAGTCCTGCGTCATTTGGCGCACTGCTTCGGCGTAGTCCTCGAGGTCTGAAGAACCGCCGGTCGACCTTTGCGCGCCCCAGCTATCCCGATCATGAAGGATATGCGCCTCGCTGGCGCCTCTTCGGGGCGATTCCTCGATCTGGTTCAGCGGATCGACGGCATTCTCCTCGAAATCTCTGTCTCGAGATCCACTCCGGGCGACATATTTCTCGTTGCTGGTCGGTTTCGCACCTGGGTGCTGTGGAGTTTTCCACTGCGAGTGAATGTAGTCTCCATCCGGGGACGGCATTTGTGGTAGGTCGGTGATTGGGATAGCGTTGCCGCCCTTAGGGGGCTCCCCCCAGTTATTGGCATTGTTGACGTGTTCTCGATGGCTCTTGGAGCGTGCGTCATCTGGATCGGCAGCAAAACTCCCGAGTCTGCTGATCTTGAAAGCTCGTAGACGATCCAGAGCGGTCTTGAAGTCGTCCAAGACCACCGAGTCGGTCAGACACTTGAATACGAACGACAGCTTCCAGAATGGATTGATTCCCACGGGAAGCGCATTTGACAGAACTGATGTGACTGACAGGATATCCAGAATAATGAATATAATGCTAAGAAGCATAGCGCCTAGCATAACGGCGAAGCGTGGCGAAATGCGGACAATCTGGGTAATCGAGAGATCGTATTTGCTTTTGATGTTGTACATCAAGATGAAAGCAGCTATCACCCACCAAGGGTCACTTTCAGGCCATTAGCAACTGAGTTCGAATGTGACATCGGCTAATACTTACCGACAGAGAGCCTCCCACGGTCTGGTCTTGAGGAAGACCTTGTTGACATTGTGGAAGAAGGCAAAATTTGCATAAATCTCAACGATCCAGTAGGGGAAGCTGAGGATAACGGTGCCGATGAAGATGCGGCTCCATGTCTTGGAGAGAAAGGGTCGCAGTTTCATCCAAGCAATGACATTGTGCAGACACCAGGAAGCATTGAGCGGAATGGCAGCGACGGAGAGCCACCAGGCATAGATGGGCGGATTGAACAGAATGAAGAAGCCTTGCCAGTAACCCATCACCAGCTAGAAGATAGTCAGCATTGCTGTGCGAATATCGTCTGGGGAATGTTGGACTTGCCTCGAGCAAGATGAGTTTGTGGAGCAGCACGCCTCGACGCATATTGGCCAAAGTGATGCAGCTCATTATTATGAGAGATCCAACCATGTAGCCCTGCGCCCATGCCTCGAGCACCAAGCCATCTGGATCTGTGGGCTTCTCAATCTTGCTATCGCGTGGTGCGAGGGTGTGAAAGGCATTGTGGAGGTCTGGAAGTGGGCTCATTGTGTCTGCGCACAGTCCCGGCCGGACTCGCTTTTCGGGGGATGCGCTCGTTACGCCCGTTACTCGTAAAAGGCTCGTCTTCAGTGCGGCTCGGCTGGTCGTGTGCGCCGTCGTCAGCGTCGACGTCGCGCGCGAGTCATACTTCCAGCTATACCGACCGTTGGAATTTTTCTCGACACGCAGAAGGAAGGAGGAGGGAGACGGTGCCGAAGTCCCAGGTGCAGTGGTGGCGTGCGCAAGATGGAGCTGTCACCTTTTTCAGCGGGGGGGGAGACCAAACCGAGTCGCATTTGACGGCCCGCGTGGTCGGGGCTGGTCGCCGAGGGGCTATCCCCCAGGATCTCAGACACGCTCCCTGGCGTGTGCCGCTTGTGCAAAGCTTGAATGCCCGATTCTTGGACGCGGTTCGTCCGTGCACGAGACCTCGCCCCGACTATGTTTATATCAGGGGCCATTCATTACGTGTGCGAAACTGGGGGTTTACAGCAGGGGCTTCAGTCACACTCAGGTTTCCAGTCATCAACAAAAGGCCTCGTTGCGAACAGCTCTGCACCTCTGTGTCGTCGGCAGAGGCCGGTCAGCATCACACTGGTGCGACGACTCGGTATTCATCTTCGATCTGCAGGAGGAGCTTTTGTGACAGAACGCGCAAGCGGACCTATACCCTGAAAGGGTTCCATTATTGGTGTCAGTAGACGCTAGCGAGGTCGAGGTTCGACCCCTCAAGCCGTTTGACCACGGTCGCCCGTTGGCTCAACCTGCCTCGCTTCGGCTCTTCTGACATGGCTTAAACCATGAGAGGTCGTGGTCGGGACCTGCACAAAAGTCCACGCGAGACCAATCTATCGTACCTGCTAATACCTTCTACGCACGAATCTGTTCTTGCTGACAATTGCCCAGCATTATCGCCATTTTGGGACTGCTCCCCGAGGCCGTGGAATATTATTGTAATCACCGCTGGTAAACGACTCCTGGCCAGGCTGGCTCCAGATCAGAGTGACTGGCTTTGTGCGCAAAGCCATGCATGACGCAAATGCGCGCAGTACAGACATCGTAGGTTGCATTGGGCTTGCAACGGCACAGTCGGCTTCACAATTCTGCCCTGACCATACACTTCTCAATGATGGCGCTGCGAGCCTATGCGGTCAGCACCTCGTGTCCTGCAAGTCTCTCTTCAATTATGCTTGTGCGACCGCGTGACCTACATGCCACTCCGGTGCCCCATCGGTCGCAGAACACACCGGCGGACATCATCATTACTTCAATATCCCAATAAAAATCACCTCCGCATTTCCGTCCCCGACGAAAGCGCCCACTTCCCGTAGAGGCGGGGCTTCTGATCTCTTCTCGGTGTACCTGGTCGTGACGTGAGCCCGAAGTTGTTCCCATTGGATCAGGGGTGTTGCAGATGGTTCTGAGCTGTTGTGCCCCTCGGACTAATTGCTGTTCGACGCACAACGGTGTAGGTCTCATACTTCGTGTGTCCGTCCTCTCAGCCCAACTCCTTTGTTGCCTGCATTCCCGCCAGAACACCTGCGCCTATGATGCCGCCGTCTCGCGCTTCCCGCAGGAAGACACTTTTACCGCCATCTTGCGGTCCAGCCCGCATAACAAGCCGGTCGATGAATCGCTGGCACTGTTCTTTGAAGTTGGGGTAGTGCTGAATGATGCCGCCGGTGTAAGCGATGACAATCTCTTCCGGACCAGCTTTCCACGCGCTCACTCCAGGAGCCGGCGATAGACCATCGCGCATATTACGGTCAAGTTTTGGGAGACCCTTGCCCTTTGAAGTGGGAGATGGCGGCTTGCTATCACTTTCCATGACTACGTCCTCGGATGTTTTGGGCTTGGGCTCCAGCAGAGCAATCTCACCGGTTGCATTCAATAGTCCGACAGTACTGGCAGCAATGAGACCAGCTGATCTGACCTGGACAAGGTGCGCAATCTTCCGCAACGCTCCAGCAGAATGAGGTGACCAGGCCCAGTTGGATGACTCAGGGGGTGGTATTCGCCGCTTGAGCTCGCCTGCCAGTTCGGCATCTGTTCTTGCGCGAGCGACGACAGCACTCACAAAGGTCGTCGTGAAGCTGTAGCTATGAACAATTGTCGCCGGCAGTTGCGCCGAGTCAAGCGGCGGTTTGTGGGCTCTGGTCATATAGTCATGAAAGACTATTCTGACGAGCTCACCAATATATCGACCTCCTGTCATATATTCGAGGGGCTGAAATCCGGGGCGAGCACATGCTGCATCTAATTGACGGTCCCACTCGGTTGTAATGGGCTTGAGGGGACCACAAGCACCGGAGATGGTCATTTCGGTATTGACAACAGTTTGGGTTGCCTCAGGCGCACCTTTCTTGACATGGGCGACTTTCTCGGCACTCAGGTCCTCGAACTTCATGGGAATTGTTGCGTTGCATCCAGTCCCGACAATAATACCGGCAGCCACTCGAGAGTTTGGCAGGGACTTGACGCTGTAGGCCAACGAAGCCAGTGTAGCGATCGTGTCGTTAGTAATAGCGGCAATCTTCAGACGTGGCAAGGGACCGAGTCTCCGGCGCTTTGATCGGGGCTCTGAAGTGGTAGGGGATTGCCGGCGTGTGTGTCGAGCATAGCCTTGTAACAGTGTCGAGCCAAGATCGAGATCTGAGTCGAGGGTAAAGCCTTTGCCCATGGGCAGGAGAGTGGCAGTAGCCAGATTGTCCTGCCTGAGAAGCGTTAGTGAGTCCAAAATCAATGAGCTTGAGGCACGTACATCATTGGGAAGCTGAAGGTGATACCCATGTCGAGCTCCACCGGAGCTTCCACTCGAGCCGCATCGGCACTCAGACGGTCGCCAACCACCTCCGCTATGCAATCACCAATCCAGGCAAAGAGGTCTTCAGTTTTATCGATTTTCAAATGCTCTCCGATAGGCCAGGCCTTTTCGAGTGTACGTCTTACCCGGGGTCGCTGGGCATTGCGGATGGTCTCACGTGACCGCTCCTCACCATTGGCGGTGGCTCCCCGATCATCGGCGTCACCTAGCAATTCAATGAAGGCAACACGCAAGTTGGTACCACCAACATCGATTGCCAGAAATTGACCGGTCTCATTGCCCGTTGGGAGCTTGGTCACAGGGGTTGGCAAGAATTGCTCGTCGGAGGTCAGGGCTAATTCCTTGTAGACCTTGGAGAACTCGTATGCTAGGGTGTGCACCGTGGTATCGTCAATACGCAGTGGCTGCACGAAAGCATCGAGCTCCTGTTCATAGTCGTCTGGCGGAGGAGTGCCATTGCTGACAGAGGGGACTGAAGCCTTCTCGGACATGACTCCCGGACTAGGCCTCACGTGCCCCAGATCGTCGGTGGACTACCAGGGCCGCGGTGAGACAGGTGAGGAAGAGACGTAAGACGTTGCTTGCACAATGTAGCGACCTGGCCACGAACCACGGGATCCTTGATCTAGGATCTCAGCTTGTTGGGGCAGGGCCACAAGATGAATGTTTGGAGGGTCGAGCTGCAGCGATGGATACTACGTTGGCACAAAAAGGCGGCCGGATGTAACGTGTGCTGGTCCAGTGGTGTGAAAAGGCAGATACGTGAGCAGCCAGCCCATCACTGCCTAAAACCCGCCCTCCGGTTATCGCTGACCAGTGACCCGCCAAAGGTTGTTGGTTTTGGCTCAGGCTCCGGCTGGGGTTCTCAGCAGACCCGCACGCCTGCCACATGGCCAGGCCGGCCCCCACAAGAGTCTTTCTGCTCGCCTAGTGACAGATCCAGCCCAGGGTCTAGGCGATAGTTTCTGGGCAACAGTGACCGTTAGTGGTTTCGAAAGCGGAAGCGCTCAACATGGTCAGGTCGCTATCAGGGCGTGCCAGTAATTGACAGACCAATATTACTACGCACAGAGAGCGAGCCCGCTCAAATCCAGTGGTGGAGAGAAGAAGTCGGAAGGCCTTGTAACACGGAGTGCAGTATGCAGCCTAGGGACTCCCCGCGTGCCGGCAAAACCCTGTCTGAAACGCGTAGGGCTCAAGCAGGAGCCAACAGCCGGGTTCTACACGCAAGTGGCCTGCAGCTGTGCACTCTTTCCTGCTCTGAATCGTTTCAATAACCAGAGGGATCTACAGGAGCAAGCATACTACAGCAGAGTCTAAGCTCAACCCAGCGCATGTGTGTTGACTGCCTGGACGTCAGGGGATGGTGCTCCAGTGAGAGAAAGCGCCGGCCCGGGAAGGCACTTGAAGCCTGTGGATCTGCTCCGTGGGGGTTGCCTGACGACGGCGTGACTGCGTGCCAAGCGCCATCGCGCTCCTGTCACTGCAGGCCATCGTCATGCCTCTCTACTCGCCTAGTGTACTTCATCCGTCTGAAAATTATCAATTATCTTACGAAATATTCCCGCCGGGATGTCTTCAACCGATGAGAAGGTCCATCTCTATTCAGACGGACCGCATGTCGAAACGCAGAGCCCTCCGCGCAATCCTTCTCTGCGACGACGTCTCCTCCACCGTCCGATCCCTGCCATCTTGTTCCTGGCTGCACTATGGATATGGTTCCGCGCCGTCTTTGTCCATAGGCACCACTACTGCCCGGACAAAGATCTCGGATCTCCATCGAGTTCATGGCTGGCTCAAGACAACGTCGAACTCGTTCCGCTCGAGGCTCATATAATGTCGAAGTGCCCCGACGCGAGAGACTGTTTGCAAATGCTGGTCCTCCCTACCATGGCCAATGTGAGCAGCAAAGTCAACTTCACGCTCTCGTATATCGGCACCGTGGATCCCAAATCTGACGAGGTATCCTGCATGCATGGTCCGGGGGAGTGCTTGGGAAATATTATACAACTATGTGCTATCAAGGTCTATCCCGATCCCAAGCAGAACCTAGGATTTGCAAACTGCATGACGTCCGACTACCAGGATATCCCTGAGCGCGATTTGGTGGAAGAGTGCGCGATGGAGTACGGGATTGACTTCGACCAACTGAACGCTTGCATCAGCGACGAAGGCGAGGGTATCGACCTCCTCAGGGCCAGCGTCGAACGAAGCCAGCATCTAGGTGTCCGGAAGAGCTGCACTGTCAGGCTTGATGACAAGATTCGTTGCATTCGAGACGGTGGGGAGTGGTATGATTGCGATGGCGGAAGCGAGGTGGGGGACCTGGTCGCCGACATCGAGAAGCTGTACTCTGAATACAACTGAGCTAGCGTGTGGAGGTGGTGTATTAGGACCGATAGATACCCCGGCGTTCGAAAAGCAAGCGGCTTCGTTTTGATATTCCCTTCCGCAGCGTCAGATGTACCTGAACATGTTGTCACGTACGCCCCGCTTCATAGCGACAGGCTTGCCATTTTCAAGTTCCAAGCCCGCCTCTCCACCGTCGCCTGCTAAACCTTCCATCGCCCGTCGCATATCTTCGTCCAGCTGGGAAGAGGTTTTGCCCACCGGTTTCTGTTTGTCATTGCTGTTCAATGCCTCCTGCTCGGCCTTCTTCTCACTAGCGCCTTCGCCTGACCCTTTGCCCGTTGTCGACTTGCTCTCAGATGACCGGTGGCGCACGCGAATAACTTTCGGAATAGAGCGCGGAGCCCGTAGTGGTAGTCTAAGCATGCTAGCAGTTTGTCTCAAACAACCACCAGGTGTGGGAGTCGCGAGGTAGGCATTTCAACAGCTCAAGTGAAGCCAGCGTCACAGGCTCATTAAGTCATACGTGGTCGGCTTTCTGTCCCGCCGCAAGGATTCTTGACACTGTTGGTAGGTTCCACTACCTGTTCCGGTGATTGCGGCAGCATATCTCCGGACGTTCGCCTGCGCCACTTCGTGTCCCGCAATGACTCCCAGGCCGTTCTTTGAAGTCATATATTCCTCATTCTACCATCGACATTGTGTCCTCCTATTCCCACGCCGGTCACATCTTCACGGCGCTCCCTGCGGTGTTCTTGTAGGGCACTGTAATCGTAAAGCCTTCCAGGGCGACTTGCCTCCGGCAACATGGCGGCCGCTACCCAACAGCAGCAATACTATGAACTCTACAGAGGAAGCAGGTAGGTCTCACGCAGTCGCGCTTCTGGCACATGCGCGTCTTCCGCAAGCACGAATTGACAGAGTATCTCGTTAGCGTCGGCGAAGCTCTCATCGATGCGATCGACGAACTTATCAACCAAGGGCGCATTGAGCCCCAGCTCGCCATGAAGATCCTTTCGAATTTCGATAGGGCGATCGCTGAGAATCTGGCAGCCAACGTCAAGAGTAGACTCAACTTCAAAGTATGCGCTGAGCATGTCAGCCTCGAATTGTCCGTACTGACTCGTTGTTAGGGCCACCTCGAGACCTACCGCTTCTGCGACGATGTCTGGACATTCCTTGTCAAAGACGTCAAGTTCAAGTCTGAAGGTGGCAACGAATTCACGGCTGATAAGGTCAAGATTGTATCGTGCAATTCTAAGAAACCGGGCGAGCAGTGATTTGTTCACAAGGTGAGACGGCGTTGATGGTGTATGGCATTCGGGCAGTCAGCTGTAAATCAGCGTGCATTGCATGGCGCCTGGGGATTTACAGGTTCGAGCATTTCCGTGACAGTACATTCACGAAGACGGCGACTGGGACGGTCATTCTACCTCTATCAATGACCACGACATTGCGGTTAGCGTCGTTGGCGAGCGATGACAGTTCATCAGCTCATTCAGAGCAGCAGCGGTGCGGTGCAAGGCAAACTACCTTTTCATGTGCTTCTAATACAATGCTTTTGATGTGTTGCTACACAGCAGATGGCGCAACGAGTGCTAGATTCTAGTTGCTCTTGATCGTTACCCAAGTCATTGTAGTCCCCTGACACAATCCCAGAAGCCCACGTCTTCGAATCTGCCATTGTCTGGATATCGCAAATGCCTGTTCCCGCATCGTGAATCTACGCTGTAGAGCGGGCTAGCCGGATAGTAATAGCAAACAAGTGAGAGGGTACAATGCAGGCAGCCAGGTACATCCATTTTCTGACTAAGCCTTTTTTGCGGCTGTAGGCGCTCTTAGCGACCGCTCTTCTGGACACCTGCCTCGTAGTTGCCTGCCACGGCACCTGCTGATCACCAACCGCACCTCACTAGCGACTCACCTATGACACTCATAGAAGCTTGCGTAACTCATCAGGCAGCAATGAGCATACACTACATCTTATTCCTAGACCTCTATAAGCACTTTCCACCCTAACCCCAACGTCTTGCCTCCGCGCGAAGGAGCACTACAATGGCGCGTAAACTACCATGGGCTCGGAATGACGAGAAGCTCGAACCTGTCACTGGTTGCGCGAAGACCCCAGATTCGCATCATACTGGCAGGTCACAGCCGGAAGCAAGCTCAGCCCACAGCAGGCGCCAAACCACGATCACTCCGGGGCGCAAGCGCTCTCGGTCCCGCTCGACATCTCCTCCGCCGGGGCCTCCAACCGTCGAACCAATGCAAGACGGATTCGATGGCGACGACATTTGGATGATAGTTGAGGACGAATTGCAGACAGTCGCACAATCTTTCACAGCACATCTGCATCATCTCGAGTATAAGAGACTAGTGAAGAAGGCAAAAGATGCACCGACTAAAACACTCCCTACAGCAACATCGCCAATGTCAAAGGATGCCAAGAGACGTCTGCAGAGAGACATCTTGCAGACGAAGCAGCAGAAAGCCTTGGAACGTGTTGGCGCTGGTCCAACAGCTACCGTGGCAGAAGAGCAGCTGGACGATCCGTGGCGGGGGACCAGCATCGCCGGACTCATAGCCAGTGGAAGCCAGGAGAAGAGGTCTTTGAAAGGACTCGATCGCCTGCCTAGCTCTACTCGTGCTGCTCGGGGCTTTGGCCGCCCAGAGAATGGTGACCCACCAGGTGATAATCAAGGACAACGGATCAAGAAGCGTATCAGAGGTCAAGACGAGTCTGTGGCCTCCGAGGGCCAAGCAGATATTGGACCATTCGGAGACGCGAACATACGGTCTTCTACAGATACGTCTCGTTTCGTCGCGGCTCGCGAAGACGACTTCTCCCGACAGCCAACGAAAGACACGCGTGCTACATCTAACAGGTCTCTGGCGACCTCGTTCCTGTCCAAACGGAAGAAAGCAAAGAAGGAGCCGTCAAGAGAAGATCGCTTGGCAGAAGTTCCGACGTTTCTTTGATCTAATTAAAAGTATATCCAGCAGACTGCTTTTCACCACGGGGGTTCAGGCTATCCACAACGCTGGGCTGGCTATTTCTTTGAATGGTGGTGGTACATGGGGTTGGCCAGGAAAACTCTTTGCCACTGGGCAACGCTTAGCCATTCCTAAGGGTTCATGTTGACAAAGATCAAACACTGAAATCTCTGAGGTTTGGTGGGAGGTTTCCCGGGTGGCTCGACAAAACAAGAATATCATTCCTAAACGCCATTCAGTCAGTCTACCATTGGATTCCCGAGGAGAAATGGCCATTACCCGTCAGAGTCTTTCCCCAGTATGAGCCCTTCTCGACGAAAATTGGTTGGTTCGCCAATGACAAGTCCTCTGCCCCTCTGCGGGCTGTGCTCCGTCTTTGAGAATCTTCGGCGCAGCCAGCTGCGTCCGGCCCTGATCCTATCCATAATAACGATGATGGGAGCTTTGGAGAAATGTCAACGTCACTCGTTGACAGTTGAGAGCTTCAGTGAATCGTTATGAGAGGCGAGAGAGGTGATGTTCTGAACAGTAGGGAAGCCTCAGCAGGTAGGCGTGACTGAATGAAATCCAGCTCACACAAAGACGAGAAGAATCGAAGATTCAAATAGCTGCTGCCCAGTGGCAGGAAACGGAGCAACTGCAGCAGCGAAGAGTCATTCCATGACACGGCAGGAGTAGACGAGGTTGGAAAAGGCGTGGCAGGGTCCGTCTCTTTCTATCATTCACTCGAAATGCAGATCATCAACGTCAGGACTCGCCCTTCTTCTCAGGCAACCGCAACACGCGCCCGTGAGATTAAACGGTCCACCCAGCCCATTGTCTGCATGCGGGCCGCCACAAAGGTTGTGGCCGGAAAAATAAAGTGGGAAAAGAAAGCGCCTGGAATGTCGTGTGTCTTGGGAGGGGGCGTGGTCCCCCGGCAAATGCCTCGAAATTCATCGACGCTGAACCGGACTTCAGATAGGCAGGGCTGCTCGCATGCATTCACAATACCACAGCGACCAACGTGCAGATACGAGAATCGGAAATATTGTGTTTCCACATCCCTGGAACGCGCTTTGTTGAGACGCGGCCGTGGGCGAAGGGATTTTGTCGGCGGCAGGTTGCACAGACGACGCCCAAACTTTCGAAACCCGGCCGTGCGCATCGAAGAGTACAAGAGACCCGCTTTGTGTGCTGCCAGTGGACAAAGATCGGCGACTGTGGACAACGGACCGCGTTCCCCTTGTGCTCCTCCTTGCTGCGGCAACTGGGGGCTTTTGATCTGCTTCGACCCGCATTCCGACCGCAGGGGTTCACGTCAAAAAGGGACACAAGGGGCGGGAGAGCGAGAAGATCAGCAAAGACTTTCCAACGTCTTGGGTCGGAGGCTGCTTGAATGTAACATGGATTTTCGACATGTCGCCGTTGGTAAGGCATTCGTGATCGTCGTTGTCTAGAAGTTGTCTGGAGATACGCCGGGGTGACGGAAGCCCGGCAACACACGTCTAGGTACATTCCCCTCGTGATCAGACCGCTCGAGCCATGTCTCGCATGCTGGCCACGTCCACGTTTTCGCCGCAGAATATCTTCTGTAATCGACCCAGCCATCATCTCGCTTCCTTCTAGTGGCATACCAGGAAAGATCTGCCCGCCATTTTCTTTTTCTTGGCACCCTTTATCCGCACTGCTTCTCTCTCTGCCTCTCTCACTCACTCACTTCGGATAATCCTTGACGTGCACGGACCGCATCTTGACAAACTGCTCAAACCCCCAGCGCCCCATCGTGACCCCCTTCCCGCTGTCCTTCCACCCCGTCCACGCCAAGTCCGGGCTGGGATAGTCCGCGCGGTTCACAAACACGGTGCCGGCCTGCACCTCGCGCGCCAGCTCCTCGCCGCGCGGCACGTCCTTGGTCCAGATCGTCGCCGTGAGCCCAAACTGGCTGTCGTTCATGAGCGCGATGGCCTCCTCGTCGCCCGACACCTTCATGACGGGCACCACGGGCCCGAATGTCTCTTCGGTCATGATTGCCATGTCGTGCGTCACGTCCGTCAGCAGCGCGGGAGCCACGTAGTTGCCCCCGGTGGCGGGGAGATTGGTGAACGACTCGTTGGCGGGCGTCTCGTCGCGCGCGCCCGCCGCCTTGGCCTGCGCGATCTGCGTGAGGATGGCGTCCTTGGCGCGCGCGCTCACCACGGGCCCCACGTTCGTGTCGCGCCGACGCGGGTCCCCGACCTTGTAGCCGGCGAGGATCTTCTGGGCTTCCGCGACGAAGGCGTCGTAGACGTGCGCGTGCACGTAGACGCGCTCGATGGCGCAGCACGACTGGCCCGAGTTGAAGACGGCGCCGTCGATGATCTCGTCGGCCGCCCAGGCCGGGTCGGCGTCCGCGCGCACGTAGCTGGGGTCCTTGCCGCCTAGCTCGAGGCCGACGGTGAGGTCGATGCGGTCCGCGGCGATCTTTTGCACGGCGAGGCCGCCGGCGACGCTGCCGGTGAAGGTGACGTGGTTGACGGTCGGTGAGAGGATGAGCGGGGAGAGCTCAGAAGGCGAGCCGCAGTGGAGGTACTGGATCAGATCCTTGGGTAGGCCGCATTCTTCGAAGATGGCTTTCATGTGCTCGGCGATGGTGGGGGTCTGAGGGGAGGGCTTGAGGATGACAGCGTTGCCGGCCAAAATGCAGGGGATGAGTGAGTTGACAAGGATTAGATACGGGTAGTTCCAGGCGAAAATGACCAGCACGACACCTATGGGCAGGCGCTCGATATATCGCTTGAAACCCGTTTCGGCGTCGCCTGGCGTCGGGGCTAGTGCTTCGTCGGATATGCGTAGCATGTAGTTGGCGCGGAGGAGAGCGGTAGAGATTTCCTTGCCTGTGTAGGCTATAGGACGTCCCATCTGGTCGGTGAGCTCAGCGGCGAGTTCGTCTGTTCGCGCTTCGATCACACTGAGTGCTTTCTTGACGATTTCTTGTCGGGATGCGAGTGTGGGGTGAGTTTTCTGGAAGGATTTGAAGGCAGATTGCGCCCTGGTCCCGAGGGCGAGGACGTCGGATGGGGACAGGCCATGGCGAGTCAAGATAGGTTTGTTGGTCGAGGGAGAGATGGTGTTTATTGTTTCTGTGGCCATTGTGATGGGTTCGATGGGTATGAAACGGCGTTGAAGGGAGGTATGTGTTTGATAAGAATTGCATTCATTGCCCCTCGATCCAATGACGTCGGCTGCCTTGTCTCGTGCGAGGCTGAGCCCCCCGGATTTCCGCTTAGGCGCGTAGCACGCAGAATCGGTCTGTTCTCTCCATGCTTTACTCTGCAGCCCCCCTTGAACGTCACTGCTCCTGCGTCGATTATGTTCCCAACGAGATCCCTTCGTTTTAAGGCTGTGAATGGCGGAAAGCCGGTGCCTTGGAGGGATATGCCTAGCCAGGGGCATCCACGGACGGATCCACAACGCTTGTGAGCAGACCAGCACGTTTTGCTTACAGATACTAGGCTGCGAATGAAGCTTATGCAACAAGTCAAGGATGCTCCCATGCTGCTTTTATACTCGCTGTTGCTCTTCCATACACACAGCAGATCTGACATCACACTACCCTGGCTTTTGCTTACCTGTACACAGCTGAACGTTAGCACTGCTGCACCAGTCGACATGAAGATCACGTCTCCGTGGTTGAACTGTTGATTTATGTAGCCACACGAGAAACTTCCAAATGTGGCCCAGGTATGACGCCACTGCCATGTACCCATACCACATCCGCGTGAACTTTTCTAGACATGGGGTTGTCAGGCACAGGCAAGCCACCCGTCGGTGGAGTGTACAGCGTGGTCCAGTCAGCGCTGGCGCCTCGTTCAACACTACATCCTTGTATTAAGGGTGGACCTCTTCGTACGCCTCATTTATTGTGCTCGGAATAGCAATATTTCACGTTGGTATAGTATTAGGTCAAGTATCTTTCTGGCTCTCTAACAGTAGTTCTCTCATTTAGTTCATATCAGAGTCGCAGGCTGTGCTGGCATCAGCTTTCGAAGAACGTGCTTACTTCTCCGGATGATTCTCTCGTTAAGGTTGCTGAGACTGCGCGAGAAGAGCTTGCTAGCCAGATACCTCAAACAATACGTCACATTTCCACTATCACGCTTGATTCACCTGAGAGCCAACCAAGCCCCCGGTATGTTCAACGAGCAATGGCGCCCCTTGGTTCGTCTGCATCAGTGCACCCGCCATAATGGTTGAAGATGTCCTCCGGGAACTTGTTCAAAGGGCTGGTCTCAGAAAGTCGCCTGCTTTGCGGTACCTGGGCTACCCCTGGGTTGGCCTCTTCTCCTTCTGCATCACCCACATTGGTCGTACCAACAAGCCAGGCTCGATGGCCAAACGACCCTGCTTATACGGCACCAATGTCCGGAATACCTGCAGCCGGAATATGCAGTGTCGGAGCTTCGTTGTGGCCACACGCGTGCATCATCAGCATCACGTCATCCAGCACATCGAGGTCCGGGAGGATTGCATCTGCCCGACAGCTATACGTTTCGCACCAGATCCGAAGCACGTCAAGGGCAGATCTTCTGATGGAATAAACCTCGCAATGCATCAGCACAAAACTAAGAATGGGCCCCAGATCGAGCTCAAACCCGAGACATTCGACAAACGACTCAAGAATCGAAGGACCGCGCTGGTCCAGATCCTGGATGATCCTGTGGCATGTGGCAACCAGATGTCGGAGGCCAGACAGGTGGTGTTGGTCCAATGTGATACCCTCGCAAAAAGGCTCGCTGTGTATTCGGATGGTGGCGATGGTCGATTGGGTGTTGAGATAGAGAGCAGCGAGTCGAGCATGCCCAACGTCGCAATCACACTCCCGTGTTTCACAAGCCAAGTACTGTTCGTAAGCCGCTTTCCACAGTTTGAGATGGTGCTCCAGCTCTTCGACGAACGGCTGTTTCGCAGCTGCATGCAGAATCGAAAGTGATCGTGATAGATCGGAGATGCGCCCGATGAGAATACCGATTTCACGATCTACGTCGTTGAGACAGTGTATCCGGTCGATAGATGTCTTGGGAGAGACGACATACAGGCCAGGGAATTGGGGCGTGTCCAGAGCGACCGCCGTCGAACGCAGTCGATGCAAGATAGGTCTGATGGTATCGCCAATGAGTGGACTGTGTTTGCCCAGGTCTAGATTGGAGTATACCTGGACCGCAGCCGACAGATGATTGGTGGCGGAAAGCGGGTGGCCCAGAATGCTTTCAAAGAACATGAACAAGACCATGGTCAGCAGCACGGTGCCAGTGTCCATGGAATTGCCGTAGTGTATGACCCTGGAGATGGCCTTGGAGTATTCTGCCACGAATGATGGTGTTAGATCATGAACATGACCCACCAATGTCTGCCGACCCGAGACGCACCATAGACGCGGCAGTGCGCTAGATCGGCTCAGAGAGACTCGGTGTCCACTCACCTTCAAGAGCAAGTACACAGGGCCTGTGGACCACCAACCTCTCACCCGTGCTCACATCCTCATGCAGGGCGGCGATGGCTATCACCATGCGCCGCACCGACTCCTCCGCCTGACTGCACTGCAGTACGACACCATCCCAGAAAGAGAGCTCTTTGAAGCTTCGGAGCCTCGCCGTGGTGCGTTCTCTGTAGAAGCCCAGACTTCGCCGCTCGGCTGGATCCAGTCCCGGTGAGAGGTCGACCATGACCATCATTGGGCGCACGACATCGTACCCATCACATATGTACTCGCCATTCCGGCATCGCAGGCATATCGGCTTTGCTTCGTCACACTTCACCCGTCGCGTTTTACATGTTTTGCAGCCGGAACGGACTTATAGGGTCATTAGTCTTTTATGGTACACGGGTGACCGGTGGTTTATAGAGTATACCTTTGCGGGTGAATCTCCTGGTTCTAGGCATGCGTGCTATGGGCCGTGGCTGCGTGAGGTTTAGCTGGTGGCACAACGATGACCTTTTAATCTAGTCCGCAAGAAGATGACAGGTTAGTGACCACCTCTGAGTCAAGACAGACCTCGTGCATCGTTTTTGTCAGTCAGAAAAGCAACTCTTCAGGCCTCCTGGGTCGGCGCTGACGCTGCAGGGGTCTGCTTTGTCGTCTTCGCACCCCGAGATTTCGTCGTACGGACCAGTGTATTATTCGGTAGTAGAGCCAATCAAATCGCTTCCCTCGTACCTCCCTCCCGTCCCAACGAGTTCCGATGTGTCGCGTGTGATGGATTCATGTCCACATTCGACCGACTCAAACGATGTTTTCAGCTAAGTACAGACGTCCCTTTCAACAGTCCACACTTGCACTGTCAAGTGACGAAGCCCGACGCTAGGCCGGTTCTCTTGCCAGACCTGATATGGTATATAGCCTGGTACCTCAGACCAAGCTATCCAAACAATAAAAAAAGTTATCCATCACTTGGTGACTGCAACTTCTGCTCGACGATGATAGCCATCTTGGTCGGGTCAAAGTCTGGGTCTTCCTCGCACTCGGCTGCAGCAAGTGTAATGGCAGTTTGGAGTGCATTGCGTATATCTCGGCCGTTCAGCTGCGCCTGAGACCAAGCCGTTGCGAGCCAGATCGCGGTTCTGTCTTCTTTCATGGAAGATGTCTGCTTCGTCCACCAAAAGCACTGCATTCCAGGCCTCGGCGAGACCGAACCAGCGCAGCAATTCAGCCTCAGCTTTAGTCTCGATAGTTCCGACGTCCGCGACAGTCAATGACAGTAGTGGCCGGTGCAGAGCTTCAGCGATGGCCTCAACAGTGTACGTCTTACCCACACCTGGCGGGCTGTTCGGATCAGTTGGTAAAATTGACTGCTTCGTGCAGATACAGCTGACTTACTCATGAAAAAGCATTATTTGTCCACTTCCCTTGCCCTCGATGAAATCTGCTGACCATAAATCAAATCGGCTGCTCTGACGCGTCGATAAAGCACGGATTGTCTTCAGCTCTGCCTGTTCGAGGAAAAGGTTAGCTATGCTCTCCTCTGAAGGAACAATCTCGGAGAGATTGTCCGCTTCTACATTGTGCAACTTGAGAGCGAGGAAGTTCTCAAAGCTCCTGTCATCTCGTCTTCACCTCCACTCATTGAATCTGACAGGGATGAGATACCCTCGTCGGGTGTGCGGCCACAGACAGATGCCCAGAAAAGCTGGCCTGACATACGTGGCAATATACTGCGATGCCTGGAACCACTCGTGGCACTACACGCACTCAACATGCAACGCACGGTGCAGTTGATCAACGTCGCCGCCAGGATCCGCGTCAACAGCCTTGTCGGGCGGAGAATCTCACAGTGAACGACGGCCACAGGCTCCGACACGATCTGGATCCAGGGCCCTTCCGCCGTACCTAAGCCGTCCTTGAACACGCTGACTGCTACTTGCCTTGCGGCGCTATCCACCGAAGATAAAATTCCGTGTTTGGCATACTTCTGCTCTCTATCGTCAAATGCCGGTCAATCTCGAAGGGAAAAGACGTGTCAGGAGATGCTACTGAACTTTAGTATCATCCTTGGTTGTGCAAATCATCTCAAATCGCCTGACCGAATCAAAATGAATCGCAGCCTTGCACTGGAGCGATTTCAAGTACTGACGAACCAAGATTGCGACCCAGAAGATGCCATTCGAGTGCTCGAAGACATTTGGTCATTGGTCCCGTCTTACATTCAGTGCATCCTCGAGGGACTGCAACTCTTGGAAGACCGAGGAAATCCGTCGCATACCGACCGCGTGCTGCGTGTCCTGAGAGTGATAGTCTCACAAACGCCACCTGACGGAGACACAGACGAGTTCCATGTTCCGCGGGTCACGACAATATGCTTCATTAGCGACGGATACGTTGACTGTCTGGCCCAGTCGGTGCAGCGGGGGCCGATCGACAAGCTCGTGTCTGTCGATGAGTTTGACCAGACTTTGTCTGAAGAGGGGGAGAAGACTGTTGCCACTTCGCAATGATGATGATGATGATCGTTCAGACATGACGTCTATTTCAATGCCTCGGGCAGTAAATGGAGTGTCCTTCATTCGCTCAGAAATCCTTGAGAATGTCCATTTCGAAGGTATCAAGTAAGCTTCGCGACATGGCTTTGATCCGAAGGAACGCGTCTTAGCAAGAATCACAATGGCAGTCTACTCAGGACAACCTAAGCTGGAAACATTTTTGAAGACGCCATATTATCATGCTATTAAATCTCCCCTACTCACACTACCCCAACTTCCTGTACCGATAAACACTCCACGGATTGAACGTCCACTTCTCCCCCCAACCCGCCAGGCCCAACCCACCGCTCACGCGCTCCCACCCTTCCCAACCCGCAGCCGGCAGCCCCGGCCACGCCAGCTGCTGCTTCCGCACCACCTTGACGTAGAAGATCCAGGCGCCCACAAAGAAACCGACCAGCAAGACCAGCAAGCCCACCGACTCCCACAGGCTCCTTCCCTCCTGGACCTCGTGCGCCGTGGCGGAGAAGTCGAGGAGCTCGCCGTCCTTGTCAAGCGCGGCCACCCGCAGGTTGACGTACATGTCCGCCCAGCCATCCGGCAGGATGAACTCGCTCTCGAAGCGCCCTCCGACCGCGCCCTCGCCCCCCTGACGCACCAGAACATCGATCTCCTCATACTCGCCCTCCTCCCTGCCACTCTGCACATCATACATCCTCGTGGCCTGCAGGCTCCAAGTCCTGACCTCCGTCGCGCCGTTCCAACTGACGTACAATTTCCCCCCGCGGATCACGGCCTGGGGCTTCGTGACCGGCCTGCCGACCCAGCCCTCGACCTTGAGGGCGCGATAGCTGGCCACCAGATCGACGTAGTCGAACGCGCTGGGCGAAAAGTGCCACTCGCACAGCAGGTTGCCGTCGGCGCTGAACTCGCTGAAACTGGCGCTGTGGCCCCAGCCGACGAAGACGTCGCCGCCCGGCCAGGCCGGCGGCAGGACCTGCACGGAGCCCTGACTGGCGGCGCGTGTCTCGCGCAGCGACACGTACTCGTGCAGCAGCGTGACGGTTTTCTTGTCGAGGTCGAGCTGCACGACGATGCCGCGGCTGCGGGGGCTGCGGCTCTGCACGGGCCCCGCGTCGCCGTTGTCGTACAGCGAGAGGATGCCTTGTTCCTCGTCGACCCAGCGCGCGTCGTGCTGCCACTGGAAGTTGGTGGCCTGTCCGTCGCTTAGGTCTTGGAAGTCGTTGCGCCGCCCGCCGAGCGTCCAGAGCACCTTGCCGGTGCCGGCCTCGAGGCACGCGACCATGTGCAGGTGGCGCGACGAGATCAGGTAGTTGCCCTTGCGGTCCTTTTGGATGCTGTTGATGTGGAACCAGTCGTAGGGCCGGCTGGACAGCCAGCCGTCGATGGGCGCCCAGTAGAAGGTGTCGGCGAGGCTGTAGTGGTCGGAGGCGCGCCATTCGAAGACCATGTTGCCGGTGGCGATGTCAACTTCTTGGAAGGCGGACTCGGTGATGTAACCGGTCGAGGTCTCCCCTTGAAAACCCGGGGGCGCCGCGGTGTAGTTGTAGATGGTGAGGAGGCCGGTGTCGTCGTGCGTGATCTGGAACTCATGCAGATCGGCATGCATGTTGTCACCATGCGGCTTGACGGTGTGTCGGAGCGTGTAGGTCTCGTCGAGCATGTGGTACACGCCCTGGCCCGAGGTGGCGGCTTTGTCGCCGGTCCAGAAGGTCAGGAACTTGTCGCCCTTGTAGGTCTGCATGTTGAGGTTCATGGCGTTGCGATACTGGTCGGACATCCAGACGAGGTTGCCGCGAGGGTCGACGATGGTGGGGCCGCCGTTGGGAACGTAGTTGCCTTTGGGCGTGATGAGAATGTAGCGGCCATCGTCGCATCGGTCGCTCCAAGTCGGGATGCTGAAAAGGGGCGAGGTGAGGTTCAAAGAAGCGTACTCGGTCGTCCTATAGAAGCCCTCGACGCCCCAGTCGTACAGCGCGGGCTCCCACTCGGGCACGAGCCATATCAGGACTGGCGCAAGAATATTGACAACGCCCCAGAGCACGACCAGCAGAGCGACGAGGGAGACGGCGAGGATGGTAGCGACGCGATAGAGAAGTGCTGTACGCGCCTTGGATAACAAAGGCATGTTATCTTCCTTTCCCCAGCGTGCGCCGTGACTCAGCAGTAAACCGGCGTCACTTTAAGGTAGAGGCGAGGAGTGAGGTTCGCTGTATTTTGTTCAACCTTTGCAACGATTTAGGGGAGGGGCGGCGCAGACTAACGGCAGGCGGTTAGGGGCTCGAAGGTGGCAGTGCTAAATTGTCCCCACGTGCCAGCCGTGTCCACCAAGTTGAGCTCGGCCAATGTGCCAGGGTGGCGGGCTGCAGATCGGATGCTCCACGCGACACTCGAGTTTCGGGCGAGTTTCAAGCCGCGTGTTTGGTTTTGTGGGTTTTCCGGTTGATGGGCGGAAATGTTATATCCTAAAGTCACAGTCTTCGCATACGAGGGCGATATGGATACCGGGTGAGAGCAGATTCATCGCTCGATCATGAGCCAGCCCCCTGTCGGACATGCGAGCCGAATTCTCCAAATTTCGCGATCTGGGAAACTGGGTTGACGGAAGAGCCAATGGCTGAAGGCAAACGGGGCGGAAATGATGCCACTTTTTCGTCGTTGAGATAGGCTTCCTTGGCATGCCACCCACGCTCGACCTCGCCGTCGCCCATCACTGTGCTGCCGATGAGGGAAGCATCCGCGACAAAGACGCGCAAGGTGTCGTACATCTGTACCAGCTATTGCTCCCCCCTCTCCGCAATCTTCTTCTACATCCAGCAGTGGTCCAAGGTGAGCAGCCGACTTCTCCTGTGAACGCCTACCAAGGATCTTCAGCTCTTGGCGACGCGGGCTAGAAGACGCTAGCTTGAACTCCTCGGTCTTGATCCGCTTTTCGCTTTTTCGTGTGCAGGCTGGACATGGTCGCTCCAATTCTCCAACTTCGGTTCTTAAAGATGTATTGGTGGCCATTCAAAAACCCACGACGCCAACCTTTCCCCCCGAATTCATTGCCGTGCAGTCTGTAGCCTTGTCACACGCGCTGCAGCACAAAGACGCTCCGTGGTGTCAGCCACTTGAAAGCTTCCATCATCACACGCGTCGTCGGCTCTTCGTCCGTTAATGCTGCCGCTGCCTTGGCCTTGATCTCGGAGATCTTCCAGGTCCGGAGTAGCAGAACAAATGCGGCCGCGGTGAGATAAAGACAGCCAACGAATACCTGCAGAGAGTCAGCTTCTCCTATGGCACGGAGCGTGATGCACTGCACCTACTTGGGATGTCAGATAACCCGAAGCAGACACGATCTCAAGTCCTATCGGCTCGGCAAATGTGGTCGGTGTCACCAATGCAACACAGATGATGCCAAATACTGTTGGCAGCCTCTTTAAGCCAACCACTTCTGCCGTTACAGCTGTGCAGGTCCCCCAGAACACTCCCGCAACCGCTCCTGCAGGGATCGCAAATACCAGCAGCACGGCGAATGACTTTGCCGGTACCCAAATCGCCAAGCACAAGATGCCGCAGAGGGCTGTCATGACTCCTGCGATGTTCACCCGCCCAAACGCGTCGCTATAGTAACCAATCAAGGGTCTGCCTATCGCCATGCCGAGGTTCAGCATCGCACCCACAATCGAGCCCTGTGTCTGCGACAGTCCCAGCGATTCAGCGTAATGTGGCAGCGAGAACAGCAGGACGACGTAGCCGATGTCGGTCAGGAAGCCCCACCCGACGATCAATAGGACCTCGACATGCCCAAACTCGCGATAGTTGAATGAGCCCTGCACAGGCTTGACCATCTTGTTGCGGTCCTTGAGCAGCAGCGAGCAGATGCCGTTAATGACAATCGTGATACACGCCAGCACCCGGTAAGTCCAGCTGATGCCCACGCTCTGCACCAGCCAGCCAGCGAGCAGATTATACACCAGGCCACCGAGACCAGCGCCCGCGGCAGCGATGCCAACCGCCAGAGAGCGCTTGGTCGAGAACCATTGCGGTAAGGTGGCCGAGGCGGTGATGTAGACCATTCCCATACCCTTCAGGAGAAAGCACTCACGCATTAGCAAAGGCCCGAATGAACAACGAGATTGATGAATGGAACTCACCCAGCCAAAGCACACGCCCACGGTCATGAAGAGGTGCCACACCTGGGTCGCGAACGAGGCCGTCAGCCAGCCCGCCGACACGAGCAGCGATCCGATGAGCAGGGTCGTCTTGGTACCGAACATCCGATTCGAGGCTGCCGTCACCGGAGATATCCTTTTGTTGGGGGGGAGTGCATCAGCGTGTGAGCCAGGGAAAGATTCGCTAGGCCGAAATTGTTCGCGCAAGGGACGACTCACATCAAAGCCTGCGAAATCGACAACCCTCCGATAAGCGCATACTGTAGCTGCGTGGCGCCCGGAAACGTCGAGTGCGAGAGATAGTATGCGAGGAAGATGGCCCATGCCTGTTGCAATGGACTCATAAGTCAAACAAATATACCCTATGTTTAACTCTCAAAATACTTCCATGTCTTCCTTCCTTTTCCCCTCAACTATATTCTGTTTCCCGGCGTGGAATAGAGCAAAAAGAGCCTCAAAGGAAAACTCACAGCATTGACCCCCCAAGTATTCGCGTTCATCAGCAGTACGCACGCCGTGCACACCCAGCCGTAGCCGCCGTTTGGGGGCACGTCCTCCAGTAAAGCGACGTTGGTGACCGCCGTGGAGTCATCAACGGCGGCGTGTGCCGAGGCGGATCTGGAGCTTTCACTTGTGTGTTCCTCCGGAGCGGGGATGTTAGTCGCGGTGCCGAGGGCGCTTGCGCTGAGGGTGCGCTGGGGCTGGAGCTCCATGAAGGAGGAGGAGGAGGGTTTGTTGGCATGTGCTGCCATGAGATGGCCCCGGGAGTTCAAAGTCCGGCGGTAATACTGTGTTGTGTGTGTGTGTGTGTGTGTGCTGTGTGAGGAACTGATCTGTGGTTGAAATATGCAGGTGTAATGGAAGTCTTGGCGCGCCTTGCGATGGTATAGTTCAGGTTGCTTGCATTAGCGTCGATGGGGTTGTTAGGTAATTGCTGGGCTTGCAGGGCGTGAAGTAGAAGACGGTTTTCAGGAGGTAGGTGAATCGAGGAGGGTGGGCTGAGTGGTAGATGGTGGGTATGATGGTTGTGTAGTAATGATATCATTCCGCTCAAGGCAATGGATTCGATCTCAACGACTACTAGTTGGGCTGACGGTGAACACTCAATGCCACTCGCAGCCTTACAATAAGAACGGGTCCAGCACCCATGACACAGATAGACGCTGCAACACCAGCTCCACGCGCTGCTAACTAATTCTCGTTCCTGCGCTCGTCCAAGCAGATACACATGGCGCAGATGAGCGCCATGTCAATCCCCGGCGCGCACGTCACGAGATACGTCTGCTGGCCGCCCAGCAACTCGCGCGCGTTGAGGAATTTGCGATCGATGGTCGCGACCACCTGTCCGGTCGCCTCATCCTTGATGTCCGCCTTGCGATCAAAGAAGTCGCCTTTCATGAAGAGCCTCCCCTCCCGGGGCTGCCCCGTCTGCTGGTCTCTGTAGCTGAAGACGCCCACCGCTTTGCTGGAGCCAAGACTCCATTTGCCCTGTACCTCGAAGAATTTGTTGCCGGCAGGATCTTCGGCGTAGTAGGTGCTGGGAATGGAGAAGTGCTGCTTCCGGATGGTGAAGAGCGGGTTGCCCTGCATGTCGGCGACAGCTTTGCGGCCTGAGAGGGAGAAGGCGTCGCCCTTGACTTGGAGGAGGGGTTGCTTGGACGGGTATGTTTCGATGTAGAAGCTGTCGCCAGAGAGCGACATGATCTTTTCGCGCAGCTTGATGGATTCGCTTTGGCGCGCAATGAACTGTGGGAAGATGGCGATGGGACGCGGCAGAGGTTGTAGTTGTGCTGCCATGGCTGTGTTGGGGTCGATAGTGGTGGTGGTGAAGTCCTGTGTGAGTGTCTGCGGGCAGAAGGAGTGTGTGTGCCACGTATCGCTATATGTAGGGCACGTTTTCAGAGGAGGGAAGAATACCCGCCGCGAGACTGATGCGGCTCAGCCGTACTTATGTAATATGAGAGTAAGCTAAGGAGGGCAGGGATCCGTTGTTCCTGCAGTATCACCCTATCTACTTGTGATCCGTTTCGCGAGGTCGTTCAGGATGGGGGCGAAAACCTCATTCCTGCCGCCTCGTTCGGGAGACCACGATCAGAGGTGATTGGATAGCCTTGATGGCCGCCGGGGTCAACGCTATCAAGACTAGGAGACGCGGGTGGAGTCCGTGTGGCCGTATCATTAATCTGTTCGTGCTATGGAATCATTTTCGTGAAGACGGTCTCTGAGCTGACCTCAGAATTCAGCGCTGTGCAGATCGTTTAGGGGTGGGGCCAAGAACGGTTTCGCTACACGGGACTTTCGACCACTTCCATATTGAGTGAGGCTATTCTGGTAGTGCTCAGACCTCGAGTCGGCACAAGCGGCGAGCTTGCGAATGCATTAAATCATGATCCCTAACCAATGTTGACTCTTGGCATGCTTCGCAACCAAACTGATACTTCACGACATCCCGTCTGTCGCCTCGGGAATGCGGCCCAGGAACACTTTGTACATCCGCTTACTGATTACAGGGCCGATGCGCTTGTCACTGTAACCTCCGTCCTTGTTGGTGCTCTTTCGCACATTTTCCAGCATCAAGTTGTCGCTGGTCCGGAAGGCCGCCACAAGCTCGCGCGGAGAAGGCCATTCTGCTGCAATGCTCTGGGCAATGCTGGGAGTCACCCTCTGCTGTCCCTCCAGCATACGACAAAACGTTTCCTGAACACCATCGCCCGTCTTAAACTGACCCGACCCCATGTAGAACGATGAGGACTTCAAGTTGTGCTCCAGCTCCGCAAGTCTATACGGCCGGGCAGATAGACTCTGAGTAAAGGAAAGAATCTGTGAAGCGGTGGCTGCGTCGGACGTGGTGTGATGAATGACAAGCGGCTGATGATTGATCTGAAGATACAACTGGAGGTCTTCAGCTAAATCAGCTGTGACTGCAGCAAGATGGCGAGAGGCCGGGGCCCGCTTTCGCTTTCGAGCTTGCGAGGACGCCGGCGGTCCATTCGATGTTTCTTCGGCCACTTGAGCTCTGACAGCGGCGGTGTATTCCCGATTTTTGGCGTTTTGGTTTTTCTTGATCCAAGCGTGCAGGCCCTGGATTAGGTAGATCAGCCTTCTATCCTTGTGCTGGCGGCGAGTATGCTCCATGTGACGGTCAAGATTTCTCTTCATCGCTTCCAGACTTGGAGACTCGGAAAGATCATCGGGGTCGCTTGACCCCAGAGCTACTGACGCAAACTCAGAGCCGCTGATCAAGATCACCACATGGTCAATGAGATCGATGCGTGACCTATCGAGCGGGACCCACTGACCCTCATCCTCATCATAGGCCGCCTCGATTTTTCTCTTCCAGCGAAGAGTCTTTCCGGCATCCAGATGCTGGGCGGACTCCGAAAGTGAGACTTCTTCACGCGTATAAGAGAATTGGATCTCGTGTTGCCGCATGTATTCTTCCACCTGGTCGCCTATACTTGTGCTCTCGAGTGAGCCATGCATCTCGAGAATCATTTCCTTCGATGTCTCTTTCTTGTTGGCCTTTGATTTGTTCACTTCCGCCATGTCCTTCGCCTTCTGCTTCTCCTTCTCGCGCTCAAGTTTGGCATCATTCTTGCGCTGCTTCTCGGCTTCTTTAGCCGCTTCACGCTCGCGCTTCGACGCGGTCGATTGTGCCTCCTTGTCCGCTCGACTCGCCTGCGACTTCTTCTTGGAGGCAGCCGATGGTGGCGAGGAGACAATGATGTCGTCGATAGCATTCTTACTCCTGCGGACGGGTTTGGTAGGTTTGTAGCTGGTGTTTGCCGCTTTACCAATACGCTTCGATCCTGAATCGTCTCTCAACGAAATGTTAGCCGCGCCCAAGACTTCCATAACCCGAGCTGAGAATGCAGGAGCAGCTGGCGCAGCAGATTCGCGAGTTCGCGCGCCATCGTCCGCTGTGATACTATCAGAAGACAAGATATGTACCACTGCATCCAGTTTGGAGCGGTGGTTCTTGCTGATTGCTGGTGCCGAAGATGAAAACTCGATGTCGTCTTCATCATCGTCAGCAAAAGCATCAAGAAAGCTTGGACGGCTGGGTCCTGGATCAGCTGGGGCAGAAGATGGCGGAAGATCTGGCTCAGAAGAAAGATCAAGCTCTGCAATCAGTGTCTGAGGTCCTGAACGAGCTGCGATGACTGCTTCAGGAGCAGGTGATGGCTTTCGTCTTTTTTTAGGCTGCTCTCCGTGGAAGTCGAGGTCGCCAGTGGTATCGAAATCATCTGAACCAAACAAATCTGCTACTGGTAGTCGTGTCGGTAGTTTCTCGCGGCTCCGTTTTCCAGGATTGATGGGTGGCGAGGAAAGCAGGCTGATGACTTCAGCCATGAGATCGGCAGGAAGCTGTCAAGCTACAGTCAGTGTAGGTATTTGGAGCACGACAAGCTTCAACATGTCGCTCCCGAAGATTCATGCATGGATCTGGGGTATCTAATGCTGAGTGTCGAATGAACCACGAGGTGACGTTGAAGAACGCCGAATCCGGCCAAATCAATAAAGATTAGGTGGGGCAGCCACTCAACGCGACGCGCCGTGCTGCACGCGAAGGGCGGGGCAAGCGAAATGAAGCACTGGCAGACATCTGGACGTCTAAATTATCGCTATGAAACAGGCATATATGACGGTCGTCCGGTGTCCGTCCTTTTCGCTCTTGCGAAATCCGTTGTTCGCCTGTTTACAGGTTTCCCTGCATATGCGCCAACGATGGTCGCAATGAGTGCGGCCGCAACTGCGGCAATCAAGCCAACACCCATCAAGATCTGTTGACGTTCAACGAAATCACTTCTCTTCGATTCTAGCATGGCTTTGATCTCGGCATCGAACTTTTTCGCCATGATTACCCGCGTGAAATTCTCACTAGCCCGCCGTTGCCCTGCGACCTTCATCTGCTGGAATGCCTTGGGACTGAGACTCACGAGCACAGTCCTCATAACTTGTGTCCATTGCTCGACCTTGCTTGCGTCTCGCAGCCAACCAGTTTCACCTTCGACAACCGTCTCAAGTGGACCACCAGTGTTTGAGGCCAAGACAGGCAAGCCGTGCTGCATGGCCTCGACGGGCACTATGCCAAAGTGCTCGTTGACGGGTGTGTAGAGTAGCAATGTTGCCTGCGACATCAGAGTCGCTTTGAAAGCGCCTGGGATCGAGAGCATGAAGAGTACCTCAACATCGTCGGATATGCCGAGCGCGGTAGGCGCTGTCTTTACGGTCGCTGCGATGAGGCCCATCTCTTCGGCCATTTGCACCAGCTCTTGATGATATTGCAAGTTCTCAGCGACTCTACTGTCGTAACCCCCGGCAAGGATCAGTCTTGTACCCCGTCGCTCTTCTTCAGTCAGGCCGTTGTAGGCGTGTAGTGCAAGCCCAATGTCTTTCTTACGCTCGAAACGATTGACGCTGAGCAAGAGCTTGAACTTGCCGTCCCATAACGGCTTGTCTGAGAGCTCTGCCGGCCGAGAATCCGAGCTCACGCAGGGATAGATGACCGTCAAAGGCCCTTTGGCCGGGATGACTTTTGAGGCGATCGACCTGGTGAAGTTGGAGTTGACAACAATCTTGTCGCTAGCTGCAGTACTCCAACCTTCGAACCAGTCAAACGGGAGACGATAGCCAGCCTTGACCAGACCTGCTATACCACCTCTTTTTCTGTCTGCGAGTAATTGATCTGGAAAGTGACAGTAAAATAGGGTACGTTGGCGATCGGAGCAAATCCATCGCAGCAGCGGTACGCAGGCGGACAACTGGTCTACGATAAACACATCGGGCCGGATCTGAAAGAGTTCATCTCCGAAGAATGCAACTGAAAGCACGAGGTGGATCTGCCGAAGAATTGCGAGGAGGATATGGAGGCGATTTAGGATGGTAGGAGGAAAGATTGTGTTACCACGCACGCGGACATCGAGGGTTCCTGCTTACCTGTCAATATCCTAGCGCCGCATCTCAGATCCGTCGGTGCCGTCAAGCATACCGTCACGCGCTTCCTCAAAGCAGTGCTGGGGGTCGCAATGCGATGTGAAAATTGTCACCTTGTGGCCCAGCTCTTGCAGCCCCACGGCAGCATCGATGATGAGTCGTTCTGCCCCACCAATTCCCAGATCGGGGTGGAAGAACACGATGCGGCGAGATGCTGTTGCGTCCGGCGCAGACTTCTTCGGTCCCATTATCGGGGTCACGGTCGCAAAAGAGTCGGAAAATACACTGACACGGCACTCGTAGGATACAAACACGCTGGGGGACGCAGATAAGTTGCGAGAGCCTTGGCAGCTTGCGGGAAGTACACCCAGTCACGTGTCATGTTCTTCAAACATGACTATTCCACGTCCTCGCCCGCAACACTTTCTAGTACCGTGCTAACATCAATTCCCGTTAATAGATTCGTGGCTTACATTGGTCTATCAAAGTCATAATTAAGGCTAGCCACCTGAGAGTCAGGTCTATCCCTCTTGGCTTCGCGCATGAAGTGCTCTATCTAAACAAGTTGGCTCTGTCGATCAACCAAGTATCTCCGAACCGTGGTGCTCGAAGGCCTGGTCTGACCAAAGCATAGTCGCTATATCGTTATCTTTCATGACAGCAATTCACGAGCGTCTCTTTTTGGTTCAAACTTCTCCCGAGCCAGATTTCGTCTGGTCACTATAGAGACTCTGTCGAGGGGGTTGAATAAGGCGGTGCGCATCGTGTCTCGAAGGAAGCATGAGAGCGACAACACCGGCTTTCCTCATTGCGCATCCTTTCTTGTAGTGTAGAGTGTAGAGCGCCCAAAGAGAGTGTGGCAACCATCTGACCTCGTCCACGGTAGCATGGCGGATCGCCCGTTCCTTGGCCCCACCCGTGCCCACGCGAGCCCGTACATCGATAGATTTTTCACCACATGCATCGAGTTGCGATGCTGGGGAACATGCTGGCCTCTACACACTGATGGTTTTGAAAACGCTGAACCCACCTCCTCCAGTGACCATGGCGGTGCCAGGCATTTGCGGATGCCAGTGAAATTCCTTACAGTCCTCGATGTGGTGAATGAATAACAGCTGAGGTGGTACCTTTTCAGCGCCTTCACCGAGACCCAGCCCCGTCTCCTTGCCATATTCCTCGTCGTCCAACTCGACGGCAAGATCCCATAGCGTTGCTGTGTTATCCGCCGAGCCAACGCCGACAACACTGTCATCGGTTGGATGCCACTCGATTGAAGTGATGGGCTTCTTGTGAAACTTGAAATCGGCAACTGGAGACGGTTTCCCAGCTGCACCTCCTTCCTGTGGCTTCCATTGACGCAAATCCCACACAGCCCATTCGCCGTCATCTGCACCAGTGGCCAGGAGATGGAAAGTCTGCCTCGACCAAGACATGACGTTGACATCCGTTGCACTGACACGCATATCCACAGCTGGCTTTCTGCTCTTACTTCGGACGTCCCAGACTTTCACAGTGCCATCACTGCTGGCAGATGCGAAGACATTCTTTTCGTTCGGCGACCACTGCAGCTCTTCGATTGCATTCGTATGCCCCACAAAAGGCCGGTTGTCAGTTGCCCAACCACCACCTTCCGTCCGCTGGGTGCTATATATCTGGCCATTGTTATCGCCTGTAAGTAGCCGACCAAACGGATGTAGTGATGGGGATGCCCAGTCCAAGGCATAACCCTCATCCTTGTGCATGCGCAGGGTGCTCAGCGGTTTCGATGCAGCTGGGGTTATGACGGAACCCGGCGTGGATAGACTCTGTAGATGTGGCGTGACATCGTGTACCATGACCTGACCGTTTTCCAACCAGGTAGCTGTGAGGGTTTGGGGCATCTGAGAAGGGTCCGCTTGTGATGTGGCGGGCTGAAACATTCGGATTCGGTTGGAAGTGCTTGGTAGAGGAATGGATCGAGATTCCAGGACAGGTTCGGTAGAGCCGCCTTCATCATCACTTTCATCGTCGCTTTCAGAGTCGGTCTGATCGCCGCGATCCATTTTCGAGAGACTGCTCAGGCGCAAAACGTATAGTTCGTTGTCTTTGGCACGGCTAGACTCCGCCTGCGTACCTGCAACAGCATACAAAGTCCTCGGGTAGCTTTTGCGGTCATCTCCAAGATTATCTCTGACAATATCAAAGGATAAGCATGGCCAAGTTGCTGATAGTGGGTGAAGCATTTCGTAGGTGGAGGGATCGGGGGTCAGGGTTTGACCGGGCTGAAGTACTGATCGGCCAGGGATGAAGGTTTGATTGTTCGAGTCAACATCCATAGCGTCGCCATTCTGCTCCGCTTCCCGCTCAGCATCAGGTCGTCCATCCACGCCGGCCTCAATTATCTCGTCCTCCGATTCGTACTCGTCCTCGAACTCGTCCTCGAACTCGAGACCATTCTGATCATGTGCTCCCGCATTAGGTCGCTGACCGGCTTTGAGAGCCGCCGCGGCATCATCATCGTCCGCAGGTCGTTTCGACATGATCGTAGTGCCCTGTAGCACAAACAGTGATTGCCACAGAGAGTGCGCTCAGGACGTGCAACAAAAAAAAATTTCCCCGCTTCAAGTGGCACCGACTATCGATAAGAATCACCAGGATCTGGTGGATGAAACTCAGCCTTGCGTAGCCTCGACGATACGGGCTTGACCATTGGCCACTATCCAATCGCGCTTGTTGTATCTCAGATGCCGACAGGCAGTTGCTGTGTTGATGGTATCAGGCAAAAGCAGCCTGAACAGAGCTATCCCAAGCTGCCTTCACTATCGAAAGAGCTCGCTGTGCGCGAGCTTTACTCCGGTGCGAAACGTTGGGTTCGGGTCGCACCCCTCGAACGCGTCCCTGCAGAGCAACTGAATTCTACGCGCCGATTGGCTGGCGAACCACGATCCTTGTCCACTGCACCTCCGAAGCCAAACGCTTCTCCTCTTGACCACCATCGCACCATATCCGCAGCCGCTCACTGACCTCCCAAGCGTCTTTGCCGGCGCACAGCCGCTCCCTCATTCACTTGTCTCCGAATTGTGCCCGTTCGTCGTCGCCGTGATGGATTTCTCTCAGGACGCCGGCCACGATCCAGCCTACGAGCCTCAAATCGTTCACGAGCAAGGCCAGCCGCCACAACCCCTCCACGATGACCAGCAGCAAAATGGACAGTCTCAGAGTGCCGTCACAGACTCGCCAATGGAAGTCGACTCCCAGTCCCGATACAATTCTCCTAATCTACCACATCAACAACAAGGGTCGAGGCCTAGTTCTGGCATGAGTGCACCTGCTCAATCCTCCCACTCGCAAGGGCAAGGTCAGCAGCAGAACAAGAGCAGCGTCGTCATCAAGGTTGGCATGGTCGGAGATGCCCAGATTGGCAAGACCAGTCTAATGGTCAAGTACGTCGAAGGGAGTTGGGATGAAGACTACATACAGACTCTTGGTAAACAAGCCCCGCAGGAGCCGATTTGCTGCTGACCATATCTTCCAGGGGTCAACTTTATGGAGAAGACCATTTCTATCCGTAACACTGAAATTACGTTCTCAATATGGGATTTGGGAGGACAGCGAGAATTCGTTAACATGTTGCCTTTGGTCTGCAACGACGCAGTAGCCATTCTCTTCATGTTCGATCTAACGCGGAAATCCACTTTGAACAGCATCAAAGAATGGTATCGACAAGGACGAGGCTTCAACAAGACGGCGATTCCCTTCCTCATTGGAACAAAATACGATCACTTCGTTAACTTTCCTCGGGAAGATCAAGAGGAGATCAGTAACCAAGTATGACGCCGCTTCTCCCAGTTTTGCACACCTGACTGACAGAGCTGTAGGCACGCCGGTTCGCCAAAGCTATGCGCGCTAGCCTCATCTTCAGCAGTACCAGCCATAGTATTAACGTCCAGAAGGTGAGTCACCCGCTGTTTGGCTTACCCCACGTTCCACTCATCGTTGCTACAGATTTTTAAAATCGTCCTTTCCAAAGCCTTCGACCTCAAATGCACCATCCCGGAAATCGAGAACGTTGGTGAGCCGCTGCTATTGTATCAGTCTGTGAACTAGAGACCTGAACGAGGAATGCTCTCTATTTCGAGAGACCGACCTCTCTATCGACGATACGACAAGACTAACGAAGATAATGGCCGTAATGTGTCTGCGATCAGAACTGCCGGGAAGAAGTCTTTATCTCTCTCTCTTTGTGATCATTGAATCATTAGCATCGGAGCACGCTTGGGCGTGGGATCGGTGACCGGCGAACACGGAAAGACCAACAAACTGGGAACGTTCCCCCAAAAGAGCATGGCGGTGGATTCATGGTGCCAACGATTTTGAGACGAGCTACACGTGCCCAGAGGCAATTTGAAGCTGTCGTTCCTTGGGAAATTTTAGTCATTACGCTTGATGCTCCTCGTGTCGTGGGGGAGTTCGCTATGCAAGACAGTGGCAGCTGTACACGAACGGCTGAGCCGTCATGTGTGTTTTATTCTGGAATGTCAAAACGCGAAGCGGAACCAACCTTCAAACACCGTTTTTGAAAGCCTGACAAGTGAACGCATTAAAAAAGAGGAGGCTATTCACGTCTGTTGTTTGCTTGCTTTTACGCTCTCGCAATGCAATGTGCCATTGGGGGTATCTCATTCCTCAACCGAACTGGAAACTTTTCACCTTTCGTGGCTTCGTGGTCTTGCACCTTTTCTTCGTCACCAACAACGGTCCTCCCGCGCCTCACTTCCAACAGTTCTTGCGCAACCACTACAGCCGCAGTTGACTCATGCTGGATTCCAGCCATGCCGTGTCGTTCAGCCAACCCGTCAAACAACACTTGCGAACTGCCTGAAACGTCTTTGAACCCCTCCGATCGACACGAACCTCGTGCTTCCTGAGGCGCTCCGCTACGAGACTTGCCTCGTCCATCGTAAAGCCGTAAGTCGACAATGTTCCGCCGACGCTTTCGAACGGATCATTGTACCAAGATCTTACCTAAGACTCGTTCTGGATGCTGCGCACAACCCCGGCAAAGTCCTTCTTGACATTTTCGACGTAGCCTTTCCAGCCGACCATCTCGCCGCCGCCATCCGAGGCCGCGCTAGGGAAAGCCTTGTCGAGCTCAAGTGTCGTGCGGATAACAGCCGCGTTGGCTTCGTTAACTTTCTCAATTTCTTGCTTAACCGCATTGTCTTTCAACTTGTGGCCAAGCACGGTCTTGAATTTATCCGCAAGCTGGGAAAGACGGCGACGAGTCTCTACAGGATCGATGTGGGAAAGACGCGTAAGCATGAGGTTGCACAGAGTGCGAATATCGGCGTCATCAGTGATACCGTCAAGAATGCGGTCGAAGACCTGAGGGATTGGAAGATGCAGAATTGCTGCGGGTTGGTCGAGTAGCGCATAAAGCGTCGCGTAAGTAGATTTGCGAAGATCAAGACCCGAGTCCTCATTATGCTTGAATGGACCGATAGTAATGACACGAATCAGTTCGGGGTTGATGACCGAATCCTGAAGTACTTGTGGCAGGAGCTGGCTGATTTCCGGGATGACCAAGTTCGGCTTGTTATGGATTGCTGCGTTCAGAGTCGTAACGGCGAGACGACGGTTGCCGATGTCAGCGTCGCTGAGCATGGTGCGCAGCATTGGAACAATCATCCGCGTGAGCAGAGCATTGTAAGAGGAGCTGGTGTCAGCCAGAGTGAATCTGAACGCTGAAATGACTGTGCCACGGGTGGATGCATCGGAGTCCTGGAGCGATTGCGATAGCTGAGGAATGTACGTGCTAGCATCGATCATGGAAAGGCGTCCAATGCACTCAGCACCGACTGCACGATTGTCGTCGGTGGCAGAGATGCTAAAAAGCTTCTGCCAGAGGTCGCTTGCATACGAAGCAATCTCCTTTCCACCAGTCTCGGTGACATGTTGAAGGATTTCCTTGAGGGCGTGGAGATAAAGATATTCCTGCTCGGAGCCCTGGCCGAGATTCTGGAGGATAAAAGGCAAGCATTCGGAGAGGTTGCTGGAGCTGGCACTGCCCAAGGCGGCGGCTGCGGTGAGGCGCACTCGGTCTGATTCAGCGGCAAGGCAACGAGTGAAGACCTCCATCTGCACAGGCGACTTGGGCCCCATGCGAAAGCCAACCTCACCCAGGACTGCAAGGGCGAGGCACATCGCAGCTGGGTCTTGTGCAGTCTCGAGCTCGGTCAAAAATGTGGGCACAGATACCGTGAGCTCGGCGGATGAGTAGACAAGCAGTGTGCCGATAGCCCGCCCAAGCACAATCGTATCGCCTGCGACGCCAATAGCGAGTAGACCTTGCATCAGTGTATTTCCACTGCCCTGCTCGCCAATCACTTTGATGACTAGCAGGAAAGCCTTCAGTGGGGATCCTTCAAGTCGAGACTTGCTGACATCGCAAAGCGCTTGCACCAGGTCATCCGAAACAAGCGACTGGGGATTCGTGGGGACAATTTTAGACAGGATCACCAACGTTGGAGTCAGGAGGTGCAGGTCGGAACCGGAGAGCAGCGGGAGTAGGTGCGTCATTAGCTGCGCGATAGTGACACTATCGTACAGAGATGCAGTCACAGCGTTTAGCGCAAGATACTGCAAGGCCTCAAGACAAGCACCTCTCAGCGCGCGGTCTGACTTGCGTAGCTGGTTTGCCATCTCCAACGAGACCTCTTGCACCCACGCTGACCCGATACTGTCGGTGATGCTCGCCGATTCACCTACAAGACCAATTGCACGTGCACTAGCCAGTCGAGTAGTTTCGTTCTTCAGACGGTCATCCAATACCCCAAGAGCTTTAGCGCGAGCCGCAGTACTCAAGAGCTGCGTAGACGATGTTCTCGAGATCAAAACACCAAAGACCTGAATGGCCCGGTGTCGTACCTCAAGGTCTGTGTTATTGTCGGTGACGCGATCGACAATAACATTGAACAATTTCTCGATGTGGATAGCGTGGTCTTGATTGGCGGAAGGAAGGCGAGGGGGTGTCAAGGCCTTGACGAATTGTTCAATTGTGGCAAGAGCCTCGCTCGACACCTTGAAATTTCGATCCTTTGCGGTGGCTGTTACAGGCGGGATCAGAGCAATCACGAAAGGGGTGAGCACAGTGGTCGAATTGGTTTCCGCGATGATGCTAATGGTTGCGAGTGTCTCAATCTGCAGCCCTGCGACAGTAGCTGAGGAGCCTGAGGAAGCACTTGCGCCGCTTGGACCGGTGCCGGGCTTCAGAGCATCGGCTACAGGGTCCTCAAGTTGCTGTAGGTAATCGGCCAGAGCACCGTTGCGTGTGAGAGCCAATGTCTTGATCATGATAATACCAGCTTGCTTCAGGGGAATACTGGCCTTCTTCCAAACCTTGCTAAGGGCTTGAACCATCTTTGGAATGATCGCAGCAAGATCGGCCTGAGCTCCGCTAGAAGGAGGCAAGGCATCATCGATCGGTGGACTAGAACGGGACAAGACCAAGCCGCGGAGTTCTGGGTCGTTCTGCGAGACCTCACTGTCCTGGCGTCTGCGCTTGCGGCTATTGGGTGGAGGAGCGTCGCCGTCGAAGCTGGACAAGCCATATGAGACATGAGCAGGTGGACCGGCCTTGCGGATAAGGGCAGTGGTAGCAGAGATGATCTCTAAGCGCACGCTATCTTCCCGCTCGTTGTACAGCCGGGAGAGCAAGACAGGAGCAATCTTGCCAAAGAGAGTGTCATGATCAGCGGCGGACAGTGCACTGATCATGGTGAAAAGTGCTTTGGCAGCGCATCTTCTGACCTTCCAGCTTAGGTCATCAACGTCGCTGAATGTGCCATCATCATCGAGCTCAGCATATTCGTCGTCATCATCGACAGCGTCTTCCGTGATGCCATCGTCGCTACCAGCGTCATGTGTGCCACCCATTTCTTCATCGTCGATCTCGGCCACATTGGGATCATACTTCAGGTAGCGCAGAGTGGCTCCGATGGCGGCAGGCAGGTGATCCTTCATCTCGGAAGGACATGATCCAATCATGGCATCAATCGCTTGCAGTGCGGTCTCGCGAAGCTCCTCCAACTCGGAGTCAGCTTCGATGTCGTCGTCGGAATCATCCGCGTTGGCGTCCAGCTCTTCTTGGCTGAGAGCGGAGAGTACGTGAGGAAGAGCGGCATCAAGGTGTGGACCAAACTTTGCTGGAGTTGATTTTGCCAGCGTGCCGAGAGTGGCAATCAAGTATCTTCGGTGATCGTTCGAGAGATTGGGGGTCTGGAAGCTCTGAACAAGAGCAGCGATGAAGGAGCTGACTTGGGAATCAGTGAAGTGGATAATGAGCGCTCCGATACCTGCTAATGCGCGCTTCTTGACCACACCACCCGCCTGCGGACTCTCAATAATCTGCATGACAGCCTGAGCCAAGGCGACCAGCTCTTGTTCCTGGAGCGAAGCGCCATAGCACTTGACGATCTCAAGCATGACATCGACCGCATCGGGATTGTAGCCTTTGTCCTGTTGGGGCTGCAGAAGGCCCACGGGAACTTTGGGAGCAGACTTGGCCCCTGGGACAACGACTCTACCGATCAATCGTGGAATGAGGACTTTGCTAATGGCATTGTAGGCTTCCTTGATTTCTTGCTGGCTAGCCATAGCAGAGCCGGGCTGTGGCAGGCTAGCGATCAGACTACGAAGGGCGGTGTTGGGAATGGTGACATCGATGTCGGAGGTAGTGAGATCGGTGATCTTGTCGATAAGAGGAACAATGATCTCACCAGGAGTTCTCGCAGCTAAAGGTCCAACACTGAAAATATTAGAGGTGCATGATCTGGCCGTGGGGAGGGAACATACCACTTGAGTGCTTGGTTCTGAACCTCACCATGCTGATCTGACAGAGACTTGAGCAGTCCGTCGATGATGCGACCAGTTTGACCAGGATCGCTCTTCAGGTGCTCAGAGGTCGGAGATGTCAAAATATTCGCGAGATCGCTCAATTGCATGAAGCGGATATCTGGATCAGGATCGTTGAGTTTGTTTAGCAAGGCCCCGATCGAATGGGCCATCGAGCCACGATCTTTCGCCATGCTGGCTGATGGCAGAGGGATCTGTCGATGTCGATGCCGTGGAAAGCGATGGTATGATAGACAAGAGGTGTGCTCTTGGGAAGATGCCGCAGATGTGGTAGGAAGAAGAAGTGGGCACGCAGCGGAAAGAATTGACAAAACGCAATGTCAAGCGACAGCGGAGGATGCCTCGAGGGGTCTCGAGTCCGCCGTTGCCGGTCAGAGGCCACTAATATCGACGCTCAAACGATGCTCGAAGAATGCAGACACGATCAAAAGCGAAATGATATTCAGATAGTGTAGTTTGAGAGAGTCACCAAATGCCAAATGTCAAAATGCCCCTCATGCTCTCCAAAGTACGGACCAATCGGTGTGACGTGGTGCCTGCCTTGCACGCGCCTTCCCTATTATGGTTAAGTGCCACCTATGACGCGAACAACCGGGCCGGAGAAACATGGGGGAGCTGTGCGAAGTTACTAGAGAGCTCCGATTCTTCAGAGCTGGCCGTTTGGAGAGACTTTGAGTGGAGTGAGTGAGTGACTTTGACCTCATCATCTCAGCCATTTCCTTCACGGCTGTTCTTTTTCTGTCTCTACATTTTCAGCCCTCCCTCACAACTTCAGCATGGCTTTCCCCAGACCTTCCTGCCTCCGCGGTGCACAGAGCTTTGGCCGAACTGCCTTCCGGCGAGCTGGTAATCAAGCTCGAAGTACCGCTTTTAGAAATGCTGGCCGGAGAACCTATGCTAGCGGTCATGAAGTCAAGCAGAGCAGTGACCTTCCATGGTATGCGAGACGTACACATCTCTGCTTGTAGTGTGCTGACTCCAGGTCAGGATGATCGGCGCCGCTGCCGTCACCATTCCTGCCTCGTTCTGGCTCCTTGGTCAAGGCCCGCAAAAGACATCACACGGCCACGACGACCACGCAGAGAAACACGAAGACGGTGGAGAAGACGAGTCTGCTCAGGAGGGCAAAGATGAGACGCCCGATGAGGGATCCGGAGATGAGCCCAAGGCCGAGTCTAAAGACGATTCCAAGGACGACTCCAAGGACGATTCGAAGGATGATTCAAAGGATGATTCTGGCGACGAATCGAAAGACAAGGCCAGCGATGATGCTGAGGACGACTCCAAGGCTCCCCAAGACGAAGAAAACGAGGGCCCGAGCTCTGGAAGGAAAGAACAATACTTCAGAAACCCTAACAAAAAGCCAGGCGAGGGTCAGAAGGGGGAGCGAAGCGCAACCGAGAAGAAAGGCGAGAAGGACGTGAGTACTGCCTAGCAGTTGCTGTGTTGTTGAATGCTTGCGCGCGTTTGTGTTACTGTTATTTTGGAAGTTTGCCTTCGTTTGCGATCCTACACGACACGATGCTAATACTGCGCAGTCCCAAAGCAATCACTCTGGCGCAAAACACCCGTACATCGATGATTCAGAGAAGAGTAAAAAGTCTGCTGGCCCTACCGACACTGCTAAGATCCACGGCAGCGCCAAGCCAACCTACCATGAGGACAATGACAAGGAGAAGGAGTCTGAGGAGAAATAGGCGTAACCATCGCACGCATGCGTCGCTATCTCGGCAGCGGTAGTCAGTGCCGTTCAAACGAGCAAAAGATGCAGCCAATGCTCATAGCACAGGAGCTAATGTACCTGATAAATAACGAATGCGTTGCAAGCTGCAAAAGCCGTTCTCGTGCAACACACGAGCTACGAAGATGACGTTGGGCCAGCCGAGGTGTCTTCGGTAGTCATAGTCACTGTAATACCTTTCGTCCAGAGACTGGGGAAAGCTCGCCGCCACGTCTGGAGCCAATAAGGGATCTAGAGGTCCGAGCGACCCAATTCATATCTGTGCCAAGTCTTGCGGCCATAATCTCGTAGGACCCGCATCCTCGCTTTCCCAATACTCCGCAGGTGAAGTAATCTTACAGGCAGCTGGTGCCAATACGGAGTACGCAGGCACGGATACGAAGAACTCGCACGTTTTCTACATCAGTCACACGTCCGCAACTCCATTTCATTGTCACAACGCACCATCTACCTCCGCCCTTGCGGCTGCATCTCCTATTCTTGGACTTCTCTTTCGCCGCAATCATGGGTCGACCACGTCGGACCTCCAGTAATCTTGGAGGTGACCCTCGAGGCGACACAGGCGCACCTGCCATGTCAACTCTGGCCCCACGGTCGTTTTCGGACCATGTGAGTCAAGGAGGACACACTACTGGAACACTGCTGACACGAACAGGCGAATGAGAAACATCTTAAACCGCACTCGAAAAGGAGAAAAGCCCGATCGATACTGCGCCGGTATAAACAGATCTCCTTTCGACATACCTGGCTGAATCCTCTCATCCTCGTCCTCATCGTGCTCGCTAGCTACTATGCCAACCCGGGACCGCAGAATCCGCTGCATCATGCCATCTTCCTCTCCTATCCGCTGGGACCCGACTACCCCGGGGGCCCAAACATGTATGGAAAAGGAAAACTCGACTTTGCGTTTGTGGGCTTCTACACGATAGTGCTCAGTTTCACAAGAGAGTTCTTCATGCAGCGAGTCATTCTGCCGTGGGCCGTCCGGGCCGGGATCAAGAGTCGCGCGAAACAGTCCAGGTTCATGGAGCAGGTGTACACAGCCATGTATTTCAGCATCTTCGGGCCTTTCGGTCTATATGTCATGTCACAAGGATCGCTGTGGTATTTCAACACGACCGCGATGTTTGAAGGCTTTCCTCATCGAAAGCACGAGGCTGTCTTCAAGGCGTACTACCTGCTCCAGGCAAGCTACTGGAGTCAGCAGGCTATTGTCCTTATGCTACTGTTGGAGAAGCCCCGCAAGGACTTCAAGGAGCTTGTGCTGCACCACATTGTGACGCTCGCCCTGATCGGACTGAGCTATCGCTTCCACTTTGCCAAGATGGGCATTGCTGTGTACATTACCCACGATATCAGTGACTTCTTCCTAGCAGTATGTGGCAGCGCGAATCCTCTGAGCGACGCTGACAAGTTACAGACTTCCAAAACGCTCAACTACCTGGATTCGGCCATTGTCGGTCCTTACTTCGTTTTGTTCATTGGTGTGTGGGTGTATCTACGACACTGGCTCAATTGGAAGATCCTATGGGCGACCTTGACCGAATTCCGCAGCGTGGGACCGTTTGAACTCAACTGGGAGACACAGCAGTATAAGTGCTGGATCAGCCAGTACATCACATTCGGCCTGCTCGCCTGCTTACAGGCCGTGAACTTATTTTGGCTCTTCCTTATCATTCGGATCGCCAAGAACTTCGTCTTCAACACTGATTTGGCAGATGAGCGAAGTGACGACGAAGACGACGAAGAGGAGGAGCAGCACATCGAACAAACAGGACCGGATCAGAAAGTTCCTCGCCGACGCACCATCGACACCAAACTGGGCCCTGCGTTGCTCATTAACGGGAAACCAGATGAGACCGAGTCCGAACAAGAGGTTGTCAGAGAACGCAGAAAGAAGAGATGAGCAGAACCGGCATCATTGGATTCATGTAAATCAAAACTTGCATCTTTTTTGGAGCGGGTCAACGGCTGCATTCGGCGCTGTAAGAGATACATCATGGCATTGGTACGAATGCCCGTCTGATACAAACGCTGTCATATACAATAACAAGAATTTCCCATATCGTGGGATGTCGTTCTGTGACATTTGTCTGATTTGAGTGAAGATGGGCGGAACTCGTCGCGAATATATTCGATATTCTTTGTACGATGGGGGCATGAGGCAGTAAAAGGCTTGGCGGCTCTAACCGACAGCCCTCCAAAATCAAAGTGGGCGGTTTGTTCGGTCGTCAAAATCAAGTCAAATCACTGGCTGCTCATCTTGAAAGGTGCTGACACGATGGTCATACGTGGAGCACAATGGAAGATAGCAGTGTAGCAATGTGGTACGAGTGTAGCATATGCCCTGGGTATACTCCGCGAAGAGCGCTACCTATATAACCTGGATTACGTGCCGTGGCTCCTGCGCGCCTGTATCAAATCTCCCCTGCTGTAACGCTCCCAGCTATGCCTGCGCTATATGTGTGTATCCTGTAGCGAGTGGGTATCATCTTTCAAAAATCACGCTGAGCGAAGATCAGGCCAAGCCAAGGAAAAGGTATCGGCGGTGAGCGGATCAGGAAATGAGAGTCGTAAAAGTCGTTGATTACCTCCTCTTCTTGCTGCCGGCGTTTGCCGCGGCGCCAACACCCATGGCGTCTTTCGTCTTTCCCAGAAGTCGTCTAGCTTTCGCATCGCGTTTCTCAAGGGGTCCTGCAAAAAAAGCGGGTAGGTGTCGTTTGCTGTTTGCATGGTCGGGGGCAATGTCGGGACCTTGCCAGCCCTTTTGTTGGCAGATCTTGATGGCCTCTTCAAGCAGCTCCGTACCGACACCCTTTTGACGGTACCTGTTCTTGACGGTCCAGCCTCGTATGAGGCCGGTAACAGGGGCATTCTTGCCATTGCTGTTTTGTCGCCGTTTTCGTTGGCCGGATCCCGACGAGGGAGAGTTGGTGGACACATCGCGTTGCCCGCGTAGGATGAGCGAGCCAATTGCCTGATCTCCATAGCGGGATAGGATTAGTTCGTCATCGCCCACCACGTCATTCGTGTCTCGATCTTTCTCGAGCCACTTCCACGTTCCAACAGACTCGGCTTCGTCAATGAAGCCTTTGGTCACCAGGCGAACAGCGGCCAAGGTCGCCATGACAGTGCCAGCAAAGGTGGTCATGATGATAGCCCAGTCGGAAGAATTACCCTTGTAAAGGCGGTTGTGAAGGAAGCCCAGTATCAAGATCTCGAGTGCTAAAGTGACTGGGTGGTACAGAATCGCTGACGAAGCATATTGTCGCTGTTGCGCGACCGAATCGGCAATTAAATGCAAAACCTCGACCTTGTCGTCTTCGGTACTCGCAACGCTGGTGGCCAGAGGAGGTGCGTCACTCGAGAGACCAGCAGGCTCTGCCGAGGGGGGTCCCTCGACATATGCAAGAGGCGAGGGGGAGGGGGGAGGGAGGGATGCGATGGAGGACGCCATGTTGCTAGGCCTCAAGTCTGGGGTGTTGCACAATGAGGGTGGCGGAGACTCGAGGTCGATAGTCAAGTTCGCTCTGAGCGTGGTGAAGAATGCTAAGGGCATCGGTTAGTGACTTCCCACAAGGTCTTGCGCTTCTCACCTGCGGACGTTTTGAAGCCAGGGATCTTATCGCCGACAGCACGTGCTCCGTACGAGTCTTGAAAACTGGTGACTGAGGACGACTGATAGACCGCAGATCTGACCGACAGAAACGAAGTTGCAAAAGGAATGGAAGAAGAAGTAGTAGTCTGTGGAGGGGGAGCATTCGCAAGGTATAAACCCGGAGGTAATTTCAAATGGTGCCGGCCCATGGTGAAGGCGAAAAATAATTCCCTCCCATCGCCTGCACCGGCAGGGAGGGTGGTTGCGGGCGGGGGAGGTGAGCCGCTCGGGTGACGTCGATAGGCGAGCCCGATTCCCTAAGAATTGGGACTCGCGCGTGCCACCCGCCCACTTGGGAAAGTAAAGAAGAAAATTCTTGTTCAAGTCTAAAGTGCCGAAGGGAAGGTGCGAAAGAGAAAAGGGTTCATAGTGGGCGGGGACGGAAGTACTTGTTGAGCACGTTGAAGAAGCCGAGAGCCCCAGTGGTTGTTGGCTTCGTGGTGTCGATATGGGCTTATCATGACAGAGTCTGATAGGCGTGCTTGGGCGGGGCACGCGAGGAGGCTTTTCCAGGGACCATTGGCTGCGTTCGATCGCAGACGATAACTTCAGACACTCCTGAAGCACCAGCGTCAGCCATTAGCGCACTATTGCGTAAGTTGACCAGTTCAAGGAGCTGTTTCGAGACGCATGATAGGTTGATCATCTGCCTGTTCCTCGCCTGGAACTTCTGCGTCCTGCAGCTAAGCAACAGTCAAGTGCGTCTAGGCATGCTGCTTGAGTCCGAGAATACGGGCAAGTGGAGAGACACCGAGGCAGAGAACGAGGGTCTACGCACGCACAAGAAAAGAACACGCCTCACCGCTGTATTCTGGTCTGACCATAGGCATTCACTGGATCTAGTACCACCGGCCCCGCAAGTTTCAGGTCTCAAAGAGGCTTTGTAGCCCATTGCGACCTTATCATCATCATCGTTGCGTTACGTCGTAACCTCCAAGCCCCACGTCTAATAGGATCGCCCGAACATGCACCATGCCTCGGCCTTGTTGCTGCACTTGGGATTCGTGCACGCTGTGACACCTTTCTCAATGCCCGCTGGCTGATCGAATGGAATACAAAGAGACTTGGCACCCATCGATGGGGCACGCTCGTCCTGGGGCACCCCGGATTGTTCCTCAGCCTTCCGTGCACTCAATTCCTTGACCTGGTCCTCGCACTCCTCGGTCAGGCAGTGGGGAATCAGGCACACATTCTTGTCATTCAGGGCCGGAACGAAGTCGTCCCAATTCGTGATCTGCTTGATGTGGGACTTGTACTTCTCGTTGGCACGGTCATACAGATCCTTTTGAATCTGCTCCAGCAGCTTGGGGACTTCTGTGTTGAGCTCCGAGATGGCAATCTGGCCCTTGGACTCGCCTTTGGGGAGATCGCGCCGCGATGTCGACACAAAGTGACCCTTGCTTTCACCAGGTCCGAACTCGAGTCTGAGAGGGACACCTTGCAACTCCCAGTCGTTGAACTTGTAACCTGGAGAATAGCCCTCCCGCAGATCAGATATGACGCGAACATCGGCCGCTCGGAGGACTTCGACAAGGCCTTCGATTTCCTTGTATAGTGTCGTTCGCTCCTCGTCAGTTGTCTTGGCTGTGACGCCCACAGGGACAATCACAACTTGGTTCTCAACAACACGGGGAGGAAGCACAAGGCCCCGGTCGTCGCCGTGAATCATGACCATGACACCAATGACACGGGTGGACAGGCCCCAAGAATTCTGCCACACGTGCAACTTTTTTGCATCCTTCTTTTCCTCGTCGGTCTTCGCGCTGGGATCCTGGACTGTAATACCGAACATCTTGCTGAAATTCTGACCTAGGCAATGAGATGTTCCACCCTGAATACCGCGACCTGTGGCTGGGATGTAGCCCTCAACCGTTGTGGTGTAGTAACCACCAGCAAACCGCTCTTTGTCGGTCTTGCGCCCTTTTATGACAGGAACGGCCAGCAGATCCTCGTAGATATGAGCGTAGTGGTCCAGGATCTCAAGAACTTCCTTGCCCGCTTCCTCCTCAGTGAGGAAAGCAGTATGGCCCTCCTGCCAGTGGAATTCTCTTGTACGCAGGAAGGGCTGGGGATGCTTGAACTCCCATCTTACCACCGAATTCCACTGATTCAGCTTGAGAGGGAGATCTCGATAGCTTTGGATCCATTTGGCGTAGTAGGGGTACATGACGGTCTCGGAGGTGGGACGAATGGCGATCTTCTTCTCCAGCTTGGTGCTTCCGCCATGAGTGACCCAGGCTACCTCGGCAGCGAAGCCTTCAATGTGGGCCTTTTCGCGATTGAGCACATCCTCAGAAACGAAGAGAGGGAATGAGCAGTTCTTCACCCCCATCTTCTTGATTTTGGCATCAAAGTATGTGCGGACCTCATCCCAGATGAATTGCGAGGCAGGCTTGAGAATGTAGCATCCCGAAATGTCGTAGTAGTCCAGCATGTTTCCCTTGAGCAGGACCTGCTGGTACCATTCTGAGAAGTCGGTCTCTTTTGACACATCAATGCCAATCAATGCTGCGCCATCCATCTTCTTCTTCTTTCCTCCGCCGGACTTAGCAGTAGGAGCTTTGGCTTCGGGCTTGCCGAGGGCCTTGTCGCCCTTCTCCTTCTTCTCCTTCTTTCCCTCCTTCTTCTTCGACTGGTTCTCGTCTCCGGCCGGAGGGGCTGTAGCTGAGGCAGGTTCTCCCTCCATGGGCGGTGCTGGCTCGCGCACTGGCAATTGGTTTGTAGAAGTCTTGCGAGAGTGAGACATGATAGGAGAAGAGCTGCTGCGAGACTCGGACTTGAAAAGAAAGAGAATGACTCACTCGCACTATGATCAGTCAGAGCGTTCGCGCTGGAAAAAGAGTGAGGAAGTCGCGTGTCAAGTTGTGACTCGGTCGTGCCTTCCACCCCGCCGAAAGTCTTGGCGCGATTTTTCTTGAGACTCATCTGCGGCGGAAGGACTTTGGTGCCTGGTTCCTCTACAGAATTGCTTTCCCACCACGAGACTTCTCCTTGACCGCCGCACACTATCCTGACACAATGGCCGGTATCTTCGAAGCCCCCCGGAATGGCGGCAATCTTTTCCTTGGTGGTCAGAAGATTAGCGGCGCCGATGTGCGAGATCAAAATGTGCTGGCCACGCAGGCGATCGCAAATATTATGAAGACATCGTTCGGTCCGTCGGGACTGGACAAAATGATGGTAGACGACATTGGTGATGTGACAGTCACCAATGACGGGGCCACAATTCTAAGCCTACTCGACGTTGAGCACCCCGCGGCCAAAATCCTCGTGGATCTAGCGCAACAGCAAGACAAGGAGGTTGGCGATGGTACCACCTCCGTCGTCCTCATTGCGGCCGAACTCTTGCGCAGAGCAAACGAACTTATGAAGAACCGCATACACCCTACCGTCATCATCACCGGTTACCGTCGCGCACTTCGCGAAGCCGTCAAGTATCTTCAAGAGAACATCAGCACATCCGTGGAAACTCTCGGAAGAGAGAGTCTGATCAATGTGGCAAAGACATCCATGTCCAGCAAGATCATTGGTGCCGACTCAGACTTCTTCGCGAATATGGTCGTAGATGCTATGCTCGCCGTCAAGTCTGTCAACCCTCAAAAGAACAATGAAGTCAAGTATCCCGTGAAGGCTGTCAATATCCTGAAAGCACATGGCAAGAGCGCTACAGAATCGGTTCTAGTCCACGGCTATGCTCTCAACTGCACGGTGGCATCCCAAGCCATGAAGACGAGGATCACGGATGCGAAGATCGCATGCTTGGACATGAATCTGCAGAAAGAGCGGATGAAATTGGGTGTTCAGATCACCGTCGAAGACCCCCAACAGCTAGAAAAGATTCGTGAGCGTGAAGCGGGCATCGTTCTCGAGCGAGTGGAGATGATTCTGAAGGCTGGTGCCAATGTCGTCCTGACCACCAAGGGTATCGACGATATGGTTCTGAAGCTTTTCGTTGAGAGAGGTGCGATGGGTGTCAGACGTTGCAAAAAGGAGGATCTCCGACGGATCGCCAAAGCCACCGGGGCCACGATGATCAGCAGTCTGTCTGACCTGAATGGCGATGAGAAGTTCGAGAAAGAGTCGTTGGGGTATGCTGAAGAAGTCGTTCAAGAGCGGGTCTCAGATGATGAATGCATTCTCGTGAAGGGTACCAAGGCCTTCTCGTCGGCTTCCATCATCCTGAGAGGTTCAAATGACTATCAGCTTGACGAGATGGAGCGCTCTGTGCACGACTCACTGTCGGCGGTGAAGAGGACGCTTGAGTCCAATAGTGTTGTTCCCGGCGGCGGCGCCGTTGAGACTGCTCTGCACATTTACCTTGAGGAGTTCGCCCTCACAACATCGTCAAGAGAGCAACTAGCCATCGGCGAGTTCTCCCAGTCATTACTGGTGGTGCCAAAGACACTTGCTGTCAATGCCGCCCTCGATTCGTCAGAGTTACTTGCACAGCTTCGGCTACGGCACGCACTTAGCCAGCGGGTGCAAGAAGGTGATGCCAACGAGAAGGAGAAGGATCTCGCGAAGCGTCGGCAGTACAAGAATTACGGACTGGATCTCACTCGCGGCAAACTTGCTGATGTTGTGAAACTTGGCGCGCTCGAGCCCAGCATGAGCAAAATGAAGCAGCTGAAGAGCGCCGTCGAAGCGTGTGTTTCCATCATGAGAATCGATACCCTGATTAAGCTGGACCCTCCTGAGCAGGCTGATGATGGTCACGGACACTGAGATACCCATGAAGAAGCGTAGTGCAACAATAACCTCAGCCGCTAGGACGGTCGGAAGAGAATCGTGTCGCTTGAAACACAGCTGCTCTGAGCGCACAGCCTTCGCGAATATGTCCAATCCCCCGGGCTTTGGCGAACGCGGCGTGCTGTGTTAAAGAGATCAGCATGGCTAATGAATATTCACAAGCCAGTCAAGCCGTGGACCGCCAGGATGAACTGGATCTACGACGAATGTACAAGGCGCATGCTCAATAGAATAAGATGTCAATGACCTAGATCAATGTAAATCCTCGCAGCCTCAGTTTCTTGCAATTCCCCAAGGATGCCTCCGATGCTCCTTTGCCATTTGGCACGCTCAAGCAAACGGTTGCTCATAAGCATATTTATCTCGGCATCGCGCCTCTGCACCGTATTATCTACTACTTCATCCTGCAAGCTATCGACACGCCCTCAGTTTCATAGGACACGCTAACGACTTCGCCATCAGACATCAACGGCACTCGGTCCACGAACGGTTCAGGTTGCTTTACGGCGCGGGACGAGGCTAGTGACCCCTGGACGCCTTACGAGGTCGTGTAGTTTCCATTCAACGCCCATAAAAGACATATATCACCGCGAACCTCCTCTCACGTTTCCTTTGCTTATTTTCTGCTTTATCCTGCCTCTTTCAGACAACACCACCACCTGAACACCCTCTTCACCCTTTCGCTGACGCCCAAACGCCCACCGTGCCAGAAGATGCCCTCCCCACTTCTCCAGCGCCTCTACCACGTCGACGCTCCCCACCGCGCCCGCCCGGCCTCCAAGCCCATGGGCGTCCTCGTGCTGGGCCTCCCCCGCACCGGCACCGACAGCCTGCGCACCGCGCTCTCCCGCCTCGGCTACACCACCATCTGGCACGGCTTCGAGCTGCCCGCCACGCGCCAATCAGAGTCCTTCCGCTGGGTGCCCTTGCTGGAAGCCAAGGCGGCCGGCGACCCCGAGGGGGCGGTGCGTCGCTTCGATTGGGATTCCATGCTCGGCGACTGCGACGTGCTGATGGATATGCCGCCCGCGCTGTTTGGGGAGGAGTTGTTGGATTTCTATCCGGGGGCGAAGGTGGTGCTGAGTCGGAGGGCGGATGTGCGGGAGTGGCATCGTAGCTTGGCGGCGGCGGCGAGGGTGACGGTGCAAGGGCCGCTGGGGTGGACGCTGTGGACGCTGGGATGGTTTCATGCGCCGCTGTTTTGGTGGTATCGGGCTGTGGCGGTGTTGTGCTTGCAGGTTAATCTGGGGAATGGTGACTTTGAGAGGTTCGGGCACGTGGTTGGAGAGGAGCATTATCAGTTGTTGGAGCGGAAGTTGAAGGGGGATGGCAGGGATTACTTGGATTGGGAGGCCAAGGATGGATGGGCGCCGTTGTGTGCGTACCTGGGCGTGGAGGTACCGGATGAGGAGTTTCCGCACAAGAACAAGAGTGGGGATGAATTCAAACGCAACGCAGACAAGTGTATGGAGCAGATGTTGTTGAAGGCGGCGTTGAAAATGTGTGCTGTGGTGGCAGTGCCAATCCTCGCTACTAGTGCCGGGCTATGGTGGAAGAGATGAGATGAAGGCCAAACTTCTGGTGGAGGGGAGGTTTTGAAGACTGCCTAGTAAAAACGAACACTGGGGTGGATGGCCTGTGATAGTGTTCCGAGGTGCGATCCTCAATAGAAAGCATGGCTATGGTGTCTGTTGGCCATTTTTTAGGCTTTGTGTGGCCTTCTATCTTTGTTTCCTGAGCACGGATGTTCCACCACTAGAGTCTTTGGCCTCTAGTCAGCGTCCGCCTCGCTAGACTTATCCTGGCGAGCATGGAGGCGCCCTTCCAACACCTAAATCACTCATCCACCTTCTCATCCTTGACCTCGGACTTGACGGCAGTGTCATTCTTCTTCGCCTTCTTCGCTTTGTTCGCGCCCTCGTCGCCTTTAGCTTCCTTGGCGTGGCTGTCTGTAGACTTGCGTTTGCCATTGGTGCCCTTGATGTCAATCAACGGCGCATAAGCTGCGGCACCTTTGCTGGCATCGACTGGGAAGACTTTTCCGTCCTCGAAGGTGAGACCCAGTGGTTCAATGGCCTTACGAAAAGCACGGGGACTGCTACTGCGATTAGAGCCTGTGTGGGGGTGGGAGTGATGGAGAAATACCCGTTGCCTCTGCCTTTTGCTACACCGAATTGATCTTGGACGATTTGCCAGTCAGGCTTGAATTCTGGGAGTGAACACATGACGGCACGAATGATGGCGATTCCAGTTGGGGTAGGCTGGGTAGTCGGGTCGGTGGCTTGCTTAGGCGGCATTTGGCAGTGCTTGGGAGAGGTCTAAGTAATTTATGGGATGTTCGAAATGGATGAAGAGGTGCGGGAGATGAAATGTACAGAGAATGTGCAAGGGTAGGAAGGAAGAGAAGTTGCAAGAGGCGGCCAGATTTTAGGTCGAGGACATCTGTCTTCACTCGCTAGGGATTGTGACTTGTCCAAAGCTACCGGTTCTGCCATGTCTCTGATGGCCACGCGATGCCGTTGTACTTGAATCCATTACTCGTCTCTCGGTCTAATGGCCTGTTGATGCTCGCAGGCTACATGACTGATTAGAGATCTTCATCGTCGCCGTGCTCCACTTTGACTCTCGTAGGTCCTTCATCTGCATCCTTCTTGGGCTTCTTTGCCTTGGACCCCTCAGACTCTACCTCAAAGTGTACTTTGTTGCGCTTTAGATCCTGGAATTGGCCGTGCTTCTTGAGACCAGTGTCTATGGCTTTCTTAGTAGTACGAGCTGGCGCAACAGTTGGACTGCCGTCGTTGGGATAGATTTTGCCGTTCTTGAAGTCGAGATCAAGCTTGGAGAGGGCGGCCTTGAAACCTCGTAGCCTACCAAACATTAATATGAGTGCTCCTGATGTCGAAGGATGACGTACCCATGGCCCCCCTTGCCCAAACCCCAATCCTCTGAGACCATGGCGAAATTCGGCTTGACCGAGTCCAGCGAGCAGAGGGTGGCGCGGAGATAGGCGAGGTTGTTTTCGGTCAAATTGACGTCGGCGGACTGATTACCAGACTTCTCTGCCATCTTGTCTTCGATGTGATTGTATTGAAAGGAAGGTAGAATACAAACGTTGAACAGGTCAGGACGATGGTGCTCGGGCAAAGAGCAAGGTTTTTGTACTTTCGGAAGAAGAGTCTTCGTGCTTCAACGTAGCTAAGTACCTTGCAGCGATCATTCACTTCTGGCTGATTCAGGCTCCAGCCGTCTCAACAATCCCAGCACCGAGCTCTCATTAATGTCTGACTCTTCCTAGTGAGTCCCTAGAATCTACGTGTTCGCTCTCTGGCCTCCGATAGACGTCGGCAATCTGCAACCTATGATGGTCGATATAATTAGGCCGAGGTCGCACCAGCATCATCAAACTCCTTCGTATCCTCGCCATTCTCACTTTCCTCGTGCTTGGGCTTCTTGGCACTCTCATCACCCTCAGTCTCCTCGCTAGCCTTGCGCTTCTTTCCACCCGAACCTTTCGCAGGAGAAGCGTTGGCCTTGGTCGTACCGCTGGCAGCCGGACCAGCAGTGGCGTCACCCTCAGTAGCTGAGAAGACCTTTCCGTCCTTGTAGATCAGATTGAGCTTCTTGAGAGCCGCCTTGAGGTCACGGGGACTTCAAGGTTTTAGCACGAAATACCAGATATGCTAAGTGAACCTAACTTACGCGTTGTTCTTGTTCTTGATACCGATCTCGTGAGAAACGGCAGCCATGTCGGGCTTGAAAGAGTCGACATGAATGAGAGAGGCGCGGATAACGGCGATGTTGGAGGCAGTCAAGCCGAGATCAATAGTGATGGCCTTGGGAGGCATGATTGGTTCGAGTAAGGTGTATGATCAAGTGGGTTAAGGTCGTCAAGATAGAGGAAGGAATACAAAGAGGGAGAGAATCAAGCTCCGCTAAGTAGTCCTTGACAAGCCATGTAATTCACGAGTGGGCGGAAGCCTGTCTTCTACTGTTGCAGTATGCTGGAGCCTAGGAGGCCTGCTTGAGTTCGTCTGATCGTCACCTCGAAATGGATTCACCGTCGCCTGGAAATGAGAAGTCTGAGACTCCGGCAACAAGAACTTTTTCGAACCTGACCAATAAGACAATATGTTGTAGAGCCCATTTCTGGGCATCGGCTGATGATATTGAGGGAATTTGCAGTTCATTCATTGTCTTGGGTAGCCTGCACGACTGACCCACGTTCACTATCCTGCTTGACCTTTCCAAGCTACCTACTCGCTTTTCACCAGGTGAGCCCTTCATCTCCAAGCTACACCACAACGAGGCTGCTTCCCTTAAGCCGTAGAGTCGTCAACGTCTTCCTCCTTGACCTCCTTCGTGTTGGTGCCATTGGTGTTCTTGCTATCGACCTTGATCTTCTTCTTGCCACCATCTTCCTCAGAACCCTCGTTGGCCGAGCGCTTAATGGCGCCGTTGGACTTCGAGGGAGCAGTGGCTGTAGCAGCGGTAGGGTCGTCGGCGAGGGCGTAGATCTTGTGATTCTTGTACTCAAGACCCAGCTTGTTGAAGACTTGGTTCAGTGATCGAGCACCATGGGAAGTGTCAGTAACTTAAGAGTGACGTGGTCTTAGTACCTTACACATTCTTCTTCTGCTTGACACCGATGTCTTGCGCAATGAGGTCCAAGTTGGGATTGAAGGCCTCGAGGTGGGTGAGGGCAGAGCGAAGAGCAGTGAGATTGGCGACGCTCAGGTCGATGCCGACTTTCTTGGATTTAGGAGGCATGATTGTAATGGGCGTGGGATTATTGGTCTGGCAAGAATGATGTGGTGTATAATGAAAAAGGAGAAAGCTCGCCTGCGGAAAAGACAATCTTATAGTGCGGCAGTCACTCGAGAGCTTTAAAACGTCTGCCTAGCCAACTACGCGCGGTACACTTTGCTTGGAACTCTTGCTGGACACCTTACAGTGACTATTTGATCTCGTCATCAAGCTATCTCCCACTTAAACTGCCTCTGAACCCAGCCTTGCCAGTTCTTGGGGTATCAATCAGTTCTTCAGGCCTAAGCTCACACTGTATAGAGCATCATCATAGCTATTAGTAGCAAGCTTCAGGACTTTATTTTAGCACCTGGTACTAGCTACCATTCTAATATTGGTCACTCGTGTATTATTCCTGAACCTCACTGATGCGCACGATGGTGTGGCCGGCTTTAACTTTCTTGGCAGGGGCTCAGCCTCGCCCTCCCCCGATCTAGGAGCTGCAGCAAGTGATTCGAAACAATGCTTCTTGACGAGAACTCAGAGGACTATCTGGGTTGTTATGTATTTAGACTCTAAACATTGATTTATCCGCCTTATACTGGCATTCCACTGACTTATAGAGACAGCGTGAAGGCTAGACGCGAATACGAGATCGCGGCACTGCTTTCGCAACAACAGATTCTGCATGCTGGTAGAGATGCCAGCACACTTGTTGTATAGCCCGGCAATCCTTGGTCCGGCATCGCTTACTCAACTGCATTATAACGTCGAGCATTGCTTTGGAAATGCGTATATCCGGCGGAACCCCGTCCTCTTCTGGGTTAGTTGTGGCGTGAGACATCAAGATAGCGATTGCTGCGATGATGGCGTGTGAAACCATGTAGAGCCAAGCAACATCGCCTCTTGGTAGAACCCGAAGGAAAGCGACGAATCGCCGCGTGTCTGCCAGGCACAGTGGTGTTTTGCCCAGCCCAATCTTCAGGATAGTCTCTGGGTCCCAGACACCACTCGTTCCTTTGGGCCGCAAATTTATATGAGTCTCGAGAATGAACAGGGTCATAAGGTAGTTGGCCTCTAAGCTGGTTAGTAGTACCAGGTCCGATCGGTGGATTTCGCGCACGAGGTCCGGGGGATTCAGCCTGAAAACCCAGGAGGAAGAACGCCACTTTTCTAGTTCTTTTTTCAGATTGCCCGCAGCCTGATCAACATCTTCGTTACGTGTAGAAGTCGCCAGCACGTTCTCACATACTCGAGCCTGGATCAGGGCCAATTCTGACCGCAGACGCAGGAAATTAATGCTCCATCCGTCTCCAGTTGCGGATCGGATTTCCCCGATACCCTGAGCGGCGGTTTGGGGCGGTAGTTCGATTTGTGCCAAATCAGCCAGTCGCCAGCTTGGCATACGGGTGTATCTCAGTGACAACTCTGTCTCTAACGCAAATGCGATCCAGAAGAGTGTAACCCACTGGTCATCGGCGGCCATCCCATCTGGCAATGCTTGACTTGGCCGCGAGCCAAGTCCCAAAGGTTCCATCATTCTCAAAGCCGTGGACACGAGATACGGCGCACGATTATTGTCCGTCGACAGGTACAGAAGCATGCCGAGAATCAAGACACATTGTACCGAGAGCAGCGAGGGATCTTGCATGAGCAAGGACGGGTAAGCTTTCAGCAAATGCTGCTTGTAAGCGTCTGCTAAGCTTTCATCGTCCGGACTGGCTACAGGGCTCATGCCTCTGAGACGGTGGGCCAGTCCTAAAACCCCCATCACGGCGAGAAAAGCATTTGAGCCTTCAGGCTCGCGACCAGCGTAGCAGTCTTGAAAGATTTGCACCAATGCGTCCCGTCCAAACAATGGAATAGCTTTATTCCAGTCTTCCAGATACTCCTGAAGCAGTAATGTGGCCTCGTGCGGCGGAGGTAGGTCGCGTTGTGTGGGTCCGGTGTCCAGTACGGTATGTTGGTGCTGATAGACATGATCTGGCAGATTCCATCCGTTGCACAATGGATTCTGACCAAAGTTTGAGCATGTAGTCACAGGATCTGCAAAAGGCTCCATTGGTGTGGCCTCGCAACTGGCTGGGTTGGAGTTGCTCGGTGTTCGTTCCGCAATCGAGTCGCCATAATTGGAGCCAAACCCAAGGGATGGAAAATCAATGTTAGTTGCTGAATCTTTCGAGACTGATGACACTGCATCGCTGTCGCGGGGAGGCCCTTCAGGCGGTAAAGGCAGTGCTGAGGGGTCGAGGCCTGACGCGGTGAGCAAGGATTCCATTTGGCGAACCCTATCTTCCAGATCGTGCATTTGCCGCCTGAGAGCGTTAGAAAAGAAGCTGCTTGGATCATATTACGCACTTTCTCACACCTTTTGGGCGAGGCTTTTGTGTAAGGGAGATCTCGCAAGCGGTGCCTGCTTTTCGGCATGTTGAGCAGGTTTGGTTCTCCTTACTCCAGTTACATCGGCGCTTCTTTTGCCTACAGAGCTCACACGCCTGTTTCGGTCAGCAACTCAACCTCCCATTTAGACATGCATGAATCGCCTCACCCGTGAATTGTGGCTACTATGTCGTCCACCCTCGGTAACAACATTTTGCATCTTGTGTGACCCTAGGGCTCGCACACAATGAGGGTCGGACGACGAGGAGCCAGCCAGAGTGCCAAGGTACTTTATGTCGACCTTCAGTCAGCCTCTCAGTCACGACGTGTTCTTGTCCAGATCGAGGGAGCACGCTGAGCCAGTTGAACTTGCGGATTAAACCAATACCACGAGCATTTTGCCCAAATCACTAGCAAGGCTCGCTATCATCCTGGCGAAAGAGGATCGGAACACACCAGGCCCATGCCACACGTCGCTGAGTAGTGGCCCACGCTTACAAATGCTTCCCAGACTAAAGGAGGAGTGCTGACAAGGCTCTAGGAAAAGGCTGGTCAAAGTGGCCAATCAGAGTTCTGGAAAATGCTTTCGGACGAGTGACGGATGAAAAGGAGCGGGTTCCTCCAGGTTCCGCAATCCGCTCCCTTTGCACTCTTCTATGTACATCCGATTTCTCTAGCCCGTTGCTCTTGCCTTTTCATGGTCTTGAATAACTCCGTGGATTGCCGATTAACCTATGACCGGTACCCAGAAACATATTGAGCTGATGGTCGATTGCGTGGAGGATAGTCCCGAGTAGCGGTCGAGGTCCATTATATCGCGCGAGCATCTCTCAACAGGTGGTCCAGCTCACCAGTCTTATTTATTGACTGGATCTCGCTATTGCCGCCAATGTGCTTCTGCCCGATGAATATGGAAGGTACCGTTCGATGACCCGTCATTTGCTTCAAAGCGCTGTGCATGGCTGTTCCACCCTCTTTATTCTGTCAGCTTGAGCATCAAACACCTTGTATAAGATACTCACTTGTGACATCGACATTGATGGCCGTATATTTAACACCTTTCTTGCGCAGCAGACGTTTCGTGGCTGCACAATAAGGACAGCTGACCTTGGCGAACACGACGACGGCATCACTCTGGATGATCTGCTCGACGTTGGCCTGCGCATCGGCACTCGAGCTCGAGCCTGAGCATGATGATTGCGAATTTCCCATGATTGCTTCTCTGTGCTAACAACTGTGCTGGGCGTCTTATACTGAGCGTCTGATAAATAAAGAATTATCAGCTTTGGTTGTAGAGCAGCGTGAGGCAAACAGGCCTTTTATAATTGGCGCCGCCCACCGCTCTTTGATGTTGAGATTCCTAGTGTAGTGGCTTGAACTGTGTCGTCGTCACTCTTCGGCGCTGCTTCGCCGTGCGCCGCACTCGCTGGGTATGGACGATGATGAGATCATCGTATCTCGCAACGTGCTGCGGCAGTGCTCGGCGGTGATCTGCTTAAATTTAGGTGTCAGCGGCAAGTGCAGCCTTCTTCGGTTAGGCTGCCAAGGCCAACCTTCCCAGCGACGTCGGGACGCCGGCGAGCTGCACACTCTGTAGTTCGCGACTGCTGGACCCCTTGCGGGCACAGCGCAGTCCCTCGTCGATCCCAAAGATTCAATTCCGCATCGCGAGAGACGAGTACAGACTCACTGATGCTTTCTATTCCTGCCGTCTCAGAGTTACGCCTCACGTACAAACGTTTCCCCAAGACGAGACGCAGCGGCGTAAGTCGCACCTCAGTAATCTTGTTTCGATATTGCGATGTACCCTGCAGACTGAACATGCTTGAACATGCTGAGAAGCCTCCGTCCAGTAGACGGGCACGAAACTGCCGATTCTTATATCTTGGCATCAGGCGTCACGACGTGGCCGCCTTTTCGCCTCACTGACTGCACCACACCTGAAAATCAATTTCGACCAGAGTGTCTTCGAATCCCACTCATACCAAAGCAATGAATGGATCTGACGCAACTCGATGAACCAGAGAGATACTCTTGAGCAGTTTCATGGCATTTCAAGCGCCCTTAGCGAAAGGCAGGTGCGTACTGCACAATTTCACATCGAGAAGCCATTATGGCGTGCGTTAGCACCATTCAAGGCATGGCTGGTGGCTACGAAGGCTGGGAAGATCGCTCGTCCGCACCATGAAACAACAACTGGCTCAGTGAGCGCCAGCGGCAAGTGCCTGCTACGGATCGCCCGTTACCCGCGTAAGCGAGACCTGGACGACCTTCTTCCAGCCAATCATGTTTGACAGACACTTGTCGTTCATTTCGTTAAGCCACCCGTTCACGTACAGGCCATCTTAGCTACAGAAACCCTTGCGGTGCAGCTCTGTCCTAATGTGAGCATGAGCAGCATAATGTTGCCCAAGCGTCGACATGCAACGTACCAAGATTCAACTGCTTTGGGGCCACGATAGAAAGCCTTGAGCAAAATGTAGCTTTTCTACCGGTCACCCGAAATGAAAGCTGATGATAACTTGTGGTAGACGGATGGAGGCCGTGACCTACACACCCCTGCGCAGTATGCGTGCGCTGCCAGGGTCAGACATGCGCCAAGATCCGACCGCGGATTGTGGCTGTCGTGCCTGAGACATCAACGTAGCCTCTACGGTATGCCTCTGTCAGCTGGCCCGGCAGTGTTTTGCAACATGAGTCGAACTGCCTAGGCTTCTACAGACCATGGCCGGCACCATCGATAAGCGTCCAACGGCACTCTGAGGACTCCTGGAGGGCGAACACATGACTCCCCGCACGCTGGTACTCAATGTAGCAGTCTCACTTTATCACTGTGGGCTGTAACACTGCCACAAAGTTGTTTGGCAGTGGTTTTCCGCGCCAAGGGTACATGTGCAGACCGTACATGGGTGTACTTATCGGTCGTGGCGCGACTCAGAAACTCAGCCATGCTTCATATGCCTTGGCCCTAACGGGCTATCCCCTACAGACCGATGCACTGCCGCCGACCCAGTCAAGACCCAGCCACCTCAACGATGTTGCTCATATACGCTTGAAGAGATCGTCCTGCTCGTTGATTCAACCTTCCAGCAGATCATTTATCTAACTGACTAGTGCTGAAGACGAATCAGAGACGATGTTACGAACGATTTTTGAATGCGCTGCTGTTTTTTGGATCATCAGGTCTCTATATACAATCAACCACTCTATGCAGAAAGCGCAAAATAAAACGAAGCCAAAAGGTCCCGTCACCGAGCCCCAATGTCGACTTGTCAGCATCTTTTCTTTGGTCCGGAGCCCCAAACCGTTCACCTGTGCTGCCGTCAAACCTTGCGGCGAACGCTGTGGAGCAACGCTCAATCGTCGAGACTCAGGCTCGGCCTACGCCTATTACATGACACTCTCAACAGAAAACCCCGGAGAGACCAGTAGTATCCATCAAGCAGTCCGGGCTTGCGTCAGAAGCTGTCTCTGCCGCAACCATAAGGGAGTCTCCTGGATCGACGCAGGTTGTAAGCAGTGGATCAACGAGTTGGCCGTTGCCCTCGAAGAGTGTTGGCAGGCGCAAAAGGCAGATGGATGGGCTCAGCATGAAGCCCAGTGGGGACATTGCATCACAGACTGTCTCTGGTGTACTACCCGTGGAAAAGGACAACCATGGCTCCCTGGAGCCTTTCTTGACGATCCATGCATGTCGGCAATTCCTTCAGCATATACTGAGAAGTTCCAGGTGCGCTCTGAGCTGGTTTTGAAGTACTTTGCGAGCCCACGTCGAGCTTCTGCGTTACGAAATTCTGTCAGTGTCAATCAACTGAATGATTGGGAAGTCGTTCCCATCACCCATGAGTTGACATCCCAGATCGGGTCCATCATTGATTTGCGACGTATGGTGACAACAGAGATATCGTCATCCGAGGTATCCAACGGCCACATATATGCGTTCCGATGCCCAGATGATACCAAACACATCAAGATCGGCTGGACAAGAACCACCGTGGTCGAGAGACTGTATAGCACACGTCAACGCTGCAAGATATCGACAAAGCTACTCTTTGAAACAAAGACAGCGATCCCGAATGCAAGGCGGATCGAGGACCTGATCCATTGGGAACTGCAAAGTCGTGGCTTCCGCCGCAGGAATAATCAGTGCAAGAAAAGACAAGAAGCCGAAACGTGCAAAGCGGTCCACGGAGAGTGGTTCGAGATTGATCCTGAGTGCGCCAAGAAAGCCATCGCGTTCTGGGTTGCCTGGGTACAGTGGTTCAAGCCTTACGGAGAAGATAGGCTTCTCTCTATTGATATGGCTAAGGAGATGAGCCACCCAGCGGAGTCTGCAAGTGAGACTATTGAACGATGGCGAGCAATCATGAAAAAGCCGTTGGCTGGTAGAGGGCCTCAGGTGTTGGTGTCAACGATCAGATCGTATGTCACTGAGCAATCCGACCTGAGTGAGGACGACCTCACGCCCACGGCTGATTCACCCAGGGCGAGACGATGGAGTTCCTCGTCTTCTGGAGATAGAGCTCACAAGACACCGCCCCGACAGACTGCTGCAAGACCACCGACATCCCAACCGTTGCGTTTACGATACCAATCGACTCCGCCGACCGCTCCCACGCCAGCAGCTCAGTCTTGCAGCAGCTCAAGCTCGTCTACACCCAACAGCGTTTTCTCGAATGCCTCGACTGCGTCTTCGACAGCCACAGACCCAGGCGACTACATCAGCATTATCCCCAGCCGGCTATCGCATGAATTCGCAGCTTCTCCTGCTGGCTGTGCCAGTCCCACGCCAAGTTCACGCAGGGCTAGCGCGTCGAAGAGAGCTGCCACTGAGAGAAAAGTATCGACCGGGCCAGTAACAACTGAGCAGAACGACTCTCCTGGTCTCGATGGGACAGGCTCAGGGTCAAGCTCTCATGCTTCTGATAGTCCCACGCGCAAGCCTAGGAAACCGAGGCGAAGTCGAGGCGAGGCTGTCGCTGGATGACCAAACCCACAGCCCAAGGGGGGCAGTTGAAGGAAGAAAAGGAAATGACTTGGACCGCAGATCAACAGCACTTTGGTATATTTTGGCGGCCTTGAGAAACGAGCATACACGCGAGCATACCTACCTGGAACCCCCAGTGTGGGTTTCCGACGGCATAGACGGCATGGGCTGCATCAGCACACACTCGGATCTTCCTTCGTGTAGCTCCTATCGACGACAAGCGCGTCCAATTCTCCTCGACTTCCGTACTCATGAAGTCGTGACAAGGGGCTCCTTCGGCTTCCGAGCAAGTCTCCCTCTGAATTGGGCTTAAAAACCTTCCCCCAAAAACCTTTCGCCGTGGGCGTCTTCACGACCACAACCCCGAACATATGTGTTCGTCCACGCAAAGTATGGAATAAGTGGCGCGAGTCATGTCTCCCCATCGTCAAGGATAGACATCCACCTGGTCACGGAACCGCACAGCATGGTGCCGGTTCTTCCTCCCCGAGACAGACTGCAGATTGTTCTCAACAGCAGCCGCCGACCGTGCGATCTTCTTTGACATGTCTGAAGAGACACCGACCACAGCAGCGTCAGCCGTTTGTGACTCCTCAGGCGCCGTACCAGTCAGCTGGAGATCGACGGTCTGCCTCTTCCGTGGCATTTGTGATTGGGACCTGGGAGGGCTGATATCGATTGGCCGAGCATACGTCGCACCTTGTGATTGCTGTGGTGTGGCTGAACGAGGCGCGTGGGAGTTAGAAGATATTCGCTGGCTTGCACGCTGACTGTTCCAGACTTGACCAGCTTGCTTAGTTGGATTTCTAGGTGGCGTACCCGTCTGCCGGCCTGCAGAACTGTTGGCTTCTGTGTTGTTCGCCAGTAGGCGGCTTCTGTCTGCTGCTGAGGCCTGGACGAGTTTTAGAGGGAAGAGTGGGGTGGTAAAGCGACGAGTCATCTCCCGCTCGGCTTCCTGTTTCCATATTGAGTCCATTCTGATTCTGTGATGACAATGGCATAACGCGATGGTCCATATTTTGCAATGGCCTGTGCATTTGTAGATTTATGTGTTTTATTCTCGAGGGGCCGGGCGATGACGATTGAGGCGCTTACTAGGACTGCCGTATCTGTTAGCTAAAGTCAAATTGCCCTTGATCTGCAATGGCGATCTGCGGACCCTGGCACGGGTCGGCCAAGTCCTAATTCGGCCATCGACTTTGTACAAGGCATTGTTGGTTGTGGACCAGAGACTGCAGCTCTCGTCCGTCATATTTAGACCTCTATACTGACCAGAAGTGTTGTGAATTGTGTACCCGGCGCCAGCAATCTGTATTGACAGGCGACAATCGCTCCAAATGTCCCTACCAGACCAGGGAAATAGTCGAGCCCACCCCTTCTTGCGCGAGACGCTCTTCACCGTGGCCTTTGCGACCGTCAACAGCTAACTTGATGGCACGGATCCCAATGCCACGGGTACGAAGCCACGCCTCGTCTTCCTCGGTAGTAGGAACCCTTATGCGAATAAGAGGCCCAGCTCCCTGGCTGGTTGGAGTCGTCAACTTGTACGACACTCCTTTTTCCCTGCTTGAATCGGCCGTGATCTGATCTGGGGCGACGCCAGTGATGTTCGAATACAGGGTAGAGTAAGCAGTGAGTTTCTCAGGTGGCACCAGGACATCGACGCTGGCGATACCGGTCGCTTTGCATGGATGCGCGATGGCACTGTCGTCATCGAAAGGGACGCGGACCACCCTAGCCGTCACATCGTGGGCGAAGAAAGGTGTATCGAGGCGACTTGTTGGAAAGAAGCTTGTTGCGGGGGTTTCGGCAGCATTTGAGTATTCGGGCCCGGTCATTTCCCATTTCACTTCGACACCGTCCTTGCGCTTACGGGCACCCGGATTTGGAGGATTGAATTTGACTCCCAGGCCTCCGTCTCCCTCTTCATGCACTAAACGCCGGGTCAAGTGGTCATAGTTGACTGTGGCAGTGAAAGGTCGCAAGGTTGTCAAGGCGAATGCTATTAAACCAGGGGATTTATCCACCCAAGCGGTCTGAATTGGATTGTCGTGGTTGATCCAAGTGAAAAGTTCGATCTGCGTCACGACCAGTTTTGTCAGTGTGCTGCGAAGCCTCATGAAGATAGACATAGCAGAGCCGCGGTTGCAGACTCTCTTTCCACATCACTCACATAGGTGCCATCGCCAAAGATGATGAGCTTGTTCTTACTCGAACCACCTGTAACAAAGTCAACTTAGGGGCGAACAACTCGACTCGCATGCACTACCTGCATGCGTTCCGCCCTCAATGACCTTGAAGTTGGAGCTCAGCCAAGAGGGTAGACTTTCCAAGACTTCGTTTTCAAGCAGTAGTACGACGTGATCATGGCAGCAGTAGGATAATGACATGGCAAAAGCTCGCTTCCGCGGATGTATCTCTTGGGAGCAGACGACAGATGTAAGGAGGGGTACGGATCACTACGCGGCCAGAGCATCATCGGCGCTCCGGGGAAGTGGATACTGATCGGGTGTGCAAACATGCCAAGTCTGTGTTGTAGACTTGGCATGTTTGCTGATTCTCGACCGAGGTCGTCACAAGCCATGGCGCAGAACAGCCTTGCTTCATCCCATTACTACCTCCGGCTATCACTGGCGCATCACTGACAGGAACTTACAATGATGGAATGGCGAGCTCAATCCTGACGAACTTGTCAGTTTGAAGGTAGGTCCAACATGGATGGCATTCGAACGGGCTCTTTGATCGGCCGACCCTGAAGCTGCCTTTCTTTGTTGATCATTTCCGGCGAACAGCCATCAAAGACTTCAAAGTCCATGAGCCAGATACGTCGTGCAATTATGCGTTCGCCGTGCAATCCGAAAACCATCCCCAAGGTCGTCTCCTTGTACTAATGCTGCAGCCCCGTTGATTTAACTCTTAGCCATCTACCATAAGACGGAGCTCGCACCTTGCATATTAGAGACACATGTATGGCTGCTGCGCCGCTACACAATGACCAAGCAAGTATCAGATGACGAACATATCGTGGGCACAACTTCTGCTGAAGCAGTCGACGGAACAAAGGTGATCGCGGCCAGCTTGAGAGACCCCGGGACCGAAGCAATACGCTGCGCCAAGGACACGATCCTAGAAGGATGCGTTACCCGTGAGCTACGACGAGCCGAGATCTCCCTCGACCATGAACGCCTCGATCTTGCCGTCGATCATGTTCGAAATGCCCGTGCATATTGCAAAGACTTCGAAGCAACAGAGCAAGTCTGGCGCTTGTGCCGCAACATGGAGGCTCTCCTTCGCCATTGGGCACTGCAAGATAAGACTGTCTATCTGACGGAGCCCACAAAGACACATTCAATACCTCTGCCCGAAGCGGCTGCACCTTTCTGCGCGCCTAGCGTACGCATCGACAGTGACGTCTCTTTATTCGCCAGATTGATGCGAGAAGTGCAACAACGAAATGGCACCCCGGCTCCAGGCTCCCCAGTACAGGAGAGTCCCCAGCTGCCTCCGCCGCCTGCAAGGACAAGTCTGGACCAAGAAGCGGGTATTCGCGACCCGGCTTCGTCTAGTTCAAGCGGTAGCTTCGAAGGCATAGACGAATTACTCCCACGTCTAAAAAGCAGTCCACTGGCACAAGCTCCTCGGCTCCGTCCAGAACCCGCAGTATTTGAGCTTTCAACGACGAATGCAGCCGCCAGAATCAGTAAATGGTATGACAGCCATCCACGAAGCCCGTCGTTATTCAAGAACAGCGAAGTACCATCACCGCGGCGCCACTCCTTCCCTATCGCAAGCCCGGGCCTACCGCCATCTCCAACTTCTCCAAGACACGAGAGAAAACGGTCACTTCACATTCATTTAAATGTCCTGGCCGAGTCAGAGCCGCGAAGTCGTGCGGAGACGTTGGCATCGACAGATGACTCGGCCTCCAATTATTCGCAGAAGAAGTCTCAAGGTGAGATGAGTACTGCACTCTCGGACACTCCTGCACTGACCAAATTGGTCGATGACTTACAGAGCAACCCATTCGCGGCGCGGGAAAGTGCTGTTGCGCAAATAGTCAGAAAACTATCACTCGAATCTCCTTCTGCTCTGGGCCCCGTTGACAGCTCCTCTGTGGATAATGAGCATGGTGACGTCCTGCCACCAAGCCCACTTCGAGTAGCCTTTGGGCCCGAAGACCTGCCGACACAGCTCAACCAGGCACCTTCTCTCCAGCCACGAAGCCCCGCGAGCCAGAACACACCGCCCCCACTCCCGCTGCAGACACATTCACGCTTGACACTCTCGTTACAACTCGGAGCTGGCAATGCCGCTGGTTCGCCAACTCGAGCCAGCCCTCTCCGAGAAACATCATTCTTCCCAGAATCTGGTCCGAAGGTGACCCGTCACAAACCACCGCCGCTAACTCGCAGAGCAGTCCCCCATTCTCGGCTCCCACGTCCGATGAAGCAGTCTAGTGGTCCCGTCACCGCCAGTAATCCTGCCATTTCAAGCTCCGCCGCATCCTGGGCACCCACTTACGCCTTCACCTTGACCTCATCTCCCCAAGCCATCACAACACCTCCAGCCAAGTCATTCAGACCTCCTCCAAATCCACCGCTGGACACCATTTCGCAACGCCGTCCTCTACCAGGCCAATACGCCGCCAACAGCAGCCCTTCGACCCCCAGCACCCGCGCCCGCCGGAACGCTTCCATCCGCGTCTCTAAGATCGCGGCGCGTTTCGAGCATGAACTGCGTCTTGGAAAACCGAAAACGGCAGGGATCGATACGCCCAAAGTCAGCCGTAACGTGCCGAAAGCGCAAGGGAGCGATATGTACAAACTCAGCCGCAGCGTGCCGAACGCCGAACGCCCGCCGTGGCAGATACCGGGGAATCAGGGCAGGCCACCGGTAGCCACCACGGCGCCGCAGAGACCTGCTGGGTTCGCGAGGTGGGCTTCTGAGATGGGGGAGAGGAGGCTAGGGGCTGTTCGCGGCGCGCGGTGAAAGTCAGGAGATTGGGGCGGTTGTCGGTGGAAGACAGTAGAGCGCGTGTAGGGGAAAGGAGGGGGAAAAGAAACAATACATGTAATTCGGTGGGTTTCCTTTGCCGTGATGGATGATGAGCTTTTTCTTTAGACACGAACCTCTTGGTCGTGTTGCGAGCTGTTTCGACACAATATACATAGACTTTCTAGAATCTAGTTTGACGCTATCATGTAAAAACGCATACACCCGGCATTCTCGAATCTTTGAATCGTGGGAGATCCGGACATAACTCCATCTCGGTCTCGTGGACGGCCCTAAATTCCCGTACCCAAACACACATTCGCTCAGGCGTCCACACCGACGCCCCCTCGAACACGCCAGCGGCGGAGACAAGCGGTAGCGAACGCCCGCGCACAACGACGCGCAGAGAACCCTCACCGCGGCGGCGGCGAAAACGCCATGCCGCCAACAGGCACATACCCATCCGCGACTGTAGGCTGCCTGCCGCCCTTGGCGCCCTTGGCGCCCTTAGCCTTCCTCCCCTCCTCCTCGCGCCACTGCACCTCCTTCTCGTCCTGCGCGACGCTACAGCAGCAGCAGCACGCAGCTTTCAGCAGATCCTCCAACACGCCCCCGGTGAGTTTGCGGTCGAGTTCGTAGGCTTTGCGGACGCGCGTCTTCTGGATCGCGGCCAAGACAATGTTGATGCCGCAGAGGAGGCCGAAGGCGACGCAGCTGCCGTTGCAGGCGGTGTAGCCGAGCATGTTGGTGGGGTCTCTGCGGGCGGAGCGCTGGGTCAGGCGGTATTGCGTGCGGCCGTAGGTGATGCAAGGGCAGGTTAGGGCAGTGAGGCAGATGGTGGGCTCGGCGCAGGAGCAGAAGGAGTGGTGCCAGGTGCCGCCGCGAATGGGTTGCGGGGTGGGGGAGAAGGAGGAGATGGGGATGGTGGAGGAGTCGGTGGAGGGCGCGAGGATGGGGATGTTGGTTGTGTTGGAGGTGGTGGCGGTGGGGTGATGCTGTTGTTTGGTTGGTGTTGTGGGACTGAGGGGGTTTTCGTCCGGTGCTATGGGTATATTGGGCTGGTGTTGAGGTGGGTCTCGGTTTGTGGGCTGAGGCGGCATCTGTGTGTACTGCATTGTGTTCTCGGGCTTCGTATCCTGGGATTGCTGCTGGTTGCGGTGTTGTTGATGAGGTCGAACTGGATATGATAACGGATGGTCTTGGCTGGAATATGAGGTTGGCCCAGAGGCGTAATGCTGGGCAGCCGGATGCTCGGATTGAGTATAAGTTGGGGCAGACTCTACGGGAACAGCAGGCTGATGTGGTTGCTGTGGCTGGTGTGCCCCGGTTTGCTCAAGGGCCCGGCTGACTGTGTCTGGGTTCGAGTGAGATTGCTGGTTCTGCAAATGCTCCGGAACTTGGGGAAGAGGTGGGACGTTAGGTGGCCTTTGATTGCCGCCATCGCGGTGCCACGTGTATCCCTTTGCCTCAGCCGGTGTGTCCACCCATGAGAACCTGCTGTGCTGTGAATGAGTGGGCTCTTGAGGCTGATGCCGTTCTTGGTCCATTCGAGTCTGGGACGATCTAGGTACCTGAGGGTACTCGTATACACCCATATTGACAGTTCCCAATGCTAGAAATATGCCTTGCGCGGGGCTGAAGTAAAGCAGAGTAGCACGATTAGCGATACAGACAAGTGATGGATGTCAAGGATCAGCAGGAGTGGTATGACGGGCAGGTGGCCTTGCCAGTATCTAAATAGAAGCACAGAACGAGACGAGAAGGCAAGGTTGAGAGATCGGCCAGGCTGAACGATGAGCACTGGGGGCCGGGCCTTTGAAGTCATGCTTGCAGCGAAGATCAGGGACACCGCTGCTCAATCCCCTGGGCCCTGCGTTTGCGCATCACAGCCATCGATTGGAGGAAGAGGTGAACGGTAAAAAGGTCGGGGCGGTTAGAGCCAACCAACCGCATGGCCGCATTTTGGTCAGGCGTTCACGACCGGCTTTGGCCCGGAAACATTTCGAAACAGACGCAGCAACACTGTGAGAGGCGCGCCAGATGGGCCTGGCCTGTAGGCGCCGAACGCGTCTGTTTCCAAAGGCGAGGCGTGAGGAGGTCGAAGCGCCGTCGCTGGGCGGCAATCGAGGGCATTTGAAGGGCCGATTTCCCTGGAATTCAAGCTTGTTCAGTGGAAGCGCCCATCCGTCGGCCCTGAACCTTGTGCCAACATCATCACTTGCTTGATCACCAGTTCCGTTTTGTGATGTCGCTCGAGTAGTTTCGAGACTGTGTGAATATGTTTCCTACATCAGACTGCCGAATTAATTCACCTGCACGACCAAATACAGCTGTGAACAGTACTGATACGTTCCTCATGTTCATCAACTTCTTGCCAAAACCACCCAAGCTGCCATTTTGGGCATAGCGCCCCGCCCCGCGTATTGTACGGTACGGTATTATGGTAATGTAGTATGCCAAGGCATGGAGGAGCCACTCTGCGGGTCGCATGACCTCGACGTCGACTTCCATGGAGCTGTTTCGCTGTAGGCCTCGGGAGACAGGTCTACGAATGTCGACACTCTTGCTGTGATTCTAGGAGCTAAGTACGGCGAAGGAGCGAATCTGCTAGGCTGGCCCTGGTCGAGGTTCACTAACGATGACTTTACTCAAATCTCGCACAGTATTGCTCCTGTGGGCTACCTGGGTCACGAATGCACGGACGGAGCCGGACATTCGCGCAAGAGTATCGTTGGAGCGAGATCCCCTCGATGGTACCCATGGTCCAGCTTACATACAACAGCCACTGGATGACGTTCATCGAGCAAATCACGCACTGCCCGACGAGCATGGATGGGAGAACTTTGAGGATTTTCCACCTTCTCCCGACTGGAACGTGAGAACGGCGGCAGAGCCTGGCTTGACGTACAACAAGACTCTACTGCCCTTGGTCTACGAGCCATTTCCTCTCGGCGAGGTCAAGCCGCTGGGATGGCAGCGTCAACAACTGGAGCTGATGGCTGATGGCCTTCCCGGACATATGCATGAGTTCTACAGACTGGTCAAGGATGCTCCTTGGATGGGAGGTCATTCCGAATACTCACCACTAAACGAAGCCTACACATACTACTACGATGGAGTTGTGCCATTGGCCTACCTACTAGACGATTCACGATTGATGGATCACGTACTGAACTCCACTGACTTCCTCCTCAGCCAGCAACACGAGGATGGCTGGCTAGGTCCAGAGACTGACGTCAGGAGACGCAATTTTTGGGGCAGATATCCGTTGTTTCTTGGCTTGATGCAGTTGGCTCAGGCTGAGAAACACCGCGAGCGGGAGATCGTTCGGGCTATGCACCGCTTCGTTGAACGCATGCACGAGATGCTGAAGAATGGTTATCAAGGCTACGTATGGAAGCCTGGATCCATGTTTGACCAACAGTGGGGCCGCGCTCGAGCCGCAGATATGGTTCTAGCCCTGCAGTGGCTTTACGAACACCACCCACACGAGAACCCCGACAAGCTGCACGATTGCATCGTTTGGATGTACGAGATGGCATACGACTGGTCGGCCTACTTTGAGGAGGACGTCTTCCTGAAGGACGACCTCGAGCAATTCCCCAATGATGTCCTCGATTCACTCTTTCCCTTCCTGCACGTCGTCAATGCAGCCCAGGGTCTCAAGAGCCCGGCCGTCATGCGCCGCCTGACCCACGAAGACCGCCTCCTCGACAAGGCCCGCATTGGTGTAGACTGGACATATCGGTATCATGGAGGCCCCTCTGGCGCCATCTATGGAGATGAACGCCAGTCCTCTCAGAAACCGTACCGCGGCACAGAGCTCTGCAGCGTCGTCGAGTCCTTGTTCTCCTTGAACTACCTCTATCAAGCCATCGGCGATGCCTCTTTCGCCGATCACGCCGAAAAAGCCGCTTTCAATGCAATGCCTGCCATGATCTTGCCCGACTGGTGGGCACACCAATACGTTGCCCAAACCAATCAGCCCGCTAGCCATGAGCTCCGTGGCAACCCCTTTTGGAACGTGGGACCATGGGGCACGACTTTTGGCACGGAGCCAAATTACCCTTGCTGTGCCGTTCGTTTTAGCACCGGGCTTCCGAAATATATCGCCTCATCCTTCGTCCGCGCTGCAGACGGGGAAGACCACATCATCCACGGACTCCTCGGCCCCTCCGAGCTACGCACCAGTTTCCGCAAGTCGCACTCCCACCGCAAGCACGACGTCCGCATCACCTGCATAACCAACTACCCCTTCTCGCACTCCCTCAGCTACAAGATCCAGACGCCCCATCCACTCCGCTTCTCCATCCGCATCCCTGCCTGGAACCTGCCCTCCGCCTCCGGCTACCGCATCAATTCCGGCCACACCTTCCAACTCGACCCCGATCCAGCCACCAGCCTACACACCCTCCTCATCCCCGCCGGCACCACCACACTCGACCTCTGGCTCGGCGCCAACATCCGCATCTCCCACCACGAATCCTCCACCATCAGCATCCACCACGGCGCCCTGACCTACGCCCTCCCCATCCCCGCCACCTACTCCCACCGCCGCCCCGGCCGCTACCCGGGTACCGACGCCCCCGAGCAGGCCCGCGACTGGACCATCGAGCCGCAGGACAACGCCACGTGGAACCTCGCCATCGACCCTAGCACATTGCGTTTCTTCGCCCATGGCGGCAACCACAGTCACAGCAACCGCGATGGCGATGGCGATGCCGCAGCCCCGCCGCTACCGAATCCAGTATGGGCCGAGGGCGCGCCGCCTGTAGGCATCAGCGTGCTGGCGTGCCCCGTCAAATGGGGGCTGAATGACGATGGTTGGGCGGACATGCCGCCCGGCGAGGGGAGCAGGAACTGTACGGGCCGGGCGCGCATGGTCGAGTTGCGCCCGTATGGGAGCACGCCGATCCGGGTCGCGCAGTTTGCGGTGGTGGATTTGGGGCAGGGCAGTGGGGATTTGTGGGTGCCGGGGGCGTCTGGGGCGAGTGGGGAAGCAGAAGCAGAAGCAGAAGCAGAAGCAGAAGCAGGAGGAGGAGAAGGGGAGGAAGAGCGCGAGGAACTTTAGTTTTGAGTGGATGGATTAGGGTGGCATGGCATGGCACTGCATAGCGTGCGGGAGAGTCAGTGGAGGGCATGTTTGAAGGGCATAAGTAGTGAGTGAGTATCGCTGGGAGGAAGCATGAGTGACTGTAGTGCATCGGAAAAGTAAGAATTGTTCATTTCGGGTGGTGATGTACATATGGTGAGATACGCCGAATACACATGCATGGCAACCACGTGTCGACTGCCATTTAGCGTGCTCGCTTGCCGTAAGCATACACTGGTCTGTGAGAGAGGAAGGGCTGTATATAGCAAGCGCCGACCTCATGCAGCATGCTTGACTGAAAACCCTCGTCCTCATTGCAGAACGTATGATCCACGATCGCTCGCTATCCGTGGTCGCTGTCCGTGGATAGAAGGTGTATGTGAATGACCTGGTAGTAAGGCGGACTTCAATGCCACCACTCTTCAGCGAAGTCCTTGCTCGTCCGTAATACATGCGTCTGACTGGTTGCAAGGTAGCACATAGTCGACCAATCCACCGATTGGCTGAAAGACTATCTCCCGCGGAAGAACGTACCTCATGGTAGCGGCGTGGTCACCATCTACCAAATTCGGTTTTGCTGCGTGCTCAACTTTCTAGTCCCACCCTCAGCAGCCTCTTTCTCGAGCTCGGCCTTCGCATTCCTCGCCTCCTCGATCTGCAGGGGGCTCTTGTAAAACAAGCTTGGGCTATGGCCTTCCTTGACCAGGTGAGCCAAATAGCCCCTGTTCTCCTTGTCCCGGTAATACTCGAGCTCTTTTCGACCGGTCGGATCAGGGAGCCGATACTGGAAGCCCAAAGTCTTGACTCGTCCCTCTTCTGTGCTCGCACCCTCGACCATCAATTTTGCGTTGCCAATGGCATCTTGGTCCCATTTGAGGGACACATAGGGGTGCATTAACTGTTGTTTTATCCTCCGAATTGACAACGGTGTGTAGAAACGGGTAGTGACAGTGCCTCCCAAAGCCTCGACGGCTGCAATGGCGCTTTTGCTTGCCCTGCTGACCACGAGATGGATGGGCGTTGTCAAGGCCTCGCGGCCACGGCCGAGCAGTTTCACGCCGTCCTTGATACCGTGTAAAGCTCGGCTAGCGCAGAGCTCGCGGAGCGTGATAGGTTGCTCGGGGTTTAGGCGGCCTTGATTGATCCATTCTTGGATTGTGTCGAGGTTGATGCCGGACATTTCGGTGCCGTGGACCGTATTCTTGAAGCCGAAGTGACCATGGACGATATGATCTGGGGTCTGGCCACCTGCGAAGTCCGCAGGGGCTTTGCCTTTCTGTTTCTGACCTTTATGACCACGTCCAGATTTCTGGCCTTTGTTACTGGAGGGACCCCGACCGCGGCGAATCTTTTTGTTGTAAGACGCAGGGATGTCACGCAAGTCGGAAAGGATAGATGCGGAACGTGTCTGGCTCACGAAGGGAACGAGAAACGTCGGTACAGAACGGTTTGTCAAGGTAAAGGCTGAGGTCAGCGACCTCAAGGAAAGCCGCGGAGGCATTTCGAGATGTGCTGGATGGAAAGGTCGTCGTCGTCGCGACGAAGCTCGAAAATTATCGGAATTGAAGCTTAGAGCGCCTGCGCCGAAAAGGCAACTTGGGAGAGTCCATTCCTCACGTGACATGACAATGCCAAGACAGACCCCGGCGCCAACGTCGAACGTGTTCAACCTGCACCATGAATCTACTGAATGACTACTCAGCAACCAATAATACGGCCAAAGGGGTACAAGAAAGACTCGATCGGAACTTAGGCACCTCACACCATCCTGACAGTGCTTCTTCCTACTCATCTCACGGTCATGTTTCCGCGATGTTGCGGTTGCGAAGCGGAAAGTTGGCGCAGTGTCATGGTGACCCCGGCTTCTGTGTGGCTGTGACTCGGCACCAATATATGTAGACAATGATGCAGAATTCTCAGGTCATTACAGCGAATATCAGATCATAACTGACATATGGCTCGAGCCTTGGGCAAAGCTGACTGATTTGCAGCCGCCGAACGACGCTGGCTTCGAAGACAATTTGGAGGATGACAAATGAGCTGGCCACTGACGGTTCATGCAGTTTCTGTGATAGCTTCTATGAATGATATGAATGATATGAATGACGGCGGATCCTTCACTTCTACTTCGTATTTACCGTGTAACTTGAACAAGGGATGAAGTGGCGTTGTGGCTGGGTCTTTGCCTCACCCCTTTCTAGGGGATGCAGCCGCCCCCGGGCTACGCGAGACTAGGCTTCAACGGAGCCCCCCAAAAGTTACCTTATTTGGATTTCTTAATTCGTGGAACTCGAGGAGACACTTTTCCTCGACAGCCATGTTACGAGCAGTGCACTTATAGCGCAGACTTCATAGCTACACACCTGCGAGAACAGTATGTTTTGAATCATTCTGCTACCACATATAGGTAGCGGCACACGCTCAACTCGCCCACGATGGGTCCGATCGAACTTAATAAGCGGCGCATCTTCATCCTGGTTGCCGGTGTCTTTACCTGCGTTATCCTGTTCACTGGTCTACCCTCCAGCGAGCGAGTCCAGGACGGTCTGCACAGTATCCCAATACCTGGTATCCCACAAGGCCCGCAGCTGGCCCCGGGCAAGGACCCCGATAGTGCCTGGGACTTCCCCGACCCCGAACACGCAAAGGAAGAATCCGTGCATCATGAAGTGCCAAAGCCAGAACATACGACGGTCGTACCGCCGGCGCCGGATACTGAAGCATATGATCTACATCCAATCAACCAGTTGATGGAAGAGGCGGACCATGCTTTTAGAGTGTATGAGGGCAGCGCATCTCAGACCTTCCGCCAGACGGTAGAAAAGTACAGGAGCAAGTACGGGAGGCACCCGCCCCCAGGTTTCAGGGACTGGTACAAGTTCGCCAGGAAGAGAAACGTGGTCAACATTGACGACTTCGACCATATCATGGACGACCTGCGGCCCTTCTGGAGCGTTGAACCGTCTTACATTCGCACCCATGCTGCCCATATGTGGGAGAACGAAGGCCATGGTGCGGCAGGCATTCATATCAGAGATCACAAGGTCGGGAAGGTCAACTTCGGTTCCTGGCGATCAGAGACTTTCGAAGGCGTGGTCAACACGTTCATCGAGTACCTGCCAGATATGGATATTGCCATGAACAGACTCGATCAGCCTCGTGTGGTAGTACCATTTGAGGATTTACAGGAGATGCTGCAGAAGGAACAGCAAGGTCGAATCATGCATCCCGAAGCCATGGATAGCTTTACATTCAACCAAAGCGACCTCTTGGATCTGTCCATTCAGGATAAAGGACTTGACAACTCCACACGCCTCGATGCTGCCTGGTTCAACGCCGCAGGAAAGCAATATATGGAAGTGGCTGCCAAAGCATGCCCGCCCGAATCTCCCGCCCGTCGTAACATGAGTATGGCCGAGACGGACGCCCTATACAAAGAATCCTCCGCTGGCATCGTCACCAATTTCAACCTTTCCTCGGATCTCTGCACGGTGGGTCCTGCTATTCAAGACCTCCACGGCATGATGTACTCGGCTTCCAGCATGCTTCCTACGCACAGACTCGTCCCCATCTTTGGCGAGTGTAAAGTCAATGTCAACAACGACATCCTCTTTCCAGCAAACATGTATTACCGTCATGATGACCGATACGACTACTCACCGGACGACGACGTTGACTGGCGCAGCAAAAACAACAACATCATCTGGCGCGGCGTCACCTCAGGCGGAGTGCAGATCGCAGACAACTGGGAGCGTATGCACCGTCAACGCCTTGTCCAGCTCACCAATGGCACCTGGACTGCCCTCAATCACAAAATGTACCCTGTCCTCACCGAGACCCAATCGTCCCCAGCTTCCGCCCATTCCGATGAAAACATAACTTACACACCAGTTCCCTCGTTCCACCCTGACGCTTTCGCACTTGCCCACAGCGACATTGGTTTCGTTGAGTCATGGGGCTGCGTACCCGACTGCTCGTTCTACGACGACGTCTTCTCCTGGAAAGCTCAAACCACCTTGACCTCACAATTCAGATCCCGCTATCTTATCGACGTGGATGGACACTCCTTCTCCGGCCGCTGGCACGCTTTTCTGCAGTCCAAATCCCTCGGTCTCAAAGCCACCATATTCCGCGAGTGGCACGACAGTCGCCTCTTCGCATGGCGGCATTTTGTGCCCGTGGATAACCGCTATGATGAGCTCTACGCCCTGTTAACATATTTCATGGGCTACGGCAGCGACGAAGATCGCGGCTTCAATGAGCAGGCGGGTGATCTCAACCCCAATGTCTACGTGCGGAGCCACGACAAGGAGGCTCAAAAGATCGCGCGACAGAGCCGGGAGTGGGCACATCGTGTCCTGCGCCGCGAAGACATCGAAGTCTACATGTTCAGGCTGCTGCTAGAGTACGCGCGCATCTGCGATGACAACCGTGATCGCATTGGTTACAGCGGTGATGGCAGTGAGTTGGATGACTTTGACAACGCCCATGCTGCTGGTGGCTGGGGGTTGGGGAAATGGCCCTGGACCAAGGAGAAAGATGCAGGCACCGAAAAGCCACGGGACGACTGAAGGTTCGCAGTTTGCAAAGGACCACAATGCCAAAGAACGTCAGAACTCTGCATAGGAAGACTTGTTCTATGCGCAAACGCGGCCGCTTCCTTGCTGCTCTCGGGACACAGAGGCGACTCGGCCGTCGTCGCCGTTTCCAGCATCAAGCAGAGACAAGCACAGGCAAAGAGGACGAGGGTCTGTGTCACTGAAATCCCAAACTCGCTACGAACCGCCCCCAGAAGGCCTGAATGCTCTCGACGCTGCCTTGTATCAGAGATCAATGCTCGTGGTCAGAACGACGGTCCTGTCTTTGGTTCCTACGGAGCCACGGCGCAACAAAGCGTGCCGGTGCTCATTCAATTGGGCTAGAGCGCCACAAAGACAAAGACCTGGCTGCAGCATGCCCCCATTATGGCGCGGCACAGGGTCGATACAAGAAAGCTTCCAGCCCGTTGAGTGGAGTGAGTGAAATTTGTGATGGAAGGATGGCGAAGCACTTCGTACGCTATGTGAGGGCGACGGAAGGGAAACCAATAAACGTTAAAGCAGGCCGCTATACCTGCGTCTACTACAGGCGTGGGGGAGTAGCAGATTCGGCGGTGTCTGGGAGGGCGGATCGAGTAATGGATCTATACACATATACACGTATACACGAATCGGGCGAAAGGCGGCTGAGAAAGAGCAAGTCGAAAATCTACTACTTTTAGTTTAGCGACTTTGTGTGGTATTTATCTTTTTTAGGGGCCTGAAAAACTCCAAATCGTAACCGAATCGATATCTTTACTTACACACACATAAATACAACAGCACAAAAGTCTCCGGTTGTAAAGCGGAGGCTTCCATCATAGCTACATATGTGATGAGGAGGATACTGTGCGCCCTCAGACACTCAGCCTAACCCCACCCCCCCCCCCCCCCCCCCCCCCCCCACCCTGACTCGGCCCGGCGGGTAGCGACGTGTGTGTGTTTGTATATCAGGAAGCCAGCCCATGAAAGCCTTCGCCGTCCAGGGGCACCCAAACCCAGGTTACATACAAGAATGAATGGATAACTTTCACGGGGGCGGACTAGAGTCTGGATTAGTAGGTGGGTAGCCCACCCGTCCCCGTTGCCGTGCATTGTTGTTCTTCAGCTGGACTGCCATCTCTCTATTCACGGCTGACATCGCGTCCAAAGAACTTGGCCTTCATCCAGTCCAGGCAGACTAGTACGCGGTTCCGCGCTGCTTCTTGTTAGCCTTGCTGCCATGCATGTCTGTGAGTAGTTGGATTTGAACTTACTGCTGAAGCACATGCTCAAATACGCACTCTTCCAGAAGAGATACGTCATGGTGCCACCACTGGCGATGTTGCCAGAGAACCAGCTCACATCTGCCACTGCCTTCTCGGCACCGATGTACGCCAAGCTGCCTTGGTGACTGTACTGGAAGGGACCCACCTGTTTCGTCCTTCTCAGTTGCTTCTGGCGCTCGTTGATCTCGGCGAGGATCTGGTTCCGCTCATCAGCCTTAGCCTTGCTCTGCTTCTCGCTCAGGGCCTTGAGGTCGTCCTCGATGGCGTCCGTCTTGGCCATGGTGTTGAACAGGCGAGCAAGGAAAGCACCCTCTTGCGCAGCGACCTGCGCCGTTGGGGCGTAGTTTGCGATGGCGCAGTCACCAACAGCCCAGATGTTCTCGGTACCGTTAACAACCAGGTATTCGTTGACTTCGAGGCCACGGCGAGAGTTCTTTTGTGCGGGGATCTGCGACATGAGGTCTTTGACAACGGGGCGGAGGGCGTTGCCAGTAGCCCAGACCAGAAGACCATAAGGAATGCGCTCGGTCTTCTTGGTTCCGTCAGGAAGGGTAGACTCGGCTTCGATGTACTTTTCGGTGACGTTCTTGACCATGGTTTTCGTGCGAATATCGATATGCTCTTCCTTGAAAGAGGACTCGGTGTAATCGATCAGCTGCTTGGAGAACATGGGAAGGACGTTGGGAAGGGCTTCGACCAGGGTGACATGGAAGTTCTCTTGAATCTGAGGCACCCATTTGCGAAGATCTTCTTGGAAGAAATCCTGGAGCTCGCCAGCGAATTCGACACCAGTAGGGCCGCCTCCCACAACAACCATGTGCAGGAGACGCTTGACTTCATCGTCCGTTTGGTCTTTGAAGACGGCGGTTTCGATACAATCCATGACCTTTTTGCGAATCTGCTGAGCATCGCCAACTTCTTTCAAGAAGCATGAGTGCTCGCGGACACCGGGAATACCAAAAGTAGCGTTTTCGGCGCCAACGCCAACAACCAGCATGTCAAAGGGAATTTCGGCATCCATCTTGTCACCTTTGATTTCCGAGTCGTCCTTAGCGTACACGATTTTCTTCTCGTAATCGATCTTCGTGGCTTCCGCCTCGAAGAACTTGACTGTAGCTTTCTTGTGACGTAGGATATTGCGGATGGGCTCCATGATGGAGCGATGCTCGATGGTTCCGACAGTGCAGGACGGCAGGAGGGGAGTGAACAGGAAGAAGTTGCGGGGCGAGACAACGACAACATTGTAGTTTTCGGTGTCGAGCTTCTTGAGGAGAGAGACTGCGCCCCAACCAGTACCTGCAGCAGGAGTCAGTTGTGACGACAGAGCTATCGCACTGCTACTCACCAAGGATAACGATGGTCTTTTTCTTTGGATCAGGTTCGAACTGCTCAGCTGGGTTCCGCAGATACCAAATTTGATAGCCAACATAACCAGCAGAAGCAATTACGGAGAGGTAGGTTATCCTCCACATCCATCTCAGGAATCTGAACCGCTTCTTCGGCTTTGCAGCGGGGGACAATGTAGCTTCAGGAGCCGGGCCATCAGCATAGGTGCGACGGAATGACTGCTGTAGCTTGGAGCGCGGTAGCGTCAGGCGAGGACGGGGGAGAAGAGCTGATGAACGGCTCGAGGCCAGGGATGATAAGGTCCGTCTGGAGGCGATGGGCGCGCCAGTGCTCAAACCACAAGCGGCAGGAGCCAGACGGAGGCCCAGCTTGGAGGCCATGGTTTAGAGCGGGCTTTGGGGAGCGCGCATGGACAGATCAGCAAGTAGTCGCAAGCTGGCGAGGACAGCGATATTTTATTTTGAGCAAAGGTGGGTCGGGGGCGTAATCAGGTCTCAAACAGCTTGTGACAGCCGCTTCTGCCGCTTCGAGATTCAAGATGCTGGAGATCGCACGCGATTGGCGGGCTCGATCCGCTTCCGATTTCCGCTGGTCCACTGAGCCGGTCGAGTCCTGATACGAAGCTCGGGTTGAAGGATGCTTGAAGATGGAGGTAGAGTGAGTGATGAAGCCTACGCGTTGGCTGCAGCGCAAGGTGAGTCCCGATGAAGCGATGCTCACACGATGAAAACCAAGATCGACGACTGACAAGCTCGTGAAGCTGAAGCAACGGCAAGCGACAGTAGCATTATTGGCACCGGAAGGCCGAAAGTAGATATACGAGGAGGTGGCTCGGCATGCACCACATTCGTCGAGTGTGCACATCAAACTGTACGGTTGAACGACCATAGAATGGTGCTCGGACAATGCAGTAGTACAGCATTAGGTACATTCAAGCATTTGTGTATTGTCATGGAAGAAATTCCCCTGTGTGGGCATCATAAGGAGTATTTCTGTTGCGCTCACTGTCGTACCCTGATTCTCTCCCCGTACCACCAGCCTAAGACATCGCAAGATTCAGCCGCAGCAGGTGGGTGAAGAACCTCAGTCTTTGTTACCGCATAAACAGTACCATGACGACCTCTGCATGATCGAAAGACTATCCCGTTACAACACCACTAGCTATTCGTCTTCTCGTCAACCTTGTCCGGAGTCTCTTTCACGCGCTCGGTCGTGGTGAGTTTGGACTTTTCAGCCAGGATCCTGTCAGCCTCCTCTTTGCCCTCCGGGGTCAGCTCAGGGCCTGGCTCCTGCTCCTCTTCATGCTCTTGGATGTCTTTGAGCTCGTCTGTCGAATCTTCTAACGCGGCCTCGCCCGCGGTAGTTGAATTTCTCCGCGCCTCGCTCACCAACATCTCAACCTCACTGATAGCGCCCTGTTCATGGCTGTTTTCTGTTTCGACACCGATGTCGGTTGTGGTGTTGTTCTGCAACTTCTTCGGATCAAACCGAACAAGCATGACCGACAGATTGTCTGTAGAAAAGCGTGACAGCGCGTGGTCAACCAGCATTTTCGAAGCTTCTTGCGGGTCCTGCACATTTCTTACGAGGTCTACAGCCTCCTGGTCGGAACACACGTCCCAGAGCTAGTATCAAGTCAGTAAAGGTCCTGCTATACATTGGTGACACTTACTCCGTCGCAAGCTAGGATCAGAAACTCGTCCTGATCGGGCTGTATCACTGTCTCGGTTGTATATGGGTGGCCCGTCACCAAATCCTTGAGATAGGAGTCGCCCAGAGCACGGGTCACAGCCAGCACGCCGTTAACACGATTGTTCAGAATCAGACCACCAGCTTTCGATATTCTGCGGCCCTCGTTCTCGTCCATACCCTTGTGGTCATATGATAAGCGCAGAGCCTTGCCGTTGCGGCAAAGTACAATTCGGGCGTCGCCTACGTTGGCTGTATAGAGCACCCGCTGTCTGGTCGCCTTCTGCTTTGCTTCCTGAATAGCATGCGCGGCGGCTTCGACTGTCGAATTACTCCGAGGAGCGCTTTCTTTGCCATCCTTGGCCTCCGACTCCTCGGCTTCTTTCGCCGCCTGGGCTGCCAAAGCAGCGATCGCCTGTGACCCGGTTGCTGAATGAGAGGTCGGGACTCGGTCTTCCCATCGGAGCACCGCGCAGATGGCGGTACATCCACTGTTCTTAAGAGGTAGCTTCTCCAGTTGGTTATCAGCCGAGGTGAAGGTCTGGTCCAGTAATTCGGGTACAGGGGTGTTGGGATTCTTCCGCATGAGATCCTCAAGGAGAACATGAAGCTTCTTTCCACACCACTCGGCCGCAAAAGTGCCGGCATGTCCGTCAAAGATGGCAAAATAGCCATTGTCCGTCTCCACTACATGCTGCGCGGTATCCGAAACCACCTGGGAAAGGGGCTTCTCTTCGTTGGACCGTCCGCTCTTGAGTGAACTGTCTGAAGGGAGTACAGGCGCAGGAGTACCGAGAAAATTGTAGAGATATGAATGAGTATCCTCCATGGTCCGTCGACATTTCTTGTTCTTGTCCTCGGTGACACCGACTTTGAAGGACGAGTTAGGAGTCGGTTGCGACTCGCCGGCCGAGTTGTTGTTGGCGCCTTGCGGCACGCTTAGAGCAGCATCTATCTTGCTGAGTTTCTGCATGGGGGTCTGCGGACCCTCTCTGTCGCCGTGTATTAACGAATTCTTGGCTTGAGTGAAGATCTCTTTGGCTTTTGCAGTGCCACTGCTTCGCCGTTTCTTTGTGTCGCCGGTCGAAGTGGGCGACTCATCCGACCTCCGCGCAGGACTTTCGGTTTTGGAGCTCGTGAGATCGTCGGTCTTGATTGCTGCAGGTGTGGTAGCCGGAGTAGGCGACGCTGGAGCAGGGCTCTCGGTGCGCGGGGTGGTGCTGTCAGCCTCTGAATCCTTTTCCTTCTTGCTCCCAAACATGCGATTTAGGATGCCCCCATGCGAGGAGGTCCTCCGATCTGTATTGCCAGCCAGCTTGACTGATTGCAAGGTTGTGGGAATGTGTTGTTGCAAGGCGCCGTGTATATAGATGACACGATTGGTAATGTCTCCGTGCAGAGCCTTGAGAATTCGGATGGAAGGTAAAATTCCGAGGCCGGCAACACACAAGCTGTTACTCAGTCGGGAATAGAGATTGAAAGCAGACTTGTTTTCGGTGCGGTTGTCGAGACTGATGGGTGTATGGAAAAGAAGCTGCAACTGGTCGTGCGCGACGGGGCGCAGTCACGGGGCAGATTGCGGGGGGAAGGCAAGGCAGGACGAAACCTGAATGTGGCACGAGGAAATGTTTGAGAGTCGCAGCAACGAGGTATCTACCACACTCGAAAGATGTCTTGGTCGACAGGATTTGCAATCCTGACGGTCACTTGTAGCCTGAAATGACGATGCAGAGAAAGACGTAAGTGAGCTGGCAGCGGGTGACTGGCACAACGCGAGAGGGGAAGATCGAACCCCCAAGATCCAGCGCTCTCGGTTCCAGGCTCTGCTACGTCAATCTGCGCCCGCGTTAGACTCTAATTATGACCAGGCGCCAGCAACTCGGTTCTCCGGAGATCACTAGGTCCGGCCACATCAAAGATGGTGAGCGACATAAGATGGCCATTAATAAAACACAAAGATGCCGGCTTGCGTAGGCAATGGCAGCGAGCAAATGGCTCATCCGCACAACCGCTGCGGAGAGCCGTGGGTGGAGCAAAGAGTGTCATTGCCTCCTGTGATGTCTTCAAGTCCGTCTTTGTACAAAATGGATTCATCAATAACGCTGCAGACTGTTCGCTGAGAAGTACCTACATAAGCAAGCGGAGATGTGTCGCTGGGACGCGTTCAATATCAACCCCTCTTCCCTCTTCAAGAGACGTATGTCCCTGCCGCTCCCGGCAGAGGTCCCTCAAGGTCAATCCCGTCCACTCGCTGTCGCGTCTCACTTGTATTCCTGACCAGGTTCCCAAAGTACTTCTTCGCCACCTCGGACTCCTTCTTGGTCTTCTGAACCTCTTCTTTCTTCTGCTTGAGCTCCTCCACACCTCTTTCAAGATCGACGGAGAGCTGCTGTGCAGGGTATCTCAACACCCGCCGAACTTCAGCTGAGATGCGAAGCGCGTTGGCATGTGTGTAATCCATCGAAGCCAAGTTTGCTGACAACTTGCGCGCTAGCCGTGGAGGCAGAGTCTGTGGTATGGTCGAAAGGACGTAAGCAACGGCGAGAATGACGGCAGCCACTGCGGCAGGTGCAGCCAGTCTTCGCAGGTTTCGTGAGCCAACGATCCGGACGGCTGTCGATGCACCGTCTACCCAACCGAAGGCACCAATAGCCCTGGATCCCAGTGTGCCTGCAATAGTTACGGCAAGACCAGTGCCAACAGCTTTTTCTTGTCGGTCCCAGAGCCCCGCCACATCGAAGAAGTCCATCATCTCCACGTCCGTATCAACCGTTCGGACCAGGGCGTCCTTTTTACGCTGGAACATCATGTCGGATCGGAAAGCCAATTGTTCGTAACCTTCTCCGACATGCAGCAAACCAAGAGACTTGATCATACTGACACCTGTGACCGTCTTAGCCCGTCCATGCTCTTCACAACTTCTGACAGATGCTGAGACCTTGTCGAGCATGGCTATCCGGAGGTCCTCTGCATACTGGAAAGCCGAGAATATGCCAGGGTATTCAATGCCAAGATCTTCCTGTCCCACGTTTGCAATCGTCTCAGTAAGCGTCGTCCGAGTGTGGTCGTACACCTCGGAAGCTGTGGAGTCAACATCTTTGATCAGCTTCTCCGAAACCTCGCTCCGCTGCTTCGAGCGTTTCTCGAACTCAGGCTCTAGTTCGGATAGCTGCTGAGAGACTTTGTCCAACTCCGACTGCGCGACGTCCCGGTTAACGGTAGCAAGGACGTTCATATCGCCCAGACAGTTGAGGAGATATGTCTTAGCAGGGGCGAGTTTGGACCGCGCACGCTTTTCCAGGACGAATCGTCGAAGAGCTCCCTCCAGGCCTTCAAAGTCCTGCATCTTCTGCTTGTCCTTCCCTTTGCCTGTACCGGGTCCATCGTCGTCATCGTCTCCCGGATCGCCACCACCCGAGCCAGACGAACCAGAGCTTTCACCTGCACCAGGCCCATCAGGTGGAAAAGTTGGCCCCACAGGCACAGCGTTACTAGAAACGAAGTGCACCAACTCTTGCGCTTCTTTGAAAGTATAGGGACTCAGCTTGGCGAGCTGCTCCAAGATCTGGCGCTTACATCGTTCCTGGTCCCGAATGTTGTCAAAGCCATTGACGACCATGAAGATGTATGCTTTTTCGTGTGCCGCTTGCCATATAAATTCTTTGGCGGAAAGAGTGAAGTGATTCGCAGCCGAGACGACGAATACAACCACATCAATCTCTTCTTGCCGAGCGAAAACGGCCGTGGTCTTGACTGAATCTGAATTCAATCCGGGAGCATCGATCAAGGCGATGTCCACGATACCATTATTGAGTAGCGACTGATCAACTGAGCGAATGTCCTTCACATATATCTTGCACTGCATGTACCGATCATTGTCCATAACAATTTTTTCAAGGTCTTGTAATGAATAGGAATCGTAAGTGCTTTCATCGTTGCGGTTATAGGTTGCATCTTTGTGAACAGCATGAACTTCTTCCAGGCCGCCGTTTTCTTTGGCATCAAGAACCTCGCAGAAAATACTCGTGCAGGGCTGTTGGTCTTCTGGTAGGATCTTTCGCCGCAGCAGCGCATTGCAAAAGGTGGACTTTCCAGCATTGAGATCGCCTGTCACCAGAACTTTGCTCGATGTGTCCTCAATGCGATCGCGTAGTGATAGAAGATGCCTCACACTCTGGCCGATCTTGCCATCCAGTAGTGAGGCGATGGATTTCTTCTCGAGCGAATGCACCAGCTCGGATTGCGACAGGGAACCGACTTTGAGATCCAGTTTCAGAATGGAGAACTCTTGAGCAATCTGAGAGGTGAGTAGGCGCGGTTCGGGAGTCTTGCGCTGCTCGGCTTGTGAACTCGATTCACCAACCGCGTCAAAAGCCCGGGTAGTGTCGGCACGCCTTGGTGGCACGGGACGGTGAGTCGGATGTTCCCCATCTCTTGAGTCTGCTGTATCTCTTGTCGACTGAGTGTGGTTGATTGCTGGTCGTCTGCTCGGAGACTCTGAACGCTTGACAGATGGATAAGTGGCGGGCCATTGAGCGTTCATTTCTTGTAATTGTTTGAGTAGTTCGACCGTCTGACCAATGGCTTTTGCTAGGGCAACTCGGTTCTGATTGTATTGCAGCTGGTGGACGTGACTTGCCAGCACACGTTTCTCGGTCTCGGTGAGCGACTGGGAGTGGCCATTTGGGCGAGGAGTATGCGCCGGCGTTGGCCTGTCTCTGAGGAGTCCATCTTCCCAGGCGCGCATTTCGCCACCAGTCGCCTGGCTGTCCCCCGGCATAGATCCGTAGCCAGAGTCCTGTTCAAGCTGAGCCATAAGTGCTGCAGCATGCGAAGGATCTGAGCCGGCGCCAACGGTCATGAAGCTGGGTGCAGCCCAGGGATTAGATGAGGCGGCGTCGCTGCCGCTTTGTTCACTGCGGCGCTCTTCGCTGGACGCCATGTGGTCTTTCTTCTGGCTTGATTGATCGTGATCCATAGCTATGGGATGTCGAGACGGATGTGTTTGAATGAGTGGACGCGCGTAGGCATGAGCGGGCGTAGGTTGTGTTGGTTGTGGATGAAGAATGGTCTGATTGCATGACGAAGGCAACCAAAATGTTCAAGTTACTTACCAAACGCGGCGGAGCTTTCCGGGCGGCAGTCCCGCGGGCGCCAATATTCTCTGGGCGCGTCCCTCCGACGTCACCGAGGCGACTTCTATCCACCAGGCTCCGACATTCATATCTCAAGCTGCTATTAACACCGATTTGACACCCTTGGACTCTGCTACATTGGGCGGGCTGAGGTCTGTATTGAGTTGTCTACTTGCACGTGACAGCGCAGCTTTCTTCAGTCATGAATGTAAGCATTCCAAAATACCGGTTACTTCATGCCCCACTGACGCCAACCAGATCATTGAATGGGCGTTCGGAAAGCGCATGACGCCGGCGGAGCGACTGAGGAAACACCAGAGAGCTCTCGAGAAGACGCAACGAGAGCTCGATCGCGAGAGAACCAAACTTGAGAACCAAGAGAAGAAGCTCGTACAGGACATCAAAAAGAGCGCGAAGAATGGTCAGATCGGAGCCTGCAAGATCCAAGCCAAAGATCTCGTCCGCACTCGGCGCTATATATCCAAATTTTACCAAATGCGAACACAGCTACAGGCCATCTCGTTGCGGATACAGGTATGTAGACCGCGCGCCGATTGCTTCGCGTACCTGGATGCTGATAGACAACATAGACTGTGAGAAGCAACGAGCAGATGATGCAGTCGATGAAAGGCGCAACGCAATTACTGGGCAGCATGAACCGCCAAATGAACTTGCCAGCCCTTCAACGGATCGCCATGGAGTTCGAGCGGGAAAATGACATTATGGATCAACGGCAAGAAATGATGGACGATGCAATCGATGATGTAACCGGCCTCGAGGATGAAGAAGAGGGAGAGGAGGTTGTCAATCAGGTCCTCGACGAAATCGGAGTGGATCTCAACCAAGCGGTAAGCCTCGACGACGGCGCTACGGAAGTCAGTGGCTAACATCCTCCAGTTGGGCGAAACACCATCTGGTCTGCAGAAGCAGGCTGTCCCGGAAGGACGTGTCGCGCAAGCTATCGGCGGCGGCGGCGAAGATGATGACCTGCAGGCTCGCCTCGATAGTTTGCGAAAGTGATCGTGAATACGTGCTAGGGGAAACTTGATATGCATTTTAGCGGCGGCGTTTCATGGCATATGGCATGTGGCATCTGCAATGCGGTTCACTTGGTTTTTACCGGGTTCCAGATACTATCGATTTAACATAGCTCAGAAAGTGTGAGGCGTGTGTAAGCCTGCCAGAATGCGCAAATAGAAGCGGCTCGTGCTGAAATGCGCCGCGGGACCGGAACAGGCAGGTAGCCGAAAGATCGACGTCAATCGCCAACCAATTCTCCCCGGAAACATGCACTTCTATACCACAAGATTGCATTTTACCCTTCACGAATGCTCCTATTGAACTTTTACTGCAAAGGTGTCATTGCGTCTGAGCGAGCCGAAATGCGGCGCAGCCATCGAGGGAATGTCAGACCATGACCTATTGCTGTCTGGTTCGATTACTCGTCATGAGAAACCGCTCCTCTTTCCTTGGGTATGCAACCAGCGATATGACGGTCGGACGTAACTGACATCGGACAGAATCGCCGATTGAGACACCTACATGGCATATCGCTGCGAAATCTTAACATCACCGCTGTGTCGAGCAGAGCCCGCGGCAAGACAACTACCGACGATGATGCACCTTACAATCTTGACACGCCTACCAAACGTGCTCTGCGCAGTGAAGCCCGAACCTTGACCCATTCGGCTTCGTTTACCAGCCTCGCAAGCGCGAACAAAGATCGACCGAGTCCACTGCAGAAAGCCTCAACTTCGTACGTTCAAGATGGTAAAACCTCTTTGGGTCGCCCCCAAGGACGTTTGCGACGGCGGAGCACCTTACACTGGAGTTCCGCTACGCCTCGAGCGCGACAGGAGAAGCTGCAAGACCTCACCGGGCATCGTCTACTCGATACTTGGTTCTCGCTACACATTGGTGGTGCGCATGAAACAGAACCCGTCTATCTTAGCGAGGTCATGGAGAGCTGCATGAATCCGAGCTTTGCCTTCTTCGATTTGGACACTGCAGGCCCGCTCGTTGCTCGCGCAGACGAATGCGTCCTGCGCTTATGGGCTAAAACCGCTGACGCGGTAGAATATGTGGTACTCGTTGAACTAAATGTAAACTTGAGATCTCTGCAGTTCATCGGAGCCACTCTCGACAACTTCCACCACCCTCTACCTGAAAACTGCGTTTTACTGCATCTCTCTGACGGTATATACACATCTTTTACAGATCTGCCCGGCAGCGGTGCCACTGCAATCGCTCTACGGGAAGCAAAAAGCGGATCTGTTGAAGCTAGCAGCTCTTTTGACGCGTTGATGCAGCTAGCTAACTTGGACGAGTGCATTCAGGATGCCATGAAAGTTCGACAACGGTTGGAGGACGAAGTCAACGATCTGCTCGCAGAACAGACTGCTGCTCGGGATCAGGAACGTTCATTGCGAGCGAAACGGCAACAACTCGCCTCGGCCAAGTCTGCCGCAGTTACAGTACGCAAGCAGAATGCTGCCCTGCAGAGGCGCAACGAAGAACTGCGCCTGAACCTGAAGACTAGGCAAGAGACTGTTAGCTCCGGCAGCAAGCCTCAGAAAGAGGCTGAAAAGCACAACCAAGAGCAACGTGAGCTCATCCAATCCTTACGGGCTGCCCGCCAGACTGCCGAGGAATCTCAGGGCCAGATGCGCAGGATTGGAGAGGCACTTCAGTCTATCTTCCCAATCGAACCCATAGGCAACAAGCCACTGCAGTTTACCATTCGCAACGTTTCGCTACCAAACTCGGCCTTTGACGACACGAACCGTGACGAGATTGCGGCTGCACTGGGATTCACCGCTCAGCTAGTGCATCAGCTTTCACTGTACCTGCTTTGTTCCTTACCGTATCCTTTGGAACCAAATGCATCAAATTCGTGGATCCAGGATCCGGTATCAGCTGGCCTCGCACAGCGCAGATATCCGTTGTATCCAACTAGCGTTGCATACAAATTCGAATATGGTGTCTTCTTACTAAATAAAGACATCGAATTTCTCATGAACAAAGTTGGCTTGCGGGTCTTGGACATTCGGCACACCTTACCAAACCTCAAGTACTTATTGTATGTGCTTACTGCGGGCTCGGGCGAGCTGCCCGAGAGGAAAGCAGGTGGCATAAGAGGCCTTCTAGGAGGGCGAATGACGCCCAGTGCCAGTCGCCGTTCGAGTCAGGAGAGTGTGAAGGGACATCGAGAGATCTTGAAGCCGGCACAGCGGAACGGACACATCGGTTCACGAGAGAAGCCGAACGATCCATTCTCCTCCTCACCACCCATGCCAAAGCTTGCCTACCGTTCTAGCGGCTTGCGCGACGCTGGTTAGAGGTATGGTCTGGGGCTCTCACAGCGAGTCATTGAGCATGTGTCTGCTAGCAGACTAGTCAGCTGTCTGTCAGCTATCGATCTGTCGGGTTCAGCGATGCCTCAGATCAGACTCATTTCTCCCTACCTGGGATGGAACTGCCAACCCGCCCTCGGTGATTGAGTAGGACGACTGTAACACTGGTTGATATCACTCTGTACTTAGATATACCATGGCCAAGCGACTTTTGACTTGTTGCCTTGCTTACTCGAGATTTTCTTCAGATTCATGGCAGACAGCTCTGCTTTTCTCATCGCCGCTTTTTGGCGGCTTCTGATATCCGCGTTGTATTGACAGTTGGGCTGCCTTGGTGACTGACCGGTTGCAGACGGGCATCTCGGAGACGTCTGCCTGGTAGCGTGAAGAATACCTCAATTGACCAAAGCAGATGCTGAATGAAAATGCTGGGCGAATCTCTTCGATGGTAGCTCAGACACGAGGTCGTGGTCTATTGACGCATCTATTCTGACTCGGACACACTTGATACTGACGCGAATTTATCACTTGTGCAGAAGAGCACATCAGCGAGCTCGAATTGGTATTGGATACACTCATACCCCAGATTTGCCAGAAGGCCAATTCATCCCCTTGGACCCCTCATCGGCAGGCCCACTCCTGCGAGCTTCTGGGCCCGCTTCTCGGTTCCATCCCACGAGCCCACCGAGCCCACCTTGAGCTGCCCGACTCTAACCGCCTCATCACTCCGACCACAACGCAGGTTCTCGGTACTCGATTTCTGCCGATGTCAGGCTTCGCTCCTGGTTCCGCGCTACAAGCGCGACCAGGTAGCCCGGGGTCGCAGCATTCCCAATCCCCAGAGCCAGGCGATGGCCGCGATACCAAACATCGACGGAACTATCAAGCGTGCGAAGGATGTCGGATTCGAAAAGTGAAGTGTGACTTGGGTCCGGTGGACGCCCCTCATCCACCGCCCTGCAAGAGATGCCGCAGAGAAAACAAGACGTGCGAGTTCGCAGACACGAGGAAGAAGCGCAAGAACAGTCCAGATGATAGCGCTGATGGCTATCCTGACAAGCGGGCGCGGACTATCTCGGATACTCGCGATTCACCATTCACCCAGCATAGTGCCGGGTACAATGGCGACTTCAGTCCTCACGACTGGAGTATGAATATTCAGCCCGGCCTCCAGAGCATGACTGCACAACCTCCGGCGCAACCGGCATCCACCACTCCACACAACCACCCACGAAGTCACCCACCGCTCATGTCGCCAACGAGTCGCCCGATGCTGCGATCAGTCGCACAGCATAACATCCACGGTCCTGCGAAGCGTGAATCGCATGATGAAGTCAAGAGTCAAGCCGCGGAGCATCTCATTGGGGATCCGATGACTACCAGCCAGAAAAGCTTCGGTCTCATCATCAGTGCTGCCAATGCGCTGGATGCCAAGGACAATGCCGTCGACCAGAAAGTCGACCGAAGAGAGTTAGGATCAGCGGGCATGCGACGCAACTTAGACGGGTCTGCTTACACGCCTCAGCAGCTGGCAGACTACAAGAAGGCACTCGAAGTCTGGAACAGTATGACTTTCGTCCGGTCAGACTTCTTCAGTGCCGAGGAAGCGATTGCCTATATTGAGTACTTCTACGACAACCTGCAGCCGATGACGCCGGTGGTAGTCCCAGACTATCGGGGTGTCAGCAAGCACCTGACCTTGCTCACTGAAGAACCCATTCTTGCACTTACCATACTCACCATAGCCTCCCGACACAAGGTTCTAAGTGGCTTTTCCGAACTCTCGAGACGTTATCAGATCCACGAAAATCTCTGGCGGTCTCTGACGTCCAAGGTGCAGCGCCTGCTGTGGGGCCAAGAACAATTTGGAGGCGGCCGCGCAGCAGTCGGTGCCGGTAAAGTACGTGAGCTGGCAGGTGGCCAGTTGACATGGTCAGGCAGTCTCCGTACCCTGGGCACCATCGAAGCTCTCCTGGTTCTCACCGACTGGCAACCGAGGGCTTTGCACTTCCCACCTGGTAACGACGACATTCGCCTGCTCGATCGGAACCTCTACGACAGTGCTGATGGCGATATACATCAGAGCTATGCTCAAGCAAAGACTGGCTCCCCGAATGACAATATGCCATATGCGAGCTGGCTAGAACCCGCTTGGCGCTCGGACCGAATGTCGTGGATGCTTTTAGGCCTGGCGCATTCACTGGCTTACGAATTGGGGGTCTTCGATGAGCCGTCGGGTCGTCTGTATGACAACGATCCCGACCTTCTCCGGAAGAATCGGATCCGGCGCATGGTCACGGTGTATGTGGCGCAAACCAGTGGTAGGATTGGCATTCCTTCGCCAGTGGGCTTCGACGACGATTACACTGGCCGCATGTTGGAAGCTCAGTCGAATGAGCCAGTAGACGTAGTCCATGGTCTCTGGACGCACATTGCTGGCATCATGCACCAGGCAAACAAATTGATCTTCCCATCACGCGAATACACCATGAACCTGACGCGCGGCAAGGAATACCGAGATCGGATCGAGACGTTTGCACCGCAGCTGATCGAGTGGAAAGAGCATTACGACCGGGTGAGAGGATCTATCTCTCCGGTCATGCAGTGCATTTTGATCATGGAGTATGAGTATGCTCGATTGTACATCAATTCGATTGGACTCCAGCATGTAGTCGAGTCGTGGGTGAGGCCGGGCGCGAGTGCCCAGAAGTCGGCCAGCAGCAACATGGCTAAGTCGGTAGCCGAGAACAGACGGTATATCGACGAGTTCACCGAAGCCGCGCTGCACATTCTCGAAATCGTTAGCGGCAAGATGAAGCAGCTTGGTGTCTTGAGAGATGCTCCAGTTCGCACATTCTTACGAACCTTGTCGGCTATGATGTTCACTCTCAAGGTAAGTCCATGTATGACCGCCCTCGGAGATTCGTGCTGACAGCTCCCCAGCGTCTGAGTCTTGGCAACCACGAGCGACTGGTGCGCAAGAGCATCGGTCTGCTCGAGCAAGTGATTCAGCTATTCCAAACTGAAGTTGTGGACGATGTTCACTTGAGCGGATCGACGGCGTTGATGATTGAGGGGATCCTCAAGAAAGTCAAGCAAACCATGATTCGAGTGCAGAAACCGCCGCACACATCAAGCGTGCCCAGCCGCGACCAATCTCGACCTGGTTCACCACAACATCAGGCCAACGACCGGACTCAGGAGTACTTAGAAGCGGCTACGCAGCAATACGCCAATGGCATGCGGTCCAACAACGCAGCCTATTCGATGGACCCGCTAGCCAGCATCCAAGCTCGTCCTCTCGCAGACTTCTCGGACCGCACTTTCATTATGCCGCACGGCTGGTCAGTAAACGACTTCGACGGCACTTTGATGATGGACGACACTGCCATTGATCCGAGTGTTAACAGTGAAGGCAATGCGGATTGGCTAGCACTCCCACTTGACAACTTTGAGCACCTCTCCAATAACGACACGGTGCGGGTTGATCAGGGGATGCACAGCATCGGACCGACTATTGGCCAGCAAGATCTTATGGAGGTTATGTTGGATCTTCCATCGTACGAGCAGAATGGCATGCCATGGCCAGGGACGAACCATGGCTTCCAGAACTACTAGGAGGGGCGGAGGGTTGGTCATGGACGGCTTGCTATTTCACTATAATGGACGGAAGCTTCTTCGGACACAGCTTGATAGCGATCTATGGCGGCTTTTTGCTCTTGAGGGAAAGCGGAGGTCGATTCGGTGAATCTGCGTGCGGTCAGCGGTTGAAGGCAGCCGCAACGGTGATAGCCTTGGCCTAGCGTAACAGACGAGGCGTAGCTTGCTGAATACATTGCCCCTAAGAGGGTGCACGACCATGGCTTTCATGACTTTACTCGTGCGAAAATGCCAGGGTCCAGCTGGACCATATTCGGTACATTAGATGCTCGAGGGGTCCAGATCGGCGGGGGCTGAGCGGCGATGCTTGATTTGAGTTGGCTCTGTTCGGCGCCCCACCCGAGTTCCGGCCGGACCTTGCACTGCAGTCCTCGCGCTTCACCTCACTCCATGTGCTCACCCCTCTCCAGCACCGTCTCTTTCCAAATCTAACCCCGATTTCTCGCACTGTGCCAGCATCTTCCTCTCATACGACGACACCAGCGACTTCTCTCCGTGTCATGGCTGGCCCCTGACCTGTTCAACCCCTCAACACGCGACGGCCGGGAACCACCGCACGAAGACCACTACCTTGACAATGTGGTCGACGCGAAAAGCAACAATACAACCGAATCGATAGCAAGAGCATGTCAGCCACCCCTACAATCACCGCGCGCCAACTATGGGGCCAAGGTAACACCAGGACTACCAGTGCGGGCACCCGAGAATGGTGCACTCCCGTCATTCTCCCCACAGGTGGTAGGCGTCATCCCACAACCGGATCGCATACGACAGCTACTGACCACACTGTCCAGGTATCCTCGTTGTAGGCGAAAACAGTACCACGACGCTGACTGCCCGAGCCACCTACCTACTTCCATGCGACAGCGACGAGTCCGTGCTGAGCCCGGACACCACCGGCAACTCCACTGTCATTGGCTTTTACGAACCATTTTACGCCTCCATATCGCCTCAGATCTTTGCTCTAGCCACCGCAACCGTGATCAGTTATATCCTTGTTATACTCATATTCATTACGCCACGAACATTCTACGTGGGAGGTCCTGGCGGAGGAGGTGGCTTTCTGTCGCGTCATGGCTTGTCCAGCTCTAAATCGATCGTGGGAGTAGGGAGGCGGCCACTTCTACAGAAGATAGCCACCATCACAGTGGCTATATCGCTGACCATCGCTGCCGCCGACACGTTTTCTGTCGCCGAAGACCAGTATTCTGAGGGCTATCTCGACTCGAGTGCGCTGGTCGATGATGTGGTCAATACCGTTCTCATCAAGGTTGTGCGCATCATTTCCGACTCGTTCCTCTGGCTCGCTCAAGTTCAGACACTTATACGACTCTTTCCCCGACACAAGGAGAAGGTGACGATCAAATGGCTGGGGTTCGCCCTTGTCTCCGCCGATATCATCTTCTCCATCCTCGATTCCTTCATTAGCGACAACCCTGGCACCCGACCCAGAAGCTTCCAGGATGCAATACCGGCGCTCAACTATCTGTTCGAGCTTGCTATCTCCTTGATCTACGCGTCGTGCGTCGTCTACTACTCGCTTTCGAAAAGGCGATTTGCATTTTGGCACCCAAAGATGCGAAATGTCTGTTTGGTAGCCCTGATCTCCCTGATCTCAGTGCTGATTCCAGTCGTGTTCTTCGTCCTGGACATTTCTCTCCCAAGACTCGCCGGCTGGGGCGAGTACATTCGTTGGGTCGGCGCCGCGGCGGCCAGTGTTGTTGTCTGGGAGTGGGTCGAGAGGATCGAGGCCTTGGAACGTGATGAACGCAAAGACGGAATACTGGGTCGTGAGATGTTTGATGGAGATGAGATGCTTGACCGACCCTCGTCGGATGACAGTGATTGGCATGGACGAGGCAACAACAAGGACGGTCGAGATGTCGAAAAATCTGCTGGTCTCGTCCAGCGAGTTAACCAGATGCGTTCCAAGCTGCCTTTGCGACGACGACGGAAGAGGCCGGCGGGCCACAATGGCGATGCGGATGACCCTCCACCAAGTGGGGGAACAGGAACCAATGTTACTACTAATCCGCTGGTCCCGCCCCAGCCCGCGGTGTCACCGCCTAGTCGCAGCGACACTGCCAGTGCAGCCAGCACTGTTTATGCTGTGCGTTACCATAATCTCACGAGTCCATCGCCCGGTGCACCCGAGCCGGTACCCGAGAACACAGCTCAGGAAGACCAAACTGCACCCAAGGAAATCTCAGACTCTTCGACGGAGGACCCGCCTGTGGTGAAGAACGAAAATGACGACCAGATCCAGCCGGATGCCAGCCGAGGCCAGCAATTTTGGTCCACGGTTCCTAATCCTTTCAAGCGACGAAAGGCGGAACCTCCAGCGGAGGTTGCTGGTGCACAGGCTGCGAGCGGATTGCGAAGATCGCCAATTGACCGGACCATCAACCTCCGAGATCGACTCGGGGCTTTTGCGGCAGCTCAAAGGGACCGTTTTGGCCGGAACGGCAGTGGACCAATACCTCCGTTGCCTGTCATGGTGATCCCTGCACCCAAACAGAATGATCGCACATGGTCGCCAGACGAAGTGCGTAATTCGTCGTCGACCAGCTCGGCTGGCCAGCCTCGAGGTGAGGAAGCTGGGTCGAGCGGCCATTTGCAACAAACGTTTGCGGGCAACCAGAACGATGATAATGTCGTGGTCATCCCTGCCCCAGCGCGCGGACAGACATGGTCTCCACCAGAGCAGGCGGAATCCAGCGGGCAGACCCATGGCTCGCCTTCAGCACAACAACGGGGACATGGTCTACCCTCAGGGCGCAGTGATACCTCGAACACGCCGACGCCAACGCCAACGCCAACGCCCAATGTCATCTCCACACCAAGAGGGGCACTGACGATAGAAGAAGATTCGGGGCGAACCCAACAGTCAGTAACACCGAGGCGTAATACCTATACAAGACGGAGTGCCCCACGAGCTGAGGCTACCGTACCGACATCGCAGTCAAACAATGAGTCAGATGCAGCTGATACTGCGGGACCGGCCAAACCTTCGACAGTCCGAGGCAGCGGTACACAGGGTCATGGTCCTGCTGGAGACGGGCAAAAAGGCACACAGAACAAGCAGGCTGCAGGAGCCGAGTTGGAGCAGCAGCCGTCTGCATCTGCAGGTTCGGGGCGAGCATCGCCGTCCGCTCACCCTGCGCAGCAAAAGGCCACCGAAGAGGCGGCTCAAAGCACAAGTCCGCAGCAAAGTCCTGAGGACGGGCGTGACACAGGAGGAACTAGTCCTGGAACATCCACTTGAAAAAAAGGAAGCCATGCAGCGTTTATTGTTTTCCATCAAGCGCAATGTTCATAGCGTCTGAAATGCATATATCTCTATGACCATACTTTTTCTCACGCCTCCAACCAGCTCGTCGACCAGCCTATAGCCGAGCCGTGCCACGTCAAGCAAAGGCGAAGGAACCTCGTTCTAGCCGCAGCGAGTATATGTAGATATATATATATATACATATATCCTGTGCACACATGGCTGCATGTAACTTGCCTCGCCGTCGACGCGTATTCACAAATGCCTTTTACGGACGAACCTCATCCATCCACTGCCTGTCTACAAGTATGATCTGCGTGACGTCATGGTGGACTTGTGACGGATACAGACTTACTTTACCACTACCAGTCGACGTGCCGCGCGCAACAGCATATCACAATGGAAAAGTAATCCAAGGATAACCAGCCGGCAACTTCTTCACGCCGCGCAACTTCCTTACTCGGTAACTACCAACACAACGTTGTCGGAGAGTATTGTGGAGAGGACATACAATTCAAAAACATCGGGATTCCCAGAAAGTATGGTCGCCACCCGATCCGCCGACAAGCCTAAGCAGGCCAAGCTGGAGGATTTTGGAGGCGTTGCTGGAGCAGTAGCAGCAGCAGGAGGACGAGGGGCCTCCACTAGCACCACAGCCACCACCAAGAAACAGCAACCGGTTTCGCAGGAAAAGACGTCGTCATCGAAGCGCAAATCCTCCGACACAGCAAATACCACCACCACCACCGCCGCCGGGAATGGACCTCAGCAACGGCGCGGCACGAAGCGCAGAGCGGGAGGGAGAGGAGCGTCTGCCAAGGAGGCTAGTAGTACCACCGATGCGGACGACTCTGCCTCGCCGCTGGATCCCCACAGGCCGTCAGCAGCCAACCCTGAAGCCATCAAGGGCAACGGGCCCGTCTCGCCGGCGCTGAAGCGGCAGAGAGGGGATGACGGTGGTGCCGCCGGTGCTGGTGGTGATAAGGCGGGAAAGCAGGGTGGGTCCGCTCAACAAGGGTCGAAGCAGCAGCAGCAGCAGCAGCATTTCTCCGCCGATGCTTCGAGTCTGGAGAAACCGATCGTGATTAATCGGTCGCCGGTGCTGCAGCTGTGGGGCGCGTGTGTGGCGGGGTTCCTGCATCCGGAATTGGGGTGGGAGGTTTGTTTGAATATCGGTAAGTGGGAAAAAGAAAAACTTGGGGTTTCTGTGCCTGCCTGCGTTCCCGTTCCTGAAACTGGATCGGCTTTCTGGGCCCTTGGTTGGGCCGTGACGAGGAGAGCGGTCCGGTGGGGGGAGGGGGCAACATGTTTCGCTTGATGAATCGTTTCGTTCTCGAGAAAGACTCCCACTGACAACAGAATCCATAGGAGGCGCAATTGCCGCTCTCTGCGCCGTCTCAAAGGGTCGGGCTATCGGCATGATTGAGCCCAAGGACGAGGATCCGGACAAGAAGGCGAAGAAGGAGGATACCAAGCAGAAGGCTTTGAAGGGTAAGTGCTCGTCATTGAAAACGGCTTCGTGGTCTTTCCCCTCCGGTCTCTTGGCGGCTTACCTGATGAATCTGCACAGACGCAGAAGTCTATACGGTGATGTCGTTCCCGCTGCCAGTCCGCAATGCTGCGGTGCTTCTCTCGGGAACGCCCAAAACCGTAAAGGAGTCGACGATTGTCGCCAAGTTCGGTGGGCAAGATGCGTACGACCGCGTCAAGGACGTGATGCAGTCGGCTTTGAAGTCCTGGGAGTCAGACAGAGAGGAGCTGGACCGGAAGGCGTTCGGGATGTATGAGCGGTTCCGGCCGAGCGTGCCGCCTAGGGAGAAGGGCTGGGGGAGGAAAGGCGAGCTGAATCCTGCGGAGGTCGAAAGCGCCATTGCGAAGTCGTAGTACCAGCGCCAAAAGTACGCCGTGGCGGAAGAATGGCGTGCAGCTCAAGGCTCGTTTTCAAAGACGCTCACCAACGTCCCCACATGTGGCTCGATCTGCACGTGAAATTCATCGCCCGCCCTTAGCGTGACCTTCGGCTTCCTCACAACCCCCACTCCCGCCGGTGTGCCCGTCAGTATCACCGTGCCGGGCAGTAACGTAGTCCCCTGGCTTAGAAACGCGATCAGCTCCGCCACACCGAAGATCAAGTCATCGGTGGCGCCATCCTGTAGCAGCTCGCCGTTTCGCAAGCCCTTCACTTTCAGGCTCCCAGGATCAGGGATCAAGTTCGGCGACACTAGCACAGGGCCCAGAGGACAGCTGCCATCAAAGCCTTTGCTGAAGCACCACTGGCTGGTAGCGAACTGCGCGGTACGGCTGCTCACATCGTTGGCCGCCGTATAGCCCAGTACGTAGCTCAACGCGTCAGCAGCGCGGACGTTCTTGGCTACCGCGCCGATGACAACGGCGAGTTCGGCCTCGTAGTCGCCGCTGTCGTCGGCTTGCGTGAGGTGGGGGAGTGGTACCCGTGTCGGGTAAGGATTTGTGAGCGCCGTGGCGGGTTTGAGGAATAGTGATGGCGTGGTGGGGAGAGGGAGGTTGACTTCTGCAGCGTGCTGGCGGTAGTTGAGGCCGATGCAGCGGATGGTGCCGGCTTCGGCTTGAGACACGGGCGAGAGGAGGCGGGCGATGCTGGCGGTTTGACCAGTCGGCTTGCCTGGGGCGAGGACAGAGGTGCCCGAGTAGAGTTGCACGGGGATGTCCTGGGTGTTGTGGCGGAGAGCGAGACCGACGTCAAGTTTGGGATCTATTGGCTGGCCGATGACGGCTTTGGAAGGGTCTGATTTGGGATGGAAGCGTACGAGGCCTCGGGAGGTTAGGGGGGATGGGAACAGATGCGAGAACTGGTACTAACGTTGCCACTGTCGTAGAATGGGTGATTTCAGCATCATTAAGGCTATGTTCTTCGCCGTCGGTCTTTGCAAGTTCGGTTTAATATAAGATATATGCAAGGCGCTGAGGAACCCAGCTGCTGGTCGCTCAACACGTGAAGTCCCCCACCGGGATAGTGTTTTTCCGCGGCGGTGGGGCGTGGGGAGATCAGGCAGTGAATGCAAGTTTACACAGTATGAGCCAAGGATGCCCCTCTCTCCGACTACATCTGCCGATGAGCTTTTCAACCATGCTCATACCACCCTTCAACCACAGCATAGCAGGAGATCAAGTCCTTTCCAAGTAGCACAAACTAGGTGATCGACCAGGAACAGAATCAGCACTCACTTGAGCAAATCCTATCCATAGCGATCATGGCCGGTCCTGACGATCCTCCGACAGGCATGTATCGCAAATATTTGCCAGACCTTAGCATTCCGCGCTTCACCATCATGGCGCAGCAGGATGCCCATGTCTACGCCAAAGAGTTCAAGGAGAAGGGGATCCCACCTTGGCTGCACGCACTGTGGCAGCATTGGAGGAAACTGCTCGCCGAACCGTTCAAGGGCGTGACGAACGACGGTGTGGTACGGCCGGGGCTCTTTCCCATACAAGACGAGGGCATCCCAATTGGCAACATTGTCGAGTTGACGAATAAGCTGCTGGGTATGCTGGATGCCGACCAGCTCGCGAAGCTCAGCTACCACATCGATTCACCGGAGTGGCGAACGTGGTCGAATCCCGAGTTCTTGCTTGCTGACAAGGGCATCCGGCTGGATGAACTCACTCCGCAAGTACGCGAAGCATGTATGGACGTATTGTCTGCGACCCTCTCGCCGGAAGGCTACCATAAAGCCGTGTCAGCAATGCGTATCAACGGCTTCCTCGGCGAGCTTGTCAATGGCACAGCAGTCTGCAACGAGTACAGCTACAATTTTGTGCTGTTCGGAACTCCTTCGGAGACTGCGCCCTGGGGCATCAGTTTCTACGGGCATCATCTGTGCCTCAATATACTCTTCTACCGGACGCAAATCGTCCTCAGCCCGTGGTTCACAGGTGCGGAGCCCAACGAGATCGATGAGGGGCCATACAAGGGGACCAAAATCTTGAGAGTCGAGGAGGCGTTGGGTCTGCAGCTTATGCAGAGCTTGAGTCCGGAGGTGCAGACCAAAGCACAGATTTATAAGCAAATGAAGGATCCTGCCATGCCACCAGGACGGTGGAATCGCGATGATCAGCGACACCTGTGCGGCGCATACCGGGACAACAGGGTGGTGCCGTATGAGGGCGTCCTAGTTTCAGAGCTGCCCGCTGAGGCACAAGAGCTGGTGAGCAAGATCCTGGAAGAATACTACCTCTTCTTGCCGGAGCAAGCGAGGCAGATCAGGCTGCAACAGGCCAAGGAGTGGTTCAAGGAGACTTATTTCTCGTGGATCGGCGGGTTTGCGAGCTCGAGCGAGGTGTTTTACTACCGCATCCAGAGTCCGGTGGTGATTGTAGAGTTCGACCACCACAGCGGTGTCTTCCTGACGAACGAGCATCCTGAGCGATTTCACGTTCATACGTTGCTGCGGACACCAAACGCAGGAGACTACGGAATGGCTTTGAAGGCGGTACTTCCCGGTGAGGTTGAGCAGGCATGGGTGTGGGAGGAAGATCTGAAATGAGCTGCGAGAGCTGTTGGATACATTGGAGCAGGTCACCCATGCTGTTTTGATACCGATTCTAAATATTTGGGGGCCGCACCAAGATTAAAGCGATACTTTGTACACAAGAGTTGACTTGTCTGAGGCCTCGACCGACGCTTTCGCTTGGCTTAGATTGCTGATTGCTCCCTCCAGGGTCTTTGATAGCCTCGGAATCACGAGGCCTTGTGAAGCGACAAACTAAGCGACTCGCTCCACCAATTTTCCAGTCGCTTTGGTAGGCTTCCTTGCCTTGACCTTAATCTAGCTCGTTAAAATTGTATTGTTCCGGATCTAGAGTGGCCAATCCACCACCATGCGACGTGGGTCGAGATAGAAGATTAGCGAGACTTGGGGTTAAGGGGTCCGCAGCCTTAGCACACCATCAGCGCCGGAGCGGCATGCGCCCAGCACGTGAAAGAACAGGGTCATATGTACGTGTCGATCAGTATGAAACCCATAGCCATGAATGTCCTACCAATTATCAGATTGAGTAACGGCCGAACATCCCGTCCCTCCTATGTATTCTCGTGCCTCCTTCTCATTCTCGACAATCTGCGGATGCTGCGACGTTGGAAGGCTGTCCAAATCCATCTGCAAGACGCTGTTGGGGTCAATCACCACGACCGTCTTCCCCTCGGCGAGCAAGCGTTTTATACTCTCGTGGATAACCCGCTTGGCGACGAGATTGAGCGAAAACGCGTCTCGGAGCGACACCACGATGGCGCAAGCGTCGCGGTGCTCCCCGGAGCCGGGATCCTTGGGATCTGGCTCGCCGAGCTCACGCACGATGGCGCGCGCGAGGCGCTCGGAGCCGGCGAAGCGGACGGCCCCGCGGAGGGCGAAGATGACGACGCGGCGATCGCAGTTGGGGTGGTGAGGTTCTTCTTTCCCTGCGACGATTTTGGCCACCGAGGTACTCACGCTGGCGCGGGCGATCTGGCTGACGTCCATCATGTGGAAGCCCATGTCCCGTGACAGCTGCTCGAACAGTGCCACGGCGCGGACGCTGTTGCCACGGTCGTTCAGTTTGGGCGAGAAGGCGGCGATGCCGACCTGTCCCGGCAGTGCACCAATGACTCCGCCGGCGACACCACTCTTGGCTGGAATGCCAACTCGGGACACCCATTGACCTGCCGCATCGTACATTCCGCATGTGGTCATAACTGAAAGCACCTGGCGGACACTGTCTGCCGGCATAATCTTTTCGCCCGTGACCGGATTCACGCCGGCGTTGCAGAGAGTCGCTGCCATCATGGCCAAATCGCGGACGTTGACGTTGATGGAGCACTGGCGGATATAGCCCTTGACCACCTCAGCTGGTCTGCATGAGATAATGCCCGCTGCCTTGAGCATGTACCCAATTCCCATGTTGCGGTCGGCATCCTCAAGCTCGGCCTCGTACACCTCCTCGTCCACATACAGCTGTCGCCCAGCCAACCTAGACATGGCCTTGAGGATGCGGTCTGTCCTCTCCTCCGCTGTGGCGTCAGGGTGGACCACCAGCGAATGCGCCGCGATAGCACCGGCATTGATCATGGGGTTCATCGGCCGGTTGTTGCCTTTGTGCAGCGACAGTTTGTTGAATGCGTCGCCGGACGGCTCCACGCCAATCTTTTCCAACACGTGCTCCAGCCCGGCATCTTCGATTGCGATCGCGTAGACGAACGCTTTCGAGATGGACTGGATAGAGAACTCAACTTGATCGTCACCTGCTGAATATACGTTGCCGTCGACCATGACGAGTGCCACGGCTAGCTTGGACGTGTCCGCATTGGCCAACGTCTTGATATATTGCGCGGGCTTGCCATCTTCGTTGGGCCGAACCTTCTCCAGCACAGCATTGAGGTAGTCGGGGATCGGTGACCTCATGTCGAAGGGACTTTAGTGTTGTACCCGCCAGAGCAGTAAGAGGAGTTCAATGTCAATGGGAGGGGTAGACTTCTTCGCGAGTTCTATTTTGTTAACCAAGCCCGAGATGCGCCAATACTTTAGAGTTCCTTAGCGGTGTGGTATGTGTAAGCACGTGCTGAGCAATCGAATCAGTAGCTCAATTCAGTTCTACTAGTATAGAGAAGAATAAGAAGAAGAAGATTGATGAGCAGGTGTCGGAACAGTCGTATCGACTTCTTCAGATCAAGGGTGACCGTCAGACAAATTACATTTTCCGAGGAAAACCTCCATGACCAACATTGGCCTCAATATACAAGAAGTACCTTAAGTATATGCTGGCAGACCCCAACCAAACACTCATTCGCTTGCATTGGGGGGACCAAATGTTCGTTCTATAAGAGAAGCAGCGTGGTATCCCGCGGCATTGTCACTTAGTGTGCACATATTATCTCCGGCAATGCATGGACTCTCTGAGGTTACCCAAGCTCTGCAACGTACATTGATCGATTAATATTAAACGAGTGATCGCCGAGATTAAACACGATTCCTCAACGTAAGAGTCCTGGACCACGCACATCTCTCGCTAAATGGACTATCATATGGTACGATAATACCGAAGGCGTCGTCGGTCGTTCTACAGATCCCAGACAGACACCACAGTGTCGTGGTCAGTTTCGAGCGGACAGAGGCCATCGTTCTGGAACTGTGACCAACCAAAATCGTGCCGATCTGAACAATGATATAGAATGACTCAGCTCAATCGTCAACAGTCACATGACATATGTGCCATGCTGTATACTGTAGTGGCCGAGCAGAGGCATAGCGCGCGTACACCAGTCAGTCACCTTCTGCTCGTAGCAGCGTTAAACGATCACTAACTACGAGCGTGCCACATATGAAGTCGAAAGGCACTAACTCATTACTATTCCAGATCGACTTTGTTCTCACGCTGTGTGGAGCCTTTTCGAGCATGCGCTCAGCGCAGTGCAGAGCTCCCTCGATGTCATTGCCGTATGAATTAGAGTAGGCGCTCTCAGGTCTAGCAAAACCTGACACCCTGTGTGCATTGACCCGCAGCTGGCTCTTTCCCTCCTCTTCGTCCTCATTGCTTTCTGACCGAAACCTCTACCAGCTCGCTCGAACAAACCTTCCAACTACGACTGCACCACGCCAGGCTTCTCTCCTCCGCCACCGGCACTACTCCTCCTCCGCTCCTGAGCCACGCTCATTTGCCTGATGCTCATGCCCCGCTCGCCCTCCTGCTGCGCCTCTCTGAAGTTGACCTGAGGCCGGAATGCCTTGCTCTTCCAGGCCTGCGACACGATCTCGTACAGCTCATCGACCTGCTCAAGCGTCAAGCCCTTGGTCTCGTAGATGAGCGCCCACACGAAGGCGATGGCGACCAGGCAGAAGGATCCCCATACAAAGAAGACTTTGGACTGGAGGTTGGCGTGCTCGGTGTCGACCATGTACGGTGTGCTATAGGCAATGGCAAAGTTGAGGAGCCAGTTGGTCGCTGTGGTGATCGAGAGAGCCTTCGCGCGGACCTTGAGGGGGAAGAGCTCGCCGGTCACAACCCAAGCGACCGGGCCCCAGGTGGATGCAAAGAAGTAGATGTAGATGCATACAAAGGCAATGGCGGCCCGTTGTGCTGCAAGGTCGGTGGTGCCTGACTCGGTGTTAGCAAAGTTGTTGTAGCCGGCCGTGGATCTCCCTACCAGCGACAGTTCCGGTGATGGCGACGATGAACTGGCACACGCACATGCCAACGGCGCCCAGGAGCAGAAGGTTGCGACGACCCAGCTTCTCTACGAGGTAGAGACCTGGAAGAGTGGAAACGACGTTGACCGTGTTGGTGATGACCTGAATGGTGAATGGATTCTCGAAGCCGGCGCGCTCAAAGTAAGCAGTTCCGTAGTAGAAGATGAAGTTCACCCCTGTAAATGTCAGTCAATCATATAATAAGACAAGATACTTGCGAATCCTACCAGAGAGCTGCTGCAGAGCCTGGAGCAGACAGCCAGTCATGAGACGTTTGCCAACAGTGCCTTTGGTGCAGTCAAGGTAAGTGCCTTTGCCGACGCTCATTTCGTACTCATGGTTGGCGCGAACTTCTGCGAGCTCTTCTACCAAAGCAGGGTGATCGATAGGTAGACGACGGAGTCTGGCGAGAGACTTTGCGGCAGCCTCGTACTTGCCCTTCTTGATGTTGAAGCGGGGTGTCTCCGGGAGAATGAGCATGCCCACGCAGAGGATGATGGCCCAGGCGAACTGGAGGGCAACTGGAATACGATAAGAGCCGGTGTCGTCGCGGTTCTTGGTAGCATTGTTGACGATGGCCGCCAAGAAAAGCCCGACCGTAATGGCAAGTTGATAAGAACCACTGCGTTGGTTAGCACAGGCTTTCGCGGCCATTGAAGAACTTACACCACAGTACCTCTAATCCACTTGGGAGCCGTCTCGGATTGGTACAGAGGGATCTGAGCACTGATCAAACCAACGCCGTACCCAGCCCAGAAACGGCCCGCGATGAACAGCGGCTGAGAAGTGGAAGCGGTCTGTAGGATGACTCCTAGATTGAAGATAATCGCAGTGGACAAGAAGATACCAAGGCGGCGGCCGAAGAAGTCCGCGACGGGTGCAGCCGTTAGCGCGCCGAGGAAGGTACCAAGGGAGAGGATAGAAACAATCAGCGACTCGTCACTTGGGTCGATAGCCGCTTCGCCATCGCTATTGGTGTAACCATTCGAAAAGCTTGGAAAACGTCAACTCGGGACTCTGGCAGCAAAGTTGGTGAAACAGAGGCACTTACAGTTCGACCCAGTACGGCATTGCTAGGATGCCACTGATGGTTCCAGTGTCATATCTATACTCGTTAGTAGGAGTTCCAGTAGAAGAGATTCCTAGGAATAACTGACCCAAAGAGGAGGCCACCGAACGCGACGAACAGGCCGACGACGACGGCAGGCCATGCCGCGCCAGGCTCATCAGCTGGCTTCTTGAGCATGAAGCCCATGTTGACTAGAAATGTCAGGAGGCGTTGGAAGGATGGTGTTGTCGGTTAGTGCTTGAAAGGCGTGGATCCGCGCAGGTGGGAGGGAAGGGAAGGATCTTATATAACATGCGACACGACGCCTCGCCCCATGACCTTCATCAAGGAGGATTCAGCATGCATGGAGATGAGAGGGGACAAGCCGCATTGCAACGCCAAGGGAGGATGCATGGGCGAAAAGAGCCGACGCTACACTAATCGCATCGATCGACCAGGATCAGCGTTGAGCAGCCCCGGCACGGCGCAGTGCATGATGTGTCGGCCCTATAAAATGTAAGCTTTTGGTCTTCTGGAAGCACTGTCCGCCTGTGGACCTCAGCTGCTCAGCAGCTTTAGCAATCCATCATACACGATGCAGCTGATCCTCAGTAGCATCTTCACAGCATAAGTGAGATTGCTGGGGCACATGTCACGGTCCGGTCACCGATGAATGCCGACGGAAAACTGGACCAAGTCTTTGCACTCCAGCAAAAAAGGGGAAACCCGGGAGAAACGTCAGAGGAGGAAGTAAAAGCTGGAGGGTAGTTTCGTGAATGGTGGAGAAGCGATGCCGCCAAGCCCCGCTCCGCTCCTTGGCACAAGACAAGACGGCGAAGTCGCAGAACAAGATCTTTCGATGAGCTCATTTCATCCTGCTAGTTCGGTTGCTTCGCCTTTTCGTTCGCTGCTTCTTCGCGTACTAGTGCCTATTCTGGTTTGGAAAGTACAACATCGTGCGACAAGACATTGAGATTGTGGGGATGAGGCCGACGATCTCCCTCTCGCGTGGGTTGTCTCCCGTGGGTTCAGTCTCAGTTGTGACCAGCACACCATTGCTGTTGCCGGAGGATCATCTTCCTTAAGTGCGATGATACTGGCGAAAAAGTCGGGAGAAGGAATGCGATGCACATGTCTTCGCTTTGGAGAAGAGTACGGTTGATGATCCTTCCAGGCTCGGAGGTTCTTCACAGCTTTGAGTGGTGAGCCTTATTGCACCGCTTTCTGATCTCATGCCCTCTCGTTCGCACTTCTGTGTACATTGATTGTGCTGAAAACTAAGCAAATGTCTGGACAAGGGTCAGTATATCGTGAGGGACTCGTCAATGGCGGAACAAGGGCCAACTCACCACACGAACGGCTTGAATAGTATTCGGGTGATTCGTGAAGGTAACGACCAGTGTCTTCCCGCTCGGGTCGTAGTACGGGTGAGGCACGGCTGCGTAGCAGGTGCTGCCCTCTGTGATCGGGTGGGCTTGATAAAGCTCAAAAGCTTCCGACCAAGGGCCTTCGGGAGCCGGTGCGCGCCTAGCTTGCACTTTGCTGTTCCAAAAGTTGTCTGAGAAAGAGTCAGTATGGCTTCTTGCCGTGATGCGTTGGTAGACTGACCACAGTAGACAAAAAGATATTCGTTGAAGTGCTCCGACCAGATGACCTGGCCCTGGTTGATCTGCCAGAAAACACTTTCTTTCTCGCCGATGTCCTTGGTCTTCAGCCGCTCTTTCTGGAAGTTATCGCCGTTCCAGTATTCATACGCATCAAGCGATGTGACCTCTTGCCAACGTACGCGTGCCAGGTATACCCATGGGTTGTCCTTAGCATGCCCATAGGAATATATGTACCCGTTGGTACGAATGGCGCCGACATCGCCGTACCAAGGCTCCGTCTCGCCGTCCCACCAGTACTGTCCCAGGCGTTTGACGGACGGAACTGGAGGATAAGTGTCGGATAGGGCTACGGTCGCAACACCTGCCCCTTTGAGGTTGTTAATCCCGCCAGGGCGGTGGTTGAGGAGGAAGTACAAGATGCCTGTGGCGCTTGTCAGTGCGTGTCAGATGTCAGGGGGTGTGTCCTACCTTGACCAGGCTCGGTCTCGACCACATTCGTGATACCAAGTGCGCACTCAGCCGGGTCCTCGCCAAAGTGTTTGACAACCGGACAGAACTGTTTGGGATAGCCATCGTCGTCCAGGTTTGGATCGATGACAACGAGTGGGTTTTTGGTGGCAAGAGCGACCGAGTCACTGGTCATGCCGCGCCAGTGGTCGCTATAGTTCCCATCGCTATACATGGTATCGCCGTAGGTGAGAAGGACATATTGACCGATCTGCCCTTGGAAGCCGAGATCACGGGTGACATGCGTAGTTGCACTTCGCACGGTGCCAAGGAAGTTGGTCTTTGCGATAGAGACGACGTTCGAGGAGGACCTAGGCGAGTACGAGGTGGGGTGCGCCTGCGCATTGCCCGTTAGCCAAATAAGTCCTAGAAGTAGTATGGGATACATCGCTGCGGGCGATTCCGAAGGAATGACTTGGGCTGAGAATGTGAAGTTGTCGATGAGTAGAATATTGAGCAAGGTAGGAAGATGTTTTGGTTTATGTGCAAACGGACAGTGCGACATGCAGCGTTGCCATGCCACTATTTAACACCACAACTCGCCACAGCTGGCCATGGTGAGATGCGAGGCTGGCCATGGAGACGACAACGCTGCTTGATTCAATCGACTTCGACCCAACCACAACTTTGGCCACCTCGTGCGCGGTAGCGCAAGTCAAGAATGCTTGCAAAAGTGACTGCGACTCACCTGGAAGCACAGATCATGGTCCCTCCATCCTTCTGGACCGACAGCGAGGCCCTGAGACTGTGTCTGAGCAAGGAAAAGGCCGGATGGGCCAGTAGATGGCTGTGAGGTAAATTTCTCCTCCTTGCCATCACCCTGATGTGAGTCGAGAACGTTCTGCTTAGCCCAAGCCCAGGCTTTTCGCCTGAACCCTCCACGCTGTGTGCCATCCTCGTCGCTGTCGCCTTTAGGCTGGCTGAATAGACCACACATGTCTTCTGTAGGTAGCCGGAGGTGGTAGAAATCTTGCGTCGGAAAATGCACGGTCAATGGGTATGGTTGACATCGAATCTTGTGATTACAGATGGTTGGCGACGTGTTCCAGCGGTCACATCAATTGTTAGATGGTGGCGAGCGTTGACATGTGAAGGGTGCTACGACGATGCCGAGGTGAGAGCAACACCATCCATTCTTGGCAATATGCTTTGGTCCAGGGTGCTGATGCCGCGTAGATCCCTGCAAGTGTCTATGAATCCAGCTCAGTCATCCTTCATCCGATTCCGACACATCACTCCGTCCTCTTCTGGATTTTAGGCAGACCAAACCATGCCCCGATCATCATTGCGAACGAGAAGAGCACAATTGGATGCAAAACAACTGTCGAGATGGCCTGTGCCATCAACCCTGTCACAAACGGCACGAAGGCTCCCCCGGCGGAGCCCATTGATGAGACCAAGCCCAGTGAACCGATTTGGATATTCCGTGGCCAGAGCATGGCAAAGACCGCCATCGAACAGGGATAGACCGGTCCCAGAAACAAGCCCACTATGCTCTCAGCGACGGCGTTTGTGATGATGTTTGGGACAGCCCAAACGAGGGACTGGAATACGGCAGCGCTAGCGATGAGTCCAACCACAGCTCTCTTTTCGCCAATCCTGTGACAGATACCGGTGAGAAGAAAGCGACCCACTGATAACATGTTAGTTGACTCGGCCAAGACGCGCGATCACGACAGGATGGTTTACTTACATGTGATGCCGCCCCAGAAGCCTGATGTGACATTGCCCACTTGCGACGGGTCACCGTCTCTGTAGTGGATGAGATACGAGATGACCCAGCCAGAAATCGCCACTTCTCCTCCCTGGTAGAAGAAGATGAATAGGGCTCCCAGCAAAGTAGTCCGGTTCTTGAGAGACTGCCAGAGCAACTGCCGTTTGGTTGGTTCTCCCTGCGCGGCCGCCCGGCGGGACGCGGTTCTTTCGAGTGCGGTAAGGAGCTGAACGGAAGCATCTTCTTCAAAACTACGGAACGCCCACCCCATGGTTCCTACTGAAACCACGGACAAGGCGAGTGGGATGGTGTAGAACATCGACCAGGGTATGCCTTGAGATATCATAGCTGTGGCTATCAGCGGCGAGACGGTGCCTCCAACCTAGTAATTGTCAGCTTCATTCGCGTACCATCCGGTCTGACCCACTCCATATAAGCCGTGCATGAAACCCAAAAGCACTGTGCCGTGGGCCAAGTTCACCATGTAGGAATTGGACACTGCAAGAAAGATCGCGACTCCAACACCTATGAACCAGAATGCGAGCACCACCACTGCGAAGGGCGGTCTGCAGATCAGAGCAATATAACCCACACAGAGGAATGTACAGGCTATCATCAGCGTGCGAGAGCGCCCGAATTTCGAATCAATGGTCGAGATGACGGGCGCAGCCGCAATGAAGCCGAAGGCGTATGTGATAAAAAGCAAGGATACGACTGCGTAGCTCACATTGTACTGGGCTTCGATAGACGGAAGAACAGCCCCGGTCTGGTCTGTGTCAATGAGAGGTCTTGGAGGTCCAGCTGGGGCGATACTTACAGCAGCGTCCACCATACCGACGCACAGAAACACAACGCCTGTTGCCCCGAGACGCCATCGGATTTGGGGAGTGTTCAGCGATGTAGCTGCCACTGCATCAATAGCTTCGTCTCTAGTCGGCGTCGAGGGCTGACTACGTTCCAGCTCGCCCGGCGTGACAGCACCTGAGGAAGACGCGACCTTCGTAGAATCCGCCGGTCCAGATATGCGTTCACCCCATTGCAAAGTGTCAAGCTCGAGATTGGACGGACCAGTGATCTTCTGGTGAAGATGCACCTTGCTCGGGCTCTCAATGGAAGGCTCTCTGGAAGGTTCATGCTGTATGAACGCACCCACAGGCGCAGATAGGGCTGCCATACTGAAAGAGTAACACCGATTATTGCAAAGTCGATCTCTGTAGGTGGCGAAGAAGGAGGGAGCGAGAGAGCATCACTATATCATTCCTGGTAGCAGATTCGTGATTGCGGTCCGGCACCTCAAGAGACTATTTCAACAGCGGAAGACGATAAGAGTCCTGAGCGTGATTGGAGCGGAACTAGGTCCATTCTGTGATGCTTGGTTGCATCGGTGTGCCATCTGCGAGAGTTGCTGCATCAGCATCAAAGCGAAAGGAAATATTCCCGCTACATTTTCATGCAGAGCATTTTGTGTCGGCGGCGGCTGGGCTTCCATTCGCGGCAGGCTAAGAGGCGTGGATCTTCGAAATTTCTCCGTCCACGTACTTTTGGGAATTTCCTCCGGACCTAAAAAAGTTGGTGACGCTGCGGGGATCTCGATATACGCTCCGATGACATAGAACGTCGGTCTGCTCTCTACTTTCAAACCATGGCTCCGCCACGACGTAAGCTTCAGGCAACAGTCCAGGAGACTCTCACCCCACCAGACAGCATCAGCTCGAACCAGACGCTCGCTCGCCTTGCCAGTGCCAAAGGCAAGAACCTGTACGAAGTCGAGACGCCGGCCTCTAAGACGCTACTCGTCGAGCTCGATGCTAGATTCCGGTCCACCATATGGCTGAAACGAGGTAGTTATGTTCTCGTTGATATAGGCAGTTTAGCCGACCGCGACAACAAGATCGATGGCGAGATCGTGAACGTGGTCCGGGATGAGAAGGCATGGCGGAAGGCACCATATTGGCCAAAGGAGTTCTCCAAGAGGCCTGCAGCTACCGAGAGCGACGACGACGAATCCACCGTCGGCAAGATGCCCCCGACAGATGAAGACGAGTGAGACTGCATGAATCTCACCTTGCTTGGAACCTGACCTGGCGCTGCACATGGGTTGGAGGACGCATGTGATCGACCGGTGGCGCAATGAGTCCAGACAAGACTTGGATGGCCAACTCAAAGACCACAAGCATAGAACTGAATTCTGTGCTTGGAAACACGAGCCACGAATATTCTTGCGCCGCCCAATTGAGCAAAACCCATGCTGGACCGCCGCCCGATCGCCAAAGAAGATACGGAGTTGCCCAGCCAAGATATGCGTAAAACTGGTAGTGCAAACTTCTTGCACAGAGCAGTCCCACCGCCATACTACCCAGCATGGCATCCATGACGAACGTAGGCGTCACCTTGGCAGCCACGTCCTCGTTGACTGCGCCTTTCTCTTGAATGACGAACCTGCGCAAGAAGGTCTGGAGCCCGGGAGAGCCCGAGGGCGTCTGCCATCGCGTCTGTATGAAGACCAGGAGGACCGAAATATGCAACACAAGTAAGCCGACAGCAAAACCCTTGCTCAGGAAAGTTTCTTCTGCCACGAATCTCCAGTTGACGGTCCATTTGTATAAGAACTGCCGCCCAAAGTCAAACGCCTGATGAAAGTACGCAGCAGCATCGCCTTCTTTGGGGTCGAGAAAGGGTATGGCGGTTATGATCTGCAACATGATCACAGACGCCCCACCGAACAGCGCGACGAAGAAACCGGCACCTTGAATGAGGATAAAAGCCAACGCCGGTGCTGCCAGCAAGAGTACCATCTTGACACCCAGTCCCACCCCCCAGATCAGTGCGCCAGCCTCCCACTTCCTCCGTTGCAACAGGTAGATGCTTGTCCAGAGGAACAAGGTTGCCCAGCAGTCATTGAATAATCGCAGCATGAAGATGGAATGCAGTCTCTTGCTCAGCACAAGTGGTATAAGCAGCCAAGGTGGGGCGTTGACATTTCTGTAACATTGCATCACAAGTGCCAGCGTCGTCAAGTACAGAATCGCAAATATGATCTGCCCTGTGACGATATCTTTTCCCCCATCCGTCACGGCATGCAGCGCGCTGTAAATGTACAGATATGTTGCTGGGTATACACATGGACCGGTCGGACCCGTGATTTTGGGGTAGACTCGTTCGCCAGACCAGTACTTTTGGATGTGGATCATGTACGTCGACCAGTCGATCTCGGTATACGGTACTTTGAGGATTATGAGACCGCAGAGGGCTGCTTCGGCGAGGACGAGCAGAGGCACGACATAACGCGTCGCTTCGGGGTCGGTCAGGAGCCGTAACCCTTTCGAGAACAAAGAGTCCGGCATTGTCGCGCTGGGTGCGATAGATGCACGCCGGGATCCTGTCGTACTGCTCGATGGCCCTTTTCCGACCGTCGACGCCAGTCTGCGCCGCGAAGATTAGGGATAGTTTGATGTATTTCCTATTCTGGTAGGCTCGGTCCGCCTAACATCTGCCAGTGCCCGCCTTCTCTGCTCTCGCCCCTCTTGCAACAATCTTCAGGACCCTCTACGATCCTCGGGAGAGGTCTCTTTTCAGTTTCGCTGTGACCTTTGCACCTGGTTTTGACTGTTGCAGCCTGATGCACAGCAATTTTTACGGCGAGTGAAGAGCAACAAGCCAGCATGCGGTATTCATTTGTGGTCCAGCAGCGGCCTTTCGCGCTGCCTTTGCCTTCCTCTGTCAAACCCAGAATGCACCGGCCCTTTCCAAGGTGGTGCATTATTCATCGAGCCCCGTGAGGTGGTCATTGGTCGATTGACGAGCTCGTTACGAGACGGATCAGCTAAGTTTTTTGTCAGCCTGCTCACGCTTAAGGCGACATGCATCCTTCAGGATTCCCGACCGATCGGGCTACTATCGAATCTCGGAGTCTTCTCGCTGCCCAATCCTCATGTCTCACTTGTGCATAAGGCACCGCTGCGTCGAAGGGCCACTACATCGATGACACGTGCCTGTTGCCGAAGACGCATGGGACATATCACCGCTCAATGTCCAACCCTCTACGCAGCGTGGCCATGAGTTCGTGCATCGGTCCCTCATAATGTGTAGGCAACTGTCTAGACACAAGTCTTAGGCTGTCTCAACCGGATCCCGGATCCCTAAACCACGCCCATGGCTCATCTCTTGCTCCGCATACGTCGGTCCCACGAATTAGCTTCTTGGGGGCCGAAATTCCGCTTATACACATGCACTGCCTCACGACATGGCTGGAGCTGGGGCCGTGGTGAACTCAGGCTGACATCCTCCCACTGTCACCGGGCGTCGAGTATGAACAGGACCATTCGTACTACCACATGCGTGTCCGCTGATGAACACCAGCCCGCTCCTTGGCCCCAACCTATGCCCGTGCATCACGATCAGGTGGCCAATGACTGGTAACCCGGCCAAGTCGGCCTCTCGAAACTGAAGTTCCAGGATGACTGTAGGTGGGAACGCCTGCTCATGGACACGAGAATACTCCGCATCTTCCTGCTCGGCCTGGCCATTGCATACCAGATTGGCTGCTCATACATAGTGCATACGTCTTCGGGAGGAAGCCGTGCTGCCATGTTCGAATTCAGGACGCCTGGTAGGTCATGCAGCCCTATTAGGCAATATACTGATATCTCAGCCTCAGGATTGCACTACGCTGGATGAGCAATAGGATTCTGTAGGACTGGATCATATAAAGGCGCCTTTATTCTCGGTTGTTCGTCATGCATCACACTCCACGGGCAATCTTCTGTCAACATGCATCTCCTTACCCTATTGAGTCTATCGGCTGTTGCCTTAGGAGCAGCCCTGCCCAGACAAGCCACCAGTGCTGAGCCTTGTGCAGACCTGGTCAGCTTGTACAATGCCTCTGCGCAGCCAGGAGACTCAGCACAACTTCTCGACAGTCAGATAGCGCAGGACTGCCTTTCGTCGATCCCTTTCTACTCCGATCTCGCCACAAAGTTCATGGCAGAGTTCCGCAAGCATGTTGCCTTCCAGTCAACCCTTGAGATCTTGGCCAATCCGCCAGATACTTACGAGTCGAAAGCGGTCGACATACTAAGAGGGTTGGATGAAATCGATGCCAAGGTCGAAACTGGACACTACTCTAGCCACTACGAGTTCGAGACTGAGGTCGCATTGCTCATTAGCTCCGCCAACGATGGCCACTTCTCGGTCCGCTTATGCACGACGGGCCTTTTCTCCTTCTCTTTGGGAGAGTACGGGCTCGTATCAGTGTCAACTACCGGTATCGATTTGCCGCAGCTCTATGTGCTACTCAACGGAATGCTCGTTGGAGGCACTGACGAAGCTACACCGATCACTTCAATCAACGGCCAAAACGCCACAAACTATATCACCCAAATTGCAGAATACCAAGGCTTTCAAGATCTGGACGTCCGCTACAATTCCCTGTTCTTGTCGTATGCAGCTGGCGGTAGTGGGAGCACAACACCATCTCTGGGATCATTCTCCTTCAATTCAGGCCTCTGGCCGGGCTCAAACGTCACTGTCATCGACTTTGAAGACGGATCGACACTGCAGATTCCAACGATCGTTTCTGTAAGCTTTGCCAGTTCTGAAGGCATCAAAGATGGCCAATCGCTGTTCCAAAGCACTTGCATCCCTAGCCCAACCTCTGAGGAACCTTCCTCCACCACATCACCTGTGGAGCCTGAGGTCACGACCGAGGTGTCGCCAGAGACAGAGCCAGAACCCTCCGCAGAGCCTTCGGCGGAGCCCTCGACCCTTCCCTCATTCACATCTGGGCCTCTTGGCTATCCCGAAAGCATCGTGCGAGACGGGTACAACCAGGTCAACGGCTTCTACTTGGACAACGACACGGCAGTGATGTTCATTCCCACCTTTGAGACCGATAATGCGCCTGCGAATGACTCGTTAAATGTAGCCGAGATCGCCGCTGGCTTTATCTATACCGCACGCAACTCAGGCCACAGCAGGCTCATCATTGACCTCACCGGCAACGGTGGAGGGGACATCACCCGAGCGTTTACCCTCTTCAGCATTTTCTTCCCCGCTGAAATCGCGTACTCGGCCACTCGATTCCGCCGCCACCCTGCCTCCGAACTCGTCTCCAAAGTCTTAGGAACCCTCAACGAAACCGAAGCTGCCAAAGAAGTTGACTTTGTCTACCAATATGCCGTCACACCAGACCAGCACTCGGGCTTTCCGACACTCGCCTCCTATCTCACCACTATCACCGAGCACGGTGTACCCGTTAGCGCCCTCCACGCCAACTTCAATAACAGTGCATACTCCAGTGAAGAATCCCCAATCTACGGCTACGGGCCCTTCCCCATCACCAACAAGACCGCCCCATACGCACCAGAAGACATCCTCATTATCACCGATGGCTACTGCTCCTCAACCTGCACTACCTTTGTAAACCTGATGAGCAATGTCGGCCAAGTCCCCACCCTAGCCTTCGGCGGCCGTCCACTCAACGCGCCCATGCAGATCATGGGCGGTGTCCGCGGCGGCCAAGCCATGCAAGCCGACGGCGTCAGCTCCTTCTTCGCCGTAACGGCGCAGCAGCTGCAGGTGGACCCCAGCATTCTGAGCGCCGAGGAGCTGCAGCTCGCCAACGACACGGCGCCGCTGCCCCTCGCTGCCTTTCCCGTTGTCGTCACTTCCCTCGGTGTGAATTTGCGTAATGCGTATCAGGAGGGTGACGATGATCTGCCGCTGCAGTTCCAGTACCAGGCTGCGGACTGCCGGCTGTTCTACACACTGGAGAACTACCTGCAGCCGTCGACGGTGTGGCAGGCTGCGAAGGATGCAGTTTGGGGTGGCGGTGGGTGCGTGCCAGGCAGCACGGGTGGGAAGGGGAGCTTGGCAGACCGGGCTGGGAATGGGACTGCTGGCCGTGGGTGGAGTGGCTGGAGGGAGAAATCATCCGTCTATGGAAGGCCGTGAGTGATGAGTGAGCTGCTTGCGATGTTTAGTGGTCGTGGACAAGTACATCTGTCTTCTGTTCGTGTTATCGCGCTTCAATGTCACTAGCTTGTCGTACTTAATGCCACTGGTTCTTTTGCCACGGTTTCCCCGAGACTCCCATCAGGGCAAGTACCCACCGGTCCTCTCTATTTCGCGCGGCCGTTCGAACCACATGGGCTTCTCACTTCTCGCCCTCCAAAACGCCCACAAGTACCTTACTGCCCCCTCCACCCTCCCCAACCGCGACCCTCGCAGTCGGCAACCCCCTCATTTCAGCATACAACTCCTTAACCCTGGCAGCCGACTCATTGAAGGCCGGATCCTCAAAAGCAGCCGACACCATGGCCGCCATGCCCAAGCGCGCCTGCACGTCTCTGACCCCCTGCTTCCGACACAGGAGCAGGGCCCACACGCCCAGCGCGACGCCAATGACGGGATAGAGCAGGTTGAGCACGAGCAGCACCATCAGCTCCGGGATGGGCACGCGCGCGACCTGCTTGGTTTCCTGCTGGACGGCGCCGACGGGCTCGCGGTCGGGGAGCAGGCCCGCGACCAGGCCGAGGAGCGTGCGGTCGTAGAGACGGGCGAATTGCGCGGCGAGATCTTCGCGGTCGACGGCGTTGGCGGCCGCGAGGTTGATGCCCGTGAGCAGGTTCTCGCGGCCGCCGACCTCTCGCGCTAGGGGCTGGATGAATGGCTTGGTGGCTGATGTGTTCATGGGCGTCAGGACCGGGGCGTGGATGCTTCCGTCGAGTGCGGCGAGGTAGCTGGCCTCGGAGAGTTGGGTTTCACAGAGCAAGATCCCGTACTCTATGCCGTAGGTGTTGGCGACTATGTCGTTTATGGGGTCGTACGCCATGTCCATGTCCGGATCCATGTTGTTGTTGGTGAGATCTGGGGTGAGACCTCGAGGTAGCTGGAAGAGGAGGGAGAAGCTGAAGCGGCCATCAGTGGCGTTCTGTAGCCCGCCAACGTCGGAGCCGTTGGTAGTGCGATCGGACGTGTTGAAATACTGTATGGCGTATGCGACATTGCCACTCGCACCTGCAGCAGACACAGTGTCTCCAAAATCGCCCAACCAAACGAAGCCTGCATCTTCTTTGGTGCAGTTGAAGATCCAAGCTTGACAAGCGGTACAGTCGCCTGTGGCGTTGGATTGGGGATGGCATTTTTTCGTGACGGTCTCGCAGGTCGTAGAGGACGCGAAGCTCTTGGCGGTAAAGGAGACACCGTTGGGCGAGGTTGGGGGTACAATAATGGCGGTTGACCCATCGTCGGCAAGGCGCACGGCATTGTGTGTTGACTGATTGCCTAGTGTCAGATAACCCTCGGTTGAGTTGGTGAATGAAGATGCGGCACCGGAGCCTCCTGGAATGTAGTTGCAAGCATATCCGGTCGCGAATTCATCAGTGTCATTCCAGCATTCGATGGGTAGGCGCCGTCCAGGCAGAAAATCGCTCTGCTGATATGGAACAGAGCTGTGATACTGTACAGAGATTGTTTTGATATGAAACTAAGACATGGTTAGCTGGAGTCGTTGAAGGAATGGGTAGAGCGAACAAAGGCATCAGCAATTGTCACGCCAAGCGCCAATAGAAGCATGAAAGAGAGCATCATCGCCGCTTTATTGAGCAGTGGCACGGCCGCGATTCGTGATCGCTTCCGACGGAATAGGTAGTCCAAGTACAGGAAGATATCGAGGGTTCCACCCGCAAGCATGCGCAGTAGAAGCTCGAACTGGAATGGAGATGGTAACTTGTCGTGTTGCCGCAGCAGAGAAGCGTTCTGTAAAGACGAAGCGGCAACGTAGGCGTACAGTAGGGGCATAGCTACCGGGACCAGCGCCAGCGCCAGGGTCGCGGCGAGCGATGAGATGAATGCGAGGCGGGTGGCCGAATACGAGACCAGATAATAGTTGCTATCGAGAGGTCTGTCGCTGCCGTCGATCGTTATGCTATCTGCAGAGCCTGGCAACGTACTGGAGGCTTCGCGATTGGCATAAATGAGACCGACCAATACCGCCATCAGTGGCAGAGGTAGGAACATGAGGACCATGCCTCCGATAATCTCTCGCTTGAAGCCTCGCATCATGCCGCGAGGAGGCGTCGATACGGGTTCCGGAGCCTGTCCATTCTGTGCGGTGTGAGGAATCTGATTTGTGAACCTGATCCCATCTCGAGTCTGATCAGGGGATCTGATAGATGAGCTATAGGAATTGTCAGTGCGGGTGTCACGCCCCATAAGCGATCGGTATTGTTCGTTAATACCAGCTGCCATAGTGATGTTGTTAACAAGAAGTGTCAACACGCCAGCCTTTCCTCGCTTTGAATTGATTCTGCCCAAAGGGTTCATAACAGATCATTGTAGCTCAGCCCCCGCTTAGCGGGCTCATTAGGGGCAACTTGGGTGGCCTGGCTTTCGCCCCAGCGCTAGAAGCCAGCCAGACTGGGGTGCTGCATGGACTTCTGGTTTCACGACTTTCCGAGTCATCGACATAACGCGAAGCACGCAGCCGTGAGCAGGAGAGCGGAATGTGCCTACGATGTGTAGGAATAGAAGTCGGCGCCTGGCCCGATCTGATCTGTACCAAAGGGCACCATTTGACTCCAAGATATATTCTTAGTGTAGCTTGTATGCAATTAGACTGTTGCCGAAGGCTATATTAGTGATTGAAAGCGCAGGGGAGAACAGGTGGCCTGAGCAACGCAGATCTTCGTCAGCGCAAAGGCGAGCTTTCTGAGGCGGAGTCCATGCCGTGAGGCTGCCACGGAGCCTCGCGACCTTGATTGCTCTGCACATGGCAGCTCCCACACCGGCGCCTAAGCCGCATACAGTTTCCGGCAGCCTGGCCCGTGGCTCCTGCCGCCGAGTCTCTGCATTTCATCTGCCGACGTCATGGATCTCGATAATGGTGGCCCCGTGCAGAGGGCGCTTAGTGGGGCTCTGGGCAAGCCCCGCCCCGGTCGGGTTTAGCGCCCTCTGACCGGCATATACCGTCTGTAATATACTCCTTCGTTGCGTTTCTCCTTCCCATCATCGACTTGAGGGACCGTGTATCGTTCTGTTAGCTGGATGACTCCCTGGCCTGCGGCCCTGGTCCCTCTATTTCCTAACTTGCAATATACGTCAAATTGGAGGAGGAGAATACTATATGGAACTCCTGTAGAGTCATACTAGCTGGGACAGTGTATAAATGAAGAAATAAATAGCTCTGGCCGAGTAGCCATTTCGGGCGCTGTGGGTAGGCCTAGCCATCACTGTCCACGAAGACCATGTCTCTGGTACGAAACCAGCCGTTCTCCTCCGCATCGTGGTCACGCAAATTGGCAACATAGTAAGCGGGTGTCACGGTAGGTCCTTGAGATAGTCAGTATATAACTATGGCGCAAGATGAGTGTGGCCGAACCGGAAACAAAGATCTCGCCGTTAGCACCTTCTGCAACTGGACGAGGGGGAGGCTAGGCACATTATCCATGAATATGCTTTTCAAGGCTGCGGCGACAGAAAGCAGCACGTGTGCAAACTCCTGCCAGCTGCAATAGCCCCTCTGGTGCTCGTCCTCAGTCTCGTCCATTTCATGTCAGAAGTGGACACTGCCTGCCGAAGTGTCTCCCCGTAACCTGATATACAGCGACAATGTATGGTTTAGCCGGGCTCGTCAATTGCCCGCGCACCTTTGAGCTAAAGCGGAGGAAATAGTTGCACTTGTAGGAACCGCTAGGCATTTGCGGACATTCGCCAACTATGAACCGGATTTTATTGTGTGTTAGTATATGCTTAGGGGCAAGCCAGCTACGGATCATGTCAGGGAGTTGTCGAGGGCCAGATGCAATGGAGGCTAAAAACGGCGCCTGAATCGCCCGAAACCGGCCATGCGGGCACTGGAATTCCTTATTTTAAAAAATCCAGAACACCCCCCCCTCCTTCACAAAGCTCAAGATCCCGATGGCAAGTCTGCGATAGCGGCAGATGGTCAAAGATCCAGATCCCCATGATCTTCCCCTTCGACCGCTCAGCTCTCGGTTGCTTTGCCTCGGGCCATCTGAACTCTTAGACAAGCTCTTTTAGCTTTAGCTTTTTCGCTTTTCAGACGTAGTAGTATCAAAATAATGATGATGCAAAGAAGTCCGGGTTGATAGAAGTCCGAGGACCATCGATTTCCGCCTCGCGTGCCTTCCTTCCCTGTCGTCAATAACAATTTAGAATCCTTGTACTGCTGTCCCTTCGCGTGCAAGAAGTGCCTGCCTGCCTGCTCCACTGAAGCACCTCATCTTTCCCTCTTCAGCCCGGACACGACCAACGGCTCTCCATCCACCTCCAGCCAAAACACAACAACGAGCACAATCAATCCCTTCGCCATGCCACCTACCAACAACAGTCCATCCAAAAAGGGCAAGGGCCCCACCACACACGACCTGCAATGCCTCACGATCCGCGAACTCGAGCTCCTGGCACGCGACCGCATGGACAAGCAGACGCGCGACTACTACAACGAAGGCGCCGACGACAACAGCACCCTGTCCGAAAACTCCAGCGCCTTCGCCAAATACCGCATCCGCCCGCGCGTGCTGCGCGACATCTCGGACATCGACCCGAGCGTCTCGGTGTTTGGGCAGCGGAACACCCTGCCTCTCGGCGTGGCGCCCACGGCCATGCAGCGCCTGGCGCACACGGACGGCGAGGTCGCGACCGCACGCGCCTGCCGCGACATGGGCGTCGTCATGGGCTTGAGCTCCTTCAGCACCTGCACGCTCGAGGATGTGGCGGACAACAGCCGGCCGAATGCGAACGTGCTGCAGTTGTATCTGTTTGAGGACCGCGAACACAGCCGCAAGCTGATCGCGCGGGCCAAGAAGGCGGGCTTCAAGGCCGTGCTGTTGACCGTCGACACGCCGATGCTGGGCCGGAGGAATCTCGAGATCCGGAACCAGTTCAAGCTGCCGTCGCACTTGAAGGTTGCGAATTTTCGCGCGCAGGAGGAGGATGGAGATGCCTTGGATGAGGAGCATGGGGAGGCGCGGCCGAAGCAGAACCAGAACCAGGGCCGGAAGAAGCGCCAGAAGCAGAGCGAGAGCGTAGCGGGCCATCATGACGGGGAGAAGTGGGTGAGTCCGTCTGGGCCCGTGACCTTCCACACGCACGCCGCGAACCCAAAGTTGAGCTGGGAGGAGAGCATTCCGTGGCTGAAGGAGCAGTGCGGGGACGAGATGCAGGTCTGGGTCAAGGGTGTCGCGACGGCCGAGGACGCGCTGTTGTCGATCCAGCATGGCGTCGACGGTATCGTGGTCAGCAACCACGGCGGCAGACAGTTGAACGGCGCACTGGCGACGCTGGACGCGCTGCCGGAGGTCGTGCAAGCCGTGGGCGGCAAGGTTCCCGTGCACGTCGACGGCGGCGTCAGACACGGCACCGACATCTTCAAGGCGCTCGCACTGGGTGCCGATTTCGTCTGGATCGGCAGGCCGGTGCTTTGGGGTCTCGCGTATAAGGGCGACGAGGGCGTCAAGCTCTGCTTGCGGCTGCTGATCGATGAGTTCAGATTGTGCATGGGTTTGGCGGGCGTTACCAAAGTGAGCGAGATTGGGAGGGACTATCTGGTGAGGATGAGCAGGGACGGGCTTCCGAGCCGGTTGTAAGAGACCACGATACAAGAGAATGCCTTGGTGTATTAGTGCGGCACATATGCAGCGTTTGGGTCATTGGAGTATCTGTCTGTGCTCCGCAATAGAGAGCATCGCCCATATGTGCATACTTCACTTCAAGGACCTGCCTCTGAAGTGCTTCTGGATTATGTCCATGTCCATGTATTCATTGCGAGCGAGGGCACGGGCACACGCATCTTCGCCCGACGAGATGCTCCATGCGCCGCCAGTATCTCGTCGCTCAAAGCAAAAACCGTGCTCATAGCAGCAGCCTCGGCCCGGGGATCATTCGTCATCGTTCTGGTGCAGCGAGCCTGCTCGCCTCATGTTCTCATTACTGGCTTGCTCGTTCTTCACGATCTGCATCTCCCGCCACAGCTGATCCCAATGTGTGAAACCTCTCTTCAGAATGTGCGAGCTGTCTGACGTTCTGCCGTCGAGCCATCTAAGCTTTCCAGCCCTCATCCTTTGGGAAGATGTACTTGACTTGGCCATCTGAAAAGTGACCGCCCGTACCGACGAGACCCGCAGTCACGTCGCGCAGCACCTGGTTATAGTTGACACTGTTGCGCATGGCGCATTTGCGACTGGAACTTTCCATGTGGCTGAGGAGGGCATAGTTGTTGGCGAAAGTCTTCAAGCAGAATTGGCATGTGACACGGCCGCCAACGTGAGCGGGACCAGATAGGTGAGCAAGGAATTCCGCTTCCTCCTTGAATGTCTGGCCGCAGTTGGCGCCGGTGCAGATGTAGATTTCGCGGATCGGACAATAGAAGTCTAAAAGCTTGAAGGTTGCAGGCTGGTGAGAGTTGTTAGCGGATCCAACGTCTGAAGATTTAGGCTTGTCATCCCAGGACTGGGAGCTGAACTGGCTGATCTGGCTACCACCTACCCTCGTTTGGGCCTCGGACATGGGCAGCTTCTCTGCCATCTCGTCCAAAGACAGAAGGGTTGGTTTGACATCTTCGGGAGTGACTGCCTCGGCTCTTCTAGCCTCAGGAGCAGCTTGATCGAGAATTGAGACACCGCCATTGGGGTTGCTGGCCGCAGACTCACCGGAGACGCAGGAGCCCGCGCCCTGATTGTATTGCTGGAGGAATGCCTCTTTTGCGACAGCTCGTTGAGCTCGCTCGAGGCGCCACTCTTCGGGTGCGATCTTGCATTCGCCGGCTTCTACATGCTTGACAATCAAGGAAGGCTTGCTCAAGCGTTTACCACAGGCAAGGCAGGGGATGTCCTGTTTATGTGGATGCATCAGCTCCATGTGACGAGCGAGACCACCCTTGGATTTGAACTAGAAAGCCGTCAGTCCTGTTCTCAGGATGGGGCCATGCATATACGAACATCTGAGCCGCACTCGGGGCATGTAACTACTGAGGTCAGTTGAATCCGAGAGAAGAGAAAGGTAGAACCCACTGTGCTTGTCGTCGGTGATTACTCGGTGCATGATGTGCTTCAGGTCTGAGCTGAAATCCTTGTCGCATTTCTTGCAGTAGTAGTGCATGTCGGCATGAACCTTGTGTCTTTTCATCTCCTTGAGTGTTGAGAAGCGTTCGTTGCAGTGGGAATAAGTGCATTCGAATACCTCTTCAGCAGGTGGATCGGTCAAGGCGGGAGGTTCCATGGCTAATGCCGGAGAGGTGAGTTGGCGAGGAAGGTCGTGGTTAAAGTAGGTCGCAATTGCGTTCGTCCGTGTAAGTTGGGATGATTTGAAGAGGTAACACTACGGTCCGCAACGGTTGAGATTGTTGTTCTCGATACTCTGGAGATGAAAGGTGGCAAAGGTCGTTGATGGCATGGTCCGAGTCGGAAGGTCAAGTCAGAAGTTGTAAATACAAAGAGGGAGTCATGAATGGTGAATGTCAATCTAAGGCATTGTGTGGATAAGGTACATTAATACGGTGGCTGGCACTGTCGAGTTGACATGCTTGGTGCGCAAAAGTTAAGTCACCGACAGCTCTGGTAGCATGGGCGCCTATAAGGCGCTGCAGGGGCCCCTGGTTGCCTAGTCTCAGGCCGACTTTATCTCGAGGCAACGCGGGTCTGCGGCGGAGATCTGCATGAGACACATGTACAGCACGTCCTAATGCGAGCGGTAGAATGCATTCGTAGAAAAGCTATCAACTGTATTAACCCCACGTTTGCGTCGTCATTATTAGTAGGGTCATCGTTTTCATCAATCATCAGGTGTAGATTTCTTCAGTGAGAGCATTAAGAGTCAATCCCTCCTTCGCAATGTCCTCATCTGATCGTCGAGTCAGTAAAAGGTCAGTATATGCCACCGGGTAGTAGGACTTACTCTGCAAGAATGTCAGCGGCATCTCCACCAACGTGCCCTTGACCTTGCTTAGAAGTTCCTTGAGCTCCACCACACCTCCCGGAAAGTCACCTCTAACAACATGCCCATATTGAACCTTTGGCGGCAACCTAGATTGATCTTTGCCATCGGCTTTCTGTTCAGTACCATGGAAGTAATACTCATAGAATTCCTTGTAGTCGTTCCACGTATGCACGTTGTCGTCCGGTACGGCCCTGAAAGCCTTACGGAAGACCTCAGTGTTAGTGCGGGCGCGTGTGTTCCACATGGCCAAGAAAGTATCGGACAAGGGATCTGTAACCAGGTTGTCTTCAGGAGTACCCCAGTCGTAGTCATTCGGGGTCCCAACTGGCTCCATGTTGTGTGCCTGCTGCTCCATGTTCTGTGGCCGGATCAATCCCAGGTGTTTACGGAACAGCTGGCGTCTCAAGGACGAGGCGAAGCGACTTGCCATCCATGGCTGACCGGCCATAGTCGATTGAACTGGAGTCGGATCGTTGATGAGAATTGCAATTTCCGAATCATGGTAGCCCAATTGGCTTCTGTCGTTGAGGTTCGCAGAACCGACAATGGCAATGCGATCATCCGCAATCAGGCATTTGGAATGGATGTAGAGCTCTTCACTGACAAAAGCATCCAGCTCAGCCTCAGGTTGTCCATTCCATGGTACGCGACGAATGTCTTCGCCACCAAGCATGTAGCACTCCGCGACCGAATCCCAGCGACTAGCTGTGCCCTGCCCGGGCGCAGCAGACTGATACTGCTGATATTGGCCACCGGCTACACCAGGCCGTGCTGAAGTGCCCTCACCTTGCGGCACCCAACCTGCGCCGACCATGTCATCGTGCTGCTTGCGAGCGTCTTCATAACGAACCCCACTTTGCTGCTCAACTTGAGTCATCGTGTTGCTGATGTTGATGCGATCATAGTTGCGCAGGTTATAGAACCTAATGTATTCCATTGGGTTGTAGCCCGCTTGGGCAATGAGTTCCAAAATTGAGTTGCCGCCTCGGTTGATCGAGAAATACTGGAACTCCATGATAGCCCTCGTTCCAAGTGATGCATCATCCCTCAGATCTCCAGCAAAGGCGGGAACCGCAGGAATGACCACAACCACTTTGTACTTCTCACCGTTGCGCGCAGCCCGGAGAATCCTATCCACCAGGGCTTTCCCAATCAAATTCTTGACAGGCTTTTGCTGGTCTCCTGTGGCAGTGATGAAGAACTGGTTTTCGATGTAAACAAAGTGTTGGCTCTTCTCAATCACATCAATGTAAGCATTTTGAATGGAGTGCTCGGTTGCTGTTCCATTGCTCCATTTTGTGCAGCTTCGTAGAACCTGGCAGGTCATTGGTCCCCTAGCTTGAGACAGAGGCTGACCATACTTGTCGGTTGGCCCGAAAAACCTGCTTTGATATTGGTGCATTTTGGTATTCAAGCCGCCAGAGACGAGATTTCCCAGCGAAGTCAGATCGGTGCCCAGCGTCTTGCCCTGCTGCTTGTATTCATTGAAGCGACTTCTCATGCCACGGTCCCCGCTGTAGCTATCACCCCTCTCATTGCCGTAGCCTTGATCATATCCCAAGCCACGATCGGCGCCTTGGTAGATTGGATTGTCATCGATTCCTCGTGTATGGGAGCCTGGAGGCGCTTGATACTCCTGATGTGTGTAAGGCTGCTGCTGAGTTGGATTCGGCGAGACGCTGGGGCTCGGCACGTTCTGGGAGTGGTAGGCGGAGTACTGCGGCTGATTCGATGGTGGAGGAGAATAAGGCGCCGACTGTTGCCATTGTGGTGGCTCGGATTGTATGGTAGGTGGTATTGTCTGTGGCTGCTGCCACTGTTGACCTTGGCTTTGACCGGCAGACGAGTTTGCGTATGACTGTGCCTGTGCCTGTGGCTGTTGCCACGCCTGTGCCTGGGTTGCCGGTGGAGGACCTGGTGGTGGGGGCGGTAGCTGAGGTGAAGTGTTGCCGGCTTCGTAAACCGGCCCGTGGCTGCCAGACTGGTTCTGCTGCCAGGGTTGAGGAGTGGGTGCGTTTGGTGGGTGCGTCCCGCTTGCACTTGTAGGCCGATTATAAGGCTGAGCCTGCGATCCAGGCTGTTGTTGCCAAGATGTTGTGCTCAGGCCCCCTGGGGACTGGACGTGACTGGTGCTGGACCAAGCAGGTTGTGCGTAGGGTTGGCTCCCTGGCGGAGGTGGAAAGATGCTGCCCTGCTGTTGCTGTTGCTGCATTTGTGCAGACTGTTGGGGCTGCTCATGTGCAGATTGAGTGGTGGCCGCTGCTGACCACGCAGGTGGAGGAGGGCCCTGACTGGGCGCTGGCTGGCCTGGTGCTGAAGATTGCTGATTTTGCTGGTACTGTTGCAACTGCTGCTGGGTAGGCTGCGGTGCTGGGTGGTTCGAGGGATGAACATAGGGATCGCCGATGCGGGCATAGCGCGCATCCTTCCGCACGTTGTATTTCTCATCGTAGATGAAGTTCCACCGATCTATGAAGTGATGGCGTAGGTCCTGCACGCAGTGCCCATGGAGGGAGATTGCAACGTCGGACCAGCCCATGCGCGAGCTCTTGGTACGGTCAAGCTTATTCTGGAACGGCTGGGCCACATCAGAGAAGTCCATAACGCGAGCGTTGTTATAGTCTTGGCCCGCAAAGACGGTCAGGTTGATATCTGAAGGATGGGCATCCGAGATTGAATGCTGATTGGTATCCCATCGGCCAAAACAGAGATCGAGCCCGCCCATAAAAGCCAAGCGTCCGTCAACCAGGAGCAGTTTCTCATGGTGAGCCCAATACAGAATGACATCGTCGGTGATGCCGTATGCCCCTCTCAACGTATCAGCACCAACCTTCGCCAGGCCTGCTGCGTCGAGCTTGAGACCTTGCAGGGCGGATATCAACGAAGATTGGGTCGTTTGAGCATCTGGGAGGTGATCAGGATGACGAAAGACGGCAATGTTGGGGTGAAGAGCCTCCAACTCATGCTTGGTGTGCGCTGATGATAGAGTCAGAGCCTGTGTCACCTCCTTGTAGACTATGATGTTGATCTTGACTCCTCGCTGAGCCGCTCGTTGGAGTGTGCGATCGAGCCGCCATTGCTCATTCTTACCTGGAGGCCTCCTGAGGTAGAGTTCTGGAGACAACCACCAGTCAAGGATCCATATAGACTCCCTGGCACTTTCTAGAGCCAGACTGGCAGCGTAAAAGTAACCCGCTCCATCAACGTACCACTTCACGTCGTTGCCATTCTTCTCAGAAGCGAAGCTGTCGTAGCGAAACTTCTCTGGTCCAATGCTAGGACCTTGCTGATATCCGACCTGGTACGACTGTCCTTGCTGGGACGGAGGGCGTGGATACGGACTTTGACCAGAAGATCCTTGATACTGCGTGCCAAACAGACCAGCCACATCTGTACCTATATTGTGGAACGTATCGTGCAAGGCGCCAAAGATCTTGTCGCCCACATCAGGCTTCTTGCCTGGGCTTGAAGGTGGAGGTCCGCCCGCGTACGGAGGCTGGCCAGCGGAGAGGCCCGACCCTGGCTGACTGTATCCCTGGCCTTGGCTTTGACCATAGCCATAGCCGGTATTCTGGGACGAGCTGTACCCGGAGGATTGTTGTTGACCTGAAGGCCCGGATGTGTAGCCAAAGTCGTTTTGAGATCCGGGCTGACCGTATCTGTTCTTCAGCTTGCTGAACGTATCCCCTATAAAAGAGCGGTCTCTTCCGCCTTGCCCGCTACCCCGCGACTTGGAATAGTCATCTCCGTAGGCAAGAGGGTCGTCCTGATCTTGGCCTTGCTGCCACGACATGATGATCACTTTGCAAGATAGGTCTAGGTTGCAAAGAACGTTCGATCGGACATGCTCCAGGAATTATCAGTAGCCATGACACATCATACGTTTGTTTCAGAATTGCCGGCTGACGAGGACGCGTTGGGGCTGAGTTGAGGCGCTGCACGGTATCACGTAACGCCGCTCCGAATAGAGCTGCTTCTGGAGCTCGAGCTTCGAGCTTCAGCACTCCAGAGTCAGCATACCATGTCGTTATGCTATTTGACCACAGATCGTTACGGTGCCGTCACACGGAAGCCTGCAAACAATACAGGCTCCATGCCTGATATCATGCCAATACTAGCCTCTATGGGTTTCCTCAAAGTTATGACGAAAGCCGCTGATAGCGACGATGCGGGGCTGTCTGGGTGAGAGGAAAGCCGCTCCAGACCCCCCCGATTCATTCGTGCAGTCATGCTCATAAGCAATTGAAATACCTGCACCTATCTCCACGGCAATTGGACCATATCGAACCCACTTAGACTCGCAGGACATCTGTTATATATCTACCATGGCCGCTCGTTTCCAGACACTGACTCGAGTATTGTTCTCAACTCCCAACACAGGCGCAGCTTTCCGTTCACAGGCATTCCGACCACTGCATCAAACCATCCGACCCGCTTCCAATATGTCGCTTGCTACACTTGATGTATCACTCTTCAGCGCCGGTCCAGTCCCCTTGCTAACGACCGTAGACGTCACAACACCCCAGCCTCCCCACATCCTCCACCACTTTGTTCACCGCGAAGCAGAAGAAGCAAGTATCCTTTGAAACCATCGCGAAAGAGTTGGGGAGAGATGAGGTAGCAGTTGCCGCCCTTTTCTACGGACAGACCAAAGCTTCAGAGCAAGACATCAAGAAGCTGTCCGAGTACTTCGAGATTGATCATGCAACTCTGTCTGCGCAGCTGTCGGGCTTCCCAGACCGTGGCAAGAGTGTCGAGATGCCGCCCAAAGAGCCGCTGATCTACCGTCTCTACGAGGTTGTGCAGAACTATGGCTATGCCTACAAGGCGGTACTCAATGAGAAGTTTGGCGACGGGATCATGAGCGCCATTGCATTCTCGACTCACGTCGAGAAGGAGGTCGACAAGGATGGCGTCACATGGGTCAACATTAAGATGCGAGGCAAATGGTGCGTGAACGTATTTCGTGCTCGGTACGCTTCTAACGTTCAGCAGGCTCCCTTTCACGCCATTCTAAGTGGCAGAACCGGGGCGATGACAATGATAGAGATAGCACACAAAGATGAATGCCCGCTAGTGTGGCTCCTCGTACCATTTTCTACGTCCCTCCAAGTCGTTAGTATCTAGGTTGCTAGCCCAAGAATAATACTAAGATCAGGAGAACAATACCAACTGTGGGTCCAGACCCATGCCTTTGTTCGCAACAAGCAATGAAAGCCCCAAAGTGGAAACATCCTTACACAACAGCCTCAAAGAAGGGATTGCCCTCTACATATACGACTTATATCGTGGCTGCCCTGCCTACCGCGACTTTCTCGCCCTTCATCGAACTAGCACCTCAAGTCTCAAAATCCACACTGGTTGAGCACCAAGCAGCTTTCATAACACTCCACAGCAATGCCTCCGTCACCACCTCCACCTCCACAGACCGACATGGCTGAATACAAGGGCGGACCATCGGGTGGCAGTTTTACCGCCTATGTCTGCGTCGTCATGTAATACACTAGTCCTATGTTGTCCTTGTTGCAACTTCTTGACGCAAGTGGAAGCCAGGATCCAAAAAAAAAAAGTGCAACCACTCCTAGTTTTCATTCCGGTCAATAACCATCAGAAAGCTGCTCTATATACCACGCTCCGAACAATATATCAATACCACTCACTCGTCTTTCTGTTCCCCCATCTATCCCATGTAACACTTCCTTCATTCACTGCCTGGCCCCACCTTGGCATTCCCACCTCAGAGCCCGTTTCGCATTCCCCCTCCATTTCCCCATCCCAAACCTATCCCACCACCAAATCCACGTCTACCACCTTCTAACACACCCCAAAACAACAAAAAATTATCATCGACAGCTACAGGATTTGAACCTATGCGGGCGAACCCAACAGATCACTTAACCCCCAATGCCGGAACAATAGGGGTAGATTCGAGTCTGTCGCCTTAACCACTCGGCCAAACTTGGGGGACATGTTAGTTATGATGCTGAGGGATGCAGACGGGACAAATCTTACCTGTCTGGAAAATTCACGTAGAGAAGTGTGCGTGGATTTAGGAGCGAATTGCCAGAATGCCAATTTGTATATAACTGGATTTTTGAGCCGCGAGTAGCCGAGGTCGGAGGGGTTTGATAACAAATCGATCACCTAAAGGGCTGCCAGCTAGGCGAGGCTGCGGGTGGCAAGGGGGAAAGGAACTCTTCGTGACCAGTACCAAGCGACAGACTGACTTTGGGCAAAGTGCGGATCAGACTGGTTCCACTCTAGTGTACGTCGAAGCTTGGCTAATAAGGAATCTGGCTCTCCTTGCGCTGGACAGCGACGCATTTACTATATAGCTGTGCTGCTGCTTGCAGACCGATCACAGTGGAGCAACGGCGATGGTTGGGCATCGGGCCAAGTCCAGGCGGGAGTTATGTGTGTACAATAGAGTAAGTATTTCCAAAGGTCTTTTCTAAGAAGCCCGGCCTGTGGAAGACGAGCAGCTCACCTAATCCACGTGCTTGAAATCATCTCCATTATTTCGCTTCAGAATGCGGACGCACACTCTATGCACGCATTGCTGGATCCGCCTGACCCGTACGATAGTATCGCACATATGTCATGCCCATTTGGTGCCCTGGCAGCGGCCGACGAGGAATCTCAACAGTAGTGTAATCGTGACCTGTCTGTCGCACCTCATTGCCGCTCCTACTTCCCAGGCAGGATGACGCCTTTGCCGTCGTTGTTTGAGTGTCGCTGCGGGCCTTCGACGCGCCCCAGTCCTTGACATCAATGCCGTGCTGTGCGAGGGTCGCAGTGCACGCCTCGCTTTCCAACGTCACTTGACGACGTTCCTCCCAGCTCGTTCTCCTCATCTGGCGACTGACCATAGACGAGCTCGGGGAAGACGATCCGCTGCTTGCATAGGGCGGGACAGAAGGAATAGTGTCCCGAACACCGAGGCTCGGCGCGGATTGAGGCATTACTTCTGAGGCGGAGACTGGATCGATCAGAGAACGGTGTCTCGATCTCATGGATCAGCAAGAGCTATACGTAACTTGCTCTTCGATAGAACGATGTCGTCGAAACAGTGTAATCTATTGCCCGCGTGGCTGGCAGTCGAGGTCATCTATTGTAGGACAATGATGCCAAGAAACTCCCACGTTCTGAACTTCCCAGGAAGGTGTGTCGTACAAGCTATGACTCCAAGGAGATCCCGAGAACGTCTGCAGGCCGGGGATGACCCAGAGCATTTCAGGTTTTCCGTCGCTTTGCTCGCATCATCTCTGCATTTGACAAAATCGAACCAATGTACTCGGTGGCGGGACTTGATCGCTTCTTGTTAGGATCTTGCTTGGGTGTGACTTGTCGAGTTTGGGAGACCGATGTGAACGGCGTACTGTGGGATGTCTCGGAGGCAGTCGTGTTAGTACGAGTCTTCGCCTTCTTTCTCTTTGGCTTGTCCACCGTCATACCGCTCATACCGTCCGCATCCTGGGCATGGGCTCGAGGAGCATCAGAGCCACCGCTCTCACGCTTCCTCTTCTTGTCCTTCTTCTCCCGTCGACGTCGCTCCTTGTTGGCTAGGCGCTTCTCCACCTCACGAACAAAGTCGTCATCGGCCAGCGGCACCTGGGTAATTTCATTCATCGTCTTGTCCGGCATTTTGTTCTCTTGGTTGGGCTTTCGGTCCATACTGCCAGTCACTCTGGCCTTCTTGCGTGAAGCACCGACTGTTGGGGCCTTGAAATCTTCCGTCCCTGACATCTCATCGTCCGCAGACTTGCGCTTGACTCTGGTAGGCATTGTCTTCGCTCGAGATGGATCACCACGAAGCAGTTCTTCGATTGGTGTAGGCATAGTGTCTGTCATGAAGAAGCCGGAAGGATCTACCTGCTGACCCTCGTCGGTGGCTATGAGGGGTGTAGGACCCTCATTCGTAGGGATTGTATCACCGGTGGGCTTCTTCGTAGGCAGATTCGCAGCCTGCGATATGTTCTGTGAGGATATTAGGTCATACTGCATTTCCTCGGAGGCCCATGACCTTACCATTTTGCTCTTGCAGTGCTGGAGTGCATTCACCATCGCGTCGGTCTGCGCCGTGCAGAGGTTAAGGAGCTCTTCGGCTTCCGAAGCCTTATCGGCATGACTCTTGACTGATCGGAGGAATTGTCGGTGCACTTCGAGAACATCGTTGTGTTTCTGCAGAATCTGGAACACTTAGTGGACGGTCGAAAACACGCAAAAGGTTACCTACAGCATCGACGGGTAACTGCGTTGATTCCATCTTGGGTTGACAACTGTCAGCAGAGAAATGTATGTATAATCATCATTGTATATAGAATCGTGATAGACTGCACCAGCCACAAAGCAGCGTGCCCGGTCACAGAGTGAAAGTGTCTGTCTACAAAACATTCCGAGGCAGATCCGCCGCAGTGACGCCACCGGCCACCGGCCACAGGCGGTCCCCTGGCGTTGGCGTTGCTAAGCATTGCGGGTATCGCGCTAGGGTCCACTTTCCACACTAGCGCAGGAACAACTTCACTTCATTCATCACACTGCTCCGGCTTCCCTTACCTTCTTCGACCACCCATCTTGCAGCAGCCATCGGACAACGTTGATGCCGCGGCTCATTCAGAGGTGCAGGTGCCGTTCCGATGGCTGAAAGGTTCCGTATATTCGACCAGCTATCAGGCCTCTCGCTCTTCCGATTATTCTTCAGGAACCCAGTCGATGACATATACGGGTGTGGAAAAGATTTCGCTTCGTGAGGCTCGTTGCAAGACAAAGGGACGAGGGGCGCGGGAAGCCGACGATGCCAGAAGGTGATTCACGGACAGGCTTCGATGCCGTGCTGCATTCAGACCCATATCTTGCAAGCCCTGATGTGTTCCTTTGCTTCTTTCATCATGGACCCTATCGACATTCGGCCATGACTAGCCACTGCTCATGAGATACAACGCCACATATCGGCCTGACTACCATTCATATCTGCCTCTCCTTTTCTATCCCGTCAAATACCAGGCCACGTGAACACCTCCGCTGCCTTCCACGGCTAGGAAGATGGACCTTCGAGGTGTGCGTACGAGCGAAACCGCACATATTGCATGGTGCGAGCTCATCTCGACTCGTAGTAGATCCCTGTTCGGCTCCGGAGGTTTGGCGCAGCTGTGCGCTTTCGGCGGCTATCGTGGGATGTAGTCCGTCCCATGTATCAGTAGTAGCTGCCATCCAAGTCAGCGGAGTTCTTTCTTAAGAGGATGTGAGAGGTACCGCACCTGCTCAATCAGAGTGAACGAACCGGAGCTGACCGTTTTCAGGACTACTACCTGCGCTTTCCATCCCAACTGCAGCAGCCACGGGCACGCTTGCGTCTCTCTCAAACTATTTTCGTCCGCCATCTGCTCCATCTTCTCTCTTCTACCACCAACCACTTAGCACTTCAGCTGGCAGCTTTGCTTCACCTCCTCCGCTGTTAGCCTCAATCACCTTATCTCATCCGTCACGCTTGCATCTTGGACTGCTATCCATCCAACAATCATTTCCATCCCATCATCCAGGACCCCAAGCATCTGATTGTGAACCCGAAGACCGTCAACAGCCTTTTGTCTTTGGTAAGTCGTCCCTATGAGCTCTCTTTTAGGTGCATGTCTGCTTGTCGTTCTCTATGCCCCAGGCTTGGCCATCTGCACCGTTGTCCCAAATTCGCTCAAGTCATCCTGCAGAGCCTTTCACAGGCTTTCGTGCTTTCAAGGATAGGTCGACACCTCCGCGAGGCGTTTGATTATCTCGAGGGACTCGGCCATCCCGGTGCTCTTCAAGCTTCTTTACTGACACTCTTCCCGCAGCACCATTGCGGCAATGTCTGACAAGACCTCGGTCCAGAACGGGCACGCCTACCCCAACTATCAGCCAAACCGTGGGTCGTATCAGGGCTACCAGAACTACTCCAACTCCGGTAGGAGAAAAATACACTTTCAGAAGACCATGATTGACAAATCCCAGGCACTGGCCAAAATCCGCTGGGCAACATGCAGAACCTCAAAGCCAGCCTTCCGCCTCAGGTCACTTCGGAGAACCTCACCGCTGGTGACAGCCGTCAGATGTACAATGATCCAGGCCTTGTCGTCTACAACTCAGGCCAAACCATCCCGGTGAACAACTACTATAATCAGAATGCAGCTGCTGGCAACCCTCCTCAGCTGCCCTACATCCCAGCCAACATGCTGTCGGCCTATTACGGTGCCCCTGGCATGGCAGCTGGCGCCATGCAAGGCTACGGTTGGTCATATCCAGTGGCACCTGCTGTTGCCAATGTGGACCCAGCCCCTCGCCTTTCGTGGTCCTCTGAAGACAATCACTCGCCTCCTCAAACTGCCACCCAAGATTATTACACTCCTCTGTCATACGTGCCCATCACAGCATCACAAAGCCAGCACTACATCGTCGGTCCCATCCAACCTATGAAGTGTGCAGACAACAAGTCATACGAAATGGTGAATCTCGACGAGCTTGTTTCGCGTGAGCCACCCATTCCGCGTGCCGTTCCTGCGTTGTGGACCAACCAAGAAGAGATCAGTCTGGCCAAGTGTCTTCAGAACCCGGAGGGCATCACCAACGTCTACATTCGAGGCTTCATGCCAGACACTACCGACAAGGATCTCGAAAGCTGGGCCTCTCGCTTCGGCGAGATTGAATCTTGCAAGGCCATCATCGAGCAAGACACCGGCAACTGTAAAGGATTTGGCTTTGTCATGTACTACTCGCCGGCTGCGGCTGAGAATTGCATTCGTGGCTTCTTCCACCTCGGCTTCCAGGCGAGCTATGCTCAGAAGTCCCGCAACTCGCGTCTCAAGGATCTGGAGGACAGATCATCGACCAACATCTACTGTACCGGTGTTCCAATAGAGTGGAACGAATCAGTGAGTCATCTGACGCCTTCAGTCCGCTATTGCTCACACCTCACAGGACCTCGCCAACCACTTCCGTCCCTACAATGCTATTTCCACGAAGATTTGCCGTGACGTACCATCAGGAGTCAGCAAGGAAGTCGGGTTTGCCAGGTAAACCTAACAATAACGACTGATTCAGCTCGCTGATCCATACAGATTTGAAACTCGTGAGATTGCGGAACGTGTTATTCGCGAGTTCCACAGCTATGTAGTTGAGCACGACTCTGTCAAGCTCTGCCTCCGCTTCGCCGATACCAAGGCACAAAAGCAGCTCAAGCAGCAGAGCCAGGAACGACGCAACTGGCGCAGCCGCGAGTACAGCTATTCGGTCGAGCATACACCTTCTCCCACCCTGAGCCGTCTCCAAGGTGTCGCTCACCAGCTCAGCCCCAATGGCAGCTACCAATCGCCAGCTGGGGCTAGCACCAATTTCACTCCTGCAACGTCCGTCTCACCTCCGTAAGTCGAGCCTCCCTGTTGTCACATCGACCTCTAGCACTATGGTCATACACTCGAACACTGACATCGTGTACAGGGATGCCAATGGTATCAACAAGTCTGTTCCCAATGCTCGTGCCAACGCTTGGCCGATGCAAGGAGGACTGCAGTCAATCACCAACGCATCGACTACCTGCAGCCAACAGCCTTCAACCCGTGGCTATGTCGACGTCACCAACAAGGCTCCCATCGTAGAGGTCATCCCCGAGCATGCCGAGGTCAGCATTAACACCGAAACTCCCAGCCCGAAAAAGGTCACAATCAAGGTCGAGCCCGCCAGCGGCAAGGAGAACGTGTCTGTCCATGTCCAAGGCCAGAACTGAACCGGCCACATCAGGAGCTGAGACTCTCAACCTTTGGAACCTCTTGTTGGAGCAACACGAGAACTTGGTCCCCTGGTTCAACAAAAGTTTTCCGGACGTTCAATCATCATTGTGCTATATCGACATTGACAGAAGCCTACACCCTGAGCGACACCAAATCCTTTCCAGACTTGTATGTTTCATAGACCAATCAGCACTCATCGACAGTTAGAAGTATCACAGGACATCTGTAACGGCCTTCAGCGCAATCGAACATGATATCAGAGTGGTATGATACATACATGGATCGACTTGATTCGATCATAGGTAGTACAGTATGTGGTTGAACGATATTGCCCAGAAAGAGTATGATTGGAGTAGCCTTGAGTTAATCTCTGCTACCGATAGAAATACATTAAGAGTTGAAGCTGAACTTCTCGTCTCACGTCTACTTCTACTATAGCATGTCAGCTTCTTTCTCGGAACGGTCGTCCATGGGTCACACCAATTGTTCGGTCTAAACGCTTAGCCGATGACTCTGCAAATGCCGACCAATAGTTCAGGCATCGGGTAAGAATCAATGTCCAAGAGATACTGATATCTATTCATGATCTTTGTACATCTCAACATTATCTTGGGCCTGGTCATCTATTGTCAGATATCAACGCTGCTACGCCGTGCTCCCTGTCTACCTGTCGGAATGTCACTAGCAGCAGTGACCTGCCGTGTTCATCAGCAAGCACTAAAACATCAGCTGAGCCTCATTGTCTCGGTCCATGCATAGTCAGCTCTATCAAATATCGCCTTGACGCCCAATTCCATGCTGCTGCTGCTGCTGCTGGTGGGGTGGTGGACCCATGTCCGCCACCCATCCCATACACTTTTTCATTTTTACTCTCTCCCCGCCCTCTCCTCCCCGTCCTCGACCATCATCCACGCAGGCCTATACCCCACCGTCCTCCCCTGCTCATCCAAGATCCTCAACTTCGGGTTCCGCACCGTATCTCCCGTGCCGCCCAAGCTCGTGTACCCCTCATCGTACATGTGGCAGTACTCCGAGCCGGTCGTGCCCGCCTCGCCCAACAGCGGGTGTCGGAGGAAGCACCAGATCTCGCTCAGCTTCCAGTCCAGGACGGGGTGCACGCGCATGAAGGCCGGCCAGTTGCCGTCTGTCGGCGCGAAGGGCGTGAGGGTCGCGCCGTGGGGGTCGGTGCGGCGCGTGCCGACGAAGATGGCGCGGACGTTGGGGTGGGAGGTTAGGTAGAGGGCGAAGGCGTCGCGGAAGGTGCGGATTGGGAGGCTCGCGTGGGGGGTATGGTGGTGATGTGAGGATGCTGTGGGGGGCGGGTTGGTGCGGATGTGTGTTAGGGAGAGGTGGTACTGGCTGCTGGAGGAGCGGACGAAGGTCGTCACAGTGGGGAAGGGGTCTGGTGGCGTGGCGTAGATGGAGGGAATGGAGGTGGGAAAGTCGCGCGGAGGGCTGGCTGAAGCGGTCTTGGTGAAGTGCGTGTGGAGGACGGAGAGGTAGAGGAGGAGGAGGACTAGGCAGTCCTTGCCACCATTGTAGGAGAGGGACAGTTGCTCGAATCTGTGCGAAGGACTGTGTCAGCAATCTGTGTTCCCTATTTGCTTGGGTATCTGTTGCTTGTAGATATTGGTTGCATCTCGTGTTCGACAACAGAGCACCAATGACCGGTGGTGGTCTCGATATGAACTTACTCATACTCCTCCAAAGCCCTCCGGATCACTTCAACGCTTGCACGCACCTGCGCCTGCGTCCGCCATACCGTCTCATCCGCACCCACATCCAGTGTCAGAAACGCCGTGACCCTTGCATGCACATCTGCACACACCTCCCTCAGCGGCACCAGATTCGGCGGCACCTCCAGCTCCGCGCCATCGTGCTCGTCGTCTAGAAGTTCTAATGATGCATCTGCTTCTCCACCGACGCTGCGAACGGATGTTGCTTTGGCCTCGACACTGGAAGGATTCGCCGCAGGCGCAGAGCCGGTCTCGATCTGGAATTGGGACTCAGATCTGGGTTGCTGCTGCTGCTGCTGTGGGGTGAGAGTGCCGTTCGCAGTGGCGGTTGTTGGGGTCGTTGTCGTTAGCGTCGTGGGGGCATTGGGCGGCAGCGATGCATCACTGGGCATTATGTATATGCTGGCGGGGGCATGAAGGATTGGATGGCTGGGAAAGACACAAAACGAGAGCGAAAACAGGAAGAGATGCGCAGCGGTTTGAGGTAAGACAAAGAGCCGCAAAGTCGCCGAGGCTGCGCAGGCGTCCTGAAGGGCGGGGCTGCACAGAAGGCGGCGGAATTTTTTGGATGCGGAATGCGGAGAAGATGTCCATCAAAGATTAGTACATTGGAGCTAGGTTATCTTGACAGCACGGCGCACTTGGACGTGATACCATGAGTAAGAATCCTTTTTGAATCTACACCAGTACTGGATATCTACCTAAAATGACTGCTTCCATTCTCTCGCGACGCGCTTCATATACAGCTCTAGGCCTGCGTTAAGTCTAAAGAAATGCTCTGCCGCCATGCTGCTTGTCGGTCCGTCAACGCTGCACTAGCTCTGGTCCTCGCAAGTCTGCTCCGCTATATCAACGAGCTCCATGATGCTGAAACGAGTTGACCGTCACTGGCTCTGTTGCTCTTGTAGCATGTATGTCTATGCCCCATTCACTCCTGAGTTCTTGTCATTCTTCACCAAAACTTCGCTCTTTTCTCCGTTCCCGATGTGGTCATCCAGGCTCATATTCAGAGGTTCCGAGGTGTCGGGTATCTCTAGACTGTGAGTGCTGCCAGTTAAGGATTGTGGAAGACGGGAAGGCTTTGGACTGGAGCCGTTGGCCAACGGCTTGCCATCCCCAGTCAAGCCACGTCGAATGGCCAAGACGCTGTCAACGATAACGGCATCAATGCCCTGTTTCACCTGCAAAGCTACCTTTTCGGGGTCATTGTTGAAGACACCGTAGCTGACGCATACAAGCCCGCTCTCCTTGACCACACGAACAAGGCGTGGAGCATATACCAGTGGCGCAGCCGCGCTGACAACACCAAGGAGGTTCCATCTGCTGGCGAAGCGAATGGCCTCCTGAAGACTGCTGGCTCGAATGTCTCCTACTTCGCAACTGCCCGCATCAGTGAGGAACAGCACTGGAATGTTTGGCTGTTTGAAAGACAGCAGTAGGCAGATGTCGGGGTGAAAGCTCGAAAAGATGATGTTCCTCCCTTTGCCAAGGTCGTATACCATTTTCAGCACAGTATCAACGAACGAGTTGAGTTCCACCGCGTAAGTGTCCATATCCTCGTCGACGCTCTCGAATAGCATGGGATACTTCATCTCGATATTGAAGCCAGTCTCCTTGGGCAACTTGCGAAACATCTCCTCCAGCGTGGTGAACGGTGCCTGAATGTGGTTTCCACGGGAGTTACCTTTGAAACCCTTTTTCTTGAAATCTCTCGTGTGCTTCATACGTTCGTCCATCTCCACAGACTCTGAAGGACCGCCCATAGACATAGACCGAAGTCGAGATCCCTTGCGATAATCTGTATAAGGCGTGTTGGCTTTGGTACCGTTGTCGAAGGTGATAGGGGACGCCGGTCTCGAATGACGCGGTGTCCGCATATCGTTCACATGCAAAAATTGCTCTAAAGTCAAGGTGTGTACTGGAGCGTCAATGCCAGTCTCACTCACAAGGAAGTCGTGGTAGATGACCGGCACGTGGTCTTTAGTCAATTGGACATCGAACTCGACATACGAGGCGCCGAGATTGGCTGCTGCAATGAAGGACTGTATCGTGTTCTCGCCCAACTGCAATGATCTTCTTCCGGCAGCGAAATTTTTGCCGAGCCCACGGTGCCCGATCACCATCGTCGAAGCCATACTCTTCCAGTACGTCTTGTTCTCGCTCAGCGCCATATTGGGATGCTTGAAAGGGTTGATGATGAGGTAGTTGAACGTGACCGTACCGATAACTTCCATATCAGCTTGGGCCACGATTGGCACAGTCAGGTCACCCTTCAATGGCATCTTGCTGCTACCAAGATGGGTCTTGAGGCTTGACAAGAGCGCTACGCCACGTCCGACGACTCTATCGCGGGAGCCCGAGTATGTTGGGACGAGGTCAAAATATATCTTCACTTTGTCTGTTTCAGACGACAGGAAGACGATCGGCTCGGTCGAGACGTTATCTTGAACAGGAAGATCAAAAACCTCAGGCTCACCATCTGCTCCTTTGGCAGAGACCACGATTGACAAAGCAGTATCGAGTTGAGTAGAGTGCGCATTGGCCAGAGGAATTCGATCAAGGTTGACAGGCCTGACATTGCGGCGGGCATCCATGGATCCAAGAGACACCAAAATCATAGATTTGTCAGTCAAGTATCTGTGACCAAAAGTTTTGACGGATTCAGTGACCTTAGTTGCAGGCATTGCTGCTCCCAAGCCGTTCGAATTCCTGTCGTTTAAGGAGGTCGAAATTGGTGGTGATGTTGACGTTGAAGTCGCTAGAGAGTCTTGTTCAGATGTTGAAGTCAACTCATCAAGTCGGGCGGCAATGTCTACATGACCACGCAAGGCCGCATGCTCTTTAGCAGTCCAGCCGGAGGAATCCACCCGGTCCACGTCCGCGTTAGCATCAAGCAACAACTCGACAATGGGGAAATGACCATCGACACAGGCAATGAATAGAGGAGTCCAAGAGTAGGTGAGCTCCGCCATTTCCGTATTCACAACTTGCGCGTCAGACCCGGCGAGTAGCAAACGGGCGCAATCAGCATGGCCGAATCTGGCAGCGACGTGCAGTGCTGTTTCGCCCTGCTCGTCCTGGTAATTGATGTCAACGCCGGCCTTGACTAGGATGCGGACAACTTCAATATAGTTGGACTTCGTCGCCAGAGCTAGCACGGCGGAGGACTTGGGTGAACTGCGACGGACAGTAGCGGGTTTGCCAGCCTTTTGCCAATTTTCAGAGTCCAGGAGGTACTGCGTGGTTCGGGGGTGACCGCCAATGACGCTCAGGTGCAGGGGGGCCCATCCTTCCTCATCGTGCCAATTGGGGCCGTCAATACCCTGCCTAACATCAAACATCTTCCATAACTGCAGGTGTTCAACAATAATCTCACACAGAGCTCGAACACCAAATTCTGCAGCATGGTGCAAAGGAGTCCGTCCGGCGTTGTCTCGAGCCATCAAACCTGATCGTTGAGTAGGTTGGAGACTGTCGAGGAGGAAGACAAGGAACAGGCTCGGATCGTCCTCTCGCGTCAGCGTCTTGAAATGCTTATCCTCATTAGGCACTGCGCGTTTGAAAGGCTTGGATGGTGCCGCCGCTGGAACAATGAAGTCCTGGCTCTCGTCTTCGAGATCAAGAGCATCTGATCCGGCAGCCTCCTTCTCTGCAGCTGTATGTGCTTTACAGATCGAAATGATGAGTCTATGAATGCAATTCCTGCGATTCAAGTCATCTGGCTCGTCAAGAAAAACAATATTCCGGAGAAGCACAGCGGTGCATTCTCGTCCTCGTACGGAGATTGACTTGTGGAGCAGGGTCTTCAAAAATGCCTGGAAAGCTGGCTCGCAACTCTTGGACAGGCTTTTTTGCGCATCTACTATGAATATCTCGAGTTTTTCGGCGTTGTCTGTCCGGAGGTAGGTCTCAAGGGCCGTAATCTGCTCGGGCGAGATTTCCAATGAGGGACGGGATGTAGTACGCTTCAGTGAGCCAGATGCGATGGAGGTGTTGTCGTCAGATTTTGTCGAAGCCGAGACCTCGGTCAGGACCGAGATCCAATCATTGACTCTTGCAAGGGATTGGAGTAGCTGCGCATTAGTTGCAAAGGGCGCCGGGTCGACTTTGAGCTCGAGGTATTTCTTTTGGGCATGGGCTCCAGCAATCTTCTTGTCCAGTTTCTTGGTGATCTTGATGAACCCCCGTCTGTTGACTTCTCCATACCATTGGAGCTTCCTCATCTGGCCTCTCAGCTCGAGGAGAGCGGCTAGTAGATCCTGGATTTCATCCGCATCAAAGTCTTTCGCGGCATGCAGGGCAAAGCCATAGCGGTCATCGAGTAGTTTCAGCCTACGGGAGAAATCATGAAATTTCTTGTTGTAGAAATAGTCGACATCTTCGAGATTGCGATCGAGGGAGTGGAAAAAACCTAGAGGGAATGAGCAGTGTCAGGGGTTCTCTGATCAGTCCATCCTACCAGCCAAGTCGGGTTCACCGCCATCTTGCTGGGTACCATCGGAAGCATTTTTGATCAATTTCTTCAGGCCCTTGTAGTTGATGTAGTTGCTATCCCATTCAGGGACTTGATTACGGGGTAGGTTGCGCCCAAACTTCATATTGAGATGGGAGACGGCGGAGCGTTCTGCTCTGATGATCTAGGTCGGTGGGTGGTGCATCACCACGAGGGAGGGCAAAGAGGGAACCGTGACTGTTTCATGAAAGACCTCTGACGCGAACGCGGAGGATAGGTACGAAAGGATCAAAGCGGAGGACGTGGGCCATGGCTCGGGCTGACAAAGAGCATACAGAGGGCACACGAGGTAGAGGAGCACAAGAAACGGCTCGATGGCGGCAAGAGGTTTATGGCGGATCAGTGCCGCGGTTAGAGCGGACCTTGCTGAGACAGCTTCGTTCAACGGGCCAAGCAGAAGCACGCGGTGAAGAAAGGGCCAGTTTTTGGCATGGATGAAAAATCAATACAGCGACGGAGACAGAAGCAGATGCCAGCGGGCTCCCCGTGCCTTCAATTGGCGGCTGTGATTGGTCCACGCTGTTCACGTGATCCGCAGATTCAACTTCACGGACCAACCCTGCTGCCAGCTGACTGACGATATCTGCCCCGGTACTTTGATTGCTACCCCGTGAGATCTCTGCAGCGATGGCTAGGGCTACAGAGTTTGCCCCTCATGCGACACCTTACCCCAACATCGGCAAGTGCTTCATGCAACTTGTTACACGGTCGGCCGCTTGGCCATTGTGCGGAGCAAATGCGGGATGGCAGATCGATGGTCAACTGCCCAATGAATTCTACCTGTTCGCAGGGACCTAGTATAGCTAACTACTGTACACTTGTCAAGGCCCGCAGTCATTTGCTCCAGCAAGTTACTCGCTAACTGCGTCAGAGTGTTGGTATCAGTCGGGCAGTTCCGTCTGAACCGTCTTGTGCAGGAAATGCCGAGAAGATGCTTGCAGTAGGATCCAGTATGCCACATTGTCCCACTGTTGAGCTCCTTCAACGCCGCTTGCCGTGTATAATCAACGGCCATCATGCATCGTCAAGTCTTCGTCATGGTGGAGGGTCACGCTGTTGAACTCGAGGAAAGGATCGGGAATTTCTCCACCAGGAGTAGCCATGCCAGAGTCCAGAGGCACTCCTCTCAACTTACCCGCCGGTCCATTGCCTCCGAGATCAACACTACCGCTGTCTTTGACAGTTCTGAAGTTGACAGTGTCGATTGCGCGCCCTTGATGCGGAATCATCGGGGGCTTCATGTGACGCAAGAGCGCCCACGTGATGGGTTTGAAGAAAGCATGGCTCTTGACATCCGAGGCGCCAGCTCTAGACCCTAGTCGCTTCATCTCATCCTTGATGAGTAACTTGCGGATGACTGACTTGCACAAGCTTGCCGTGGGTCAGTCTCAGTCGAGCCTCTGAGGGGCATGTCACTTACTTTGATACTTGGTTGGATCCCGAGTGCTCGGGAAACGGTACCTCATCTCTCAAGATATTGGCAAAAGTCGCATTACGATTCTTGCCCTTGAATGGTGTTGTGCCGAATAACATCTCGTAGATTAGTATACCAAGAGTCCACCAATCGACAGCGCTGGTGTGACCATTACCCTTGATCACCTCTGGTGCTATGTACTCCTCGGTACCAACGAATGAGTTCGTTCGGAAATCTGCAATACACGACTTGGTGTCAACCAGAGGATATCCAGACGTGTTGGTGCCGTTGCGGACGCCGAGAATCATGGTCGGCGCACCGCCACTGTCGGACTGTTTCGATAGGTCGAAATCGGACAACATGATATGGCCAGATTGATGTAGAAGAATATCTGTGAGTCTCAGCTTGTCCGCCTTGGAAGCTCAAATGGAACCATAAACTTACTCTCAGGCTTCAGATCGCGGTATATAAAGCCCATTAGGTGCAAGTACTCCAAAGCGGCCGTTACTTCTGCCGCATAGAAACGAGCGTCCTCTTCTCCCACACACTTGTTGGGCCTCGTTTGCAAAGCTCGAAAGAATTCACCTCCGCTGCAGTATTCCATGCAGAGATAAAGGTGATCTTCTGACTGGAATGAGTGGTACAAGGTAACGATAAAAGGGTGATTACTGGTGGCCAAAATTTCCTGCTCGGCGAGAGCTCTCTTGATCTTGTTCCTCTTGATCATCTCTTTCTTGCTCAATACCTTCATGGCGTAGAGTCTGTTGGACTTCTTTTCTCTCACCAAGTACACCTTGCCAACATCGCCCTTGCCAATGAGCTTGATTTTATCGAAACTTCCGGGCCCCACTTCGACGTTCCTGACTTTGATAGAGTTGGAGCTGTATGTCCGACGGAAGGCGACCGATTGTCTGATCTGACCGGGTGTTGGTATCTTGGATGTGCTATCTGGCATGGAAGTTGCCGATTTTTCCGTGCCTACCATGCTCAACTTTGGCTGAGACCCAGTTTCGACAATAACTGGCTCTTTTCCAAGTTGAGCGCTGCCAGGGCGCTCATCCGGAGGTTTTGAACTGCTAAACATGCCTTGCGCGTTGGGTGCCGATGCCACTCTTCTCAGTTTCCTCGCCAGCTCTTCCTTCCCAGCGGTAACCGCTCGTTCACTTGTCGGACTGGCACCATTGACATTGATCTTCGGAGTATCCGGTGGAGACGGCGGTACGCTGCCTTCGTTGTGGTGTCTCAACACGGGAGGGCCCTGGTGAGCGAAGTATGGGTTGGCATGTGCGGTTGGAGAAACCGCATCGTCAAGAGCGTTACCTTCGCTGGCGACCGTTGTCGAGCGATTCCTGCCCAAACCTGCCAAGAATCTAGGTTGCTTAGGCTTGCTCTCGGTTTTTGGTGTAGGGAGGCCGTCGGCGCCTAACGAAGTCTGGCTACCACTGCTGTTGATACGGAAGAAGTTCTTGAGTTTGGTGGAGGTAGGTGTGTGCGTCCCGGAAGCATCGCCACTCGAGTGCTTTTTGGCAAAGGAGAGGGATGACGTGAAGTTTCTTCGTTCGGTAGTCATACTGCAGCTTGCCAAATTAATGGGTCCGCAGACAGAATAGATAGATGTGTGAATGTGGACTGCGGAAGCCACGTGGAGGCACGGTTGGTAGGCAAACGGTCGGTCTTATAGCACCTATCGTGCGCTCGCCATTGCAATTTGCTTGTACAATCTTGGAAGTGACGGCAACGCAGGTCAAGCACAGCTGGCGTAATGAGGTCGAGCTGGGCGTGAGCCGTGGTGGGAGCGAGGTGGTGGCTGATAAATCAGCGTCACAAAGCCGATCGCAGGGGGGGCAGCCAGCGCAGCTGGCTTGCGGCCGTCAGTATTCCACCAAAAATGTACAGCTCGGGCACTGCAGAGGTGAAGAAACGTCGATAATGTAGTGCCGATAGCCGCAGATAGAAAAAAGTGCAGCGGAAGGGGGGATGTAGTGGAATACGAGTCGACGACCGTCCAGGTCTTCGACAAGCCTTAGTTCCACCGCTGGAGGTCTGAGCGCTTGGAGTTCACAATCCGGGCAGATGCACGGGCACCGCACCGCCACGCCTTCTGGTTCGTCGGGTATGCCCACATGGCGATCTGCCGACCGCCATTTGGGCTCTGTCACTGGTCGTTACTGAGCTTGGGCCGTCGTTTCGATCTGCTTGTCTGCAAGTGTGGGAACTCTTACAAGAATTATCGAGTCCAGTTTTTATAAACCAGATCTCTGGGCTGAGGGCAGCCCAGAAAACGTGATCAGGAACCAGCAGTGCGGGCTTTCATTGCCCTAGCCCCCTTGCAACCCCAAGCCGCCACGTACCAACCTTAGGAGGGTCCCAGCATTACAACTGGATCCACACCAAATGTACATGGACGACATGCTAGATCCGTATACCTTCTTTTCGTGCTGTTTGGACCTAGTAGTAGCATAGAGACCGAACAGATCTTTTGGCAGCATGGTCGCCGAGGGGAACTGGGCTCGACCATACTTGACCCGGTCGTTGCAGAAGTCAAGGACTACCAAGAATGTGAGTGGACTCGCAGTTTGTATTGACAATTCCTGAGGAGTCTATAATCTCTCTACTTATGCTATCTTCTGACAGACCTTGGTATTGTTCATACATTCGAGAAGCGGACCGACTAGCTTCCAGTCGTACGTGCATGCAAGCTGAATACCATGCTCATCCTACACATTTCCTACGATGCATCGTCAAGCATGCGGTATGCACACGAGCAGTTTGTGCCTCGACAAATCCACGCACGCGCAGATACACTGTTTATCATAAGGCTGCAACATGCACATTGATAAGCTTGTTGTTCGTCGCCGGTTGTTCGTGTCCAACGACCTGTATTGTCCTCTCAGTAAGCACGCTAATCATCCGTCGCCACTGCCTTGCGCCAATATGGCCCATACCAGGCGCCTGCCCCAGTTACTGAGCGATGCAAGAAACGTGGACTGCGGTTTTTGCTGGCAGCCGTCAAGATCGCCTTTGCATCGCGGCTCTTGATCTCGGGGGCACCGTCCAAACTAGGAGGCAGGCGAACCGTAGCATTGACATTTTGCACTGAGACAGACGAGTAGCCTTTGGTGCTCAGATCGCAATCAGAGATGACCAAGTTCTCGCTAGTGCTCATAGCTGGCACGGTCTCAGGAGCACTTGCTGTTTGTTGTCTGCGCCCTGCTTCGATTCTGATTGCTTTCTCCAATTGCTCTTGAATATTCGCAGACTTGGAAAGCTGGACACCTCCCTCCTCGCTGCGGATGGAGACAACGTCATTCCCATCTCCTAGACCGAGCAGATAATTGACCTCGTACTGCTCGTCGTTGACGATCCGCGCTTTCGCTCGGAGATTGTCAAGCATGACATTCGTGAATGCGGGCTTGCGCTTCCAGTACTCATGCTCTACAGCACTCCCACGGCCTGATCGTGGCTGCTGCAAGTTTGCACCGCACACCTCGAAGACATCGCCGTCATCGAGCGTGAAAACTGTAATGACACCGTCAGGTAGTCGCAGAGCATCATAGTAGAGTTCTGTCCAGGCTTCAAGCTCGGCAGGCAGCGGGTCCGGTCTGTCGCCAGTCCAGCCAAAGATTTGTGGCTCACGTAGATAAGAATCTTCGAATCGATCGATGTGGTTCTTCGCTATTGAAGGAGCATGCCGTCGCATAGTGTCCAGGCTTGTGGTTCCCGAAGCCGGACGGTAGTATATGCCCCAAGGCGTTCCTTCCCGCACGGGTGAGGTACTGAGCTCCTTATTGGCAGACCCACGCTTCGATTTGCTGATTGAAGGGCTTGAGGGTGGAGGAGCGACGATAGGAATGATGACACGTTTGCCAGCCGAGGGATGCTTTTCAACGAAACCGCGATCGGCATCAATAGACAGGTCGACAGAACCACCAGCGGTTGGGGGGCGTGACGTCTCTCGCGATTGAGGGCCGTTGCTCTGTGGAACGAACGGCTGTGCAGACGCCATTAGGCCTGAGCTTGCCAATGCTTCGATCAGCGGACCTTTGAGAAATTGAAGCGCCTCCACCTGGGCAGAGAGACGTGTAACCAGTTCTTTGGCCTCGGCCCGCTTCTCAACAATAGCATAACGCTGAGCGGCCAAGTTGGGATCATGGCTGCTCATTGCTCGATGCCTGTCAATGGCTTTAAGCTGACGATCGAGGTTGTTGAAGTGAATTTCAGCTTGGACAAGACAGGTCTGAGACGAGACCAGAAGGCGAGTTGTCGGCTCCACGCCGTCAAAGATATCTTGAGCGACCCCAACAGGGCTGTGGCCACCACCATACGGCCACTCGAAGGGGCGATTGGGGGGAAAGGTCACATCCAATTGTTGCAGGGTGTAGAAATTAGAGCCAGACGGAAGGTGACTCGTGACGTAGTGCGGTTCGAACACAGGCACAAAAGGCATGGCTGAGCTGTGCAGATCGTGAGCCTGAGTGTGGTTGAGATCAGCAGTTTCGCTCTTCAGCTGCTCGTTCCTAGCTCCAGTGTCCTGGGGCGGGACTCTGCATCGGCCGTCCTCCCTATCGACAACGGATGGCGGTGCTATTTGCGTCTGGAAATGGTTCAGAGTATCTCGCTCGAAGCTCAGTGGTGTTCCATTGACACTGCCGGACGGATCGGGATCTATTTTCAGAGCGTGCTGGAAGGCTTCGGCAGATGTCTGAGACCGGCTCAAGTCGAATTTGGGAGGAGAATCTCGCTTTTCCATCGGAACGATGCGGCCTCCGGCAGTGACGCGGTTGTGTGTGGGGGAAGAGTGCTTCCTCAGAAATCGCGCAAAGCCTGCATCTTTCTGAGCCGTGGTTCCTGTAGGTGGACCAGAGGGTTGTCGACGAGGTTCGAAATGGGGCATCAAGGGTTGTTGAATAGTTTCTTCCGGCATAGCGGGTCTAGCAGTCTTGTCTTCGATGACCGTTGCACTGGGAACCGGATCGAAGCTCTCAGACGACCAACCTCGGAACCGCTGAGTGCTGAGAGAACGGGCAGGCATGGCTATGTCGCCGAGCTGAGGGATGACTCCAGCTGGTCAGACAGGTTAGCAAAACGTGCAACATATGGAAAAGTGGGGGGTACCTCGAGCAGCGTCATATGTGAACTTCGACAGATCGAAAGGGTATCTAGTTTGGCGGGCGATCTGAAGCAACCGAGCAACGGTGTAGCGCTGCGGAGGCAGACGGTGTCCCTGGACACGAGTATCCATGGTGCGTAAGCGATACAAAGTAAGACGCAAAGCTTTTGTAGCCAAAGTCAGAGAGAGCCCAAGTTGAAGCACCAACAGAGGAATGACGGGCTGGAGCGGACCTCGAAGTTGTCAAAATGTCATGTTGGGTTAGAGATGGAAGCGGTTGCGAGCTTTTCGAAAAGATGAGGAAATGGAGTGGTTGTGACTGAGGAAGGTGCATCTCAGGAAATCCTGACGTTGTCCGGGCAGCGACGAAGAACCAGGGGGCAATAGACACAGAGCGTCGATGGCAGCCGCGCCAACGGCAGGTGCACCGGGCAACCACCAATGCTTCCAGGTCCCTTGTTGAATCTTGATCTGCCAATGGTTCGAAATGCCTTACAGCCGGCTGCGATCTCTCTGCACTAACTGAGTTGTCGAGCCTTGCGGACAGAAGCACGGACACTTCCGCCGGCACTCAGCCAGATGTGCTCACACCCAGTCAGGTTCTTCTGCATGTTGCCCGTCATGGAGGGTCTCTCCATTCCGTCGAGGGGCTGTTCGCCTCCGGACGCAGCGAACCTTATGCAAGCTCGTTTCGCTTACTTTGGTCTGGCTGTTTGAGCAACAGAAGTCGTTCCGATCAACTAGTGACCAGATTTCAGCCAAACTTGTGTTCATCGTTCATTCTATCAGCCTCCTTCCCCATATGAGTCATCCACCTATCGACCAGTTCCTGATTCTCCTTCTTGAGCTTCTTCTGCTGTTCTTCTGCCATGTTGAGCTGAAGGTTGAGAGTAACGTTTTCGTCTTGAACATTCTCCAAGAGCTTGGCCTTCCCCTTGAGTTCCTCGTCTCGATCTCTGAGCTTCAGAGTAAGCTGTTTGACACTGCTGGAAAGTTGAGACATTTTCTTGGTATCCTGGCTGGCTGTCGACTTCAGCGCATTGAGCTCACGAGTTCCTGTCTCTAACCGCATTTGCAAGTCAGCTCTCTCCTGCTGAGCCCTAGCAAGCTCTTGTCGCATCTGCGCCAAAGATGGTGAATTTCGATCCGGCGGAGGCGATGAGACGCGTTTGAATCCCACCAACGGTATTGGTGCAGAATTTAGAGGCGTCACAGCAGATCCATCTGCCCCTGATCTGGTTGTGGCCGCATGCTTCTGAAGTTCGGCCTTTTGATCCGCGAGTCGGTTATCTGGTGACTTGAGCCATTGCCTCACTCAAGGTCCTCACACACTTACAGTGGTCGTATAACTCCACATTGACTTTCTCGACCGCATCCCGGGCTTTCAGCGCGGCCAGATACTGGTCCTTCCAATCGGCTGCCATCTAGTCGGGCACAAGGAGGAACAAGTGATGCCTACACCATTTTGATGACTTATAGCTTACAAAGAAGCTGACACTGGCTCTGATTGGTGCCGGACAATGTACAAGAACCACGCCTATAGTGAATCTGCTGATGCGGAGGTCGATGTGAAGTTGCCTTGGGGCAAGCCTAGCGTCTTGGCACAATGGCCGAAGGTGTGGCTTTCGATTGTCACGTGTGGCTGATGAAATGAATGATGTAGCAACACCGGTGGAAGGTGGGTCTGCAGGCCGTGGGATTAATGCACTGGCACTCGACACTATTCACAGCTACTCTCTCCTCTCTTGCCTCCAGATAATTCCCCTTCGCGATCACTCCTACTATTCACACAGACACAAGCTTCTCCCACCAACATCAGCGATTGCCTGATTGCGTGTAGCAAGCCTGTCCGCACCACGCGAGAGAGCTGCATCAACACAATCAATCGCAGGATCACTTCGCGAGCGGCAACAGTCCCATATCTTCCTAGTCCATAGTCGCCATGTCTGGAAGAAAGAAGGTTCTGCTGAAGGTACATCCTGGCTGACCTCTCTGCTGTCTGCTATCGACTCACCGGCATTTAGGTTATCATCCTCGGTGATAGTGGTGTCGGCAAGACAAGCTTAATGAACCAATATGTAATGCTTCGCCTTCCCCTCCCGACACATAAGATACCTACTAATGCTTGCTCAACAGGTCAACAAGAAGTTCTCTACCTCCTACAAAGCCACAATCGGCGCCGACTTCCTGACCAAAGAAGTGACCGTCGACGACCGCATCGTGACCCTGCAACTCTGGGACACTGCTGGCCAGGAACGTTTTCAGTCCTTGGGCGTCGCCTTCTACCGTGGCGCCGATTGCTGCGTGCTGGTTTACGATGTCAACAGCACCAAATCCTTCGAAACGCTCGACTCCTGGCGTGATGAGTTCCTGATTCAAGCCTCGCCGCACGACCCGGAAGCATTTCCATTTGTGGTGTTGGGCAACAAGATCGACATGGGCGAGGATCGGCGAACGGTGTCGCAGAAGAGGGCACACAGCTACTGCCAGAGCAGGCAGATGCCCTACTTTGAGACAAGTGCCAAGGAGAGCATTAATGTTGAACAGGCATTCGAGGTCATCGCGCGGAATGCGTTAGCGCAGGAAGAGAGTGAGGAGTACAGTGGCAACTTCTCCGACCCAATCAACATCAACCTGGAAGGCGAGAGAGATGGCTGCGCTTGTTAATGGTTACACGCTGTCTGCTGGCGGCTTAGGAGCAAGCCAACGAGGCCTTGGGTCCTTTTCCTTGCAAGCAAAAGAAAGCCAAGCATATGCTACTTCAAAGCGACAGAGCAAGCGCATGAGAGACTCAATGACACCGAGACCTGTGTTATTCTGGGAGGTGGGAAGCCAGTCAACTGCGAGGGATGCTTCTTATCGCACGTCGTCTTTATGCTGCTGTATATCCCGTTGAGCAGGCGTCATTGGAGTTTAGGCAAGAGATTTATCAACAAGAATACCTATCTGTGCGACACGAACCGAAGCCCATCGGGCTTCGTAATATCACCCCGAGGGTTGAGGTCATGATCTCCATAGCTGTACATAGAGGATCCCGATCTCACATGGGGTTCACCGCCAAACGGTCTATCTGCGCCTGTATTGTCACTGTTGCCTAAGCCGTCTCGACGTGAATATGTCATCAGAGCAGCTGCCGCCGCCGGGCTCACAGTTGGTTTCGAAAGTGGCGAGACGGGTGCTGCCAGGATGTTTACAAGACCATTTTGTACTTGTGTTCAGCATTTTCGATCGATCGAGATCAGCTCTTCCCTTCGTGATCGCAATTGCGAGGGACCGGCGCCTTTCACATGCATCGCACCGTAGGTAGAGAGAGGGTAGCAGAAGTACTATTACCCAACGAGCAACGAGCAAAAGCCACCTCATAAGTGTTCGCAAGCCTGCGAGCCCTTGCCACGAATTTAAGACCGGGTAACCTCAAATCTTGGGAGAAACCAGCAGGTGCGCACACATTTACTTTGCGCCCATCTCTCCTTCCCCCTCAATACCACAGGAGACAATTCCTTCCTGTCTTAATCGCTTTTCATTTGTCGTTTGGTTAATTTGCGGGTGATAGAGGAATGTAGCATAGCTTCTCAAACTCCGGTCGCCACATGCTTTGGTCCCACGCAATGATACACACAAAGGAGAATCCGGAAAAGGCCTTGAGAGGCCTCGGTACGGTGGACTGGATATGAGGCCGTTCTCGTTCGGTGGAGCAAGAAGTAGTAGAACGTTCCAGGCTTGACTGATGGTCGCGCCGAGTAGTGGTGACAAGAGCGCAAAAGTTGAAAGATTAGGCCCATTTTGCTTTTCGTAACAATCGTAAAAGGGAGGGTAGATGAGGGTGATCAGGCCCGTTATGGCGCCGGTCGCTCTCATGAAGAAGGCATACAACAAGCATTCGAATTCAGGCCCCCCTTTCTTGAGAATTTCAAAACGCTCGTTGTGAAAAGAGACTATTTTTTGGGTTGGCTCTGTTTGCCGAGATCGTGAGGAATTCTGCGAATGCCGAGAGCCTCGGGATTACCAAGCCCAAATCTTGAGCTGTACAAGAGTTAGCAATGAATGGAGACCGGGCTACTTGCAGACTCACCAGAGAATCCCAAGAACCGGTGCACAGGCTGATGCCGTCGTTGCTAACACCGAGACAGCTGACACGGTTCTCGTGGCCACTAAGCGAGCCGACTTTGTCGCCACGAAGCGTATCCCAAACCTGTGCGAACGTTAGACACGATTCTTAGTCAGAGGGCAGGGTACTGACTTTGCATTCGAAGTCGTCGTAGCCAGCAAAGAGCAAGCGTCCAGAAACGGAGAAGGCAACCGAAGTGATTCCGCAGAGAACCTGCTCGTTCTGAGAAGCGTTAGTCGATGTTGGAGAGTACTGACGTTGTGTGACAAACCTGATAAGACATGAGCTCGCGATCGGCGCGAATGTCAAACAGTCTACAGGAAGCATCGTCGGAACCTGTGCCAAAGGCATTGCCATCCGGGAAGAATTGAATAGCGTTGATATCAGACTCATGGCCGGCGAACGTCTGAACAGCTTTGCCAGTGCGAACGTCCCAAAGCTTAGCAAAGGCATCGCACGCGCCAGAGACAAAGACGTTGGCATTGGTGGGATTGATGCTGATGCTCATGACATCGCCAAGATGATCGGCGAACTCGGTAACCTTGGAGCCGGTCTCAATATCCCACATCATGCAGGTCATATCGCCGGAAGAAGTGATGATTTTGCGGTCGTTGACGAAGCGACAGCAGGAGAGATAGCCAGAGTGGCCTGACAACTCTCTTGCGACCCGAGTAGGACCTTCGCGCGTGGACAGATTGTAGATGGAGCAGATGTTATCTAGACCACCGCATGCGACAAAGTTTCCGCTGGGAGCATAGGCGCAGGTCATGACCCAAGAGGATCGGAGAGGGATAGCATGGACCTTGTTGGTGGTGTACGCATCCCAGATGATGAGCTTGCCGTCTTGCGAGGCGGAGACAAGATGTCTTCTGTCCGTCGACCAGTGCATGGCGTAGATTTTAGCCAAGTGACCTTTCAGGTTTCGACGAGGCTTCATGCCTATGCGTGGTAGGGGCTCAGTATTGTTCTGTGCAACTTGTCTCACTGTAGCAAATGAATTAGCACCAGCGCCGGAGAAGATAGGCGCGCAATAGCAGTAAACTCACAGCTAGTGTCAGCTAGGTCATCCTTCTTTCTCTTGATTCTATCCTTCAGGCCCTCGGCTTCCCTCCTCGCAGCCGTTATCTTAGCCTGCATCTGTTCTGAAGTCATATCGGCCGACATGATTGCAGGAGTAGTCCCACGGGACTCTAGGATGGCTTTGCGATGCGCAAGTGGTTGGGATCAGTACAGTCGAGCTTCAGAAGCTACTAATGCGACGGTGGCAGTGCAGAGGCGAATGGGCTGATCTTTCGTAGGTGGTGTGCGGAAGCTTTGGGGTGGAGGTGCAAGGTCGGTCGGGAGGTGCACCGCACTGAAATTAGGAGAGGTGGTTTCTGGCGTTGACTTCACTGACAGGCAATAATGGGTGCAAGGCGGCAGCGCAGCCACTCCAAAGGATATGTGGTCTGTGAAAGAGTCTTCACTGGGCAGTGCTAGTGATCTCGAGACTGTAGAAGAATGTTAGAAATCACAGAGGTTACAGAAGCCAGGGACAGGGGAGCGCACCAAGGCGCAGAAGCAAAAGGTAGCAGTAGCGGCCTCAGCGCTCTGAGATTGGCTTCTTAGTTGGCCCGCTAGCTTCGGCGCTCAACGCGGTGGGGCTGTCCACCTACCAACTGAAGTTCAGGGCCGATGAAGGTACATATGGTGGTCCCGCTTTCCGCCACAAGGTACAATTTTACGAGTGGTTTACGGCGTATGAGGGCTGCTAGCAGGACTTGTAAAGGCGGACGGTGCGCATCAGAGCGTACGGAGTAGCTGGAAAGCCTTGTCACCTGTCAAGACGATCAAGATGGGCATGAAACTTCCAAGTGGGCCAGCCTGTTAAGCTGGTTGCTCCCCCGTGTGCCCCGTGCGCCGCTTTTGATGGACATGGACAGCCGAGGCGGGCCCAAATCAACTCCTTATTTTGCCGGCTTTCGTCCGCCCAGACTCGTGCTCATTATCGTTGAAATTGCCGTGTCCTGCATCGCAGCCTCACGACGTCCCTGGGTGATGAGCTGTCGCTGAAGGTTTATTGTTTGTAGGGGTGCATGCTGCAGGAAGCTCTGTCCGCCATCCTGTCCGAGCTCCTGTCGCAACACCCGAACCACTTTAGCGAGGGTGGCACTGAGCAAGACTCTTGGCTCGAATAGCAGATTATGGCATTCACCCACGAGTACTCGCTACGCACGCACTGGGTAAGTTCGGTGTCCATGGGCCATCACAAAGGCTATGCGGATATCGGGGGAGATACTCTCCGACGCCCTACAGTAAAACCAGGTGTCGTATAGGCCGATCCTTTCATAAATACAACTGTCAAGATTCGGCGCTTCCAAAGCTGGGGAATGAGATGATCCTATGGGAAAGAAGTTGGGGGGCGCCGCCCGCCCGGCGATCCGGTGCTGATTTGCTGCAGTCAGGTGTCGGCTCGGGGTTTTCCCGTCTCTTGGTCCTTGGAGCATACCTTGCTGCACATTCTCCTGCTATTTGTAGCTCACCATCCTATGCAATGCCATTCTCCTCATCTTCGTCATCCTCATGCTAGGCTTGTGGACAGCCCAAAAAGCATGGTATTCCCGTCCACCCGACGCAGACCAGTGCCTCGTGAGGGTGGGGTCGAAACACGAAGATTGTCACTTGCATGCAGGGAGGGCACTCCGTATGCCTAGCCAAAGACAAGCCTAGTTCTCCAATGACTTGCCACAATAATTCGCCAGTAGCCGCCCTTTGTGGAAGCGCCCGTCATCCGCCATCCGCGCTTCTTCTTATCCATAGGAGCCGCCACCGTTCTTTGGCATTGTAAATATAGCCTAGATGATCATGTTGCCCCCCTGTTGCCGTTGTGAGAAGGCCAGTACCATAGAAGTGGTCGCATGTTCATTGTCCCAAATCAACCTAGACGCCACCCCTGTAGCAAGCTTGGAATGCAAAGACGGCAAGCGACCGCGCCACAGCAGGCATGCCCACCTGTCCACTGGGGGGGCATAAGTTAGGTAAGAATAGCCACCGATAACTTTTCCTTCCCCATTATTGGGCCTGTCGATCACCCCGTCCGTACCAGATAACTCGAAGCCACCGGCGCGGGTATGGTCATCGTCACTCTTGCCGCCACATGTAGGCTTGCACAAAAATTCAGAGGTCTATGGTCAAGTTTATGGATCATCATGACTGATCCTCGATTAGATGTTGCGAGCGCCGCTGATACACGAACACGGTCACACGTTCACGACCGCGTTGTTGGTCTCGCAATCTGAAACGAGATTGTGGCGAGATTGGAAATCGATCTCCGGAACACGCCAGACACGGACTGTGACACACAATGCTCCTCCCACAAGATTATTCGCTTCTGATGGTGTCTATTTGCTCAAGACTCATGCTCTCATCGGCATGAGCAGCAGCTGTTCCTGCAGCTCTGCAGCTCCGTTTCTGTGCGGAAGATGGTTTACAAGGAGCGCTTCGAGGCCCTGGTCTCGAAGCGGGCCGCCGAGCGGGCTCCATCAACTGTCCGGGGGTCGACTTACTGTGATTCACTGGAAGGCTCCCAAACCTCACAGCAGAATGCCACCTAAGAGCCTCTATCGTGAGTCCGAGAAGGGCGCCAGTCAGTTTTATCGACCTCCAAAAGTGATCTGCTGTGACTCTGGGGGGCCGGCTTGTCATTTTCGTCGACCCCTAATGACCTGAGCAAAGCCTTGCCCGCCAGACGAACATGATACAGCAAAGCAAAGGCTTTGACATACTAACATGCTAAGGTCAAGGCTTTCATCTCCGTAGTTGCAGGCCTCCGTAGAAATCCCAATTTACCATTGCAATGAAGTTGTGAAGGGCTGGGCATTATGTAGGGTGATCGAGGAGGCGTTTTCTGCGCCAGCACTGCGCCAATGCCCAATGGCCATCGAGCCCTCGATCTCATACCTCTCCATCTGCAACCTCCTCATTCGCTTCCATCGCCATCCACCTACAACTCCCTTCCATCCTCTCCTTCGCCCCTACTGCTCACTTTGTCTGCATTTCGAATGAGAGCATCGTAGCGTGTTCATTTACGCCATCGCACCATCTACCGCCACAGCGGCCACGCTGACCCTCGAGTCCGCCCCCCGACCGTTGCCTTCTCACGGTGGCTCACCTCTTGACAAATCCCCTCGAGTTGCTTTACTCGAACCACTCTTTCGATATACCTATCCATTCGAGCAAGTACCCTTACACTCGACTGATACCAAAGATCTGTGGGCTGGTCAGACCGTACATCAAGCGCATTGTCTCCGAACCTCGGAGATCAGCCCCAGACTCGCATTTCTGAACCCTCACGACCCGAGTAATGCAGTAAGCGTTTCATTTCGAACCGCACGAACTGCCTACCTGAAATATCATATTCGATTCCGACCCTCAGTAACAGTCAACTTTTGGACTCGACGCCTGCTCGGGCTGCTGAGCATCATACTCCCTCCAGATTCAGTCCTTGACCAAAACTGTCACCGATCGATACTTGTATATGCTCAACACAGTCACTATATCCAACACACAACCAGCATGCGCGAAGTTAATTTCAGTATCCCCAATGTCAACAAGGCATCTGTCCATATCACCACCACCCTCTATGACAGAAGAGCTCTCGATTGCACCTCGACCCTTCCCCTGATCAACTCACTCAACCACCTTGCTTATCTTACGACCTCCTCTGCCCGCATCAGAGATATCCTCACTGTTGATGGCGGCGTCGAAAGGTTGGTATGTATTCTGAAGGAGGGTCGGAGTAAAGATGAGATGCACATGTGGAAATGGAATCTTGCATTTCAGTGTATTGTCAATATTGGTGTGCGTGGTTCAGAAAATGTTCGGACGAGAGTCGTCGAGGCCGATATGGTACCAGTCATTGCTAGCATTTTGCATGACTACATCCTAGTAATCGAAAGGGAGAAAGAGAAAGCCGACGCTGAGGCGTCTGCCAAAGGCTCGAAGCACTCCTCAAGTTCTCGACACTCGAAGCAGGCCCGCGACCTTCTGTCTGAGCCCTCGTCTCGATCTTCCTTCTTCGAACATATGAGCGACAATCGGCAGGCCAGACGACAGGCTCCTCCGCCGTCGCTTGACATCTCGCATTCCCTTTCACAAACCTTTAACAACACTGATGGTGAACGACCCAGTACTACAGATGGCACAGGTGCAGCACTCACTTCCCCGCCAGAGCGAACGCAGTTTTCCCGACCGAATTTGACTCATTCCAACCGGAGCCATGACGGACGAGGCCACCCGCCCAGGCACAACAGCCTACAACCCCCAGCAACTGCTGTACCTTCGACAGAGAGCGGAGATACATTTTCGCTGCGCCCTGTTCGTGACGCTGACCGTCTGCCTTCAATGCTACCGGCCCTGCAATCCGGCCTCATGTCGAATCCCGACTCGCCTACCACACCCCTGCCACCCAGAAATCCTTTGAACAGCAGACGCCCTCGGAGACCGTCGATCCGGCATCAGCCTTCAACGTCGGCTGACGATATGGACACTGTTATGGAAGATGCGCAAGCTTTACCAGATGAGCAAGCCGGCCCTGCTGAGGGTCGCGATCCCAGCACACACAGCCAGGATGCTAGTCGAGATGCGAGCCCGCACGGTGAGCCGGTTGACGAAGACTCCACGCCCACGCTCCGCCTAACCATCCCACCCGAAGCAGAAGTCGACAATGTCGATATCGCGCAGCAAACGCCAACAGTTGCAACAGCCCTAAATGCTATCGGTGGAACAGATCAAGAGACTACAGGCACTTCCCCGTTGCCCAATGCGGCGACAACCACGGCGTCGCCAGCAGTTCCGTTGAATGCCTATTCGAACCTGTTCCTCACCAATGCAACTTCACGCACATCGCCAAACGCTTTGATGCCTAGAGACGAAGATGTCCTAATGGGCCTACAGCTTCTGGCATACATATCAAAATACTGTTATCTCCGTCACTATTTCCAGCAAACGCACCTAGTACCTAGACTCCGCGTTGATCGCGAGGTCGAGAAGTTGTATGGATTGCAACGTGGTGCCACACCTATCCCAGAGCCAACCGAGGATGAGATGGAGGAATTTTTGCAGCCAGATGATTACAATATCTTTCCTCTGGTAGAGAAATTCACCGTCAGGTGCCACTCTAAGGATATGCAATACTGGGCCTGCGTTGTCATGCGCAATCTATGCCGCAAGGACGACGCCCGCGGTGGCATCCGCCAGTGTGCTAACTATCAATGTGGCAAATGGGAGGAATATCCTCGCCAATTTGCGAAATGTCGCCGGTGTCGACGCACCAAATACTGCAGCAAGGTACGTTATCTTGCCATCTTTGATTGGGTGAGAGACTAAATGATGTACAGGAATGTCAACGCGAATCGTGGAGTATGCACCGACATTGGTGCCAGACTTCCCCCTGAACGTATCATGTTTAGCCTCGTCCACAAAATGAGGTCTTTGCACAAGCCGTTGGCGTTCAGGTGTCCTGTGGCGACGCAGTCAAACCATATTTGTGGGAGCACGGCACTAATATCCATCAAATTCGACTTGAGACGCAAGTTGATCGTGGGGAAGCAGACCCTGCGAGGCAGGGGCTACGACTCTCAGACGTTGGTGTGGAACTCATGGAGCTGCCTTTTATTCCGCCCTATCTTCTTACGAATGAAACGATGATCCTGAACATTTCACCATCACCCCAGCATAGCAGGTAGTTTTATGGCGTTCTGTTGGATCCCGCTTGTTGAACGCTCCACAATGATTTGGAGCATGATAGTGCAGCTTTTGGACTGTTCTGGCTGGAATGCTGACGATGAACTGTCCCGTAGGGCAGAAAAGAGTTCCGATGTTTGGCACATGAGCTCAGTCGCCCGGTATGAGCGGCAGACGAGAGAGCAGACTCTGTAACTGCACAAAGCCATACGACATATATACTTTATATGTATATTTTGAGAGCCTGTTCAAGTAGAGCATGCCACTTCCCTGTACGACTCGAGTCCCACTACCCACATTGTGATACCTGTTCTACAGTCGTAGCTGGCATTCAATCGGTAACAGGAAGCGACAGAATGGACGGGCAGACTTCCCACGGTCGCAGGGATTCACATTCGAGAAAGACTCAGCTATGAATTTGAAGATCCTGCCTGTCAATTTTGTCAACCCTGATATGGACGACTTTGCCTCGTTTCGGATGCTTCCGCCTTGTCCACAACTGGATGCCTGCTGAAAGCAACTCTACCTTCTTGGGTGCTAACGTTGCACCGTCGACTATCTTGATATCCAGCACAATCTAATAGTTTCATTTAGAGATCACCATGGAGTCCTCCAGCGCTGCGAAATTTGGCCAATGCGATAATCCTGAGATCATCGATCTCCCTATCATTGATATCACTGAGCTCGACTACAAGACAGGCAAGAAAGTATTAGATGCATTTGTAAGCAGTGCTCCCTCCTGTCACCGTGAGCATACGCTTGCGGCCGACCACAGATCCCAGGCGAACGTCGTAACGGGGCCTGCAAGTGCATGCTCACGGGGCCCTCTCGCGTCGATGTGGTCTCTCCTCTCCGAGCGCCCGAACTAACAATCGACATTGTTGACTTGCGTGCATGCGCTTTGCGTCTCAATTTCCTTGCCCAGCAAACTGATGTTCTGTTCTCACTGGCAGGTGACCTACGGGTTCCTCTATCTCTCCACTGGCTCCACTCCTTTCACCAGCAGTCTCCTGCAGCGTACTTTCAATGTCTCTGCATCTTTATTCGCCCTTCCATCCGACACGAAACGGAACTTCTGGATCGAGAGTGCCACTAACCGCGGCTACACCGGCGAACGCAACGAGATCTTGGACCCTGCGCATCAAAGTGCCGGCGACCTCAAGGAGGCCTGGAACTTTGGTGAATTCAACGTAAATGGCAGATTACAGCAGGGGCTACCCGCAGAGGTCGCGGAGAGGGGAGCTGAGAGGGAGCTGAAGGAATTTGAGGACGCTTGCAGGGCAACATGTGAGCGGGTGCTAGAGTTGTTGGCGCTGGCACTCGAGGTTGAGGACAAGTCATGGTTCAGTAAAAGGCATGGCCGACCGAGTGGGAGTATTGTGCGGTTGCTGCGGTATCCGGCGCAAAAGCAAAGTGATGAGAAAGCAGACGTTGGGGCGGGAGTGAGTCTCCCGGATCCCTCCTCCCATTCCCATACTGCGACCTTAGGATTATTGACATGAAGATCACTGACTTTCTCAGGCGCATAGCGACTACGGCAGCCTGACCCTGTTGTTTCAACGGCAAGGACAGAGAGGCTTGGAGGTAAGGGATAACGAAGGCGCCTGGAAGGGTGTGGAAGTTGTCCCCAAAGGATGCAGCGGCGATGTGCCGCCCATCGTCGTAAACATTGGGGATCTGCTAAGCTACTGGACCAACGGCTTGCTCAAAAGCACGGTTCACAGGGTGATCCTGCCAAAGAGTGCGGAGGAGGATCGGTACAGCATCGTATATTTCTGCCATCCGAAGGATGATGAGGGTCTCGTCGCCGTGCCAAGCCATGTGGTGAGGGATAGGGGCGACATGAATGAGGATGAGACTGTGGGATACGGTGGTGGAAGCCAGGGGAAGGCTCTGACGGCCAAGGAGCACCTGATGAGGAGACTGGAGGCCACGTATGGCACTAGAAAGTAGAATTCACGGCTTTGGAGCCGGTACTATTGAACGTATATATTTCCTCAGTAAAGACGTCGAGTAGTTGCCATGGATGTGAAATCTTGTGGCCATGTTCGTGCGACAGACGGGCACTGGGTATCGTGCCTGAGTTCCGTGGACGACTCGCTTACAGCAAAATGATCTGTGCATGTGTCTGAACCCAGCTCCCTCCAGGCAGTATCCGACGGAGACCCAACCAAGACTATTTGCATTATACCCCACAGATGGACAAGGCTGACCGGCAGCCCTGCAGACCTACAGGTAACTGCATGAACCCCTGCAACTCATCGTTGGGGACTTTTGACTGCGTGGTGAATGCTGCGCAGGCGGCCCTCGACACATTGTTTGCTTCACTGGCAGGAACAGCGGCCCAGGAAAGAGCGACTGCGGGATCGTTTGTCACAACATGCCTAGTAAGTCCTCCAACTCTCCGTCGCGGCAACCCACCATGGCGGACTTTCAACTTCCTGTGGTCGACCTATTTGGCGGTGCTTTTCTAACGTTAGAGCCTTCCTCAGTCCAGAAACTTGATCAATGGGCAGCGCAGCGAAGTGCGAGCCAGTCATTTCCTCTCCCTGCCCTCAAAGATGCGGTGATCGGTATCGATGCAAGCTACTACCTCGACCTGCGCCTGAATGGAAGTCCCAAGGAAGAGCCTCTCAAACACGCGCTGGGAGGTGTGCCATTTTGCATCAAGTCTCAAATCACCGATGATATCGAGTGCCTACACGATGCTGGCGTCAAAGTCATCTTCGTCTTCAGCGGCCTGGACCACGTCAACAAGCCACAGCCCGAGTATCTCTCCCAAGAAAGCATGCGAGCCGCGGAGAGTGCGTGGCAGAAGTATCGCAGCGGAGAGTCAGAAGCCTGCAACAGCGAGTTCTCCAAAGCAAAGTATCCTGCAGAGCATCTGTACCGCTGGCTGCAAGGTTTCTTCGTCAAAAAGGGCATAGAATACATTGTGGCTCCTTATTCGGCTATAGCCCAACTGTCATACATGGTCAAGTTGTCGGAGCAATATATCGACTGTATCTGGGGCTCAACAGATCACTTCTTGTTCAACGTTGACAAGGTCATCACCAATGTTCAGGTTGCCAACAACGTCAAAGATGCTCATTTCACTTGGATCAGCAAGGCGACGTGCGAGGAACGACTCAAAGTAACGCCTGACGCGCTGCGCGATGCTCAGCTCCTGCTTGGGAGTGCCTTTTCTCCCATCTTTCCTCCGTTGGAACGCCAGAGTCATACACCAAAGGGTGTCTCTATCACGGACGCGGTCAATATGCTTAACAGCCAACAACGCAACGTCCTGCAATTATGCCACGTTTATCGTGATGATCCGACCATGTCGCAATCCAACTATTCAGACACCTACAAGAAAGCAATCATGTCCATCAGACACCACATTGCGTTGGAGACCAACGGCTCTATTGGACCTATGAATTTTGAGCAGGCTCCAGGAGATGTTCACGACTATGTAGGCCAGAATCTTCCGCAGGAGCTCTTCTATTACATGTCACGAGGCTTGATCGGACCTGAACTTCCCAATTGGCTCACTCATGACCATATCGAACTCCGTATTCCTCCTGGGGTCGTTGATTCGACACCGTACCGAAATCTGCTATTTGAACAGCTGAACCCTATCCGTGCGAAGGCACTGAGGACCATCACCGAGAACATGAACAACTACTACCGCTTTCGGACTGTCCACATCAGAGGCTGGGACGGGCAACCCCACGATAACTTGAACATCATTCTCAGAGACGAGCCGTCGGTGAAGGGCAAGGTGCTGTCCTGGAAGGTCAAAGAGGACATCATGAAGCCAATCAGCAGTGACTTCTCTCTCATGACCTGCCTCCAATCCCTGAAAAACGAGGAGTTTAGACAGCAGACAATCAACACCGGCAAAACCTCACATGCCTATCCTGCGTTGAAGTCGACAGGAGAGGTGATTACCAACACCTTCTTCCAGTTTCTGCACCTGCGCGACTACATCAACGATAAGCACGAGTTGACCAGATGGGGTCAAGTTCTCGAAACCACTCTATCGAAACTGTCGTCAACGCCCAAGGCTGAAGACACTGCCCTGCTTGCTGTCGAGCTGATGCGCTTCGGTCTGCTCAACCCCAATGAGGCAGACGGCACTGTCATTACATCCACCGATCAGGAGCACCTACCTCGTGCTTCCGTCAACATAGTGTCCAAAATCGCCTGCTTGAATCGCTTCCAACATAAAGAGATTGGGTTCACCGGACCTCTCGACCAGCCGCTTCTCTCTTTCGTTTGGATGACAACTGCTGTCCGAGTGTCACTTCGCGTTCTCATGGAAGCCGTTCTAGTATCCATGTTCCTGTCTGCTGAGGTCGAGCGAGAACGAAGCGATTGGACCGAGATCTCTGCAAGGTAAGCACTTCCGTCTCCTTGCACAATGCTCCAGCTGACTTCGTTAGGCTTCCACTAAGCCCCGACCACGGTTGTGCCCTCGGTTTAGTGGCCAAGACATATTTTGACTTCCTCAAGGACAGCAAAGAGGTAACAGACAAGCTGAAGGAGGATGTAAAATCTGGTCAAGCTCCCTACAAATGGTTTCCACATGCGAAGAACAAGAATCTCAACAAAAGCCTTGACACGATTCGAGGTATGTGGGAGGCAGTGTATGCAGGCAGTGAGATTGCGGGAGGTGAGATGAAAGATGGTGAACTGTTCAAGGAGGTTGATGGATGGTTGAATGGCAAGTGGTGAACACATCCTTCATGAGTATCAACCTGGGTCTGATAGGTGGAGGTATGTCTGCTCGGTTCAGCAGTGGCCCAACCCAACAGAGCTGGACAGGCGAAGAGTCCAGGTCGAACGGGCCGACCCTACGGAGGGTACTTCCGCATAGTAGGTGTCTGGATATGGATTAATTCTGCTCTGGGAGAGTGGTTGAAAAGCGGGCCGGCGTGCATAACGCCTGCGGAAGAGCACATCGTGTGCGGAAATACGCATACAGCGCATGATGGTCGTACTGTGGATGCTAACAGTAGATACACCTTGCGTCCCATGTACCTAGGCCCTCCGTAGCATGGTGCCCACGATCAGCGGTGGCCATGTTTAGTGGCCTGGCAGCCGTTGAAGATCACAATTGAAGGAGAGACGCCCAGATCCCATTGGCCAGGTGGCAACGCCCCTTAATACTCTGCCCCAGGACCCTTGTCTGGGGCTACATTGAAATGTCCGGCACCTGCCATCTGAAACCCTGGCAGCCTCTGGATCGCGACTTCAGTATCGTGTTCCGTAAAAGCAATTGCATTCTTTCTTTGCTGGTGTCCTTCATTCGCTAGACTGGGTGTTATTCATACGCGCTCGTAATGCTATGACTAGACGCGCAGACGTCCGCCACGCTTCCGCCCATTCTTATCACCAAGCCGCCGAAACCGGGCGACTGACCTCAACAGCAGGACAGGTGACAATTACCGCATGATACCGAGACCCGCACATGACGCCGTCAATAGCAAGATAAGATGCCGGAGCCGCTGAATCTTTCTCCTGCTCCGGCTGCTGAGGGGCAATATCGAGACGACGCAAGTATCTATGAGATGGACGATAATACGAACAGTCAGACTGCCAGCGCGGGCGCCGGCGTGAATGCGTCGGCGAATAGCAACATACGAGACCACGACGACGTGCCAGCTGCGATGCGTGGCATGGGTATCGCCAGACATACACTGGGACTTATACTATTACTGATCGTAGTGTTCCTATGGACCACGAGTAACTTCCTAGGGAGCGTACGTCCAGCCTTGCTATTCACTTATGCGGTCCTCGTTCGGCACGGTACTGACGCTCGCCTGCTATAGTCAATATTCGCGGATGGAACATACGCCAAACCTTTCTTCCTCACTTACCTCAATGGCTCAACCTTCATGCTTGCCATTGTGCCCTCTTTAACACGGAATTTCTGGACAGTATGGCGCAGTGGACAGTGGCACGCGTCGCTCGCGGAAGTGAAGAGAAAATACAGGCGCGGAGGCTGGCGTGCAGTCACCAGTGACCCCGGGGTGGGTTTCAACCCGCCTGGAGGTACACCGCCATCTAAGGACTTGGAGGATGATGATGATGGAGGCGAAGGCGAAGGGCTCCTGGGCGGCGACGAGGATGAGGACAACTCGCTTCGTTCCCAACGACACTCTCTGTCTAAGGCCACTCGCAAACGAACTCACCTGGCCCTCATCCCGACCGCTAAACTTGCCTTCTACTTTTGCCTCCTCTGGTTCGGCGCCAATTACTTTGCCATGGCATGTCTGAAATACACCACCGTCGCCTCCACCACCATCCTAACTTCTACCTCTTCCGTCTGGACCCTCCTCATCGGCGCCGTCACGCGCACCGAAAAGTTCACGTGGCGCAAGCTCGCCGGAGTGCTGGCCTCCCTAGGCGGGATAGCGCTCATCAGCAAGATCGACATGGGAAACGCCTCCGACGCTTCCAGCTCGACTGACAGCGATACCGCAGAGCGCTCCCTCCACCTGCTGATCCGTGCTGTGAAAGAATTTCCCGACAAGACGGCCCGCGAGCTCGCCCTTGGCGACGCCCTGGCCCTTCTCTCCGCTGTGCTGTACGGCGTTTACACGGTAATGCTCAAACAGACGACGCTATCTGCCGCGCCACTCGAGCTCAACATGCCTTTATTCTTCGGCCTAGTCGGAGCCTGGAACTTCATCCTCTTGCTACCCCTGTTTCCAGTCCTGCACTGGATCGGCATCGAGACTTTCGAGCTGCCACCCACCAGCCGCATCTGGTGGATTCTGGTCCTTAACAGCGTGGCCGCGCTGGCGTCTGACATTGCTTGGGCGTACGCCATGGTGCTGACGAGCCCGCTGGTCGTCACGGTGGGGCTAAGCCTGACGATTCCATTGAGTCTGGTGGGCGAGATGCTGATACAGGGGCGGTACGAGGGGTGGTTGTATTGGGTTGGAGCCGGCATTGTGGTGGGGAGTTTCGTGTTTGTGGATAGAGAGGAGAGGGAGGACGAGGGGAAGGTGGAGAGGGAGGCTGAGCAGCGACGGTCAATTGAGCAAAGACGGTCGGTGGAAGGGGTTTGAGTTAGGCAAGGGCGAGAGAGTGCAGATATTTGACAGAGATAGAAATAGACGCCCTGGATATCGATATGTCTTCAACACTGTTTGAGATTGATGATTGCTGTACTCCACTGCTACTGCTGCTGCTGCTGCTGCTCTGGAAGCCCCAAGTCAGCCAGAGAAGGTCTGCCCTCCCTCCACGGCCTGGGCTCCCCTTCACCAGGCATGACAAACCCATCTGGAAGCTCGACCTTTGGGAAGCCTTCGCGCTTCCAGACGTACTCTTCCTCGTCATGCTTGGACTCGAAGGCGCCAGGGATACTCGGCCCATCGCCTTCTTCGTGCTCCACCAGCCACTTGCTCCGAACACTGTACGCCTTGTCCTCGTCCATCAGCACCAAGGCGCCAGAATGCCAGCCCGCAGCCGCGATACCAATGGCGAAGTACGGATCCAGATCCTCGTAGTCTGTCTCTGTTTTCTCCTCCCCACTCCAGTCTGGCACGGAAGAATTTGCCATACCTTGCGGCCCGTGCTTCCACTGCCGTCCCTCCTGGTCAACCCATTCACTGAAGATGGCGGACTTTTCTAGATCGTCCCACACCCTGACCGCCGGTTCGCCGTCAGCAGACTTGAAATCTTTGCCTTTCAAAGTCGACTCCAGCCAGCTCAGCCAGTCTTTCTTCTCTGGTTCGAACCATATCTGTCTGCCCCGGCGCTCGGCTAGGGGCAACAGGGTTGCATCGCGGCTGATCTGGGTGACGTCGCGATGGAGGCCGCGGAAGCGGCCACCGGTGTTGGGATCCGAGAGTCCCAACTGCCCGCATGACTTTGAGTCGCGTCCGAGGCTGGAGATTTTGCCGTTGGCGTGCAGAGCATGGTAGTGATGGTCGCCGTAGGCCAGCTGTACAACACCAGTATGTTGTAAAGTCGGGACATCTGCAGGGCGGGAGGAGATGACAGCAGGGTATTCCGACCAGTCGCCGGAGTCGCGTAGAGAAGGGTTGTTACGCAGGGCTGCAGCTACTTGGCGAAGGTAGTCAACATTGCCAGCGAGGACTTCGCCGGTAGAGGTGAAGACGCCGAAGTTGTGGAATTGGCCTTGGATATCCTTGAGATCCCGACCAGGCGCCGTGTACCCTGGCACTTCGAAGAAGTCTTCGTTTGGAGCGGTTTGGTCGGCGGACTCGGTTTGTAGTCCACAGGCGTAGATCTTAGAGTGGCTCGTGATCCATACGATAAAGTCCTCGAGGACTACATGCTTGGTAACTTCGATGGGTTCTTTGTCCGTCTGCTGGACAGCAGTGCCAGGAATGGTCCGCTCTTGGACATGCAAACCATCCAGCTCATTATCACTCCCGTCATTTTTGATTGGGTTCCAGTACACGATACCCGTCTCGGGTATATATGCCGAGCTCATGGCCCAGCCTGCCGCCACGCGAGTTGGTGTGCCGCCAAAGTGCCGAGCGTGTCGCGAGAATGCTTTCAACCCTTTGCCATTAATTCTGTCCCAGGATAAGACCTCGCCATCGTCAGTCAGTGCAAGTACATGTCTTCTACCAGAAGAGAATTGTCGGATTCTGCTCGTGCTTTGGGTCAAATATTCGAGCTGCTTGAATTGATCGGTGGTTTCGCCAATGGTAATCCCATTCATTGAATCCAATGAGCCAGTGGTGTAGAGCTTGCCACCGGCTGACAGTATGGTGGTAGACCAGCCACCGCATTGTAGATCAGCAATTACACCAACTTCAACAGGAACGTGAGTCTCTGTTGGCCAACTGGAGCTGGTACGCTGGAAGATACGCCGGGGAATTGGGCGGTGAGGTATCACTCTGCCGCGTCCCCTTAGGGGCCCTCGAGGCGGTAGCTGGAGAGCACTGCCAGGACCTAAGTTACCTTTCTGACCTTGGCCCCAGGTGTACAATCGAGTCTGGGTCTTCAACTTCTTGTAGAGCGAGTACCAACGAGGGCCATCTGCAGCCAAGAGAGGGCTGATGGGCAATCGGAAGGTTGTCGAGGTGGTATTTCGCCAGAAGTTGGAGTCCTGGCGGTACTCTTGGTAGATAGCCTTGGAAGTCTGGCAAAAGGCTAGGTACTCCTTGGGGTTCAAGTTTGCAAGGACCAACAGAAGGACATCCTGTGGTAGTTCAAGTATATTCATGTTGATGGTGTCAAAGCCGAGTCCCTGGCTTACGTATCAATGGTCTGGGTTGCTCGTGCTACAATGAATCATGGATAGTAGAGCTGATGTGTAGAACGAGGACAGAATGAGGAGGTCAAGGCACCAGGATTATATTCATCACGAGTTGTAGGAACTTGAATGGTTGGTTACATGGCTCAGGAATCCGTCGATGGTTTATGTACGTCACTGCACCCTGCAACACTGGTGGGTCGGCCTTGGCGGGCTTCAGGAGGGGACCTGCATATTGAATTATTCCTCCGTGAACTGAGCCTCTCCAGGTCTGCATTCTTGGTTTCTTGAATCTTGTACTACGAAACTCATTGTAGGCTCATCGCAACCGAGATATTCTTTCCACCTTTGACCTGCGACCTCACCGCATATCATCAGTCCGTCAACTAACTACCCCTCCCTAAACTTTTCCATCCGTCACAATGGCGGACGCTGCTGGCGATGCTAAGCCTACCCCAGCCGCTGAGCAGACTGCCTCTTCCGATCTGAAGCCCGCAGTCGCCGAAACCAAGCTGGCTACCAATCCCATCGGCGACGAGTCCAAAGAAGCCCCCGCTGGCGAAGGTCAAACTTCCACCGTGACCGACACTGCTACTGCCGCCGCTACTAATGTCGCGAGCACCGCTTCTTCTGCCGCCGCTGGTGTGAAGGACTCGGTCTTTTCCATGTTTGGAGGGGGCGCTAAGAAAGAGAAAAAGGCGGAGGAAGAAGATGAGGATGCGAAGAATGAGCCCAGTGGCTCATCGAAGGCGAAGAAAGATGATGACGATGATGTAAGTGCCGCAATGCCAACACTTCATTGTCTCGCGTTGACAGCTTATCGCAGGACAAGGTCGACGAGGAGGAGGCTGATGTCCACTTTGAACCCGTGGTCAAGCTCACGGAGCAGGTGGAGACGAAAACGCACGAGGAGGCCGAGGAGGTCGCTTTCAAGATGCGCGCCAAACTCTTCAAATTTGACCGCGACAGCCGCGAGTGGAAGGAGAGAGGCACTGGTGACGTCCGCCTGCTCAAGCACAAGGAGAATGGCAAGACCCGTCTCGTCATGAGGAGAGACAAGACCCTCAAGGTCTGCGCCAATCACTACGGTATGTCGCGTGACAGCACACAATAAGACTGCCACTGACGGGAATCTAGTGACCCCTGACATGAAACTGTCGCCCAACGTCGGCAGCGATCGCAGTTGGGTCTGGAACGTTGCCGCCGATGTCAGTGAGGGTGAGCCAGAGGCCAGCACCCTTGCCATCAGGTTCGCCAACTCCGAAAGTGAGTGTCCACCTACTTCCCAAGCATGCCATTGAACGTGACTAACACCTCCAGATGCCAATCTCTTCAAGGAGGCCTTCATCAAGGCTCAGCAGGAGAACGAGAAGCTCTTCACCTAAGATGCCAGCCTTCAGCAAACCCTGAACACCCGGATTTGGATCCCATGCACATCAAAAGCCCCGATCCACGATGATCAATCCTGGCAGGCGCAGCCAGCAATTTATGACCCCGTCTCGACGCATACCCATACCCATACCCACACCCCCTCGACTATTCAATTGCCCACGGAGCGTAATTGAGCGCAGCATAGATAGAGCCAACAAAGAGACCAATGAAGATACGACAAGTTGTCGGCCTCACTCATTCCGCACCCTCTCTGGAACCGCATCAAAACCTTGTAGATCCTCCAGCCAAGTGAAGCTCAAGCTGAGGCTTAGATAATCTTCGACTCTGGAGACCTGAAGATGTGGTGGGGAATAACTGTGAAATGGGGGCTAATTCTGGTCTGGACGCCCTGCACGTGTCCTGCGGGTGATTGCTTCAGCCTTATGGCCAACCCTGACTTGACTGCTCACTTGCGCTTTACAGCTTCAATATTATTGTCACCTTTGAAGCTGGTAGTGACTGCAACAGCCCGTGATTGACTGGTGCCTGCTTCTTTACGCGCAAGCCGACATATTCCCTTCATTGTCGTTCTTTAACCCCCATCTTACGCCACCTTTTGTTTCCGCATCCTTACACCTTACCGTTTAAGATCCGCGGAATCTCGAACGCGCCCTTTCTTTTAGACAACCCGATCTAGACAAAGTACCGGAGAAGTCTACCAGATACACCTGCCAAGATGCCGGATGTGAGTGGGCGTTCAGCCAGATATTAAAGCCAGGCTACTAACTGCATCTCCAGCTCAAGAGGACCGTCAAGATTATTACGGAGCAGAAAGTCATGTGCGTTGCCGAGTCACGCTCTCAGCCACTCTCTTTGAGTCGCGCGTCCGTTGACGATAAAATCTAACGTGCGCGCAGCCCCAACGCCGATAGCGGTGTCCCTGGCTTTCCTCTCCGCCACTGGAGCATCTCGATCTACCTCCAGCATGCCGAGAACAAGACTGACGTCCCCGCCGATATCTTCAATGAAGTAACATACATGCTACACGAGTCCTTCGGTGACAAGGCCAAGCAAGGTAATACTCTCCCCCTTCTCACATTGCTTCGATTGACACTATTCCTCAGTTAAGAAGAGTCACCCCTTCCGCGTGGCCGAAGACGGTTGGGGCGAGTTCGAGATGCAGATTCTGCTGACCGATGCCGGCGGCAAGACTCACACCATCATCCATGACCTCAACTTCCAGCAAGCCAAGTACGAAGTCAAACATGTGATCATGTTCAGAAACCCCAAAGCGGGCTCCGACCTCTTCAATCGGCTGCGTAACTCCGGTCCCGTGCCTGGCGATACCAATGGTGACGCTGCTGGAGGCAAGAAGCGCGCGAGCGAGATCGGCGCCGGTGGTACAGGTTTGCCCAAGAAGAAGAAGGGCGGTGACGGTAAGAGCGTGGACATGGACAAGCTTGCCGAAGGCCTGCAGAAACTGGGCGAGGATGATTTGCTACAGGTCGTGCAAATGGTGCATGATAATAAGAGCGAAGAGAGTTGGATGCGAAATGATGTCGAGCAGGGCGAGTTCCACGTCGATCTCTACACCCTGCCAGAGTCGTTAATCAACATGCTCTGGACCTTCAGCAAGGAGAAGGGGGTATTGAGCGAGGTCGCGGCCTAGGTCGATGTGGTGTAACGGATCGCGAACCCTCGGGAAAGGTCGCTGCATTGACTGCCAGCAAGGAGAGCCCCGTGGGTCGTTCTTGCGCGACTTATCCTAAACTTCGATCACGATTGACGACAGACGAGGATACCAGCGAGCGTGCATGCGACGCAGTCATACGACGAATGCATATTGAGCAAGCTGGTTAATGATTGATTTGATTGATTCACCGCATCTACCCCCTCCGGAGGGCTACATGGTCTGTATGGCCTGCACCATGTACCTCAGTGCTCCAACCCACCTCACACCGCATCAAATACCACAGCTTTTGCCTTGCGACATCTATCTGGGATACCACGGAACGGGAAGGGGAAAATGGTCGGACTCAAGCGTGGCGTCCGGCTCTGGCTCCTAGACGGAGGGTGAGCAGCCAACTTACCACGCAGAAACCTTTGCTGTGCTTTTGATTTGCTCCTGCCACAGTACGACCGCACAAGCGCGGGGAGATCTTGTGGCAAGAGCGGCGGTTGGCCTGCGCATGAGCAGGTTCTTCCAGCACAAGTCACCACGAGCTTAACAAGGGCAGGGAAGGCAAAAGCCTCACTGCCAGTCTTATAATGCTGTTTCTCCACGCTGTGGCCCTGCAAGCAGTGCCTTCATCCTGTCCGCGGGGAAGATACAGGTATGCTCTCCCCCTGCGAGTTAGAACCAAAATTCCATAAAAGCGATGACTATTTGCGTCTTCTTGTCCTGATGATTTGGTCTGCTCTGGACATTATTTGCCTTGGTCTTCTATGCTGTAGAAGTGCATAGCGAAGCTGAAACGAGATGATTCGATATCACAGAGCATCTCATGCGAGAGACGCGAGAGAGGGAGTCTGTTTGAGACGTGCGAGACGGCAAGACCGCCGTTGAGAGATGTAGTTATCTGTATGTGTCAGGATAGCGTGCAGCTGGGGGTGGGAGCAGCCCGAAAGATGCACGCAAAGTGACCGTGAGCGGACTCCTGCCAAAGGAGGACCTTGCAGGCCTATCGTGGCCTGGTGCGTGATCAGCATGAACATGGGGGTAAGGTCATGGATCGCTTTAGGGCGGAAGTCAGTCAAAGTGAATTATGGAGCAGGAGGAGCAAGGGGGTACCACTCAAGGCCGAGCAGGTCAAGGTGGAGGAAATATTATTATCTATGTACACAGCCATCCGGATGGCAATGGCATGAAGGAATGGGTGCTGCTTGTATAGCAACGGTAGCAAATGCCAGATCTATAGTAAGCACCTTCGCGGCATCCGGTCCAAGCGTCACCTCAAGGTATCGAAGATCAGGTCCAAGTTGCTGAAGAACTGGCTGGATTCACAGCGTAGGATAAAGGAAAGTCCTTCATTTGGGGGTATATATGATGTCGACGGTGGTGTAGAGCATCTGCTTGTATGGCATGGTCTCGTAATGGCAGCGGTATGAGGCTGTGGCTGAGTGGTCCGTGTCGGCCGCGGGCTTGAGCTGAGGCCTCCGCAAGGGTGGCATCGTGGGCCGACCCAGTGGAGAGGCGTGGAGGGGTTTCGTGTCGAAGCACTCATGCCACAGTTGACCCCTTACCGGGATGGACCCCAACCGGGATGTCTGCAACAGCAGGTGCAGCAAGGCACACGTGTTCTTGGTCAATTGAGTCACTCATTTTTGCCCCGTCAACACACAGCTATTCGTAGCAATCTCAGCGGGTGATGATGGGCATGGCTGTCGGCTTGATTGACAAGATCTCACTCGATCACGCGGTGTTTTCTCAGCGCGGCCTCAACATCTTGCGCGCTAGCCCCAGAGATAGTTGCGAATACATCTCCAGCTCGGTAAGCCAAAACGGCAGGGACCTCGATTGTCTCCATCTCGGCGATGTCGTGGTGAAGCTTGACGAAGCGTGTCTTGGAATGCCTGTATGCTAGCATGTGTAGCTCGTCTTCGACGGATGCTGAGCGATCGGATGTCGGATCGTAGATCATAACTATGACGATAGCATCGTCTGATACCTTCTCAATGGCGTCCAGGTAGCCATTCGCATCTACCTCCTGCAAGGAGCCCCACGTTCGTCTCGAAGGCGATACTCTGCGGGTAGGGTTGTTGGGGCCATTGGAGCTGAGTTCTTGCATGCGTTGTGCACGCCAGTTGGTCATGAACTCCTGGTCAGAATCTTCTTCTGACAAGCCGTTGTCGGAATGGTCTGACGAGTTCGAGGGGGCTTGCTTAGTCTCTGAGTTGAAGAGGGTGGTAGGTGGCCGGAACGAGGCAAACCCGCTGGTGAAGGTAGAGAGGCGGTTGCGGAAGGAAGACTTCTTCGCGCGATGGAAATTCTGGGCGTCGGCAATGACACCCTTAGGACCGGTATTGGCATAGTGAGTGGTGCTGGGAATGGTATATGAGGTGGTGGTGGTGGTAGTCATCTTGTCTGCTCTGTCCGAATCTTGGTCCTCTGTATCTGAGGTAGAGCGTCGACGGCCGCCACGCAGATTACGAGGCCGGGGCTTCTCCTCTTCTTGTACGCTCCGATCTGAGACGTTGTCTCGATCTTCCGGGTGGGTAGAAGGAAGATCGCCGCCGGAAAAGTACTGGTTAGCTTCATCCTGGGCAGTGGACATCTTGTGTTCGAGCGCAGGCACGCGACAGGACGGAGGGGGCCAGGGATTCGTTAGGAAGAGAAGTGAACAAGGAACGCGACGCGCGGGTTTCAATAAACTTGAGGCGCCCTGGAGCATAAAACGTCAGTGTGGAAATGGTACTGTCGATCCTGGGTTGGCGCCGCCTGTCAGACTCAGATCACCGGTACTGCCCCAGCGCAGGTGTTTCAGCTTGCCAGATTGAAACAACTAGATTCTGAACTGCTAAAAGCGGTCTAAGGTCGTTGCGGTGAGGATAGCCATAGGTTCTTTGCAACAAAAGTAAGCATCATGTGATGATCGTTTACGGAGTAGTGAGAGGAGTCACTATGTGCAACAGCAAGCCCGGGGGTGATCGTGCAGCGGCCCCGGCCCTCGCAGGGCCCGGGTCCGTCGCGCACTGCATAACCGAAAGATCTGAAACCCGCTAGAAAGATCATCGAACAAATGACGTCCCATTCAACCCTCGGTCCTTGCTAGTGAACGTTTCACGCCCGTCTCACTTCACAGCCGAAGACATCGTCAACGTGAGCATCTTCTCAAAACAGGGGTCGAGGGTCAAGGCTCGGGTACATGATGTCTTTCCATCCACTAACTCGTGCACTCGCCGACGACTATTGGGGTTTTCGTTTGTGCGCCTTCTCGGCACGTTCTCCCCAGCACTGAGCAGAAGCTATGTTGCAAGATCCTCTATGACAGTCGCAACCTGCAAACGCAATTATGAAGTGTTCCCAGCAGCGGCGATAGACGCAACCAGCATGGACGAGAACTCAGATTGCCTCGTATTTGGGAAGTAAAGCATTCTCCAGAAGTAGTCATTGGCCAGACTGCAGTGAGTCTCGTCTGGGCCTGAATTTCCACCTTGCGATACAATACGACCCACGGGACATACTACACAGCCCGTCCTCGACATTCCAGCTGCCATCTTCAGTTCAAAACCGTGAGCAGGGATGCCGCTGGCAGCTGACCGTAGTTGTTCGTGGCTGATGTGACGTAACGATCCGTGACTGCGGCTCGCCTCCAGGCGATTGTCAACGAGATCGATCTGAGATGTATGTATGCATAGATCTCCTCCTGGAAACGCCCAACGCATCCTTTGCGCCGCCGCTTTCGAAAATCTGTGCTGCTGATGGCAGATGGAGGACGTTTCATTGAAGCACGATGATCCACTTTGCTGCGGATGCTTGACCTCTCCCACTGTTTTGCGGCGCACGCATGCACACCTACGGCGTCGTCACTGCATCACCAAATCTCTGAAAGAACTCAACCACCGATGGCGGAAGGCCGAAGTGACTCCCCACAAGGTGCAAGACCGCTGGATCTCGCAATTTCACGCACTCTTGGAGGTGGTAATTGACGTTTAGCACCTTGCAGTTTCCTGCTCGGCAGTATTTGTGATATAACTGGAGCAAGACGATGATGGCATCGGGGTTCCTCTCGCCAATCGCCCAGCTGAGAGCGGCAGACATGGCTTCGTTTCTTTTTGGGGCAAGCACAGAGCGCGAATTCCAATGCCAGTCGAGCGTGTTGAGAAAGCGAAGTAACCGAATCTGGTGAGACGTGATGGGCGTGAGAAAGAGGCCATCAGGTAAGTCGTACAAGTGGCTGATCCCCCAGAACTGCAGCTGGTGCTCTTGACTGGCCATGTGCACAGAGATCGAGTTGAAGGTAACCACTAGATCACCTTTGCGGCTTCGTCTTCGTTGGCCCCCTGGCCGGCGGTCTCGAAAGCGAATGCCCGGCACGAATTCCTCGCCCATGATCATATCGAGTCCTTGGCAGCGGCCGGCGTGGTCTTTTAGACGGACCAGCTCATCCGGCAGTCGCGGTTTGACATGAGTGAGTGTTTGACGGAGAAACGAATGGTAAAGCTCCAGTACAATTCGTTCGAATTGCTCAGATCTGAACCACCGGCTGCTCCACACCGCTTCCCGAATCTCCCAAATGCGGGCTTGGGTGAGTGGCAAGATCCAGCAGTCAGTATAATACTGCCTCATGACCCGCTCGAAAACCTGGCCCATGAGGCCTGCACTTGGGCCTTCCGGGCATGTGGCTATTGCGGCGAGAGCTCTCGTATAGCGTATGTAGGGTGGGAGAATTTGCCGGAGACGAGGTGAGACGTGGATCAGACTGGGCTCGAGAGACTGGAAGAGGATTTGGAGAAGTACCTCGATGGGCAAACGGTCCAGGGCAGGCTGCGGACGCATCCTTCGAACATATACCAGAGGAAAGTCGCTGATTAGAAGTTGGGCTTCCTTTGCAGTACACACCGTTGAACAATCGAAGATGGCATCTGGGGGCGGGGTCGAGAGTTGGAATACATATATCCTGGCCGAACACGCTCGATCCTTAGATATACACTCGCGCTCGCTAGTGGCGGCAGTCGTTGTCCTTTGAACCTGTCACCTTGTCGGCTAGGAGCATTGAAGCAACGAGGTGATGCAAGGAGGTTGAGATTGACCACTTTGACATGTCCGAGATGTCATTGAAGGTTACCGCTTTAAGTGCTTTCAAACTCTATTCCTTCTCAGCTAGCCAACGCAGTCGACGGCTGCCAGCGGTCGAGTCCATCCTACTCCTTCCGTTAGGCTGGTAAACGGTGCGCGGTGCAATTGATGCCCATAGCTCATTCTTTGTGCTCGGGCGATGGGGCTAAGTGCACATGCAGGGGCGCGTGCCGAGGCCTTGTGACCATCGAAATATCGGTGTAACCGTCATGATAGTTTGAAACAGATACAGCGCGGTGATGAGTGCTTCACCAGAATCGACAAGAGTGACACCCAGGGTTCCCAAACTTATAGCAAATCATACGACACAATGAACGGAAAGACTCCCGGAGATCACGGTAACATAGACAATAGAATTGACCGGATGTTTCTCGAGACTCACAACAGTTGCGTCTGGGTGTGATCCGCTGCAAGTCTGGGAAGCACGCCCTGCAATTTTGACGACTCCTTGAAGGTCAGAAATCATATCAATCATATTCGTGTTCGTAGGGGTTCCATCCAATTATGCCAAGTCCCGCATCAGAAGTTCATCAATCCCTGCGGACTTCTATCCTTTTGCCTCGTTCGCCTTCCGGCTCCCCATCCAGTGCTCGCCAACAGCTCATCATCTTTAATACGCTTGGGCCCCGCAGGTCGCCGCACAGCCGGCTTCGGGTCGCATTCCTTCTGACCTAGCTGCGATCTGAGTCGTCGGTTTGCCGCCAGCTTCTCGCGCAGTCGGATGGCTTCCTCCGGATCTTCGTATACCAGTTGTGTAAGTGCGGGCGTCTGGTCTTGACCCTCCTCGGCCCACTGCTCTTCGCTAGGGTCCAACGCTGCGAACGCAACATCAGCAGCGGGTGAGAAACGGCTTTCCTGTAACTTTGACTTCGCTCGCCCAATGAAGCTCAAGCTACCTGTTTCAGTCTTGTCGTCCAGCCTGCTGCTCACAGGTGCCGACGCGATGATCTCGCTGCCAAACCCATCCGTGTTCATGCTTTCGACGGAGCTGGCTCTTGACTGCCGCACCTGAGAAGTAGATGAGGCATTAGACAGGTTACTGGGTGCCCGACCCATGAGCTTTTTTCCGTGGCCGCCGTCCGGTGCCGCCTTCTCCTTGGATCTCGATTTCAGATCGAGAAGCTCGCGTATCTCCCCATTCAGTGCATGAGCGTCGGCAACACCGCGAGTCGCTATTGCGTTCTGATCATGCTGCGCAATCTTGGACTGACACTCCTTTCCGTTTTCGGTATTGCTTGCAGGCCCATCGAATGGCTGAAACAACCGTTTCTTCGGCTTCACTACTTCTTCTTCAACGGGACGCTTGGGTGAGCAATTATTGGGTAGAGACTGCAGTGGTCGTGGCCCATCAGCTTCTCCCTCCACTATTAGTGGTGGCTGTTTCTGTGCTCCTCTGGACGTGCATTTCTCGTCAATCACTTCAGTGTCTGCGTGAACAACAAAATCGGTACCTGGTCGATCGAGCGTAAGGTGTTCTGCTGCCCGTCTCGATACGACATCGGCCCCAGACACGACTGACGCGGCCTTGCTGGGCTGACCTCCCGATGACGCTTTTCTGTCTGCCGATATTAAACCTTTGTTCTCATCTTGCCTTGGCTTTGATGAAAGCACTCCGGGAATTCCAGTTACTCGTGCCGCTGTGGGCAAAGACAGAGCGTGAGCCTCGTACGATGCGCGGCGATTATCCCGTATGCAAGCCCAGAGCCAGCTTTCGTTGAGGGCTGCCACCCCCCATGACCTTGCCGTGTTCAGCTTCCTTTGATCATGGTTAGACTTGTTGCATATGAGTATTGATGTATTCCGCGTGAACGTTTGCTCGTACGTAGCACCCAAATGTCGAACTATCTTGGCAATGTGATTCGGTACAATGCCAGAAAAACCGGTCGATGTGATAACGAGTTTCGAAAACCCCGGTGGTTTGATTTTGGGAACCAATGTGCCCATAGGATAGTTCGGCGGTGACACGAAGGATTTGATACACATACAGTACTCCACCCACAGTTCTGAGGACACCAGAAACTCCGGAACATCTCCTTCAGTCTTAGGGAGCTGCTCGACCGGTGTTTGGTACGGGACTAAAAGGATCTTTGAAGTGGCGGGAACATCTTCAATGTTTCGTAGAATGCCAATCGAGGCCAAAATGGTACCACCGTGGCTGAGGAGGACGTTCTTGATAATGGTTTCTTGCTCATAGTTGAACAAGTGAGCAAAAAAGTACTTTCCAGTGAAGACTTGCTGTGTTTGAGTACGGTCGCGCTGAGGGTCAGTGTGGTTTCCGTCCTGGCGCAGATCCGGTACAGACTTGGAGCTTTTCAGGTCACTCATTGCGCGGCCATTGTGCTGTGCATCATGGTGGGTTTTGGTGAGATCGGACCACATGTTGTCAGTCTGACTATTCAACCTGGCACTTGCAGTACGACGCAGCTTCCGTGCAGGTTCGGGTCCTTGAGCTTCGTCACGGTTTCTCTTTCCGAGTTGCACTGAGGCTTGTGCATTTCGATTCCACGCACCAATACCCTGCTCTTCCTGCGGAGTTGACGGGTGATAGAAAGCCTCGTCCAATTGCATGCCACGTTCAAGAGTATCCTTGTACCATTTGAGGCTGACAATTTTCTTCTGCCACTGAGTACCATACTGATATTTCTTTCCCTCCGCAGAACGCGCGATAAGATGCGTGACATCTTTGGTTAGATCTCCAGTATATTCGCCGCCATTTTCCAGGACGTTCTTTTGTAACTGGGCCCTAAAGCTCAAATCATCAAAACCAGTGATGCAAATCTTTAGCCCTGCTAAAGTCGGCATGCGATACTGCGCATGTAAGGCGTTTAGGTCGATGTGCTTTGCCTCCATCCACCGTTCTCGAACGGCATCGACCCACTCTGGCTTGAGAACCTTGACATCTTCGCGCTCTTTGGCGACATACTTGTACTTCGGAGTGTCGGCGTCACCTACGAGGAGATGGGTGACATCGGAAGTGAGATCGAGTTTGTGCTCTGCTCCCATTTGAGTTACGTATTCAGCATATCGGGTCTATGGCAAAATTAGGCACATTCTGAGAAGATCTAGCAGAATCAGACGTAGACATACCCGTAGCTCAGGCGCGACGGAAGTGCAGCAGATCACTGCCCCTGCCAATGGCCTCTCCAGTGGTCCATCCGCCATAGTGGTTGTTGGATCTGGAGTAGGAGTAGGCGAGATACTGAAATCAAGGAAGCCGCATCGAGCCTATGCAGACGTCACCTGCGAGTCAAAGTACTCATGGTTCCCTCGAGAAGGGGGTATGGTGCGGTGTGCACTTTTAGGCAGAGCGAAGTAGCAATAATGAGCGAATCCGATTTACAGTCGTCCAGGGCAGCCTCGTCGCGTGCACGCCTTTGCCAAGATAAGAGCCTCGTCGCGCGGTGAATGTGGGGTTAGCAGTGAGGGGACGCTGACCGACACCTCCCAGCACAGTCAGACGACCGCAGCGTACCGCTGCCCTAGACGCACGAGACTTCTTGACGGATGCGCATCTCCGTACCATTTCGAGAATGTCGCACGAGCGCTTGTTCGGGCGGGGCGAATGTTCACACAGCGTTCTTAATGCGAATCAGGATCGTCTCCCACGCCCGCCTCAGCACCGGGAAGGATGAGATCAACTGTGAGTTTAAGGAGCACGCCCGTCAGTGTTGCCGACCTATAGTGGTGCCTCGATTTCCGTCTGCGTGCAATCGTCAAAGTTGTTGACAAACATAGCCAGTGGGTGGCTCTGGGTACACAATATCACCTTCACCGCAATACGCGGAATGTGCCGGTATGAAAGGCATAGCCACAGCGGCCACGCATAGCTGACAGCAGATGTCCCTTGAACCGTCTTCCCGACAGTCAGGGTGCGCTTACAAAAGGTGAGCATGACCTGTCCGATCACCTGTACCTGCCCATGTAGCACCTATCAAAAGCCTTGCCTGGCCGTATTGAGAACAGAATAAAAGACCACTGGGCCACGAACGAAGTTCTCGAACGACCAGGGGGTTGCCTTATCGGATCTGCTGGATGAGCAAGCTTTGTTCATTTGTCCGGGCGAGCGAGGATCACAGATGGCACTGCCCAAAAGCCCTTTTGCGTTTTTACCAGTTGGCCAGGCCGGTGACAGACTAATGTGCCTGTGTCAGCTAACAGATACCCCCAGTGTCAGCAAGACGTCTGGCTATGGTACAGAGCCAGTAGCGTATAGCTAGTGACCACTACAAGAGGAATTTGATACCGGCAATGAGTGTCAGAAAAGAACATGCATTGGGGCGAGGACGTGGCCCGGAGGACGTGGCTACGAAGCGGAGATGCTCCACTACCAAAGTCAAGCTGAGTTGGCTGTCGAGCATCTGTACCGTAGACCCTATCGTCAAATTCCCGTACGGTGTACTGCTGGCAGTCTATCTGGCACACGACTGGCCTGACTCATGGTGGAATTCAGCATCCCATGCAATCGACTCCACAAAATCAGCGAGATTTAAAACCCTCGTTATATCATCCTGCCTGCACATCCGCAGGCCCGCGCTTCCGTACTTGACTCAGGCAGTCCCTACGCATCCCCAGCGACTGTGCCAGACCTAGTATAATATCGCTTGCCTTTATTCCTTCTGATCTTCAGCCGAGGGGGCTGACCATGAATTGACTTTTGCTTGGGTGTCATTAAAAGTTTTCAGAGCCGCTGAGTGACGGCGCACGGTTGTATACTTTATTGGGCGCAGCTCACGCACGCTTTCCGCCATCTCTGCCCTCAAAAGAATCGTGCCTAGGCACCTGTACGCCACTGTTAAGCGGTTCTCTGTGAAGTAAAGCAGGCCAAGATCAATCCATTGGCCTCCTTCGGATTTCCAAGGCTCGAGGCACCTATATGAGGGCCTGTCGTGAGCTTTACCCGTCTTAGGTGCGTACCTCGAAGCATTGGCATGCCCTGGGCACCCACGGCGCCGAGGCGTGGGGTAGCGTAGATATCAGCCCTCATGGGCCGATTTGCCAGTCAGGGCTCATCCCAAAACAAGGACTCTAACGGGCTTGCCTTGCCGCGGGTTGCATTGCATTGGGTCCAGATCCAGGCTTTGCACTCTTGGACCGCTCCCCCATGAGACCTAAAGGCCCGCTATTGCCTCAGCTTACGACCTCACCCAACGTCATTCTTTCTACATTCACTGACACTAACACTAACAGCAGTCTGTTGATCCCGCCTTTACGAGGATCACCCAAATCGATCGCCGCCCTATTCTCAACGACATACCTGCCCGCAACTTTACACCAACGATACTGTCCATCTCCCTTGCCTGCTACGAGCCCTCATCCTACACTCCCAGAAACTGGCGTTCTCACGCGAACAAGCGAAGAAACTTCTACGACTTAGCTTACCACAACCTCCTCCGAATCCAGTCACACTTCACCCAGTGAGACAAGAAGAAGGTAGCAGGAGAGGCTCGGTGGCCGCAGACGAGATGGTCTTTGCAGACATGGGGAGGCGCTCGCCAGAGCGCCGATCCCGCGCATCGTCTGTCGTTAGACCAACGCTGCGGCCCGCAGTCGATACCCAAATGCGACGCCCGTCGACACAATCCAACAACGGAGAACTTCCGATCAACTCGATGAGCTTTGCGGACGAGAAGCCTGTTGCTGCTGGTAACGGTGTGTCGGTCATTGTCTCGCTCGCTGAACCAGTCCTCTTTCTGCAAGGCTACGATGCCAACGATCCCTCAACCCACAGTACCACAATGCTGAGAGGCAGCCTATTGCTGAGAGTCACAAAGCAGGCGAAGCTAAAATCAATATCCCTGAACTTCCGCGGCAAGTCGGAGACGGATTGGCCAGAAGGAATCCCGCCACGACGGGTAGAATTTCGCGACACCACGGTGATCATGAACCACACATGGTCCTTCTTTAACGCGCAGATGCCAACAGCTGAGCACAGCTATGGCGCAGATATTGTTCAATTGCAGAAAGGTCCCTCTGTCGAGACGAAAGAAGTCGGTGTGACCGGGTCCTCTTTTGACCTGTTTCAGCGGAGTTCATCGCCAGCCAAGGCGCCTACTTCACGGGAAGCTAAGAGACTGTCTCTGCAAGCAAATCACTCTAGAAGCTTTGGTAAAGGCGAGACAGCCAGTGGTGGGCCTAGTGTGGCTCAAAGAGGTTTCAAGGTATTCCACCCTGGTGACTATATCTACAACTTTGAACTGCCCCTTGATTCTCGGCTTCCGGAATCAATCAGTGTCGACCTGGGAAGCGTTAAATATGAGTTGGAGGCTCTGGTGGAAAGATCAGGCGCCTTCCGCGCCAACCTGGTTGGATCAAAGGAACTCACACTCATCCGAGCACCCTCGGAAGGTTCTCTGGAGCAAGTGGAACCGATCGCCATCTCGAGGAATTGGGAAGACCAGCTCCATTACGATATTGTTATTTCCGGCAAGTCGTTTCCACTAGGATCCAGCGTGCCAATTGCTTTCAAGCTCACGCCTCTGGCAAAGGTTCAATGCCACAGGATAAAAGTCTTTGTAACCGAGAACATCCAGTACTTTACGAACAACAAGAAGGTCCATCGGTTAGAACCAACGAGGAAGGTTCAGCTTTTTGAAAAGAGGGCCGAAAGCCACAGCACTAGCTCGTACCCCGGTAGCTCGATGCGCATTCTTTCCGGCGGTGGTATCCCTTACGATTACAGACAGGCCGCGGCTGGCGGAGATGAGAACGTACCACACGACAATAGCAATCTGCTGGGAAACCTCGACGCTGACTCCGTGAGCATCGGCCCTACTGAGATGGAATTCAACGTGCAGCTACCAAGTTGCTATCAAATGAAGGAGAAGCTGAGAAGTGAACGTCTGCATTTTGACACAACCTATTCTAATATACAGGTGAATCACTGGATCAAGGTACGTTTGCTGCTCTTAGATGGGGAGTTTGCGTATTGACAAGATACAGATCGTAATGAGACTGTCGAGACCTGACGAAAACGACTCGACAAAGCGGCGACACTTCGAAATTTCCATAGACTCACCGTTCAACATCCTGTCTTGCCGGGCAACGCAGGCGAACATTTCTCTGCCGGCCTATTCTGCTGGTGGTCCTAACGCAGCACCAACAGACGAGTACGATTGTGGATGCCCCGGTGCTGCTTTGATCAGACGAAACACGCCTCCAACTGGTACGCAGCAAGTAACGACGGGTGCCAGTGGTTCTAGCACCAATCTGCCCAATCCAGGGGTTTCACGGAGCTGGACGAATGACGATGGTGGCCTCGCTATGCCCTCACAGGCTCACTTTGCCAATGATCCGAACTCCGGAGCTCCGAGACCAATGCACCTACTTCGCGTGCCCTCATTCAATCCTCCGGGCTTCGATGAAGATGATCCGCCACCTCCACTGGTAACTCCACCACCTCTATATGATAATGTGGTGGACTATCCGGGTGATGCTCTTGCCGACTATTTCGCCCGTCTCGCTGACGAGGAAGACGAGCGTAGCGATCGATCCCGCATAGATGTACCCTTGACTCCCGGTGGGCGGGTCAACAGGTCCATGGACATTAGTCGGACTTGGGTTCCTCTTGGGGACACCACAGTACAAAGCTCGACAGCTCACTGAAATAGGTCACAAACAGCTTTTTCACATGATGATTGCATTGTTGCGAGGTCTTAGCACCGCCTGACGAAGATTCAAAAGCAATCGCGCGCATTTCTGGAGGATATTGGGCACTTCTTGTCAAGGATAACGACTGCAGCGGCCCACAGGAATAGGTGCTCTTTGTATTGCAGCATGAGCATACTGAGCGTGGTGTACATATCGTCGCGAAAGTAGGAAGAAATCAATGTGGTGTTGCATCTTTCGTGCAATATCTACGTCTTGAGATGACGTGCCACGCGCCATGATTCGATACATTCGAAAAACAGCCTTCCCGGACTAAGTACATATCACACTCAAAGGTCTCTGCGGTAAGCCTAGAGAGCCCGTTGATCAACTCTGTCGGCCCCCAGTACTAATTTCGTGACCTCGTTGAAGAACTGTAGCGACGAGGCGGATGGTCAGGAGATGCCAAGACTGGGGAGAGCTTGTAGGCGTGTTAGAAAAGCTCCGCAGCTTTTCGTGTCTCTCGCTCCCTGCACTTTTTTCTAGCTACAGTACCGTCCATCCGGCTAAGGTTGATGCATTCGCCATCATCAACCACACGATGCTAATCCGAGCCGATCGATAACAAACCTCATCTGATTCACGCCACTGCCATGGCTTCCGCAGTCGTGGCCGCCGCGCCTCACTCCGTACCTCCACTGCCGCTCTCTCGCATACCTCGTGTCCGCCCCCCGCGATTTCTTCCAGGACAGCCGCGAGATGATCAACTACCTCAGCCAGAGGGGTCTGTACCATCAAGTCATGTATGGACGCAAGGAAAATGGCGCAATCGGGCCTCTAATGCAGTCAGCGACCGCCGCAAAGTGGTGAGCCAGCAAGTCAAGAAGGCCATCGAAAAGCGCTACCACGGTCTCAATATCTATGCATACTATCACCTACTGACCAAGCAAGTCGTTTATAGCCTGACTCGCCACATGCAAGTGAGTTTCTACACGATCTCTGTCCGTGCGTCAACTAACGCTCGAGAAGTCCGGCCAGGTCATGCCCCAGCTTGTCTACCACGGCAAGAAAACTGTCCCTGCCACCCTTCGACGTGACGTCTGGCGCCCCTACTTCTCGATTCACTTCCCGGAAAATGATGGAGGACGACAAGCAGGACTCAAGGCCTACCAACGCCTGCGCGAATTTTCTCTACGCCGTCAGCTCGATCCCCAGCAAGAATCTCTTATGACCACACAAGAGGATATTGACAAAGCGATTCGCAAGGCGGGCGACCCTTTCGAAGTACGTGAGAGGTACGTGGATCACGATGTCAAAGGCCGAAAAGTTCTGCGTGCGCCGTTGCTGGGGTTCAAACTTCCAAAGAGAATCCGGGCGCGAAAACTTATGAATCAGAAAGCTTCGAGCGTTGCAGACACATCTTTTGTCTTGGGTCTGGCTATGGAGCAGTTAGAAAAGCTATTCGCCACGAGGTACAACGCACAACACAGATTGGCATCCGTCACCAAAGGTCGGCTTCAAGGTCTCGGCGTGCGTGGTAGGAAAAGATTGAGAGCAATACGGGCCGAAGAAGAAGAGAAGGAGCTTCAAATTGCGCAGCGGCAAGATCTAGCCAGTGAAGCGAACATAAGTAAAGGCATGGTCCCTCTGGACAGGCACATTGCGCGACGATTAAGCACAGAGGTCAATGGGGCTGTTGTCGAAGACGAATCCGTCAATCGACTCGTCGACGCCGCTCCCGCCGAAAAAGGCTACGATAATGTTGATTGTGAGATTCAAGTTCTGTGGGCGGACATGCGCGATGGAACCTATGCTGAAACCTGGCCGGAAGGAGTCTTCCATGGCGAGTTGCAGCCTGCTGCGACAAGCAAAAGCGCGGAGATGCATGTAGTACAAATGGGTTACAAAGATGCGGACGGCGAGATGGTAAGCACACAGCGGCAGAGGGTGAATGTCGTATCCGGCTCGACGGTTCACGTCCACGGGCTCGAGAAACCAAGAAACTTCAAGACATTCCAGGAGATTTTGGCGCTTCAGTCAGAGCAACGGCGTGAGAACCGCACCGAAGAGCTCAAGCATCAAGCAGTCGAGCGGAGGAGAAAGACCCTCGTCAAGCTATACAGCGATATCTCGAGAGCCGAAGCACGCATTGCCACAATTCAAGATCTACACGAAAAAGACGTCCTTGGGATCAGCTTGGATCAATCAGATCAGAACCTTCTCGCCGAACGCGAGAAGAATCAAGCTCTGTTGGACACTTTAACTGCAGAGCGCGAGAGGCAGGAGATGCAATACCCTGAAGAATCTATCATCGCGGAGAAAACAGCCAAACTGCGCCAAATGGTAAAGGATGTCCGGTCACTCGACAAGAAAGCAGTTGCTACTCGTAACGAAAGCAACCGAGCGGACACTCTTACAGGAAGTCTCAACCAGGATCAGATCTCAGGTCGGGGATCGCAAGAACCTGTCGCTTCGGCACAGCAGCCCACGCAGGATTTGGACCACGAGCTTCGGCATCTCGAGCAGGCGAATCCCACGGACTACGCTGCAGCGCGCGACTTCGTGTCAAATCCACCATCAGAGGAGCGGGAGCGGGAAGTGGTTATGGCCCTCGTTGAGAAGCAGCTTGCGCTCTTGAGCAAACAAGCAGTCAATACGGAGGCGGTGCTACCCAATGAGCATCAGGGGTTGTGGGGCAGGGTCAAGGGGTGGATAGGGCGCTGAGGCGGCTTTCTGGTTCGCCTGGCTGCATCTCATTCACCAACAGCTTCTTCGATGAGAACCAGCCACAGGGATCATCTTGGAACGTCGCGATTGATCTGAGACTAGAAACACTGTAATTGATTCTTGGGCGTGTACTACCGGATCATGCTGTCGACTGTCGACTGCTATCGGCCTCTCATAGCAGCACGTTGTATATCAATCAATCAATCCATCCTCTATGCTCCAGTTCTCGTTCCTGGACCGTGATATAGTCTGCATACCAGCGGTAATGGCTTACATAAGTCGAGAGGTGAAGGTTTACATAGATGTCCGGTGGAAAGGACGAGACAGGATGTTGGATTGAAGTGTTACTGTACATAACATTATTTTTGGCTCCAAGCACTGCAGAGTCTACGCCGGCAGTGACAAAGGCCTGAACGCACAGCTATGAAATGCTTCCCACCTCCTACTATACGAGTGCATGGTGCTGCTGCATCCTAGAGTCAGAAACCAGCTTGCTGTGTGCTTGCATCACAACCGCACCCGGTCCAATCCCAGGATCATAAAACTCATATTCTTTTCGTACCTCATACGCTCATAATGCATCATAAACCACTGTCATCAGATTATACACAGCCCTCGTCCTTCCCTTGGATATACAGTTGGCCGCACTCTGCTCACTTCAGGCTCATGCCTTTCACGCCATCTGCAACCCCGGCTGACATACCTCGTTCCTTATCTCTGTTCCTCTCACGCTCAGTTCTCCCCCCTTCGCGTTTCTGCCGCTCAACCACGCTCTTCAAGGCGCCCAACCAGCCCACCATGTCCTCCTCTCCCCGGACCGAGCATTTCAGCGTCTTCTCCTCTGCGATTACCTCAAAGACCCACTCGTGCTTTCGGCCTAGCGGGTCGACTTCCACAGCATCAATAATGCTGGACACCGGCAGCATCTTCAGCACCGCGTACTCCTGCTCGTTCTTGTAGAAGGACAACGAGTAGGGCCGTAGTACGGTCCAGAGCGGCTTCCACGTCTTAATTCCCGTTTTGGTGGACTGTACGGAGAGGAAACCTTGTCGAATAACGCGCTCTGGATCCGTAGGGTTCGTCTCGCCCGCCGCAAGCGCGCCAGCGGCGCCCAGAGACAGTTGTGATGTGTTGCGCGCTTGTAGCGGCGGGCGCAGTTGCTGGGCGGAGGCGATAGGCGACAGTGCGCCTTGTTTGGGCAGCGAGGTAGAGAGGCTTCCGACTTTCGGGGCGGATGTCCCGGGGTGGAAGTCGCTGAAAGAAGAATACGAGGTGTTGAGATGCTCGGTTCCGGAGAAATCGGTGGCGGCGATATTGGAGGCGCCGCGAGGGCGGGTGGTATCCCTTTTACTGCCCGGACGACCAGACGGAGAGTCGGGTACGGGTTCTGGAGAGTCGTCGGCGGAGAGGTCGGTAGTGTCGTACGATATGCCCAGCTGAGAGTCTTGTTGATGAGAACGAGAGAAGTGTGGGGCTGGAGGGTCTAGCGGGTCGAGATCGAGATCGTCGGTGCGAGCTTCGAGGCGGATCTGAGTGACCCAGTCGAGAGTGTCCTGTTCAGAACTGGATTGGAAGTGGTAGTTTTTAGACGGGCTGAAGATACCAAAGACGTTCTCGTGATGGGACTTCTTGACACGCGCCACAGTCGTAATGTCGGACAAGGCAATGGATTCGCGCAGATCGGTCTCGTCTGCATTACCGTAGATGGAGAGCAGGTTCGGGCGGAGTACAAGATATGCGGGCTTCCAGCTCGCTTTCCACGCGCGTTTCTTCTTTATGCGACGGGCAACCTTGCCGCTCTTTATAACGCGATCGAAGCAGAAGCTACCATTTTGGTCGACCGGCGAGAAGACATCCAGGCCCATGTGGCCTTTGTATGAGGAGTACGAGGAGGCCGCCTGAACTGGTGGAGGAGGCATGCTACTCGGGGATAGGATAGGTGCATTCAGCAGCCTCTTAGGAGGCGTCATAGGCCGAGCGGGTTGAGCGACTTGCGCCATGATAAATGCTGGCTTGACGACGAGTACCGCCCAGAAAGCGAGTGTGGGGACGATCGATGTGTACGCTGGAGAGTGAGGTAGACTTTCCAGGCAGATCAGCTGTAGATATGTGTTGACATTGTGGCCCTTAGCGGCACATGAATCGGGGAGATGTTCGTGTTGGAATGTGAGATCGACAGGCGGGGGGGACGAGGACCAATAGGCCTCGGAAGCGAGGGAGAATATGAAATAGGGCACGCTGTTAGACAAAGAGGCGTTTGAGAAGTCGACCTGGAGGCGGCCTCCGAGGCACCAGGGACCAGGTGAGGAAGAGGACGTCGATGGTGCAGCAGCACTTGCACGACGGTCGTGCCACTGCACTTTTGCGGAGCCCGAGGTTGTACTGCCAGCGACTACGGAGTACGTCTTAGCTACAACAAGCCTTGTTCAGTCCTGCAATCTAGATGGCTGGTGTCTGTTGCCACTGGTCCCAACAGGATTTGCCGTGTCTTAGAGCATGTTCGGCAGTCTGCGACAAGTGCATTCAGGCAGCGTTAATTCTTGATTGCAACCCCCAAACGGTTTTGATCGTTGGCTATACGGTCTATGGCACGAGAATGTACCTTCGAGTTGTAAGGAGGTTCTGCGCAGCGCCTAAGAATAAAAAGGTACTCCTCAACGGGGACCGTGCCTCGTATGGCGTGCCTAAGCATGGCTGTGGGCTTACCTATTTTCAGCCAATAGCTTGGCCGTTGGCCAGCCCAAATTTGCTCCACCCGGAGCAGTGCAGAGCGAACAGAACAGAGATTCGACTGCACTCGTTGCTGTCTTCTTCGGACTGCTGCGCTGCTACACCATCGTAAAAGTCCCCATCACCACCGCTTTGCTCCATCGTCAACCTCCACGACCCCTCTTTTCACGACAGCGCTCATCGACCCTCTCCCGCAGCCGCTCGTTCATCAGCTTCCCCTTTCTCGCCCTGGATCGCAAAGAAATCTCCACCCCCCTATCGTTGACTTGTCTGATCAATACCCTTGCTTCTTCTGCCGGCCTGTCCTGCCAGTTTCGCAATAGATCGCGCAGTCTGGCACTCGGTCAGCTCCTCGCAAGATTCGCTCCGAGCTCATGACGACCTGCTGATAGATCCTGAAGCCACCGGAGCAGCAACTCTCCGCAATCACGGCCATGAGCGGGAAGGCCTCCAAAACGTCGAGCTTCGTCCAGCGAATGCTCAAAAACCTGCCCAATACCGCGCCGACTCCTGTTCTGGACGAAAAATCTCACAAACAGTCTTCCACATTATCTTTCTTTCGGCGGCGTATACGATTAAAAGGCAACTCGTCCATATCGATTCCACTTGGATTTGTTCTGCTATTCCCCACGATTGTATTGCTTTTGACGCTTTTCCTGGTCATTCGACATCCTTCCTCCACCGGTCGCATCTTAGTGCCCGCTGGAACCCCTCCATCGATCAGGTTTGTTGTTTCCAGCATTCATGTATGGTGTATAGCTAACCTACCATTCCTACAGGAGGATAAACGAAAAACATGACCGTGTCTTCGCGACGGGTTGTCTAGACCCTGAAGTCCAGAACAAGGGCCCACGCGCCAACGCTGCTTTTGTCGTTCTGGCACGCAATAAAGAGCTGGACGGTGTGATTCAATCTATCAAGAGCGTGGAGCGCCATTTCAATCGCTGGTTCAACTATCCCTATGTTTTCCTCAATGATGGCGAGTTTGAACAGGAATTCAAGGACACCATCATGAACTACACGAGCTCTCCCGTCGAGTTTGGGACAATCAACAGTAGCATGTGGGGATATCCCGACTGGGTAGATCACGAAGTCGCAAGAGAAGGCATTCGCAAGCAAGGAGATGCCGCCATCATGTATGGTGGCATGGAGAGCTACCATCACATGTGCCGCTTTTATTCCGGCTTTTTCTACAAACATCCACTCCTCGACAAATACGAATGGTACTGGCGCGTCGAACCAGAAATCACCTACTTCTGCGATATCACCTATGATCCATTTGTAGAAATGGCAAGAGCAAACAAGACATATGGCTTCACCATCGCGGTCAAGGAGTTGAAAGAGACTGTGCCCAATATCTTCCGCTACGCATCGGCCTATATGCGCACACACAGCCTCAAATCCCAAGGTTTGTGGGAGATGTTCCTCGAGCCACAGCCGGAGAAGGCGGAGACGAAGGCCGACGACCGCAAAAAGACACTGCCTAACGAGATTCTCGAAACGGAACGTGGTCACCAGAACATTCAAGACATTGACCCAGAAGCAATGGAAGGCGAAAAATACAACATGTGCCATTTCTGGAGCAACTTCGAAATTGCCAGACTAGATTGGTTTCGTAGCAAGGAGTACAACGACTTCTTTGAGATGATGGACCGTAGCGGCGGCTTCTGGATGGAACGGGTAAGTACAACATTTGCAACTGCTCTGACGACACTAACATTTAGCAGTGGGGCGATGCTCCTATTCATTCCCTTGCTGCCGGTGCCCTCCTGGGCGTGAAGGATGTCCACTATTTTCGCGACTTTGGTTATCGACATACAACCATTCAGCACTGCCCAGCAAACGCGCCCACAAGACAACTTCCAAGGATACCCTGGCTCGAAAAGACGACAGACGACCCAAAAGCTCGGCAGGAAGAGGACGATTATTGGGCTACGCCAGACTCTCCAAAGGAGAACGGTGTTGGTTGCCGGTGCCGATGTGATACTGACATTCGAGATGTTGAAGGTAAAGAAGGAAGCTGTATGAACGAGTGGGTCGAGGTTGCTGGCGGCTGGGCCAGCCCTTGAACGTCGGCGTGAGCTGGACAGCAATGTTTGATGCATAAGATCCGCGTCTATGTATTAACGACGATCCCACGCGTGGCGTTCAGGGCATTTGCGAAAACTATCAGCACCAGGCAGCATTTGGGAGGCGCCTCGGCATGAGTGCAAGAAACGACATGCAGTCGCAGCGGCTTCAAGGGAAGCTGCTTCAGATCGCCCTGAAGGGCAAGGAGAGCTGGAAGGAGAGAGCAGTTCTGGTGAGGCCGCGTTTCCAAATCGACACGCAGCCTGGTACATCTAAAGCTGGATTGTCGATGCGATAAGTGTACAAAGAGATGGACGACAGCGCTGTCCTAGCTCGGCATTGGCGCAGCGTGAAAATGGTAGATCCCATTTGGATATTCTGTATAATGGACCAAAGCGCACTTTTCCTCATGCTCTAGTATTCTTTAATCACTGGGCATACCTCCCAATACTTATCTAGATAATTTACCTGAAAGGGCAGATGTGGGGGGGGTCCAGCCTTGTGGTCCGCAATGCAAGGCTGGACTGATAGACACGAGCCGACATGTATCTTTTACCCCGCGGTGGCTGCCTGTACAATCACGAATGAATGTCATTCTCTGGCAACTACTTCCTCTACTTTCTTGATAGTGTCAGAACCCTTGTGCTCTTAATTTCACCCATAGATTTCTTGACGTTGGCTTCGAACCTGCGCTGGTCAGATTGCGGAGCAACCAGTGCTGCCTGCATTGGCTGGAACCTGCCCGCGAGCCTGATTCAACCACTATCTACCACGCGACTGTCACCACTCCCTCTATTGACACGCCACCTTTTTGGTCTTTTCGCTCTTTCCCTCTGCACTTGGTAAGCCCCTCAACCGTCCCGCATCTGCAACACAGACACATCCTCTGTCAACCCCAGCCCGCGATGGCTGACCCTCCTTACGACCAGTTGCGCGAGCTGCAGTCAACTGATTCCAGCGAAGCGCCGAACGACTCCGCCGATCCGTTTCAGTATCCTCAAATCTTTGTTGAAACTTCATTCGACACCCTCCTTCATCATTCATATCCCTCCCATCCCTCCTCTTCGCAAGCCACGATGAGGGAGGTGCACGGCCAACAAGGAACCGGCTCCTCGTTGAGTGAGAGCTGGGCTTCCATCTCTGATGCCGAGCTCTCTCAAGACGACGACCTCCGTTCAGAGAAGACAGACACAGGGTCACTCGTCGATATCCACAGTGCTGATGACATTCTGAGCGTGCGGGAAGAAGATGCGTCCGCTGCAGACGAGGAGGAAGAGCCGGAGGAAGAGCCGGAGGAAGAAACTCCATCCCCGCATGATCATCCCTCCGCGCAGTATACCTCACGCATGGAGACATCGGAGTGCACTCCTGCGGCTGGCACGTCGTTGACAGAGACCAGCTTGCTTCCCAATCATATCACGCTAGACGAGCATGACGCCAGTCTGGATGGCGAGAACGTTTTTGTGCGCCACACCCTCGAAGTCTTCAAATCAGCCGACCCGTTGGCACTAGGGTTTGATAGAAGCGTGGTCCTGTCAGAGCCCATTGGGAGCATCCAGCTGGGCCTGAGCAAATCGACGCTGCGGGACACTGGCCGACAATCGCTGCGAATGCTTATGTTAGGCAAAGATTACTTGCCATCCCTTCGAAGCTCTGTTGTGGGCAAGATTGCAGATGCTTTGGTCGCCTCCGGATCAGCGTTCGATAATAGCCCACCAAATGCACCGTCTCGTTATCATGTTGTCCCCGATTGTTTCGGCCCAGGTTCCACGCCCTCGACTGCCGAAGTGATCCCTATTGACTGCCAACTCGAGGTCGACAGCTATCAGTCGGCCGAATTTCTGGATAGCATGCACCAGTCGATAGCCTTGTTCGATGAGTCCTCCTCCAAAGTACTGCGGTCCGAAAGATATCACGATGGCTTTTCTATTCGAGGCCAGGAAGGAAGCAAGCCCGATCTAGCTGTCGTTGTCGTTAGCAGCAAAGATACCAGTGACCAGACGGATAAGGTCTGCATCATGCTCATTTTTGCCCAACGCCATTCCATTCCGGTATTGGCCATCACAGTTGATGAAGACTGGAGCGCCGACTTTGTCCCTCTGGTGTTTGCGAAATCGAGTGCGCATAGGTGCATCGAAGATCTTCCCGTACGAAAGGGCGGTATTTGTCGTCAGCTTCCACTGGATCTGAATACATTGCTAAGCCTCAACCCCGCTCAACTCAGCCGCCACCTATCGTACCTCGTAGACAGTCCAGGCAACGACAAGGAACGCAACCAGAAGCCAGAGAGGACGGACGTTCTGCTTTCAGACGATGCCAGCTCTCGCAAATACATCCAGAAGCCTGTTCGGGTACTGGGTGTCTCAACCATGTGGGAGCGAGTCAAGAGATGCTCACCACTAAGTCCCATGCTTCTGATTTTGATCTGTGCACTTCTTGTCAATCAGTTTTGCGTTTCCCTGCTCGCTTACCAGAAAACTGGATCAACATTGGCCAACGACACTGTGGCTGTGCGCACGAGTGGCGTACCAACTTTAGCGAGCAGCCTTCTGAACACAAGCCGAACCGTCGTCGCCGTACCCACCGGCCTCGTTGACCCGCACGTACCATTGACCATTGATGCTACCAAGTCAACGACCGGCAAATTCGAGGTCGAAGTAGTGGGCAATTCACATCTGATCGTGCGAACGCCACACGAGCCAAAGAAGACAAGCTTACTTGATGTGATTGTACTCAGAGACGAGGACCCTGTGCAAATCGAAGTCAACCCTTTATTCCCGTGTGTGTATAGTGTGCACATCACAAAGGAACAACTCTATGGCAAGCTTGACATTCAACTTGCCATGACTCATCCGCATGTGGTCGACAACATCAAGCTCGACCTCGGGCCACAGCCGCTAGACGTGTGGATCAGAAGCATGATTGAGGAAACTGGGCAAAGTGTGCGGCAGTCCCTGATCCGGCTCCAGGGTTCACTCCAGAAGCGTCAGTGGTCCGAGGGTCAGCAAAAGGTTATTCAGCACGCGCAGGATACTGGATTCGCTTTGTCTCGGCAGTTTAAAGCTGGCCAGAAGCGACTGGACTTCTGTCGTGCCAGACTGGCAGCATTTGACGCAAAGCGCGAGGCGTTCAACAGACGCATGGATGTTAGAGGAGCAGCGCTGCTGAATAACTGGATAGGCTCGCTCAAGCAGAGCAGAGCTATCAACGACGTACTCTCAAAGGTCACTGCAGTGCGACACCGAATGGACGGATTTGATTTGAGACATCGATTCCAGCAAGCTGCGCACAACTTGCACGACAATATGCAGTCAGACACTCTCGCAACTGCGCAGGATCGAGCTCAACACATTGTCAAGGAATGGCGTCATAGAATGGGTCGTCGTCGCGGGCTTTGACCAGTTATACAGATACCCAGTATTGCAGACTTCGTGGTGAGCCCATGGGCGTTTGGGATAGATATCATTGGCGACGGAGTTGCCAGGGCTTGGTGTTGGGTGCGAGGATCGACAAAGCGACCCTGATGGCCACAGCATACCCCATAGTCGCAGATACTGATGCAAAGCGTATTATTTTATCTTGTATTCTGCTTGATGGCATAGAAGTCCGTGCACGCCGCACATTCACCGTGTGGTTCGTGGTGGTAGAATTCTCTGCCTGCCGAAGTTTTCTGGATTTTCGGTTACGATTTCTATAGCAACCAGTCTAGTCCTGAAGCGGAAAGGCGGCTTCAACTGAGACACGGGCCTCGTGAGAACGTAGTCCAAGCACAGCCCTGGCCCGCCAACGATGTTCTGGGGCCTTATTTCGAATTAACATCACCGTCGTCGTTTCTCACACTCGTTTGTGCCCTCTCAACGGTTGTTATACGAACACCAGATCTCGCTCCGCGAACAAACCACCTGCATACAACGATCACCCCTTTCGCTGATCTGCCCTTCCGCCACCAGACCAAACCCCCCTTGAGGGCGCCTACGGCGCGGACGCCCCCCACAACACTGGAGGGACCAGTCCATACTTCCTCCTCTTGTCCTTTACCCTGGAAGGCCTGCCCACCATGGCCTTCGGCTCCTTCGATACCCTCTGCGCGCAGTCCGCGCTGCCGCTCTGCTACGTATTGGGACCGCCTTCGAGTCTCACGTCCACACACAACCCACTTCTCCTCCCCGACTGCGCCGCCCGCTCCATCGAGCTGGCAAACACCATTATATTTCAAGCCGCGACCGACTTTGCGCACATTGTCGCTCTAGGAATGACTGCGATCATGATCTTCCATGTGCGGTCCAAGTTCACAGCTGTTGGACGCAAAGAGATCTTGACATTCTTTTACTTATATCTGGTGCTCACGGCAGTGAGTCTGGTTTTAGACGCCGGCGTGCTGCCCGCCACGACGGACGGGGCCTTCCTGTATTTTGTCTCTGCGCAGAACGGGCTGGCGAGCGCGCTGTGTACGGCCTTGCTCGTGAACGGCTTTGTGGGCTTCCAGCTGTACGAGGACGGCACTCTGTTATCTGTGTGGCTCCTGCGGCTGTCGAGCGTCTTCATGTTTGCCATCTCCTTCGTTGTGTCCCTGCTCACTTTCCAAGGCTGGGCAGGCCTCAGCCCTGAGAACACTACCGGCCTGTTCGTGGTCCTCTACTTGATCAATGCAATCTGCCTGGCCGTGTATCTGGTCATGCAGGTCATACTTGTGGTAAACACATTGCAGGATCGCTGGCCACTCTGGGATCTCGCAGCAGCAGTCTTCTTCTTCGTCATCGGCCAGGTGATTCTGTATACCTTTGGCGCGCGGATCTGCGAGGCTGTCAACCACTACTTGGATGGTCTATTCTTCGCCACAGTTTGCAACCTACTAGCTGTCATGATGATTTACAAGGTAGATCCATGTCCCCATCGCCCCACATACCCCTATGGCTAATGTTCTTCTACAGTACTGGGACTCGATCACAAAAGAGGACCTCGAGTTCTCAGTCGGTGCCCGCCAGAACAACTGGGGCTTGGCCGTCGACTCCTCCCTCGCCCTTACCGGTGCACCACAACAGAAGGACCCGCTCCTAGGTGGTGGCGCTCAGTACTCCGACGCCGACTTTGTGCACAACGACCACCGCGCCTCCTTCGTGCCCACCCAGTACCACGACTCGGCGTATGCAGACAGCACCTACGAGTACCGCCCACCAACGAGCGGCACCTACCACACGCGCACGCAGAGCAGTGGACATCTGGGCGTCGTGGAGACGCGGCAGCCGAAGCGCCTCAGCGGATACGACTCGGTGAGCCAGCAGGGCGATGGCTTCGGAGACGCGGCAGGGACAATGGGCGGTGGACAGCACCGAGATGAGCGGGCTGCGAGGCGCAAGAGTCGGGGGCATGCGGAGAGGGAGAGGGAGATGGATGGGTATGAGCACGCAAGGGGTGGGTACTGATGGATTAATGCAGGATCAAGACATAGGGTAGGCTACGGGCGTTCGATGGACGACGAGGACAGTGGATGTCTCGTGAAGGACTAAGCAAGCTAATATAAATGCAAGTTGGCGCTGGGAAACGGGCAGGACTGCACCTGTGTGTATGTGTAGTGGTAGTCAAGGGGGGGGGGCTTACGGCTGGCGGTCTGATTTACACGCTACATTGTCCTTGATATAGCATAGCACTGGCGCGATGGCTACGATAAGTAGGAGAGAGAGGCAAAGCTAAATGGCATTCTAGATAAGTGACCAGGGCGGCCGTTGTGGGGTGGTCGTATACGGTGTGCCTCAGAAACGAATAAATAGATCTCATACGCAACTACAGCATCTTTCTTACCTGTTGTAGCCCATCGAGTCGACGGCTCTTGCCACGCACCAAACGCAGCAATGTATGGCCGCCAGGCAATACTGTCAATGGCACATCAAGACACAGACCAAGCACTTAGGGGACACTCGATGGACGAGACCCCGGGCGTTTCTGCTGGCCGCGACGTGGAAGGACGGCGGATGAGTCGATTGCGTGTCGATGGTTGCGGCCCGGCTGCTCGATGGAGTTGACGCCGTGCTCGGGCTAGTCTCAGAGGAGAAGCATCACTCGTTGATAACTCCTACTACAGCCACCCACCAATGGTAGGTAAGCAACGCTCGGTATGAGCTCGCCGTTCCAGCCCTCAAAGTAGAGGCATTCCTCGCAAAATTATCGCAAGAAAAAGTTTCGAATTCTTCTACCGCGCAAAACGCTCCTGAATTGTAAGAGCCCAGCCACAGAGGGTTTCCGAGTAATGGGCGCGATCGTGGAGGTGGTACTTGGAAGCATCAAGCTTCTATACTTTCAGCCCGAAGCTGAAATCCAGCTTGGGGTTGTTTGCTATCGCCAAGTCAATGTAAGTAGGAGGAGGGGTCCAGACCTATTGCCAGACAAAGGGCGTTGGGTAACGCTCCGAAGATGGGCCACCTGAAAGCCCGACAAACAGAGAGTGAATCAGTGCATGCCCTCCAAAGGTCAATAATAGCCAGAAGTGCCTGACATTGCACCCTTCCACCGGCCGCTGACCAGGACTGTAGCAGCTCACGCTAAGAAACTTCGAGAAGATAGATTCGGCGTGCAATTTTCGGCATACCACGACCAGAATAGAGATCCTGATTATCGATGTCCACGGCGGAGATGAAGTTCTTCCGATACTCCGTAGAAGGCGAGCAATGTCCAGATCGCGTGAGCGTTCGTAGAAGTGCAGCTAAACTCTAGGTCTCGACGTGCCGATGTCGACTCGATCGTTATCTTGCTAGCTTGGCTTCTGCATTCTAGGCGGGGTCATCTGCCAGAACAAACGACAGGCGGACGTATTGAATTCGGTCTTGCTCCCATCGACACAAGCAGTCCACAAGCGGATCGAGCACACCGAATCCGTCGGATTCATGAGCGTCAGCGGTCAAAGCCGAATGAATCACGTTACTTAGCCTCAATGTCAGAAGACCAGGTGGATAGCCAGCTGGCATCTGACCTGGAAGTCCTGCGGAAAGCTATCGTCCTTGATTTCGTAGGCGGAAAGAGAGGTAGCCCGCGTGAGGAAGGGACTAAATGTTGGGCGACCTTGGAACGTGCATACGGCAGGCTGGTGGATGGGAGAACTTCAAGTCCAAGGGAACGATTGGTGCAATTCAAACGTGGTGTAGCATACGGAGTACATGGGCCTGGCTCGACCGGAGCTGGAGTGACAAGCGAGGACGAATGTGGCATGTTGCCAAGTCGTGGCTAGGGGACGGCTTTGCTTTGCGCAAAAACAGCAGGCATCCGTGGGATGAGAAGTCTGCTTTTTGCTGAGAGGTATTCTTCGGAAAGCGGCTGCTGTGTCCGAGTCGAGATGCTGCGCCTTCCAAAGGATATGGATACTTTGTCGACAGCTGTGGAGAAGAGCTAATTGACATGGTGCAGATCCTGTTCATCTTTTTGAGGCTCGTGCAGTCAAGATTGAATTTTTGCTGTGGTATGATGGACTGTAAGCTCAGCCGTGAACCAGCGCGACACGGTTACGGCATCAAATCTTGGGTCCAGAAAGTTTGACCGAGCGAGTGCAAGCACGACATCGAGTGGAAGTTGCCACACTGCATGGGCATAATTGAGATGGATGGAGCATTCCTCCTGACTATCACCGTAGCGCTGGGACGAGCGGAGACTCGGAAAGGCAGCTGAGACGGTGACGAGGGGAGAAGAACCTTTAGCCCTCGTTCAGGATGCTCGACCATTGAGACCACTGCCACTGATGCCGAGGAGGGCTACGGGCTCTGCGGGCTTGGTTGCCCTGCATGGCTGAGAGGTACGTACACCAGGCTGTATCGTCAGGGGCTTTTAGTATGATTGTGGCGAACAATCGTGAGCCTGTGGGCCGGGGCGGGTGCAATACGACGGCCTAAGCGAGATCGAGGACTGCCGCGGGAGAATAAGTCCACCAGGCCATGACAGGCCGAGGGCGGTGGCTGTCCAAAACCGCCTAGTTGGGCAAGCCTGAGCCTGAACCCAAGCCTGAAGCACATGGTCCCCATGACCACTTCAAGATTCATGGTCTGCGTGCCACCAAAAAACCCACCGTGTTGAGCACCTGATGCTGGTGCTGGTGCTGATGCAACACAAGTGAACGGGAGCAATTCGAGCAATGCTGGATGTGGCCCGCATTCGATTCCCTGCTGGAACCGGGCGCCGCGTGCGCTTCTGTGTCAATGCTTACCAGCATTGCACGAAACCTCCCACCGGATCGAGCAGAGATCGGCCTGCGTTCTGTTTGCCGACGAAACGGCAGAACAAATCTTGATCATAGCTGGCATGTAAATAATCTTCCGGGTCACTCGCCCCCGGCTTCTAGGCAACGCGTTGCATGCAATCGCAGTAATCAAGCGAAAAATTTGACCGTGCTACTAGTGGCAGCTGTGAGATAATGCTGCTGGCCCGGACTTTTGGATCGCCGACTGGTGATTGACACGACTTCGCCTGCTTTGGGCGCGTTTGACTCTTGAGCGTTGCAAGCGTGATGTGAGACGGCGTCTCGCGTTCAGTTTGCCGGCTACCCCGGTCGCGACAAGCTCTGCAGCCAACGAGAAGCCGTACAACGTGGTTTCCATCAGATACCGGGTTGTGTGCGTTAGGGAGTTGCCAGCTGCTCCAGACGAGCGCCAGGCTCTCGAAACTGGAGTCGGCCAACGCCTCGGTGAGTCTCAGCTCCACCGTTGCCACTGCAGACGCCTGGCTGTCTCCTTGCATGGCGCTCAATAATGAATCAACCATTTTTGCACCGCGTGCACCTATCATTATCATTGGACAGCAAACACATGGCTGGCCCCCCAAGGCGGCAATTTGGGGCGCCTTTCTGAATCTTGGGTGCCGCCTTGTTCCCGATGTGAGCAGTGCAGTCATTATCGACCAGGAATCCAGCGCGTCAAGGCTACAGGCGTACTAGTATCGCTGACAATTCTGAATTGCTGGATTCAAGTATGCCCCCACTTGGAGAACTGGATCGGCGCAGTGCTTTTCTAACGCGCGCCGCAGTTCAGGGAGTACGAAGTAAAACCATGTCACCGCCCCGCAGGCTTTTCACGGGCTGCGGCATGCGAATGCGAATAGTCCCTGTTCAGGCACGAAACACCGCCAGCTGATCGTAGGTCATCTCTTTTGGTCTCGCAGGCCCTGCACCTCTGCTTTTTGCCGAAGGATGGCCACAGGGTTTTCTGCCACCATCCGCTGAAGACGATAACAGTGATGATGCCGACGATGAACCAGGATCAGCTCGCGGCTCGTGTGTTTGACATCCTGTTCAGCCATGGCCGTCGCTTGACTTTACGCACGTCTTCTGTTTCTCCGTTGGTCAGGATTTCTTATTTTTTTTTTTGGGCAGCTGATGGGCCACGATTAGGTTGTACGTGTGTGGTGAGCCGCATTGCAAGCTGTTGCCCAACTAGCAGTTTCGGTCCACTCTGGAAAGACAAGTCTCCCGGTCTGCCGTCAATCCCTTGCTGGTTGACCTCGCCTCACCTGACGCGCCATCGTGACATTCAATAATCTCACTTCTGACCCGTTTCGTGGCAGAGTCCGGCCTCCGGTGGAAAGACTGTGGGCGTTCAGGTGCATCTCGGATACATTCATGGTCGCCACATCATTCCTTGAATTCGATGGCGCCGCCTATTCTTGACATGCTTCCGGCTACCCCTTGGATGGATTAGGCCCTTAGTCATGGCCGGGCTTACGAGGTAAAGAAGGAAGGATAGACTAGCCCCAAAGCTAAGCCTGACTTTGCCCAGAGATCACATCGGAGGGTTCGTTCCAGGCGGTGGCCGAGGCTTCGTCGCTGGGCTTTGTGTACTCCGTTGTATGTGCACAAGTACTCCGTACCCCGTACGTGTATTCGTATGCGTGGTGGCTGCTCGCTTGCTTGAGACGGAACCGTCCTAGGTTGCCCTGCCGTTGAGTTGACCCTGCGGTCTGCCCGACTCCAAACGATGGGTGACAGCTACTGCTTTCGCTTGCCCTCCACCACAGACATGGCATGCATTTGATTTGCTCGCATGACACGGACTGGAACCCGGAACAGAATTTACACAAGAGGACGCCAGACCACGCCATGCCAATGCCACGCCGTGTGCGCACTTGCGAGTCACGGCCAGCTTGCGCCCGGTGCGCCCCCCTTGCCCCCTCCTCTGCAGCAGACGAATTACGGTAACGAATGGAACGGCGCTAAAGTCAGCACGACAAGGCCAGAAGCTTTGCCGCCGGGCTGCCGCAACAGCGAGGGTTGGAGTCGGTCGCTGCCACACTCGCACTGGGCACTGACTGGCAGCTGGGCCACTACCGGCACCTGTGGCTAGGCGGCGCTCTCCTCCACTATTCTCACTTTGAGCGCAGCATCCGCCAATCCGTCCGGGGTCATGCTACCGCCTAAATCCTCGTATGACTGCTTTCTTTCTGTCTCCCCTCCCTCTTCCCCCTGCGACGCCGAGGACGAGCTTTGGCGCGACACTGCACACACTGCACTTTGCCTATTCCGGTGACTCCCACGCTCTCCCTGCACGCGTCACAGGTTTTCGCATGCCCACTGCCTGCCACGCTAAATCCTTGCACTGCACTGTCATTTGATTTCATCGCCGACCCTCTCGCTTTGGATTGCTGACAGACCTTGCACCCAACTAACTCATCCACTCCTGTGTGCTGTCGCCCGCAACCGTCAAGCAAAAAGGCAACGAACAAAAAAGCGGATCGCCGGCCTCGCCTGTGGTGACAGTGACCTGAGTCCCACCTTGCGTTGGAGCATTCCCGTGCGCCCGTCAATAATCAGCAGGGCGAGGAGGTCCCCCCCGTCACTTTGGCAACCTTAGGATTCAGCGCCACTCCACCCCGTTCGCGGTCAGTCTTGTTCGATTGTGGATCGTCACTTTGAAGCTGTGAGACTTGTGCCCCCAAGAGCCGAGCTAAATGCGGTCATTGCATATCGCTCAACCCCGTTCGTTTTCACTTTTCCCACTATCCCTCCATTTCTTATCCTGGCAACCTTTTCAAACATCATCACCACCGCCATCCGCGTGTTAGTTTCCCTCATGACAATCACTGCGCCTGTCCTCTCCGATGGAGCCTCCGGTTTCTTTTGGCCCCCCTGGCTGATTGGCTGATTGGCCCATCACTGTCCGGAATCGTGTACCAACTCAGTAGTTGTCTCCATTCTGCTAGCCAGCAGCCCAGGCTTGCTTCCCATACAACCTGGCCCTGTTGATGCTCACTACTGTCTGCCTTCCCGCTGCCGCCTATGCATTTGCGAAACTGACATCAAGCCGAGCCATGGATCCCGACTTACGCTAACTCTCCAAGACACCACATCTCTGCTGCTCATCTTGCTGCTAGCTGAAGCTGATCACCACTGGCCTCCAGGTTCCATCTATTCAGTACAGCCCCAAACTCTGCCCTTTTCATCACCACCAGCTCCCTTTCGTTCTTTGGTACATATCTTTTCACTTCTCGTGTTTGGTACATCGCATCCGTACCTGACCTCACTTTACACTGCCTGTCAGGTCTGCTTGCGTTTGGACTGGTGGTCCAAGGTTGGCTTTGTGGCCCTTCCGTCGTCCTGCGCTTCCTCCATCCCCACCTTTCATTGCTGCCATCATTCCTCATCAAATTCGGCTTCCATAAACACTATTCGGCGTTACTCCTTCATTAACCCTTTGTGCTCCTCGTCGACGCTACCCCCATCAATCCGACGCATGCCGCTCCTTGAGTCGGACCAAGACGACGGCCAACAACTCTCCAATTGAGCCGGTCTCGACCTTGGACAAGTACCACACATGCACGGCTTGCGACGAGCCTTAGCTTCTACTTCACCTACCGTCTCTATACCTTCGCAACCATAACACTTCTCGCATATCTCACCCCCGATGTCGTCCCTACTTGTTCAACCCCAAAATATCCCATATGACCCGTGGTCGAGCTCAAGACACCGATCCACATACGAACAAAGACCACCAGCCATACCGAGAGCGGAAGGAGAAGTCTCGAACAAGTCCTGGTTCGCCGGCGGTCTACCTACACCACCTGGCACAAAGACGAATATGAACGTGGCTTCTTCCAACCTTCCCGTGTCCTCGCACCCATATCCCACCAAGTACCAGCAACATGCGGACATGCGTAATTCGCAACATGTGCAACAAACGAATCCGAAGACTCAGTACAACCAGCCATATCCACCACCTGTTGTCAATATGGACAGCTTTGGTGGCATTGCCATGCCAGTCGAAGACAAGTCTCGACAAAACGAGATTGCCGCTCACTTACAGATTCCAGAGTCGGTGAACAAGAGCAAAGGAAGCCTGGCCGAGTTTGCTGCCGAAATCGCCAGCTTATTCTGGTTTGAGACAGCCGAGACTTTACAGTACGCCGAGAACCTACCCTTAGACGCCGTGCCGGATCGGGGGCTGGTACCTGATGCTATTCCATCGACTGGATTTCGGAAATGGGTGACGACGATCTTGAGCACCACTCAGGTCGGCAAGAATGTTATTCTGCTCGGTCTGCTCTTCATCTATCGACTGAAACAATTCAACCCCGGTGTCAGCGGCAAAAGAGGTAGTGAATTCCGGCTCTTGACCATCGCTTTGATGCTAGGCAATAAATTTTTGGACGACAACACCTATACCAACAAGACCTGGGCTGAGGTTTCCGGGATCTCAGTCACCGAAATCCATATCATGGAGGTTGAATTCCTAAGCAACATGAGATACGATTTGTATGTTTCGGCTGAGGAGTGGAATGAATGGAAAGGCAAGCTCGGTCGTCTTGGAGCGTTCTATGAGAAGGCTTCACGAGCCCAGTCAAGGCATACTCCGGGGCCAGTCACCCCTACCATTCAGAACAGTCCTCACAAGCTCCCGTCCCCGCCTTCAGCTCGCACCACAAATGCGTACTTCCCTCCAACCAACGGAAATTATGCTGCACTGCCCAATCCGATGCTGAATGCGCCTCAACTTCAAAGTTCGCCATCGCGAAAGTATCGCTATGGCAGTGCCGACGTCTTGGACCAACGAAAACGAAGCTTAGACATGACGGATCTTCCACCCGCCAAAAGAATGCAGTACTCCTCGCCCCAGCATCACGCCAGCGGTGACCTACTCACGCCTTCATCATATGTGTCCCCCGCGACAGGCAATTCGCTGACCACGCTTCCCCATGTCCAGCATGTGAATGGAGACGTGCCAAGGCTGCCTGCTCCTCGAGTTCCCATGTCAGCTGAGACCATGAGCAATAATCACCTGGCTCCTATCAACATTCCAGCGTCAAGAGCCATGGCCAACGTGTACCCGCCGTCCACTACCGCTACTTGGTCTAATCCAATCACCCCGGTGTCGCAGGCAGGTATTTACAGCCAGCCAATTCCGAGTCTTGGCGAGCTCTCCCGTAATCCAAGCAACATCAATTCCACCCACACCTCACCCAACGGTTATACCAACGTCACTCCGGCTCTGCCCGGACTTTCTCCCTCGTACTTTCTCACCAACCGGAGCTCACCGTATCGACCTGTGCGCCACGTTAACACCCTCCTCATTCCCCCCCCGTCGGCGGCCATGCAGAATCCTGTTCGCAACATTGGCCAGGAGCAGATGCATTATCAGCCATTGAGCAAGATGAATCCTGAACGCCGGCAAGGTCTCGTGCCTTACCATCAGCAAGACGGTTGGCACGCGGGCAACACTCCCTTGACCCAAAAATACCCTCATCGGTTTTAGAGAGTTCCTCTCGTTCTCATTATTTTCAATGGCATAGCGCGGTTGTTGCATGCTCAACCATCGGGCAGACAACATTAATAGCAAGCGAGCATTGCAGGCGTTTTTCGGGATTTAGACAGACTCACCTCGAGGTGAAAGTAGCTAGAGCTACCGCGTAGAAATCGCGAACTTGCATCAGCGTCTGAAGCAGCTGAACACAACGAAGACAGAAGAACTTCTACTTGAATACTATTCACTCGTTCACGCAAATTGGTCTTTCACATGCAATCGGAGTGCAGCCACGGGTCAGCACGTGATTACTTCGCGTCACCTTCCAAGTTAGGATTCCCCGCCGCCTTCTCTGAAGCCCGACAGATGTCACACGCCTCACTCTTTTGTCTTGCACTCTCAGAGCCATGGAATTGGTGCCGCCATAACCTATGCCGATGATGAAGCGCATGCTTCGAGATCCCACAACCCATAATGCGAAAGACACTCGTGCTCGTGTTCATCCACGGTTTTCAGGTAGGTGTACTTGTGTTGTAACCCGCGACGGTGGCCCCGCCAGTCCTAGAGACGAATATCAATGACTGACACGCAGCTGCGACTTTCAGGGCGATGATGACACCTTCGCCTCATTTCCGAAGCATCTTCAAGCTCTTGTCAACCATGCGCTTCCAAATATCGACGTTGTGCCTCTAATTTACCCCAAGTTCGAGACCCGGGGAGCCCTCCCGCAAGCGGTTGCGGCCTTTCGAGAATGGCTGCAAGACAAAATCATCGACATCGAGGTTGCGCACAATACCCCCTCGCCCACAGTCGACCCCTCTGTTCATACTGTTCTGATCGGGCATTCGATGGGCGGCATCATCGCAGCTGAGACTTATCTTCTCCTCGCTTCCGAGCAACCCGTCACGGCCTCCGCCTCCGCCATGAATCCTGAAACCCCAAACTTTCCTTCAAATACGACGATGAACTCTACGACAGGTAGTACGCACCCGAATCCAGTCGCAGCCGCGATGCCCGACACATCCGCAACTCTTATGTTCCCTCATATCCAAGCTGTCATTTCATTCGATACCCCCTTCCTCGGTCTCGCTCCCAGCATGGTAGCCAGCCAAGTCGAAGGTGCACACGGGGTGGCCTCGACAGCATACAATACTTACAACGAGGCGGCTAAGATGTTCGGTTGGGGCGCCAATCCCGCTGCGCCTGCCCCCAACTCTGCCAAAGCACTGCCCGCACCAGCAGTCTCGCCCCTGGATGATGCGGCTGCGGCGCCGAAGTGGCAGAGTTGGGGAAAGGTGGCCATGTTTGCGGGTGCGGCGGGTGCCGTGGCGGCTGGCGGTGCGGCAGCACTGTACAGCCAACGAGAGAAAATCAGTGCCGGCTGGGGTTGGGCGAGTAGTCATCTGCTGTTTGTTGGCGATCTGGTCAAGGCAGAAAGTCTGAAGAGAAGAGTAGAGATGCTGGAAAAGGCAACGGCTGAGCGGAATGGAAAGTGCGCCAACATATACACCAACCTCGGCAAGGGGAAGCGTGAGGGCAGCGTGAGCGGAGGGGGTGGAAAGCGGACATTCGCCAACTTGCCAAATAAGGTGACAGGGAAGGGCAAGTCAGAGTTTCAGGGTGGCATGAAGTGGATCGAGGCCGTCAACGACAAGGCCAAAGACGAGATTTCCGCGCATTGCAGCATGTTCACGCCACGAGACAATCCCGGGTTTTATGCCCTGGGTGAAAAAGCCAAAGTCTGCGTTGTCGACAGCGTTGACCGCACCTGGTACGAATCGAGCGAAAAAAAAGTCCGATCCGACATGTACAGCCAAGAAGGGACGACGGCGCTTGGAGACGGCGAGGCGTGGGAGAAGGCGGAGCCAGAGGAGCATAAATGGGAAGGGGTTGACGGCGGATCGGACGCGGACGATGTCAAGATGACCGAGAGTTATGAGGGATTAAACAAGGGTTCCCGCGCCCAAGAGGAGCTGGAGGACAGTGTCATTGTGGACAAGGCAGAGAAAGAGAACGGTCACGTGCCTCCGCCAGAAAGCAATCCATGGACGACCGCCTAGTGTGAATGTAAGCTGGAATACGAACTCCAGGGCTCGACAAAATTGACGGGAGGGTTCCTGAAAGTCACAGCAGACTACCACCCAAAAGACCCTGATGTGAGTTCGAGGAGGGCGCCAGTCAATTTTATGAACTACCACAAGTGATCTGCTGTAAGTCTTGGGAGCTACCCCCGTGAATTTCGTCCATCCTTTATCGTGCAACGCATTCCTCGGGGGCGCTTTATGGCCGAGGGGAGAGGACAGACATGGGCCTATTCTGGGACGTATATACATGATGCACACGACGTTTACGAACACAGCCATCCCCCTTCTTCCGAGCGGCCAAAAGCTCTGGTGCTGCGCGAGAAACTGGAAAGCGAATGATATGGAATACATTTTGACGATTACAGACTCTGTGGGCTTAGATTCTATAAACCCAGGAACTCTCCACGGGAATCTCGCACAGCAGACAGTGCAGCTCGCGAGCAAGTTGGGTTTCTCCCTTGTGTGGCGACCCGGCCCGGTCCGCTACCACGGCCTCTCGAACGTCAGAGAGACTTGAAAATGCCGCTTCTGTGGCAGCTTGCCTGCCGCTTCCGAGGTACCTGGAAGCCAGTTTGCAGAAGTCTGACTGCTGGCTCAGGTGTACGCACCGCAGGGGCAAAGGCGGGTTGAGCACGGCCGCATTTGGGTTCTCGTTCTCGAGTGACGGACCTGATTGTTGGGACTGGAGGGGATCAGGCATGAGAGAGACATTTGGAGATGCTGAGAAGAAGGGGGGAGCTGTTGGGGAAGGAGGCTGGGCTTTCCAAACAAAGTGACGAACTGCTCTATTCGAGGTAGCTGTGGCATTTTTGTCGGATGTATAATCGCACGAGGGCAAGACGGGTTTCGCTGCTGCATGGAATGTACATACAGCACGGGGCCAGTCCGGATGTGGGGGAATAGAAATGGTTACAAGGCGAGGAGGGATGTCCGGAGACAAGGACCGTAATAAACTCACGTGTCTACGGCATCAAACGACACGGATAGATATATTCATATGATTCAATTCGGTCGCAGAGACAAATATATATGGTACGAGGACATTACGTCTATAAAGGATCGTCGTGAGCCTGTTTCGCTCTCTTCTCGGCGTTTGGCCGGTTGTGCTGCTGTTGGTACAAAAGATACATACGTTGTGGGGGGTATGGTTGATGGGAAGGAAATGTTCGTCAAAATAATATGTGGTGTCTCGTGTGCGTGTGGTCCTTCTTTTTCTCCAGCTCGTCTCGTGTCTTCTCCCATTTTTTCCGTTCCTGCTTTCGCGTGGCTTTGTGTTGGACACATTTCTCTGGAAAGCGGTTTTCGTAAATATCGTGGTGTAGGGTCTCGGGAAGCCCGCCCCTAGATATTACCGTAGCAGTACGAGTGCCGTCAGTAAGGTCAAGAGCGCCAGAGAGCTGGTCTTCACATCCAGGTTCGAGGCGGCGCCTTCGAACTCGCCCGGTCCGCCATCAAAGGGGCTGCCACCTCCCGAGTCGCCAAAGTTGGTCTGCGCGCCATCGGTGCCACCTTGGTCTGCCCCGGTCCTCGTAGGCCGTGCTGACGACGTCGATGTACTCTCCGTCGTGATCGTGGTCGTCTCCGAGACGAGGGTTGATGACGAAGTAGTACTCGTGCTGGCTTCTATGGAGCTTGTTGTTGAGCTCTCATCAGTGGTCGTGTCGCTGGCCGTCTCGCCGGTCGAAGTTGCCGGCGCCGCAGTGCTCATGCGGGTCGTCTCCATTACCGTGCTTGTGGACTCGCTTGTAGAGCCGGCCCCTCCTCCTGCACCAACCGACCCGCATAAGAAGTCGACAACCGAGCCCAGAAACATCTGGCCGATGACAGTGTCTCTCCCGGCGCGCTCGTTCTGGCATGACGCTTGTACGTCTGCTTGCAGGTCGGTGAGCTCCGAGACGCAGGAGACGGAGCACCCGTCGTCCCCTCCGCCAACGGCGCTGCGGAAGTCTGATAGCATACAGGCCGGCAGGCGAGTGCTGTAGGCGCTCGTACAAGCCGAGGAGAAGCCGATGATGGGCTGTACTTGCGAGAGCTGGAGGCCGGTCGCGGTGGTGACGCTGAGCAGGGCCAAGAGCGGGAGGGAGAGTCTGTTGGCTAGCCGTGGTCTGGACAACATGATGAACGGACGGTGATGAAAGTCAGACCGGAAAGTCTTTAGACTGGCCAGCACCGACGGTGTATAATGTAGGCACTGGTCAGGCGGGCAATGAAAGCCAGTGAGCAGATAGTTATGTCACTGCGGAGCACACTCAGGCAAGGAACCCACGGCCTCGATTCGACTGTGGATGCTGCGCCTGAATGGCAACGGCAGACTCGTCGTCGGTCCCCACTGTATCCGGGAGTCCGTGCTCGCCTGTCGAGAGAGTCGGGTGATGCTGCGACAGTCTAAAGAACTACCGGCTTGCTTATGAGTTGGGTGACGGCGAAAGTGTTTCGAGTCGGCAAACCTAGATCTACTAGTAGATGCTCGATGAATCTTGTGTGTTTTCTTCAATGTTGTGTGGTAACAGCTCCAGATCCTCCTAGGTCATATCAGGGCGTGAAGTCGTTGCTAGGTTGTTTGCTACGGCGTGTTTGGTCCAGGACTGTATCAGGCCGTCTCCTCCAACAGCTTGCCACCCGAAAGTCGCAAAACTTCGTCGATGTACTCTGCCTGCGGCTTTCCCCTCCCGTCGCAATCCTATCTCACCACTAGCTAGTCGTTGCTGGTTGTTCTAAGATGTCCTTGCGGGGGCAGATGGGCAGTGGTTGCTCGCCGAAGAGAAGCTTGAGCGTCTAAGCGGCGGGTTCGGTTGTGCCGCCAGAGAAATGCTCGATGGTTGCTGTCCGGTCGTGCGGTCGCCAGTACCCTGAGAGGAGAGCCGTGAGCGTGTCGTAAATGACCTATCCTGCGGCCCGGCCGATATGGTCGTGTTGCGCAAGAAGAGAAGACGGGGGTCAGGCGCAGCCTATAGCACAGCTGTCAAAGCTGGACACGGTATTAGCAAGATCAGACAGATGCGCAAAGCCATGCAGCAGGATCAGAGCTCGAAGAAGAATCACAGGGCGGCTGCGGGAGCCAGTCTCATCTGTAGACAGTGGCGCAGAACCAGCGGAACGCAGCACGCTCAATCAGCACGCTGAAGCAGCGCTAGTTTGCCTTTCCAAGTCACCGGTTCTGCTTGAATGCTATGAGGGTAGAACCTGCGGATGGGCAAGGGCAGACGGGCCAGTTGCGTGGCAGCAAGGATACGGACTGCGCAAATCTGAAGCAGCGATCTTATCGCCTGGCCTCCTGTGACGGCGCAGCTGGGGGTAATGGCCACGGTCGAGTGGTGGAAGCGATCAAGATGAATCAAGACGTGTTTTGAAGTCACCGCGGGGCCGGCTACAACGAACAGCGATTGGTGCGGGGGAGGGAAGGGGGGCCTGCAGGGGTGTGCCTAACAACCCCAGCCGCCGTCAAGCTTTGATGCCCTCCGAAAAGGAGGTTCCATGAATCTTTCATCATCCGAATAGATCTTGCGTAAATTCAGCGTAATTGTACCACAGTAGAGCTGACGTCGTTTCCTAGCTGTGCGCTTCGCCCGAAAACCGGCATTTGGACGGGTTCCTACAGAACAAGCACGCCTCTGTGTCACGTGTGTCAGCAGTGGTGCACGATATGGGGAGGGCTCCAGAATATGAAGACGACCGTGGTAGAACGTACCGAAACCTGACTTTACCACTATTCATATGCTCCAGCGCTTCATTTGCTTGCTCGAATTTGAACTTCTCGATCATACACTTGACACCGTGGGTCTCCGCAAAGGAGATGGCTTCCTCGGAATCTTGGGCGTGACCGCTAGGCCATGCGGTGATGCTGTTGCCGTAGTGTATCATCAGAGCAGTATTGATCTCAACAGGACCGGCGGCGGCGAGAACGATGAGCTTCCCGAGCGGCCCAAGACCTTGTAGTAGATCTGGGATCAGCTTCTCCGCTGGTGCGGTGAACAAGATGGCGCTCGCTCCGCCCATTGCTTTCAGCTGCTCGCCCGCGCTGCCTTGAGAGGTGTCGATGTACTCGTGGGCGCCCAACTCGCTTGCGAACTTCTTCTTGTCGGCGCTCGAAGAGATGGCAACGGTACGGTAGCCCATTTTGCTGGCATACTGTATGGCGAGGTGGCCTAACCCGCCGAGGCCGCTGACTGCCACAAGGTCGCCCGATGTGACGCCCTGTTGGCGCAAGCTGTTGAACTGAGCTTCTGATTAGATTCATATTAGGGCAGAGGAGGACCATGTCAAGGGATCAGGGGACGAAAAGGGTCTCGGAAGTTGGTCTGAGACACATTCAAGGCCTGTGGTCATTTCGATCTCGGGTTGTGTAGGACTTACCACAGTGACACCGGCGCACAGCAGAGGCGCATACTCGGCTGGATCGATCTCTTTATCGAGTTTGACCACGGCCTCGGTGCGAAGATCGATGTACTCGGCATAACCGCCGTCCCGCATCACACCATTGATGGTCTCGGTTTCACACATCTGGAAAAGTCCTCTGCGGCACGCCTTGCAGTTACCTGGAATCCGAGTCAGTAGCCAGACGACAGGAGAGGGTCCGTTTTCAACGTACCGCAGTGCCCTCCGTGCCATGCACCGCCGACGCGGTCACCAATCTTCCACCTCTTCTCCGACTCAGGGACAGCAACCACCTCCCCAACCACTTCATGACCAGGAACAATAGGGAAGCTGTTACCGAAGGCTCCGACTTGGACAGCAGCATCCGAGTGACAGACACCACAGGCAAGGACCTTGGCTAAGATGTGTCCATCCTTAGGTTGCTCAAGCGGGCGCTGCTCAAAGACGAGAGGCTTGCCATTCTCCTTGAAGACGGCAACCTTGAACTCTTTGGGCAGTGAGGGGCCCATTTTGATTGATGAGAGCTTGGGGGATTGTTGCGTGGCGGACAAGTAGGTATTTCCGGTAATGTTGTTGGTGTGTTGTGATGTCACCGGGCTGTAATAAGTCCCCAAGGCAGGTTGGACTCCCTCCAGATAACGGGTGGAAGTCGAAATCCTTTTATCTCTCAGATCCGTTCAGAGCTGTGCAGTGACGAAAGATGTTCATGAGTAGGTGAAGCTAAACTCAAACTACACATCCCTGTCGTCAGTACCAGCCGATGCATTCTGGTCTGGCCCTTGCAGTATCCCTTTTGGGTCAACCATTATATCCTCAACTCCGACGTTGCCAGATGCAGGAAGACCCATCGCCAACGAGGGGCATCGAACTTGAAAGCTGCTCCTCATGCTGCTCCACATCGAGTGCAAAAGATGTTGTCTCCTCCGCCGCCCCTACACACGAAAGTGGTGCAAAGAGATGCAGCCGAGCTGCCCAATCACAACATCACCCTCAACCTGGTGCAAGTTTCCACAGGGCCCATTGCAGCAACCCTTTTAGGCAACGCTCGATACCCTATCCCTTAGCAGCAAGTTCAGCGTCGCTCCACGGGCAAGAAGTGTAGCAGCCTGGGTTACATAAGCGTTGAAAACGGTCTTGTGGCATTATTAAGCAGAGAAGTCGATATCATGTACAGTACCAGGATCTGAGTGGCCGTCGATCTTTTTCGTTTCCCGTACCCAGTTCATTCACTGGCACTGACATGCTGAGACTCAACCACTTTACTATCTATAACAGGTAGGCTCAGGGCAGTCTCAAGACAGGCTGACTCATATGCGATTGCTCGCTCCAGTGGACGTGAGAGACGATGCAGGTAGCTCTCAGGCTCCTATCAAGCTTAAGGTCATCACCAGATGCTCGCAATCATCTCACTCTGCGATTAGAAACCGCCCACATCACAAGCAGAACAATGTCGTTGTTTTGAAAATGTATTCATCGAAGACCGGTGAGCCTACCCGTCAATTCGAGCTGGTAGCAGGAGTCGGCTGATAGCCCTTGCGTTGGCCACATACTCAGAGGAGATTATAACCACGAGTTCTAACCGCCGCGTTATCGGATGGACTCCTGCCTGCTTGCATCAAGAAGAGATACCCTGGGCAGCTCCCTCGCCCTCACAACTTCGCCTGTCCACCAACGAACGTGCTCGCCCCCTTCAAAAGAGTGTAGGCCTCGGCCGCCATCTCGTCCACGATCTCCTTCGCAGTCTGGCCACCTTTGTTTATCAATCCAACTACCACTCCGGCCGGCCTAGGGTAGGACTGATCCTCAATCTCTTCCGTCAGCTTACCTTCTTTCGCCAGCTTGTCCAGCTCATGATCGGCGACGAGAATTCCCTGCTGCTGTAGCTTTTCGAGCTCTTCCCGTCTGCGCAGTTCCCAGTTCTCCGTCCACGGTGTCTTCAGATGCCTCAACGGCCGGCCTGTCCAGATGGTGCTCTTCAAAGTAGCGTCCACATTAGCTGCCACGATCAAATCCTTGTCTCGTTGCGAACTTCCGGCTTCTGAGGCTACCACGAATCTCGTGCCAACCCACGCCGCGGACGCTCCAAGCATCAATGCACTCGCCACGCCTCTTCCGTCGGCAATGCCTCCCGCTGCCACCAATAGCGGCGGCTTGCCCGTCAGTGGACTCCGGTACTGCTTGCAGAGATCCGCGCAGGCCGGGATCAATACACTGGTGGGCACCTCCCCCGTATGGCCACCGCCCTCCCCACCCTGCGCGCAAATCAGATCCGCTCCGACCGCGCAGGCCTTCTGCACGTGCTTGGGGTGGCCGATCATGTTCATGTAGAGGATCCCCGCATTGTGCAAGCGGTCGACGACATGCTTGGGCGGGATGCCGACGGCCGAGATGAACAACTTGGCGCCGCCTTCAATGATGACCGTGATCAGCTCGTCCAAGGCGCCGCGCGTGTAGTCGTAGTTGGTTTTGCGCGCGGAGCCGCCAACCTGTGGAATGAGTAGATCCACACCGAAGGGCAAGTTGGGATCGCGCAAGAGGGATTTGAGCTCGGCGATGGCCTCGCGGAGTGCTTGCGGCGTGAACCCGATTCCACCGATACTTCCGAGCCCTAGGTAATGTTAGAAATGGTGAGTCCGATTGCCGGATGGTGTGAGAATGGATGCATGCCCCCCTGACCGGCGTCTAGGCAGGACTCCCGTGAAAATGGGCCGTTAAGAGACACTCACCGCCCGCGTTAGAGACTGCAGCGGCCAGCTTGGGACCAGACACCCGGCCCATGCCGGCGAGTAAGATGGGATGCTGGATGCCTAGAAGGCGAGTTGCATCCGTGGTCACAGACATTGTGATTCCTTGGGGGGATCAAGAGGATGAGCAGAGTGCAATTGGGACTTTTCCGTGCATTTATGGATGTAAAGCTTCGATAATATCAGACCGCATCCACTGCATTGTTTATAGCGATGAAGCCGAGGCGAGGGTCGGTTAATGCAGAGCGAGATGCCACTGCAGGCGGGGCGCCTCGGGACTAACTAGAATTGGAGTGTGCGGTATAGGCGATGGCCTGCTCCTAGAGCTGACTGCTGACACAGGTCACCATGTTTAGCCGGAACTTCTCTAACGATGGCAAAAGTGTAGAAACGCCGTGATTTTGATGGTTGTGCTCGACCGAATCGTTGGGCGAAACCCCAATTCGCCCGGCATATAATTACAAGGGATCTGCTGACGTTGGCCTTTGACAGCGACGGGAATGAAGTCTTGTATGCACCGATTTGGGACGCATCAAACACAACCAAGCTACAACACACTCATTGACTCTGCCGCTCCTTTCCTTCGTCCTTCATGCCCTCGCACCCGGCCAACTCACCGGCCTTCTGCTCAACGGAACCCAAGACGCTGGATGGCGCAGGCTGGCCCGCGGTCTTGGACTGTGCTCGCTGCATCTCCTCTATCGCGGCGTTCTTGGTGGCTTCGCCGGACTCGTACCCCAGAGCGCTGGCGGCAGCACCTTGTACGTACTTGGCATGACCCCCGATGAGGGAGGGGTTGTCGTTGTTTTCGGACATATTGCTTCGATGGATCTGGACTTGGACTTGTTGTGTCGAGAATGTGAATGCGGTCAGTTGGTTGGGAAGGCTTGTGGCTTTGTTGTGTATGAGATGACTGAGATGTGAGGTGCAAAGATGTTCTTATAGTCTCTATACTATCCACTCACAGTCTCTGGGGTAGACGTCAACGATGATGTCACTCCGTCAGGAGGAGTGATGCACTGTAGATCTGATATATACGCGGGCGCTGGTCGCTGTTTCAAGGTCCTGTACCACTGCCATCAGTTCCGCCATCCTTGTAACTCCATGATCATGAGCGCTTCGTATGTCCTGGATGCCATCAAAGGCGCGAACCGTAACAAAGACGCGAACGTAGAACAGATCCTTGACTTGGACCCGCCAAACCCGACTTGGAATGTGCAAGCGGCTTTCCGTGGCCCACCAGCTGTGATAGCCGTCAGCCTTCCACATCTTGCATTCCCCGGACTTGACCGGTCTCCGTTGTACAAGACCCACCTGTCCACGTAAAGCAGCAGAGCAACAGCGAGCTTACATTATTGCAGACAGCACTGACTCCATTCCCTCGCAACGATCCTTGACACAGCTGACCATCGACGCCAACCCACGACCCCCCCTCCACCATGGCGATAGAAATCACCCCGATAAAGCCCCAAGACATCCGCTCCGCCGTCGACTGCATACAACAAGCCTTCGACGACGACCCCTACGCCAACTGGGCCTTCGACAAGCGGCCCGGCCACTTCAACAAGGAGCGCAACTACTGGTCCCTACGCGCCAAGGTCGAATGGGGCATGCGCAACGCCCTTTTCTACGTCGCCAAAGACACCACCGGCTCCTCCGGCGCCGCCGCCGACCCAGACCAGGTCGTCGGTGTATCCATGTGGATGAAGCCGCGGAGCTCCGAGCAGCCGCAGACCTGGGCCGAGTGGGCGGACGACTACCTCTTGTGGCTCAAACAGGGCGTGAATTTGCTGTGGTACCGCGGCCGGGGCGGCCTGCGCACCGATCGCTACTGGGTGTGGAAGCGCGAGCAGGCCAAGGCGCAGGCCGAGGTCTGGACCGATCCCGCCGGCTACTATTTCGTCAATATCGTGACGGTGCGGCCGGGGTGTCAGGGCAGGGGGATCGGGAAGCGGCTGTTTGAGGTGGTCATGGAAAAGGCGGACATGGAGGGGCGGAAGTGCTATTTGGAGAGTAGTAAGGAGGTGCCGAACGTGGCCATATATGAACGCATGGGCTTTGAGATGCGGAAGAAGTTGGTGTGCCTGAGTGAGGATGGCGAGAGCGCGAGGTGTGACTTGTTTTGTATGGTGCGGGAGCCGCGCAGTCGGAAGTGAGGACTGGCAGCCCGACCGGTTGGGGGCATGTGCCTTGTAAGAGCACTGGGTCAAAACGTACCGGCCTGGGCTATTGGGGAAGAAAGAAGCTCGCGTCCGAACAGTGGAGGGAGGGCCCCCCCTTTCAAGACTCGCCAGCCGCAACCACTGATGGGTAATTTTGGAATTGACCTGAGTATGGCATTGGCTTGATTTGTGTCGCAGATGGCCATCATCGCTGCTCCATGAACAGCTTCAACTGGTTAGGATGAGAGCTCCTCTCGTGAAAGAAGCCCAAGGTCTTGACATTGGACGCGGACCAGGGGTCGGGAGAATCACATGGAAGGCCCCCCGGACTCACAGCGGAGGCTTGGGGGGGTGGGGGTGGACCTGGTGTGAATTCAAGGAGCCCGCCCATCAGTATCGTCGACGCCCAATATCGACCGTATACGTTGTGGGAAGCTGGATCTGGGTATCATATCATAACATATCATTCGAGCGATTGGGGTATTCTGTTGTACAAGTACATAAAACAGGACCTTTCATGCAAAGATCACAAACATTGCAGCGCAGAGTAGAAGGGTATGCGTCAGTCGGATCAAGGTCCGCCATGCCGCCCTTTGTTCGATCCATGCCATAAAGCGCCAGCGCAAATCGTCGCTGTGAAGGTCGTAAAGTAGCGCCTGTCGGTATTAGAGCTTCCATGCGCTTTCTTCGTCACTGTCGCTCGTTATGCCATAAAGCCAGGCGCATTCAAGAGCGCGGCTGATATCCCACCGATCTGCCTCTTCCATCTCCAGGCAGCCTTTGACACACTCAACAACATCGTCACCACCTTTGAGGGCCAGCCGTTCCACGTCCCAATCACCAGCTAAAATCGCCATGACAACCCTGGGCTGGAAGGTGTTTTGGAAAGGGCGGGACCCGACAACAAGAGAAAATATACAAACACCGAAGGCCCAGACGTCAACAGCCGGTGATACAATAGCGCGCTCAGCAGCACCGCTTCGTGTCTCCTCGGATTGCGAAGATAGTTTCCTCGACAGCCGCAGGATTTCAGGAGCAGCATACTCCAGACTACCGCCTGCAAATGCCGATGTCGAGCTATCAGCGGGCCCGATGTGCTTTTGGGGAGGCCGATCGAAATTGTTGATATTCGGTGAAGGTGGTGAGGAATTACCTTCACCGTAGTCCTTGGACAGCCACTCTGCCATACCAAAGTCGCACAGTCGAACAAGTCCGGGACCGTTAGGCTTTCTCGGATCGCGATCCAACAGACAATTCTCTAATTTGATATCTCTGTGGACCACTCGAGCGTCCAGATGGAGGTAGCGTAGCGCAGATCCGATCTGGTAAGCATACTCTGCAGCCAGGTTTGCAGATACACCTTGTCGATTTGTCCGAACAAGGTCAAATAAAGTGCCTCCCGTGCTGAGAGGGATGAAGCAGAAGGTAGCTTCGTCAAATTTGTAGACGGCCTCTAGGGGCAGAATGTGCCGATGGTCGAGAAAGCGCCAAAGCTCGACCTCGTGTTCAAACTCTGCTTGAACTTGTTCATTCTCAGCCTCGGATTTGCCCTCGACCTGCCGACGCACAATTTTGACGGCTAGCTTGCGCTGCGAGTTTCCAGCAATGACTTCTTTGATGACAGAGAAGCCTCCGAACCCGATTTGTTTGCCTAAAACATAATCTTCACCAATGGTTTGGCCCTCGGCATCAACTGCCGGTGGAGGCCCATCGTTGGTGTCACCATCGTTGCTGCTACTTATGGAGAATGCACGAAGATATGAGGAGGCAGCGGATCGGGGCGATCTCGTTGAGCCGGCAGTGTCGCGTCGAGAGAGCCGCGGACTGCTGAACGCGCGACTGAGGCTACCGCCACTAGCATCTCGCAGACTCCCTGCGCGAGAAAAGAAGTCGGTAGAGGTTCCGTTGTTCTGGCTTTCGCGCCACCGTTGGGAAGCTGTCCGACGAAAGGCCTTGGGCTCATCGTAGGAGAAGGCGGCATGCCCCGGGAAGGTAGCAGGTTCTGCATCATTTGGAGTTCTCACTTCTTCTGTTGGGGACAAGGTAGAATCGGATGTCAGGGACATAGGTAAAGCGGCATTGTTGTGAGATTCTCTTGCCATAGCGTCGACCGTTTCTTGCAGCATTGGGAATCGAGCTTCTCCGACATGAGGCTGCTCCCGTGGAGGCGACGCAGAGTACTGAGGAAGATGTCTACCAGTCACAGGATCGTATTTAGTCCGATCACCTTCGCTATGAGCGCGGGAGCGGGGCCTCTCGTCAGCAAGCACCTGTAGTAGTGAGCGCCCTCTCGCGCGATCCCTCGCAGGTTTCTTGAGCGGCTCGTCCATGCTTTGACGTTGACCGGACTCCAGTTTCACCTCAGTATTGAAGCTGACCGAGGGCTTCCGGGTGCGCATGAAGCGCTCCACGAATGATGGATCACCATCGTCGGCGGTGGATGGGTCGTCGGCGGCGGTGGGGATGTCTATGGGAGGCGTGGCCCGTATAGTGTCTTCGCTGGCTCCAGCAGTGTGTAGAGATGGACGTGATTGCGGACGTAGTCCTTCTGGTGGGCTTACGACGGCGACTTCATCTGGAGATGAGGCATCTGAGGAAATTTCGAGGCGCAGGCGCGTAGGCCGATGTGAATTATCTTCCTGCGCCATGCAACTGCATGCAACGATTTGGTTGTGCGTTGCAGAGAACTGTAAGCGAGTAAATGTATCGCCGTCAGCAACGGCAGCAGTGGATGACCATGGTTTTCTGAGTAGCTGCGGGGGGAGCACAATCAATGCCAAAGCCGCCGGCACGTGAAGCAAGCAAAGGCGTCGGGAGGATCTCATTGTGCCAAGCCCCGCGGCGCAGCGGCGGCCTTTCTTCCGCGTTGTGCCGGGGCCAACTTGGGCCTGGGTTTTTACAGGTTCTATAGGGCCCAAATGTCGTTCAACTACCAAAAGTGATCTGCTGTACATGACCGGGGAGCCCGCTGGTGAATCTTTGTCGATCTTCTTGTCAACCCAGGAGCTTTCCCGTCAGTTTTGTCGACCCCTGGTGGGGGAGTGCGTAACGAACGGAAGTATTGAGGTGACTCGAGAGGTGTCGCGGTAGGGGCCATCATTGAATCAGAGAGCTATGGCACATGACATTTGTGTTTCGTCGCGGTACCCATGCTGCCCTCATCCAGTCTGCCTTGGAAGGAAGCAGGTACGAGGATGTAGGTACAAGTACTCCGTAGATACCTATTTACAGCTCACTTTTTTTGGTCGGCATCATGAAACGAAGCCCGCCTGCAATCCTCAGCCTCGGCGGTCATTGGTAGTTGTCTCTACTTGGTCTAGGTTGTGCCCATGCCTTTTGACCCTTGCCAATCTCTAACACGCCCCCCAGATAACGCCAGCCTGCGGTCAGGGGAAATCTTTCCGTGCAACCACAATCGCCTCGTCCCTTTTCTTGGATCACGAGCTTGAGCCCTGCTTTTGTCCGCCAGCATCCTTTGTCCGTTCGTTACGCGTCGCCAGTCGTCGCTCTTGCTACCACGTCTGTCGCTCCAATCCAGCAGCTTCGATAGCATACTTGACTCGTTCCTTACCACACCCCGCGACCTCTCGAAGAGCGCCGCCTGCCATTCCCTGTCGCGAAACCCTGGTCTCCATTCCGCACCATTCCTGTCACTGCTGTTGCAACTGTACATCTTTGAGCGCATGAAACCATCCATGCGACGGAGCTACCTTCTCGTTCGGGTGCATTTCTCTGCTTCTTCTAGCCTCGCATCCACGCGACAGGCACCATGACCACTCTAAAGCCTCACCTGGTACGGGCCGGTAAGAATACGACAGAAACTAAAATCCCGGGTTTAATCAAGATCTAACACGCCTGTCTCAGATACCATGGACCTGCAAGCTCAGGATGCGCCCTCCGCGAAAGATCACACACGCCAACCCCAACATCCTTCTCCCTATGGCTACGGTCCTGCCGCTCCTCACCAAGCACAGACTCTAAGACGCGCCGAGCAGGACTCATACAAGCAGCAGCAGACTAGTCCGCGTGGGTCAGAGGATACAGGAGGTCCCTTTGCCGACAGCCAGCGCTACTACGACCAGGACGATGAGCTCGAGGACGAACATATGAATCATCTGCATGGTCCCAACGGCACGGGAGATCACGACCGCGACTACGACGATGGTGAAGCCAGCGACTCGCACGACGAAGACATGGATGATGATATGATGGACAAGATATCCAGTAGTCCCTCGATCGAAGATGGTAAATACTCCCCCCCTCGCTGGCCTCCCCGGTCGAGCTCGAGAGAGCACGAAGCTTCCCCAGCTTCTTCTCCCACGCCGACTCGAGGCATTTCTCCTTCCTCTTCTTCCCCATTTCTAGCTCCTCCTGTGCACTTTCCCCTACCACGTACCAAGAATGTGGACTACGACGATCATCATCCGAGCAAGAAGCTGGGCGTCTGGCACGAAGACGATCCCGAGGACGGGTTCAACCACTCGAGAATTCCCCGCTACGACCGCTATTATCAAACACGCTCTCCGGAAGCTCTCTACCCAGAGTTTATGACCGACGAAGAAATTCAAGAAGTGTCGAAATATCTACTTCCAACCGATGATCCTCTCCTCGAAGACTTCTATGAAGATCCCGATGAAGGCTTCTATGACGACGACGACGACGACGACGACGACTGGATGGATGAGGACGTCAATATGCCAGATTATCAGCCTAGCTCAGATGATGAGCCGGACGAGTTCACATTCACCACCGACGCCCGTTTTCTTGATTCTGGTTGGGGAGGAGAATGCTTACGAGAAATAGAGGACATCGATTTCGAATTCGTGTATGCCTTGCATACTTTTGTCGCCACCGTCGAAGGCCAGGCCAATGCCACCAAAGGTGACACTATGGTGCTTTTAGATGACAGCAACAGCTATTGGTGGCTCGTTCGTGTTGTCAAAGATGGTAGCATTGGTAGGTACACTCTCCCCCAGTCCTTTGTCTTGACTAAAGGGTCATTTCAGGGTATCTTCCTGCGGAGCATATCGAAACGCCAACGGAACGACTGGCTCGATTGAACAAGCACCGAAATATCGACCTGTCAGCTTCTATGCTTGGAGACAATGCCGAGAAATCGAAGAATCCTTTGAAGAAGGCCATGCGCCGGCGGAATGCCAAGACCGTGCAGTTCGCTCCCCCAACATACTACGAACCATCCGAGGGCGAATATTCGGATGAAGACGAAGCGGATGATGGCCAGATGGATGTCGACTCTGGACCTCAAGCTGAAGACTCGGAACAAGACAAGCAACAAGAAATCGATGATGCATCTTCACGCTCCCGTGTCTCTCAGGCCACGACCGCTGTCAATGGTGTTCAGCGTTCGGCGAGCAACGAGTCGCTGGCCGAGGAGGAGCCATCTAGTCCTCTCAAGGCACAGGTCACAGAGCCTTCTCAAACATTAATAACTCATCAGGATTCGGTTTCAAGATCAAGGAAGGGTGTTGTGCGCAATACCGACTCTTTCTTCAAAGATGACAGCGTGGAAACGAAGAAGATATCCCTCACACCTCGTCTACTCAGGGGTGACTCGGATTCAACGGCTTCTGCAGAAGCAGAACTCCGCCAACGACCAAGTCTGGACAATTTCGACAAGATGATTGGGTCCGAGGAGAAGCCGGTAAAGGAAGAAAAGAAGAAAGAGAAGAAGGGTATGCTCAGTGGGCTGTTCAAACGCAAAGAGAAGCCTTCTAAAGGGGCAAAAGGCGATGACACGGCCGGTAAGGTTTCAGAAGAATCGTTGCGACCTTCAACACATTCAAAGGACTCTCTCGAGTCCGTCACCAAGACAGAAATGATCCCAGAAAGGAAGCCAAGCAAGTTGCAAAAGCATCCGCCGGCTACAGTGGTCTCTCCAAAATCGTCACCCACTGAATCTCGCGCGCCTCAACCACAAGCACAGGTCTCTGCTCCAGCCCCAACTCCTGTACAGGCCCCGGTGACGACGCCTGTGGCTCCAACAGGCCCTGCTCCGGCGCCACCCACGGTGCGCCAGGTGCAAACGGAATCGTCTCAGGAAAGCCTGCAGCCGAGGGAGGAGCCCCAACAACTATCGCAGGCACAAGGCCCGAATCGGTTCCCTTCTCTCCAGGAGAAGCGATCCAACGAGGCAGATGCGACAGTCAACCCAACCTATTCCCAACGGGTCACAGAGCGTTTCGCACTTGACGCGAGTGAGTCGGAAGAGGACCAAGCGCCTCTCGCCGTCGCCACGAAGCCCGTGGGACGCAGCAGTGTGTCACCGTTGAATGAATCGCAAAATTCCCATCGAAGAAATGACTCTGGAATGCAGATCTCGCCAATTGAGGCGCCTGCTGATCTGGAAAGCTCATTTCCCGAGACCAACAGGACGGTCTCAGACGATTTTCAGGAAAACGAAGTTACGCCCATCGAAGCCGAAAACACGGCAAGCACATCTAAGGCCTCCCCTTCAACGGCGACGACCCATACTCCTTCGACGTCCCGATCGACTCCAACTTGGTCAGACGCATCACTACGCACTTACATGGAGAACGACCAAGACATCAAAGACTTACTGATTATTGTGCACGACAAATCCAACGTCATGCCAGTGGGGCAAGATCACCCACTGATGGCCAATCTATTTTCCAACGAGCGCAGCAAGCTGGCCGAGATGCAAACGCAGCTGGACTCGATGTTGATGACATGGGTCTCGCGCAAGAATGCGAGCCTGCTATCGCGATGAAATCACGGGTATGATTTTGTTTTGTTTGAGCGAAAGCTGGAGTTCTTTTGTTGATTCAATTTCATTTCTCCTGCATGTCGCAGCCTGGCAAGTGCGCGACTGTACCATTAGTGGTGGAAACACGTTGAGTGTGTTGGTTTGCTATGTTTATGACGGAGATACCAAGGCCTGAGCCTACTGATGAGCACAAAATGGTTCCTGATATATAGGCACTCTTACGACAGGAGTTTGGCAAGGTCGTCTAACAGCTCTGGCATTCTGGAGCGTATCTGTTGCTCCATATGCAGGTACAGATCGGATCAATTTGATGATGTGAACAACCGAGATCGTGCTGTCATGTGTGCTATTCATGTCTCGCTGATTCCTGCCCCAGCTGGTCCAGGGCGGAAGCCAGATCAAGCGGATCGAAATCCACCGAATCTGGCAATCACCCTAGCAAGTGGGACGCCGATGACCTGAAGTTGTGCACTGCGAACCACACGACAAACCAAGTGACCTGGAGGGACTTTTGTCCACAGCCACAATCTCATCATTGCCACACAGTGCATAGCCACACAGTCCTCGCCACGAAACGGGTAGCCCGACCCGTGCACCAACCAGCACTGCTCATGGCTTGAACTGTTTCGGATCAATGGTCTTTTGTAAATGACAGCAGTCCGACGCAATTCCAGGCGCGATAATCGCAATATAATCGTAATAAGCTGTACATGACACTCAAGAGTTCTCCGCTTAGCCATGACGCGGCGCAAAGAAACTAGCCCGCCGTGACAGCCGGATACTGAGTCTTGCCGCGGGGCAATCGGCTGACTACGAGCTTCGGTCAGAAGCGAACTACGCACTCACTCGGGCATTCGTTTCGCTGTTGCTGCGGTCGAGCTCTGACTTTGTGACCCAAGAGCTTCGAGATATTTCTGCCGCCTTAAAATTCTCGTCCGCAGCCACCTGACTACTTATTCATCCTTCCCTCTTACCACTTGACCTCACAACCCAACTCATCACTCCCTCACCTCTACATCTGTCACCCTATTTTCGCACACACGACATAATGTCCGGCCCCTACGATTCCTACGGCGGCGGTGGCGGCGGCTACGGCGGGTACCAGCAGCAAGGCGGCTACCCACCCCAGCAAGGCTACAACCAGGGCTACCCGCCCCAGCAGGGCTACGACCAACAGTACGGCCAGCAACAGCAGGGCTACGGTCAACAGTACGGTCAACAGTACGGCCAGCAATACGATCAGAACCAGAGCTTTGGCCCTCCTAGACGTCAAGACAGCTACGGCCCTCCCCAACACGGAGGCTTCCAGCACGGTCAGCAAGGCGGCCAACCTGGCTCTTACTACAATTCCAACACGCAAGGTAGCAATGACGCATACGCTGCCAACCAGGCCTGGATGGACAATAACCAGGGCGCTCAGCAGGGTCAACAGGGCCAGCAGCCATATCCTCAGACCGCCAGGCAGTCTTCGGACCCTAATGCGCCGAACTATGACCCCAGTGCTCCTCCCATGACCGAGTCTGACCGTGGCCTGCTCGGCGCCATGGCTGGAGGCGCTGCCGGAGCGTTTGGAGGCCACAAAGTCGGACATGGCTTCTTGGTAAGTGCAATACCCATTCAAAACTGTCTGTGATCTTTGTCGACCAACACGAACTTCCTAGGGAACGATCGGTGGTGCCATCATGGGCTCTCTCGCAGAGGACTTCGCCAAGAAGAAGAAGCACGGTGGCAGCGGATCAAACTGGGGTGGCTCCAGCTGGGGTGGCCGATAAAAGGCCCCCTTGGTGGTTCCGGCCACTGATATGATGACTAACGACCACACTTACTTTGCCCACATCACACAATTGGGGCATGCTTGTTCGAGGTCTTGGGAAGCGGATTGAGGCGATTATCATGATAAGAAATTGCTTTTGAAGAATGATTGCTCGGTTTGGGACGGAGATGCTAAGAACGGCATTCACAAGTCGTAGTAGAGAGCACATGCAAATGCAAAAATAATTATTGACAAGCCTTGATCCCTGACATGAAAGATGCATTCCCGTGCTTGATAGTCTTCACTCGACCATAATTCAACGAATAGAGGTGGAGTGATCTTCTGGTACCGAGGTTGTTGATGAGCTTCGCTGTATTGCTTCAATGATGGGTCGAAAAAGCTTCTCGTTGAGGGCTATGACTCTCTGGTCTTCGACGTTTAAACATTGTTTCGGCTTCCTTGGTAGTCAGTTGCGAACGCAACTCTTCTCAGCGACAGGACATTCAGAACTGTAGGGTTCGTTAGTACACCTGGAGGATGCTCGTAAAAGCGTGGCGCTGGCCATCGTGGAGGGAAGAGAGTATCGCTTTCACGAATCTTGGAGTCAAATCTGGTTGAAGAAATGAGAATGTTGAGCATGAGCGGCAGATGAAAGGATCTTGAATGGGGGATCGTCAATATCATCCGTATTTGAGAGACGGTAGGGAGGGTCAAACGAGATGCTCCTTCGCCTCCTTCACTAGTGGTCGACTAGATTGACGGGAGGGCTCTCTGAACATACCACAACATGCTCGAATCTCACCCCAAGATCCTCTGCTGCAATTCGGGTCCGGCGAGCCTTCCCATCAAGTTTGCTGTGTCGTCTGCTGTAAATCCATGAAACCCTCCCGTTGTATCTGTAGACCCTAGTGAGGGAACGTTGGCAATGAATCTTTTCGTTCTGCTCCGACCTGACTTCGATGGGAACTGGTGATCATTGATTTAATCTTGCATCGGCTCTTGGCTGCGTTTTCTGCACATGTCCTTCTGACTTGGACAGAGTGCTCGTTCTGCACAAGCTTCTCTGTTGCTCCTGGCCCACGCCCTCTACTCCACACCTCACATGAGACAACCCTCCTCAAAACTGCTATGCACCTCACTTCCTCCGACCTTTATCCTCCTTCCCCTACCTTTGCCACTCGCGTTCGCCTTGCCTCTTTTACCCCTAGTTCTCCCACCCTCATCGACGTACACAAACGCCTCCACCATCCACTCGTACCATACCTTCCTCCCATCCTCCCTCCGCCACAGCGTCACCACGCACTCGCTGTCGTCTGGGAACCACACAGCGCTCTTGAGCGGGAAGTACAGCGGAAACCACGACATCATGTCCGGGCTGGTGTCGGCCATTGTGTTGGGATTGGTTGACAGCACCACGCTCGGCTTCGTCAGCGGCCCACCTGGTTCCATTGCTGCCGCCACGCCAGATGACCCTTGCTTGCGTTGTTGCTTGTTCTGTCCGCTAGGCGACCATAGATCCTCAGTGTTGGATGCAGACGTGTAGAGGACGCACTCAAAGTAGCCTGCTAGGCCGTGGCAGGCACCACGGTGCGGCACGGGAAAGTGTAGTACAGTGTGACGGGTATTGTGGGCATTGGTGGACGGCGGCGATGATGGCAGGTGAGGATTGGGATGCTGGAACGACCAACATGGGAGAATGAGAGGCGTGGGTGGCGAAGGGATCGAGCTTGAGCGGCTATTGCTCAGGGTGCGGCTGTGGGTAGGTTGGGAACCACCGGCAGCGGGAGAGATGGACGCTTTGGCAGCATGATTGGGGGCGCCGGCACTGGTGCCTGCGGTGGCTTTGCCGGTAGTATGGGCCTTCGCATAGGAAACAGCAGCGGGAGCAGTCGAATTGCTGATTGTTGGTTTGGTGTTAGCAGCTGGTTGAGTAGAGTTCGCATTGTGCATCTCGCCGGACGGCGCAGAGGTATTAGTTTGAGGAGAGTTAGTGGTTGTGGAAAGGTGGTCGATGGCATTCAGCATGACAACGTAAGGTGTTTCGGCTGCGTGGGGTGTGGTTTGGACCATGCTGTTATTGATGTCTGCATATAGCTTAGGGGCTGCTATCGGGCTGATGAAAGCAGTGTAGCTTGTTGGGATTGAGATGCCATGTGTGGGGTTAAGCAGATGCTGCACACCGTCCAGACATTCTGGCGAGAGCTCGTTGTCAGCAAAAGAGCCCAGCAGCTCTGAGATCAGAATATCGATCTTGTAGTAAGTCGGTTGCCGAGCAGCAGTTGCAAGAAGATATGTCGAGTCCGTATCCACAGACCCAGTGTAACTGGAGCCTTGCGGGATTGATTTGGTCTGGCCGAGCATTTCAGACACTCGTCTAGCGTTCTCCTGGTGAACGGGTCCGCGCCACGTGCGCATGTCACTCTTGACGAGGTTCACACGATGATTCCAGATTGTATCGTTATGTCGCTGTAAAAGCACAAAGGCATTGGGATTCTTCTCGAGCGCCCACATGTCGATGTCGATTCCGACTGTCTCTGCTGCCTTCAGTGCCCGAGTCACAAGTGGTCCGCGGCCAGCACCGACTACAGCAACGACGATACGACCGTCTGTTCCTGACGCAGGCTTGCGCTGAGAAATCCAATCCGATAGCGCTCGAGCTGTAGCTTGCTCGTACCAATCGTATTTGATGGGGTCCTTCTCGAAGACCTCGTATGTGATAGATTCAAGGTTGACGGTCAGAGGCTGCAGCGGAGCCTGTAAGTAGTCTTGATAGCCGGCACCGAAGCGTTCGATAAGACTGGGCGGTGGCTGCTTGTTTTGCAGGTTTCTCATGTACCATAAATGAGGCGTGGGTTCCTTGACGGCCGAGAACGCTTCACCAAGCGCAGGAAAAGCGGCGGAATCTTTAACGTCCATACCACCATTCATGACGGCCGGCACTGGACCAACATTGCTTAGAAGAAACCATGGTGGGTTTTTGTGACGGACAAAGTGGGAAACGAGAGCTTGATGAGCTCTAGACAGGACTGGATACCCTTTCTGGTTCTCGAGAAAGATATTGGCGTCTAGGGTGAGAATTCGAACAGGCTCAGAGTACCATCTGGATTGTATCGACACTGGTGGCAGCAGCTTTGGTAGGTCGAGTGCTGAGACGTGTCAGTGAGAACAATGGTAAAAGCGGTGGTGCCCTGAGCTTGCTTACCTATGGACAATCGTGAGGAGTATTTGCAGATCGACCTAATGGTGCTCCAAGCTTCCCAGGTACCAAATAGATCGAGGCGCGGAGACTGGCCGTCAGAATGGCCTGCGAATTGCTGTCTTGAGAAAGGAGCAAGATAACCTATATCCTCCTTGTCATTATCCGAGTGATCGATCAAAGGCATCCATATGTAGAGCTGCATGTACGGTCCAAGTGCTAAAGCGTCAAGAATAGCCCGTGCATATTGCACAATGCCAGAGCCGTCATCTGCGCGGTTATGCATCCGAGGTCCAGGGATAAGGACATATGTGAGACCGCAGAACGCGGCGTAAGCGAGCTCTAGCTTCAGAACTTGCCTCGACACATCAGCAATGACCGGATCCGGAGAACTCAGGTCTATCCAAGGACTGGACACTCCGATGAGCTGGCCAGTAGTCTCATCTGGCGTCAAAGGAGTATCCCGTGGCCCAAGGGCTTCTATCTCAACCGGTGATGCATTCGTACTGCGCGTTAGATCAATGCTCGAGGTGCTAGATGAGTCGGGCAGATGAGTGCTAAGTTTCGAGAGAACGCGAGTGTGGAAGTATGGCGTTGTGATGGGACACGTGAGCATGTCGTACTGTTTCGGTGTCAGTGAAAGTATGCGGCGATGCCCCGTTGACATACGTTGGCAGCATGTGCATCTTGAATATGTCCCGCCGTGACGGGGAGAGACCTGCGGGGATCATGGTGTCCAACGAAAAAAAGTGGTGCTTCCTCCATACTGAGCTTTCAAATCATATATGTATGGTCCTAAAGTGATCTAAATCCCAGGATGCAAGGGCGAGGCTGTGTCGAGAGCCTCAGAGTCGTGGATGGCTCAAATGGCCATCATGGCCAACTGGGTTGTTGTTTGAAAAGATTCATCTTACGGACCACAGTAGCTGTTGAAGACACAAGTATTGACTCCAGCAAGACTGGAGTGCTCGCGAGACGAAATAACAGAACCGGCGTGGTGTAGTGTAGAAAAGAGAGACGGTCGTCTGCTCGCCCAATAGAATCCCTGCTCTCGGTTCGCGGGTGGATCACGCCGAGACTGAAGATCGGAGCTTGGAGAGCAGCGTAAAGAAAACTATCAATTGTACTGTGTACAGGCTGCTTGTCTCGCATCAGTGCTGCACTTATTCTTTCCTGCGCCCAGCAGCGTGATTGGCAGACATGAGCATCGCCAGGCCATCTCAATTCATCCTCTGCCTCTGTCGCCGATCAACACGCTCAACGATACCACGATCGCGCCGTGCCTTGCATTCGACTCCTGTCCGAGCCGCCGCTGATGACCCCGAAGACGTGGAGACCATCAACATCCCAAATGAAGGTCGCAAATCTCGATTAACACCGAATGAAAAATGGAAACAGCGTTACGACGAGCGACAGGTCGAAGCCATCCAAGCTGCAAAAGAAGTCATAGGCGACAAATTCCAAAAAGGGCGGAACGTACCCCGGACCGACCCCTGGTCTGTCGACTACTACGACAGTTTCGAGAAGATTGACCCCGTTGTCGACCAGCCTGTTCGAGCACCATGGACTAATCTGGATGATGCACAACGCCTGAGGACCAGCGATGAAGGTGATGCCGACTTCCAAAAGTTCCTGGAAAGTCGACCCGCGGAGGAGGATGCCAACGGCGAACCAATTGCGATGCAATACGTCAAGTACCTCGAGAGCATGAGACTCACGTCGGGCAGAAAAGAGGCCGAGCTAGATGCTCCCTCAGCCATGATGCCGAGCATACCTAGTCCGCCCAAACCAGTGGCCAAGGTTCAGCCCAATCGACGGGTCCAAGACGAAGACGACGACGATAAACCAAATGCGAAACCCGACAGCGCATCAACTCCAGAGACGCTGCGTCTGATGCAGATGACTGGTCTGTCTGGCAGAGAATTGGCGGCACTAAGAGTCAAGACTATAGTCGTGCGCCGCGTTGCCAATCAAACACGGTTGGGCAAAATATACAAGCAATACTTCCTTAGCATTGCCGGCAACCAGAATGGAATGCTTGGAGTTGGCGAAGGAAAGGCCGATGAAGGAAGCGCAGCCCGCTTCCAATCTCAGGCTCGTGCGATCAGAGCAATGCAGCCCATCAAACGGTACGAAAAGCGGACCATCTTTGGCACTGTTAGCGGGAAGGTCTCCGCTACCGAGTTGGAGCTCTATGCTAGACCACCAGGTTTGTTTGCCCTAAACCTATGTACGCGCCCTGCTAATTTGGACCAGGATTTGGTCTCCGCTGCCAACGCCTGATCTGGGAGATGGCCAACTGCGCAGGTATATATGACCTCGCTGCAAGGGTCACTCGTGCCCGCAACCCTATGAATACCGTCAAGGCCACGTATCAGGCATTACTTGCTCAGAAAGACCCCGAAGACATTGCTCGAGCCCGAGGCAAAAAGCTGGTTGATGTACGGAAAGTGTACTATGCTGGAAATCTCACATAGATAGCGGTCCGAAGACTTGATCCGTTTGTCATTAGCGCGCATAGCGGCGTCGCCGGCGGCCTAGGCTGGCTGTACATACAGTGTACAACAAATAGAACTCACGTTCAAAGCCAGAGCGTGGCTCTACCATTGGCACCGTCAGGGGTATTTTGTCCATTGCATCGTGGCTCGTGTTCGTCAAAGCGCTCTCTATGAGCTTAGACCTCATCACCTCTGCTGCCCGTGTCGGTACCATTCTCGCTCTCGCCTTCACCATCTATCTGGCCCTGCTGCAGAACGATGCTGTAGACGCTGGCCTTCATCAGGGTGTAGACTGAGGCAACTTTCCGTTCCAGTAATCGCAAACCTTCAGCAATCTCCAGAGTGACTGGGCCACTCGATAGTGTTGACAATGTGCTTGATAACTGTGCACGCTTGCCGTTAGACCACAAACACTGAACTTGGAGAAATGGTGATTACAAACCTGGTTCATGTTTCTGAGAAGTCGTTCATACTCGTCAAGAACCTCTTGTTCAAGAGGGGTTACTCCCGAGGAGCTCGCCCCGGTCAGATTCAGCAACGAATTTGCAGGTTCGGGGCGTATTGTGTCGTCATCCATTGTGGTTGTTTTTCTGGTTAGGTGTCTTGCCGTTGGTGGACATGGTGATTTTCTGCTTGATGAGTTTGACGCGTCTCGCGACAGCGGAGTTGCAACTCTGACTCGACAATCAGATATCACTGGATTGGGTCACGTGATGGCTTGAGTCATGTAGAATGATCGCCGCCGCTTGCGATTCAACCTTCGATGCTGGCTTATTGTTGAAGATAGTAAGTAACATTATTCTGAAGCTGAGCCAAGTGATCGTCATCGCCATACACCGCCCTCTGCTTATGAAAGATAACACTCAAAGACCCCCAGACCACCAGCGCCAATGGCCACGCAACTGCATTGAGCTCTGGCCGAACTTCTCCGCACCTACCCGCAGAAAGGCGCGGGACTGTGGAGCTCTGGGGCAAATGCAAACTTGAACCTCGAAGTGCTGAGATTACGATCTCCAGGACACTCGGAATTCCGTGCGTCTTACACCGCAAGTATTATTCCTGCTTCCTTGCACAGTACAAAATCAACGTGGTCTGTGTTCCTTTGCTGCCTGATGTGAGCTGTAGATCACCTACTACGCAAGTAAATTCACGACCACTCTTGCGAGTCATGACGACCACCAACTTGCCCCCGAGTGGCAATGAAGCGCTTAACGATGTTAATGATAAGACATTTTCAGCTCGATCCATGGAATTACCTAAGCAAACGCGTCCCTGCCAAGCTTGTACGCAGTGCCGAAGCAGAAAGCTCAAGTGTGTGATGGACACCGTCGACGGCGCCAGCGGGCCCCCTTGCAAGCGGTGCCGCCGTGAGTCGAAGCAGTGCACGGTTCCACCACAAAAACGGAAGCGATTCGCTTTGGAGAGCGCCTCAACATGGACGCCGGCCAAGCGACAGCAAGTCAAGCAATCAATCGAGGCGGCAAGCAGAGCAACTTCCCCAGAACCCACATTAACAATCCAAAGTCAAACCGGAGACAGAAATGTTTCGCAGCGGAGCGGGTCAAGTATTGCACCAAAGAAACGTACAGTGTTGGCGGAGCCCAAATTTCAACAATCCGAGACCTCAGACGACACTTACATGATGAGCACGGCAGCTCCTTGGGCCCTCGACTTCTTGCCGGTAACCTTTTGCGGGACAATAGCTGGTCTCAGCGATGCATACGGCTACCGTAGCCCTAGCGCCCCATCGGAGATTACCAGTCCACCTAGCACGACGGATGGCGATGAGCGACAAGATATTGAGCGAGGCGTATCGCCGGAGATTCTGCAGGATGCGCCTCTGCAAACTGTCTCCCTGGCAGAAACACAGAAGCAGATGGCCTCGACCTCAGATAACAGCGGGTCCGCACGTCAGTCTCTAAATCAGGCAGCAACTTCATCAAAAACCCGTGTTGATCTGGCATTTGGTCAGGATCTCGGATTTGACGATATTTTTGACTACTTTCGATTCGAATGAAACACGAATTCGTATGGCTTTGCACAAGACCAAGCAAATGAGACAAGAACTGAGTCCGTTGCTTATACGAATATTATACATAACCTTCAATGCAATTCCATACCAAGGAATGACAGCCCATGATAGTGCCGGCACGGAGCGCCTTGTCTTCACGACTTCTAAAAGCTCGTGACCTTGGCAGGGGCAATGAGCGGTATGCTCACACGGCTTTTGAGATGAATGCAAGTTGTGGATAGGGGTGCGCTGGATGGAATGGATGTTGCGAATACCCTGGTGGATGATACAACGCAGGCAGATGATATCCTTGCCCAAGACCAGCGTACGAGGCTGTCATGATTGTTGTACGAGTTGCAGCTACGGGTGAGCCATACCAGTACTGGCCTGGAGGGCAGTACGCCAGCTGGGCCGGAGGATGGTATTTCTGGGCCGGAGGTGGCTGTGGAGAGCATGGACGGCTGAAATACTTCGTCTTCTTGGCCCGGTCCTCAGTCAGTGTGCCCACCTGCAACCGTCAGCAAGGCACGATAACGTGTTGGCTATCTTCATCAATTCTTCACGGAGCAACACTGCCAGCAGCTCCTGGAATTGTGGATATGAAATGGGCAGCACAAACATTGGAACAGTGCCTAGAGATGTCGGTACATATCTCCGGGAAAATTCGTTCCGGGTCTGGTCATACCTTGGGAAAAACACGATGAGCTGGTACTCAGCTGGCTAGAGCTATGTCTTGGACACGAGCATATAGTATCCTCGGCAGGTCTCTTTGAGAAGGCGTTGAAGTCAACACCATTGGACCGAGTTCTCCTGAGTGCAAGCTGATGGCGCTGGAAATGGGATTCACCGTACCTGCGATTCCGTTGAAGCTATCCAAAGGCTTACGAAGACTCGAAAGGTTAATCTGTGATGTTGAGGATGAGAAAACCTAGGGCGCCGACTGACGGCTGTCGTGAAGTAAACGAGTGCTTCAGGTATAGCTGGTATATATTGGAAGCCTGGCAAACCCCTCGAATCTCCAGCCTCGCCATAAACCCTAACCCTACAACATTTCTTGCATCACATCGTTGGGGGATTTTGGTTAAGTGAACCTCAAGTGCTCTACAATCCACATCCCGCTTCCAAATATTCCCACAATTAGACCACTTCGACACGATTTACGAGATGAGTCGGACGCTCCTTCTCGACGCCCCATAGATAACATCACATTCTTTCCTTCCCCTCCTACAAAGCATCAATCCCCATCATGGAGCCACCTCAAGACCCCAGCGGTGGCGGCGGCGGCCCTCCTCCCGTCTTCGCAGGCGGTCCTCCACAAGGTGCCCCCCAGCTGCCTCCGCAAATGTTCACAACCGCCGCACAACTCCTGGATCTGACGGACAGTATGCCTCTCCATCCACCATCCTGCCCCTTCTTCTCTCCGCGGAGGACGCGCCTGCGCACCCGCTGAGCGGAGTCCTTGCATTTTTTGCCCCTCTCCTCTTCCTTCCACCAACCCTATGTCTGGGAGAACCAGACAGACGAAAACAGTCACAGGGACCTAACGTCATTAACACTCTCTCAGAAAAACTCCTCCTCGTCCTCCGCGACGGCCGCAAACTCCACGGCGTGCTGCGCACCTGGGACCAATTCGCCAACCTGGTCCTGACCGAGACGCGCGAGCGCTACTTCTGCACCTCACCTTCGTCTTTCTCCTCCCCCGAATCCAGCTCCAATGACGCTCCGCGAAAGCTATATTGCGATGTGCCGCGCGGCACGTATCTGGTGCGGGGCGAAAACGTGCTGCTGATCGGCGAGGTGGACTTGGATCAGGATGACGAGCCGCCGCCGGGGTATGAGGAGGGGGACGTGGAGGAGGTGTTTCGGCTGCAGAGGGAGGTAGAGCAGGAGCGCAAGAGGAGGGATAAGGTTAAGGGGAGGAGGGCGGGGGAGTTGTGGGGCGGGGAGTTGGAGGGGAGCGGGGAGGTGTTGTTCTAGAAGCTTGAGGTGCTGTTCTGAAGGGTGAGGGGATGTGCAGGCTCAAAGTTGATGAGGCGTCGTCGGAGAATATCATTGAGATGGCTTTCTGAGGCGGATGTCCAGATGCTATGGGAATGCAAAGCTTTCTCGGCTCTCGATCTGGCGTTGAAACCGTACGAAGGGCATCACGATGAAGTCAGGATTGGAGCAGAATATTGTGAAATGCTCTTGATTCTGGTCAGGCTATTGGTCCCGATTTTGATAGCGACCATGGCCGCTCATCTAGCTAGAAAGCACCTTGTTATTGGTGCAATATGAATGCCCGAGTGGTAGAGGCGCACACGCCCAGGCCCTTGCTTCGCCACCCGCTCCTTGCTTCACCGGTTCACGACGTCTCGCACAGCCTGTTCTCAGGAGTCCATAGGGAGCCCCGTGTCTGTGCCGCAGTCAGCTCAACTACTCTCCAGTCGACTCAACCAATTGACGACCATCATAGCCTGCGTAATGGCAACTTTCTCGCCAAAGTGCAAACCGTCGAAGCTACTAGCTTGCACGGTCATGTTCCACATCTTCAGCACCTCGACGTCGTTCTTCGCGGCCGCGTGAGCCATCTCGGAATCGAAATCCCAGATCTCCTGGTTGCCTTTGCGGCCCTTGATATCGATATGCCCAGCCGCGGTTGGGCCGATCCAGAGCATCGGGGTCTTGCGCTTGGACGAGTCCGCCAATGTTAGGAATTGAAGAAGCGAATCACTCGCAGCTGGCGTGGAAGCTGTGCTGGGCGAGAGAGAGTGGATTATGGGAACAGGGCGGTAGTTTGATCGGGGAACTCTGGGAACCAGCTTAGTGAAGCGTTTGACAACGTCACTAGAAGCTGGGAACCCGTCGATGCGGAGAAGAGCATGCGGAAAGCGCGAGCAGACGTACGAAGTTGCGATCGAGGGGGTGTTGAACGTGACTTCGTGGCTCGATGTGACTTTGTGGCTGGCACAGGCAGGAGTGGTGAACTGGGCATTGCAGCGACAGGCATCAAGGGTGTCTTTCTCCATTTCCCACGCCTTCAAGGTTCCAGCAGCAAGATCTTGGCGCAAGAGGATGTTCAAGCCGTCGTAGATAGTGCGGAGGGACTCGTCGCCAACGAAGACTACAGCGTCAAAACGTTCGAGGATCATGCAGATCTCAGTTGTGGTGTACCAGCGATGGTGGCAGTCTGTACAAGTGTTATCATCGGCGGTGCAGCTATCCTCTGTGACTGACCTGCTGGGGTGTACGGAGTATCGAAGCCAATTCGTCCCCCATTAGACATGGATGAGAGAAGAGACTTGCGGGTAGAGCAGAAAGCGTTGTAGTCATATTGACCGAGCTCATTTCGAGGTGGTGGAGTATAGAGGTCGGTGGCTTTGATGTTGCATTGAGCGTCGCCTTCGAAGGGTGCGAAGTAGCTAGAGCAGTCAGCACAATATCACATGTAAAGGTTGTCAATATACGTTGAGAAGTCCTGATAGGTGATGGGGATCTTGTCGGCTTGGCCTGGCCGAGTCCAGTGGCCTGGAAGTGGGAGGACCTGCCAAGCGATGAACGATAGGAAGGCAATGTAGCTGAAGGCACAGATCTTGAAGGCGACGTGGAGCCAGTTGATATCGTCGATGAAGTCGTCAATTCGGTGCAGAATGCGAATTCGAAGAGGGATCTTGCGGAAGCGAAGGATGCCTTCAGGAGGGTTGGGAAGATGGTCTTTCTCCTTCACGTTCTCCATACTATCGACTCAGGGTGGCCAAAGTAGTCAGCGGTCAGAGAATATGATGCACGTAAGCCCTGAGTTGAATAAATAAGGACAGGAGCAGTTTGGAATCCCATGAAAATGTTTCGCAGAAACAGTTGTTGCCGACGCACTTGCATCACAAAACACTAGTCACAGTCACCAGAGAGTCACCGCTTGTCCCTTGCTTTTAGCTCACCTTCACCTCACTGGTGCTTTTGGGGACAAAGTTGATATTGGGAGGGTATCTGGGCGGCCTTGTCTACTGCAGTCGGTCTCGCCCACAGAGCTTCGTAGACATTGAGATTGGCGGAGAGATATCACCTCCAGGAGCCTGCCGACAGTCACCTGTTAAGAACCATGGGAACTCCAGTCTGCTAGTACTGCTGCTTTGCCATAAAGCCTTCGATTGTACCAGAGAACACAGTTGTGAGCCTCCCCGCCCCTGATAGACACCGAGCTTGCTGAGACGTGATAAGTAACGTCTCCATGCTGTCGCCCGGTCTGGCTGCACGCTGCGTCTCTATCATGAAAATCCAGGTTCTCTATTTCGATTCCATGCCTGGAGTCTGAAGCTCCCATAATAGCGCATTTCTCACATGCAAAGGAAGTGAGTTGAAAGAGGTGCAGTTTTGTCGATGCTCGGTTCCGAAGCAACATCACGTGACGCTGATCTACACCGAAGGACGCAAGCCGAACGCCAGCCTGAAGGATGGTACAGGTCAGTCGTCTCACAGCATCTTCCTGCAGTCAACCACGCTCTCACGTGTCTTGAACGGGAAGGGACCGGAGGCACTGCTGCTGGGAGGTCTAGAGTCGTCCAGACTCGGTCAACAGAGTACCGCATCATTCACCCGCGGAAAGGAAGCTGGACATTAGACTGTAAGCGGGAGTTGCAGTCTTTCCACCAGCCTGTTTTCGACTACAGTACCCATCGAGTTTGCGAAGGTTTCCGAGGACAGTGTGCAGTGTTGGTGACTCTCCTGTTCTGATTTTTCATGGAAGAGACTGTACGATTTGCTATCGAGATAAGCCATCATGGGACGATACATCGACAGGCGAGCAGATGCCTTGCATGCCAATGATGCCCATCATGACCGATAATCTTGCAAATGGCGTGTCAAGTTGCGCTATCAGTCGCTTCGCCGTGGAGCTATCGAGGTGGCTCTACATCTGGCCTGGTGCACGCCACCCATGCTGCTGGATTTTTCTGTTGGCGCTGTCCAAGCAGTAACCAAAAACTGCGGTAGGCTATCGACGTATTCACCACTCTGGATTGGTTCTTCTGGGTCGCGTCCGCCTATGAATGACGCTCTGAACCGAGGACGGAGGTGTTCTTGAGAGGTCAAGCGAACAAGGAGGACCCAACTACCGGCTATCGAATGCTCGCACGATCCGTGGTAGACTGCCCTGCGTACTGTCGGGACTTGGTATGGGTCACATATCACAGGATTTAAGAAGCGATCCTATCGCGACCAGACGAGAGATATTACGCAAAGCATCGAGAGGGCGCGACCACGGGTCGTGGTTGTATGTCCCATGCTAGACAGCGTATGGGAACTCAACAAGATCTCCGAGGAGATCTCGAAACTACATCTGGCTGACGCCTTATCGCTGCTGGGATGGGAGTTGTGAAGGCCAAGACGACAGATTTCACTTGGAAAAGCGGAAGCATATCCACGTCAATTGTACCCTTCTCCCCGGGAATGACTGCACATTCCCACATCGACAACGATCGAGCAAATGACGTCTCCGTGCTCAAGGAGAGCCCAATAGCAGACAGTCCTTATCAAGCGAAGACCCATGACGAAGTGCACCACCAGCCTTGCTGCCTCGGAGATGCAGATCTCGCTGAAGGGGATACCGCGAAGCCGGATCCAGTTGGACGATCATTTGGAAGAGATAGCAGAACATGGAGATTCCACCACAGATTTGAGCCCCTCAAGATCTAGGGAGGGACAATCTCTGACCTCCTGTTCGTAGGGAGGCCGTGCCAAGTGATAAGAAGAGTCTTGGCAATGGGACTTCTCTTGACACACTTGCGGGGGATGATCTAGTGCAACACATTGACCAGCATGGGTCGCCATGAATCGGGAACCGCATTCATATAATATGCGCAAGGCCATCGCACCATGCAGTCTCGCCTTGTTCGCAGTGTCAAGTGGCCTACCTTACGGACACGCCCTTCGTCAGCTTCTGCCTCGGGCGAGACATTCACCCTCGTCACTCATCACGGTAGCATTGAACACTCGGCGTTGATCGTGCTGTTCAGTCAACATGGTCAAACCATCACTCCTATGGGAGGCCCCTGAGGTCAACCCTATCAACCACAAAGCCCGCTCTATACCAGTCTTCAATGTTATAAACATGTACGGGAGAGTCTTCTTCTTTTCGTGGTGGGGTTTCTTCATCGCCTTCTGGTCTTGGTGTGAGTACTGTTCAGGTCGAGATTCTCTTGAGGTATCGACTCGCTGACAACTTAAAGACGCTTTCCCACCCTTGATGACCGTCACCATTCGCCGAGAGTTAGAGATGACCCAAGCAGATGTTGGCAATTCCAACATCGCTGCCTTGACTGGCACTCTCTTGGTCAGGTTCCTGGCAGGCCCGGCATGTGATCGATTCGGTCCACGGTGGACATATATCGGAATTCTCGCAATGGGTGCCATCCCTACCGCGCTCTCTGGACTGGTGCGCAATGTACCCGGACTCATTGCTATTCGCTTCTTCGTTGGCATTCTTGGCGGCACATTTGTTCCCTGTCAAGTCTGGTCGACAGGTTTCTTCGACAAAAATGTGGTTGGTTCGGCAAACGCACTTATTGGCGGCTGGGGTAATGCTGGCGGTGGAATCACCTACTTCCTCATGCCTCTCATTTACGATAGTCTGAAGGAGGACAGTGGCCTTACTTCTCCACAAGCGTGGCGAGTGGCTTTCATCGTCCCCTTCATTCTGATCACCGCTACGTGCTTAGGCATGTTCTTCTTCTGCCAGGATACACCGACCGGCAAGTGGAGCGAGCGTCACAATGCAGCCAAGCACTTGTTGGCCGCACATGGCGTTCAGACGTCCGTATTGGACGCAGGGTCAAGGCCCGTCGATGCGTCAACCGATCCTTCGCCTACTCCCAGTGGCGTGGCTACTCCTCGAAATGACGAGAAAAGGACGGATGGGTACCCCGAGACCAAGCGCGATATCGAGCGTGGCAGTGTCCACGGAAGTATCACCGCCTCTGTTGCCAAGGAGGCGCATATGTCAGAAGAGGAAATGATTGCAACGGCTCGTGGTGAGATCGTCGTGGCGCCAACCTTCAAAGAAGCTTGCAAGGTCTTCTTTTCACTGCAGACGGCATTCCATGCATGCACCTACGTTTGTTCCTTTGGCGGAGAGCTCGCCATCAACTCCTACCTGGCATCTTACTATCTCCGCAACTTTCCGCACCTTGGACAAACAAATGCGGGACGATGGGCGTCTATGTTTGGCCTTCTGAACGTTGTCACCCGCCCATTGGGCGGAATCATCTCCGACCTTCTCTATGCACGCACCCACTCACTGTGGGCAAAGAAGGCATGGATCGTGTTCGTCGGTGTCATTTCGGGAGCTTTCAACATCGCCATTGGCCTAACCGACCCACGCAATGAGTCCATGATGTTTGGGCTGATCGCAGGCATGGCGTTCTTCCTGGAGGCTGGCAATGGGGCTAATTTTGGCCTCATTCCCCACGTTCGTAAGTGCTTTACCCCATTCCTGGATTTGCTGTATAAGGCAACATCATATACAGCGTTGTGCGGCGGCATCAGGAGCAAGTTCTGCTTGAGGCACTTGAGCCTTGGCTTTGCCAAGACTCCACTCTCTCTCCCCGTCTTCCTCCATGTCCTAGTCTCGAGTCTGGTTACTAATTTCCTTGTCTACAGATCCACATGCGAACGGCATAATCAGCGGTTTCACAGGAGCCGCCGGGAATCTTGGCGGAGTCATATTTGCCATCCTCTTTCGTTTCCATGGCAGCGACTACCAGGAGAGCTTCTGGATCCTGGGCATCATGGTGGTTGGATTCAATTTGGTGTTCTGCTGGGTGCGTCCTATCCCGAAGGGTCAGATCGGTGGTCGTTAGCGGGACCTTTGTGGCAAGTGTGCTGGCCATGGGAAAGGACGATGGACGAACATAGCAATGATGTTCAGAATATTATCCCACTTAATACCTGTAGACAAGCTCTTGTGATTTGAAGACTACTGGGGACTGTGAACGCAGGCTATCGGTCATAAACGGGTAACCCCTGCTCAACTTGCAGTCAAGCTCTAACTCCCACATATATGCTACGCAAGGTCTTTTGTTGTGTCCATCTTTCTCGCGCTGCCAAAGAGGAGATTTTTGTCGGCATCAATACGGTCAGCGATAAATATCGGTACGAGGTCGCTCAACCCTGAACATATCTGCTCTCCGTGATGTTTATGCCCGAGCGAAAGACTAAAAGGGTGACACGTTTGGAGAACGATTGGTAGGCGCAAGAAATCGTGATATTCTGCGTCCACACTCGGCCCAATACACTCCAAGAACAACGTCTCCCACGACTCGATAGTTTCGTACTGCCGGTCACATTCGTCCGATCCAGAGCACAAGTGACCAGCATACTAGTCAGTGGAAGTTGATCTCAGTTCAAGCTACGTACGTTCTTTTCACATGGCAGGAGCAAACAAGCTCTGTCGCGCCAAGAGCTGCTCCCCACCGAGGCTGGGCACTGGCGAGTGCAGCTCCGCAGCTCCTGGGCACGAGACTCTCGAGGCGTAACGAGTGGTGACTCGAAATGCCCTTTCCTTACCTCATGCTACACAACTACCGTGTGACCACTCATTCGAGCTCGATCATTTACCCCATCACTACCGCCATCCTTAGCTACGTAGACTCTGAGTCTAGTCAGCCTCCCAGCGGGACCTAGAGGCTGCTACGTCAGTCCCAGAACATCCTCGGCGGGGCGGCAGGTTCGAGGTCGGGGAAGTTCGGACGTGGGGAGCAACCATCCTCCAACACTTCCCGCGCGCTCGCAGAAAGTCGTGACTGCTTTTCTTCGATTGCTCACACGACTGTCTTTGAGCTCGACAACGTCCCTTCACTCAAGTTGCTACCCCTTCCGCTGCCAGGCCGCAAGGCCTGACATACCCTCCGCCATGTCATGGAAGCCCTCTGAGAAGCTGCTGAGCACCATCTCCCACTATGCCTCTTTCCCTCCGACCGGCGTCTCGTTGCGCCAGATGGTCCAGTTCGGCGAGAAGCCCTCTACCGGTATGTTTGGTGCCTCTACTACTGCCTCATCCTGACCGAGTTCACAGGAACCCTCTTTAGAGCCTCTCAATTCCTCTCCGAAGAGCTACCCGTTCGCTTGGCTCATCGAGTAGAAGAGCTCGGCAAGCTCCCGGATGGCCTCAACGAGATGTCCTCCATCCAGAGGGTGAAAGATTGGTACATGCAGTCTTTTGAAGAGATCACGGATCTACCCCGTCCGCAGCTCGACAAGTCTACCAAGGACCGTCTGCTGAGCCCTCCCAAAACCTCCTCGAATCGTCTTTCGCAGACCACTCGCAATCCTTCGTTGAGGTCATCCGATGGTGCGAATACGGGCAATGGAAGCAATTCACGTCGCTACTTTGCCGCCATAGACGATGGCCAGGTCTGGCCTCCCGAGCTTGCAGACTACAACAAGAAGTTCTCGCGCTGTCTCGAGCAAATCAAGCGTCGCCATGATCCAGTCGTGACCACCGTTGCCCAAGGCATCAACGAATACAAACGGAAAAAGCAGCGCATGCAGATAGATTCCTCGATACAGTCCTTCCTCGACCGCTTTTACATGTCGCGCATTGGTATTCGTATGCTCATTGGTCAACACATTGCTCTTACCGATCAAGCCAACCACCGCCACCAAAACTACGTTGGCATAATCTGCACGAAGACAAATGTCAAAGAGCTCGCCGAAGAGGCCATCGAGAACGCCCGTTTCGTCTGTGAAGATCACTATGGCTTATTCGACGCGCCCAAAGTCCAGCTCTTCTGTCCAGACCACCTCAACTTCATGTATGTCCCTGGCCACTTGTCACATATGCTGTTTGAAACGCTCAAGAATTCGTTGCGTGCCGTGGTTGAGACACACGGCGCCGAAAAGGAGGATTTTCCAGTAACCAAAGTTATTGTCGCAGAAGGCAAAGAAGACATCACAATTAAGATTTCGGACGAAGGTGGTGGGATTCCGAGATCGGCAATTCCGCTGGTCTGGACGTATATGTATACAACCGTCGACACCACTCCGGAGCTGGATCCAGGCTTCAACGCCTCGGACTTCAAGGCTCCCATGGCTGGCTTTGGCTACGGTCTGCCCATCTCACGCTTATATGCCAGATATTTCGGAGGTGATCTCAAGCTGATCAGCATGGAAGGGTAAGTCCAAGTCTCACCGTGTTATTGTTTTCCAGCCAATGCTAATACTCAGCAGCTACGGCACCGATGTGTACCTCCATCTCAACCGTCTCTCTTCCTCTTCAGAACCCCTGCAATGACAATTCGCCGCCATTCCGCGGGGCGCACATTCCAACAGTCCCGCCTTGAACCCCTACTCAAAGCGTCAGCCATCATCATATGGCGACGTCAACGACGACGACGACGACAATGATCGGATCAGGGTCAACGGGCGGGAGTCCCGCGGATTGGCTCACAGCACCAGCCTCGCCGCAGCGGCGACTGGCAAGCGCATGAAGACAGGCGAGGTCACAATGAGGAAGCAGGTGGGCGATACGGAGAGCATGATCAACGAGGAGGTCGGGACCGGCTGGTTAAGAAAGCAGGGAGAGGACGAGTGGTTGGAGTGAAGCAGCCGAGCATGGCCTGACATTTAAGGAGACTCGGTCAGACTAGTGCAGGCATCATCGCAGTTTGTTCAACAACGTACAAGGGCGGTTTAAGGGCTAGGTCGCCACGGTCTTCGGCGAGATCGAGCGAGTAAAGTATCTGGATATTGTGCCAGATGGCCCAACAAGGATTTTGGATAAGACGAGAGACGGCAAAGTACACAGCGCAACAGGCAGTGGGTGATGAGCGACGATATAGCAGCTAGGAAAAACACTATATCATAACGACGTCCAATCTGTGCTCTGCTGTGCAATGATCGCGAACGTGAGCCCTTGATGAAGCCGAGAATGGCTCTCTCGACGATCCAGGAGTGGTCGAAAATGAGCGGCAACGGATTGGACGCAGAGACCCGCGCCGTACTGCGAGGGCCATGATGCTTCGCGCGACACGAGAAAGCAAGGCTGGGTGATGGAGCGAGGGGAGTACTGTAGTACCAAGCACCTAGGAAAAGCAGCGGGAATCTCGCTGACATAACGGTCTCAATTCGTCGTGTCTAGCAGCTATTTACCTGGCTTGTCATTCAACGCCAGACAATCATCGCCTCCCATGTCTCGAGAAGCTCACCTTCCTCTTGTTGTGCTTGTTAGCCCTTCCTCCACCCTGCTGAGGCGCGCCTCTGCTCTTCTCAACACCCAGTCCTTTCCGCGCGTGCTTCGGATCATTGCCCTTCTGGCCCCCCTTGCCACCCACGCTGCCCGTGCTGCCGGCGCTGCCGGCGCGCCTGTGCTTCTTGCTGAGTTGCCCGCCGACGGCCTTGGCTTCGTCGTCGTCGAGCTCCATGGCATCGCCACCGCGTTGCTTCTGTGACGACTTGACCTTCAAGCGGCCTTTCTGGCCGCGGCGCACGGCATCGGGGCCGTCGACTGCGGCGACGTAGGCGTCTACACCGCCGCCCTCGCTGGCATCGCCATTGGTGTTCCTTCCCATGAGAATGTCATCGTCGTCGTCGTTGCCAAAGACGAGTTTTCCGTCCTCGTTGGTCCTGGCCTTGGTCTGTCTCTTGCCCAGTGCATCCTGGCGCAAACGGCCGATCTTGCGGGACGTGATGCTTCCTAGAGACTTTGGATCGAGCAGATCCAGAGGCTCGTCATCCTCGTCGTCTTGGCGGATGAACTGCTGACCTCTGTCATTCTTCGATTGCTTGCTCTGGGTGCGTACTTTGACGCCGCTCATTTCGTCGTCCTCATCGTCGGAGCCGATGACGCTGTCCGAGTCTTCGTCGGAGCCATACACCGCTTCATCGTACTCGTTGTCATATTTCTTGTCATGTGCATCTTCCTCCTCGTCAGCTCCGGCCTCTGCCCCCTTCTTGCGCTTGGCCCTTTCCTTACGCTTGCGCACGTTCTTGACCATCTTGGCACCCTCCTCGTCGTCAACCCAGCGCTCAATATGGCTAGCATCCCAGCGGCGGAGCACTCGTTCGAGGATACCACGGACTTTCTGTCGCAGACGGCCCTTATTCTCCTTACTCCAGATCATGCATCCCTTTAATATGGCCTGAATGCGTCCTTTTGCTTCTAGAAGATCCGTCGGAAGAACTACAACAGCCACCTTGACGAAACCTAGTACGGCTCGTACGATCTCGCGGGTATTGCTATCGATGAACATGAGCATTGTGTCGAGCATGTCTTCCCTTACTTCGGCATTCAGCTGCGCCCGGTACTCATAGAGTAACCTGGACAGTGCAGTGATGCTCGCTGCGATAACGTGGGGCGCCACACCTGCTAGGCCTGCAGACGCCATGGTGAAGACTTCTTCGACAGAGCATGGCACGTCGGGAGCGTCATCTGGCATGTGTGGTACCAAACTGTTGCGGATTTTCGAGCCCTTCTTCCCCTCTGCCACAATTCGAGCGGCCAGAGCGAGTAGAACATCGAAGCCGGCGGTGCGGGCGCGCTCATTCGCATCCTTGCAGGCAAGCACGACCTCGCTACTAATTGATGGGATGAAATGCAGCTCGGACGATGGCAGATACTCGATCAAGGTGCCGATGGCCATCAGTCGATCTCTCCTCGCTGGTACCGGCGTACTGTCTGCGGTCTGTATAATGAGTTGGCGGAGTTCGGAATTGCGCTCTCGTAGAGCCGCAGCGCCGGCAGTAGAGGTAGATAGACGGGGGATCAGCTTGTAGGCCTTCTTGATGAGCTGAGGATCTGACTTTTGCAGAGCCTGTGAGGTAAGGAGAGTGGAGGCGAGAGCGAAGAGCGACGGAAACTTGGTACGTGGGAGGTGTACTGAGAGAGCGATGATGAGGTCGAGGAGGGTGTGCGAGGTTGGCGGCATCTTGTTGCTGGGAGGTTGCTGCTGCTGCTTCGGTGGCGCTGACTTCCCAGGTTGTGGGAGCTCGCTCTCCAGCATGGTCGCTACACGGTCGTAAGTGGCAGTGAGATCGGCCTCTGGAGTGGCTGATAGGTAGGCGTTGATACACTGGAGAATGTAGGCGCGAGATTGTGGAAGCGTCTGGCTGTATACGTTGAAGAGGACGGCAAGCAAATTATTCGCAAAAGTCGATATATGAGCAATGTTAGCCTCGGCATCCGCCCGAGAGAGCCGTCGTTCCAGTGTCAGAACATCGTCCGGAAGGTCGGAGGCCAGAAGAGCCTGATTTGACTCGACAAGATTTTGCAATCCTCGGCAAAGATCGACGCGAAGATCAGCCTGTTGGTAGAGAAGATTCGAGATCAGCTCTGCAAATGATTGATCAAAGGCCTTGGGAAGATCGAGAGGCAGGTCACAATAGCCGGGAAAGGTTGCCCAAACTTGCTGTACAACTGTTTCGAATATCTTGATGTCCATAGTCTTCTCAGCACTGCCGTGGTTGAGAACACGTTGAAACATAGCCTCACTCAGAGGCAGTAGGTCGGACTTGAAATGAGCCAAGTTCGTGTTCGAGACATAGTCTCGAAGGAGTGGAAGAAGCCAAGCACGGCCAGGTTGGCCTTTCTGTGGGGTAGTAAGGTTGTGCGGTAGCACGGATAGAACAACGGCAGGTCCCAGGTTGCGGATAGCCTGTCCGAGAACATCATCTGCCTCTTTCTTACCTCCAAAGCCATCATTACCACGAAGGTCTCCGATTGACTTCACGATGGGTAGCAGGAACGGATCTCCTCGCCATCTGAGGGCATCGAAGAGAGCAGCGATGGCCTGAAAAACCTCAACCCACGCCGACTGATACTTGACAGCGAGGAGGCCAAGTGTCCGGCTTGCTAGCAGCTCCAGAACTTTCTCATCGTAGACTGAGGGGTCTGAGATGACGGAGTCTGGGATGCAATTTGCGAAGAAGGAGATGAGACACTCCGACGCCGAGACTCTGATGTTCCTAGTATTGCTAGTCAGGTAGACCACAACAAGATCAAAAAGCTCAGGGAGCTTGGCAAATGTATCTTCCGGCTCGACAGAGGCGGAGGTACCGTAACCTCTTGAGATAATGGCTATCCATGGTGGGACGAGTTGCGAATCATTATGTGCGGGCTTCAGGTCCACAATCGCATCAAGCAGTCGTGGTAGCTTCGAGGACGCAACTTCATCCTCCATGCCCTCGAATATTACCTCGAACACCTCGAACGCGCTGGTGACCAGGTAGTCGTTCCTGGACTTCGATAGGGTAAGCAGGAGCTCGCATAGAGGCTCAATCTTCTTGCTCGGCCATCCACCCGAGGCTGTCGCCACAGTTTTGGTCAACTGCAACGCATGAATTACAGCTGGTTCGTGGCTGTCATCTGATCGACCCTTGTGCCGCCGGGCCTGATGTACGGCCTCGGCGGCATGCTTGAGGTTGTTCTGGGAAGCTACTGCGCACATCTCGGCAGCCGGATGATCGAGTGCTGGACCCGGTGGCGGGTTCTTGAGAATTGCAGTCAGCGCCTCCTGTGCTCTCTTCCTAACTTTTGGTCTCGGATCAATGGCTAGACCCAGTAGAGCAGGTATAGCCTGTCTCGGCCCAGGCTGTGATTGTGGTAGTGCCCACGCTTGTGAGTCTTGTGCGAGAAGTAGCGACTCCAGGCAGCCGACTGCCGAACGCAGTAATGGTGCATTGGATCCTGAGGCTGAAACATATGGTATCAAAAGTGTCAGGATGCTATTGAACTGCGAGCGTAGGAGACCTGTTGGCACGTGGGATGTGACAATGTCGAGGAGGTATATCGTAGCCGCCGCGACGCTATCTTCCTCATCTTGCTGGCTCGACGCTGATGCCTGTTTCAGTAGAGCCAATGATGAGGCGAAGTATGCCGTAGCTGTAAGTTCCAGGTTCTGGTCACGCAGCGTCTCTTCTATGGAGGCCAAGGCATTTCGAGTCTGGTGTGGTCAGTACAGGCTTTGGGGCGGAGTTGCTGGTACTCACATGTTTCTGGTTCTCAAGGTTTGGCGACCGGATTTTCGCCAACTTCTCTTCGAGCGACATCTTGCGCTTGTGGTTGATGTAGGTATTCCAAAGCCGGAACGGGCGACTGGTGGCATGCATCAGCTTTTTTGTGAAATTCGGCCGGCAAAACTCCTTCACCGCCTTTGGGGTTCAGCCTCGCTATCCGTTTGCGGGGCAGCGAGGCTGAACATCCCCCGAAGAACAGTCGCAGGAGAAGGGCAGCAGGCTTCGAGTTCAGAGAATGAAGGTGTTGAGGGTTCCAATAAGGATTTTGTCTACTATCCTTCGATCACTCCTCACCTGTGAGACCAGAGTGCATACACCAGAAGGGCTTATTGGATCAACACGCCTCACGGTATACACTCGTTAATCTCTTTGCACTTGACGAGTATCCTGCTGTACAACTCAATTGTTTCCGGAGTGAGTGCCAGTGAATGCCGAGCTCTCTATCTATGTTCGACGCGGGAGAGTCTGTTCTGCGTGCGGCTATTTGTCGTTTCCAAACCAGTTCTGAATGATTGGGTCCGGCTCGGCCCCAACTGCCACTTGCTCGAAATAATACCTCGTTCGAGGAATAGACTGTACGAGAACAATCAGCACCTGACTGTGCTCCTTTCAAATGTCTGACAACTTACTTTCTGGTTCAGATTCGCATACTTGATCAGTAGCTGATAATTCGCCAGTATAAGAATGGCTCGCGTGACCTTCGCTTCCTGGCCATAGTCTCCCGACGGGTGATGGGCGCTGGTCGTGGCTGGCATTGATGTTGGTAACATGGCTTGACCTGGCCCTCGCGACAGACTCGTACTCATCGTATGTTCCCAGAGATAAGGAACAAAAGAAGGTGGAAAATGTGGGTCGGGGTCTGCAACATCCAAGGTTCGAACAGGGATACATGCATTCACGGCCAGACCCGAGCAGGAGAAGTCTAGATTGCGGGTTCCTGTGTATCACGTCAACTGCTGCATTCAACACCAATTGCAAGACCGGCGAAGGAGCGACTAGGCAGGAGATATTGAAAACCACCTCTCTTTCCCAGCTAATATACAGTCTTGTTGAACGTCGAGCCATCCAGGATTAGGCTTCGGCCCACCTACGACGGAACATACAGCGTCGCCTAGGTGATATTTGGTGAAGCCAAGTACCTATCTACGACTCTTGTGGAATTTTCTTTGTATTCAGGGCCTGCCTACCCCCTGATGTTGCAGCCAGATCCTGTTCCCGCTATGATACATCAACTCTGGTATATCAGGTGAGAGCACATAGTGTTTCCCATCTTCAATGTAGAAACTTTCTTTCCGTTCGATCAAATTCCATCGTGCCCGTCTCGATCGTCAAAAGAGTATTCTAGAGCCTCCGAGTAGCCTCTCACGGCCATCAGTCCACTTTCAGATACCAATCCCTCACAAACGCCCATGTATGCATGGTTCATGCCGCTAAAGATGCGATGAGTCAATTCAATAATGATTCCCCCGATTGAGGTTGAAATTATCCATTAGTTTCAGGAGCAGTCGTCCATGAGTGTGTTCTTCGGCCAGCTGTAGTCAGTCATTGACCTAAGAGAAACGTTAGTCCAAAACGTGTGCAGTTTGGATGCTAGCTTACCATCTTGTGATGTTGGGATTGGTGTAAACGTCCAGATGGTTTGCGATGTACCCAGTCGTCTCATAGCCTTCCGGATCGCAGGTCAGCTCTCCATCAGAGTCCTGATAGATGCGAACATAATCGACGCTCATCGTAGCTGGAAATTGCTCAGTGAGGTGGGTCAGATTGAGGGCCGAGAAAGTTGGTGACATTCCCACATTGAGGATGACATACATCGGCTCCTCCGGGATCTTTCTGCGGCCAATGTTTCCGTTGGGTCCAAAGGCATTGGCGTGAGTTCGCCACACTGGAGTGTCATCGCCAACGTACCATATGACGTCGCCATCATCGCCCAGGCTGTACTCAAACGCATAGACCTGCCATCCACCACGGTTCTCGTACCAGTCGTTGTTCAGGTTTGTGAGCCCTGAGATGGATTGCTGGAAAGGGCCTCCTTTATACTCGTTGATCCGGGTGATAGAGTAGTCGTAGACTTCCATCCAATCGCCATCGGCCTGGTACCAGATATCGAAGGGCGCTACCTGAAACGTCTGAGAAACGTGGCCGATGTTGTTGCCAGAGTCATCATACGGAGCAATGGTGGCCTCCAGAGCATCCAATTCCGGGGCTGACCTCGACTTTCCAGGCGTGGGATGATCTTCGCCTTTGCAGGTACAGGCTGGCAGCCGCATACCTGGGAGCCAGCTAATGCCGTCTGACTGGCTTTGATTGGGGGTGATGCCAGCATCGCATTTATCCTCGTATGAATACGGCCACATACCCTCAGTTGTTGCTGCATAACCTGCCCTGCCAAGATTGCCCAATGTCCAGAAACCAGGCCAGAGTCCCACCGTGTCGCCGCTGGCTGGAAGCTGAAGTTTTGCCTCTAACCGGCCACCTTTGAAGCACATCTGGTTCCAGCTCTGCAACATGCCAGATCGGTAGTTGAGACCGTGGCTTTGGAAAGCGTCGAATCTAATCTTCAGGGAGCCATCGTCCGTGGTAATGGCATCCGGATCGTACCATTCAAGATTTTCTGTCACACCGTACCACAGATCCACCGCGTGCCAATAAGGGTCGTCACCATCATAGAAAGGCCGACCAGGGGTAGAGAATTCGTCAGAGAAGGCAAGCTTCCAGGTGTTTCCATGGAAATCCTTCTTCTGCAGTGCCTCTGGGGGAGTGTTTGGGTCGATCAGAGATGTTCGCAGGTTTTTGAGCAGGGGTTGAGTCGAGTCCAGGCAAAGACTGTTGCCCGCGCAGGGGTTTGTCTTGGAGATATAGCTTTGAACAAACGTGCTGCAAGGGTCAGTAAGTCATTCGGTAGGGAAGGGAGATACACGAACAGGACAGGATAGCCGATGAACAAACATAATAGTCCTAAGACGATGAACGCTAAACCTCCGACATTGACCAGACCTCGACGGGTGAAGATGTCGCAGTCTCTGGGTTCGCCGCCAGGATCGGGGTTGTGCAAATAATCATCTTTTTCAACGTCTTCGGGAAACAATAACAAGCCTGCTGAAGGTGTGATGTTGTACTTTTCCGAAACCGTCTGCGTGTTGAGATCGTCTTCGCTACCACTGCGGGACGCTGGCCTCGAAGAGTCATCATCTCCCTCTCCGAAAGGGTTGTGAAATGCTCTGCTATCGCCTGTTCTTTCCGACTGCCAACTCGATCGTCGCGAGGAGGTGGTGTTGGCATCGTCGAATGGAGACCGCGCGGGAGAGCCGTCACCCCTTCTGAGGGGCGGGATTAGCTGTTCTTGCGAGCCGCTATTTTGTTGGTAAACATTTGGCGACGGTGGAGCAAGGTGACGTTGACTTGGTGAGTTCAGTGTAATATGAGGAGGCGCGGGCGGAGGCGAGAAGGGATTGTTGGAATTCATCGTGTAGCGCTCGTACACGCAAGGTGTGAAAGGCGGGTTTGATTGTTTAGGGAAGGAGCGTTCGCATCGATTGCAGTAGACCCATGCGAGACGCGTAGAGTATATCTGGAGCGATTTGTTACAGACGAGCCTCCGTGAAGTCGCTGGAGTTGCTACGCCTTTCTCTGCCTGCAGGAAATCGAGCTTTGTTTAGGGGTAGCGGGATACGGGGTAAAGAGCGTGGTAGGGGCCGCTGCGGTGTCAAGATTCGTTTGTTGGGCACAGAGAGCGAAATCAATAACGAGCGAGGCACTCTATGTGCATACGACAGTAGCAGAAATAATGAACGGGGAGTGAATGCGTGTGTAGCTGCGTTGACACTGGCAGCATTCTCAGGATTCGAGGAGGCACCAAACGAGCCAGACCCCGTTACAGGAAGGAGGCCCCTAAAGACGGGCTTTACGGAGTAGCTAAACCAGATCTTGCTTTAGCGAGACCATGTATCCAGCCCCCTAAACCAATCAACTGCCTTCCTAATGGTGTACCTGCAGCTGCTCGACGACAATTCTCCTTGGGGAATCATCTTGCAGCAAGCTCATGTAGGGCCAGACCAGAATCCTGTCAAGCGCTGGGAATTCTTCATAGCACCTATGAAGTGTTCTGATGGTGTTGCTAGTGACTGCCCGAAGGATCGCTCGGGGCGGGCCCCGGGCGGCCGTCTGGCTGCAGCCCATGTGCGCAAATAAAAGCTAAATAATGTGCCGCAGCAACAGCAGCACGAGTCCCGACTCGTCGGCCACCGCAATGCAAACCGCGTCTAACAAGCGATACGGTTGCCCTTGGCTGCACTGCCACTGAGATGTGCTATCGACGGAAAGTTTCTCAACTGTCCCCATGTAGCTGATTCTTCGGCATTGATCAGATCCAGTTATCACTGTTTCAATGAGTACTATCTACGTTGGTAGGAATCTGTCAGATCCAAGACACACTACGGGCTTGCATCCCGCCCCGGCTGGATCTGTCGCTCTTCACCTAGCCGCCGAGATCCATCTTCATCCAATCGCAGCCGTTAACTCATCATTCTGAATGCTCTCTGTTCAGCACCCTTCAGTGGAGCGGGCAAAAGATCAGACATCCTAACTATTATTCTCTACAGTGTTGTTACAAAGCGATTGTGAGGTCAAGATCAAGCAAGACCGGCCCCACGACGCGCGTTCGGCATGTGCAAATATCGATAACATGCTTGTCTGTAGATCATGGACCTGATGCCGTTTGATTCCGTTTCATCGCGTCTGGGCTCAAGAGAGATTGGTTCCACTCGTCGAGCAGCATGAAACATTTTGGATCTTCTTAGGTTCGCTGAACGACCTGCCAAATATGTTCCAGAACACAATCAGTGTTGCCGCCGGCTAGTCGCTGCAGTCCCGAGCAGCGGTATCCGTACATTGGTCAGCGATCCACAAGTTGATCATTGATCAGCCAGCAGATCAAAACCTCAGCATATACTCGGTAATACGAGAAAATTCGCAGGTGCGCGCCCAATTGAGTGAACCCAGCACTGGCAGCCTTGATGAGGACAGCCTCATTCGAACATTCTGTACCCATAAACGTAACTTCGTTCTAGGCAGAGCTTCTTGGGTTCTGCGAGATTCTTGAACTCCGAACTCCTGTGTCAAGCAGTGGCTGAAGGCGTGTGCTTGGACCGCCGTAGCAAGCAGAAGATTACGTCACAGGCAAAAGTCACTACCACGACGCGCTTACGAGTCTCGCTGCTTCAAAGCAGATGCTGTACTTATCTGCCAGAGCCTTGAATCAATTGAGATCTTCAAGACGCAACCGCGTCGTTACCTCACTGTGCAGCCTCGCAAATCCAACCGGTAGATGTAGAGTTGCTCTCTCAAGACATCTTCCCAGATACGCCGCATTTTCACGCACCATGGCCGACGACACATCGTACATGTCCTTTCTAAACAAAGCCAATGCTTACGAGCCCAAATCAGCAGTTCAAGAGACCACATCAACCTCTCAAGGCCGGTCCAAATTCGACCCCACCAGCACAGGTTCTGCCTCAGCCGCACCAAAAGCAATCGCAGAACTACTCTCCTCAACACAACCTCACTACACCTCGGAGACAGATGCCCCCTTCGAGCCCTTCTTTGCACCCTACTCCGGCAAGAGCCTGCCATCTGCGGCTGACTTCGTAAAGTCTCTGGGAACGACCGGCTCCAGCGACATAGAGGAGCTCACCGCGGATGACTTCAATCCAAAAGGCCAGTATAGCAATGTCATTGACGCTGTGAAAGCTTCCGGTGATGGAAACATCAAGGTCTATCGACTAGAGGTCAGCAGCACGAGGGCGGTGTATTTCATTGTCACTCTCGCCGAGGGAGAGTCCAAGCTGGTGGGACTTAAGGTGGAAAGTGTCGAGAGCTAAAGTCCTAATGTCTATCTACAATCCGTGTTTGGTTAACGATCACACAAACGCATGAACTAGGGCGCTCCGCCTCTGTCGATACACAATCTAAGGTTCCCCACATTCATGACGCGAATGGCACTGCCAAAGCGATGACCCTAGATGGGCGGGATCTTTCAGTTCGTCATACTGCTCGCTGTGTAGGTCGACGCCTTCTACGACACGCTGGCAAAGCAAACTGAAGGCCAATTCGATACCATTCTACCTGCTTCAGCCAGTCACTGACCCGTTATGCCTGAAACATCTTCCCTCTAGACCCCCTCTTCTCTGCCCATAATCTAACACCCTGTAACAACAACGATGGTTTCCGGCGAGTGGGCACTCGCCGCGTCGGCTCTCCCAGAGCATTTCGTACCCCTCCTCCGCATGCTGCAATGTACAGCCCAAATCATCTTTTGGTCCCAGTACGATGCTGGACATGCAGCGGTGCTTGGGCAGTTCCGTGAAGAATGGCTTTGGGAAGAAAATGACGGGGCGGGAGGCATGCATCCTTCACCGAACGACTCCATGTATCCATGTCATCTACGGTCAAGCGAAGAGAGCTAAGAATCAGCAAGGAACTTTGCATAAAGCTTGCTCTAGACCTACAGTACTCACTATGATAACCACTTTGCAGAAGTACTTGCTCGCGGGTCATTCTTGTCGCATAAAACTCCTAACAGCGTCCGAATGCTCCGTTGATATGTGCCCCAGCAAACAACATAGCCAGGCCCTGACTCATACACACCCGCCTTCGGATTCCTTTGCGTGGGGTCACACTTTGCTTCTATTAGTACCGACGACGGCAGGCAAGGCCGGCCCAACCCAAAGATCAGCCTTGATTACATCTCGAATCAGAACGCGCGCGGTAGAAAAGCAGCGGCTCGGTAGCGAGAGACAGAACGGTCCAAAGAGCGCATGTCCCCGCGAAGATATACATGGTTTTCACATATTTTGACAAACAAGATTCATGACTGAAGATTGGGTATTGTTTTTCATTGCTCTTCGTGGTATGCTACCTTCTCCCCATCGTGCATGAGACGTCAAAGCAGCAGCACCGGCAATGACACGTTGGCTCGTTTCATTTCGTCAACGAAATGGAAAAGGGAAACCAACGCAAAGAAAGATGCCATCATCCCCAGACACCGTGCATCAATACTTTTCGTGCGCGAAGAGCCTCATACCTCATTCGGCCCCTCCAACACCCATGACATCAGTCTATCAATAGCACACCTCACGCTCACGAGGCAGCGACGAGATCCTTCTTGAGCGTACCCAAGAACTGCCGCTTCTCGGCGGGAGTCTGGTAGGCACCATGACCGAACTTGCTGCTGGTGTCGATCCACTTGAGCTCGACCTTCTCGAGAGCCTTGCGGCTGGTGTGGTGGTACATGCTCTTGCGGAGGGTCATGACTCGCTTCTTCACGCCCGGCGTGCTGCCCTTAAGCATGATGTAATCGTTCTTGACCTCGCCATACTTGACGAAGCCGCCCATGGGGGTGATGGTCTTGGGCACGACGTCGAACTCGGTGGCGGCGTTCTTCTCATCGGTACCCTTGCCGATGCGGTACACCTTGTGGTTGACAGAAGTGCGGTGGTGGTAACCGTCCTGACCAGCACGGGCAACGGTCCACTGGACGTGAGACGGATGCCAGGCACCAATACAGGCAACCTTGCGCAGACCCTTGTGCGTCTTGCGCGGTAGCTTCTTGGTACCCCATCGCGAGGTGACGCCCGAGAACCCGTGCCCCTTGGTGACGGCAATGACATCGATCATCTCATCTTGCTCGAAGATGGTGTCGATCTCGATTGGCTTCTCGAAGAGACCGTGGCCGAAACTGACCTTGTCCTCGATGGAGCCACCGTTGATCTGAATCTCCATGAGATGTGCCTTCTTCTGCTTCAGAGGTGTAGAGCGGATCTGGGTGTGGGCAAGCACGCGCACAACAGTGCAGTATTTCTTGATGCGCTCGAGCTCGCGGGTGATGCTGGCGCCAGAGCTCTCGGAGTGCTTCTTGGCGTACTTGGTGAAAGCCTTCTTCTTGGACTTGTACCAGTTCTTGTAGAAGCGGCGCTTGAGCTCATCTGACAGGTGCTCAGCCCAGACGGTCGTCAGGGAGCGCAGGCCACGCGGAGTCTCAATGTAACCGACGAGACCGACGGCGATCAGCTATTGGATGCGTTAAAAATTTGTCAGGAGAGAGATTGAGTGGACCTTGCAACGTACAGGAGGGGTCTCGATGACAGTGACAGCCTCAACGACCTCTTTCTTGTGCATCTTCGCACCAGGGCGGTCAAGGTCGCGCACAATGGTGGTCATGCCGGCCTTGTAGCCCATGGTAGCGGTCAGGTGCACTGGCTTCTTTGGGTCATCCTTGGGAAAGCTGGGAATGTTTCAGCTTCGACTCTTGAAGAATCATGACTTAGAAGACCAACCTCTTGACTTTTCCACGGTGTCTGGAAGCTCTCTTCCGGGGCAGGAAGGCGAGCGAGCCTGATATTGTCAGTTTGTGATCATGCCATGCTTTTTTTGCGGTGGATTTTACCGTGTCGCGGCGCTTCGAACTTGCGGTGGGACCTGAGAACACGTATCAGTATCAGTCTGTGAGGTGAATCAATGCCAACTTACATCTTGTTGGTGGCGGCAAGATGCTATTGCGTTGTCGAAGAGGGAGGAAAGAAAATGTCTGCAGTCGAGGCCAGGAAAGCGGATTGAGTGTGCGCAACCCACTTTAGAAATCTTGGCGCTAGCTAAGCCGATAAGGATTTAAGGCTCGGCTAACTCCGAGACGTTGGCCAAGCGAATTTGCAGCTTAGTGCAGTGCGCTATCTGCGAGGAATAATACGATGCAGCACGAGGACAGCACTGCTCACTGACCAGGTATTATCAACAACGTGTATCTTCGTATCCTAATAAGTAGCGGCAAGCTCGTATCTCATGTGAGTGCCCGGCACCGGCCGGACCATGCACGCGAATCAACGTTTTCCAACCCATGCCACATCGTTTGGCATAACAATGCCGCGCAGGCTAAAAAATTCTAGCCCGCCAAAATAGCTCGAACATGTAGTAAATATTGAAAGGAGTGTCTTAGGCAGTCACCTCTTGCTTAGGCACGCCGTTAGACGGTGCGCCCTGGACAGGGCTATTTTTCGTAGCGGTGCCCGGAGCAGTCCCGCTGCCTCCCCTCTTATCATCTTCGCTGTTGTTATCGTAGTCTTCATCGACGTCCATTTTTCGTGCCGCAGGCTCAACGTTCTCCTTGAGCTCCTCTTGAGGGGCTTCGGCCGAGGGCTGAATGGGTGGCACCTGGGGAGCCAAGCTGTACGGGTGATGTGCCGCTTCGGACGGATGGTAATTCTCGTTCGCCCTACGCTCGTTTTCCCGTCGCGCCTCAGATGAGCTGCGACGGAAGTGGCTGCCAGGGGTAGGATTGCGATTGGGCGGACTGCCATGGTGAGGTGGCTCGTCTAGGCGAGCCCGGCTTTCCTCATTTGCAATTTTCTTCGATGGCCCAACATCAGCTTCCCACTCTCGAGCTCGCTTCATGGCTGAAGGTGGCCTGTTCTCTTCACGAGGGGTCTCAGCAGTCTGCGGAAGAGGCTGTGGAGCCGAGCTGACGCTATTCGCAATGCTGGGGAACGACTGACCACCAGGATACTGAGATTGTTGGAAGCCGCCAGTTGGTGGAGAGTTTACACGGTCATCGCGAATTGGCCGAATTTCGCTGGGTGGGCTGAAGGGACGACCGTATGGGGGCAGTGTGTTGGAAGCAGACGCGCTGTTAGCATGAGGTCCCGGTCCGCCATTCAGTGTTGGGGACGGCCGAACGTTGTTGAATGCTGGTGCCCGATCTTGCAAATTGAGTTGGGGCAAGGTTTGCGAGCCTGGGAAACCCGAAGGTCCAGCGGACTGCATCTTCGGTGACGGTGACTGTTTGCGAACAGGCCCAGGGCCTGGAGTGTGTCGAGAAGGCTCCGGGAAGCCACGAGGTGGCTCTTGTCTCGGAGATGGAGCGCGCATTGGCGGAGCACGCATGCCCTCACGGTTCTCAAAGCCATTCTGCTGGCTCGCTGGACCATTGGGCTGGTTGACTTGAGGTATGCCTCGAGTCCACTCACTGACTCGAGCGGCGTCCACTGGGGGCGGAGGCTGATGTTGGCTCTGACCACTGGGTCCGCCCCAACCCGGATTTGGTGGAACGCCGACGCCGGTTTGATAAGCTTGGGGATGAACATCCTGGGGAGCGGGCGCATTATGCTGGTTGCCGGCAGCTCCGCCACCACTCCTCAGAAGCTGGAGACGAGCCTTGATGTGGGCATTGCCTGGGTCTAGTTCTGCAGCTCGAGCGTACGCGTCAAGAGCGTCGGCGGTTTGATTATTGCAGCTTTCGTACTGAGACAGGGTTAGCATCCCTAGATCAGTTCAAGCGCAGCAAAGTACCTACCAGAGTACCGAGATCGTACCAAACCTCGGAGATGTAAGGGTTAAGACGAATGGCGCGGGAATACGCGTCCAGTGCATCGCGATACTGATTGATCTGATAATATAGCACACCGATAGAGCACCAGAAAGTAGGGTTGCGACCATCACGATACACCGCTTGTTGGTAGGCTTCGTACGCCTTAGGGAACTTCTGCTGAGCCATGTAGCAGCGGCCCAGCAGATACCAGCTTTGAGCATCTTGGTTATCTGAAGACGGGGTCAGCCATGAGTCTTCCAATGGAGCTTTGCGAGCTTACCCGACCCGACGGACTTTTCTAGGTATTCAATGGCTTGCTCTTGGCTGGCATAGGAGTTGCTCTGCTGATGGTGAAGCCAACCAAGCTGCTGAAGGACCTTGGCATGCTTAGGGTCGCGATCTAGGACACGACGATACGCAGCTTTAGCGCTTTCGAACTAAAGCGACGTCAATGGTGAGAACATGGTAAGGGACGGGAGACAAACGTCTTTCTGCTGCTCATGAACATGACCGATCTGGAACCAGATGTCTTCCTCGTTAAGGGGCCGAGGTGGGTCCGACACGATGTACTTGAAGCACTGGCGACGGTTAGTATCATGCAATAGGCGTTCGGCGCATGACTTACTTCGAGACTCTGCTGGAACTTGCTCTGCTGCTTGTAGATAATACCTAGCCTGAAGTAGATCTCGTTGGCCTTCTCGAAGCCAGGCTCCATGCGCATAACTTGCGAGAAGGCTTCCTCGGCGTGTTCCAGAGAGCCGTATCTGTCGTACAATATACCTATACCGTACCAGAGTTTGGGTTCCTGAAAGGACGTTTAGTACAAGTCCAACTAGAGTCGGATAGTGGAAGCCCACCTTTGGATCTGGCAGATAGTAAAGAGCCTGTTGATAAGCAGTGTATGCGTCTTGCAAATTGTCCATCATCAGATGGCAGTGGCCAAGGTTGCCCCATGCCTCTCCGTTCGCTGGCTCCATCTTGATGATGTTCTTGAGATACTCCATGGCCTCGGGATACTTTTCCTTTGTGCGCAATATACAAGAGATGGCATTCAGCGTCTGGGTGGAGTACATGTTGTGCCGCAGTGCTTGTTCGTAGGCGAACAGGGCATCATCGAGCTGGTTCATCAATTCGTTCAGGGTGCCTAAAAAAGTCAGCGACGTACTTGAACTGCGGGCAGAGGTGTTTACCGATCCGCTGCCAGGTTGATTCATTCAGCTGGGCCAACAGGCGCTGGCGCTGAAGATGTGCGTCGACGGGAGCAGCACCGCCGACATGCGCGTATGGACCACCCGGTTGGAGGGCCATGACTGCAGCTGGAGACGAGTGCGGAATAAGGGACATGCCAGTAAGCGACGAGGTGGCAGTAATTCGCGACCAGCTGACCTGCGTGCCTTCGATGAGGACCAGGTACTAATTGAGGGCGATGCCGAATCCAAAATGCCGCCCGACAACACTCCACTGGAACGTAGTAGACCCGTGGGGATCGTGAGGAAATAGTTCTGCTCGAGCAGGAAGCTGCACGAAGGCTCCAGCGGAGCAGATGTTTGCGCGCCCTCCTTCTCGACACCACACGTGAGGCTGGGTCAATGCCAAAGAATAACCTCGGCAATGAGGGGTGTAGAGCTCTTATGGGTAATAATCGTACTCCGAGATGTGTGGACACAAACAATGATGGAAGCAAAGGATGAGGTGCGGGCTAGGAAGCACTGTCAGAGCAGGAAGAGCAGCGGATGACAGACTCAAGGAGGAGGGCGATTCGTCCTCCCGTTTCTCGTTCGATTTTGACGCTAGTGATAGGGTTGAATCAGACATCCATCTGGTCCAAGCATGGATGCTCGTAACCCGTGGGCCAGGGTGGCTGACTTGTGACCGGCTCGATAGGTGGGGCCGACCACGCCTGCCAACGCCAGACTTAAACCAAAAGTGGCACCCTGGGAGACGACGCGATCTCCGTACTGGATGATAGTCGATTCGGTAGGGAAATAAGCATTTAAGGTGATGTCGAACGAACGGGTCTAAGCAACAAATGTGACGTCCCCATTCCGGGTGGCTCCAGCCAGGGGCAGGCGCGGCTGACTTTACAACGTGCAGCCGCCTCCCATAGGCTTGGCTATGCCGGCGCCTGCGCATGGGCTGCAAATGCATTGCCTTCATTACAACGACGCGCCCCCACCAGGCTGTTCTTTCGGCCATTCTCGCCTTCCAATCATGGCCGGACGCTGCTCAGGCCAGGGCCCTTCACGAGGCTTCTTTTCCTTCGTCTCGCTCTTCCTAGCCGGCCACCCAATCATGCATAATCACCGCGCTCCATCCCGCACGCCCAAATAGCAAAAGACTGGACCCCCCCTGCGCTGTGGACCTCCCTCCAAGTGTGTCCTGGTTTGGCCCATTTTCATTTCCCGGCTGCCCCACAGACTTGACACGAGCGTTGCAGGGGCATGCCTGGGCCACAACTTTGTGGGCTTGCTTGTATCGCCTTGATCTCAAGGCCATGTCTCCGTAAGCGAAACAATTGCCCGCCCCAGCAGCCTATCGCTTCTGGTATCGGCAGAAGCTGCCTACCACTGAGGAGGTGATCAGCCCATCCCTTCGAACCGAAGATTAGATGCGCATCTCGGGCCTTAACCCCTCCCAGCGCCCGGGGCCACTTTAATCGCACCGTTGCCTTACCCGCGTGGCTGGCACGGGCGCATCATCTCGGTGTACAAATCGGGCAAGCTCCGCCCGCAGCCTGCTAAGATACGATGTGCAGTTGCACTTCCACGGTTTTTCGATAGCCACCAACAAGCAAGTTCTTTCACAGATACCCTAGGTCCCCTCTCGAGGCTCGTATTTGGTTGCTAAAAGCGTTTTCAGTCGTTTATAGACCAATCTTCAATGGCAGCGGACAGAAAAATAATAAAATACCTTGGCTGTCAAAGGAATGTGGAAGCTGCGTGCCAACGTACGCGATTAGCCTGATCGCACAAGGTAAATCCTGCACAAGACGTGCAAGCTCTGAACTACGGTACCCAACGATACTTGAAGCTCATATTCTCCCTAGGCTGAGTCGCTCACTGCAAGTGAAACCCAGAAAGATACCAGAGAGTGTTGAAGCAATAGCTTTGCTTGGGCAGCCCGGCGTGATTTCAAAGTCCAGCCATGTGCGTTGGGAACCACAAGCCACAGATCGCGGCACATGTACGCAGTAGGAATGCGTGTTGAATCCACCGCCATGGACAGACAGGGTCCGTGCGTAGGTGAGTGCGAACAGGAATGTTGTACTAGTAGCGTCCGAGTCTGAACTGAAATCGGACGGCTGCTGCACTTGTGGAACACGGAAAGCCACCGTCGTACGTGCTCGGGGTACCATGATTTGGAACTGCGTCAACACCTCTTGACCACTTCCCAAAGTCCAGGACCCTGCGAGCAAACTGAGCTAAGATATCGAGACACTGGTGGTTCCGCCAGTACAGAGAGTATCGCGGCGAGAGCAATGGCAACAGACAACGGGAAGCGCCTACCCTCCCTGGACTGAACGGTCTCATGTGCACTCGAAAGCTTGTAGATATGCACTCATCCGGATCATCAGCAACAAACAAGAAAGGACTCACCTGATATCATGGACCAAGCTGCAGAGTTACCGGCAGCAACAGACTCAAGGGCGCAGCGTCTGAGACGAGTTGCACTGCAGCATGTCGTGCCCGTAGTACTTATGGCAGTGACGCAGTCTCCGAATCTTCGTGACGTTGGACTGATGAGCACACACTCTCGGCGGTGACACTGCCGATCCTGAAACGCGATCGACTGCGATCAAGCCCCGTCGCAAGCGAGGATAACTGCGCAAGTAGCATGAAGGGGAAGCATTCATCCAAAGGCAAGGACCTGGACATGTGCTTAAATAATTGTCTATAATGACGGAATTGTAGCCGGCGCCCAAGTCTCAATCATGGCAGCAGAGTGCCGAAAACCAGGAAGCTAAGAAGACAACTGTGGATGCCGCATCACCTTTCAACGTCAGCTCCAGAGTTCCAAGGCTGGCTGCCCATAGCCAAGAAATTGGCTCGAGAGGAGGTTTCCGGGCAGCATCCGGCTCAAGGACAAGGCCCAGAAAGTTAGAATGGCCGCTGATGCCAGCGTCCGTGTCTTCCGAGTCAAATAGCGAAAATTAGCGACGGTCGAGAAGTCCAAGGGAGGCGCAGGGCTCTAAGGGTGGATTTTCCGGGGCATGGCGTGCTTCTACCCAGTGCAGCAGCCTGATGACCAGATCTCCGAAGCGCCCCGGGTGACAGCTTGACAATCACACAAGCCGCGTTTCAATACGAGGGAACCATTGCAGAAAGCGGCGAGCAATGCATTGCTACTTGAAGGATTTGCATTAGTGTACAAGGAATGATAGCTAACAGTTTTGTGCTGTACTGTGTCGATCCAAAAATCAAGGTCAACGGTGCCTGGGGAACAATGGAGCATCGCCCGTAATTCTCAAGCCCGGGGGGCAAAAGGCGTAGGCAGTTGGGTCCGAACAGCGGCGCAACAAGTTGGCTTGTCTGGGCTCTTCTCTGGGAGCGGGGCTGTCGAGACGCTCGTCCCCGGCCCTGAGTGGCCCGTCATGAAACCTCAGCCAAGAATTGACACATGGTCGCGTCGCCTACAATACGATTCTTTTTCCTTTCGCAATGGTCAAGAAGACGCGCCCAAAGCCGCGCGACAAGTAGAGAAGCCACAGCGGACAACACCCGACATTCCATTCCCTCTCGGGGGCCCTCCAGAGCAGATTTCCTCTGCTACGCACCAAGCCGCCAAGGCCAGAGACGTTCCGCCCAGAACGGCCAAGGCAATGCCATGGATACCAAGAGTCGACTCCTCTTCACGGGCTGTCGCTCGCCTCTATCCTCATATAATCATGTCGTCCTACGCCCTTGTGACCCTGATGTGTCGCTCCCACACCTCAGGACCCTTTCCAGCAGCATCGAATACCCTATCCGCCAGTCTGAAGCTACCACGACCTCGCGTATGACGCTGGGAACACAGCTTAGACCTTCACCCGGCTGCCATTGCCGATCATGCGCGAGCCGAATCCTCCTCCGGGCATGAGCCATTCTCCCGCCTACTACGAACATACCAGATCCTCCAATAGTTCCTTTACGGCTCCTAGAGACCAGCTTTCACCGCGGAGACCACCCCATGCCTACCTCGGCAGCAATCAAGAGCATCTGCCCAACGCAGACCACGTCAAGACCTCCATATCCAGTGCTACGTCAGGCTCGACGGATGCTACAGACCCAAGAAATCACAATCCCGCTCGGCCTTACCAATACGGCCCGGCGGCGGAGAGAGGTCATGCGCAGGATCGACGTGGCCGACATTCGCAGTTAAGCCCTGCTGCTTCGCATCGAGTGTCCAACAGCGCCCACGGCCACAGAGAAATGGTGCAAGCGCCTCCTCCAACGGTCATCAGGTACATCCAAGAAGATGGGGACGATGAAGAGGAAGAGAAGCCTGACCATGCCATTTGGATTCTGGTACGAGACCGAAGCTTAACTCTCGATGTTGCTAACCTTTGCCAGTTCTGGATGTCATGTCTCGACCCGTTGTTCAGCCTCTTCAGCTGTCTCTTCACCATCTTCACATTGTTGGCCTTGGTCGCTTGCTCGCCTGTGCGGTTATGCAAACCGGACTGGTCCTTCAGTCTCTCATTGATTCGGACCATTTGTCCGCTGTATCGCAAACATCTACAACTATTATATGCGTCATCCGTCGACAACGCTCATAACTTCGAGTTCAGTCCGATGAAGCTTATTGCGATTCACGCCACGGCACCATTGCTCAGCATATGCTTTGCCTTTTTCTCTTGGATCGCCGCAGTCTTTTGGCTGTTCGCGATTACCATGGGCAACCCGGACGGCACCGAGAAGCGAGACGATGGACGTGCGACTGTACTCATGGCGAGAAACCGGTGGGAGAGGTACTTGCTTCTTGCGCTACGGCGGCGATGATTCTGCCCGCAATGTATTTGCACACTACGATTGGAACGAGTCGATGCTTTTTTAGCGATTGGATATCCCATCACGTTTGGGGCTCAGGGACGAGCCTTGGTGTGAACATTAGTATGGAGTTCAGGTTGCTGGTAATCCCAGCAGGGTTGTCGTTTTTGCATGGCGTATGAACCGCCCATAGTGGCTGAATTGGCGCAGATAACAGCATTGCCTGGTGTTGGACACGGGTAGACCGCTTCTCTACCAGTCTGGTGGTCACTTTTCGTCTCTACAGACCAGAGACATGCACATGGAAAGATACAGTTGACCACATCTTCATCTCTGCCAGTATTCGACTCTACTATCCTCTTGACTTGCAATTGTGGAACTTTGCGTATCGAAATATCGTATCGTATCTTTTACGAGCGATAGACTTTAGCATCTACCCCGGAACAAGCCAGCGTTTCTCGAAGTCTGACAATCACTGCCGAGATAATACAGTATGCATTATAGTTTTGCACATATCTGCTCGTCTCCTCAACAAGCCCAAGTATGCCAGATTTCATCAACGTTAAACTCCGCCGGTACATATTCCATCATGAATCGAGCTACCAAGGAATGGCAGACTGCTTATGATCTGCCGTGATCTCCGCTACACTTGCACTTTTCCTCCCGACCATAAGTCATGACACACCCTGCGGCGCAACAAGTTGCTCATGATCCATCAAAAAGACCGGGCCTGCGGAGCCAGAACCTCCATCCTCGGGCCGTCCAGCCACCTCGCAGCATTCCGATCATCGAAAGATCTGTGCTTCAACCATTTGGTTCATTTTCGCAATGACCTAATCCGTTTCCGCCACCCGGCAACCGCGCATCAGCTGCCCCCTTCGGTTCTTCGGGCCAAAAATCACTGCCAGACCAGAGCGGAAGTCGGCATCTTCATCCCCCCGCCAAGTCACTTAACGAAAATCCAGAATGCTCTGAAGGTGCTCGGCTTTCTCTGACGTGCTGACCCTTTCTCTTGGAAGTACTCCGTATTTGTCTTTGCCCAGACTAGGTGCAGAGCGGTAAGACGGATCTTCCTGGAGCTTGCCTTTCCGCTGGCTCGCTTCCTCGTGCCCCCCGGAGGATGGCCGCAGGATTTGCGCGCTCCGCACCTACCCTAGTCATGGAGGGGAGGAATTCCTGATACTGAATGCTCGTGCCTGAGTGGTGGTTCCATTGATCGACACCACTACTCCGTACTTCCGCAGCTTTTGCTGTCTGTTGCTCGCTCTGAGGCTCGTGCGCCAACGGGTGTTCAGAATTATGCTGATCGTGCAGTCGCATCACTTGCGACACATGCGCAGACGGTAGGTGTTGAGGCCCTCGGTGCTGCTCGGCTTAGGCTGTTGGCATGTCGCGACCTGGCAGACTTCCCGCTGCACGTCTATACGCACGCGTTGATGCCTGGTCACTAAAGCATGGGACGCTCTGGGATGGCGGTAGCAACTCAAGGACGCTGTGGATCATCCTTCCCCAGTACACGCCGGTCGTCCTTGTATACTCTACAGCCTAGCCGTCAAGACTTCGCTGCCGAAGAAGTGCCTTGGCCAGGGGACTTCACATGATCATCACGATGAACTTCCAGAAATCCGAGCCAGCTTCCGCTTTCCGAACGATCGTCCCATTCCATAAGAGCAAAAGCCCTCCTCCAATTTAGCAACCTGTTCAACCAGAGGCAAAGACACACCTTGATCTTAGATCGCAGCAGGCCAGCCTGTACCAACAATCCCATCAATATAACTGGTAACCATCAAGCGTACCACCCCGAAGCTGCGACCGACAAGCAGATGAACTCGATTCTTTGCCTTCAGCATGACTTGCGGGACGCAGGCGGACAACCCTCCTCCACCGGCAAGCCTCTGCCGTGAGAGTTGTGCGCTGGCGTCAACTAATACTTGGCCATGGTATGCGCTCAGACGGGACTAGTAGTACAGTACGCTGAGCTCCACCCCTCCCCTCCGGGTGCTTGGTCCACGGTGACCTTTACGTACGGGACTCGTTAGTGCGCTGAACGAAGGCGTTACCGTGAGTTGCTCTGAAAATGCAGGACACGGCGGGCTTGAACAGTCCCAGAATGCCGAAACAGACCGCCCGCCCCGTCCGCCCGCCTGATCGGGCCTGTCTTCTTCAAGTACCTGCAGTTCTAGGAAGTTGTGGTGCGCTTTGATGCTTCTACGCTGACCATGGCTACTGATACACAGCGTGCAAGCAAACACTATGAACAGTCTTCTCCATTCCCCCCCCCCCCCCCCCCCCCCCTCTCCGCTGGACGAAACTCCTCCTTTTCTACGGTGCCAGCCCAACTCAACCACGTTTTGTCCCCCCTTTGCCCTCCCTCCCTCACACCCCATTTCCACCCAAGGATCAGAGGCCAGCCAGCCAGTATTAGAGAAGGGTTCGTTCCCCTTATGTGACGAAGTGCTCAAAAACCCAGTTATCTACCGAAACAACCCTGGTTATAGTCGACGAACCTGGGTACTTACTACCTTTGCCACTCACACGCGGAAACAGCTCGGGTGTGTCTGTGCTGTAGGGCTGCTGCCCGCTCCGGGAGGCTGTCGATCTGCTACAAGGAAACGTCAGGGGGCCCTCTTGCAGACCTAGACGCTGGGCTGGACTCTGGACTGGTGGTTCATCGGTGAAAGGCCCTCACCAAGCCGCATCTTCATTCGCTATGCTACCCTATGCTTCCAGAATCCATCCTGACCGCCACGTGCGATCCGCCGGTCAGGCTTTCCTCGCCATACCATCCGCCGGTGGCGGGTGCGGCCTATCTTCCTTACTCTGCGACTCTCTTGGCCCACTGCTCTCCTCTCATGATCCTCTCACAGCAGCAAGCACGAAGCCTTGTCACTGTCTTCCTCCTGGCCAGGATCAATGTTGTCCTCCTATGGGTTTGCAGCGCCCATTTGGGTGCGGCGCTGCTCACTGTACTGTCGCCCTCAAAGTGGGCGCGCATCAGTGCTATAATTGTGAAATGAAGAAAATACGCAGTAAGGGGTATCCACAAGTGCCGGGCCGAAGAATGTCAATAGCTCGAATTGACATTCCGATGTCTGCGTCTCTTCAGACGACCTTGAAACATTCGACATCAAGAGGCGGCAAGTATGATATTATCGATATTAGGAGATGTCGTATTTCGTGGATATTGGGTATTGGGTATGGTATATCGGGTTCTGTTGTATGTTTTTCATCCCGGAACTCCTGGCTAATCAGATTCGTCGTAAGGTCCAGAGGCACGGCCTATGCCGTAGGCGGACCGCCTGAGCCACTTTCGGTGGAAGTGTCGCCTTCGACCGTCTTCCTCCAGGCCTCTGGTAAACAGACGCAGACAAGTGGAAAGGCTTTGATCTCCCCAGGTGGCGTTGGCGAATCCTCTCGCCTCGAGCCGTTCGAAACACCAGAGTCTCGCTGAGCTTTGTGCTTACCCTCGAAGTCTTCGGCTCGGTCGGAGATACGGACACCCGTTGCCCAGCCATCATCCCATATGCCAACGACTTTTAGCATATCACCACGCTCCAATTCAAACTCGTCGCCAGCCCTTGGCTGATAAGCCCACAGGGTTGCGACTTTGTCGCCAGGGTGAATATCCTCGTTCGAGTAGTAGTCCTTGAAGAACGGAAGTTGTTCTGACTGACCACTAGCCATGCCTTCCGGAGAAGAAAAGTCGTTGCTCGAGGGAGAGCTGGCCTCTTTTGAGCCAGGCGAGTCATGTTTACGGGCCCCAATCATGCCCATGGCCTTCTCGTTTGAATCAGGGCTGTCGCCGTAACGGTCGGTGTTGGCTGTGTAGTTGCGTGGACCCTCATTGTCTTGCAGCGCCGACATGCGAGCAACGCGACCTCCTGGTAGTACTTCGTACCCTTGCTGGGAAGATGGAGGCGCAGGGTAAGTCGAAGCGGTGTTGCCACGTCGTTGAGGGGATGGTTGATTGAGCAGGCTGCCCTGTTTGCCGTCGCGGTTGCGCCTGCGCAGGAAAATGCAGCAGAAGATCAACGCCGCAAGCAAGAGGAGGAATCCAAGCACAGAGCCAATAACGATGCCAGCGATCTCTCCACCACTGAGCCCTCCACCTCCGCCGGCTCCACCATCATTGTCATTGTTGGATCCTGAGGTTGCAGTGCTGCTGGCAGTAGGGGAGCTGGTAGGAGTGGAGACGAGACCAGGAATGGATGAAAAGACCGGTAGCTCAACGTTCTCGCAGCGGCCTGTGGCATTGGAGGTCAAGCAGCAAGAATCGGTTCCATTCTCAGGGCTGCCGCGACAAAAGTTGCACAAGCCCATGAGGTTGCCCTGGAAGCCACACTCGTCGGGTTCGTTGTCTTCGCCGCTGATGCAGCTGCCTGAGATGGAGAGCGTGGGCAGATAACAGTCGGTAAAGTCGGCCCTCAACTGTTGGGCGTAATTACCGCTCCGGCCAGAGCAGAGCTCATTGCTTCCTACGATAGATTCCTCGCTCAGCGCAAAGTCGGCGCACGAGTCGGCGCACATAGGTGGTGCAGTTTCGTCTGTTAGGCTGCAGGCATCGCGCGAGTTCTGAATGATAGCATTGCAGAGGAAGGTGGTTGTATAGCGGGCGTAGTAGTCGGTGGTATTACTCAAGTTGATGTTATCGCATCCAAATAGATTCACATACTTGGACGATACGTAGCCCTGCGACACGTATCTAGCGAGCTCGCGGTCAAACTCTTCGACATTGGAGACGAAGGACAAGAACGGACTGCAAGAGTTGTTAGCTGTGGTACTGAGCTTCAGAAAGCTCGACTCACAAGAAGTCCTGCACTTGGCCAGTTGTCGACACAGAGCTGGAGTCAAAGCCTGCGCACTGTGAGGAGCCGGACAGGGAGACACAGCTCTGAGCCACCGTGGTAGATGCAAGAAGTGCAACGGCGGCGAGCGTCCGGGAGAGGCGCATTTGCCGCAAGGTAAACATGGTGTCAAGTGACCTAGACAGCAAAGACACCCAAAGCTCTTGTTGTCCGTTGTGTATCCAATATCATATCGACCTCATATCCAAATGGCTAGCGTTGTTCAGAGCTATTCGAGTTGTTGGAAGTCCTTCTGAAGCTCGCCAAACAGTCTGCGCGTGGGTGAGGCCAGGGACCAGCGGTCGCGTACACAGGATTAGAGGTTCAAGAGAGCGACAACAGGGTGAGAGGAACAGAATTAAGGGACAAACGAGTGACAGATGGTCGGAGAAAAAAAGACGAGTGAGGAACAGCTGGGTACGTAGAAGGCGTTCCCAGACGATTGAAGGTGTGGGAGAGAGGCGAGGCAGACGGCAGGAAGGCAAGGAAAGCGCCCAGAGGAACTGCGGCAAGTGTTGATTGGAACTGGAGCAACCGAGTCGAGATGGCAGGGAAGGCGATGGAGTCTACTTCGTCCGGATGTTCCTGTCGCTGGTCCCAAAGCGGTTGTGATACCACAGGCGTGGCGTCTTAGGCGTCGTACTAGGGCGGTCTTGGTTAAGGTCCGGCTGCCGCGGGGTTAACTCTGTGGGCGTGTTCATTGTTGACACTGATGTGTCTTGTGCAGATTGCGCCACAATAATATCAAGTCGCAGTGTCGATATAATCCTACAACGCCAGCTTCTGCACAGCTGATCTTGATGCCGTCCATTGTCCTCCCATCTTGCATTCGCACGGTGACAATTCTCCGATAGCTGGAGCCCTGTTGCAGTACCAAACCAATGGCAATTTCGCCAATCACTCGAAACAACTGACCACGGTGGGGACGGTCGGCGCCGGGAAATTGGCATAATCAATGTAGCGTGTGCGCCATCAAGTCTATCTTCGCCATCCACACCACTGACAGAGGACTGTTTCATCGCTTAAATCGAACCAGGCTGATGAATCTTTTCTCCGATGACCAGTTACAGCTTCCGACAACCACGTCTGCAGTGTTGTTGATACTCCATCTGAGACCGCTTCACTCGGTCGTGATGTTGGTCCAATCGTATGTAACTGCTGTACCGCGTAGATATGCAACGCCAGAAACAAGTCGCTTGTCATGTATCCGTACAATCGATTTGGTCTTCTGCCTGCAGGACATCAGAAAGAACGAACGAGTGGCAGATGAGAGCCGAAACGCCGTTGCCGCACCACCTCTTCCGGAATCAGAACGTCTGTCTTTCCGGCATCCAACCGAGCGCCATCGATCCTAATGCCAACTGATCGTGGAGCTACTCGTCCAGTCTTCTAGATGTCACTGCCTACAGCACTGAGCTGGGGAAAGTTGAAACGAGGCAATTGCTGCGTCTGCCGAGGCTGGGTAGGCAGGACCGGCAGCCTTGCTAGGCGTCACCTCTACCCAATCTGATCTAACGCTGGCTATTGGCCACTGATCTGCCTTTGCTCCTGCTATGAATGATAGACGCTTAGAGTCCCAATCCATCTCTTTCCCTATGACTCACCATGAAGTCCGCAGCCGACTCTTCACGGGATGCCTGTTCCGAGCCTGCCCACAAAAAACCGCGAAACGCCTTCACTGAGCTCATGGCCGCCAAACCCAGCTCCTCGCCTCTCCGGACAACGCGGCAGGTTCGTACAGACGAGCCTACCAATCTTCGTGATCCCAGGAACGGGCTATATGCGTATGTGAAGGATCCAAAGGCCTATCCCAAGCAAGTCGTGCGTTTCAATGATGACTTTGTCCTGATCCGCGACGCTTGGCCCAAGGCGATTGTTCATCTACTGCTTCTGCCAAGAAATCCCAGCAAATACGTGCTCCATCCCCATGAGGCCTTGAAAGACCCAGGGTTCCTGGCGCTCTGTCGGGCTGAAGCGGAGGACTGCAGAAAGCTCGCCGCATCTGAGCTTGCTCGGCAACTTCAGCAATACTCTGCCTCACAGCACAAGAGAACCGAGGCCATGCTTTCCGAAGATCCTCCTACGCCCGACCAACTGCCACCAGGACGTGATTACACCGCGGATATCAGAGTGGGCTTCCATGCTCATCCATCCATGAACCATCTACATCTTCACATAATTTCTCGAGACATGATGTCGCCATCAATGAAGCACCCTAAGCACTACAACTCGTTCAATACAGACTTCTTCTTGCCTCTGAATGACTTCCCCTTTGCCGAAGATGATGTCAGGAGGACGGTTGCCTACCAAAATGTCAGGATCGGCAAAGAACAAGATCTCATCTGCTGGCGATGCGACAAGAACTTTGGTCGCCAGTTCAAGAAGCTAAAAGAGCATCTTGATGAAGAATTTACTGAGTGGAAGAGCGAGTGATTGCACGCACGCCGCTCTCAGAGAAACGATGGTCCCTTACAAATACCGAAATAGTGCACATTTCGCAGACATTCATCATCGATGAGGCTCGGAAACGTCAAGCGAAGCGCAGTGCGAGTTCAAAGTCACAATGCCAAGATCACGCCGAATGATGGATGGCCTGGCTCCGGTTGAAGTCCGTCTTATGCAGAGAAGAGACCGCCACTTGAAACGTCACATGTATCTAAGTGACCATGGTTGAAGCCAGGATTCGCAAAGTTACTATAGCAAATGTAAGTTCGGAAGTGCATAATTGTGTCCAGTCACCGAGTTGTTACTCCGTAGGTCAATGGCAACTTGGGGCCAGAAGTCATCAAGCAGCTTCTGGATGCAGAATTCGAAGTAACGATCCTCACCAGAGACTCGAAGCAAACCACAGGCAGCTATGGCGAGACGGCGAGGCTTCAAGTGACTGAGGTCGAGTACACTTTGCCTACACTGGTGCCAGTTTGCGAGACCACGATGCGGTCATTAGCCTTCTTTCGCGCCTTACCACCGGACCTGAGATGGCTCTAGGCTGCCGCTTCCGTTGAAGCTGGAGTATGCCGCATCGTGCCCTCTTACTACGGCGTCGATATGCGTGTGCCGGAGAACCGAGCGAACCCAGCTTTCGTGCCCAAGCTCTTGATCGAAGGTCACATCCATGAGCTTGTCGAGAAGGGCAAGATCACGTACTCTGGCATAACCACTGGCGACTTCCTGGAGTATGCACTAAATTTCGGAGCCCTGATCAACCTGGTGGGCAAGCCGTATCCAGTCTTCAAGGGCGGCGACGTGAATGCGTCATTAAGGAGTCACTCAGACATTGCCAAGGCGATTGTCAGCGTTCTTCAGAAGCCCGATGAGACCGAGAATCGTTACCTATTGATAAAATCCATGGTTACTAGGCAGAATCAACTGCTTCGGCTCGCCAAGGACGTCTGTCCAGGAGTGAATTCAAGCCAATGAGTGTTGACACCCAACCTGTGTACGCGAAGGAAAGGCTGCATACGACCAGGGAGAGCGAGATCTTCGAGCACTCCGAGACTGGATAGTGCATGACTTTGCTCGTGGTCTCTCGCACCTGGAAACAACGGACAACAAGCTTCTGGGTATTGAAGAGTGGTCCGAAGACAAGATTCGAGGTTTTCTGGCGATATATGCAGAGACACAAAGTCGCCCGGACTGGTCAGACATCCGGTGAACTTGACCTGGGATAAGACTCGGGTTGGGAAGCAGACATCTAGCACAGATACAGCGTGAAGTATGCCTGAGTTTGCTTCGAGGAAACGAGAGGAGCGTTGAGGGCCGGAAGTCCGCTCTGACTCCGTAGGATCTATGGTTGCTCGAACGCTTGCATTCCACTGACATGTATATTCACTCGCACGTTACCAGTACGGCGCCTGCTGAGACAACGATTGAAGCACTCGACGTTACTAGTCTCACGTCTAAAAACCTTTGCTCCGGGTCTGCGGTTCCAATGATACGTGTAATCGGGTAGGAGAAGCGCTTCAACTCGACAAATAGTGTCACCGTCGCTGCTCAGGTGGCCCATGCCAAGACACCCAAACAGGCAAACTAAGCGACCGAAAAAAGTGGTCCTTGCGGCTGCCTTTGAATCCTCTTCGCATGTGCACTCTCGAAAAAGATTCAGACATTCTCCTACTTGCACAGACGAAATACAACATGGCAGACGCAATCGATCGCAATGCCGAGGGTAGGGCTACACTTTCTTTCCAACACCGATGTGCACGCTAACGCGTTTAATAGACAAGATGGAGTTCTCAACCTCGAAGGAGGTCACTGTTGCCCCCACCTTTGAAGATATGCATTTGAAGGAGAACCTGCTTCGCGGTATCTATGCCTATGGCTATGAGTCTCCATCCGCTGTCCAGTCTCGTGCTATTGTACAGATTTGCAAGGGTCGCGACACGATTGCGCAAGCGCAGTCTGGTACTGGCAAGACCGCTACATTCTCAATCAGTATACTCCAGGTTCTTGAGACCGCAACAAGGGAGACACAAGGTAAATTCTAGCGCCCTATCGCTAGATCAATGACTGATTGTGGCAGCGCTCATCTTATCACCCACTCGCGAACTTGCAACCCAGATCCAGAATGTCATCATGGCCCTCGGCGACTACATGAACGTACAGTGTCACGCTTGTATCGGTGGCACAAACGTTGGCGAGGATATCAGAAAACTTGACTATGGCCAACACGTCGTCTCGGGCACTCCTGGCAGAGTGGCTGACATGATCCGTCGTCGCAATCTGCGCACCCGCCATATCAAGATGCTTGTCCTGGACGAAGCCGATGAGCTCCTCAATAGAGGCTTCAGGGAGCAGATCTACGACGTCTACCGTTACCTACCTCCTGCCACTCAAGTTGTGGTCGTCTCAGCCACCTTGCCTTACGATGTTCTTGACATGACCACCAAATTCATGACCGACCCCGTGCGCATTCTCGTCAAGCGTGACGAATTGACACTCGAAGGTCTCAAGCAATACTTCATTGCGGTGGAGAAGGAGGAATGGAAGTTCGACACTCTATGCGACCTCTACGACACACTCACAATTACCCAAGCCGTCATCTTTTGCAATACTCGCCGGAAGGTGGACTGGCTGACCGACAAAATGCGCGAAGCCAACTTTACTGTCAGCAGCATGCACGGCGAGATGCCTCAGAAGGAGCGAGACAGCATCATGAGCGACTTCCGCCAGGGCAACAGTCGGGTCCTGATCAGCACTGATGTCTGGGCTCGCGGTATCGATGTCCAGCAGGTATCTCTCGTCATCAACTATGATCTGCCCAGCAACCGTGAGAACTATATCCACCGCATTGGCAGAAGTGGCCGGTTCGGCCGGAAGGGTGTTGCCATCAACTTTGTCACCAGCGACGATGTTCGCATTCTACGTGACATCGAACTCTACTACTCGACACAGATCGACGAGATGCCAATGAACGTCGCTGATTTGCTGACTTGAGGTGGCGTCGACAGGCTGACCGAGATTTCCAGCCATCACCAACTATGCGATAGAGCGTGGCAGGGACACACTCATGGCGTTCAAAGGGACCCCTCCGCCAACGATCCGGAGTCCGAATTCAGGGCAGAATTGATAGTGGGATGGAAATGGGAAAATCATATTGAGGTTTGTCGACTGCTCCGTGAAGTGGCCAGCGTTCTCTAATGCATGCAAAGATCATTCAAAGAAACACGTCCGAGCTCTTCTGCTCTGGTGGTTAAGACATCGCCGCTCTTATCGACATTGCTGCGTCCTTGGGACTGTACTCACGCTACGTCCGCTAACTATTGTTCTGATACAGCGGATTCGCTTCCACCTCGGCAACCCACAAGTTCCATGGACGGCTGATAGTCTGGCCGATCGATTCTTCTGCGTCTGCCGCCTGCCTCTCAGTCAAAGGTTCAAAGTTGTTCTCCATCAAATCTCCTTCCGCCCCTGTGCTCCATTCCTGCAAATTCACGCCTTGAGCTGCAAGACCACCAAACGCATTTCGGAGCAAGGCCGAATCTGTCTGTGCCTTAGCGTTTTCCGTTGTGAAGACTGCTCGGAAGACGGCAATCTCGATCTCTGTGCCAAACGTGGTGAAACCGTGCTTTCGCATCAAGACGACTTTACGGTCAGGGATGTCGGTCTGAGCCGTCTCATTCTCCGGCGCTGCAAAGTATGAGGCCAGACTAGCGCCTTCGTGCTCGTTTCGGACCAACAGATCATGCGAGTCGGTTTCGTTGTAAGCATCCTCGATGTCCCACAAAGGGATATCCAGACCGAGGAAGGCCGGCATATGAAAGACAGGCTTCAGCGGCACACCGCTAATGGCGTAGGGAAGGACTTCGGGAGCATGGGCGTGGATCACACTGTTGACTTCGGGGTAGCGCTTGTACATCTCCGAGTGGATGTAGCGCTCGATGTACCCGCGTGGAGAGTCGGGATCAACGGCCGATGCGTCCTCTACCTGGTAGGTGACAAGATCGTCTGCCGATGAGACGAGCGCGGGAGCTCGGTCGGCGGACATGATGAATTGGGACGGCTCATCTGGGTGTCGCACCGATATGTGGCCGTACGCATCGCACACCGAATGGTAATGCAGGATATGGTTGGCTGTGATTAGGGTACTTATGAGCGTTGTCAAGTTGGCCATGTTTGCTTAATCTGCTACCGTGAAAACCATTTAACGTCAAGAGTAGGAAGTTTGGAGGGAAGTCAAATATGCCACCCCAGCGGCTTTTTTCTATATGAGACTTTTCCGCCCGTAGTACAGGACTCCCCCATTTCCATAACACAGTACGCCCGTGTCCGTGCCTCTTCCGATGACCTGGTCCCGAGGGTTGAAATGCAGCGCAAGTGGCTTCCGTATTTTCTCCATGGTATTCGCTCCCCCGGCCTTTCCCCGCAATTGAGAAATACCCAAGGTACGTACAGGTAGCTAAGCGACGATCACCCACCCACACCCATGTCTTGACTCCTTATTCGCAACCTTTTCCCCCGCACGCACCACGGTAAGCGTACCCGGGTACTAGTAGATCGGCGCGAGCAGCATCAGGGCTCATGGATGGTCAAAGTCGCTCATGCCCGTCATGGAGGGAACAGGTTTCGAACAGTGGGGAAGAGGTGCTGCGGCGGTGGATTGAGCTGTGAGTTCCGCTGCGGGGGCTGCGCGTTTGCGCAGTCAGCGATTTCGTGCTTGTTCCGTTCCTTGGGCAATGTACATTGCTTGGCATGGCGTTGTGTGGTCGCAGACGCAGCATTTGGCGAGGTGCTGGTGCTGGTGCTGGAGTGCGGTCTTCCTGCAGCTTGGTTGCGACTTGCTCCTTTCGCGCGCGCCGCCATAGTCTCCTTTTTGGGAATCAATGCAAACAGAGCGTTCAGGCCCCAGCACCGTCAGCACCGCCTAGCTCTTTCACCGCCTCCTCTTGCCGGTCATACACGGCGCGTAGTTGAATGCGAAAATCTGCCATCCTGACGCCCAGAATCTTCAGGATGCTGGTCTGCCGCGAATCCAGCACGTCTCCTTCCTTGCACACCAGATAGCCCTCGTCCCCGACATCCAGCATGCCGCCCTCGGGCGCATCCTCGAGCACGACCTTCCCAGCCTTGATGCGCGTCGGCACGCCCAGCTTCCTCAGCTGCGGCTCAATCGCCAACGGCAGCGGATCCTCCTCCCCGCCCTCAACGCCGTACATGGTCGTTATCTCCCCTGGCGGCACCCTGACGGCCCTGCTCGCCGTCGCGCCCGCCCGCGCATAATCCGCATTCCAGAAGCCCGCAAACGCAGCCTCCACGTCCGCGACATCCCGGTCCGTGAACAGCAGGCCCACCTCACCGCTCAAATAGGGGTTGAGGCGGCTCACGCCGGGCACGACCTCGGATTGTGCATCGCGCCCGAGGGCAACGGCCATGACTTTTGTCTTGCCCATGGCGAGGCGGCTGTCGGAGAAGGCGGCGCGGACTTGTTTCAGGAAGGTGTTGCGCGTGTTGGTGACGGAGAAGACGAAGATGTAGCGGTGTGTGGTGGCTAGGTCTTGGATTGAGGCGTGGAGGCGCCGCACCAGCGTTTTGCGGTCTTTGGTCGTGCGGGACGTGGGGACGGTGCGTTGGCGTTTGGAGGGGGGCATGGTGACGGTAGTGTGTGCGTGAGTGGACGAAGATGTTCGGTGTTGCTGGATGTTGTCGGGTTCTGTGTGGGATTCGACGGGGGTCTGAAATGTGTACAAGAGAGTGTAGCAGTGGTAAGTAGGATGCGCTTTTGGCCGAGCGGTAAAGATCGAAGACTTCGAAAAAAAATGTGCCAAGGATTTTGGAGAAAGACTTATCGATAAGAAGTTGGCCCCAACTTGTTCTTGCTTTCATCTTCGGCATCACCCGAGTAGACGACGGGACAGATCTTGTATTTGCAATGGACCTTGAATCTCGTCGCTCCCACGCCGCTCATGCAGCGTGGGCTTCGCTAGCAGCGCCTCCGGCCATGGGTTCAATACGCGGCAGATATGCTCGAATCGAAAGTAATGTATTCAGCTTCCAGCATGCATAGAGTCGGCTGTCAAAGGCCTCTCCCGACTTTGGTGCCGCCAGACCCCTTGCCTTTTCATGTTCCAGACGCTCCTCATAACTCAAGGTGATTTACTCGTTGGGAAATCAATTACTCGAGGATGACTCCGCGAAACCAACCACAACGCCTAGATCCATTGTCCCAACGGTTAGTGTTGACCCTTTCTAGCTTGAAAGCCCAAAAAGCCGCCCTTCCTCCTTCCATGGCGACCTGGGTCTACCCTTTGGATTGCGTGAAATTCGTCCTCTGTCCGCCGCGTGTCACCGGTCTTGTGTTTTGTCCCACATCCAGGGTCGTCATCGTGGAGGACAGTACGTCTGCCGAGAACCCTCTCTGACTGTGGAGCTGACTCAACTTCTCTACCCTTGCCTTTCTCTCTCTCTCGTTCCCGGCGTCTTGCTGGCTCACTGACAGTCGGACCCAGCGGAGCTCGTACCGAAAACCCTTCTGGAGCTGTGGAGTGCTGTTTCAAAGACTTTGAAAAGATCTCGATCATCCGGTCGGTGGCTGAATTCCAGCTCTTCTTGTGCACTTTGCCAAGAATACCAAATGTGATGCCTTCGCTTGATTCGATGTGCCAGAGCTCCCTCAGGTTGATGAGCGAACTTGCTCTCGGCTTCGCTTGTCGGCCTCCCCAAGAGAGCTGCACGCAGATATTAAACCAGGGACCATTGCTGGATGAGCTTATAATCTCATTCTCATTGGCTGTGAGGGCTGCATGATCAACGCAGAGATATGTATCGACTACCGCTTCGGCGTCGTGACGACAGAACGTCAGGCAGGTGAATGAATTTCCGTCTAATCGTATGATGAGCATGATCCGGTCGTGGATACGTGAGTTGACGTTGACATCTCTGATATGGATGATCTGCCGAACAAAAAGCCTTTGAGCATTGGTTGCCTTGTATTCGGGCCGCATGTCGACGCGGCTAAGAGCGGAATGCGAATCTGCAGAATCAACATTTTCGTAGCCAGCAAAGTCGTTTAGGTCCTTGAACTTCCCTGGACGCTCACCGAGCGCTATTGGCGCGGTCGCGGGACTCGTTGGGATTGGTTCCCGCGCAGGGGCCTCTGGAGAAGACTTCGGGAAGATCGATGAATAGTTCATGTCGGGTCGAGCGAGATATTCCTTCAAGAATTCTCAATTCTGCTTTCTGAGGTTGAGGCACAGATCGCACTGGCAAGTATGCAGCGGCTGTTGATATCGATCAAAGCCAAGTCGTAGAAGAGTGTGGATGATGATGAATTAGTTTCCGTTCAACATCGACGACAACTCCGCTTTTGTATCCGCAGCGCTAGGGAGACCCTGTCTCCCAAAGACTTCCACGAGCCAAAAGGAGGATTTCTCCCAGAGTCTCGTGGACATTGTGGCCGTGGCTGAGACTGATGGAAGTCACAAGCCGAAGGGGAAGCGGCGATTGAAAAGCTTATTCCGAACATTCGAGAGATAAGGAATGTAACAACTGTCTCCATTCGCTGTTCGTGGCCAGGCTCTGTTCAAGGTGGCCCGTCGCTGGTTTGCAGAATGGTTCGCAGTTCGCAAGGCGACTTTGCGGGATACGGGCTGAGGCACCTTCCCATTGGCTGGCCAGAGTCGGTGACTGCATGGTTGATCCCCCAAGGCAGAAGTCCTTCCTCTGACGGAAGATTGGGAGTTGAGCCTTTCGGTCAGCCTCGCGATATTGGGACTGGGCTTTTGCGCAGAGGCTGTGCTCTCTGACTTCAAAGTCGTTGAGAAACCGTTATCTAGACCCTTGGCATTTTCTGGGGAAGTCGCCACAATCACCGCTGGATGACGCCCTACTTTGATCAGATGATGCCTCTAGCCACGAGGAGAGTGGCTGTCTTGGTTTTGTGATGCATCTCTGATCAAGATAAGAGCCGTGAAGCGTTGGTTGCCATATGTCCAGATACGGCAATGATGGGCGAAGCCGCCGCGTTTGGGACTTCTGATAGTAGCCATATAGTTGCACTGCCTCCTCCATGCGACAATGAGCATCTTTGAAGATCAGCAGACACACAGCACTGTTCTGCTTTGGGAACATCAAGACAATGAGAGAGTCTGACCGGGAAAACTCATCCCGAAACCTTGGAGAATACAGCATCCTGACAGTGCGATGTAATCGAGGAAGGATCAAGGGCTGCCATGGGTTCCGTGCGAAATGTCATAATTCTTAATTAGTCGTATATCTTGAAGCTCCAATCCGTAATGGGCACCTTATCCCAGGCGTCCTTATTCACGAACGCGCTCGCGCTCTTCGGCGGAACGGGGAAGTCGCCCTCGCCGTCATCATTAATCTTGACCGAGTCCTTGACGGCGCCAAGGACATCGATCCACGTCTCACCCGCATGCTGCTTTCCGACAGCCATGGAGACAGACGCCGATGAGATGTCCTCCACACTCGAGATCGTGACCGCCAGGCCATCTGCGTGCTTGTCATCACCACTCCGCGTCCAGCCCATGACAGACGATTCATCGCTGGCATAATCCTCCTGCTCGCCATACGCAAAGTACGCTCGCGCGGCCGCCAGCTTGCCAATGACCGCCGCGTTCTGAGCTGGAGCGAACTCTCCTGACTCGTTGTACATGCCAAACAGGTCACCGTAGAAGATGCAAGGGTAGCCCTCCTGCCTTAGCAGCGTGAAGGCGTAGGCCTGTGGCCGGAACCACTCTTCTACGAGCATCGTGTCGGCGTCCTGACCCGCTTGAGTGTCGTGATTGGCGACAATGGTGACGGCGCTGTCTGCCTGCTGGGACAGGATCGTGTCGTTGAGCATCGTGGCCAGCGAGGTCTCGTCGCCGCGGCCGAGGGCTGCGAATTTGTCCAGGAGCGGGACGTCGAAGACTCGGGCGACATGGTCGATGCCCTCGAGGTAGGCGATGAGGCCTTCGGTGTTGGTTGTCCAGTACTCGGCCACAAAGGTCATGGCGGAACTGGTTGGGATGCTGGTGACCCACTCTCGGATGAAGGCTCGGGAAATGTGTTTGGCGGCGTCGATGCGGAAACCGGAAAGGCCCAGCTGGCCGGTGACCCAACTTCCCCAGAGCTTGACGTCGGCACGCACGGACGGATTTGCGTAGGCGACGTCGGCGAGTAGGAGGTAGTCTATCGGGATCAGGTTAGTGAGATCATGCACATTGATAGTGGGGATAGCTTTCGAGGGTAGTACTGACCAAAATTCCCGTTCTCTGTTGAGACGTCGGTGGCGAAATCATTGTTCACGCCGTCCACTTTGAAGACGCCCTTAGCGTCCGTGCCTTGGTCGTAGTCGATGGCCGAGAAGTCGTCGCAGCTCCATAGCTTGTTGCTGTAGCGGTTGCCGCGTGATGAGAAGTTGAAGCCCACCCACACCGGCGACACTCGAGTTGGGTTGATGGCCTGCTCTCGATTCTCCGGGTTGAGTCGCGTTATAGCGCACGAGTCTACGTGGTCCGCACCACTTCGCTGGTTCAATGCAGCATCGGCGAGGATCCCGATGTTCCACTTGTGGGCCTCTTCGGCTAGTTGAGCCAAGTCGTCCTTGCTGCCCATAGCGGTGGCGGTACGACCATGGGTTTCGAACTCGCCCAGATCCCACAGATCGTACACATCGTAACCAATACTTCCTTCGGTAGCTGCCTTGGTCGGCGGTGGAATCCAGAGATTGGTTACACCGATTTGATGCAGTTGACCCAATACGGAAGACAGACGATGCCAATGCTTGCCGTCTTTGGGGATGTACCATTCGAAGCCCTGGACTAGCAGCGGATTGGTGCTCTCTGTCAGAGGTGTGACAGTCGGCGTGGGAAACGTCACAGGCGCTGCGGTGGAAGCAGCTTCAGAAAGCTTCGAGGTGGTAGCTGAGGGACTTTTTGCTTCCTGTGAAGAACTCCTCCCACACCTATCGTCACCACCGAAGCAGACTCCTAGAGGGACGGCGATCGCTAGGACAGCTACGACAGAGGCGACTCCGAGCAAGATGGTGATCGGCCGCGACAACCGAAAGGACCCAGCACCTTTGCTGGCCGCTCCTTTGCGGAGAGATCCATCGAGCGAGCTCTGGGAAGAATCGTTGTGATGCATTGATGGCTGAGTTGAAAGCCCGTGAGGGCAAGTGGATTTACGACAGCAGGTATTGAGGAGCGGAGGCAAGAGATAGCCTTGGTATCATAGCGAGGCTCGCAGAGACGTACCGGTAGGGGTAGTAAGTGAAATGCTTCTGGATCATGGAGAGGCGAACATGGGACTCGCTAGTTTGTGGTGGACCTCACAATTCTGAGGCGCACGATGGCAATCAATAGGGGCTGCTTGTCTTGTCGCGAATCGAAACATCGGATAGCAAGACTTTTCGCACTGGCCAGAACCATGACAATCTCTGGTCGCGTCGGCATTCCCTGAGTCTTCCGGAGGCGCAAGCCGGTGCGCTAGCGAGCAGCCATGGAAGCCTCATAGGGGTTTCCCTGCTATAGCTTCAAACCATAGTGGGTATGCTAGTCGTTAGACTCATTGACACCATTCGACTCTTGCAGATATGAACCCTGCACCGATAACCAACCCCGGCTCTGATTCAGCTGAAATAGCTCGCGCCACGCGGTGATAGTTCCAATTGGCCACAGTCACGGACCCAGGTGTCCGAAAATCTTCACGCCACCTAATTCAGCATGGAAGAAGCCGGTACGTCACATGCAGAAGTTTGCAAGACATGCATTTGCGTACATTAGTAATATCGTTTCCTTCGTGCGACCTTCCCCCGGACTCCCGGTTGACAGCCTTTCACGAGTTTTCGTGAACCCCTGAATAGCAAAGGATGCAAACGCGCTGACGTGACGCGAAGGTTTTTTGGCGCAAAGCTTGGCTTGAGTTTAGCCTAATGCAGGTGATACTGACGAGCGCCGAGTCCGGCAGCGCGCGAGCTCGGGAAAACTCTTTACGGAGGTACAATCGGGTCTGAAAAAGTCTCTTTCCACTGTTCCCAATCTAGACCTCTTGCCTCATCTCTGTTATCATAGCATGGAGCTTCTTCGTCATTCGATTGGCGAGCGGGCCAGCAGCCCCTGCATGTGGTCGTTGGTGGATTCCCGAATTCGGCTATCTCGCGCTTATTATTGTGTTTTGAGACACACAGTTTTGCTGTGGTCGAATTAGCATCTGTCCCAACACGTTGGGACCCTGCAGTTCCACAGGCCACGATCCTTGCCCCAGGCTGCGTGGCACACCCGGAGCGGGAACGGTACGTTCGGCTGAGGCTTTGTCACTCGCACACAATGTCTGCACCACAGTCTCGGGTCAAAGCCTGCTCTGAGACTGGCCGGTTTCGGCCGCCTCGGTGCTTGCTGTATTGCACGACGATCTTGACTCGTGAACCACTTATGTCCGTACCAGGTATCCGAGCTGTGTGTGCTCTCCGTTCTGTGGACAGCTGAGAGATCCACTTTCAGAAGAATCAACGTCGTCGACCAGCAGGGCCGAAATTATGGACAGACTTTTTAAGCCGGAACCAAGACAAACACCAAGTGCTGCTAGCATCTGCGCTGTTTCGTACCTGGCAGAAAGCGGATCCGTACTCCGTACTTTGCCTTTTTCAACGTTTGACAGATGTGTAGGGCTTGTCGACTTGAGCTCGGCTCAGACACACTTAGGCGAATCCGTCACACCTCTTATCAGAAAGCCAGAAGTGGATGATCAGGGGCTGTTCTTGGTCCCCTCTCGGACGATCCAAAGCAGTTCCTGCATATATGGGTACCAACGGCCAATTGGATACCCGAGCACGTGCTGCTTGGGCTGACTACTGTGGTAAGATGCTCCATCTATGGAACCACTCCCGGCTTCCCCCAATTTGACTCACTTGACGCCGGGATGGCCGGTCCTGCTCCAGAAGCATATGCTGCGCGCCACATGTGCTGTCGGATGATACAAGGTGGGACCTTGTGGTGAGCTGAGCATGGCAGTCACTCCTCGGCGTTGTCTGGAACCTTGTGGCGGCATCCCAGCTGCCCGCCTACTCCTGACATCAGACGAAAGCATCGAGACGATCAGCTTTGAGCATGGAGCCGACTCCGATGTGACTCCGGATCATCAGTCTCGAGGCTCCCCCACTTGCCTTCACGGTTGTCTGCGATGTACTCACCTTCCCTTTGAGCAGTCATTCCTTTGCAGCTGTGTTCAGCGCGCCGCTCACTGCTGCTTGAGGCTATTAGACCTCTTGCTTCAACCATGTATTCGTTATTCGTTTCGTTTGTGCTTTTCAGCGTGGCTTGGGGCTTGAGGTTCGAGCAGCAGCACATCGGCTATAATCTTAACGAGAACGAAACCGCGGTCGAACCGAAGGATTATTGGGGCAAATGGGACAATCACACCTTTCAGCCTTCGCCATCAAATTGGCGCATGCCTACCTTTGTCCTCACCATTGACAGATTCATCGATGGCAACCCTACGAACAATAATGCTAATGAAAGCGTCTTCGAGTCGGATTGGATGGCCAATCAGTTCCGGTTTGGAGGAGACACTGCTGGTCTATATGACAGCTTGGACTATCTGGAAGGCATGGGCATCAAGGTATGAGCTTGGCGGTGTCTATACAAGACCACAGTCAGACTGATTACGCCAGACGATTTATTTTACCGGGTCAATGATGTTGAATATGCCGTGGTCCCCGGATGGATACGGTCCTCTCGACTTCACACTGCTCGATAGGCATCATGGCAACATCGAAGAGTGGAGGGATGTCATCTCCGAAATACATCGCCGCGGCATGTATGTGATTTTTGATAACACTGTCTCGACGTAGGTCCCCTCCCGCCCCCCCACAATTTTCCCGGTCACTAATCCATACCCGCAGCATGACCGATCTCCTTGCGTACGGCAATGGTTTTACGAATAAGACTGCCGAGTTCAGGTTTTCTGAATACGATTATCTCTGGAAGGGCCCAGAGAGATACCACGACTTCGTTCCTGGAAACGAGTGGAACGCGAGCTGCGAATATCCAAGAATATGGGAACAAAATGGCTGGCCTCTCCCGAAGAATGTCAGTGACGCTTTCCACGGGTGCCGCGCCAGTGAGTTCGATATGTACGGAGACATCAAGGGAACCGGTTCATACCCCAGCTACGTCAACCAGCTCTCTCGATTTGCCTCGGTTCAGGATCGTCTTCGAGAATGGATGCCTTCGGTCCTCGAAAAGATCAACAGGATGTCTTGTCTACAGATTACAATGCTTGACATTGACGGCTTCCGTATCGACAAAGCGGTACAGGTCACTATCGACGCACAGGCAGACTTCTCCGACTATCAGCGCCAGTGCGCCCGGTCAGTTGGCAAAGACAACTTCATTATAGTTGGCGAGCTTGTGGCCGACCCAAAGCTTGCTTCGATCTATTTTGGTCGTGGTAAAGAGCCTGATCAGGAGCATCTTACCGAGCTTGAATCTATCACTAGCAACGGAGACACGGATCCAAGCAAATATGTTCGGCCCCTCAACAAGGTTGCTCTTGACGGTGCGGCATTCCACTATGATGTGTATGGCTCACTCACTCGTTTCCTTGGCCTTGACGGACCTTGGGGCATGCTCGGTGTCGATTGGGCAGCCATCTGGAACCACTTTTTGCTCACTCAGGATATGGTAAACGCAAACACTGGGGAATTTGATCCACGACATATGTTTGGTACTACCAACCAGGATGTTTTCCGCTGGCCCGCCCTTGCAGACGGTACGTCGAGGCAACTTCTTGGCTTGTTTGTCACCACGTTGGAGCTTCCTGGAGCACCTATGATGTTCTACGGAGAGGAACAGGAATACTACCTTATTGAGAGTCTTGCGCCAGATTATGTCTACGGTCGCACGCCTTATGGATCCAGCAGGGCATGGCAATTGCATGGCTGCTACGACCTGGGCGAAGAACTGTATGTCGACATGCCGTTCAACTCTTCCAAATACGGCTGCTATGATGACAAAGTTGGTCTCGATCATCGGGACGCTTCTCACCCTCTTCGAAATCTCTTCAAGCGCATGTTTGAGCTCCGAGACCACTATCCGACCCTCAACGATGGCTTTAACCTTACGACTCTCGCCACCTGGACGCGTGACGTCTATCTCCGTGGAAGCCAAGGCATGCCTTCACCCACAGGTCTATGGAGCGTCTATCGAGGCCGCAGCGAGGCGGTCCAGGACTTTGACGGCCAGGAATTTGGCAATCTGGGTGTCTGGCTGCTTTTCCACAACGACAACACGACCATTACTTACAAAGCGGATTGCTCCAGCCTCAAAAGTGTGAACGGCTCTATTCTGTCTCCTTACGATGCAAACACAACGGTCCGCAACCTCTTCTATCCTTACGAAGAGTACACACTCGAGACGTCAAGATTCGTCATTGGTATCGAAGGCTCTGATGAGGTCAATGGCTGCCTGCCGTCCGTGGAGCTGGAGCCATGGGGTTTCAAGGCTCTCGTGCCTGCAGATAAGTGGCTCGAACCGAACCCTGTGATTACGCGCGTTCTTCCTCATCACGATGAGAGGCTGGCGTCGACAGTTGCTTACGACGACACCGAGGTTGTGCCTATCGAGATCCGGTTCTCCCAAGAGATGGACTGCAATAGCGTGGTTGATGGCCTTGTGATCAATTCTACCGCGCAAGGAGGCAAGGCGGCAGAGCTTGACCCAGACAGTGTTCGCTGTGGACCCCTCGATGATGACGTGCCAAGTCAAGTAGGATACGTCCCGACAGCTTGGTCATTCCGTGCAAACCTCCGAAATGTTGCGAACGGTGTCCATACATACACGGTAACCAATGCGACCAATGCCGACAGAACTGGTTCGACAAACGCGAAGGACAAGTTCATGTTCCGCATTGGTGCGAGCGACAACCCTATGGTCTTCCCTCTGACGTCCAATTATACTGCTGGTCTCTTGCAGAAAGATGTTGATGGGCAAATGAGCGTGAAACCACGTGCAGCAGGTGCGGACATGCTGAGATACTCCACCAATTGGGGTTCCAGCTGGAGTAGCTGGCAGAAGTATACTGACGAAGAAATCACCGTTATTCCTCAAAAGTGGTCAGGCACCAAACGACAGGCCTGGACGGGCGACCATGTTACTCTCCAGTACTGGGGCAGGGCCGCCGGCAGCAGTCATCATGTTCAACATAGCGATCTTGGCTCGACCCTTGAACGCAGGTGGCCGCATGCGTTTGTTCACGGAATCTGGAACCAGTGGGGCTTCGACAAAGGTCTCGATAACCAGATGAAGTTGGCCGATAACTCTTCGTGGACTTTCGACCTCTACTCTGAATATCCGACCGATTTCATCATCAACGTGTGGGGAATGAACCCAGATGGCAATCCTGACAAGTCGGCAGCGTTTGGCGACATTGACCGAAACTTTGTGCTTGACTGGCTGCAGCCGACCACGATTGCCAGGAATGTCATCAACGTCTCTACAGTCCCGGTGGGCGGCATTGGCTATCGTATTCTAGTGAATGATGGCAATTACAGCTTCGGCTACACTCCGGTGGGATCAGTTGCTGCCCAAGCAGTCGCAATGGTCCTACTCTGTCTGATCCCTGTGGCTTCCGGCATTCTTGGGGCATGGGCATTCGCCAAAGTGTTCTATGGCGTCAAGTTCAACAAATTCGGAACGGCCAATGCTCCTGCGAAGAAATTGTTCGATACGTTCAAGTCTCTGAAGCCTTCCCGGAAAATCGAGAGCCAGGAGCTAGCCCGTATATTTGGGAAAAGCCTGCCCCAGCAACCCGCCGGCTACAACTATGAGCTTGCTACCGCAACGCCTCAGAAGTCCGTTCTCATCGCGACAATTGAATATGAGATAGAAGATTGGAAAGTTAAGGTCAAGATCGGTGGGTTGGGAGCCATGGCTTCCCTGATGGCCAAGACCATCCACGACAGACAATTGTTCTGGGTCGTCCCTTGTATGGGTGGCATAAACTACCCAACAGATGAGAGTACCGAGAGTGAGCCTTTCCGAGTGGTTGTCCTCGGCGTGGAATACCGTGTCCATGTCCACTGCTACACGACCAAGAACGTCACCTACATTCTATTGGACGCTCCGGTCTTCAGGGCCAGGAAAGCCGCCGAGCCATACCCCCCTCGCATGGACGACTTTGAGAGCGCTGTCTACTACTCGACCTGGAATCAGTCCATCGCGGCCGCCATCAAACGCTTTAACCCAAGCATCTATCACATCAACGACTACCACGGTGCAGTGGCACCTCTCTACTTATTGCCCGATCCAGTGCCCTGCTGCTTGTCACTTCACAATGCTGAATTCCAAGGGCTATGGTCTCTTAAGGATGAGAAAGACATACAACATATGTGTGGAACGTTCAATCTGGGCAAGGATGTTGTGAACAAGTACATCCGATTTGGAGACGTTTTTAATCTGCTGCACGCTGGCGTGAGCTACTTGCGCGAGCACCAAAGCGGATTCGGTGCTGTGGGCGTTTCCGACAAATACTCCAAACGGACACTTCAGAGATATCCCATATTCTGGAGTATCAGCCGTATTGGATCATTACCAAACCCGGATCCGGCTGACCTTGCAGAGTATGTCAAGGCCGCAGCCAGCGAAAAGCCACAAGTCGACGAGGAGGCTGAAGCTCAGAGACCTCTGTATCGTCGGCAAGCTCAAGAGTGGGCTGGACTCAACATCGACCCAAATGCCGATCTCTTCATCTTCATAGGGAGATGGTCAAAGCAGAAGGGCGTTGATGTCATCGCTGATGTCTTCCCCTCAATTCTCAAGAAGTATCCTTCGTCTCAACTGATCTGTATTGGTCCTGTCATCGACCTGTACGGCAAGTTTGCGGCTCTCAAGCTAGAGAAGATGATGAAAATGTTTCCTGGTAGGGTATATTCCAAGCCAGAGTTCACTGCTATCCCGCCGTACATCCACAAGGGCGCAGAATTTGCTCTAATGCCCTCAAGAGACGAACCCTTTGGTCTTGTTGCGGTCGAGTTCGGTCGAAAGGGAGCCTTGTGCATTGGTGCACGAGTGGGTGGCTTTGGTAATATGCCTGGCTGGTGGTTCCCGGTCGAGTCTATGACCACGGAGCACATGATCAAGCAGTTCCATCATGCGATTTTGATCGCGATGGCCTCCAAACCTGAAACTCGGAGATCGATGCGCGCATGCTGTGTGACTCAACGATTCCCCGTCCAAAAATGGCTCCAAGATCTGGAGATTCTATACTTGACGTCGATCAAGAAGAGCTACAAGCATGGAACGCCAAAGCCGTCAGCTATAACGCGCCCCCTGCTGAGCCTGCGTTCCACTCCAATGGGCAGTCCGATGACCACACCAGCCCGAACCCCCTATGGAAGATCGCCTCTCGGCAGTCCTGGAATGCTAACACCAGCATCGGCGAGAAGCTTGTCCCGGAATGCAAGCCCAACAAACAGCCGCCCTGGGTCATCCCAAGGAGGATCCCAAGCAGCATCCCAAGCAGGATGGTATCAGTCTATGGATGCCACCTCGACCCCGACTTCGCCACACCTCCCTCCACAGTACGGCCGGAACTCACCAGACTCGGGCTACTTCAACTACGCTCCAGTTCCGGGTCAAAGCCGCGGTGATTCGCCGCATTGGCCGACAACGCCTTTGACACCCAGCGCGCTGTTCCCTCCAGCTACCAATCATCGACTCAGTGTCGGCTCTATTCGTTCCAAGAGCGCCGGTCAGCAGATGGAGAAGACGGCTCCAGTCTTCGACGATCCGAAGATGAGGTACTACCAAGCCTACTCAGAACTGCTGGATGACCTGGCCGAGAAAGATACGTCTTCGAATCAATTCGGGCCGCACATCGAGGATTGGCTGGTAAAGAGCGAGCAAGACTGGTTCGCCGGCTACCACAATGCGTCCCTCGGCATGAGCTCGACAAACTCGTCAACAACATCCTTGCTCCACGGCATGAAGTCCGAGAAATCCAAAACCCCTAGAGCTTCTGCTTACGTGGCTCGAGTCAGAGACTCCCGCGATGCAGCGGACTTCCGAGGTATACTGGGTGACGACTATGAAGTTCCGAATGGCTTGAAGAAGTTCCTTTTGCAGAAAGCCGGCACCTGGCACTACTATACAATCTTACTCGCCCTGGTAAGTCCGCCCTACCTGGCTTGGACCTCTAGCTAACCTGACCAAACAGGGCCAAATCCTCTGCGCCAATCCCTACCAATTGACTCTGCTAACCGGACAAATCGGCGCACCTGCCATCGAGCTTTACGTGCTGTGCACCATCTACCTGGTCACCTCTGCTGGCTGGTGGATACTCCATCGCTACATCCGACCGATATATCTACTATCCGCCCCCTTCTTTTTCTTCGGTTTCGCATTCATGATGCTGGCCATTAGCAGCGCCAGCAAAGACACCGAAGTCACGGGACGCCTGTACAACGTTGCCGCAGGGGCATACACTTTCGGCTCGTCAGCCTACGCCCTTTTCTTTGCGCTCAACTTTGGCACTGAAGCCGGCATGACCGCCGATGTCTGGGCCTCACGCGCGGCCATCATGGCTGGACTCCAGCAGCTCCTCGTCGCCTTTCTCTGGTACTGGGGCTCCTTCCTCACGCAGACGACCAAGAGTGCCGACGCCGCCTCCGCGATGGGCACATCCAAGCTCCTTCTCGGCCTCGGCATACCCTTTTCCCTCTTCCTCTGGGCCATCGGCATCGTCGTCTTCCTCGGCCTCCCCTCCTGCTACCGTCAACAACCGGGAATCGTGCCCTCCTTCTACCGCTCCCTTCTCGGCCGTCCCTTGGTCCTCTGGTTCCTCGTCGCGGTCGTCCTCCAAACCTTCTTCCTCTCCACCAACTACCCGCGCAACTGGCTCTTCCTATGGTCCTCCCCATCCGCGCCGCGCTACGCCGTCGCACTCCTAACGTTTTTTTTCTTCGGCCCCTTCTGGCTCGCAATCATGGCCGTGCTGGGCCGCCTCACAAAGTCGCACGCCTGGATCATCCCCATATTCGCCGTCAGCCTCGGCGCCCCGCGCTGGTGCCAGATGCTCTGGGCTCTTTCCGGCGTCGGCGCCCACATCCCGTGGGCCGCCTCCCCGGCCCTGGGCTCGCTTTTGAGCCGCTGCGTCTGGCTCTGGCTGGGTGTCCTGGATGCTCTGCAGGGCGTCGGCATCGGTACCATGCTACTCATGAGTCTGACGCGCGTGCACACCTTGTTCACGCTCGTGCTCGCGCAAATCGTGGGCGCGTTCACCACCATGTTGGCCCGCATGGTGGCGCCGCATCGCACGGGGCCTATGCCGGTGTTCCCGAACCCGGCTGCCGATGGCGTGGGCTTAGGACCTTGGTTTTGGGTCGGGTTGCTGTGTCAATTGCTGGTCTGTGTTGGATTCCTCAAGGTACGCTGCCATCCCCTGTTTGCTTAATCTTTAGAGAACCGATCCGCTAACGCATCTGTTTCTTCCACAGCTCTACCGCAAAGCCCAGCTGCAAAAGCCTTAGAAGACCATTGTCACATTGGACACATGTCTTGTAACACGTTCACTTACGGCCCTCAAACCTGAGAGCCGCATAGTTCCTTTTCACACGCTCAAAACCCATGTCTCCAAACGTTATATTTCTTGGACGAGTGTCATTTCTACGGGTGTTCTATTACGAGGGATATGAAGAGGGCAAGAACTAGGTTATACTCTCGACGAAAGTTTTTGATGGATTTGTACATGAACGGGGTGACTTGGCAGAAGATTTTCTTGTATGACTTAACGAAAAACGGGGGAGTTGTGGGTAAATTTACGTGTCCCATGCCGAAGGACGCCTATAACTTTGAGGCCAAAAAATACGGCTGTAGATTTTAGAAAGACGGGATGGTTATACATAGAAATTAGAGAGACAAAAGGGATATGGGCTGGAACGTGGGCCAGGTACATATGAAATATTTAATAGCTATGGATGTCTGTCTAGCAATTGCGAACGAGAAAGGATCATCAGATCTCTGAAATACCGTAGGCTTTTCTTTGCCATGTCGCAGGCTGACCTCTTGATCAGCCCCCAGCGCCACCACCGCCTTCATATATCGACGCTCGACTGTAAACTCGCCGTTAGCATGCACCATCAAAGCACACAGACATAAGGGGTATGTATACTCACAAATCCGAGCCATCAATCTCCGCTCTGCAAGGCCCATCCCGCCTCGCCCAAACCGCCACGGACCTAGGCGCGCACGTAAACACACCACACCCCCACCCATCAATCACAACACTCCCGCCCACACCCCCCAGCAGATCCGTCCACACCTCCCCAGCATGCCACGTCCCCACCTCCATCCTCTTCCCCCCGCCCACCTCCGCATTCGTCATCACCACCGCGACGCCCTCCCGCCTCTGCGCATCTCCCATCCTCGAGAACCCAACACAGTGCCGATCGTCCCAGCACTCGCGCATCTCGCCGTAGGCGAGCAACTTCCGCGCGAGGATCAGTTTCGGCAGTTTTCCTTGGCAGGAGGGCGCCAGGGGCGCGGGCCCGCAGATGCCGTAGAGGTCGCCGTAGAAGACGCAGGGGAAGCCAGAGTGGGCGCGCAGCAGGATGAAGGCGTAGGCGAGCGGGATGAACCAGGGGGAGATGGCGGTGACGGCGTGGTCGCGCTCGAAGCGGGATTGCGTGTCGTGGTTGATGACGAAGCTCTATGTCGACAATGGAGTGGTTAGTCGAGGTGCGTAAGGTGCCGGGTGGGGGAAGGTGCTGGAGGGTGGATGAGGGGGGAATTCGTACCACGGCTTGCTGTGGATAGTACTGTGTCAAGGTGTTGGTGAGGATGCCACGCATGTCGCCGTCGTTGGCGACGGAGAGCTTGGACATGTTTGTTGCGAGCATGACGTCGAAGAGCAGGAGTCGACCTCTCAGTTTCTCGATCATGGAGCCTAGTGATCGGAGGTCATCTCTCCAGTACTCGCCGATCATGAGAAGTGGCGGCCCGGCTAGAGTCTGGTCGAGATGGCTGATCCACGACTGCAGAAAGTCTGAAGAAAAGTGCTTGACGGCATCGAGACGGAAGCCTGAGAGGCCGAGTTCCTGCGTAATCCAGGTTCCCCAGTGCATCATGTCCTGCCGAACTTCACGCTGCGAATAGTCGAGGTCATTACCCATGCTGCACATAGCTATCAAAAAGGGACTCAGAACAAGTGGGCCTCGGGTTGACTTACAGGTAGTCAGCATTGCCATCGCTGTCGTCGACATCGAGGGCCCATCCTGGTTTCTGTGGCCCGACGAATTTGTATAGCTTCTCGTTGGTCTTCAGTCGAGCCTCCCAGTCTGTACCGCTGAAGTGGTGCCAGTGATATTTCATCTGGCTGTATCGGCCAGCCCTGGCCGCAAAATCGTAGCCTGTCCAAACCTCGACTTCTTGCGGACCACTCAACTCCTTCAATCGATCTGGGGCCCGAGAGTCAGCCCAAAGCCATCATTCATGCAAAGGCATACACACTGTCCTTATCAACCACAACAGCTTGACACTTCTCGGTATAGTCCGCGGCGGACTTATGGTTCAGCACTGCATCCCACAGCACAGCCGTGCCATGCTCGCGAGCCACATGCATGAGATCCATCAGCTCTTCTTTCGTGCCCCACTTCGTCGCGCGAGCGCCCTTCTGGTCGAATTCCCCCAAGTCGTACATGTCATAGACATCGTACCCGTTGCTGCCCTCCCAGCCAGCCTTACAACCTGGAGGAAGCCAGATGTAGTTGATACCAAGACGCTTTAATCCGGGCACAGCCTGAGCTAGCCGCCTCCAGTGTTTGCCATCCGCTGGCGAGTACCACTCAAAAGCTTCTAGCAGCACCGAATTTTCAGGGGTAAAGCCAGGTGCAGCCCCGCGGGCATAGTTGACGTGGGGTTGGCTCATGCTATCTGTGAAGACTTAAGAGGACAAAACTTTATGGGGCCGCCAGCTTCCAGAATCATTTACGATCGCACTTGCAGTTGGCACGTCAACGAAGCTAGCATGATGCCTTCGCACCAGTCGAGCAAGGCCTGATGCCGACCGAGCACTGCAGCAGATATTGCCAAGCCTCAACGCCTTACGGTGTCGCAGAAGACTCTACTACGCAGGATCCATTACTAGGTGGCTTCCTGCTCAGTGTGAAGTTGCCTTCGCGTGACACATGGCAGAATGATGTTACCTCTCTATATAGGCCGCGAATCGAGCGCCGAGAAAAGACTGTCCCAGGCTGCCAGCTCTGGGTTTAGGTCCGCCTGGATCGTGTTCTGCCAAAAGTCATCGAAATACGTGTCGAAGTCGAGTGCCTGGGACTCCGGCAAGTGCAGCGTTGCTGGGGGCAGCTGTACCTTGACAGCTCCATTCAGGCCCTCCGAGCCACTGTCATGAGTTTTCCCAACATCCCATGTAGTGACGGTCGTGGGTATCGTATTGTCGTTGAGGTATACTTGGTGCTTCTCCAAGATTTGCTGCAAGGAAGTTAGGAATTGCCCAAGCAACGGAGTTCTCTGCCTCGCATCCTCAAACATTTTCAAGCCTGCTTTGACTTGGGCCTTGATTTGGACCTCGTCTGCCGAGTTTTTGTTCAAGCACAGGTCCATGACGAGAACTCCCATGGCAAGATGCATGTAGTGTGCCGCTATGGCCATGCGTCCGGAGACAATAAAGGCATTGTGATGGTCTGCTAGGCCGTCGTAGAACTGCATGACGGTTTGCGCCGAATCGAGACAGGCTTGTCTTGAGTAGGCGTACCGCGGATCGTCGGATTGTCGTCCAAGAAAACACTGATGAAGCTTGATCCGTCTGCTAAGTGCTGCTCTTGTGATACAAAAGCGAAGCATTGTTATATTCTGGTCGATATCCTCAAGGGGCCTGCTTCGGCGGCGACTCTCGACATCGAGCCTGAAGTAGAACGGCAGGGTTGACAGATAGTCCACTAGCTTCTGATCCAGGGCCACGATATGCTCATAGGGTACCTGCTGGAGTTTTGATATTTCCAGCGGTAGGTATTCAACCATCTCGCGGCAAATATGGGCCAGTCTCACTCTCTCTAACAAGTGTGACATGCTGGTAGGTCGATCTGTTGACACAGGACTGTCATCGTCGCACAGGAGGAATGTGTCATCATTGCAGTCCTTTGGAAGTCTCACACTTATTTGTGCTGGATGAATAAAGTACATTCCCGACTGCGGGCCAGAGATGGACGCAGCCAACCTGTCATAATAATCAGTATACGGAGATCCAAAGCAAGGGGGGCAAGTATACCAGTCAGTAGCCGCTAGATACCAGAAGACACGACGCTTAATCTCGCGATCTATCCTGATGCGAGCACTGTATTGGTACTCTGACCCCGAGGTGGCGTTTGAATCGATCTTATGGAGGCCCAGATCCCGGGACAACGCCACAGCGGCTCCAACATGAAGACGGCCTCGTGATGAGAAACCTTCGTGTTGATTTACGGCGAAAGACATGATAATGTGAGCCTGAACGTCTTCAAGGCATCCAGAAGAGGTGCGGCTCGAATGGCCCAACACATCCAGTGCGCTGCTAATGAATATCCTTGACAGATTTGTAGGCTCATGATCATATCTTGCTACTTCTGAGTGAGGTGACGGTTCATAAAAGAACGAAGATAGTGCAAAGATGGCGAGCAATAGCGCCGCTTGGCCCAGAGGGACGGGCTCGTTCTGGCTAAGTTTGAGGTAGAATGACTCGGTATTCTGTCGGAGGGACGGCTTGTGCAAGATATGGCAAATGCTGTCCAGATTGACCTCGTAGTTCTGACAGAGCAGGAACGCAGCTCTGTAAGGTGGAAAGGCGACTGTGTTGACGCCGTATTGAGATCGCGACGAGCTCTGCATGTGGTTGTGGGAAGCGGAGACTCCGTCGAGCATTGTTTGTATGCTTTCTACCCTGAACTGCAAGCCGTGAGAGAAGCTGGCAAGCTTTTGAGAAGTCAGAGCTGGCCATCAGACCATGGGAAATGTAGGGTCGTACATGAGAGTTTTCTCGAGTTCCGACGGTCTCAAGTAATACCGCATCGCTATCATGATCCGAAAGCGCATCATTTACGGGCGGAGCTTGAAATGCACGGACAGATTCCGGTGTTTTGTAGACGTAGGCATCATGCGAAATGGCTGCACCAGGCTGGTCGAGGGCATCTCGCTGTGCTATGATGGTCTCCAGACGTTCGATGCGCTGTCGAAGATCTGAGCTTTCGTCACTAGGTCGAGTGCGATCCTTTTGGGTATGTGGGGGCACGAGGAAGTTGCATGTGATGTTTCGAGCAGTGCAGTTCGAACAGGGCTGGACGCGACTGCATCGTAGCTTCTTCAAGCGACAAGATTGACACGAGCTTGGCTCTTGACGGCCTCGGCCTCTCTGTGAGGGTGAATTCATGCTTGCAAGGGGCAAGAGAGAGGATGGGGAGATCGGCTTCACCGACACAAGATCCCCGCGGAGGTCCGCGGCATCAATTTGTCAGCTCCATGGAGATCCCACGACATTTGACGACCACCGCTGTGGACAAGGATATTGCCAGTGTCAGCAAGATGAGCAGGCGGGTAGCGCGCGCTCGAGGTAGCAAGCAGGAAAGGATGTCGAAGGTGTACATTGAGCAGTTCGAGTTTATGTGACGTTCTGACCAGAATCGGAAAAACCACCCACCGGAGGGCGTAACGGCGACGCACTTAGAAAACGCTTTTTTCTGATTTTCATGTGTCGAGACAGAACATACGTCGTCTCTTTACTACCAACATCTCGCCTTCACGCTACAGCACAGACGACCAGTCCTCTCCTTTAATGTAATCTGCCATCGAAGTGAGTGGAAACTTGACTCCGAGCTGCTTTGACGTCAGCACAGTCAATGGAAAGTCAGCAAACTCACCTGCTCGGCAGTAACAATGTTGGAATGGCGACCAGTATATCCAAACTCCTCAACATATCGGAAAGTATCACTGAGCTCGTCCCCCAGATCCTTTGGTACGCCCTGGAAATGCTGCTCTTCTGACACCCGCCTGTAGCTCGCTTTGACCCCCAGCACATCTCCCCAGATCTTTGCAAATTCCGGCATCGTGAGCTCTTCTCCAAAAGCCAGAAGATTTGTGCCCGCAGGCAAGTCCACCAGAGCCTTGACAAAGGGTCCCGTATCCTTGTGCGTGTATATGAAGGGAATACGCAGATCAGGGCTAAAAGTCCTCTCGATGACAAAGCTGCCGTCTGCCTGCTTCTGCGGCCTGGCTGGCGGAAAGATATACCAGTTGGTGACATAATGGCCAATATGCACCGAGCTCATACGTCCAGCTAGCTCTGGAAACCGATCGCGGATGTCCTGTTCAATACCCGCTTTGACATCGTTGTGATACACCTCCTTGTACTTTCCCTGGGTGGCTTTGGCGACCTCGGGCAGGGACGAAAACACGAATCGCTGCAGCGTCTTCAGTACTTTTGGTGACGCAGCCGCCTCTGCAAGGTTGCGTCCCTGTTCCAGCTCGCGGTCAAAGGCATACCGCCGTGGCCCGCTGCTTCCGGCGAGATCTGGTGACCCGATTGCGGCGAAGAAGTGCGCAAAGTAGTCGGTGTTGGCGAATATGACAGTTGCGTTTTCAAAAGCCGGGACCAGAGAGTCCTTGTCGTCCAGATCCGCCTCGACAATCTCAACTCCCTTGGCCGCCAGGGCTTCAGCAGGCTTTCCCGTTGGGTTCCTCGTGATGCCTCGAACTTTCCATTCCGGAAGATTCAGAAACGTATCGGCAACAGACGACCCCTACACATGTGAGCAAGAGGAGCAGTGGTGGTTTCAGAGGGGTTGCGTACCTGAATGCCCGTAACACCAACGATAACCACTGTCTTTGACATCTCGATTCGCAATGTTCAGGCTTGTTAGATGACTCAACAACAAGAGGAACGCAGCATCTTATATAGCATACCGAAAGCTTCTCCTGCCTTGAATGCCAAGAACATACTTGCAAGCAACACCGGGACCGGGACTTTCTCGATCCGAGCTAACGAATGATGATGACTGCACTGGGCATAGAGGCGGGCCCTGACCCAACCTCATTAAGCCTATCTCGCTGGAGTGCATAGGCCAAAGCAGAGTCACAGTACCATGATTCGGACGTCCGCGGAGAGCCGCAGTGGGCCCTATTGACTGCGTTCGACTGGCCTAGAAACATATTCCATGAATCCATATAGCCGGATGGTAGATGCCGAGAACAAGTGCACTCCTGACTATAGCCGGCCATCGAGACGGGTTCAATTACTCATAGCCTTCACAGTGAGCTGACACGCAGACTCGGGCATTTGATAGAAACTGCCTTTCTGCGAGTCACCTCTAATCACCTTCTGACTCCGCAAGTGGTGAGATCAGGCCGAACTGCTTCTTCCTGTGCCAGCGATGTGTTAGGTCTGCTTGCAGTCGGATGACCAAATACAGCGCTATTCAGGGTTCCCTACCTGCACACGCTAAGCCGTTGATAGAGATTGTTTCGCGAACGCTTCGCCTAACAATCAACGCCGAGGCGACGAAGTCTTGATCCATCACTCGGCAAGTAGAACGGGCATGATATTGCGAAACTTGCAGGACCTCAACGAACAGAGGAAAGGGAGCCGGAGGTTGGGGTTAGATCCGCCCCCTCGGCGCCAAGCTTTCACTGCCTGAGAGCAAAGGCTGATCAGCCGCTTCGCTCATGCGACGCTTGGAGACCACGGTCTCCCGGTCCCGTAGCATTCGGAGTACAGAGTCGTTGTACCAGACTGGAGGTGGTCATCGTACTGCCTTCTGTGAGCTAGTCCAGCTATGTTTACAGGAGGCCTGGTCTGTACGTGGGACCGGGATGCATGTTGACCACCACCCACGGACCGTGACTGAACCATTTGAGTGCTCATGCAAGTGCGATCCGTATGCAGCGACGGCTAGCAAGACTAGGAGAAGCAGCTATACGTAGAATGAGAGTTGAAGTGAAGATGAAGAAAACATGCCAAGAACAACTTATCGATAGTGACACCCTGCACCTTTTGCAATTTCGCAGGCGTCCCAACGCATCGGCCTCATCTCAACTTGCTGCTTCTCACCACCCCACGCAGGCTCCCGAGAGGCTCTCCTTGCCCTACAAATTCATCCGAGATGCCTCCAAAAGCCGGCAGCGGGTCGGCCGCGCCAGTCGCCGCCTACGCTCCGCGCGCCTCCTCCACGGCTCAGAAGTACCTCCTCGCCTACAATAGCCTATGCTTCGCGCTCTGGTCCATCGTGACATTGCGCGCACTTGGCCTACTTCCCGTTCTTCTCTCACACAACAAGCTCCATGGCCTGTACCACGCAATATTCCCGCTATTGCAGTGGACGCAAACTATTGCCCTTCTCGAGATCCTACACTCTGTCCTCGGTCTGGTGCGGGCGAGCGTTCTCACGACTGCAATGCAAGTGGCATCCCGCATACTGGTGGTCTGGGGAGTCATGTACCTGTTTCCTCAGGTCATCGTCGCACAGAACGTCTGGGGAAGAGACACGGCTGGTCCCAACGGCGCACCCTACGCCTTCGTAGGCTGCGTCTTCGCCTGGGGCATCACCGAGATCATTCGATATGGTTTCTTCGTGTGGAAAGAGGGCGTGAGCCCGCGGATCCCGGGATGGCTCACGTGGTTGAGGTACAACACGTTTTTCGTGCTGTATCCCATTGGTATCAGCAGTGAATGCTGGTTAATTTACAACTCGATCAAGCCTGCCGAGCAAAGCTACCAGGGTCTGGACTTGGTGTTCAAAGCGGTGCTGCTCATTTACGTGCCGGGAAGCTACATCCTCTACACACACATGATGAAGCAGCGGAAGAAGGTGCTCAAAGGTAAAGAGAAGGCTCGATAGAAACGTCGGTCGCTGCAGTCTAAAGATTTTAAAAGATACCAGGGACAGCAGCCCCCAGCCGACGGACATGATTGGACAGGAACGCCCTAGCTTGAGTCATAGGGGCTCAGTGTTGACTCTGAGCATGCATCGGTTTCATGACTGTAGAGCAGTATGCATAGCGAAGGAGTCATGACCGCAGATGTCGTGCCTAGGCAGATAATCAGCATCCATCAAGTAGTGAATACGAAAAAGGCAACTCGAAGATGAAATTCGGGCGAATGACGATTCAGTCAAATCGTTCGAAGGCAAATTTGCGTCATTCCCCTCGTCAGGCAAAAATGCTGCCTTATTCCTCCCACCTTCCACTTCCTAACATTCTGTACCCGTCCTGGCTCGACTTGATGCGACAAACGTCACGGTGCCATTGAGTACTCAACACCTTCCTTCGAGCCTCAAGTAACATCTGAATAAGGCCGCTTAAAATAACACTGGTCGCCCGTGGATGGACATATTTTCTTTCCAGCCCCTCCGCATCTGAAAAGGCGTCAATCCTCGTCAACCCCGGCAACATGCCGACCGTCACGCCCTCACAACTGGTCGCGCTGCAATCCACACCCTCGCACATCCGCAACATCTGTATCCTCGCCCACGTTGACCATGGCAAAACGTCGCTCACAGATTCACTCATCGCCACCAATGGCATCATCTCCCCCAAAATGGCCGGCAAAGTTCGCTATCTCGACTCCCGGCCAGACGAACAGCTCCGTGGTATAACGATGGAGTCTTCGGCGATTTCGCTCTACTTCAGCATGATGCGACGGTCCGCACCAGACGCCGAGCCGAAGCAAGAGGAATACCTCGTTAACCTGATAGACAGCCCCGGCCATATTGATTTCTCGAGTGAAGTAAGTACAGCGAGCAGGCTCTGCGATGCGGCAGTCGTACTCGTCGATGCGGTGGAAGGCGTGTGCAGCCAGACTGTGACGGTGCTACGACAGGTGTGGTTGGAGAAGCTCAAACCGCTGCTCGTCATCAATAAAATCGATCGTTTGATTACGGAGCTGAAGATGACACCCGCAGAGGCTTACAGTCACCTTGAGCGTATACTGGAAGGTGTCAATGCCGTGATCGGTGGATTCTTCCAGGGCGAGCGCATGGAGGAGGATCTGCGATGGCGAGATCGAAAAGACCAACGGAAGGCGGAGGGAGAAAAGGCTTTGGAAGCCGACATCGATGGCCAGACCGAGGCGAGCTATGAGGAGAGAGATGACGAAGATCTCTACTTCGCGCCGGAGAAGAATAACGTCATCTTTGCGAGTGCGATTGACGGATGGGCTTTGACCGTTCGACAATTCGCCGCCATCTACGAGAAGAAATTAGGCATCAAGAGATCGGTGCTGGAGAAGGTGCTTTGGGGCGAGTTCTATCTCGATCCAAAAACGAAGAAGGTGTTAGGCTCGAAACACCTGAAAGGGAGGAGCTTGAAGCCAATATTCGTTCAACTGGTGCTGGAGCCGCTCTGGACCGTCTACGAGGCCACCATCGGCATCAATGGAAGAGGTGACCCGAGTCTGTTGGAAAAAGTCACAAAATCCTTGTCCATTAATTTGCCACCACACATCATGCGATCGCGAGACACGAAAGCCGTACTGCAGGCGCTCTTTGCCCAGTGGTTACCTCTATCCACCGCTCTATTGGTGTCGGTCATCGAGTATTTGCCCAGTCCACCTGCTGCACAGGCTGCACGTTTGCCGGACATGATTGACAGCCTTGTCGGGAGCAAGAACATCGACGAGACTCTCAAAAAGTCAATGGTTGATTTCAACACCGACGAGTCAGCACCGACCGTAGCTTATGTCAGCAAGATGGTCGCCATTCCCGAAAGCGAGATGCCAAACAAAAGAAGGAAATTGGGTACTACTCTCACACCAGACGAAGCAAGAGAGTTAGCCCGCAAGAAACGAGCAGAGATCGCCAAGGCACAAGCTGAAGCTGAGGGCGTCGATGGTATAAGTAATGGTCTCAGCAATGCGGCAATTGGGGATGTCCTGGATGACGAGTCAGCGCCTGAGCAACCAGAAGATCCCGAGCACCTGATCGGATTCGCCAGACTGTATTCCGGATCTCTTGCAGTTGGACAAGAAATCTGGGTGTTGCCGCCGAAATTCAACCCTGCTTTTCCACATGCATCGCCACAACCGAGGAAAGTTCAAATTACAGCTCTCTACCTTCTGATGGGCCGGAGCCTTGAACCGCTCGAGAGAGTACCAGCAGGTGTCGTCTTCGGTGTTGAAGGCCTAGAAGGCACTATACTCAAGACCGGCACCCTGTGCTCGCAACTGGAAGGCGGTATCAACCTCTCGGGGATTTCTAATATAGCCCAGCCCATCGTACGCGTGGCGCTCGAACCAGCCAATCCACTTGACCTTAACAAGATGATCAAAGGTTTGAAGCTGCTAGAACAGTCTGACCCCTCGGCTGTCTACGAGCAGATGCCGAGTGGTGAGCATGTCATCCTCACTGCAGGAGAGTTGCACTTGGAACGCTGCTTAAAGGACCTGCGAGAACGCTTCGCTAAATGCGAGATACAGCCCGGCGAGCCAATTGTTCCGTACCGAGAAACAATCGTTAGAGCACCAGAAGAAGACATGGAGCCGCCCAAGAACAAGGATTTACCTAGAGGCACTACTCTCACGACACCCTCAGGCGATGACTCCTTCTCGATCCGCCTCCGCGTTCGTCCTATACCACCCAAAGTGACTGATTTTCTCATCAAGCACGGCGCCTCTATCCGCCGCTTTTACGCTGAGCAGCAGGCTGAAGAGGAGGACCTCCCCAGCCAGAACGGCCATGATGGAACCGACGAAAAGCAAGACCGACAGTCGTCCGACCTTGGCAGCGGTGCTCATGAGGAAGAGCAAAGCACCATTCTCAGCCTCCCCGATTTCCGGAAGCAACTCCAAGCCACGATCCTAGAAGCCTCCAAAGACGACCACGATCCCGTCTGGCGAGACAACGACCTCGTCTCCCACATCTGCGCCTTCGGCCCCCGACGCGTCGGACCCAACCTCTTCGTCGACGCCACCGGCCGCCCCACCTGCAAGCGCTTCCTCGTCGACACACACAACCGCGACGGCAGCGCCGCTGGGCCCGACGTGTCCGAAACAACACTCTACGCCTTCCAACTCGCCACATCGCAGGGCCCACTCTGCCGAGAACCCATGCAAGGCGTCGCCGTCTTCCTCGAATCCATCACCTACCCCCCGGCCTCCTCCCACGGCGAGGAGCTCGACACCGGCCGCCTCACGGGCCGCCTCATCAGCTCCGTTCGCGAAGCCATCCGCAACGCCTTCCTCGACTGGTCCCCCCGCATCCTCCTCGCCATGTACAGCCTGACCATCCAAGCCACTCCTGAGGTGCTGGGCCGCGTGTACTCGGTGCTCACGCGGCGGCGCGGCAGCATCCTCTCCGAAGAGCTGCTCGAGGGCACGCCGTACTTCACCATCAACGCCTCACTGCCCGTGGCCGAGTCGTTTGGGTTCTCGGACGAGATCCGCAAGCGCACGAGCGGCCTGGCGCAGCCGCAGCTGAGGTTCACGGGCTTTGGGCTGCCGGAGGGCGTGGATGTGGATCCCAATTGGGTGCCGAGGAGTGAGGAGGACTTGGAGGATTTGGGCGTGCATGGCGAGAGGGAGAATGTTGCCAAGAGGTATGTGGATGGGGTGCGGAGGAGGAAGGGCTTGTTGGTTAGGGGTGCGAGGGGTGGGAGGGATGCCGAGAAGCAGAAGACTATGAAGACGAACTGAGGCCGACGAGGAGGGAGATGATGGGGATGAAGTGGGCGGCTGATATAAGGGGAGTGAGTACGCTTACGTAGAAAGCAGGAAATGAAACACATAAAAGCTAAAGACGAATACCAAACACGGGCTGGAATACCAGTTTCATGATTCATCTAGAATACTGTAGGTTGTCTGTCCCCTCCGATGTAATCTTCCCAGCTACCACATATCACGGCAGATGGACCTGGATGGAGGTCTTTCGAGCCGCTAGCCGGATGCATCGACAGACACCGAGAAGTGAATCCGGGCTGCCGCACACCGGCGCAGCCGAAAGCGGGTCATTCTGCCTTCTCGTGACGAAATGGTTAGACATTGAGGTGGTCTGTCCCATGGATACTAGAGAGGCGTTGTTGGGGGGTTTTGAGATGGAGACGGAGATTGGGAAGGAGGCGGGGAAAGAGGCATAAAAGTTCGAGCACGGCGTGTGGGAAGACTACTTTCATCGGTCGGGTCCGTTCGAAGCGATGAAGACAGAAGCAATCATGATATTGAGATCGTAGAACTGCCGGAGAGACTAGTCGTTGCTGAGGATGGAGTCGTAGACAACTGACCGAAGATGCTCTGCTGATCGGACGCGACCACATGGGTATACACGTATAATGCAACCCAGATGAAGCAAGTCCAACCTGCTCTGAGCATGTAGTATGCCTCCCGAGCCCCTGTTCGCTCCATCAGAGCGCTTTGAACTTGAGCGTCGTGGCTCATAGCGTCAGGTCTGCAGTATGAAGGTACTTGTTGCTAGCAGGAGAAGATTTGAGTTGGAGTGCAGCAGCGTCGGATGCGATCGGAGTCGAGGCAGCAAAGAAAGGTGGTGATGAGGTGGTTGCATGCTCGTCGCGTCCAAACCGCTTGCGGTGAGCCTGGGGAAAGGCCCACGTCAGAGCACTGCTTGCTCAAATCCGTCGTAATTGGCCAGGCTGGGTGACCTGTGATTGCCAGACGTGGGTCTCAATGTGGCTCTCGGGTTCGGTGATCGGAAAAGTGAAGTGCGTCCGAGATCTTCAGACAGGCTTCGCAACCTTCCTTGGTTCACCTTTGCCAGTCACCACATCTTTCATTTCCTTCCAGCTAGCAGGAACCATGGCGTTGCCGGCGGCGCTGCGGGCAACAACGACGCCAAACTCATTGCCAGTGGTAGAAATGTAATAGCTGCGTTCATCGCCCAAGCTGATGACGGTCGCCCGAACAATGTCACCCACACGAAACATGTCATTCATAACAATTTTGTCTTTCTCAAAAGCCCTGACATCTTCACGCCGCAGGATGGCTTGGTGTTGAAGATCGTCATTCGTCATGGTAGTGTAAGCCATCAGTGAGGATGCGGAGGAGCCCGGGGCGACAGGCAGAATGGACACGACCAGCTGCCGGGGCTGAACACGGATGACTCGAGCAAGGACTATCGCATTGACCGCAGGTAAAGGTGTCTGACTTGCCGATCTGGGGATGGATATAGTAGACTTGCCCTTTTTCTGAGGAGCAGGGGTTGTGACGATGGGTCCGGCAATAGAGGCCAGAATGTTGTTGTCGTAGACATGTGTGCCGGGACCTGCAACGTGAGATGAGGTGGGAGCAAGCACCTGACCAGGCACAGTGACGGTCGCCATCGGCTCAGTTCTACGACCTGGAGAGATGGCTGGAGCGAGAGTTAGAAAGACCACCACAGCGGGATCTTCAAGTGTCAGGTCTGCGCAAAGGTGCTGGCATGAGGCGGAGGGAGACCTCACTCACAGCTAGTCAAGGTGCGGACAAAGTAGGTAGAAAATTATTCATGAAGACTCGGATGGAGCAATACGGCACGGCAGGATCGCCAATTACGCAATATATATGCTTGGCATCGAGCTAGGCCTTCCTTTTGCTGCTCCTGTCGTCCGGACCACATTATGAAGATTACACATAACACCTTGACACAGTTGTTGAAGCACTAGTCTGAGCTCATGCCGAGTTATCGATCGCGAAAAGAACGACTGATTATGCAATGATGCGATGCTGGTATTCTCTCCCTTTCTCTCTGCAGTATCTATCTCATTGGACCTATGATCCAGCCGCTTGCGTTGAGAGGAAGTTGTGGTAGCTTCCCGCAGCTCGTGGTATCAAGTTCTGTACAGTTTCAGCGATCTTGCCGAGCGTGGTAGAGCTCGATTCATCAACAGCCTCGGGCGCACCCCAGCCTCCACCACTCGGGGTGTGCACCACGCAGCGATCGCCCGCAGCCATCTCTACGAGACCTCGAGGTCCCAATTGTATCCACTTGAAGGTTCCGTCCTCCTGGCGCTGGGCCCAAAAGTTCACGCCATTGGCCCCTTCTTCGCCACCATGCATGCCGTATGGTCTTAAGACCCGTCGTTCGGATATGATGGAGAAGGTCAGTGGGACGCGACACTCCCAGTCACGTACGATACCGTCTCCACCGTTGAAGCGTCCTTTCCCTCCACTGCCGCGCCGAATGGAGAACTCGCGGATGATGATGGGTAGTCGTCGTTCGAGCAGCTCTACATCTGTGATTCTTGTGTTCTGCTTCGCGTCAGTCTCCGTGGAAACATCACTGAACTGCATGAAAGGAATGGACCCTACTAACCGTCATATGAATGTGCACTCCGGAGGCGCCATGCCAAGTAGGGCCAGCACCCTCTCCGCCGCAAATGGTTTCGCCGTACTTATACCCATAGCCCAGCCGCGGCGTGCCATCAGGATCGTATCCCGCCTGGTCGAAAAATGCGAAGCAGTTCATGTCGCCCTGGGATCCTGAACAGGCATCGAATGCCTTCAGGAGCAGGTCGGCTAGACGCTGGGATGTATGAGTGTTTCCACAGCACACAGCAGGCCCTGCCGACGGATTCAGGAAACAGCCCTTGGGGATGATGACTTTGGCTGGGGCGAGGCAACCCTGGTTGAGCGGGATGTCTGCACCGATCAAGAGCCGCAACACATAGATGATGACGGAATACGTGATCGCTGGTGGGGCGTTGAAGTTGGAGAACATCTCATTGGTCGTTCCGGTAAAGTCGAAGGTTGCAGAGCCATCGTCTTCTATCGAAATACCGACTTTTAGTCGTGCTCCATTGTCCATGCCTTCCGTTGCACGGAGGACGACGGGTCCGCGCTCTGCACGAGTCCTCTTGAGGAAAGCTCGAACCGCCATCTCGGCATTATCTTGAATTTTCGCCATGTAGAAGTGTACCGTACTCGTTCCGTATTCTGCCATGAGAGCAGTGATGAGTTGGCTGCCTTTGGTGTTGGCAGCTATCTGAGCGCGAAGATCAGAGAGGTTCTCATTGACCTTGCGCGACGGCGTTACGCGCGGATATTTGCCTGGCTCGGTGAGAATCTGACGAATACCAGTCTCGTCAAAGTGGCCATCCCGGACCAAGAAGAAGGACTTCATCATTGCCCCTTCTTGCCATAGGTATGTCGAGTTAGGTGGCATGGAAGTTCCATCGAGCCCACCGATATCGGTATGATGGCCTCGACTGGCTGTGTAGAAGCAAATCGTTTTGCCGTCTGTTTCAAAGACCGGAGTTATCACTGTGATGTCGGGAAGATGGGTGCCGCCGGCTTCTGGGTGATTAGACACAAGTACATCACCAGGCCGGAGATTGTCTTTGTGCAGTGCGTGCTGATATTTGACTGCATAGCTCATACTACCCAGGTGTACCGGTACATCTGTCAATGTCAGCCGAAGTCAGCTTAGCTAGAGTGAAGGGTCATACGTGGTGCATTCGCCACAAGGTCTCCATCAGGTCCAAAAATGGCACACGAGAAGTCGAGCCGCTCCTTGATATTAAGAGAGATACTCGTCTTCCGAAGGGTGAGTCCCATCTGCTCAGCTATGCTCATGAATCGATGTGAAAAGACAGAGAGCTTAACGGGATCAACGATCCTGGTTGTGACATCGGCTGTGTCAATACCAGAGGACTCCTCTGGCATGTCGATGACAATGTGTGAGGACAAGAATTTGGCGGCCGCACCAGGAACAACGAGTATAGTCTGCGTGTCATCGATGATAATGGCTGGGCCGGGGACTCTGCTGCCTGCAGGGACGTTTCCGACCTTGAAGACTCTAGTGATCTCAGACGCACCCGAGAAGAATACGGGAACCTGTAACGATATTAGCATGCATCACTGGCAGGCATGTGGCTATTTGCTGTCGTACCGTTTGTTCACTTGCGACCTTGACCTCAGTAAATGCGGTATTTGCCATTTCGCCGGCGAACTCTTCCGCGTCTACAGCGGTATTCCTGGTCTTTCCGACTCCACGGACACGAACGTCGTCCACCAATACCTTATGTTCGCTGGGGAACAAGAAAGCAAGCTCGCGAAGATGAGTCGCTTCAAGCAGCTGCCGCCAATTGAGATCTTCTGGTTCTTGGATCATGAAATTCGTGCTCGTGCCGTGGTATCTCAAATTTAGGAACGGCTCATACTCGATAGACGTTTCTGGTATACCTTGTTTCATGAGCGCATCCCTTGCCTTGGATTTCAGTACGCTCATTCTCTCCTGTAGGTGTGGCATGATATCATCGTTCAGTGTCTCACTGCACGGTTCTTGTTCCTCCTGGACGACCTCGGCCAGGGACATGCCATATGCTGAGAGAATGCTGGAGTACTTGTGGATGATGACTCTCCGAATGCCGAGTTTAGCAGCAATATCGCAGGCATGTTGACCACCGGCGCCACCGAAGACCGCAAGATGGTGTTGCCCTGTTTCGAAGCCGCGGGCCTCCGTAATCGCACGTATGGGCCTGCACATCGACTCGTTTGCGACGTCTAGAAAGCCATGGGCTATTTCCTGGGAAGTCATCGAACGACCTGTTTCAGCATTGATTGTTTTGGTCAGTTCTTCGAACTTCGTAGCGACTATGTCCGTGTCCAGAGGTAGATTTTCATCCGGACCAAATATTGATGGGAAGAACTCGGGAAGCAAACGACCGAGAAACAGGTTTGCGTCTGTCACAGTCAGAGGCCCTCCCTTGCGATATGCTGCTGGTCCGGGGTGAGCGCCTGCACTCTATTCCTTTTAATTAGCACCACAAACTCAGGGATATAAAGGCTTCAGAACCTACCTCGGGGCCGACCTTGAAGAGGCCGTTGGACCAAAACAACATGCTGCCACCGCCAGCGGCAACAGTGTTGATGTCCAATTGCGGACTTTGAATGGAGATTCCAGCTGTGGTCGTTTCGAAGACGTGCTCGAAACTCCCACCATAACGACTGACATCGGTGGAAGTGCCACCCATATCAAAGCCTACGAGGGGCGTCGTTCCGTCATATGCTGTTTTTGCATATCCGACCACACCACCTGTGCTATCGTTAGCATATTGCAAAAAAATCGTTACGGTGTCTAACCAGCAGGTCCGCTTAGGATGCCACCCAAGCCGCTGAAGCTTTCGTGGCTGGTCAATCCACCGTCGCTTTGCATGAAGTCGCAATTGATACCCTCGAGGTTGCTGCCTTCAAATCGGTTCGAGAAAGTAGACACGTACTCTCGAATCTTGGGAGTCAGGTACGCATCTGCGGTGGCGGAACTACCGCGAGGTATCATCTTGATCATACCCCGACCAACGATGGAAGATATTGAAATATGCTTAAAGCCCATCTCTGTGGCAATTTCAGCAACGCGAAGCTCATGGTCCGGATACAGGTACGAATGCGTAAAACAGATGGCAAGACTCTCGATGCCGTCGGCCTGCAACGCGATCAATTTCGAACGGACCTGCTCCTCATCTAAGGACTTGAGAATTCTCATGAGGTCGCCTGTTACTGCTTTCACCAAGCGTCCAGGCGTCGTTTCAAGCCCAAACCTGGGATCCTCCGGGAAATTCTCGAACGCAACTCGTTCGGAGATCTCACACACGCTGTCGTACAACAGCTCGGGCTTCTTGATACCCAGAGCGAAGAGCTCGGGGCGAGACTGATATCCGATGTCGAGAACGTCACGAAATCCTTCCGTGACTAGAAATGCGTGCCGCATTCCTTTTCGTTCCAGTAGAGCTAGCAAGGCCTATTAGCTACTTCACTTACCTCAAGTATACGGCAGACTGACCATTTGTCGCAACAGTTGTTCCCATTCGAATGGATCGGATGAGAGATTTGGGGAGTAGTCTTGAACGGGGAATATCTTGCCCTGAGACTTGTTCTAAAACTCGCCGAATCCCTGATAGCCTGATTAGATGCCGATATTTGCGATGCTCAGAGTGGTTGCCTTGCCTTCCGCAGGTGCATCGTCATATGCATCTGGATTGACAGATAGCAACTTCATTACCACGTCTGCATGACCTGGTACTTTAGCCCAGATATCGGTAAAAGTGCCACCGCGATCAATTGCCAGATCAATACTCTGGGGTTCCAGGAACTCTGATTCTGTTTTGGCGATCATCGTGGGCCGTTTGGCGTACAGCCACGTCCTAGCTCTAGTGGACGTCTGATACTGTCACTGCAGTGTGAATGATGTCTGCACCGTGCGTCAATTTATAAGATACGAACAGTAGTAGCTCAGCACCGTCCTCTCGTGCGGAGTATCTTCCAAGACTTGAGGGCACGGTATCTACTACATGCAGCCTTGTGTATGAGGATCTGCTTCGCCTTTCCCCGAAACGCGTCGCACGAAGCCGACGGCGGGCCTCCGGTGGATCCCCCGCTACCAACTTCGCTCCCTACCCTTGAACTCCAATACCCACCTTTCCCCGGAGTAAAGCGATGGGGAAGATAACGAGTAGACTAGAAAAACGCTTGGAAACGCACGGGTGCTCGCCTTTTTCTCGCTTTTGTCCTGGACACGGTAGTTGATGCATGAGCATCCTTAGCACGAGAAAGTCATATCCGACATAACTGTTATCATATCGGACTTGTCCCGAATACCCATACACTTCTCCAACCGAGCTTGGGGGTGGAGTAGAAAGATACCACTACACCAGCCCTCAGTCGCTAATGCCACACTAGTCCAATTCCAATTCATCGGCTTCGTCCTAGATTCCGATTCTCGACTCATCTTATCACTCTCTGGCGTTTGTGTAGCGCTGCTCTGATCGGCTTAGTCCGATGGTGAAGCAGAGAAGAAGGCAAAGAGTATATCGTCCCCACATGTCTACTGCCATGTTATCAGCTTGTGGCGTCTGATGCGATACTCGGGCCTTCAAGTTGTTCGTTGGTCGTGAAGGCTACGACAAAGTACATAAAGCGACCAGGCAGAGCAGCCACTACCCGACCGTGCACTTCCCTGCCCTCAACACAGGCGTCTCTCCAAGACTTCAAGCCTCACCGTATGCAGTTCAACGGGAACAATATGGCTTCGATGCAGCCGGCTGATAAACATGGCCTCACGCCAGTCGAGACCGTTGTCGCCGATTCCAATGATGGTGACAAGATGGGCAGAGTCACCCAGGTTGGAGCCATGCGAGTTTTAGGTCTGGATGTTGAAGATGAAGACTACTATGTCAACTACCCGCCCGACCACAGATCAAAGCTTGTGCACAAGGTATGCATATCTACTGTGCTAGCCTTTAACCTGCCCACAAGGACGCTCTGACACACTCCTCAGATCGACGTTCGACTGACCCCTGTGCTCGCAATCCTTTACCTTATTTCCCACCTTGACCGAGGCAATATCGGCAACGCCAACATCGAAGGATTGTCTGTCGATCTGGGCCTCACTGGCGTTCAATACAATGTTGCCCTCTCTATCTTGTTTGTGACCTACATCATCTTTGGTAAGTGCCAGTCCACAAGCAGGAAGCCCTGAGCTCTATCGGTGGCGGCTGCTCGATATAGTATTGACATGTACGGTCGCAGAAATTCCCAGCAACATGCTGCTGAAGATATACTTCGACAAAAAGCCCTCTTACTATATGGGTTTGTTGGTAACATGCTGGGGCATTGTTATGACAATGACCGGCGTGGTCCAGAATTATGCCGGCCTAGTTGTATGTCGACTACTTCTGGGTTTGTTTGAGTAAGCAACAGCCTCCATCCCTTTACCCATTCCTTACCATTTGCTAAGACGAGACACTATAGAGCTGGCTTCTTCCCAGGCGCAATTTATCTTTGTACGCAATGGTACATGCCTGGAGAGCTGGCACTTCGCATATCATATTTGTACCTGACCAGTGCCCTCTCCAGTGCGTTCTCAGGTCTGCTTGCGGCCGCGATCGCCGAAATGGATGGCGCAGGCGGATACGAAGGCTGGCGCTGGATCTTCATTCTAGAAGGTATCGCTACAGTACTGCTTGGAGTGCTCACCTTCAAGCTTTTGATCGATACTCCAGATCAGTCTAAGTGGCTTTCGCCCGAGGAAAAGAGGTACCTCAACATCCAAGCATTTGTCAAAGAAGGAGGCGATTTCGGCAGGAAGACAAAGGAAAGCAACCGATTGGCTTTGCGCCAGACATTCATGGATTGGAAACTCTACGTTATGTCGCTGCTGCTGTTCGTGAATATTGCAGCAGGATATGGTGAGCCAATTTCTATATCGCACATTTTCCGAGCTGACCTTGACGTTCCCTCTAGGTGTGAAATTGACCATGCCGGCCATCATCAAAGGCATGGGCTTCGAGAACCGCAACGCCCAGCTAATGACTGCACCACCTTACATTGCCGGCGCCATCTCAACCGTGGTGTCGTCAAAGCTATCTGATCGATACTATCGACGGATGCCATTTATCGTCATTCCATGGATAATCTTCATCATTGGATACGCGGTCATTATGAGCTTCGGGGCACACACGGCCGACAACGTTGGGCCGTCGTACTTTGCTGTGTTCCTGGTCTGCATCGGTCTTTTCCCTGTCAATCCGGCCATAACTTCCTGGACGGCCAATAACATCGCACCCGCGAGCAAGCGGGCCATTGGTCTTGCCTTCTACGTCTCGGTCGGTAACATTGGCGGCGTTTTGGCTGGCTTTATGTTTCTGCAGCATGAAGCTCCGGCATATCCTACTGGGTACGGAATCTCGATCGGCGTGCTAGGGCTAGGCGTTATCGTCGCGCTCTTGCTGGAGTTTGCGTACATCCGCATCAATAAGCAGAGAGCGCAGATGTCGGCGGAGGAGGTCAAGGCTCGCTATACGGAGGAAGAGCTTGCAAGCATGGGCGATAATTCCCCTCTCTTCAAGTACATCCTGTGAGCAGGAGTGGCAATGGGACAGTCTGGTCTTTGCTGCTACTCGACTTGATTCATGCTTCCATGAACGCAGGCTTGTCTTGTTGAACATATAGTACTGGGACCGTTGTGGATAAACTTCGTCCGAAAGGACGAAAGCCAGGTATATGCACAAATCTAAACACTAGTACACGCTAGGTACGACTTTAGACGGCATCAGCCCTGCTCTAGATCAGTATGAAGCCTTCCTTGCACTGTCCATACATCGCCAGCGGTGCGGAGGCACCTGTTTAGCAAGCTAGATATCTTGTCCTACTCCAGAGGGAGCTGCAGTTTGCAACTTTTCTGTATCTGAATAAGGAGATATCCAAAAGTATTTGAAACTACACAGGCAGGTGCCCCTTTACCTAATCTGTAATGCTTGCAAGGGTCTCGAACCGTATTGGCTGCACTCGCCACCCGCCCCTGTAGCATGTCGTCTTTATCTAGACACCGGCCCGGGTTCACATATCGTTAAATGTGGGGTTGGTCAACCGAGGTGTTCAAGGCCAAGGCCAACCTTATCGGACTCACGCCGTTGATAACGGTTGACCATCCTCAATTCTCGGTGTTCGCTTTAGAATGCTTCCCACGGAAGCAGTGATCCTTCGAGCGTTGTGGGAAGTAGACCGTGGCAATGAGTCTCAATCGACAAGCAGCACGGCTGAGCAGAAATGCTACCGCATGCCAGAGATGCCGTAAGAGGAAGCAGAAGGTGAGGAGTCCCCGCACTATCAACCACTCCCCCATCATATGTCAGATCCATTAGAGCTGATAGGGACATCTTAAGTGCGACTTACGGCTCCCACAATGTTCAAATTGTGAGGCTGCTCAAGTGTCCTGCCTGAGTTACCACACGGGAATGCACCGAGAGATCCCACGTGACTACTATCAGAAGTTGGAGACCGAGATAGAGCGCTTGAAGGAAGAAGTTGCCTCACTACGTTCGCCACCCGACACTACTCTCGCTTCCGAGACGAATGACTCGGGGCAGACGCCGTCTTCTTATGGAAGTACCGCGCCACCCACTGCCCAAACCTCGTTGGATCAACAAGAGTTAATCAAATCCTTTGCATTGGTGGTGCTTGAACCATCCGAAGAGCCACGATGTTTGGGCACATCTAGTGGCGTAACTTTGGCCAAGATGGTGCTCGGCTCGCTCAACTGCAGTCCACCAGAGGCCTTGAACCCTCGTCGAGATCAGGCCTCCACGGCCCAGAAAACTTGTCCGCTACCGCCCATAGAGTCTGCTGAGTATTTGATTGATGTTTACTTCCAGTGCCGCACACCACATTTCCCGATCCTAGATCGCAAAGACGTTATCGACTTGGTCAACCATGCCTATTCTGTAGCCGAGAAACCAAAAGCAACACTGTCAAAGATTGAGAAGAAGGATCTGTTCAGAGCATTCATGGTCATGGCGATTAGCTTGTGCAGCATCCACACGACGAGCGGCGGGCGACCGGAATATGAAGGTTTCTTTTACTCGGCCTTGCAGTACCTGGATTCGAATCTGAGTTTCCAAAGGACTGACGTCGAGACCTTACGTATTATTCTCCTGCTCTCTCAATTCGTATCCCTTGCGCCGTCCAAGGGAAATCTATGGCTCTTGACCGGGCTTGCTCTACGGGTCAGTCTTGATTTGGGTTTGCATTGGGAAACACCGGAAGCCTTGAAACTTGAGCAAACCCGACTCGATGCGCGGCGGCGGTTGTTCTGGGCAACTTATTACTTCGAGAGACTGCTCGTAGTCACTCTAGGCCGGCCCTTTGGAGTAGAGGAACAGAGCGTGAACGTTGGGTTTCCGGGCGCTTCAGACCCTGCTAGCGACAGGCATACCCAGACCGCTACAAATCACCTGGTTCAGCTGGCCAGGTTCGACTCTGAGATTAAACATGTCCTCTACCGCCGAGAACACGCTCCATCTCTAGCATACCCGCAGCCCGATCCTCCCACCTGGATGGAGGACATCGAACTCCGCCTGAACGCATGGTATTCATCCATTAGCTCGCTAGAAAAGACGTGTCCCGACAGCGTCTACTCGTCGCAGCACTGGTGGGATGCAACCTACAACTACACACTATTGCTACTCCACAGACCAGCGCCGCGAAACCCAGTGCCCAGTCCCAGATCTCTGGCTGTATGTTTTGAGGCATCGACATGTGTAATCACGTGCGTTCGAACGCTTCTACGAGAGAACAAGCTGGGCATGCTCTGGGTCTGGACACATCGATTGTTCGTTGCCGGGCTGCTCTTCACTTATGCCGTCCGAAACTCTCCTGAGCTACGCAGGTCGAAAGCACCAGCGCAGATCATCAACATGGCGCAAAGCTGCGCCAGCACCATGGCTGTCCTGGCGGAGCGTTTCTCGGGTGCGGCTGGGTGCCGCAATGCACTGGAGACATTGGTCTCAAGTACTGTAATGGCTCTGATGGACCCCCACGGCGACAGCTTCCCCAGCGCCGGCGACACCACCTACCCAGTGCATCAACAAGACGCGCCGCAGGCTTCGTATGCACCGTCCGACTTCGGAGGAGACCTGTTCCAGAATATGCATTCGATGTTGGCGGAGGACATGTTTGGCATTTATCAGGGTGCTGACCCTTCAACCGCGTGGCCGGACGCAGCAGACAATTTTGGGTTCAACATGGGCCAAGATCAGTGGTCATTGACGGGCTGGGCTGGGATGGAGATGGATGAATAGCGATCAACTGGATCCAAGTTGTGAATTTCTCGAGTCAACTATGTCTGCCTGAGTGCCGACGCAGCAACTCCATACCTGCACAAGACTTTTGGTGCAGGGTGTTTTTGGGCCATATACGCACTGCTCCCCTACGTGTTCTAACTTCAAGAGTCGTGAGGAGTTGACGCGTTACATTATCAAGTTTGGGCTTGCCCAAGTCCATGATTAAAACTTGGGCGTGTGGGCATCAAATACATACGAAAGGACACGGCGAGCGCGGCTCGTAATTAATTATGTGGGCGGGGGGCCGCAGCCCCCCTATCTCCGTCCGTGGCTCGGGCGAAAATAGGCTTTGTCGCTACCCGCGATACTCGCCGGCACGGAAGCGCTGCTTTCCACGATCCGGTGGCCGGCTCCCCGTGCTAAAGTAATCCGACTGGATGTCTAGACAAACACTAGACGATTCCTCGGTCAGCAGTCGCATTCAGATGCCATTCAATCGAGAAACCAGATTCGGTCAGGGGTTAGGCTATTCAAAGTCTGATACAGGATGTTACGGCGAGAAGAGCATATACTGTGTGTGGGTTTACATGGGAACAGCATCGTCATTACGGAAACTTACCACTTAACACACCTTTTCTACACAGATCCAACGTAACTAGGTAGAAAATGACGCCCTGACGCGATTCGCTCACCACCAGTTCAATTGCTTTTCCACATCTATTGGAAGCTCCTGTCAACAACTAGGTGCCTAGTAGCCTCAGCGGAACTAAAATTGTCTTTACGGGCCCGAGCAGATTTATAACCGCCACGTCGTCGATATGCTGGATACGTCGCGACAGATCCTCTCCGTATAAATCACAGCTAGAACTGAACAAACCGACCTCCCTCCCACGAAAAACCCGCGATACCAAGCATAACCCAAGCACAAGCAACGGCAGCAATGTTCTGGCCTCTAACTATCTTCCCGCGATGGAGCGGGCACCCCCTCCCCTCCTCCCAACGCTTTGACGGCCTTACCATCCTCGTCGCCGGCTCTTCTAGTACCATGGGCCTTGAAGCTGCTAAGAAGCTCGCCGCCGCCGGAGCTTCCACTCTGGTGGTCACCGCCCGGACCGAAGCTCGCGCCCAAAGCATCAAGACCGCCATCGAAGCTCACCTGAACTCATTATCCGTCGCCCCACCGCCCACCATTATCCCCCTCACCGTCGAAATGACCTCTCCAACCTCCATCCACGCCTTCATCCACTCCCTCTCCTCCCACGTGCAGCACCTGGACCACGCAATCCTCAACGCCGGCACCAACGAATCCACCCACAGCCTCTGCGCCACGGGGTACGAAACCAGCATCCAAGTCAACGCCATCTCCACCACCCTGCTGGGCCTCTCCCTCCTCCCGCTCCTCCTCGCCTCCCCGAACACCACCAATCCCACCATCTCCCTACGCCCGCACCTCGTCTTCGTATCCTCCGGCACCGCCTGGCTCGTCAAACCCGCCACCCTCCCCACCGCCCCCTCCTCCACCACGCCCATGGCCGACCTCTCCACCCCCGCCAACTGGCCCCCCGGAACCTTCGGCGGCCAAGCCCTGTACTCGCGCTCCAAGCTCTGCCTCGAGTACGCGATGCGCCACCTCGCCTTCCTGCCCGTCCTGCGCTCCGACCCAGCCGCAAGCGACAGCCCGCCCCGCGTCCTGGTCACGAGCTGCTGTCCCGGCCCCGTCGCCACGAACCTGGCCCGCAGCTACACGGCCAACTCGTGGGTCGCGACGTTGGGCGTGGCGCTCATCAGCCAGCTCGTGAGGGCGCCGGAGGTGGGCGCCAACATCCACGTGAGCGCGCTGGGGAGGGGCGAGGAGGCGAGGGGGGAGATGTGGAAGGATGATGTGGTGGTGAGTGGGGAAAAGGTGAGGAATGTGAAGGAGGGGGTGGGGAGGGAGTTGGGCGAGAGGGTGTGGCGGGAGATGAAGGTTGTGGTGAAGGAGCAGGATCAGGAGCAGGGTGGGGAGGGGTTGGTGGAGAGGATGCTGGTGGAGGGGGAAGAACGAGGGTGAGTGAGGATTCTGGGGCTGGGGAAAAAGGGACGTGAAAAGGGGGCTTGAGGAAGTCGGAAATGGATCGTTAGGTCTAGATCTGGTAGATGGAGAAGATGGGCATGACACCGGCTGAACGTTAATAGTATAGGAAAATAGGGCTCTCGTTGTTGGCGAGACGGCGAACAGAAATCGCGCTCACATTGCGCCCTGCCCTGTCTACAAACCTGCGAAGGGATACAGGAGAGAAACCTTCCTTCAGTTTACTCAAGAAATGTAGGCTGGACGGACAGGATAGTACAGGCCAGAACGGATGAAGTCCATATCTACATGTTTGGTAAACCAAGGATGAATATGACGGTCGGCTTACCGACCGGTAATCAGGTCTTTCAGCCCAGACATTTGAGTCGGTCTCCGCCATGTGCAAGAAGATGTTGCGAGAAGCAAGTACAAGTACAACTTTGCTGTGCGAAGCAGAGGCTACAAGATTACAAAGGTGAAAGACGTGGTTAGGTAGACATATCTGTGGTGTGTACCATGTTGCGAAGTGCAGCATACGAATAGAGTGGTGTTGCAGGTAGCCAGCACCGCACGGAGAACAGGCCGATTTTATTTGCTGTCGCCTCTATCCGCAGAAGCAAAACCAGCTTGCTGATTATGCCGAGAATGTTTGAATGCAATTGTCCACAGAGCCGCACACGTTGAGGTGGCAAAGTATCACAAGCTGGTTGCTCCTCCTGCGTGGGGTGGCCTCGCCTGTAATCGTAGTCTGCATTAAAATTCCTAGTTGACGACTCGCGACCAGGACAGTGTGCAGGACGAATGGTGACTGGCCGCAAGTGAGCCGCGCCGGGTCTTGGTAATTGGGCATCAATGTTGGAGGAGTTGGAGGGCTTGGAGCATCAGTGGACACGACAATTGACAGGCGGGTGGCCGCCGGTAAAGCTCGGGCCAAACATGCGGCTCGCTAGCAGCACCTGTCCAGGCCTACAGGCTGAAAACCTGGCAGGCTGCTCGCTAGGAAAAACAAAGGCCTGACGTGATTTTCGCTAGAGATAAATAATCATCGCGTAGCGACAAGCAGTAGCAATAACGAGTCGAGCCGCAGCATTTGATAATGATGAGAAGGATTTATCAAAAAAAAGTCCGTGCTCGTTCGTCCGGAGAGGCTTTCGACGGCCAGTAAGAGGTGGGCATTTCGCGAATAGTCTGCTTGACGATGCCTGCCGGGCCAATCAACAGTTCGGCCGGTTGCGATCAGGTGAAGTTGACCGCTATCGTGGCAATCGTTCACAGGATCGAGCTAGACCAGTGACAGAGGCCGGCGAAGCTCGCTAGTACATGCAAGTCAACATTCGTGCCCGTGCTCCAGCTGCTAAAGGCTCATTGCTCCGTCCAGCTGCATCGACATTGGGCTGCGGGTGTAGAAATCTGCTGCGCATGCACAAGAGGACGTTGAGGACCATTGGATATATCAGACAAATTGTCGAATGGGCTTCAGGCAGTGAATGGGAGAACACCCCGGGCCGACTTGGACGACGATCAAGTGCGGGGTCTCTGAAATTTCGCCATTATCGATCATCTCCGTTGGACGAGTGGTTGAAGTGAGGCGAATCTCAACAGGAGATGTGGTATTATTTCCCTTGAAATTGTTGCAAGTTGTAGATAACTGACGGGAGAACTGCAGTATGAGTCTTGACTGTCCGTAGTAGCAGCTGTTGGAGTGGTTGGGTGAACCATCATCAGGGCTCGACCACGTATCCCGCATCGACTGGCTAGTTGCCCACATGTTGGCATTCCGACACATCCCCGTCTTCCGATCCCCTACACCTAGTTCCCTGTGGTCGGACGACGATGCAGATTCAATGGCTTCCACCAGCGCGACTGGTGCCGTACCGCCATTGACTCGTGGGAACTCGGTCTTCTCTGACAGCTCAGCCGAGACTGATCGGGCGAGCAGCATCATGGGGGAAGGCTTTTTCCTTGATGAACAAGAAGGAGTGTTGACGGTACCAGACCGATATCAGCCGGATGCAGACTTGTTGTGTCCTTTCCAAATCCTTGACTGCGAGAGGGCTTTTCCGGATGTGATATCGTTCAAGCAGCACGTCTTTACACATTTTCGAGGACATACGTTACCGACCACAGCGTCGTGCTTCTTGTGTGACAAGAAGTTCACCCAGACCAACGAGGAAGACGAGGCGTTATCATGGAACCGAATGCTTTCCCATATGGCATACGAGCATTACCGACGCGGGCAGCAACTGGCCACGGTCCGCACCGACTTTGCTCTAATGAGGTGGATGTACAGTCGGAGGTTGATCAACGACCATCAATTCAAGAGGCTCCAGTTAGTGCCAATACCAATCATGTTGCCGGGCAGGCACGGTGAATCGGGCGGGATCATCAATCTTCCACGTGCACCCATGCCGCCGCCTGCGGCCTTGCCGGCTGGGGTGATAGCTCAAATGAGGCTGTCAGTTGGGAACCGCAGCGAATCGTGGACATTGAATGCAGGCGCACGGGCAGAACGACGTCAACGGGATGCCACTCGCCACATGGTTCGGTCCACCACGGCTTGACTCACAAACGGGTCCTCAAGCTCAGGCATTGACGCCTCCTATTATCCACATGGAAATGCCTCCGGAGATTTTCTTGTGTATTTGGCCATTGAGCGTTCCATTGCAAAGCAGCATGGCGTCCTGGCTGACAAGCGGTCAAAATTGCGGTGTATCCTACGAGACTGCTGTCGGGGTTGCCACTGAATCTGAGACTGACGCGGTGGAAGAGAATACCTTGCAGATTCTTCTGCTTCTGACGAATCTCCTATGTTGGTGACGGAACACGCGGCAAAGCTTTATGACGGATTGGATGTCTGTACTTACAAGCGTCACTTGGTGGTAATGTGCTACCCATATCGGTCGCGAGCGACGGAGAGAGGTCATAAACGTTTGCAAAAGGTCCAAATCGCTTTATCTGTGGCACGTGGCGGGCACTGCTAGCGACTCGGAGCCTGTCTGGCTTGCGAGCGGTTGCCTGGTCAGGTATGGTTGGGTAGCATAATGCAAGCCGATGTATTTCGCGTCATCAAGGACCACCACTTGATCACGCAGCCGAGTACCGATGCTGCCACAGCGGACAGCTGATGATTTGGGAAGAGATAGAAGAAGATGAGCAAAGAGGAGGAAGATGAATGTGTAAATTGGACGCGTCTTCTGACCAAGAATTGGCCCCTCTTGCCCTGCTAGATTCGCAAGGAAGGGGCGCGCACGTGATTTCCGCTTTGGGTGGTTTGTTTACAAGGCCAGTCGCACGTCATCTTTCAACTTGACAGACTGCACTCCAGGACTTCACACTGCACCGCCAACGACAAACGCCAACTATGTCTATTGGAGACATCTTCGCCGATGCGCAGCGCTCATATGTTGGCCATAAGTCTCTTGCAAAACGCCTGAAGCGACTTGAAGGCAGCGCCGACTTCGATGATCAGGTCAAAGAATGCATCTTCCGTCTGCTCGAAGTCGCGAAATCCGAAGCCGCTGGCAACAGAGTCGTCAAGTTCCTGACAATATACATGCAAGATGCCGATGCCTCGAGCCCAGCCACCTCTTCGGTCCTTCTCGCGCTACTGCCGTTACTCTGCGCAAAAGACAAAACAGTGCGATACCGCTCAACACAGCTTGTGTCGCAAATTCTGGGTGTTCTGAGCGCCATTGATGATGACTTATACGGTGTCATCCGACATGAGTTGATCAAGAGGCTGCACGACAAAGTGCCTGCCATCAGGCTGGAGGCTGTGCTAGCGTTGGGCCGGCTGGTCGAGAACGAGATGGACGACGAGCAGGAGGAAAAGGAAGACGATTCGGACTCAGATTACGAAGCTGGCCTGCTTGAGAAACTACTCGACGTGCTACAGAATGATTCAAACGCTGATGTAAGACGAACTTTACTACTTAACCTGCCTATCACCCCTACGACACTGCCCTACCTGCTCGAACGAGCCCGCGATCGGGATACCCCAACTCGGCGCGCTCTTTACTCCAGACTATTGCCGAAGCTGGGCGACTTCCGTCATCTGTCCCTGTCCATGCGAGAGAAACTATTGAGATGGGGTCTGCGTGACCGAGACGAGAAAGTGCGGCAAGCCACTGCGCGTCTCTTCAGCGAGAGATGGATCGAGGATTGTGCCAACACCAAGAACGTCGACGACGAGACCCACATCAGCCAGACTGACGATGTCGAAGAAGACGAAGAAGAAGAAGAAGAAGAAGAAGAAGAAGAAGACAGAGAAGCACCACCGGATCAGACAGAGGCGCAGGATGAGAAGAAGGAGGGCCAGCAGCCAAGACTACAACCAGTGAAAGAGCCAGAGACGAAAGCACCGCCGAAGGCAAGCATACCAGCCTTGTTGGAATTGCTGGAACGCATCGACATCATGAACTCTGGCGCCGAAACCGGCGTTGGTCTGGATGCAATGCGGGAGTTTTGGGCAAGTCGACCAGACTATGTCGATGCCGTCGAGTTCGAAGACCCGTTCTGGGAGAGTCTGACCATCGAGTCCGCCTTCATGGCACGTTCCTTCATCGAGTGCTGCCAACAGGACTCCGCAAACCAAGCCAAACTCGAAGAAAAGATGCCAGAAGTGACTCGAATTGGCTTCTACCTCCAAAGATACCTCAACACACTTCTTGATACCATTCGCGCCATCAATAACGGCACCGGAACAGACGAGGATCAGGCTGATCAAGAATTCATCGTTGAACAGCTCCTCCATATCGCCCATTACCTTGACTACACTGACGAAATTGGTCGCCGGAAAATGTTCTCCCTTCTCCGTGACGCCATCTCCGTTGCCGAATTACCAGAAGAAACCACCCGGCTAGCCGTCGAGTCCCTCCGACTGGTCTGCAATGCCGACGCTGCTGGAGAGCGCGAGTTTACCTCGGTGGTTCTCGAAGCCATTGCTGAAGTGCACGACACCATCATCCCCTCGGACCCTGATGTGCCGGAGAACGAGGAAGATTCGTTCGTCAGCGCCCGCAGCGACGTGTCTTCTGAAGCTGCCTCCGATGCCACGCCCACGAAAGCCAACGGTGCATCCCGGACCAAGAACGGCAAGAAACTCAGCAGCGAAGAGGAAGAAGCCAGGGCACTCAAGGAAATCGTCGTCAATCTCAAGTGCCTGCATATTGCACAGTGCATGCTCCAAAACGTCACGGGCAACCTGCAGTCCAACGTCCACCTCGAAAGCATGCTCAACAACCTCGTCATCCCCGCCGTGCGCTCCTACGAGATCCCCGTGCGCGAGCGTGGCGTCTTGTGCTTGGGTCTCTGCTGCATGCTGGAGCCCAAGCTCGCGGACGAGAACACGCCACTGTTTGTGCACTGCTTGGCGCGCGGCGACGAAGGCCTGCAGGTCATGTGCGTCAAGGTCTTGTGCGACATCATTCTCAGTCGGCGCCCAGAGCAGCTGGATCTGGCGCCGTTGGTCAAGGCTTTCAAGGCCGAGAGCAATGAGGTGCAGAGCACGGCGACGGGGAGTCTGGCCAAGTTGATGCTCTGCGGGTTCTATGCTGGAAACGAAGAGGCGTTTGATGATGCATGTGAGGTTGCCGTGGGGCACAGTGCGAAGGGGAGTGAGTTGCTGGGCAAGGTTAGGGCGGCGGTGCAGGTTGAGGCGCGGGAGATGGAGGCCGAAGCCGAGGGAGGTGGTGGACTGAGAGAAAAGGAGAAGGAGAAGGCGAGTACTGGTAGTCGCAGGGCGTCTGCGGAGTAGGTTTCCAGTGGTTGGTCTGTTGGTGTAGAGAGGTAATGAAGCCACGAAAACGCTGGGTTGGTGTTTTGATCTTTTCAGATTCAGGTCGAATGCAGTCCTTGCTTAGTTGGGTATCAGTCCGCTTTTTGGAGGCCGTCTTAATGCAATGCAACGCAATATCATGCTGTTCCGTCCCCATTTTCATACATACTTATCCATGCGCCTGGCCCGTGCTCATGCAAACGCGATGAGGTTTTTGTGCGACAGCTAGAAAATCCACATTCCCTCCTCCACTTCGAGTCATGCCCCCAACTTTCCTCCCCTCCCTTACAGAATGCCCTGCTTCTGCAAGTCCAAATAAATGCGTTCGGGCATGACGTTCCCTTCCCCATCCTCCATCTGCACGACGCCCTCGTCGCGGTTCTCCTTATCTCGCTTCTCCTTCTTCAGCTTCTCCCACAGCGCCACGGCGTCAGCGATGCCGGTGATTTCGCGGAAGAGGTTGACGCCGCCGGCGCCGCTCGTGTTGGTGACGCCCAGGCATTTGAGGCCGTAGATGTGGCGGGCCTCGCTGAAGTGCTTGTCGAAGGCGCGGCGGCCCATGTAGACGAAATTGCCGCAGATCTCGCAGGGGAACTCGACGCCCAGGCCGTGCAGCTTGTAGAGCCAGTAGGGAATCGGCTTGCCGTCCCAGGCTAGGGGGAGCTTGAGCGGGTTGTAGATGCGCTCGTCGCCGGAGCCTTCAGCGTCCGAGTCGGCGCCGTTGGCGTCGTCGTCACGGTGGTACGAGTCGTAGATGGCGGCGTCGTCTTCGGCGAAGAGGGCGTCGAGTTCGGCCTGCCGCTCGCGCTCCGTCATGCCGGCTTTGCGCTCGACATTGACGCGCGTGTTGGAGCGTTCGGTGCTGAGGAGGTCGGCGAGGGCGCGAATCCGGTGCTCATGAGAGGCGATTATCCGCTGCTTCAGGTTTGTGGTGGAGGGGAGGGCAGAGGATCCGTTCATGGATGTGCCGTTGGTCAGTGTTGAGGAGGACTTTTTGGCCTCGGCATTGCGAATGTGCTTTTTGCCTGTGAGATGTGATTTGTAGACATTGGGATTGTTGAATTCTTTCTCGCAATCGGGACACCAGACGCCTGAGCCAGTGCCCTCGGTAGCGGGACCATTCGATGTGGCAGAGGCAGGCTCGTCTTTGGGCCAGCCGGGTATTTCGCCTGAGTTCCAAGCAGATTCGAAATCGCGGTCAAGCTGAAGAAAGATTTTGGAAAGGTCATCAAGAGGCCGGGTGCGGCGAACGAAGGATTCGAGGTAGTTGTCGAGGTCGGTTACATATTTCAGGTAGGTGTCTGTGACTTTGTTTTGGCGTTTGATGGGCATGCGTGGAGGCTCGAAGGCGTCAAAGTTATCAAGATACTGCAGGTAAGTGAGGCGCTTGATGCCTGGGAGGTTGAGGTAATCTTCATGTCGCATAGTCAGGTCGAGGAAGCGACCGTTGCCCTCCTCGCCGGTGAACATGTTATCCACCTCTGACACAATCGCCTCCCCCTCATCTGGTCGCCGTCGCTTATACGCACGCTCTAGATTCTCGATGGGCTCATTGGGATATTGCCGGTGGTGATCTTTCACTTTCTCAAACTCTTTGTAGAATTCCTCGAAAGGATCACCCGTGGACAGACTCTGAACTTCCTTGGCCCGCGTGCCCTCGGTATCACGGTAAATCTCTAGCAGTCGCTTTGACTGTTCTTGTATCCTTGTAAGGAACCCATCGATCTGGTGATCGCGATTGAGGCGGTCTTTGATGTTTTTTGGATCTTCTCCCGCGCGTTCGCAAATCGCCTGCTCAAGCCGCTCGAGGTCTTCGTGGAGGAACCGTTGGTCTTCGATAAGCATTATGACGGTGTTGTCTGGCCCTGTCTGAAGCCGAGGGATGAGACAGTGTACGAGATCCAACCAGATGTTGTATCGCAGGCGGGTCAAAAGCGCCGCAACATTTGATATTGCCAAGCATGTGCCTAATTGGGATTAGCGCATATGCTTTTGCCGCTGTTGCTACTTGACTCACTCTTGAGCTTCTTCCACTACTTGCTGGACTGCAGCGACCACGGCATGGGCCTCACAAATGCCGCAGAAAGTCGTCCTTGCATGTCAGTCCTGGCGAGTTGCAGGGCCGATGCTCAGTCCTTATCTTCTTTCGTCTGTTATGATTCGCTGCTATGAACGAACAAGTCCGCTGTCGAAGCCTAACTTATAAAGTCTGCTTGCGCTGAGCTCAGGCTTCATCATGATGGGTACGACCCATTCTTTCCTTGAATGCTCGTGAAGACGATACAAAAATCTGGTGTTCGGCTTGGGGGCGCTTTCCCCGCGCCCCGAAACCAACCTGGACCCGCTCTTAAGCTGCGTCTCGCTCAAGCTTGGGTCCAGTCTTCGGGGCGATATACGGAGTACTACCACAGTAGAGTCAAAGCTCCAGAAATGCACTTTGTGATCACGTACTCCGTCCCATCCCCACGACATTCCTTCAGTGACTATTTCTTGAGAACAACCCAGGCTGGAGATCGAGCAGAAGCGTTATTGGCACAGGGCTACACAGAACCTCTGGCCCAGCGGACTAGGCCCGCAAATTCAGGTACCCGTGGTCGACGAGGCAAGCTACGCGTGCTGCGGTGCAGTATTGGCCAGCCGCTTAAGTCGCTTAAGTGTTCAGACAATATCTTCTGCCCAGATCCGCCTTGTTAGCGAGCAAGCGACAGAGACATGATACCTGAACTATGCACACTAGCATTTGCGCCTGATAACACGATTCTACTTGGAAGCGACGCTCGGTTGCTCGCGTAGTGCTTTTCGAGCTTCTTTCGGTCCCGTGGATCGGAACTTCTGGACTCATCATTGGATCTTGAGAGCTGCTAACGTCAGGTTCTGAACTCGTTCGCAGCCGAAGATATACAGTAGTTCAGGGTGTCGCCATACTTTCTATCTTCTCGGGTCTGCCGATCTCAGCATGCGCATCATGGCACCTGTCAGAGAAGTCACTCCTGGTTTCCAGAATATCCCTGCAGCACGCCGTCGCAGATTTTGTATTAAGCAGATTGCCTGTGTTTTGTCGGCCAGCGCCAGTGGTTAGTAGTCTGGTGGACACCCCTTTTGTGGTAAAGGGTCTACAAGAATCTAGTTGGTGTGACTAGTGGGTGGTCTTCCCCGAGCAGGCCCCGCTAGACTATCGTTTTCTGTCAAGGACCACTTCTTCTGCTACGTCAATGCTCTAGCGAAGGACTCCAGACCGGCCTGCTGTACCGGAGTGCGGCTTGTGCATCGTCGTGCGACCTTTCAAGACTTTGCCTTGCAAGAAGGGGCCACGACTAAGCTGGGACAAGTCTAGTTGTCTGGAGCCTCATCTTGGCCATGTCCGTCATTTGGACATCTCGTATTCACATCCCCGCCTGGACCCCTGGCTTTCGCTTCCGTGTGCGATGCGATTCGTCCTTTGTCTTCAGCCCAGATTCGAACTACTTGATACTTCTTGTACCTTTGAGCCAGCCAAGTGCGCCGGCATGAGACAAACGTGGCACGAAATCTCTGCTAAGGTGGTATGTGGCTGGAATTGTGACACCGTGTGTCCGGCAGCCGCAAAACGTGGAAGATAACCAACTCTTGGAGTGCAGACGCTGTGCGACCCAGCCGTCGCGATACTACTCCCGTTTTGAAGGCGACTTGGCTATCTCGATGGACGGCAACAAATCTCCATCTTGTAGCTATGCCAGTTCCACATAGCGCTCTGTGCGAGCTGTCGCTTGCATGAGACCGGGCAATCAACAAAGCTCGCTTTAGCCGTGGCCAAATATGCTGTTCGAGACTGCAAACAACCTCCGTACACCGGCTCTATCAGCTCCTGAAGTGCCAGCTGAAGCTGCCTCTCTGGTGTTTACGCGAGCTGCGGCGTCCTTCCAGCTGAGATAAAAGACTCGCTAACTCGGCGCATCGTGTGGAGAGAAAAGGTGTCAGGTACAAGTGCGAGACTAAGGCTGAGGTGCAGCTGGACCTTGCGGTTCCGCCCAATCGGTACACTTCGCACCAAAGGCTACACGTGCTGTATGACCAGGCCGTGGCACTACTACCCGTTTGAAACGCACCACTTGCTATCTAGCCTTGTCTACCATGGCGTGCATTGGGCATGATCTGCCCGGTCCCGACTGTCGCTGGCAGGTGGAGTCTCTTGCTAGTCGCAGCGGACTTCGTGCCACGCTGCCCCATCGAGGGAGCATATGCTTCAAAACTCCTGTCTCCCTGTCGTATTCTGTCACTGACTCTCCCTCCGAAGAACAGCATTATCAGCCATGAGTGCATTCGAGTCGCTGCCAGGGCCAAATAGGCCTGACAGCCTCGACCCCTTACCACCAGTTCTTCAGCGCGGGCTCGTTGCTGTTGCATTCTTTGGCATATTGTCGTTGGCAGCATCAAGTGGGCTATTCATCTTCCTCTCGTATAAACTATGTCGATGGTACTACAAAGGTCATCTCGCCAATGGGGCCAACCAGTTCCTCCTCCTCATCTACAATCTCCTGTTGGCCGATATCCAACAAGCGATGGCTTTCAGCCTGACAGCCGTCTGGGTCGCGGAAAACAAGATAGAGGTCGGCACGACGACATGTTGGGCTAACGGTGGGTACAACAACCACGAGCACTGGGTCTTGGGACTGACAAAACAGGCTGGTTCGTGTCCACCGGCGATCTGGCGTCCGGCGTTTTCATCCTTTCCATCGCACTGCACACGTGGTTTGCCGCTGTCAAAGGTCGCAGCATTAGCAACAAGGTCTTCTATGGCTGGATCATCATGGCTTGGGTGTTTGTGTATGTTATGGGCGTGGTGACCGTTGTGCGGGATCCCAATGTTTATGTGAGGGCTGGTGCTTGGGTATGATTCCAAAACAGCCATGCAGAATCCTTGCTAACCAGAAAAGTGCTGGGTCCATCGTGATTATGAAGCCGAACGACTCTGGCTGCATTATTTCTGGATTTTCTTGTGCATGTTCGCGACGATCGTCATCTATGCGCTCATGTCAGTCGCCTCCTATGCTTTTCTGGCTTCTACTGACAGTATCAGTTACATGTGGATCTATCGCTCGTCAACCACCTTCCACACCATCACCACACGCTCCACCAACTCCGACCCGGCCACCTTGAAACGAGCCTCGAAATACATGATCATCTTCCCCGTCGTGTACGTCTGCTGCACGCTGCCCCTTGCCGCCGGTCGCATGGCTGCGATGACAGGCATGGTCATCCCCTACTGGTGGTACTGCGTAGCCGGCGCAGCCATCACGTCGAATGGCTGGCTCGACGTGCTTCTCTACGTCATGACCAGACGAGTCCTGGTATGTCCATAAGCCCTCCCCCTTTCCCCCATTCCCGCGCCTGCTAACACCCCTCACCAGATCTTCAGCCGTGCGCCTCCCCCACGCAACGACTTCGGCTTCGACACTTTGGGCTGGAAGCACGGCGGCGACAACAGCCTCTTCTGGGGCACGACCACCACGATCGAAGGCCCGCTCACGCACGCCAAGCCGCGACAGAAACAAGTCGGCTTCCTGAGCCGCGGGCGATCCACCCCCGGCTCTCGCAGGCACTCGGACGAAGACCACATCGCGCCGCCGCCCGAGGGCGTCATCTCCACGAAGACAACGGTGGATGTGCAGACGCATGCCATGCCTGGCATGTATGCCAGTTCGGACTTCAGCATGATCGAGATGGAGGACAAGTCGGATAGGGCGAGGAGTCCCGGAAGTGCGACTACGACGAGGTGAAATCAACTCGTATGATCGAGGTTGTGTGTGTGTGAGAATACGGCAGAATCATGATGGGTCGGGTTGGGCGGCATTTTTGTTTTGTGATACCATCTTGTTTGCATTATAGCGGCCCCATTTGAAGGACCAGAATTGTACTGAAACGACGACCGTAATGAGCCAGACTTAGCCAATCTTTCACACTCAAGAAACGCCCGAGCAGATTGAGAGCAGAGAGAGCCCATAGAGACTGTATAGACCCAGTAGTACAATGCACGAGCGATCTCAATCCCACGGATCAAAGTTCGGACTCTGTGACCCCGGCACTTGATACGGATTTCATTGCCGCTTTCTCCTCAGCCCCCCCTCCCCTCCCCTGGTAATGGCGTTCAGTACGGAGTAATCTAGATGCAGCCACACGAAGTCCGGGATACTCGGCACAAAGTAAATAGTATGGAGTAGTCTGAACGTTGGCTTACCTGCTAGCCCCACCGCCGGGGGCCCAAGGATTTGTACGTAAAATTCTGGCCATCAGGGGGTTTTTGGAATAAAGTCTTGCTTGTGCAAGAAAGTGGCGTGACTTTTTTTTTTCTCTCTCTACACAGTACATCGTGCTGTAAATCGACAGAGGATCGTTTTGTAGACATCACTACTTGTATAGGGGTATTTGCTCGTTTTGCAGACATCCACTACGTGTTATAGGGTTTTGGTGGTTCTGAAGCTTGTAACCCGATATTTGGGTTCGTGGCAGCACGACCCCTGAAGAGAGTCTATACGAGTATTGGGTTAGGTGAGCTGGTTTTGGCGCGGAGCGGCGCGTTGCGTTCACATTGAGGCTGGGTTTGCGTTTGGGGAAAGAAGTGCGAAATTTTGACTTTGTCTTGCGGACAAGGGGGTGGTTGTTGGAATGTAGAACGGTTTGGAAGTTTAGTACTTTGTGTAGGGAGTAGCTGGCTTTCTCTGAGGAGTAGATCATGCGCTTTGTATGCGTGCGTGCGTCTTCTGGATTGGATGACCGCCCAGCTTACCTACAAGTTGGTCTGCGACACAAACTATATCAGCGGCGCGAGCGCTGCTGCTGCAGAATTCAGCACAAGAGTTTTCCTCGAAGCGCTTCGTTGCATGCTCTTGTAACGGTAGATCTGTTCGGAGTCCCTGCTAAGTTGCTCGACCTTGTTCCTCGTAGCTACTGATTTGTCACCGGAAAGGAAAGTTTCCAGAATACTTCCCGCAACGATCATGATGATTTTGGCCTTTCTGGGATTGAATGTTTTGCAGAAATGTAGAGTAACGTTCGAGATGGTTACCTGCCGTGGCGAGTCTGCGGCGCATCCCGTTGCCCTTGGACAGGTTCCGAATACTTGTACTCGGCCATCGAGTCCACTCCAAGTTCAAAAACCCATGGTTACTAATGCGTTTTGCCCGGCCGGAACATCTTCGGTGTTTTGGCAGTCAGGCAACAATGGCAGCTGACAAACGATTTTGACTCCAACCAGTGCTTGGTGGAGATATGGCACCGATTCAAGATCCAGATGCGAGTTCGCATTGGTCGCGGGAATGCTTCAATGACCACCGGGGCCAGGCTAAGCTGGATTCGTGTTCTGTTCGCCCGATGTAGGAAGCTGACCTCTCTACGAACCGGTATACTCGTATAGTTCGTACTGCTTGGTGGAGACTACACGATAGAAGCTCAGGCTTCAGAATGTGTGGTTTTTTGCTTATCAAGACGACTACAGAGCTATTAGTTGGTCCGAAGTCGTCCGTGTGCTTCGATTTCTGTGCTTGCTATATCAATGCTACATCGAGGAAATGAGGACCAGGTTCTACATCTTAGCAAGCCACTTCGGCCGGATTCCGACCTCCCCAGACCGGAAGTCAGACTATGCGCCAACCAAAGATCGCCCCCACGCCCGCGGGAACCAGCCTCGCTGGCAAGACCGCTATTATCACGGGCGGTAACTCTGGTCTTGGCCTCGAAACAGCTCGCCAGTTCCTTACCCTGGGCATCGACCGCCTCATCATCACTACCCGTTCTGCGTCGAAAGGCCAGCAAGCAGTCAAGACTCTGAGAGATGATCCAGCCGTTGCCAAGTCAAACCCCGATGCTGTTATCGAAGTTTTCGAGCTCGAACTTGAAGACTACAACTCAGTGGTAGCATTCTGCCGCAAGGTCAAAACCGAAGTCCCGGCCCTTCACATCCTCTTGAACAACGCCGGCCTCATCTCAACAGAGTACCAGCTCAGCAAAGACGGACATGAGTGTGTCATACAAGGTCCGTCCCCGCTACATCTACTGCGAGCAACGCTAACCCATCCGAGTAAACTGCTACTCCCACTTCCTCATCTCCCGCTACCTCCTGCCCCTCCTGCAGGCCACCGCCCGTGCCTCCGGTGCCCCGTCACACCTGACCTTCGTCGGGTCCGGATTGCACACCAACACCAAGCTCTCCGTTCCCCCCGCCACGTCTGTAACTTCCCACTTTGACGACCGCAAGAACTGGAACGGCGTGGCCCGCTACAACGAGAGCAAGCTCGTCGTCGCCGCTTTTATCCACGAGCTAGCAAAGCATGTGCCATCCGCCGACGTCGTGGTCAACCACGTATGTCCTGGACTCGTGACGACCGCTCTAGGACGTACCTTTCCGCCGTGGTTGCAGGTTGTCATGTGGCTGTATCGCAAAGCTATGGCGCGGGAGCCGGAGGAGGGGGCGCGCATGATTGTGTATGCAGCTGTCCTGGCAGGTAAGGAGAGTCATGGCGAGTTTATGAGGGATAATCAGATTATTGGGTGAGTATATTCCCCCTCTGTCGGAGTTATATTGATAGCGGGGACGCTAATCTACCGCTTGCAGTATCGCAGATGCTATTACGTCGGAGGGAGGGAAAGGGTGGACTAACAAACTATGGAATGAGATGGATGACGAGAGGAGGAGATTGGGGCTCGTGGTCTAAGAACATCATGGTCAAGAGTGGTTCGACTGGTCCACCAGGGGGCGACAAAACTGACCGGACGGCTCCTGGGACTCGCAGCAGACTACCAGCCAAAAGCCCCTGATGCAAGTTCGAGGAGGGCGCTAGTCAATTTTGTCAACTACTAAAAGTGATCTGCTGTATGTCCAAGGAGCCCGCTGGTTCATTTTTCCGATCCTTTGACTATGAGCCTCTAGGCAACCCGGGAGCCAGCGTACCCAAACAGCGAAGATCATACGAATCCTTGGACCCTCAGAAACCCACAGACCCACACATTTTGATTGATCGCAGGGAGGGAACACTATTTACACCAGACGAGCGAAGACGCCCAGCCATTTAGCGCCAGAGTCTCTACCAACCTACTGTTGAATGGGCAGGTGTTCTGTGGTAGGGAGCGTCAAAACTCAGCTCAAGCGCGCCCTGCTTGTATTACAACGCCATTAACTACAGCAAGAACCTGATTTTGTGAATAGATCCACTGAAGCGAAAAGCAATGGCTGGTTTGCCCGGTTGCCTGGTTGCCTGGCCTGTGGAGAGCAGGTCTTGTCGCTGGATGCCACAGCCCCTCAGGCATGACGACTTTGCTAGCACAGTTCCTGCGTCTCATGGAATCAGCACCCTGGCCAGACGCTGATTGTGGCATTGCATAGTGAGGACGCTTTTGTTGACGGTGACTCGCTGTACAGCTTTTCTTCAACACCCCTGCCATTAACGCGCCTGACACGTCGATTCATGGTCGTAATACGACGTGCTCAGACGAAATCTACACGTGCAGACCGCGCCCTTAAATCCACAGCCATTATCGAATATACAGTCGCCGGAGTCGCCCTCGCCTGTCACGCGGCCGACGACACTTTTATCGCACTCAGCCTCCGACTTTCTTACGACTCCACAATACTCGCAAGCTTTCAGAAACGTAGGAAGTGATACAGACAGTGCTGGGCCTATGGTGATAGAGACTACTATGCAGGAATTTTCTCACTTGCTTGCTCGGTCTGGGTGTGGGCAGCCCGATCCTATCCCTAAGTACGATGCATCCATTGGGTTCGAAAGTAGAGCTATATCGCTTCTGAGGGGGGGGACGAAACATGACGATGACGATGGGCAGGCTTGTCCTCTGCCGCTTGTGGAGGCTTAGATGGTAGGGGTATAGGACCTTTGCTGTTCCTTATTGCATAACGGAGAGGACTTCTGTTTGCTCTGGTACCAATCCTAGGCTGTCTTGGACAACAAGTTATATCAATGGATGACATGATCGAGTTGGAGAACTCGCAGTCGCCTGCGCGCGGCGACCCCTCTCCCATCGACCGAGACGTGGTGCAGAGCCCTCCGTTGCTCACAACACCCAACGGTATTCGGGACTCCAAGGCCCATCAGCAAGCAGTTCGGTAGGAATGTCCCGTGCCTTGATCGTCCTCCCAAACTTACGGTCACGACGTTTATTGTCAACGATCATCCAGAGCATAAGCAGAATCGTCAGGAGCATTCCAGTTCCACCAAAGGCCGCAGTTGTCGCAAGGGCAGGGAGATATTTGGGTGCGTCTTGCGGTCGAAAGATGTTGGAAGAGACTATGCCCATGAGGTTGGCGACCGGCACGCCGATGGAGGTCAGTAACATGCGGCGATTCTCGTTCGCGATGTTGTTATTGAACCAAGTGTCGAGGATAACGGAAGGGGCAGATGTACCCCAGGTCATCATGAAGCATGCAAAGTATGCCACGTTCAGCTGCGTGTCGATGTCAACGGCAGCGTAGATCAAAAAACCGAGCATTGTCAAGAGGAACCCAAGAGCAACGAAAGGCGACCGGACCTTGGTGTAGTCGGAGGCGAAAGCCAGAAGCAGCAGAGTAACTGCACCGCTGACATTTGGTGCCACTGTGTAAAGGTTTGTCTTGACGGGCCCGTACCCCAGACGGGCAATGATGGGTGGGAGGTAGAGCGACACCGACTGCAAAGGAACTCCGAGACACATCTCGATACCTGGTGCTCATTAGCTTGGGCGACCCGAAATGGTTGGCATGTAATATACCTAGAATTATCCAGGTGGTAGGATGCTTCAAGATGATTGCCGCATCTTTCAGGTTGAATTTCTGGTCAACGACCGAGGACGAGTCGATCTGCATTCTGTAGAATGCAATGTCCTTTTCCTCCGGGGTCAAGAAGCGAGCAGTCTGGGCATTGTACGGCAGATACCAATAGGCAAAGATGGAGAACAGGATTGTCAGTGAACCTTCGATGATGAAGAGATATCTCCAGCTGGCGAGTGGACCGGAGTCAATGCGAAAGACGGCGAAGGACAAGAGGCCCCCGAAAGCATTCGCGATGTTGGAAGCGGCGTAGAAGATGGCAAGGCGCCTCGCAAGCTCACCTCGGCGGTAGAAGGTGGTTTGATAGTAGATGACAAGAGGGAAAAAAGCGGACTCGGCCATCCCAAGAAACCAGCGGAGAGCCATTAGGCCGCCAAAGTTATGAGCGGCGACGGTCAAGAGAGTCATGGAGCCTACGTTGATTAGTGTTGCTGTTGGTACGGATATATAGACGTACCGAACGTCAGCATCATCAGTGGCAAGACACGGCTGGGCCCATATTTCTTGCCGAGGATACCAAGGAATGGCGCCGTCAAGACGTAAGGCACGAAGAAAACGGACAAGATGATGTTATACTGGTTGCCGGTCAGGTTGAGATCGTCCTCTAAGCCATTGGTCTTGGCATTGCCGAGATTGCCTTTGTCGAGGGCGTTGAATAGGTACATGACTGCGAGCGTTGGTAGTAGGCGCAAGTCAAACTTCCACACCAGCTTCCGCTCAGCCACCGGATCAAGGCTCATGGTGGCATTGTAAGTTGATGTAAGTGAGCGGGCCTTCTCCAAAATGGAGCCCTCTTCCACAGCGGCATTGTCTTTTGCCTCCATGGCTGCAGCCTCGGCGCCTTTGCTGGCGGTAGCAGGATTGGAAGGAGACTCAGGCGTCGTCATGATAAGTTGTTGTATTGATGGTGAGTCAGGATGAAGATAGCCATCGTTGGGGCGTCCGGGCGTTTATATGTTAGATTGGGTGGTTTGGCTGAAATGGCCTCAGCTCGCACATCTGCGACTGGCGATAGGACTTGCAGGTGATCTGCAAGCGGGAAGAGGCCGAAGCTTTGATGTAACGCTAGGACGAGGGAGTGATAACAGCGTGTGAGTGGTAGCCGCGGGGGTGGCTTGCGGTGATCGACGTCGGGCGGGGCCTGATCAAGCTTGGCCAGAGATAAAGCCCGGAGATGTGACATCGACTATCTACCGGCTACATGATGAGGTAGATAGAACGGATTTCATCGAAGAGAGAGCATGCGCTCGCAAAGCCAGGACGCGAGGCGGTAGCAAAAGGAGTGACAAGCCCATTGCCGGCATCACTTTTGGTGTGTATGCAGGGCATACATAGTATACCGCCTTGAGCCTAGACGAGCCAGCAACAACGGGCCACTGCAACTTTCATCTAGATTGCATTGGGCACGTGGCATTCGCTCGTTGCAACTGCAGCCTGCGACATCCGTCGCAATTTATCAGTCCCGAGGAGAGCTCTGGCAACGGTGCTAGATGGCTGGGCCCGAGAATCTGGGGAAAAGGTTGTAGGCGGACTTGGCGGGGTCACCCCCAACAATGCCCGCGTAAGCGTGGGGTCGTCCCAAATTTGGTCGGCGCGAAAGAGTGGCTGCACATTGATTGTAACATCAGCTCTCGAACGTCAGGGGTGTCGAAAACGAAAGCGAGAGTGTTCCCCGACGCGCGTGGTCGCTACGGGCGGTCCTTCCATCGAAACCCCGCCGAGCTTGGTCAGCACCCAGCCGTAGAAGAGAGCCCAGTACGACCGAGAAAGTGCTGTTGACATGGGTGCGCAAAGCGCAGCTTCCTCCATGCCGACTTCGAGCGGAAAATTGATATTGATGCCTCTCGTAAGCTAAGAAGGCGCTGCGATGCCCGGCCGATCCCAACGCAAGTCAGTCAGAACTGCGAATGACGAACATGACGGTGAATCAGCCATCGCCATTGCGGCCTCGTTGTGCCTGAACCTCTGCGCCCAGAAATATGGCACATGCAGCAATAATCGCCGTTGCAGTGACGCCAAAGACAAATTGCGTTTTCACACCGCTTTGCACTAATGCTCTTCGGTGGGCATACTTGACAACTGTGCCCATGTAAATGCCACATCCTGTGGCGAGGCAAGCCAGTGCCAGAAGCCAAAATATGAGCCCCAGCGGATGAGACAGACGCACCTCAAGGTCGGTAGGCTGAGACTTGAGATGAAAATTGATCAAGATCGCGACCGAGACGACAGCTAAGTAAACGGATAATCGGAGCCAGGATAGAAAAGTACGCTCATTGGCACAGTGGTCCCGGGCATCAGAAGACACATTCGGAAATAACAATGGTGCATACAGTGGTCGACTTAGAAAGAGCTTGAAGCGATTGGTGGGAAAGCTGTCGTCAACGGTGATAGTTCGTGTGTAGGGATTGAAGAGGGGATGCCATGCATCCTCGACCTCAGTCTGAATCGCTGTGGCCATGGCTGGTTCTGGCGAAGAGCAAGCGTGGATTAGTCTGGCAGCCACACGACCGACATAGCAGGTCTAATAGATGTAGAGAGAGCGATTGGTGCACCGTAATCAATATCGCTGCTGGGAGAAGAGGGAGTTTGTGAGAAATATTCCGGCGGACGGACAATAGCGCCTACAAGTATTGCGGGGGGGAGTCCCAGGGGCGCACGGCCCACCTAGAGGCGCTTTGCTTCCTTGGGAGTTCGTAGCCGATGCCCTGCACGTGGACATCGAACTCTGATAGAGCTACCAGCTACGACAGATCCGCCTCATGGTCGGTGTCGAAAGGCGTGTTCCTCTTATAATGCCATCTTCGTCCTGCTATCCTCGCCCCACTGTCGCCAGGAGCTCAGACAGGTAGCCAGTGTTTCCATTGATCACCATGCCTACCCCTCCACAGCCAATTCTCGGCCTGGAGCGTGTCTCCAGTCTCTCTCGATCGTTAGGACAGTCGGCGCCCATTGCCCAAGCTTCTCTGGCGCGTGATATCGAAGAAGACACAGATGAGGAGGCGGCCGTGTCCGAGTCTGACTCCGACTATGAGGATGACAACTTACAACCCTCGACCTCTGCCCCAACCGCTACCCACTCTTTCGTCGGCTCTTATCGTCGTCCAAGCTTTTCGGGAGCTGGTAATAGAGCATCCCTCCTTCCACGCCCATCATGGAGAGATTCAGACAGACTTTCGAGGGCAGAGTGGCAACGAGCCATGGAGGAAGAGCGCAGTCTGCTTCGCGACAACGATATAATACCTCCAAAGCATCCGTGGACGGGTGAGGAAAGGAGAAAGAGCATTCTTGGGATCCCTGGAGGCAATTTGAAAGTCCCACCGGACGAAGAAGCAGGCCGGTTGAACGGCGCCGGTGCAGTCACAGAGACTAGTGCACTACTCCCTGACCCTACGAAACCGTATGGTGGTCTCGACGATCCAGAGAATATCAGCAAGCAGTGGGAGGAGGCCGTTAGCGCCGGCAAGATCCAAACGACGTGGCAACGCGAGTCCAAGGTCATCGGCCGTTACGCGGCACCACTCATGATCACCTTTGTTCTCCAGTATTCACTGACTGTCGCTTCTGTCTTCACTGTCGGTCACATTGGCGTGGCTGAGCTCGGAGCAGTGTCCCTCGCCTCAATGTCTGCAAATATCACCGGCTACGCGATATACCAGGGATTGGCCACTTCGCTCGATACCCTCTGTGCCCAAGCCTATGGATCTGGGCGAAAGAAGCTGGTGGGCTTGCAAATGCAACGCATGATCTATTTTCTTTGGGCTATAACCATTCCGATCGCGATAGTTTGGCTATTGGCCGACAAGATTCTGGAGGCCCTGGTCCCGGAAACAAGAGTAGCACATCTGGCTGGTCTGTATCTAAAGGTTGTCCTGCTGGGGGCACCGGGATATGCAGCCTTCGAGGCTGGGAAGCGCTTCTGCCAAGCACAGGGCCTATTTTCTGCTTCCCTTTGGGTACTGCTTATTTGTGCACCGCTCAACGCTTTCATGAACTGGCTTTTTGTGTGGCATTTCCAGTGGGGCTTCGTTGGGGCGCCAATCGCGGTCGCCATTACCGACAATCTGCTGCCAATAGGCCTCTTCCTTTACGTTCGCTTTGGAAGCAAACACGGCATGTCATGTTGGAATGGATTCACAAGAAAAGCGCTGCACAACTGGGGTCCGATGATCAAGCTGGCTATCCCCGGCTTAATAATGATCGAGGCCGAGTGTCTAGCATTCGAGATCCTGACATTTGCTTCCAGCTACTTTGGAGAGGAGATTCTCGCTGCGCAGTCGGTTCTGGCTACCCTGACTTCGCTGACGTTTCAGATTCCGTTCCCGCTGTCGATCGCGGGCTCGACACGAGTGGCGAATCTCATTGGCGCCACGCTTGCTGACGCGGCCAAGGTGAGTATGAGAGTGACAGTGGTTGCAGCCACCTTGGTTGGCATTATGAATGTTACGCTTTTGTCGGCCTTGAAGGATTACATTCCGCGTTTGTTTACCAGCGATCCCGAAGTCATCAGGGTCGTATCAGAGATCCTACCGCTTTGCGCAGCTTTCCAGTTGTTCGACGCCTTGGCAGCCTGCTGTAACGGCATGCTACGTGGACTCGGTCGACAAGAATTCGGAGGCTACGTGCAGTTGTTTTGCTACTATGTGTTTGCCCTGCCAATCTCTTTCGGCACAGCGTTCGGCGCAGGATGGGGCCTCTGGGGCCTGTGGACGGGCGTCGCCATGGCGCTCGGACTTGTTGCTCTCATTGAATTCATCTATCTAGGTCGGACGGACTGGGAGCGGAGCGTCGAGGAAGCGAGGGCCAGAAATATGGCTGACTGAGACATGCGGCCATACAGGATATCTGACTCGAACTAGATCAGGTGGAATTGGATCGCGAATGAAGTATGTGAACTCGACCAAGACCTACTCCAGACAGAGTATTCAAGCTGTGGAAGCATTTTGGGGCCATTGTAGATATCACAGCCAATAGCCAAAACTTCTCTACTTGTATAGAAATTGGGCCAAGGGTTTATCCTTTCTGGGCAAGCGGAGACCTGGCGTACAGCGATACTATCTTGTTGATGCCCCATTACATGCATACAGATGGCGGCGGCGTGCCAGGATGAGCATAGAGGTATCTCTGCCTTATTGCCATGGCCCTCCATCTTGCAGTCTCAACACTTACCGCACAACCGCGCAACTCTGCCTCACACACAGCGTTTCGCATTCGGATCGTACCAGTCAGATCTCGGATGAGATGATGCGATTGGCGTTACAGCTTACACCTGCTTGACGGCTTCCCGTCCGCATCTCACTGGCTAAGACAGATTAGGCGCGCAAGCCCGCTGGCATGCGGCTCTATGCAGACGTATGGTGCGCTGATCCTGGTCTAGAGCCTCATCAGCCCCTATGGGGCGGACTCACAACTGACATAGCGTCCATATTGCCATCTCGACCATGTTGGGACAACATGGCATTAGCATTAGCATTAGCATTCGCACCTAGCGCCTTTGACAGGTAACGCCGTTTCCGCACCTCCTTCCAAGGAATTCTGTGTTATCGTTCGGCGAGGCGATGATGAGCAAAAAGACTACGTGTTTTTCGGGTGACGATGTGTGGCATGGCAATGCCGGCCCACTGGACCACTAGCAATACCACTGTCATCAAGTCAGAGCCGATCTGTGATCAGCTTGCCTGCCTATAGCCCACTCTTGCGAGGCAACATGCCATGCCACAGAGCGTGCTCGCCTTGAACCGTTAATGGGTCCTGAGAGCAGCCACTTCTATCCACGCCCAGGTGCCCGACAAGCATGGCAGCAAACCACGGCAGAGTGGAGGGCTCGCTGGTCCCCATATAGCGACATCCAGTACCCATCCTTGTTGCAATCACTGTCACGGTCGTTCACCAAAGAGCCAAAGGAAATGCTTCCAATGATAGCACACGCTTTGAGTACCCCAGTCCAGATTATGAAGCATTTCCTGGCAGTCAATGCGCGCTTTGTGATGTAACTAGATGGCCCTTTCTTGCTACATTACTGACCTTTGTTATACCACACCTCAGATATCCTTTGTACTCCCCTCTGACACCCATCATCTTTGTGACCATACCCCACCTTCATACCCCCCCCGGACCCGTCGGCATAGCACAGTGACAGCAAACGACATCATCCGACTCGCCTGCTCTCCCATCCGAGCGCAGGCAACGAAAGCAAGGCACCACGCAGGCACGCCTCCATAGTCGGACCAAACGTTTCATGTCACCCGCCTCAGTACCTATAGTTGAGCCGCACCAATGTCACCCCGTCGTTTTCCGTCACTTCACTCCCCCTCTCAGAAGAGGGGCAACACCTACCACAGCCAGATGGACGATGTCCCAGGCTCCATGCCAAGCCGAACAAGTTCAGACGTAAGTACACAAGACATTGCCTCCCTCCGAAGCCTGGTCGACGAGCACCTCTTGCATTGTCGCTCCAGCTCGCCACCTTCGCCCATCACTGACAACGATAAATTCTTGCGCCTGTCGGCCTCGACATCGGACGGAAGCAAACCCAGTCCCACAATAGAGCGCAAGCCTCTTGCTCACAACAACTTGCAGTCTCTGTCTTCGTTCGCTTACCTGGTCACGGCCAACCAACCACCACAGTCTCCGCCGCGATCGACCAACACATGTCCACATAGCAATATGAGCTTCAACGCGCCGGATATCGCGCACCACGCACCCAACAAACACCACTCCAGCGCAATCAACACTCCCAACACATCCTCTCGCGCCGCCTCCGTTGCCTCATGCGGCTCTCGCGACAGCACGCTCTTGGCCCCTCAATACAACCAAGACAGCAGCCAAGATGAAATCCAAACTTCCAACCCCGGCGACCCATCCGATCCTGAATCCAGCCTCACCAAGCCCGCCGACTGGAAATCCACCACCCACGAGCTCCTCATCATGGGCACCCTGGCGCTCGCCTCACTTCTCGTCGCCCTGGACGCCGACATCCTCATCGCGGCCCTTCCCCTCCTCTCCGCCTCCCTCTCCGCGAACACCACCACCGCATTCTGGGCCGGCTCCGCCTACCTCCTCCCTTACGCCGTCGTGCAGCCCTTCCTCGCCTGCCTCTCCGACATCTTCGGGCGCCGCCCCATCCTGCTCCTCAGCCTGGGGCTTTTCGTCATGGGCAGCATCCCCTGCGCCTTGGCCGACACGATAGCGACCCTCCTCGCGGGCCGCGTCATCCAGGGCGTCGGCGGCGGCGGCATCGTCGCCCTCGCCCAAGCCGTCTACACAGACATCGTGCCGCTGCGCCAGCGCCCCAAATGGTTCGGCATCGTGCTGCTCGCGTGGGCGGTGGGTACGATGATCGGCCCCGTCGTCGGCGGCGCCCTCGCCGACATGGCCCCTGACGGCTGGCGCTGGTGCTTCTGGATCAACCTCCCCATCGGCGTGCCCGCCATGCTCGCCAGCTGGTTTTTGGTTCGGCTGCGCCCGGCCGAGAGTCCATTGACGCTGTCGCAGAAGCTGCGCACCGTCGACTACGGCGGCGGCGTCCTCTTCATGGGCAGCGTCACCTCCGCTCTCGTCGGCGTCAGCTGGGGCGGCAACCAATACCCCTGGGCCAGCGCCCCCGTCCTGGCGCCCCTCGTGCTGGGGCTGCTGGGCCTCGTGGCCTTCGCCGCCCACGAGCGCCACGTGGCGCGCTACCCGTTCGTGCAGCGCAGCGTCTTCCCCGACGCGAGCGCCGTCATTTTGTTCATCCTGGCTTTCCTGTACGGCCTCGTCCTCTTCCTCGCCCTCTACTACATCTGCTTCTACTTCAGCGCGGTGCGCCTCGCGAGCGCCACGGTCGCCGGCGCCAACATGATCCCCGCGCTCGCCCTCGCGCTGCCCGCCAGCATCGTCTGCGGCGTGCTCATGACGCGCTGGGGCCGCTTCCGCTGGGCCACCTGGTCGGGCCACGCCCTCGAGCTGCTGGGCTACGGTTTGACCATCATGTTCGACGAGGACACGCCCGTGGCCATCTGGGCCGTCGTGCTTTCGGTGATTGGCTTGGGGAGTGGCTTCAGTCTCAGCTCCATCAATTTCGGCGTGCAGACGACGACGCGCAGCGACCGCGAGAGCGCCGCGGCGACGGTCATGTATACCTTCATGCGCAGTGTGGGCATGTGTGTGGGCGTCAGTGTCGGGAGCACGATTTTCCAGAACGTTGCGGGCGACGCACTCGCGAGTCGTGGCAGGGATGCGGGTATCGCGCAGAATGCCGAGGCGTTTGTGCTGAGGGAGCTGGTGTTTCGGGATCCTGGCGATGAGGTTAGAGTGGACGTGGTAAGGTCGTTTGTCGTGGGCATGCGGGCGGTGTTTATTGTGTTGACGGCCGTTAAAGCGGTGGCGCTGTTGTTGAGTCTAGGGGTGGGAAGGAGGAGTATGGATCGGGAATTGGATGGGAGGTATAGAGCTGCGGGTGGAAAGGGGGAGAAAGGGCAGCAGTCGCAGCATCGATGATATGGATGTGTGTGGGATTTGGCTCGGGTTCTGGATGCTCGATTTCGGGGTCATGAGAAACTGCGAATATTTGAAGAATCAATACTGGCCTGTCTTGGACCCTCGCATGTTGGAGTGCGGGTTAGCAAGCGAAGAAATATGAAAACCTGCTATATCAGCCGTGTTACCAGTGTTCAAGTCGTGCCTGGTTCGTGGGGTGTGAGACGAGGATGCTGAGTAATTTGTTTCTCTCGATACAGTGATATTAGATCAGTCCGGCCATGTCCGCACAGCCGGAACACGATGGGTGTCGTAGCATCGACCTTAGATTCGCCGTCTGTTGGTTGCTATCATGGAGCAAGGAGTGTTATACACAAAGTCTGGTCGTCAGCCTTCCCTACATTCTCCCAAGCTTCCACTTAGAGATGCGGTTCTGTACATCCTCCCAATGGATCTGCTTTTTGTACTTGCCTTCAGGGTCCTCTCCTTCCTGAATCACAACTGTCGGAGCACCCGTCCCGTTGCCCTTATTGTACACGTGGCCACCGAACACCTGCCGAGCAACCCGTCTGAGGTCGTTGACGGTCAGTGCATCGATCTTGGCACACATCTCTTGTACGCCAACTTTGCGACCGTGTACTTGGACTTGTCTGCCTAGATCCTCCAACTCCACTAGGCGAGACTCGAGGTTCATCAAGAGTGAAAAGCGCAGTTGGTTCTTGGCGCGGTTGACTTCATTCTGCTGCATGGCGTAGAAGCCAGTGTCGAGGGTCAAGGCTTGCAACTCTCTGCACATGACATCGACCATGTGTCCAACGCGCCCGGGTTCGCAAGCTGCTGCAATGCCGAAGAGGCCAGAGTCGGTATATGAGTGGTTGAAAGCAACGCAACTCTCGACCCAACCATGCTGGTTGAGGACGTTGGTATAAAGTCGCGAGTACATGCCCTTTCCGGGACCCCCAGCTGAGAATGACCCACCGCCGCCAAGCAGAGTCTGCAGGGTTGCGAGCGCATAGATGTCATCGGAGGATATTGGTAGGGCCTCAAAGGCAATGTGAATGTATGAGAGGGGCATTGATAGATTGTTTTGGGGAACGGGGAGTTTTGGTAAAGCCAGATAGCCGCCGGTGTAGTGTGAGGGCTGGCTGAGGTCGTTTACAGGAGCAGGCTGGAGCATGGAAGGGTCGAGAGGAGAAACCGTTGCTTGGTGAGGAGCGGAGGTTGAGAAGTTGCTGAGGCCGATCTTGGAGAGGAAGGACTTGCTGGTCGATTGTGGTAGATTGGGTTGGTTGGGTTGTGTGAATGCTGAATCTGAGGCAGATTGGCTCTCGGCTTCCGGGCTCTTCTTCATGTCACCAAAATACTGCTCCACTAGTTTCACTGCATCTTCGTGCTTGGTCCCAGCGTAGGCGACGACCATGCGTTCAGGTTTGTAGAATTGGTTCCGGTATTTCTGAATCACATCTCGAGTAATGCTGGGTAGCCGCTCCTTCGGACATAGCAAAGGGTTGCCCAACGTATTTTCTCTATACGCGGTCATGTGTAGTAGCTCGGGAATGATCAGATCTGGCTTGGCCCAAATTTCATTGATCTCGTATGCGGCTGTGTCGAGCTGCTGCTGGACCTCTTCCTCCGTAATCAATGGATCTCGGATCGTCTCGGCTAGCAGAGCGGTCGTGGTTGGAACAGCAGAGTTAAAAGTGGCCGACTGATACATCAGTGCTTCTCTCGACGAGGCGCACTGAATGTTGCCTCCTAACGTCTCTAGGGCTTCCAACATCTGATCGCCCGTTCTTGACTTCGTGGATTTGAACGCCAGCCGATCTACGATATGGCTGACTCCGCGTAAGCTTTCATCTTCAAATCTTGATCCAGCTTCGATGTAGACACCGACGCCAGAGAAGGGGCCTGGTAATGACTCGGTCGCGACGCGGACGCCATTGGGAAGAGTAGTGATGTGGTCGAGCTCAACGGGATCCTGGCAGGTGTCAGTGTTTGCGGAATCATGTAATGATCAGACGTACTTTCTGAGCAGCATTGATGGTTGCGTATGGTCGTGCCGGCGGGGACGGCAGCTTTGATGCAACGCGGGCATCGCGCAGAGCCCGGACTGCTGCTGTTCGCATTGCGGCGACTGTGGTGCTGAGATGGATTTTCGTCGGATAGAGCCGTTCTTCAATGGCTCATCGCACAGCTTATGCGACTCGGACGCTGTGAGATGCTGGTATCAGATCTATTGTCCCTCTCGACAAGACCAGAAGCAACGGCAGTATCACTGGCGGGCGGGTGTAAATCTGATCAAGTGGCACTCGGTCAATTTCTCCATTCGCTGCAGGGAGAAGCCGAGTCGGAAAAAGCTTCCCAGTCGCCCGGGATCTTGAAGTATACCCGGATTTAGCCGGCTTTAGAGGCTTAGCGCACCATGTCAAGCCCCAAGGGTCGGCTCTAGGCGGTCCAGGCTTGACGCTGTGTTAAAGCCCGCTGTAACTTCTCATTGACCCTGCGTCAATGGCGCAACCTACGTCTACCGCTTGGACCGTCTAGATCCCCTCGCCCCCTCTCCGCCTTGTCTGCCCCAAAAAGAGGCCGGCGGTAGAAGCACGAAAGTCAGCAGAAAGGCGAATATGTCTGATTTGCATTGAAGATCTACTTTGATTGCGTTTCCCCCTCACTTCGCATCATATTCGGCCTCCCAGTCTGTGCCACTCGACGACCAAAGTCCAGTCTTACACATCACACCTCAGCTGCAATCCGCCTGACCACCCTCAAGACCACAATCTCCGTTTTGACCGATCGCTGTTACCTACCAGTCCACAATCGTCTTTCCAGGAAAGCGCCTTGTTGCGTGTCTGGACGTCTGCGTTTGCCAGTGTCTGCCTTGTTTCCTTAGACCAACAGCATCGCAGTTGCCATCAGCCTATCACTGCTGTGCCTCCTGGTTTCACCCGACCACCGCTACCAGCTTCTCGGCAACTAACTCATGCTGTCTCCGTCTATCTCGGTTCCCACGCCCGAAGGTGCAAACCTACACCCAACCAGCTCACGTCGCAGAGCCTTAAGCTACCTGCGCCACCTATCCCACTCGAGTCAAACAAGGTCAGGATCCGGTAGCCCTACAGGCGCAGAGTCTCCAAGAACCTCGCCCCGCTCCTACTTCCACCGTTCTGTCAGTTACCCTGATCCCCGTATCCAGCCTGCTCCTTCACACCCTCGCCGACGAAGCCGATCTCGATCCCACGAACGAGAGGCGACGGATCGCCTGCTGGATGAGGCAGTCAGCCGTCTAAATATTAATACTTCTGAGCTCCGCCCACCCTCCCCAACCGGTGGTGAGACTACCAATACTGATAACGAGGCGGCTCCTGTGGAAGCTCAGCCAACCGATCTCAACCTCGACGAGATGGCGAGAACCAGCAGAGTCACGTCGGGTGCTGCAGCTTCATTGATGGACTCGAATACGCGCCCGAGAGCGACGAGGACTGTCACGGCGGAATCAGCCACGTCCACCGCCGATGCGAGCGGAGCGGGTCCTGGAGTTGAGCCAAAGTCGACGGCACTGCCCGCGATCCGCTTCTTTCCGCACCAAGAAGTTCGCAGCAATGGCAGGCAGTCTTTGAACTTTGGACCCGTGTCACGAACGTTACCAAGCGACGAGTCCATTATTCGTGTCGGCCGCTACTCTGAGCGAGAAGGCATCCCCAATCCCAATCCTATGGGTCCGTCAGACGCCCCTGTTGGATTCAAGTCAAAAGTTGTATCTCGAAAGCATTGCGAGTTCAGCTATGCGCAAGGGCAATGGTATATCAAGGATGTGGCCAGTTCTTCCGGCACTTTCCTCAATCATATCCGCCTGAGCCCACCCAACACGGAATCTAAACCATTTCCTGTCAAGGATGGTGATATCGTGCAATTGGGGATTGATTTTCGGGGTGGCGAGGAGATGATCTTCCGTTGCGTTAAGATTCGAATTGAATGCAATCGGTCATGGCAAAAGAAGCCTAATAATTTCAAGTATGGCCCCCTATCAACCATACTTTGGTATATTCTGACAATACTATAGCAAGCAGCGCCATGCTCAACTCCAGATGCTCGCAAAGGACCAGCCCGCAGCTGACGCAAGCAGCGGTGAATGTTGTATATGCCTCGGTCGCATTGCGGTAAGTCCTTTCTACTGAAAGCCTGATATTACCCTCTGACAGCTGCTAGCCTTGTCAATTTCTCTTTGTTGCTCCGTGCGCTCATACATGGCACTACAAATGCATAAGGCCACTTCTCGAGGGCAAGAATCACAATTACGTACAGTTCCAATGCCCGAATTGCCGTGCTTATTGGGACCTAAATGCGGATGTTGATGTTGACATCGACATGGACGATGACTCAGCAGCGGAAGCAGAAGATCAGCCTGCGAATGGCAACGGTCAGGTTTCTGAGCCCACGGGAGAGTCCGGGGCCACGAATGTCGTCGTTACCCCTGCTGCTGCTGAAGATACTGCCGCGGATAGCCAAACGCGCAATGGCACTTTGCTTTCACGTCGCCAAGCGAACAAGCCCGAGTCCTCAGAGATCGCCTCCGTCTCTCAAGCGATTGATACGCCTCGAAGAAGTGGTGATGATGGAGCGAACCTCGAAACCACACGGACGCAAACGCCTGACAGCGGAGATCGCAACGTCAATGGTGCCGAAGGACCATTGACACCTCGCAACGATGTTGGTCCGTTCATACTAGACGGAAGTGCCGGCCGAGCTTCAGGGCGTCGAGTCACAGCAATCAATGAGGTGACCGAAAGCGATTCCTGAGAATGGAGCGGTCGAGCGGACTAATTCAAAATTCGATATGTGCAGCGGGTCATAGGCGAACGCGGCGTTACGTCCTATGAGACGAAGATAGTGTGGGCTTCAGCGAATCCGCGGGACAGTTTCGGTGTGCATTATTCTACATGTCTATGACTTGAGCATCTCTTACCTACGATAGAGCCCGGGCAAATTGCGACAGCATCAGGGTCCAAGTGCTTTTCGCTTTCTTTCTTTCCTTCCTCAGCGTCCGAACAGCTACCGGTCAGCTTGCTCATCGAGCATATGCAGGCGACACAACTCGGAACGTACTCCGCTGACCCCGTTCAAGCCTGTTTGATACTCAACTTGCCATTCCGCCCTTTCACCCATTCAATACATCCTCTTCTCTGCAACTCTGACTCCACCTACTTTCACATCTCTTCACGTCTTCGAGCCCCTTGTTCTGCTGAACTGTTGCCGCAGCTATGTCACTGTGTCACTGACACTAACTATGCCGCTAGGCAACAGCTTACTCATGCTCTGCTAGCCACACATTCAACTAGGCTCCCTCTGTGATTGGCCAGCTACAGTGACAAACACAGAACACTTCACCGTGGTGTCTTCACCGTGGTGTCTTCACCCAATGTCATCTCTGCCGTTTGCACCTCTCACCGCCTGAGATTTGCCAGGTTCTCACAACTACTTAATAGACGCTCCTCCCTCGGTCGATGACCTTTGTCCTCATCGTTCCAACTTACTTCAGCAACCATCGCCACCACCAACACCATCAACACCGGCACCAACACCACCACCGCCAACGCCACCACCGCCACCAATACGACCCCCCATCTTCCTCCTTATACCTCATCTAGAAGGTCTTGGTTTGATCTCTACCAACTTCAACGACCAGCCTTTCATAAACTTATTCAAACGCACCACGCGCTCTTCCCTCGAGGACGTCAAGCTCTTGTCATGGCTAGCCTCGAGTTCGCCCACAACAATTTTCCGAAGTGGATGCTAGGCTATGCGGACACTCGAGATGGTTCTGACAAGACCAGCTCCGGCTGCAACAAGCGTCACGTCAATTTTCATGCAAATGCCGACACTAGCATCCACGGCCGTGTCACCATCCTCTCACCAACCGACATTAAATGTTCCATAAACTTCCCATCAACGAGGTAGACATCCAGGTCACAGACCAGTCGACGAGGTCTTCGGAGGCATCTACCAGTCGACGGTGTGTTCCGCGACTCCCATGCTGGCCACAAGTTCCAGGCCAGCAGCACCGCAGCTCAAACTGGAGGCTCCCGCATGGTACGTGGTGTCGATCGTACAGGGAATTATATCAAACATTCAATTTAGTGGGACTGGAAGTAGAAATACACGTCCTACCACACCATCCACATATCAACGAACGAGGAACCTCGAAGGAAGTGTCAAACCTTCGGGGTTGCCCGGGGAGTAAATCGATCACCGTACCCTTCATCGTCAACGATGAGGACGCACATCGTTTCGGGGAAGGAAGCTTGACGTTGGCATCATACAAGAACGGTGGGGGGGTTAAAGCCTCAGGTACCAGCACCTGATTTCTGCAAGACACCCCACCCTGGTCTGGGAATTGCTCCCTGGCCCGCGAAGTACCCCAGACTTGGCAGTGCAAGGGTGCCTCGCAACATGGATCCGTGGGCGTAACGGCTCAAACACCCCCGCATAGCCTCAGCCTCGGTTCGGTAAGTATGCAAGCACTCTACCCGACTCACACGCTCCTATATTCACAAGATAGGAGCCTTCAAGGAGGAACAGACTGCTTTTCGCGACTATCAGAAGACATATCCATCCCCGTCCCCACCTAAACGCGTGCCGCCAAACTTCCGCCTCCAGTTCCACCATGACTAACAAGAAACCCTCCGCCTCCACCCCCGCCTCCGGCCCGGACTCCACATGGACCACCACGCCCACCACCCTCCGCCCCAACCGCCGGTACATCACGACGCACGACCCCCAAACCGGCAAGTCCATCTACGCCGCCTCCCCACCCCAGATATACGCCCGCACGCCCGCCCTCGGCGGCATGGCGCGCTCCTTCGCCACCGACCGCATCCCCGTCGACTTCACCGACGAAGGGGACGTCAAGCGCTACCGTGGCGGCACGGAGAGCGCGGCCAGCTACCGGCAACGCCATATCGTCGTGCCCGATGGCGGCGTGAACCTCGTGGTGGTGGATCTGCTGCCCGGAGCGGAGTCCGGGATGCATCGCACCAAGAGTGTGGATTTCTCGATTTGTGTGCTGGGGGAGATTGTGCATGAGTTGGATTCGGGGGAGACGAGGGTTTTGTTGCCTGGGGTAAAGTTTTTTTTTTCTCTCCTTTTTCTCTCCAGTGTTTGAGTTTATCGGAGTGTGAATGAGAGGTGCTAATGATGGTTTTGCTTGCGTTTGCACAGGACCATATCGTGCAGCGAGGAACGATGCACAAGTGGATCAACGGCTCGAAGACGGAGCCGGCGAGGTTCGTGGCGGTCACGGTGCCGGCGGCGGAGTTTGAGATTCCGGGGACGGGGGGGAGGATGTTGGAGGAGGAACACTTGCCGAAGGCGAAGCTCTAGTTGGTCCGAGGAAGTTCCAAATTCCAAAGACTTAAAGACACGGACTGTCCAAACGCGAAAGGTGTGTTCCGGCCATCAACGTACGTTTCCACGGCAGGGACAACTCGGGGCTTCTTTAGCTTATGCTGTGCTTGAGCACCAGGAGTTTCGATGTGTCATTCCTACTGAAGAGTACGGCGGTGATGGTCTTCGAGACTCGGATTAAGTGTCAAGTTGCTCACCTGCACACCATCTGGAGTGGCTGTGATACGGGATGACCAGTTGCTGCTGGGTATGCATTCTTTCCTCCTAGGGGAGGATTGGTAACAAATATCCCTGCACCCGGGGGTCAACTCCCTCTCATTCCTCCTCTCTCAACCCTGCGGCCGCCGGTCCAATCAGTTGCGTTCCATCCTTTGCGAACCGACTGCCATGGATCGGACAATCCCAGCTCTTTTCGCTGTCGTTCCAGCACACCACTCCGCCCAAGTGCGGACACAGTGCGCTGCGTTTACTGACATTGCCATTCTCATCCTTGTAGACTGCGATCGGCTTTTTTCCCGTCGCATTCAAGACGCCGCCTTTGCCCCTGGCCAAATCCTCGATGTCAGCGATATCTGTCTGCAGAAATCGCTTGTACTGCGCATTGATCTGAACATCATGCTTGAGCATCGAAGGCACGCTCTTCGCAAGCGTCGCCTTGCGCTTCGGATCATATACATCCGCCCACGAATTCTCCTTGCCCAGTATCAAGTCGGAGATCAGCTTGCCAGCCAGAACACCGTGCGTGAGACCGTTGCCACTGTCTCCGGTGATGATGTATCGGTGGTCAGCGCCCGAGTTCTTACCGATGAAGGCCATGTAGTCGACCGGCTCGAAAATCTGTCCGGACCAGCGGTAGTCGACGGGTCCTGCGCGGGTGAAGCGTTCCCGCGTCCAAGTCTCGAGTTCAGCGTAGCGCGCGTCTTGCTCGTTTTCTTGGCCGACTTTGTGGTCGCAGCCACCCACAACGAGGTAGTCCCATTCCGCATCGCAAGACGTGAGCCGGATGTATTTGTAGACTTCGGCGGTGTCGTAGATTAGACAGTCTTCAACGCTGCCCTTCGGGACACGAATCGCGATGCAGTAGGTTCGAAGGTACACCATCTCAGCGATGACGCTCAGCTTTTGCAGCGGTACGCAAGTTGCCTCGACCGAGTCGGTGCAGGTAATAGTATGGCCGTTGGCAGTCTCGATCGTAACTCCTGTGGGCCCGAGGTGAGTATGTACGACGGGTACAGTGACGCCCGACTCGCTGACGTTCGTCGCGCGTCTTTGAGAATAGCCTGTGAAGTTCGGTTGGTTCTTGAGCCATTTGAGGAGGCCATTCAAATATTTTGTAGGGTGGAAGGTGGCCTGGTGACCAAAGACCGCGGTGGCCCGTTGATCTACGCCGCCATCCCAGCCCTGGATCTTCAAGCCTTCTTGGAAGCTCGCATCTAGACCAAGCTCGCGTGATTTGTTGACTTCATCCTGCAGCATCTTGATGTCTTTCTTGTGATCTTCGGTTCCCACAGGATATTGCGATACTGTATAACCTTTGAGAATCCTATATTCGCAATCGATATTCAACTCGCGCGCCACGTCCCCCACATGCTGCAAAGCCCATTGATGAGACTCAGCAGCAACCTTTGCACCATCCTTGCCGAACTTGGAAGCGATAGCTGTATAGCCATCGTCGAGATTGGAGGCAAGATGACCTGAAGTTCGACCTGACTCTCCTGAGAGAAAGTTACGTGCCTCGATCATCGTGACCGATTTGCCCTGCTTTACCAGATGGTAGGCGGTGGATACACCAGAGATTCCCGACCCAATAACGCATACATCATCGGAGACATCTGCCGTCAACTTTGGGAACTCTGGTCGGTTGGAGTACGGGTCAGTGTGCACCCAGACTGGCGTAGTCTCGCCAGAAGTGTCTAGAAAGCTTGAAGGGTTCAAATCAGCCATGGAGGCAAAGCTCCGTCCGGTAACAGGACGAAGCAGTACGCGAGACTTCTGACTGTTTGTGAAGATGCGCTGGCAGGTCCGGAGGGCGAAGAGAGAACTCATCGAGCTGAATCAATCCCACCTTGCGGCAGCGCGCAGAATTTTGGGCCATGAGAAGCATTTGGTTTGTGTCACGACACGCCTCCGACTCGTCGGAAATACCAGCAGCACTCATCTCTCGTTCTGAGCTCCTTGTGTAGGTGAGATGCGTCATGAATAATCTGTGCCATTTGACTGGCGGGACGGAATTGCGGATGTTAAGGAAATGGATTTCCGATCCCCACCGTAGATCAGGTACGACGCTGCACTCCATCATGTATTCATCCATATCTTCGCTCTCCTAAAAGGCGTCACGACACATGTAATCATACATTATGCGCGTGGCACGTCAACACATCTCCGGGCGAATCTGTTTTGCCCGTTGAACTGGTCAAGTCCACGGGAGTGGAGTTTTGTTTCTATCAAGAATACATGATATGACCAACCACTTAATTCTACTGGCCGGAAGGTGAGTTGCGGAATCTCTAGTCAGCATCATGTATGCAGTTTAGCCTGGCTTCTTCGCTGGACTGATCAGAGCTGCGGGTGCGGAAATACCGTGATCGAAACCAGGTCTCAAAGTCCCGAGGTAATATAGCTGAGGTCGCCTCCGAAGGGGGCTGCGCTACCTTTTACACACCAGAACCATGCAGACCGCCTCACAAGCCATGCAAGACATTGCCGGTGCCGCAGGGATTGACCCTCGGCCCATGCAGAGGACATCGTTGTTTCAGGGTGCTAATGAAGGACCAGCAATAACAGCTGCAAAGATCTCCGGCACCGTTCAAGGCGGCAAGCGCGTCGACGATGGGCCGTACCACACGAACAACGATGCGATTCCCTGGCCAGCACCCGATCATAGCAAGACAGTCGGCGGCCTCCCTTTGGCCTCTGACATCTTCCTCTTTCAGAAGCAACAAGCATTCAACCGGCACAAGCTCCTGGAAAGAATGGTCCATCCTTGTGGGAGTGGTGCGTTTGGTCACTTTGAGACCACCAAAGATATGTCGCATCTTACCAAGGCCGACTTTCTGAGCGGTGTCGGCGTCAAGACCCCTATCTTCCTCCGTTACTCAACAGTGACTCTTGGACGCGAGTTTCCTGATCTTGCCAGAAATCCGCGTGGTTTCGCTGTCAAGTTCTATACTGGCGAGGGAAACTATGACCTTGTCGGACTGAACTTCCCGATATTCTTCTGTCGCGACCCGATTCAGGGGCCAGACGTCATCAGGTCTCAAGGACGCCGACCAGACAACTTTCTACTTGACTATAATGCGACCTTTGATTTACTAGCACATACTCCCGAAGGTAATCACGCTGGAATGATGTTCTTCAGCGACCATGGCACGCCGAACGGCTGGAGAAACAATCATGGCTATGGGTGCCATACTTTCAAGTGGTGAGTCAGCCGGCTTCGCCCCATGCCTGTGGTTGACAAGGATAGGGTAAATGCCAAGGGTGAATTCGTCTACGTCAAGTATCATTTTCTTGCCGATCAAGGCCAGAAGCAGTTTACTCGCCAGGAGGCAGTGGAAATGAGCGGCATCGACCCAGATTATTCGAAGCGTGACCTGTGGCAAGCTATTGAGAAAGGCGAGGATATTTCGTATACCGCGCACGTCCAGATCATGAAGCCTGAAGAGGCTGATCCTGCCGAGTTGGGATTCGATCCATTTGATGTGACGAAGGTTTGGCCGAGGAAACGATTCCCCGTAAGTGATTTCAGCCTCTCGAGTGTTTTGTTGCTCGAGAATTAGTAATGCTAATATATGACATAGATGCAAGAGTTCGGCAAGTTGCGTGTGACCAAGAACCCTGAGAACTTCCACAGGGATGTGGAGCAGGTCGCCTTCTCTCCTGGAGCAATGGTTCCCGGCATCGAGGATAGCCCTGATCCGCTTCTGCAATTCCGCATGTTCTTCTATCGCGATGCCCAATACCATCGTCTTGGGAGCACGAACTACCATCAAATCCCCGGTCAGTATGCTCCATCCCGAGGGTGACTTTAAACTGATAACATGATAGTCAACTGCCCATTCATGGCAAAGTCATTTTCGTCTTTGAACTTTGACGGGACCATGCGCGTTGATGCCAACCATGCCGGCAACCTAGATTACGCACCAAACTCGTTCGACCCCATCGACCGCTTCCGAAGCGATGTAGCCGAAGCACCATATCACGTGGCCGATAACGTCGTGTCTCGCAAGTCCCATTTCCACCACGAAGGCAAGCTCTCCGAGTACGATCAACCTCGTGAGCTGTACGAGCGCGTCATGAACGATGAGGCACGCGCTCACCTCCACTCCAACACCGCTGTCATGCTGGACCAGGTCAGTGAGAAAACTATCCAAGTCAGATATTTGGCGCAGCAATACCTCATCAGCAAATCCTACGCTCGGGCTATCTATGATTTGTTGAAGAACAAAGCGTTCCAATTCAGTGAAGTCGAGGAAATGGCTAAAGGGGCAGAGAAGATGACGCACACCCCGAGGTTCCTCCCGAGCAAGGCGACGGATCGACTGGTTGGAAAGCCAGCTGTGGGTATCTATAACAGCTGAGCTGGGTTGGAGTACTGCACTTTTTAAACAAGTAACTTGATGATCATGCTAGTATAGTAACCTTCGAAAAGGAATTACTTCTGTGCTCTGAACTAGTGTTAATCAAGAGCGCAGTGTAGAGAATTCGAATTTGTGAGCAAAACACATTCGCGACGAATAGTATATGCTCGTTCTTCTTGCAGAGGTATAACGCATGAATCCATGCACCAGTGTGAAAAGGGGGAGATATGTGGGTTCGAAAGCTTTTCCAACCCGTCCAAGTCGTCGACAGGGAACAACCACGGCTTCAATCAAAGCTCCCTCCATTCTCTCAACACCACAACCTCCTCACTTCCATACCTCTGCCTCACCAGATCCGCCCAGACCACCTTCGCATACTCGAGAAGGACCTGCCGCGAATCTTTATTCCACGTCCACGACCACTCACTATCTTCAGGCCAGTCGGACGGCTCTGTCGGCAGTTTCAGCTTCGCACGCATGGCCGGCGCAAGTTCCCACCATACCGCATATATTTTCGCCATCTCCAGCGCCGTCCACTCCACCGCATCAGCTTCGGCTGGCGCACAGAGACGGATTGCCGCGGACAAATACCGTTCTGCTCGCTTGGTGCTCGATGCCTGCGCGTAGCACAGCGCGCGGTGCATCAAGTTGACGGTGAGATACAGTGATGGCGTCGAGATGTCGTCGAGGACTTCGTCGATGTCGTCCAAGAGGATCCCGAAGATGGTTTCGAGGCGATGATAATAATCACGCCACAGTATTTGGCCGCCGACATCGGCGATCTGCTGGCGGTTGAAGTTGCCCAGGTTGCTGAAGGTGAAGGGGAAGCGTTGTTGCGCGCACAGGACACCCAGACAGAAGCGGATGTCGTTCGCGGCGTGGTTGCAGAAGCGGCGGGCCTCGCGCCGCCGCCGGGGGGAAGTCTGGTGGGCATCAGAGAGTTCATATAGGAGTTTGATGTATTGCAGCGTGCGTTGGACAAGGATTTCGAAGTTTTCGTGGTGACGGTCGGTAGGCCACGACTTTTCGTGGAGGGTGAAAGCGTGTAAATCATGGAGGAAGGAAAATATAATGTGGGCCAGGGGAGCCAGGCTCATCGAGTCGCCGGCCGCTCGGGCAACACGCATTGCTCTGACGGACTTCTTTTGGCAGCACTTGATGCGGTTTTCGATGGAGTATATGCGCTCCCGCCAGTCAATATTGGCCGGTCCATTCGATTCAACGGCAAAGTCAGCCCGCATCGTGTTACGAATTTGCCGTGTAAACTGATAGGGTCGCTCAAATGGCGAGAAATAATCCAACTTGGTTGAGACAATAGAGCCGTGGAGAAGAGGGAAGATGTAATCTCTCCAGTGGTCTATAGACCACTGAAGGCGTCGAGGGTAACCGTATATCAGAGAGTTGGCGTGTAAGTGAACTCGGACGGCTTGGATGGCGTGTTTAGGTGCAGACCCGAGCCAGGGAGGGAGTGTCGTCCAGCTTGCTAGGAAGCGTACGACGATGGGGAGATCATCTTTGGAAAATATGAGCCAGATTCTGTCAAGGTCGCTTGACTGCTCCAGTGATTGCTCTGCATCGATGTAGAGTGTCATGAGTGGCTCGACCGTCGGCTCGACCGTGGGTTGAGTGAACAATGGACAAAATATCCTCGCCACGAAAGTACCTGTTCGTCGTAGAGACTCAAGGTGTTTGATCCACCAGTGGCTATCGTCCACGTTGAGAGCAAAGAGTGCGTTCTCTTTGGCAAGTATCTTCCTTCCTATCTCGTGCCACCGTCGACACACGAGAAGAAGGCTCGGTTGGAGTTCGGATTTTCGCATGCGAGATCCTGAAAGCTCATTCAAATAGAACATTCCAGATCTCTCGCTTTCACACTCTGGAGAGTCCCTATGATGAGTGGTTGTACGATGAGGTAGGTGGTTGCTAGCAATGCCCTCATGACTTGGCGCTTCGTTCCGGAGCACAAGCAAGGGTCGCAAAATCGCGGCTACCAGCTCCGGTGGCAACTTGTCGAAGACCCTGGAAGCAACTATTTTCTCGCGGCGAGACACCATGCGATGTTGTTCTGGAGACATTGCACTGGCCCCGCTGCTGGCACCCTCAGCAAGCCCTTGTATTGTGAGTCTAGATCTTTCGACTTTAGGCAAGAGTGCCATGTTTTCGTGCGTGTTCTGAGGACGGCACAAATGCCACAAGCCAGTATTTATAGTGATCTGGTGGAAGCGTATTTATCTCTGAGTTCTCTAAGTTTGGCAGCCTGAGAAGTGTTACCATTATGCCAGTGTTTGGTAGTGGCTGCCTATCCTCGTTGTTTGCCAAGGCGATCCGAGGCTGAGACCCCTGAATCAGAAATCTATATCGGATCTGTCCATCTACCAGTATATCTCGCAATGTCAGCGGAACTGGATGTGGCCATCGTGCTGAAGATCATAACCATGGATACTTCCATTGTTGACCAATCTTGTTCGACCGGGCTTGGTGAGATAGTCAGCCCCGGCGCTCGCGTGCCCCGACAGATTGTGAAAATCACAAAGGAATTTTGCATCTCGAGCGCCAGTACTTTCATATGTGAGTACCTCGGGGTGAGTTTCGCTCAACTTGTCCACCGTTCGAGTTCTCGAGAGCAGATTCTGGACAAATATGTAGTATTAAAGCCGGGATATTTCTATCTTCTTGTTACTTGATATGCGGTGACTGGATTGCTGCCGGCCATCCCTAGGTGTGGAGTGCCAACCCATAGTATCACAATGGTGAGCGCACGTTCCTTAAGGGACGCTCACCAAATGGTGCCTTTAGTCTGCGTGCCCCTGGCCTCCTCCAGTTTCTTGACATTGATGTTCTTCCACATGAAGATAGCAATCAGCAAAACCGGAATGAAACCGGCACCGGCAATAACCATCTTCCGCTGCACATCTGCATACGCCCTGATAATGGCGTCGCGAATCTCCGTGCCAATAGGATACTCCTGCTGGATGACGAGCGAAGAGTAGATGCTGGCAGCCAGATCCTTGCTGCCTTCGGGCAGTTCGCGGACGAGTGCGGCGGGTAAGACGTTGGTCCACAGGCCGCCGGCAATGGTCAGACCGACGGAAGCGCCGATGCTGCCGAAGAGTCCCCAGATGGCGATGGCAACGGCAATCTGTTGGTGTGAGACCGAGGCCATGACGGCTAGCTGGCCGCAGGTCGCCCAGATGCCTGTGCCAATGCCCATGAAGACCTGGCACATGACGAGCAGGCCGACGTGGGTTGAGGGCTGGCGAAGGGGGATCAGAAGAGCGGTGCCGAGGACAACGAAGGGCAGGCCGGCGTAGGAGGTCCATTTGAACTCGCCGGTATGGCGGATGAGAAGGCCGACGAAGGGCGAGATGAAGCTCGAGGTCAAGCTGAAGGAGTTGAGGATGTATCCTGCGTGGGTGATGGATTGGTTATGGACCACCTGGAGGTAGGAGGAATAATAGGCATCCCAGCAGAAGATACTGATAAACATCACGCCATAGAGGATGCAGGAGCCGATGATGGTGCGCTCTTTGAGGTAGTGGAATGGCATGAATGGGACGGGGGCCCAGAAGCGCTCGTGGACGATGAAGAGGACGAGCGAGAAGACACCCATGACGATCATGGTGATGATGCTGGCGCTGGCCCACTTGTCGCCCGAGGAGGAAGCCAGGCTGAAGGGAAGCAGGATCAGAGAGAAGGCGGCGGTGATAAGAATGATGCCAACGACTGTGGGATAACGTCAGTTTGCTCTAGCATCGTGGGGGACAGACATACCATCAAATTCGAGGACATAGTGCTTGATGGATTGCACAGGCGTGCGGTCGTGTGTCTTCTCAGGCAACATGCCGAACTTAGCGGCTTTGCGCTGGTTTAGGAGCAGGACGAGCGAGGTTGGTAGCCCGAAGCCGAGGAGAATGATGCAGAAGGCACCGAATGCCCATCTGAAGTTGGACTGTGTGTAGAAAAGCTCGGCGATAGCGGGACCCGCGAATGTGGAGGCGATCGTGGGCGTGCCGTTCAGTGTCAACATGAGCATTCGGTTGCGGAGCGAGGTCATGTCGGCAATTACCACGTCGATGACGTACAGCAAGTTGAGATGGCCAGTCCAGTATAGTGTGTGAGCGGCAGCGTAGGTTGCGACGTTCTGGCAAGTGGCTTTCATGATCAGCCCGATGGTGACTAACAGAAGCATAGCCATGAAGCCCTCCGTACGGCCCCAAATATCGATGAGTTTGGCCATTGCTAGAGATGAGGAACCACCCAGGATAGAGGCGACAATGGATGTTGTAGCAAGGAGACCGTGCTGGCTGAAAGCAGAGGTCACGTAAGGATTGAGGTTGGTTTGAACGCCCACAATGAGCATGTCGACGAAAGAAACTAGGTACAACCTAAGGAGTTGATGTCAGCAACTGCATTCAGTGGTTTTAGAGCTGGAATATACACACAGGACAAACATGATTATCAGGGTCTTCTTTGTCCACACTGAGGTCACGGCTTCGACTTTCTTAACACCATCCTGCTTGTGGGCGGAACTGCTGTCGGAATCGGACTTGAGGTCATCATTGATCTCGGTGACTTGGTCGACATGGTCCTTCTTCTCGACGTCTATCTCCGGAGGGGCAGTTCTGTCTGCAGGCGTGATCGTTGCCATTGTATGGTGAGCGCTTTGCTCAGTCTATGTCAAGGCAATGACAGAAATATGAACCCTCGGGCGTCGGCAGTAATTGGCTATAAGGAGCGCTGTTGGTGAAGAGAAGAGGGCTCAGGGACGAAGAGACTCAAAGTCTGTCCGGGATGAGGTCGATCCATATAAACGAGGGCACTGGACCTACAGCAAGAAGCTATATCCCGCAAGCGAAAAAAAATTAGCGGATTCCACAGGGTGTTCGCATGCAAAAGAAGCAGTAGAAATCTTGGATGTGCACATGGCTCCCCACCCTTCTTCCAGGATCGGCGTCGTCGATGAGCGGCGAGACCACTGAGGAAGTGCTCGCCTGGCCGGAGAAAGAGGAGAATCTTCGGCGATATTGCCTATGCGGTGGAAAGCTTGGTGGAAGCGAAGTCGCTCGCAGGGAAACATAATCGTATCAGATCATCAGATAAGACAAATGGCTTGAATCTAGGGTCCACAGATCCACCTCCAACCCGCCTTGCACCAGTCGAGGCTTGCTCCGAGGTGAGGCTAGTGCAGCTAACGATGGCCAAGAAGACCCATGGATTCTTGGCCCTTGGCGGGAAGAGAAAATGCCGCTCCGCCAGCATGGATTGGGCTCACAAGATCGGGTGTGAAGCGCGGAAGCCGAGAATGCGCATCCCAGCGGCAGCGGAACCGAGGTACGCATGAAGCTTGCTTGAAATACTTCGTAGTAGTGTTGAGAAACTTTGTCAAGCGAACCGATCGTCATCCAAAGCGTCACAAACAGCCCAACCTAGACCACATGCCGCAACACTCCCATGATCTTCGTCCGCGTAGCCTTTAGCTTTGACGACATTGAAGAGGTTGGACTGACCCAGACGATCAGCCATGTCTTCAATATCGTCGTTGGTGCGCAGTGACAGAGCATGAGCTAGTCTCTTTGCATACTCCTCATCTGAATATGTCTTCCGACGCTTCGGATACTGCTCGTAATACCCATACGAGAGGTATAAGCTCAATGGCCGTTTCCCGGAATGCGAAGCCATATGCTGCACGAAATCCTTTTCTTCCCTCAGCAAGAAGTGGTCATTCCACCAAATGGTGGGGCTGATGGCGATGAAGGTATCGAAGCAATATGCATGCGAGAATAGGGCATGCAGTGCGCATAGGCCACCAAAAGAGTGACCAGCAAGCACTTCCTTCACTGGCTGGAAGCCCGGCAGGATTTCACTGAGCAGATGAGGCCGTACGATGTTTTGGATGAAGTCCAATAGCTCGGTCGCTCCACCATGGGGCAAGGTGAACTCCTTGCCGTCCCAGCTTCGTGGTGGCACGTACGTGGACGTGGGCGGGGTCAAATCATAGCCTCGACGATTTCCAAAGACATAGTGGCCGCAGTCAGGGTAGCCGATGCCCACGACGACGGCATCGGTACTTGCTGCAACAGCGAGACCTCTGCGGACCGTTTCGACGAGGGTGAAGAAATGTGCATTGCCGTCAAGGACATAACTGCACCAGGGCATGATAGTGAGCTCGAGTTTCGGTCAAGGTCATGGCAGTAGAGAAAACTTACAATATGGGGACAGATGGACGCGAGTCCACATTGTCTTCCCAAGCTAGAGGCCAGGACACTTGGATAAGGTACTCATCACCTGCTGCATTTGATAGCTGGACATCTGTGCTACACGGAACAGTAGCTGCTGGTGTCGAAATTGTCTTAGGTAGTTGCATTTCGGTTCATCGTTGCCGCTCCAGCGGTTGTCCGTTCACCCCTGTACTTGACTGGCGGAACTGCGGGGATTGAAGGAGAGGAGAGTCCCTAACCAGAGTGTGCGATTCTAGCTCACATTGTATTGTTGTTTGATATCAGCAGCAGGGTCTGGCGCACCATCGATCGACGCCGTCAGCAACGTAAACAAATCTGGCCGATGGATCTAGCAGAGTCGGGTCATATGCCGCGAGGTAACAGCATGGAGCTGCAGCACCATCCAGTCTTTTCAGGGCGTTGGGTCCGCTACGGGCTAGACCACAGCAGCGATCGCTCGAACGAGACACGTGGATTGGAGCCTCGAAGCTGCTCTGCGATGTCGGATGAGACAGGGTGAGAGGAGGGAGGGGGTGGGGAGCAGGGTGGAGAGAGGGGAGCTCACATAGCGAAGTAGCGCATGAAAATTTTCATCTAATCTTATCAGACAAGGCGTTTGACAGGGAACAGCCGATGCAGGAGATGCAGCCCCCTCACCCTAGTCTTTGCTTGTATTGCGTGGTTTATTTCGTAGAGATGACACCTTTGACCAAGCCACACCATCAGTACTTGCCCGAGCGACCGCAGTTCTTAGCCAGGGAGGAAAGTCAATGCTCGCTCCCTGCCAAGAACCACGGTCATGCCGGCGACACCACCTCGAGTCAACAACCATCTTTACAGCTTGTCAGCGAAGGTGAGACTGCCACATGCGAGTTGGCTTAGTAGCTGCTCATATTTGAGCTTTAAGCCAGACTGCTTATATTGAGTACCTGGAATAATGGCTGCGTCTAAAACAAACTTCTCTCGTCAGCTTAGAATGCGGAGAAGCCGTTGAAATGCGGCCGACCGCGGGGCTACTTTCCGAGCAGAATGAGAGGAGTTCCCCTCAGCATCCTCAATATACAGAAGTCATGAGCAAGTTGGCTAGGTAATCCAAAATCGCAATCAACCCTGGCTGCGTCCATCACCATGAAGCCCTACATCGTCCTTGTTCCTGGCGCTTGGCACTCGGCGGACTGCTACGACTACTTGCTTCCACATCTCCAGAGTGCAGGCTACGAGACCCTGGCACTAACACTCCCCTCAGTCGGCGCAGAGCCACCCATCAAATCACTCGATCCCGATGTTGACCACATCCGCAGCCATCTCATTCCCCTGCTGGACCAAGGTAAGGAAGTTGTCCTGGTCATGCACTCCTACGGAGGAATCCCTGGCAGCTCCGCCGTCAAAGGCCTCTCCAAGACAGATCGCCAAGCTGAGGGCCATGCTGGCGGAGTGGCAGCCCTGGTGTATCTGTGTGCCTGGATGATCAACGAGGGCAACACGACTCGTTCTTCTGGCGGCGGCAGAGGCGGCAAGATTGGACCGTCGTCGCTGAAGATCGAGGTATGGCTGATTTTCAAGCTCCTGGAGAGGAATACAAAGCTGATAGCACACCAAGGATGACAAAGTAACGCATCTGATGCCAGTCCCCGCATTCTACCACGATGTGCCGCAGGACATCGCAGAAGCGGCGGCCGATAAGCTGCGGCACCACAGCGAGCCAACACTGACGTCGCCGTGCCAGTACAGCGCGCACAAGTATATTCCGACTACGTACCTGCTGTGCAAGAACGATCAGATGATTCCGTATGAGAGGCAGCTGGCGCTGGTGGAGAGTGCTGATGCGCCACTCACAACCTTCACTTGTGACGCATCACATTCGCCATTCTTGAGTCAGCCTGAGCTTACGGCAAAGGTCATCAGGCATGCCAGCGGTGAAGAGGTCGAGGTTTGACGGATATTGAAATCTGGCAACAGACACCAGGAAAACCCAGGTTGATTTGGACAAACCACTATAATTGGGCTGGTGCCAGTGTCACTCATCCGCCATGATTCAATCCAGTCAGGCCGGTTAGATACTAGAATCCCAGCCCCTTTGTACTGATACTAAACTTCTACGACAGTTCAATTGGGGCAAACCACAAATAAGGCATTGCAAGACCCGACAGCGACTGTGCGGTCAGTCACTTAGATTAGGTACTTGCCTACTTCCACTACGTACCTCGATAGGATTTACGTCGCCGACCGATTAAGCATAGAGAATCGACGAGAGGATTGAGCACTGAAATATCGCACGCGGTGGATTTCGTCAGCTTTGTGCAATGGTCGTAAAGTTCAAGGGACAATTTTTATCTCCGCTGCTCCACCATCGTCACAAGCAGCGAAACATCTCAGGCTCGTCTTGCACAATACCTACAATTCTATACCTGATAGACCACCAATAGTATGGCTCGAGACTAATAGAACTTCTCCTCGTGCGACCACGCGTCATACTTCTCTCGAGGACTTGCTTACCCCACAATGCCTTCTCTGCCTCCCAGACTACCCAGCAGCAGCACCCGCACCTCCCAACCACGAGCCGCCCCAGCGTCAAAACCCCGCCCAGCGGGCAGCTTACCTCCCATCACGCTGCGCACCATCTCCCGCGCGCTCACGAAACGAATCCCATCGCCCTTCCCCTGGGCCACGCTCGGCCGCGGCGCCCTCGTCGTCCTCTCCATCTACTCGTCCTTCGCGCTCTTCACGCGCTACATCCTCGAAGTCCCGCGCAATGAGGGCCCGTCCATGATGCCCACGATCCCGGCCTCCAACGCACTGACCGTGATCTCGCGCTGGTACAGCCACGGCCGAGGCATCAAGCTGGGGGATATCGTGCAGGCGTCGAACCCGGTGTTCAAGGACCAGATGGTGGGCAAGCGCGTCGTGGGCATGCCGGGTGACTACGTGCTGCGGGATGAGGCCATGGCGGCTACGGCGGGTGGTGCGTTCGTGCCGGGGTTCGGGGACGGGAGGGAGGGGAAAGAGGAGAGGAGGGAGCCGGTCATGGTGCAGGTGCCGGAGGGGCACGTGTGGTTGGCGGGGGATAATATGGCCTGGAGTAGGGATAGTCGGTTCTATGGGCCGGTGCCGTTGGCGATGATCAAGGCAAAGACGTTGTGGGTGCTGCCGGGGTTGTTTACGTGGGAGGGTGTGTGGAGGGAGCAGATGAGGAAGGTGGACGAGGTGGAGGATGTGTGAGCCTGATGTACAGGCTGTATTCTACAAGGTGGACTATCTGAACGAGGACGGGTTGCGCCGCTTGTATGGCAGGGGCTCAACCTTCTTGCGCTTGAGCTCGATGTTGGCTCCTTCAAGGCCATGTCGCGCCATGACATCGGCCATGTTATCATCCCACTTGGTGCGGAAGAGCGCAGTGCCAATGGCCCTGACGGGGTACCGCGCAAGTGCGCTGCGAATATGGAAGGTCTCGCGGTTGAACATATTGGCAAGTGCGTCTTTCTCTAGCTGCACATTATCTTTGTGCTCGAGGACAACGATAGAGAGACGGTGATAGGGACTGCCCTTCTGTGCATGCGGAGGTAACCAGGGAAGGACAATCTGCGAATCGGACAGGTTCGTGAAATTGATGAGCGGCGCGGTAGGTGTAATCGGAATGTTGGTGGCGAGAAAGTGGCAGCGAGAATCGAAACGATCCGTTTCAAGGTTCGGAACATCCGGATCGATAACAGCAATGGTGAGAAGACGCTCGCCACGAGTGAAGCTCTGGACCGATAACCGCATAGGCTCTTCGCTGACGGCGGAATCAACGAAATCACCAGGCGCGACTGGCCGGCGGCCGAAAAACATTCTCATGTCCACTTCGAGGTCACACTGAGGGACAACATCGGGCACGACCTTCATGGTCTCGATGCGCTGGACCTGGACCTTGCGGCGGTATTCGCGCCATTTGCGTTCGGACAGAAAACGGTAGATGGGTTTGTCGAGATCAGCTGCAACAGTTAGTATGTGACAAGCAGTCACAAGGGATGTCACTGACCTTTTCCGTCCTCGAATCTTCGTTTCACGTTGGGATCGTTGATGTCGGCGTAGATCTTGAGCTTTTCCAGATGCGCTTCCATGCTCTTGATCCGCTTCTCCTTCGCCGCTTCACCTCCAGCTATCTCGCTCGGATCTGTGTTACGTGTCCTTTGTAATCGCGCTCTTTCGGTCTCAATTTGCTTCAATTTCTCCGCTCGGTCCTGTATCAAGATTTGCCGGGCTTCTTGAAAACATTGGTAGGGAAGACTGTCAAATGGAATGTTGGACGTCTGCTGCATGGCAAGCCTCCTTCTTCGAGATCCAACCGGCGGTGTACCCGCCTTTGTCAATTCCCATTCTTCACGGTAGGTCGCAACGGTTTCGGGAGAGGAGGTGGGTTTGGTAGCAGCTTGAGTGTCCTGCCGCGCGATCGGAGTCGAGGAGTAGTTCCGGACTCTGGCAGCCGGCGCTGCATCGCAGGTCAAAGATCTCAGCGACTGGAGCAGAGCTCTGCTGGGAGCTCTTGACGGGGCCATGGTCGGTGCGACGGCACAAGTACCTCGTCGGCTGAGTTGAAGGTCGTTGATGGTCCGCGTCTCTCTTCAATAAAAATATGGGGAGCACCAGAGTCCCTTCTGAATTGGGCAAGTAATTCCTTGGCGCATCTCAGCCTTGCGAGTCACTGCTTCGAGTCGTATCTCCCGAGCACCCTTCCTAGTTCAGTCATCACATCAGCAAGATACCGAATCTGTCAACTTTGTAAGCTTGCAATCCCTTGACATTGGCGAAGTGGCTTGATGACTACACCGCGTGCTGTACAACGGTAGCGGCTTGTGGCATGGCAAGCGCCAGCCTTTCTCGCATCTCGCCGCTCTGGCCTGTGCACCATTCCGTGTCCTCCGGGAACGAGATAATTCAGTTATGTGCCTCTTCAGTGTCTGTCTCATCTTTTTCCAATGTGATATTGTCTTCGAGACGACCGACGACCTGCTCAACAAACCGACGGGACTAATCATTGACCATGGTGGTGGGCTACTCCGGTGCAGTAGGCGAGGACGAGAAACAAGCAGGAATGGGCCGCCCTCACGAAGCGACCCATGGTGCGAAGCTGGCTGCGAGTTCTAGCATGTTAGCGAAAGCCATCAAACTTGTTGCCATCGACAAGATAACAGCCGTACTCATGCTCAAGTTTGTTACTCGGCTGTTCTCTTTTCCACGGATCTAATCATCATTAGAGGTGCCCTTCCTGGAACAATCGCATTTGCTGCGTCCGTCATCCACTACATATTATGTCGTACACTGACGGCAGCAGGATCCAGTCCAACGAATGGTCAGACCAGTACACAACGCTGTGCTACCTTGTGGCCATCATGGGTATTCTGTCAGTCAGCTTCCTGCCTCGCGCCAAGTTCCTGCAGATGATGGCCTTCAGCACGTTGTTCATCTGCACAGCCGCTGCTTTATCGCTTCTAATGATTCAGTGCTGTGTCTCGGCTCGGCAATCTGACGATGCGGTGTCTGCGCCATCGACCACAGGCTCTTCAGGAACCAGACAAACACCGCGATACAGTGCCAGCGCCAGCGTGGTCGCCGCTGCTTGGATGTTCTTCTACATCTACCTCGCCAATGTTGCGAAAGCCTCAAGAGTCGTGCTCTTACTACCTGCAATTCAGTTTTCCATCTTCATCCTGGTCACATCTGTTTACGCGCCAACATTCCCCAATATGGATACTGGAATGGCATATGTCAAGCGCCTTCTCAAGAGCTTCCTCACCGGTTTTGCCCTTGCCACCGGTGTCAACCTTTTCATCATCCCCATAACTTCTCGCACAGTTCTCTCCAAACAGCTGGGGGCTCTAATCGTCGCAACTCAAAATGGCTTACGAACGCATGGCGAGTATGTAGGCGCTGCTACAGCTGCACATCAGGACAATTTTCAGAACACCGATGCAAATGTAAAGGCAGCGCTTCTCCGAGCTAACGTCCAGACAATCATCAATCTTCATGGCCAGGTCAAGCTTGAACTGCCGTATGCCAAGCGAGAAATCGGGTTTGGCAAGTTGACGCCCGAGCACTACACGGAGATCGTTGGCTCGCTGCAGCACATCCTCCTGCCAGTACTCGGCTTATCTACATTGCTTGACATAATGCAGCTAGTCGGACGCCGGCGCATACGTCGCGATAAGAATTTCGCATCGGACGACGTACTGCACGCCGCTAGGCAACTGGAAGGCAGCGAGTGGGACGAAATTGTGTCCGTGTACCGTCCACAGTTCCTTCAACTCAAGTATGCGTTGATTCAAGGACTCGATCATTATGCCATCACGCTGGGGCTAGTTCTAAAGCCAAAATCGAAGCAATCTGATCCCGAAGCAAGGTCAGCCCCTTCACCAGGCGAGAACATTTTTGCGAAGCACTTGGAGGACGAAATTCAAAAGCTGCAACAGTCATACCATGGTACTACCCGTGAATGGAGCACCAACAAAGGGATCAATTTGCCAACCGGCTTCTGGGGACCGACTGGGAATTCTAACACCAAGGACTCCACTAACACAGACGAAATGATACGCAAGGCGCAGAATCAGCATCAGTTGTATCTCCTGCTCTACATGCAGTATCTGACTGCTTCCGCCAGTAGCGCCATTCTAGATGCAGTCCGTTACGCCGATGAATTGAGGGCTAATGGTACCATGGCCCGAAATCGACTCATACTTCCTGGCTGGCGCCGAATCTGGAAACTCATATATTCAGTCATTGCACCCGAAGACAAATCGACCTCCTTACCGGAGCCTGCGCCAACAGGGACCACTGCTGGCATTAATACCACTTTTATAGCCCGCAAAGATCCTGAGCATCTCCAGCCTACCAATGTATACGAGCATATCACCGACCATATGCGCCGCAGCTACTCTATACTGGGGAGTCCGGCTTCTCTCTTTGGTCTCCGGGCAGCGTGTGCAACGATGTCTCTAGGCATGCTCGCTTACTTTCGCCAGACACACGTATTTTTCCTCCAGCAACGCGGTTTCTGGGCCACAGTCATGATTGCTATCTCCCTCGAAGTCACCGCTGGCAGAGGTCTCTTCGGCTTTGTGACCAAAATCGCCGGCACTGTTGTCGCAGCTGTTGTGTCCATTGCCATATGGTATATGTCTGACCACCACGCCGCTGCCATAGTACCGCTTTGCTATATTTTCTTCGCACTATGCATTGGATTTATGGTTAAAAACCCCAGCATGATCATCATGGGAATGATCAGCATGGCAACCGTGGCACTGATCGTGGGATATGAGCTCCAGGAGCGTAAGATTGGATATCAGCTGACTGTTTCCAATGGTCAAGAGTATCATCATGTCTACAACCTTGCCGCCTACCGTCTCGCCAGTGTTTGTGCCGGCATTGGCACCGCAGCATTTTGGACTTATTTCCCCTACCCCATCACCCAGCATGGGGCACTCCGTCGCGATACTGGCCAGGCTTTGTACCTGCTGGCTGAGTACTACGCCTGCGTCGATGCTACCATGAGGACCCGCCTAAATGACCCCCGACAAGCCTTGGAAGAAAACATCAAAGGCACGCCCATGCACAGCCTCGCGAAAGCCCGCAAAAGAGCGTGGGACAAGACGATCCTCATCCTTGGGAATCTCGACCAGCACCTACAATTCCTCAAGTTCGAGCCCGATTTCGGCGGCCGCTTCCCGCGTCAAGCCTATGCGGACCTTGTCCAACGCATGGACCGCCTCTTCACCTACATGAGCATCATGTCGTACTCTAGCGCGTCATTTGCCGGCGAGGACGGCAACGGCACCGCCACCTCCGAAGGTGCAAACTCCGCCTCCGCCGCAACCAGCCCAGGGAAGAGCGTAGACCCGCAAGAAAAGGACCGCTGGCTCCACGACTTCCGCGCCTTCGCCGCCACCCGCCCTTTCTCGCACCCCTCTACCACGTCTTCGCTGTGCCTCGCAGCCGCGTCCCTCGTCAACGCACAGCCCTTGCCGCCGAACGTGCATCTGCCTGGCGCGGCGTCAACCGCTGGGACTGCGGAGAGCGGCAGATTTGCAGAGCAGGAGGCGAGGGAGGAAGAGATCCTGTCCGTGAAGCACATCGAGAATCCTTGCTACGCGGCGTTCGCGGTGCTGGAAGTGGCGAGCGGGCTGGTGGCGGAGGAGGTGAGGGGCGTGGTGGAGTCGGTGAAGGAGTTGTGTGGGGAGGTGGGGTTTGGTGTTGGTAATGGTGCTGTCCGTGGCTTGGGACAGAGGATGGGCGCGTAAAGGGTGGGGAGGAGGCACGAAGTGCCCGGTCTGAGCGCGTTGAATGTAGCAGCTCGATGGCTCGGGTCTTCTACAATTGAGTGACATTGTTGTTTTTTTTGGCAAGAGTGGGAAGAATGAAAAAGTAGTATTCGTATACACATATATCAAGTGGGTATCATCAAGAAGTGAAGGTGCACCAATCCCTCCTCTACCTAACAGAGGCATCATCGCTGCGTCAATTTATTACTGATGGCTGCTAGGGCAGGCCATCCCTTGACGTGTGTGGTATCGACTCCCGTGAAATATCGTAATATACACATCCGCCTACTAAGAGAACATGCTGTCAAAGTCCAACGGCGCGTCCATGTTGTTGATGTCTCCATCGAGATTCGCATCGTTGCCCATGTCGAGGCTGTCGAAATTGTTGGCATCGAGGAAGGCGTCGAACTCGTTGGGCCCACCGAGTTCGGGGAGGTTGAAGTCGACGTCTCCCGCTGTGGCGGCGTTCTGGGCGCTGTCGCCACCAGTGTTGTTCTGGTTCTGGTTGGCATACGACTCGAGACCGGGAAGTAGGGAATCCAGCCCAGAGTCTCCAGCAGGCTGTGTTTGTGCGTCGGGGTTGGTGTCGATATTGGCGGCGAAGTCATCGTCACCCATTTGGAGATCAAAGCCCAGATCACCATCGGGATTGATGTTGGTGTCGTCACCAGTGGCTTCGCCGAACATTGACTCGAACTGGTTGAAGTCGTCAACGCCATCAAGCGTGCCGGCCGCAGTGCCAGGTTCGGCGGTGGGCGTGGGGCGACCCGACCCAAACAGGTCGTCGACTGTGTCTGGGGGTTTGTCTGGTGCCGTGTCTGCCTTTTCTTGTGCCGGTGACTGCTGCAACTCTTTCGGTTTCTCGGTCGGTGTGGGCTCGGCGGGCTTGCCGGCGTCAGCAGGCTGCTGTGCGGGTGCAGGCGTGGGCTCAGTCTCGGAGGGCTGCTCGAGTACAGGAGTGGGCTTCTTCTCCGGCTCAGGCTCTGGTTTTGGCAGCTGTTCGACCTTCTGACGCTTGGTGCCTTGATCTTTCTGGCCGTCTGCCTCGACCTGGTCGTGCTTCCTCTTCGCACTCGCGGCTTGCTCTTCTCGCGCCTTGGCTTCTTCGGCGCGCTTCTGCTTGCGCAACCGCAACTGGTGCTCTAGGTACCACTTCGCGTCGAGTATTTGGATCTCGCAGTCATCCAGGGCATCCTGGAACTGTTTCGAGCATTCCTGAATAATGCCCTTGGTACTCTGTCCAAAATTGCCAGGGTCCTTCAGGGCGTATGCGATGCGCGTCACGGTGCCATGGTACATGCCCTCGATGCTCTTAATTGGGTCGTAAGGCTTTGCGGTCGACATGGCGCGGTCGCCAGGAGGAGAGGATCACCACGCGGTATCGGTGGGGGCGCAGTCGAGTCGCATTCCTCTTTGTTAGTAGGCAACAAGCACCGTGACTGAGATGCAGGGCGTGGCAGGAAAATCTGCGGCTTCGGATAAGCTTCTCCGGCTAAAAGCGGGCCAGCCGCGCGCCAAGCCGCGCGCCAACAGCTAAATTGCACCTGCGAGGCACTTGAAACGTGACTGGAGCCCGCGGGCAACTCTCACCCACTAACACCCGCTGCCACCTGTGCCGGTGCCACACTTCGAACCACCGAGATCAGCAGTAGCCTGACCCGTAAGAAGCTGCTCCTCCTCTCCTCTCCTCTTCCCTCCAGTACAGCACACACGGCATAATCAATCCTAGCTTGTTTCTCTCTCTTTCCTACTCTCTTCTTCATCTGCGTCGCCGTCCTTGCGCTTGTTGGGCATTTCTTGCATTGCAACTTCAGGCGTTAGGACCTTCTGCTAGCCGAAGCGATTTCTCAGGTCATCTCCTTTGCTACTGCTGCTGTCTGCTTGCCCAGCTCACTCCAAGCGCCTGCGACGTCCTTAATCTCGAGTCACCCATCGTCAATCGCCTTTGCCTCCTTATCTCTCACCATTTGGGCTGCCCTTTGAGCGAGTTTGAAGCCGACGTCTGAACGAATTTCCTTGCCTCTACCCCGCTGTCCTACGTTGCATCTCAGCGCAAAAGTTGTCGCATTTCAAATTGTTTGAGCACCATGGCCGAGAACATTACACCCGCGTCTCTCCCACCTCCCCCGTCCGCTGCCGCCGCTGGCGCTCCGGGCTATGAAGCGGCCCCCGGTACGGCTCCCGGCTCCGCGATGCCGCCTCCACCCACCCTACCACCCATGGTAATCCCTCAGAACAATAACCCAGTCCCGCAGGCGGTCGACCCCAACAGTGTCTTCGATCACCAATTCGATCCCAATGACGGCTCCGACCCCAACAGTGCATTGTCTCCGGGTGGACAGGTCCGCCGCATGGCTCCCGAACCTAACAAGCGTGCCCTCTATGTTGGTGGCCTTGACGCTCGAGTCACCGAGGACGTCCTGAAGCAGATTTTCGAGACTACTGGCCATGTGGTCAGTGTCAAGATCATCCCAGACAAAAATTACAACGCTAAGGGCTCCAACTACGGGTTTGTCGAGTACGATGACCCAGCTGCAGCTGAACGTGCCATGAGCACTCTCAATGGCCGACGAGTACACCAGCATGAGATCCGTGTTAACTGGGCTTATCAATCCAACAACACCAACAAGGAGGATACTTCCAACCATTTCCATATCTTTGTAGGTGATTTGAGCAACGAGGTCAATGATGAGGTTCTCCTGCAGGCCTTCTCCGCTTTCGGAACTGTCTCAGAAGCTCGCGTGATGTGGGATATGAAGACAGGTCGTACGCGAGGCTACGGCTTCGTGGCATATCGTGACCGGGGCGAGGCCGAGAAAGCGCTGGCGCAAATGGATGGCGAATGGCTTGGAAGCCGTGCCATCCGTTGTAATTGGGCAAACCAAAAGGGTCAACCGAGTATCTCTCAGCAGGCGGCTATGGCGGCTATGGGCATGACGCCCACTACTCCTTTTGGTCATCACCACTTTCCGACTCAGGGTGTCCAGTCTTACGAGATGGTTGTCAACCAGACCCCATCTTGGCAGACCACCTGCTATGTTGGCAATCTTACGCCTTACACAACGCAAGCCGATCTTGTGCCCCTTTTCCAGAACTTTGGCTATGTCGTGGAGACCCGTTTCCAGTCTGATAGAGGCTTCTCATTCATCAAAATGGATACCCATGAGAATGCTGCGATGGCTATCTGTCAACTTTCTGGCTACAACGTCAACGGCCGTCCTTTGAAGTGCTCCGTAGGTTCGATCCCAGTTATGTGCAAGCAGGGCTAATTGAATCACAGTGGGGCAAAGATCGCCCGCCGACTGGCCAATTTGACTATTCCCCGCAAACATCCATCCCTTCTGCCGGCACCCCTTCAAGCTACAACCCGACGTCTCCATACTTCCCGCAATACGGTGGGCCAAACCCAATGAGCGGCAACCCGATGGGCGCAAATCCGATGGGCGGAAATCCGATGAGTGCCAATCCAATGAGCCCCCACGGTACGTATCCCAAAATTCAGTGCCTACTATCTCCTGATGTCCTCTAGGTCCTGGCCCTACAGCTCGCTGGGCTGATCAGATGGCAAGCCCATATGCACAGACTCCACAGTCGGCCTTCCCTCAGGTGCCTCCCAGTGCCGGGGGGTATGGTGCCCCCAGTGGTCACGGCGGCCGATTCCAACCGCAAATGACCCCATTTCAAAACGCCCCTCAACATCCCGGCAACGGTTATCCCGGGTATCAGCAGTAAGGTGTGTAGGTTGAGTGCCCAGCCCAAGTCCGCAAAGGTAACTCTGGTGATGCATTGACTTGCGGGCGGAGGGTTGCAAGAGCATAAGCACTCTGAACCATGATTTTTAAAAAAGTACGCGGACCTCAGGATACCCCTATGATGCGATCGGGAACGATGCTTGATACGTAAATCTATGTCAGACTCTTTCTTGCAGCGACTTCTCTTGTGACCGTAAGTCCGCAATACTGAGCAAGCATTACAGTCAAAGGGTCCCAGCTTCCCGAAAGCTTCACGGCTGGGCGCTTGCCTATCAACTCTATTCCCACCTCACCTCCGACACATTCAAGTCACGACGTGAATCTGTCTGTCGTACTAGCGGCTGATCGCAGGGCTTCGAACGTTGAAATTTCCAGTCTTCTCACAAGTACATCCATCCCAAGATACGAGTTTGGCGCCAAAGATCGTGGGGACGCTCGGCAGCTGCGCCCGAGCCGCCGTGTTTCTGGCCGCGAGAGCCTCGTAATCCAGGTCCTATCATTTAGCACTTGTCAGATAATGGATGTCCCCTCACAGCAGTATATGCAAGGTACGGTCATGACGCGAGCTGGCGTCATGGGCGAAGGGTAAGATTTCCGGGCCGTGGCATCTAATCACCTTGAATTGAGTTCTCAAGTGCTCCTTGTCAACGTCCATCGATACTGTGAGACCCAGAACTGCTCATTAACGCAACATGACTTGCGGCTTCGAGTCGTAGTACACCAAACCCACTCTCTTCTTACTGCTTTGGCATAGTCTAGCTAACACTACTCTCTCTTACTCCCTCTCTATCTCCCTCCCTCCCTCTCTCTCTTGAGGTCAACAAAGTGACTCAAGTCTGCTCTATGAACACCTTGCTTCCACGTACTTCTAATACAGAAGTTCGGCAGTGATTAGATCATCCGTTCTATTCGCCCTTCCCACCATCTCTAATCATGTCTCGCAATCCCCAAATCTAGCAGATCTTGCTTTGGCATCAGTTCTTCCTCAACGAGTAGCTTCGCGATGACCGGATGCGAGGCCCCATATCGCTAACATAGCCGCGCCGCACTGATAGCCTTGTACCTCGCAATCACCTCGACGAGACCGGGCCAGGTGACCACAGCATGAGATATCAGGCCGCAATCAGCGCGGAGATAAGGTTGAGAGATATCAGCACCTCGGGATCAGAGCTCATGCTCGCAGGGAGCTGCTCGGGACCGATGTGGGCGGACACTTGGGCCGTGGCGTATTGTATAGTCGTGGCACTTCACTTCTCTGGCCTAGAAGACCTCTACTGCTACTCACACAAAGGCTAAATCCCTTTGGACCTGCGCACAAATTCGAGGAGCAGTTTATAATAACTATGCTCAAGATCCTCTCCAAGGGCCTTTCACCGCCGCACAAGATACTGAACTAGGCTGACTTTTAAGAGGCGTTATTCAATTTGTTCCAGCTCAGTTGCGCTCGAACCCACTAGAAAGGCATGTCAGCTCCGCAGCAGCCACAAGTGAAGATAAACATCGAGCTCCTTCCGTAAGGGGGACTGGGGAAACTGACCTCTCCGCACGATATCGGTTCGTATTTGGGCGGGTTCTTCTTGCTCGTGCAGCTTGGAAGGACCGCACATGTTTCACTCGGATTGAAGCCAAAGAAGAAGGGCATGGAATACCGGTCGATGGACGTCCGCATATAGACTCTGTGCACGGTAGACTTGAAGCGATCGTTCGTCAGGCGCATAAGGTAGTCACCAATGTTAACGACAAACGTGCCGGGAATTGGTGGCGCTTTCACCCAATGGCCATCGCTCATCAGCACCTGCAGGCCACCGACCATATCTTGCCAAAGAATAGTGAAGCATTGGAGATCGGTGTGGCTGCCGAGACCGACGTCTTGGATGGGACTGGTCGAGTCATCCATCCTCGCTCTTCCGGGGTAGTAGTTGAAGGCCAAATCACTTTTCCCAGTCGGGCAGTGTCAGCAGTGAATCTTATTTATGAAATGGGCAGACATGTCAATGGGGGAAAATAAATACCTTCCAGGGCATGTAGTGACATTGTCGAAATACGTTTCTGGCAGATTGAGACTCAGCGCAAAAATTCTCAGCAGCCGCCGTGCCAGCTGAAGGCTCTCTTGCCAGTATCGTATACAATCTCTCTGAAAGTGAGGAAGGTGTTCCGTGCCCTCCCAGATGAAACTTTCGGCCGGAAGTTGAGCTCTCGTATCGTCAGGTATCGCGGCCAGGTCAATCACTTCCGGGTCGTAGTCAGGGTTGTAGCAGCAACTGAACTGTTCCATATCATCCAAGGACGCCGACGAACCCAAACTGGTACCCTTGCGTCTGTGCCAACCATTGAAATATCGGGACTTCGTCCTGGCCACCTTCGCTTTCTCCTCGTCCTTCTGATGAAAGAAATCCCGAGCCTGCGCCTGCGCAGCCTCTGCGACTCTCTCGTTGATCCCATGGTTTTTGATGTAGAAGAAGCCCGTGTTCTCGGCGGCATGACAAACCGTCTCGGCCAAACCCTTCCTCGCGTTCAGGTCGCCAAACATGGCTGAAAGGTCGATGACGGGGACCTCCTCCATAGAACACTCTCGTGGTGGCGCCGTAGACACATCTCGTTCCGTTAGACCTTTGGCCGTCCGGAGTCGAAGTTTAGTGAAAGCTGGAGTACTCTGAGTTCCAGTCCGAGACATTGTCAATAACAAGGTGTAGTGTTGACTTAGTACTACCGACAAAGGGGTGGAATCGAAGTACGAGTAAGGAATACGTCCGTGCCTTTCTTATCTGGATCGCACTCTCTCCTTCTACAAGATCAAGATTCGTGGCCGGGAACCGCCGTTGTCCGATCAGATCATAAGACACAGACTAATGGCTTGTGCGGAAGCGGGCTGAAACCGCTTATCAAAGTCGGCTTGTAGCCAGATTTTCGAAGGACAGTCGACAATTGAAAGGTTAGCGCTGCGCGCTAGTACCCACTAGGCTGACCTTCTCAAGTAGACAGTTGGAGAACAGTTGTGTAATTACAACTGCTTTACAGGCCTGCGGATAAGCAACTTCTTCGAGCTCTAGCACCTCCAAAACTGCACCGTTTTAAACGCCGACGAGCGCAAAATGACGCCTGCGACGCCCTCTAAGCGATGTCGCATAGAAGGCCAACGTCTACAGTGTCAAACTTTGCAAAAAGCAGGTCAAACCTATGCGTAGATTGCAGCCTGTCTAGGCATATCGCACCGCGCTGTACAGATCGCATGCACTTTTCCACCAACCCCTGTACACAAGCGAAAAGGTTCGTAAAGCTACACTTACAGAAGAGGAGGGTGATAATGTTGAGAGGCTTGTTGTTGGAACATCAGAAGGCCGTCGCATGATATACCAGCAGGCTACTGATCATCTCTGGCCTGCTGGTACTATGTCAGGTTATGCAGTCCGGTATCAACTCAAAAAGCGTGGGTATGCACGGCGCTATGCTCTTCACAAGCCAGTACTAACTGAGAAGCATCAACAAGACTGACTTGTATGGGCACAAGAGCACCTCAACTGGACAGAGCGCAGTGGTGGCAGATCCTCTGGTCAGATGAGACCTCGGTGACAGCTGGAAGCTATCACCGCTCAATTGTCACTTGCAAGCCTTTCGGAAAGTCTCCTCTCAACTTGTGTTGATCCGAAAACGCAACGAAAACAGGGCTGGATGTTCTGGGCCTGCTTTTCTGGTGATAATTAAGGGCTACAGTTACTTCTGAGCGATACTGTGACCGAGTTCTTCCACTCATACATGGCTAGCTGGTGTTATTTCCTGAACTATCATTCATGCATAGCAATGTTCTTTCTCACTCAGCATATCTTCTGAGAGATATACTGACCGCTCATAGTACTATGCAGCCAATTCATTGGCCTGCACTCTCTCCACATCTCAACCCAATTAAGCATCTATGGAATATTATGAAATATTGGCTGCAGAAGCAGTATCCAGACCCAAAGGCAATACAAGGGGAGCTCTCAAATCGTGTAGTTGAGGCCTGGCATGCTGTTGCTACCTCTGATTACCTTGCAAGACTTTGCATCAGCATTGCGTCGATGTTATTGCAGCGAGGGGACTGCATTACTGTTGATGGGGAGTGTATGATATGACAATACCAAACAAACAAACAGGGATCTGCTTACAAGTGCAGCGCTAATGTCTTTTACCGCTGTCGACTGTAAAGAAGCCTTGTTCCGTCGGCTCATAGAGAGTGTGGGCTCCGTCGGCTCCTGAAGAACGTTTGTTCCGTCGGTTCCTGGCAATGATTGTCGGCTATGATTGTGGTTCTTCGACCGATAAGAGCCGTTGGGGACCCGCAAGAATATCTCCTACCTAATAGTTGTACATGCTAGTGGGACTCGGCCATGATGTTGTTGGAATTGATTCGGCGAGTACCGCGCCACTCCCTTATCAGTTAGTGGAAGCTGTCCGTAGTAGTGACTACAGCAGTCGTTATCTCTGGTTCGGACTTCCCAAAAAAACCATACTTCTCAGCAACACCACTGCCATAGCGATGGATGGAAAAATATAAGAGGTTCTCCGGCCCTGGTCAAACCGGCCCTTACCCACTTCTCACCCTCGAGGAGGAACGTTGTATCATGTCACCGCCAAATGAGATCAAGATCCTGTCGAAATGGGTTCCTCGAAATTCCAAGGCACTTACGGGGATGTGCCTTGCTGTCGCCTTCGTCAACTCTGCGGTGAGTCGAAGATTGCGCCTTTCCCGTGCCCCCTTGCCCTATTGTTTGCCATGTATACTCACACGACGTCTACACAGACAATGGGCTACGACAGTGCGATGATGAATGATTTGAATATCTTGCCGCAGTACACCGAGTACTTCCATCTCACCACGGCGACAGTTGGCTTAAACAATGCGGCGATTTGGATGGGATCTGTCATCGGCGCCGCATTCATACAGCCAGCTTCTGACCGCCTGGGAAGGCGATGGGCACTGTTCTATGCCGCATGCATTTGTCTGATGGGGGCCGCCATACAATCTGCTGCACAAAACATCGCCACTTTTGTCATCGGTCGTATTTTCATCGGCATCGGTTCAGAAATGGCTGCTGGACCGGGCCCAGCCTTGATCGCAGAGACAGTGAAGCCCTCTGCTCGTGGTCCCCTCCTTGGCCTGTACTTCAGCTTTTACAACGCCGGCTCGCTCATTAGCGCTGCTGTCAATCTTGGCATGGTCGAGATTCCGTCCACCTGGGCCTGGAGGGTTCCTTCCATCCTACAGACTGTGCCCAGTCTTCTGTGCATTGCAGTTCTCCGCTTCCTGCCTGAATCTCCCCGATGGCTGGTCTCCAAAGGCAGACACGACGAAGCCCGCGAAGTTCTGGCCATCATCTATGGGAATAACGACATCCATCACGAGAAGGTGCACGTCGTTCTAAACGAGATTGACGTCGCCATCAAGCATGAACGAGAAACCTATCCAGTGCATCCGTGGAAAGAATTGGTCGCTTCCAAAGCAAACATCCGGCGTCTGACCATCCTCGTCAGCTTTGGCGTCATGATACAAATGATGGGCAACTTTGTCATCTCGTTAGTTATTGCCCCTGGCCCCTTCACGCTGCCGCTGGGCTTTCCGAGTATTCTCAATTTCTCTTTCTTAGGTGCTGACGAATTGCATTCCAGGTACTATCTTGGTGCGATGCTCGGGCAAGCCGGCATCACTTCCGCAACGACGAAGCTTCAGATCAATACGATCCTGAGTTGTTGGGCGTTTGCTGCTGCTGTTGCTGGCAGCTTCCTCGTCGATGTTATTGGGCGTCGGCCACTCGCGATGGGTGGTGTTATCGGCATGTTCTGTTCACTCTACGTGTTTGGAGGTCTAGCAAAAGGTGCGCTCTTCCCCTTTTGAATGTCGGATGCGTGCTCAGGTTCTGATGTGCGTTTAGTATACGGCGACGGCCACGACCGTGGCGGTGTTTACGGGACCATTGCGGTCATCTTCTTCTTCAAACTCTTTCATGGAGGTTCCTTTACTCCTCTGTCAACTGTCTACTCAACAGAAGTGGTATCTTACAGGATCCGAGCCGCCGGCATCTCGCTTTTCCGAATCCTGACCAGTTCGTTTGGGTACGTTTCTATGGCGTGAGCTAATCCTGTTCATTTTATTGATTGCGTTTGATACAGACTTTTGGCCTCCTTCGCCATGTCATACGCAATGACCGATCTCGGGTGGAAATTTTACTTCATCAACGCCTCTTGGGACGTCCTCTTTCTCATCATCATTTATTTTACCTGGATTGAAACTCGCCGGCTTACCTTGGAAGAAATTGCTGTCAAGTTCGGAGATCTGGATCCTCAATCTATAGTCTTCGAAGGTGTCAGCACAGAGGAAGATGAGGTTGTGAAGAACAGTGCCGTTGTGCCAAAATCAAACATGGCCTAGCTTGCAAGCATGTTACGTACGCATGGTCAACAGCGCCGCGCAGTGTTCTTCTCGTCCAGAGGACTTATGCGAAAAATTGGTTGTACCCGAGATTCTGCTGCCGGCAGCTTCTTCAGCCATATGCTGCGAAACTAAAGGAAGGTATGCGGGAAAGATAACAGCACGACGAGGGAACATAGCCGTAGCTTGCCGACATGCTGGCATATGATGACTAAGGGGCCGATCGCGTGAGGTGGGTGTCGCGAATGCTGGTGAGCATGAAACATTCGCAATGTTAGTTGCACGCACATATATACCATACTCATTACCAGATGGCTGACGACTTGGACCTTCTTGTTCGTAGCCAACATCAGTGGCTTCAGCGCAAGTGAAACTTGAACCAACAGCGATACTGTAACTACCTTTGCGTCTCCACTCTATACTATGGTCTCCCGCCACGTACTCCTGCACTACCCCAACAGCACATAACCTTATCCTAGGCAGTACTGCTTATCTTCCGCATGACGCGCGGGGCAGCCGTGTGGTTCGTAAGACCGTGTAAGAAAGGAGCATTTACCCCGGCTAGCAGCAGATGCTGCCAGCGCGAACGTGTATGGTTTTTGAGATATATCAAAATTCTTTCTGCCACAGAAAGTCAGCACGCTCACAAGATGGAAGACTTTGAATTATTTGAAGGACGCTTGCGGGGTGGCCAAACCAGGAGATAGGCCCGAGGGTGCGAAGAAGCCGTTGCCAGCATCTTCTCCGTCGAGTCACAATCTTGGTCGTCTTGTGATTTTACTAGACTCTTCTTAAGTTTTCAGCGCACGTTCTTCCAGATGAGCAAAAGTTCAGGGTAAGTCGTCATGTCGGGACTACCCTTTGAGACGGCGCCCTTTGACGTATACTTCGGCTATATTTCGATCATCGCCGCTTATCAAGAACTTTTCCATCATAGTCTGGAGACTATCTCGCTCTTGAACCATTGTCATTATACCGCCAGGGACTTGCGTCTTGATCAGAAGGCCATCAAAATCTTTGCCGACACGGAAATTCCCAATTGTATCGTCCAGGCTGCACACCTTCGCTCCTCCCAAAGTCGCGAGGTAAAAGCATTGCCAGACGGACAGTGGCGGCTCGCCAGTCATCAAGTGCCGTGCGTTGGAGACGATGATGGCCTGCCGGATTGCGTCGAGAATGCTGGACGAGAATCCCCCGCCATTGTCAGTCCCCAGTCCGACCTTGATGCCCGCCTCTAGAAATTTGCTAACAGGGGCAGCCATGAAGCCACCACCAACAGTAGAATTCGCGATGGGACAGTGGGCGACACCGCTCCCTGCTTGGCGTAGCTTCGCGATCTCTTCGTCAGTCATCAGCGTGCAGTGGGCAAGGATAGTCCGGGGCGTGAGCAGACCGTAATGTCGATAGAGGTCTGCCTCGTCCGTAAAGCCGGGGAAAAGGCCGAGGGTCGCGTCAATTTCTTGCCGTGCCTCGTTGAAATGGGTTTGGATTGGCAAGTCGGGATTTTGTTCGGCGATGGCACCGAGACCAGCGAGCAGTTCGTCGTCGCAGCATATCGCGAATCGCGGTGTGAGGATCGGTTTGATCAAGTGCCCCGTGGGATCTATCGCCCGAACATGCTCGATCACGCTCTTAGTCGCTTGTAATGACTCGGCGGCACTGGCGTCTCGGTAGTACTCTGGCGCATTGCGATTCATGTTACACTTGCCAATCAGCGCCCGTTGACCTTTCGCCACACAGATATCCGCCAAGATCTTCGTGGCTTCGCTGTGGAGAGATCCGTAATACGAACACATGGTCACTCCTTGCTGGATGAAGCCGTCAACACACGCGGTGTAGACCGTGCGGGCGTGCTCAACGTCCTGGAAAGCGGCCTCGTTGGGAAAGGTGACTTGTTCCAACCACTCGAGAATATGAAGGCCGCCTCCAAGGCCCCTTTGAGCCCACTGACACGCGTGGTTGTGAGTGTCAATGAATCCGGGAATGAGAAACTCGAACCGGGAGAGGATGCGGAGGCGGGGAGGCTCATCGAGCTGGACTTGTTCCAGCGCATCCTGTAAAGCATGGCGGGCAACGCCATCTCGAATGTGGGCAATCCGGCCATCTCCTGCTACCACCAAGAGACAATCCCGGAGAACCTCTGTTTGCGCATTTTCAAGACAGTGGAACACAGTTCCATGAAAGGCCAGTGGACGAGCCATCATGGCTAATAAAGATTTATCAAGTGAAGAGGGGCAGTGCTTCACATCGCGCTGTAAGGAAGCCCTCTTGTGACCGGATCAATCAAATATATCCCTTCCATAATACAGAGGTGAAAGCAAAAAAGTGATTTTCCCCCGCGTCACAACAACTCCATCAACCTCTTTCCTACTACATCCCCGTTTTTAGTTGGTTGATCATAGCTCTGACACATAGTCGCGAGATGGGGCGCTATCCGTCGGCGACCGCCGATATCCATAAGTTCAGTGGATCCTCGATAGGCAGTGATATCGTACTCCCCTCGCGACCAAAAATCGAGGATTTTAAATTCGCGCTATTGTATGGTCGCGTAACAAGCCCCCAACTTTAACCACCAACAACCTTTGCTACACGCGTGTATTGTATAGGTGAACGAGTAAGTTTTGGATTCCTTATCTGATTATTATTATTGGTTCCCTTTGTAGTCCAGTAAGTACCCTATACTCCTATAGAGACTCTCACCTAAGAAATCGATACTGCTGGGTAATGCTATAGATACCGAGGTCCGATTCATTCCAGCTCTCGGAGCATTTCATGACGCAGGGCATTACGTTACTGTCAAAGTCTTTCGATGGAGCAAGGCATACCTAGCCTCTGCTGATTGAGAGCAGGAGTGCTATTCTGATAAGTCAGATCAACCACAGTATAGTGTAGCTGACTGCCTCCAGGCAGAAGTGTGTCTTCTACAGGCATTAGCCTGGTCGGAAAGTTGGCTCTTTATACCTGGCAACAATAAGCGAGCTAAACTCACGAAACTGGTACTCTGCCCTCCATACTGCTTTGATACTGGCAGCTGGCTAGGAGAATGCTGGAACAATTGAACAATGGCAGCCTATTCCGCGGACAAGACTCCTGGCTCAGTGACACCATCGTATTACAAACACTTGCGTTGTGTTGTATAGGCACACGCGAGCTTTATTAATAAAGAGCTGGAATACGGCAAGAGAGCCTGTGGTAGTAGACAGCGAATCTTCAAGCACAAAGCAATACTACCCATTAGGATCGTCAGTGGGTACCTTTTAGATCTACGTGCACAGTCTTACTCTTTTTATTACAGAAAAGGGCACCCTGCAGTAAATAATGTACTATCGGTCTGACTCAAGACCTGAGAAACAATCGCTCCTCTTAGAAGTTGAACCACATTCCAAATGTAAGTTCTAGGTTCACTCTAATCCAGCCAACTCTAGATGCAGACATGTATTGCGCATCGCGAAGTCAAGAGCGGCTCTATCTAATACTTTGAAACTTTATCAATTAGCAAATACTCGATCCTAAGTCTTGAGAAAACATGAAGGGTGTATGAGTGTCGTATTGTACACTCACTCGTGAGCGAGCAGCAAAAGAGCCTCTCTGTGCGTCGCCTGAGATTTCAAACAACCGAAGAAACTACAAGGGATCAAATTCCCTGTGTCGTGCGAAGCGGCAGGTTGATCTTCAGGAGCTACCGTTGATCTCAATCTCAGAAGAAGGAAGCAAGACTAATACACTGTTGTCGAGGTTTGTGTGTAAAAAGTTGTTTCTCTAGTTGCAGCACACGGTCGAAGTCGTCTGATAAGGGCGAGTGGTTCCAACTCTCAAGATTTGACCGGATGAACCGAAGTTCAGTGTGGATCGACCGGACCTGTGCAAACAGAATTTCTGGGAGAAGTCATATTTGTCGTGTGAGATAGAAAGGGGTAGATGGCAGCCTTGCGAGGGGTTGGTTGCGTGGGGTGTTCATCATGTGAATATCGAGTGTAAATATAGCAAGGCTATAAGTTAATTTGGGCGTGTATTGTGAATGTGTCAATTCAAAATAAGATAGCGATGTACCTAGCAGCCATGAACATGGAGATCACTAAGTACTCAGCACTGGGTCAAGAGGGAGTGACAACGAGCGCAGAAGCATCTCAACAGAAAGTGGCGGGGTGCTGAATCTGGACAGAAGGCTAGGGGATGGTGAATTCGGGACAGAGCAGGGTACAATTGCGAAATCAGGACCACAAACAACAAGCTTTTTCATCTTGCGAGATGAATTTTCTTCGAAAGAAATACATGCTTTTGGAAGGCGAAACCTTCGTGTACAAATCAACGACAATGCTGCCGCAGCAGTAGTCGCTGGCCTCAAAAGCAAAACGGGCTCGAATGTGACCTCCAACTCATCGAGACCTGCCCATGCCTCCCATCGGAGCAACTCCATTCTATCCCGCACCGTGGACAGATCTCCATCACTGCCACCATTGCTTATCGACTGTCCTCCGCGATCTATGCGCTTTGTGGTGAGCTGTTCTCATTACCGCCCGCTAACGTCCCTCGTCTGCGACCCCAATCGTGCTGACGAAGATATTTCATCGGTTCAGGCTTGTCGCTTGTTCGAAGGCTCGTCTTCTGGAGATGATCTTTCCTTGTCCTTCTCTCCGGTACGCCGTCTCTGACCGACATGAATTGTAACCGGAGGAAGTGAGCTGTCTAGTACTTCCTCGCGTTGTTCTGGAAGCGAAGTCGACCCAGAATATCTCGGGGACTGGCCGCCTTGGGCAGCGCGGGCATTCTGGACAGCTTGTCGGGGAAAATCGAAGAGGGGAACGAGAGGGCTGTTAAACAGATCCCTTCCAGAAAACGTTGAGAGATTTGGTTGTATAGGATATGCCGGAGACATGTGGGCGGCAGACGTTCCAGTTCCAGGTCCCCAGCGCTGCGTCTGGTGCACTGGCTGGTATGGAGGTTGATCAAACCCAGTACTGCTTAAATTCGCGGACCGGTTCTGGTTGCGAGAAGCAAGTGGCGTAGACCCGAAGGAAGTTGAAGGTCTTCTGGATTCAGGAATGTATTCGCTGCGTATCTCGCGTGCTGGACGGTTCGCTCGAAGAACACTGGCTTGCTGGGTGCTTGTGTTTCCGTAGTCTTGGGCACGAATATGACCTTGCTGCTGTCGTTGACTCAATTCTGTAGGTACATTCGTTTGTGCTGAGGAGACTGAGATGTTCGGCGGTAGCGCTCCAGCATGGCGACGGTTCTGGTTATTGTCATCATTGATCGACTCGATATCTGATGGCGCCAGTCTCATTCGCTCTTCCTCGGTGACTGATTTGAGAATGTTGATGACATGACGCCACAATGGATCCGCGTCGGGCTCGATCTGGAGACCCCCATGGACCTCAAGGAGATGTTCTCTGGCTGGGCCCCAAGACCAAAATTCTCGCGGAAACGCCAGCCTGCCATCCTCAGTCCATGCCCATTCCGCTAATCCAAGAATACTATGAGCAGCGACTTGATATGGCTTGATTGAAGATCTGCTTCCAGGTTCGTTCTGGGGGCCTCGGAGCTCAATTTCAGGGTTGTGATGCAGTATGTTGTCCTGCGGGAGAAAGCAGAAGTACGCGCTCTCAAGCTCGATGCTGAGCTCCTTGTACAAGATCTCACAGAGAAAGTTCTGCGGAACGTAATCAGTTCCCACTCGGAACTTGTAGCTGACTAAACATCGAGCGATATCGTGAGCACAATGTGTGCGGGTTTCGATCAGTTCGGCCCAAGTCCAGCTCTTTGTAGGTGTTATGACTGTACCCACCATATTGGCGATCAGGTCCGTGTCGAAGGTATACGCGTTTCTGTTTGGGTCGAAGAAGTGAGCGAGTCCCCTGACAAGTGTGTTCTTCAGGGTCTGTTCCGTGTCGTCGATCTCAGAAAGTTCTGCCATATGTCAGTCATCTGGAGTGCCCCCGATATAACTCTGCCAGGTCTTACTGAAATAGAGAGAACGAATGGTTTGTTGGTATCGTGGTGTGAAGTTGAGCAGCACTGCCTTGAGGTACAGTGGCAGCGTGTATTGCTTCCTGGGATCGGGAATCTGAGAAGTTAGCAGCTGAAAGGGTACTCGGGGAAAGGTCGAGTTGCGTTACTTGCGTTGAACACTGCACCGTTGTTGAGTCGAACTTCATAGTGTGTGACTCTGTTCGTGTACCCGTGGATGTCCGAACCCAAGACTTGTACCTTCTGGTAGCCGTCATTCGTGGTAATTACGTCCATGGTGGGTGCAATAGACACGAAGAATCTTGCACGAAGCAATGAAGATGTGAACGGACCAAGGGGATGAACAGCACTGTAGATCAAAGGGAAAGTGGCCTAAAGGCTTGTGTTTCCACCTAAAGCAAGAAAACATAAGGGTAGTTTGTATTATCTGCGCTTCTCACGGCACAAAATGGAACTAGACAGAACTGGCCAGGTCAATATCGAGGGAACTGTGTGACAACATGGTCCTATAGCGCTAGGAAGTCTTCTCAAGACACGACTTTGTGCTTAATCAAGCACCCTCTTCAAGCAATAGCTTCCTGATGTATGCTTCTAGCAACATCTCCTGATACGCACAATCACAGACCAAGAGCAGCAAGATTGATCAGCCCTTGTCATAATATTCTTGAGTACTTTCTAGGTGTTGTTTTGTTTCTTCAAATCTAAATAGCCATGTGGGCAACATGTACATGTCAACGAGCGTTATTTTATCGCCCCGTTCGGAGTCTTCCTACGAACCTCACCCCGAGACGCTCTATCAGCGTACGAGATCCTCGGCTAGAACGAGTCCGAACTCTGGCGCAACTGCATTAATACGAAAGAGACTGAGGTTCGACACCTAGCAACAAACAAAAATATATCGTGCGTTTGGGTGGATCATGCCTCTCAGATTGCGAGATCCGCGAAGACAGGACGGTGATCACTGTCAAATACAATCAGTATTGGAGAGTCTAGTAGCTGGAGTAGTATGCCTCTTACCTTGAGCGTACTCCGTCATCGTACAAGTTCTCGCCCACCCGGAAGGCCTTGGGAGTCCTAGAATGATTTGTTAGCACTGAGACATGGTAGGTTGGATCAGATTCATACCAGCGACGGATTGAACAAGCCATGATGAAGTCAATCCTGTGGAAGCCCTTGGGATCACAAGCAGCTGCCGAACCAGCAGTAGTCGAGAAATGTCCACTGCGGTACCGGGCTGGCGTTGCACCCATCAAATCCTCGAAGTGAAAGTCGTCGGTCATGCCAGCTGATTGCTCTTCGGCAGCCGTCCAGTTGTATGTCTTCAAGAAAGTCGCGTTGAGCGGCACCGGCGGCATGGATCCTGTCATGATCTGGTAAGCACCATTGTTCTTGCTGTCTGGATTGGAGTTGAAATCGCCCAGCAGAACAACAGGCTTGCCACCGGTCTTGATGAATTCGAATTTGGCACGATGTAGCATCAAGGACGCCCCGTAGCGGCGTGCATCCTCACTTTTATGGTCCAGGTGGGTGTTGACAAGGGTGATCGTGTTACCAGAAGGTGTTGTGAACTTGGCAGTCACAACCGCACGGACGACGCTGGTGCCGTTGTACTTGGACTTTTCGAATGGCGTCTGCGAGAGGAAGAATGTGTCCCACGTATTGAGCTTGGCTGCAGCTTTCTTGTAAAAGACCATTGGATAGCCGGATTTTGCTCGCCCATTCTTCCCATTGCCAACGGTGGTGTATCCGTCGCCCAAGAGAGTCAGAAGGGTATCCTGCTGATAAAGAGAAACTTCTTGGCCACCAAAGAAATCAACTGCGTTGAACAAGATGTCGTTGGCCACTCGGTAGCCTCTTTCAGTCCAAGGCTTCTCGACATCGGCACCTGCATAGTACGGCTTGGGCACTGGAGGCATTCCGTCAACCAGAGCGGCGGTGACGTTCGATTCGGTGACATTCTTCCCCTCGTCCCACCGAATGTTCCAGGTGAGAAATCGCAGCGGTGCAGTGTTCGGCTCGCCGCGAGGGACATACTCGCTTCGTACGACAGCACCTTCGGCCAGCCCGAGGCATAGGCCGGCGATGATGATGGATCTCAGGTAAAGATGCATTTGTTGGTCGTGGTGAGACAAATGCTACCTGTAAATCAGTATTCACAGGGAATGCGAACGAGTATGGAACGCATTATCGAGAGACCACTGCATATCATAGTTCAGCGAAAGGATTCCCATGGTGGCATTTCTTGGCAGGACAAAGAATGCCTTTGTTTCGAGCAATCGGCTTCGGTTTCGGCCATACCTATGTGTTCTAGAACATAGACAATGAATAGCGGTACGCACGGGCCTTCGTAACTCTCAGCTCCTGTTGCTTCTCAAGATGAACCCCGACCGACGTTGGCTTCGCTGACGGCACAGAAGCCATGAGTTCAACGTCTTCTCTCGCGGCAAACGCAGATTGGAAGGATGGAGCACTTAAGCATGATACAACCGGCTCTGGCCGCCCCCTAGAGAGGTACCTCAAATCGTGGACAATGTGCACGGTCTGCAGAATGTCATCATCGTGGCAGTACATGAACAATGAGCAACATCGCTGGAATTTCTGGTGACATAGCGCACAGATATGGATTTCGAAAGTGCTGTTGCTGCTTGATAGATATCACCATGGTACCCGGCGTATCGCTTCTTGACCTTAAGCGCAGCCAGTTGCTAAACCTCCAGAGAGTGACCCGCTGCGCTATAATATACTGATTCATCCTGATTCTGGATTCTCTTGTAGACTCAACTTCGGGTAGTCTCGTTCTCAATAGTACCCTCAACCGCTCCCTGTCTCTCAAAATGTTAAGTCCTGCTCTTGTTCAGTCTGGTACATGTCAATAATATCCTCGACGGACACAACCCCGATGATCCCTTCGGCAGTATTTCCGTCACCAGCAACGTTCACCCCAGCAGGGACACCGGCCTCGGCATCAATGTATCCCCCAGCAGGAACGCCTTCCTCGGTAGCAGCACCATGCTCATCATCAAAGTCCGCAGGATCTTGGATGCCCGCGATCTCGTTGCGAACGTTCTAGAGGCAATTATGCAATAGCCGGAGAACCTCGCTTGCTTGTGCGAGCATGATATAGCACCATCAAACCACTCCAAACTTGCATTGAACGGCCAATAGAAGGAGCAGTTGACGTGAGTCACTTGAGGTTGGGCTTCTGTATTGAGCAGCATAGAAGGGTTGTTGATTGGGTCTGAGTTATGAATGCCCTGAGACAGGAGGTGATCACTGGCATTTAGGGGTGCTGCAGATGATGATGTCGATGTCGAAGCTTTTTGGGCTGGAGCTACAGCTCGTCAGTACGTTACGAAAGGGGCTACGGTGCTACTGACCATCAATGTTCAAATTGCTGAATACATTAGCGACTGAATCAGCCTTGACACGATGTGTATGTTGTGGACTCGTGTTGGTGGAAACGCTGGATTGAGACATCGTGCTGGTGTGGGAAAGAATGTTGCATTTGCCCGGCTGAGCGCTGTCCGCAGCCTAGATATCTTAGCTAGCTACAGTGGAGCAAGCACCGCCCCCATGTCCATGGTTAAGCGTCTTTGGCGTGTTCACAAAGCTGGCCTTCTTCAAGACCGAAGGGTGACAACACCGCAACTTTGTGTGGGGTGGCATCAGTCTGGGACCTGTTTCCAAAGACCTCATATCGGACCAGGCACTTTAGCTATCACCATGTCGATAACCCTTTCGGGAGAGAGTGTATTTACGTAGTCTTTGATTGCCTCGCCGTTGCTGCCAAATTGAGTGCTTCGCTCTCTGTCAGGGCGTGCAATGACCAAGCGGTGCGGAAAGATTTTCTTGGCTGCGAGCTCGATGAGAGATGGCGTTACGAAGTCGATTCCGTGAAGAGGCGCCAAGTACTTCGCCAGACTCACAAAGCAGACGTTGCTGTAAGGTGTAATGCCGCCATCGACCCCCCGTTCCAATCGGAGGAATACGACTAGATCTTGGAGGTGTCGGCGAACCTCAGGCGTGATGGTGGTTTGTTGTCCGAGGCGACGGAGATCGTCCAGGACCTCACTCGATATATGAAGGCGGTCAGAGGAAGTCTTAGACAGATCCGATCTGTGGCCTGCAACATCGTTCTCCAGCTCTTCAACGTTGGGGAAGCCATCGTCGAGAGTATGAGAATGAGACAGGAAGAGACGATCGGTCAGATGATGGTTAAGCCGAATGTGCTTCTGATCCGTGGAGATGATTGGTAGAAAGAGAAAGGTCTTCGGCGCAGGATGGACAGTAGTTTTGCTGAAGATTCTCCGCCGGCGAATAAGCTCCATCATCTGGATCTGGACATCGTGGCACGCCTGGTTGAAGTCTTTCGCGATGATGACATTCACGACCATGCGGGTATCGAGCGTCTGTTCGATATGACCACGCGACCCGCGGAAGCTGACATTCTGGATGCGCGAGCGCAAAGCACCAACGGCATCACTGTCGCTGTCAAGGTCCGACTCGTTGAGATTTGCCGATTGGTCGTCAAGTATAGCGTCGGTGAAAGTGTCGACTGAGACATAGTCGGCCTCTTCCAGTACGACATAGGTCAACTTGAAGATGTCGGAGACGATCAGTGCTAACTCTGACGCCAAAGCGCCCATTATGTTTCTATCGCCGTAGACGAGACATGGGTGTTTTGCGACGAGGCCCAGCAACACCGCTAATTCTAGGTCACTGAGCTCGGGAATGGCCTCGAGAATCTGCTCGACATCCATGGTCACTTATGAATTGTCGACATATCATCGATGATCAAGGTAATAGCTTACATCTGTGGTGGATCTGAATGATGGGACGGTTTGATGAGATGAATGGTGAGGAGTCGTCGAAGGAAGGCGTCACGTCGTTCCCGCCAAGCCGCCCATGCCAAGGCTATACCCGATTGGCCGACAAGATGACGGACAGACTGGCTGATGCCTTTCCGTTCCTCTGCTACACACGAACACCGTGACCATTTCTCAGCGAACCAGTGCTTTGGAGAGATCTAATAATGCCGCCCAGATGACCTCAACAAATCCCAGGGCTGGCTGGGAGAGGATCGACAACCAATTCTATCGCAAGATCCGACTTTACGAACAAGTCTTCGATCCCGATCTCGAGCTTGAGAACTACCTTGTAGCTGGCGCTCCTTACTCCGGCGCATTGGCACTATGGCGGAACGAGTCCAAAATCTCTCGTTATAGAGTCGGTGGCAGTGCGAAGCCGACCATCGATATCTACTCGTCTTCTGGAAAATTGATCAGCAACATTAGCTGGGATAAGGGCTCGATTCGAGGTCTTGGCTGGTCGGACGATGAGCAGCTCCTGGTCATCACCGAGGATGGCACTGTGAGATGCTACTTCGGCTTACATGAAGACTTCACGCCCTTCTCACTGGGTCTGGAGGCGGAGGAGCACGGTGTCGCGTCTTGCCGCTTTTGGTCGCATGGGTTCGTCGCTCTGTTATCAAACAATACCCTGGTGGCGGTTTCATCCTTCCGCGAACCTCATTCCGTACAGCAACTTGCCGCCGTCCCAGACGGGAAGGTATATGCCTGGTCACTTATCCCTCCCGCGTACACACTGTCACGATCGGTTGAGGTTCTCCTTGCCATCGACAAGACCATTTTTGTGGTAGATGCTACCGAAGCCGAAGATCGAGGCTTGTCGGATGGCCCGTTCAGTCACGTGTCTGTCTCACCAAATGGACGGTTTGCTGCTCTGTACACAGAAGATGGCAAGGTATGGGTCGTCGGTAGCGACTTCCAGAACAAATACAGCGAGTACGATTCCAAGGTCAAAACGCCGCCTGCCAGGCTTTACTGGTGTGGCAACGACTCCGTCATCTTGGCGTGGGAGGACGAGATACACATGGTCGGTCCTAATGGCGCTGCGGCAAAATATTTCTATGATGGCCAGGTCCATGTTGTTCCCGATATCGACGGTATACGATTGATTACGAATGACAGCTGTGAGTTCGTGCACAAGGTACCGGATGCCTCAGAGGAGGTTTTCAAAGTCGGTTCCACCACTCCGCCATCGGTTCTCCTAGACTCGATAGACCTCCTCGAACAGAAATCACCGAAGGCAGATGAGAACATTCAGCGCATCAAGTCGAGCCTTCCTGATGCCGTTGAGACATGCATCAGAGCGGCCGGGCAAGAATACGACCAGGCCTTGCAAAAGCAACTCTTGCGCGCCGCGTCGTTCGGCAAATCAGTGCTTGATCTCTACAGTAGCGATGAATTCGTGGACATGATTAACGACCTTCGAGTCCTCAACGCAGTGCGTGACTACCGCATCGGCCTGCCGCTGTCGTACGAGCAGTACCTGAGACTTGGACCGGAAAGACTCATAACGAGACTCATCAATCGCCGAGAGTATCTGCTCGCAATCAAATTGTCGGAGTTTCTCAACCTGTCGGTCACCAAGATCTACGTGCACTGGGCGAGCCAGAAGGTCAAAAGCTCGTCTGCCGATGATGATTCCATTCATGAAGTTATCACCGAGCGCCTGAGGGGCAAACACGGCGTGTCATTTGAAGCAATCGCACGCACAGCCTACGATGAGGGTCGTGGTCACCTTGCCACCTCGCTATTGAACCATGAGCCTCGATCGGGCAAGCAGGTACCGCTCCTACTCAGCATGGAAGAAGACGACATAGCGCTCAACAAGGCCATCGAGTCCGGAGACACTGATCTTATATTCTTCGTCCTGCTACACTTACGGAAAAAGCTCCACCATGCAGCTTTCTTCCGAAGCCTGTCTGAGAAACCATTGGCTGGTGCACTGGTCGAGAGTTCGGCACGGTCGCAAGATACCGAGCTTCTCAAGGACCTCTATTACCAAGACGACCGTCCAATCGATGGCTCCAACCTCCTCCTCGAGGAAGCCACGCGCCAGCCGGCAGTCCAAGCCGTAATCGATAAGCTCAAACTGGCTGCTCGGGTTCTGGCAGATGCGAAGGATCCTGCGGCTGTACTCCAGACTCGAGCCCTGACCGAGGCAACTCAGCTGCTCAAGATGCAGGAAGCGTTCGACAAAGATGTCGCGGACAACACAGGCAGCTACGTCGGCCTGAGCGTCAACGAAACGATGTTCCGCCTCATCAGATCGGGATACAGCAAGCGCGCCGCTAAGATGCAGAGCGACTTCAAGGTACCAGACAAGACGTGGTGGTGGGTTCGCTTGCGCGCACTCGTGGCTGCAAGGCTGTGGGGAGAGCTCGAGGAGGTTGGTAAGGTGAAAAAGAGCCCAATTGGCTGGGAGGTATGTCTCGACCGTAACACCAATGCTTTGTTACCGTATTTGGGTCGTGCTAACTGGCAGCAGCCGTTCTATAACGAGGTACTGGGCGCCGGGAACACGCGTCTTGCGTCGACTTTCATCCCGAAGTGCACTAATGTCCCACCTGCAGAGCGGATCGAGATGTGGGTCAAGTGCGGCATGGTCGTGAAAGCAGGCGAGGAGGCGGTCAAAGCGAAAGACTTGAATGCTCTCGAATTGCTGAGAACGAAGGCATCGGGCGCGCAGCTAGGAGAGATTGAGAGGATGATCAACCAGTTGCAGCCGAGAAGGTAGTTCGGTATCGTCAATGTCGTGAAATCGTGGTCTCATGCGTATTGGAGCCGCCTACTTCAGCTGATGTCGTCTAGGTCTGAGCCAGCGTTCGATGCCGTTCGGTCGACCACGACCAGCTTGTTGACAGGAGCATTTGCCGGCACCTGGACGCCATCTACCAGTTTCATCTCTTGGTCACCTTGCTCGTCCACATCTTCCCATTGCTGATCCTCTGCCTCCGCATCGTCCCCGCGTGCCGAGAATAATTTAGGAGTTTTCCTCTTCTCTTCCTCAGCCTCCCCGTTGATCTCATCCCAGATCGCGCGTCTGCCTCTTACTTTCTTCATCTTGACCTGCGACTCCGACTTCTTCTTCTCTAGCTGATCCATTACAATCTCGGCACGGGCCAGGCCTTTCTCTTGCCGCGCACGCTGGCCCCGCTTCATGGGCTTCTGTTTCTTTTTGGCCTTCTGTATACCACCTCCAGGTCGTGCGGAGAGTACTGGAGTAGCATCAGAGGCTCGAGGCGCATCGGTGACAGACTTATCCAAATCGAGCGAGGGCGAGCCACCGCGTCTGGCGGCGCGGGAGCGGGAATTGGCTGTGAGGGTCAGTATGCTGAAAGTTGGTATACATGGCCGAACGCCGTACCTCCTGCCTTCTGCTTGACTTTCGGTGTCTTCGCCATTTGACACTAGGCTTTGGTTAGAGACATCTGTGTCTGACTGCTGCGTCGTGCATTCCTCAAAAAATAACTACGGCGGAACGAATGCGGAAGGCTTGGCGAATTCTACCTGTTGCAAGTGACGTAGTTACACGTGGTGGATGCCTTGGTCATTCGTTGCCGCTGTTCCTCTTAGATGTCGGGCAACTACATCAATAGACCTGCAAAATAGAGCATGTGGCGGACTGGACGCGTCCTTGACGCTGTAGACTCCGCTGCCTCTGCAACATGGCCCCGACACGCCCATTGAAGCGACAAAAGACCAACCCCGACGACCAACCTCCGACCGCCGCAAGCGTGAAGCCTGAGCAAATACCATTGCCGCCTGATACACCCACGAGGCAGCCACAGCCTGATCCGCCCAAACCAGCACAGGACAGTCCCCGTCTTTCATGGTATCAATCATGGTCGCGCAAGGCGGCTCCAGTGACTGAAGTGGCTCGCGCAAGCTCCAATTCGTTGACCAATGCGGCATCCGAGACTGCTTCCATTTTCAGCGACCGCACCACCCCACGTCGACCCTCCACGCGGTCTGCATCTCTGTCCATGACTTTGGGCAAGAGCGGTTCCACCCGCTCCTTACCTGTTGACGCTACAACATCAAAAGTCCATGCGACTTCAGAATCCACAAGTCCGAGCAGAAAGAACTCGACTCAAACGGGACCAACAGAGAACAATGACAGATCTAAAGGCGAAGCTCAACAATCAAATGCAGTTGCAAGCAGCTCGTGCTCGCCAGAAGATGCTGTCGAGTCCAAGCCTGACTCGTTTGCGGTAAACAATATTACAACCAGTTCACGCGAGCCTAGGCAGAGCGGCTGGTTCGGCTGGATTCCAAAAGGCGAACCGACGTCTGAGCATTCCAAAGAAACGCAACGACCCAAGACCGAGACCACAACCTCCGCAGATAGTGCCAGCGCAGTTCCGAGGACGAACGCAAGCGCCAGGGACGGGACCCAGCCTGAGATCGGCCGAGCAGTTGTTGAAGCTGATAAGAAGAATACCAATGCTCAGACACACCTCTCCACTGTATCAGATGCAAGACAGAAGCGAACATGGCTGCAGATGCTGGGTGGCGATTCTACCGCGAAGCTGGCTACAGTTCAGGAGCAACCGCACACTGATTCTCAGACTGAAGATGCCAGCAAGCAGGTCAAATCGCAGAACCTCGATGTTCCGAAAGCGAAGAATACTCCCGCAAAGTCTGCTGACCAGTCTCAGGCGTCCTCCGTCGAAACATCGCCTCCGCCACCTTTGCCAGGCGATGGTAGCAAATCGGCTGGATGGGTGTTCTGGTCCAGAGACAAGAAGCAACGGCCAACTACGCCATCCACTTACGGAAAAGCACCACCACATGAAGGTGAAATTGCCATATCGGATACACCGTCGCAGAGCAAGCCCAAGCGAGCGTCCATCAGTCTTCCGGAAGATGCAAGGCCAGATGCTAAGGCTCTAAACGAAAGTCCATCTAAAGATGGAAAGAAGACGGACTCGATCAAAAGTAAGGAGGCCCCGAAGACTCCGTCGGACAGCAAGAATGCGAAGAAGGCGGATCCCAAGGTTACCCAAAAAATCGAATCAAAGAATGCAACTGCCGTTGCTGTTGAGCAGCCTAAAGCCACAAGGCCGGCCTCTCCCGCACCATCGAAGGCGGCCGTCGACAATCTCCTTCTCCCAATGTTCCACGATACGCTTCACGTACACCAGAGTCCATCGCTACTTCAGCAGCTTAGCAGGTTGCTTTACTACACCAAGGAGCCAGAGCTCAGGCATCTTTCACTAGTCAAAGATCCGCCACGAATCAGGAGCGCCCTTGTCATTGGGGTTCACGGCTACTTTCCTGGCCCAATGGTGCGGACCTTGTTGGGTCAGCCGACAGGCACTTCCATCAAGTTCGCAGATATGGCAGCCAAATCCATTCGTAAGTGGACCAACAGTCGTGGTTATGACTGCGAGGTCAAAACGGCAGCGCTGGAGGGCGAGGGAAAAATCCAGGAGCGAGTAGAGTTGCTTTGGAAACTCTTGCTCAACTGGATCGATGAAATTCGCCGATCCGACTTCGTCATGGTGGCTTGCCACAGCCAGGGGGTGCCAGTTGCCATTATGCTTATCGCCAAATTAATCCAGTTTGGCTGTATCAGCGCGGCGCGAGTTGGCATATGTGCCATGGCTGGTGTTTCTATGGGACCCTTCGCCGAACTGAAATCGCGATGGATCAGCGGCTCGGCGGGGGAGTTGTTCGAGTTCTCCGATGCTACCAGCAAGGTCTCGACGGACTATCAGAACGCCATGGAGACAGTTCTGAAAGCGGGTGCCAGGCTGACGTTCGTCGGGAGCATTGACGACCAGCTCGTGTCGCTCGAATCGTCTATCTTTGCACCCCTTACACATCCTCACATATACCGCGCAGTTCTCATCGATTCGCGCATACACGCTCCAGGATTTCTGTCGCATCTTGTCGGCTTCGTACTGAAGCTGCGTAACCTTGGTGTCCAAGATCATGGGCTTATTCGTGAGTTGTCGTCTCCTTTGGCCGGCAGCTTGTATACAGGAGAAGGTCACTCGAGAATATATGACGATGAGGGAGTATACGATTTAGCGACAGCATTCGCGCTCGAGACCACTGCCCAGCTCGGTGTCGATGTTACCAAGAGGGATATTCAGTCATCTAGCGGCAACCCTTACATCCTCCCTTTTGCCATGAGAGGCATTCTCGAGGAAGAATTTGTGCGATCAGAGCTTCGTGAAGAAGTGAATCAGCTGCTCCATCAATTCGACGAATGGAAGCCAAACACAAAAGCGCTCAAGGACGTCAAGTTCAGGCTTGAAGGCGTACGGTCGAAGCTGTGAGCAAAGCTACGCCCTGTGAATGTCTGTCAAGTGCTTTGCTGAGCCACTTTTGTCAAGCTTTGGGCTGAAGTTCACGGCCATTTCCCCAGCGTTGCCTGACCGTATTCTCCAGTCGCTTCGTCCAAGGCCAAGCCATTCATTTTTGCAGTGCTGGTACTTGCTTGAGTGTTCCCGTAATGACCAAAAAACGAATTGGCCGAGAAGAACATCCGCCCATACTGGCGCGGCCATCCTGATTGGGTGGCACGAAATCTGTGCGTCCTGGCATTACCGCTTGCCTGAAGCTTGGACCTTTCGATCTACACACCAAAGCATATCGCTCCCACCAAGAAAGGCCCAGTTGATATATCGACTACAGTGTTCCGAGACCCGGATCTATGGCAAACGCCATGCGAAAGACGCTCCCGTACCTTGCCGAGATATAGTCGACTAGCACCTCGGCATCTTCCCCACACGTAACTATACGCTACGGCCGAAACACTGTCGTGACTGGAAGTATCATTCTGCGCATGCAGGGTCGTCCCTAGTGGCTCCCGAAGAATATAATAGAGCCCCAGTACCCCGACTGCTCCCCGTGTCTTGAATATTCTACACGGCGAGCATCAGGCACAAACGCCAATATGCCTCTCGCCTTCGATCCTGCCTGGCTACCCGCCCTGGAACCATTGCTCCCCATATTGACCGCTCGGCCCGTTCCCAAGATTCACGACGTTCAAACCCGCCGCGACAATCTGGCTGTCTTGGGTGAGCTCAACTCTAAGCTGCCCGACCCTGGAAACCTTGTTCAAGAGCGTCTCACCTTTACTTCATACGATGGCGCATCCGTTGACATTCTTTACTCACACCGGGTCCCACTTTCGATGGATGCCCCGACCGCTGCCATCGTCCATGCACATGGTGGTGGTTATATCGCTGGCTCGGTCGACATGTTCGCCAAGAACATCGCTCTCTGGGCTGCCGAGCACGGGGTGCCAACATTTAGCGTAAATTATCGCAAGGCCCCTGAGCACCCGCACCCTACACCTGTTGAAGACTACTATGCAGGCCTCAAATTTGTGCAAACCAATGCTTCGCGCTTCAACATCGATCCGGCGCGCATCGCCGTCTTTGGGGAGAGTGCGGGTGGCGGTCTTGCTGCGGCGGCGGCGCTTTTGGCGCGTGACCGTCAACTCGACCCGCCCATCGCGAAACAGGTCCTCGTGTATCCTATGTTGGATGACAGAAATCTCACGCCCATACCGGGTATCGAGCCGTTCGCAGTGTGGAACTGCGAAAGCAACATCATGGGCTGGACGGCACTGCTGGGCGCGGACAAGGCGGGTAAGGAGGACGCGGATGTAAGTCCGTATGCGGCGCCCGCGAGAGCACGGAGCTTGGAGGGTTTGCCCAGAACCTACATGGATTGTGGTGAGCTGGACATTTTCAAGAGCGAGGATCTGGAATATGTCAGCAGACTGGCGCGCGCGAACGTCAGTGTCGAGTTTCATCTGTATCCAGGCGTGCCGCATGTGTTCGAAGCGTTGGCGCCGGAGATCTGGGCGAGTAAGGCTGCGAGGGCGAACCGGATTAGAGCGTTACAAGACTTCTGAGACCTAGTCAATATGTAGATAGCTGCCGTGTTGGGGCTGGACTAGTGTAGAACGGGGACGAGCGACGGTCAAACAATACGATTCTATCAGTCAGGTCATGAAGCGTGTGCCATCTGCTCCGGCCCATGGAAGACGAAGTAGAGCACTTAGGTCTCCAGCTCGCAGTTGTCCAGTGGACGCATATCTCACGTGCATTGGCTCACTGCCCGATCGGATTCCTGTATCGTAAACCTCAGGGGTCGGTACCAGCTATGCACTCGCTCTAGGCCAATGCCCAGCATCACATCACAGTCGCATGGGGAGCCGCCGCCACCATAGGCTGGCACGCCACACTAAACCTGACCACATTTCTGCGCGCGAAACCACACGATATCTAGCCCCGTCTATGGGTGGTTCATTAGCAGCAACGGGAATAACCACCGAAGCTGCGTTGGGTTTTCGTAACAGCAGCCCCTCTTGCTTCTGGACCATGAACACCTAGAGAGCTATCCCTCCGGTCAACCGCAACAGCCGGTCCTCGACCATAACCCACACCTACCGAGCTCGCTTCCGCCCCCACTCGGCTCACCCCGGTCTCACCCCTCAACAGCACCTCGCTACTGATGGATCTCCTTCTTCTGGAACGTGCCTACCACCAGTAACGCACCTCGTCAGCAAATCCACATTTTTAACAAAACCAGCTCAGCTCAGCTTTCCCCCCCTTTTTTTTCCCCTCCCTTTCCCAACCAGGACACCATCGCGCCGCCCCCTGCCGCACCCATCAACGCGACAAGCAAAACTGTGGGGAAAACACCAAGCAAAAAAAGAAAACCAAAACTCACCAGGAACCTCGGGACACCACCCCTCCCTAAGTTTGGTGAAAAACTCGCCCTTGGGCTTCAACGCCTCCCTCCCTTCTTTGCCCAAAGTGCCGTAAAACACGTAGACGTTGGCGCCGGCGTTGGCGCCGTACTCGCACAGGCCGCTGCCGCAGGTGGCGCAGAACTCGCGCGTCAGCTGCACGCCGCTGCCGTTGTCGGCTGTGTGTTTGCGTAACGAGGGGGGAGAGGAGGTGACGGTGTAGGTGGAGCGGGGGAGCTTGGTCGTGATGCCGTAGGGACCGCCGGTGAATTTCTTGCAGTTGGTGCAGTGCTGGTGTTGGGTTGGGTTAGAGTAGTTTGGCGCCTTGGGGGGGTTTGGGGTTTTAGGGGAGGGAGGGGAGAGGGAGGAGGGGATAGGGGTGGGAGGAAGGAAGTTGGGCGAGGGAGTGGGGATAGATGCTGGAGGCGTGGGTTTGTCGCCAAGCAAGAAAGGCGAGATGCGGATTTGGATGAGACGCCTTGAAGGAGTAAACGCGATGGCGGAGCGAACTGGTGGCGTCCAGTCTTGGGAATTTGGCACTGCTATCTTCTTGGTTCTGGCTGGTAAGGAGAGACTTACTGTTCCACCCGAGTCAGCGAACCAAGCTGTTTGAATAGATGGAGAACTTACCACAGATACTTGTGCGTGCATCCTCGGCGGGATTGTCGAGGGTGAGCTTGTACTGGACTTCGCCGCAATAGCAGCTACCCGGGAAAGTTTGTGGCATGGTCGGAATGGGGGCCGATGGGCTGTAGAATTACAAGATTGGGTGGTTAGGAGGCTATGTGAGTCACTTCAGTGGTTTGAAGACGGCTTCAAGATGTCGTAGGAGTTGTAGAAATGGGTGAATTGCATCATGTAGATTCACGTCATTGATCTTCGTTCCCCCGGATTCGATGTGCGCAGAACGGATATGAGATCCGGCGCACAAAAGTATGGGTACTGGCTCGACTGGATCTTCTACGTCGTGCTGCTGAACTTCGCAGATGCTTGAGCTCTTTTCTGCATTCGGGCACTGCTTTACATTGTAGGGTGCAATTGAAACGCCTGACAGGGCCATGCTCAGAGGCAAGACGCTCGTGGCTCAATAGTCAGGCAGTGAAAGCTTGGCAGCTGCTTTACCCTGTCAGCTTTGAAGACTCTCCACTAGAGCAAGTACATTGACTATGGGGACTGAAGCTGGTGTCCATGACAAAAGCTGGTCAGTACAAACCTCTCCCTTCAAGGTCGTCTTGGTGCTGGATCCGTGTTGCAAAAAAAACAGGTACTAGTACGACAAGGCGATAGTTGCCGACTCCAGTATCTGGACTGCATTGGATGCAGTATGCTCTATGACGAGCCACAGCTGGACCAACTGCTAATATTCAAGCTTCCTTTTTGACTTGCAATACATATGTACCCATGAGTTCTCTCTTGACACGACTCTTGCGAGTGATGGGGATTCAGAACTTGTTTCTTGGCCGAAGCGTCCCCGCTACTTGGTGGCCCCCAATCCAGTGAGATAAGCTTGGGCTGCTTGGCTTCGTTCAGTGAACTCCGTCTTGCCAATGTGATTGACTGAAGCTCAATGGGGAACGGGGCTTTACCCCTGATTCTCCGATTCAGCTGATCTTTGTCAGGCGGGCCACCTGAAGGCATTGGCATTAAAAACCATCGCTATACTCAGCCCCTGATACGCATATATCTCTGTAGGTCAATACCTTTGTCTCGATCTTTTCGGGCCACGTGGCTATTATCAGACCCCGTAAAGCCCGTAGGAGCTTGATAGACGACCTTCACCCACGATGCCATCACAAAAGACCCTCGACGATCTCGGCGACTGGGTCGTGCTCCTCGAGCCAGATCAAAACATTGACCGTCGACAATGCTCGCGTCAAGTTCCGATGCAAGTTTTGTCACTAGGTGCACCTCGAACTGGCACCTTGAGCATGGCTTCGGCTTATAAAGTCCTTGGCATACCTTCTTATCATTTTGCGAGCATTGTCATCAATTCTCGCGATGCCGACATGTGGCTCGAAGCAATCGATGCCAAATACAACCCAGACAGCCGACGGCCAGGATTCACACGACGCGACTTCGACCAGCTACTGGGACACGTAGGGGCGACAACCGACGCTCCAACAATCCTGTTCTGGCAGGAACTGATAGCAGCTTATCCCGAGGCCAAAGTGGTGCTGGTTGAGCGCGACAAGGAGAAATGGCTGAAGAGTATCCGAGTGCTATTCAGCGAATCCTTGAATCCGGTTGGAAGGTATGTGTTGCGGTACACTGACCCCGGTCGGACTGGCCGGATCCTAAATTGTGGTTTCGCATGGTTCGGGAGTTGGCTCGGTGTGAAGGAGCGTGATATGACGGTTGACTCCTTGATGCAGAAAGCTCGTGGAGTTTATCAGAAACATTATGCAGATATTCGTGCGACTGTGCCGCCGGAAAATCTGCTGGAATATAAGCTGGGAACTGGGTGGGAGCCGTTATGCCGATTTCTAGGAAAGGACATTCCCGATGTGCCGTTTCCCCATGTCAATGATGCGAAGACTTTGCAAGCTGGCTTTGAGCAGTTGATTTTGGGCGGGCTGAAGCGATCAGCAATCAATCTGGCTCTGTTCGCTGGAGTAGGCACGGCAATATGGCAGATGTTCAAGCTGTTGAGATGATATAATCAACATCTTCCGTAGTGTACGGCACAATGTCTTGATAGACGGTGAGGCCGAAGCATAAGAACGATAGATCCCCCGAGCCAGTCCATGAGAGTGCAACAAAGCAAGGGTTCTGGACAATGAAAAATTGGTGTGTTATGCGGCGCCGTACTCACCACCGGGCTGTCGCTTTACAAGTACCTCGCGAAAGAGCTTGTGCTTGACTACCCACGTATCCCCACGTGAGGGTTTGACCGATCTTCATCGACTAGTGATCTGCGATCTCGGGAATTCGGAAGACCATGAATCTGTTTATGCCTATGAGCAAGCAGCCAGTCATTTCCTGAGAATTTCAAATTCACCTGCCTGGTGATATCACACATCCAAGGGCCAGACCTCTCGGACGCTTGACCCCTCATGATTGCCCTTCCCTCCCCGCAAACTCTCCTGTGTCTTCTGGCTTCACATCCTCGCCAGCGTCGTGTCAGATTGGCCGACAGTATTTGAGATGTTGATCGGCGCGACGGAGGCGCTTCAGCTTAAAGCCGCTGCGGCTCCTGCGCCTCATCAAGGTAAGCTGTGTCTTCCGACCAACGTCCTACGGCGTCTTGAGATTGAGTGCATACACAATCCTTTGAAACGTGTTCCAGCTCCTCACTTACAATGTCTTGCCCGGTCCAGCACAATGTCCACACTGGTGAGAAAGCCAGCGGAACGGCCAAGACGAATGGCGAAGGCCAGCCAGCCCCTGGTGCCTACATTAGGTGGGACGCCTCAGGCGTGTCCACCGCCCCTCCGGGTGAGCAAGAAAAGATCTGGGAAGTGTCTCAACAATTCAGCCGCTTTCAGATGATGAACTTCAATGAACACATGCACTGCCTCCGTGGTACCCATCTCAAAACCCAAGGATGTGTCATCGGCAAGCTCACAGTCCGCGACGACCTCAAGCCTGAGCTCGCCCAAGGCATGTTCGCGAAGCCTGGTGCCTACGATGTCATCATGCGCTATTCCTCTCTCACTCCCAAGATTGTTCCTGATAACGTCGCTGCTCCTCGTGGTATCGGCATGAAGATATTCGGTGTCAAAGGTGAGAAGATTTGGGGTGAGGACAAAAATACTCAAGACTGGACCTTCAACAACTACCCCATCCTCGAACTCCGCACCCCGCAGGTCACCTACGAGATTGCCGACTGCCTAGAGCAGAATTGGAACGACATCCCAAAGTTTGCCGAGGAACAGAGCAAGCGTGTAGACGCCGATGTTGCAACTTTTGGCAGTCAGCTTCCACGCCAGCACATGGTTGCAATGCCGCAGTATTCTCAGTCTGCCTACCGCCACGGTGACTATGTCGCCAAGTATGGAGTCTTCCCACTTGGTGAGAAACAAAAGGCCCTGGAGAAAGAATACGTCAAGGACGACGATCCCATCAACATTCTCTCCCAGCACACTCGAGCCTTCCACATGGCCAACAAGGTCACCTACTCCTTCTGCGCTCAGCTGCTACAAAACCTCGACGAGCAGCCCGTGGAAGACATTGGAGTCGAATGGGATCCCAAGAAATACCCCTTCGAGGAGGTTGCGAGACTCGAGTTTGACCCGCAAGACAGCTGGATCCCCGAATTCCGCGTCTGGTGGGACGACCGCATCACGTGCAACAGCTGGCATGGTCTCAAGGAGCACGAGCCTCTTGGCAGCACCAACAGACTGCGGCGTGTGGTCTATGCTGAGAGCAGGAAATTGAGATTGAAGGTCAATGGATTCGGATCAGACTACATCGAGCCTGCCAGTTTGAAGGAAGTGCCTGTGCCTGCACCGGCTCCCCAGCTTGACCTGCCTCACCAACCAGCTACTACGAGTGCTGCCGTGTCAGCCGCTGCCTAGTTGAGAAGCGACTATTTGCTGTTATTGACGCACGCTATGAGAGCACATACAACTTCCATTGCGATTAACTTTGCATCTCAGTTCCAAGAATCTCCTCTTGAACCACTTCGGCCTTGCTTGTATTCATTGACACTACGACGCAGATCCCCCAAGTTCTCTCGGGAAGCTCTGTGCGTGATGCGTTCTGATGCAGCAAGGTACGCCATATGGTCTGTGGTGCCACTGCCCAGGCATTGTTGGACGATCTGCATTTCAGTCATCTCCCCACATAGCATATACACAGACACCCTTTGAACATGTACAAAACCCGTTCGCTATCGCCCCGGAGTTTCCTAAACCCGCCAAAGCTGCTTCATTCACTCGTTGCCACACCCGAGCAGCTCCCACAGCACAAATCCCATCCTAGTCCAATTCGGGTGCAACCACTTCACGACCACCAAGCCTCTACACCCCTACCAACCAGCACAATGCCACGCATCACCCTCATCCAAGCCCTCGCCCTCGCCTTCGCCCGCACCGCCTTCGCCGCCCCCATCCCCATCTCCCTCCCAAACCCAAACCCCAACTCAAACTTCCTCGGCTCCCTCTCCACCGTAACCTCCAATCTCGACACCCTCACCACCGCCACCCAGGCCCACCCAGGCAACTTCTCCGGAGCCGATGACGCCAACGTCGATGCCTCCCCGGCCCTAGACGACCTCACCACCGCGGTCAGCGACCTCACGGGCGACATCGCCATCGCCAGCGGCGACAACGAGGGATCCGTCGATGTTGGCGATGCTGGGAATGTGAATTTGGGGGACGTCAGCGATGTCGTAGACGTGGGCGATGTCGTCGGCGGTATCAGTGAGATCGCGGATGTCGGTGACGTTGGCGATATTGGAGATGTTGATGTTGGACATGTCGGAGACATCACCAACGACATCGGCGACGTCGCCTCCGGCACGGACCTGAATGTGGACGATCTGATGGTGTCGGACTTTGTGCAGAGCCTGTTGGGGCGTGTGACGGTGAGCGAGCTGGTGGGGGGGCTGGGGCTGGATGCCAGCGATGCCGCCGGGATGGGGGATTGGGACCTTAGTCGGGTGGCGAGTGTGGAGGATCTGGCGGGTGAGTTGGGGGTGAGCGTTGAGGAGCTGCAGGCGGTGTTGCAGGAGTTGGAGGTTGATGGTGCTGGGGCGTTCGATGGGGAGGCGAGCTGATGGTCGCGCAATCCCGAGTAGGAACCATGTCGTCGACGGCTTGAAGCTCGTACCTGGTGTTAGGGAATTAATGTGCCGAGAGGCTCAGGAGGGCGGAGAGAAACGTTCGGAAAGGAGTCGCTATCATACGGGGCGCGTGGGCATTTGTCTCGCCCTTTCTCTTCGCTCGCATCCACAACTAAGCTGATATAGTTCGGCAATAAATGCCCTTGGGCTAATCGAACGCTTGGCCTTCCCCACAGCGACAGGTCTAAGCGAGCTCCCAAACTTCGTACTCGCACCTTGACAGCATGCAGTCGGTGGATTTCTGGGAACCCACAAGCTTCTGAAAATTAGGTGGAGTGAGTTCGAGCGCTGTTAGACACTTTTGGGTGCACCTCACATGAAGACCGGCTAGGTGATGTGCACTCGGGCCTCCTCACTGGAGCTCAACCTTGTTGGCCTCGCCAGCCACAGTCACAGACCCGTCCTCACGCGTTTCTTCACCAGAGCTTCATTCCAAATCCGAACCCGCAACGGGCGTCCACCCCATCACCAGGCTCGAAAATCATACTACTACTCGACCATGCCTCCGCCCAAATCAGCCACGTTCTACGACAACCGCACCTTCCGCTCCACCTCCAACTCCGCCACCGGCGAGGTCTCCCCCGCAACCACCTTCCGGTACCACCAGTCTGCCGCACAGCCCCACATCGTCTGGGCCGAGTACTCGGGCGGCAGCATCGTGCGCGGCAACTTGATCGCCACGGTGGCCCGGGACGGCAGCAATGCGCTGGACATGCGCTACCACCATGTGAACGAATCCGGAGAGCTCATGACGGGGAGGTGCAGGAGTACGCCTGAGGTGCTGGGGGATGGACGGCTGCGCATGCATGAGAGGTGGGTGTGGACGAGTGGGGGGCAGGGGGAGGGCGAGAGTGTCATTGAGGAGGTGGAAGGAGAGGGTGGCTCTTAGTGTCGGTTGGTAATGAGAGACAGGGAGGAAGAGGTCCAGAGTTACTCGTGTTTTCATGTCTACATCAGACGCCAACGGACGGGAGACTTCAAGTCGCAACGTCCGAGAAGCTCTACGAGATCCCCTACGAGGGTAGTGCGACATTAATGCTCGTAATGTTGTCTGTGCGCAGGAGACCTCCGCTAGATGGTGTACGTGAACTCCGGGTTCTCGCGGTCCGTCAGGTCTAGCCATCTATTGGATATTAGCAGAGGAACACGATGCAGTTCATCAACACCTACTCGGAATTTTCTTGCTTGGTGTATCCCGGCTCTGCACGAATGGCCGCCTTCTTCCTGTTCTGGCGCTTGCAGTACCACCAAATGAAGACGATGTCGCCGAAACACAGTGACCAGCAGACGAGGATTGTGACGATCGCGGGCACGTATTTGGGCGCATCTTTGGGGCGGAATGTCTGAGGGCCTGCGCGGAGAACTTAGCCAAAGTCCAATGGAGATGTAGCCCTGAATAACTTACCGATAATATTGCCCACGCAGTAGAAGATCAAGAACAGCGCGGCGACCGTGGTCTTCTTTGTATACCCTGCAATATTCGAAGAGATTAGGCTCAACAGTGCCACAAACGGCGTCGTGCAAGCCAGCGTCATGTAGTAACCCACAAGCTTCCCAGCACCAGCGCTGTCAGGTAGCGCAATGAGCAGAACGACGCCGAGTATGGCGATGCCCAAGCCGATGAGAGAGATTCGGAGGCGGCTTCCTGTTCTATCACCGTAATAGCCGCTGAGCAGTAGCGACACGACCTGTACTGCGCCGGCCGGAGTCCCTAGAAGCAGTGATTCGACCGGGGTGTACCCAAAAGAGACGATGAGCTGACTGAAGAAGTTGGTGATGCCGCCGTTCGGAATGTTTGCAGTGAATGAGTAGAAGACCAGAGCCCAGACCATCGGATCGGTGAAGGCCTCGATGAACTGATAGCGCTTGAAGTGTTTGTTTCCAATGCCTTGCTGGTTTCCTCGCACTCGTGCAACTGCAAGGATGCGATCACTCTCGCTCAGCCATCTGGCCTTGAGCTGGTTATCGGGAACGAGCCAAAGGAATATAATACCAAGGCAAACAGTGAAGATCCCAGTAAACACAAATAGGATCTGCCAAGGTAGGATTGTGTGTTCGTGTTTCTGGTCGCCGACAGCTATACCCCAAGCAACGAGGCCACCGAATATCTGAGCAAAGCCATTAAAAGAGAACCAAATGCATGTCCGCGACCCCTGCTCTTCCTTTCTATAGTACTGAGATGTTATCAGGGCCCATCCAGGCGTGACGGCTGCCTCAAAGGCACCAAGCAGGACACGGATCACGGCGGCTCCGGCGAAGTCGTTGACAACTGCGAACAAAGCAAGGACGGTTCCCCAAATGATGATGCAGAACCCAGAGTACTTGGCGATCGGAAGTCGTTGGAGCAGCCGCACTGTAGGCCACTCCCAGGCCAGATAGCCAAAGTAAAACAAAGAGGCAAGCCACTGGTAATTATCGCCCGAAAGTGAAATGTCTTCCCTGAGTCCCATGATACTCGCATAGGACAGTGTCGTCTTGTCCAGGAAGTTCATTCCGTAAATAACGCACATTATGGGAAGTATGCGGCGGTCGATGCGGCGCAGTAGTCTCTTGTTGGTGGCTTCGTCGACAACGACATTCTCATGCCCTTCAAAGGCTGCCAGGGCCTCGTCAGCATCATATTTGTTGGCTTTCAGGATCTCTGAAGCGACTCCGCTTTGCTGAGTAGGAGTCTGCTCAATATCGGTGGCGGTGTTGGCCGCTTTCTCGTCTTGCTGTGCAGATTTTGCCATTGGGTCGATGGTAGAGGACGCGAGGCCATGGTGAGCTGAGATATGAGGCCGGGCTTAAGTATATCATCGAGCTGGGCATCTTCCGACGGCTGAACCACAAGCATTGCGGTGCTGGACATCTTCCGACGACATTATCAACGCCAAGCAGTGAACGTCGAAGTCCGCATGTAGTGACCACAAAGACTAGACGAGCGGTAGTAGGCCGCGGCACGTCTGTAGATCATCGTCTGTATGGGGAAGGCGATTTGTCCTTGCGGGGTCGTCTGGTCAACTGCGCAACTCCACCGAATTTTCCGACGCCTTGGCCGCAGGCATTGGTGCTGTAGCAAGCGGCGGAAACATGATAAGGTTGATGCCCCTGCAACGGGCTTGTGCGACTGCGGTCTTCGCCCGCAGAAACACGGTAGCTTCCATCTTTCGGTAGTTGGAACACGGCTTCAAATCGCAAACTGTTCGAAACCACCGGAGCCGAGCAATTCTCTGAAATCTGGCTTATGCCCTCGCTGTTGCACTTCCGCAACGTAGGCATCGGCAAATGTCGCGGCTCGAGCATAGTTTCTCCCGTATCTGGCGAGCGATCGTAAACGAGTGCAGACCCAGTCGCGGTGCAGGAGGTCTTCAGTCTCAAGGATGGCCATGAAGAGCGGCCAAGCTATTCGTAGCATGGCTTCATCGCCCTCGTGTTGAAATGCCTGGAATGCCAGATTCATGATCCCAGCTAACGCCGAGGCTCGTTGGCCAGTTCCCTCGACTGTCAGCCGCGCAGAGTGATGGTAGAACAAAGTTGCGGCATGAAAATGGGGAACGATGAAGCGGACGTTCTTGACTGCTCGGATCTTGTGATCGGTGTCTTGACACATTTTGCGAGCGAGAAGGAATGTCTCACTATATTGCCGCGACACATCATCAAACGCCATCTCCACGACTCGGCGGCAGTCTGCAGCAGCTGGTGAATGCTCCAACTCTAGTTCGTAGAGCTGAGACACCATATAACGCAACTGAAAGCATTGCCCATACAGCAAGAAAACGTTGTGATTGTCAATGTCATCCATCAGCTCTGTGGTTGGATATGAGTCACCCCAGACTCTGGGAAACAGTGGGTTGCTGAACCGCTGCATCTTCGTATAGCTGCGGAAGATGTTCGACTCCGATTCAGGCTCATGGCTGTAAGAGCATGAATTGTGTTGCCGCAGCATGCCGTGGAGCGCTCCGTTTATGCCACCACCAAGCCGGGTCGATGATGCACCTGCGTCCAACAAAGATATCCAGACCAACATTCTCGCGGAGAACAAAGATGGTAAGAAACTGGTTCGAGATGTGGCAGACAGCTCCATCTTTGTAACAGGAGATGTTGCTTGATCTTCCGTGCCTGTGGAAAGCATGAAGGTGTGGCGAGATTTTACCTGCACGAGCGATGCAACTCCTCTAAGGTGACTCGAAAGTGCCTTCCCACTGCCATCGCCAAACTTCTGCTCGTATGCTAGCATTAGCCACGTCGCTGCCAGCACAGCATCGATGCCTGTTTCGGTGTCCGTGCCTTCGATGAATGCTCCAAATTGGCGCAGAGCTTCTGAGTAGTGGTGAAGAGCCATCTCATCATCTCCTACGTCGGCGTTGCCGCCAGCACGAAAGCACAGCATCTCTTGTCTAGCTATAGCCAACACCATATGCATCGTCATCGCAGAGTGGGACGCGATGCGGAAGATGACAGCAACGACATTGTAGGAAGAATTTTTGGTGTGCTGGTGCCGAGCAAATACTGTTTGGAAATACTGAATAGCTTCACGCTCTCTTGATCCGATTATGAGCGAAGACGCAGATGCGTTTGGCCGCGCATCAAGAGAGCTGCGCGGAGAACTGGAGTTGTTCCGAGCAGAGAAGTCCACGTCAACGGCTCTTTGCAGACTCCTTTGTGTCTGCAGAGTCCTTGAAGCCTGGATCCCTTGACTGCGGCTTCCACGCCGCGGGTAGGGCTTACGTTGCCTCGGACTATAGTCGCAGGACCGATTGAGCCGATCGCACCGGTTGCATACGGGCTGCTGAGCATCACACCTGACCTTTTTGTCTTTACAGGTCCAACAGCCAAGGCCAGGGCGGCGAGCATGGCGGCCGGCAAGCTCGACACGTGTCGTTGAAGCTGCCATGGTCATTTTCGTAGAGCAAGCTCCACATGACTGTTAGAACGGCTGCTGTAGGTGGTCCGAAGAGGAAGAATAGATGTGTCAAAATGCCAACGTCGTGTACTGATATCGTGGAGTTGTGGGGTAGAAGTCGATTCCCCGATGGTCGGAAAATTCGCTTGCACCGATCGACTGCCGACTTCTCCACGTTGATATGACAATTACTAGTTCCACACCGCACGAACTCTCCCGCTACGGGAGCCCGCAGATTCGCCTGCCGCCCAACGAGAGTGGCAGGTAAATGTGAAAGCAATATTGTGCCCTTTTCCTCCGGTCTGCGATCTGCGGATCTCTTTGTAACTTAGACAGCGCTCTATGCACCGATACCATGGGTTCTATCGCTCTCGATAAGGAGACTAGCGCGCCAGCCACGCAGAACGAGAAGAATCCTGACTTCTCCAAGCTGCGTGAATCTGCAACCGACGCAATAGACGGGGCTGAGCGACAGTTGCGCGAGCTGAATCGACAGATTCACGACAACCCGGAACTCGCATACAAGGAGTATCAAGCTGTGGAGAACATATGCAGGTTTCTCGAGTCTCATGACTTTGGTGTCCAAAGAGCAACGTACGGCTTGGAAACATCATTCACGGCCGAGGTCGGCTCCAGTGGCCCCTTGGTGATCATCTGTGCCGAATATGATGCACTTCCGAACATTGGCCACGCGTGTGGCCATAATTTGATTGCAACTTCATCCATTGCCGCTTTCGTTGGCGCCACCAGAACATTAACGAAGTCTGGCCTGTCCGGAAGGATCCGACTTCTAGGCACACCAGCAGAGGAGGGCGAGGGTGGCAAGGTTAAGCTGATTCAAGCTGGTGCATTCAAGGAAGATATCGCAGCTGCAATCATGGCGCACCCCTTGGCCAGACACCAGTTTGAGAAAGGGTTTTCAGGCCTTGCTGGAATGAGGATGATCGGAAGCTACAAGTTCCGCGTCGAATTCAGAGGTAAGGAGGCCCACGCTGCAGGAGAGCCATGGAATGGTGTGAACGCGCTCGATGCGGCAGTTGCAGCGTACAACAACATCTCGTTACTGCGTCAGTCAATGCGGCCGGATGAGCGCGTGCATGGCGTGTTTGAGGAAGGCGGAACGGTGCCGAACATCATCACCGAATACACTCGAATGAACTGGTATGTGCGCAGCCCGTCGATGAAGCGTGGCAAAGCCCTTCTAGACAAGGTCCGGAAGTGTTGCGACGCAGCAGCGCTGAGCACTGGTTGTACACTGAACTACAAAGAGTAAGTCGAGTCCACGAAACGTACCTTCATGGCTGATGGTGGAACCAGCAATCCCACATATAAGGATCTGCGGGTCAATGAACCCCTCAGTCAGTGCTATGTCAATGAAATGGCATACATTGGCGAGCAGGTTACCCTGAGACAAGATGAATGCTTCACGGCGTCAACGGATATGGGCAAGTCAGCTCCCTGTTTTGGCGGGTTCCTGAGCTGACACTCGACCAGGCAATGTCTCATATGAAGTGCCATCCTTCCATGGAGGCTTTGGGATTCCCACGGACCCCGATGTAGCGCAGCACCATCCGCGCTTCGCACATTTTGCGGGCCGTGACAGTGCCCACGAGGAAGCCATCAAGGTCGGAAAGGGCATGGCGCTGCTGGCGCTACGTGTCATAACGGATCCCGAACTGATCAAAGACGCAAAGGCAGACTTTGACATACCACCAGACGAGTGAAGAGCAAGATGCGTGAGTAAGCACCGTGGGGACCTGAACGCGTTGAACGCGTCCGCATTGATCTTGGTAGGGTTAGGGCTGTGTATGCCAAGGTCATTTGAACGAGTCTCGCCATTCTCTCTTCAAATTTTTGAGCTTTTCGTCTTGTTGTCTTCAATATTGCTGCGGATCGAGTCACGCTCGATTGCTGCTTGACTCGACCTTCGAAATGCTGAAGTGTCTCAATGTGAAACACCGCTTCTACCTTTGCTAGAGCTGATCGCCTCAATGCCCCAGGGTGAATCAGTGTGGACAGGGAAGCAAGACCGACACAAGCCTCGGCTACCACTCAAATAGTGGCGAGGCGTCCTCGATTCTACTACTGCTAAGCACCTGTTGCTCGTGGTTGATTTCATGGAGACATTCTCAACTATCTCAACGCGCCCGCTCGGGCTGCAACGTCTGCGAAATCGTCTCGGCTCACACCACTCCCCACACCTTTGTTGCCGTTGGCTTCCAGTATCATGGCTTTGAGGACGCTGTCATCCACGTCTTCCTTCAAAGTTTTGGCCACTTCTCGTAGATCCTGCATCGTAATCGGTCTGTCAACGCCTTTGGTGAAGAGCTTGAAGGCTTCATCAATTTGAACTTGCTGTGCGTGGTCGGCCTCTTCTGCAACGTCCGAGCCATCTTCGTCATCAGATTCGCTCCTTTGATCTTGATAGATGGCCGAGACCTCAAAGAACTGCTCAAACGTCACAATGCCCTCACTTTCAGGGTCAAGAATTTCCAGTGCTTCAGAAAGATCGGATGGTTTGAGTTTGAGTCCTTGTGCGGCGAACGCCTTCCTCACATCTTCCGTCCGCATGATGCCTTCCTTGTCCTGCTCATAGCCTGGCACATTCAAAGTGCGGAATGCTTGCCATGCTGACCGGATCTCAGCTTCCTTCTCCACGCTGATATTATGCTGCCTGGCCAACTTCGACCGTTTTGGTGGAGGCGGGCCAGCAGGCTTCACTTGTCGTCGTGGAGGCTAGGAGAGTCAGCAGATTGCAGGCTTTTTGATAGAGGCGGTACCATAGTCTCGTGCTCGTCGAACGAAGCATGCAGCACTCAAGCAATAGCGATGCATAGAAAGGCAGAGAATGATTGTGGCGATGACGTAGAGCGCACCGCCCGCTGTCTTCTTCCTGACAATCGCGAATTAATACCAACTATTGAGGAGCCGAAAAGGCGTCTAAATCGAGATTAGTCGAATGCCATGTTCTAGAGACACGAGGAGTGGAGGAAGAGTTAACAGCAGAAGAGGCGTAATGTCGTTGAATCGAACGGCGAGGCTGAGGCGAGGCTGAGGCGCTGACGTTCGATCTTCGCCGCCTAAGCGGCCACTTGACTCCCTTGTTGTCACTGAAGCGATGGAGCTTCCTATTGATCACTGATAGATCACTTCTTGACGTTCGATACCTCGCATCCGAGACTAGGGTAACGCCGGAGAGAAGCTATGGAAGTCGAATTATATGTCTATGATCTTTCGGGGGTGCGAGCCCCATCGCCAGGGATTGTGCTCTACTAACGAGTTGCAGGGGATGGCGAGACAATTCTCAATGGGGTTGGTCGGGCAACAGATCGACGCCATCTATCACACTTCCGTTGTCTTCAACAACGTTGAGCACTTTTTCGGCCAAGGCATTCATCGCAAAGTCCCTGGAACTACTCACCATGGTCGCCCCATGAAGGTGGTTAAGCTTGGCACAACCGACCTGCCCCTGGACGTGATCGAAGAGTTTCTGCAGTCGCTGGAGTCGATCTACACACCAGAGTCATACGACCTCTTCGTCCATAACTGCAACAACTTCTCTCAGGACCTAGCTATGTTCATGGTGGGGAAGAGCATTCCCGACGAGATCAGGAGTCTGCCCGAGACGTTCCTGCGGACCCCAATTGGTCAGATGCTACGAGGGCAGATCGACCAGAGCATGCGGACAATGACCCAAGCACCCGACGCTGTTGCGGGAGCGAACGCTCCTCGACCTCGAGCAAACGGCACAGCGTCTCACGCTCTCACCAAATCGACCGCCAATGGCACGACAAAGACGCCATCTGCGCCACATACGAAACCTACGTTTGTCAATGCATACAACCAACAATCTCAACCAGGCCAAGTCTACAACGTCACTGCCAGCTCTGTCCTAAATAATCTCTTGGCGAGAGCATCAAATTCCAGCGCCATCATCTTCTTCACCTCAGCCACTTGTCCACCTTGCAAGCTACTGTACCCGACCTATGACGAGCTCGCAGAGTCAACGCCCGAAGACAAATGCATTTTCATCAAAGTGGACGTGTCGCAAGCCTATGACATTGGCTCTCGATACTCGATACGTGCTACTCCTACTTTCATCACCTTCCTCAAGGGTCAAAAATGCGACGAGTGGAAAGGCGCTGACAATGCCGCTCTCCGAGGTAACGTTCGTCTCCTAATACAAATGGCATCACCTACGTATCGGCACCGGGATCTCAATGTGCCAACATTCAATCGCCTTGTGGAATCGCCTATCACATTTACCAAGACACCGCCCCTAGATAAGCTTACCGCAAAGCTCGGCCAATGCGGCACCGAGCACTCCGTGGCAGCCCTTGTCACCTATATCAGAACGCGCGACGCGGAAGGCATGGCTAATGCGGCTCTGCCCGACCTGCACGCTCTGAGCACTTTCATCAGCACCAAATATGCTTCAATCCCTGTGGACCTTCGCTTCGCTCTCATCGACCTCCTACGGACTGCAGCCATCGACCCTCGCGTTTCCTCTTTCCTCGCCTCAACGCCCACGATCCTGATGACGGTACTAAGCCGGTCTTCTGCGGCATGGCAGTCTGCACCATATCCTCTCCGCCTCACAGCCTGTCAGTTAGCATGTAATCTGTTTACCTCGCCGGTGTTCCAAGACTCTTTAGCAACTATGCCCAACAAGGTACGAGACCTCATCGAAGAGCTCGCCGCGGCTTGCGTTGTCGGAGATCAGGGAACTCCGAAAGTACAGCAAGCTGCTGCCGCTGTCATCTACAATTTCGCCGCTCTCAACCATAATGAACGTCTACAAGGCCGGCCGGATCGGTTTGTTGTCAGCGAAGACGTGGAGGCCGCCGTGGTGAGCAGCGTGTACGAGGAAAGCAAGGACCTCGAGTCTCTACGAGGGGCGCTCTTGGCCCTGGGCATGCTCGTGTTCACTGGAGAGGAAGGTGGTGGCTGCGAAGGGCTATGCGAGGCGATGGAAATGGGCGAATGTCTCAAGGGTAAAGAAGGGGTAGAGGCGTTCAAGGACACGAAAGGCCTGATTGGCGAGGTCAGACGGATTCTAGCGGGCAAGTAGGCTCCTATCTAAGAGTAAACTTAATTGGCGCATATGTAGTAGAATTAGACACCCTTGAGAGCCAACCATGCCGAGATCAAGCAACTTCAAAGTAGAAAGGTGAGAGGGTACCATTCTGGGGGAGTGGGGTATTATCCGGCGCAAGGCTCCGAGCTCGTGGGGGTTTGCATTGGGGATCCAATGTCACCGTTCTCGACACATATACCATCAATCCTTTGCAGTAATTGTGACGCTGTAATACCAGCCATACAGAGAGACAGCCGGAGAGAATGTCGGCTACTCCAAAGGTTCCATCCACGCGAATAGGATGGATAGGTACATCACCTGAATCCAGCAGCTGTCAATTGTCCCTGCTCATATGTCACAGGCCTAGGCAACATGGGCCTGGCGATGGCCAGCAACCTCCAGAACTACCTCGTCTCCATTTCTGGCCTTCCACTTGCGTACAACAACCGCACGATGTCGCGAGGCGAGCCACTAGCACAGCTAGGTGCCAAGCCGTACTCATCAGTCACTGATCTCGTGGCCAACTGCGACCTCATCTTCATCTCCGTACGTTTCCCCGACCAACAACTCCTCACAGACTCTCTCTGACAACCTGTGCCTCCAGCTCTCCGATGACGCCGCCGTAACCCAGACCATCACCAGCCTCCTCACTCAACGGCCCAACCTCTCCGACAAAACCATAATCGACACCTCGACCGTCCACCCCAACACCACCGCCCAGCTCACCACAGCCCTCACCGCCGCGCACGCCCACTTCATCGCCGCGCCCGTCTTCGGCGCCACACCCGTCGCGGAAGCCGGCCAACTCCTCTTCGCGCTCGCCGGTCCCACCGAGGGCATCACGCTCGCCAAGCCTTACATCGAAGCCTGCCTCGCTCGCGCCGTCATCAACGTCTCCGCCACGCCGCGCGACGCCACGCTCCTCAAGACGACGGGCAACTTCATCACCGCCGCGCTGGCCGAGACGGTCGCGGAGGCACACGTCTTTGCCGAGAAGGCTGGGCTGAATGCTCAGGTGCTGGAGCAGCTGATCGTGAGGAACTATGGTGCGTATGCGGGGAGTATCAGTGAGAAGCTGACGCAGGGGGTGTATGCGCCGCCGAAGGGGGAGCGGGCCAGGAGTGATATTGGGTTGGCGGTTAAGGATGTGGGGCATGGGGTAGAGAGTGCGAGGGAGGTAGGGTGTAGATTGGAGGTGGCGGAGGTGACGTTGCGGAGACTGGAAAAGGCGCGGGAATGGGGAGCCAGAGAGGGGAGGGCGTTGGATAGCAGTGCGGTGTATGGTGTTTTGAGGCAGGAAGTGGGGTTGGGTTTCGAGAGAGAGGATGTTCTTCAGCGACGAACAGATGCGTAGATCCGCTTCAGGACGTAGGTGCATATTCAGGCCGGTGACAACTGTCTCGCCATGTCGGTCACTGTCTAGCTCAAGTGTAGAGGCTCAATGTGACATGAAGACTCTACAGAAAGGAGAGCTCACGGCCCTTGCCAGCAAACACTTCCCACCAGAGAGCCTGGACCAGTACATCAAGAGTCTTCTTCTCCTTGGTACCCTCGAATGCAATGCAAAGTCCCTCATCGCTGGCCACTGGGCAAGGCTAGTCGTCGGATATACCGTGGGCGGAAGCGGTGTGGCAGACGGCGCAAGGATCAAAAGGGCTTATGTATTTGCCGAAAGACTAGGCTGCCCAGGCTCTCGGCAAGCATACGAGGATATATAGCGTATTCTTACCTCCTAGAAAGATCTTTAAAAAGGCGCTTCACCAGCAAACTCGGCTTGGTCTGTCTCTCTTCCCATTCACAAGCATGCGTGAAATACACTTCGTGGTCATAGGCGATTATCAGCAGGCTGTCAAGGATATCACGCTCGAAGCCGCTAGAGCGCGATCCCACGCTGCTCGTGTATCCCGCAAGCAGAAAGTGGCTGCACGAGCATCTCAGCAAAAACAAGCCAAAGGCCTCGTTACGACAGATGCTGGGTTACCTGTCGACTGCCAGCTACAAGAGGACGAACCGACTTCCGTTTCGTCGGCTCTGACGACGGGCAGCTACCACACCTGGAGATCTCGCCCTGAGACTTGGCAGATGTGTAAGCGCAAGTCGCAACGGCGTCTCACAACTACGGCATGGCAGTGGATCACTGGCACGAGTATCGACCCATTTTCTGTTATACCTGGAGCGGACATGGACACGGATTCGCGAGAATGGGAATTCCGTAAGATTTTCCGACAACTCCTACAGCTCCATTAGCTTACCCTAGCCATGCCAGTCGTCCGATGTATAGCACCAACGATTGCATCACTCAACCATGGACTCGGAGTATTCAATGTGTATGGACGGTGGCTCTTCGAGCAGATGGCGCAGTCACGGGTGCTCTTCCACGTCATCATGGCTTCAGCAAGGAGCACCAAGGATGTATTGACCGGCGTCGACTTCTCTACTGGTGTCTTCCTCCATAAGGCGAAGGCTCTCACTCTTCTCCGGAAGCAACTGATGGCAGACACACTTCCTCTCAACGACGGCTCGATCCTGGCTATGCTATTCCTTTCAATGCTTGAACAAGCAGTGGGCGATCAGGCCGCCTCGATCCTGCATCGATCTGCCGCAGCTAAGATGATCAATGTTAGACGGACACGAGGTACTTTAGACCCTGGGAGTAAGATTGATGCGATCATCGCGCAGTACGTCCGTTATCGCGGTCTATGGATGCGACTGACCCAGCGTGTAGATTCAATGTCTGGAATGCCCCACAAGTCTATCCTCATGGCTCGTATCTGCAGGTGAAAGATTCACCCAAATACGAAGCTTCTCATGGGGCGATAGAGCTTCCTGAAGGGTTTCAGCGGATCGCTGTAACGCTATCGATCGAGACCTGCCGTGCCATTGGCCAAATAGCAAATCGCCACCGCCAGCCAGTCCCCTTTCACCAAGATAGTCATTGGGAGGAAGCGCTATATGGCGACTTCAGGCAGGTTTGGCCCGCGCTCACTCTACCTGATACCCTCGACGGACCAGCGTTGGAGAAATTGATCTGTATCGCACTGATCCGGTACTCGGTATGTCTCAACCCAGACTCTGAAAGCATCCCTGCTGACTCTTCCAACAGTATGTACACCACCAGACTCCATTCCGTCCCTTTAGAAAAGCCTCCTTCACCCCTTTTCAGTGCCGAGTCAAGCTGACCGAACCCTTCCACAGCTTCAACACCATCATCCTTGGAAGACCACGAGCATGCATCTATCACAATCTCAGCACAGAGCTGCTCAATAAGCTGCCAGAAACAACGCCTCCGGTCAACGTGGACGAGCGTCACGCTCTGCTCTGGGTGTACTTGATGGCAGTCGATTGTTGGTTTATTTGCGACCATGCCATCATTAGCGCCGAGGCACTGTATCTGTTGAATCGAATGCGCGACGCGTTTCCTGAAGTCTCCGACTGGACGGCCGCCGATTTCGACAAGTTCGGAACGCGGTTCTTCTGGAGCTCGAATATCTCGAAGATCATTCAGAAGTACTGGGTGTGCCATGGGAAGTAGTCGCACCTGGATACTCTAGACAAGAACTGAAAAATTGATATGGAGACATGCGATGACGGGCTGCATGCGCCTACGATACGCATGATTTTTACATGACTGCTTAAGAAGCTGTGGGAGGATTAATATGTAACCATCTTGAAGAGTATTTCGCCAGGATAGCGTTCTTGCTAGTCCAGGCTCTGTCATCAATCTAGCAGCGACATTTCTTCCAAAGTGTTGAAGACTCTGTATGTCATTGAGTAGAGATCGTGTATCTCCTTCCCCCTACCCGAAAATCGAGCCACGACTATATCTATCTTCTTCGTATTCTTTTTTTGGACTCTCCGCTGCCCGAGGCCCTGCAGGTTCTGAGCCTCTCACGTTTCGTTTCGAAAGATAGATCATCTCAGACCTTTCGACTTGTGCGATCTGACTGCGCATCTGCAGCCAACCGCAGTCATTCAATGGACCCCCCCTTTCTCCTCACCACGGATGCCTCCCTTCCCATTCACTGAAAACACCGTGCTGGCCATCCTTGTCAAGATCCACAGCCAACCTACAGATCTCCAACGCACCCTCGCTAGGATGGCTCGCCATCGGATGGAACCCCGTCAGATTCGTGGACCTGAAGCCCGGCGAAACGATGTTGACTTTAAACCCCTCCTTGCCGAGCTGCACGGCGTACTGGGCCCCGACCATGTTCATGGCGGCCTTGGAGGTGAAGTACGGCTTGGCGTCGTAGCCGTGGAAGGGGCGGGAGGCGTCCAGGCAGTAGGTGATGGAGCCCCATTCGGAGGACGTGAAGAGCAGGCGTGGCTGGTCGGCCTTCTTCATCAAGGGGAGGAAAGCTTCGGTGACGCAGGCGGCACTGATGGCGTTGGTCTCCATGACTTGGCGCATGTTGTCGCGGAAGGGCACGCCGTCCACGGACATGATGCCGGCGTTGTTGATGAGGACGTCGAGGCGGCCGTGGTGGGCTTCCAGGTGTTGGACGGCTTTGGTGATGGATGTGTCGTGGTTGACGTCCAGCTCCAGGGCTTCGACGGAGGTGTGCTCCGCGAGTTTGGGGAGAGTGGCGACCGCCTTCTGTCCGTTGGCGTGTGACCGTGATGCGAGGAAGATGTGGAAGTTGGGCTGCTCGGTGGCCAGCTTCTTCACAATCTCGAATCCTATTCCTTGGTTTGCTCCGGTGACGAGGACAACCGCTGTAGCTTTGGACAGTAATCCCATTTTCGCAGCGTCGAATCTTTGTCAAGCTACTAGTCTGTAGTAAACTGTTCACTCCAGTGTGCTTGTAGTGTTCTTGTAGTGTCTGAAGAAGAGACATTTCGAGAGCAGGTCTCAGGGCTTTATATAACATTCCGAGCGGCCTAGGACTCACACTCTTGATCGAGCTCCGGGCATTATCTCCGTCCGTCCTATTTTCTGTTGACGTTTTATTTCTACATCAAGTGAGGATACATTGGTGGTATGGTTCTATCAGTGAGCATCAAACCCATATCCACAAGTCCCAAAGAGGAATACATAGCAGGACAATTTGCACTATGAAATGCAGCTAGTGCTTAGTTCGCGAGCTGGGTTCCACGGGTGGCGCCCTGCTGCGGCTGCGTTTGTCATCATCTCGAGTCCATATTCCAGCTCACAGATGCCGCAGCATGAAAACACTCCTCATTCATTGCTACTGAGTGTTACAGCCGAGCAAGGTCTCCAAAGCCTTGTGTTATCTCCGTATGTCGACTGCCAAAACAACATCAACGAAAGGAACAGTACCTCTCGGCCGGCTTCGTGCTGCGCGATCCATTGCCGGCTGCCTCACGTGCAAGTAGGTAGATACATTCCATCTAACGCCATGAACTAAACCGGACGCAGGCAGCGACGTGTCAAGTGCGACGAGACGAAGCCAACCTGTGGGCGATGCGCACGCTCTGGTCGCGTTTGCAGAGGCTACTACTCCACTCCCGAGCGAACTCCCGCTACGGGCTATCTTGTCATTAGCACAGGCCCCGGCAGGGACGATTGCAAGCGTAGCGCCCATAGAGCTTTTCAATTCTTCCGACAAGTTTATGTTGTCCAAATCTCACGCCAAACACGGCCCTTCTTCTGGGACGGTCTGCTCTTGCAGGCATGCCACACAATAGAGAGCATCAAGCACTTGGTACTAGCAGTATCGTCACTGGCTTTGCACCGGCTGGAATACCCTGAAGGTGATTCGGATTGTCTAAAGTTCCTGATTCATCATGGAAAGGCCATCTCACTGTTAAGCACTGCGCCGAGCCCAGATGCGGGGGTGCTTCTCATGGCTTGTACTCTCTTTGTCCTCTGCTGCAGACTCCAGAATCAAGAGTCTGCTGCCAGTCGGCATATACGTTCCGGAGAGCGGATTATTGAGACGTATCTTGATCAAAGAGATCGCGGGTACATCAATCCTGTCATCGAAGAGGTTGCATCTGTGTTTCCACATCTCGCCTCCACTCAAGTCTGAAGTCTTGTTCCGGGGCGTCGTCGCTCAGGCCCGAAGGTATTTCGAGGTATATCGGCTCTCAGAGAGAAGCCTGGGCTGTTTGAACACTTATGGGTGATAGAAGTTACTGAGCCTTGTGTATCAGGAATAATATCAAGAAGTCATAGCGCTATAGAGTTTATAACCACTAGACGACATAGCAATACTAGGATTCTAGGATCCCATCAACAACCACTCCATGCTACAGAACACATAGCGCATGTTTCAAGACCATAGCAAAGGTCAATGGTTGTTTGAGGCTGCAGCTTCTTCGTAGAGTAGTCCTCTCAACGATACTTACGAAGACTCGCAGCCATAGGCACAGCTAGGTAGAGTCTGCGAAGGTGTTTATACTGAAATCTCTGGCCGTAGAAGAGAGCTTTACCACTTATATTGCACAAACTATTCCTCGCCCGGAAGCTTTACTAGCTTTGGCAAGCCGAATTTTGTCTCTTGATTATTCAGACCAACAGTCCTCAGCCGGCAATGTAGTTGACCATCAACTGCGAGATGGGTGCACCCCCAGGACTCGGGTCGATGTTTCCTCTAGAAGAGGTTGACAGAGGGGTGATAGTTGCTGCTCAGCCGTGGTTTTAGCATTGTGTGATCAGCCGGCACCGTTGCTTTGGATCTTACTGTAGCAATTGAGGAATCGTCCCAGCTTTGTGCCCTCATCTTATGGAGTGGTTGATTCGTAGTGCGAGGACTTTATGAAGGCGCGGTACACTTTCGAAGTCTTTCCAATTAGCAAAAAGCCCCAGCTTGACTGATTCGCGACGCCGCATCGTACCCCGAAAACCAAAAGTACCTACTTTATGCCGGGCATCATCAAGGTCGCCACAAGATTCCAGGTCAACGTCCGATTATGCCAAGTAAAAATGCAGAGAAAGCGTCGAGAACTGACAGAGGTGAGTTGTAAGGCAAAGCATCATCTTATTGATACAAAGCACTATGATATGACATTGCTCGAAGAGAAGTAGAGATCTTTATGCCCTTATCACGTGGGTATCTACCAGCTTTTTCCGGTCCGGCAATGTACAATGGCTTTCATATCGTACAGCAACGCGTCTCGTCCTCCTCATGTCGATTATTGGCTTATTTGACGATACGCGTGACCAGCCCGGTGGCTACAGTTCGGCCGGACTCACGAACATTGAACCGAATTCCTGGCTCCATGGCGACAGCGTGGTGGAGTTTCATGACCATCTCGACGTTGTCACCGGGCATGACCAGTTTGGTCACGTCGTCGGTGCCCTCGGGCCACTTGAACTCGACAGCCTCGTCACCGGTTCGAATGAAGCACTGGGGCCGGAAGTTCTCGCCGAAACCGGCCTTGCGACCACCTTCTTCCTCGGTCAGAACGTAGAGTGAGACGAGAGCCTCCTTGTGAGCCTTGAGAGATCCGGGCACAGCGATGACCATACCACGCTTAATGTCCTCGCGACGGACACCACGAAGGAGAAGACCAGAGTTATCACCAGCGCGGGACTCGTCGCACGACTTCTTGAAGGTTTCAATATCGGTGACTTTGGTCTTGATGGGCTGTGCCAGGTTGCCCACAATCTCGACCTCGGAATCCTTCTTGAGCACACCTCGCTCGACACGGCCGGAAGCGACAGTACCACGGCCAGCAATAGAGAAGACTTCTTCCACGGACATCATGAAGGGCTTGTCGAGGTCACGCTCAGGAGTAGGAATCCATTCGTCAACGGACTTGAGGAGGTTGTCGATCTGGTCCACACCGATGTCGGGCTGCTTTCCTTCGATGGCGCACAGCGCGGAGCCGAAAATGATGGGAGTCTCGTCACCATCGAAGCCGTAAGTAGTGAGCAGTTCGCGCATCTCCATCTCGACAAGCTCCAACATCTCCTTGTCTTCGATGGTGTCAACCTTGTTGATGAATACCACGACCCTTTGCACACCCACTTGGCGGGCGAGGAGCAGATGCTCCCTTGTTTGAGGCCTGTCCCCGTTAGCCTGCACCTGCGGGTTGTGGATTTGTCTTACATCTGTCCATCACCAGCAGCGACTACAATAACAGCTCCGTCCATGTTTGCGGCACCAGTAATCATGTTTTTAATATAATCAGCGTGGCCCGGGCAGTCAACGTGGGAGTAGTGTCGGTTGGGGGTCTCGTATTCGATATGAGCCGTCGAAATGGTGATACCACGCTTGCGCTCTTCAGGGGCTTTGTCGATGGAGCCATATTCGAGGTACTTAGCGAAGCCCTGCTCGGCTTGCCGCTTGGTGATGGCGGCAGTAAGGGTGGTCTGAGAAGGTTAGATGGGTCCAAATTTGTCGAAGTTTTGCTCACCTTTCCATGATCAACGTGACCAATGGTACCTGTATCCTGTCAGCATCGGAAAAAATTCTCGATTGCCGTCACCGCATACCGATATTCACGTGAGGCTTCGATCGCTCGTAGACAGCAGCATAGTGTCGAGCGGCCAATCTGTCATGGCCAAAGGCTCTGAGAACGGGATTGCCGCCGTAGGTTTTGGTCGCTAACCGCGAGGACCGCAGAAAGTGTGTGACGGAACGATTGAAAGCCATCGCCGACGCCGCAAAGAAACGAAGGGATGAAAGAGGGGAGATGGGAGAGAGAAGAGAGCGATGCAATGGTCGCAGGAGAGCTTCGACGCGAAAGTCGAAGGTCGCATGCACTTTTTGAAGAGCTCGGAGATATGTTAATCCGACTTTTTGGGGCGGAGAACGTCAGTATATTCCAATAGTATAATGATTCAGTCTCCCAGTATCCTCCCAAGCTCGAGAAGTGTTCTAAGCAGCACGAGCTGCATGTCTACATGTCTCAATGCTTTTTCGGCCCAGTCTCGCGAGTTCAACGCAATCTTGCGCGCCAGCGCGTTGCCCACATCAGTCTTAGCGAGAAATCTGACCACTTCAGGAAGCTCTTCGAAACTTGTACTAATTGGAATGAAGTGCAGCCATGGCAAAAGCCGGTCATCATGCCATTCTTGAAACACAGTCTGCTTTAGTACCACTGAATTGGTGCGCAGCAAGCGGTGATATCGACCACTGAAGCTGTTGCCGTCCAGGTCAAGGAGGAACTTGTGCAGATGGATTTCGCTCTCTGGATCTCTTAGCTCCTCGACTCCAATACCGAAGACGTTCTTCTCCTCTTCACAGATGGCGCTCTCACATTGCCCGGTTGTGCCAGTGATGCGTACCTGGACAATGTCGGCAATCCCGTCGGCCGTTGAATTGTACGTTCTCCATCCAGCTGACGTTGCGTACTTGAGGAGCTGGATCGGCGATGATGATCCGTTGCTCAGCATGAGGGCGAGTCTCTGACGCTGCATATGCATCCAATTGTCGTCTTTCGCATATCCACCGGTCGCACTACCTGTCCAATATAACGTTGACGCTTTGTCTTCCCACTTGACGGCATCGGAAACCTCATTACCTCCCCAGTAGTGGGGACTGGGGAATAGAATGTCGCTGAACACGCTCGGTTTTGCTTGCGACATAATAGGTACAGGTAGGTGTGTAAGTTGGAGATTCGCCGGAGCGAGTAGGAAGCCTTCCTGCTTGTGCAGGTCGCAGCTAGAGCAGACGTCTTTGCTTTTGGCCAAATCCGTGATCATCTCGATAGCCGGCTGTTTCAGTGCCTCGCATACAACGGATCTGGCCGGAGCAATGGGCTCACATCCTAGCTTGACCGACGGCCAGACATCTTTTTGCGCCAGGTCGGAGAACAGCAATGTGCCTGCGGGTGTCGCGTCGCTAGTTACCTTTGGAATGACGACTTTTGGCTCATCGTAAACGTTCATGACTGCCGTCATGTCTGGTAGGAGTGCCAACCAGTCCCACGGCAGGAAAGATCGCATCGAGTTAGCGAACCAGGATGGCCCAGACCCAGCTTCGGCCGAAAACTTTCCTTTCCGTATCTCATACCTGAGCAGCTGTTCCGGAAGTTGACTCATTGCACGATCGACGAGTCGCCGAAGCTCCTCGCCCGGAACCTTGCGGAAAGGCGCCAGAGATTCCATGATCGTGTCAAATTCATCAACGAGCACAAACTCGTTCTGTCGGGCCAGTTCGAACCACTTGTCGAAGTTGGGCGGAGGTTCTAAGCTGTATCTCCTCGTATATTCTGCCGTAGCTGCCTCAATACTCTGCGACTGCCGACTGAGAAGTCTCACGAAGTTCTGCTCGGCTGCCGCGACGGCGGCTTCGAGCGGATGTACTGCATTCTGTGGATTCACAGAACTATAGACATCAATGATCCCTCTCTGCAGGTTGGAAAGTTGCCAGTACGAAAGTACGATAAGCAGCACGAGGATCAGCAAAAGGCGCGGCTTGCGTGCCAAAGGAAGGGATCCAGATTGGTTCCATCGCATCATTCAGCAGTCCTGTTTGTTCTCAGCCGGAATGAACACGGAATGCCATTGATGATCCTGTCAAGAGAGAGATAGACTCATGTTGAGGCAGTGTAAGAGCAAAATAGGAGTTACTTGTGGGTCCCTTCTCGTGCATTCGGGGACTCGGTAAACCCCCACTAAGATCCGGCCGGCTGAAGGTGCGGAAACGCGTGGTAGTGAGACAGCCAAAATCGCGGACTCTAACTGCGTTTGCTGACCATGTTGCATACACGACATGGGGACTGAGAAAATGATTAAGCGCTTCTCTCGTTCATGTCTCCGCGACCGCTGTCAATAAGGCACGTGTAAAGTTCAGCCTTGTAGCGTTTTTCTGCAAGGCTGAGTATGTAAACCTCAGATTCATCTTTGCACTCGCTATTCGACGTCTCGGTCCTTGCACAGGCCTGTCGTAAGCATGGGCAAAGGTATGCACACTATCCTCGCTCGAATCAGCATGCTGAACAGCTTTTACAGGAACCGATAAGCTATACGTATGCATACAGCCTCCGGCGCAAGATGACAGTGCTAACATCCGCAGATCACTCATAGCGAGTGGAACTCGAGCGATGCCTACTCGGCTTCCGCTGGCTCCAACGTACGAGCAGACCGCAGCGACCACGCTGCATTTAAGCGATTACCATTCAACTATTGCTCTTTGAGCTTACAGCCCTTCGAGACCCCCGTCTGTACGGCCGAGGGCCTCACATTCGATCACGAGAATATAATACGATGGCTCATGAAGCACGATACCAACCCTGTGACTGGTGGGCCACTCAAGCAGTCAGACCTCATAAAGCTGAACTTTGCGAAGAATGACAGCGGAGAATGGGTCGATCCTGTCACCTACAAGGTCTTGACGGACAATACACATATCGTTGCAATCCGCCATAGCGGGTCGGCGAACGTGTTTGCGTGGGAGACTGTCGAGAGGTTGAACATAAAAGCCAAGATGTGGCGGGATCTTGTCTCGGACGAAGAGTTCAAACGATCGGATATTATCACACTTGCCGATCCTCAGAGTCCCGAATCTCGAAACCTCAGCGACTTCAAGTACTTGAAGGAGGGAGAAGATACCGGCATACCCAAAGATGAGGCTAGCATCAACACCTCGGCCATGGGTAACGCCGCAAATCTGAAGATCATGAAGGCAAAAGAGGCAGCAGCTAAAGCGCGAGCAGAGCGGGCGAACGGCGTGGTCCAGAAGGCCGACGGCAAGACTGCATCTAAAGTCGCACCAGCGGTCCAGAAACCCGCCAGCGCACCATATAACGCGAAGCATCACACTACCGGCCAGGCAGCTGCATCATTTACTTCTACTGGGATGACAGTACATACCGGCGCACAGCTTGCCCTCATGTCAGACGAGGAGTACTTGCTCCGGCCGAAGCGCGTCAAGACGTCCGGATTCGCGTTAATCCGCACAACCTTGGGCGAGCTGACCATCGAGCTCCTTCCCGAACACGCGCCGAAAGCAGTGTACAACTTTGTCAAATTGGCGCAAAGGGGCTACTACAACGGCATAATCATCCACCGCAACATCAAGAACTTCATGATGCAGACTGGCGATCCCACAGGAACTGGCCGTGGTGGCGCAAGCATCTGGGGAAAGAACTTTGAGGATGAATTCGAGGGCCCACTACGACATGATACGAGGGGCGTAATGAGCATGGCTAATAAAGGCAAAGACACAAATTCCAGCCAGTTCTTCATCACCTACCGCAAAGTGCCACATCTGGACCGCAAACATTCCATATTTGGCCGCGTAGCGGAAGGTATGGATGTGCTGAAAGCGATCGAGGACAGTTCGACCGACGAGAAGGATCGACCGCTGGAACAAATCAAGATGTTGGATGTCAAGGTCCTGGTGGATCCTTTCGAGGACTTTATCAAGAAAAAGCAGGAGACAGATATCGCCGAGCAGGAGCGGGAGCAGCGGAGGCGGGAGGGCAAGGCCGAAGATGAGCAGTTGACGTGGACGGGCAAGAGGATACGGCGGGATGGCACTCTTGAAGATACAGGTGGAGGAGTGGGCAAGTATTTGAAGCAGGGTGTTGCAGGCGGTGTTGTTGCAGCGGATGATGACGATAACGGGGAGCCAGTGAAGAAGAAGTCAAAGGCGAAGGGGGGCTTCGGCAATTTTGAAAGCTGGTAGCCGCTAGACACTACCTCATCCAATCCTCCAAGTAGTCAAATCCATGTCCCAAGACATTCACTGCCTCAGATGTCGGCGAACCGTTTCTCCGGGCCCGAACTGAGGCTCTCACCCCGCCCGCCGACGTGCCTCCTAGATTACTGCAACGAGGCTACCGCTCGCGTCGAAGGTTGGATTACTTATGCTGTCAGCAACTAATTTAAGCTCTTTGCCCCGGCTGACTGACCTGATATTTGCTGGTCCGGTCATTGAAATCAAGCATTATACCTCCCATCAAGCTTCCGCATCCGTGCTGTCTGATCTGCTTTGCCAAAAGTCGTAGCTGAAGTGCTTTTGGGACTGGATTATCTCAACTCACAACCGAACGGTATACAGAGATCTACACTATCGATTCACGACTCTGTTATTGCGAGCCGGTGCTGAACGTCCTCAATCCATTGGAGAGGCTACTGGCGGCGTCCAGACCCCAGAGCCAGCGACAAGGTGGCCGCTTCAGTTTGCTCATCACACTCATCCAGCTGCTCACTATATCTGGTCTTCGCCGTGCAGACACTCTGACGGATGTCTGACCAACTCTCATGATACTCCCTCACATCTCCGACCCAAAGCCACCATGCAAACCACGCTACGCACCGCATTCATCACCGACCTCCTCCTCCCATCACCGCATTCCCTCCCCACCCTAAACCCCGCCTCCATCTCCCAACTAGGCTACGACACAGCCCTCGCCCTCCTCCACGACAGTGAATCCTTCATCCGGAGCAACCCGCTCGTCACCAACGTCCGCCCCGTCACCAGCCCCTCGGACTCCAAACACTACATCGACGTCCCCACCTTTTGCCAGGAATTCAACCTCTCCCCCACCGGCGATCCCTCCCGCGGCATCTCCGACCAATGGACCCAATACGAAATCACTGATAAGCTAAATTGGGGCCTCGGCAGCTCCGACCTAATCTATACGACCGCCATGCGCCGCATCCCGGGGGGGTTCGAATCCATCACCTCCCCCGGCAGCGGCGTGCGCATCTACGGCCGCTTCGAGATCCTGCGGCCCTCAGAACTCGGCCGCCTCGCCACCACTTCCCACATGGAACAAGGCGCCACGCCTGGCGGCGCGGAGGGCGGCCCTGACTCTACCCACTCCCACCAGCAACAACAGCAGCAGCAGCAGAAACAACACCCCAACGCCGTGCCAGCAGGCTGGGACACCCACCCGGACGCCGACGGCGTCGTGCACTTCATCGAGCACAACGAGACCAAGTGCAACGCCCTGCTGGGCGTCTACATCAAGGCCACCAATACCAAGAGCCACCAAGCCATGCACGAGAACTTTAAGCGGAGGTGGGGGGAGAACATCAAGCGCGTCTTGGCCGCCGAGGTGAGAGTGAGAGATGCTGGAGCCCGCTCTGGGCCGGGAGCTGGGGCTGGGGCCGGGGTCGAACAGGGCCGGTAACGACTGCGGCACTTGCCGCGGGGAATGGGTGGGGGGGTCGCGGGCAAAGAGACGAGCGGGTGCATGGGAGGAAGCTAGCGTCAGGGCAAGCTATGAATTTGCCGTACCGACTGGCATGCGTGAGAAGGTAGGGCAACGGCAACGGCAACGACATTGGCAATGGGATGTTGGGGAAGGGAAGGGCACCAGAAGACGAGAGCCGGGAAACTCGGAGAGCACCTCGGTTTTTTTTTTAATACTGCGGGTGGTATAGTAATAGTATACACAGCTCGACCTTTCCACGAGGGCGAGGCTACCTAGGGTGTACCAGCCTTCTACCCTGGCTGCATCTACCGACTGACTAGACCTCAAAGTACGCTTTGGGTCAGGCCTGGTTTTCCCCCAAGTGTACACACGACCATTATCTATCGATCGATAACCTTTTGCGCCACCTCGATAGATACTTCATTCCAAATCCCGCTCCGCTTCAACCAGGCCCCGTTTTCCCATGCCTCGCTAATATGAATGTCGTCGTAATACATAAGCCCTTGAACCAAGCGAACCGCTTCTCCAAATAGATAAGTCGGCTCCAAAACTGCTTATTGCCATGAACTCTCCTTGCTGTGTCCGCCGATGGCCTCACCCGGCCACAAACCTTACAGGCACAACCCACTCGCCACTGAATTCGACGCCCTGACGCCTCCGGCTCCCATGCCGCTGCCATGCCACGGTACTGATACCCACATCGGCCACACAGACCTCCCAATCCGGCACCGCGTCACCCGCCTCCAAGCTCAGGCCCATCGCCTGCAGAAGACCCGTCTTGGGTGCGCCGAGGCATACGATGCGCGCACTGCTCATGCGGAAGAGCTGATTGTCCACATGTGTGAAGTAGCCGGAACTTGCGTTCATCCCACTGGGCACATCGACGCTAAGCACATTTTCCGTGCGGCTCGCCCACCGCGTCATCTCGAACGCGGCCGCCAGGTCGTCCGTCCGCAGCTCGTCAGGCGTGACGTGAATACCCATGATGGCGTCTACGATGATATCCGGCTGCGGTGCCCCGCCGGACAGTTTGGATTGGTATTCGTCCCAGCGCTCGACCCAGCCACCGCCCTTTTTGTAGATGTTGAGCTGTCTTCTTACGCTCTCGAGCACGCTCTCCTCTCGTTCGCCACCGAGCAGAATCACTGTGACGCGTAATCTGCGATTCCGGAGGTGTCGAGCCGCAACCACGCTGCGCGCTCCAGATTTGTGGTTGCCAATTAAGAAGACCACAGTCTTCACGTCAGCACCAGCCTTGAGAACCGCTTCAGCGATACTGCGGCCAGCATTCTCGGAGAGCATGTCTTCGCTGAGGCCGAGATCTGTGGTACATAACTGCTCAATTTCCAGCATCTGCAGGGGGCTGACGCAGTGGCAAGGCTTGTTGCTTGGGAGCCGGAAAGAAGCCTTGGTGCCGTTGACGCTGGCGCCGCCATTGATGGAGCTGGTGGCCACGCGCTGCAAGGGACGAGGGCTGGCCGTACGTTCGCTAGCCACATGACCGGGTATAACACTGGCTTTACGACTTGGAAGCGGATGACGAGAGTTGGCACGTCGAGACCCTTTGCTGCTCGAGTATTGGCTTGCTTCTAGTTCTTCTTCGAGTTCGGTCTCTCCAGCTTCACTTTTCCACTGGTCGTCTATTGGTGGTGCTTTCCTTGAAACTTCCCCGTCGAGAACATTCTCTGTGAAATGCAGGTTTCTGCCCCCATTCGTCCCGGGTCGTGCTACGCGGTTGAAGCTCACTAACCTATCATCATCAGGTATCGCGTCATCTTTGCGGAGGTCATCGAAGACCTGACGTTTATCGAATTTGCTGAGATTACCGGCAAAGTCGAAGTCGCCAAGGTCTTGGATGTCGGTCGCATCTTCTGTCGCCCACCCATTGGCATCTTCAGTCCGACGGCCACGTTGGCGCCGTGGAGTTCGTTCATCAAGAAGAGGCGTGTTGCGCCAGCCTTTACCCTTTCCAGGTTTCGCGTTCTTAGCCGCTGTTGTACCAGCGGATTGCTTCAGGGAACCATGTATATCTTTGATGTCGATTATGCCTGGCGCGGTGTGAGAGGGTGTGGATTTGTGCTTCTTGGTGGTAGACTTTTTATTCGTGTTCACTGTGCTGAGGGCCAGGGCATCGAAGGGCTCGGTAAGGATCGCAGTGGCTTCGGACTCTCGGCGGGTATTTCGAGCAGGCTGCGTTGTAGCGATGCTGGAGACTGAACTCTGCTTAGCTATACTGCGCCCTGGTTGGGACATAGGACTCGGTGTAGGGCCATCCGCGATCATGATGGGCGACACCGGGTGAATGGTGGGTTGTACTGGTTTGTTGTAGCTCAATATGGCTGGATCGACGAAAGCAGACTGCGAAAGCGGTTGTCGAGGTGGATGACCACCAGGAATCTGATGTGTGAGTTGAGGAGCAGCGGTAGGCGTCGGTAGATTCGAGGTTGAGGCTTGTGAAGGCGCTACTTCGACATCGGCAATGTTCGTGGCGTCAAGAGTATATAATGGCAGTCGCTGGCCATTCCACAGTAAAGTGACTGGTCAAGGTCAGCGGATAACCAGGCATTGCTCGAATTTCGTACCATTATGAAGGTGCAGCTTCTGGTCCACAACATTCGATACAACGCCTTGAATTTGAGCGTTTGGCGGGGTGCTCAAGGTCACTAATATAGTGTAGCCTATAAATTCAGACGCCATCGTGAGATAGGGTTTCAACAGCCGTGACACCTGCCTCGCGACAGGGTGCAAGTGTTTTGTAGATGTTGGGGAGTGCACGTGTGAGGCCTTGAGATCTGCGTCGGATGGGAAATGTCGTTCTCGAAGATTGCCCATTTCGTCACCGTGGACCCACAGGCCCGTCCTCCGTCCAACTTCGAGGTGACCCCTTTGGCCCACAGCCTTGCCTCTGTACTTTATAGGCCCTGTTTAGTGCTGTCTACTCGCATACGTGTACACAGGACTACGCTGGATGATTGTGCAAGCACAAATCAACATCAAGCAACGCCGAGGCGACATCTAAAGCGTGTCGTCAAATAGAGTGCCCAGAAGATGGTTTGCACAGCACATCGTTGTCTGAACGAGCTGATGTACAGATATACCTCCTATCTGCTGTGCGATAATTATCGAGGCATGCATACCGTGCTTCGTTGACCGACAGTCCTTCGACGCAATATAACTCGTGGACATTATTGCCTCGACGATCCAGAACTCATCCTGGGTCGCTATGCATTCATGTACTCATACTCATCGTCATCTTCGGCCTTTCGGGTAAAGGCAGTGATACGTGGCGTAGCCTCCGGCTTGATGGACTTCGAATCCTTCAGGTTCTTGTAGAACGTGATGACCTTCGGATGCACCATAACTTTTCTCTTGTCGAATCTCAAGACTTGCAGACCAGCTTGGCTGGTAGCTCTTGACAGCGCGACGTATGCCTGACCTTTCTCAAAAACCTTTCCTAGGTCGACCTTGACACGATTCAATGTCTGGCCCTGAGCTTTGTGGATGGAAAGAGCCCAAGCAAGGATCAGCGGAACTTGGACACGCTTCGCCGTGATCTCGCCCTGCTGATTTTCCGTCTTCCATTCTTCTGGCTGACAGAGCAGCTCACGAGAGGTCCCGTCCGGCAGAGCGAAGCGCACCATAGGCCAGTAGCGTGGTACGCGATCGCCAGCATTTTTCAGGCGCATCTGCGAGATTTTGGCCCTAGCAGCCGCTTTCTCGTCCTCGTTGCTGCCTCCTCCAGGCTCGTGTGCTTGTAAGAACAACTCTTCATCATCCTTGTAGACGGAGAAAGTTGCCTCGTCCATGAAAGACACAACCTTACCCAGCGAGCCGTTCACTAGACCGTTGTCCATGTTCTTGATGAGCATGACTTGGGCACCTTTCTTGAGACTGAGTGCTTCTGGGGCCATGAAATTCGCCAGCATCTTATTGCGCACTGTGAGATCACTAACACCGCTGTCGACCGCCTCGAACCGCATCTCCTGGCCAGATAGCATTCGCATACGAGTTTGGTTAGCTCCATCTACCTCTGATCGAGTAGGAAAACTGCACGAATTAGCTGGGTGTGTACCATCGGGGAGGAAACATACAGCTCAGTGGCTTCAACGTCGTCCTTGAACTCCAGTGGTCTCGACAGCCGCTGGAAGTTCGACACAGTTGCTGGACTTATTTCTCCCAGGCGCATCTCATTGAGCATGCCGGCAAACACAGGATCTTTTTGGCGGAAAACATGTGTTAGCAAGATGGTGTGTTGGATGCACGTTGTCCAAGTGGCCGCGTCAAAAGCAAACTTGGCAACCGAGTTTCGGTCTGGAACAGGAGGTAACTGGAAGAAGTCACCAGTTATGACCAGCTGGATACCCCCGAATGGCCGACCGTTGTTCCGAATGACGCGGGCGATATGTTCCAGCTTATCAAACAGCTCACCATCGACCATCGAGATCTCGTCAACAACGAGGACCTTGGTACGCAGCCACTTCGCCTTTGTCTTTGCATTACGCTTGATCTTCTTGCATAACTCTGGCACGGGTTCTTTGCCGAGCCCAATTCCGGCCCAGCTGTGTAGAGTTTGGCCCTCAATGACGCACGCAGCCAGTCCGGTAGATGCAGTGATTGCAAGGCGATCGGTCTCCTTGCGATACTTGTGCTTGAATTGTGAAATGATTGACCTCATCAAGACAGACTTGCCGGTACCGGCAGAGCCAGTAAAGAAGACGCTCTGACCCTGCTCGATGACGGCATGAGCAACAGTCTGCTGTTCTGGACTCAGCATCTGCAAAGAAACTTCAGTCACAGGCTTTGGCTCAGACTTGCTCGTAGTCTTAACGACGCGGTTGCGCTTCCTGAATTCTTTCTGTTCATCTTTAACAGCGGAGGCAGACTTATTCCACGCATACTGAACATTATCCTTGTCAACAGGGAGCGGCGACTGAATCTTCTCCTCCTCCTTCGCGGTGGCCCACGGCAAGGTTCTTCGTTTTGCAGGACGTGCTCGCTCTGGTGAGACGACAGGAGGTGGCCTTAGAGGCTTTTCAAAGTGAGCAGCGGGAGACGACGACCACGGAAGCGGCACGCTGCTTGGAGGTGCCTTCGGTGACGTTGCCGACTGGGATGGAAGCTCTGGATAGACAACGGGATCTAGTTGAGGATATCGGACTGCAGGTTTCGGAGGAGATTCGGTCAAGTCGACAATGTCATCGAAATCGTTCTCATCAAATTGCACAAGGTCATGAAGGCCACCAAGACTGCTGGTGCTGCTCATGGTGCGATCAAACTTGCGCTTGTTTGAGGGCGGATTCTGCACATTCGGATGATGTGGTTTGAAGGGCGCTCGCGTAGGTTTGTTCGCGGCATATGAGCTGACGGCCTTGCCCAACATAGTGGCGTCGACAAAGGCGCGTGGAGACCTCAGGGCAGCATTGGGGGAAGGCAGTCGTAGACAGAGCGTGAAGCTAGGCATACACAGGCAGGTCGCAGTTAGGTCAGCGTTGTTTTGAGTGAAAGTGGTCAGTAGTGGCTACCAGGCAAAATGGAGCCATTCAAAGCGAGACGCGACACGAGGCAAGGAAGTCGCGTTGCGCCCGGTCAAAGTTTTCTCCGAGCTACTTCACTGTAGCCCATCAGAGTGCCACCACCCCATTGACTACGCTCAAACACTCGGCACGGCATTCCTATATGCTTGCCATACGCTTTCTTAAGGTCGAATCGCGATGGTTCATAGTGAGAGAAGGCTGAATGTTTTGTGCCAGAGTCTCGGCGCCGGGAGCGCTTGCATTGCTCTCTCACAACAGTGAATGGCAACACAATGAGTAGAAATAGATCTGCGTTGGCCTGTCAAAGTCGAACTTTGGCAGTCACTTGACAACCAAGGCTCAAGGTACTCCTTGGAATGCAGCTATAGTGTCACACAGGACTCACTCGTGTCGACGGCAATTGTGTGCTAAGCCATGTTGTCCGGCTTTGCGGAGGTCTGGCGCTATACCCGGGGATCAACATCTCTCGAGTCCGTTAGAGGAGTCGGACGGTGAGGCCAATGTCCGCCCATGACAGAAGGATCGTCTCAACAAGCATATGGGGTGGAAAGAAGTCTGGTCCGCGTATTCGGGTCAATGCTACCGCAACGAAATATAAATCTCCAAATAGCCCCGCGCGAGTACAATCAAACGGCTTAACGACGTGCAAGTCACGCTCAACCTCGACGCAATATTGCAACAGATACAAGAAGATGGAGGGTCGCTGTCAATGCGGCGCTGTTAGGTTCAAGACGGATGCAGATAAGCCTCTGAAGATATTCATCTGTCACTGCCTCGGTAAGTCTACCTATCTGCACCGTGATCAGCCTTGGTGCAATGTACTTCGCTGCGACAATTGCTGATATGTATAATGGTGCACAGAATGTAGATGGGTGAGTCAAGCTTATTAATCAAGGATGACTGGAAGTGAATTAAAGGCGATATACAGCAAGCTGCATCCTCATATGGCCTCTCTGCCATCTTCCCAGAAAGTGGAGTGCATTGGCTTGGTTCCTCTAGGGACAATATGACTAAGTGGACGCGGACAACCTTTCGTGGACGAGAAGTAAGTGCTCTACCAAGGTTCCCGAAAGTAGACAATGCTTCGTTGTCCCTTCAAAACGCCCCTCGGCTGCGTTGGTTGACCGATGTCCGTACCTTAGAAGGACGGATGGTTTTGCAAGACCTGCGGATCCCGACTCTACCACCATTGTCCAGGCCAAGCCTTACTCACAATCAAGGCGGGCGCTCTCGAAGGCTTGACCAAGGAAATGCTTGATGAAGGAACACATATATGGGCAAAGGTAATTGAAAGCGTGTCGTCCTTGCTTGAAAGGACATCGAGTTGTTCCGTGGTATGAAGCTGATGATGTCGTTAGAGGGCCATCACACCCATTCCTGCCGGCGCCGAGTCATACGACGAAGAGCCACCCGGAAATGATCAAGAGCCTGTTCCAACTGGTAAGCAGTAGCGCAAAGGGTGACTGAATGCAAGAAGGATCTGGAGATTGTTATGGTATTAGGAGCAGGTCTGCAGAGGAGCGCTCCAGATTGATTCCACGTCTTGAAGTCTGTGTCGACGTGCGTAGGTATATACATTCGTTTCCTCGTGAAAAGGTGTGGTGTTGCGTTTGGAGTACTTCTCTCTCTTTTTGTACAGCAGCACGTAGTCTGGATTCTTGACCATCGCTGGCAATCTCGATTCGACATCCTTCTTTTCTAATGTGCCGTCGCCGCCAACTCTGATCCGCCCTCGGCTGCCTCACGTTCGGCTCGTCGTTTCCGCTTCTCCATAAGGATATTCTTTCGCTGTTGTAGCATCTGTACTTGCCGCTGCTCAACGCCACTCAGCCACCAGCCAAAAGAAGCGCCAATCGACCCGAAGACAGGATACCAGATTAATCCACCGCGTTGGAAAAATGGTCTCATCTCAATCCCGAGCTGCATCAACCTTGTCGCGACACCTGAGCTATTAGTCGGGAATGACTCCATACGATTCAGGAGAACTCACCGAAAGCGCCCCAGAAAAGAACTTTTGACATCCTGACAGTGCGGTGCTCTCGTGAGCTGTGATCCTTCGACAACGGGGTGAGTGAGCTTCGCGGAGCTACGGAAGGGTTGGAGGACGGTTGTTGATAAGATCCTGTTCTTGGATTGCGTCCTTTGAGACAGGGGCAATGAGTCTCCACGAAGCTCCAGGCAGACGTGGAAAGAGTACACTAGACAGGGGGCACGCGTTAACGCAGTGTTGTCGTGGCCTCGCAGTTGGAATAAGCTACCAATTCCCTGAGCAGGGATTGAGGAAGTTGCAAGCAAGCGAGCCAAGCTTGCGAAAACGCCAAGCCGGCGGTAGAGCTTCCCCGAATTCAAATGACATCTTGATCGTCAAATGACTCGACGCGAACCACCGTGTTTCCTCCAACAGCCCCGAATTCAGTCATCGATTGATATTTGTGCATCACTGGTCACGGCCAGTTCGCAGGCCCAAAATGGCCGAAATTATCATGACTGATGCGCATGCACCTGCGCCATCTGTCTCTCTTCGACCCAAGTACAAGCTGGGTGAACTGCCCCTAGTCAAAGAGCAGCGATCTGCAATCGATGCCCTTTTTACGCAATATCAGAAGCAAGGCGGTTACGACTCGATGCGCAAGCAGATATGGACTAGCTTCAACGCTTCCGAAGGCAAGACCGCTCTGACCGATCGAGTGAATGAAGTTGCCGATAGCGAAATCGACAAGAATCCTGGCCTCCTCTCCCGCGATCGCGATACTGCTGCGGCTCTCATCAACGGCGCCCTCGACCGCTCCGGTATCTACAAAGATGTCGAAGCCCATGTTGACCGCGAATTGGCAAAGCATCTCGACATGGTCTTGGCTTCTGTGCGCGAGCTTCGGCGGAAAGAAGTTGGTGAAGAGCAGGCCGCGGCAGAGGAGCAGCGGGGTTCTAAGACCGATGAAGACTACGAACGGGAGACTGAAGGACGTATTGAAGAGCGCACAAGAAACCGAAACAGACTCGAAGAGGTCTCACATGATCTCGCGCAACTAAGGGCCAAAATCAGAGCCATGGAGGAGAAGAAACTTCGTGAAGAACAAGCCAAGCGCGACGAGGAAGACCGCAAGCGCCGCGAGAAGGAAGACGAAGAGCGTCGTGAGCGTAGGCGCAAGGAGCGAGAAGAAGAGGACCGCAGAGAGGCCGAACGCATCAAAGCCAGGGACGAGCGGGCGAAGAAGCGTGAACAGGAGCGACTCGAACGGGAGGCTGAGTACGAGAAGGAGAGGGAGGAGCGGCAACGTCGTCGTGATAAGGAGCGCCGTGGGCGAGATCACGATAGCCGTCGCGGCTCGGTGGCTGAAGTACGAACGGAAGTCAAAACCGAGGGCAAGAAGGTGGTCGATGAGAAGGATCTTGAGGCAGCGGCGTTGGAGTTGCTCATTAGCGAAGGCAAACAACTTGCAGATCAATCGCGGACCTCGACTCGGCGCTCTGACCACGACCGCGACTACCGACGAAGAGATCGGTCACGCGACTCGTACCGGAAGCACGATATTCCTCGCGAGCACCGCAGTCGGTCAAGAACTCGGCGCTCTGAGCGCGACACTGATAGCCACTCAGTCGTGGTTTCTGACAAGAAGATCAAGAAAGAAGACAAAGAGGATGACTCAGACCGCGAAGAGGGTGAGGCTCAGTCACGCAAGGGTAGTCCTAGCCCCAGCCCTAGCCGCACTCGAGCACCTGGTCAGCCGCGCGAGAGAGAACGTCGACCCCGGTCCGCGAGCCCCGTCGGCATTGATCGATATGTGCCCGGAGGTGGTGTGCACCGAGCTGCACACGACCGCGATCGTGACTCGGATCGCCGCAAGCCTCGCGATGCGCGAGATGCCAACGACAAAGATCGTGAAACTCGTGATGGCACAACCCGATTTGGTCGTTACGATAGATACACGCGTCGCGACAGCCGGGACTACGACGCGAGGAGGGAGTCAAGGAGGGATCGAACGCGCAGCCCAAAGCGGCGAGACAGAGATGATAGGCGTGATAGCAGAGACACTCGGGAGCGAGACGATCAGCGAGACCGAGATCGTGATCGAGACCGCGATCGAGACGACAGGAGAGACCGCGACCGTGACCGGGATGACCGCCGTGACCGCGACAGAGACAGGGACGATCGCCGGGATCGAGGTCGTGATAGAGACCGAGAGCGTGACCGAGACCGAGACAGAGGCGACAGAGACAAAGATAGGGACAGGGATCGCGATCATGATAGCAGGAAAGACCGTGACCGCCGAGAGCGGGACATCGACCGCTACAAGCCGGGCAGCAGCCGTCGAGACTGAGCGAGCTAGGCTTTTATTAAAAGTGTTCTTTAGCCCCTCCCCAAGAAAAATGATACGATCATCAACTCGATAGAATCTCTTCTCTCATTCACAGCTAAAGCGGAGGTAATTCCTCCCTACAAACAGGACAAACCAACCGCAGTCCCATCCACCCCTCCAAACACTCTGCGTGGAAGATATGCCGACACGGCGTGACCATGTAGCTCGCCCTCTCCATGCCCAACCCCATACCCAATCCCAACGTGCCGCCCCTGGCCGCTCCTCCCGCCCCATTCCCCTTCCCCACGACCGGCACGTCAATCTCGTTCATGCAGATCGCACAATCGAAACACCTGCGCTCCCCACCCTCCCGATCCTTCGCCTCACTGGCGCTAGCAAGCAAAGCGATATCCAAGCCCTTGCGCCCCCCACTAGTGCCCCCTTCCTCATCCGTCCCCTCCACCAGCACAGGATGGTACTCATACGCAGCCTCGCACCAGCTCTCGGGAATCCCAAACCTCGGCCCTATTAGGCGATGCGCCAGAAGCACGCCGACCTGCAGCGCGAGCCAGGCGGCCAACGCAAGGGCGACGCGCGGGCTGGCGCGCACGCCGAACAGGTTGCGCGGCGTGACGTACCAGTAGAGCACCGGGGTGGCGCGCAGCACGGAGCTGCCGAGCACGTACTCCCAGGAGAGGGCTTTGCGGCAGTTGCGCTGCACGTTGCGGTAGATCTGCGGGAGCCAGATGGAGAAGTAGGCGAAGGAGAGGGTGGTGAAGTAGATGGATTGGAAGGGGCGGGGGAGCGAGGGCGCGAGGCCTGAGAGGAGCAGCAGGATGCAGAGCGTGACGTAGAAGCGCATGTAGATGGAGGCGAAGGTGGTGGGGGCGTCGCGGATTCGGAGGCCGAGAGGGTTGCCGGGGGTGGGGACCGCGCCGGGGGTGGTGACGGGGAGGAGCGAGTCTTGGTCGGAGGGCATGAAGAGGGGGATTGGGGTGGGGGTGGCGCCGGTGTCGGTTGGTTGTGGCGTGGCAGTGGGAGTATTTGTAGACGGGAGGACGGCACTGACGGGATTGTCTGAGGCGATGGGTTGTGGGGGAGGTGTGGGATTTTGTGGTGGTGGCGGCGGCACTGGTGGCGTAGTTTGCTGTCGAAGTCGTCGTTGCCGTTCTGCTTCGGCTCTTTGCGGTTCGCCAACCTGGACCGTCCAGATATCATAAACAAACTTGACTTCGAGGAAAGCGACGTGTATGCAGGCGAGGAAGGTTGCTGTAAAGACAACGAGGAATCCAGCCTCCTCGGACATCAGAACGAAAATCATGATGAAGAAAATGAGGCCATCTCCCAACGCAGCAAGCAGGACGCCCTGGTAAGCAACCCTGCTCCGCGTGGACGGCGTACCTGCCTTTTTCATCTGTCGTTTGAGCAGCGCAATCTGCAAAGTCAAAGTCAAGATGAAAGCGATTAGCAGCCGGCTCTCCAGTTTCGTGAAGGCTTCTGCCTTCTGTCCAGACAAGGAGTCGGTCTCCAGGACATAGCCGCAATCAGGCGAGAAGACAACGGCCGAGAAAGACATAGGTGGCGGAGTCCCGATAGGGGCTCCTTCGGGGTAAGAGAGCTCTTTCTCAACCATGCGCAAGTACTCTTTGGATCCGAGCAGAGGTTTGGGCTGTAGCCATACGATCAGCTCACATCTCGGGACACCAATGACATCCACGTCTCGATAGAACTGCTTCTTCCATAATTGTGCAACGGTAGTGTTCATGATCGGTTTTGCAACGTCGAACGAGGCGGCATCCAGAGCGAAGTGAGGAAGAGCAGGAAAAGCGTCGAATTTGGAGCTCGCGGTTGAGAGAACAGCCGCCCCATTGGGAAAGTGAACGCCGCGCAGAGTCGTTTGCCAGCCGTCGCCCGGTGCGGACTCAGTCCATATTTCGATGTCGGCTTTGAGGTCTCGAGCATCTGTGAACGGTCCTTCTTCATCCACCAACGACAGCTTGATCTCTCCCGCCGCTTCAGTGATGTTGCGGTGCCAGCGATGAATGACATACTCCTTCATCGGGTCCAGTTCAGTCAGGTTGACCGCAGTTGGTCCCAGCACTGACAGTTCTGATCGTTTGAAGTCTCCTCTGATCTCACTCGTAATCTCATCATAGAAAGCAACATTGTCGAGACCGGCCCAGCTCGACGAGAATTGGTCGCGGCTCAACTGTTGGACTTTTGGCAACAACTCCCAATGATGCCCATCACTCTCGCGGAACGCCGTTAGATTGAGATGCTTCCCATCCGTGAAATCGCCATATGTGGTATTGGCTAGCACATCGAAGTCCCGCCGGCGCTCATCCTCGTAGTGGTCGACCCCGAAATGAAAGCGCCGCCTCGGTGTCTGATCGGGAGTATTTAAGATGAAGAGCAGCAGTATAAAGAAGAGGATCGCTCTCGACCCCTCCTGACTTTCAGGCATGCTTCACCCATTGAAAGACCGATGACAGACGAGACAAGTGAGGTGGACGGATAGCTTATGGAGGTTGCCTTGTCGCCAGTAGCCTTGACTGCAGCCCGCCCCAATCGGAGCCAGCGCCCCTCCTCCGCAACCTCTCAATCAGGGGTTTCTCCTCGCTTCTGCATTTTTGTCGAACGCGTTCGTCATTCCAACGCTGCGCACTGTCGCAGCACTCAAACCATGGCCACCTCCATACCGGAGATCCCACTGCCACCACGCACACCCACTCCGCCTCCCGACGACGGCCCAGGCCCGAGCGTCGACCGCTCTCCTCTCCGTTTTGATCCCACCTCGCTCTCCCCCCACCATCGCGACGACATGGAATCAGCAAAGACGTCGTATTTCACGCCCACGAGTCCCGAGAAGAGCAGTGACGGGCCCTTCAACTTCCAGCCCGCGACGCTGGCGAAGTCGCCGGTTGCGATTAAATCGGTACGTTTTACCTTAGACCAGCAGACAGGTTCATTTGCACTGATACTCACTGCCCCTAGAACATTGGCCAGCGACGAGGCCACAAGTACAAGCACTCCAGTGTGTCACACCAGATCTTCCTTGAGCCGCCCGTGCGCGCACCCCTCGCGCTTCCGAATTCGCTGCCGATACCGACGTGGAAAGAGCTCCGCACCAGCTTGACCAAGGATCAGAAGGTGCGCTTCTACTGGAGTCTGTGCCACATGACGGTGGCGGCATATACGGCTTGGAACACACATGGATCGGCGGGGATGCAGGCGCTCTCACACTTGATATTCTACGACTCGCTCGGGGCACTACTGGTCGTGTTTGTGGAAGTGTTTTCCAACTTCGAAGTTTGGGGTCGGTCGAGCATACGACATCCGTTCGGGCTACAGAGGATGGAGGTCATTGCGGGGTTTGCCCTGTCGATTCTGCTCATCTTCTTTGGCTTTGATTTGATCTCTCACAATGCCAAACATGCGCTGGAGGGGATTGGCCATGTCCCGCACCATGCTCACAAGCACGAGCGGGTCAACGCTGGCACCGTCGACTTTACAGCCGCCATTGCTCTTGGCTCGACTTTGATATCAGCCGTGGGCTTGAAGAACCATGCTCGCATTGGCAAGGCCATGCGTTTCGCGGCGATGGAGAACCTCAACCTTCCGACAACTCTCACCAACCCTTCACACTTCCTGACCCTCTCCTGCTCCGCCATTCTCCTGATATTGCCTCTACTCTCTCTCCATCTCTATGAGTGGATCGATAAACTTCTCAGCCTTACGATCGCAACATCAATGCTGTTCCTTGGTGTCCACCTAGGCAAGAACGTCGGGTCTATGCTGCTGATGTCGTACCCTGGCAGTGGCGTGCCCGGCGTGATCAGCGCCATCGAAGCTGACCCAATGGTCCGCAGCGTAGAGCACGCCAAATTTTGGCAGGCTCACTACGGCGTGAGCATGGCCAACTTGCGACTGAAGGTCATTGGCAGTGAAGATGACCAGTTAAAGCTCCGGGAGCGCATCACCAGCCTCATCCGCAACCGCCTCTCTGGTGGCTATGGCCAAGGCGGTCAGCGCTGGGAAGTGAGCGTGCAGTTCAGGGCCGAGCCCGTCTCGCAAGGCGTCAGTTATGGGCATTACCTTCATGCCACATAGCGTGAACGAACAGCTTTCAATCGATGAACCATTCCATGTTAACATTCAGGCTCTTTCCACAAGCAAAGTTGCCTGGCCACCAACTTTTCCTTCCATGCTTCGCTCTGCGGCCCCGTCGATGTCTTCGATTCTCTTCCTGACCAGATCTAAGGTCTTATTCGCCTCCTCCGAGTCTGCCCGGCGTTGTCGCTTCTTGTTTGCCAGCAGTACCTCGACCTTGCTTCCTTTCTCCAGGAACTTCTCCATTTGCCTCAATTTCAACTCCAGATCGTTCTCGCTGATGGCCCAGTTGAGCTCGATCTGCTTAGTCTTGCCCACACGCTTCTCCTTAGCCTGCTCTTTTCTGGTGCGCTCCTTCTCAGCCGCCTGCGCTAGAAGTTCGGCTCGAGACACAACTCGGACGATTGCGGTGTCCGCAGAAGGGCCCACGGCAGTTAAGAGCTGCACGGCCTGCGTAGAACGGTCGATGCTTGCGAGCAGCGCATCAAGGAGCTGAGGAGTCTGCAGCTTGCCGCTGCCGGGGTCCCGTTGTTGGCACCAGCGAGTTCCTATAGCTTCGTCGAGTACAAACTGGTCGGCGAGCTTAGACGTTTCTTCCGCTTGAGGTTTATTGGCGGCATTGAGAAGCTTGTTGATGTCGAAGTCGGCGGGCAGAGCCCGAGCAGCGGCGCGGTTGATCTTGAGTCCTCGAGAGTGTTGCTGCTGCGCTGGTGGAAAGGGTGTGAGACGCGCAGCAGGACTGGTATGGACTAGGGCGTATAGGAGCGATTCGCCAGGCGAGAGAAGGCGACGGCTGTGTCGGAGGGCAGCGGCCATCGTGAACGAAGGTTGTAGATCAGTAGAAGATGTGAAGCCCAACAGACGAGGAAGACGAGAGCACTCGGGGAGGTTGCTCTTCTCCGATTGGCCACTCGCCCGCGTGGGACAAATTTATTTCTACTGCCTAAGGTGGCCGCATCCCTCTCCTGTCTCGTGCACATACCCCAACATTCGTTCACCCCTTCCTCATGTCCACTAACTCCTCTCTCTGGTCCTACGTCCCCTTCAGTAGTGGTCAGACTTCACAACCCCGCCGCCGCTCCTCCCTTCCCAAGCACAACAAATCGACGAGCGCCTCTGCGGCCCCTTGGGATCCCTTCAAGACCGACCGCGGCGCTCCGCGATCTAGCACGCTGGAGAACATAAAGGCCGCCTGGATGACCCAGTCGCGGCAGGCCCGCTACCTCAAGGCTGGCGGCATCCTGTCATTAATTGTACTCCTATACTGGTTTCTTGCGAGTCCCTCATCGGTAGGGAACGTCGGCGGGAACATCTACTCGCCGGAAAACAGCCCAACGACACGATGTACACGGCCACACGATGCTCAGAAGCCACTGGTGCAGTATGCTATCATGATTGATGCAGGGTCAACCGGGAGTCGCATTCATGTGTACAAATTCAATAACTGTGGGCCAACACCTGAGCTGGAGAATGAGGAGTTCAAGATGACGGAGAAGAAGTCTGGCGGGTCTGGGCTTTCAAGCTATGGCGAAAATGCATTGGAGGCGGCTGTATCGCTGGACCCGTTGATGCAGGTTGCCTTGGACACGGTGCCTGACGCGTACAAGTCATGTACACCAGTCGCCGTGAAGGCCACCGCAGGTCTGAGATTACTGGGCCACAAATTAAGCACTGACATCCTATCCGCCGTTCGATCAAGACTCGAGAAGCACTTTCCATTCCCTGTTGTATCCGAGGAGAAAGGCGGCGTGTCCATCATGTCTGGCGACGACGAGGGTGTGTATGCCTGGATCACCACCAACTACCTCTTGGGCAAGATCGGCGGCCCAGACAACACGCCCACAGCTGCCATCTTTGACTTGGGTGGCGGCAGCACTCAAATCGTCTTTCAGCCTACTTTTCCCGGAAGTAGCACCGGTGGCATGCCCGAGAAGATGGCGGAGGGTGACCACAAATATAAGCTCAGCTTCGGTGGACGCGACTTCGAGCTATACCAGCACTCGCACCTTGGCTATGGCTTGATGGCGGCGAGAGACGCCCTTCATACCTTGGTGGTTGACATGGCTAAGATTGACACGATCGCCGAGCTGACATCGAGCGCGATTTCGAATCCTTGCATCACCCCGGGCGAGAAGAAAACCATCGAAGTCAAGTTCCCTGAAGGACATGCCTTTGCTGGCAAGCACGAAGTTACCATGGAGGGACCTGCCGATGCTATCCCCGCACAATGCCGCGCTTTGACCGAGGAGATCCTCCACAAAGAAGCCAAGTGCGACCTGGCTCCATGCTCCTTCAACGGTGTGCATCAGCCATCCCTTGGCAAGACGTTTTCGCGAGAGGATGTCTATATCTTCAGTTATTTCTACGACCGAACGCGGGTTCTGGGAATGCCCGAGTCTTTTACGGTGCGCGAGCTCCACGATTTGACAGCAAAAGTCTGCGGTGGGCCCAAGCACTGGACTGCGTTTGAGAGCATCCAAGGCGCGATTGAAGAATTGAGAGACCGGCCGGAGAGTTGTTTAGACATGAATTTTATGACTGCGTTGTTGCATACCGGGTATGAAATGCCTCTGGATCGCGAGGTCAAGATCGCGAAGAAAATCAAGGGCAATGAACTCGGCTGGTGTCTGGGAGCGAGCTTGCCGTTACTGGAGGCAGGCAGCGGGTGGGAGTGCAAGGTTAGGGAGGTTGGCTCATAGTACAGCTGGACAGTGTAGCTTTCTGAGATATGCTAATCAACGTCTTCGCGAACCCGACCATTCGACCGTCCAGGAGACTACGCGTTCACACTGTTGTCTAACTTTCGGTCGCATCTCCCTTTCACCCCCCATCGCTTTGTTGGCATAGAAGTTCGACTCGTCATCTGGTCCGATGACCAACTTGCTGCTGACTGTCGACTAGCTTTGCAGGCGCCAGTCTCGTGCTCGACCAACTGCAAATTGCCAGTTACTTGATATGAGGCTGGGAAATGTTTCACAACCGACATCGCCGGCGACCCTGTCTCGACCAGGCTATCTTTGCATCTCCAATCGGCTCACTCATCCCTGGCGCTAATGACCGCCTTCATAAAGCTTAGCTTGGTGAAACACGACGTCTGCGTTTCAGATCTCTCGTCCTCTACGCGCCGTATCTGTCCAATCAGGTAATTGATCGGTCCCTCGAGCTCACCATGTTGCAGGATTGCCCGGATCGAGGTGGGACAAGAACACGGTCCCTCCTCCGCAATCACGGCCATCTGACTGCGAAACGGCTTGGAATCTTGGGCCCCGATCTTCCGGCCATGACATGCTGGTAAGTTCTTTTGAGTACATGAACCTGCAGCTTGCGGCGACTTCTGGACTTTTCTCTTTCTTCACGGGTGCTGTCATTCACTTGAGCTGTATCCTCAAAACCGTTCGCTCCAAGCCAATCTCACAGCTGAACGCATTACCCCCACTATGACTTCTGTAGCAAGTATGTCGATGTCCAGCTTTCCCGCCCTTGACGAGACGGTCCCATCCAGATCTCGGTCTGCCACTCTTGAGAGCCTGTCGAGATCGCGGAATCCAAGCGTCTCCCGTGCGGCACCACAGCAACAGGTCACCAGCGATGTCCCAACGAGACCTCCGATGCCCCGCCGGTCATCATCTGCTATGCACCGCGAAGTGCTGACCCGTCTGCGACCCATGCCTTTCCAATACATATGGTGCGCATGGCATTCCAAGCCCTCTGTATCGCCTGTCAGCACGCCAAACGAAGACACGGCTCCGGCTTCGCCCACGTACGCCTTGACACTGCTGTCACAAGAGGTCAAGGACGTCGCAGCCTTCTACCGCATATTCAACAACACACCCTGGTCGAGCGTAAAAGCCAAAGAGTCTGTGCATTTCTTCCGTACCGGTGTCAAGCCACTATGGGAGGATCCACAAAATCTCGACGGCGGCTGCTGGGTCTTCAAAGTACGCAAGGAAGACGGCAAAGCACAACGGGCTTGGGAGGAGTGCTGTGTGCTGGCGCTGGGTGGACAACTGCAGAGCGCGATTGCTGATGGTCTGTCTGCCTTGTTCCTTCAGCGATAATACGTGGCTTCAGTCACTAACTGTTTCACAGAACATGATCATATCCTTGGACTCTCATACTCACCACGTCTGTACCAAGCACACATCTCCATCTGGACCCAGAGCGGCGCCAACAAGCAGAGCATCGCCAAGCTGGAGCAAGCGGTCATTGATGGTCTGAGCGAGGACTTGCGGCCCAAGTCGAGCATGGAGTACTACTATAAGATGCACCGCGAGCACGAAGGATTCGAGGAGGCTGTCGGGCTGAAATCGACTGAGACCCAGGCCTGACCATGTATTTGACAGCAAGTGCCTTGGGCGTCGTGGCGGCACCATACACAAGGCGCGTTCGGAAGTGGCTGAGGGGAACGGCCAGGGAACGCCAAAATCAACGATCATGAAGCGAGCATTACGCCGCAATGTAACGAAACCAGTCGATTGAGTTCACCGAGGCTCACCATATGCAGAGCGATTCTGAGAGGATCATATTGGCATCAAGGTCGGCGTTGGAATATGCATATATCCATCCTGAGAACCAAACAGTAGCATCAATCCATCTAGATCCCTAGTATCTCGAGCCTGTAGACCAAAACTCGCTAGCAAACTCTCCCCCAAAGATACCATAAGCTTCAGCCCGCCCTGCCACAGTCATACACTATCAGACATTCTCACTCCCTCCAACCACGCCCCGTCCTTCCCTTCCCCATTCCCCTCCACATCACCAACCCTCCTGCCTGGATCCCCCGTCGGGTTCCGAATCACCCACTCGCCCGTCCCAAACCTCAGCATCTCCCTAATCCACCCAAACCCACTGTCCCACCACCCATGCCTCTCGGGCCTCACGACCGCCAAGCTCCCGTCATCCAGACTCCCCACCGTGACGTCCACGAACGCGGCGGGGGTGTCGTGGCGGTCCAAATTGTAGTACGTGAGGTTCGTGCCGCAGCGGCCGCAGAAGCTGCGGAGGGCGCGGGGGCTGGCGGCGTATTGCTGGACGTAGGTCTCGTTTTCGTCGTTGGTCGAGTTTTTGGCGGGGGGCGGTGATGTGTCGTGGCGGGGTCCGACGACGGCGACGGTGGGTTGGTTTGCAAGGACAGAGCCGGATTTGGTGGTGATGCTCCAGGTCAGCCAGGAGGGGGGCACGATGAACCAGCAGGTGACGATGGCGCCGGTGGTGTGGCGGCAGGTGGCGCAGTGGTCGAGGGTGACGATGGGGAAGGTGGCGGGGATGGAGGAGGTTGCGGAGGTGGGGGTCGGGAGCGCGTTGGGGATGCGTGGGCGGTCCGCGAGGGCGGGGATGGCGATCGTGTATCTCGCGGCGCCGCAGTGGCAGCCGCCTGTGAGGGTTAGAGGGGTGGAGGGGAGGAATGCCATGGGTGGGGTTGGGTGGTGGGGTTGATAAAGGGATAAGAACGGTGGTTGGTGATGAGAAAGTGAAGGATGCGCGGGGACACGGGTGTATGAATGTAGTATCGTGCTGCGTTGTCGTGTCTACTGTGCTTGCATACGCTATTTCGGCGCCTGACTATCCTCAAATCTTTGCTTGAGTTGGAGATGAGCTTCGTATCCGCGGCAATCAGAACGGGGAAGCAATGCCAAGCATTCACTGCCTGATCGGAAACCTTAAAGATACTAATACGCCAGCAACTCCAAGATGTCCAACACTCCAGGAGTATTTCAACTGCGCCATGCCACTCGATACAGACCGTATTCCTCCTCCAGGACTCCTGTCATGAATTCGTCGGGCGCCTCTGTCATGTAGACATCTGCTCTCATACCACAAGGGATCGCCGCTTCAGTGCCCAGCGCCGTGGATCCTGCCATCGCCTTGCCTTCGGTGCCAACAGAAACGGTGTGTGGGGTTTCGGTAGCCATAGGTCTGTCTAGCGAGTCTTTTGTCGCTCCTGAAAACATATTATCACCAGCTGTTGGCTCATCCACCTGCTCGACATATGCAACTGGTGTGACTATAGGTACAACTCGTTCCATGGCGGTTGGAGGCTTGTAGTCCCTCAGAAGCTCGAGGACAAACCACTGATTCAACTTTCTGGCCTCCACGGATACAATCTCACACACCTTGCTTATCGGCTCTGGGCCATTGTAGTTGTCGAGAAGAAACTTCACCATGTCGAGGCGTCCCGAAGATGCCGCGTTGCTGACTGCACGTATCGTCACAAAAGCTCCATGCTTGAGTAAAAGATTGGCAATACACAGTAGGCCCCTGTCAGCTGCAACCTCGAGAGCACAGTTGCCTGAAGAAGCGCCAGCATTGACTTCAGCGCCTTGAGTAAGTAAGTATGCTACTTTTTCCAGGCTGTAAGAATCAACCGCTGCTGCGAGGGCCCTGGCATAGTAGTATTCACCCTCGGTAGCCGAGACAGCATTGACATCTGCTCCGGCATCCACTAGCTGTTTCATCACGTCTAGATTGCAGCATTCCACTGCCATCCGCAAGGGCAGCCCCTCGATTTCATGGTTGCGAGCCATGTCGGCACCGTGCAAGATCAGCACTTTTATGATTCTGGGCAGCGTACTCGGTGATTCGGGAATCCAGCAGTATTTGTATGCACGAATTGCAGCGATGATTGGATACCCATCGTTTGCTCTTGCTCCCGACTTCAACAGGAGTTCCACCAATATAAGATCAAGCCTTTCGCAGGCAACTTCCAATGCATAGACATTGTAAAGTGAACGGTCAAACAGCCCTACCTTCATATTGACGTCAGCGCCGTATTCGATCAGAAGTTTGACGAGCTTTGTACAACCCAAGGAGATTGCTGATATCAATGGCGATGTGAAGTTTGATCTTCTTGCGGAAAATCTTTGAGAAATTGCAGTTGTGTTGATCTCTGCGCCTTTCCGAACTAGAGCCTCTGCGATAGCATACTTCTTGATCACAATGGCGAGGTGCAGAGCTGACAAGCGGTAGGTTGCTGAAAGAGTATTGATTTCAGCGCCCATAGACAGCAAATTTTCCAGCACGTTTACGTTGCCCGCGATGGCTGCCTGATGCAAAGGCGTGATCTCGTCTCGAAAGTTGTCGTCGCGGAAGTGGAAAACATAGTCCCTATCATACGGAATTTTGATGTCCACACTCGCCTTCTCATTGATGTCGGGCCCTGCTGCGATAAGAAGCCGAATCATCTCCAAATCTCCCAGCGCAACCGCTCTACCGAGTGGGGAACCTTTCGAGCCTCGTTCCTGACTTGGACTGAGCTCCATACTCAGTAGTTGCCGGACACGTTCATGGTCATCATGCATGACTACAGCTTCCAACAAGCTGAGTCCTTCGGCCGGAGCGCATGGAACGTGTATGTCAGCCCCGATCTCAACCGGAGAGTCGAAGATTGAAAATTTTCCGATCTCAGCTGCAGCCTGAAGGGCGCTTCGCCCCCCTTCTCTTCGGGGAACAAGATTGACATTCGCGCCTGCTGGACATAACAGTGATATGTTCCGTGTATAGATTGCTGCTTCTAATGCCGCGAAGCCATATATGCTATCGGTGGTAGCGTTGATGTCTGCACCTTGCTCTACCAACCATGCAACAATTTCTGATCGTGAGTGGAAATCGGCGATTGCCACTAGAGGTGTAACCCAGCCAACGTTAAGGCTGGCACCACAATCATTGAGTCGCTGTATCATGGCTTGCTGTCCACGAGCAATGGCGACCTGCATCGGGTATACGTAGAAGCATTCGTTCATACCAGGAGCATCGGTCGAGAGGCAGGATTCGAGGCCTTGATTCCTCTTATAATCTAGCCAGCTGTCGAAAGAGGAAATATTTGGATCGGCGCCGTGTTCAAGAAGCAGCTCTGCGACTTCGTAATTCTCAGAGTCTACAGCGGCCATCAGCGGCGAGCGAAAACGCACGTCTAGCCGTGGATTAATGTCGACAGCGGGGGCGGCCTCCGTGCTTAAAATCATGTTCGGGCTGGCGTTGTGCTTGAGAAGTAGTTGGACCAGGCTGTTATCTCCTCTTTCAGCTGCCATTGAAAGGGTGAGTACTTCCCGATTCCGGACCCATCGGAAGCTTCTGACCAGATAGTTTGGATCTGCTCCAGCATTTAGCAGCCCGCTGATAGTGTTCAGGCTAGCATGTCTTTTAATTGCCCAGTATAGCTCGCCGTAACCAGTCGCAGTGGATCCAGACTCGAGGAGTAGCTGTACCATTCGGTCAGGCTGTTTCAGCTTCACAGCCAGCGATAGGGGTAAATTCTGATGCGCGAGGCACGGGTCGTGGCATTTGTCGCGTGTGCGCTCACTGAGGTTACTGGCGCTGACATCCACTCCTTTTGCGATCAGGAAGCGCACGATGTCAATGTTATCGGATCTGATTGCAGTCTGGAGCAGCGTTCGTGATACCGGTCCATTTGTTGGGCTATTTGTGGAGAGCACCCTGCGCTCGATCAGCGCTATTATCAAGTCGTTTGCGCCTGACTCAATAGCCGCATGTCCAAGTTCAGTGAGTAGAGCGTGCGCTGTGGGTGTGTTGGCCCCAGAGATTTCGCTCAGGACCCTGGCACCGAGATGCTTGTCCCACAGCAGAGCCAGGGATTGCATGGCTCTCCATGTAGCTTGCTCCACTCGATTCGGACGATGAAAAAGATTGTTCGAGACGACGAAGGCCATGTATGCCGCGTAACCTCGTACTGCAACTTCAGAATCCTCATCCGTGATGTGAGCAAGTGCAGAGATCGGAGAACACTCTCGAGATGGCTCGACCACAAACTGTCGTGTCCACTCGGTCAACGCAGGAACAAGATCCGACAAACTGCGAAGAGAGTTCGGTGAACGGCCCATCAAAGACAAAATGGTAGGTCCACTAAGTTGTGAGACCTGGCGCATGACATTCGTTCCATTGAGAGGTAGAAGGTGGTTTACCATGCCACCATTCAATCTATGTGGGCTTCTGGCCAATAAGGGTAGCGAAATGCTCGGGTCTGCAAGATCATATGAGCCCTGCGTCGGAGTTTTGACCATGGATTGTGATTGTGAACATATAGCCTTCCATCCTGATCTCGACAAGAAGTCTTGCCATGGGAGGAAGTCACAGACGATTTTCATTCGAGGTCTGTGGGGAGGAGCTGCATGTATGATAATATCATCAGGAGTCTCAGCCCGAGCAACTTCAGCCTTCTCAGTAAAGTGGAACTAAGCATACATAGATACAGACTTACCAGGAACTCGTCTATCCCATTCTAGTGGTCGATATCTAGTCGTTGCTCGCTCCAATCTGTTTTTGGGAATTACTTTCTTCCGGGACAAGACGGTAGCAGTACTGCTACTTAAGCTGCGTCGCTGGAGGCTGGCATCAATATCGCTCCACTTTTGCCTGGAGTGGTTCTTCTTGAAATCCCATTTGTCGAGCTTCGTCGTATATTGAGACACTCTAGAGGCAATCAGTCGCGGAAAATCAGGCTGAAACAAACATACGTCGCATCGAACTGATACTTAGCAAGCATTTCCCTGCGTAACTGTGCGAGCGTTCGGCCTTTTTGGATATAGCACTGGAAAATTGCCTCTTTATGCTCCTCCCACACCGCTGCACTTATGCGTGGTGCCAGCGACATTCTGTTTGGGGAAACGATTAGAGGGATCAGCAAGGGACTGGTGTTTAGCAGGCGGAAGAGGTCTAAGGAAAGTGCCAGAGCCTGAGCAGGAAATCCTCACTGAACTCACGAAGATGCCAGCCTTATTGTACCAGGATCAGTTTATATATGTTTGGTGAGCCGCCAAGCAGGAGTCTCCGAATGAGCCTGCAGCCTACGGCCAGCCAGCAGCTCTCAAGCGTAGGTTGTCACCAATAGACTTGAGGGGGTTGCTGTTAGGCTGGAGTTGCAGCGCTGGCCATACATACAGGCAGGACGGGGCAAAACTGCGGCTCGCATCGATTGGACGAGACCAAAATTCGACTTTCGCCGATCCACTTGGCCAAGTTATCTTGGGCAAATCCAGGCCATTGTCGGGAAAGAGGCGCACTCGAGCGCAGCCTGCAGGCGACTCAGCCAGCCTCCCTTATTGGCTCTTACCAAAATTCGACTTTGCGAAGCCACTGACAGCAGATCAAAGTCTCCACGCCTGCTTTGCCTCTGAAGCGCCGTCCCGAGATCAGACGATCTACTCAAGGCAGGCTCGCGACCCACAACGATGACAAGGCCGGAGTATGATGTCGGAGTTGCTCTGAGAGGTCGTTACCAAAATTCGACTTCTGGCATCCCTTGTGGATCGTGGAGCGCTACTGAAAATGGGCCTCGTCGACGAGTATACCTCTCTCAGCCGGGCTATACTTATGCACAGTGGAGACCATAGCTCACGAAGGCACGATATATGTACCGCCATGATGACCACCCTTCAGTATCAGGCAGCTCAACATCAAGCAGCATGCAACTCTCCTCCGAATCCATACTCACGCTCATTGGCGTCATCGTGGCACTTCCAGCCTCTTTCTGGACCATCTATGTAGTTCGCCGAGCTTTCAAGCGCAGGCGTCGTGCATCTCGCCGACTTCAGCATCCAGAAATGCCTTTCCATCACCAGTCCGTCCTTACCAGTGCAGCACCAGCTCACACACCAATGCTAGCTGTGCCTGCTGCTGTCTATCTATGTACACGAGGGCCGTATCCGACTGACGAGCATAGCCGTCAACAGATCGCACCTCCTCAGCGTGACCCACCACAGCGAGCAAGTCCTCAGGCAGTGAGGGTCTTGGCACAACCGGGACTGGCAAACCCACCGCCATTTCCGCGCTAGCGGCGAAGCTTCCTACGACTACGTTCGACAAAGACTCCTACTGCGATACACAAGTTTGTGCAGCATATGAAGTAGTTGAAGTGTTGTATTGCCACTACAGTCCAGCAAACAAGCAAACTAGACGACCTGACTCGATACTACTCTGTCCACTGATGAACCACAAGCCGGGCCTCGACATACGTCACAGTTTAGAAGACATACTGCACCACACGTCAGCAAGACCCTCATTCGAGGACCGCTCCCAGCAGCCGCACTCACCTCAAAATATGCATTCTTCATATCCGTCACATCCAAAAATCCATTCTGCTGCGCCTCCCTCACCTCCTCCTCACATCCCGGCACCCTCCTCCGCTTATTCCTGCTCCAGAACAACACGCCCAGCCCCACAATACAGCAGACCTGCACCGCCAGACAGAAAAACATCATCCCCACACCCAACTCATAGTCTGGCGACTGCGAAATCTTGAAGAAAAAGGGACCGATGAAGTTGCCGAGGCAGTATCCGATCAGCAGCATGGCGTTGACGGTGACCTTCTTGGTGTGGCCCGCGGTATTGGCGGTCGCGACCGACATGGAGAGCGTCCAAGTGGCAGTGTAGGCGAAGGAGATCCAGAGGCAGGCGAGGCGGCCGTAGGGGGCGGAGTACGGGACGGTCTGCAGGCCGATGAGGCCAACGAGGAAGGGGACGAGACAGGCGAGCATGGTCGCGAGGCGGGCGTTGGGGAAGACGGACGCCATGTAGCTGTGTGTGTGTGGGAAGGTGTTAGTGGGTGGAGATGAGGGCAAGATCCTGGGTGATGAGGAAGGAGGGACTGACCATGCGAAGACGCAGACGACAGCTTGAACGCCGCCGGAGGGCATTTGGATCAGTGTGGTGTCGAGGACGGAGAAGCCGAGGGCGCGGATGATGAGGCCTTGGAACTGGGATGCGAGTCAGTAGTCATATAATGTGCAGCAGATGGTGAAAATCCTATACAGTAGTGAGTCCCCCGTTTGGCGAGTTACTGGCAACCGCGAAGAAGAACAGCAGCCATGTTTTCAGGTCGACCATGGCCTCACGGAACTGATCCTTCTTAAACTTTCTGTTCTCGAGTCCAGTACCGTTATCCTTGATGCGGTCCAGTACTGCCGTCTTCTCTTCTTCGGTTAGGAAGCTCGCACTGACAGGTGAGCCAGGCAAGGCCCACAGAAGAAAGATGCCCCAAGCTACAGTGACTGAGCCCCAGAAGATGAACATCAGTCTCCAGCTCACGAGAGAGCCTTGGATGTGACCAATGCCGAAGCTCGCGATGCCGGCAATCACGTAACCCATGCCAGCCGAGCCGATCCATATGCCCATGCGGAACGGCTGTTCCTGGCGTTTGTAGTACATGCTGAAGATGATCATGGTGGCAGGCTGAATGGATGCTTCGAAGACGCCGAGGAACGTGCGCACCGTTGCGAGGCCGGCGAAGTTGTTCACGGGCGTGTGGCAGAGGAGGACACACCCCCAGATAATGACCTGGACAGGTTCATCAGTTCGCCAACTCGTGGTAGAGATAATTATGAACGGACCGTGCACGAGAGGAAGCGATTGACGGGAAACTTCTGCAGGAGCAGGCCGGTGGGATACTCCCAGATGAGATAGCCTAGGTAGAAGATGGCGCCGGACCAGGAATACTGCGTGCTGGAGAGCCCAAGGTCATCGCGGAGCCCAAAGACTGCGGCATAGTTGAGGGTCGTCTTGTCAATGCTTTGCAATGCGTAGGTGATACAGAGCAAGGGCACAAGGCGCAGGTCTAGCTTCCAGAGGAGCTTGCGCGACTGTTTCACGTCGAGAACATCACCCTGTTGGGCGGAGTGAAGCAGGTCGAGGGCGACTTCCGTAGATTGTCCCTTGTCGTTCAGCTCCTTTGATGCTGTGAGGTCGTTCATCTTGACTCGATGATGAACCAGAGGTGAAGGTGCCAAGGGACCTATTGCGAGGGAACGCTGTATCTATAGCTCACCTCATCTCCACTAATAACCACGTTGTCCGTAGTGGATACTCGTGATAGGCAGTTCCAGTGCCATATTTCCCCGACTTATCTGTGGAGGTCGGGTTCGTCTCGGATGGTATCGGTGTTTTCCGCGGGCAACGTTTCCCGCGGCGAGTCGATGGACCGCACTCAGCACTCATGGCAGCGCTCTCCAACTTTTTCTGTCGCCGCGGAGGGCAAGCGATGATTGCCGTGTTTGTTTCCTTGGCCCAGGTGTACTTTGGAGAGTCGCTCAACAAAACTGTGCCTAGTATTTGAGTAGCAAGTTGAAGGACTGACAACCTTCATTTCCTCTTCCCAGCCACTTCCATTCACGAGCAACTCTAGTCGCCGCGCAAAACATGTCACCCTCTATTGCTGAAGCGATCGTTGATGCCGACACTCTTAGCAATGTCTCCACTAAAAAGCTCCAGGCAGCCATCAAGAAGGCGGGCAGCGACTTCCGCTCGGACGTAGTAACGGCGCCCACCCTAGCCATGATGCAGGCTATCCTAGATGCCTCGGTTGGGGATGACATCTATGATCCTCAGGGAGATGCTTCAGTCAATGCGCTGCAAGATAGGCTGATTGAATTGACTGGAATGGAGGATGCTCTCTGGGCCATTTCTGGCACCATGGGTAATCAGGTCTGTCTCAGGACTCACCTAACCCAGCCACCACATACTGTGTTGCTTGACCACCGGGCTCATATTCATTGTTGGGAGAGTGGCGCCCTTCCAGTCTTGAGTCAGGCTGGCGTAACGGCGGTTCACCCGAAAAATGGGCTTCATATGACCCTTGAGGATGTCAGGAAAAACATTATCGCCGACGGAAACAGTGAGCTCGACTAAAGCTGAGGAGTAGCCAATGCTGACGCAGAGATAGTTCACTTTCCTCCTACGCGGGTCGTAGCTCTCGAGAATACAATGTCTGGGACGATTCTGCCATTGAAGGATGCCCAAGAAATCTCAAACTTCGTCAGAAGCTTCCCTGTACCAGAGGGCCAGAAGCCGATCGCCATGCACTTAGACGCCGCCCGACTGTTCGATGCTGTGGTCGGCGAAGGTGTTGATTTGAAGGAGTACTGCAAATGCTTTGACAGCATGAGCGTTTGCTTGGCCAAAGGTCTCGGCGCTCCAATGGGCAGTGTGATTCTTGGGAACAGGGGCTTCATTCAACGGGCGAAATGGTTCCGCAAGATGGTCGGTGGAGGTGCGAGACAGGTATGATTGTCCTAGGTAATTGTCAAGCATGTGCTGACACTCGCAGCCTGGTATGATGGCAGCCGCGGCCGCAGCTGCCATTGACCATTCTTTACCCCTGCTTCCTCGCGTACATGCGAAGGCCAAGGAGACCTCGGCCAAGCTCTTGGAATTGGGCTACAAGCTTGCATTGCCTGTGCAGACCAATATGGTGGTACTGGACCTGGAGGCCACAGGCATCCCGGGCGCTGCTTTCGTGAAATCATGTGAGAAGAGAGGTGTTGCCGTCTTTCCCAATGGAAGAATTGTATTGCACCATCAAACATCAGACGAAGGATTGGACAACCTGATGCTGGCACTGAAAGAATTGACGGAGCGGAAGCAGAGAGGAGAGGTGCTGGAAGACGAAGAGATAGTGGGTGGCTGTTCATAAAGAATCAAGCTTCGAACATGTCCCACAGACTTGGAAACATTGAATCGAGCTCCAGACTCGGGAGATCAATCGAATGGGCAACGAAGGAGTCGGTAGTAGACATCATGCTGGCACGATGGCTGTTTTGAGTGCTGTCACCGATATGTCTCATACTCGCCATCCGATCTACGAGTTCTCCATATTGGGCAATGCAGTGATCAGCAATGTCCCATCGGAAAATCTCCTGAAAGTGTCGTAGAGTTCCCATCATTCTGATGGCCATATTCAGCGAAGCGTTGCCGTCGACATAGTCGCCTGCAGATATGGACCGCACCGCAACCCTGAGGATGAATGCAGTCGCCGATGTCAGGGACGCGCCATGCTGTGGCATCCAGAAACCACAGATATGCGTCTCCTTGAGGCTATGAATGAAGTTAACGATATCTTCGGCTGCTCGCCGTGCTCGGATGTGGTGGTAGTTTCCCGCCAACTGAGAGTCCGTGGTTTCCTTGTCAAGGTCGAGAGAAATTCGGCAAAGCAGGAGCTCCGTGGCCAAGTAGGCAAGACGTAGGTTTGCTGCACCAGCTATCTCGAGCCTCATGCCGCGCAGGACAATGGCGCGCATATCACCGCTGAGTTGGTCTTTCCATGAACCAAGCCGCCTCTCCAGAACATCGGTTGAGCCATCTACCGTCACTGTCGATGGGCTTGATCGCAGGTCGTATACATGTTCAAGGAGGTAGCCGAGTTCCTCTGTAAGGGTTAGGAGTGTGATGTAGATTGTAGCGCTGGGCAGGCCCTCAGGTCTCGCGGATACTGCCTCAATCGTTGGTAAGGCAACATCATATTGTGATGACCGAATCTGTGGAGGAGTACCGTAGCTCAGGCTACACCTGATGTCTCTTAGCTTCGGTCAGTACTCGTGACTCTAAATATGAACGTACCAACGATCTTGTAAAACAACCTGCCACCAGATTCGGACGCGCATATCTTTCTCTGCGTTATGGAGCTGCCACTTTGAGGGATCTCGATTAAGCCCAAGGGCATGGGCAAGAGCGACGGCGGTCCCCATCATGCCGGCGTTGTTGAAGGGTGATGTACTGGGCCTACCACCAATATTCAACAGTAACGCCATCACCGTAGAGATGCCTGGGGCAAGAAATGTTTCGGAATGGAGAGCTTCGTGAGCCTGTACCCATACAAACCTTCCATCAGGACATTTCGATAAAGAGTCTGTGGGGAGTAGAGCCGTTGGTGATACTCTCCAATATATCAAGGCATTTGCGTACAAGTTGGCGAGCAAGGCCGGGGAGATCTTTTCCTTCTCGTTCGTGTAGACGTCCAACAGCTGGGCGGCATCGAACATTGGCATGCATATGTTGGCTTGTTCCAGATACCTGCAGGCCACTAGCATCAGCTTGCAGGATATAGAACGGGATAGGAGCAAGCCAAGCCATACCGTTGAACGATAGCTTGACAGTGTGGCTCAAGCAGCTTTTCAATGACTTCGCACTTGGCGGCGGACAATGTCTGGTTCTTAGTGACACCAAGTGGACGCCGTGACATTGTTGTGAACAGCACAGGCCGTGCCATGCGGGACGAGTCGGTGCAGATGCTCTTTCGATAGCGACCAGCCTCTGGAATGGCCGATAGGTACGGCTCGAGGACCTCATTATCGTTGGCTAGGACGGGTCCTACGACATGCACATTGTCGTCCTCGGTCTCGTCCAAAGTCCCATTCCCACCAACTATGCTATATCCCGGTGTAGGCTCAGTCGCGCTGTCATGCAGTCGGACGATACTTGGCCTCGCACCAGGGTTGTTCCCTGTTGGCAGGATCGGTACATTGTCTCGGTCTCCTCGGGCAGAGTCCAAAACGTTGCCAGGAAGCCCGCTGGTTGATCTCGAATTCGTCTCAGTCGGGCTGGTTGTTGGGTGTCCGGCGGCGGACCGTGTCTGAGGGCGACGGAGGGTCGACGGACGGCTGGGAGACATCGACTTCCGAGGATAGACGCAATCGGTACCATGGACCTCACACATTGCACAAGCTTTACTGGACTGGTCTGTTTTGCATCTCGACTTCCGCTTCCGGCAAGCTAGGCAAGCTGGGATCAGATGCGACCTATATGGGCGCTGCTTGCCATTTGGTGTGGACATCTTCCTCCCCACCCACCAGTATCTATGTTGCGAACTACCAAGAATGAGCGAGTTGTCAGCTTCGCAACATAGATAAAATGCTTATAGAAAAGACAGCAGGCGTGTTAGTGGTGGAATAGATAAAGAACAGTGCTAGGCGATAGCCCCGCACGCCGTTGTGAGGGCGCCTCTTCTCGCTATTGGCCTTTGTCAGCCAGCCCTTCCCTTACTTAAGCTTAACCCCCGAAGTTACTATACAATGAAGCGCCCCCATAACACCTACCTAGATAGCAAGACTGCGTACTGTAGCTGAGGGTCAATCGGGCTCAGTGGCAGTATTTATGGTAAGGGATAATTTTTTATTCAATTCTATTCCTTCGGGTAAAGGCCTTCTTCTGGAGCTGGAACACCATACCAATCAAGACCCAGCTTGTCTTCTGGGTCAGGGTCAGGCATCTGATAAAAGCCATCGTACCGCCACCATTGGCGGCCTTCCCACACGTCTTCAATCGGCAGCACACCCTCTTCAGCCATCAAGTTCCTCGTGGAGGAGACGCGACGCCAGACCCTCAAAATGTTCTCCGACATGACTTTCTTCAACTGCTCCTCCGTGGCTCCCCGGTCGAGGATGGCTTTGAGCAGGTTCGGGAAACACTTGACATCCTCCAAACCTGGTATCACAGAAGCGATACCATCAAAGTCCGAGCCCACTCCAACATGATCCCAACCAATGCGGTTGGCGACGTAGAACAGGTGATCAAGGACATGCTCCATGGTGGCATCGCGTCTCCGGGTTGCAACATGCTCTGGAACAAAGGTAACCATCACGATTCCGTTATTCGCGGGGACCATGTCCAGCACATCGTCCGGCACATTCCTTGCGCAATCAAAGACGCCCCTGACGTTGCTATGCGAGAACATGACAGGCGCACGAGTTAGCTGCAAAGTCTGTTTCGCGCAGTCCTCGGACACATGAGACAGATCAATGATCATGCCTAGACATATTAGTACTCAACAACAAGACGTTACGACGGTGTTACCGAGTCGATTCATCTCAACAATGGCAGAACGCCCGAGCTTTGAGAGACCCCCGTGCACGGGACCAATCTTCGAGGTGGAGCTATCCGCGAATGCATTGTTGCATACATGTGTCAACGTGCACTATCGTCGTGTCAGTGAGAATCTGGAGGTGTCCTTTGGCACAAAACCTACATATCGCACACCTAACCGATAAAATGCTCGAATGATGCCAATGCTGTTACCCGCCATGTGAAGTCTCTGGAGGTCAGCAAATCTCTCGCACCTCAGCAGCATCAAAACGTACCCTTCTATACCGATCGAACAGCCGATCTTGCCTGCCTTATAGGCCTCCAGCACATCGTCAGGCTCACCCACTAAGGTAAACGTCTCTGGATAATGCTCCACCAGTCTGATGGTCAAGTCAATTTGTTCGATCGCATCCCTAGCCATGTCTGAATACTCGGGCGTGGAGAAATTCTCTGCTGAGCGCAGACACGGCACGCATACAGACCAGAATTGTCCGCCCACTGCGCCTTCTCGGAGACGGGGAATGTCAGTCATACCCCTCTCGAAGTGTTTATCGAATTGGAAATTGGGGTTGTTGTATATTTTGCCCTTGGTGATGGCGCGAGGCTGTTGTGGAAGGTCATTGTGTCCATCAATCAGAGGTGTAGTCAGCAGTACACGTTTGACACGCTCATCAATATCCAGATCTTGGTACTGGTGGTGAGACGGTGCTTTGATCATTGCTGCGGTTCAGTTGGCTGTCAAATGCCGGGCCCACGATTGCTCGTTGCTCTTGTTGATGTTCGTATATCAGCTGCAATCTCAGGCGATGCCTGCCGTCAACAGCAGTGCTCCACGGTTACGACCAGCCTGAAATCACACGGGGTGTTGTAAGCGAATCTCACTACCCGGAATTCCCCTCGGCTTCGTCCGAACCGGAAAACTACACTTGCCCGCGGCGGCCAAGAGATAGCTTACTATTGTAGCCTATAGTCGTCGTTGCTCGGAGTTGGCCGACCATTGACTATACAACGACTTGCGACGAACTCCCAGCATTGTAAGCACGTCACTTCTCAATGTAAGACACGACAACATGGTCCAGTCGCAAGTAACACCAGAGCTATCTTCGGTCGGCTGGAGACTTCGGCCTTACCGCACCTCAATATCGTCAGCTTGGCCTAGTCCTTGAACAGGCTCCGGTGTTTGACCAGGAGTAGTTGCCGGTCTAACTTACTCGTATCGTAGACTTTCAGCGACATAGACGCCGATGCAGCGCCTGGGACCCCAAAGAAAAATAGATTCCCTGAACCTGGTTTCAATTGATGTCAGAGATCCAGACGTGGCACGATATGGGGGCGTGGCTCAGTCTGCGTAAAAGCGGCGTCATGTATGTCCAAAAAAGCTTTTGATAACCTTGGCATAAATGACCCTCCAAATCGCGGCAGTACGCTTCACGGCTCGACTCAGCTGATCTTTGCGATCGCTCAGATTCCATGATTCAGCGCGCATCATGAAGACTACTGCCGCAAAGCACTGCAATGAACGGCCCCTCCGATGGCCCGCTCGAGACAACCATACCGTTCCCCTCAATCGAGAATGATGTCGAGACCCCTGAACCAGCAGTCGATTCCAAGGAGAACGTGAAAGGCAAAGAAAAAGATGGCACACCTAAGAAGAAGCCACCTGCGCATCGCCGCTCCATCAGTGGGAACCTGCTGAAGCTCCTACGCTCTGGCAGTGCTGAGCGCGTTGAGCAGGATGGCAGCGCATCAGAACCGTCCGTCTCCCGCTCCGCCATGGGTGCAGCGATGAGTGACACGCAACGCCGCCGTCGCAAAGGGTCCCTTCGCAAGACCGTTCTTGGGAAAGGCCGTGAGAAAGACAGAGACCGCAAGGGAAAATCACCGCTTGCTAGTCCTTCCGTTGCCGTACCGGCTGCGACATCGTACCTGGATATCGACCCCTCTGACAGCACCGCGCTGTCCACGCCGCGGCCTTCCGTCGAATTCTCCCCCGATGATGCGCCCACCTCCCCGGAAGTCGTGCCAGCCTCTTCCGGCAATCCACCCCGCTGGCCCTTTCGCACCCTCTCACGCGTCTCGATCCCCTCCATCCGCAGCAGCGTCGCAAGCGTCGAGCCCGCCTCGTCCACGACCAGCGCACGCAATAGCACCGCTCGGCTCAACGACGTCAGCACCTTTTCCACTGAAGATGATGAAGACGACGACGAGGTCGCCATGCCGCCCTCACGGCGGCCTCTACAGCAGCAGCCACTACTACGCAAAATCCCAACCACCAGCAGCCTCGGCGGCGCCAGCGAAAGCAGCAGCACCAGCTACAGCTACTTTCCGACCGTGAGCGTCAGCGTCTCCACCGCCCCTAGCATCATCGGTGATTCACTGCGCCGCAGCAGCCTGGGCTACTTCGGTTCCTCGGCCGCCGCCGCCGCTGCTACGCACGCGCGTTCGCCCTTGGCATCCTTGCCGCAGAGTGTGGCGGGAACGCCTCCCTCGGACGCCGAGGACGAGGGTGAGGACCAGCATGACTACGCGGAAACGGCGTTTTGGGGTTACGTCATCCTGGTGGTGAGCTGGGTGGTGTTCGTGGTCGGCATGGGCAGCTGCTTCGACCTATGGTCCTGGGCGTGGGACGTAGGCGAGACGCCGTACGCGCCGCCCGAGCTGGAGGATGACCCAAGCCTACCGATCACAGGCTACTACCCGGCGCTGATGGTGTTGACGGCCATCATGGCGTGGGTGTGGGTGGTGGTAGCGTGGGTGGGCATGAAGTATTTCCGACACGCGGACTTCAAGGGCGAGGAGCTGTAGAGTCGCAACGATTAAGCTGTGGTGGTTTTTGGGTATCTAGTTTGGATCTGCCGAACATGTAGCAACCAAGAACGAAACGTAATTGATGCCAGAGCTTCACAAAAAAACCAAACGCCTCCTTTTTGCCATCGCTTCCCCTTCGCCCGCAATCATTGTCGTCTCATCGTTCCCAATCTGTGGTTCCATACAGTCCGTTGTGGGCATACTATCCCTGTGCTTCGGAACCCTTCTACTTTTGTCACTCAGGTTCGCCTCAATCCCGCTCCACACACCCATTCCCCAACCCCAGTTCCTTGACCTTCATATTGAAAAAATCCATGTCGTCTTTCCCCAGCACTGTCTTCCTCTCACCGTTCAAGTTCACCACTGGTTGTGGCGTCTCCGAACCAGGCGTCTCCTGTCCGCCACCGGGTGTCTTAGCGGCAAGTCCTTTGCTCCTCGCAAACCCCGTGCTTCGCTCGCGGCTGGGGTCGCCGTCCCAGTACTCGTCTTTGATGGGTTTCACATAGACGGTCTGGTCGCAGATGGTGACGATGGTGTTGGTGGGGACGCTGAGCCAGTTGTGTCGTTCAAACGTCAGTGGCTCGGACGCCACAAGCACGACGTCGGAGGCTTTGTCTCGACGCTCCATGCGGAACTGGCCCTTTGAGGGACCCTCCACCCACGCAGTGCCGGAACTGTAGTACAGTGAGGCGGCAGCATCGCTTTTGGAGGAGACGTAGCGTGTGACGATGACGCTGTGGCCGTCTGCGACGGCGAAGTTGAGGAGTGATCGAGTCTCGACGTCGTCTAATCCGTGTTCTTTGGGGACGGCTTTGATGAAGGCGTTGATTTTCGCAATCGTTGCTTTCATGGCTCGGCGGAGCATTTTGGGATCGAAGCCGCCGGGCGGTGTGCTCGAGGGATCAACGCCTAATGACTCGAGATTGTCGAGGAACAAGGCAAATGCCCATTCTGAGTCTGTGCCACCACGCACGCCTAAGAACCACTTATCCCGCAAGGACGATGCAAGTGGACGTTTCACGAACTTCCACGCTCCAATGTTGCCATTGTGCATCCACATCAGTGTCTCGTGCTGAAAAGGGTGGCAGTTATTCTCAGCCAGCGAGCCTTCTGTTGTGGCGCGTACATGGGCGAATATCAGATTGCTGGCGGTTTTTGGAGCGAGGCGTTCGAGATTCACGCAGTTCCAGGCTGGGAGCGTAGAGGTGAAGATGCAGGGATCCGGCCCGAGGCTGAGGTCAGTGTACCAGCCGATACCGAAGCCATCGCCGTTAACGGGACGTCGAGAATCCAGGCGAAGACGTGAGTCATATGACTGAGTGAGAATGGAGTGTGAGGGTTCTGTAACGAGCTTGGAGAGAATTATCGGAGAGGAGCCAGCGTAGACTAGAAATCGACACATGATCGTCGTGTGAAGGTTGAAGTGTTGATTGTACGAAGAGATTCCCGGGGAAACCAGATCATATCGGAAGCGGATGCCTTATGCTCTGGGGCGGGCTCATGTGAGACCCACAAGCTGGATAAGCAAACGCCTCCGTCACCTCCGATGAGGAACACCTGGTAGTGTCCTGGACGAAAAACAACTCAGATTGATTTATCGCCTAACAGAGTGATGTTACTGTAAGCCAGGGAGAAGGATGCTCTGTGCTCGTGACAGCCACTGCAGACGCCCGAATCCCAATATTATGAGCAGAGACAGGGCGGTGTGCTTTTCGAAAAGCGAATGAAAGCACGATGGTGTGCTGAACGCCCGCCAACGCCTAGAAGAGAGTAAATGGGAAAGTTAGAAGGGATACTGTCGTTGAGATGACTTGGGAAAAGTAGCTACACCGCCAAATGGCGTGCTGTTGAACAATGCTTGGGAAGAGGTCGTCAGGCTGAGCCTTGGCGCCTATGCGTCATTCCTCCTTTGTGACGGCGTCATTTGAAAGTGGTCGCCGCCGTGATCCAACCACTATCAACACCATCCCCCTCCATCAAACACTACACGTACAAATGCTTATGACGTGACGAACCTCAACCCTCGATGAATGGGCGCCTCATATCCGCCCGCCTCGCGCCACCCTTGCGCCAGGCTGCGCGCCACCTCCATACACATACGCCTAATGTCTCATCGATAACAGGCACCCGCTCATTGTCCCACGGCTTGCTCTCCCGACCCGCGCAGACCCTTCGCATTCGGCGGCGGTGGCCCTCTGGTGCCAATGCCATTCACAATGTCCCCGCCGTACGGTCAATATCCTTCGTGCGGATACTACCCCGGTTAGCGTTGAAGATGGCGCGGCTGCCTGCGCTCTTCGGTGCCAGCTGTTTAGGTGCTTTCGCGTATGTTCAGTATCATGCAACACAAGCAGGAACTGCAGCGATGGAGGCCGCGAAGAGAGGATGGGACAGTGCAAAAGATGTGGGAGGTCAGTGGTTCGAGGGCGGCAAGGGTGTCTTTGCGCAAATGGGAACTGGTTGGGAGCGAACCAAAGAACAGGTCGAGGTGCCCGAGTGGATGCGGACTATGTTCGAGGCAAAGCCAGAGTCAGAAGGTGGATCTGGTGGGGAGGGCGGCGGAGGGGGTCAGAAGGAGGCTGCTGCCGCCGCGGCAGCCACTGGTGCAGCGTTTGGTATCGAAGGTGGCGACGAGGAGCGGAGCGGGCAGCAAATTGCAAGAGACGACCAGATGATGATGCTCACGAAGAAAATGATTGAGATTCGAACGCTGCTGAATACGGTCGGTCAGTCCGGCGCCCTGACACTACCATCGATCGTCGTGATCGGGTCGCAATCGAGCGGGAAGAGTTCGGTACTGGAGGCTATTGTTGGTCACGAATTCTTGCCCAAGGGCTCTAACATGGTTACCAGACGACCGATCGAGCTGACTCTCGTCAACACACCCGAAGCGAAGGCTGAGTATGGCGAATTCCCGGCCCTGGGGTTGGGCAAGATCACCGACTTCAGTCAGATCCAGCGAACCTTGACCGATCTCAATCTCGCCGTGCCAGCGGAGCAGTGTGTTACCGACGACCCAATCCAGCTATCCATTTACAGCCCGAATGTGCCTGATCTGTCGCTGATCGATCTTCCTGGCTACATACAAGTCGTGGGCAAAGATCAGCCGTTGGAATTGAAGCAGAAAATCTCGGATCTATGTGACAAGTATATCCAGCCTCCGAACGTCATCCTCGCCATTTCAGCCGCAGATGTCGATCTGGCCAACTCGACCGCGCTAAGGGCAAGCCGGAGAGTTGATCCTCGAGGAGAGAGGACGATTGGTGTCATCACCAAGATGGATCTCGTTGATCCCGACCGAGGCGTCGACATTCTCACAGATCGGAAGTATCCTTTACGGCTTGGCTACGTCGGTGTTGTCTGCAAGATCCCGCAGCAGACATTGTTCAGCCGCGGAGGCAACGTCACCAGTGCCATTGTAAAGAACGAGAACGCCTTTTTCTCGTCGCACCCGATGCAGTTCGGCCCAGAGACAGAACTCAATGTTGGCACGCCCAAGCTACGGAAGAAGCTTATGACAACTCTGGAGCAAGTGATGGCCGCCAGCCTCGCCAGCACACGAGATGCGATCGTTCAAGAGCTTGAAGAGGCCAGCTACGAGTTCAAAGTGCAATACAACGAGCGAGCACTGTCGGCGGAATCGTATCTTGCCGAAAGCCTCGATGCATTCAAGCACAATTTCAAGGCTTTCCAAGAGAGCTTTGGCCGTCCCGAGGTACGAAGCATGCTTAAGGAGGTCTTGGATCAGAAAGTGCTTGATCTGTTGGCGAAACGATATTGGAATAAGCCGATTGAGGATCTTTCCACAATTGAGGTTGAGTCCAATCCGCTGGAGAAGCTGCCCAAGGCTGACACGAGCGACCCGTACTGGACGCGAAAACTCGACGCCAGTACTTCAGAACTCACTAAGCTTGGGATAGGACGACTAGCAACCATGGCCGTTGCCACAGAGCTACAGAATCAGGTCAATAGGCTCATTGATGTCTCTACATTTGCCACCCATCAATCGGCTCAGAAAGCGATCAAGGATGCCAGTGGCACCATCCTGAACGATCGATTCTACTCGACTTCGGACCAGGTTGAGAACTGCATCAAGCCATACAAGTTCGAGATTGATGTGGAGGACAACGAGTGGGCTAAGGGTCGCGAGAATGTCCACAACGTGCTCAAGAATGAGCTCAAGGCTTGTGACCTCGCGAAAAAGCAGCTCGAAGACGCCGTCGGTAAACGCAAGCTGAAGGACGTGACATCCTTCATCGAGAGGGTGCGGAAAGGAGACGTGGTCCTCGGAGGCGATGTCAGTTCCGGCGCCGGCGGCTTCTCAGCAGATCTGCTAGAGCGAGGTACGTCACTCCAACCAGGTGTTTTGACATCGTTGCTAACATTGTTCCAGGCCGACAAGCAGTCTTCCTCTCCGACCGCGCCGCCATTTTAAAAATGCGCCTCCTCGCCATCAAATCCAAACAGTGCAGCAACAAGGCCAACAAGTATCACTGCCCCGAGATCTTCCTGGACGTGGTCGCCGACAAGCTGACCTCTACGGCCGTGCTGTTCCTCAACGTCGAGTTGCTCAGCGACTTCTACTACAATTTCCCCCGCGAACTTGACTTGCGCTTAGGCAAGGGGCTCAGCGAGGCGGAGATTGAGCGATTCGCCAGCGAAGACCCCAAGGTTAAGAGACAGCTGGATGTGATTAGAAAGAAAGACATGCTGGAATTGGTGTTGCAGAAGATCGAGGGATTGAGGGCCTTGGAGGGGCGAGCAAAGCGAGAGGCTAGGGGAGAGGAGAAGGGTGCGAAGGGCCGGTGGAGCTTGTTCTGAGGTTGATGTGATGATGCCCACAGGCTGTTCGTTCTCAAAGACCCTCAAGATTGGATTGGATTGGATTGGATTGTTGTTCGTATTCGCAGGCGTTTTCCTGCCACAGCAAGCGGTGCCGTTGTAATGTAGATACCCCTCCCTCGCCTCGAAATGCGTACATTATCTCATGACCCCAAACTTGTTCTGCTGTGCGCTTTTTCACAGTGACTATACATCACTTCTCCTTAACCCCTCGCAGTCCTATCTTACATGCACGCCTGCCCTCCCCTCGCATCCACTTCACCGCAACCCCTGCCCAAACGCCCTCCGACTCGTCATCAGTCCCAAGCTCGAGTCCAGCAAGCTCTCTTTACCCCAGCGCACCACGCCGTCGTTGCCATCAATACCCTCCATACCGGCCTGCTTGCCCATCTTGTCCGCCATCTTGACGACGCTGAAGCGGATCATGCGCGGGTCCAGCGCCAGCGTGCGCTTGACCTCCTGCTGCGCGGCCGCCGAGCTATCGAACTGCAGGATGAAGTAGTGGCCCGTGTAGTGCTGCGTCTGATGCTTGGTGGTTGGGCGCGGCAGGTCGAACTGGCCCCAGTTCGTGAGCGAGCGGATCGTGCCTTTGGAGTTGAGGATCGTGCGGCCGGTGTTGGTGGCGATTCTGGAGGTGAGCTGCGTTAGTCTCGGGGTCGTAGAAATTGGGCGACTGGGTGTGGGTGGCTTGGGGAGATGACCGCCCGGAGTGCTGGCCGAGCGCCCGCTTGTCACAAGGAGGAGAGGGAAACGTACTCTTTGATGTGCGCAATGTTGCCGGGTCGGACCTGAAGTTGTCAGCGCGATTGTTGTTGAAAAGAACATAGCTTACGCACCACGGCTATTAGTTCGTACAGCATCGTTGTCTTGTCTAGTGATCCGCGAGGACGAAAGATTGATTGCGGCATCTCGAACTTTTGGATCGGAGACGGCGAAACGGCGCGCCAAGCCACAGCGCCGCTGACTCCACTCTTCATCCCGCGGCTGCGGAGCTTGAACTGAGCTCAAGTCAACTTCAGATCTATCTTCATCCTGCGACAACTCGACCCTGAACTGTACATACCATGGCTGCCTCGGTTATGTACAGAGTTCTGCCGGTAGCTCGAGCTGCCGCGCGAGCGAGCGTTGCACCGGCCTTCAGATCGCAAGTGCAGGCCTCGTGGAGGGCTGGTGCTAGGAGGGGGTTTGGCAGCAGTTCGTCTCGTGAGTTTGCGCAAGGGTTCATGTGGTAGGCATACAGCTAACTTGGGCTAGTGCTCGTCAAGAAGTACACCGAAGATCACGAGTGGATCGAGCTGGACGATGGTGGCAAGATTGGTATGCATACCAGTTGTTTCTCACACCACTGTTCCGCCTGGCTAACTAGTAGACAGGCACGATCGGAATCACCACATACGCTGCGCAGCAACTCGGCGACGTTGTGTTCGTAGAGCTACCGGAGGTTGGCACAGAGCTGAAGAAGGGTGACTCCATGGGCGCGGTAGAGTCTGTCAAGAGCGCCAGCGACATCAACGTACCGGTGGGCGGAACGATCACGGAGGCGAATAATGCGCTGGAAGAGAAGCCGGGCAACATCAACAAGAGCCCCGAGGACAGCGCTTGGATGGCCAAGATCGAGGTAGCGGACGCCAGCGAGCTCGAGAATCTGATGGACGCCGAAGCATACAAGGCTTTCACTGACGAGGGCGAATGAATGAGACTGTGGTTCCTGATTGCATGAGAATCTTGTTTCCGTCTTGATTGCTGTTGTACTGACCGAAAAGCGTGGCGCTTACTGACATGGAAGGAGTAGCTACGCACTGCCGCATCCTCACCTTCTATGACCTCCGCCTCAGCAACCATTCATTTCAATCTACAAATATCATTGTTTTCAGGTTTTACTATAACAACCAGCACCGGAATCACCGCTACTGGCTCTGTTCGAGCCTCAGGTCACGATTCCACAAAACGGTGGTAATTGAGCGGGTTCAACTCCTCCTATCCTATCCTCCATTCTTATCCACGATTCAAGAGTGGTCGGTGACACTCAAACACTGAAGAGACTGCGTGTGTGAATATACTATCAAAAACCTCTGGGTTCTCGACTACTGAGATCAAAAAGATCTCCGTAGTTGAGTTTTTGGTTTTTGGCTGGCTGTTCGAATCTTATGGCGACCCGCAGCTTTTGCTTACGCCGGACAACTAGCTCTACTGTCCATTGATGCGCAGCCGAATAGCTCTTTTTGATTGTGCTCAGAATCAACTATTAACTAATTTGCCAGACATTGACTCGATCCTTCTTGGCTGGGGTCACTAGTAATTGATCTTCAATATCACACACACAAACCCACGTTTAAGACGACAGCGAGCGAGGGATGGCCGAGCGGTTGGGGCGCTATCTTCAGGTGGCAGTGGTGTTTCACCTCGTGGGTTCGAGTCCCACTCCCTCCACACTCTGCCGCTACACAGTGTTCTGCTTTTTGCTTGAGGAGAAATCTACGAAGCAAGGGCACTGTGATCAGTACTACCAATGAATCAAAGGCAGAAGGGTCAGCGGTGCCTATCGCATTCAGCTTCGATTGCTTACACGTAGGTGGTCCTCCAGCATCACCAGTGTCACGCCAACATTATACTCGCCTGGCCATTCCGCCTGCTAGATGTCACCATGCTCGGATTGATGATATGCTTTGTAAATGGCCGTATTGTGCGTCACTTACGAGCCTTATCCGCCGTCTTGGTGACGTTAATTGTTGACTTGTACCAGAAGTACTTAAGTTTGGTAACTCCATGCTCTCGAACTTCTCATAATCAGATCGCTACTGCGACGAACTTTTCTTTAACAATCGCGTAATCCACTGAAGAACATGTCTAACCACTTCACTGAAGCGGCCATGGAGATACAGGTGATGCGATCCGAATTCAACTCCATCGAACAGTCTCTGCAGCCCGTACGTCAGCTTCACTTCCAAGGACCGCGACCACTGCATAGGTCTCAAGTCACTGAAGATGCCGAGGAACATGCTGCCCCAGCTCATCCGAGGAGCGAAGACCCCGACCGCAGACCTGCCATGCGCGAGATCACTATCTTCGAAGATGATTATGCTGTTGCACCTCCCGAACGCCGCGATCACGTCGACCTTCCACAAACACTCACAAACGATCCAACAAACGACTTTCATGCCACAGCTGCGCGAAGAATTGCGGCCATGCGCCGACAATACGAGGAATGGAGGCAACGAAACCCCAACCGCCGGCCCGGTCCAGGTCAGCATCTTCAGCCCAACACTGCCGCCAGCAGAGCTACACACAGCTACCAAACTCATATTTGGCAGACTAACGCCCTCGACAGCCCATCTGATGCTACGAGCATGATCTTTGATGGCGCCTCTACCCAGCTTGTTCGTTCAAGCGATGACAAGTCGTGCTGGATCTGTATGATGCAGTACGCGAAAGGAGATGAGATGGCTGTCCTGCCTTGCCCTGGGAGGCATCGCGCTCATCTCTCCTGCTTGAAGGAATGGCACAAAAAGAACTTCAACTGTCCAGTCTGTAGACAAGACTTCGGGTGGAAGATCTCTGTGGCTTAGGATTGGGGCAGGCGTTCAGAAGCCTGAGAGTATGACAAAAAACACATGGAGAGGATATGAGCAATGGCTTGAGGTCCTACGGTGCGGTACCGCTCGACTCCATCTGCAACAAATGCATTCTAAATGTAGCTGCGAAAGACTATGGCTACAAAACCTGACATCGGTCACTGATGGCAAAGAGGCCCTTTGTCCCGGGTTTGCCAGCCTCGCAAGCTGGAGACACAAACAATGGATCTTGAAGTTTAGTGGCGAGAGTGCATTGCTATCATTTTCATAGTGCAGTCAGCTTCAATAGGCAAAGCACAAAGATTGATGTGCTTACCTCGAAAAGTCATTGCTCAGTCCCTCTACTACCCAAGCTTCTTGGTAGAGATAAATACTGAAGCACAGGCCATTCAGACCAACCATAGCATAACATCTTTCAGAACAACCGCGACACACACTCTAGGTCACACTCCGAGACAGACTTCGAAACATCCCCTGAAATCATGAAGCTTACTCTGCTCATCTCAACGGCTCTTGCCGTCATCCCTCTGGTCTCAGCCTACGCGATCGCTAACGTTGACGCTAGTGCAACCGACATCAACGAGGTCGCCGAGACTGATTATCAGGATGACCTTGCACTTGCCGCTCGTGCCGCGCCGATAAAGGGAATAGACTGCAAAACCGTAACGGGGCCGTTCAAGGATGCGTGCAACGTGTGCAAGGAGAAGAAAATGTCGTCGGTCGTGTGCGCATCGTAAGCCCTCCTGCACTTTCATTACTCTTGTCACTTCGGGCTAACTAGAGATAGTATGTTTATCAACTGGACCTAGAGTTTGCTCGCTCTGGTGCTCGCTTTGGGTACTCGGGCTGTAAGGTGACTGGACACGCGGGTACGCTGGATGGGATGTGCTCATACAGCTGGGCCCCAGGGTTCCCCTCAGTCCAGCTTCAATATACAAAAGTACATAGATGTTATTCAGAGACTTGCGTTCCTCTCGCAGATTCCACATACTCGCTTTATCATGAATAACTAGTCACGTGAGGCTGTTGATAGTAAGTCTGGTAACACTGAAGCTCTGGGCAGTACAAGATAACCAAGAGGAGTTTATTGTAATCGTACTTGAATTCCTCATCGATAGTGGGTATATCTACAATGGCTCAATGTAAGGACCCATATTTGGGTTGTTCTTGTAGCAGTATTTATTACTCCTATCCATGGTCTGCGCCACAAGCCTCGATGTTTGCGGAATATCGTGCAATGGTAGGTATTTCCGGCGGAAACTATAAATTGAATACTCTTGATGCCAGTATCACTCTTATGGAGTGATCTCTTATGGAGTGATACTGCATCGTTGTCAGAGCCATCTGAGCGCGGGTTACTCCGGAGTAATAGCGCACCTGATGCCAAGAGGCAGTGAAACCTTGGCACTGGACCATCTGTTAAGAACGCTTCTAATCGATTTCCTTCGTGCTTGATGAAACGTGCCATTTCTCTCTCAAGTTCGGGATGCAAGGGTCGTGACTTGAGTACTTCCTCATTCTGAGTCAGTCGTGACTTTCATCTTAACATGATCGGAAGCGAAATATGCTCTCGATCCGAACTCTGTGCCCAGCCACATGCTACTGAGCCTTGTGGCATATGAACAGCAAGGATGCAGTCACTTCTTAAGTCACAGCTTAGCAACGCGTAGACTCAGCCTTATTTCACTTTGCCGGCATGTGACTCCGTTTGTCACCACGTCACTGGTGAGCAGGTGTTTGACGACCTTTAGGCAGAAATACCTCCCCGCCTTGGCATTGTGGGGGTGACTTCCCTGCGCCGTTGCAACTTTGGATGCTGCAGTTATCACTCCATTGTAATTCCTCCTGTTGTTAATCCGACGTTGCGCACGCCAAGAGGGCTCACCAAAGATGCCGGACTCTTCAAACGCCTCTACTCATGTATGGCGCGAGCGAGCGCGATACTGGCAGGGTGTTGCTAGCCAACGCCGCCACGATGCTGCTGAAGCACAAGCAACCGCTGACCAAACCATCCTGCAGCTCAATCAGCAGATCCAACAGCAGCAACAAAACGCCCACAGCGATAGTGCCACGCAGCTACAACAGACCATTCTTCACCTCCGCCAGGAGATCCAGCGTCTAGAGCAGCGAATTTCTAGCATCAACAGTGCACAACTTGCAGACGAGCAGACGGTGGAGTCGAACGAAGGTGCTCAACATGAAAACGACGTTGAAGAGTCCGAGAGCGGTGAACTCGATGCCGAAGAGCCTGCACTTGGAGAATCTGGGGCGGACGATGAAGGGTCTGACAATGGTATAGAAGAGCCTGAGAACGGTGAACTCGACATCGAAGAGCCTGCACTTGAAGAATCTGGAGTCGACGATGAAGAGGTTCAGGCGCCCGAGGGGTTTCCAGTACTCACTCAGGTATCCTTCAGGATTTCAAGCATCATGGTACCGATCTCCACCATCCTTCGAGCCGCCATCAACACCATACTCTCGGATCCCCAAGTCCTGTCAGGTGGTGGATATGTTGTTGGGGGTCTGAATGGCAATTTGGTCCCAACACTAAATGTACCACCACAGCTATTGACCGCCAGCCAACAACAGCCGGTGCCTCCGGCTTCCCAGTCACACGGGACGAACGCTCAAAATGTCCAAGACGAGCCTCGCATCCCAGCTGAGTACCTGCAGCGCATTCGAGATGTGCTTGACCGAGCGGAGATCCCCTTCATGGGCACGAATGCGTTGCAGATCAGTGCAGAAGCGTTGCCAGCGACACCTCCTCCGTCCCTCCACCGAGGCCCACACGCTTACGATACCATCAAGTGGTCTTCGAAAGCCATGCCCACTCGAGACGAAGACGATCTATCCTGCAGTATATGTCGCATGGAGTACGTGGTAGGCGAGACAGTCTGCATCTTGCCATGCGCTGGTCGTCACCACTTTCACCAAGAGTGTATCAAGAACTGGCATAAAGAGGCTTCATTGGATTGTGCCATGTGTCGTGCAAAATTTGTCTGGCGACTGCAGGAGAAGCTGCCGGCCAGTGTCGAGTTCTGACGAGCAGAGCGAGGAAGGCGGACAGAATCTTAAGGATGCCGCTGTGGCTGGACCTGACGCCATTAGACTCTGACCAGGTGTCGAGTTGGGTGCTTGAATGGAAAAGGGCTCAACGACAGTGCGACTCAGTGTTATGTATCAGCTGCAGGATCCAAGTATCAAGACTGTGTGCGCTGTTGTCCGTGGGTGAGTGGTGTCTTTGCAACTACGAGGGATTGAAGGTTCTCTACGAGGCAAGGTTTCAGAGTCGCATGCTTGAATGAGTCATCAGGCAGTGAATGCAGTATTTCGGTTGGTAAAATTGCCCTTTCATCAAAAATTGTAGTACAGGCCGCCAGGGTCCCCGCATGGTTCACGTAAGACTTTATACCACTTCTTCGAATGAGCCACTACTCGCAAGTCCTGCTGTCAAACGGGGTCAAACCAGGAAGCAGCCTTCGGATGCCACGTCGGGCCTCCAACACGGAAAAGGGACTCTTGAAAGCTGGTGACCGGGGTTGCGAAGTACTTTCGACCTGTCACTTTTGGCGGCACTGCATACGAGCGCGATGACGATTATGGAATTAATCGCTGGCATAGATCTGTGAGGAAGCTGTTCAGGCCAGACGGACGGGAGAATTCATGGGATCTCCTCTTCTGTGAGTCTTGGATATCTATGTCGACACTCTTACCAATGTGTACGGTCCGTAGGTACAACCATGCCGACCGTCTGGACCCCTGGATCATCAGGGCGATCAGTGTCGAGGCTTGACCACGGAAGAGATGGGAAACGACCACGATGACGAGGCAGATGACTCGATTCGAGACGCACGGTGTGACTTTCTCCGCGCGATCCTAGCCAAGATTGAGACTGAGATCCGAGGTCAAGGAGCCGACAGCGAGGTGTGGCAGCCTGATGCTCTGATGACGGTGAACAAGCTGCAGCGCAAGTTCGAGGGCTAGGTCAAGGATGCGCTTCGAGAGCGCTCTGTGAGAAATTGAGAGGATGTGTCTGCATGCGATTTGCATTGATGTCGGTCATCGGTCCACTCAACGGGTATCAACACACACCATTCAGCACCTTCCTTTTCGTGCGATCTGCATCTCGCCATTCCCAGATGAAATTGCAGCTAATGACTAACCTCACAAGTCGTCCTTGCAGTACTCGACAACCGGGCGATTCTACCTTCTACCACAAATTCCGCGGTACCCGAGTTCGAAGGGTGGAGTCCTTGCAAGGTTTCCGCCCCTTGCGCCGGCTCTCCCGCTACTCGAGCTCTACCAGGGGTCACCTACCAGATCGGGTATGCCGTAGCTCGGGACCATTTACGTCAGCCAGAGGAACGGTGCGGGATTGAGTTTTGCATAGTCACTACTCCTCACCCATGTACGAAGTATGATGGTGGGCCTGAGGTCATCGGGCCATGCTGAGGGTCGCTGTCGATGCAGCGGATTGAAGCGAGTCCGAAGTGCAGTGGCTAAAGTATCCGGAATCGGCCCGCTCTGCAGGTACTGTAGAGCCGCATCAACAGAACAGGGTTATGTATATGCTTGATCAGAAACAAGCGGTATTATGCCTCCTTGGCCTGGGAAGCTTAAAGCCACTGACTCGAACTGACGCTCGCTCTTTGTTCTTTTGATACTCCCCTACGGCCTATGACCGGTACCTGTTACTGCTGTTGTCCAACCACAGCTCTCGTTTCCCTCCCATTCCATTTCACTCCACTCCACCCCTCTCCTCCTCCCAGTTTCCACTCGTACTCCAACAAACTCGTTGCCCTTTCCTCCCCACACACTACCTGATGTCACTTCGCTAACCCACCAAATTCCAATCCCACACATCCGCATCACAACAGCGCCGCCAACCCCAGCACGCCACCAGCGAGCACGCCCATCGGCGCCACTCCACCCACGCCCAATACCCCAGCCGTCGGCGCCACCGCCGCCGCATTGCCAGAGCTGCTGGAACTGCCACTGCCGCTGCCGCTGCCACTCGCGGCCGTCGCGCTACTCCCTCCACCGCTGCCACCATTAGAAGAAGCGCTGCCGCTGCTGCTAGCATCACTAGTCTCCGCAGCGCCAGAGCCACCACTCCCCTGTGCCGTAGTAGCTGCACCCCCATTGAGGCTCTCGCTGTAGCTGCTGATGAGGGCGCTGTAGTCAGACGCGGTGACGGGGATGCGAGTCACGCAAGACTCGGTTTGCGTCGCGGTGTCGACGGTGCCAGGGCCGGTGCAGATGGGCCAGCCTGGGCAGGTGCTTAGGGTGAGTTGGCCGCCGACGCAGCTGTGAGAGGGGCGTCAGCAGGGAGGGATGGAGGGAGTGGGTGGAGAGTGTAGACTCACCAGTATTCGTTATTATACAGCACGCCAGGGCATTGGGTGCCGCCATTGCTGTCGTTGAGACCGCCGTTGATGGTCTCGCCGGGCTGGTCGGCCGTGTCGGTGATGGTGCCGCTGTCCTGCGCGAAGGCGAGGAGTGGGAGGAGGGTGGCGACGGCGACGTGGGAGTAATGCATTTTTCCTTCTTGGAGAGTGGGATTGCTTGGTGTAGAGCTAGAAGGTGCTTCGTCAAGAGAAGGATGTGAGGGTTTGATTGTGTCGTTTAATGGATGAGTTTGGAGGAGGTAAGTGTTGTGCGAGATGCAATCAGAAGCGATGGATGTTGATGAGCGTTGACAGAACGCCACTTGAAGGTGGAGGGCCGACAAGATGTCTTCTTATAGTCCAGTACAGCTCCTCGTACCGGTACCTGCATCAATGACATTGTCGATCCCACAGCCCTGTAGGGTAGCGCTTGAGTAGAAGCTGAACCTTCTTTGCCGGAGCTAGTAAGCAGTAACCTAGGTCGGCCGATCAAGGCGTGGTCATCGTGCTCAGTACGAGGTCGAGACTGGGTTCGACAAGCCTGGCCATGCTTACCAGAAGTCATCTACTGTAGTAGTACAATAGAGCAGCCGGACATGGCAAGTCAGGCATCGCACAGTGGCAGCGCCACACTAGTACGCAGTATGTTGGCCGAGACAACCAACATCAAGATCACCAAGCACAGTACCAGTAGATTAAGCTTTATTCTCTGAAGGAGGATCTTCAGCCCCTGACGACGTCGGCTGAGGCAGCCTAGCCTGACTCTGGAAACTCCGCTGAATTAGAGACAACTTAAAAAGCGCCGCTGGGGGAAGGAAGTTGGGACGCCTCGTGCAGCTCACATCCGTGCCGGCAGCAGTACTGAATCCCCCAAATCTTACTATCACAGGATCGAGGCATGCATGTCGACCTTTCACTGTCCGGGGCAGGAGCCAAAGGGGGAACCTGAATGAAAGCTTGCGTGAATCAAAGGTGCGAGAGTCCTTAAGTTTTCTACTGGATTTCCTGGTTTAGTCTGGACCCTGGAAATGTAGTTATGCCAGGCCAAAACGTGCTCGAGTGCGAGACTCGCCTTGCAGGATAGAGAGGTGCCAGCAGCTGCCCAGCGAGCAGGAGAAGGAATGAGGCTGCTTGGCATCGAGACGGCCACAGCGTCTCTAGCATGCGAAGCACCGTTCGGCCTGATGACTGGTCCGGTAGTAGCTACACCAGCCTCCTACATAAGTTACGACCCAGCACAACCTTCATAGGCAACTGCATTCGGTCGCAACTACGCTGAAGCTCATACCGGAAATAAAGCCGCAGTTCGTGGTAGGGCGGACTCGTAAGGCCAATAGCGCAAGCCCCTGTGCCGCGGAGCCTCGTCCATTCCGCTGGCCTCGAGGCTGGCAGATACAACAGCCTCTCATCGTGAACAGTGCATGTTTGGGGTCCTTCGTCACTTCTATTGGTGTGTACGGCACACATCACCAAGCATCTGTACTATCAGACACCTCAAAATAGCACAGAAGGCAGAGAATGTCACTCCCATCCTCTCCGCCTTGGCACCTTTCACTTCCCTCTCACTCCGCCTTTACTTTCACCACACCAACGCACACAAATACAAAGGCGGTGAACAACCACTTAGCACTAGGGTGGCAGAATACCGCATTTCCTGCCACCGTGTGAAAAGAACGTGACTGCTGCCTGATTCTAGCCCGCCCAACACTGACACCACGACTATGCGTCAACCTGTCACCAACACCCGCCTCAACAGCTCGTCGCGGATCAGGCGCTCCATAACTTCCTTCTTCGCTCGGCGAGCAACCGTCGTGATGGCTTCAAGCTCATCGTTTCCATCAACCGCGAAAGAGGAGCGAAGTCAGGGATCGGAACAGCAACAGGGACAGCGCTTGACCGTTGACGAGCCGCAACTGGAGCTCACCTCAGACGCCACTTCCCAACTGCTTCATCCTCACCTTGCTCCTGAAGACGGGGAGACCTCGCTATCGGCAGACGTCAACACACTCACCAACGATCTCGATTCGAAAGAGACATCATTAGACAACATCGACCCTGCAGTCGAACCTAATCTCACGATGCCCAAGCACGGCGACCTCATCCCAAACAAGCGCATCATCGACTCCAAGACTAGCCGCTACTTCTACCAGACACCTTTCCGCCACTGGGATTCTCCGTTCAGCAGCGATGTCACCAAGACTCCCCCTTTAGGCAAGCCTGCGTTCGGCAACAAGGCACCTGTTCCATGCACAGCAGGCGAGCAGCAACCTCAAGCTTCTCCCGGCAAATTCGACGAACTCAAGCGCCTGCACGAGGAGAACTCGCGGCTGCGCAAAGAGAGTGTCGCCATCATCAAACAAGCCGACCACAACCGGAAAGTCCTGCTTGCTGAGAACAACCGTTTGCGTACCGCTCCCACCGACCGCCTTCACGATGACCGTCAAGCAAAGCCCGAGGCCGAACTCGACAGACACAACAAGGAGCTGAGCCACGAGCTACAAGCCAAAGAAACGAACCACTCGACCGCCGACATCAAGGAGATCCAGCGCCTCGAAGACTTGCTCGTGCAAGAGCGCAACAGCCACGACCTCTTCCGCAGCATCCAACAGAGCCTGCACGACCAAGCCCAGGACGACCTCACACAGACACAACAAGAGCTCGCCCTTACCCAAGCCGCCCTGTACAAAGCCCACGAGAAGATGAAAGCCGACCGCAAGTCTCACCAAGAAGGCCTCGCCGCCCAAAAAGCCGTGACCCGTGGCCTCGACCGGGCCCTCGCCGCGCGCGACACGTCCCTCGCCTCCAAAACCGCACAGATCCGCGCCAAAGACGAGCGGCTCGAGGCGCTGAAGCTCGATCTGCAGCTGCTGCGCGGGGACAACGTCAAGTACCTGGCGGCGCTGACGCGCAGTCTGGACGAGAACCGCAATTCGCGCCGCACGCTGGCGAACCGCAGCCTGGCCATCTTTGCGTTGGAGACGCGGGTCTTGGAGCTGAATACGAAGTTGCGGCGGGAGAGGGAGGCCGGTGCGAGGGGGGTTTGGGGTCGTGAGGAAAATCATCGCTGGTCGTCGAGGCCGACGCCACCAGCAGCAGCAGCAGCAGCAGCAGCAGCAGCAGCAGCCACCGGGGTTGGAAGTGACACTCCCGTCTTCGACCAGGGTCAGGGCAACTGCAACATCTGCCTCGAGCCCTACGTCGAGCACGCCCACGCCACCGCCACCACCCGAGGCCAGCAGCGCGCCGTCCTCCCCTGCGGCCACGTCTTCCACGTCGCCTGCGTGCAGACCTGGCACGCGCGCAGCTTCAACTGCCCGTACTGCCGGCAGGAGTTTGTCTGGCAGTTGGCGAAGCAAGACAATGATGCCACTGCCACGCAAAATGCGACCGCGGTGCCCACACTCCAAGACGGCGGCAGTGTCAATGACGATGGCAGTGGCACAGGCACAGGCACTGGCACTGGCAATGGCAATGGTGGCAGTGGAAGGCCAACGCACCGCGTCCTCCGCCTCCCCTCCCTCTCCGTGATACGCAACCTCCCTGACTTTGCTGAGGGGCTTGAGGAGAACGAAGGCGAAACCGCAGCCGCAGAAGCAGAAGCAGGCAGAGGCGCAGACTCAGGCGTGGGTGCAGAAGGAAACGATGACACAGCTGAGGAATCACTATCACTGCCCTCCGCCGGCGATGAGGACACGGCCCTACCGCAGCCACGCAGCCTGGACGGCACGCATGATGAGCTGCTCGCAGTGCTGCGTGAACCGTTCCCCCCTGCTGGTACCGCGGCAGCGGCTGTGGCAGAAACAGGTTCAGAGCGGCCTCGTGCTTTTGGGCTTGGCGGGCTTAGTGGATTCGGGTTTGGAGACCGGGTTAGGGGCTGGTTAGGAGGACGTGAGTGAGTGAGCGAGTGAGTGAGTGATTTGTAAGGAAGGGGGGAATAGGGGTTGTGGGATCGGGTAGCGCGGTATGGCATGGCGTGGTGGTTGATTTTCTACCAGCTGGGCAGGGTACTAAAAGTTGATGTGGTTAAGCGCCACAAAGCAAACGATGATCCATGGGATCGGTTGCGTGATGGATGGCGAACAAGTGTTGCTGAGGATACTTGAGAAAGCGCCAAGCTCGACCTGCAGGATGTGTGCGCAGGTGAACAAAGTCAGCAAGTGGACGCCATAAAAGGCGTTGTTGACTTTGACTCTCCGTGAGAGGAAGTCAAGCGGGAGAGAATATCTCTTGCAGCAAGCGACAAACAATGGCGCAGCCTAAAAGGGCTGGCTAGCATAGCAATAAACAATCATCTGCCGGTACGAAACGCACCTTCACCTTTAGCTGCGTTGGAAGCTGCATCCCAAGTCCGTAGAGTCATCGCTACTGCGGCGAAGATATGCTCTGGGAAGGGTTTCAGGCATCCTGTGTTGTGTCTCTGTTGTACCTCTGGAATTCTGGTATGTCGTTGCAGTCGTTGTCTGACTTTCCCTGCTCTGTGTAGAGGGGCGTCAGCTGCGCTGTTCAACAGTCCTTTCTGGCGTCCAATAAACACCGTCGGCTATTAAGGCCTGTAGCTCAGAACCCAGCCCAGCCGTACATCGCCTTGCCCATCTGCATCGCAGCCCCCCAAAACGACGACAAACCATCTAACCATCACCACTAATATCGATCATAGCCCACATCTCCGGGCCGATACCGATCCTCATGATACCGCCTATCATCATCCATCCTCCTCCTACGCTCATACTCCCTCCTCACCTCATCTTCGTACCTCGCCTCCGCTTCTCTCCGCTCCATGTCCTCAAGCTCCCTCTCCCTCTCCATGCGTTCTAATTCCCGACGGCGATAGTCCTCTTCGTCCAGCCTCGCTTCTCGGTCGCGGATGTTGCGTTCGCGGCGGTCCAGAAACTCATCGCGGATGCTCTGTTGCATGTAACTCTCGGCACGTTTCTCCGGCATCTCGCCAGGGTAGTGCAGGATGGGGCTCATGGCAGGAGGGCCGGCGCGTGCCCGAGGTGGGTAGTATGAGTCGGGCTCAACGTAGCTGCGAGGCACGACTTCGCCTGCGTAGTCTCGGAAGCCGATCTGGCGGGCCTCGGGGATGCGCTCGGCTGGAGGGTAGTAGCTGCGAGAGTACCGCTGCTTGGAGCGGGATGGCTCTTCGTACACCCTGGTCTCACCGTGGTAGTACTTCTGGCCGCCACGGCTGGGACCAGGGTGATGTTCTCTGTAGACCTTGCGCGGTCGGTCATCGTCAAAGTGGCTACTCCGGCGACCTATGCTTGGGTAAGTCGCGGACGAGGTACGTGAGCTAAGCTCCTCGCGGTCGATAATACCGTAACGAGATTCCGAGCTCGACTCGGACGAGCTGTCACCATGATCGCCCATGTACCGCCGCGTCTGATAATTGGGGGGAAGGATGATGGACTCGGGCTGATCCCGCGACCGTCGCCGTTTACTCTTGGAGCGACGACGGGACCGCGATCGGCTGCCGCCTGGCTCGATAACAGGCATGTCTTCGGGGTCACGGTGGAGCATCGAGTCTAGAGAATCAGCGACCACACCAGCGGGATCTTCGAAGTCGCCGACTTCCACAATTTCACCGTAGATGTCGTCCGCCTCTCGAGACTTGCCCCTTTTCTTGTCCTTTTTGTCTTTTTTATCGCCTCGACCTCTCTCCTCCCTGTAGCCGATCGGCCGTTCGGGCGGGATCTCTGTGGGCAAGGCAGGGTCTTGAAGATCGAGGAGTCCTCCATCCACCATGGGCAGACCACTCTTGTCATCCAAAGGCTTGCCAGACGAGTGAAAGAACTTCTGGTTGCCGAAAGGATCATCCACCAACGAATCTCGACTGGGAGAAGCAGAGCGGTCCTTGTCCTTCTTATCTTTAGTCTTGTCCTTGTCCTTTTTGTCACCTTTGGGCTTGCTCTCGGCGAAAACGTCGACAAGCTCGCCGCCAGACGTGCTGCGATACCTGACGCTCGGTCTCGGCGACGGTAGCCGGCGCTTGAAGATGACATCCATGCTCTTGCACTCGATTCTGCCCGTCCTGCGGTTGACCTTGTTGGACTCGATATAGACGGGCTCCCATCTTGCATTACCCGGTTCCTCATCGTTGAGCTTGTCGACGAGGCGCTGTAGATGGGCCGAGCGCAAACTACTCATGCGCTTGGTCTCTGCCAGCACGGAACCTTTGCCCTTCTTTGCCATTCTCTCGATCTCATTCTGAGGCGCGATGAGAGCACGACGTACGGCCTGGCTCCAGTCGTCCCCCTCTTTTTCAAAACGCCAGTATGCAAAGTTATCTCTGTCAAGCGCCGAGTCTCGCCGGGCCTTGGTATTTGGCTTTACCTCATGGATGCTGAGGCTGGACATGCGCTGGACAGGTGCGGGTTTGATCTCGGTAATGTCATCGTAATCGAAGCGGCCGCCGCCGTCGTCGCGGGGTAGCGGGTCAACGTCGTACCCGGCCCCCGGATCAATGATCTCGATCCCGTGGCTCATCTTTACGAGGAAATGAAGCTCCTGAGATCTGTAGATGGTCTGACAACGTTGTTATAAGAGATGCGGTGTGCGTGACGCTCGGATGAGGGGTGTTTCAGTGACGGGTCGCTTGCCCAATCATACACGCTTGCTGTGTGATGAGTTCACAGCGAATCTCGACACCGTTTCGGAGGGACTGCCGATCTCGGATTCGATCTGGGGCGAAGTCAACAGCATGAAGAGGGCTACAAGAAGGTATGTGTGAGCGACAAAGTGAGGATGCACTCGAGGCTCGGGTTTTGAGTAAACGTCGCCACGTTCCGACGCCCCGTTACTGTGCAGAAGGATCCGCACCGGGCGCTGTCTGGTCGTGGCAGTGGAGAGCTTTGAGGCTCGCCAATGGATGCAATTCGAGTCACAAAACCGGTCGCAGATGTGGGTTGATACAGTCTGCGACCCAGGGCAAGAAAGGCGCGGGCGAAGGTGGAAAGCGGGGCAAAGTGGAGGGAAGAACGAAAGTCCCAGGGCTACCTGTCAACGGGCACTGGCTGGACAGCGGACCAACGCCGTTGGGCAGCATCTGCAGCCATGCGTTGGTGGCATGCAGTAGTGAGAAGCACTGTGCAGATGCGCTAGCCGTGTCGAGAGCTGTGAGGATGCTCACGGAGGGCGGATGTTAGCGGAGACATTGGTTATTAAGATCTGCACAGTGGTCGTGCTCGATCTGAAGAGTAACGAGCAGGCAGAGGCGTTTCAGATACAGGTACGTTCTCAACGACTTTAAAGGGAATAGAGAAGAGGCCGAAGCGCTGGCAGACGCGATGCGAATCAGGCGATCACGTGATCACGTGATCATAGCCATCATTGCGTGTAGCAAGTGTTGTCGAGGTACAGAAACATGGATCATGCCAAGGTGGACTGTCGAGAGAAGCAGTGTATGAGCGGGTGAAGGATCAAGACATGGGTTGCTTTGCCGACACCTTGCTGTCAATGTATTGTCAATGAATCGAGAGTTCATCGGTTCGTCTGTTACAATCAAGTGAGGCAGTGAACGATGGCGACGCCCTGTGCACCCACAGATTCGGTCTCAGCGAACACAGGTTTGATCGATCGGGGGGCCATCGTGCCTCGCTTCGCAGTATCCCACCTAGACTACAATCTGCACATCTTCGTTGCTGCCTATCTGGTATTCATGCAAGCAACAGCAATCTGACAGCATGGCGGTCCAGTCGCCTGACAGCGCATGAGCCCACTTCTGGCGGCCACTCTCGACAAGGGTTGGAGGTGAAGCGATGGTTCGCGGGGCAAAAGAGCTCCATCTCGTATCATGCAGGCCGGCGCGGTTGCCTGATCTTGGCCAGGACTTGCCATGGAGGGAGAAGGGGGACTGATGCTCGCCATAGAATAGAATCATGTACATGCTCAGCATGAAATGTAGCAGATCCTTAACGTTTCAACCGCAATCAGTCGGACGGTAAGCTCTGCGGGCAGATTGTCAGTGGTCAGGTAGGTGCGAGCATTGAGAATCCAAGGAATCCTTCCAATCAGAACGCTCCGCATCTATACATCGGAAGTAGATGAGGCTGCACATGTGCAATTGAATTCGTCCAGGTAGATGAAAAAGAAGAGCAGAAACGAAACATCCGGGGATAGGGCTTTGTATCAACAAGTGGAGGGATGTGCAGTGGCTTGCGGCGGGGTACCGGCACAGCCCTACAGCAGGGCTGCGGCTTTTGCGGCTGTGCTATCCGTCTCTTACGCAAGGCAGAATGCGAAGCAGAATGCATCCCTGTTAGAAACTCCACTGGCAGTCTCTTTTGCTTGTGGGACACATGTCCAAGTCATCGTCACCGGGTCTTGGTATTCGTACCTGCAGAGGAAGTATGGTTTGTGGGACGGATACATCGGCGGTCGCAATTGAGATATTTTTTTTTGGCTAGTCGTCTGCCTAGCGGTCACGGCGACTGCAAGGGGAGTACCACCGGGGACTTTGCAACACCATGACTCGGTGCCACGACCGGCGGACTATGATGGCAATGATGGCAGCCCAGGACTCCGGTCCGCCCGTATAGTGGTGTGATTCAGATTATTGATTCCACAACTACGGAGTCCAGTGGACATTTAGCGAGCGGGACCCCTAACATGATGGAGTCCCGGCTCCTTGCTTATACGGGCGCGGCTCTTCCTTGCCGATGACTAACCGTGGTTACTCTAGCAGTGGAGTGGAATTGGAGGATAGAGTGTAGATGTTGATACATTGGTCATCGATTATTATATGGCATGCTCAGCAGGCTGCTGCTGGCTCAACCCAACCCAAGCCTGTTCTCCTTCCCCTGGAGGTAATAGAATTCATAACTGATCATTCGCTTCGTTGAAACGCTCATACTTTTTGGTTGCTCAAGACATGGCTCACTCCTCTCGGCCTGATTTGGACTAACTTGGTCATGCAGCAAGGCCAACGCGGCTTGATCTCCGCTCTGTCGGGTAATGGTAATAGTAGTCGGTGCTAGCGGGCCCACAGTACTGACCGGTGTACTGGGATTCACCGGGTCTCCGCTGGGATGATTGAATGGATCGCACAAGAGTGTCTTCGAGCACACGCTCCTGATGTAGTAGTTGCTCGACGGAGCCGAGGCATCGGTCGTGGGCCACGCGCAGACCCTCGCTCTCTTCGGCGCCCTCGACGGTGCAGATGGACATGATGCTTGCTAGTCGGACTCGTTGTGTCTGGAATTGAGCTTCGATCATGCGCTCGCTGCACTCCCAGTCGTAGGTCTCGCGATGTGTGGGTGAAGAGGCACGCGAGGATTGTTGTCTCTTTGGCTGAACAGTGTCATATTTGGATGACAGAGGGATGCGGGTGTAGACGAGTGTGGCCAGCTTCCAGATATCGCAGAAGATGCAGTGACGAGTGCAAACACCGCAGACGACTCTTTGGTTGGCATTGGGCCGAATCCCCTGGAGAAGGGCTTGCTTGGATCGACAAGGCATTGCTGTAATATGGAGTGTAGGTATTGGTGAGCTGGAAGGTTATATGCCTGGAGCTGTGAACTGTGGTCTCGGTTCTGGAAGACAAGAGATCTGTTACGAAGGGGGCGAGAAGCGGATGACTTATAGATGACTGAAACGGACTCAGGCAGAGGTATATACAACACGCTCACCGTTGCGGCATGTCAAAGCGTAACTCAAAATTCCCAAGCTGGCAGGGGTCATACAACAGCAAGGGTCTTGACACGTGGAGCATCAAGGGTAATTCCAAAAGGACAGCGACCATGGTGACTACTCTGGTGAGTCTACGGAGTATCCTGAGTCACCGCTTGACAGAGTGCCATCGTCGCAACGTCGTATCCAGCGGTGCGGAAACACCACGGACTGATTGGGCGGCTGCCATCATTGACTCCGTTGCGGCTGACGGGGGGCGTCGGTGAGAAAGTGCCAGCGCCAGCGCCAAAACGCCAAAGGTCCTGCAGCACATTGCAAAGTGCCCCAAGCGCCCCACGCGCCTCAAGTGCCCCTCCAATGATTAATCACGGGCACTCCGGAGCCTCATCTCCACGATCGACTGGGATCAGCATGAAATCAGCACTACTGGGCTGCCTTACCACTAGACACTGCATCAATATTGATAAAGCATGGCCGCTGCCATACTAGATTGTAGTCCGTCTGACCCTCCACGCGCGGTCGCCTCAACTCGACACCGTCGCGATCCTTACTACCTTACTCTCTCAGAGCGCAACCAGTCGTTGCCGACAGCCACGGGCCTGCAACGGAACCTTCCATTAGTCTCCTCTGACATTCTCAGTCAGGACTGCAATCATGTTTGAGCACGGGTGCACAGAAACACCCAATGGCAGCCAAAATCTTGGGTGGCTCGTATTCTTGCTGTCCAGACCCCCCCCCTCCTCATCACTGAAGCTCGCAACTTTCAGCCACGCCTCATTCTCGATTCTAGAATCAATCATCCAATAATTGCCCTGCATCTCTGACAGCATGCCACCGCGTTCAAACGATTACCACGTTACGAATGTCATGGCCCTGCTCCCGAAGTCTACCCGCTTACAAAACATCCTTGACAAAAATCACGATGGTCTACAGCTCCCCAAGCCGAACATCGTGCGTAAAGTCATCCTGTGCCCGGGCCTCCTCGCCTATCGCAACGATGAATCCTAATTTTGAGCTCTACCAATCCCGCCCGCCATCTGGATCAGATGCCAGGCGGTAGCTTTCGCTCAACACCACCTCATTGGCCTCCCGGTCTTCTCGAAGGGTCATTTTCGCTTTGGAAAAAGCCTCGAAGTCACCCTTTCCTTGTACTCAGCAGAGTTGCGAGCTCTCTTTCTGACTGGCTCTGCGGATTGGCGGAAATGGGTCTGCCATGGAAATTTCCATGCACGAAACCACCTCTCATACTCTTCGCTTGCAGACCCCCATATAGCTCTACCGCACAGATCTGCACTAGTCCTGATGCGCACCAGTACATGCGAGCGCAACGGCGGCTGATCGTGCCCTACCACCCAGCTCACCACTGATATTTCAGCACGCCTATTACCAGATTCAGCCTCCAATTCCATCAGGCTCAGTAGGTAAGTCTTTGTTTTAGCCATCCGACCACAACCTCAGGTCACAGTCCAGGCACCTCCGACATTCGGCTTCCGTGTTGCAGATGACGCCTCTCATTCCCCGTGCTTCTACCGATCGGTGACCCTCGTAGCCCGTGGGGGCTCACCAAGCCACGACCTATGAACACTACAAAGCCGCTTTTTTTTTTTTGGAGTCACGAGCCAGAAGCCCCAAGTAACATCAGAAACACATTCTGCAAGGTTTGTCGAGGTTTGCTACTCCTGGACTCCGCGGGATAACAATGTCGCTGAGTGAAGTTCCTGCACCCATATCCGCTCTCGCCAACAGCACAGGCACGAGAGGCAAGACCCAGAAAGACAGTGCTTCAGCAGTAAGTGACCTCCCCACACAAATCGCTCACGGTTGCTGGCGTGTTCAACCAAGCGTAGTTCGCCACAGTAACCAAACACGACAAATTTTCTGCGCCGTTTACCAGGTCCTGGGTTCATCGTCATCTATCCCGACTCCCCCCATAGAAGAGGAAGAGGAGGAGGGTCAGCAAAACCTCTCCTCTCACAACACAGGCCTAGATTTCAGCTGCGCCCTTTTTTCCCCTCCTGTCTCTCCCCTCTACCTGCTAGCCTCGTCACCGCAGAAGACAGGCTCCCCGCTGCCCTGTGCGGGTGCAACGTCGCTGTCTCATGTCTCATGTTTGGGGGATGGTGGGTGCGTTCAATATCTGGCGTCACACTTGCTCACTTCTTGACGCCAGCCAGACGACTCTCTCTCTCCCCCCCCCCCCCTTTTTCTTTCCATCCCACTTCCTCAAGGCGCGTCTTACGGACCGGTACGCACGTGCGTACTTCACGCTTGTTTTCATGCACTTCGATTCCCATCTATCCATCCCCTCGGATGGCGTTGTATGACAGTATTGTACGGTGAAGGTAGAGGACGTACAGGACGTACAGGAGGTGGACGAGGTTAGAGACAAGAGTAGAGGTAACGAAAGCCTACGGCCCGCGAATATCATGTTATTCCCCCTTTCTCTCTCTCTCTACCGCTTCTTCGAGTTTACTCCGGATGACCCGCATCTCTCCCACCACCAGTCTTTGCGCCGCCCACCATAAACACCTCCTCATGTACCTCATTCCTCGAAAATCCGGGTCGTTTCTCATTATTATTATTGGCATTCTCCCACATTCGCCTCCTCGACCGCCCTCTCAACGTTCCACGTGCCGAGATAACTCCCCAAATCACTCACCACGGCATCGAGGTCAAATTCATCTCCTTCCCCCTCCATATCCGCCTCCACATCCACGTCTAAGTCCTTCCCGAAAACCTGACTCCGCCGCCCCAGAGTCCCGCCGTTCTCAATGGCAAACATGTCCAACTGCCGCGGCTGCTGCGCGTCTTGCTTCTCGGACCCGGTCGTCGATTGGTACGTCCCGTTTGTGCCGCCGGGAGCAGAAGCACCCGTGGCGGTCAAGGTCGTGCCGGGCGGTGCGGAGGAGAAGGGCTGCGAGCGAGATTTGAGGATGCCTTTGTGGCCGGAAGTGGTCTTCTTCTGTGGTGCTGGGACGGAGAACATGTCAGACACAGAAGGGAGGCTATCATTGGCGGTCGCAGGGTTGCGGTCGTTCATCGTTGGTGAGTCGAGGCCGTAAGCCTCATCATCGGGATTATCGAGACCATCGACGAGTGCGCTTTTTTCGGCGGCATAAAAGACGGTCGGGGTAGTGGCTGTTTTCCGCACCTTGAGACCGGCTTTGATGGAAGATTGTGATTCTTCAGAGGCAGGATCCAAAGCAAAGGATGTCTTCTTTTTGCTGCTGCGTGTCTTGGGTTTGGGTTTCGTTGGGACCTTGGTCACCGTGACGGGTGATTTGGCCTGTATTTGCTTCGTTGCGAGCTTCTTAATGGTGCTGATGGCGAAGGGCTTGATGCTGCCGCCAAGTAGTGCTTGCGTATCAGGATTGCGAACTGGCGTTTCCACCTTCCCCTCATCTTCTCCGTTCTGAATCACTGACGGCTCCTGTATGGCGTCAAATGCAGAATCTTGCCTTTGGGTTATAGCTTGGTCAGTCGGTACTTTGACCGGCTGCAGAAGCTCTGCCGTGCTTTGAACATTGGATACGCCGTCCGGACCTGGAACTGTAGAAACGACCTGTGCACTAGGTAGGTGGTTGGCTGTAGTAGTTTTAGAGGTCTCCGTTGATAACGCAGGCTTCAGGACTAGCCTTTCGACCACCGTCCCTTTCTCTGCAATTGGGGCCGATTTCGAACCTGCGTCGCCGTCGTCGACACCACTTTCAACATTGATCTTCGCCGCGTCCGAAGCGAGAACTGCCGTGGCTTTGGCATCGATCGGCTTTGGACATGTCTTCCTCACCCGGCGATATTCGAAGCCAGGTAGACTGGTAGATGGTGCAAGTTTATGAACAGACCGAATCTTTTGCTCAAGGATTGCAGCTTCGGCTCTGTTTTGACTCTCGTGCGTTTGTTGAGTCGACAGTTCATGGGCTGCGGCTTTGGGAGAAGCTTGACCAAGGTCTTGCTTAGAGCTGAACCGCGTTGCCCAATCTCCCACCTGCGTATCGTGGTTTTGGCCCCCAGCAGACACGGGTCTTTGGATAGCACTGTCCGGAGTAGGCAGATGATGCTCACGGGAGGCCGGTGTAGGCGAACTGCGAATGTCCGGCTGTCGCTCGCTCGTGATTCTGAAGTTATCGTTCGTCCTCAACCAGTCCTCAATCCGCCTTGCACTTGTTGGTGTAAGGTGCGTACGGTTCGCCTCGGATGCGTTGTATGCTTTTTTGAAAACATTGGTTACAGCTCTCTGCTGTGCCAAAAGCGTTTGAGTGAATTCAATGTCATCATCGGCGCCCGTTAAGTCAATGCACTCGGGCTCGTGTCCTTTCCTCATGCTGGTCTCGGCAATGGCTGGCACTCTCGCAGATCTCACATTCGTATGCCGAGCCGCAGTCTCAGGCACTTCGATCTCAACATCCATAAAATCACGTTTCGTCCTCCACGGATTGTTCCAGCCCCCATCGAAAGGCCCTTTGAGCCCAGCAGTCATGATAAAGATCTGATCGCCTCTCAAGTAGCTCTCAGCGTTATCTCTGACAGTCCGCCGCCTTTTCGCCGCCCTCTTGGCCGCTTCCTCTTCCGCTTCATCGGTCCATTGCTCGTACACGACCGTGCCGGGGCAGAATGGGATCTCATCGATGTCTAGTGGCGAGACGGGACGGGGGTATGGCGGAGCTTTGGCTCGGACCGTCGGTGCAGCCATGGCTGAAGGAGCAACGACGTGGGACAGTCAACGGGCTCAAAAACGGCAAGCTCGACATCAAAAAACAGATCATCATAGTAGTAAAGTTACAGAGACATGGTCATTGCATTGGATGTGTCGCCGTGGGCAAGTTTGCTGGGTCGCAGCTCGTTGCCCCGGCAGGCGACCGCCACGCCAAGCAATTTTCAACCGCGTCACGACCACGCCGACGCGACCTCCTTCCTGTTTGGGTCGTCTGCCTCACCCGATTTCTAGACTTGCTACAGCGACGTGAGACAGATTAAACCTGTTACGAGTGGACGCATAGAGTACAAGGTGCTGTGAATATGGCCTGCCAATGCAGACTGCAAATCTTCGGAGTCATAAATCGTGCTGGACTTGCGACAATAGTAGTCAAGCAGAATTTATTCGTGGTGAGAAGCACGCGACAAGACAGAACAGCGCTCAAGCAGGAATGATCTTCTATTCTTCACTCATTAATCATATCTCATCGCCTCTTGCCTCGTAAGAATGTACGGCCTGCTGAACCGCTATTGATACCTCACTCCCAAACCAATGCTTTTCGTGAATAACGATAACGCCGCGCTCCCTTTCTTCCCAAAGATGATATAGGTAATGATACAACGCTCAATGGCTTGCGCCTACTGCTTCTGCAGTACTCCCACCTCCTCACATTTCCGCCAAACTTCTTCCTTCTCCAGGACCTTTTTTCTGTCAAAAGCAATGTCGTCAAGCGACTGGAGGTTTTTGCAATGCTCGGCGAGCAAGAGCTCTGTAAGTCGACGGCGCATCCTCGTGTTCTCGTCCAGTGTTCGAAGCCATTTGGCGTCAGACTTGGCTCCGGGACCCGCGGGTGGGTGGAACGCCATAGTCAGTGGGTTGTCGCGTATGTCGAGCTCCGAGATCGCTGGAAATCGCGCAAGCAGAAGACAAGTGCGTCGCATTTTCTTGATGCGGTTGCGTTGAACGCTCAGGCAGGTCAATTTGAACATGCCTTGAAGATCGCTGAGATCAGAAATATGGTTGTGATTAAGGTTCAACCCTCGAAGGTTGGGGAACAGTTGCCCAAAGCCCGCTCCTAGTTGCTTAATACCGCAACCGACGAGCTGTAGTTGGCGCAGGCTATGCTGTGGAAGGACTGGCATGTCGAGGCATCCGCTGGCGACTGCATTACCCGAGAGGATGAGTTTGAAGCAGTCATTCGGGGTGGACATGATACGATTAATGAGATCGCTCGTGGCGTCCTGGTTACAGATGGAGAGCTCTTCTAGGTATCGTGTTTTTCCGAAGCCATGAACCCGTGTTATCTTGTTATTGTCGAGCAAAGCCGCTTTCAAGCCGGGGAACTGCTTGAAGTTGAAGGACTGCATTTCGTTGTGGTCTGCAGCCAGCTCTTCGAGCAATTTTGGTCCGCGACGACCCGCCGGCATGATCTCGCGGAGATGATTGTGAGATACATGTAGCTCGCGAAGCTTGGCAAGACGTTGAAGGTTCGTGACAGCCTGGAGTTGGTTGTTGCTGAGGTCGAGCTGTTTGAGATCAATTAGCTGGGCGTCACCGAAGTCGACTGATTTCAGCTTGTTTCCTCGAATCTGTAATTCAAGCAATGCATCATGCTCCAGAATCCCATTGATATTGGTAATGGCACATTCGTTGGCGATGAGACTGCGCAGGTGGATGAGATCGCCGAAACCGTCAAGACTGGTGAAGTGGTGGTTGCCTGACACGTTCAAAATCTGAAGATTCTTGAGACTGCTCCAAGCCACTATGGTGGAGAGCGGGTTGTTCGAGACATTCAGTACTCGGACAGAAGGTGGAATGCCATGCAGATGTGTGATCTGGTTATCGGCCACGTTGAGCTCGATGAGGTTCGGACAGAACTCATCAAGACCGTGTAGTGTGGTGAGGCCCTTGCCGTTGAGCTCCAAGGTCAGGATACTCTCCCAGTAGAGTTCGCCGGGGCATGCATCGGTAATGGCTTTGATGAGCGCATCTCGAGAGAGTGCAAGGGTTCCATGAGCCTGACGAAGGGCCCTGGCGTGGGCGCGCTCGTCAATGAAGCTTCGCTCAGGGTGTTGCGGATCGTCCTCATGCATAGTAAAGTCAGGCAGCGGAGTCAGACTAAGTATGCTGTAGTTTTTACCATGAGGGGTGCGTGTCGTCAAGCTGTATTCCCTAGATATGGGCGGCGTCGGCGCAGCAGGACGAGGTGGGAGCCTCATAATCTGGGACTCAGACATAGCACGAGGAGGTGGAGGTTCAGAGAGCTCGCGAGCGCCATATTGAGGAACGGGATAAGATCTGATCGGTCGTGTGGGGATCCGAGGCCGCTCCTCTACGGCGTCAAAACTTGAGCGTGTAGCTCTCTGGGCACTGAAAATGCGGCCTAGGACACTGGTTTCTTCAAGCATCGTCTCGCATTGAGGACTTGGAGGCTGGGTGAGAGCTTGCTCAACCCAGTCAACACGCTTGGAAGGAGAGCGGATGACTGTCGGGCCCTTAGCATCAGCGACAGTGTCCGCGTGTCTGTTGAGCAGATATGAGTCCTGGGAGAGGGTGGGATCGACCCAATCGACACGCTTCGAGAAAGATCGACCGATCGGGTTCATCGATGGGGCGATGGCGTCTGCGGGCTCAAGAGATGAGGGCATCTGTGGGACAGCATTTTCAACCCAGTCGCTATGCTTCGATGGCGAGCGTACCACGCTCGGTGGTCTCTGCTCTGTGGCAAAAGCCTCCTCGGAGACGGCAGGCGATGAAGGAGCCGGCGAATCGCCCTCATATGTCCAATCCATACGCTTCGAAGGTGGACGGACAGCGGGTGTATCTGACTTCGCAGAAACAGATCTGTCAGATCCACTACGTGATGGATCTGTGACCTCCTCTTCGTCCTCGCCAGCAGAAAAATCATCCTCATGAATCTCGTGATGGATCACGGTTGGGCCCTTAACCTCGATTTTGTTGAGCTGTGAGTCGAAGACCGGCATTGGGTCGAGGTGCAGGCTGAGATCACCAGGGTCTGTAGGTGTGACCCACCGGTGATCGGGTCCCTCATAGAGTATTGAAGGCTCGATGTCGGCAGAAGGATGGCGACGAAGTGTTGAGCGTTTGCGCTCGGGGCCTTGTCGCAGGTATGTCATAACTCGGCTGGCTTCGGACAAATAATCTCCTGTGCCGAGTGATTGGCGCTTTTTTGGTTGAATGGCGATCGATGTGCCTTGAGAGAGGTCTGACGGAAGGGTAGACTCGTCCAACATGGTGTTGACTGCCGGAACCTTAGTGGGCGATGGGATGAAGGAGAGGTTTTCATTTTCGTCGGTGGTCGGTAAGCTCTCGTCCTTGGTAAAAATAGACTCGAGCTTAGAGGGGGAGAAGAGATCGGTAGCGTTGATGTTGAGCGCAGGATTAGCGGCGCTGACACGGCGGACGACAGTGCCATCGTCGATACTGCCGGCCGACAGCCACGACGCCATTGCTGGCGGGCGCAGCGCGGGCCGAGGGAGGGGAGAGGATGCGAAGAAGAGAATTCAGGCAGTGAAAAAATTCGTGTATCGCGCAAGGAAGGTGCGATGGTAGCAGTCTTCGATGGTGCAGAGCAAGAGTTGTGCCTTCCAAGTGGTGTGTAGACGAGAGGCAACGGAAGGAACGATCGCTGCGTTATGATGGCATTAAGCGCGCGTTAGAGGCCGCAACAAAACATTAAGCGCGTCAGCCGCGTTAAGTGGGGTCATCCTGGGTGTCGCCCGCGTTGTCAGGGCAACCATGCGGTTTGTGCACTGTGGACCGATTGTCCATGTTCAAACAATTTCTCGCTATAACAGCAGTCGAGCATAGATCTGGCCATTGAGTCACTTGCTGAAGCACCAGGAGTACTACGAACATCTTGTCCCCCAGTGAGTACGTTTCCTACCCGTTGGGGTAATGGTCGCGACTCTGCTGCAGTTATATTCGAGACCTCACTTCTCATCGCGGTCCTCATCAATGTTGATCCTCCCGTCGCTTGGGTCATAAGGGTAAAATGTGATAAGATACTCTATAGGAATTCAGCCTTATTGGTTATGCTATCGACCACCCTTCACGAGTTGAGGCCAACAAGTCCCAATGCCTCCCGCCGACTCGTACTGGCCGGATCCAGATAGGGCAGCTCGCCAATGCCCGAGGCTCTAACTCCGGTCCTGATACCTCCAGCGAGATGCGTGTCCGGCTGATTGACGAGTTAGCTCACTTTGTCCATTCAAGGAAGGATCTCACTTACCGTCGCAGCATGCAGTGTGCAGACATTGCTCCAGATCGCGCACGCTCCCTCAGTCCAATGCATCCGTGCGATACAGTCATGATTCCGCGTAATCAGACGCAAGACATACTCCCGGATCATCTGATCCTCGTAGCCCCAGACCCCATCGATCTTGCTAACGTGCAGACCCACGCCAGCAAATAGCGACTTCCACCCGGTCACCGGGTGCGTGCGCACGACAGGATGATGCGGCGCGAACTCGAAGTCCTTGTTCTGCGGACTACCGCGGGGGCTCATGACATCGTACTTGCCGGCCTCGCATGCAGACTTGAAGACGGGCTGCGCACACTCGGCGGTGAGCGTTTCGAGGAAGCGCTGGAAGGGGGGCGAGAGCCGGTCGTAGAGCTCGTAGCCGCTGACCCACAGCGTGTCGCCACCGGCTGGGGGCGTCGACTGCATGCGCAAGAAAGAGAAGTCCGAGGGACAATTCTCGAAGAGGCCTAAAAGCGGAGGGACGATTAGAGGCTACGTAGGCAGGGGGTAATGGGAGGAATCGACGTACTGTCGCTATGCCATTCGCGGCCCAGATCGCGCGGCTCCGCACTGGCGCCTGGCCTGTTCTTCATAGTAGCATAGAGCTTCTTCTGTGCTTCCGAGTTGATCACATAACTGGTGTTGTCAGTAGTAGATCAAGACAGAATCTGTGGAGCATACATGTTCTTATCGGTCGTGCCATCAGCCATGGGTAGGTTGTTGGGGTCATTGTACAACGGATGGACGTGCAGACCGTTCTCCTGCGGCCGACCGGTAAGCTTGCCCAGCAGGTCTGTGATGTGCTTCTGCTCATCGACCGAAAGGTCGTCTTGAGGCGCGCGGAAGAAGACTACCCCACGTTCACAGATGGTGATAGCGAGATCTCGGAGTTGCTCATCAGAGTTGGAGGCAGTGAGCATGTCCTTCAGTTTGGCTGTGGGATACTCCCGGCCAATGATGGGCGTCACGTCGACATATTCGAGATGATCGATAGAGTTGCCCTTTTTCAGAGGTTCCTTGACCAGCTTGTTTGGCGATACCGACCCCATTCTTGCTGTGTGTGTTTGTTCCTCGGGGGTTATTGTTACTGTTTGGTGTAGTCGAGTGCTGCCTGTGCGGTTCTCTGCAACAACGAAGTGCCACAAACTTTGGTTATAAACTCGTGCGCGTACTGCCGGGCTATCATGCAACGGCCATTCCCCGAAGCCCCCCTCGAAGATGGGACGTGGGGCTCACCTGTCCGCAGACTCATCGTGGAAAGTGGAAGGGCACCTCATGCGGAGTAAGTGCTGGCTGTGGGGGAGGGTCCTGCTTCTCCATCCCCAAAACCTACACGGTGCTCGGTAGAGTGGGCATGACAAGCAATGTGGTCCAGCGCCTGCAATGCCGGGGGCCGAACCCCAAAAAGCCAAATTTGACCAATACCCTTGATTAGATCAGGGTAAACACCTCTCTTGGTCGGGCGCATGGGCAAGTTCCGGCGTTTGATGATAGTCTGAATGCCAGAAGCGACACTCCACTGGGTAGACGCCGCGTTGTCATGCAGTGAAAGCCGGAATGGCGCCTTGCTCAAGTCTACTGGGTTATCGCTTTCCAAGATTCGCCCAGCTGTAGGGGGATCATCCGGTGGCATCCTCGGTCCTTCGGCCGAGCGAACGCAGTGCCACATCCTCATAGACTATCTGCCGACATTCTCGACAAACATACTCGGATATGGGTCGCTCACTGCCCGCATGGTTGTGGCTGGTCAACAAACGGCCTCCGAAGTGCACCACAGAGTTGTCAGAAGATGGGGAAACAGGAGCCTCCACCGAAGCCACCATACTTGGCAAAGCCAATAGTAACTCCCTTCGGTTTCAAATTGGTGCTTCTCCAATTCGATCTACCTGCATCATGCTCAACATAGTCTTAGCAAGCGCTTGTTCCGAGGTTCTTCAGTCTCAATCTCTTGGATTATTGCTTGTACTGGTGGCACGCGTGCTAGGCATTGGACACTACTCCGTAGCGAGAACAGGATCTCACCCACCGCCGCCAACGTGTCGTCCAAGCTATGGCAATTGCCCACCTCGCTGCATATCCACAACCCACCGCGCAAAGCGAGGTCCCATCGATCACACTTGGGTGGTAGCTGCCGTCGAGCTTCCCTTGCCCACACCATCAGCCTGAGAAGTAGTCTCGAGTTCTTGCACCTCCACTTCCTTCTCAGCCCCAGCTGCAGCCATTGCCGCAGTCCCACTGCACACATATCCTTTGAATTTACGAGCTGGCAGCTTGGCTTGGAACATCTCGTGAATCTCCTCCAGCGTTCGGTCGCGTGTCTCGGGGATGTAGAAGAACGTGAAGACGAAGAGAATCGCATTCGAACCGAACCAAATGTATCTGGATTTCATGTTAGAATGGCTCGCTAGTCAGGAGATTAGGACTTTACCCGTATCGCGCGTTCCATCCGAGACTTGCTGGATTGATGAAGTATGGCGCCGTAAAGACACCCAGCCAGTTCCCCAGGAAATTGAGTGCGGTACCCAAGCCAAAAACGTGGGCTCGGAGATGGTTGTTTGGATACTCGCCTCCCAAGAGCCACGCATATGGCGCTGAAAAAGTCAGTGTTTGATTCTGTGCAAGAATCACGTGTTTACTCACCGTAAGCGACGTAGAAGAACGTAAAAAGACAGATGAAAGCGACCACGACACGTCCGGCTACTGCTGTCGCGGGAGCAGCAGTCCAAGCGACCGCAAATGCCAGCTGAGCGAGACCACACGCACCAATTCCAATCAGCATGATCACTCGTCTGTCGATGTGTCGGACAAAGAAGAAGCTGGTAATGACGCCGAGGAGTCCCATACAAGTGACCATCGCAGAGTATGCGAAAGCCTCCTGGATTCCAGCGATCTGTAAGAAATAGGTTGTGTAGATGTTGATCCACGAAGAGCCGTTTGCGCAATGGAAGCAGATAACAGCGATGGAGAGGAAGGTGCGTCGTCTGTTGGTGCCCTTCCACATCTCGACGAACAACTGTTTCTTGTTTTGCTCGATCTGCTCCCGGGTGGCTATGCGGATCTCGTTGAACTCGGCCTGGAACTCACTTTCCTGGATGTTTGAGTTGCGTAGCTTGCGGAGAGAGGCTTCGGCCTCTTGTTCTCTTCCCTGGGTCATCAGCCATCTCGGGCTCTCCGGGAAGAAGAACAGCGCGATGGTCTGAATAGTTGGCGCAAGGTAGAAAACGGCCAGAGGAATGCGATAAGACTGTTTGCTCATCATATGATGAGTTCCGTAGTCGACCGCGGCACCAACAATCGAGCCAATAGACAGCTGACTTTGATATACAGCGAAGACGATACCACGAAGATGCGCCGGTGCAACCTCGTTGACATAGACTTGACAAAACGTCAAAAACCATCCAACCGAGATACCTATTCACAGTCAGCGCAGCCTCGAGATGTTGTAGTGGATTCCTACCGAGAATGAAACGGGCAAAGTACAGCGCACCCAGGTTTGTCGTGCCCAGCATGATGGCCGTTGAGATGGCATTGATGAACGAAGCACCCCAGAGACCATACTTTCGGCCAAATCGGGCGCTGAAAGGACCAACGGCAAGAGATCCCACAAAGGTTCCAATGGTCATAAGCGACGAGATCAGCTGCTGGACGGTCGGATCGATAGCCCATTCTCCTGCTGCTTCATCGTAGTAGCCAAACACCTGTAGGAAACCAGGCATGGCCATGCTGCTGATTGTCAGTCGTGTTGTACTTTTGCAGATTTCTGTAGGGTACGCACAAGCCGCCCACTAGAGCGTAGTCAAGACCATATTGGAAACTAGCGACAGTGATGATGCAGCAAATGAACATGCATTTCTTGTGGCTGCGAATGTCAAGTTGCAGCGGGTTGGCTGAAATGACTGCGCCGACCATGATTGCTGACCTCAAGTTCTGGAAAGTGGCCCCTGAGCAGTAGACAGAGACTGATGACAATCCGAGTCTTCAGATGAGCTTTTTCCCAATTGCTGGAATCGCCGGTAAACCGGCGTTCCGCATATATATACTAGCTCAGGGGTGGCACGGTCCCCAGCCAGGCGGTGTGGAGGACCTTCCTGTGGGAGCAGGACACCATCCTACCATCTCCACAGCAATGAAGCTGACCATCACATTAGTGTCTGCGTCCGATCCACACCTAGTAGCCAAGCCTGAAGGGGGTCAAGTGGGACTGGACTGGGGGCGATTGCTTGGCTAGGGATGGAATTGGAGTCTGCGGGGGTGGGACTGGGGGTTTTCGTGCGGAGAGACTCTACCAGGCCCTGCAGTTGATAGTGTTCTGCCATGCACGACGGCGGCCAACATTCGGCAAACGAGTATGAATTCAACTGCCGTGATATGAACTCCCACAATCTGTGTCTTGACAAGTCTGAATGCTGGAGTGGACACGGAAGTGCACAGATCCCACGCCAAGGGGAGGCCACCTCAATCCCATTTCAGTTCAGAGAGCCCTTGTCAATAGGCTGAAGGTATAGACCTGTACGGTTATGGGATGCAGAGCTCTGAGCCTTGTCGAGAAAGCTCTGTACGCGAAAGACTTACCTTGGATTTCTGGCGGGCAGTCGCCTGGGACTCAATGGCTAGCCAGAATTGGGCTAGCATGTTTATGAATGCATATCTGCCTCGGCACTCGTCCAACGCATATTTTTGATGTCATGGATCATGGCTGATGTTGTTCAGGAGCCGCCAGGGCACATTCGGAGAGCTCATATACTTGGCTTGGAGCGGCTCCAGAGGGATCAACGACAGTGACGCGCTATCAGGCGAACCTTGGAATTAGTGATGTGAGCGAAGTGAGGCAAACCACTTCAGTCCTGCAGCTGCATCTCAGACGTAAAATAGATGCAGGTCCCATCAACAGGATGGGATATCCATGTATGGGGTGTCAAACTAGATTGTCGAAGTCGTCGATGGGGCGCTCGGGAATCTAGAATGTGCTTTTCGAGCCTCGCGGGCTACCGTATACGCCAAGCTTTTGATGCCATCCGTCTTGGTGTCGTCCTTTGAAGTCTCAAGGATCCCACCTCACGTCCGCTGCAACGTATCTTCTGTTGCTTTATTAAGGCAGGAAAAACGACCAGGGCTATGCGTGATACTGAGCAGTAAGACTATTGTATTGAAGGCACTGCAAACAGGCACTTCTGGGAACGATATCTGGGCAAAATGTCAAAGAACAAGCTCGAGTACAACAAGCAGGAACCTGCGTTCTTGCGAAAGCTACGTGAGCAGCATGGCGGGCCCAGGAACAACGTGCAAATCGCGCGTCCGAAGAAGGATCGATTAAGGACAGGAGACGAAGGTGAGGACGATCCCGTGATCGTGGATGAGGCTGGCGAGGATGTAGCCAAAGATGATTGGGAAGAGAGACTGAGGCAAGAGAAGGAGGTTGCGGAGGGCGGTAGTGAAGATTCTGTCAAAGCGGAGGGAAATCTGCCTGTGGAAACGAGAGACAAGCAGAAGATTGCCGACATTGGCCTGGCTAAGAAGCGAAAGGTGGGGAAGGTTATCGTAGACGGAGAAGAAGCCGAGGACGCCAGTTGGAAGGAAAAAGGAGCTGGGCCTGAAACGAAGAAGGATGCCTCAGATGAAGCAAAGACTACGACATCAATGCCTGCCAAGACGAGAAAGAAGGTGAAAAAGATCAAGCTATCCTTTGATGAGCCCGAGTGATAGAGTCTGTTCGGCTCGGCCATTTTCATACTCCGAGCGCCATCAGAGCGCCCGCATGATTCTGTCGATCTCTCGCTTGGCAAATGCCTGCTTTTGAGACTCAGGCATGCCAGCTACGGTATCCCGAACGGCAAGGACACGATTCCTGAGCGTGTCCATTTGCTCCAACGAGACATCCTCGCCATCCGAGGCGTCGTTGTCCTGGCCTTCATGATCAAGCATCGACAACTTCAGACCTAACATCTCCTGTTGAAGCTCATGATCGAGGCCTTTGAACTTATCTTCACCAACGATACCCAGTCCATCCTCGTCGTCTTCGGTGGCATCGTCAAACCCGGGGGCTGCAGACCAATCTATGCCCTCGAGGACTTCCACAACGCGAGCTATGCCGACTTTTTCTCCAAATTCATTCCGGTCGTCTGCACCACTATCAGTGGCTGGTGACTTGCCAATGTGGCCGCTCCAATGAACAACGTCCCAACCGAGCATATCGTCTGCGATCGTTCTCGTTTCCAAATCGTTCGCGATATCTGGAAGCATCTTATCGGGTTGCCTTGACGAACCGGTGGCACCGCCTGCTGGAGGACTTCGATGCTGCAATATCAAGACAGAGGCAACATCTCGACCGGCTGAAAGGTCTTCAACGGCTTCTCTGAGCCTATGCGCAGCCCTGATATATGGCATGAAACTTTCCGACTGCTCTTGTGCAGAGGCTCGCGCTGCATCCACGGGCAGTACTAAAACAATGCCACCAATGACCGATCTCACTTCAACTGCCGCGGGTGAACACATCGTGTCTTCCCACTCTTGCAGATCTTGAACCTCGTCGGGAACTTCAGTCTGCTGCGGGTCTGCAGTAGAGTCTGTTGAGTTTCCAGTGGGCTTAATGGAAGCCATGGCTTGGCCAGCGACTGACGGTAGCTCATCACACCAAAGACTTACATCCTTTGAATAATATTTCGTCCGTAACCTTAGCGGAGGATGTGACGTATATCCAGCATATGACGATAGATCTGTGGATGGCAAACTCCCTGTGAGATGATGTAGGACGGGCGGGAATGGTGATGGGTCAGACTTGGAAGATGCTGTGGGAGACAGAATCAAGAGCCTGAGTTGAGAGAGAGTTGCGGCGGCTGGTGCCATTGGTATCAGCACCGCGGGAAGCCAGTGACTTTGCCAATTGGCCTAGCGATTGCCCTCTACGATCAACGCTTTGAATACGATTTGGGGTATGAATGCAAAGAGATGGCAGAGTTGTTCACTTGAAATCACCCAGTTTCAAGTCTGGCTCTTGGCGGCAAGCCGCTTATTATGTAAGCAAGATGGCTCGCGCCCGAGTACACTATAAACTTCTCAAGGGTTTGGCCAGATTCCCAACAGCACTCAGTGCCATTGAACGCCTTTGCGTCGGTCATGTTGTTCATCTGAGCCTCCGTCCAGACTCCGGGCGTGCTCTTCTACCATCGTGTATAGCTGTCCAGACTGTAGGTTTGGCTGATCAACCCTGATGGGTGCCACCTTCCCAAACGCTGCTCGAAGGTAGATCGAAACCGGACTGGACAGTGCTACCTCTGATCTCATTTTCGTAGGTTTCCTCGAAGCGGCGGCTATGGGACATACGGTCTCCCTCACTTGAGGCTCTGTCAGGTTTTGATCTTAACATCGTTGCCATGATTCATCGTGCTCGATTTTCAACCTCTTCTTCCAGCCCTCGCTCTGATGACGGTTGCTCTGCCTCTTGCGAGACCAACACCACGACCTCTGGTGCCACGGCTCCGGAACATGGGCGCATTCCGTAGCATATCTGGAACGATAATGAAGCGAACATGGCTGCCGCGGATGTAGACCTGGTCGAGATGAGACACTCGGCCATCTCGTGCTGTCGCTGTGATGTCTTTCAGTTGGACGTTCATGTTGTCCTCAGCTGCAGTTCAGAATTAGTTTGTGATCGAGGTAGATTTGCGAAATTTCGCGAGAGGGTTGCTCCTCACCTTCGAGAAGCTTGCCACGGTAGACTTGTCCGGAGGTGAGCTCGAGTGTCACAACATGTCCCTGTGTGCGTCAGTACGTGCGTATTCGAACGGCATATGCCCATCTCCCAGAAATCTGAACTCACTTGCGCTTCGTTCAATAGCTTAATCGGAATGCCGATTGTTGATGTGAGTTTGCCCATGGTCGCGGTCGTTCGGACGGATCGCGCAGTCCTTCGAAAGTGTTTTCAGAGTCAGAGTCGTCGACGGCGGTCGTGTTGGTCACAACTAAAGGCGGCTGTATTGTGGAGGAGGGACCGGCCCTCAATTGCAGATGCGCTCGAAGTCGAAATTCGTGAGGCTACAATGCAGCCTTGTGTCTTATCTCCTGACTAATTCCGTGCCTCATCGCCCACACATCCCAGCGTTCATCGAACGTGCTGGGATACGTGCTACGTCAAGGCACACGGTCGATCGTGCTGCCTGGCCATGCCACTCCTTTCGAATCTTCCTGCATTGCGCCTGACACTGGCCTACGCTCTACATGAGCCATCATCGCTGCTACCACATCGCACCATAGCAACTCTCCTTGCTCTACCACTGCCCGTTGGCATAGTCCTTCCCTCACTGCCCGGTTCGGAGAAGAAGCCTACGATAAAAGCTCTCGTGCTCGACAAAGATAATACCATCTGCCCACCAGAGACCGCTGTCATTCATCCAGCCTATCGCCAAAAGATCGAGCAGATCAAATCCAGCCCGGAGTTCGCTGGCCGACCACACAGCATTCTGATCGTCTCTAATACCGCGGGCAGCACTCGCTCTGCGGAGCACGAGGCAGAGGCAAAACACCTTGAAGCAGAGCTAGGACTACCGGTATTACGGCAGCAACCGGGCCGCAAGAAGCCTCTATGCGGACCTGATGTTTTGCTATATTTCAGAGAACATGGAATTACCGAAAATCCTGCTGAGATCGCTTTTGTTGGTGATCGGCTGGCCACCGATGTGCTTGTCGCCCGAGAGGTTGGGAGTTGGAGTATCTGGTGCCGCGATGGCTGGAGAGATCCAGTAAAGCCTGCTACAGACTATCGGGGCCTATTTGCCAAAGCTGAGGGTATCCTTGAGCGCATCCTACGAGAGCGCCTTTCGAGAAGCGCCCCTCTACCAGTGACTCCAAGGCATCGCTAATGCAAAACCTTGATCGTCACATCCCACTGAACTGCGAGGGCCTCCCACATACGCTGGACGTTGTGCGCTTCCTCGGTTTCCGTGAGCACCGGCACTGCATCATCGAAGCCAGAATACTTCGACCACGCCTCAACGAGCAGAGGGAAATCGCTTGGTTTGAGACCGCGACGTACATACCCTTTGGTGCCTACACTTTCAGGAAGACTAGCCTTGCTCAAACAGTGCTTGATGTGCTCTTCCTAATCACTGTCAGTATCTGCGATGTGGGGTTGGAGTGATGAACGTACAACTCGTTCTTCAAGCTCTTGGACCGACAATGTCTGGGCCAATGAAATTTTGGTTCTGACCGCAGCATGTAGCGCAGAGTTCGCAAGAGGATAGTCTTCCATCTCATGGGCTAGTATGGCGAGTCGAAGTAGTGCTTGCACTTCCCACTTGACAGGCACGGGCGATCGACCCCCGAAACGAGCAGCAACACAGGCAAGGAAGATTTGACTTCTCTTCATAGCGATGCGCTCGTGCCGCGAGAGATTCGGCAAGGTATCGATCTCGAAGCCTGCAAGAAGCCAGGCCGCGGTAGCAATCAATCGATGCAATCTGAAATGTGGTTAACCGCATACAGAGCGAAATAGTGAGCGACTTACGGATCCTGGCCATTCCGAGGCCGCAACATCAAATGCCCAGCCATCCCTCTCATCGTATCTAGAGCTTGTTGGACCAAAAAAGCCAGACTCTGGAACGAAACGCGCCGGAGCCCGACTTCTTCGATCTGATGAGTAAGCCTCTCTAGCCTCCTCAATAGAGTGAGCCACTGCCATAAGGCTAGATGGCCATAGTCTAACGTCTGGAATGACGGCAGCACACTGATGCCGTTGTCGTGGTATTTGACGATTGGAATGCGGTTGCCATCTATCTCAAGATGCGACATCCATCGCCCGAGCCAAGGAAAGAGCGTATCGTTCATCTTTGCAACAACCTGTGCGGCGTCATATATTTCGACGCCAGGGAGTCGAACACGATGCACCATAACACTTATCAATGGCCCTCTATTGAGACCAGTCATTGTCGGTGGAGGATTTTGTCGCATGATGCAATGCTGGATCGAGGAAAAGGCCGTCCATACGTCTTCGAGAAGGACCATACAGATCCCTAATGGCCCTGGCAGCCCCATGATGGTGACTGTCATTGCAGGCTCCCGATTGGATTGATTGCCGTGCCTCCCAACAGGAAAAGCTTCGGCATAATGGACTGCGGTAAGGCAGCGGCACGCCCATCGACCGAGGTGCATGAATTCACCTGCACACGCAATGGGTACGCCCATGATCGCGATCCAGTCGTTGCGGTCGTACAGAATGCTCTTGCCTTCGTGGTACATCTGTCGACAGGCACGAAGGACTTGCGGAGAGAAGTGGTACTCCTTACTCCAAGCTGTTCGACCTCTGATAACGGGCATCCAATGGTCAGTGTTTCCGGCTACAGGGAAGCTACTCGAAATGACCGTATTCATGCTTTGCTTGAATTGTGCGTCGGATACTCTGTCAGGATCGAGAGTCCACTTCTCGGTGCTGCACATGCCGCCATCAAGACAATAGTCCAAGATATGGAGGCGGACCTCGGGTGGTAAGGAGAGAAGCTTGGACTTGGGCGGCTCCTCGCCGAGTTGTTGGTGTGAAGGATGTGGGGGAGCCGTGGTCTGGTCTTGGCGAGGAGACATTTCCACGTGAGCCGATGATGGCACGGCAGCAGGGGGCGTGGCTTGACTGGAATCGAGTCGATGGGTCCGCAGCGAGAAAGACGCAGATGCTTCCACCGGATTGCGATTGTTGCGGAGCCTCTGGGTCATGTTGCGTATGCTCGATTTGACCGAAGCTTTCATCCTCGCGCGATTGGAGTCGGCTATGGTGTAGATGGGCGGCACAGCAAAGCTTCTGATGGTGGAGAGATGAGAAGTGTGCAGCAAAGCTCAGCGATCTGTGTATGCAAGAGATCTAACAGAGCAAGCCGCGTTCTCATGACGATGACCTGCCTGTGAAGTAGACAGGGAGTGACTGTAAAGCGCCAACAACTGTTGCCAAGACAAGGCAAAACCGCCCCCTCACTGTCACCACCAGTGACAACGTAAAGGCGTAAATAAGTAAATAACAACAGGGTGAAGTAAAAACTGTCACAGGCTCAGCTGTATGCCTGTCTGCACATCACCCATGCCAAACTATACCCTCTCCTCACCCTGACCTGCCCCTCACTTCCGCCACAACAACAAAAGTCTGCCTTTTAACATACTCACACAATCACGCAATCAGACGAGCACAATCCCGCAAACAACACGCACCAGCCCTTCCCCCCCCCCGGAGTCATACTGCTCAACTCTACCAATGCCCCCAAACACCACCCTGCACCATCTTCACCCCCTTGAAGACCCCCTCAGAACCCCCTCCCATAAACAGCGATATACCCATTCAGATTGATGCCCTGCAGCGTCGGCGGGCTGCCGCACGTCCCCGTCCCCGCCCCACCATTACAGGCCACGCAGTTCACCTCGCTGGTCAGGCCGGAGTCGAGGATGATGTTGGCGCCGCAGTAGCAGTTGACCAGCGTCGTGCTGCCGGCGACGTTGACGAGGCCGAAGAAACTGGTGTTGTGTTAGCAAAGCGCGGAGAAAAGGGGGCTTTTTTTTATATCGGATTTTGCGGAATTGTGTGGCAGCAGTAGCAGTAGGATTACTAGTAACGTCCCGGGGGGTGGAGTGGTGCGGAGTTGAGCCACAACACGAGAGAGCATTGGGCAAGACTGGAAAGGGGAAAGCCCAAAATGAATGGTAAGGGTAAGGGTGAGGAGAATGGCCAGGTGCGACTTACTTGGTATTCGCCCGACTCAAACACGCAGTCGCGCACTGCCTCGCGGCCGGGTTGCCGACGGAGTTCGTCAGGCTCGGACTTACGTAGCCGGCGGCCTGGGTGTCGAAGACGTAGGAGCCGAGGATGATGAAGGAGAAGGTGCTGCAGCTCGTGCCGATGCAGGTCTGGGAGAAGCAGCCGGTGTAGGCGAAGGAGGTGGAGAGTGTGGTCTAAGGAGTGTCTTAGTGGGGATATACTGGGGGTTGTGACTGAGGGGTTTCGGCTTACTCCTGCGGGGCCTTGGGGACTGTGTAGGGAGAGGTCAGTCAGCGAGATGTTTGAGAGGCATGACGGTAGGTTGAAGGGTGTTGCTGCTGCTTACCCGGTGGCGCCTTGTGCACCTTGAATTCCTTGAGGGCCCTGAGGGCGTGGAGACTGATGTTAGTGAGGATTGTGGATGAAGGGCTGTGGGTGACATATCTGTAGCACCTGTAGCACCCGTAGCACCTGTTGCTCCTGTCGCGCTGTACATCAATAGTGTCAGTAAAGAGTACTTCGGAAGAGTCAAAGACACCGTACCCAGTTGGTCCAGCCACGCCTTGCGGTCCTTGAGGTCCTGATGGGCCAGTTGAGCCTTGGGGTCCTGCTGGGCTGTGCGCGAATTTTGGTCAGCTTCGGATGATTAGGAGGCAGTTGAAGTGTCCTTACCCGGATGGTCCAGCTACACCTTGAACTCCTTGAGCACCCTGGGGACGTGAGTAGAGTTAACGGAGGTCCTATATAGTGGTATAAGGGAGACCTATCTGTTGCGCCGGTTGAGCCTTGCGGGCCTGCTGGACTGTTGGGACTAGTCAGCTGCGGGATTTGCGTGATTCCAATACGAAGCACTTACCCAGTTGGTCCTGCTACGCCTTGTATACCTTGATTCTAGACGAGTCAGTGGGATTTGGGGACCAAGTTTCCAGTTTTCTTACGCCCTGGAGAGAAGACGTTAGCATTGACTGTCGCGTGGAAAAAAGTGTAATCTTACTTGTACACCCTGAGGGCCGCTGTGGGGGTTTTGTTAGCGCGCAAGTCTACTGGTCATGGAGAAGCAACATACGAAGGTCCCTAGTCAAGTGGTTAGAATCTGTCAAGTCTCGAAATGGGTAGATGTCTTACACTTGGCCCAGCTACGCCTTGAACGCCTTGAGGCTAAGAAATGTCAGCGGAGGCAAGTCACGCCTTGTCAATACTCTTACACCCTTAAGAATCACGTTAGCTTGGACACAAAACCGCACTAAGGCGCGCTTACCTGTACTCCTTGAGCTCCTTGAGGTCCCTGTTCATCGATCAGCTATCGCCACCTGTTTGGCATATACGTTGACTAACGCTTGGACCTGCAGCGCCTGTGGGACCAGCCACACCCTGGGGACCTTGGATCTAGTAGAGTTAATAAAGCAATTTGACAGCAAAAGCTTGTAGCCTACACCCTAAACAAATTGTCAGCTTTGCGAAAAGGAACTTTGAAGAATGACTCTACCTGTGCTCCTTGAGGACCGGTTGGACCTGCAGCACCGGTTGCTGAAGAGCTGTCAGTGCCCGCTCTCGATCACCTGTATTGGAAACTCACCACCTGACAAGCCAGACGCGCCCTAAATTTCAGAAGTTAGTTGCTTTGCTCGATATACAAGATGGCTGGGCGGAGACTAACCTGGGGGCCGGATGGCTATAAAGGATTTAGCATCAGTATTCTGACTTTGCAAAGTGACGGTGATACGCACTCCGCTCGGCTGTCAACAGTTAGCAATGATTCCTGCTTTCATCTTCTTGGTAGAAAATTATGCTGGAGGTACTCACCCCAGCTACTCCTTGTACTCCTTGTACTCCTTGTACTCCTTGTACTCCCTGAATACCCTGCGGTCCTTGAGGTCCCTGGCTACCTTGAGGTCCTGCTGGCTAATAGACATTAGTATGTCTCGGTTTCCAGGCTGGGACAGGTGACGCCATCTCAGCTTCAAGGGAGAAACTTACGCCCGTAGCACCAGGTAAACCTGCATTGTTTGATCAGCACACACGTTCCGAGACAAAGGGTAGAGGGGGAAGAAGTCGAACTTACCACTCGCACCGGACACTCCTTGCGGCTAAGGTTTGTATCAGTCACAACAGCTTCGTTAGAGAGATGGGTGGAATAGCGTACGCCAGTAGCACTATAGTATATTAGTGTTGTACGTAATAGCGGTCTGTGCAATTTAGACTTACCCAGTGGGTCCTGCCACGCCTTGCGGGCCTTGAACCTGAAGCCTATATTAGCTGTCGATCTTTGTGGGGAAACGGGGAAGCATACTCCAGTTGGACTGTGATAAATCAGTAAATATACAGTTTGGGCTCGGGTTGGTGCGGACTTACCCAGTAGGACCTTGAATACCTTGCGGGCCCTGTGGACCAGAGGGACCTGAGGGACCTGCAACACCAGTCGGACCAGTTGGACCCGAGGCACCACTTGGACCTTGAATGCCTTGTACACCCTGGATACCTTGCGGGCCCTGTGGACCAGAGGGACCTGCAACACCAGTCGGACCAGTCGGACCAGTCGGACCCGAGGCACCACTTGGACCTTGAATGCCTTGTGGGCCCTGAACGCCTTGTTGGCCCTGGATGCCCTGCGGACCTGAGGGACCAGCGACTCCGGTCGGACCAGTCGGACCTTGAATTCCTTGCACACCTTGAGGGCCGGTTGGACCGACACTGCCTCGTAGACCCGAAGCTCCTGAGGGTCCTGAAGGCCCAGCAACACCTGTGGGCCCAGTCGGACCACTGGGCCCCGGGGGCCCGCTTGGACCAGGCAAGCCGCCGCAGTTATTGAGTCGCGACAGCGTCAGGGTCACGAAGCCACAACCAGAGGGTGCAGATCTCGGATCACCAAAGACTGAAAGGAGGGTGCCATCGGTTGTGACGCAGAAGCGAGCAATATTGTTGTAAAAGTTCTGATTTTGCCAATTCAGCGAGTCCTGGGTGTCAATAGTGAACAAGGTAGTAATCACGCCAGGATTGGCGCTTGGAGTGAAGTCGGCATAAGTTACACCTGGTTGAGTGCCAAACTGCAGGGTTGTCCCATTGTTAGTGGCGAATAGCTGACCGTTCGACGATAGGGAGTAGACCGTGGCGTTGGCGCAATTTTGCGTGGATTGGCCATTATTGCCGACGTATCCACTGCCCTGCCTCTTGGAGAAAGTAAATTGAGGCGTTAGAACGAGTTGGAAAAGATTGTCATTTGAAGGATCGATGCTTGGGGTAGAGGTTGCAGAAGCCGCAGATGCCGAATTGGATGTTGGTAGCTCGGGGCTGAAACGCATTAGCAACCACAAAGTCATCGAAAGCTGTCTCTCACATTGATGTAAGGCCGTCTTTACAAGTGCTGAACGATGTTGAAGTATCTTAGAAATATTAGAACATTTCCTTTTCCAGAGCAGGATGCTAGAGCTGACCCGTGAGAATGGTGTCTATAAAGGTTGGTGCATTCTCTACATGCAGCGTCAAGTCATTGTGGATTGAGAACGATGTGTTCTCCACGGCGAAAAGCTGTACATGAACCTGTTGCGGAGCATTAGCGTCCCTCACTTCTCGAAAGAGTATCCTTGACATGCTGGACTTAGGATGTAGGCTGTAACAACAGGATCCAGCTGCGGCGCCGAGGCTCGAGGCCATATGTGTACATCTTTCGGACTGCGTAGTAGTCGAGGTAGTAGATTGGCTTCCACGACAGTGTTAAAAGTGGAAGCAAATAGGAAAAAAGTGTTCAAAAGTTGAGCATGAGACGACATGGTATCGTGCAACGAGCGACTAGAAACAAAAAAAGGGAACAGTATGAGGGCTGTTGTTTGGCAACTAGCGATCGCGATTGTGGGACGACTTCCGAGGTGGTATTTTCTGCTTGTAGAGAAGATTGGAAATTCAACAACTGCTCGACCAGAGGAAATAACGATTGTGAATAGGCTTGAGTTGATGATACGTCCTCACCGTTCTTCCCCCCTCGCCATGGACGCTCTTATGAAGAATGGCCAGACGCCGTGGAACATAAGCACAGGGGGATATGCCGTTGCGCCGCGCGACACGAGATCTGGGACCAAGTTATCGTTGACATGATCGCGTTCACGAATGCCTGTGTAACATATTCTCACGAGTGCCTATGGGCTGTAACATCACTGGTGAGGTTCGTGATCCAGACCTACCAAGGGAGCACGACCCACTAGGAACACGGCAGATGAACAAGATCCACCAGGAACACGGCAGATGGACTGAGATCGCGCTTGTAAAGTCAATCAGACGAAGAATGCTCCGGTTTCTAGGCAGACTTGACTCCTTTTGTTGATAGTGTCGATCAGAAGTGTTATTTTAGGGGCCGCCAGGCGGCCACACTCGGTTCGAAGGTTTGAAAATCGAGAATGAAGCTCGGCACATTGGAAACAGCACGGACGTCTGTTAGGAAGTCTGCTAAACATCGTGGAAACCGATGAAGTTGGTAAAGAGGTGAGGTTGATGAAACTGCCGACGTTGGAATCCACCTTCCTTTCTCCCCGCCACGATACCCGCGCACGTTGGCGCCGGAGTGCCGAGTGCCCTTTATGATTGGTCGGGATTCACCTAGTGCATTTTGTGCAGAATTGGGTGGGAAGTATACCGTATTTTCGATAGCGGCTCGTCAACAATTGCAAATCTGGGGCAGCCTGACATGTAAGGGGACAGGAGTAATCACATGTGCACGTCGCTGCACATTGCTTCCTTATACGGCCCGAAATGGGCCATCATTATGATTTATGGGGAGATTGGCTGACCTTCACCGACTAGCACAGTGTCTCCTTCCTTCGGCTGTTTTGTCTTGTCTTCAGTCGTGACACTTCCCCGCAGTCCCCTGACAACTACGCCGCCCAAACTCCCAACCCCTAATCGACCCATCAACGACAGCACCGACCCCGCAGAGCCAACTAACGCACCTGCACCGCCCACTGCCATCCCAGCCACACTCCATCGATCCACACTGACTTGTCCCTCGTTGTACAGTAATCGGTACGCCCGATCCTGCCACGCATACTGTACATCCTCCGCGTCATCGCCGCCCACAGAGCGCATATAGAACGGCAGCATAGCGCCCATGGCCAGCGAGGTGATTATGCCACTACGGCCCGCGGAACGGAGGATTGTTTTCATGGCGACCGTATACGGCGACTTAGCTGTGGACGACAGGGTAGCCGATGGTGTGAATGTGGCAGAGGCGGTTGTGGTAGAAGGATATTGTGTGCCACGTGATCTGCTGTAGAGTACCCGAGCGGCACCAGCTACAAGGCCAACGGTGGCGCCGGTCTGGAAGCCACGGTGTAGGACGTGGGTGGTGAGGATTGTGCGAGCGTATTGTTGGTCTTCGGCATAGTCGGCGCGAGGCCACAGGCTGAAGCCTTGGGGCGTGGTAGACATGTCTGGCAGAGTCTACCTGTGGCTGGAAGACGTAGTTGTCGCAATCTCGAGACAAGTATGTAATTTCACAGAGATGTGAATGGAACGAAGACTGAGCCTGGAAACGTAGACGAAGGCCTGATGGCGCGTTGGGAGTTTACCTTGATAAGAATCGACATATTGACAGATCGTATGCGGATTCTAACGGCCGAATGCGATCTGCAACCACTTCAAACGCTTTTCCACTTGGCTTCACAGCATTACGAAGGCGGATGCGCCATTCAAAGGTGGGCTCGGTCTCGGTGCATTGATGCTGGAGTCAAGTTCACGTCCGAGAGGGCCGCTACGGGCGTACGAGCAGATCACGTGATACACAGGCTTCGGCGGGTTTTTGAACCGAGCGCGCAATGACGTTCCGCTCTTCTTCACAGTCCACACTCCACACTCCTATCACAACCCATCAGAATCCACCAGAATCCATCATCACCAATTGTCGTTAATTCAATGTGTATGACAGCTAGTAGATGCGGCCTTACCATGTCTGTACGCTAGCTGCTGATGCCCTATCGCAGCCCCGTACCGCCGCGAGCCTTGCTCCCCACGCAATCCTTGCATGCCGTCTCCCAAACTATAGCATCAACGCGATCACCAACACCACAAACCCCAGCAAAAGCGTGTAGACTGGCTTCAACTTCTGAAAGTGGTCCTGCAGCAAACTGACCAGAGCATAGGAGCGCGCCTCTGTCGTACCTGCAACACTGGCCGCCTTGGTTGTCTTCTCAACCTGACTGGATTGAGCAGCCGCAGTAGCTTGACGCTTTGCTCGCACGGCGCGATATTCATCAATCAGCCCACGATAATCCCTGGGACGATACGTCGCCAGCATTTCTGAGATGGGGTTGCTTTTGCGGTTGACGCGGACGCCGAGGTCGCGCGCTAGCGTGTCAACATACTAAACATCCAGCATCTGAATCAGCCTCTGAATAGGTCTAAAAAGCAGAGGGGGGCTTGAGCTAGGATCACTTACGGCGAGGAAGTCGTAGATCGAGTAAGCATGCTTACGGCCCTGCGCGAGGTATCGCTTGGCGGTCCAGGCGTTCCACAGCGAGATCTCTTCGCGCATGCCCTCGACTGATGGTGTTGGCAGCTCGCCCAGCAGGTACGCGCAGCTCCAGAGCGACTGCATCTCGGACACGAGTGGCGTGTATACTGAATGGATCTGTCCAAGGAAGACAATCGACCGATCGGCCTTGTCAGCCAACTGGGGCGAGACAAGTCGGCGATACAGACGCCACGGCCGCGTCTCGCGATTCGCTGGGTTCTCGTAAGTTTCGTGCGGGATGGACTGAAGGTTTGGAAGAAGCTCGTCAACTTTCGAGTTGGCCCGCTTGTCGTACGTCGTCCAAGAGGCGTCTTCCCCGGCCTTCGAAGGTAGGCCTAATGTGCTTTGCAGCTGGTCATCGTACACCGAGAGATTATGTTTCCAACCTGTGCAGAGGATGACAAAATCGGTCGGCAGCCGCTGCCCGTCTTTGAGCACCACCTGGTCGTCCACGAAAGATGTAATGGAGGTCCGATGCACTTGCAGATCTCCTTCGTGAAGCGTCTTCCAGAAGTTGGGCACGCTAGCTAGGCCGAGACCCGAGTTGGCCCAGAAGATGCTGTTGAAAATGGTTAATTGATGATAGGGTGCATCGGAAGGGGCCCACTGCTTACCCGTATTTGAACGGCACAGGCTCCAGCTTCTTCATCGTCTCCGAGTCATCATACCCAGCAGCCACCTCGCACGTCTGCGTCAGGTATCTCCAGAACCGGTGCGTGAGTGCGCGCCCCATGTTCGATCGCTGCAAGAACCAGTACCAGAATCCTTTGGTGTTGAGGATTGCCGGACTCATGGCAGCCACCATCCTCGTCCCCAACAGATCCACACTGTTGAACAAGCCGAAGATTTGTGTCGGAGGGGAGATGGCCAACGGGCCCGTACCGTCTTCTCGGATCACCCAATCCACCTTCTTCCCCTCCTTTAGCAGGTGAAAGACCGTATCGTACGCCGATTTGGCCGCACCGAGCACCACAATCCTCTTCGTCTCCTCCGCACCCAGATCGTTCGCCATCACACCCAGCTCCCCCGAATGAATGATCGGCTTGCTGAAGCGCTCCCGTGGGAAATCTGGCACATACTTCTCCGACGTCACGCCACTGGCCTGTATCACCTTGGCCGCCTCCAGCTGGTAATCACCCGTCCGATAGCTCGCACCCCTCGTCCGCAGCGACAGCCGCCACTTGGCCTCGCCGCCATCTGCACGCTCGATCCTAGCAACCCGCGTGTTCAGTCGGATGAGCGGCAGCAAGCCATAGTCGCGCGCAAAGTTGTTGAGGTACCGGTGGATCGTCTCGCCCGAGATGTAGCGGTCTTTGGTGAGGCCCTCCTTGGACATGGGGTAGAACGAGTATTCGAAGAGGCCGTGGCCGACCTGGGCGAATAGGTTGGGGTAGATGCGCTCTTTGCTCCACACACCGCCGATGGTGGCGCCGTCGTCCAGCAGCACCACTTTCGACTGTGGTGCGAGCTGTCGGTAGGTGTGCGCGGCGATCAGCCCGTACCAGCCTAGAAGTTCTGGTCAGTATGTATTATGGCTGGTGTGCGGCGTGACGATCGATTGGAAGGTGGTGTCAGTTTGTTGTCTCTTACCTCCGCCAACGATGGCGACATCACATGTCTCAACGTCGGATTGCATTGTCGTTGAACAAAGATTCACGAAGCTCTCACTAGCTTGTCTATCTGTACAGCCAAGTCAAGAGAACGTGACGAATGACTAAAGTAGCCCGCCTACCATCATATCAAAGAGCAAGTTTGCTGCCGTGGAGGAGCAATATAGCAATGCCTCCCTTCTGGAACAACACGCCCACTCGCCGGAGCACGATCCTCGCGTGGTCTGACAGTAACGCGAGGAATCGCGGATCCCGCCTTTCATTATGTCGGCTGGATTCGTGCTATAAGGGCCGAAAGCGTTCTGGGGTCTTTGCTCGGCGGGTTTGATGGCGCTTTTCCCGTTGGGGAATGTAAGCAGGGATCTCTTGGTTGCTTGTGCTGATTGGATGTTAGCTGCGTTGATGCTTGCGCATGTGGCCCTAAGCTACTTCGATCTTGACGCGGGCCCAGGAGAGGCCTCATCGTCGAGGTCAAGTATCAGCCAGAACCGTTGAAACGGTGTGTCACACATTACCGAAACGTTGCTGGTGGTAAGCACGATGCAAGGGTATCGAGGCAAAGTAGTGTAGGTCCACGTATAGAACATTTCCAGCTAGACTAGGCTTGTGATCAACAACCAAATTGCACTGCATCCACGTATTCGCACCATTGCGAATCCTATGTATCAGCCATCCATACCTCACGAGCTTCCTCTCCCCCAATAACATCGCCCCATTCCTAAAGCCTAGACAGCAAAGCCTGCTGCTCCCCCTCCTTGAAAGCCCACTCCATGGCCTTCACCGCCGCACTGGCATCCCCCCTCTCTCTCGGCACATCATGCCCCGCCGAATGCTCCAACCACATGGCCACCTCCTCACCACAGAGCTGATACATCAGCCTCGACTGATCCAGCATCAACGGATCATCCTTCCTCCCCACCACATGCACCGTCGGGATCCGAATCCGCTGCCTCACCAACTGCGGATGAATGATCCTCGGGATCTGCGCCGCGTTGCGCCTCTCAAAGACCTCCTTGTCCGGGTGCGCGTGCAAGAACCCACCCGCCATACCCGCCGTGAGCGCCTTGGCCATGGTGCCGAACAGCAACTGCGCCTCATCCGACAAGGTCGAGAGGTCCGCGTCGGGAAAGCCCGCGAGGTGCGCGACGTCGGTCTCGGAAAGGCGGTCCACCACGTCCATGCAGTACGAGGGGTCCGCCGTGAAGGAGATGATGCTGGAGAAGATCATGGCGAACTTGAAGGGGTACGGTTCCTGCGGCCGGTCGATCTCGTGCTGCAGCAGGAAGGAGATGGCCAGGGAGGCGCCCTGGCTGAAGCCCAGGATGCCGTCGAAGGGGCCCTCGTCGTCGACGACTTCGCGGATCATTTCGTGCGCTTTTTTGACGGATTGGGGGGCGAAGTTGTCGTAGTAGCAGGCGAAGGGGCCGATGTTGAAGGCTCCTAGACCTGTAGAAGGAAGAAATAGGTGTCAGCGTTTAGTTTTACGACGGGCATGGTGGTGGGGCCGACCCTACCGCGTGCCTTTTGACATTCGATCTCGCCATTGAGGTAGTCGCACTCGATGCTCTCACCGGCCGCAACGATGGCAGAGAGCTGGTTTTCGAGGACTGAGGTGTTGGTGCCGTAGCCGTGTAGGCAGAGTAGTCTCATGGCTGTAAGAAAGTGAGGCCAGTGTTGTTGGTGGACGGGGGGGCACGCGGTCAAAATCTATATATTCTCGGGCTGTAGGTGCGGCTCAAAGTGACAAGATCAGAAGACTCCGAAGCTGGGATCGGCCGGTGCGTAAATGGACCGAACGTATTTTGGCGGCTATGCCGTCGTTCTCCATATCACGGTTCTCCGGAGTCTAGGATTCCAAGGTTTAGTTCAGGTTGCATGCGCCGCTCGGCTGGATCGCTCGTTCGGTACTTCAGTTCCGCCGTGGTGCAGGCATGAAGTTGCGATAGGTTCACAAGGTGTGGGGAAGTCCTGATGTTAGAAGATTGTCATCATAAGAGCTTCATTTGAATCTTAAATGTCTATATTTGGTGAGTCCTCAGATCCTAGTACTAGTGTCTGTGCCTTTCTTCACGTGTGGCATCTCCCTTGTAACTATCCCGATGCCTCTCTAACCTGCTGCCGATGCTAACACTATAACAACATGTATTTCAGCATTTTTGCTTCCAACACTTTCGGTCCTGCCATTCATCTTTGCGCTATGCGGCAAACATATCCTCCGGGGCCCTGCTGCCGGTCAAGCCCACCAGTAAGCCGTTCATGCATTAACTCGGACCATGCTGTTCTTTTGCTTCTCATACAATCTGTTCTCCCTCCAGTACAATGTGGCAGAGCCAACCGCGCCGGGTCCAGCGGTTAATATACCACCGAGAATGAATGTAAGGGTCTTGGTGGAAACTTCCTCCCCGGTTTCCTTGACGAGGTAGTAGCACCACAATGCCACGCTCAAGCTGATGCCGAGAAAGTCGTACTGTAAAAACAGCCGTGACCCTTCCAGCAACTTGGCCAGTCCAGTTGCTGCCACTGGTCGCGTATTGTCCGGGACGTAAACAGCAGAGAAGCTCTCTCGGCCTGTAAGCAGGAATCCAAGGACCAGCATGTGGGCGATGGCTGAGAAACCTCCCGCCACGACCAAAGCCTGCCGTAAGCTGGGCATATAAGCGATCTTGCGCGTTCGAACATCGATGTTGCGGATCGGGTAAAGGCCAGACATAGTCCACTGCAGTGCCGCAGCCAGCAATGGTGATGCTTGGAAGAATGCAATGATAGCTTGGTGTCGCCATTGAGTTCCCGAGAGTCTCATTCCCCCGAGCTCAGCTAGGCCAGGCAACAACACCCCCAACACGATCGAGTAGGCCAAAGGCTTTGCATTCCACAATTGGAGATAGTGCTCGCCGGGTGCAATTGGGTTGCGAAGATGGGTGAAGAAGTAGAGAGGCAATATCGCCGCTGCTCCGAAGCCATTTACCGCGAGGTAAATTAGTGCTGGATATGAAAGCCAGGCAGATTTGTTGCCAAACCGTACAGAATCGATGAAAGCCCATGCCAGGCCGGTCTGCAGGGTACTGACGACGTCCACCATCAGAAGCCAAGCGGCTTGGTCGTTTCCAATGGTCACTGGATAGGTGAAGGCAACCAGGATACTGAGGATCTTGTCGACTGGCGCAATGCCAGTATAATGGGTCTTGAGAGGTGTGCCGTCCGGAAACTTGCCAGCTTCGACCACAGCATTCATGGCATCGGCGCTGCCATTGTGGTACATCACCACCCATAGGAGATAGAAGAAGACGCAGCTGAGGATTAAGAAGGATGCATCTCTCGTGGTGACCGGTGCGCGGCGAGCTGTACTACGTACGAAATCAGACAATGAGGAGGGAACGGAGCGAGTGGCAACCATGGTGCGTGGATGATTTCGAAGTCTCTGGACCGTGGGCCATGACAAGACCATACAGCGCATCGATCACAACATATACCCGGGAAAACATCTGCTTCCTGAAACGCGTGCAAAGATAAATCAAGGCTAGGATCCGTTGCTATCGCTGCTCGGGGTATTTTGAAAGGTTGCAAGAGTCATGTATTCCGTTTTGGGACATGATCGACCCGAGCTGTATTACCCGAGCCCGAACAGCAATATAGCCACGGTGCAGCCGTCGGCGGATTCTAAAACCCAGTCGCAACTCGCCGCATGGTAGAGACAGGGCTTTCCCCCCAAATTCGACATGATAAGATGTCCTTTCCATGGAAGGGAGCCAATGAACCAGGATATAAGAATGGCCGTCTACTCCATGTCACAAGTTTACCCTCCACCAGCCGTCCAAGAATACATGAACTTCCTCCTCAACGCCCACTTCAAACACTTGCAAGGCTACAAAGACTCGACCGAGCCTCGACCACATTCATCCGTCAACATGGCCAAGCACACCGGATTCGCTCATCTCGAGCCCGCCTATAACGTCATGGCATACGTGACCGGCGCCAACCCCATCGGTCAGCTCTCGGACGGCAGCCGCCACGACCATTACGAGCTCAACGCCGGTGCCATCAGCACCATCGAGGGCTACGAGGGTGTCAAGCTCCAAGGCCAGATCGTCAACGGCGGCGACTGGCTAACCATCGACCCTTCTGGCACGCACGCCCGCGTCAATGTCAAGACCCTCGTCAAAACCGCAGAGGGCGGCACCGTCGGCGTCAACTGGACCGGCCATTGTGAGGTGGATGAGAAGATCACGGCTATCTTCATGCAGCAAGCTGATGCGGCCACCACGCCTTTCGGTAATTTGACTAGCTATGTCAGTCTGGAGGGTCCCGGCATGGATGGCTCATGCTTTGTTGGCAGCGGCCGCTTCGTGCTGGAGGATGGCAAGATGGCTGTGCAGACGTGCATCTCGCGCGTTGTTGCTCCTCAGGAAATGTAGAGTTGTTGCTCGCGTGCGCCTCCATGCGGAATGACGAATCAGATAAGGAATGTAATCATGGACATCTAAACCGGTGCTTTTGTTATTCTCCACCGTCGCCCTACTCACGTAAACAAAACCGACAGCATTTCCCGTGAGTTGATGCACTGCACTCATTACTATGCTCGACTACAGTACTTTGACAGTCCCCTGCGCGATACATCTTACACTCTCCCATTTTACCATGGATTATGCTCTATGCTTCGTAGAACACTAGTACGTGTGGTCTTCGCAACCTTCATGCCGTTCTCAGACGATCTCAGGTATGTCCTGGCCACTGGAAAATAACAAGGAGAGGCTTAGTCATGCCAATACGGCAGTGTTGTGCATGTGCTAATTCCGCCACCGTCATTGGCTGGCCCTAATCAATATCAATGCTCTCAAACATCCGACCTGAAATACACCATCATCCCTGTAGCCGAATGGTATACCTCCCGGGCGTCTAGGCCGAATAAAGTTGCAAGACGTACGTTGAGCGGAACGAAGACCCCCCGATACGTGCAACCAGGCACGTTGCCTTGTCGGCACGGTACGGACGCAAAGGGGCCGGAGTGGATCTCTTTTCGGCGGCTTTTGAGATCTTCCGCCAATCAAGTCAGATGTCACAGGGCAACTCGGTAACGCCAAGACTCGATCAGGCTGATCTTCAGGGGATCGTCTGTGCTCTGTGCATACGGCCGAATCTGCCACACATTTGCATCTCTGCATGAATGCTTGTCTCACACCAAACAGCACATGTTGTCTGTTGTGCACGGATCCCGCTGGCAGATCATTATTCAGCCTTTCGGCCCCTTGAATGGGTCGGGTCCGGACGAGGATGCTTCGACCATTCCGAGAAAAGACTTTCGAAGAGTATATCTAGTACCTTTCGCAGGCGTGCAGCTATCACAGAGCAAGTACCAACAAGGCATAGAGATTAAACTCTTCCAATACCTTCCATAGCCGCAACGACACCCCTGCGCTACAACCAGCACAATCTCAGCCATGGCCTCAGAAGCCACTACCGGCGCCGCGACGCCAGTCCAGCAACCTGCAATTCCTTTCGCCAACGATGTTGAGAAGCATGGCTTTGCGGACGAGAAAGGCAGCGACCGTGCCTCCGACAGCGGCTCAGGCTCTCAGGCGGTCAAGCCCGCCGCGCCAACACGCCCCGTCAAGGGTCCGCTTTGGGTACTCGTTGTCATCTCCATCCTATCATCCACCTTCCTCTTCTCGCTCGACAACACCATTGTGGCCGTCATCCAGCCTGCCATTGTGCAGCGCTTCAACGCTTTTGAGAAACTTCCCTGGATTGCTGTGGGCTTCGTGCTCGGCGGCTGCAGCATGAATCTCGTCTACGGCAAGCTGTACAGTCTCTTTGACGGCAAGATCTTGTACATTGTCTGCGTCAGCTTGTTCGAGATTGGGTCTGCCATGTGTGGTGCCGCACCGTCGATGGATATACTCATTGTTGGGCGCACCATCTGTGGCGTGGGCGGCGCGGGCATGTACATGGGTGTCATGTCGCTGCTGTCCGCTTTTACCACCGAGCAGGAGCGGCCCACCTACATTGGTTTGACCGGTCTTACTTGGGGTGCCGGGACGGCGCTTGGGCCCATTGTCGGCGGCATCTTCACTGATTCATCTGCCGGCTGGCGCTGGGCTTTCTATCTCAACCTGGTTGTTGGCGGGGCCTGCGCGCCAGTATACCTCTTTTTGCTACCGTCAAGCAAGCCTCGTCCAAATGAGTCATCCAAGTCGCTCTGGCAACATCTCGATTGGGCTGGTGCCACTTTGTCAGTTGGTGCCATCCTCACCCTCGTCATGGGTATCGCATTCGGCGGCGAGATCTACCCGTGGGACAGCGCACAGGTCATCGCTCTCTTCGTCGTCTCTGGCGTGCTCTGGATCAGCTTTGCCGTCCAGCAATCATTCTCGATTTTTACGACTCCCGAGTTGCGTCTCTTCCCAGTCCACTTTATCCTAAACAAGGATTTGGTGATACTGTTCATTGAAACCGCCTCGGCCGCCACACTGCTATTCCTGCCGATCTACTTCCTCCCGATCTACTTCCAGTTCATCCACAACACGAGTGCCCTCTCTGCAGGCGTCAAGATGCTACCGTTCATCTTCATGCTGATTGTCTTCTCCGTGCTCAACGGCGGCATCATGAGCAAGACCGGCGTCTTCTGGCCCTGGTACACGGCCGGCGCAGCCCTAGCGCTCGTCGGCAGTGCGCTGCTCTACACTATCGAGCCTTCAACCTCGGACGCCAAGATCTACGGCTTCAGCGCCCTCATCGGCATCGGCGCCGGCTGCTTCGTTCAGAGCTCTTTCGCCATCGGCCAGGCGCTTGTCAAGCAGGAAGAAAAGGCGTTGGCAACTGGCTTCATTACCTGCGGCCAGCTACTCGGCTCCACCATCGCCTTGACCATCGCCAACACCCTCTTCGTGGGTGGCTCCATCGAGAGTATCTTGCAGGTTCTCCCGGGAGTAGACCACAATGAAGTTGCGGTTGCGATGACGGGCGCCAACCCGGCCTTCTTTGCCGCACTCGACGAGATGACTCGTCTACGCGTCTTTGAAGTAATGGTTGACGCTATCAACCGATCCTGGATCCTGTGCATAACTGCTGCAGCTTTGGGTCTCGTGCTTTCCATCTTTCTGAGCAAGAAGACGCTTTTCATTGAAGCTGCTGCTGGTGGTGCATAGACTGGACAAAGTCAAAAACAAGACGCTGACAGATGTTGATGATAAATCTCCTTCGATGCATCCAGAAATAGCAGATCATAGCGGGATGGGCAGCGAGCACATCGTATAGAGATCACGTCGGAGGTTGGATATGGGTTTCTTCAGTTTCGATGGCGCAATTGTCCTGAGGAAGCATTTTTCTCCATGATTTAGACTGGGTCATAGGTGCAATGAGTTCACGGGAGTACAAAGTTACGATCAGATAACTAATGCGAGAATCAAGAACCAAGGAATCACTTCTCGTGTCCTGCTTCGTGACTTGAGACACGATGAATCCATTTGGGATTCTGCCACATGTGCCAATATTCATCCCCTTCTTAACCGCCGTCATTAGCGGTAATCATGTAGTGAAGCTCTTGAAGCAAACATTCCGCCATCGTGAATAGTCGTTCATAGCAGTGACTGACGCAACGAAAAGATCAAGCAATAAGCCCTCTAGGAAGTGGTGTAGAATCAACCTCCTCTGAATCGACAGTGATGATACTCTCATCCACGTGCCGCCACCAGCACCGCCGCCATCAAATCCATGACCGCCAACACCATCCATAAAACATCCACGCCTAACCCAACGTGCCACCACCACCACCCGCATAACAAACACACCACCGCCTATATTCCCAAGGAACAACAACTCGCCACCCACCCCTCCCTTTCTTACGTACGAAAGTCTTCCCAGCCGCCCGCCAGTGCCGTCCCACAAATCCTCCCTCCCCACATATCCTTCCTCCCAAGAATCTCTCCCGGCCGTTACGGTGGACCCTTACTCATCAGGTAGCTGCACAGATACTTTTCTCGGGACGCCGGACGATCACTTGTGGAGCCACTCGGCGTATTTAACCAGTTCGATTACGCCTGAGGCGCAATGACCCAGCACTGGACCCCCCCCTCTCTCTCTCTCACACACACAAAGACAGATCTCTCGGCGCCGAAGTCGTGCGTAAGTTGGCCACCGGGTCCATCGTATCCCGGATCCACGGTGTGGGGTTGTCGGTGGATACAGTCCTTCGCATGGGCCAGGGTCAGCTATTCTGGCTCGGACGCTTTTTAAGGCGGCCGTAAAGGGGTTGTTGTTGTTATTTAGGCTAGGCAAACCTGTGAGAAACGGAAGCAGGAGACCTTGTGTGACTGATTAATGATAAGAGGATAAAAGATGAGACTGGTGGAACGAGGATGATTTCTTTCAAGAACGCTTGGGGGATATCGGTGGTAAACAAACACAACCGAAAGCACTGCGACGATGGAAGTCATGATGGGGAACAGCACGTCGTTGCCGCTTGATGCTCCGTCTCATCCACGCCTTTATACACCCCCGTATGATCAACCAGATAGCCTGCCCTTCCACATCGACGCGACATCAACCGCCTCGTCCACTTCATCCTCGTTATCCACATCAACCTCCGCCGCCACCACCACCACCACAAAACCTACCAGTACAGACGCTTCACTCGAGACCATAGCCACCACAACCCGTGCCTCTCCATCATCACCACCAGCAGCCTCGAAGGCCCCCACCAAACCCAGCCGTTCCTCACACCCCTGCCCCCGACCTCGGCCCCGCCAGCGCCGACACCACCCCGCAAAGCTCAAACTCAGCTGCGACCAATGCGCCCAGCGCAAGATCCGCTGCCCGCGCGACCAGCCCGTCTGCGAGCGCTGTGCCAAGCACGGCCTCGAGTGCCGCTATTCGGTGGCGCAGCGCTACGGGAAGCCCAAGAAGGCCGTCTCCGCTGCTGTGGAGCAAAACCGGGGAGGGAAGGAGGAAGGAGAGGAGAAGGGGGAGTTCGCTGGTGACGGCACGCGTGGGACAAGTGGTTTCGGTGGTGAGAAGAAATCGGAGGGATTTCGGAATGGTGGTGCTGATGCTGACGCTGGTGATGATTCTGGGACTGAGGCTCGAACTCAGGCGGCTGAGGAGCAGGCGCGGTGGCATGTGAGGATGAGAGCTGTGGAAGGCCTTGGTTCCGACGAGGACAGGAGGGATGGGTCGGTGTCACCACCGATGACGGCGAGGATTGCCGCCACCAGAAGCCACGGCGGGCCCAGAGTTGAGACCGAAGCGACAGCGCATTCAGTCGGCGAGACTGACACTTTCGCCATAACGGCCACGCAGTTCCTGCATTTGTCACCCATGCTTAGCGCAAGTGCGGCCGACACAACTACAGCCACGGCTGCCGTTCTGCCGAGCATCGAGGCCATGGAGCAAACGAGCCCAGTGCTCAGCTCTTCCGCCTACACAAGCGACGCCAGCTTTCAATCGTGTACGATCCGGACGCGAACGCCGCTGACGCCGCCTGCGGAACCCGTCCCGGTAGTGATAGGCTATGGCGACGATGACAGCTTCTCTCGTTGGCCTGAGACAGCACCCGCGGCATCATCAATGAGCGAGTGGGACTACATGGATGGCGGCGTCGACGAGGCCAGCAACGGTATGACGGGCGTGGCAACTGATGGATGCGGTGACAGCACCACGGCGGCTGCAGCAACCAGAGGCGGTGCCACGCAACAAGCAGCCCTGCAGACTACCCTTCCCATGTTCCCATCCGGCCCCGCCGCTGCGACTGCTATCTGGGGCCGCGATTGCTTTCAGCGCGTGTGTGAGGCGTTTCAGACGCTCAAGCAAACCCATGAGGCCGCCGCAAGTGCCACCGCCGCGACAGCATGTCTGCTGGAGCCGCCCGTCACGACCGCGGCGGCGCAGTTTGTCCTGACACCCGACTACGTGGGAAGCATGCTGCAGACGACATGTCACGTCATTGAAGAGGCCGCGGCGATTCTACAATGTCCGTGCCACAGGACGGCCAAGGTGCGGTGCGCTTTGACCATGTTGTTGCTGGAGGTGGTGTCGTCGTACGAAGAATTGGGGAAGCAGTTGAGGCGGAAACGGGCCGTGGAGGGGGCGTTTGGGTCAGCATCATCCTATGTTGGCGGTAGGACCGGCAATAGAGCGGCGGGCCCCGATGCTGAGATGGGCGTCGGGCCTTCAGGAGGCATGTTCGTGCCACCGGTGGCGGTGGGAACAACGATGCTGAATCAGTGCGAGTCGGCGGCTATGCTGGCGGAGTTCATGTTGTCTAAAATCCGGCGGATACAGGGCATGACCAAGATGCTGAGTGTGGGGAATACGCCGTCGAGTCTGCAGAGTGAGATTGTGTTGGACAGCGCGGAGGATTTGCTGGAGGCGCTCAAGGCCGAGATGTGAGAGTGCATGTGTATTGCGTGTGGCTGCTGTGGCTGGCCTCATTTTGCGCAGTTGGTAGAACGCCGTCGGATCTTTCGATGATCGGTCACGGTGCCCAGTGCCTATCATTGCCTCCATGGGTCACGGAGCTCGATAACCCACCGAAGTCCATCGACTTGCACCTCGCTGTGATTGGTGCGAGTTGGACCACATGCAGGGGGTTCATACGTGCGCAGCATATTCTGGCATCGGCCCTAGGTTTTTGATTCCGTACGTACCGTGATCTCGCCGAGTGATATGAAAGGTCTCTTGCGTAAACCGGCGATGCTGGTCGATGTCAAGCGAATCTTTCAGGCCTCGCATGCTGAACGCCGGGTTATGCGGAGATGCTGGAGCATTCGGGGCCGATTGTGGGGTGCTGCAACGTCAAACAATGCTTCGTCTGGTTGAGTTGGTGTATAAAAGGCGTTCTTTGCCCAACGGTGGCCATCAACGCACAAGGCTGTCTCTGATGTCCCACTTGTCACCATGAGCAACGTTGACGTGCAATACGGCGAGCGCCTGCTGCCTAAAGTCGTCGACGACATAGCACGTAATTCACCGGACAAGGTCTTTGCTACCATTCCTCTCACCTCAGACTGGCGCGACGGCTCCCGCGATGTCACTTACCGCGACCTCAGCAAAGGCGTTGATCGTGCTGCCTGGTGGCTTAAGGAGAACGTCTTGTCGAGGACCCAATTCGAGACACTGGCGTACACCAGTGCCAATGATTTGAGATACTGCTTCTTCACCTTGGGCGCAGTCAAAGCCGATTTCAAGGTAACGTCACCTGTCCGAATTCGAAAACTGCGCGGCTGATGGGCACACATATAGCTTTTGCTGACCTCGCCACGGAACTCAGTCGATGGCATGTCGGCACTTCTGCGCAACACACACTGCCAGACATGGTTGACCTCCCGTCCAGCCCCCAAACTCATCTCGGACTGCCAGGCACACCTGTCGATCTCAGTCATCGAGATCCCGGATCTGACTGACTTCCTGGACGGCACCGTGGAGATTGAGCGGTTTCCCTTCGAAAAGGCGTTCTCCGAGGCAAAGCAAGAGCCTTTTGTCGTCCTTCACACCTCTGGCTCCACGGGTCTTCCCAAACCAGTTGTGCTCAAGCATGCCGGGTTGGCATGCATCGACGCGCTGAGAAACATCCCGCCCCAACCCGGTTTCGATCTTGTTCAACACTGCTTCGTGTACGACTATGACTCATTCTACGTCGCCATGCCGGCCTTCCACGCAGCAGGCATCTTCATGATGCTAGCCATGCCGGCCTTCTCAGGAGCCAAGGTAATCATGGACTCACCTGCATCTCCCATGACAGCAGATGCGGTGAACAAAGTGCACCTCCACGCGAAGCCAGACGCCAGTCTCCTTGCACCGTCAATTTGGGATGACCTCGTCCAGAATCCAGCATATCTGGACAATCTTCGCGGCCTCAAAGGCGCCATGTGGGGTGGAGGACCTCTGACACAGCACACTGGTGAGGTGTTGCGAAATTTCGCCAGGATCATCAATATGTACGGATCGACCGAGGCGATGCTGCTACCTCTGCGGGTGCCGGATCAGGAAGCTTTCAACTACTTCCGATTCTATCCCGAGTATGGTATAGAGATGCAGCCGCGTGAAAGTGGGCTTAGCGAGCTGGTGATTCACCGGAAGCCCGAGGCGGAGAGGCTGCAGGCCATTTTCACCACATTTCCCAGCCTGTCTGAGTACTCTCTGAAAGATCTCTTCTCGCCTCATCCTACCAAAGCTGGGCTGTGGAGGTACGAAGCCCGTGCCGACGACGTGATGGTGCTGGGCAATGGCGAGAAGCTGAATCCCCTGGCAATGGAGCAGATTATCAGCTCAGTCCCAGCAGTACGCGCTGTTCTGGTAGTTGGACATGCACGATTGCAGACTGCCTTGCTGGTGGAGGCCGTTGCGCCACCAACAACTTTAGAAGAACGTGCCTCGCTTGTCGCGGTCATCAAGCCCGCCATTGAGCATGCAAACCAGGGATGTCCAGGCTATGGTCGGCTGTCTGATTCGATGATTCTCTTCACCGTCCTAGACAAGCCGATGCTGAGAGCAGGGAAGGGCACGATCCAGAGACAGCTAACCCTCGACCTCTACGCCGAAGAGATCGATCAGATGTACGCAGCCACAGACCTACACACGCTGGTCGACCTCCCTCTTGAAGATAGCGATGCTCTATCTCAGGCTTTGTTTGACCTCATCAGCAAGACGGCGCAGGTCGATATCGACGATTACAGTGCGGATTTCTTCGCGAGTGGCGTAGACTCGCTCGCCGCCCTGGTCACCATGAAGCACATCAAGGCAGCTTTCGCCCGGCGCAAGATCGACACCCGGCTCGTGTCCACGCCACTGTTCTACCAGAATTCGTCGATCCACAAGCTCACTCGGAAGATTCTGGAGCTGTATCGGTCTGGTGGCAGGGCGCAGCCAGACGCTCAAGGCGACGAAGATGAGCGAGAGATGCAGGAAATGTTTGAGAAATACTCTGACGGACTGCTTAACGGTCAAGTGTTGAAACAGCCACGCAGCTCAGCCACCGTCATTCTAACCGGCTCCACGGGATCATTGGGCTCCTACCTCTTGCACAGCTTGATATCTGACCCCGGTGTCCGCCAGATCTACTGCATGAACCGCAATGTGGATTGCAAAGACCGACAAGTCAAATCGAACGCCAATCGAGGCTTGACGACCGACTTCAACAAGGTGACCTTCCTGCAAGCCGATTTCTCTGCAGCTCGTATCGGCTTGAAGCGGAACCAGTGGGACGCAGTGTTGAGCAGTGTCACGCACGTCATCCACAACGCATGGCCTGTCGACTTCAACTTGTCGCTTGCCTCTTTCGCTCCGTCTCTGCAAGGTGTTAGAAACCTGCTCGACTTCACAGCCTCTGCTGGCGCATCCATGCTGTTCATCTCCAGTATCTCGACCGTGGGCAACTGTAACAAGCGCCCGATCCCCGAACAGGCGGTCAAGGAATGGAAGTCGGCACAGAAGCTAGGCTACGCGCAAAGCAAATTGGTAGCTGAACGACTCTGTGACGTGGCGGCTTCCGAAAGGAATATTGATGTAGCGGTTGCTCGTGTGGGTCAGGTGGCCGGACCCGTGCAGCACGAGCTTGGATCATGGAACCAAGCAGAGTGGCTGCCTACATTGATTGCCAGCGCAGACAAGATGCGACTGCTACCCTCAAGCTTGGGTGCAATGGCGGCCATCGATTGGATTCCGGTGGATGAACTCGCCCAGGTTCTCCTCGAAAAGGCACTGCCAGGCGGCAATGATTGGTTCCATGCTGTCAATCCCAGAAGAACCAGTTGGAAGACAATGTTACCGGTCGTTGAGCAGCATCTGAACCGTGGGAACGGTCAGCATACGATTCAAGTATCATATGGGGAATGGGTGCAAGAACTCGAAAACCGAGCATCAAGGGACGATATTCGAGAGAACCCAGGGTTTCGTCTATTGCCGTTCTATCAGAGCTTGGTGGTGGAAGACAAGGAGAACGTAGATGTGAGCGTTGAAGGGGAGTTGTTCTCATTGGACAAGTCCATGGCCAGCAGTCAGCATTTGGCCCATTTACAGGCGGTGCAGCCCGAATGGATGGAGCTGTGGATGAGACAATGGGGATATTGAAACGTTTTTAGTATAGATATAGCGAACGAAATGGCTTCTGAGATAAAACCCGTTTCCTTTGGTCTCCTTTCCCGAAGCAGAAGAGATAGTGAAGAGAGAGGAAAGACATGAAGTGTGACGAATATAGACGACAGCTCCCTCAATCCTGCCAAGTGGCGTGGAGAAGCTTCTCCGCTCTTGCTGTTACCAAGTGCTATCGACCTCCCCTCCTCTTGCCCATACACGAACAACTTCCCCGGCCATCTTGACTTTGTGCTCAGTACATCTACATTCAACTTACTTAAATGCTCAACATCAAGACAGATGGGTCAAAGCGTCACTACGACGCTGTTATGAGCATGTGGGACGAGAATGTGACCTGAATATCTCTGAAAACGTTCTATACGGCACACTATCTCGCACAAATATCTACCGCTGCCAGCGCCTTTCCGATAGTCCCTGCAATGTCCTGGTTGATGGCCGACCTCCTTGGCACAACGTGACCCTCTGGGTGCTCATACGACGATGCCCAGCGCGGATCACACAGTCGCTCGAGTTCAAGGCTCTGACGGTGATACGGGTCTTTGCTACCATATATGTGCGCCGTCGGAATCTCAATCTTCAACGCGTCGACATCTGCATGATACCGTCTGATGACATGGTCGATGGACTCTGCTGCCGTCTTGGCTGACTTCCAGGGGAAGTCATCACCCTCATCTCCACTAGTATTGGCCGTGGACGGAGTGGTGCTATCGGTTGCAGTTCGCGAGAAGACTGGTGAGACTGTCTCAGCATCGCTGTCCGAGTCGGAGCTTGACTCGGACATGTCTGGGGTAAGGCCCGGCTCGACCGGTATCTGGTCCCACTCATCGCTTGCAATAGAAGCCATGTTGAATCGGCGTTCCAACTGTCGAAGCCGGCCCTGTCCGACGTCTTTCGGGATCTCGTACAGTGGATGTGCTGTTGAGCTGCCATCGTCAGTGGAAGGCTTGTACGTGATGTAACGTGGAGGACCGAAGCCGGTCGTGGAGGGTTCGGCAAAGAGTCGTGCAACGTCCACTCCGCGCTGGCTGTCCACGCAGTAAGGCAGGGAGCCGCAGATAAATATCGCAAGCTTGAATGGTGCCGAAGTGAGGGGATGCTCAATTTGATGATGAAGCAGGACCGAAGCGGCCAGCGCCGCACCCTGTCGTTGTCAGATGTGCGACATCGAGATTTATGCCTGTTATCTTACCTGGCTAAACCCCATGACGATATCGAACGGCCCCTCTTCTTCGATCAAGTCCCACACAACCTGGTGCGCATCCTTCACGTTTGTCTGCGTCGGCACCGGATACCAGCAAGTATAGGGTCCCGGGAAGATGCCCTCAACCCCGTCCGCAGCCCCAATCTCGTGGTCCGCGTCGAAGAAGTCGTACTCGAGGTCCTCCGGCAGCAAGCTTCGAAAGATCTCTGCTGTCGTCATTCGCTTGAACAAAACTGTCACGGTATAGCCATGGACATACCTGTCTGAGCTTCGAAGATACCCGCATTGGTGCCCATGCCATGTAAACAAAGGACGCGCATCTTGACTCGTCGACCCTTACAGGCTTGCAGACAGTAAGATCCTTCGAGACTTCTGCACAGAGCTGATCCACGTCTAGCAAAATGAACACCATGAGCTTGGGTTTTTGTAACTCCAGCGCCGGAAGCAACCAAGGCTTATCATCTATGGTCCAACTATCTCTGTTGATTGCTCCATACAACCCGTACACCACAGAGAGCCTCTCCCTATCTTCAGTGTCGTTACCCATCTGGACGTCTCGGCGGTTTTTTTCTGGCAAGGGGGTTTCCGTTCCATGCTTTCTCGCTCTCTGCGACGGGGTTCTTGCCTGAATCCGGCCCCGCTGGCTTCTACTACCTGGTTGGCGTCGGTGCGTATGCTACATTCATGCTCATCAGAGCGGCGCTGGGGCGGACAGCGATTGGGCATTGGGAAAAATGAGTGACAAACCTGAAATGTGGACAAAGTGGACTCACTCCGGTGGGTTTCTCGCACACAGAATGGTTTGCCATCGTGTCGTTGTTGGCATTCCTTTGCACTAATTCATTCTGGTCGTGTCCAACTCCATCAAGCAGATAACCGCACAGAACAAGCGGCAGTGAGCGAGAGAGTATGCTCCACAAATCTTCACGGAAGTCGAAAGAGAACACGGTTCCCGTCGATATCGTACTCGAGGGCCTTCCCGCAACCACGAAGTTCGGAACCGATATCGACGAGCTTCATCTTGACAAATCCCGGGCGAACTCTCTTCAGCTTTATGTCACATGGGCCGAACGCACGACAACTCGGCGTGGCGAGAGCAAACTGCGCTCAGAGTGCTACGATGGAGCTCGGACGTAGGCAGCCGTACGCCCTGAAGGCTGTCATTTCAGGTCGCCTTCGGATTCCGAGGCACAAGGCGGCATCTCTGCCATAGTACAGGAGTTCTGCATATGGATCAGTATCTTGGAAAGAAGGAAGCACCAGAATGGGCCAGCGTCGTGAAACTGCGATACGACTAACCCTATATAATGCACTTAAAGGATGCCCCCAGAGACGGCGATGAATGAACCGGCCCTCGCGAATCAATGTTACGAAGCGCATTATCTTAGACGATAGTCTTGATGCGCTTATATTGTAGTCTTCAACTACATCGCCGCAAGGTCATATAGGACAGTCTTCATAAGGGACGACTAAGCTCGCCACCATGCTCGTCACCTACATGTTCTCTTCAGGCAGCGATGGAAGCATAATACGAATGTTTTTGTACTCCTACTGACATCCACATACTAGATAGACCCAGTATGCTCGGTAGCGTAGACTTAGTGTACCTGCGAAAGACCTCCCTTCGTGTTTGAGATCATATCTGTACACACAGGTACATTCCCATCGACCTAGCTCCAGATCTGGCCCCCTGAGACAATGAAAGCCCTTACTCCGTACAAATATGCTTTTTTGTGTTTTACAGCCATCAGATCCCTCCATAAGAACAGACAGTGCAATCAAAGGTACAATCTCACACCCTACTGACCAAAGACCCCCAGCGTTCGAGATGGAAAAGGAGGATATCGCTCAACAATAATCGTCCTTTCGCTCAGCCACACACCTCTCGCACTCATACGGACACGCCCTCGGTTACCGAATGCCACACTCTCGGGTCCCGAGCGCTTTGCCACAGCCTTCAAGCCGCGTCTCAGATCTGCCCCGCTCCACGATCATTCCGAGCACCAGATCGCAGGCCCGTAGAGACACATGAGCCGTGGCAAAGCAGTAGCGCGTACCCACCGCGAGCTCAACCTCTCGAAACGCCCTCGCAATACCATTTGCTCGTGCCATGTCGACTCCCGCCAGATCCGGCGGTAGCTGTACCTGCCATACTAAACGTGCCTTGCCTTCCGCTCTGGTCCACTCAAAGCAACTCGCAGCAGCCAGCCGTACAGCGGTAGGCCGGGTTCCTCAACCAATCAGCAGGATGATCTCTGGTCAGCAGCTCTCGTACGTAGCATCCTAGGATCAGAGAAAGCTTGGGGCCAGCTCACGAATCAAAGCCTAACTGCCGCTGGCGGTATCGTTGCCGCATGCCGTGCTCCTGCACCGCCACTAACCCCCCCTTCTGCCCCCTCGTCTACTCTGCTCCGTGGGGCTGTTGTGTCTCCTGCAGCCCCCTCCTCAGGAAGGCGATGCGTCTTGGACCACAAGACCCCCCTAGAGAAGCATTGAGCGTACCCCCCGCGTCCCCCATCTATACCATTTCCCCTCTCAAGATCCGCGGCCCATACTCCGTCAAATCGATGCCTACGGCCCCGAGAGGCCATGTACGATGGGACACAAGCTCTCACCAGGCACAAAGAGCCACTGCTCCCGACGTACCGTTTCCAACACGGAAAACACAGAAGTAGTGCTGCCCCTGCTGTCCCTGTCTCTCCGCAAGAGGTAAGAAACCAGCGTAGGGTAGCAAAGTGCCATATGTAACAGTCAGATTCTTTCTAGTCTACTCCACGTGCCCAGCCCTCCGTCCGTCCACCAGATCCATGACCTTACCTCGCTTACCTTGCATGCATACGCAAGTCCAAGCCCTCGTCCCCCCACCCACACACACAGACACACACAGGAAACCATGCCCACAGCCCCAAGACGACGCCCCCTCCCTGCAAAGCTGTAGAGGGGCCGCCACATGACATGCATGCCAAACAATCGAGCTCCACACAGCCGAGGACCCCACTGTATCATATCGCATCACCCGCAGTAGTTGGTCGTTCCCCGCCAATGCAGGAAGATCAGGTCATGATCCGATCCGATGCGATCGGATCGGATCAGCTGGGCTGGGCTGGGCTGGGCTGGGGGGCGGGGCATGATACCTGTTCCAGTCGCTGTGCATATCCCAAGCCAAGAGTGGTGCGTCCGTATGTCGTGCATGATTGCGCTTACTGGCAGGGTCCTCACACACAAAACGTGGGAGCATGGACCACTCTTGTATTGTAGATGATTGGAACCCAGGCAGAATGTTAGATTGGAATTTTGTGGCCCCCTGGGAACTGGGTACCGGCCGTGTATGTCTTGCATATTGAACCCTTACCTTGCATCTTGCAGCAGTTCCTGCAAATGCATGCCATGCCATAACCGTCGCCCCCCCACAAGGACCCTGGAGATCATCTTATCGTTGGGCCCCCTCCCTCTGCGTCGGTGGTCTTGGGTCTTGGGTCTTGGCAAGTGAATGTGAATCTCATCCCCCCCCAGAATCTCCCTTCTCCCCGATTCATGATTTCACGCTTTCAACCCCGATGATTTTTCCGGCCAGGCCTCCCGTCTCACGGCCCTAGCGTAGACATTCAACGGCCGAATGACCTGGAACTCCGGGTCATACTCGACGGGCTCGGTGCTGACGTCCTCCCAGTGGTACCGCAGCACCAGTTTGGGGAGCAACACCTTGATCTGCTGCAGCGCGTAGTTGTAGCCGATGCAGCCGCGGGGACCCATCGCGAAGGGGAGGTAGGCGGCGCGGTGGCGCTTCTCTTTTCCCTCCTCCGACGACGACTCGGGTTGTGCCGCGTCTTGGTCTTGCTGGTCAGCAGCGTCGGCCCAACGGTCCGGGTTGAAGCGCGATGGGTTGGACCAGTGGGCGGCGTTGGTGTGGATGGCGGGGAAGTTGGGGATGAGGATTGCGTTGGCGGGCAGCTTGAAGCCGCCAGGGAGGATGAGGGGTTTGGTGGTGTTGCGGCCGGCTTGGAAGGCGGGGGAGTGCAGGCGCATGGTTTCTTTGATGAAGTGGTCGAGGAAGGGCAGGGGGTTGACGATGTCCGGGGTTAGGGTGGTGGAGGGGGTGATGTCGTGGTCGATGAGTTCTTGGAGGAGGCGGCTTTGTTGGTTCGGGTAGTGGGTGAGGCAGTAGAGGAGCCAGGAGAGGAGGGCGGAGATGGTGGTGAAGCCGGCGCCGAGGATGGAGAGCGTGTTGGTCAGGACGAGGTCGTAGGGGAGTTTGGCGCCTGAGTCGTCGGTGGCGCGCGTCAGGTAGTCGACTAGGCAGCTGGCGTTGAGGGCTGCTTCGTCGAGGGGGAGGTCTTCGGTGCCGCCGCGCGGGCAGGTGGCGATTAGGTCGTCGACTACCGAGGCGATCTCGAGGCGGGTGTGTTGGAGCTGTTTGGGAGGGCCTGAATTCTCGTGGTGAGCACTATGGCAGCTTTGGTGGTATGGTGTGGGAATGTCTTACCAAATGGTAGCATCGAATACCAGTCACCCCGAGTTTGAACGGCCTTGTTCAGCTCCAAGATCTGCGTCAGTAGTACCATGATGGGATGCAGCTTGGAGGCAGGAGTGTCGAAATGATGGGCGTCGATACCTAGGACGAATCGACACAACGTCTGCCCTGACAGCTTGACCATGTATTGGTACACGTTGAAAGCGAGACCCGCTTTATCGAGCTGGTCAAAGACAGCGAACGACTTTTCCACCGTCTCTTGCATAATGGGCGTGTAATGGCGCACTGCCTTGGGGGACATGCTCGGCGGGATGAATTTATGGGTGAGCTTGAAGGACGGCGTATTGGTGTCGCAGGTGAACAGCGCCGTGTTGTCTCGAATGCCATAGAGGGGATGGTTCGGATCTGATGTCTTCTTCGTGAAGAGACCGTGGTTTTCCTTGTAGGCAATCTCAGTGATCTCGGGGTCGTCAGTGAGGTAGTTGATCCTGCCCATCGAGTTGGTCTTGATGACATGGCCATACTTCTTGAACATGCGCTGATGGTTGCCCAGATGGTCGGGATAGAGCTCGTAATAGTTGCCCACTATAGGTAGAGCTGGCCCGCTTCGAGGTTCCCTGATTGAACAGCCGTCGACGGTGATCAGGATTGGGCCGTCATGTGCGAGGACTTCCTCTATCGAGGTGAGCGGGACATTGGTAGCGGTCTGGAAAGCAATGCCTATGTTCGATCAGCTATGCCGCCACGCAAGCCTAAATGGAAAATGCTAACCCTCAGGCTTGACAATGGTGTACTCTTGCGCGATGCCATACTGCAGATCCTCCATATCTCTTGGCACGCCAATTTCGACCTCGTGCCGGCTGGCAGCCTCGTCGCCATGGAGGGCGAAGACCTTGACACCGTACTGCTTGAGACCCATGCTTGCTTATGCCGGCAAGATGTTGTACGGGCTGGCGATGAAGAGCAACGAGAATGTGATGAGCCAAGGCCAGGTGAAGGTGTAGAGACTTAGTTGAGCCAGTCGGGCGAAGATGGGATGATATGAGCTCGAGTCCATGCCTGGCGTTGGGTGGTTCAATCAGTGTAGGTCCAGGCGTTGAACGGCCTGAGAATGGAATTGATAAATCTCAGCCCGAAGCCTTGAGGCCGTAACACCATGACCGCAGCGGTGTTCGAGGCAGGCATGAACATCTGCTCAGCTCCGTATACGCCGTGAACGTTGTCGGACACCGTGCTCGCATGCACGGCCATAGCGCCGACGGGGAAGCAGGCCAAGCCACAACGCGTCTCGGTCCCAGCTCAAGTCCCGTGTGGCGCAGTCCCGCCGTTCGGCGGCTTGTGGTTCATGCCAGAGGCTGTTGCGTGTAGGGAGTATGCGAACCACTGATCGTCGAAACGAAGTCGACCATGTGGTGAGCCACGGAATCCAAGCGCATGCAAGAAGGTCCCACGCCTTCCCCCCCAGCAGATGTTCACGAGAAAATTCCCCATTCGGCCAGTGCAGATCAATGTGCCGAGTACGTGAGCGTTTGGGTCCTCGCTTAAGCCGCAGAGCCGAGAACTCGTATCAAGTCTTGGCAGCAGGGGTCAGGGGATGATCTGCGAATACCCAGGGGGGGTAGCTTTCGTCAGATTCTTTGCTTGTGCGTTGTCATGACGCGATCAGAGGTCTACTCGCCGCATTGGAACCCCGGAGTTCCAGCGCCATGCCCTACGATCCGGCCGTAAGTAAAGGGTGCTCACTGGGGATGGGCATAGTCCGATCTATAACATGGCCTTGCTACTATGGGACGCGCAAACGTTCTACGGTGGTGTCTCTCGATGCGCTCACGCACGACGCCTAGCCGACTCCATCGCAAGACCTGAACGCACAACACCACCAGACGACGCCAACGTGTGAGCCAACATGTATGGTGCAGAATCGACGGCTCAGGCCTTCACTAGGGCGGAAGTCAAGGAGCTTGCAGGGAAGCCTAGTGGCAGTGTGCCATTCATTCTGCACGACAAAGGCACGTTCGTATTCCAATCTAGATCCGAGTGGTTGTGCGAGTAGGGACTCTAGACTGACGTATCAGAAAACAGTATACGACGTGGCAGGGTACCTGGAAGATCACCCGGGAGGCTCCGCCATCCTCAAGGGCGCCGCCGGCACCGACGCCACCGCAGCCTTCGACGACGTCGGTCACTCGGAAGATGCGCGGCACCTGCTCCATCGCTTCTGCATCGGACAGTTGACCGAGAGTGAGGTGCTCAAAGCAAAAGTTCGCAGCGTATTCATCTCGCGCAAAATCAAAGTCTCAAGTGACGGCGGCAGGCTCAAGCAGCTTCTACGAGCAGTGATGGCGCTGGTGTTCAGTCAAAGTTTCGCCCAGAATATCCTGACGATCGCCAGCGCATTACTCGTGGCAAAGCTTCTGTGGCCCGGCTTGTTCGCGTGGGGGCACCTGGCCGCGTACGTCGATCGCATATCTGCGTTCTGGCGCGGGGTGGCTCTTGCAACCATTGGCAGTGGGGCGTGTTTCTCAGGGCTCGGCTGGCAGTTCAGCAAGACGATTGTCATGGCCAAAGGTTTCAGGATGCACCCACCCGTGATGCGGCCAGTCAAGGTCCTCAAGGGCGCTGGTGCTGATAAGACGAGCGTGGCCGAAGGGGCGGAATCGACGATTTGGGCGCCTGTGCAGCTTATCCGTCGAGCACAAACCGCCATCGACACTTGTCACATCACTTTCCGGACCGTGGAGCGTGGAGCAACTGGACGGCGCCAGTTGACGGTCCCTGCGGGTCAGCACATCCAGCTACGCGCTCAAATCGGACGTCTGCAAGTCACCCGCAGCTACACGCCTGTGTCAACGCAGGCAGACGCTAGTGGGTACACTACGCTGACACTGGCCGTCCGAGTGTATCCCGACGGGAAGATGGGACGACTCCTGAGCGAGCTGCCACTGAACGCGACAACAATCGAGTGCCGAGGTCCAGTGGGCAGCTTCAAAGGCTACCATCGCTTCCTCTGTGACGAGATCGGGGCCGTGGCTGGCGGGTCCGGAATCACGCCGCTGTACGGCCTGATCAAGCGTATCTGCGAGGACGAGAAGGATGACACCAAGATCCGTCTGTTGTACGCGAATAAATCAAGCGACAAGGTTATGCTTGGGCCTGAACTTGACGAGCTAGCTCGAACGTATCCGGACACATTTCAACTGCACTACTTCTTCACAAAGATGGATCCGACGGCAGCGTCGACGGTGGCGTCCAAGGATGCGGGTGGAAGCGGCAAGGGTGCAGCCTCCACGGCATCTGCGGTGGGCGGAGACACATCGTTACGCAATGTTCACGCCGGAGCCATCTCCATTGGCGAGTTGAAGGCTCTGCTGCCTGCAGTCAGCGCCGAGAGCAAGTATCTGCTCTGCGGTCCGGACGCCATGGTGGAGCAAATGGGGCGAGATTTGGTGAAGATGGGGACGAGGGCGCCACAGCCGGTGGGGCATGTCACCGACCAGGTCTTTGTGTTCTAGGTTGCTGTAGATTGTAGCTGAGGTCATCGAAAGGCCTGGGTGTTTTTTCTCTCTGTGCTAGTGCAGAGCTAGAAGAAGGGATGCGGAATAGGAACATTGCATTAAAGACGCTGCCAATTCCCAGTGGAGTTTTGACTTGACGAGCACCAAGAGTTCCGAGTTATCCTGAGACGGTTGGGCCAAGCTGGATATGGAGGCTGGTTGGACATGGTAGCTTACGTGAAGTGGTCACATCGTTTCCTGTGAGATGAATAGCCTCAGGGGCGGTCCCACGGACCATGCAGTGCCAATCCTCGCTTGTCAGGGATGTCCCAACCAGTGCTCAATCGACACACACGACCGCCGTCATATGCTTCGTAACTGCAGACAGAAGGTTCGCTTGCATCATCGCAAGCAAAAGCAAAACGAGCAACCCACACTTGTACGAGCGCAGAAGAGCTTTGATACTCTGGCTCTATATTTGGTTGCATGGGATCTGTCGATGTGTAAGATGGTGGATCGACGGCTGACACAGCACCAGACCTAAACAAAGCCACCACTACTCCGTAACAAATTCGCAATCCTGCATCGATGACAGCCGGCCACACCCGCAGCCTAATTGGTGTCGCAGGTTGAATTATTGGTTCCTCGAGCATGTGCAGCACGCCACGGCCGCCTAGATCTGGCATGTCCGATTGCGGCCGTGAAACGAACACGCGCTGCCGGCACATCTCCGACGGGAAAGATGAAATGAGCATGGATTCACATGGGAAAGCTGTTGGGGAGTAGTCTCGACACTGATATGGTTGCATTCACCTAGTACAGGGTGCTGTGATGGCTGCATATCTCGCATTCGTGGCAGCTATCTAGCATTCTAAGAAGACCTATGGGCTACGATCTGGCATGAGTCTACCTGTGGAAATGCTGAACGTCTAATAACCCTTGTCCCTGCGGATATCGCCTCCATATACTCCATTCAGGAACGCCGAGGCTGATCCTCGCTTGTAAACGGCCGAATTGTCGAGCCAAACAAGAACCCATATCGTAACACGTCGTTGCTGCTCTGGCTTCTGCAGCGAGTCGAGGCCATTGGAGGTTTCCAGTAGGGTAACCCGCCGCTGCTTGTCGCCGCAACTAATGCGAACATTTGACGCTTTCAAACAGCGCCTGCAGTGCCATGATGCGCGATTTCGTTCCCTGTACTAGCGATGCAAAGCTCTGATTCAGGTCCTGCACTTGGTTGAGCGACATGCGTGTCTGCACGACACTCAACTCTAAGCGTTTGATAACGTAGAGGTCGTCCAAAGTCGTCTGCCGGGTAGTGGCCACGGCGCCGCCATCAGCCTGTGGGCCCACTGTACCCTCCACCAGTAGCTCGCAGATGTCGATGATATTGAAAACGAGGGTGATGGCTTGAGCGATCAGAGACCAGTTAGGCGACGGCATGGATGCAGAGGACGACGACGAATGGCGAAGGATGTCGCAAGAGGCGCGACAGGAGCTTTCCACAATTTTCAAAGCAGCTTCGAGTTGAGGCTGAGGGCACCGCTGGCCGCGCATAGTGCCACGGATTTGAGACTGCAGCGTCGCATAGCACAGTCGCACTTGCTTCGTACAGCTAAGAAGATTGGCGTAGTGGTCATTGCCGTGGTCCAAACCGTCACTGTCGGGCGGACTATTTGACATAGTTGCGGGGGTAGACGAGAATGAAAAGCCGGTATTCCATGGCATGGACAGGTCGGATCCCATCATGGTGTCCAGCGACCGCGAACTGGCTGATGGTGAAATCTCAAACGGGTTTGGCATTTCGGCGGTCGAGGGAGCTGGAGGTGGGGGCTGTTCGAATGAGGTGTAGGGGAATCTCTTTGAGGCGTCAATGCCTCCCCACTGCGAGAGGCAGGGCTGGCTCATGCCCATATTGTCCATGGTATTGAAGTCGTATGTAAGAGGCTGCGAAGATGCATGGTGCTGGGTGATATCGCACACCAGATTTGCTGGTGCGCTGGTCGCGGTCGGAGGAAAGTTGCTCAATGTGGAGGTTGACCTAGGTAGCTGGGTGCTATCCGCATCGTCGTTCGTATCGTCATCAGCTATCTGTCTTGCGGCGAGAGCAGCACAGACGGCCTGGGAGGTGGCTGTTGCGTTGGCGACCGATTTTTCGCCCTTCTGTTCGTTCTGAGAAGCTCGTGGGCGACCACTCCGATTGCGAGGGAGAAAGAAACATAACCGATTGTTGCTCTGGCAGTACTGGCATGATCCGCTGTCCTTGGGAATGTTACAACGGATTTTGCGGTTATGACACTCCTCACAAGCACGACGGATGTTGGGAAGAAAGTCGTCGTCCGTGCCGGTTGACTGGAATGCCATCTTGTTCTACCAGGACGAGGCTTAGGAAGGATGAGTAAGACAGCACCAAACGGCCGCGGTTGGTATGAGCAGTGTCGAAGAGGCCAGTCAGACCCGAGCTGCATTACCCTGGTCAAGTCCAGCTGCCTGCTCTCCCCTTATTGTATAGTACCCGGCGTCAGCGCTACAGCATGGTTTGAATCTTATGGGGGAGGACCATATGGCCGCAAGCATGGCAGGGCCTTGTGTACCATGAAACACGTCGGTCATGCTGGATGTGCATCTCCCGGGAGCGGGGCGGACCCCCGTACAACCTGACCGCACTAGAGACTGTAATCAGTGCCGCAGTAACAGGCATCCTGGAGATAAGCACACGTGTTGTTTGGATGCGAGGTGGCCTGGTTAGAGATTACGTTCGGAGGCATATGGCGTGTCGATCCCGTCTGGACCAGAGCCAGCTCTGCAATGAGTGTCCTCCGAAGGGGGACCGAATGGGGACATGAGACGGTGAATGGTGGTGTAGGAGGGTAGAGTTCCTGTCCAATCCCCACGTGCGCCCACCAAACAGCGGTTTTGGTGTTTGACAAAGGATCCCTAGCCACAACGTACTCGGGAGGATGGACGTCAGGTTGCTAGCATCTTCCAGCTCGCGTATCAGGCTGCAAAGTTGGCATCTCATTGGTGGATGTTCGAGCCCAACGTCTGCTCCTCTCGGCCGGAAGTTTGGTAGATACTGTCAGTTCTTGGGTTCATTTGTGTACCAGGATTGGCCAGTCTGCTTTCGCAAGTCCAAGTTCTGACTCTGAGGAATCTGGTCAGCGGCCAGCCCTGCAGCAGCAGCAATAGAGGATCTGGCACCGAGACCTGTGACTTAGCCCAGCAGGGATTCGTCAAGCTCTTACCTTGTGCACCGATGTAGCCGGGCAAGCAGGCTGGTGGACCCTATGGTTTCGGTGCAGTAGCCACCGCCGATAGAGGAAAGGATTCACAAACCTCGAAGAAGAAAGAAACCAGGCGGGACGCCAGACTTGGGGGCCAGGAGCACGCATTCTCCGTGGTAATATACGAAGTCTGTATATCGACGTCACCAACCACCTTCCTCCACCTTGCCGCGTCTCCGCCCCTCCAAACCCGCCGTACCGCTCCGTATCGATGGCGAAGCAAGGCATGTGAAGCTTCATCTCGGCCGATCGTCTTTCCCGTTGGTCATGCTTGCCTCGGCGCTTTTCGTTATGGTGTACGCCCCGGTGGCGGCAAGTTGCAGTCTGTGTTCCAGAGCTGAATCCGGAGCGACGGTTTCTCCATGACGTGGACTTGGTCATGCAGGACAGTCTAGACGAAGCTCGACACTCGTCCGCCACACCAGATCGAAGGCTACGGTGGACGATACCGTCCATTGAGGCGACCAAGGACGACCTCGGCGAGCTCGGTCTGTTCAACATGCTGGCCCTCTCACCGTGGTCAGAACAACACACCGAAGTCTTGATCGGAGCAAGTCCTTGTCACAGATATGCTGCACAATGCTGCGATCCACGCTGGACCACGCGTGCGGTGGGTATGCTCGGTACCCGAGCCACACTGTCCTCATGCCGTCAACGTTGGTGAGGCTCGTTATAAGACAAATACCTTGTGTAATCATGCCGCAATGGCTCACAAGCCGCATTCGTTTTCAGCCACTCCCCAGTCAGTCTCAGGAAACAGATATAGAAGTTTATCTGTTCACCTTGAGCCACATGTGGAATTTGCCTCTGTATTGAACCGCCACTCCGTTCGAGATGGCTTCCGTCGAGGACAAGATTGAGCCCATCGCCGTCGTGGGCTTGTCATGCCGCTTCCCCGGCGATGCATCCAATCCTTCGGGGCTGTGGGACATGATGAGCGAGTCTCGCAACGGCCACTCCAAGATTCCAGCGGATCGCTTCAATGCCGACACCTGGTATCACCCAAGCCATGACAGGAGAGGCGCTGTACGTATCCTGCCCAGCCAGTCAAGCGCTGGCACAAGCATCAGCACATCTCTAATTGGAGCTCTCTAGGTCAATGTCAAGCACGGCTTCTTCCTGAAGGAGGATGTGTCTTTATTCGATGCTCCGTTCTTCTCTATCACGGCAAAAGAAGCCAGCGGAATGGATCCGATGCAGCGTTGTTTGCTTGAAGTATCGTATGAGACCTTCGAGAACGGTACGCTGCAGTCGCGCCCCAACCTTGACTACCACTGACCTTGGTTTAGCTGGTGTCCCCGTCGATCAGCTCATTGGCAGCAAAACCTCGGTTTTCTGTGGCTGCTTTACAGGTGATTATGATCTGCTGTCCAACCATGACATTTTTGATCATGCACCAAATGCCGCCACTGGTACTGGGAGAGCTATGCTGTCGAATCGCGTCTCCTGGTTCTTCGATCTGCGTGGCGCGTCTTTCACTGTCGACACTGCATGCTCGTCCAGTCTCTATGCTCTTCATTCGGCTTGTCAGTCACTTCGGCTGGGCGAATCATCCCAGGCCTTGGTCACCGGCTCCAACTTGGCTCTATATCCCAGCATGATGCATTCCCTTACCAACATGCATTTCCTGAGTCCTGATGGTAAATGCCACTCCTTTGACGATCGTGCCAATGGCTATGCTCGTGGTGAGGCCATTGGCGGCATCCTGCTGAAGCCCTTGAAAGAGGCTCTCAAGGATGGCGATACCATTCGAGGCGTGATTCGAGGTTCGGGTGCCAATCAAGATGGCAAAACCCCCGGTATAACACAGCCCAGCCCGGAATCTCAGGCAGACCTCATTCGTTTCACATACGACCAAGCTGGTCTCAACATGAATGAAACTGGCTACTTCGAGGCCCATGGCACCGGCACCGCTCTCGGAGATCCAATGGAGCTTTCTGCCATTGGCCAGACCTTCGGCCGAGTACGCTCATCCGAACAACCTCCCTTGTATGTAGGAAGTATCAAGACCAACATCGGCCACACAGAAGGCTGTTCAGGTCTTGCCGGCGTCATCAAGTCTATCCTTTGCCTCGAGAAAGGCTTGATCCCACCAAACTCGGGTTTCCAGAATCTCAACCCAAAGCTTCGCCTTCAAGAATGGAAGCTTGCCCTCCCTATGGAGTTGACCCCGTGGCCATCCTCTGGACTTCGTCGCATCAGCGTCAACTCCTTTGGCTACGGTGGTGCGAACGCCCACGTCATTATTGATGACGCCCATCATTACTTGAAGAGCAGGGGTCTGCAGGGAAATCACACAACAGCGGTATCTGATGACGATGCCTCTGATTCTGGCGTCAGTCTTGGCGATTGTAGCTCGCCCTCAGAAGATGGGCAAGAGCCATCAGGACCCGAGCAGAAGCTATTCACCTTTTCGGCTCACGACCAGGCTGGCATTGCCCGAAACGCAGTGGCCTTCCGAGACTTCACGCAACACAAGGCCGATTTGGCTACCAAGGAGACTGCCGCCGAGTCTGCAGCGTATCTGGACGATTTAGCATACACTCTCGCTAATCGTCGCACCAAGTTCGACTACAGGAGCTTTGCCGTTGCTGACTCCATGAGCTCACTCGCCGCCTCGCTGACAAAGGGTCTTCCGAAACTGAAGCGTGTGTCGAAAGATCAGAATGTCATTTTCGTATGTACCGGCCAGGGTGCGCAATGGCCACAGATGGGAAAGCAACTTCTGTCTAATCCAATCTTCCGTGCCGCAACAGCCAAATCGCAGGCCTATTTGGAGCAGTACGGCTGCACCTGGAACGTCTTCGAAGAACTCGCTAGAGATGGCATCGAGAGCAAGATCGACTCTCCTGAATTCAGTCAGCCCATCTGCTCTGTGCTCCAGATCTCCCTCATCGAGCTTCTTAAGCACTGGGGTTTGCAGCCGAAAGCTACAGTCGGCCATTCGAGCGGTGAGATCGCTGCCGCCTACGCTGCCGGCTACCTCTCGCATGAGGACGCCATCAAGGCTGCTTACTGGCGTGGTGTCTACTCTGCAGATGTGGCCAACAGAATTGGTGATCGCAAAGGTGTCATGATGGCCGCCGGTGTTGGCGAAGCCGAAGCCCAAGAGCTCCTCAGAGAAGTCACCAAGGGAACCGCCGTGGTGGCCTGTATCAACAGTCCATCCAGCGTGACCCTATCCGGCGACGTCCCTGCTATCGTCGAGCTTGAAGAGTTGCTAAAAGCCCGGGGCAAGTTTGCTCGTCAGCTTCGTGTCAAGACTGCCTATCACTCGCCCCATATGCAAGTCATTGCGGATGACTACCTCAATGCAATGGGCGAGATTGCTCCACTCCCTGGGAACGGAGCCATCATGTTCTCATCGGTTACCGGCAAGATCGCCTCCGCAAGTGACTTCAGCGCATCATACTGGGTGCAAAACATGGTCGGCAGTGTACGTTTCAATGATGCTGTCTCTGGCCTAATCAGCCACTCCCAAGGTAAGGGCCGTCGCAAGTTGCCTGTCAAATGGAGCACCGTGGTTGAGGTCGGCCCTCACGAAGCTCTGAAAGGCCCCGTCAACCAGATCGTGGCAGCTGTTGACAGCAAGCTTTCCTCGACCTTGGGTTACACTGCTCCTATTCTTCGTGGCAAAGATGCGTCGGTGACGGCGCTCGAAGCAGCAGGACAGCTCTGGGCTTCTGGTCATGCTCTTGACCTCTCCAAGGTCAACCAACAGGACGGCCAGTTGACCAAGGCCAAAGCACTCTCTGACCTTCCTCCCTATGCCTGGAACCATGGTAAATCTTTCTGGTACGAGCCTCGCATGACCACAGCCAAGCGTTTCCGCACTCAACCACGAACGGACCTTCTGGGCGTGCCCATCGACAACCAGAACAACCTCGAGCCGCACTGGAGGAACATCCTACGTGTTGCTGAAAATCCTTGGATGGCCCACCATGAGATTACCGGCACGACGCTTTACCCCGGCGCTGGCATGCTGATCATGGCCATCGAAGCTGCGCGGCAACTCGCAGACCCAGAGCGCATCCTCAAGGGCATCGAACTGCATGATGTCACCTTTGGGCGTGGACTTGTGATCCCGTCTGGTGAAGATGCTGTCGAAACCTCGTTGAGCCTGCGACCCAACAAGACATTCCCTGCTTGCTACGACTGGACTCTCTACTCCTTGCCCACAGGCAGCAATGACTGGATTGAGAACTCCTCTGGACGCGTCGGGCTTGTTTACACCGAGGGTCAAGAGGTCACGGAGACCGAGTGGCAGCATCAATCGGCCACTTACAAGAACATCAAAGCTGCGTCTGACACGACCGTGAATATTGAGAAGTTCTACACCGACCTCGCAGGTATCGGTATGAACTATGGTCCTCTTTTCCGCAATCTCGTGGCAGCCAGCGCTGCTCCAGACACCAACCAAGCGCACGGCTCTGTCACAATCCCCGACACCAAGTCAGTAATGCCGCACAACTTCGAGTATCCTCATCTGATCCATCCGGCAACATTGGACGCCATCTTTCACCTTCTCTTCATCGGTTTCACGGCAGGCGAACCAATGAAAGAGGCTGCCGTTCCGGTGAAAATGGAAAAGATGTTCATCGCCGCCACATGTCCACAAGGCGCCGGTTCCAAGTACGTTGGCTACACCCAGGGTACCCTCATCGACGGTCGGGACCTTGCTGGCGACCTTGTCCTCTCGGATGAAGAATGGTCTGAGCCAAAAGTTGTAATCTCCATTTCCGCCCGGGAAGTCTCATCGCACGACGAGAAGGCCTCCGCTTCGGACGCTGCGATCGAAGCTAAACGTAGCGCGAAGCCAGTGTGGAAGGAGGATTTCAAGTTCATGGACGCCACGAGCGTAGCTCGCTGCATCCAGACGGAGGCACGAACGGCATTCCCTCAGCTATATCAGGAGATCAGCTCCCAGGTGGCGTTCGTGCTGGACCGTGCCTGCCACAAGGATGCCGACTTGCGCGCTCTCTTTGTTGTGGACCATACATCTGCGGACCTGAGGATGATCCTGGAGAACTTCGCTCCCAATGGCGACCAACGCCAGCGCTTCCACCACTGCGCCGTTGCAGCTCAGAAGACCGAAGTTCTCGACGAGCTCAAGGCTGAGCTCGGCCAGAGCGGTCTTTCCATTGATTACAAGGTCTTCGACCTTGCTACGCCACTCACCGAGCAAGACTTCAAGCTGGACTCCTACAATCTCGTCGTAGCGGCCGGCGATAACGTCACCGAGACTACGCCCGCGGTTGTTCCGCTGCTCTCCCCAGCCGGTGAACTGCTTTTCACGGGTCCCAACAGCCGAGATACCTTCACAGGCTTCGATGGCTGGGAGAAGACCCTTGATTGTAACGCCCTTGAAGTCCGTTGCCGTGTGGACAGTGACAAAGCTGTTCTCGTCCTGGCCGAGAAGCAGACTCAAGCAGAGAGCAAGAGCGAGGTAGAGGAGATTGTCCTCTTGAGACGTTCTGATGCCAGTGAACAGCTTCTGGACGCTCTCAGGACGATTTCCGAGGTTTTCACGGCTAGGAAGCTCGGTGTGAAGGTATGTTCCCCATTGATAAAGTTGGCCTGGTTTTGCTGACAGCCGTTGTTCAGATTGCTACACTCGAGGAGGCAGCCAGTTTCAAGGGTAATGGCGTTATCTCGTTCCTTGAAGCTGAGTCGCCTTTCGTCGTTGACTGGAAGAGCGAGCACCTTGAGGCGTTCAAGGAGATCGTGGCCTCGTCGCCCTATCTTCTCTGGATCACCAAGGGCGGCCAAATTGTCACGCCTGACTCGCTCAATTTCGCCGTGGCGACGGGTATGCTTCGCACTGTCCGCACCGAGGTGCCTCAGATCACGCTGCCTCACCTCGACATCTCACCTGGAGCTAGCCTTATGGATCAGGCCATCATCGATCTCCTCGTCAAGGTCTTTGAGACTACTGTTTCTGAGTCGGAGACCCCTCCCGACATGGAGTATGCCGAGAGCGATGGCAAGGTCTTGGTCTGCAGAGTCGTTGACGATGCCGGCATGGACCGTGAGCTTGAGCTGCAATCAGGCAATCCACCTCCAGAGTTGGCAGCTCTCTTCCAGCAAGGGAAGCCCGTACAACTGTCTTCAAATGGTGAATGGGTCAACGATGAGACTGCTCTCACCGACCTAGCCGACACGGAGGTCGAGATCCAAAGCTATGCTACTGCTTTGACTTCGTCAGACCTTGTAGCTCGAGCTAAGGGACAGATGATGGGCCATGACAGTGTCGGCGAAGTCATTCGGGTTGGATCACAGGTCACAACCCTGCAGCCTGGTCAGCAGGTTGCTCTTGTCAAGAACGGGACCTACAAGATCCGTGTCCGACAGGACCAGAGCCTAGTGCGCCCCGTCCCCTCGCGGCTGTCACCAGTCCAGGTGGCCGGGCTGTCAACAACTTACGCAACCGCATTGTACGCCTTGTCCAACTGTGCTCGCATTCGGTCCTCTGACAGAATCCTTGTTACATCGGCACACACCAACATGGGTGCTGCGGTAGCTCAACTGGCGTCCTCCTTCGGAGCGCAGGTCTATGCTGTGACAGAAGACGGAACCTCATCAATCCTTCAGGAGCGTGGCATCCCGGAGTCGCGCATCATCAATGCCCGCACCGATTGGGCTCCACGCCTTGCAAGAGAGTCCGGCTCCTTCGACATCGTCATCACTGCAGGCGAGACGGCCAATATCTTCCCCGTGTGCTCGCTGGTGAGCGACTTTGGCCGTATCGTCGATACGTCGTCCTCCGTCGTTGTCGAACAGCTCGATTCCCGCATCTTCAAGCGCAATGCATCCTTCGCGGCCGTCGAAGTCGATCACCTGTTGCGAGCCGAGCCCTCGCTCCTCTCCGACCTCCTTACACAAGTCTTTGCCAAGCTTGAAGCCGGAACCATCACCCCCCTGCCACAGGAGATCTTCTCCATTTCTCAACTCTCTGAAGCCATCGAGAGCGCAGGATCGAATTCCTCTCCCTCCACAACTGTCTTGACTTTCGATCATGATGCCTTGGTACCCATGCGGCCTGCGCCACCGGCGCCCATGGCGTTGGACCCGAGCGCGACGTATGTCCTGTCCGGCGGCTTGGGAGGCCTCGGCGCCAACATTGCCGAAACCATGTTTCAAGCCGGCGCGCGGCATCTGGTATTCCTCTCGCGCAGCGGTGCCACGACGCCCGCGCACCTGGCGCTCTTGGCTCACTTCGAGTCTCGCGGCTGCAAGGCCGAGGCGATCAAGTGCGACATCACGCAAGAGTCTCAGATGAGGCACTTGCGCGACACCGCAGCGTCGCGTGGCTGGAAGATCAAGGGCTGTCTGCAACTGGCCATGGTGCTGCGCGACTCGGTGCTGGAGAACATGACATACGACAAGTGGCAGGGTGCGACAGCATGTAAAATTCAGGGCACATGGAACCTGCACGCCTACCTGCCGGCGGACCTGGACTTCTTTGTCTGTCTCTCGTCAGTTGTCAGCGTCATTGGCAACACCGGCCAGGCCAACTACGCCGCCGGTAACAGCTACATGGACGCACTGTGCCACGTGCGCCGCCTCCAGGGTCTCAACGCCACCAGCTTGAATATCGGGTTGGTCAACGACGCCACGCACTTCACGGCCGACTTCACGGTCGAGGACTTTTTGAGCTTGTACGCCCATCTCGTGCCCGTGCAGGTCGCGGACTGGGAGGTCAACGCGGCGATCCTGGCCGCCATGAAGGGCTTTACGGCGCCAACCTCCGCCACGGCAACGGGTGCCAAGGTCCCCGCGCAGGTCGTAGTCGGCATTCGAGGCGACCTGGATCGCGAGGGCAGCGTGACGAGCCTGTGGCCGAAAGATCGCAAGTTTGACCACCGCGCCATCGCGGGCCAGGGTGCTGGCGGCGACGGCAAAGTCAAGTTGGCGACACTGCTTGCGGGCGCGGCGGGCGCGGTCGACGCCGCCGAGGTGGTCGAGGGCCTGTTGCGGGAGAACGTGGCGAGCTCGATGGGCTCGAGCGCGGACAGCGTCGATGCGGACAAGCCGCTGCACACGTTCGGCATCGATTCTCTCAAGGCCGTCGAGGTGCGCAACTGGCTCTTCCGTGAGGCCAAGGCCGATGTCAGTGTGTTTGATATCTTGAGCCCCGTGCCCCTGAAGAAGTTGGCGGTTATGATTGTGGGGAAGAGTAAGTTGGTCAAGGAGGAGGTGCAGAGGCAGGCGGTGGAGGAGTTGAGGGATTGAGATTGAGGTCCCCTCTGTTGGTCGAGGAAGGGGGCTGTGTTGGTCTATGAGGCGTCTTGGGACAGGGTTCGTTCATTTCTGGTTTTGGTTTTGGAAGATAAACGATATAGAATGTGCTACCTGCGGGTATAGAGTATAGAGCTTAGTTCGGTGATATCATTGCTACTACATCAACTGACTTGTCTTCCTTGGCTTATCCTTCGAGGCTCACTGCGAGAAAAGGCAGTAATAATAAGGACCAGTGCTCTTTACATTGACTGGGGCAGAACGAAAAAGGCATAGCGTGGAACTAGGGGTCTACTTAGTTATCATTGGCCAGGAGTTCACTAGTGCATTCTGTGGACGGGAGGGGCACTCGTAAATAGACGACAACTGAACACTCTGACTCTTGCGAAGTCATCCCTGTGTCGCTTCGACGGAACTTGCAAGTGTCGCGATACTACGGATGTAGGAGTTAAAGGGGTCCCCCGTCTGTGGTGCACTGCCAGTTCGCTGTTGGCAGCACTCCTAGCTTGGCCGCGGCGATGAACCGTCGGCAACACGCCGTGGATATGGCGACAGTCAGCATATGCCGTCCGAGCCTGGGCTTCCTAGACCTCCCCCCAGAAGTCCGCGTCGAGATCTATCAGCACTTGTTTCGTTCCGCCGAATTGAGTATCGAGCCAGCTTTCCCGAGCGTCTCACACTGCGGCCTTTCGATCTGTCCATGCCGCTTCCCCTGTGCGCTGATCGACACATGCCGGACGCTTCGGCAGGAAGCCAGATCATACCTGTTCGCATCTACGACGCTGCAGCTCTCCAGTACCTCGCATAAGCTCGACCTCTTACCGGCGGCGTATCTGTCTGCAATTCCGCGGGCGGTCATCATGAATGTCGGGCAGTACCTAAAGCGACCGGTGGATTTCTCCAAATTCTCAGCACTGCGGACACTCGAGCTACAAAACATTGCCGTCTGGTGTCGGTACCATGATGAGGACGAGCTATGCGGCCCGGGTGGCGATGGCATTATGCTCAATCTGGCCATGTTCAATATCCGGCGACACAGCGCTAACCTTGCGGCCCTATGCGCCTCGGCGGATCGATCTTTCAACGTCCTGCTCTGTTGCCGCTTCGTCGTCTCGTCTGTGAACCATGGGACGTTGGTGCGTCACGCACAATTGCTAAGCTGTATCTGCTGACTTGTCCAGGATGCGGTCATCGACATTGATAAGCAGAAGGTGCTGAGCACACGGCGCGGATCTGTCATCAAGGATAGAAATGCCTGGGCTGGTTTCTACTAAGGCTGGGAGCTTTAGGTGTTGGAAGCAACGGTGACAGTCGTTACAACGACCGAATGTCACTTGGTCGACATCGTCACCGCGCACACGTTCCCGGAGACTGTGATGTGATATGGCTTTGGCCGTCGATAGGCAGCTCAGTGAGGAGGCCTCCGGGTACGGTCTCAGGCTGACTGGGTGGTAATATTCGGAAGCAATGGCTAAGGGACGGTTTGGCCTCGGTAGGTCCATGGTACGTTTGAAACGCCCAATGGTGCTACACATGTCCCATATATGGAGTTACGGAAACGAATGTTGGATACATAACTTTCGATACGACGGGATCGCTATCTAGCATTAAATCAGTTCCATGTTAGCGGTGGAGGTTTACTTCCTCGCGTCGACGCGAACGCGTCACAGAGTTGCATTGACGTAATCACAATGCCCCGCCTCTGCTAGACATTTATATTCTGATATCCCATGTGCTTTCTTTCCTTCTCACTAAATGCTGATATCTCTCACTCGAGCTCGATGTATCTCACCAGTGTAGTAGAAGTGTGCATAGACCACCGGTCAAAGCTCCCCTACACCCCACCACAGCTAACAGGCAGGGATCAGGGTGACTTTGGTGTTCTGCCAGGGCGACAACTTGTAAATTCTTAAAACGAGCAATCCTTGGTTTGCATGCGTGAAAGCAACTCAGCTACGACGCAGCCGGGTGTGACGAGTCACATTTGCAGCTGTGTCAGGGACAACCAACCAGTCTTCTGTTACTAGGCAGTCGCCCCGCAACGCTCGCTGGCAGTTGCTGCCCCGCGACCACTAAAAATCGACATCTCAGCACACGACATGTAGTATTAGACATTCGCTTTCGTGCTCTAATTTCTGACGCTTTCATCTACTGGCGAGCGCGATGGACATCTTCATCACCAGCCTGGACTCGAGGCTTAATCGAGAAAGCCTGCATGACTCTCTGAAGCCTTTCTTGCTCAAGTCACAGATCCACATCTTCGATGTCCGCAAGGCTGTGGGAAAGACCTTCGCTACTGTCACGATCGCGGATCTCCAGAAGGCCCAGGCATTTCTCTCCCAGGCTACCGCCAATCCGTCCTTCTTCCGCTCCCCATCGGGTCGGCCAGCTCAATTTCAAATCAGTCGCAAACCGATCGACGAGTTTCGCCTGAAAGTCCTGCGCAAAGAAGAGAAAGACCGCCATAATGTAAAGGCATGGCAGAAGAAGGCGATAGAAGCAGCCGCAACCGAAGCGGGGACCAGAGAGCGAGGGCTTGAATTCTCGACACTGATGTGTGGTCGGTGGGAATCCAAGGGAAAGGCCGTCATGTTCAGGCCATACTTCGAGGCTCATCCGAAAGGTCGACTGACGAGGGACGGGCGTACGCTGGTCCTTCGATTGGAGGAGCTTGCTGGCAATGGCTACGACCTCGTCATCGACCATTCGACAATCGCTTCGCTAGCCGTCAGCCACGAAAAGAGTTTCAGTGTTCTGACAATCACACTGTTCGTCGCCCCACGCATCATCGAGGATAGAATGGCAGCCCCTGACACAGACCCGCTCTCCTACGCCTTCTCGGCGCTACGCATGGGTCCCAGACCAACCACAAAGTTTCGCGTCTGCACTCTTCCCGGCCTAGGCCAGGCAACTTTTGGAAGTTGCTTGACCTACAGCTTGTTCTTTCCCACTGCCACCGTCGGCCTCCACAATCGAATTCAGTCCATGACCTCTCGCAAAATCCCCATAATAGTGAAGTCGGAGGGTGTGTTGCTGCCCCTCGTAGACTATGCGGGTTCTGTCTTGCGGCTGAACGCCCAGCTGGATCACTTGAAGTGCTCATATGCACGACGCTTTCAAATCGAGGGCCTATGGAGGAACGGCCTTCTATCCCCAAGTGAAGTTCTGCAACTCATGCCCGCGATGCTTGAGCTGCAGTCGTGCTCTGGGGAAAGTGCACTTACAAAGGCGTTGCAGAGACTCAACTTGCAGATGTCCTTCCTTGATGCTACTACAGATTCCACCACACGTGGTCTGCAAGAAGCTGCGGACGCTTTGCGACAGCCACCCACTCTGCTGGAGGACGAAGGGATAAGCAGTGCTGCGCGCGATGAAGTATCTATCTACAAGGTCACCGTCACTCCGGTGGGCCATTATCTGTCAGGACCGGAATTGATCGCCGCCAATCGAGTCTTGAGACAATACAGAGAGCACTCCGAGTACTTTTTGCGAGTCTACTTTGCAGATGAGAACGAAGATCGTCTGGAATTCGATCGGGACTACTCTAACGATGAAATTTACCGTGGTCGCTTTCTCAATGTTCTACGAAATGGTCTCGAGATTGGCGGCAGACGCTTCCAGTTTTTGGGGTTCTCTCATTCCTCGCTGAGATCCTCTACCGTCTGGTTCATGGCGCCTTTCGTGTACCAGGGGACGCTACTCTTCGCACGGTCACTCATTGGTAAGCTAGGCGACTTCAGTGGCATACGCTGTCCTGCCAAGTGCGCAGCTAGAATTGGTCAAGCATTCTCAGAGACGACTGCGGCTATTACAGTGGACCAGAATGTCGTATGGCCAATCAAGGATGTAGAGTATTCGAGTTATCGCTTCACCGACGGATGCGGTACCATGTCTAAATCGATCTGGAAGATGCTGAAGGGGAAGTCCAGAGCGCCACAGCCAACGTCGTACCAAATTCGATACCAAGGTATGCGAACCCCCTTTTTTGAACCCGACTAACATCAAGTCAGGAGCGAAAGGAATGCTCACGCTCGATACTCGGCTCGAAGGTCATCTCATCCACCTCCGGGAGTCCATGGTCAAGTTCACTGGTAGCCCATCAAACGAACTAGAGATATGTGGCACAAATGCCCAGCCGCTTCCCTTTAAGCTCAACAGACAGATCATTAAGATTTTAGAAGATCTTAAAGTCCCCGAATCAACCTTTCTCAAACTTCAGGACCAAGATATGGAGCGCCTACGCCTGTCAGCATCATCAAAATCGACCGCTGTTAACTTTGTCATCCATAACCTAAAGGAGAGCAGCAGCGGCTTGCCTAGACTGCTGAAGAACCTCAATCATATTGGAGTCGATGTCACCGAGGATGAATTCCTACGCGATGTGCTCGGAGCGTTGCTCCAAGTCCAGCTGCGGGAAATCAAATATCGCAGCCGTATCCTCGTCCCCGATGCGAAGACGCTTTACGGGATTAGCGACGAGACTGACTGGCTCAAAGAGGGCGAGGTTTTTGTCACCTGGCAGGAAGACGACCGAGCAAGACACGTATGCCTTAATGGAAGAGTTGCCGTTACGAGATCGCCTGCTCTACACCCCGGAGACGTCCAAGTCGTTCAAGCAGTTGCGCCTCCGAAGGACTCTGCTCTCTGGAATCTGAGGAACTGCATCGCCTTTTCCCAGAAAGGCACACGTGATCTTCCAAGCATGCTCAGTGGCGGTGATCTCGATGGTGACCTTTACAACATCATCTATGATGATGCTCTGCTTCCGACGTTGAGCTCCAAGCCCGCCGCGTATATTTCGCCTCCAGCTTTGGACATCGGCCGTCCAGTTACTGCTGAAGACATGACGGCATTCTTCGTCGATTTCATGCAGAATGATCAGGTTGGCAGAATAGCAACACTCCATCAAGTACTTGCTGATTGCGAACCTACTGGCACCTTTTCTCAGAGTTGTCTCGCGTTGGCGGAATTGCACTCAACTGCGGTTGACTTCTCAAAGAGTGGCATCAAGGTCGACGTCTCCAAGATTCCCCGAGCGCCGCGAGAGCGACCCGACTTCATGTGCCCAAGCGCAAGTGCCAAAGTTGTAAAAGGCATCCAAAGAGCACAGAACGACAGTCCTCCGGATGGCAAGCACAAATATAGTTACTCCAAGTCTGAGCGGGTTTCTTGGAAAGCTTTATCGAGCGGTCAACGAGGACATCTTCTTCGAGGATCTTGAGGACGACACCTCGTCGCTTTCCAGTAAGGGGCCTTCCGGTAGCGTGCTGAGAGACATTCTTGGATGGGTACAGTCTCACGTCGATAGCGATCGACTCAAGGAGCATCGAGGAATGGCAAGAGATGTGAGAGAGTACTACGAAGCAGAAGTCATGGACATCATGTCGAGCTATTCCATACGACGGCACGACCAACTGACGGAAAAGGAGGTCTTCATCGGTACGATACTCGGACGATCCGGCGCGGCGAGCAGACTTCAACGCGAGCAGTCGGACTACATGAAGAACCACTTCAACCGCAGTCTTCGTGAGATCAAAGACTGGATGGTCAGACAGTTCCCCGAAGATGACGGTGGTTACGAATTCATGGGTCTCGCCGCCGCCTGCTTGTATGTAGCTGTCGAAGAGGAGAGTAGAGTCGATGCTTCTCTCAAGAGTTTTGGGTGGTTTGCCGCGGGTTTGTGTGTTCCGGACCTCGTCAAGGAGCAGGAAGGTAGTGTCTTCAGCCTCTGATTGTGGTGCCGCATCGAATCGTGTGGGTGAGAGAGAGAGATCGAGCCTGATAACCCGCCGAAAGCAACATCAGTGAGTCGGGACGGTGGAGAGTTGTGACTCGGTGGTCGAACCCTCTCTACAGATGTACGCGGACATTACCGTGTGAAGGCGAAGTATGTGAGAGCAGATGAGATTTGATCGAGGTGGCGTAGAACACAGATCAAGAGATAGATGTCGTGTGGCTTACTACCGATCATGGTGCGTGAGGTACAGCGCAGGCCCAAACAAGCGCTCGCATATTTTTTGAGACAAAAGCCTACCACCCATGATTGTACGAAGAACCAGGTCAGGCCAACCAGATATCCTGCAGGGGCTTTGTCTTGTGCTCCATCGCCGACGGCCACATTTCCCCAGACATGATTCCAGTGACGTGAGCGTCTCCCACGACCCTGAAGATGGGCTCGTGCAAGATGGGCTCGTGGACGGTCACTCCATCCTCGGAAAGGAGCACGCTTCTTCGCAGTGTCACGGGAAGCGTGCATCCTTCCAACAGGCAGATCTCGTCCTCCACTTCGGCCCGCGGGTGCGCCCAACCGAGCAAGAACCGTGGTGGTATCGGTTCGCCAAGGTCTCTGGTACGGCGGACGGCGGCTTGTTGGACGGCGACCTGCATCAACGGCATCTCGTCGGCCAGGGCCTGGAGGATTGCCGCCTCCAGTCTCCGACTGCGTGCTTGCTTCGGTAGGATGCGTCCCGTGCCATCGTTGCGGATCATGCGGTCCGCGCCTCGCTTGAGGTAGTCGAGCGACTTCCTCCCCTTCGGCGCGGAAAAGTCGCTCGGTCCCTCGGCTTCGACCATGGATGTCCAGTCGGTGAATGCCCGGTCGCCATTTGACCAGTGCTGGAGAGTTTGTCCGCGAAACCGGGCGTCGCGCAGCTTCGGAAGACGTAGACGCGCCATGGGGCTCCGGTTGCCGATGCGTTGGAGCGCCTTCTCTTCGAAGACGTGTTTCCACTCGTTCATGCTGTCGTCCACCGGGTCCCGCTCCTTGTAATTCATCATGGTGTCGAACACGGTGGATGTGACGTCGTTGTGTTGAATTTCCGCCGTGAGACGTTTGTCCAATCTTGACCAGAGGGACTGCTTGCCTGGTGGGAGTTTGCCTTCGAGCCAGATGATTTTGCCAACCACACGGCGGCGCACGCGGAGCAGTCTTCCCGAGGTGTCCATGTCGGCGTAGGTCCATGTGGACGAGCCAGATGCTTTCCAGCGGCGGTCCTGCTTGTGTGGTTTCTGCCGTCGGTCCTGACCGGTCAAGTAGGATATCATTCGGTGGTTGAAGGGATTTCCCCCTATGATGCGCCAGTCTGGCGCCCAGGACGGTAAGCTGAATACGGGGTTATCATTCTTCATTTGCATACAGATGACATCCAGCGATCCAGACGATCTAATGTGGTGGGTAGTCATGCTCTGCAGGAGATTCTCGACTTTGGTTTCGTAGTCGATGTGGGGTACGAATCGCCGGCGATTGAAGCATATTCCGGTCAAGGAATAGACTCCGTCTAGGATATTGCCACAGCGTGTGTAGTAACAGGCTCTGAGGGCTTCGAGCAGGTGGATAGGCTCACCAGGCTTCCAGCGCGACTTAAGGGAGTCCAGCCTGAGAACCTGGGTGTGGTACAGAGACCAACCGACTTCCGCACCATCATCCGTAAGTCGCTTCAGATCCTTGAGAATCTCGATGAACATGTGATAGTCAAGGGTGTCATGTGCCGCACCATACCTGCAGCTCGCGAGCCACTGTCAACTCTTGAATGATCCAAGCGCTAGAAGCTCTGTCAGTCTGGTCCTACGTTGAGTTGTCGGTTTGGGTCACATACCGGCGCCAGTATGGGCGCTCGACCACGTGCTTCTTAGCGACCAGAAGTTGGTGAGCCTTGGTGTTGAGGTTTTGAGATAGAGTGTCCAGTCTGGTCTCCATCGCTTGCGGTACCAGCTTCTTCCAGAGTTGCGCAAAAGGTAGCTTTTGCTCAGCGTTTTTCACAAGTCGGTGGACTCCTTTCAGTACGAAACCAGCATTTTTATCATTAATTGCCCAACTTGATAGCAGATCGAATAGACAGGAATCAGTAGCACCATTGTCCATTCGATAAGCGTCAATTGCGTTCATTTCCGCCATGACTGCATCGCTGTAAGGATCTGAAGGACCGAGCCAAACTATCACTTCGCGAGCAGTGCTGTAGATGGTGTGCATATGCGCCACCTGCTGTGATTTCTCCTCAATATTCGATTGATTAATGCAGAGGGCGTCGGCCCACACTGTTTTGTGCTTCTGTCGAAGCGAAAGAAGTGCATGGAAAAGATTTTCCGTGACGACAACCGCATGATCGTTCACGATGAGGGATTTGCTGCCCGTTCCCCAGGTGTACGATAGGGCGACGAAAGGTGTGGCGTTGCCGAGCTTGCTGAGGTCAGTGACTTTCAACGTGCACACGAGTTCATCTCCTTCTCCGCCGATGTACAGGAGCCTAACTTGTGTTCGCTGGTTATTGAAAGCCGAATTTCCATACACGATAGTGTGCCAGGTCGAAGCCGGAGTTGCGATTGCCTCCCTGTCGCAGTGCGGTTGTCCTTATTGGTCATACTGGTCGTTATCGTAGGGTTTCTGCAGCTCAGCATTCGTTGGAAAGTTCCAGGCTTGCCGCATGGCAGGTCCTCCGTACGATTTGGACCATTCTCGCGCATAGTAGCCAAGGAAAAGGAGCGATCCTGCTCCCACGACGGCGATGGTCCCCATGTCCCGCCCCAGGTGAAGGCTCGAACGAAAGCGAAAAGCTGTTGAGAAGCTCAGTAAGGGTAACACAGACTATAAATTCGCATGCGTCCGCTTGCTGATGAAGTAGATCGAAATGATAGAGTCAGGCCGGGAAGAATTGGGCGGCGCATGCGTAGTTATCTCTGCTGGCCGTGGTCTGGACCAGGCTGTGACTGCCCTCAGCACTTTGGACTGCATTAGAGAAGTGGTACTAACACGTATAAGGCCAGTATCGATCGTGTTCATGCAAGATTAGGGAGTACACGGCCCCGAATCTGGCATCCGCCTCGGATTGCAGTCCCGCGGACCCCAGAGGCAATCCAGTTGCGCTCTTGTTTGCACGTACACGCACCTGCCTTATAGTGAAAAGCACCAGGTCTCGGAGCAAACTTGGTACTAGTAGTGTCTCAACCAACCCTGTGTCGGGCTCGAATCGGAGACATGAGTTGGTTCGCTTCGAAGCAGACTCATATGGGGAATTTTCTGTGGTCATCAGGCTGAATATCTAGAACGATGTACTTTAGGACTTCTGGGGTGGAGTCCCTGTGAGCGGAGAACCCTATCCTAGGACAGGTGGCTGACATCTAGAACGATCCCAACGACAAGCGCGAGCGAACTTCAGTACACTCAGGTGCACGCCCGCAGTCATCGCTACTCTTGACCCACCTGCCTGTCAAAGCAGGAGATGAATTTACCGACTTTGATCAATCAGTCTTCCAACCCACTCGCTCTAGCAAGTAGATGGAGCAAGCCTTCTATGACTGCGGGCGTGCACCCCTGGGTGTCGTAGTCTTTTGGGACTTTGGGGGCGGAGTTTCTACGATCGGAGAGCTCTATAGGACAGCCGTGGCATACTGAGAAACTTCCGCGAGTAACGAACTACTCCGGCCTAAACAGCTTTTTGAGGCTCAACGCCATCGTGAAGGCACTCATGTCTGGTAACGAATATAAAGACTCGGGAGAAGTCGAGATTCGCTTGCATATTATTGATGGCATTGATCAATGACATGAGAGTGTGAACGAGTTTTTGCATCAGAGTCTTGTATAGGAATCGGCCATAATATGGATGTACGTCTAGCAAGCGACGCTTCATACATAGCATGCGCCCCCCCAGGATGTTAATATATACCCTAAATAAGGCGGAGGTTAAGGATTTAGCATTCACGGCAAGTCTCATCAGAGTTACGGAGCGGGGGCCGGCGACCGGCGCAAGCCACGCTTCAGAAAAGCCTGGGGCCCAAGAAAATGAAGAAATGTCCCTGAGGGCATGATGAATGACAAGAGGTAGAAATGCGTATATGGTATTGAAGCCATGAAACATGAAACATTGCAGAAGATGTGGCGGGAAAGACGCAAAACGACGTCACAAGCGCAAGACACGCCCATTCGCCTATTGGGGGACGTTGTCCTGCGGAATGACATCACTCTCCCTCCTCCGCTTTCATGTCTGGGCCGGTTGTCGATCATGCACCGCTCGGGCGGAGACCAAAAAGCAGGTTTTGGAGCTTGTGTCGTGCTGATAATGCTTCCAATGATTGGGTAGGGAGGTTCTGGTTGAGGCTGTGCTTCGAAGTTCACGCGAACAAAGCGCGCCCCGGGCGATGTGGGTGAGATGAGCCGAGATTTGATGGCCGCGACGGTGTGTGTGTCGGTGGTGATGACGTCCTTTTTGCTCAGTTGTGCTTATCGAGAAAACTGGTGTTTGATGCATGGTTTTGCGGTAAGCAGGCTGGGGAGAGGGTGGGTGATGTTGGTGGGGTGTGCTAGTATAATACCCACCGAGCCCACGCTGTCCTACCTACACTCTGTTTTGTATATACCCAACACAATCTTCGATATTATCCAAGTCAAAGCCAATATCTACCATTAGTCCTTCTTCTCTCACAGTCCGCCATCTCCACCCACAGAACGCCAACAAAAAATGAACTCCCTCCGCTCCGGCAAGAACTGGGTCTCCAGCAAGGTGCAGGGCCACTCTGCTCAGGCACAGAAGGAGACGAACAAAGCGTATGTGTTCCCCTGCTAGTATATCGCTTGCTGCCCCAGCGAAACCCCCTTTCCCGTATACGTATCCACCATCCTGCTGCCCCGCTCCGCCATGGGACTTCCTGTGACAATAACCCCAGCTAACAGGCCATGCAGCATCGCAAAGGACCCCAACGTGCGCACCAGTGAGCGTGTGCGGGCCGCAGGCAACGCTGTAGCCAACTCCATCGATGAGCACAGCCATAAGCGAAATGCGGATGTGAACAAACACACCGCCAAACACAATTACTAGGGGCCGAGCGCCGAGTCCCGAGCGCGTCCGGTCCAGGGACGACGTGACTGGCATTCTGAAAAATGAGAGAGAGAGCCTTTGTGGTAGCGGTGATGACGGATACAGTGATCGTTGTCGTATGATGATGATGGTTCGCAGTGGGTCGATCGATACCTTGTATTAGTATACGAATTTCCTTCTCTGGAGCGATTAGCGGAAGTAGCTAAGCGGGATGTGAGATTTGGGATGTGGATGTGTTTTTAGGTTTGTGAGAGTCAATGAGAAGTTGTCAAAGTCATGAATGACACATTTGTAAAGCCTGTCTGTCCCCATAGGGGTTTCGTCTCTAATTGCAAAATGTTATGTGCTTCGATCCGTGGACGCAGGGGAGATGCTGGCGACGTTGCCGCGTCTGCTGGGCCTGGTGAAACAATACTCATGACAGGCTTGGTTAGGTTCTCTGCGACTAATGTGTTGCTGGCAAGTCATTAACGTTGCGTTTCTGGTTGGGCTGAGTAGGGAGACTGTTTGGCGGTTGGAGATTTCGTGGTCAAGGGCGATCTTCAATGGATGGATGCGAGAGTTGTCCGAGTATGTGTGATTCTTTGTATTCCCAGCGCCTCGTTAGTTTATCGATGCATATGTACAAACCGCGACCCACTGCAGTCCACCGTCTGCCTCAAATTTGGCAGGATGATATACCTGCTGGCCCGTAACGCACCGGGTTGTCTCCCTGACTCGCGTGATACGCACGGTTACTTCGTCTTGATGTGCTTCAAAGGACCGCTCTCGTGCACGAAATTGTTCCTAAAGCACAGTTAACATCCATCGGGGAAAGGATGCGGTTAGCGGGCAATTCGGATCGTGGGCAGTCCGACGATCCAGACCAGCGCTCGAGCACCAGGTCAGGAGGGTCTGAGACACCCGCGGTATCCTCGAAAGGGTCCAAATATTGGACAGGGAATGAAACTTACTGCCAAAAAGTTAGTATACCTTCAAGCAGACCTGGGCTGGAACTAAATCCGAAGATCTTCCAGTTGTTCCTGTACAAGTACATTCAAGATATCGATACTTACCGCATAAGCCTTGACGGCGATCCGTCGAGCCTGTGGCTCCTGCACATAATACTCGTAGCCCTGTTTCTGGGCGAACCGTACCGCGTCCTCTTTAGTCTTGAAATTCAGCTTGGTGCCCTGCATGAAGTCGCCCGATGACTGCCAGCCCATGAGCGGATTTTCCCATCGGTGACCTTTGGGTAGTGGGTCCCAGTCCATGCGCCATGATTGCGAGGTCCAATTGCCGGATTGTGTGGCTCCCTTGGTGGGCTTAAAGATTCTGTCAAACCCGCATTAGGCAGACGCTTCCGGCAGCTTCTTTAGTATACATACCGGACTGTTCTGGCTTGCAGATCGACAGGCGCCCCGGACAAGACAGCCGCCGGGGTGATCCCGCCAGGCTCGCTGCCATTCATGACGCGCCGGGGAACGGGGGAGAAGGTCGAGGTCCCGTGGTCGACTGTAGCGCCGTAGTCTGGCTGGTTGAGGTCATGGCGCTGTGAGATCAAATCTTCTGGCTGTTTCTCGGCCACCACCATTGAGGCTTGGTCTTCAGTCGTCTGCATGGCTTCGGCATCGGGGATGGCTTTGGGATCAGGTTCGCCGAGTCGGGTGTGCGCGGTCGCGGATAGGTAACGGGAGGACTGCTGTGGCCACACCCGTGCTCGCGAGAGCTGAAGAGCTCGTGAAGTCCGTACGAAAGACATGGCGGATGTGATTGCTCTCGGAGCGAGCTTCGAAGTGTGAAGTGTTGGAGTTGGAGCTTGAGGCCGCGGCGGAATGCCAAGGTGCTTGCTCAAATATGGGTTAGCGTATACCTGGACCGTCGTGACAGCGAGCTCTCTTTCCCCTCAATTCCTACATTCGACGACATTCAGTACCAAAGAGCACTCTGGTAGTCGATGGTTACAAGGGTGAGCAAACGTGAGAGCCTATCTCCTACGAACCAGCTCCGGGGTTTCATACATAACACCCAACGAAGCTTGATGAAAGCACCTCCATATGACTGCATTCTGACCGATCTGACATGTACGACCACCACAAAAGCTTTTGCACCTACATAATGCACAGCTCCCCGCGAACGACCTTTGAAGACAACATTGAACGAAACCGCCACCCGCCACACTAGATTCAAATGTCACCATACTGGCCCTTGGCCGTGTCACTGATTTTCATACCATCTGGTACCGGCCGTTTCATATCGCCTCGAGTGGCCCGGTTATTCAGACAACTGGCAGATGCTGTTGCGACGATGTACTTGCTGGGACAGTCCCGTATCTGCCTATTCGCGCACCTTGATGCTTTGTGCAATTATTGTTAGCTAACGATAGAATCTATGTATGATGTTGGTCTGGTCCATCTATCTGTTATTCTACCAAAGGCACAGCTTAGACAAGCCTGCCAGTGCTGCGACCTTGGGAGCGCCTCTATGATTCCCCTCTCTGGTGCTGTCGCGAGATACATTGTTCGCCAGAGGCAGCCACGATCATGATTGTTCGGTCTCCGAAGCCACTTCCCGGAGTTCGGCCTCGATGGCCTTACTGTTGCACCGCTCTAATGCTGGGTCCTCATGTGGGAAGCGCTTCTGGAAACCGCACACCGTCTCGCACTCTGACGAGAATGCAGTCCACATGCCAGCGCCGGGTCGGCCATTCCTTGTGTACCGCATTCGGTCCGATCATCTTGTTACGACGCAAAGGTCCCACGGTGAGCGGAAGCGCATTCCAGTAGGATGAGGTCCGTGCAAGGATATAGAATGCTTCGAGGTTCAATAGTTCCCTATTGGCAAAATAATCTGTTAGTGTGAGCAGCCAACACTGTTGTCCTGAAACGCAGGACAAGGTGCATGTAGAGCGACCACCTTCAATCGGGCTCCTTCCGGATCTCGAACGCAACAGTTTGCGTCCCTCGGTCTACGAAGACATTACCATGCGGGTTGAAAGCCCCGCCGTCAATACATAAAAATGCCGTAACAAGTCTCCCCTTTGGCATGGCACGCGTCAGACTACTGTTCTCGAAGAGTCATAGCCAAGGATCTGAACATCTAGCCGATTTTACGATCGTGGCAGTGATAACGATATGTGAAAGAAATGGATGGAGCTTTGACATGTTGGGTCGGTACCTCGGAAGCAAGAGCCGTTGACCGCAAGGAAGATTGTAGCTCATTGAGTCGCCTGCACGCCTGCACCATCCACAAATACGGACCCAGACTCTCCTTCAGCCAGTCATGTTCGTAGGACTTTCGCTCCGTGCCCTCAATCGTCACTTTTGGGGAATGGCTCCAACTCGGTGGATTTGCACTTCCTTCCAACCGCCATCGATGGCTTGTGAACATAGAACTCGCAACCGTGATTGCTGGTGGGCAGGTCAATTGATCAATAAACGGCCAGATGCTCACACCCCTACTGTCTGCGTAGATATGGATGCTCTGCTCGATCCCGAGATGCGGTAAGCACGGCCTACCAGGTAATGCAGAAAGCGAGAGCCGTGTTTTGGCGGTCGCCAATCAGGAATCTAGGCTTGCAATTCCTGCCCGCTAGCCACTGTTCCGGTGCAGAGCTAGGTGCGATTCGCAGGCGTCCAGGGGCGTCGCAATTGCACTTCCGCGGTGCCAGCATTGGCCGATGAGAACTTTCACCCCTCCCACGGCTGCGCATCTTGTCTTGGTGCGACTACGTCCATGGCTCTGGCGGCTGCGATTTGTCTAGGGTTTTGTTTTGCAGCCCCTCTCCAGGCCGCTACGGGCATGAACACGCAGAGGCTTGACTTGGCCAGAATTGGGGACGCAGTTCACTTTCGTCAGTTTCTTTCATTTGACACATATGGATTCTCTCAAAACCTCTTTCATGCAACGAGTATTAGGCTTCTAGAGGCCACAACACTTCCAAGGCTGAGCATGTAAGAGCCTCACGAGCAGCATCGAACAAGCCAACGCCCGAGATCAGGCCCTTCTGTCTTTGCCAATGGCGGACCGGAAATACACTCCCGCCGCTCCAGGTAGAGAAGTCGCCCCCGTAATCGCTCCACGACAGCCTATGCCGACCCAGGGCCGCAAGTACGCCTCGAGGGCCTGCGTCGAATGCAGGAGGAAGAAAAGGAGGGTTCGTCCCCTGTCCTCCGTTGCAGACCGAATCTCCGACACTAACTGTGGCGCAGTGCGACGGCGAGGATTGCTCCTCGTGCGCGAAGGACAAAGTCAAGTGTGTGATGGATTTCGAGACCGATCAGAGAAGACAGATCAACCGAAACAATCGCACACACCGCGACAAGTTGTCTGACAAGCTGTTGACGGGCCTCAGAACCGCGCCGCTTGCCGACGCTCAAGCCCTTCTCGATGCCATCCGGCAGGATACCTCCTCGGAAGAGCTTGAAGCTCTCGCGCACGACCTATCGCAGCGTTGGGACAGTGGCGAGGCCATGTCGGCCATCTTCGACGGCAGTCCAACTGACCGGCAGCAAAACGATGCGTATAATTCAGATGGCTTCCTTGTGTCTCCCAGCGATTCCGAAGTGTTGCTCAGCCTCGATGTCAGACGGGACTTCTATATAGCCGAGGGCGCAAGACAGTTCGCCGTAGGTGGAGAGGGCATGGATGTCGGAAAGGTCATGTCCACGCGCTCCACGGCTACTGATCGCCTTTCACAGGTCATGCTCAGCTTTCGTGAAGCCGCAAGCGAACAAATTGTTGGTGGGGCTGTTGTTGCTGACATACTCAGCTTGTCCGGTTTGGACCTCGATCTCTTCTTCCGCGAACGCGTCGATAGTGATCCGCATACCATCTCGACTTGGGCGTGCGAGTTTGCCAAATCGTGGACATCCATGTCACCAATCTCGCAGGTTGCTCTGGTCTACCTTGCCGGTTCCTTCATGAGGTGGTTCATACTTCCCTGTCAGACCACGTACGGTGACATGTCATCCTTGCTGCTCCCTATAAAGGGCAACGCTAGGATCCACAACCCCGCAGAGGTCGATTATTGCAGAGCTCACGCCGCGCGCAGGATCAACAGCTTGACCATGCACTCTCAAAAGCTGCAGTGGCCATACACCTACCTAGCGTGCTTAGAAAAACCCGACGAGTCCGCATCTCCGTTCACTTCGCCCACAAGACGGCTGTCGAAGATGTTCATGCAATATTGCGACGATTTGCGAAACTGGACGCAATGATAGTTTGGTGACCATCTCCCTACTATCGTGGCCATAGACCTTGGCTTCATGTGATATTGAACCTGGACCACTTCTGGAGCAAATCACCCATGTCGGCAAGCTCACGACCATCCTTAGCAATGGCAGCATAGTTGGGATAGATGCAGCTTTCGAAGAGGCGATGGTCATTTGGGCCCCATTGTTCGACGGCACTCTCCCTGAACAACTGAATGGTCGTGCCGTTGAGATGGTCGACGATTCTACGCTCCTGGATGGTAATCCACAGCATTCTTAACACACCACGAGCAAGGATCCACCGCTTGGCAACAGTGAAGATGCTGACGATGATGGTGTGGAAGGTGTCGGCGACTCCGATTTCGGTCAACATGTCAAGGAGGGGGTACGCTGCCATGGCCGCAGGCTGGAATCCCCAGATACACCAAGCCGATGTGCCCAGGGTACGTTGCACCCATTCGAAGATTTGTGTGATGTCTTCACAGGATCTTAGCAAGCCGAGCTTCGCTTCTTGTCGTTTAGACCCCACGGTAACGGCATCTCGAAGCATTAATGAGTGGACGACAATGACATAGTCGTGGTACACGAGACTGGCAAGAGTTAGCAGACGCCCGACACAACGTTGCTGTCGACTTACAGCAGTTCGACCTGCGGCCACGCTGGAGTGGCCTCTGAACTGGGTACAGCATAACTTGGCAGATTGGCATGCCATCGGGTCAACCTCTGCAGGAGTTGATCAAGCCGTTCCATTCTTTCGTCTTTGCTTATGGAGATGAACCCTGGGGCGGGGCTGTCATCCGGCTCACCGCTCAAGATGATCGGTATGATATCGGCACCAATCTCGCGGAGATCGAACTTTGCCTCCCGCAGCCCGTATGGGTGATATGCAACTTCCGGGCCAATCTTGGGGTAGGGTCGCCACGCCTCGGTCCGTACCAAATCGTCCCCTATGTGCGGCCGCTGGATTCTAGGCTGATGCAGCTGCAGCGGCTTAAACCAGATCATGCAGAAGTCGACTTCCATCTGAAAGGCTGACCATCTTGCCAACTGCATGGAAGCTTGGTAATCGGGGGAGATGTAGTCGGCGCTACCATTCTTGATGCTGTGCTTGACTTTCCGGCTTAGCTCAATGCAGAGAATTGGCATTTGACGAGTGTAGGTCATTGCCAGACGGTCTTTGCGCAAAACCCCTAGACCGAGCGACAAGATGACCAACCCTTGCAGGTTGGTCAGCGATGCTCGACCCTCTTCAATAGACCACAACCTCGCCACTTCGTCTGCGAAATGAGCACCTCGGGAAGCGTTATCGTTGTCGAAGGCATAGACCAATGGGTGGTTGCTGTATAAGCAGGCTGTGAGCAGCATACAATTAACCAGAAAAGGCGAACAGAACTGGCTGGAGGTATCTCCAGCAATCATTGCCTTGATGAAGATGTCCTTGTAGACCGCGGGGTAGGACTCATGGTGCCAAGTGAAGTAGACGGAAATCATATGGGATACAAAATTGTCGTCATCGGTGATTGTCGTCCATGGACTTGCAGATACACGAATGGGAGGTTCATCGGTGAGGGAGGCGATGCTCATGATGGTGGTGCGAGTTCGATCGCGAGAGCCGTGCGGGGCTGACGCTTTGAGAATGCCACGAGCATGACTGGCAATCTCCTCGACAGATGCTTCGTCGCGGATCAACTTGATTAGGTCAGCGACCGCTGTGTCGTCGGTCGATCGGATAGAGTCGAGCACGGCATCGAACGCTTCGACTTTAGCATATAATTCGACCAAGTTTCGCTTGCGGCCTCTGCGGCCATCTTTGGTCTCATCGAAGACACATTCATTACCCTTGTCGACGCACGTTTGACACGGTTTCTTGCCGTCGCACTTGGAATTTTTAGCTAAAACAACATCCTGGTAGGAGGAGAATGAAGAATACCTTTCGCTTCGCTTTTTTACAGGCTTCACAAGCAGTGGCCACGTACTTTGCGTGCGGCTTGACTGTAGAAGATTTTGGTTTCTCGCGCCCGTCGGAGGAGCTGAAGGATGTAGCTTTAGGCCGAATGTTTGATAGAGTGTTAGATGACATGGCGCGACAACAGGAGGTTAGGATAGGCCGTAGTTGCGTAGGGTCTGGAGTATACCTAGGTAGGATACAAAGGTGGAAATTGAGAATGACCGCGGAGATGAATCAGAGTGTTAGGAGATCTCTTCCTAGCACTGTGATTGGCCAGTTGTCGAAAGCTTTGGGGAGGTCTAGCGAGCCCGTCGTGGCGTTGTAAACCGCGCTTGTAGGTGCCGGATTCCCTGTCATGCACCGGCGGGTGCCCGTCATTTCTCTGAGGCGTCGCTCCAGGCCCCGATTTCAGGCGCGCAGGCTCTAACGATGTGTAGGTATTGAACCAAGAAGAGGTCAATGCATTCTGGGACGAATGACGAAACGGCCTCATCACCGGAAAAGGTGTAGCCGGGAAGTACCCCAAAGATTCTCGTGTTGAACCTCGAATGGTGACCGTACACCTGCTTGTAAAGGCGAAACATTTGCCCCTCTCATAAGGCTGGACATAACCAGGTTGTATGTACAGCCGCAGTGATCAGCCTGGAAATGTATTTCCGAAACGCGAAGTTTCTGCTTAGCCCGGCACATATTGCCACCCGTAGCAGACCCTGCTTCTGATGATCGTACACGCGTTCGAACGAGGAATCCTTTCTTCACTGGTTTGGCGTGGCGATGAAACACGTATTCCCGTAACGATTCGGACCGACAACTTTGATTGGGGGCATGGCAAGCAGGACGTCGACCCCGGAAAGGCTTGGAGGTACCATTACCGACTGCAGCAAGAAATGCACCACTGAATAGATGGAATGACGGGATTAATGGGTATCCTGCATTACAAGCCAACCCAAAGAGACGCAGAGGCGTAGACCGTCATTCTGGACGATGATTTTGGGAATACCCCACCATAACGTCGATGGCCAATGATGTCTGAATCAGTCTTGGCGTTTTAGTCTTGGCAAGGCTGGGCCAGTATCACCAGGCTGAAGTATATCACGTGATCCACCCTCCTTCTCCGTGAGCCTGACTTCTAGCAGTCTCCAACCTCTGCTCATCATCGCGGTCTGCTTACGATGCTGCCATCCTTGCCAACCCGGAGTAGACCTTCTGCATAACACACGCCTCCATCTGGGGCTTTTCGCTTGCTGGGCAACGGACCCGAGAACCTTGGCTTTGCTCGGATTTAGGATTTTGGTGCAGACCACCAACGACTATGCTCTGACAGAGCTCGAAAAGCACACAAAGTCCGCCAGGCTGCCGTCAATGGCTCTCGTCAAACGGTATTCCACTCTGTTCTACCAAAAGCTCTACGAAGGCACGCCGGGGCGGCTCAACGTCCGCCCGTTTTGGCTGTAGACGCTCGAGCCCGGACGAACCGACTGCGGTAAGCCAATCACATATGCACCCTAGCACGGTCAGCTACTGGTTTGGGTTTCGTAGCCTCGCAACCATTCTGTAACTCCGAGATAGTACGCGTCTGCACGAGTAGATGATGCAAGTATATATATAATGGTGGTGGAGCGACCCAGCAGTCGTTTCTTCATCTCCAGCACGATCCAATTCAGCCTCCCAACTGGTGCAAAGCAAATACCTTCACCATGACCCCACCAACTCGCCAACTCGGCCGCAACGGCCCTCTCGTCACCGCCATCGGTCTAGGCATGATGTCCATCGGCGGCGCGTACGGGCAGAAGAACACGAACGAGGAGAAATTCGCCCTGCTGGACCGCGCATACGCCATCGGTGAGCGCTTCTGGGATACAGCCGACGTCTATTTCGACTCCGAGGAGCTCATTGGCGAGTGGTTCCAGCGCAACCCGGACAAGCGCAAAGACATTGTCCTAGCCACGAAGTGCGGCCTGAGCTACAACTTCGAGACGGGTGAGCAATTCGTCGACACCAGCCCGGAGTACGTGCGCAAGGCTTGCGAGGCGAGTTTGAAGAAGCTGAAAACCAACACCGTCGACCTGTACTACTGCCATCGCGTGGATGGCAAGACGCCCATCGAGGAGACCATCCACGCGCTGGTCGAGCTCAAAAAGTGAGTTCCCTTCCCTAGCCTCCACTTTCGTCACATACCTTCTACCAAACCCAACCTCTCACCGTCAATTAACTCACGCGCCCCTCCCCCCAAAACAGCGAAGGCAAAATCACCCACCTCGGCCTCTCCGAAGTCTCAGCCACCACGCTCCGCCGCGCCAACGCCGTGCACCAAATCGCCGCGCACCAAATCGAGTACAACCCCTTCACGCTGGAGCCCGAGGCGGACGTGATCGCCACGGCGCGCGCCCTCGGCATCGCCACCGTGGCCTACTCGCCCATGGGCCGCGGGTTCCTGACCGGCCAGATCAAGTCCCTCGACGACCTCCCCGCCATGGGCTTCCACCGCCTGACGCCCAAGTACAACGACCCGGAGAATTTCCAGCGCATCATGGCGCTGGTGCGCAAGTTTGAGGAGGTAGGCAGGAAACATGGCAAGAGTCCCGCGCAGGTGTGTCTGGCGTGGTTGTTGCGGCAGGGGGAGGATATCGTGCCGATCCCGGGCACGAGGGGCGTCAAGTACCTGGAGGAGAATACGGCGGCGGCGGAGTTGGTGTTGAGTGATGAGGAGGTCAGGGCGTTGAGGGAGGCGGCGGATGCGACGGTGTTGCCTGGCCTGAGGTACCCTGCTGCGTGGGCTGAGGCGCTCAATGGAGACACGCCGGAGTTGTGAGGATATTTGACATGGGAAAGCAAGCAGATGGCGTGGACAGACTGTGAGGAACGAAGGAATGGGTCGCATTGACTATTTACGAAGCGTAGGCTAGAAAAACCAATAGCGAATATCTCAGCACCAACATCTTTGAGGGCCATTGAGAAGCATCATGAACGCTTCCGAGGGTAAAGCAGGGATCCCATCAGACAGAATATGGTTGCTGGCCAGTCCCAGGACCGTGGATGCAACCGCCAACCTACGGCAAACCATGTCCAGTTCTCTGCAGTCCAAATAGATGGCGGGAAGGCTCTCAGGTTTTTACTCGGCCGAGACATGCCTCGAGCTGGTCTTCGCAAGCCCATGCGAGTGCCTAGTAGCCAACAATTGAGGTCTTTGTACTGCCTTGACAGGAGCACCTCTGGACTCGCTGACCACCGAGCGTCAGGGGTAACCTGTTCGTAGATGCCTGGACAGCGTAGACCAATCTTCCAGAGAAGCATCTTGGCCGTGACGTGGTCAGGATAGCCTTGATGGCGGGTTGCGTGGAGCCAACGCCTTTGGCCGTCCAAGTCGAGGCGAAAATACAGGTGAGCCCAATCTGATATCAGCGAGAGTAGCGGTGGCTGACCATCAGCCTTTTTGAGGAAGTTGAAGTCAATCTCGTGAAGCTTGTAGGCGCGTGTGAATTCGAGCCAGATCAACTGCCTTTCGAAGCCACGGCCGACGCATAGTCGCTGAAAGTAGACTGCCCATACCCACGCCAGCCTATACAAGTACTCATCGGTAGGTGTCGGCCACTAGCATCGCGGATGCGTATTTGCCGAGACGACATGCAATCCCCTCCGACCAGACCTAAAGAATCCTGGCCTAAGGCTGAGGTCGACGTCGAACAGGCTGATCTCGTGGTTTTCTTCGAAAGTGACAGGCACTATGCCGCCAGCAAGAACATCGCGGAGATTCGCCAAGAGTCGCTGTCCCTCCCACATGTCATGCCAGGGGTCCTCTGCTTCGCCTGCCTCGCCGTGGACCTGCGGGTCATAAGATGGGATTCTGGGGGCCCAGGAATACCACCTCCCATCGACTGAACTACGCCCATTGGCACGAAGTGCTCCAGCTAGCCGGGCATTCATTGGGCCACGAAAATCCGAAGCTTCTCTCCACGCAGTCTGCTGTTGGTCGATGTGATCCAGACAAAAGGCTGGCGCGCGGCTCGACACCCCCCTCCGAATCATGATTGTTGGCGAAAATGGCTCGATTGAAGATACTAGAGATGCAAGCAGGTAACTTAGATGTGGAAAGGTTCTGTTGGTGTACGAAGGTGAGAAGAAGCCTCGGTGTCTGGTCTTGAGACGGATCTCGAGTCGCGTAACTCCTTCCCAATCTCACAGCTTGCTACCACCGTCGCGTCGCGCCTGCTTCATTTTGATCAGGGAATAGGTAGTCTGCAAGCGCGGCATTTCGATCCCTTTCTCTCGTGCAAGGCGGATTGGGGCGCCGAGAATCACCTCGAGCTCCATCTTCTTCCCACCCGCCCAATCTTGTTGCATGCTGGGCACACTTCCACTGGTGTTCTTTTGCGTACTCTTCAGAATCTGCTCGGCTGTGGCATACTCTTTGGGCATCGCTACGCCCACCACTTTGATAGCTGTGGTCAGGACCTCGTCCATGATGCCCTTGAGATGCCTGGACATCTCGTCATCCCGGGCCATGTCAACGTTGGGGCAACCACCGGCAAGCACACTGCTGGGGTTCATGGCAGCGTTGATGGCAACCTTGTGCCACCGCAACATCTGCATCTTCTCTTCGCTGTCGAATTTGGCATCCTTAATCCCAGCTTGCTGCAACCACCGAACAAACTGGTCTCCAACCTTGCATTTGTATGGGGCGACGTTGATCCTCGTCCAACGGTTGTGAACGATGCGACCATGCTCAGGCTGCGCACAGCTAGCAATAGTGACTGCACTCATGACATGGGCCCTTGGGAACCTCTTGACATATGGCTCCTCCACACCCAATCCATTTTGTATGAGGACGATCTTTGTTCCATCACCTACCAGACCCTCAAGCAGCTTGCTATCGTCCGACACATCGGGAAGAGCCTTGGTACTGACTACGATATAGTCCCATTTGCCTCTTGCGTCGGCCGGTTTGCCGAAGACCTGGTGTGGTCGCCAGTTGGAGTTGCCGTATTGTGAGGACTCGACGTTGAAACCGCCTTCCCTCACGGCCTTGAAATTAGATCGACAGACAACAGACACGCGCAACGAGGGGACCAGAGCAAGGCGAGAGCCGTAGAAGGCACCGATTGCGCCGGCGCCAAAGACAAGTACGCTGCTGGTCATCGTGTGATGAGAGGGAGGAAGAGAGAGCGCAGGTTGGAGAAACCGAGGCTCGTGAGAATCGTTTTATCTCCCCACCCCGGCCAATGGTTTAGCCTGATTCATCTTGACCTTTGAGCTACCATCTGGTCCTGTAGGTCGAGACGAGTTCTTCCGATGGCAGAAGGCTATCGGCAGAACATCGCTGCAGCTACAGGCTCGTCGAAAGATGCAGCACTCGAGGTCGGTTGAGGCGTCCAACGCGTCCAACGCGTCCCTGGACACCCCTCATTGATTTGGCCATCACATATCAGGCAGTGAATACCAGAAAGCTTTCTTGTACCATCACCGCGCTTGATGATTGTGGAAATACCCAGCACAAATATACAGCAAGATGGAGAACAGGTCTCGCCCACGATCTGTGCCCCACAAACCTTCCGAGAGACATCGGCTCTGGGCAGCGGCAGCATAGCTCCGGATCGGGTCTGGCCATGAAGATCTAAAACTACATGACTGCCTCCGGATTGACTTCACCAGATTCTTACAAGTCAGAATTGGTACCACTATGGCTACAGAAGCTCTCCCATCGACCCACCGGGCCGCGATCCTCACCCAGCATGGCGACCACAAGTTCTCGTTCGCCACCGAGACCGTCCCCCTCCCCCACCTCGAACCCAGCCAGATCCTCGTCCGCCTCACGCACTCAGGCGTCTGCGGCTCAGACCTTCATCTCGCCTCCGGCCACATGGGCCCCGTGCGCTCCGTCCTGGGCCACGAGGGCGTCGGGCGCGTCGTCGCCTTGGGCTCCGCGGTGTCGGCGGATCTGATCGCCGTGGGTGCCCGTGTTGGCATCGCCTGGGTGCGTGACATCTGCGGGGACTGCGCGGCGTGTCTGCGCGGCGAGGAGGGACGTTGTGGCCAGTTGCTCACCAGTGGAAGGGTGTGGGAGGGAAGCTTTGCCGAGTATGCTGTCGTGCCGGCGCGGTATGTGATTCGTTTGCCGGATGAGGTGGAAGGGCTGGAGGACGAGGTGGTGGCGCCCATACTCTGTGCTGGCGTCACGGCTTACAAGGCGGTGAAGGTTTGCGGGGCGACGCCCGGTGCTTGGGTGGCAGTGTCGGGCGCCGGTGGTGGTGTCGGCGCTTTGGCAGTCCAGTTCGCGGTGGCTATGGGCTATCGCGTGCTTGCCGTCGATGTGGGGAAGGAGCCGTACTGCAGAAACATGGGCGCGGAGGCATACCTCGAAGCCGGTGAGGCGAGTGTCGAGGCTGTGGGGAAAGCCACGGGTGAAGGTGTCCACGCCGTCGTTGTCGCGGCGGGCTTGAACAAAGCATATCAGGCGGCCATCAACTGGCTGGCGCCGTTTGGGACGCTGGTCTGTGTCGGTGTGCCGCCCGAGGATCAGCTCGTCAATTTTCATCCGGCTTGGTTCATTGGCAAAGGTATCCGCATCATTGGCTCCGCAGTCGGGACGCGGCAGGACATTCTCGAAGCGTTGGAGTTTCTTCGCCGGAAAGTCGTGAAGCCCGTCGTGGAAATCGTCGAGCTTGATCAGCTGAATGCCATTACGGATGGACTCGATAAGGTGAATATTAATTTTATACACCCACGCTGACTTTTGTTCTGGCTGACTCTCCTTTCTAGGCGACCAAGAAGTATGTCATCAAATTTTAAGACTGAGTCGGATACGCCACCACGCCGCGACGCTCGTCCTGTAGCAATCGTCGGTCAGGCAGCACGATGGGTCGTCCCAGAACACCAGATCCCGCATCTCTCTATGCTCTGCCTCCATACCATCACGTGTGCTTGTCCCTCCACCAGCGGGTGCTTGCAAGGTCCCGAGTCCCCAACCCGCTGCCCGCTGCCCGCCGAGACGCCCTCGCTTGCTAGTGCCCGTGCCGCTGTCCAGCACGATTGAAAACTTTCGCAGCTGCGCGTCTGACACAAAACGCCCGTCGCTGACCGCGAGTGGATCACGTGGGACGGGACACATGGGGGCGCCAGACGTTGATGATGCCCCAACGGTTTTGGGCGAAGACCTTGGCCAACGCGTGGGGCTGTTGGGGGGATGCGGCGGCGGTTCGCAGGTTGTCACACGTCTAGGTCACGGCGCCGCTATAGCATCGGTCGATGTGTGCGCGCTTAGGTTGGAGCGGAGACCTTGGCGAGTTGCATACCACAGGCGCATCAACACTTGGGTTGGTGAACGCGAGAGGCGCGTCGGAGGAGCCTGGCGGACTCTGTGGTCGACGGGGAAGACGCTCAACAAGGAAGATTTCTGAGCCATTCAAGTCGCCTCGATTCTTCTTCGCTTCTCTTCGTCTCGATATCGATCCCGCGAGGGACTTCGTTTTCTCCTTTGTGGCGAGCGCGACCGGGATCGTGACCTAGAGTATGACCTCCTCCTCGGCCGGTACGAGTCTTGGTCTGATCTCCTCGGCGATCTGGACCGTGATCTAACCCTTGTTGCCGTCCTCGGTCCCAGTGGCGCTGTATTGGCACCGGAACTCTGCAGACCCTTCCTCTCGTCATCTGGTAAAAACCTCTCGTCCACACCCCTCAGGTCCACTCCGTCTCCGTCTCGCCTTGTGGCTGCCCCCATGGCGCCTTTCCATCGGCTTACATCCGAACCAAAACCGCCCGTGTCTTCGTTCCGTAGATCTTTGTACCGCGTCCGGCCCTTCTTTCCCAGCTTGTTCATGTCTCTGATGCGCATGTACTCCGGCAACGCACTTTTATCAGTGACCTCATCCTCAAATCGCGCCCCCATCACATCTCTTTTCTTCAGCACCTCCGCGGCCTCGGAATCCTGGAAGAATGCGCCCTTGTGATGATATCGCGCAAGATAACCTGATTGCGCCTTCCCATCTTTCTCTTCTTGTTGCTTCTGCAGCAAGGCCTTGTCCTCTGCCTCACGCTCTTCCGCCGTAAGGTTTCGCCGGCGCTCGGATTCTTCAATCTCCTTCTCTCGCGCGATGAGGGCTTCCCGGTCACGCTTCAGGCGCTGCAGCTCACGAAGTCGCCAGGCGGCATGCTCGGCCTCAGGGTCTAACCCGTCCGTGTCATCAACGAGCTGGTCGGGTTCGAAGGCATCGTCGTCATCCCAGGCACGGCGACCCTGCGCTCGAGCAAGATTATCGCGGTTGATCTTTTCAGAGATGAGGTAGTCCGTCTCGGCAAGCCGCCGAGCTTTGGCATCGTCCGGGGCAGGTGATTCTGAAACTGCGGCGATCGGTGTAGGAGCAGGCGTGGCGGACTGGGAAGCTGATCCGTTACGGTCGGATTTCTTGATGAATGTCGGACGCTGAAATTTGCGAGTGGGAGCTTCAGATTCTGCTGAGGAGGCCTCGGACTCAGACTCTTCCTCTGAGGATGAGCCTTCCTCTTCGGATTCTTCGTCACTTTGGGCGCCAGCCGTCGAGCGAATGGGGTCTGAATGTGTAGTATCTGGTTTTGAAGTGTCTAGCGGTTTCGATGTTGGTGCGCTGACAGCCGCATCTTGGTCTTCATCTTCGGGGTCGGTTACGAAGCCTTCCTCATCACTATCCTCGTCCGGGGGAGTCTGTGGTTGGGGTCTGGTGGTCTGTGGGCGCGCTGGCGCCTTCTTTGGCGCTGCCTTCCGTTGTGGCTGCTCTTCCTCTGATTCCTCATCTTCGGATGATTCCTCCTCGTGCACCGGCTTGCCTGGTCGGTAGCGTGCGACTGGCCGCGAAGGCTGCGCGGTCATGCGCTTGGAAGGGTTGGGCATCGGAGGAGGCATTCCGTCAGTCGTGATGGGATTCCACGTAGAACCTCGACAGACTCGGTATCAATGCTGGCCGCAAGCCGGGGTCCGAGCGACGTTTGCAGGGAATGCAGGGCTCCAGAAATAATTCGTGGTTGCTGGGCTCGCGTTGCAGCCTGGTGGCCCAGGAGCTCTGCACCTGTTCAGCTGCCAGTCGATGAGATGAACAAGCCGTCTTCCACGTTATCGCTAACCACCCAAATGCCTCGATCTCCTTCGTATACCGGAGCATCCTGAGACGGCCGCTACAAAAAGTCGCATGTTGTCGGCGAGGCTCGAAAATGCCAAGCCCTACGTCAGGTTTCGGCACAAGTTCGGCAGAAGGGTATGCTTCTTCTTCGATGGATTCTTCCAAAGACTCAATACAACACGGAAGCGGAAGCGATAGAAACCGTGGACACCCAGCGTCACACTACTCATCAGAGTCATCTTTGTCATTTTCTCGTCTTGCCGGCGGATTGATTTTGTCATCCAGCCTCATCACGCGGTTCAATATTCTGAATCAGCGCCTCCATGAGAACAACGTTGAGGTAGATCAGGAGGGAGCCCCTACATGGTAGTCATTTCACTGTTTCTGCCGCATTTGTATTCGTTATCAAGTGCCAAACGAAATGCTCAGAACTGCTCCATTCCATCACCCGGACTTTCCCAGGTCTTCATGACCACAACCCCCGTCCTAACTACCTCACCATTCCCCACATCGATAACCGACTCCCTCACCTCCCGATACCCAAACTTCGCATAAACCCTCCTTCCCATAAGACTCGCCTCCGTAATCGACTCCAAACTCCCCCTCTCTCTCGCCTGCTGCATCCCCCACTGCACCAGCGCCTTCCCGACCCCCTTCCCCTGCCAATCCGGCCTGACAGCACACAGATCCAGCGCCATCACCGCCGGCGGGCCGTTCAACTCCCCCCTCTCATGCTTCTCCATCACTTCCTGGAGCAGCCCCACCCGCTGCAACGAACTGCCCAGATACAGCTTCGCGAGGTATGCCTGCCTCTCGGCATCACCCGGCGCACACGCCTCGACATTCACCACCTTCCTCGCCCCCTCATCGCTCTGTGCGGGCACAATGCCGTGCTGAGGGTCGAGAGAGAGCTGCAGCCAGCGCGCCACTCCAACGATCTCCCTGCCTGCCTCTGTGCCATCAGCACCACCGCTGCTGCTGCTGCTGCTGCTGCTGCTGCTGCTGCTGCTGCTGCTAGGATCTCGAGGAACAGTCGCGACAGCATACACGGCATTCCTCTCACCCGACGCGTTCAACGGGGTATTGACGAAATTGTCCCAGCGCCGACGCAGCATCTCGGCACCGCGCGGGATGCCGGCGTCGGTCTCGTAGCCGGGGTTGAAGGTCGTCCAGAAGAAGTCGTGGGTTTGGCGGCCGAGGGAGAGGGCGGCGGTGGTGAAGATGGCGGTGAAGTCTGCGGGGGTGGGGGAGGGGAGGGGGGAGATTTGGAAGGTGGGTGATCCTGGCATGGTGAGGGCGCGGTGGGATAACCCTGGTGCTATGTTGGTGGGGAGATGTTTTATGGTAGAGTCCCTGATGTCGTTGAGTGGTGGGTGTTTGGAGTGATGATGGATGCCCCATGTGGCAATCGGACGGGAGCGCTTATGTTCAGCAACCACCTACTTTAAGCAGACGATACCGGTGTCTTATATTCCAAAATCCCACGGTGGCCTAATTAGTCATGTTGCACCATCTGGCGCATCCACAATACCAGGTCTGCACATGACCGGAGCGTATCTTGAAACGAACGGCACCAATTGTTCCTTGGCACCCGGAGAACACGTCGAGTGATCCAGCCGCATCTCAGGTAGTGGCTTGGGCGCCGAACAATGTAGACCAGTTCGAGTTCGTAACATCCTCAAGGGGGTTTACGTTCGATAGCTGGGAGCCATCATCAGACCTAGTCGTGCTGCGCTAGATCTGTTGCGCTGCCGGTGGCAGTACCGCACGGCCCGAACAGGCTTAGCGCGCTTTTCACTGCCTGCTGCGGCTCTACCAGGCGACACTGCATGCAAGGAAATCGTAAGAGGAAGTAGTATATGTCACACGGCGTGGTTCAGTCGACCTTTCTACAGGAGGAAGATGTTCGGGCATATCATCAATGTAGTGGAAAGATGGCAGAATCGCGTTCGCTCGTTTGTACAAGTCGAATAAACACGACTCAGCAGCTGATGCGCCTTGCATCCAATTCGCCTCTTGTGGACAAAACCACGCGCGAAACGCCGACGAGGCCGAGGTGCCTTCAAAATCGTGTGTAGCACTGAGCCTTACATTTCTAATCTCAGACCTCACTTGTTGCCAAGGCAGTAAGAGTAGACCTCCCCCCATTTCTACCTCGTTCCCATTAAAGTGCGGCATCATCCGGACATCCTTCCTGCTCGCACTCGCTCTCAGTTCTCCTCAGCCCACGTCCGATACCACTCCAGACACTCCTGATTCGCGACGCTCGCGCTCGTCTTGATATTGAGACCGCACAGAATCTGCTTGACCGCGCCCTCGACCTTCTTGCCGTTCATCGTGTAAGGGATCTCAGGCGTCTCGGTAATGACAGCTGGCACGTGCCGGGCACTCAACTCCTTACGTACGACATCTTGGATCTTCTTCTTGAGCTCGTCGGTGAATTTTTGATCTACGGCCATCTTGACGAACAGCACCACCACCTCGTCCGGATCGCTCTCGCGCTTGCGGCCAATACACAGGGCGTCCTCGACCTCGGTCGCAAAGTGCTTGAGGATGACGTTGTAGATCTCACTGCTGCCGAAGCGCACGCCGCTGGGGTTGAGGACGCCGTCGCTGCGGCCCAGCATGTGAATGCCGCCGGTGACCGGGTTGAAGCGCACAAAGTGGCCGTGGTGCCAGATGGGCTGTCCTCGAGCGTTGGTGTATGTCTCGAAATAGCTAGACTGGTAGCGCCGCGCGCCGGCCTCGCCCGGAGGCCAGAACATTACCGGCTGGCAAGGGAAAGGCACGGTGCAGACTAGCTCACCCGGGGAGCCAGTGGCGCTGATGTCCTTGCCAGAGGCATCGTAGCAAGCGATGGCCATGCCGAGGCCACGCGCTTGAATTTCGCCTTTGTGCACCGGAAGGAGCGGGCAGGGAGCGCCGAAGAGGGAGACGATGTCAGTGCCGCCGGTGATCGAGCCGAGGAGCAGGCCTGGGTGGGGTGGTGGTGGGGAAAGTTGGCTATAGACGTAAGAGAACGTGGAGGGAGCCAGGGGGCTGCCTGTGGAAAAGATGGATTTGAGAGATGCGAGGGAGGCGGACTTGGGTGTCGCAGTACGAGGAGATATGTTCGCCTGTTCGAGAACTGAGAGGTATTTGGCCGAGGTGCCGAAGTGGTTGATCTGTAGCTCGTCAATCATCAGGGGCATGGACATTTCTTTATGTGGCTGGAATGGCGAGCCGTCGTAGAGAATTAGAGTGGCGCCGGACGCGAGACCAGAGACCAGCCAGTGCCACATCATCCATGTGCATGTGGTGAAATAGAACAGGCGTTCGCTGGGTCGTATATCACATTGCAGCTGGTGCTCTTTCTTGTGCTGCAGCAGAGTACCAAGTGCACCGTGTACGATGCCTTTGGGGGTTCCAGTTGTGCCAGAGGAGTAGAGGATATACACGGGATGGTCGGGAGGAAGGGATTTAAAGGTAAGTTGACGGGACGGGAAGCCCGATGAGAGAAAGTCGGTGGAGGTCTGCGCTTTAGCACCAGAAGGAGCGGGGATGCTGCCAAGGTCGAAGCTATACTCTTTGATGGTATCGAAAACGACGACGTTCTTTAGTGAGGGTAGTTTGGAGACGACCTCGGCGACCTTCGCTTGCGTTGGATGTGTCTTGGCATTGTAGGCCACGGCATTGTCCACGAAAAGGATGACCGGCTCGATCTGGATTAAACGATCTAGAACGGCCTGAACGCCTGTGTCGGGACTGACGCCAGTCCACAGAGCACCTAGCGATGTTGCAGCAAGCATGGCCACAACAGTGTTGGCATGATGTGCAAGATAGCCTGCAACACGGTCACCCACCGAGATGCCGGCAGCATCCATAGCGGCAGCACATATTCGGACGCGCTCACGGAGCTCAGCCCACGTAATGGTCTCGCGATCTTCTTCGGAAGCGGCAATGATGGCTGGAGAGTCTGCTGGGGGATCGCTGGCGGGGAAGAGCAGGTTCTCGGCAAAGTTCAGCTCACAGCCAGCAAAAAACTCTGGTTTGGGGAACATGGCAGATTCATCGTCGAACGTGGAGGAGGGAGCCTTGGTAGCCCTGATGCCGGTATATTCCCAAATCTCCCGCCAGAATGGTCCGGGATTCTGAACCGACCACTGCCATAGATCATGATAGGACGACAACTTCACGCCGTGACGCTTGGCAATATGCTGTTGGAAAGTGTAGAGCTCGGTCGTCTCTGGGGTTGGATGCCGCCACAGCTCGACAGTCTCGTCAGCATGGGCATGGCCATTGAGGCCGTTGTTGGTGTCCATGCTGCTGGTATGCTAGTAGTTCACAGGAGAGGGAGAAAATGTGGGGAAGGTTCCGGACGAGGTGATGGATCGTGATGGATAGAGTGTGAATATTTAATTTTTTGTGCGATTAAGCTCGCCATTGGCTAGAGCTCGACTAACTGACCTCGGATGTCGTAGATCGCAGAGAAAAGCGATATCGGATAATATTAGGAGACTCCCGGGCCCTACCGTGCGAACACTGATTGCTGCTTCACCCGTTAGCTATGTGGTTACTGCCAAGTGCGATATTGTAGGGATGTGCAGTCATTTGGTGCGAAAACGCGTCGAAGCGCGTCGTAGCGAGTCCCGACTTAATCTCGGAACCACCAAGGCGGAAGCCGAAAGCAGGAGTTGAATGGAGCAGCGGCAACCCCTGCTTACTCGGGTTTGCCGTAAAAATGGGATGGACTGGTGAGCGAGCGCCGTACAGCTTGAAACCCGCCCACCACGTGCAATGGAGCAGGTCGACTGAAGGACTTGTCATTACTGCCGGTAGTGACGTTGAATAGAGGCAACAAGCTGCAAAATCCTCTGCTGACGCTGAAAAATTTAATGCGCGCATAATCATAGTCGGACGCTCGGACCACGATGCCGTGCAGCCCCTAAAGCGCAACGGTGTCTAGGCGTTCGGCAAGGCTTTTAGGCGATTGCCAGCCACTCATAACCCCGAGCTGCCAGCCTCGGGCGACAGGGGGCTCGCGTAGGGGGTGGATGGGGGCCGGCCAATTTCACGATCTTACTCCGTATGGCCTTAATCTCCAGCCATGACTGAACAAGATCTGCCATTTCGTGCCTCCTGAAGCTTCTTCCTTTTCTCTTTTTACTTGTCACCTGCAAGTTGTGCGTCTTGCATCTCGACGACGACAGCGGCAAGGAGTCGACGGCGATCCCAAGTCAGGCCTAAATCCTGAGCCTTCCGGGTAGTCCGGAGGAGTCGCACTCGTACCCGCGCCCGCATACGACTCAGCTGCAAGGCACAGCTTAGTGGCAGACTTTTGACGCTGCGGATACACCGGTTCTGCACTGTCATCATTGCCATCGCGTCCTATCACATCCTATCACCTCAGCTGCATCATCCACCAGAGCGTCAGCATACCTATTCTGTCCCTTCCCCAGATTTGATCTTTGCTTCGCCCGAACCGAGCCTCAAACCTCGTCGCCACATCATACCACCTGTACACCGACCTTGCTGCAGTCCGCAGCTGTCCAAGACTTTTCCTCTACACCGCAACTGCACGACCTATAAACGTCCGAAACCCACCGACCGACCGCTGACCGCTGCCCGACTTGCCATTGCGCGTTTCAGCACCGGCGTTGTGCGTTGATAAGAGTCGCTGTCTGTACTCCGCAGTTGTCCTATACCAGTTTTGCCATGCCGCGTCGATTGTCCCAGGCTTTAAGCAGTTCACCTACCACTCCTTGGCCGTCCTTTTCTCCCGCTGAAAAGGGCGGCAATACTTTCGTTAAGCAGACCTCTGCGAAAGCCAGCAAGATTGCCCACTTCTTCTCCACCTCGCCCAAGAGCAAGCAAGAGGCGCAGACCGCCGCTGCGGCGTTGCTTGCTGCGAGTAGAGCCCAGGAGCAAGCGTTTCTCAACTCTGGGCCCATTACCGGACCCTCGCTGTCATTACCAACAATTTCTTTGTCGACAGCTCAGGCCGACTCTCAGAACATGGACGAGCCTACTACCACTCTCTTCCAGCCGCCTTCAGCGGCCGAGGCGAGGAAACTTGCTAAACAACATGCCCAGTTTGGTCCTCTCAATTCGGTCGCACACCGCTACCCTAGTCGGCACCCGGGCGGCGAATTTCCCGAGCCAGTCCTCGACGAGCCTCCTTATTTTTACCTCTTGACCACCTATATTTCCTACCTCATTCTTATCATTTTCGGTCATGTTCGCGACTTCTTTGGCATGAAATTCAAAGAGGACAAATACCGCAACCTCAAGGCGCGCAATGGATACGCCGCCCTCAATAGCGATTTTGATAATTTTTATGTTCGACGCCTGAAGATGCGCATCAATGATTGTTTCAATCGGCCTACTACCGGAGTTCCTGGCCGGTATATCAACCTGCTCGACCGCACCTCCGACGACGGCAATTTCCATTTCAAGATGACCGGCACCACCACCGAGACGCTCAATGTTAGTTCCTACAATTACCTCGGTTTTGCGCAATCCGAGGGTCCCTGCGCGGATGCCGTAGAGGAGGTCATCCGCCGCAACGGCCTTTCTACTTGCAGCTCGCGCGCCGATGCTGGCACAACTGATATGGCGATCGAGTGCGAGGAGCTGATCGCCGAGTTCGTGGGCAAACCTTCGGCCATGGTCTTCTCAATGGGTTTCGGCACCAATGCAGCCATTTTCCCTGCTTTGGTTGGCAAGGGCGATCTTATCATCTCCGACGAGCTTAACCACGCCTCAATTCGTTTTGGTTCCCGCCTGTCTGGCGCTATGATTGAATCCTTCAAGCACAATGATATGAAAGATTTGGAGAAGCGGCTGCGCGAAGCCATTTCACAAGGCCAACCTCGCACTCACAGACCCTGGAAGAAGATCCTGGTCGTTGTTGAGGGTCTGTATTCCATGGAGGGCACAATGTGTAATCTGCCAGGTTTGGTCCGTCTGAAGAAGCGTTACAAGTTCCATCTTTTCATCGACGAGGCTCATTCCATTGGCGCTCTCGGTCCCCGTGGTCGTGGTGTCTGCGATTACTTCGGCATCAACCCTGCAGAGGTTGATATTCTCATGGGAACTCTGACCAAGTCTTTCGGCGCCAACGGTGGCTACGTCGCCGGTGAAAAAGCCGCGATGGACAAGCTCCGGGTCTCCAATGCTGGTACCATCTACGGCGAGACGATGAGTCCTGCTGTTCTAGCACAGATCATGGTTGCTCTGAGACTTATCAACGGCGAGATTGTTCCCGGCCAGGGCGAAGAACGGTTACAGCGCATCGCTTTCAACTCGCGCTATCTTCGGCTAGGGCTCAAGAGACTCGGCTTCATCGTCTACGGCAACGACGACTCACCCATCATCCCGATCCTGCTTTACCACCCAGCCAAGATGCCCGCTTTCTCACACGAAATGCTGAAGCGCAAGATCTCGGTCGTGGTCGTTGGTTATCCTGCTACACCTTTGATCTCTAGCAGAGCTCGATTCTGCGTCTCATCCGCGCATAACAAGGAAGATATGGACCGAATCCTCGCTGCCTGCGACGAAATCGGCAATGTTTTATCTCTCAAGTTTGCCAGCGGCATTGCTGGTGGTGCTCCGCCTCTTCCTGAGGGAGTCACCTGGGAGATGGAACAAAGCCGCAAACGTCTCGAGAAGCACGACAAGGTCTCCAAGGCCATGGTCGTCAGCCCACGCTGGACACTGGACGAGGTCATGAGACGAGGCGTGCAAGACGTCAAGTATCCTTTGCGATAAAGCCATTGTATATTACAACAAACATCCGATGAGTTTGATGACAAGACCGTTGTGCGTCTACCGGCATGGAGTTCTGGAATGGATGGGGCATTCTGCTTCTAGAGCTCTGCTCGAAGCTATTGTAGATAGAATTATCGGAGCCCTAATTGGCCCAGCACTGCGCCGCCATCTTAGACTTGCGTTTTTGCGCAACATTGAAGATACTCATTAATGATCCTCACATTCCCATACTCGCCACGAGCTCTTGTGCGCTGTCCCTGTTGGCCCGGTCCATGTTGCTACTGGTGTACCAGCCTCAGCCTTGGCAGTTGTGCCCACCAACGTCGCCATTTCCGCTGTGACCATTCCGCTGGCTGGGGTTGACAATATTCCTATCCGATAGCATTGCCGCAGCGTGGGACAATGCATCGATTGGTGTCATGGTATCGTTCCATGCGTCTGCGGACAAGCCCCGTCGCTCCCCCACCACAGCGCTAATGCATCTACCGCTGCAGCCCGAGTGGTTTCTTACAGCTGTCAGTCACATGTCGCTTGCACTGTGGAACATGGGTCTCTCGATCGACGCTAGAATGACATTCCATCACCATCAAAGTCGACTACCGTCTTCATTTCAAGTCCCACGATTGCCTTGACGCCACCAGACTTCATGCGTGTACGGGCCGCACACACACACGATCGATGCTGTGTCTTAAGCATCTCACCTCAACAAGCAAGTCTTCAATGGCTGTTGCCCATACTACAGCTGCGGTGCTGTGCTGTGCTGTGTCATGTTGCGGTCTTCCCTTCACAAAAGGAAGTATGAGTAATAGGCTTTCTCTCGTATTCATGGTCGATAGACTCTGTGGGCGCGGCCCGGCGGGCCGCGCCTCCTCCCTTCAGCTACTGGCTAGCTTTGTGTACCTTTCTTTCGTTGATCCATTTACGTTGACTTTTATTACATGACTACGTCAGATTTGGCGGCTCGTATAAAGCTCAATCGAGAAGGAGGGTTCGGCGTTGACCATCAAGGTCCAGCTTCGGATGAGAAGGGCGCACTTCAAAGAAAATTCAAAACGCGGGTTTGGAATTCTCGCACGAAAGAAACAGGGCTATGTCCTGTTCGGCAGACGCAGAGAAGCGAGCGGACAGCTGAAGAGCAAATCTCGAATAGGACCTGATATACTATTAATTCATCAACGAGTTTTAGCGCTTATACCGAACTCAATTCCGCATGTGATAGAGCTTTCCCAATGCTTTTCATACGGATTCTAGAAGCACACATGAAATGGCTGCTCTCGAGTTCCACGGCCCATCTTACCTCTCAGCTGGTGTTGTTCGCCAGCTCACAGCGGCTTTTGACCGTAGACAACATAGCTATTCCGAGTCAGTCCGCACCCTATGATAACTGTAGCGTGTCAATGGCACTTACGATTTCTGATATCCGTGGTATGCTCGGGTGCCAAACTCCTTGCGAACACCCGCCAACAGCACCTCGACCTCGGCCTGGGACCAGCCAAGTATGCGCGTGAAAGGGCCCATGGTGAAGCCACCCAGCCCTTCCATGAAGTTCAGGTATGTGTACTACAAGGAATATATCGTCAGACTTTGCGTCCGTCGCGTGAAGGGATACTTGGCTCACCCTGCCGATTTCCTTGAATCGCGGATCCTTGGGCCAGTCATTGCTGGGCCTCTTGAATTCCTCAACCTGGACCTTCTCGAACCCAGCCTGTTCGAACATGGTTTTGAGTTCCGAAGCCATCGGCCAGGGCCGGCCGATCTTTTGCATGGCTGACACTAGGTTCTCTGCCCAGCGGACGTAGTGACCATCCATCGGGAATGTGCCATCGTCACTATCTCCTGTAAGCCGAATGCAGCTGCCTACCGAGGAGTCGAGTCTGACCTGTAGATGCCCGCCTCGACCTCGTTCTGTTCGAACCAGCTGCCTGGTTTCAGGGCTCGGAAGGCTTGTCGCAACAGAGCGGGTTGGTCCTCAACGGAGCCGATCAAAAATCGACCGTGGATGAAGTCGAAATGATTTTCGCCAAAAGTCCTGAAGGTCGAGACCAGGCTGTCAACTCACACCCCCAAGAAAATGGAAGGGATCACCCGCATCACCATTCATGACCCGTGTGTACAAATATGAGAGTGGCTAATGATGAGAAAGATTTGACTCACCACTCGTCTCTGAAATCATCGATCTCGAATTTCACATTTGGTGGAACTATTTCCGACTGTGTTGGAGATAGATCTACGCCGGTCACCATGGCAGCCGGATACGTGTCAGCCATGTCTGTGGCCCAAATACCAGTACCGGTTCCCAAGTCCAGCACCTCGCTCGGATCATTTAAAGGTGACAGATGCAACTTTCCCAGCAGGAGCGCTTGATTATGGTGCTCAATATCCATCTGATTCAACGCTTGATCATCGTTCGGGTAGAGGTAGGAACCCTCCTTGTACGCATGGTATCGGCGCCCATGTTCAAAGCGATAATTCAGAATGTGGGATTTCAACGACGTGGTGTCGCTCGCGATCGAGGTGCCATAGGTCGAGTCCTGGTCGTCTGAATCTGCTTCCATCCCGACAATGATTGAAGTGCCAGAAGAGTCTTTGCCTTGCTCCCCTGGTCTTTTTTTGACGGCCCAAGGAGTTGCTGACTCGGCGGTTGAAGTGTCCCACGCGCGTCCCACCTGCCCGATTCCGCGACTTGGCAGCTCATGCGGTGCGACGTGGCGGCTCAAGGGTGATAGGTACCAGATCAGTACCGCTCATGCGCCGAGTGAACTAGTAGACGACCCGTTCTTTCCACGAACTGCAGCATCGGCCGCTCACAAGGTAGATAAAAGGCAAGGTTAGATCCATTCCTCTGAAGGTGAGATCAAGTTTTGCCTCCAGCGCAAGCCAAATGAGTGCGCCCAATGACGTCGAGAACGGCCCTGTGCCGGTTGGGGTGCACATGGTCGGTTCTGTACCCTTACCGTCGGCTAGCGATGTCTTCACAACGCTTTCAGATGCACTACCAGGACGCTTGCAGCGGATGCCGGATGGGGAGACCGGCAGTCGCCAGCAGTTTGTAGTCTTCCAGCGCGAGGTTTTTGCCGCTGCACCTCAGGTACTCCGACAGTATGACTCCAGTTTCAATTCTGTCAACGGCCCGGTACCTAGCCAGAGCGAGCTGGACGCAGCTGTGGAAGCAATTCAGCAGTCGGGCACGGCTTCAACGCATTACGATACCAATGCTTTCGAGTCGTATAAATCCTTCAAGTCATTACAGGATGCGGGCAAAATTCCCAGCACTGTGAAATTCCAGGTCTCGCTGCCGACACCTATCAATGTCCTCTGCATCGTTGCCGAGGGCTATCAGGCAGCCGTCGAGCCTCTCTATGAGGAACTGCTGCTCGATGCGCTTCGAAACATCCAATCTACAATTCCCCACGAGTCTTTGAGCATCCAATGGGATGTCGCCGCCGAGTTCGCCATGCTCGAAGGTGTCTTCTGGCCACACTTCAAACCATGGTTCTCCCCTATCCGCGAAGGTATCATTGAACGCGTCTCGCGTCTTGTAGATGCCGTCGATCCAGATGTTGACGTCGGCCTACATCTTTGCTATGGCGACATCGGTCACCGGCATTTCTTCGAGCCTGCGGACACGGCGAAGCTGGTCGATATCGCCAACGCTGTCGAAGCTCGAGCCAGCAGGTCTCTCACCTATGTGCACATGCCAGTACCCCAGCAACGCACCGATGCCGCCTATTTTGCACCGCTACAAGACCTCAAGCTTGCCTCGGGAAGCCTGTTCTTGGGCCTTGTCCACTACAACGATATCGAAGGCACCAGACAACGGATAGCCGCCGCGACAGGAGCCTTGAAAGGCAGCCAATATGGAGTCGCTACCGAATGTGGCATGGGTAGGACGCCGCCTGAGCAGCTGAGCTCTATCCTTGAAATTTCTGCTGCGGTCACGGGAGTCTACGGCAATTAAGGTGTGGAAAGACAATGTCTACAGCTGCTTGCTGTTGAACGAGACAGCATTTCAGATTTCCAGTTTCGTCGTGCTCCGCGGCTTGATGGCCGCGAACAAACATACGTGGCGCAGATCCGACAGCATTCGACGCCCCTCCCAGCAGGATCCTGCTGGTGGTCTTACAACATGCCTTCGGCCCCCTTCGGTCACAAACGCTTCCCTCTCGACTCAGTACCTTGCGAGGTGGTGGCAATTTAATACATCGACCCTGGTCAGCATGAGGCTGGCGCTCTGCCCTATTCATCAATTGTAGGAGTCTGTATGAGTCGGGTGCTTCAGTAAAGATCTGAGGCGTGAAGATGAGGACTTAGGCAGAGAACAGTTGTGTGAATACTTCGACGTGCCGTACATTGGGTAGAGCAGATGGCTATCGTATGCCTGGACCTGTAAGAAGGGCATGTGGAAGTACTTTTTGACCGTCAGTGGAAGTCCTGTTTCTTATCTACTTCCTGAGACGGGAGCAGAAAGAATTGACCCTTCCGATGGCAACTCCCAGATTCGGTCGAGGATCGGGCGGATACCACAGGCGGGACGCGTCCTAAGGCACGTGGGTTTCGACACTTTCTGTCAGAAGACGGCATGAACCAGTCCACTGAATAACACACAGGCCGAAAAATGCAGGCTGCAATTGAATCTACCCACTGCTCTTCCGACCGGCACTATACCCAACAGAGTAGTCTGCAGACCCAAACAGGTAAAGGGCACGCGATATGAACCTTGTCCTCGGTGCCTATGAGCGCCGACCCCGGGGGCCTTTACCTGATCACTCGTATCAGGGCTTCTATACTGTGAACGAGGTGAGAGCACAAGATCTGTTGACGGCGTGACTTGCCCGATGATGCTCTATCGTCAGCATCACTGCTTCGGCGAATCGGCACGGCTCCCCCGAAAACGCATCGGGGGTCCTGCTCAGCAGTCGCCGGTTGGCCTTACATCAGCATGGTATTGGCAAGAAGTCATAGTCATGTATAAGTGAGCAGTCGGGCGCACTGTTGGCTTCGCAAGATGAACCATATCGCCTCATCTCGTTGTAACGTCTCCGCCGCCGGACCGCAGAAAGAATCTGAGCTCGCCAGAACAGGACCCAACGCTCTCTTACTCGCTCGCCAATCTTTTCCAAAGGACTAAGCAGTCACCGCAGTGAGCCATGTACTCACACCAAACCGCCTTCACCATAGCGCGCTCCATCAGCCGCCTCCTCCGCCTCGTGCTAGCCACCTTCCATGGCTTCTGCGCGCAGGCACATCTCACGCACCGCCTCACACCCGGTTTCGCCGAGCTGGTTGACGCGTCGATTCCCGAATTGAACCAGAAGGTGTTTGCGCCGCTGCAGCTCAGCAACGGAGGCCTCAATCTAGCAATGCTGCTGGTCAATCTGTGGCTAGTGGGCACGCTGGTGTCGAATTCGACGGCCAGAATCGGCGTGAACTCGGCGCTGTTCTTCTTGTCGCTGGGGTTGTGGGGGGATCTTGCTATCAGGCAGTCACCTGCGCCGCACATTGTGTTGTTGTCACTGGCGGGGATGGCGCTGTGGACGGACGTATAGATGGGTGGAGAGGGTGGAGGTGGGCATGCTGCGGGACAGCACGATGCTAATCTGCACCGGAAATAGAGATTCGCGGGATTAATGCTGTTGATATATGGGACTGAAAGAGAAGGAAGGGCCTTCTTACGCTACAGGTTATGGGTTTTTGCAGAACTTAGTTACGATTCTCTACCTTCCGTACAGAACAGTGCCCCGCATCTATATTTCATCCATACTTCTGCCGACGCAGCAAACATAGTTGACTACATTATCACGTCCAAACACCTCATACTTGCAGTATTGTCTCGTATGTACATCAGCTGGTATTTCCTAAACATTGATTGAAATCCTGTACCACCATCTCAACCTCTGAGCACGCCGCGCGGCTCAACATCCTGTCGTGAAACATTTGTTAGCCACCTCCAGCTGGACCAGACTGGCACTTGGCTCTTTGAAATACCTCACAGTCCTGGTGAACGTCGTGCTTTTGCCCAGTTGTGAGAGCCACTAGGCGAAGAGCGTCGTGATATGCTAAGTTGAGCATCGCCTCTCAAACCACCCTCGGTCTACTCTACGCGCCGAGAGCAGCGTCAGCCCCTCGCTGTGCTCCAGGCATTAACGAACTGGAAAGCCGTAAGTGGCCTGAAGAGCCTCCAATCGACCTCTTCCTGTTTCGGCGCACCACCGCCGCAAACCCCCCACCCATGCCCCAAGTCCGCGTCCTTCCACCCGACCCATCCTGGCCCGCCTACTTCGCCCTCTTCGCCCATCAAATATCCACATACCTCATCACGGCTCAAGTCCCCTACACTACGATTCTCCACATCGGCAGCACCTCAATTCGCCACCTAGCCGCCAAGCCCAACATCGACATCGTGATCTTGGTCGCGGACGCGGCAAGCGCCGAGCGCGCCGCCAACGCCCTGGTCTGGGAGCCCCCACCGCAGGAGTACTACAAGCGCATCGGCGACGGCGGGATCCGCGGGCGCCTGAGCCTGAAGTTCCAGGACTTGAATCGCGAGCCGCGCCGGAGTGTGTATGTTGTGCACGAGGGTGATGCGGAGGGGATGCTGGGGTTGCGGGGGTATTTGGATCTGAAGCGTGTGTTGGAAGAGGATGAGGTGCTGAAGAGGGAGTATGAGGCGGTGAAGTGGGGTTTGTTGCAAGAGGGGGTGACGGATGGGGTCGTGTATGGACGGGGCAAGGATCAGGTGATTGCAAAGATCTTGAAGGCGGCGGGCTGGGCCGACGAGGAGGTGAGGAGGAAGGAGGAGCTGGATCATCGTGTCGTGGGGGAGGCTCAGGAGTGGCGTGAGGAGTGGCCCTACTGATAGTCAAGGGAGCAGTATGAGCATTGTACTAGTGATGATGTTTGAGTGAGGCACGAGAGAGCCGTAACACAGTAGAGGGACAGCAGGAATTCTCCCGACTTAAGCCCCAAGTCAAGCAGAAAAAGGCTGTAGAAAGAGCTCTCAATTTGATGCTGAACCTCACCATCCAGCGGTAAGATCCAAGCATCTCACTCAGCCCCGTGAACGAAGATAGATTCGTCCACGAGGAGCTTTCCTACTATATCTCTCCATAAGTGAAGCCCTCCAACTTCGACGGTAGGCTGCGAGGCATCATAGAATGTGTCCGACTCAGTACTGAGCAGCATCTACGCCGCAGTTGCAGTGGCATACTTCGGACGACTTCGATACCAATTCCGCGATTCAAGAAGTGTGCACAGCACTACAGGGTCTTTCTACTTAAGGCCATGCGTGAGGGTGTCATAATCCACAATATCGAAAGTTGAAGGCAAATGGAGGTGGTAAAGAGCATGTTGTGAGCACGTGAAGGACAGACTTGAATAGCATGGTCATCAAGATTCGTAGAACAATAGTGAACAGAACGAAGACGCATGATGAGCGAGCAGTGGTGGAAGAAGTCGAAGCTTGGCACCAAAGCACTTTAACGCGAGACGCGACGCGTCTTTTCTCCAACAATTCTGATATCATCACCAAAGAAGCAATTGTCATCTGCGCTACGCATTTCTTCAGTGGCTCAATCATTGAAGCCCATATCACATCAACATGGCATTGTTGGTGGACAAACTGCGACCTCGCTCGCTCGAGGCTCTTACCTACCACCAAGATCTGTCAGCCCGCCTTTCCTCACTGGTACGCCTCTATGGACGATGCAGCAGGCATTTCTAACAGATCTAGGCTGCATCTCCCGACTTCCCACACCTCCTCTTCTACGGTCCCTCTGGAGCTGGCAAGAAAACGCGCATCCTCGCAACACTCCGCGCCCTCTACGGCCCCGGTGTCGAAAAGATCAAAATCGATGCCCGCGTCTTCCAAACCTCCTCTTCTCGCAAGCTCGAGTTCAACATCGTCTCATCGGTGTACCATCTAGAGATCACCCCTTCAGACGTCGGCAACTACGACCGAGTCGTCATCCAAGAACTCCTCAAAGAAGTCGCACAGACCCAGCAAGTCGACCTCAACGCCCGTCAGCGCTTCAAAGTCGTTGTTATCAACGAAGCAGATTCCCTGACCCGCGATGCCCAAGCCGCGCTCCGTCGCACCATGGAGAAGTACAGCAACAACGTGCGCCTCATCCTCGTCGCCAACTCGACCGCCGGCATCATCGCGCCCATCCGCTCGCGAACGCTCCTCATCCGCGTTGCCGCGCCCACCGAAACACAAATCACCGACGCGCTGGCCAAAGCGGCAAAGAAGGAGAACTGGAAAGCCCTCCCGGAACTCAACGCCCGCATCGCCAAGGAGTCCGGCCGCAACCTCCGCAAAGCCCTGCTGATGCTCGAAGCCATCTACGCCTCCACGCCCGAACCCAGCCCCAGCACCGCGATCCCCCCCGCGGACTGGGAAGTGCTGGTGGCGGAGATCGCCAACGACATGATCCGCGAACGCTCCCCACAACAGATCCTCCACGTGCGCGCCAAGCTGTACGACCTGCTGACCCACTGCATCCCGGCGACGATGGTGCTGAAGACGCTGACGTGGCAGCTGGTGCGGCACAAGCAGGTCGATGACGAGCTCAAGCCGCAGATTGTGCGCTGGGCCAGCTTCTACGAGCACCGCATCAAGGGCGGGAGCAAGGTCATCTTCCACTTGGAGGCCTTCGTCGCCAAGTTTATGCGCATCTTCGAAAGCTATCTGATGGGGATGGAGATGTAGACAGGATCAAAAAAAGGGCCACGAATTTGTGGCATGACGTAAGGGCTTTTTCGTCGCAAAGGGGTCAGAAACTGTTTGGAGGGAAAAGATGGCTTTATGACATGATGGTATTGCATTGCTATGGCGTTTTCGTCGCATCTGTTCTGAGATGCATCTATTGCAGGGCGTTGGAGGCATTAGGCCAGGTAGAAAGTAGGTCTTCGTGTTGGATGGCGTCTAGCATCTTCCACAACTCACCTCATTTCCTTTGTGTTTACAAACTTGCAGGTTTGCCAAACCTGGCAGGATGAGGGGTATATTACCACTCATCCTCCTGCCTTTAGTTCTAGCTCTGTATCAATTCAACTCAACTCATCTTCTCAGTATCTGGGATCCAAGTTTCAACACTTCGACTGTCTGACCTTGAAAGAGACATGTATACCCGACCGAGATCGGATCGGTCGACAGTATCAACCACGACCTTGTCACAGGTCAATCGCGTTCACTGTGCCCCTGCCTGTAGAGCTTACAGCATCTAGCTGTTGAGGTACCGTGCTACCGCCCCTCTCAACTTCCTTCCACCCTCGCCCGCAACGTTGATTAGATTCTCTAGATCGTCGCCTGCGGTGAGGCCCATTTTCCGTACGAAATCCTTGGCGACCGTCTCCATGTCGCCGTAGTCGCCGCCTTCAAGGCCCGTCAGATCATCCTCGGGGCGGCCAAAGTAAGCGTTGCTCGAGATCGAAGTCGCGCCTTCGAAGCCCTGCAAACGCGTCTTGGCTTCTGACTGTGCTGAGGGGTCGTAGTTATTGCGGCCAAAGAACTCGTCCGAGGAGATGGATTTCTGGCTCGAAAACTTCTGGCGGGCATAGTCGTCTGAGTCATCTGTTCACGTCAGTAAGGGCTCGGTTGTGGAAGTGGACGTGTTTACCTTCGGCGGCAGCAGCTTTGGCTGTGCCAACTGCACCAAAGCCAAGCTTCTTGGGCGCCGGAGCGGACGAAGCAGACTTTCCAACCTGGCCAAACCCAAGACGGCCCGCACCCATACCTAGGCGCTCGACTTCACTCGGACTTCGTTGGTGCTGGGCTTTGCTTGTGGCTTGTGAGGGACTGATGGGCGTAGGGGCGATGATGGGAGTCTCCTTTGCTGCAGCAGTTGCCTTATTCTGCGTGGCTGCCGCAGCTTCGTCTTCGGGATCATATCCCAACTTTTCTATCCGCTCTGCCTCAGCCTTTGCAGCCTTCTCAGCAGCCTCGAAATCCAGGTCGTCCCCACCAACTTTCTTTGCACCAAGCTTAGTCGTCTTCTTGGCTCCTAGGATATTCTTCTTCGCACCGCCTGCCGGACCCTTCCGGATCGCGGTCGACGAAGTTGTGCGGATGGCAGTTGGTGCGGGCAGGTTCTTCTCAGCATCTTCGGCAGCACCAGCAAGGGGCGAAGGGGACTTAGGCCGACTAGCAGCTCCGTTGGTGCCAGCGGACAAAAACGGAGAAGCTGTTCGGGAGACGACGGGAGGAGTGCCAGTGCGCGAAGGAGGGTTGCTGGGTCGCTTTATTGTTGGCTTGTCCCAGGAAGAGAAGAAATCATCGGCGGGTTCTCCGGCGGGACTAGATGCCCCATTGCTAGGCGTGCTAAGTGCCTCGTCTGTAATGACGACTTCGTTCGGATAGCTGCGCGCTGGTCAGCGACACTACAAGGCGAGGGATGCGTCTGCATACTCCTGAGCATCCCGGCTGGCCCTTCGCTTCAGCTCCTCTTTGTATTTGTTGGCGGCACTGGAAGTGTACTTCACCTTCGCGTCCTTGCTCGCGAGAGCCGCGCTGCCGCCGTTCGACTGGAAGAACTTGGTTGCAGACTCGTTGCCGCCGACTTTGAAGACCCGGAGTTGTTCCCATTGCCAGACTATCCATGTCAGTGCATCTGTTTATGGTCGGTGAACGGACACATTACTGTCCAGATTCGTCGAGCGGACGAAGGAGATGTGGACGCCGAGGTTACGATGATTCGAGGAGCAGTCAAGACATAAATAGACGCCAAAAGGCACAGAGGACCATGTTGGATTCTTCTGTCCACAGTCAAAGCATACCTGGGACCTGTTAGATTCACGATTGATGCGCAGGGGCACCGGCTACCGACTTTGTTTGCAGGCTTGGTCTTGAGTTTCTCGAAGATCTTCTGCGACTGAGTCTTCGTGGCGCTCATCTTGCGCAGCGAGTGACCGAGAGATTGAGCGAGCACAGAAGAGAAACATTCAAGATTAATAGAGAAGCTGAGCAGCGGGGAGACACATGTTGCTAAAGATGCTGGTGGGGAACGATTGCCTGCGGCGAGGCCGCACTTGACCGAATGAAGAAGGTGGGTCCAAATAGTTGCCAAGCATCGGCCACTTTCCTCCTTCCTCGTCTTCTTCACGTCTCTGCTAAAGGCCAACAGCTTTAGTAGGTGTTACATTAGGCTCTCAGTGGCTGTATTCAGACTGCTGTGGAAAATCGTATCTACGATGATCTGCTGGCCCCTTCTCGAGGCCAAGGACCGTGACTATGGACCTTGGTCCCGAATGGCCAGGTCCTCTGTGAACGAAGAACGTGTCGGCTTCATGGCAACCAGTGACTGAATCTTGGCGATCACAACCACTTCTTTGGGGCCCTCGCATCTATTGCTGTATTCAGACCCTATTCATAATGTCATTGACCCTGAAACCCTTCCCTAAAGCATCGGCCCTGTTTCGCTTTCATTCAGTCTATTTGCTGCAGGCTACGATTCTTTAGGCGCAAACATTTCACTCTCAGCCGTTTTTAGCACCCCTGCTTTCTTATTTCGCTGACTGCCTCCGCCCAGTGCTAATGTAAGAATGCCGTCTCTACGAAATATCACGTGTCAGGTGGTGTGGCCTGAAGGCACCCCATTCAAGGAAGTAGCAACGACATATGGAGACGGTATCGTTGAGACCTTCATACCTATCCCAGCCAGCAAGCCGCAGAAGTTCTCGATTCGTGTCAGATCCAAAGGTTACATTTACGACGGTCTGGCTGTGATCGTCTTCATCGACGGGGTCTATCAGTGCAACCGTAACCGCATCAATTTGGTTCGCCCTAAGAAGGGACAACCTGTCAAGCGCACCGAGATCGACTTTCGACTCCGTCAGGAAGAAAAGAAGCTGGACAAAAGGGAGTACTTTCTGGGCAGCGACTGGAGATTCGACGACTACAATACAGGTAATTTCCTTGAAGACCTTCGCCAACTACGCTGACCTTCGCATTAGTGGGCGATCTGAACAACGATGTAACCGAACAGGCGTTCCAAGGACTGGGTACGATCGACGTGGTTGTCTTGCGGTGCTGCCCTCGCCCTGCTGATGCAGCTGCGCCTGATGACTATGCATCGGGTGCCGAAAGCGACGTCCTGGGCAATAAGCTCACCGAAGATGACTTTCCACCTCCAACAGCCGCAAAGCCAGCTAAAGACAGCGGTGCAGCTAGTCGTGAGAAAGGGAGTAAATGTAAACCTGCAGGTGGGGGCGATAAGGGTGGTAAGGGAAAAGATGAAGCTGGAGGGCAAAAGACCGATAAAGGCAGCAAACGCGGCGAAGAAAAGCCCAAGCCCGCGCCCACTGGTGAAGCGTTTTCTGATTCAGATTCAGACAACGACGATACAAGCATTCCAGCAGTAGACGGACCGGCCGATCGCATGCATCGACACGACGACTTCTACCACAATCCTCATTGGCCTGGTCCAGCACACTCAGATCGATATGGTTACTACGACCAGCCTCCTCATCCAAGATCGCCGCCACCTCACAGCGAAAAACACGTCCACTTCGACTATGGCCAGCTCCCCGAGTATCCGGCACCTCCCGACCAGCGGTATTCTGATCATGGCGATTTGCCGCACAGATCTCACTACACTCGTGGACTGTCACAGCACGCCGGCTATGGCTACGAAGCAAATCCCGGATATGACGCTCGGCACCGCTATCCGCCTCATCCGGCTGTTCACTGCTCCTATACTCCACCAGGTGGTGTTCAATCAGCTCATCCGCGTATACCGCTTCCAGTACCACCTTATGGCTATCCGTCTCAGGCAGGTGTGCCACGTCATCCGAATCGCGCCTGGTGGAGTCAGCAAGGACAGCATATGGGCTATGGTGGGCCACATCAGCATGGCCAGCAAAGTCACCAATCTCCAAGCCAGCAGAATAGTTGGGTTTGGGACCAAACTGCTATGAAGTGGGTGCCGGCTGCTGAGCCTCCGACTACGGAACACTACAACGGCTGGAGTTGGGACCAAACCAAGCAAGCCTGGGTTGCGAGCTCATCTAGCGAACGCAGTCAGGTCGATCCTTCGAAGTCGAAGGGCGTCGGCGAGAAAACCGGCGATCCAGGCAACAACTATTCGAACACGAGCAGCACGAACGATAACAATGGCACTAACTCTGGCTGGGGCAACAACGACTCAAGTAAAAACACAGCTTGGAGTAAAAACAATGAAGATAAGGCAGATGACGATGGCAACAAGAGCAGCGACAGCTGGAATCAAGACAACAATGGTAATACTAGTTGGGGCTCCGACAACAAAGACAGCAACACGGCCAACGATGCGAACAGCGGCTGGGAAACAGCTGGCAGCGGAGGCTGGGGCGACGACAAGAAGGATGAGCCCAGTGGTGGTGGTAGTAGTAATAATACTCAGGATGATTGGGGAAACAGAAGTATGCAGTCCACTCAAAACGATACGAGCCATCAAGGTGGAGCTGCCACTTCGACGGAAGAGGCTCCACGTACCTATCATGGCCCGTACGGCGCGTACCACGGTCCCAAGCTCGCTGTAGAGCCCTACGGAGATCTGCCATGGATCGCCGACGAGCCACCTCGCTACGACATTCCAGACTCGATCGCCAAATCTATCGGACTATCAAAGCAGGTTCAACGAGGCAGAGGCTACAACTACTACAAACGCCACCGCAAGCCCATCTACATTGACACAATCGAAGAACCATATGCTCGATTCGTCTTCAAATACCGGACTCGTGACAAACTCCCGCGAGGCTTCGATCAGCAGGAAGGCCTAGAACCCACGCCAGACGCCATCACCCAGGGCCTTCAAGACCAGAAGAAGGAAGACCTCATCGCCGAGCTCCAGCGCTGGAGAATGGCGTACGGTGACAAGGCTCCGAAGGCGACGTTCGACTCTACGAAGATCGGGGGTCGATCCGAGGACATCCAGGCCTGGAATGCCGACCCACCCGCCAGAAGCTACATCAAGTACAGCCTGCCAGGACATTTCCCTGCCGATGAGTCGAACAGTAAAACCAATACCGCTGGCGGCGCTAACGGCAGTATGAATGGTGACACGGGCAGTGCCAATGACAACTGGTCGAGCAACAACAATACGACCAGCAGCGGTAATGGCACAACCGACGGCAATGATTGCTCTACTGGCAACAGTGGCAGTAGTTGGGATAGCCAGCCTCAGGCTCCTAAGCACGGTTGGTAAAGTGGCCATTCGAGCTTCAGATGGTGGTGATGCGAAACCACACTTTTGCCCCTCCCCCCAAAAGGAGTATTTATGAACGGCAACTCCAAAGGCTAGTTGTTACTGGAGAACGTGACACGCGTCTGACACTACGTTCACAGCCCAGCAGGCACCCGGAAGAGAGCTCGGTCATGGTCATGGAGTTTGCTCCTGCTCATGCTAGTCTAGCCTTTGCATGTACCTTTTTCTATCAAGCTCTATCACTGGCACAGCGAGTCCCTCCCCCTCTCTCGTAGAAACACAGATCTATTGCTGCATGAAAAAACAAAGCATACTGATGAAACGCTCAGCCCATGGAAAACAGAGACGTCTCTCTTGATATTCTAGTCCCTCGCATCAAACTCACGCCGTTCGCTCTCACCACCATCTCTTAGCCATTTCTCGCCCCACATCCTACAGCACCTATTTCTTCCCCTCCTCCCCCTCCCCTTCCCCCACCACGAACCCACCTCCCAACAAGATCGCCGGCTCCTCAATATTATGATGCTCGTAGCTCAACGTGCCCACGCCCCCGGCCTCCATCAGAAACGCCGTCTCGGTCAACGGCTTCCCGATCCACCGGATCGCAAACGCGCGCAAGATATGGCCGTGGCCCACCACCATCACATCCCCTTTGCCCTTGGTCTCGCTCATGGGCCGCCCGATGACGGGCTTGTGGTATTTCTCTCTGATGTCCGCGATCAGAGCGTCGACGCGCGCGATGATCTGCTGTGGGGACTCGCCGCCGGGGCAGCCGTCGCGCCAGATGTCCCAGTTCTCGGATAGGTTTTGGGAGCGGCGCAGGGCGCGGATGGAGGGCGAGGTGATGCCTTCATAGTCGCCGTAGTCCCATTCGGCGATGGCGGGGGTGACGGTGACGCGGGCGTCGGTGCGTGGTGGGGTTTGAGGAGTAAACGAGGAGGAGGTCTGCCAGGGGAAGGGGTCGTGGCAGCCGATGTCGAGGAGCTCGAGGGTGCGTTGGGCGCGGTGGCGGGGGGAGACGTAGCTGTTTGTGTTTGAGGGGTCGGAGTCAGTTCCATGCAATGCGACGTGACGCTCTGGCTGGCGGAATGGAAACGCGTGTTAACCTACATGTGCACGAGCTGTTTGGGCACGACGAGGCGGTCGTCGCCGACGAGGGCACGGCCGGTGGCTCGCACGCGCTTCTCACCGTTGCTGGTGAGTGGGATGTCGGTCGTGCCGGTGTGCTTGCCGGAGAGGGACCACTCGGTCTCGCCGTGGCGGACGATGAAGCAGCGGGGGGTGGTGACGGTCATGTCGAGGTGCTGTGCGCGAGAGTCGTGCTGGGGATGGGTGGCGGGCAGGAAATTTGTTGGCTACATATGTGAGTTTTGAGTGGAAGGCGGGGTATCGGTCACATCAGGGAAAGCGAACGAGCAGCATTGTGATAATCAGATGTGCGAGCTAAGCCATGAGTCTGAACGTGCTTGCTCATCCAAAGCCGGGCAAGCAGGTGTTTCCCAAATCCGTGCTTCCGGCGGGCACGGAGTGGTAGTGGAAGTGTTAGTTGATGAGAATGACGACAGAGTACGGAGTAGTAGGACAGCAATACTCGTTAAGCGGACCCTTACTCAGCGGAACTGGTGGGGCAGTGTGCCTAAGGAGCCCCTCCTACAGGCACTAAAACTTCCCTAGGTAGGATCACTCATCACTGCTACTTCGCTTCCATTCTTCTTGATACGGGTTCACTACAGAAGCAAACTGTTGGGTAGAGATGGAGACGTTGAGAATCAGGCCAAATACAATATCATGTCCGCGGAGGATCCCTTCGATAGAGACTCCCCTACCGAACCAAAGAGGGCCATTGGTTTCAGGGGCAGAGCCTTGTGAAGAATGCCAGCCAAATGGCTAAGCTGAATTTCTAGCCTGAGTGTTCTACCCTGAGTGTGCAGATGGAGTCACCCTTCAGCATTGTAGAATGAGTCCCTTCTGTGTGCCTTTGACTGCGTTGAAGGTCATATGCCAACTGCTTCTCGATCCAACCTTCATTCGCAGCGTCGATGACCTGAACCACGACTTACCTTCACATCATAGCGTCAATGACGGCTTTGGATCAGGTGGCACTCATAGTTGAGATACTGGGCCGAAGTCGGGACTCTGACGTCCGGCAGATGCCTAGCCCAATCGACCACGTTGCCTGTACCAGGGTGTCGAATGGTGTCCTTGCGTTGATAGCGTACACAATCGCTGCCGGTACCCTGTAGGAGGCCAACGGTCAGCCATCCGCACACGCAAACAAACGATGGCTCAGAGTCCGCTGGAGACTTACAAGAGTACACTCCACATCTTGATCCGGGCCGAACGAGAGCCACATACCGTCAGCGCCCAAGTCGCAGGGCTTACCGTCGTTGAAGCACAAGTAGTGCTGGCAGCCGGTGCCACCGCCCTTGATCTCAAGCCATTTGCAGACTGTTCTCCACCAATCAGTATCTTTCTCGGGACGGTAAGCTGCAAATAGGGCAAGCTTACGGTTGACTGGACCGAAGTCGGTGCCTGGGCAGGTGTAGACACCTTTCGATGTGGCGTCTTGCTTGTTTGACGTGGTCTGGTTGAGGAAGTCGAGAGGAGTGCCGACCGCGAGGGTGGCGAGAAGGAAAGCGAGAGCGATGAGGCAGAGCTTCATGATGCTGGGTGCGGCTGCGTCAAGGGAATGGCTTGCTGTTGTGATGTTCGGTGTGGGAAAGGATGGAAGCAAGAGCGCATGTCAAGTGTTAGACAAGTTGCTGATATTTGTAGTCCGCAACTGGGAGCAGGCAGGAGTGACGACGGCGATGATAGGAGTCACAGAGTCTGGTGACGCCCGGCTGCAATCGGATCACGCAGGTGCGGCAGCTACGCCTACCTATGATCATGGTCGACTGAGGTACCAGTGATGGTCTCAAGTACGATCTTGGCCGCAGAGCCATATCGGGCAAGCCAGCTTTCGGCAACACTGTGCAGGGTTCGGTCCTGAAAAGGCTGTAGAGAGAACATTGACACAGATCGATGTACTGAAGCCATGCAAATCGACGAGCTGTTGTATCTCTCAGCCTCACAAAAGAGGAAACAGCAAAATCGGGAATCATGGTGCATATCGTCCCATTGAACATGTCTGGCATGAAGGCATGCCTGTAGCGCTCTATGAGACCGTTAGAGGCTCTATGAGATGTGTTTGTACATTTCTGTACGTTTGTCTCCCCACTCCACTTGCGCCTGTTGCAATGCATTCATGATTCGTCAGACCATTGTCTCGTGCCGCCTCTACTTCCCTGTACCAAGGCAGTGGTAGGACATGTACGTAACTTCAGCGCCATGAAATCCTCGCTTCTCGTCGCGACCAAAAGCCGGTAAGTCGGTGGTGCCCGGAAACAGAATCGGATCGACTCGCATGCCGTTGTAATCGCAGGTATTCGAGGAATGCTAGCACAACTAGTCAGCGGCCGCATGGATCTTGCTGAACGAACCTAGACTTACGAGGGAACAGACAGTACCAGGGTTCAGGAGGAAGACTTTCCAAGTATCGCTTATGTCTAGCCCAACACACTTCGCGCCATCGCAGGGCAGGAGGTGGCAGATATTGGGCTGCAGGGTTTGGAAGATGCATGCTAGACATATCGTCAGTATCTTGTTCGTACGTGTGTGGGCGAGTCGGGAAAACGCTGTACCGTCGGGCTGAAGAGAATCCCAATCACGACGGAGAATGACTCCAGGCGGCTGGCTTGCATCAAGGGCAGACAGAGTGTTGACGTTGTTGGTGGTGTTTGAGAAGAGCGGAGCGGCGAGGCCGAAGCCGAGGATGGCAAGGAAAAATAGGATGAAGTTGAACATCTTGCCGGAGTGTCAGAATAGATGTACAGAGCCTCCTAGCAGGTCAGACTCTGTCGTGCTGTTTGCGCAAGAGTTGCTCTCAGGATCGATCGCGCTGGTGGTAAGAAAGGTTCAAAGCATTGTGGCTTCCAAATTTATAGACTTGGCCCGCGGATATATATGTCGCTCGCCGTGATGATCACTTTAGAGAGCGGGTGTTAATTGTCACCACGGGAAGCAGTACAACATTACAACAGCACCATCGCAACCTAACCGCTTTGCCACGTGAAACGTGCTTCACCTGGAGTTTTAGACGAGGCTGAGGCAGACAAAGAAATGCTTGTACGTGCTTGAGACGACCGTCGCAAGCCGACGGAGCCGACCAGGCTGGGTAGCAAGCGATTAGGAAGTGTGTCCAGATTCAATCTGTCTCGTTGTGGAAGAAGTGTGCTGCAGTCGAGAGCGTAGTCACACGAATGCCAAGCCTTTGTTGCCTCGTTGCCTTGGCTATGGTACGTGTTACCATACGAGGCGAAGAGGGGCCTGAAGGTGAAGTTCTTTCGAGTTCAGCAGTCCCTTCATCGGAGGTTATGCCTGCAGAAGAACAGCGAGCTGCTACCTGCACGACAGTAGGTGGAATGGGTGAAGTCTCCTGGCCGAATTCATTCATAAAAGGGTACAGCACGAATCATCAAGCACAAACCAACTGCTATATTCCTGCATACTACCTAGGCTATTATCGACCCACACTGCGACTACTTTATGACGCCGACCGCGCCATACGCCACCGTCGCTATGCTCAGCTCGTACCGTATACCTGCTGTAACATCTAGAAAGAAAGGACCGAGTGACCCCGAACTACTTACCGCACCAGTGTAATTATGCAACCATCATCATAGGAATCTCACCTTCTCTCGACTCTGCAGACAGTGGGTTGCCCGCGTCCCCCTTCACATCACCACCGATCGCGATTGTGATGACCTCCTTCAGCGGCGAGTTCTTGTTGACAGGAGACACCTCTCTTCCCTTCTCCTCCATCTCCGGTGCTTTGCTGGCAGGCCTCGGCTTCCTCGCCCAGCCAACTAACACCCGGAACCCACCACCGTTGCTCTTCCCCTCTTCCAACACTTCGTCAATGCCCTCTAACAACCTCACATCTTCCCTCCCAGCCTCCTTCCTCACCTTGACTAACCACTCTTCATACATCCTCGTTCCCAACAACCCCGTAATGTCCGCAGCATCCTGCGTGCTTCCGACCGGCCCCTGCACCGCCTCCACATCCATATACTGCTTGACAATCTTGCTAATGGTCGACACCTCACTGACCGGTCGCGGGGCCGGTATGAACGCCCTCGCGCCCTGGTCCGCCTCGCCCGCATCTGGCCTCCTGCCCATAGGCCAGAACATCCACGCGCGCTTTGTGGCGACAAAGCCTTCTTTCTTCAGCCGCCGTAGCCATGACCGTGCGGGTTCACGCTCGTAACCGCGACGGTGCAGGTCGAAGCCGAACTCGACGCTGAGTGCCTCGCCGCGTGGCCCGGCGCGCGCAACACTCGAATCCATGACGATAAAGTCAATGTAGCCGCCCGGCTTAAGGATGCGCATGCACTCCTTGAGTGTCATGGTCCATTCGTCGATCTCAGGCGCGCCTGGCACCGGGTTGGCCTTCAACAGTGCGTGTAGACTGCGTGCGCTGATCATGTCGAAGTGATTGTTCTTGAACGGTAGCTGCCAGAGGTGTGGGACGCTGACGGTGCGGTGGTTCTCCGGAGCTTCAGGTTTGGGTTCACCAGGCGGCCGTTGACAGGCGGCTTGTGTTTTGGTGAGTACGGTGTAGACCTTGACGTTTGGGAATTCGTGCGCGGCAGACCAGCCCCAGGAGGCATTGGACTCGCCGCCCAGATCAAGGACGCGAATGCGCTTGTTACCGATACAGGCAGGGTCGCTGAGAGGGAGAGTGGCTTTCAATTTGAGGCGCTCGTCCGCCACACGGGATGCAAATAGACGGCCGTTATAGGTCGCGCGGAGGGCTTCGACTTGCCATGCAGAGGCTTGAATGCATGCCATGGCGCGTTGCTCGCGCTCGGCGACCTCGTAGGCGAGAGAAGCCTCGGTCCGCTCGAAGATACCAGTAGCGCGAGGATTCTGGGCGAACGGTCCCGAATACTTCGGCCGTGCGGCAACCTCGATATTCATGCGGCCGAAGAGGCTATCGATATGCCTCGAAGGATTGGCGATGCGGTTAGCTCTGACTCCGTCGAGACGTGTCCCAGCGGCCAGGAAGGCGTCCTTTTCTCCGATATTTTTGACAAAATGTGAGAAAGCGGCATGGAAGACAGGGTTTCTCTCATCCTGCTCGTTTGGGGAGCTGTTGCCGCTAGATTGGAGGCTTCCGCCCGCAGGTTCGCCAACCGTCTTAGCCTCTTCCAGGAAGCGTACAGTCTTGCGGATTTGGGACTCAATCGAGGCACGACGGGGCGGATTGTCGTCTTCCACGTGAAAAGGCGAAGGCGAAGGTGCATAGTCCGCCGGGTCATTGACGGGATTCGTCTCACGCAGAGCCGACAGATAAGACGTCTGAGCAGCAAGCCAGTTACTGGTCCTACCCAGATTTTGTTCTCCCGCCTGCTTTAGTTCCTCCTCGTAGGCTTCTTCGTACTCGATCGGTGTAGGAGCTGCAAAGGTTGGCCCATCATCTCCGGGTCCGTACATGTCAGCGTCTTCGCTAGATGTGCTAACGCTACTGTTTCGGTCGTGAGAAGCGCCGGCGGGATGAGAGCCATTTGCACCGGCCTTCGTGGAATCGATATTGAAGACTGGCTGACGTGCTGTTGGCGGACCATCAGTGCTGCTGCTGTCTGCCACTGTTACAGTAGACTCCCTGATCTCTCCGCGTGAAGTCCAGTCATAGTAGAACTTCTCGGCAACGGCGGATGTCGGAACGCTGTTGTTGACCGATCTGTTCATGCACCAAGTCTGGCGACTACCTGCTTGGAGAGAAGAGAAGAAGCCACCTGGCGATGGAATGCTGAGTTGAGTGAAGCTATACTCGGACAGTTTAGCGAAGCTGCCCTCAGTGGCCGGAGTCATGTCATCTAGACTCCTGCGGCGACTGGCGTAGCTGCCACCTTCCGACCGCTCTCGCATTTCCTGATCACGTAGTGATTTTGAGCAGTCAGAGAGCTCATCTGGGCTTATCGCCCTCGTGATCCTTTGCAAAGTGCGCAGAGCGTCTCCGGGAAGCATGACGCCGGACTCACTTCCAGACCCTGACTCGGTCCGCAGCATATCTTTGCGAGTCCCCTTCAGCATTGGGAAAGGGCTATCATTAGATTGAGGCGTTGCACCGGGAATGGTGGGAAATCTAGTAACCATTTCTCCCCACTCACGCTCTCTTGCGGAGGGTAGTGATTGATAAAGGCCGGCCGGGAGAGGGATCGCCGAGCGGGGGCCATGGGCCTCCTGTGGGGAGAGCATTATACTGTGCTCTTCGTCAACAGTAATTTCCAGCGGATTACTAGTGATATTTTCTGGCTGACCCCAAGCCTCACCTTCGACAACATCAAGCTGTCGGCTATCGGGAGTTCCCGGGAGACTGAGGCCGGGCAGACAAGGCGACTGTGAAGCGGCGCTGCTGCTCCCCAGTGATGGCGGGGCATTGTCGGCTGGGAGTTGTCTGGAGAGTGTAGATAAGGCCTCAGGCGAGAGGACGAATTTGGCAGTGGGTGACATACCCAGTGCCACCTCCTTGACAGGGTCTTGCCACGATCCTCGAGGAATTAGCAGTGCAGGATAGCGGTTTCTGGCCGACTTTGTGCTGCTTGCCACGCTATTTCGGCTAGAGTTGGTGACGAAGGTAGTGGGGTCACTCGCCAACGAGGGACAGCTTTCTTCGCTGAAGATGGTACCGCTCTCGCTGGGAGGGTTAGAGCTCCGCCGCCGGCGGTCGAAGTCCTCATTGTTGTCGGTGTGAGGAGATGTGCCGGCCGAGGAGACGGGTGACGAAGAGGTAACATAGGAGAGTTTGCTTGTCTTGCGTGGCGCTGCCACATACATCCTGGGGTTCCAGCCCGCAGGTTTCCCGATTACTGTTCCATCACTTCCAGAACCCGACCCTGATCCTGAGCCATCGCTGTCACTGAGTGTGCCATACTCCGACTCTTCTTTAATGGTATTAAGCGCTGCGCCCCGGGCCTGCCGGGTCGAAGACTGAAAAGCAGCGAAAGATGGGACATCCATGCTGGTAAGATCTAGCCTTCACAAGATCGCTCCCAAGACAACTGTGGTACTGGTCCACATAAGGCGATGTTGCCACGAAGGCGGAATAGATGGTTCTGTACTATCAGTATTAGGTTGGAGGAGGTGCAGCTGATCAACAGCGCGCGGGGTTTGATCGAGATGAGAACGAAAGACAGCTGACGACAACCAGCGGCGACAGCAAGGTGGGTTGGAAGCAGCAAGGGTGCAGATGTGGGCGATACCGCTTGGTTTTGGGAAGCTGGCGAGAGGGCGGTACCAGATGGGTTACGGAGAAGGGAAGCGCTGTGCAACGAGACGTTGCCGCTGGAGATGTGCTCATGGAACTCGAGCGGAAGTGGACACCGCCATATCTGGATGTCTCAAGCCACCCAACGAGACCGCGATTGGGGGGATGCAGATAGTCTGGACGGATCGATGCACAAGACCTGCACAATTGGGTTGTCAGCCAGTGCGCAGTTTGAGCAGCGACGCGCCAGCGAATGCGCAATCAATGCCATGTCTGTGAAATGCAGGAAAGATGATGTGGTTCGCTGTGATGGGTTCTTGGAATCCCCGCTAGATGCAAAGCGCCTGACATGGGCGCTTAGGGGGCTCGAAATAGAAGTTGGGGAGGCCTAGAGGCTGACCAATCATCAGATGCTTTGGTGGGTCGTCTCGGTCCGGACCATCGTGTCGCCGGTTTTTGCTTGGCGTGAGGAGAGTGTCGAGCGAGCCGCAGCGGGAGAAGGTAGACATCGAGAGGTTTGAGATGGTTGACGTACCAGAACCTGGCCTGAATGACCTCTCGCCGAATGAGGTCGCCGAGAAAATCACTGACCGGCCGGCCGCCGAAACGGGCAGGACGCACAACGCCACATCAGTCCTTCGGCTTGAGTTGAAGGACGAGTATCGGTCTCGGCGGGTAGGAATCTGAGGGATGACAGGTAGCAGCTCGCGTCAATGCTGTAGAAGAGGCATCTTGCCGGCGTTGTAGGGATTTTATCCTTGCTATCAAACTTGTCGGTGATCGCACGTCGCTCTGGCTTCGAAATTGTGCACTTGGGGGACGTTTTCGAACCCATCTCGCTCTGCTGCTATCAGGTTTGACGTACTTACTGGCTGTACATCTGTGTCAGGCGGTACGCGACCGTGGAGTACCTGAGAATTATCCTTAGCCCATGATGGTAGTTGTGGTGCAGCGCCGATGGCAGGCAGGCTCAAAGTCCCTGTAGCTTGGCAAGTCTTAGAAAGTTTTAACCCGATTGGACTCTTTGGCACTTCGGAAGGCCAGCCGAACTCTAAGCTACCGAAACAGATCTCGGCCGTTTCCCACTCCTGTCGCGATTTTCGACCCCTCATGTACCATTCCATCACCAAGACACCATCATGGATCGTCCCGGTGGCTCCACACACTCATCAAGACCTGGGGCAGCTTCTCCAGAAGTCGAGCAGCTGACGCAGGAGGAGATCAACGAGCGACTGCGCTTGAAACGCAAGTCGCGCGGACAAAAGGCCTGTTATCCGTGCCGCCAGCGCAAAGTCGGCTGCAACTACGCAAAGCCTTGCCAGAAATGTGTCGATCGTGATCATCCTGAGCTTTGTCTCTACGAGCCAGTCTCGAAGCGCCCTCATCTGGGAACTCCCGAAAGACTCACTCACCGACCAGCAACGGCCGCCGAAGCCTCTACTGGTGACGATGATGCGCTTGGAGACCGACTGACCTCCATCGAGCTTTCAATCCAGACTCTGCGAGATGATGTCGCCAAGCTCACCAGTTCTCTCATGGGAGTTATCCCTCGGCCTCTGGACAGACGCGGGGGCGACGTTGACAGCGAGGAGCTGGAGGAAACTCATGGCCTTCAGACCAGCAATGCAATGACTGGCGAGACGGTTCACCTTGGCGGCAACTCGGTTCCCGCCATGGTCTTGGCTTTGGGAGGAAGCAAGAAGGAGGACGACGTCCAAGGACTTCTCGGCAAAAGCATTCTGCCTATCTTTGGCCTCGACAATGAGAGTGCAACATATCCCTTTGTGGACCTGTGGGGCCTGCCGCATGGCTCTTACGCCCGACTGGAAGGTCTCTGCAAGTTACTCCCCACCAACGCAGACTGTCTGCAATATTTCAAGCAGTATCGCGATACCGCCTATATCCTATTCCCGGGCCTGGTCGACATCAGCCAGTTCGAGAGCGATTTGACGCACTTTCTGATCAGGAGAGGTGACGCCAGCACCGGTTCTCGCCGCGATACCCTCACTGTACAAGACATATACGGTAAGAGCCTGCACTGGGTGGGCCTCATGTTTGCCACATTGGCATCGGGCTATCAGTGCTCCTCAGTGCCTCGCAAGGAGCGTCAGCTCACTTGCCAGGTTTATGGTCAGTATCCCTGAGTCAAGCATGAAGTACGTGCTTACCATAGCAGTTTGCTGCGCTTATGAATGTCTGCGCATCGTCAATTACATGTCAAATCCGACTTTAATAGATATCCAGACCATGCTGGTCCTGGGTAACGTCATCTCCAATAACATGAATGCTGGCGTTGCGTGGGCCTTTCTCGGTATGTCGGACCATGGTGGGAAATGGCATTGGCTCACACCTCACCTAGGGTTAACAATTAGACTGGGCCAAAGTCTCGGACTTCACCAGCGTGCCGTACGACCCAATTCCAAAGCTGAAGCCACTTTGCGCGAAGAGATCTGGTACGTTATTGCGGCACACCAAAGAGCAAATACTGACCTCGCCTAGGTGGCGCATCGTTTGGCAAGACAGCCTCCTCTCCATCACCTACGACCGTGCATCCTCAACGCCCACCATCTCACACCACAAATCCGCAAAAGAGTGGGAAGCAACACGCCTGACATACGCAGACTGCATGAAGGTTCTCTGCTCCACGGGTCTTGAGATTGTGCGCGAGCGCACCCATCACTCTGACCTACGCGTTGAAATGGCACGCATCGCGAGTCATCGCAAAGACATCGAAAGGATGATGGATCATGGCGTGCGTCACCTGATTGACCCCAGCGCCTGCATGTCGATCAAGGACCAGCTCGAGTACTGGAACCTGTACATGCACCGCTCGTACATTCTCGCCGAGCTGTATCGGTCCGCACTCCGCCGCAAGGGGACACCGCCCGAGTTGATCGATCTTCGTGCCGCCTGCATTGGCCATCTGGCTGATACGGTGGAGGCGTGGCTGGGCCTACAGAATGTCACGCGTTTCGCAACTCAGTCGTGGGCGGCCATTCACAGATCGTTGAGCTCGGCATTGCTTCTCGGCATCCTGAAGGAGCCCCAAGAAAACCAACGGGTCCGAAGCCTCCTAGAGAAGCTGATCAGTGTCATCTCAAGCATCAACTCGTCCTCGGATCCAACCGAGGTTTCGGCACCGATTGCCCGGTCTATCGTGGCCCTATCCCGGCTCAATTTTGGCAGCGGCTCGGAGGGATTGACGATTCATCAACCTCCGGGCGATGCACCGGGGCCAAGCTGGGAGGCACCTGTGACAGCAGACATGCTGCTATACGGTCACGAATCGCCAAAAGAGAAGAAGTCTTCCAGCGAAGGATCGCCGTACGAGGTGATGGAGAAGATTTTGTGGAATCCTGTGTGACCGTAGCGGTACTTGTAGTCAAAGGGGGCCCTCTCCATTGTCAAGCGTACCAGTCGGGACAAGTACAAGTAGCTTATGCTTGCAAACAGCCAAGCGAGCGGCATGATGGGGTATTATTTTCGACTATTACTGCCGATGAGACCAATGATTATGTCAATATGGACGGTAGCTACCATTTCAATCTCCATAAGACCACCCATTTGGGGCCAGGCCATTGTGTGGTGGGCATGCCCGAAGTCTCCAAGGATGTACATACACAGTACGTGTCCGTACAACTACGGAGCACGGCTTGCGGGCCCGCTCGGGGTGGTCGGATCTGCTTCGGATTCTCGGAGCAGCATCCCTGTCGCTCTTGGCAATTCCAACCGCGAGCAAAGGTCGATTGACTCCTCAGACGCCCCCAGAAGCCTCTTGAGACGCCTTCTCACGTGGAGACTGGGATTCTCTTGTCGATTTACGCAATTCTTCTTCCTAAACCTGCCTCGTAAATCCTTCAGCTGTTCCAGAAGCCTGTCAACTCTCGGGCTGAATCGCAGCTGCAGCTAGGCAGAGACGTGATTCGATGAATTCGACTACGAAGCTGACCGAGAGTTTCCGTATAGGCGACAGACACGGTTTTCCTCACTACTGCTTTGGACGCTGCTGGAAGGTAGTATCGCATCGACGCTGTGCTGGCAGAACGAGCAAAACACTGCACCAAGTTTAGGTGTGAGGCTAAGCTATCTGCCTGTTGTTTCTGCAGCACAGTTCAGCTGTAATATATCGACATGTTGACCGAAAGCGCAATTAATCTGCATTTAAACCCCTTCAATAGCACTGATCGCCTCGTTTACTTCCTTGCTGGGCAGTCGGGACTTTCTTCTCGCGATATCCGCATCCCAGTTTCGGCATCTACGGAGTACGTCCGGACTTGATTGGGGATACACTTGCCGGGCTTGTTGGCCCTGAATCCTGTCCAGATTGCTCGACTTGAGAGGCCTTGCATACTCCCGCGTCTATCCTGTGGGGTCTCGGGACTTAGTCAATCAGGGTCTGCGTCGACTGTTACCAACAGCGGAATTCGGCATTCAGAACGGTTTCAGACGCCATTTGCCCTGCACGACCGGTCAGTATCATGCATAACATCAGAGATTATATACTGCAGGCTACCTGCTGGCGCTGACAGCTCGCCTACTGGGATAGCGCCGCCACTCGTACCGTATACATTCCACTCAAGAAGGACCTTTCATTCTCGAGCGGCGAGACCATCATCATTACCCGCATCATTACCATCGGGACATCACTCTTACGACAAGCAGAGCTAGGATCACCATCCTGGCCATTGCAATTCCAACAATACACCATGCCGTCCTCAAATGGGATCAGAGAACGATACGCCAAGATTCCAGTCCAAGTTTCTGCCAGTACCAATAACGCCAATAGCTCCTCCCGCCGTCAACGCCAGTCAAGTCCGGCCTCGCCCACCCGCACTGACTCTCCTCCTGTCCCATCAAAGCGGTCCCGCCACGTTGACAACCGTCGCGCTGCTGACACCATCACGCTCGAGCAACTCCGCCATACCCTCGACCGCACTGAGGCCTCTGGCGGTAGGCATCAGGACGATCATCACCACCCCCATGACCATTACCACCACCACTATCATGAGCCCCATGACGCTCACGAGGACCGCGAAAGCCGTCACCAACGACAAATTGAAGCAGACGACCCCTCGCAGCGCAAGTGCGAGATACTACAGGGTGCTATCCGCCACATCGAGCGTGCCGAGCAAGAGGCTGCACAACGGCGGCGCCAGCTTGCCATCGACGCCGAGATGAAAAAACCAAGGCGACAATCGATGGTGGTGCTGCCACGATCAAGTGAGCGCTCTGCGGTAGAGTCTTCAGCTCCCGCGCTGGCATACCGTACACGGGTCCGCTGATGAACAACACGACACGATACGACACGAGACACATGACCTTACTGATCTTGCGGCCTTTAACATCGGTCAGAGCCATTGCAAGCAACGTACTAGCACCATGCCGTCAGGCGGAATTTGAGTAAAATCGTTACGCTACGACTCACGCAGCGGCGTTACAGGAATCGGCATTCATTGCAGCGAATCTTCTGCATTATTCTGGTGCGTGCATCAAGCATCCAGCATCATTCGAGCGAACGCAAGTGGTAATAATGGCAAGGTGTAGAATATCCCAGCGACCAGCGTCCGCGGACCTCGGCCGGCATGGGCAGATAATGATGACCACGTGAGACTCTGGCATTGATTTGAACATACTACGTACTGTTCATGGGTTGGGCATGCACAAAAAAAAGTCTGTCGGACATATCTGCTCCCAGGGGCCTTCCCTGCAGTTGAGGGGTTTCCCTGCATTGCTGCACATATTCTTGGAGCGGAGCGGAATGGCGCTCATCTGGTGATACCACCAAAGGTCCGTTTTGTACGGCTGGAACTACTGCACATTTCTGTTGGGCGGAGACACACACACACACTTCTGCAATCTAGAGAAGCTACTCGTCCCAGGCAGCAGCGACCAAGATACTTGGTAGTAGATCGTTGTAAAGGGAAACTCAAACCATTGAAGCCAGCCAGGCAAGATTCTCAAAGCTACTTGCTAACCACCAACTTACAACTATATTGTTTTTATGTCTCCCAAAAAAAAAGCTTCTTCATTCCAGCCGAACAGCGGCCTTATCGCTCAATACCTCAACCCTTGTCCCCCTAAGCTAAGGATGTGTTCGTTCGGGTTGAGCCTTCGGCCCCTTTCCCCCTCCCCCGTATTCCGTGCCTTGCGGTACCTAGCCACAAACGGATTCTCTCGGGTTGCCGGCCCCCCCCCCCCCCCCAACACCACCACCTCCTTACCTTCCTTTCCTTTCCTTTCTTGCTGCTGTACCCTGCTCCATACGCCCGTCCACGCCCGTCCCGCTCACCGCTACCGCTTCCCGCTGTCTCTACCGTCCACGCTGCCTTCCGCCGCAGCTTAGCAGCAAGCCCAGTCCCGCGCGCCGAATACCGCGGCCGAGACCGGAGACCACCTTCGTTCCGTGGGCGCCGCCGCGGCCGCCGCTGCAGCATTTTCTCCTCGGGACTTTGCGCACGGCGCCATGATCAGTGTTGCGCGACGTGGACGCCCGTGTGCGTGCCGCGGAGGAGGGTATCACGTCTGCTGTGCCTGTTATGCTGTGGGCGTCGAGGGTCGGGTAAAGCAGGGATGGGAAGAGCGGGGGCTTGCCGGTCAGGCAGCGCAGTTCGTCGCGGGCGAGGGCCAGGTAGCTGGGGGGGCCGAGGAGGTGGGTGGCGCGGAGGCGGAGGCGTTGGGCTGTAGCGAGGGGAATGGTGGAGGAGAGGGTAGGGGGGAGGTCGTTGTTGCTGTCGAGAGGCGTTGGGTTCGGAGAGGTTGGGGTGTTGGCGTTCTTGGTGGGTGGATTAGATGCTTCAGCACCTGGCGCGTCGAGATTTACGGGAGTGTCGTCAGAAGCGTTGGTGCTGTCTCCTTCTCCTTCTCTAGCAGCTAGGCCATCCTCATCCTCGCCGTCGTGGGGGGAAGCCTCGAACTCACGGTCCATGCTGCCCTCCTCCGCATCTTGGTACTCGTGGGCTGCTCTCGCGAGGCGGCGGTAGACTTTCCGGTGGCTTGACAAGCGTCTGTGGTCCGTCTGAGCTTTCGCATACTCGCGTTTGATTTTGAGATTGCAGGATGACCACACGTTGACCAGCTCGACGAGGTAGTCTTCCGAATTTGGGGTCTCGCTCGAAGTGGTGGGAATTGTGGAGGGAACCGTGTTGTCGTCGGTAGGGGTATCGGCCTCCCAGGAGTGCTTCAACTGTGGAGACGAATCTGATTGCATGGTGTAATCCGTACTGGAAGGCTGCATTACGATGGGACTGCTACGAGTATTGATATGTTGGTGGCTTTAAGATAAGAGCTAGACGGTAATGGCTTACTTGCCGCGTCGCCATGCCGTTGGGAGACATCAGCAAGGCTCGAGTGAGCTTCCTTTGGTGTGATTCACAAGTGATCCATTCGGTCAATTGTGTATCAAGTGAGTGGGCTGTATTCATTGAAAGGATCTATTGTGCAGGCAGGTCAATAGGCTGCCGATACGCCATTGTGGCTGAGGCACTGTGACGTTTCGAGCAGGCATGATTGAATCACTGTTGCGTATTGAGGCTTTCCCATCGTCCAATGGTCAAAGCAGACAATTGCCACATTGAAGATATAGGATCGTTCGATATGGTAAAGCCTGGCTGGTAGGCAGTAAAAGTCTTGGCAGTCCTGATTCAGAGGATTGGGCGTCATGGTGAAGAAGCGTCTGGAGTGAAGGCTTGGGGCTGGCCTGGCATACGCCCATCAATCCAGCTTTTCCTCGGCTACCTGTCTGTCAAACGTGCCTGCATTGTGTCTGCATCTTATCTCTCCTGGTCGACGACGAGGGGCGTTAACCTAGTCTGAAGCCGTAGCATTAGTCGTCAACTTTGAAGCCGGAAGATCGCCCCGGGACTGCGGGGCTCGGGCGGGGCCTTTAGGCTAGGCGCAGGGCGAGACCTGATCTTCATGCTCCAACAAGTGAGGCAACGCTATAGGCCTAGGGTTAGGTTATCTCATCCTCCTCCAAGATCTTGGGGGAACCACTACTGACCATATCTCTGCACAACCTTACCAGCACACAGTTCCGTCAAGCTGAAGTCCTTGTTGTTTCTGCAAACTCCACTCCTTGAGCATTTCCAGGTTAGCGGCTGCCTGGAGCCTTCATGTACTTTACATTCGTTCTGACAGGCAGGCTCCCTTAATCATCTTCTCCAAAGACCTCTGAACACGATTCGATTCATCTAGTACGATGATCCAGGCCTTGGAATCCCCAGGCTTGCCTGAGTGCTCGGAACGTCTGCTGTCATCTTTCTGAGAAGCAGGTCGTGTGTGATCTAGCCGATTCCGCGACTATCGAACCGAAGACACCATGCCTCTGCAATCCCGCGAGGTGGTCACGCTGCGCCTAATCCTAGACTGTGACTGTGAACTAGACTTGAACGAGGACGATTGTGTCACGACATCGACCCTCCTACAACCTCGTTCAAAGAGGCCCACGACGTTTTTGTCCCTTCCTTTCGAGCTGAGGGTAAGGGTCCTCCGCTATCTTCTTCGTATCGACTTCAATCGCCAGCACCATACCCGGCGCATCCCACAAGGAAGCATCGATCACCTCCTCCATCTTGATTCCCGACGTATTCTCGAAGCTCCGCAATTTCGGCACAAGAGTAGGCAAGACATCAACGGGGTACTACCCAAATACCATACGTGCCAGCTCCAGCCGTCGATCCTGCGCACCTGCAGAGCTCTGCATGACGAAGGCCGTTTAGTCTTGTACGACGAGAACAAGATTGTTGCAATACAGTGCGGTATCAAAGGTCTCGGCTCACGCCTCCGCAATTATGGCATTCCGGTATGGGGGCCCTTCGATTCTCATCGCCTGATCACATCCAGCGCAGGCCCGAAGAACAAGAACGAGCATTCACATAACTCACACATGCAGCCTATTCCTAGCTCGCCTATAGGCTTCAAGCCCGTAGTGCTGTTTCAGGGCAAGAAGTCTCGGTCCGATGCTCCCTTTTTTGTCTGCAGTGCTCTGGATGCTTGTGACCTTGTCCATGCGCTTTGGATTATGGTCAAGTGTTCCTTTGCGAAAGGCATGAGGTTCCATGTGACTCTTACGAACGACGTAGCATATCGGGGTGTCTCATTCAGCGACTCCTTGACTCGAAGGTACCTCTTTCCTTGGATGCATAACCATATCGAGTCTTTGTCCATCAACGACACCGAGAAGTCGGAAAAGCCCCCTGAGAGACTTGTCAAAATGGGACAATTACTGAAGACCTATCATCTAGCCAGCGCCGATGAGCCCAACGTTTACACCTACAACAGCATCTGCGAGCTGCTAGAACAAATGCTACACCGGGCAGACGGCTACATCGCCCAGCAGCAGTATCTCGCTGCCGAATCCCATTATGAACGAATTTGCTACGAAGCCTGCAGCGTGGTCCGTACACGAACAGGCAAGCTAGTTGACGTGTCTACGAAGATGAAGGACGGCATCAACAGAGTCTGCAAGCTGATCGCCATCAGCGCTTTCCGATTGTGCGAACTTCGAAGCGGTGCCATTGTCAACTTCAGATCGCTACGCAGGCCATCACCGAAAGGACAGGTCGATTCTACCCAGAAGAAGGCCGCGGACGGAAGTGCGTTGCGGGGATTGTATGAAAGTGCCAAAACGAGACCGGATTCGCCCAAGAAGACAAGCAAGCATTCTGACAAGTCAACCCCACCCCTTTATGCGCGTACAACAAGGCTGGCAGAGAGTGAGGCAATCGACCATGCCCTGATGAGCGGCTTGCTCGCCTTGCGGTTACCATGTGCGACCCCGGTGCCTGAGTGGAACATTCGTCTGAACACGATGCTGCTGGATCTGTCTGACCGTCGAAAAGACTACACTGATGCGCTCTGGTGCATACGCAGGCTTCAACAGAACTTCAACGTCCTGGTAAAGGAGGCTAGAACCAAGAACAAGAGGGCCAAGCAAGAGGTGCTGGAGGCAATTGTGCTGGATTTGAACACGTTTCTCGAGCAGCCAAAAACTACCATGAAGAAGAGAGCTCACGAGTTGCAAAACTTGATAGCGCACTCGCACGACGTCGCGAGGAGGTTATGGGGCGAGAGACTGACGCCGAGAAAGGGATATATCGGCCTCATCTGGACTTTTCGATGGGCCTGAACCTGAATTCGAGCACGGACACGTGTTATCGAGCACGTGCACTCATTCGCGGGATTAGATTTGATATTTTTCGCGTTCAAGCGGGAGGAGCTATGCAGATGGTCTGCGGCAGCAAGGTAGATTGAGAAATGGTTTGTTACATCAGACGACTGTGCAATATCTGCAGTTCAGTAGAAGTTCTCTTGCTCAACGTCCTGCCTCGTGTTGGGGATTTCTTCGAGTCATCTGAGCTCCCCGCAGAGTAACTCAAGCTACAAAGCAGGCGGCAATGTTCGCCTCCTCAGTGCCTATCGTCAGGCGGCATACTCCGATAAGTTCCTCGTATTCTTGACTGTGGCCAAGCATGATCCCTTGCGAAGCCTATACTCGTGGGTGCCTTATCTTTCCCGTGCCAGCTCTCCGAGGGATCTTTGAGGAGGCACAAGTCGCCGTTCGCCACCAGACAGCCAGGGTCACCACCACCTCAGCGAGATCACTACCCAAAAATCAGGCGAAATGTCTGAAACCACGACAGTCACGGCACCCCCGTTCCAGGTGGAGGGACACGGCAATGGACAGGAGGGCACGGCGTACGGGAAGCTCAGATATGTCGCTGATGGGCATACACCAGAGCCATCACCACATAACTTCCACCTGCCAGCCATCGCCGAGTTTAGCGATATCCGTCGCGTACACCTCCACAGCATGCGACCCGTGCCAACGATAGACCAACTACAAGCATATACGGAACACCCCCAACTCCCCACCCACGGGTTTACAGCAATTGACCACGCAACGACTCTTCACTCCGCTCCGCACACCATATCCTCATGGAAAGACCCCTCCCTTCTCGCGGCCCACTATATCCCAGAGACCGAAAGCATGCTCAAGCGCCTAATCGGCTGCCGCACCGTCATCACCGAAACGCTCTTGCTCCGCTCCAATCTGTGGTCTGAATCCGACGCCCTCGCCCAGCACGCTGTGCAAGGCGAGGCCACACCCACCAAGACCGCCGAAGACGAAGCGGCTCAAGAACGCAAGCTTTCCGAGCTGGAGACTGGGTTCCCGCAGTTCATCGGCTTCAATCCGGCGCACGGTGGCGCGAGCCCGGCGCCAAAGATCCACATCGACTTCGCGCCGAGCGGGGCGCGCCTGCACGTGCGGAACTACCACCCCACCATGACGGCGGCGGCGCGGGACATCGTTGCCGCCGAGGACAAGCTTGTGGCGGAGGGCAAAGACCTCGCGGCGCACTACAAGAATAGCGAGGGGCCGAGGTGGGCACTATACTCTATCTGGCGGCCGTTGAAGGTGGTGAAGCGGGATCCATTGGCACTGGGGGACCCAAGCACGTTCGCCGAGGGGGATTTTGTCAGCTGCAATATCAGGATGCCGTACTTGGGGAGGGAGGGCGTGGAGGATGCGCACGACAGTGAGAGCTACGTGGCGAGGTACAGTGATGGGCAGAAGTGGTATTGGATCGAGGAGCAGAGGCCCGAGGAAGTGCTGGTTATAGGGTTGTGGGATAGCAGTTTCGAGGAGCCTGGGAAGTTGGGCTTTGGCGGCACGTTTCATAGTAGTGTTGACCTGGACGGGGCAGAGACAGAACAAGAGCCGCGGGAGTCGCTGGAACTCAGGTGTCTGGCCATCTGGTAGGTCAACGGCCAGTGCCAGGCAGTATTCCGCACATGAATGAGTGGCGATGCGTAGAGGTATCGCAGTAGGGGAGTACAAGAAGACGGATAGAGCAGCAACAAGCCACCTCGTCAAGAATTTTTTTCTGCAGTTTGTTTTTGCTGGTATCGCCAGCCAATCTGACTGCGCAAACACCGCACATGGTCGCCCAGAGTTGGTGGGTTCCAAGGCCTAGCAGGCCTGGGCAAAGGCTTGTCCAGACCGTATCAATGACGTTTCGCTGCCGTAATAGAATACGAAATAAAATACTTGGCCTTTAGACTTCCTCCCAACAACGCCCATACTCTGAATTCGCGCTGCCACCATGTCGTCGACATGAGTTCCTCATTTTCTCTCTGTGGAGCTTGACCCCGCCGACATGTCCAGCGACGGTGGCCAGGATCACCTCAACGGGCACAGCGCCGTCATTCTCGCGGCCTTTTGTATCGTCTCGTTCTTCGTTATCTTCCCAGTCAAGATCCCGCTGCCTGGTTTCGCCCAACGGCCCATCTTAAACGTCGCGCAGACATGTCGGATCATCAATGCGCAAGAGCGAAAGGCACTGGGAGCAAGGCGGCTGCATCTTACACTGTCGCTGCTCACCGCGCCGCTGATTGCGGTGATTGTGCTCTTGGCGACCACGACGATCCACGGGAGCACGATCAGACTAGGTATCGTGGGCGACGAGAACGTAAAGCCATATGAGGTCCTGGTTCTGTTCATTTCATTGGTGAGTAGACACTTGTCTGCATGTTCGACCCTGCTGACCACCCATCAAGGCCTACATATCGATCGCCCTAGATGGTACTGGCGCCCTCGAAGCAGTCGCCTTCTGGGTCTCAAAGCAGGGTGGAAGCTCAGGCCGCCTGCTGTTCTTCTACCTGTATGCTTTCTTCTTCCTTGTGGGCTGCATCGTCGGCAATGATCCTTTGATTCTCTCCGGTACTCCCTTCCTGGCCTACCTCACCGGGCACACCAGCCTTGAACCCACCGCCTGGATCTTCTCCGAGTTCATGGCCGCCAACACAGCCTCCGCTGTCCTTGTCTCGTCCAATCCCACCAACATCCTCATCGCCGGATCTTTCTCGCTCAATTTCCTGACAGGCTTCACAAAATGGACCATTCTGCCAACCGTCATTCCAGCCATTCTCAACTACCCCGTTGTGTACGCCATGTTCCATAACAAGATTCCCAAGAAGCTCACTCCAATGGATGTCAACCCATGGTCCAAACTACGAGACCGCACAGGAGCCATCTTCTTGAGTGTTCTAATGATCGTCACTGTCGCTGTCCTGGTTGGCACCAGCTTCGTACCTGGTCATGCCGTCGAAGTCTGGATGGTGACCGCCCCGGCGGGTATCCTGGCTTTCCTGTTCAACCTGATACGAGATTCTATTGACCAGAAAACCCAAGAGCGCACACGCCAGTCTATCTCCAACGACCCGGCAGCAGAGATGCAGTCTATCGCCCGCCACGACTCTTCCGTCTCCAATCACTCTCACCGAACTTCGCCCGTGGAGAAGCCTCCGCCTCTATCGCCACACCCGAATCATACCTCTGGTGTACGGGCCTCAAAAGACGCCCCATTCGAAGCCACACCGCCCACGACAAGCACACCCGGGGCCGAAGGCCCCATGACCCTCTCCACGCTCATCAACAACGTCAGCGTACGCTTTCCCTCCACAACTCTGACCCTACAACGGCTCCCCATTCCCCTCCTCCCCTTCGCCATGTGCGAATTCATTCTGGTGCGCGGTCTCTCGCAGCGTGGCTGGATCCGCGTCTTCGCCATCGGCTTTGCGCGCGCCTGCACCACGCCCGTGTCGGCCGTCTTCTTCATGGGCTTCATCTCCGCGGCCTTCCTCTGCCCGCTGGCCGGCACCAACATCGGCGCCACCATCATTCTGGTCGAGGTGCTGCGCAACGACGACTTCATGCTTTCCGAGGCTGTGCGTGGCGACGAGCGCGTACTCTGGGGCTGCGTCTACGCCGTCGCCATGGGCAGCAATCTCGGCGCCTTCAGCTATACTTTTGCCGGCAGTCTAGCCGGGCTGTTGTGGCGCGGGCTGCTGGCTGACAAGGATATACATGTCAGTCAGCGCAAGTTTGCCGCGGTGAATTTTGTGCCGTTGGTCATGCAGACGACGGTGGCGTGTGCCGTCATTTTGGGGCAGTTGTACTGGTTTCTCTGACACGGCGATACCTGTTGGAGAAGTGGGAAGACTTTCCTATCTAGTTAGTAAAATATGAGACTACGGTGCAAACCAGAGCCAGCAGCGTTCTGTCCACGTCCGCGCCCCTTCGGCGATGTGGTTGACAGTATATTCGCTTGAAGCACTTATTTCAGGGGTTCCGAGGCCTGTCCCTTCTCACAATGACACCATGAGAAGCCTTCGAGGTCTACGTCGACGTATCTAGCGTGACTGCGTAGAATTGATCAGGTTACGCTAGCTGCGAAACACAGTTTTCAAGCCGCTAGTATTCTGTGGATTCATGTAGTAACGTAGCGGCGCAAAACTGCTATTCCACCGCGGCGGCAACATGATTCAAGACCGTGGTCACAGGTATACCGAGCCGCAGAAGGACTTTCTATATGCAACTGACGCTGTCTCCAAAAAACTTCTTCTTCCAAGACCACATGCAGGCCCACAGAATGGTCCATAACGCCCCAACCATCAAGTCTGCTAGCAGCAGATAATTGCCCTCCAGCAACCCCCCTTGAAATGTAGCCGTTTCGATATGCCGGTCCGTCAAACTAGGAGATTGGTTCCAGTTCAAAAATGCTCTGTCGGCGCCCTTAGTAGCATGATTAGATCTAACAGAAGACACGTATAGATGCCATACTTATGGTGGTTCAACCGGTAGCTCATTGTGAGTGGCTCGAGAAGTTTCATAAGTGTCAGAAGTCCCGTTCAGAATCCGCCACGTGTCGAGCAGATGTTTCCACTTGACCTTGTGGTCCTTTCTACGCCACAAGCCCTAGCGACAGTTTCTACAACGCAACACGTCTATTGATGACTCAAAGTTGTCCATCACGCCTGTTGTCTGACTGAAGGGCGAGTTCAATCGATGACCGGGTGTAAAATCATCACATTGGACCAACCATACCCGTTAACGCGATCAATATCAACAGGAAGAGCATGTCTGAGCGTGGTGGCCAGCGTATTCCGCTAGTTGTATGGGATCCGCATAAGGATGAAATCCATAAGCTGTACATCGAACAAGGCCTTACACCGGGCCTGGTTATGAAGACGATGTACGAAAAGTACGGGTTTACTGCCAGCGTCTCTCAATACAAGGCTCAGCTTGCGAGGTGGGGTTTAAACAAGAACGCAAAGCGATCTGAAGCGTCAAATGATCTTGATAGAGATTCTGAACGAGAAATTGAGCTAGATGCTCAGCGGCACAATCGAATGAATACCGAAGGAGCCGTTCGACAACTAGTAGGAAACTCGCCCCGGCAACTTTCACCCCTAAGTCACATGCGCCCTGGTGGCGCAGATGGAAACATGGCCTTACATGCTTCCTCAGGAGACACTGTGCAATATGCTACAGGAGACCTCATGCAACCCTCAACCTGCGAAAGGTCCAACATGAACAACTCGGGAACTTGGCAGGACCTGCTGCCAGAGGGCTACCTACGTTGCGGCCCCCATGCGAGACCTCCAGCTACTGCGTTGCAAGCCGCGTGTCCGAATGGTCACCTGAGCATTGTGAGAACGCTGCTAGAACATGGCGCCAATCCCAACGCGCCAGTTAGTCCAGCCGGAAACGCCCTTACTGCGGCTGTTGCATCTAGGCAGATCAGCATCGTTCGGCTCCTCCTTGAGGCTGGCGCAGAGGTGAATGTCGGTGGCGACTCTTTCGCAACGCCACTGTCAGTTGCTGCTTTTCAGGGCCATGTTCAGCTGATCAGGCTCTTGCTCCAAGTTGGTGCGGACATCAACGGCCCATGCACGTATTTTGGGACACCTCTACTAGCCGCCGCGTCCAAGGGTCACGGGCAGGTGGTCGACATACTCCTGGACCATGGTGCAGATGTGAATGCATCCTCCACCAACCTTCGTCCTTTGCAGGCAGTGCAGAGGTCAAGTCGACCAAGTTACTTCCCGCCAGCCCTACCTCAAGACTTTCTTGGTTCCAAGGATGACACTCGCCCGATAACGGCTGCAGAAGCCAGCAATCAGATCACATGGCCAACACAGGACAGCAGCAGATAAGCCACAGAGCTAAGCTTCTCGGTCTGCCAGTGGTGAGAAGCCACAACGGAGTCACCGAACTTCTTCTAATTGCTACGGTCTTTTTGTCGATGCCTCTAGTATTCACCCCAAGATTTATCTTGCTCGGCTCAGTCGAACTCTCTCGCAGCTCTCCCGCGTGCCCTCCGAGCCCCATTCATCGCTCCCCTTCTGCAGTTTCGGTCGGAAGTACACACACACCCTCACAGCATAGTTCATCACTAGCCGCAGGGATCTGTTTCACCAAGATGACCCGCTACTACCCATCGCTACCACCGCTGATACCACTTTCCTCAGCCCCACGCCAGTCCACTACTCGGCATTCAACGTCAGGTAAACACGACTCAGCCTCTGCCGGACGTTGCCAAACGGCTCGATGATCCGCCCCGTCTTCTCATCCACCTCGGTGTAGTCCTCGGTGCGGAAGGCGCAGATGCGGTCGCCCCGCGTGCCCGGCACGGTCGGGTTCCTCCATATATGTTCGACGGCCTCGTGGAAGCACTCGATGTTGATGGCTTGGTAGCCGCGTTCTTTGGCGTAGGCGATGAGCCAGTTCGCCATCTGTCGTTTCGCATAGGGTTAGTTTCGTCCTGCGCTTGCGGCGGGTGCTGGGAATGGTTGTCGGAGCTTGTTATGGAATTTTTTTACAAAAGAAAGATGAGTGGGGGAGGGGTAATGCGGCCCTTACCTTCTTGGTGATGCCCTTCCCGTCTGCCGTCTTCCTCGTGCTGGTGGAGTTCCGCTTCAAGATCTGCCCGTGCGCGGTAGCAGCAAAGGTCGCCGGGTCACGCGGGTCTGTGATGTCCAGACGATGGAAGATCGCACCATACAGCGGGAGGACCTCCAGCAGCGGCATCAATTGGGGCATGTCGAGCGCGTTGGACGCGTCGTAGCTCAGCGCCACGCTGACGATGGGGCTGTCGATGAGGTCGTCCAGCTCCTCGCCCGTGGCGTCCGGATTCGACGTGTCCCACAACACCTTGCCGCCGGCGGCTTCGGCCTCCTTGGTGCGGTACTCGTATTGTGTGTCCAAGACGGCGAAGCTTTGTCCGTCCATGATCTGGTGCCGGAACAGGTATTCGCCCTTCTTGTAGGCTTCGTAGGCACGTTGGGTTTTGCCGTCAGGATAGCAAACGGACCACTGGTGTTGGTGTCAGCAGGGTGGAGATCAAGCCATGAGGTCAAGACGTTGAGCCAGCCAATGCAGCCCGGTGACGTGAGGGTTCCTCTGAGATGCGGCCGTTGATTCCTCCTTGGCATGGAGACCACAAAACGGTATAAAGAGCGGCGCGAGTGCTGAGACTTACAACGGGCGAGTGAAAGACATTGGTATGTATGACAATCGCTTGTGCGATGGGAATGTCCTTCTCCGTCAACCGGCGGATCTCGTACCGAGAATCAAACGGCGACGGGAGCGACGGCGTGACAGCAGAGAGGGATGTCGGCGTAGGGTTGGTAGTCGTCTCAGTACTGGTCGCCATGGTGGTCATCGGCCAAAGTGTCGAATATCAACAACGAGCAACTCTACGTGAGACACATTTCGTCAGCCCGAGGGTCTTGACTGAGTCTCTCTATATACATGCTCGGAGTTGGGAGGGCCCCATGCGGAAAGCTTGGGGCCATGTAAGTTATACCTCGCATTCGCAACCGGAATCCCAACTTGGACCATGTGTTTCGGCGCGGTTGTTCGTGTACCCAAATTTCTACTCAGGCGTCCCGCGTTGTGACAGGCCTCCGTTACTGGGACGCCTAACTCAGGCTCGCCTGACCGTGAGTTCTTTTATGCCGAGGTGCAGTTCTGGGGATGGATTATGCATGTTACAGAGTTTCAACACGCATATTATGGTGGTATTGGGCCTTGTGAGGCTGGTTGATAGCCGTTCGTGGTTGGGACGGTCCCGGAACCGACTGTGATGGACGCAGACGGGATCGGCTCGGCCCAGCCATTTCAGCTACAGTTGAGGTCAGCCATCGCGTTCTGGGATAATCTCAGCGATCTGGTGAATGGTACACTTCTGTTCATCATCTCGTCACGGTGATAGAGGTCCGCGGATGGAAGGAGCTGGGCTTACGAACAACTTCAGTGGAGATATTTTTTCTTGGGTCGTCTGTGTAATGCGGTTTTAGTACTATCCGGTTTGCACGACCCTCGTGCTCGACAGCACTCGCTGGGTATGGTGCTGACGCGTGCAACGGAGACTTCCTGAACAGTGAACACGGCGCTGTATATAAAGTCTGACGCCTTTTCAATCGAGCACGATCAGCACAGGAGGCTGCTTACTGGAGCACATGACTGTCCGAAGCAGATACGAGCAGATTGCAGCATGGTGCGTCTCTTTGCCGTATTACTCACGTGCAGATGAGATCTGATGCAGCTACAACTACCGTGGCATCAAATATACGCCTTGAAACAGCAGCAGTCTGTGTCCCGAAGCTCAAGCATTGTATATTCCATATACATCCGTTACATACTGGCTCTGCCTTGCCCGTCAAGTCGGCAGCTGCCGTCCATCAATGAACGTGACTCAAGATGAGGAATCATACCCCAGCCTGGGTTGAGTGCTCTGTTGGGCAGATTGTTTGTCACGATTGTCTTCACCCGCAATCCCTCGATAGTGAAGCAATATAACAGCTCCGCCCCACTAATTGTTTGAGCCTCCTCTTTATGTATGTCGTCTTCACATGCTATCAACACATTACAGCACGCCTTCGGTAACAACCACCAGAGTTTCATCGATAAAATCCCCAAGAATGTCTGCTCCGCAGGAAAGACGGACCCGTGCAAAGTCACAAGCGCAACTCAATGTGGAGGAAACAGGGGTCAAGGACTCTGCCGCCGCTCAAATCATTGTTGAGACCAAGAAGCAGCTGGTGGCTCTAGCTCATCTAGACCCCAGTGCTTGTGCTCTCATGACTGCCATTTCTCAGACCATTCTCACGCCAATCCTTCAATTCGCCAGCGAAGCCTACAAGACTGCCGACAAGGTTATCAAACAGACGCCCAAGGAGCATTTCATCATCGCCGACATAGTCTATAATGGGACTCCACACTCGCGTGGCTTGAGCGAGGCACGTGTACTGCTGATGGATAAGATTGCCGAGGAGCTTGTTGCTAAGGTGGCTGGAGGTGTCACAATCGAAGGAGTCGAGAAGTGGACAGAGGAGGGTTTTGCCAACAAGAATCAGATCGAACAATGGTTGGGTACGATTGTGAACGACATCGGTGGTGAAGGCTGGGGCCACGACGAGGACGAATTTGCCGGTGCGGACAAATAACGCATTCTGTAGGCCTGAGCGTCGCCTTATCGCATGAGCCACTCAGACCGGTGGATGGTATGACTATCGTCGGGCATCGATTGGTTAGGCAATGGTTATGGGTCTGTCAAGGATGTTGGTTCACGGATTCGGCGCTCAATCTCTCGGTTACAGAGTTGCATACAAAGCGAACCAGTTGACAACAAAAAACAACCCCATTGTTCTCTGAAAGCCTGTCCTTCTCGATTCTGGCTCCTTGGTAGACGACAAAGCCACAAAGGAAGTCTGAGCTCAACAAAGACTCACCGAAATGGAGTCGAGCAAGCCCACAAGCACGACTTCTGTACATATAAGGGTACTTCACGGAGCCTTTTTTTAATTCTAACGTACCAACCAAACAACCACAACCATCATCACAACCACATCCACAACCACAACCAGTCATGGCCCATCGTATTCCTGACTTCGACATGGACATTGATCACATGAGCACCAGGTCCTCATATGGCGGCTTGAAGTATATGACCAAAGTCATGGGTCGGCATTCCGCGGCGCAACTGAGAAACTCCCTTGGCCCGTATGCTGATGTGTTTGAGGATTTCTCCGACGATGAGTTGTGAACCGCGACTTGGTGAAGAGACTCAGAGGTTGCCTCAATAGCCACCACCATTGGTTTGACTTCTTCTCAACCGTTGAGGATGATGTCTTCGAATCCTTGTTCGATGGCCAGTCCTGATCTACCAAAGTCTTCTCATCCGCCTAAGATCCAATGATCCCTAGGCCGTCTCATCCCCAGGTCACACCCATAGCACAAAGGTAATGTATCTCACTCCCTGAAAACTCTCAATAACTCTTCCCAGTCCGTAATGTAGGTCGGGCACTCTTAAATATGCCCTGTGACTCGTCTATAAACAGCAATCAAGTGCACAGCTGCGACGAGAGCTCACTTGCTAAAATCGTAGACCCTGAGTGGCCTCCGGAGGGAGTAACAAGTCCTCCGCACTGTAGATCGAAGATGATACTAGTATCGTCGGAAAGCCGAGTCCACAGCGTGAACAAATCGCAGCCCAACCTTGACCTTAGTAGATTGCAATCAATGAAGGCACTACAGATCGAACTCATTTGGAATGGAGCACACCACTTGAAAAATCTCAAGAAAAAAATGAGCTACCGCTGTATCGCAGTCACAGTCGAAAGATGGTAAGCTAAGATACCAATGTATGTTGCAGCACGTAGCGAAAGATCATGTAGCTAAAGATGTACCTCGACCAAACTCTGAGCTCTGGCGAATCATGCAGGGGCTATACCTTGCTGCTTGACTCGGTCCATAATGCAGCGGCAAGTCTGACGGACATTTCGACAACCTGATAGCCTTGGAAAGCCTCCGATGTGCCAACAGCAGCGTCGCAGACCCGAGCAAGTACTACGCCGAGACACAATTCTGCATACTTTCCTTGTGGCTATGCGTTGTATACTTCGAAATTTTATCGACCTCGACAAAGACATTAAGCTGTTACCACAAAGTATCTCCTTTTCGCACACAAGACGACACTGGGTTGTCGATAATGTAATAGTTGCATAGCGGGTGTCGAACATAGTGGTCTACACTAGTTATGGGCTGCAGCTGCAGAGTTGTATAGATGGTTGCCTGAATCGCACGAGTCGGTTGGCGCCAAGACTTCCACTGCCTGGTATCCAGATGTGCGTTTGCCTCATCTTCATTTTCTCTCCAAGCACAGAAAACTGTCAGATACTGGACCAGTAGAATTCTCTCGGTTCGAAAATGATTGGGTATCAGCCGTTGCCACACCCTCAGCTTGTAATGAGGTGGACGTCTAGTTCGATTGAACTGCTCATTGATGCCTGCTGGAAGACTGCTTACTTCTTTCTCTCTTTGTACATCACTCAGACATATAAGGCAGGGGAGTTCTGTACCATCATAGTCCCCAATTTTCATGTTCTCAGTCAAGCACAATGTCATCTACCTAGCTGGCCACCTATTCTCCCTAGCAAAGGGACAAGCGTTATTACTAGCAGATGGGGATGGGTCCGCAATATGGCATAATCGTATACTTTTCCCGCGACCCAGGCATTATATACCTATCTCAAGAGCGCCTTCCGATCCGAAAGTATGAGATCCTCGACGTCGATGCATTACAAGTATCGCTCAACATGTCAGCGATGCACCGAAGCTGGGTGAAGAGGTCCCCAGCGAGTCACCTGGACTGCCTAGTGACACCTCCCCAGTCACTGTCACTTGTGAACATCTCAAAAGGTGAAATGTGTTTGCAGCGTCTTCACTGCTGCAGGCAGAACTATCTCACCGCCTGCGTCTATACAATCTAGACAAAACCTGCGCCTTCTTTCTGCCTTCTTCAGCCCTTGACAGCGCCTGTATCCCAACATTCTTGCCTTGCTCACTACATTGCACCACAGCAAGCACAGAACAGACTCTATTTAAATCAATACTTCATCAACAACACTTTCAAGATGTCTAGCGGTTCCAGAGAACACAAGATGCTGCCGCACAACGGCTTCTGCGTGTGCCACATCTGCCACGACCATGTTGAAAAGGAGGAGAACGAAATCTCTAGACATTACAGAACCGACCACCAAGCCACGCACCCGCAATTCGTCGGTCGTGGCCGAACCCCATACCACCTGGCTCGCATCGTGCCTCGGCAGGTGGCAGAGGACCTCGTCGGCGCGCATCGCGTGCAGTACCTCAACAACAGACAGAGCTACACCACCATCGACCAAGCACCGAAGACACCCTTCGCGAGCATCCAAGAGATGTCGGGGATGTATCAAGCCCGCGGCGTGCAAGTACCAGCATTCGTTGCGACCTTGACTTGGCCGCCCGTTGCCGCCGCTTTCTTCGCCCAGCCTGCTGTCCCTCCCGTCGCAGCCACTCCGCAGATCCAAGCCCCAACCGCTGACAGCGAGAGCGACGAGGACGGAGAGTACACCGACGATGAAGAAGAAGAAGAAGAAGAAGAAGAAGAAGAAGAAGAAGAAGAAGAAGAAGAAGAAGAAGAAGAAGAAGATGACCAAGCCGCCCTCAACAACGCCGACCACGACGACGACGTCACAGACGACAACAACGCCAATCCCGACCCAACCTCCATCACCGCCCCCGTCAATGAAGAAGGCGACACCGACATCTACACCCCCCTCCCGCCCATCCTCTCCTCCTCGGGCAAGATCGACCCGTGCCCGGACCTCGAACGCCCCGTCGGTGAACGGCACTACCTCTGCCACCCGCACTGGACCGCACACCCTCCAGGCCAGATCTACATCGGCAACCTCCGCAGCATGTTCTACCACTACGACATGTGGCATCCCGAGGCCCTCCAAGAGGCCTTTGGGAAGATGTACCACGACCGGTTCTTCTCCGAGGATCTGGGCTGTTTTCTGTGCGAGGATTATCCGACTGGTGACTTCTTTGAATTGGACGCGCATTTCATGGCACGGCATCCGAAGCAGCGCTTCGATATGGCTGTGGAGATCTTCCGGAGGTGGGCGCGTGAGAATTAGTGAGGCTTAGACAGGCTGCAAGGGAGCATAGAGCTCTAAGGATGGAGGTTTGTGTTGGGAGTATGGCGATACGTTGTGTACCAGAACATGGAAGGGATCCAAAGATGCTAGATTGTAATTATGAGTGAAGTGGCACGGTTAGGGAGTTCAGCCTCGGCCAACTTTTGAACATTTTTGCAAAAAGCGCAGTACAGAAGATCACGCCTAACATGTGGACGATGAGGGTAAGCATCCAGGTTCAATACTCACGAACAATGAAAACGCAGTCTGATTATTTTGTTTCCTCGACTAGACTTAATTTCATGGGCGAATGCTGCGCCTAAGAATACACTCGTGTGACCCATTTTCAAGTCAAGCCTCTCTCCTTCCCATCCACATTACAATATCCTCCATAAGCAAAGACTGATGCCAAAACCACCAGTCCTATTGCGGGGTATCATGGTTTAGAGGCACTGCCAGGGTATCAAGCCAGTAACTCGAATCGCTTCATCGCGTCATATCGTCTGGGGTGATGACTGCTCACGACTACTTAGTAACACCATCGTAGTATGTTCCGGTAGTGCCCGTAGGGTGGGCGCCACCATTACTGACACCACCAACGGGCAAGCCTCTAGTCGCACCGACAGGGTTGTTGGTCTCGAAAGCCCGATCCATCTGGTTGCTCAGTCCAGCGCCAGCATTGCCGCCGTAAGCACCGGTGTTGCTACCGTAGGCACCAGTGTTGGCACCCGTGTTGCCGCCACGGAGACCAGATTGGGCTGTGGTGTGTGGCTTCCGTGTCACCTGCGCAAGCTTGGGGATATCGCTCGACTCCTTGGCAGATCCGATGGAGAAGACAGGTGATTCCCACTTGTCACCCTTGGCAGCCAGCTGCTGGTACTCAGTAGCTTTAGTACTGATACCGCCAGGCAACGAAATGTTCTTGAAGATACTATCGTCCTTAGTCACAGCCATGTTGACCTGGGTATTCTTGGCCATCTGCTCGGCCTTCTCCTTCTTGGCAGTGGCGCGGGACTTGATAGCATTGACGTAGTGGGAATAGATGGCAGGAGCATTCTCGGGGTCGTTCTGAGCGGCCTTAATACCCTTCTGGGCCTCTTGATGAATGGACCAAGCGTAAGCATCACCTTGCTCGAAAGCATCACGAATCTGCTTCTCGATGACCTTCTGGATCGCTGGACGCATGACCTTCAACAGTAGAGGCTTAGCAATACCGAAGAGGAGCTTGTGGTTGCTCTGCTTGATCTTGATCTGGAGGTTCTTGACCTGGACATCGACCTTGTCGACAACGACAAACTTGGTGCGGTCCTTCTTGTGGGCGTTGCGAGCAGCAATCTTAAAGCTAAAACCCTCGCCCCCGAGAATAATGTCCATGACACCCTTGTCGGTAATGGAAGGGAAACCTTGCTTCTTCTTGATGTAGTAGGCAACGTCGCGAAGATCGCACTGGATGCCAGAGGCCGAGATCATCACCTTGTTGTCATGCTTGTTGCTGACTTGGCGACGACCAAGGCGGAAGTAGTTGTCACTGCCGAATTCCATGACGTTAGGGAACAAGTTATTGCTCTCAATGACCAAGTTCTCGACAACAACATCAACCATTGGGTCAGACACTTCGATACGAGGGATAGGAACGTATCGAGTGTTCTCGAAAATGCCTGGAATGATGATCTCCGTGAGATCCTTGATCAAGTGCTTCTTGAATTTGGGCTTGCCGTTCTCGTCATTGCCGAGATCAAGGAACAGCTTTTGGACAGCATCGCCGAAGGCTCTATTCTGTGGGTCTTCATCAAATTGGTTGCCAATGAACTTGACCTCATCAAGAAGGCGATCGGTATGGCTTCGGTAACGCTCACGGAGGAGGAACTGGCCACGGTCGTATAACTGGTTCCACTCGGTGTTGGCCTGGTCCTGCAGGACGAAACCTTGCTCTTGCAGACACTTGCGGATGAACTTGTCAGCGTCCTTGAAGAAACCGCGTAGCTCGGGATCGTTGTCAGCATCACGATAGATCTGGTTGAGGGCATCGAAGAAATCGTCGGTCGAGGTGGAGTTGGCGAAGCGTTCAATGAGTGTCTTTATTTTTGTCAGTGTTGCTTTGTTGTCATTGAAAGTCCCTAACAAACCTTGAGGTTAGCTTCAGCAGTACGAAGAGAATCATCATCATGGGCACCTTTCACAGTGCCAGCACCCTGGTTGGAGAGGGTGTTGGCATGACCGCCATAGGTCTCTGCAAGATTAAGCAGGGTAGTGATAGCTTGTTGATCTAATAGCAAGTTAGCGGAGAATCTGAACACGTTGCACTGAACATACAGTCAGAGTGACCTTGAATCTCGACCATCATCTTCTTGAGTCTCCAAATGCTCTGCTCGCGGCGCTCGGTGGGCATCTTCTTGTTCAGGTAGTTGCGAGTGCTCTGCGCAGCAGCGGAGCGGGCATTGCGGATATCCTGTTGGGTCTCCTCGGGAACGTTCTGCTTAGCCTGAGCCTTCAGCTGATCGGCAGCGGCAGAGGCACCGGTCTGTGCCGCCTGCTGGTTGTCGAAAGTAGGCTGTTGCTGCGCAGTGTCAACTCCCTGAGCAGCGGCGTTCTTGGCGTCTTGCTGGTCGAAAGGCTTGTTACGGTTGTAAGTATCCTTGGCCGACGACTTAATGCCCTCCTTGGAAAGATCGGGCACGTCATGCCAGGTGTTGTCATCAGCGGGCTGGTCGATCTGAGCCAGCTTGTCCTCGGAGGGACGGACTTTGTTGGCGGTGTTGGTAGCAGCATCGCCGGCCATGTCGCGGATGAGGGTCAGACCATCATCAAGTAGCTTACGGAACTGGCCGTTAGAGAGGATCAAAGTGCCGAGAGTCTTGAGACCCTCAAGAGCTTCGTTGCCGTGCTGCTGAGCTGTCGCCTTGTCGGTTGGCGCACCTGGGAGTTGGGCATTGCCACCCTCGAGGTGCTGGCAATCCCAGATGAATTCCTGGAGCAAATTGCCCTGGTTCTTGGACAATAGGAGGTGCTTGGCTTGCTTGATGACTTCCTTCAGATCGGCGACCAGGTGCTTTCCTTCATCCGAGAGCTTGCCGGAGGGACTGGATAGAGGTTTGGAGGCAAGAGCACTGTTCAGGGCGACATCGATCTGTTGATTCGAGGGAACCTTGCCGTTGGCAAAGGCGGAGTAGATGCCATAAAGCTGGAGCTTCGTGTTCACACTAGCATGTTTAGTGAGGAGCATCGAGATGAGGTCAATGTCAACTTACTCCTTCTCCTTCTGTTTGATGTCGGTAGGAACGTTGACGTTGGCCATGATGGGCAACTCGAATTACTATGCGCTGAGATGGGGTATCTAAACAAAGGACAAAAATGCAAGAGGATTGGCTCGTTGAAAGTACGAGGGATGAGGGCAATGGGTATTTGGGATATGACCAATGTGTTAAGTGAGGTCGAGGATGGAGAGAGAGGGAAAATTGGTAACTTGGAAAAGCGAAGGGAGCAAAGGGCAGGCGCTTTTGTGTCACGGAAATTCTAGGTCAACGTGTTACATCACCGCTCCTTCTTTCGGACCACTGGCAGTAGTAGGCGGTTTGGAGACTGCTTGCGGCCCATTCTGGGTTACGGGCTTTGCCAGGAACTATTAGCCCGCTTGACTACGGATGCGCTACCCTGAGACAAGCCTCGACCTGTCGATAATCGAGCAGCCGATGCAACGATTCTGCTCTCAAATGCGCAATGGAAATGTTGCCAGTTGCTGGGCAATGGAATGACATGTCGTCACGATGGGTCGACGAATCCCCTCGCTTGCACCAATAGGAAAGAGGTTCCGGGGCTTAGCTGGAGCTCGTTCGCTTCGAGTGTGGGGAGGGCACACACTTGGGACCTGGCGCTAAACCAGGTTTTCTTTTCGTTTGCTTGTCGCTATCATCACCAGCACTCGCCGCCCTCGCCGCCCTCGCAGCCCTTGCTGTGCAGTCCTCGTTTGCCCCTAGCCGACACCTATCGTTTGCCTTTTCCTCACTTTTCGGGCACAGACTCGATCCTGCTCGATGCCGTTTTGGTCGGCACAAGATCCCGCCAGTACCTAAAAGGGAACGTAGTCGATGTCTGGTACTGTTGGGGGTGTGTGCTTCTCCCAATGCTGTAACCTGGCAACGACACTCACGTGCCCGCTGTCATGCTTGAATTTCCGCATTTTACCCTTTGACATTCCCTTGAAGCTTCGCTTGGTGGCTGCAGGCATAAAACCTACAATTTCCCGTTTCATTCTTCCCATGTCATCTCCTCCATAGAATTGCACAGTTCAGCTGGCACGTCTTCACATGAAACCGGATCGAGGTGACGCGCGGCGCCAATGAAGTAAGACGTGGCGCGGTCTATAGTGGACCATGTTCATCCTGCTCCGAGATATCGTCATCTTTCATCAGATCGACGCAGAGATCGAACTTCGAGCGATCAACACACCGGCGCGACTACTGCAGCCGGGATTGCCCTGGTGACGCAAAAATCTTTTCGGGAACTCAAATTCCATCCACTATCCAGGCCCTGTGCCGCCCTAGAACTGCTGAAAAGTGGGAGTATCTGTGGCTGATAATACGGCAACAATGGCAGGAAATGATGTCAGGGTGAGCAAGACACCTTTGTTGCGCCACATATACACAAAGAGTTCCGCTGTGCGCACAAGCCTTCCGGGCAAAACGTCACCGGCGCGGACGTGGCGTTCAGCCCTGCGCGCCAACGCGGGGACGTGACGAGGCTGTCCCTGGCACCTCAGCGTGTGCTTTTGGACATCCCGATGGTCGCTTCATCGTTGCAGGGCTCTGCAAGTGAGATAATTGTCAGGCAGCGGTGACTGCAGATTCATCATTCCATCTCTGTGCTCGGCTGGCAGCTTTTAGTACCAGGAGCTGCCTGCGAACAAGTCTGACGATCCCTAATTGAGATCCAGCTGCCACTTCATGCTTTCTGATCTTACGTCCATCGCTTCCTTCTCCTTGTGGTTCGAACATGGCTCCTTCGCGACAGGCTTATCGTAGTCGCAACCCGAAGCGCCAGACGCGCTTGCAGTTTGGTTCGCTACCAGCATCGTCTCCGAGCAACAAAGAATATTCTACCGCAATACAGGATCGCCTTTCTCGTGTAACCTACACAGGATCACGACCACGCGCGAAGAATCTCCCAACACCAGAGCCATCCTCACAACTAAGCGGTCAGGTAATGGAAGATGATGCATCTTCACTCAGTGACCCTCCTCCCACGCCGCCAACCAGCAGCAATGGACCGAACCTACTGGAAGAGGACGATGATGATGAACTGGTCGCACCGTCTTCGAAGCGCAGGAAAATCAACAGACGTGCAGTAGCAACCACCAGCGTATCAAGTCCGCTCAGGCGCTCCATGCGCTTCGGTAGTACTTCGCCCCGGCGTGAATCATCCACATCTCGGTCCAGCCGCCGCACCCATATTGAGCTTGACTCAACTTCCCCCTCACCTGGAGTAATTTCTGATGTTGGCTCAGCCGAGTCGACCGATGATGACGCTGATGTTTTAGCTTCAGCCCCTACGAAGCGCAAACGAGCCAAAGCGAGTACGAAAACGAACTACCTTGGAGCGCGGCCTCAATCTCTGGCGTCTTATGTTCCCGGACGGTCTGTCGATCAAGATGGCTGGCTAGTCAATGATGACGAAGTCGAATACATGTCTTCCGACGATGCAGAGCCAGTCCGGCGCAAAGCTCCAAGAAGTGAGAAGACTTCTAGGTCAGCCAAACGCAGAAGCCGTAGGGAACAAGAAGAGCTAGAAGCCGATCTAGATGACCTGCGGGGCTCCGAATCAGAACATTCAGCGAGCATACCCCGAACGAGAGGCGGCCCTGTCACGGCAAAACGCGATGAGACCCGAGAGCAGTTTGATCTTCTCAGGCGCAGAAGAGCTGGGGAAAAGATCCCAAGGGTTTACGACTCCGATGAGGATGGCTCCGAACAAGGAGCAGACATCAACTACATCGGACGACCATCACAGGCGATGTCAGACCAAGGATCTGTACACTCATCACTCGATACAGATCAGGGAGATGAATCAGAGCCCCGAGCAGACGGAGACGACAACTTCATCGAAGATGATGAACACGAGGAGCCGGAGGCATCGAGGAGACCTCGTTCTGACATCCCCCTTGAATTCACTCCCTGGATGACGGCGAAACCGAGAGAATTGTTTCCGCATATCATTGAATGGCTCGTCAAGAACAAAATTGCGCCGGCGTTTCCCCGAGATGATGATATATTTAAGCTCGCCTTCCAGCGCGTCAACGATCAAGTTGCTGCACAAGCCGGGAGTCGCCTTATCTCGTCGGCTTGGAATGCTGAGTTCAGGAATACCATCCTGGCCCGCCCTGACATTGCCATCGCCCTGATGCCGGGTGACGAGGATGACCGTGACACTTGCGATGCCTGCAATAAAAGCAACCATCCTGCCAGATACGACTTTGTCCTGTCCGGCCAAGCATATAATATGAAGACTCTTGAACCCATCGAGAAGGACTCCGACGCAGAAGATGACGATGGCGATAACAGAGACGATGCGAGCGTGGACGAGAAGGGCCGCGTCCTGGCATCGCAAACCCGTCATTTCCATCTCGGCTCGCACTGCACCGCTAACGCTCAAATGGGTCATAAACTTACTCACTGGAAGTATCATTTGAACGAGACATTGCTACAGCATCTTGAAGAGCAAGGGGTTCTTTCTGCCGAAGCCATCGTGGCGCGCGAAAAGAAGAGCAGGCGCAAGCGCGAGAAGGAGGCGGAAGCCATTGTCGACACATTGGAAGAGACCGGCAAGATCGACGACCTTTGGGGCTTGTTTCAGACAGACCTCAAGGATGCCATGTTGGGTATGTCGGACTACGCGGTTCGTGGCGGCAGATCTCGTGGGAGATTTGGTGTAGTGCAAGCAAGGACGGTCGATGGGAAGACGAGGACGTGGAACAACGATCGCTACAGGGAGAGGGTGACCTTGAGTGACTCGGAGTAAGGTGGTTCGCGATAGCTTTGGAGCTGCACACCTTGGGATGTCACGCGCAATTCCTAGGGCACCGTGGAGCTTGACATCGAAGAAGATCAACCGTCAAGCATTCGAAATATCGGTTTGCTGGATGAATGTGCTGGCAGCCGCCACTTGGATGTGCTTTCTTAGATACCCTTTTACAAACAATGGTGATAGACATTCCTGAGCTGAGAAAACGGCAACTGCCATCATTTTGTACCATCTTCTTGTACCGCTTACCTCGACGCTGGTCCGGTCATTGCATATTGTCGTGGTCTGTCCAGCAGAAACATCCTGTTCACTAGTATTACACTTCTCCACCACCCTTATGGTATCTTACAGCGCAGCCTTCGCCTCACCCGGTCCCTCACCCGCAGCCATCAGCCCTTGCGCACCTTCTGCCATCAAGCCCTGTTGCCTCTCTTGCTCCACGAGCGCCTGCTCCTCGCTGAGCGCTAGTGCGTACGGAATGCCCAGCAGTAGCACGGAGCTGATGATCACCCATACGCCTTTTCCGCCGTAAGTCACGCCTGTCGAGACCGCGCTGGCGGTGTTTGAAGCGATCGAGCCGATGGAAGCCCGGGTTTTGGGAGGCACGATGTCTTTTAGTGCAGAGAAGCGGTCGTAGAGCGACTCGTCCAGGTCGCCGATATCTGAGGCTTCTGAGATTTCGGAATCTGCCGGGCATCAGTAATCAGGTGGGAAGAAGCGGGAGAGGGGAGAAGGCGCACCTGTGTCTGTGAAATCATCGTCGTCTTCTTCTTGGAAGAGTGCGCCGTTCTTGGAGGTTTCGGGCTTCTCGAGAAAGGCCTCGTCGTCAACGACTTCGAGCTTGACCATCTTGGCTGTCGGAGTTTAAAAGGGAAAGCGAGTGGTTGAAAATGCGCAGTCTGTTTTCTTGGAGGGGATCCTGGGTTGATGGATAATTCAGCAAAGAGATGGATAGATTCGAGCTCGTGACAGCTTTGACCATTGACCTGGGAAATTCAGACGAATGCCCGGAGCGGAGAAACGTGCGGGCCGGACATTGAGGCTCCGAGCGTGGCTCAACTCAACCTCAGGTGCAGTGCGCAGACAGTACCTACCACGTCCCCCAGCACACCTCACTTAGGAGCAGCAAGTCTAGCAGCAACAGTGCATAGGCTACACTCATTCTAGCCGAATGGCAATGCATTCTTACATCCAATAGCGCCACCTGCGCCATCTCTCCCACCATGATCACCTTCATGGACTACATCGTCCAAGCTTTCGGGGCCTCGAGCGATTGGAACCCAGACAATAGCTACTCAGCCTTGACGGCCACATCAGACTCTCTGTTATCCTTCGAGACGCCCAAGACTCTGTCGCTACATGCCTCATCTTTGAGCAGCAACAACTTTGCTAGCTCCTACAGGCTGTCAACACTCGGCCACATCGATGGGTCCATATCCTACTTGTACACTAGTCATGCTCTGGGGCAAGTCGCTGCACGGAGTCCGAGTATACCGCTCAGAAACCTGGTCAGAGGGTACCGAGATTTGAGGTTGCCGCAAGTCCCCGTAAGCGGCGTGTGGGAGTTGCCCACTGGGCGGAAACCGACACTGTTATATGCAACACTGGCCCTGCCTCCGCCGTCTGTGCTGAATGCGCTCTATGTCCGGCGTATCAATCCTGAGACGCTCCTATCTCTGTCTCTGTATAGCAAGTCATCAACGACACCTGTTCTCAACGGTGGCAGCCCTCCTGCATCGGTACTGGCACATCTGCAGCGTGATACAGGGCAATATTCGGTTGAAGGCCTTCTTTCCACAGACAGTGCATTGTTGGGAGCTCGTGGTTTGTGGAACTTCGGGGTTTCACCACCTCCTGCCGCCCCCCCGTCGACTCCAGCCGACTTTGACCTCAAGATCCCACCTTCCACCGATGCCTATCTGCAGTACCGCAACCGCCTGGCGTCCAAGCCATCCCTCCTTTCCGCTGGTGCCGAATTCTATTATTCACCCCTGTCTCACGTAATCGGTATGTCCACAGGTCTCCGCTTCACGACTCTCGCCCCTCATATAATGCCCACACCGTCGCACTCGTCGCGCGGCAAGCCGTTTACCGGCACCGCCGCCTCCCTCCTGCTGCCGTCCAATATCTCACACTCCTCTTTCCCGTACACCATGACCCTGACCCTCAACCCCCTCGTCGGTGGCATCGCTTCTACATACTCAGTGCGCCCGACTCCGAACCTGGCACTTTCGTCCCGATTTGATTTCAATTTCTACTCATGGGAGTCCCGATACGTCCTTGGTGCTGAAATATGGCGCGGCTCTCGGGGTAGTCGGTCAATCTCTCCGGAAAACCCTGTCTACTGGGCCAAGGAACGGCTAAGAGGATGGTTTAGCCCAGAGGAAATGGCATTGAAGGAGGAGAGATTCGAAAGGGAAGACGAGAATGTGTTGAAGGTGGGAGTGGACGATGGGTGGAGCGTAAAAGCTCTTTGGACAGGTAGAGTCAAGGCATTGCTGGTAAGTGCAGGAGTAACTGTTTGTCCTGAGCCGAGGAAGGTGGGAGCGGATGCTGGGACGCCATGGAAGGGCAGCTTCGGAGTCACTGTTGCTTATTCGACATGAGAGCCGTCTTCGACACCAGCACTCGCCACATCTGCGCCACCTTGTCCGACCAGCGAGAGCTTCGTTGGATAACAGCCTCCGCTATCTCAAGAGGACAATCTGAAAGACCCTTTTTTATTTCAACGCAGCGCTAGATCAGAGGACCCCGATACCAACATATCTCGTTGGCTTTGCCAGATGCTACAGCCGATCTGCTAGGACATGACTGGCAACTCACATGCAGACGACAATGGTGGCTCGTTCTTTCAAAGAGTTCTTTACGCCTGGCTGTGCATTTGCTGTGTACAAGTCAGCAAATGGACCGACCTACAGTTAGCAAGAAATGCACTCAGGCAGTTTCACCAGAATCTCGGACCGGGGTCAAAAAGCAAGCTGCAACCAGAATGAGGGCATTCTGGGTAACCCTTAACCTTCGTGACTCTTCACTCTCAGTCACTACTGTCTAAACAATCAACTAGTGACGTTGAAAAATTGTGCGCTCAATAATGCACAAAAGCTCCGCAAACCTAGCCACTATTGCGACAACACCGCAACAGTTGCTTCAGGACTTCTCGCGCTTTGTGTTCTGCAGCAGCACACCTGCCTACCTTTCCACCATCCTTTCAAGCAACAACAAAGTTCGGATCTTTTTCTCTAGATGGCTTGGCCTTCCCCCTTCCTCGGTAGCGATATCACTGAAGTGCGCGAGCGTCTGGGAAGCCAAGGCGCAGTCATCTTCTCCGGTACGGGCTCTATCATTGATAGAAGTGGTTTATCACGATCGAGCGTCACCACCGACCCTCTCCCTGGTCTTTTCGATCCTTCTGGCAACGCCTCCTTTGCACGCGCTGCTTCACCACTTCAGCAATCTCTCTCCCGGTCCAAGCTGTGCACAGATCTACCACCCATTGGCCGTAGGTATGCGTGGCACACAACAGCAGACTGGCTGGGCTATGCCACTTCCGCACTATGGCTCGCAAACGAGAGTGGCTGCCGGCTCTGACGGTGGCCAAGTTGTCGACCAAGCTGTGCAGGCAGCGGTCGATCGACGAGTCCAGCAGCTTAATCCTGCTGCAGCTGTATTCCTGCCGCGAGATACTACCAGCGAAATGCCCACTACCGCAATCGCTGCAAAAGACCAGCTTGCATGTGATCGGAATGCGCCACAGTTCAGTCCCCAAACGCAGCCAAGCGGCGAGCGCAGGTACAATACTAGGCAAGGAAGTGGATCTGGTCACCATGAGCCTTCAGGCACATATGCACAGGAGCGGCATGAACCACAGCCTGATCCTCAGCTTAGCCAACTCCGTTTTCAATTGCCAGTCTACTACACTCAACCTAGCGAGCTCGGTCGTGACGATAGTGTCCCCAACCCTCAGCCAGTTCGTCCTCAAAAGCCTCCTCAGGCCCCATCTCAGACTCTTCGCCAAGTTCGCCAGTCAGCCGCGCCCAATCTACAACAACATCCCTCCAGTAGCATCCCGACCTCATGTGCGGTCCACAGCAGACTCAACGCTTCCGCCGTCACCGCCACCAACCGTATACCACGCTTCCCGCTTCGCGTCGGTGACCTCGACCTCGCGCCGCTCCCAGCACTCACACTCCCAGAGCTTGAACACCATCAAACAGCCCACACCATCAACGAGCTTGGCCAACTCTACCTGGTCAACCCCCCCGTCGCCCCTCTCCAGTATGGCAGCTATCCCACCAGCGAGCCCAACCCGCAAGTCCTCGCAACACGCACCGCCCTCGCCCGCTTCGCATCGCCGCACTGGACAACCTACCCGCCACACCGCACCATTCCTCCCCGCCACAACGCTCAGGGTGGTGCGCCCGAGACCCAGCAGCCCTGGCTTCCACCGCACGCCATGCCGCGCCACCCCGCACTGGCGTACTATGGGCGCGACCTCAGCGGTGCCACCCACCGGCTGCCGAAGATGCGGGCTTATGTGGTAGAGGCGCAGGGCAATGAGGCGCGAATCGACGAACGCGACATCTTCATGCGCGTGAATGATGGCGAGGCGACGGATCGTGGGTGGGGCCCCGGCGTGCGTGTCCATCCGGACATGCTGGTCACGGTGGGCACGGCGACGGAGGTGATGCAGCGGGTGGTGATGGAGGGAGAGGCACGGGAGATGGTGAAGCAGGCGAGAGAGAGGGAGGTGTGGGAGCGGCGTGAGATGGAGGCGTGCGAGGAGCGAGAGTTGCAGCTGCGGCTGCTGCAGTACCAGCGACAGGAGCACCACTTGCCGCACTGGCCGTACCTGAGCGGAGAGTCACGGGAGTATCCACAGGGATTGGATGGGATGGTGAGAATGCATGGTTGAAAGAGGTTGTGGCCTCTAAGATGATGATAATGGTGGGCGAGCTGAATGGTGCGGTCGTGCTGGCTCCTCCTGTTAGGACGACCACTGAGCGAAAGGCGTAGCCAAAAGGCAGCTGAGCTGGCTATCTGGCAGAAAATTTACGAATTTCATGAAGCGTCTTTCATTCATATCATGACAGTGAAAAGGCGTGCTATGTCTCCCACCCATTCGAACCCTCCGACCCGTGAATTCTAGGAAGGCCCCGTCGCAAACCCTCTTTATCCCGTACTATGTCTCGAGAACCCATTGCGCATGCCCCAGCACTCCCCACCCAGCCCCCGCGCCGCAACGCACAAACCCTCGCTCTCGACGCCATCCCATCCTTCACTCTGCCAGTCCGTGCCGACGAGATACGTGGTCGCGAACGCCAGACCCTGCCGCACCAGCGCGGCCTTGACCATCAACACCGTGGCGCCCACGGCATCGAGGCGAAAGATGCCCTCAATCTCCAGCACTTCGGGCTCGCGCTTATTTTCTTCCTCTTTCGGATCCGAGTCCTCAAAGCTCGCTTTGGCGGGGTCAAAAACGCCTTTCTCATCCTTGTCATCTTCCTGCACCACGAGCTCGCCGCTATCGATCTTGCGCTGCCGCTCCTCACGGTCCAGCCGCCCGATGATGTCGCCCATGTGCTCGCTCTTCTTGTCCACGCTGCCGGCGACCCAGCTGCCGAGCGCCTCCCTTAGCTTCTCGCGCTGCTCGGTGTTCGGGCTGCTGCGCTCGCCGCGCCAGGCGTTGAAGTCGTAGTCGCCGCCCTCGCCACCGCCCATGCGGCTGATGACGGTGAGGACGCCGACGCGCTCGTCCTCCATGTGCCGCTGCATGTCTTTGAGCAGGTTGTCGCTGAGCGCGTAGACATCTGCGTCGATCCACAGCAGGTTCGCCGCTGTAGGCGCGAGGGGCAGGGCCGTGAACATGAGGTAGTTGCGTAGGCGGGCCATCTCCACGCGCCGCGCGTGCTGGATATCATTGTCGTGTCGGTGACCGCGTTCGTCGTCCTCGGCTGCTCCGCCCTCGCCCTCGGCGTTGCCTTCGCCGCCGCCGTCAGAGAGCTTCGCTTTGGGCTTGGATCCCACCGCGCGTCTGCCACCCTGATATCCCGGATGTAGGACTAAAGTCGCGGCAGCAAAGCCCTCTATATCCTCGTCCAGCCCGCTCTCGTACGATGCGAACTCGGTCTCGTCGGAGGTCAGTAGCCCGATAGCGACGGTAGACAGATCGAGGCCCGTGTCGTGCAGCAGGGTGAGGAAGGAGGAGAAATTTCGGGACGGGCCATCGTTACGGCCCCAGGAGTGACCGTCTTTGGTCATGACAAGGACCAAGAGCGAAGGCTGTTGAGTCGGGTGTGGTCGGGAGAGGACGAGGTGGGAAATGGGCTCATCCGGGGCAGTATAGCGTGTCTTGACCCATTTCACTGATGTTGCGGGAGAATCGGGCGAGGAGGGGGTGGGAGCGGCGGGAGGAAGCTGACCGGCTGTGGCAAGGTCGGCGATGGGTAGAGGAGAATCGCTGGAAAGAGATTCTACGACTTTTGAGCCATCAATGCTGATATCGGTAGTGGCCTGGCCAATCTGCGGGCCGGCTGCGGCGATGTTGATCTGAGGCGAGTCTGGCTTGGGTTGTACGCGGGATGAAAGGAGCCACTGGCGATCTGCTGGGTCGAAGAGGCTACTGGACGATTGGGAGTCCGGGTCATGCTTGAATTGGACGTGGTAGATGAGGAACCAAGCGAGCACGACAAGTACGGTGAAGCGGAGGTAGTGACGACCAACGCCCTTATTTATCGTTCGAGTCGTTGACCATGCCATGATGGTCCCAAGGAGTGACTGTAGTTAGTAAACGAGCAATAACGGACACAGCGATACAGGTGGAATTGGTGTCAGCGGCACTCAGAAGTGTACAAAATCGCAGGCACACAGAGCATGGTACAAAATGAAGGGGTCGAAGGATTGGCCCCTCTCACGCGTAGCTTGGTATAGCGCATCTTCTCGTGGAATGTAGGCAGGAGTGGGATTCCCAAGCAAGGGGGTTGGGTTTGTGTTGCCCGATGCCCCTTGGTGGAAACCCACGAGACGGCCTTGCAAGGACTGTTATGGGGTGACTGACCCGAACTCAGATGGATCCTTACTCAAGGTACCTAAGCTCTGGAATATCACTGTCGTGTAACGTTGTTCTGGTCTGCGGTCTGGACAAAGTTGTTGGTGGAGTTGAATTCGGGCATGTTCTCCCCTCTTCACGCCGATTGGCTGAACGGCTTCTCACGTCTTATGTACATCGATTGCATCGCCATCGACAGGTCCTACTGGTAGCAACAGTAAAACCTCTTTGACATAATCTGTGCTGCACTTCGAGAAGGTGACGAGATGAAGGACACTAACACACGCGGCAAATATGCTTAGACCACAGGCTGCAGCTGGGAACAGGCCAGTTGAGTGAGCAGACAGAGAATTGGGGACGAACGTGGCTTTATACTGGATATTCACGCGAATAATTGCACAGCTACTTGCTCAGGCGTGCCCGGTAAAAGTGTTGGCAGCCCGGGAAGCGCGCGTAATCCAGCAGACGGATGGCAACCATCGCTTTACTGATGAGAATTGCCTACCTTCCAAGCCTGGGCGCGTTTCGAACGTCATGTGCTGGTGCATCTAGCTGGACTGGTTTGCGTTGATAATGTCGACGACTCATATCTGTTAGTCCATACTCGGGATCAGATGCGAGTACTTACAAGCCGGCTTCAAGCTAGCACCACCAACCAGGAAGCCATCGACATCGGGCTGCTTGGACAGATCGCAGCAGTTCTTCTCGCTGACGCTACCACCATAGATAATTCTGGTGTTGTCGGCGGCCTCAGACGAGACGGAATCTTTCAGCCACTTGCGGATCGCAGCGTGGACCTCCTGTGCTTGCTCTATACCATTCATAAGCGATCTACCCGCGGAAATAGTCCTGGAACCTCACCTGTAGTAGCAACTTTGCCAGTGCCGATGGCCCAGATGGGTTCGTAGGCAATGACGACCTTGGACCAGCCGTCCTTGCCAATGACTTTGTTAACGGCATCCAGCTGCTTGGTCACGACCTGGACCGTGGTACCTTGCTCTCTCTGCTCGAGAGACTCTCCGCAGCACAGAATGACACCAACACCACCATCAAGGGAGTTCTTGGTCTTGCTGGCCACGAAATCGTCCGACTCTTGCAAGATGGTACGGCGCTCGCTGTGGCCTAGAATAGTCCAGGTGATATTGCTATCCTTGAGCTGTTGCACAGAGATCTCGCCAGTGAAAGCACCATTGGGCTTGTCAAACACATTCTGGGCGGCAACCTCGAGGCCTTCGCGGAGATGCTCGCGGGTGAGAAGGAGGTAGAGTGCTGGAGGGGAGATAACGACTTCGGTGTTGGGGTCTGTCGGCCTGGTCAATACCTCGCTTTCTTCCGGTCAATGGGTACTAACCAAGCTTCGCCGATGACAGGTTGTGAACGATGTCTTTGATGGACTGAATAGTCCCGTTCCTTAGAGCTTATTGTCAGACCATTGCTTGCCCGCATGAGTGGAGAGTTTACATCTTGAAATTGCCGCCGACAAAGAATTTGCGCCCCATGATGGCTGATTGTTGAGGAGTCGGGGGAGTGCTCTAGGGATTCCGAACCACCTGGGAGGTTGCAAAGATGGGCAATGAAATTGGGGTTTTTGAGTGCTGGTACGGGATGTCAAGACACCTGTGAGGTCGGTATAGTACAGAAGAAATTGCTCTCGGCTTGTTCAAGACTTGTATCGGGTGATATTGGACTTTGTTTTTGCTTGGAGGGGTCCTTCCTTCTCCGCGAAGCTGCCCACGAAAACGACGTGGGGCAAGCGGAACCGGCCTTATCGATAACGTCGTTCTGTAGGAGCTCCTGCCCAGCCCCCACCCGGGTCCCTCGTCGCTGTCAACTCGGTATAGCTGCCTCTGCCCCTAGTATGAGGTCTTCGCTGAAGTCAGATAGAACGTCTCGGAGAAGTACTCATGACAAACCGCCCTCGAGCCAATGCAAATTGGCGTTGTCCTACCTATACGGCAAATATAAAGAGTCGCTAAGCATTGAGCAAGCAGCACCTGTTCATACTGATTCAGGTTCCCTAGTAGCCATGCCACTAGCCTCAGTTTTGCCCGGAAATATCGATTTGTAAAGTTGCAATTGGCATTATAGTGTGAGCTCACTCTGTCCTAGAACAACAGGGAAGATAGGAGAAGTCTCCGGACAAGAACCAATACTAGACCAATAGCCCGCGGCTGGGTAGCATCCTGGACATCCATCTATCAGGTGATCCATTCTGTCTTGTGCCGACTATTGTGACCTGCCTAATCTTATGTATCAATTGTTCTTGACGCATTTCGGTAAGGGTGAGGGCCGCTAATGTTGCTTGTTCACGGTACCCTTCCACCATCGAGAAATCATCGAGATTCGGCGGCGGCTATGTTACCACTATTCTTCACCCATGACCGGCATGAGTTATGGGTTTCGCGTCCGTCTCGAAGCCTGACGGCTGCAGACGAAGCGCCTGGAGCCAAGTCTCTAGATGTAGTTCATCATGTCCCTACAGAAGCCCCTCAGCAGGTCGATGTAGCTCACTGTAGCTCAAATATACCTAGAGGATTCGGCGAGAATCTGTGTACAAAATGCCAACAGTAGTCCGTCTCTACCGCGCTCCGTAGGTGATGTCGGACACGTGTCTTTGGAATAATGACCAAGCCCGCCACGACTCCCTCATGATTCTTTTGTCCATTCTACCAGAGTAAACCACCGGCGTCGCTCAGAGGATCGAACATCAGGTAGAATGCTGGCGTTCGAAGTCGCTGGTGTTGCATTGCACTGTGGCAGCAGCATTCGTTGGCCAGGCATGGCGTCCGACTGTCGTTGCGCCAGATTCCGATGGGCACTTTCCAGCGGACCCTTTTCGGTCTGCATGCGCTTACCTTATCATTGCCTACAGCTGGAAGTAACAATGTCTCTGGATGTCTATCAAGTACGACTGGGATCGTGCACTGGCAGATCCTCAGCCGAAATACTATGACGCTGAGTAATAACCACCTCAAGTTGGGTGGAAGATGCCAAATGACGTTGGTGGCTCCTTTCGCGGCACGGCTCGGAGATGTCTTCACAAATCGAAGCCTGTTTTGTTACTAGCTACGATTACAACGTTCAAACGTCGCTTGGGTCGCGTGAGGGGCCAGGGTGCTGACTACTCCAGGTATGCCATCATCCTGCAGGCTTGAGAGATAAGGCGAGCCTCGGGCGCGGAGGCGAAAGCTTATGTGATCTTGAACAAAAGCTTGTGATCAGAAGCTGGGCAGAGGCTTCTTGCTTTTGGTTTCTACCTTTCTCCACCTGGCATGCTCTCATTTCCATGGCCTCCAATATGGAATTCAATCAGCCAGACTTCGCAGGTGAGGCAAGTCGTTCCACTGGGCACCCTGGTCGAGGTGATGGCGAAGGTGTCGAAGAAATAGATGCTGGACCCAGTAGTCCCAGTCACGCCGATCGTATGAGCGGAAATAACGTTGGCCGAGATAATGAAATGGACACACGTGCGACTCGCAGTGAGTCTGCAGCCACCAGAGTAGATGATGATGACCACCACCACCAGAGGACAAACTCGGCCCTTTCAAAGAACCTCGACCATGCGCCAACAGCTCGAGATTGGGGCAACTCAGCAGACCACACACCAGCCAAAAGCCCTCCACACCGGAAGATTTATGTACATGGTCGTCACACCAAAGGCTTGACCAAGCATTTTACGGCTGGAAGCGCTTTCAACCATGTCCCCTTCCTCAATCGCCACAGTCACAGCAAGGAGAAGGAAGCGGAGGACCCGGAGGCTCAGGCCGGAGTTGTACCTCAGAAGAATGTTAGCGTCTGGCACAACTTTTGGATCATGCTCACGACATTTCCTTACTGGAACATGGCTTTCTGGTCAGGCTGGTGCTATAGTATTGGATCCGCCCTTTTCATTGTTTCGAGCTGTGTCTCTTGGGTGCCATTGGCATACCCAGATGTCAAACTATCAGACAGTCTCGAAACGTACGGCCCGTCACTGACGTTCTTCTTCGGTGCGTGCCTGTACCAGATCGGCGGTGTGATGGCCTACCTCGAAGCCGTCAACGACGGATGTTTTGCCGGCGCCGCCATGAAAAGGCTACTGGAAGGGCACCAAGACATCGAGAAAGAACTTCTCGATGCAAAGCTGCATACCTTTTTCGGCCATCTGGTTCCCCATCACCACCATGAAGACGATGTTGAACACACTCGTAATGGAGAGTCTGTTGACGCGGGCCACAGCAACTGGGACTCGATCACAAAGAGTAACAGTCAACCAGAAGATGTGTACAACGAAGCCAAGGAACGCGTGGAGAGACGTCAAGGTGTCGATCATGGCTCAGCATCAGCTCAACAGCAGCAAGGCGAAGTGAGGGAGTATCTGGTTTGGCGCTGGTGGCCGACCTGGCATTCTCTGTTTCATTATCACATCTTCGAACTGGGGTATGTGGCTTGCACCATTCAGCTCTTCGGCGTCACGCTGTATGGTGTTACATCGATTGTCATTCTCCCGGGAATTTACGACAGCCTGGCGCAGTGGCAGCTCGTTGCGGCGTATTGGGTTCCCCAGACAGTCGCTTCATGCTGCTTCATCATCGCCAGCATCATGTTCACCATCATGGCGCAAGACAGGTGGAACCAGCCAAAGTGGCGTGCAGTCAGTTGGTGGATCGGAATTCATGCCTTTACCGGCTCTTGTGGCTTCTTGTGAGTAGTGCTACTTACCTTTGGACATTCGACACGTGGAACTGACTGTCTGCTTAGGCTTATTGCAATCTTTGGCTTCTATGGCCATGATCATCACTGGGCCGAGTACCAGAGTTCGCTATCAAGCATTTGGGGATCAACTTTCTATATGCTGAGTGGACTATGTCAGTGGTACGAGGCCATCAACGACAATTCTGGGCCAGTTCTGGCGTTTCCGAACCAGAGAACTCCGGTTCTTTTGCGGCAAGGTCGTAAGAAAGCTGAAGTGAGCTGAAGTGTTTCGATGCTGGAGGAGGAGGGCATGTTTCTGTGAGGTCTGAAAGGGCTCGAGTGCTGGACATAAGGAGGTGAATCAGCATGGACAGAATGCGTTCTGACAGACTATCATGTTCTCAGACTGTTGAGTTGGGTACACCATATTTCAGTCTCGGTTCGTTCCTTGCATGACACTTCCATCTAGCTCCATCGGAGCACCGTAACCTGTCGAAGTGCTGCACTGCTGCCGTGGCAATGTTAACGGCTCAATGCTCACTGAAGTCAGATGCACGTCTATGTGGCGGCGGAGGACTTTTGGATGTACGGCCGTGTGTCCGTAGATAAAGGTCTATCGTCTCTTGTTAGGAATGCTGGGTGAGCCGTGCGCATGGGACAAACAAGTGTTTCAGTCCCGTATGAATCACTGATAGCGTAGACGAAATCAACGTGGAAGCGCAAATCACCAGGCATGTTCCCAAATCACCCTCCATACCTGACAGCACCGCTGGGCAAGGATGCCCTGCTGTTAGGGGCGCCGGGCTCGGCAAACGTCGCCCAATGTGCTAGTGCCAATGGCAGTTCTGGGCAAGTCCAGGCGTCCTCGCCTACGTTGGGCTCGCCTATCGGAGAAGCCCCTCGGTAAGCATCTCGATCTCGGGCAAATGACGTTGCTTCAGTGCGCGACGTGTAGATCAACCACCCAGTTTTCAAGGTTGATCCTGCAGCGGGATTCTGCAAGAGCTAAGCTTGTTTTCTTCCCAAACGGTATACTGTTCGCTTCAATGTTCTAACGCAATAGAAGTGTCATCTTAGTGGCATGAACAACCTCAGGCAGCGGACAAAGGTAGCGCAAGGCGACCTCGACACCGATGTTGCGACGACAGGGGAACTGCCATCAGGTGGAGCTGATCAGTCTGGACATCGTGGCTCAGACCGATTGCTCAATCGTAATGGAGAAAGCGTGTCTGAAGATGTCAATCACTCTGTGGTCGACGGCCTGAGTGATGATCAACTATGGTTTCTTCTGAGACGATTCGAAAAGGTATGGCCACACGAGGGAGTGGCCGGCGCCACGTGCTGTTTGCTGACGAACTCACAGGAAATCTTCATAGTCCGAACGGTGTCACAACAGAAATCCGACCACCTAGACCTATGCTTATCTCCTGAGGCCAAATTCTCATCCAAAAAATTGAGAAGTCAGTTCGAGAGGCTCTACATAGGTGTTGTTAGTCAAACGCCCCAACATCTTCGTTGAAGCTCTATCTGACATAAATCTAGATTCTTGGGGTGCTGGCATTCCTAAAGCATATGTCGAGGATTCAATCCTGGCTCGAACCAAGGAGAACTGCAACTTTCTGCATCGTAAGTGATCTTCACGCGCATGGGCGTTACTGACCCATCCAGGCGTACTTCACTGCGTGGTACCTCAGCATGGTATCCACGCTCGTCATATGTGCTTGCATAGCCATGATTTTGTCAGTACGCGTCCGGACCATGTTGTTTCCGCCAGTACCAATGTCTCTCGTCGATTGGCGAACAGGCGGACTATCGAAGCCCGCAGCTGGTGTGCTTGGATCGCTTGACTCGGCGACCGGCGCGCCTGAGACGTTCAGAGGCGAGGCGATCGAAAAAGAAGCCGAGAGCTTTGCCACTGCCCTTGCAGGTATTGCGGTGAGCGTGTGGACTGCACAGGATGAGGACACCAAGCCGTCCAATCAACTTTCTGATCCGCAACCCAAAGACTCGTTGCCGCGGCTGCAGGAGCCCACCACTCTTATGTCCATTGCGATGGATAAGGCGTATGGAGTCAATGATCCCTCACACGATAAGACACGAGAACCCATGCAAACAGCCCTGTGGTCAGGCGTGCTGCCCTTTCTTCGGTTCTTGTACATTGTATCCGACACTTGGGAGCGTCTAGCGAAGTGCTTCTCCCTTCACCAGACATTCTATGATTTAATGCTGACGTCGGCGGCAGTGCTTTGGATCCGACTCCCCCTTTCCCTAGCCTTGATCACAAATTACGCCTGGCAGCTCTACTTGTCCTGCTCGCCCTGGGAACCACATTCGTATCGCTGGATTCTGTTGCCAGAATTCTCAGCTTTGCATTAGGCGTCGGGCTGTTTGCTAGACCTCCGCTGACATGGGCGATCAGCTCTCTCGAGCAAAGATGTCCAGGATGGTCAAATCTGATGTCTCCCGAGCACCACATCTTCAGAGGCATTCCAACCAATGCTCAACTAGCCATAACACTCCTTCGCAGCGCGGAAAACCATGTCTCACCGCTACCGCTCCGGCCACATACGAAGCAGTCACCAACGATCAAGCCAATACCTATACCCTCGAAAGCTGACGCAGAAACCTGGGAGGCTCCCTTAGGCGCTTCGCAAGCAGACCTAGCTGACGCTGCCGCACCAGATCAGAATGTGCTTGACGCCGCCAGCGGTCCATGCTCAGAGATTCAGGCGACAGAACGCCGTAAGCCACACCGATTATTTGGTCTCGTTAAAGGCGGCATCAAGTCAACAGTGGAGATGACACTGAAGGCAGACAAACTCCGAGCCAAGGCCGGACACCAGAGCGCGAAGAACCGGATCGGCATACTTCCACACAAGAATAACGCCGGTGACAGAGAACCGGGTCCATGGATCTTTGCCGTCCGTCATGACGGCAAAGAGGGACGGCTCCATATAGGTGCCGATGGCACTATATCATTTAACGACGCATGGACCATACATGCAACAGAGATCACGGAGTTGAAGAAGCACGATGGCTTGGGATTCAAGGCCAGAGTCGTTGTGGGTTGGGCCATGGACCTCGATGTCAAAGACGGTTTGGAGATTACAGATCGGTCTGGGAAGTCGTATGTGCTTACGGCGGTCCCCCAAAGGGACCAGCTTTTCAACAGGCTTTGCGCAATCGGTGGTCAGAAATGGGACGTTGGGTGAGCAGCAGGCATGGGGGTGCTTAGGAAATATGGCTCTCCAATGAAAAGGTCAGGGGCAGCAGCCTCGCATCGAGATCTGTTCATCGACACCCACGCCCTTGGACGCTGAGACAATGGCTTCGCTATGTGGTCAAAGACGCGGCTGGCGAAGGTTGTCCTAAGGATGGCGGGCGCCGTGGGACTGAACAATCTGGCCAGCTGGATATATTAACGTCTAAGACGTTTGCTGCTGCCGTCACCAACTCTCAACAGGCCCCAGAAGACGCTATCTCGGCTACTTCTTCACACCAAGGTCCAGTCAGCCAATTCTCGGGGTGTACTCAGGAAAGGAGGAGCAGGGCGAAAACGGCACTCAAGCATTACGGGTCTTCCCGGGGGAGGGGTGGTTTATCCCTGTGTTGTATCTACCTCTCATCCATTCCCGGCGCTCTCTGCTAGTGACCCAGGCAATAAAGCTGAAGCCGAATCTACTCCCGCATCAGGCGATATCAGGCAGTGAAAGTCTTGGCGTTCTGATGTGGCCTCCAGCGCCGTACGTGCAGCAGATATCGCCCTGTTGACACTGCCATTAGCTTTGAATTAGAGTATACAGAGCATAGTTGACCAGATATACTCACAATGAAGTCAAAGGTGCTTGATTCATATTCCTGGTATGTGGCGGCCAGGGCTCACATTGGCAGTCCGAGTCACGGTACGGACACTTGGAGCGATTCTCTTGTCAATATGCTCAGCCTTCGTAGAGTTCCAGCGTTTGAAACAACGAGCAGGGCTAGACCACAGCTAATTATATTGCCGCCTCGCCCGCACGAATTCTCCAAACGCGATTCTGAAGGACCTTTGCCCATGCTAAATGCTTTCTTCCTGCGTGGTGGCAGGTCTCGCACCCTATAGCTAGTATAGAAGCTCCATGCTGCGTTGGAGAAGCTCCCCTGGTCTCAAATGTGGTGCACCGCACCTTTCATTGTAGTATTGGATCAGTAGGTAGTGAGATCCAACGATCCGGTCTCCCGGTACAGTGATGGCCGGGATCAGTCTTTTCCAGATTGAGACAAGCGCCGTGTGAATCGCGAAATCCACTTTACGCGTCTATGTGCATTACCGCGTCATGAGGAAAGTCGTGCTTGATGCAGCGCTCCAACTTCAGAACTTCGTCAATTGATTCTTCCTCGATACAGCGCAGTATGACTGACTTCAAGACCCATCTGGCAAGCGAGCTCGTCTCAGAGCAGAAAACAGTCTCTTACCGAACGCTCTCCCGCGCAGTACGAGTGCATGCCAACGTCGCGAAATGCATGTTGTTTGAATTCTATGAGGAGCAGACTAAGAGGAGACCTGGGAGTGTATATGCCACATATCTGCTATCCGGCACCAAGAGACGCGTGGAAGCCCCGAACGGAATCACGAAGTCCAATGGCAAACCCGATGAGGATCAACCCATGCCCTCAAGTCCACCGATTCCATCTAGCTCGATGGTTGACCCGTCGCAGCAAGAAAGCATCACAGCTGAGCACGAAGACGTGAAAGTGAGGACTGTCACGTTGGTTCGAGAGGAAAACCTAGAAGGTAAAATTGTCCCACAACCCAAGTTGACCGCGCTGATGGCATCGCAGAGGTAAAGCGAAGTTACGAAGCCATATCATCGATACATATCTACAGCCTCTCACCAGGGAAAATCCCAGATCTAGTCGAACTGACTGATCTTGGGCGGGGTCTATATACGGATGTGTTCGCAAAAGAGGATCCTTTGACGAGCAACAAGACCTACGGAGTGATTCAGAATCCCCTGGTCCGGCGGCGAAAGGGAAAACGCCCAATCGTCCCAACCGCAGCGTCCTCCAAGTTCCAGGCAGTTAAGGACGTCAAGCCCGCCAGTACTGTCAAGGAAGCGCCCAAACCCGCAGCTAAATCGGGTGGCATCGCTGCTAGCTTCAACAAGTCTACGCCGACCCTCAAGAAAGAAGAAACTGCCTCCCGGCCCTCATCTCGTGATAGTACATCTACGTCTGCCTCGAAGCCAACGCTGAAACGTGATGCATCCGACATCTTCAAGGCCTTCGCCAAGGGCAAGACGAAGAAGGACGCCGCCAAAAATTCACAGGACGCAGACACGCCGATGTCCGGTCTCGGTGACGACGATGACGAGGGTGAATCAGAGGAAGAGGCCTTGTTTCTAGACACGGGCAAGAAGCAGGCCGCCAAAAAGCGCACGAGCGAAGTGAAGAAAGAGCGAGACGACAAGGCCGCCAAGCTGCGGAAGATGATGGATTCTGACGACGAGGAAACGAAGCCACCGATATCTGAGGCCGCAGCAGCTCCGGCCGAGGAGGCCCCTGCAGCAGTCGAGGCCGAAGAGAAGGACCCTGACGCTGTCGAGTGGTCCGAATCCGATACCGAGGCAACGAAGCCGAAGAGGGCAGCGCAAGAACCGGCAGAGCCTGAGGGCGAGAAACGTCGTCGTGGCAAGAGGAAGGTGACGAGGAAGCGCACCATGAAGGACGAGGACGGCTATTTGGTCACCAAGGAAGAGGAGGTGTACGAAAGCTTCAGCGAAACGGACGACGAGGGGTCAAAGCCGAAAGCGAAGCAGGCGTTTGGCGGATTCGGTGCCAAGGGAGCAGCTAGTCAGGGCAGCAAGGGCAGCCAGAAACCCGCTGCTGGTGGCGGGAAGAAGGCAGGTGGTGGTGGCGGCGGGGGCAGTGGGAAGAAGGATATCATGAGCTTCTTTGGCAAGAAATAAAACGCTACAACACGTGGTATGAATACGAGCGCGCGATGATGAACCATGACATAATCCAATCAACGGGCTACAACTTCAGTTCTCTTGCCACCCCTTTCCCACGACGTACGCCACCTCCGTGTCGAGTATCAATCCGGGCCTCTTCTCCGCCAGCATCAGCACGACCTGCGCAAACACGGAATTGGCCCACGCGAACCAACTGCGCGTCATGCCGTCCCCTTCGCCGTGTGGGTCCACGCCCCTCTCGACATCCACGCTTTCGTTGATCAGCCCGAACACGCTCACATTCTTCACCTTTTCCAAGCACTCGATGATCTCGTCCTCGTCGTCCGTCGTCAGCGCCTGCACGAGGACGCTCATGGGCCATGCGTTCATCAAACCGATGTGCGGGCCACCAATGCCGGAGAACTTCGGGCCGGACAAGTAGTACGGGTTGTGTGGGGAGAGGATCAGGCGGCGGGTGTTGATGTAGAGCGGATCGTCGTGAGCAAGGAAGCCAAGGAGGGGTAGCGACAGGAGGGAAGGAACGTTGGCGTCGTCCATCAGGAGATGGCTTCCGTAGCCGTCGATTTCGTAGGCGAGAACGGGGCCAAAGTGCGGATGTTGCACGACAGCATGCTCCAGGATGCCTTCGCGAATAAGGCGGGCACGATCGGCTAAGCGGCCGGAGAGAGAGGCGATGGCTATTGACTGGGTTCGTGAGATGTCCTCAGATGTTTTCGAGTATGCGAGGAGGATTGTTGCCGTGCGGCTGAGTTCAACGGAAAGCATAGCGTTGGCGGGAATGAGGAAGCCGAAAGTGCATGCGTCGTCAGAGGGGCGAAAAGCGGAGCGCACGAGGTTCGTGCCGTTAGCGAGGGGATTGCCGACGCCACCGAGGTTGAGTGTCTCGGTGCCAGCACGAGTCGATCGGGTGAAGAGGTATTCGCTGCCGCGATATGCGCGGGTGTTGGGGTTGAATGTGGAGAAGGATTGTTCTTCGATAACGGTTGTAATAGTGGAAAGAGCTTTAAACCATCGGGGCGAGAGGTACGACGTGTCACCTGTGGCGGCATGATATTGATTGGATAAGGAGAGGAAGTTCGCGAGTGAGTCCAGCTCATACTTACATTCAAAGACCACCGACGGCTCGTAAGCAGGATGTACCCAGTCCTCCTGCCCATTGTGAGCCGGTGGGAACCGTGATGGCGAAGGCGGCTGGAAGGCATTGCAGTACGGAGCCTGTATAATATACTCGGACTGAGTGTTGATCGCACCTAGGATGAGCTTTGATATGGCTGGCGATGTTGCTGCCAGCCGCTGATACTGTGAGAGCTGGTTGGTGCTATCTCGTAGCCATTCAGCGTCGATATCACCAGTCACCACGAAGGACTGGGCCCCCTGCCATCGGTCCCGATCGCGCAACAAAGGCGACTGCGGCGCTTTGGACTCCACTCCATCGACATGCCACTGGATCGTTGTGTCAAGTGTATTTGGAAACGCGTTCTCAAAGATCTTTGCCAGGTCTGGATCTTTGATATGCGGTATTAGATCGTCAATGACCTTTTCTACTGCCGTCGAGGTGAACTTGCGGCAGTTTTGGTGAGGGCGCTGGCTAGGTAATCGAAGAGGTCCTTTACTGAAAGGCTTGTGTTTGCGTACAGCGTAACGCGTATAGTCGGGGCAGAGCCCTTGTAATGTCTCTTGATCTAGGCCGGAGTCGAAAGAGCTCTCGTAAGCCCCATCGCTGTCGGCGACAGCTAGACACGCAAGTCGAAGACATGCAGGGACAGTGAGGAGTATGAGGAGTTTCATGCTGCTCTTTGCGCCGGCGCTCTCGCTTTGGACTATGCAACTGCCAGGGAGTTCTCCGAGGGCACAAATTCTTGCTCGTACCAACGGCGAGCGGTAGGGGGGTCCTGATAGTGAATGGCTTGCATAAGAGGTGTCACAATGGCTTCCAAAGCTGTTCAAGGACGTAGCCTCGTCGCGAGGAAGTCACAGCCTTACTCCACCACCACCTCTACTCCGCACAAACATCCATACCTTGTAGGTTGATTCACCTCTACATCAACGTTTTGGAAGCGATGCCATCTTCGCAACTTATACGGTTCGAAGTTCTGTCGCTATTTCGAGGCGCACTTGCGGCCTACATGGACGACCGGGTTGCATCAAAGGCTTGCATATAATCCGAGCGAGAATTTACAGCTTGTCAACAAGGGCAGCCCCGTTCAACATTGGCCGATATATCACCCGCCGGGGCTTGCCATGGATTTCTGTGCAGTGGGAACTCCTCATCGTTCGATAAAGTCTTCTCAGCACCTACAACATGGCACAAGGAGTAGGAAGCTGATCGCGCCGTGCAGGCCTGCTCATGATGACTTGACGTTGATACATAACTCGAAGACGACTATCAACATGCTACGCCTCCATCGACGGAGAAAGTGGCGCCCGTGGTATTGCTGGCGTCATCACTGAGAGCGAAGCAAATTGTCTTTGCCATCTCTTCAGCTGTGCCTAGCTTTTGCAATGGCACATTCTTGTAAGTATTAGTGACTGCGTTGTCTGTACCAGCATCCTTCTGGAGTCTGTCCAACATGGGGGTGCCGACTGGTCCTCTGCAGCTCATCATCAGTATGCAATTTGGATCAGGAGGCCGATGCTCAACTCACGGAGCGAGAGTATTAACCCGGATGCCTCGCACGCCCACTTCCTTCGCCGCCGATCGTGATAGCCCAACCACGCCATGCTTGCTTGAGCTATAAGCTGCGATTCCAGGCCTCCCCATGAGTCCTGCCATGCTTGCCACGTTCAGAATGGAAGCACCCTCTTTCATCACGCGTAACTGCGCTCGAAGGCAATAGAACAGACCAGTCAGATTGACCCCCATTATGAAATCCCAGTGTTCATTCGAGATGTCCACAATGTTGGCGAAGACCTTGCTTCCTGGTGGGCCTTCGACGCCTGCAATGTTTGCAGCACCGTCGAGTCTTCCAAAATGCTCGATAATCTGCGCGGTCCATGCGTCGACTTCGTCGGACTTGCTCACGTCGACACGGGTGACGATCACATCGACACCTTTCGCCTTGATCTCCTCGGCTAATTTATTAGCTGCTGCCTGGTTGATATCACAAAGAGCGATGCTGGCTCCTCTAGAGGCGCATTCTCGAGCGGTTGCCATTCCGATACCTGACCCAGCGCCCGTTATCGCGATCACCTTGCCCTTGAGCGACGCCATCTTGATCTTTGACTCTAGTTGCCTGTATTTGTGGTAGTCGTGGTAAGATATCGCTGTTCGTGCGATGGGGCAGCGGGTCGGCAGCTTCTGTAAACGCTCGTGGTGATATAGCACAATGCTCTTGCAATGTTTTGGAGCTACCGATTAACCGAGGGATAGAGACCAACACGGACGCCCCTCAACGAGAACGAGATGGCTTGGTCAAAGAACAAAGTCGTGCGGAGGCGATTACCCCATGTGGTTTCCCCTCGTCTACATCTTGAAATCGATGTCTGCTCCTCCTTTTCCGCTCCAGACCTCTTAGCCTCTCAGCAAACAGGTAAGTGGAACGCGTCCTTGGCGTCGCCCATCTTGGCCACGACATTGAGGTCACCAAAGCCTTCCTACGGATGGCTCACCGTCAATTCGACGCAAGTAACACTCGATGCGTAAGAAGGGTCTTAGCCATGATTAGAGACCCGTTTTACGATTCGAAATTTCAGACATGTGCTAGCTACACAGAGATAACGAAAGCCAAGGGGAAAGAACTAATTCCATGAGGAATGAACCAGGGGTGAAAGAACATCTCCTGTATCGACTGTACTCCGTTCGTGGAAACAAGCTCGGGTAGCGTAGCTCAACGCCTGTGGCTTGCCACGAAGGGAGAGGTAGATGTTACTGCTTGCCATACTAGAGGCGAAAATGCTTGATTGCTTGAGTATTACCTGGGTATGTGCATAGTATAGTTCGTAGACTGTTGGCTCACTATCGAAGTAGGTGGACATGGTACTAATATGCGTATCTGACGAGGTACCACTAGGCCATACCCGCACTCGTCGAGTCTATCATGCTTGCGTGTCCGAAGTTTCTGTTGTACCAACGCAACTTACTGACAACATGGATCGTGATCATTCAAGACTCTCACCTTGTTGGCGCTCGGGCCAGGAGTGTACGCTTTCTTCTGCGGGCGCATTATTTGCGAGATCAAACCAATAACCGATCTATTTTTGACACTGCCAACAAAGCCGAAGCACATCATCACAAACGCAGTCTCTTTAACCCTGATGTTACCATTGTTCGCTTTCTTGGTCATTGTCGTATTCAGAAGCGGGATTCTTTCGTCCTCAATAATGCAGTCATGTTGCCTCTGAGGCCGTCACGTCCATTGACCTCTAATACGAATGTACCATATCAAGTAATACAGACAACAACTATGGAACGCCTAGAGTTCGTACGGCAAGCTTCGATTGGAAAGGCGAAGACACTTGTACGCCTTGCGCTTGCGTACATATCATTACCGAAAAAGCTTCCATTCGAATATGCATTCGTCAAGTTCCAATATCCAGCTGGCTGGTACATGGAATGGCTGGAGCGATTTCTTCCTTACACGGAATGGGATATTTTGTGTTGGCATGGCGAGTGCCATTTCTATAACTGGCAGGACTCCTTCTTCCCCCGAACCCTGATGAAAGCCAACATGCAGGCTCAAACTGCCAAAGCATTCTACCAGAGTCTCTGGATGAGGAACGAGCTGGTCATCCGTACAGTGGCGCTTCCGCTGCTGGCTCTGGTCGCATTTATAGTACTGGTTTGGGCCCTGGTCTGCGTATTAGAGCTGGTCACCTGTTTGATTCGACTGCTGGACCAGGGCTTGAGCATGCTCATTCGGAAACTTGCTGCACCCGTTCTCGCTGCCGTCCAGGGTTCGATCGCAGGCTTCTTTGCTACCATCAAGTTCATGGTCATGGTATTCAAGATTTTGCTCGTCTACCCATTCTTTGCTGCAAGTGGTATCGTTTATCTGGTGTACGTATCATACGTTAGTCTGGACATTCTCTTGCAAGGATGCAAAGCTCTTCGGGACCTGATGACCAACTTTGTCATGCTTACTACTCAAACTTTTCTGGAAACCTTGGAGGAGATCAGAAGCAAGCTCGAGAGTGGTACTGCCGAGGACGTGCTCGACAATGGCGTTGACCCCACGTCCGAAACGCACCCAGAGCCAACAACCACCCCAACTATAATTACAATTACAACTAATCAGAGATCCGCTGCGACTGCTACGGCCTCTAAGCTCGAGGCTGATACCATCCATATAACAGCAGGCAAGAACTACAGCTCGGGGCAAGGAGGGCGCAGAAGGTTTTCAGTAAGGTCTCCAGGAGTTTCGAATAATCTCGGAGCTACCTCTGGAGAAGATCTCCATGCAACACCTTTCCATAATCCTCGTTTTGCAGAGAGGGAGTCTCCTATTCGGACTGAGGCCCCTAACAACAGGAAGCCGCATACAACAGAAACGTCCGCTCAGGTCCCGACGGAACACAAGATCCCAGAAGCCTCGGTCAAGTCCACTGAAGATAAGCCATGTCCGGAATCTGTGTCTGACTTTGGCACAACAGCTGCCTATCCTCGTGACTCCTATAAACAGAATACGGAGAAAGTAAGCAGGAGACCCGTAACAAAGGAAACTGAGAGCAAGTCCGAGTGCGATAAGCTGGCCACGAGCTCGACGGCTACACCGAGAGATCGTACTAGAGAAGATAGAACTGCCCCTGCAAGCAGGCCGAAAGTGAATCCAGATGCCCGTCCAAGAGGGCACAGAAAAGCTCGTCCAGAGTCTATGGCTGACCTAGGAGATGGTGCTGACATCTTCCGGAAATACAGCGAAGCGCAGAAAAGTAAGAAGTCACCACCACGAGGGCCCAAGTGCTCAAGCCGGTCTGGTTTCCCAGATGACAAAGCTGGGAAGCCACCTCAGCCTGAAGTCAAACCTCAAGAAAACACTAGGTCAGCATATGAGAAGCAGGAAAGCAAAGGGAAAGGCGCAGCATTCTCAGACTTCATGAAGAATATGATCGACGAGGCTAATTCGTACCGACAACAGACTTTCGCTCAGCCCCAAGCCAAACGTGAAGATACGCGGTCAGCATATGAGGAGCCACAAAGCACGAACAGGGAAACATGGTTCGAGAGTATTGTGGACAGTATTATCAATGACGACAAGTCCACCCAACGCCAGGCGCCGCCTCAGGCCCAACCGAGAGAGCAGCCAAAGCCAAAGTCAGACTACGTGAGGCAAGGCTACCAGGCCTACAATCCCTCGAACAGCGGACCTCAACCGCGGACCCAGTCTCAGCACCGGGAGTCCTATCGCAAGCCGCACGTTGAGGAGAGACCACCACCACAACAATATCAACCCTACAGTCCGCCGCGGCGCGACCACACCCGCAGATCCGACACAAGGCCCAAGGCTACATCCTACCGTCTAAGCCAGACCTACGCAGAGCGTGAAGCCGAAAGCCGCTACTACAGTCCCGACGGTTTCAAGCGCGAGCCCGGCTGGAGCAGCAGCGGCGGCGCCTATAGCTTCGGCGGCAGCAGGAGCACCAATACCGGCGGCAGCAGGAGCACCAATACGGGCGCCTACAGCAACCACAATAACGAGCGATCTGCCAGCTTCGACTTCAACTTCGGCAACGACGCCAACTTCAACTTTCAATTCGGCGGTGGCGGCGGCGGCAGCAGCAGCAACAGCAACGCGCATTACGCGGGCAGCCACCACCGCCGCCCGCCCACCCCCGTCGAAGAAGAAGAATATGACACCACCCCACCACGCTTCGACTACTCCCGCCACCACCACTTCCCCTCCGCCCCTCCCCCTGCTCCTGAACCCCCCGTCTTCAACCCCTACCAAGTCCTCAACCTCGCACGCACCGCCAATTTCAGCCAGATCAAGAAGGCGTACCACAAGCTCTCGCTGCAGCACCACCCGGACAAGAACAAGGGTAAGTTCCGCTCCGAGGCGCAGCGGGCGGCGGGCGAGGAAAAAATGAAGGCCGTGAACCGCGCGAAGGCGCTGCTGGAGGATCCCGTCAGGAGGTGGGTGTACCATCACAGGGGGCTGCAAGATGCGGAGCATGATCCACTGGTGGATGCTGTGAGGAGGGATGAGAGGTTTCAGGCCGGCGAGGCGGTTATGGATGGGTGGTTCGTGGCGGGGATCTGGTGAAGTTTGGGAGGGGAGTCGGATGGATAGATGGAGGTATAGAAAAAGAAGAGAGGTGGGGAGAGAAACTTTAAGGTAGAGCTGTCGTACATGTGTGAGAGGTGAAGCCAATGGATGGATGGTGTGGACGGTTGGATTAATGATAGCATAGCACGAGCTGAGACCGCGCGGGTTAGAGATGAGGCAGTGAAAGCTTGGCGTCTTGCATGGCCGTACTTTGGATCCTGTTGCGCTCATGTCGTGAGGAATGACAGACGTGCTTGGGTATCGAGGTGCCGTTTGTGTGACCAGCAGGCCTTCGCTGACGGCTTCATGGGTGGCGCGGAAGAAAAGCATTCACTGATCAAAGCTGGCTCGGATCGAAGCCCGCCTTCCGCTGCAGCACCTCCAGCATCTCACCCCATACGCGTTTCTGCAACCTCTTGCCCTCCTGACCCTTACACAACTCGCCTTTCCTACTCACAAATTAGCAAGAGTCTCCTGATTCCCGTGCATGCCAAGCAGACTTACCTGTAGAACACATCGTGACTCCAGAACTCCCCATGCGCGTCCTTTCCGAGCGCCACACCGCTGACCATGGTCCGACTACCCTGTTCCGCGGAGCGGGCAAATATCTTTTGGAAAACGCCGTTGCATACTCGCTGCCAGTACGGAAAATCACGACCCAAGTTCGTCCTGCAGAGGCCGGGACAGACCACGGTGATGATCACCTCATCCGCGCCGCCGTGTCTCGCCTGCGCCTCCACGAGCGCATCTTGGGTGTACATATTCAGCAGCTTGGTCAGACAGTACTGGTCCATCATGTTGAAATACTCTGGCTTCGAGACTTCGTCGAGTATGTTGGCGCTCGCGGGGAAGTCGAGTTTGGATGCGGGGGCAAGATGGTGTCCGCAACTACCGGTGATCTGGAGGCGAGAGGGTGATCCGGAAAGCTTGGAGGAGGAACGGAGCTTGGGTAGCAGAAGAGCAGCAAGGAGAGCGGTGGAGAGACCGTTGACCAGGACTGACGATTCGTAGCCTTCGGGGCCGAGCTCAAAGTGATGTGCAGCTATGCCGGCATGTAGAATAGCGATATCGATGCGAGGCTCATGTTTGTCGACTTCGGCGACGAAAGCATTCACTCCAGAGAAGGTTCCCATGCCGAGAGCGTAGATGACGATGTCTTGAGATCGATATCCAGTTTGCTTGCACACTTCTACTTTGGCAGCCTCGCCGCGTTTTAGAGATCGCGCGCCCAAAATGAGGCGAGAAGCTCCTAGGGCAGCGAATTTGAGGCATGCTTCGAATCCAAGGCCGACATTGGCGCCCGTGATGAGGATGGTCTTGCCGGCAAAGGAAGACTTAGGGTCTGCGGGAGGATTGTTGGCAGCCCACCACATATGGCCAAGGGAGGAGATGGGGGCGTCTCGAGGGGAAGACATGATTGATGCCGTATATGGACAGACTGCTGTTGTGATAGATGATGTGAGACGTTATCGAGCGTCTGCTCGGCGCTATATACAATTCCTGCACGTCTGGCCAAAACGGCAGGCCATGAGAACGCGGACTCGTTTGGTGGAAACCCCCGACTGACCGCGCCGAATCGGACAAGCATGCTTGTATGGGGCGCCCGTAAGGCCCCAACTGATAGAGCCTAGCAATCTCAGCGCTCGACACTGAACAGCACTGCTAAGAGTGTCGACACTAGTGCATGTATATCTGACCAGCGACAAGCACTGTTGGGTGGAGGCAAAAAGTCGGCGAGTTGCCCCTAGCACCTTGCGTACCAGGACCAATACTCCGAATGGTCCGAAAGGTCGAGACGGCGCCATCTAAGCCAGTCCCGTCGGTCATGAAGCGTTTCCTGATTCACCCATGTGCAAACTTTTCTTGATGTCGGCCAAGATCTCCTTGAGAGATCCGCACTGGCCCCGTGGCGAATCTAGAGGTGGCTGTTCCGCTATCTCCTGCTCAAGCATCATCCATAGCAGACCCGTAGCCTTGGTTGGACCTTCGGTAGGCTGCCATGTGAGAGTCGTCGTACCCCTGCCAATGCCAAACTTGTCCTCAAGTTTGTACAGCAGGTCCTCGCTCACCTGAACTAAGATCTGTATCTGCAAGTCGAGCCTCCCATTGATCTTGTACCCTCCAAAGTCCAAGCTCGGCAGCAGCTGCATTCTGCTCTTTTGAGCCATTATTTGAGGGTCGTTGAGGTGGGGTATTGAGTCCAGGAGGCAGGAGAAGACGGTTCGGTAGATTCGGATGAGACAGATATAGCAGCTCATAAGCGAGAACATCATGGGCATGTCGCATTTCAACTTGCTGTCGATGGTGACGACGTTATCAGAATTTCTTGTACCGCCGTAGCTCAAATCGAGCTCATCGAGGATCTCGAGAAGACCTTTTGCGTGGTTCAAAAACCTTCCGACCATGAAGTCGGTATTCGGAGTTCCCAGCTCTTCATTGACGTGCACAGCAGACACACAAGCCCCAACCGTACGTGACCCCCTAACGAGATCGGCATCGACAAGGACTTCACGCTGTAGATCACCAAGCTTTCTGGCTAATGCACTGCGCTTAGTGAACAGGCTGATCTCGTCCACCACTTCATCGATCGGCGGTTGCTGCTCAGTAGATGGTGTCTGTTGCGCAACTGGCTCCTCTATAGAGGGGTTGATGAATGAAGAAGCACTGTGCTGATAATCCAGAGTTACATTCGAGGCCGGACTTCTGTCGGTCACACTTGCAGGTGGTGTCTGGAGGACGGTTGACGGGTCGTGTTGAGACTGAGCTTGATGTGTGGAATCGCGGAATAGCTTCTGTGGACGGCCAGCCTTACGAGCCGTGCCAGTGAGGCACTGTTGGCCCGCGCGGATGCATCGGCGACACTGTTTCAGACCTTCATCGCGATTACACTTGAGCTTGTGATGTCGGCATCGGTCACAGGCAGTGCGCTGAAGGCCGTTGGCTGGTGTTTGGGACTGCATAGCGAAACGCCTAGTAAGGACACCAATTCGGAGCTAAAACTGTAGACTACGATTGAGTAGTGCTTCGGAAAGATACCATGTCGCATTGAAGCCCCTTTAGAATGCATGGAAGACAGCAAAGAAGGAAAACAGTCGGATGAGGTCGGCTTCGAGGTCGGCCTTATCGGATACTTTCTTGTAGATAGCCCCGACTTGGTCCACCTAATCAAGCGGCGCAACCAATTAACACCGACAAGGAGAGCATTCGGTGTGGCTTAGTCACCAGTCACCGAGATGGTGATGCTCTGTCCACCGCAGCGCCGCGATCGAAGGCCCATCAATGGAAATAATGGTCTAGCCACATGGACAACTTCGTAGAGGATCTGGATCTCATAGTATCACGTATACTGCTATCGTAACTACACTCAGTCCACCTCAAAGTCCTGTATCTCTTTTCGGTCCCCATTTGGCCACAACGTGACTGTCCCACAGACTGTCCCACAGGGTCCGCAAGCTGAAATAGAAGTTGGCCCTATATTCTGGGTCCTTCGACCATCGCAACAGGTTGGGTCCATAGATGAGCCAGCCTTGGATCTTCTGCATATACTTGCACTTCGCAGCATGGAACTCCGCCAATCGACTCTGCAGCCACGGATCCCGCTCTTCCCATGCTAGGTCAAGCTCTTCATCAGTAGCTACAAGGTCCCCCTCTACAGGGTTCGTCAAGTCCCGAGAACTCTGTGCCTAGATTTCGTCTATTGATGACAGGCTGCTATACTGATCTTGAGGCAGCCGAAGATATAGTAACGCCCTCATCACAGCATCGTTCGCGACTGCATTCGGATGAAATGTCCGGGGCACATGTCGTAATTTAGGAGATTAACACCATCTTCGCACGGGATAGGGATCCTCATCTGACCAGTCTTCCCATGAAATCGGCGCAGCGAGCCTTGCCAGCAGCGCAGCCTCCCAAATATAGCCTGCAGCGTGCCGTCTACTGTCTGGGTGGCTTTCTGCAGGTATATCGATTCGCGCGCGTGCTGGGACTGATGACCACTCCCAGCCTCTCAGATACCAGATGATTGATCACTGACAATGCCAGCAGAACAAACGCAAAAAAGTGCTCACCATTTTTAATCTCGTGCTGCTGAACACAATCTGGACACAGGGCTCACAGTGGAGGGACAGCAAGCTGATGACACTGCAGTGATTGCAGATTGTCATCCGTCCAAAGAGCTATTTGTGGCACTTTCACCCTGCTCGCATTGCTCGTCACAGAGAGCAAACACAACACCAGCGGCGTCAACGACGGGTAATGCTGGGCCAGGAGTACTTGGCACCAACAGTAGTCGACCTTGGTAGCTGTCGAGATTGTCTCTCAAGCCTTCGTGGGAATGTGAATGGAGTGACATCGAAGCAGGAGGAGCAGAGAGACCTCCCAAAGAAGCCACATCAACTCAACCAATTTTTCGACCTTGGTAACCGTCGAGACCCTCTCTGGAGTCGAGTCCGCCTGGAAGCCTTGGCGGATAAGATACAGATTCTATCATTCGCAATCTACGGCAAGCGAGGCCCAGCACGTCAGACTATCATTCCTGTGAGGCGAAGCCAGCGAGGTACCACGACCGCCTATTCTCGCCGCCATCGACCACCAGCGCCAGCTGTCCGTAACTGCCTAAGCAAAGCCACTGATCAGCAGCAGCATCTCGAGGCCCGGAAGGACATGATCAACCGGCAGAAAAGAGAGGTATGTAGGAAAATGCAGTGCAAAGTCCACCCATTGTGCAATTAACCAAAAGAAGCGGAAAAATACCACTTGCCAGCCTCGACCCATGTCGAAATTACAACCAATCTCGAATGGCCCCCCTCTTGAAATTCCCACGCCAATCTTGCCCTCACTATGTACCAGCAGCACAGCACCGCGCCACAAACGACAATCTTGCTTAATTATCATCTATTGAAATCCAACAATCTCTTCCCCCGGGGCGGGGTCCCTTCCCAGCAATCTCGTTGTTGCGAACCACACATTATTACTCCGTACTTAGTATTGCTTTGCCACAAAACCCATTAAACCCAACCCACCCATCCCAGACCCGCGAGAAACAATGCTGAAACAAATTTCCAAAGCAGATTTGATTTTGTTTTTGATTTGTTTTTCCCTTGCTCCGTTTCACGGCCTTGGAACGGTGTACCACGTATATAGCAGGTCGATGGCCCAGACAGAGTACAGACAAGTTGTACTTACATAGATCACTTGTTACGAATCATGCTCCTCCCACTACTCGAAAAGCCACACAACATTGGCTCGATTTCGCATTCACATACGCGCAACTGCTATAATACATTGGATTGCTTTTACAACAACACAGGAACCATCAACCTCGCTCTTCTACAAACGAACACGCACTTTCTCCAACGATTCAATGCCTTGCTTGGACAACGGCGGGCTCTGTCACACCGGCTTCTCACCAGAATCATGACCTCCCTCAGTACGCAATACACGATGCCAACTAACGAATAGAGATCGAGAAGATGAAGAAAAAGTCCATCGCATCGTTAAGATCAAGCTTCAAGCTGAATTGTTTGGTCGGTGTTTTGATATGTCCGGTCGAGGCAGCTGGTAGGCCCACGTGTCTTTCCACATCGTCGACTCCTCCCTTTTTGACCTCACCGTCGTTTGAGCGTGCATAAACGCTCAGAGATGATATTCAAGGCCCCCAATATCTGTGGCCTCCCACTACCCTGAACAGAGCCCTCCAAATATTGCCATCAGTATGTATGCAACAAACGCCCAACCACAAAATCACACAACCAAAGGATCATTTCGATACATCAACACATCACTGGACAAACTTTGTAAAGGTGACAAACTAACGGGAAAATGGCAATCAACACCTCCTTTTCCCTCAGAACGGAGCGGCTTTCGCAAATAATGGCATCCGCGGCCCTGGCAGCAGCAGCAAATAAGGGTATATCACATCGAATCGAATGGCGCCGTCCTGACAGTGCTGAGGGGTCAAACATTCTAGTGGGCATCAGGTCGTGATATGTCAAGGGTGCATTCCGCCTTGCAGATGATGGGGATCAATCGTCCCGTATGGCGTCATCGGCATCTGCACGTCATCCTGGGGGGTGCCGTATTCTTGCATGCTCATCATGCCGTGCTCATCAAAGCTGGGGCTCGGGATGGGCATGTTGAGGTTCTGCTTCGAGTACATCTCTCCCAGCATGAGAGTCTCGTCATGCATCGAATGCTCGTGATGGCCCATGCTGAACATGTCTGCCGACGCACTGCGAGGCAGACTGTGCAGAGGCGGCGAGTTGCTGGCAATGACAGGGTCATGATGAGACATTTGAGGCGTTGGCGAGACAGAGGTAGGGGCATGCATGTGATTCTGATCAACCATAGGTGATGGCGACAAGAAAGGCATGTTGTAGTGAGGCGTGCCATAATCAGATTGCGCTACCTGGCCAGGGTTGGACGGGAAGAAGCCTGGTGACGCGAATTCGGATGGTGAAGTCGCAGTCGCCGAGACCGGCATCTGCCTAAAGTCCATACCGTAGCCGGCCGAGGTGTCAATCTGCAGGTTAGGTCCTAGTGGCCCGCCCATGTGCGCCTGCGGCATTGGTTGGTGAAACTGCTGATGTCCCTCAGGCGGCAGCTGAGGAGACGGCTGTTGGAAGTTGAAAGTTGGCATAGGGCCTCCGTGGAGCATGGAGAAGTCGATGGCGATAGGGACCGAACGACTTCTTTGTCTCTTGTGGCCACCATGCATACGACCGGGGTGCAGATGCGGGCTGATGCCAAAGTGGTTCTCTTGATACATTCCCACATGAGGCGGATGGGGGCGGGCAAAGTGAGGCTGAGAAGAAGGTCGAACGATGCCCATAGACGGTGATGTCGGTGCCGACGCTGGGAGGGCATTGGGGTCGAAGGGGTTCATGCGGTTCTGGAACGACTCGAGCGACACGAGCTTGGCGAGTTGGCCGCTCAGAACTTTGGGGTGTCCACCGAGGTGGTGGGTCAGGATTTGAGAAGCTTGCTGGTCTTCTGTGAAGTCGCCGCACTGGTAGAAACCACCAGAGCCGGAGGAGTCCATGAAAAAGTGAGGTGGACGAGTGAGCTCGATAACAAGACCACCAGGTCGAGGCGGCGAGCCATTCACGGTAGGAGCAGTCTCGCCGGCCTCGAGCTGAATACTCTTGATAAATGCGAAGGGGAACTCGACCTTGTAGCCAGCAGAGTCGTTGTTGATGTAGTAGGTAAGGCAGGCCTTGTCGGGAGAGTAAAAGACGACCAGATCCATCGCATTCTGTCCGACGCGTCGCCAGGTGCCGATGCTCAGCGATCGGCAAGTGAAATGATGGATGACTGAATTCGACTTAGTCATACGCCCAGCTAGAGCGTCCTGTCGCAGGTACGTACCAACTTTGCCGGAGCCGTTGGGGTCTCCATTCATGAGCATGCCGTTGCCATACGGCATGGGACCCCCGGGTCTCCGCATTAGTGCATTGGGGAAAGGCCTGCCGGATTCCATGGCCTGCATGGCGAGAAGCTGTCTCATGGACTCGGGGAGGCCATCAACATCATCGACACCATCGATGCCCTTCTTGGCGATCATCTTGATCTTGGCTCTGCGTCGGCTAATGGGGTCAGTTGAGCATCGATATGGATACAGGTCAACTCACCTGTTCTGGAACCAGATCTGGACGGATCGCTCAGTCATGTTGATTTCCTGTGCAATGCGTTCTCGCGTGGCGGCATTGGGTGTAGGGTTCTTGTTGAACTCTACCTCGAGAGTGACCAGCTGATCCTGAGTGGCTCTCTGTCTCTTCTGGTTCTTTTGCTGTTGGGTGAGAGTGCTCTTGCGAGGGGGCCGTCTAGGAGCACTTGCGGTGGCAGCAGCCGAGGTAGGATTGGAGGCTATCGAGGCGGAAGTATTGGGTGTGGTAACCGACTCGGCGCCTGGGGAAGGGGTGCAGTCCTCTGCCTTGACGGCGGAGGGGGATTCGGAGGACATTATGGTATGATGCGGTATATCTCAACTGCTCTCAGTTGTACCTCGAATGATTTGGTGGATGCTTGAAATGCGTATGGTTGTCTCGTGGACGTTAACGAATGGAAGGGCGCTTGGGGCGCGTTGGTAGTTGGATCGTCGAGTAATCGTAGCAGATAAAATCACAGGCCGGCCTATGCAGAGGATTGAATATCGACTCGAGCAAGCCAAGGGCTGGTTGTCGAGATCGATGGTTTGTAAAAGGGGGGTTTTGGTAAGGACCGTGGTCGAGTGGGAACAGGGTTACAAGTGAAGGAGTGTGGTCGTGAGCCCTGAAAGAGTGAAAGGCGATCACGATGAGACAGATGAAAACAAGGACGTGGTAAAAGAAAGAACAAGGCCTAGATAGTAAGGAGACGGCACAGCGACGATGAGGTATGAAGGAGAGGAGAGGGAAAGGGAGGGAGGACGGGCAGCTAAGAGGTGCAAAGTGTGGGAAGGAATTTTGGGGCGAGGGGGACGCGCTGACTGGGCCTAGGGTGAGGACTGCGGCAGCGCCTGCAGCAGCAGCGCAGCAGTGGACGCCCAACTGGAGAGCGACAGCCGGGAAGGAGGCACCCAGAGCATCTTGGCCAACGCAGGTACGGAACTACGAAGGGCGCTGATGGCCAATTAGAAACTTGGGCGCGGGCTCTGTGGATCGAGCCCCTAGCTTAGCGTGTGTGGGTTCAACAAAGATGCTTGCGCGATGCTGCCGCCCTGACCCACCTACCCAGTACGCACTCGCCGTGGCCGCCACACGGGGAGTCGTCTCTCTTCGGCGTCTGCTGATGCTGATGCTAATGCTGATGCTTATGGTCATGCTGATGCCCATGCGAGGCGAGCCATGAGCCTGCGCTAGCAGCATAGAAGTCATCTACCCAGCAGTACGCATGCTGCGACGACGTTGCAGCGAACATTCTCTGCCGGCCAGATCTGCCACTAGTCACGACCGCCCAAGTGAACTTTGTCGGAGGTGTCCCTCGGTGCCCCTCGGCACACGCTCTTCGGCCCCTTTGCGTCACACACGGCGAAGCCACCGGCAGCCCACGAAGGCTGTGTGTATAGACCGTGTATCAGGATGGCGTCCAAGTGCGGCACCACTACATAGCTGCAGCAAAAGTCGGTAACATGTTGTGGACAAGCGATGCAAATAATTCTCCTGTTCGTGTCCTCCCTCGAGGCTGCAGCTGCGGTCGATCAACTGAGACAAGTCCGCTTACGTGCATGAAGCGCGAAAGGCTGTTGCACAACATCATGAAGGGAAAAAATGACTCCCAGTCATAGGGGTAGTACAGCGTTGAGCAGCAGCGGTCTGATGGGCGAATGGTCTTTTGCCCGTGGTCCAAAGCCAAGTCGTGGACCTCCCCCTCGTGTCCGTTAGTCCACATATGCTTCAGGTACGTTCGAGAAGCTCGCTTGGATTCGATGAGGTGGCCTCCGACACAAGACCACTATCGACAATTCTCAGGCTACGACGACACCAATTGCAAAGGTTTGCTTCCTAGGACGACCTGGTGTTCGGTCGAAGCACCCAAGGAGATCCCGTTGTTGGGTGTCCGATTGGGTGCAGGGCTTGAACAAGGCGCCAAGTCAGAGACAGCAGACTCGTCTTCCCGCTATGATTTGCCACAAATATCTGCAGCTACGCCACAAGCCGCCAGCGATGCAGCGCAGGTGTGGTAGGCATATGGCCGACTGCACCAGTATAGTTAATAGCCGCCAGCTGTTTGCCTTACCATAACGGACAATAGTCGTTCAACACGAGACCATCAGTGGTTATTCGACGCGATCGACTCGACGGCGCGACCGCTCGGAATGCTACTGAAGATCGCGCGAGAGAAACGGCCGTCATCCCAAGATAGAAACCGTCATGTGATGACTATGATACGGGCAAGACGTGGAGCGACCCATGCATTGGCTTGTCGAGTATTGCAGGGGGCCGCAGTACCCACGCTGTAGGCGGGCATGGACTATTCTCGATCAAGGTGTGCACCAATCCAGCCGTCGCCACTTTTTGTCGTTGAAGAACGAGCGCGGTTCATACTCGGCGCCCTCCATAGCGCCCTACCAACCGACACAGCTCATCCTTACTCAGTACAGGCTGCTGCTGTATCGGCACCAACCTCATCCGAGAGACATTGACGACAAGATCAGACACGCCGGGGTTCAGACGAACGCCCGTTACGATCTAGGTGCGACGAAAAGGGGGGGAAGGCGGTCAGGCGTCAGGGTCATCCCTTTTTTGCAGCAGCGGCTCACAAGCTCCTACTGTGTAAGCTTCGGAGCCATCTGCCGATTTTGCATTCGCGCTTAGGCACGATAGGTCAAGCGCCAGGTACCGTGGTCGTGCAGACGAATCAGTAGCTGGCTCACTGCAGGTACCCGGCACTCAAGGCCCCCCTTGTCGTCGCAGAATTAAAGCCTAAATGCGCCGCTCGCTCGGGTGCTTGGCATCGGTCGGCTCGTGCAAGAGTTCCTACAGTATTATCCCTATCCATCGGCGATGGCCTGGCTAAGACCCCAACTCCCGCACTGCTCGCTTGGCTTCCTTATCGCCAGCTGGTGCTCGCATGTTCGTGAAAGCTGCGGCAGAAAAAAAAAAGAAACCCTAGTTGCTCCTTCAAGCCCAGCCTCGCCCGACAGTGAATGCTGCAAACCGCGGGGGGCTAGCAACGCGTCAAAAAATGCGATCGCCGATGCGATATGCCAGCGCAGCATCCTGCGGAATGGCCGATCACACAATAATGGTCACGACGGCGAGCACGTGGGAAAGGCAAGGCGGTGAGTTTCCCACACCTCTTCGACGTTCTCGGGCAAATATGTACAATGCAAACCTTGCCGTCGAACTCGGTGTGGGTTGGGGCAGGGGAGGTATGTGGATTCCTGCGCGCGCGCACGCGCATCTTCGCTTGAATCCCGGTAGAGTCTGCGTAAACTCCAGCTTCAGTACGTACTGTACAACCATTCTCGATCCCCCCCCCGAGAGACCGAGACGGAAGCGAGCGTAACATCTATAGTTCATGCGTGTGTCTGTTTTACCTGTACGTGATCTAAGCCCACCCATGGTGTGTCTCACTTTTCAAAACTTTCTCGCGTCTTTGGTTTGCCTGATCCTGGTCAAGCCGTTGACCAGCATCTGTTAGTGATGACCAGGACTGTATCTCGGTCACAGTAACGGCAGGTTCCCTTCGAGCCCTGGTGCCTGATGCTTGTTACCTGATGCCAGCAGTCCCCTAGAATGAAAAGATCAGAAGGTAATGCACAAGGACGACTTCATGCTTGACGATAGTCATATCATCACCATCCCAGTGCTTATACATAAATACTGCCACTACCGATGCCTCACTTGACGACTTTCCCGTAGCCTTTGCTAAACAGCTCTGAGATATCCACCGATGACTTCTCGGTCGCCTTGCGTGCCTTGGTGCCATCCATCACCAACTCCTCTTCCTCCTCCGCACCGCAGGAATTCCGTTTCGGAGTCGTCGTTCTTGGCCGTTCCAGCAACTGTTGCACCTGTGCTTCACGTTCCGCCTGCTCTTCGGCCGCACGCAGCAGCTCCCGACTGGACTTCTTGTTGCCCCTATCCCAGCCTTGCTGCAGCAGGTCTGCGGCTGATTCCTCGAACCGTTTCTTGACGTCAGGATCCTGTTCCAGTGCTTGGAATATTTCCGTGTCACCCGGCTTGAATGTGAACCACAGAGCCTTGAGAATGAGCTCCAGATGCAGAATCGCTAGGACCGTGGCAATCAGCGTCAGCCAGAATAACAGGCTGCGGCCCCAGCTCTCGAAAATGCTTCCCCTCACATTGTAGATCTCATCCCTCGGGTCATAGAGGGCGCCCAAGATGATATTCCACAGCCACCACCCCCCGACCTCGATGAAAATCGCGGCAGCCGCCGTCGCCGTCTTGTTGTGCAAATCTATCGCTTGCAGTTTCAGGTTGATGATCGTAACGCAGGCGCTGAAACCGAGTACTCCCAATGAAAACACTCGATTGTCCTCCCTGATGAGTGCCTGGCCATACATGCTGAAAATCATAAAGTACACAATGATGGCTTCAACTGCCCCGAGCGTTGCCCAATAAAGGTACTGTTTGAAGTTGAACCCCAAACGCTTTTGACCGATGCTGTAAAGCTCCGGAACTGCCAGCAAGGTCGCGGGTCGCATATCTTGTTCGAAGACCCCCATGAAGATAACAGGGAGGCTTGTGAAGAGCGTGTTGAACATCGACAAGCTCCAAGGCTCGTACAAACTCGTGCCTGTGTACCCGTTCCAGCGCTGGTATGTGGCCTGGACCAAGTAAAAGATCATCTCCTTCCAGAAAGTACCGAGCGTGTACTTGCAGATTCGAACGTAGTTCCATCGCCCATGCACCAATAACAGCTTGACCAGGAAACGAAATTGTCCGATCGAGTAGTCTGAAGTCCTTGCGGCTTGCATACCCTCTTTGCCTGCGATCCCGATGCCTACATGTGCTTCTTGGATCATGGCGATGTCATTGGCACCATCGCCAATCGCCAAAGTCACGGACCCTTTGACTCTAAAACGAATTGCTCGGACCAGGTTAGCCTTCTGACTCGGAGAGGCTCTGCAGCACACCACAGAATCGGCCAAGACGGCAAGCTCGGTGAAAGCGTTCTTAACAGCTGCATCATTTTCCATCGCCGTCAGTGTCTGACCGTCAATCACCAGAACAGAATGCGCAACAGTGTCACCCTTGATATCAGCGGTTGTGGCACTCATACGAGCCTCCAAGTCGCCCTCCAGATGATCGAGAACGGCCACGCTCGAGTATGGCTTGATCAAGCGACAAGACTGTCCAATATTGATCGCAGTCTCACGCTTGTCGCCAGTCAACATCCACATCTTGATGCCTGCTCGACGAAATCGGTCTATGGCGTCAGGCACGCCATCCTGGAGCTTGTCTTCGATAGCAGTAGCACCTAGTAGATCGAGATGTGTTTCGATCAGCGCACCAGCTGCTTCCATCTTCTCCTGGCGTTCGACCAGACTTGTCGAAGCATCCGCGTACGCCTCACGCCACTCCTTATATTCGGCCTCGGACAGAAACTTGTAGCCGTACAGCAGAGTCCGGAGACCTTCTGTTGCAAAGTCGTCGATATGCTGGAAGCAACGCTCAAAGGTAGCGTGGTCGTCCATCGCCACACCCTCGTCAACGAGGTGATCAAGCTCTCCGTTGTAGGTGGAGGACCATGTCGTGTTCGTGCGAAGAAGCGATGGACGCGGGTCGGCAGATGCTCGTGGTGTAGCCTCATGAAGTGATTGCGGTGGAGTATAGAAGGAGTTGCTGTCGCGAGGCACGGACATGTCCACGTCACTTTCCCGTTCCTTCAGCCAAAAGTCAACACTTTGGCGTGCAGTTGTGCCTCTACCGATGGCCACACTGCTTGATCTCCGCTGACTGGAGCTCCGCCCAGTGATGGTGATCGACTGAGACGTTCGTGTATCACCGGGAGTTTGGAGCTGCGTGCTTCTTCGCCGCAAAGCATGCTGGGCCTCTAGACTCTTTCGTTCACTAGCCCGACGACGGACGTTGGTAGTGCTCTCCCTAACTAAATCGGACAGCTGGAGAAGGTTTTTGATGGTTGTGTCTGCGCCCTTTGTGAATAAGCATATCCTCTGGTCAGGCATCCGGACAATAATAGACATTCGTTTCCTCAGACTCGAGAACTCGATTACGTCAAGGATTTCGTATGTTGCGTACGATGGTTCTTCTTCCGTGCCATTGGGATACGACTTGATGGTGATTGACTCAGCCTGTCTGTCGGTTACAATGTAACCTAGATCCTTGGCTGCGGTCACCAACGCGACCTCATCTGGTGAAGAAGCCTGGAATTCGGTCTCCCCGTCATCGTCTTTCTCGGGTGTCGCAGTATGGCAGAGTGCCAACGCAAGGATAAAAAACTTTGCCTTCTGAGCGTAGACCGAGTTGGGCTTTTGGTAAATGTACTCGAGCAGCTGTTCCGTCTTGCCACAGTGCAGAGATGCTGCTGTTCGAGCACTGGGCTTCCAGTCCATACCTTGCATCGAAGCACGAGTGTAACCTGATCTCTGCGACAGACCCGCGAATGACTTCTTTGGGTCCTGCGGTCCTGATGGCGAAACATTCGAAACATTTTCTTTGCCTTTAATCCTTCTCTTCTTGTGACGGAGCTTGGGTTTCTGAGGACCGTTAAGTGCTTCTGCTTGCAAGTCGAAGTCATGCAGCCAGGCTGTGCCAGCCAGACTCATCTTGCGGAACTTCATTGAATTGTTTGTCAGCGTTCCAGTCTTGTCAGAGAAAATGTAGCTGACTTGGCCAAGTTCCTCGTTGATGGTCGAGGTGTGCGGCTCCATTGGTGTATCGGACTCCGGGTCATACATATCGATGTCGTTCATTTGAATCATCTGGATGACCTTCACAATCTCCAGCGAGACGTACAGCGACAAAGGCAACATGGTGTTGAACATGATGACGAACGAGGTGAAGACGTGCCCGATTCTGACTTCGGCTTCGCGCAGATACCACGAGTCATCTTCGGTAGTGCTTTGCCAGGCGAGATACAAGGGTGTCAAAAGCCCAGCCATGAAGAAGACAAGGAAGGCAACGAACATGACCACTCGATTGACATCAGCTTGCAGCGCGGGAGCTTTGGTCCGTGGGTTCTTGTTCGCATTCATTCGGATCTTGCATTCCCTAATATGCATTAGTCAAGTTGGATTGGAATGCTTTGGGACAGGAGGATTCTGGCTACTACGGCACGTGAATACTCGCCAATGAGGGGACTCACTCTCCTGTTCGCATCGTCAGTTAAGTTGCATTGAAAAAAGAAGCGCCTCAGGAAGGGAAGACTATTTTGAGGTACGTCCGAGCTGGAACTACCCGTCCAAACGGGCATCCTCAACCCAGGTCGATCCCGAGCGACTTACCGGTATAAATAACAAGACCGAGAGCGGCAGGCATGTTCCGAAGTACACTGCCGCGATAGATTACCTCACCGTTGGTCAGAGGTAGGGTCTGGCCCCCAACCGTGACCTTGCCCTCAAATTTGTAGAGATCCAGGTTTGGATCTTCCACCACGAAATCTGCTTCTAAATGAACAACAGCATCAAGTGTCGAGCAACGACCACTAAGGTCCTTTAAAGGCTTCTTCGTCTTCAGGTTCGTTTCCCCATCTAAGCTCTTGGTCTCGACGAAGGCGGCCTCAGTCGGTTCGTCTGCGTGTAAAAGCACCACATCGGCCGGAGTGGGCTCATCTCGCTCCAGCAAGACTACATCTCCGACTGCGACGTCCTGCCACTTCTTAGTGCTCCAGCCAGCTGTATCAGTTTCAGGATATGAAAAATCCTTCTCAGGCAGCCGGTCCTGCGATCCTCTCAATGTCTGATGGACAAGCACGTCGACCTCTCTTAGATTGTCCTCTTTGTCGAGGCGATGCCGCCGGAGATCGTCGTATCCCTCTTTGGCCATGGATATGAGCACGAAGATCATTAACGGCACAATAGTAGTGTACTGTCCAGTCGTACTCAATCCTGGAATCATCTGCAAAATTGCAATGATCAAGAAATAAAAATTGGCCAGCTTGCTGAACTGTGCGATGAGCTGCCGAGGAAAGAAGTTCCATGGCGTATACCGGCAGCTGACAATAGTATTGTCTACGTGCGGTTTCCCCGTCCTGTCGTCAAGAAGGGGTTCTGAACGGGCCGCTGTCACCGTGACGTTGCGCCCACGTAGGCTAGGAGGCAGAGACTTCCTTTCAAAAATCTGGTCGATGCGATGAGGAAGGGCTGAGAGTGCAGACAACCAATGCTTCCAAAATGGCACACGTCGCCTACGTCTCTCTGAAGCACTGTTTATGTTTGCGGCCTTGTTTGCGGGGGCCGAGATTTCCCCTTCTCTTGTACTTATAGTGCTCTTCTTACTTGCAGAGGCCTGGCGTTCCAATTCGATCGGACGCTCATGCTCGCTCGCGCGTCGCTTTATGTTCTGGGCGAAAATTGAACGACGTAACGAATAGCCGCGATTGCGCCCACGGGTCGGTGAGTTCTGAGCTGGCAGTGGGCTGGCCACTCGGGAGCCTCCTGGATGGTCCTCATCATATGAGAACGTCACTCGTGGTGTTGCAGGAAGAGGGATATTGCGGGCGCTACCAGACAAACTGTCGACTGTAGAAGTGGGTGATAGACTACTCTGACTGGAAGACACGGGCTCCGCACTGTGATCGCCATCCGGAGGCGGTTGGTTGGACGAAGGTTGTTCGGAAGCTGACATGGTCATTCAGACCATTATTGCATAGACAGAATGTTATCAATGCGCCGACAGGGCTTCTAGAGTGCGATCAAGACATCCTAGTGGTAAAGAGTGACTCGCGTGGCAGTCGCGACGAAGGACCTGCCCTGTCTATACGAATAAAGAGGTCGCGAAAATGCAGGCTCCCGTATAACATCCTCATTGACGCCAGAGGCAGGGCTGGCGACGCCGAGGCATGGCATGGGGGCGGTGCAGCGCAGCTTTTGGCCGGTTATGGCGTGGGGAAGGTGCCGAAAGCGTGGCAGCGGACAGGATACTCCGTACTCTATACCGAACCAATGGGGTTGCAGCAGAAATTCCATCCTCCTCCCAGACAAGCCTGGGGATCGCTGCTGCACAAGTGCATGAGTGGGATGGATTCTAGAAGGATGGGCTCTACTTGTGTGTTCCTACGAATGTACAGGTGCCTCAATAGAGCAAGCGTCCATTGCTGTTCCTCAAGTATCATCTCTGTCAACGACGGTGTGCTTGCCACGCCAGCTTTGCATGCGACATTATTGATCATTGCGCTGAATTGAACAAGCGACACTCTCTTTTCTGAACATGCATAAGCAGTGGCTGTCTTCTAAGCCGTCTGACCGGCCAGTGTGGTGCGTTAGATCGAATATAAACATGCCCGGTCGGACGTATGCATGGCTGCACCATTATTTTTTTTTAATTACTGAGAACAACCTCTGACACCCCTCACGCCTGGCCGCATGCTGGCAGCTGATTTCTATTACTGTCTGCTTCAGGCATCCAGATCGTGTATCTCGGTTTAGATCTCCGGATCGTGGCGTCGCATCTTTTGGTAGCTGATGAGTGCCAAGCCTGCAAGGCTGCGCTCGCAAGGCCACGAGTCCGGGTTGTTATCCATCTTTTTTCTACAGTCTTAACTGACTTCTACTTGCCCTCTACAATCTTGCAGACTCCTCGGTCTCAGTCGCGAACCATGCTGTGTGCTAGTAAGGCTCCTATACATCGTGTCAATTGGCTACTGACCATGCGCAGTTTCTGGAGAAGCTCCTCAAGTGCCTGTCGTTTCCTCCAAGTCAGGTACGCGCCGACGTAGTCTGGGGCTGGACGCCGCTAATTGTGCGCAGGAAATGTCTATGAGAAGCGTCTGATTGAGACATACATCACCGAGAATGGAACCGAGCCTTCGACAGGCGAAAGCCTAACCGTTGACGACCTAATCGACCTCAAAACCCCACAATCTGTCCGACCACGACCTCCCACCTTGACCTCCATACCTTCTTTACTCAGTGTCTTCCAAGAAGAATGGGATGCGCTTGCTCTCGAAACATATACGCTTCGGCAGAACCTTACTCAAACACGGCAAGAGCTCAGCAACGCCCTCTACCAGAATGATGCCGCGATCAGAGTCATCGCTCGGCTGACCAAAGAACGCGACGAAGCCCGCGAAGCTCTCGGCAAGGTCAACGTTGCTGCGCCCACCAATGGTGACGCCATGCATGTTGACTCTGCTCCCCTACCAGCAAGGGTCGTGGAGAAGATTCAGACCGCGCAAGACAGGTTCGTATGTCGATCACTTGAGTTAACTAAAACTAACATGCTATAGCCTCTCTGCTACCCGACGAAAGCGCCCGGTGCCCGAAGAATGGGCTACTGGCGAAAGCGTTGCAACATACACCCCCAAAGTCATGACGCAGACCCAATACCCCGGAGGCTCCGCGCTTGCTGTCCATCAGTCTGGAGATCTAGTGCTGGCTGGCGGTGTCGATGGCGGTGTCGATGTGTTCTCAGTCGCCCGAAATCAAGTCGTTCAGTCATTCACCGCTGGATCTGGCACGATCACTGGTGCCGCTTGGGCTGGTGAACGGGCAATCATTTCGACGTCAAAAGGTCAAGTCAGTGTCCGAGATGCCGCCTCCGGGTCAGAGCTTGGTCTTTTCACTGCGCATACTAGTGGTGTCTCGGCCGTCACAGTGCACCCAAGTGGAGAGTTGTTCGCTTCTGTGGGCGCAGACGGAATTTATGTGGTCTATGACATCGAGACAATGAGCGTAGCAACACAAGTTGCGAGTGGCGGAGCCTTCACCTGTGCGCGATTTCATCCCGATGGCCACCTTCTTGCGGCCGGCGGGCCCGGTGGTCAGATTAAAGTCTACGATGTCAAAACTGGCACTGAGGCTGCCGTCTTCGCGTTTGGCTCCCCTCTCAAGCAGATCATCTTTTCGGAGAATGGTATCTGGCTCGCTGCGATTGCCGAGAACTCGACGACAATTTCGGTCTGGGATATCAGAAAATCGACGGAGATCAAGGCTTTGGAGACAAACGGCGTTATTGCGTCGATCGATTGGGACTACACCGGACAGTTCTTGGTCTCAGCTGGGCCAAGTGGCATAACAGTCAATCAGTATTCAAAGGCATCAAAAGCATGGACTGAGCCGCTGAAGCTCGCTGTGCCAGCCACAGCTGTTGCATGGGGCAAGTCGGCGCAGAGTCTATTGACATTGAGCAGCGAGGGCGCGATCACGGTATTGGCATGAGATACGAATTTCGGGACGGATCCTAGAATGTGTTACTAGCAGAAGGCATGGGCTCGGAAAATGCAAAATACCCAGCTAGCGCATGCTTCGATTTCAAAGAGGGCCATAAGGAGGGAAAGTCTCTGAACCCTAAGTAAGGACTCTCACATACTCAATCTGCTCCATCTGACGTTCCCTCCCGTTGTTGCGGTGCTTCCTCATGTAAAGCACTGTAAAGTCTGGGGTTGCCTTCACCTGAGGTTCTGCCTGTGACGTTGTGCCAAGATACGCGTTCACGCGGCGGCGTTAAAGGGTAAACTCCGGCTACGGGATTCAACGACGCCTCCAGTTGTGTTCTGTGACTTGACACTACACTTTCGCCTCTCACCATCTCTCTCGCCATCTCAAGGGATCGCACAGCTGCTGTTTTAGCCGAGAGGGTGTCGCTATGTCGTCTGCCCGGCCGACAGGCTCTCAATCCACCATCTCTGGCAGGAAAGTGAGTTTCGACCGCCCCGCCCGGCGAAGGCAAGGCAGGTAAAATGACTGACATTGCTCAGAGAAACAGGAACGAAATCACCCGCTCAGAGAGTCGCACCTCCAGCGAAGAACCTGTTGTCAAGCGTCGAAGAGTTCATCGTACTCCCACAGCATCGAACACTCCACAGCCGCCAGTCGCATCGATCCGCCACGAAAGAGACGGCTTTGACTTTAGGAGACCAGTCATGTCGAATCCAAGTCCAGCTTTGATTGACCTCACTGGGGATGATGACGACGAAGATAGGCTTTCCGAGGTACTGGGCTTCAACCAAGAGCAGGATGTGTTTCCCGATGATATTCCGGAATCCTACGTTCGCGATCATCGAACCCCTGGCGACATAGACGAGGCTACCCTCCCACCACCGCCGCCTAGATCACGACCGTACATTATCGATGTTTCAGACGATGATGAGTATCAACCGGAGGGCGCAGGGTCGCGGCCGAATGCAGAAGTAAGGCGTGCGTCGACTAGCTCCGATATTGTCTTTGTTGGCGAGCGGATTGCCACACCTCCCATCAACCCCACACCGAACAACCGTCGTCCGTCACTACGAGATCGTCCTCCGACTCCCGGGCCTCACCGCCAGCGCCGGCCTCGCAACATGGCTGCCCCGCCTCCGCTGCCCGGTCTTGGCGGCCTGCCCGATCTCATTCGCAGAAGTACACATGCGCTTCTGGGGGGGTTTGCACCGCCATTTCTGCAGCCAAATCCCAACGCAGTTGCCAATAACGCCAACTTCGACAACGACGACTTTGAGATTGTTCAATTTGATTACGGTCAAGCAGCATTCCCAATGGGCGACCGATCGTCCGAAACGCCCCAGGCGACCCCAGGTGAGGCTTATAAGGCTCCACCACCGGTACCAGAAGGTTTCGCCGGCGATGTAGAGGAGGACGGCATCTACATCTGCCCGCGTTGCGACGAAGAATTGGCTACGGGGGACACCGAAGAGAAGCAGCAGGTGTGGGTGGTCAAGCAGTGTGGCCATGTAAGTTTCAATCTCTTCCTCACAATCTTCTAGCCTAACAGATTCAGGTCTACTGTGGTGGCTGTGCTCGTCAGCGAGTACTCCGGAATGGCACCAAGAAGGACAAGAAACAGTCAGCGAAAGATGGCACTCTTGCTTTCAAAATTTGTGCTGTCGAGGATTGCCACGAGAAGGTGGACACGAAGGGTGCAATGATTCAGGTATACCTGTAAGATCTGCAGCTTTCACAGCCTGGAAGCATGAGACAGGCCGAGGACGCGAAACACGAACACAGGGCTAGCGACAAGTCTGTAGCAGCGGGCTTCATATGAGACTTGGACCACGTCAGATCATCGGTCTCGACTCATCACGGAGAGCACGGGATCACGGCAGGGTTGGCGGCACAATTAGCTACCAAGACCTGTCACCACTGCCTTCCACGAGAAGCCGGCTTTTGAATCGCCAAGGGCGGAATCTGCATTACGATACCCAGGAGCTGATATCATTTAAGCATGGCGTTGGGGTCTAATGAGCGAACCGAAAGGATACGAGACAATGCAATGAAATTTGCTACTTGACCTACACTGTCCGAAAGCCCCAATTCCTGATGTAATTGCTGTTCGTTTGTGATAGTACAAGTCCCCGCTGATGATCTCCAGACCTCGGCGGGGGTCGCGAGGAGATCTGCGAGTCTCTTCAGACGACGAGACAGGCTTGTTAGCGAGGCTAGGCGATAGACACTCTCACCGGCTCTGTAGCACCCACAAAGCCAAATACACGTTGAATTCGCTCCTTCAGGTCGGACCACTCGTCTGTGCGTTGGAGGGCACGACTCATCCATCGTTCGCGTGTCAACAAAGCTACGCGGCATACCCAGGACGAACTCGACTTTGCAGCTGTCGTAGCCCTTCCACGGTCCATGAACCTGAGACACACAGGGCCGCGTGTAGCAAGCCCTAGCCACAACACTGAATCCACCTGATGTCGGCATCCCTCCCACCGCAGAGCCCATCCACCCTAAAGACCACACATCTCCTCTCTTCTTCATATCCTCTTGATCCCGCCATGCATCGGACTCCAAACGCCCCTCACGCTCTCATTCGCAGCCACGACCTTCCTCGCCCCCAACCTCCGATTCTTCTTGCCATCGTTCCCCAGCAGCCCCTCTACTTTCTGACGGATCTCCTCGACGCGCAGGTTGCGCACGCACACGGCCTTCTCGCGGCCGTTGACGTACTGCGCTTTCAGCACGGGGTGCTTCCCGGGGCGCGGGCTGATCTTGAACTCGACGTGCGGGTGTGATGAGGTTAATTGGGGGAGGTGTGCGGAGCGGAGGAAGGAGTTCATGCCCCGCGAGGAGCCGGCCCAGTCGCAGTAGTGGAGAGAGAGGGAGAGGATGGGCGGGATGTAGGTGGCGCTGGCGCCGTTCTGTCAGGGGAGATGGGTGGTTAGTTCGGGGAGACCTGGGTATTATTCAATGGAGGGGAGGGGGCAGCGTACGAGGGAGGAGGCGACGGTACGGATGCCGAGAGCTGGCATCTTGGTGCGTGTTGTTATTGAGTCATGGGATGTTTGCGATGTGTGGCTTGTGTTGCGATGAGATGATGGCAAGGTACTAATGCGGTGCAGGTCGTCGCGGAAAGATTTCTGCCAAGATTGAAGGCTCCGATTGGTTAGAATATATAAGGCTGTGACAAGGCTGCAGATATTCTACCAATCAAGTCATCCCATGCTACCTTGGTCGAGCTGCGTTGAGGTAGAACCCATAACGACAGAAGCATGTTTAATCACTCTTTCGCAGCGAGTCTCACCACCCGACTCGCTCACGCTGACTTACAACTTGCCGCCTCCTCCGTGCTCTCCTCCTTGCTGCTGCTGCTCTTCCCCCACCTTCTCCGAAAATGGCCCCCTAACAAATCTCTCCTGCCCAACATGATCAGCCAAGTCACCCATCCAAGCCGCCTTGTCCCGACAGAACTGCTCTTTATGCGGTGTCCACCGCTTCTGTATCATTCTGTCCCCCTCTGCTTGGGCGATGATGCCAAGTCCCGAGTTTCCGGACGCTAGGATTCCGGCGGGGATGCTGACGATATCGTCGTTGAGCGGCGTGAGTGCGGAGAGCTTGCTGCCACAGATAGAGCAGAAGGCGCGGTGTAGAGGCTGGCCAGACTGTGTTTGGGGGTCCACGTAGGTCGTTATCTTGGCGGCGCCGGTGTGGACCGTGTATTGCTGTTCGGGGCGGTTTGAGGTGAGTGAGTGACAGGGATGAGCAAAAGTCGGGGAATAGGGCGAGGGACAAGAGTCAGATATGATGAAGCTAGAGGTGCTGGGCTGCGGGGGACAATGCTTACGGACTTCAGGAAGATAGACGCGCAGTGGAACATTGAGCCGCCCTGGCGCCTACAGCGAAATATGGTCAACCAGCAAGTTCTAGCGCACAGGAACTGAGGCTCCTGTTGATCATGGCTTGCTCGCTAGAGTGCTTGCTTTCTCTTCCCAGTGGGCGCTCAACACTATCCTTCTGCCCCATGTTGGGCAAGCGACAAGGTCCCCAGGTCGGCAGCGCAATAAAGAACCAACCCGTGCACGTGCCACTCCCTGAGCTATTGCACTTACCGGCAGTTCTCGCAGTGGCAGACCACATTGTAGATCGGCTCACCAACCACGGTGAAGGTCACGGCGCCGCATAGACAGCGGCCCTTGTCCTCCCGTGGGATGGATTTATCGGTCGCCATGGAGAGCCGAGGTGGTCCGGTGGCACCAAGTCGCGATGGGTACGATGGGTAACCTCTTTGAAGCACACCGATCTGGCGGTTGTGGTCCAAGGATCAAGAACAGGACTAGTCCTCGAAGGAGACGGAGGTGTGTCGTATCTAGAAACCGCACGAAGAAGCATATGCCCGAGCGGAGTCGGCGATGGGCCTCCGCTCGGGTAGCCGAGGACCAGGGAGAGAACCCCACTCTGCTTGTTGACAACGGGGAGAGGCAGTCTCGCTGGTGGACAAAGAAACGTAGCAATTCACTCTTGCGTATGTCGATGCCTCTTGACTTGTCTTTGGAAATCTGCGACATGCTCCGAGAAGTCCAATGCTGCTGGAGAAAGAAAGGGCAATATGTGAATACTCTGGACCCACTTTTGGTCAGACAGTAAAAGCATCTCAAACCGCTTATAGTCGGCGTTCTGCCTGAGTCGGGACGTTGGAAGTCATGCAAAGACCGAGAAAGAGCACTGATTCAAGTTTGAACAGGGCGGAGGTATTATTCCTCCCCATATATATTAAGCTGTCTTAGATAACTAAGGTACTCTATACTGCCGCTGAGGTCTGTGACCTGGGTATCCCATTTGCTTGCTAAATTCCAACGCCGCGCCGATGATTTCATTAATCGCGAAGTAACAGTAGGTAGAAGGTGCATCGCCGGAAGGACATTTATGCGGCAGCAGAGATCAGCTCATACTGGGCGCGCGACATGTTCCAGACCATCTTCTCCTTCTTGGCCTTCTTCTCCTTCTTGTTGGACTTCTTGTCCTTCTTGGAGAAGAAACCGCCCTGCTTGATGACGGGGCTGTAGATGCCCTCGACGGTCACGGGCTCCTCGGTGGGGCGGAGCATGTCGAGCGCGCGCTTGATGGAGGAGCGGCGGCGCTCGGGCTGTTGCTTCTGAGCCTCTTGGGACGAAGAGGAGGCCTCGGACTTCACGCTGTTGCGGCGGGAGGTGTTGGCGGCCGAACCGTTGCGCGAGTAGGCTTGCTGCGCGTTGTGCTGGTTGGCGACGTGGAGGTTATAGTAGCCGGAGTAGAGCATCTTTGCGGTATTCGGGGTTGGTTATATTGTTTGATTGGGTTGATTGCTTGTTGGAGGTATGGTATGCTCTGAAGAGTATTCGAATTGTTTGCTGTGGCTGCTGGATGAGAGAAGTATGCCAACCCGTATCTACTGACGACCCTTATATACTCATTAGCCATGTACATACCTGAGACAATTTTCTCACGCGCACGCCTTACGAGCACCAAAATCAGCAATGAGCCATCGATCACGTACGCCCTGCCGAACGAGCCTCAAAGGCCATGGCGTATCCATAGTCGGTCAACAAATGATCAAAACCTTAACATCACGCCCTCCTCGACATGACACCCCCCTGTCAGCGACCAATGAGAAGCAAACACCCCAGCATCCTCACATGCTACCCCGAGTCGCCCTTCCCATAGCAGTTTTACTCTCGTCATTGGCCCGACGCATACCGCGCCGAACTTCCGTACACGGTGCTAAACCTGAAAAGTTTTCACTGCAAATTCTGCAAAATTTCATTGGGTATGCACCGCCTTGCCGTTAACTGCTAGGTCCCCAAAACAGGATGAGGTAACGGAAACTCCCATGGAGTAAGAGGCGTTGGCCACCAGTTTGTCGCAGAGCGAGTGATGGTGTGATTGGTGTCTGTATGAGCAAGGGCGTAAAACTTGTTAGGCCAGCTTCCAAGAAAGGACGGCTGGCAACGGTGGTGATGTAAGCGGACCAGGGCGTAAATGGGAATTTTACGCTCGCGCCCTTGAAAAAGGCCACGATCTCCAAGATTAGGTGTAGCCTCGTCAATGACACCGTTCGTGAATAATATGTCAGCAGCTTCCAGTGCCGCCATTGTGATTGGTTGAAGCAACGTGATACGAGGGTGAGCTGCGCCCTTCCAGCACTCGTCGATCGCTATTGTGGCTGGCCTGCGCATTAGAAGGTTCTCGAGATCGTCGTGTTATTCAGGTCCCGAGACCCCAGTCATGGCTCAGCGTGTGGGGGAACAGGGTTCACGATGCGGGATTTCGAGCATTCTCATAGATACGAGCACGTCGCGCGTGCTAGAGCCATGCTGCTTTGTTAAGCAAGCCGAAAAGAGAAGCAATGCCGCCACCTAGGGTGTCATAGCTGCGCGTCTGTTGATGCATGCATCTTTTTCCATGTTCCAAAAGTGTCTTGCAATTATTCAGCTATGTTACAATGCACCTACCTTTGATGAGGAAAGGCAGTACATTCCAGTGTCGCCCTTGAAGCCCTCGCATTCAGCGGCAGACGCGCTGTTAGGCATGCTGACCGGACAACGTGGAGCAGTACTCGACGCCTGAACAAGGCGGATCTGCTAAGGGTCCGACATCGGGGTCTTACGCACATTCCCTAGCTTATCCGGGTCTGTCTGGGGTTGCGGGTCGCTGTGGAGGCGGCGAAGATGATTTGGTTCATTAGGCAAGAATCCTTACCCCAAAAACGAGGCGTTGTGTAGAAAACCAAGAAGGATCGTTGGGAATACCCACCAACTAACCTCATGCTGACAGTAATACAGTTGTGTCGAATTTTTGACCCCGCGCCTCAATGTCGACTTTCAGTACCTGCGTCGTTGCCGTGGGTCGTCGTAGTCGTTCTCATGATGTCGCTTCCTTGACCCGCTGTCGTAATCGTCACGGCGTCGGTCTCGGTCTTCGTAACCACGATCTCGGCTTCCAACAGGCTCACGATTGCTACCAGTAATGCCGCCACGGTCGCGGTCGCGGCCATACCCACTGCCACTGCGGTCATTGCGGTCGCGGTCACCATAGCCATTGCGTCGGTCGTCATACCCACCACCGCCACCGTAGCCGCCGGAGCGACCACCAGGCCCACTGGGAGCGTTAGGGGGAGGAGGAGCTCGATTGGCGAAACCACCGCGTTCTTGGTAGCCAATACCTCCTCGACCACCGCCATAGCCGCCCCTATCGCCACGGAAGCCTCCTCGGAAACCCCCTCCTCGTCCACCGAATCCGCCCCTGAACCCGCCGCCGCCGCCATAGCCGCCAGGCCCTCCGCCGAAAGTAGGTCGTGGAGGGGGAAGTCTTGTGTAGCCACGTCCACCAAGGCCACCGCCAAACCTGCGTGGACGCCAGCCAGGCACCATACGACCTCTCTCGACATCGACGACAACTTTGCGATCCTTGATCTTGATGCCATCTGTATCCTTATATGCGGCTGTGAATGGTGCAAGCACGATTGTTAGTATGTGGCCTGCCTTACCAGATCTTTATAGGGACGGGGACGTGATTACCTTTCATGTCGCGCTCTCGTTCATAAACAATGAACGCATAGCCACGGTGGGGTTTCTTAGACTTAGGTGAAGTCTCATCTTTGACAATTCGTATTCTCTCAACAGGGCCAAATCTGCCAAACTCTCGTTCCAGATCTTGCTCTTTCACATCATAGCTTAGCCTGCCGACAAACAGAGTCTTTAGTGCATCGCCCTTGATCTTGGGATCATCGGAAGGTTTGAAGCCCTGGAAATCCTCCTTCTGCATTTCGGCTGCTCGCTGCTGCTTCTCCAAGCGTTTGCGGTCGCGTTTCTGCAGCCATGATTCAGTGGGTACATAATTATCGTTTTCCTTGTGCTCTTGAAGGTCGCCCAGGAAGGCAGCGATGCCTGAGAGCTCTGATCCCTTGGTCCCTCTCTCTTCCGGTGAATTGTCGAGAGGCTGCAGGTAGCGAACAGGAGGTCGAGGTTGGAAGAGCTGGAGGAGATCTGGAGGAAGTTTGTCCGTCATCGCGCAGATGCAAGACGAGGTCGCAGATAGCTTTCAGCTACATACACATCGACAGGCGCAGAACTGCAGATCACTGGTGGATGGCGTTGTTGATGGTATGCTGCAGAACAACCGCTCCAGCTTTGTCGCAAGGGATGCCGAGCGGAAGCCTTGAACCATGGAGCGCGTCGAGGAGGCTTGGCATGTGTCATTTGACGTATGTGTCATTTGAAGACTCAGGGACATCTGATCATGATGCAGACATTGTTATATAGATAATGTACAGCTATCTCATATGCAAGTTTGGTGAGGCAGGCATTCAACCGGCCTCGATATCCCTACTCATCCGTGGGCGGACGCCTAGATCTCGAAAAACAGCTCCTAAGGAGCGCTTGTTTCCCTGCGAGTGCCCCCGTGGATCCTCGTAAAAAGCATCTTCATCTTCGTAGACAGGCCCTGACGGGCCCCATACCAGCCTTTCCTTCCTTGACCGTGCCCCCCAGCCACACAACCATCGATGTAAGAACACCTCTTTGTCACCAGCGCAATGAGAACAGACCCAAACAGCAAAGATGTATAGGGTCATTGTCGGTATCGCGAAATAGAAAGCTTGCAATAGGACATATTCGACCAAGAAGCCTAAGATAGTGCCCAACAATCCGACAGGTTCAATCAACCGACGACGGATGGGGAAAGTAGCAGAATGAACCTGGCCTGCGACTTTAGAGACCCGGATCTGGTCTATGCGTGATCTGCTCCCTGGTAGAGTTCCGATGTTGTCGAACCTTGCAACCAAGCCATAACGATTCTCAGGCTTGCGCATCTCGGCCGGCTTCACGAGTCGAGCTCCGTCCCAGATGTCAAGCCATATCTCAACGGTTTTGGGCGCTGGTACAGTAATGCGGAAGTAGTGTGATTCCATTCCCATATGAAGCTGGGCGCTGATGAGGATGGCATCGGCAGCATGGAACCACCGTGGAATGATGAACTCATCCCAATCGCCAGTCTCAACCGGTTCCTTTTCGACTGGATATGCGTCAGGCTCCCCCTCCAAGACATATTGTGTTAAATTGTGATCCCGCCAACCGTAGTTGCCAATACGGAGAGTAGTCGAGTCGTGTTCGCGATCCGCTATCAGCTGCCAGGTGATCGCGATGTTGTGGCCGTGGCGGAGATTCGTGACCACCGTCTCAACCCGTTGTCCAGAAGCGAATTTAGACTGAAGTAAGTCTTGTTGGTACCTGATTGATGGGGAGGGAAGGAAGAGCCAGAAGGCAATCAGGGAGCCAAGACAGATAAAAGGCAACCTCGAGAGACGCAGTAAAGTGATTCGAGCCATAACGAAGGTACGAGTGTCCGCAGCACACTGCCCCCAGGTGGCGGTAGTGCAGGAGCAACACAATCTTGCGTCAATAGGAATAAGTCAAGTCAAGTCAAGTCACTTTTACAAATGTAAAGGTCCGTTTGACGATAGGGGAGAGCGGGCAGAGCAACTCTGGTGTTTTCCGCCCCCGGCGTGGAGCAGAAAACCCCAATGACTAGCCTAAATGCACGTGGCCTACGTTTGTTTCGACGTCGTACCATCTGCACGCTGTCTGCTGTACACAGTATAGCTGCAATGGCTTTCAGGACTGCAGAAGGTGCGAATTGTCAAGACGGAATAGCTCTGCATAAATGAGAAACAAGACAAGGCCAGGACTTTGCCAAACAGTTGTTCTGGACCGCCGTGGAGGGGAACCTGGTCAGCTGGAAGCACGGCCACACCGTCTCCACGAGCACACAGGCCCGTCATTTTTGACTTTGTATTGTTGCCAAACAAATGTGCGCGTGATGATGATTCCGAGGTCGCCAAACATGTGAAAGTGTAGCTCTTGGCGCTTGCAAGCCTCCAGCAACCAAGAGTATGGGCCACATGGGGACTTTCATGCACTTTAGCATGACTCAAAAGAAATGATAAAAACTGACAGAACAGTATAGAATGAGGCGGGAAGAGGATCTGTAGAGAGATCGAGTATTTGCTGCAGTTGCTCGCGGTGGGGGAGACGTAGGGCGCCTTCCCTAACCAAGGCTTAGTGGGCGGCAGCTTCCAGTGCTTAAATAGGTGCTAGCTGTTCGCACCTGTGGCTCAGGCTCAGGCTTGTTGGGCTGCGGGCGGCATCGTGTCTCGTTGCTTTTCCAACCGCATGCTCGTCTGCTGCCTCACCTGTTTCGACTCATCCGGGCCACATTTCTCCACGACAGGCTGCAGCATCATCTTCCTTACGTACTACTGTTCCACTGCATCGGCCTAACGTATTATCGAACGACTTAACTCCCATTCCATGTTGCTCCTGCCCGCATTGCACTACTAGCCGTCAACCGATAGCACAACCCGCCTCACCTAACGACACCGACCGACCACCGACTGATCGCCTTTCTCTACCAACTTTTCAACCCCTCGGGGTCTCTTCTCTGAGATGGGCAACGTGCTATCCGCTTGCTGCAAGGGTTGGTGAACAAACACTGCAAAATCAGGCAACGCGATTAATTAGCATTGCAGGTCGGCCCAAAGACAGCCTCTACGAACCCGCTCTTGCCGACAGTGAACGCGAAGCTGTAGCTGATCTGCTTCAGTATCTCGAAAACGTACGTAGATCCAACGACTGATCCGATAAGAATCTAACGTGGTTTTTAGCGAGCCGACACCGACTTCTTCAGCGGCGAGCCGCTGCGCGCCCTCAGCACCCTTGTATACTCTGACAACGTCGACTTACAACGCAGCGCCAGTTTAACCTTTGCCGAAATCACTGAACGAGGTCAGACTCGTCAACATCTTCTAACGCATGAATCTAATGTGAGAGCAGATGTACGCGAGGTCGACCGAGATACCTGCGAGCCTATCCTCTTCCTGCTTCAGAACTCCGATATTGAGGTGCAACGGGCGGCGAGTGCTGCCCTTGGCAATCTAGCGGTCAACAGTATGTCAACATCAGATGATTGAGGTATCTCAGACTGACCGTTCCTAGCCGAGAACAAAGTTGCCATTGTCCAGCTCGGCGGCCTTCCTCCACTCATTCGCCAAATGATGTCGAACAATGTCGAGGTTCAATGCAACGCCGTCGGATGCATCACAAACCTCGCAACCCACGAGGAAAACAAGGCAAAGATAGCACGATCGGGTGCTCTTGGACCTCTCACTCGACTGGCAAAATCCAAGGACATGCGAGTCCAACGCAATGCCACTGGTGCACTGCTCAATATGACACACTCTGATGATAACAGACAGCAGTTGGTCAATGCTGGTGCCATTCCAGTTTTGGTCGAGCTGCTCCGTTCTCCTGATATGGACGTCCAATACTACTGCACAACCGCCCTTAGCAACATTGCCGTCGACGCTGCCAATCGAAAGAAATTGGCTCAGACCGAATCCAAACTAGTCCAGTCACTCGTTCAGTTGATGGACTCAGGCACACCCAAAGTCCAGTGCCAGGCCGCTCTTGCACTTCGAAACCTCGCTTCCGACGAAAAATATCAACTGGAGATTGTTAGAGCTCGTGGTCTTGGTCCGCTTCTTCATCTGATGCGGAGCACCTACTTCCCACTCACTCTTTCCGCTGTTGCTTGTATTAGAAACATATCTATCCATCCCCTCAACGAATCACCAATCATCGACGCAGGATTTCTCAAGCCGCTGGTTGAGCTGCTCAGCTCTACCGACAATGAAGAAGTCCAATGTCACGCAATCTCGACTCTCCGAAATCTGGCTGCAAGCTCCGACAAGAACAAACAGCTCGTCCTTGAAGCTGGTGCTGTACAGAAGTGCACCGAGATGGTATTGTCAGTCCCACTCAGTGTTCAGTCCGAAATGACAGCAGCCATTGCCGTCCTGGCTCTCTGCGATGATCTAAAACCTGATCTCCTCAAGATGGGTGTTTTCAATTGCTTGATTCCCCTAACCGACTCGGAAAGTATTGAAGTGCAAGGTAACAGTGCGGCCGCGCTCGGCAATCTGTCGTCTAAGGTGGGCGATTATTCGATTTTCGTGCGAGACTGGAATGAGCCCAACGGTGGCATTCATGGCTATCTCAATCGCTTCCTCTGCAGCGGCGATCCTACCTTTCAGCATATTGCAATTTGGGTGAGTCGCTCATCATTCCCATGAGTATGGCATACTGACTATGGCAGACCCTTCTGCAGCTGCTTGAATCTGAAGACAAAAAGCTTCTGAGCCTCGTGGCCAAATCCGAAGACATCATTCAAATGGTCAAGACTATCGCCGACAAGCCGGTCGAATCAGACGATGAAGACGGCGAGGACGGCGAAGGTGAGGTTGTCGCCCTGGCGCAACGCTCTCTCGAGCTCCTCGGCAAAGGTCCACGCCAGACGTTGGTCGAAGGCTGAAGTGGAAAACCCTGTAATGCTTGTTTCTGTTTCACTGTATACCCATTACAACTGCGGCCCCCCTGGTTGCATACATGATGCAAGTGGACACGGCGTGGGAAATAGCGAGGCGTTCAGCGATGATCGAAAATGGTGTCATTAGGGCTAAGTATTTGGGGCATTCAATTAGGACGTTGACGCCAGTATTGCGTTGTCTAGCTGGGCAAGTGTCACCCGGCATCTCACATCTTCGGGGAGCCGTGACCAACAATAATCAAAGGCTACGCACATCATCACATATATGCAGTTCTAGCTTCGGACCTCCCGTAAACGTGATCGGGAAGATGTGCTTATCAAGCCGGAATAGGCGACATGCTCAAGAAGAGGACATGCATTGTTTCGATCATCTGTGCGCATCACGAACGCCGCGCCTCCAGCGCAACACCCTTCCCATTCCTGAACGTCCTCGCCAGGAGTCTCCCCATCGTCCCAAAAGCCCCATGCACCGACATCAAGACTGCTCCTCCTCAATGAAGTCACTCCCACAATCGTATATCGCGCGCAGCAGATCAATGACGTTGGCAGGGAGGGACACGATGCCCTCGAGATCGAAGGTCAGCGTGCCGGAGATGGCCCAGGCGGCTTGGCTGCCGCACAGGGCGGGCTCGAAGCGCGTCGTGTCCGTCAGCCAGAAGACGAAGTCGTCGGCGCGCGTGAGGAAAATTCTATGGGGCTTGTCAGCGAACGTGTTGACAAGTAGAGGGAGACGGAGATGCGTCATGTTTTACGGGTAGGCAATAGGGGTGTCCCTAGGGCGAGGCAGTAGGGGAAGGTCGAGGGAGTAAGTCAGGGTAAGGGGAACGCAATGGAAGGGGGAATGGATGGGGGTAGGTAACTCACGGCCGCAGCAGCAAGATGGTCAAGTCCTCATTGCGCAGGATCCAGCGGAACAGCTTCGTGAACTCGTACCAGTTCAGCTCCCGCCTCGTGGCCGTCTGCACCGCGTCCGCCACCTGCTCCTTGGCCCATTCCGTGCTCGTGGCCTCGGCCTCCCCCCACGCGGCGTCGTGCGTTTGCCGCGTGGGATACCCGCCCGGCGCGCGCTGGCCGGCGTAGTACTGCGCCCACACGTCAATGCCCGGGTTGTTGTCCGCGGGCGGGGCCGATACGGCGACCTGCTGGCCGAGCGCCTGCGCCGCGCCGGACTGGATGCCTTCGATGATGCCGGCGTCGACGGCGCTGACCCAGGAACCGGGGGCGCCCAGGTTCTCGGACAGGAAGAACATGATGACGCCCTCGATGGCGCGGAAGCGCGTGCTGGCGTTGAGGGGGGCGAAGTGCGTGGCTTGCATGTACTGCATGTAGTCCAGGCGGGATTGCATGGTGGCGGACTCGATGTCCCAGAAGTTGCAGGAGATAGTGCTCTGGCAGGCGGGCCAGTTGGATTGGCGGGGCTGCAGGGTGGAGTGGGCGGCAACGAGGGGGAGGAGTGGGAGGAGCGTGGCGAGATGCATGGTGCTGGTTGTGCTGGTTGTGCTGGTCTGGGTGGAATGAGTGACTGCGGTCAGTTGGGAGGAGATGTTTGGACATCCATATCGGTGGGCAAAAGCAATGGCGCTGGTTATAGATATACCTCAAGACTGCTGTATTTGAGACCTTCTCGAGTCATGTCTTCAACCCGTGTGCCCCCAGATAGGTAAGCATGCTGAGTTGGTGTTACCAGTCTCGCGTACGCGGATGAACCATTCGATCGCTTGTTTCCTAGTGGGAGGAGGAAATTACGAACCGGCCAGAAATAACGGATTAAGCGAGATGCATGGTACGGGACGAGCCTACCTAGGGCTGGTTTGGTCAGGGCGTTGCATTGGCGGAGTAGGGGCCGGAATGGTTGGATCGCTTGCATCCGATAGGTTCAGGAAGCGGCCAGCATGATGGTTCTTGGGTACGAAGCAATTGGAAGACTGGCCGAAGAGGCCTTGACGGGGGTATTCGCAGCATGAGTCCACCGCTGACACTGCAAATCTTAGATGCAGGCATAAGGAGGAAGGCAAAAGAGCCACGTTGAAACACTCAATTCGCAGTCAATGCTTATATTCAGCCTGTGGCCCTCTGAATGTCCCTTCTGTGCATTGCGGGTATCGTCATGGTCTCGTGAACTCCTCCAACGCCCTTCGCCGGGAATGCAACGCAGCTCGCTTGGCGACCAGACTTCACATACGCTGAATGGACTGGTCGGCGATGAAATCATTCAACTTGCCATTTTCCAGGGCCGACCACCACTTGAAGAGGAAGTTTTCGCAAATCAAACGGAACCAGGGAGTATATTTGAGATCCCGGTCTTTTCCGGACTTGGTCTCAACATCGGTGAACATCTGGCGAAGCTCGTCGGCACTGACCCATCTGGTATCCCGCACTTCGTTCTTGTTGATATTAAGCGTCACGTCCGCCTCAATGAACAGAATGTAATCGATCTCGTGCTCGCCCCACTTGCCGTCGCTTGGTGCGAGGTAATGTATACGTGTGAGGAAGTCAAAATCTGAAAAGGGAACCTGCTCGTTCTTGATGCCTAGCTCGTGTTCCAACTTGCGGATCGCAGCCCTCTTTGCACCATCAACATTACTCACAAGGTCGCCCTTTCCCGCCTCGGCCGGGTGTGCGAGGGGATGGCTGCAGCAGGTATTGGTCCACATGTCAGGAAACGTGATCTTCTCTGTTGCTCGCTGCTGTAGCAGAAGTTTCTTGGTCTTTGGGTCGAAGAGGAAGCAAGAGAAGGCACGGTGCAACAGGCCATTATTGATGTTGGTCATCAGATGGCATGCCTTTTTGGAGGCAGAACCGATAGGGTTATCGTCGTTGTCCAGCACAACGCAGACCTCGTCCATGAGTCTTATCTGCTCTTCATCGTAGCCCGCAAGGTCGGACGTATCGTTCGAACCGTTTGCGAGAGTGGCGGTTGGAGGTAGATCTTCACCGATCAATCGCGTGTGGACCTCTGGGAAGAGGGAGGTCACGTTGGCGGCAGTGATAGTCGTCGTCTGGGCAGCCATGGCTGGTGATGGGAACAGGCAGTGTCTTGACAGTCACGTAGCAGTAGGACGTGGTGGGGAGGGGTGGTGCGAAACTTGAAGCGGAACTATGATTTCTTCGCTGGACCGAATCGGCCCATTTGATATCCAATCTCATTGGCTGACCCATGCTGCAGGAACAAATGACTGCCAAGACATGGCTCGTGACGAACCTCGACTCTAATCTGACTTGTCTCCGGACATGAGGCCAATCTGCCTTGAAAACTCGTGCCTTGTAGCGACGTGGAGGATTGCTGAACTAGATCTCGTGCTTGGTCATCTGTGTAGAGTCTCTCAAGGTGACATTCTCGGACTCTCGATGTTCGGAAGCATCTCAACCCACCAAAACCTCCGCTGCCGACAACAGCCTTGCTTGCGTCCGAATCGACGATTACATAAAGTAGGCAAATGCTGTGGTGGGACATGTTAGGGAGCCTGTCGCCTCATCAGCTGTTGCCGGCGGTGGTAGTGGACTCATAGGTCAGGATCGTGCAAGAAAAGAGGGAACCCACGGCACCACTCAGGCCGATTCGAAGCGTCTCTCAATGGTCTTGATCGCATTGCAAGCTTTCTCGGTCGACGCCACGTGCTACAATCATCACGTCTTTTCGACCCTTGTTATCTGTCACCAGTGAGATGTACAAACGTTTTGGTCTCCATCGCCATGAAGCATCTTGTGTCTTCGTGAACGGCCCATGATATCCAGACACGCCGATGCGGTGGTTGACCATCGTCCCTATCAAACATCTCTCGTAACGTGTTGGTATCAGCCTTTCGGCCAAGTCTGTCTGTGGCCGTTGTCTATCGTGCTGATGTTCTCCGCATCCATCATCTGTACTTTGCCCGAAGTCGACCTAGTCCTCGCGAGGCCAAGTCTGTCTTGCTAGACGTTGGCCACCGGCGACCCGCTTCAGTCCGCGCCGGCCTTTCATGGAGTGGAACTTGAGCGTGACGAAAGCACTGTGGATTGGGACCACATTCTTCTCCTTCTCTCTATTTCGGATCTGCGGGATGTGTTTGACCGGCAACATAGCCCCATTCTTAATCTCTGCCGAAGGTGGTGCATCTTTTGGAATTGTGCCGAGGGTGTTCAGCAGCAGGGATACCTCAGAGAACTCGGCCATGTGCATCTTTGCAGAAGTATTAGGGATAACAGTGGTATCAGGAGTCTGAGGATCGATGTCCTTCCGCTCTGATGTCAAAACGCGCTGTTGGGCAGGAACAACGCGCTGTTGCTTCCGTGGTGGCCCTTCGCTGTCGGTTGGAAGGGAATCACCATGTTGTCGCTTTCCGAGTGCAATTTTCTGACCTTGCTTCGTACCTTTGTTGACGAGAGTCGTAATTGGACAATGTTGAGTTTCTGCAGCACAGGAGTCCTGCTATCCTCTGTCAGTGATTTGGCACGAAAGCGACGCTTCAGCCGCCGATGCTTACCTTCGTATTATTCTCACGATCAATGGCGCCATCAACCTCTTTAGTGTCCAAGGCAGAGGGTTTGACAAGTAACATGCGATCGATGTTGTTTCGAAGCTCTGTTATAAGAGCGCTCGGAACGGCCTGAAGGGAGTTGTGAAGTGAGCCACTGACTGCGTCGTTGTTGAGAACGGATCGGACATCACGAAACAACGCTCGTAGCTGATCATCGGTACGAAGCAGCATATCGAGCTGTCGAGCTCCAGAAGTACCCTCCATGCTGACTGAAAATGATGTAGTAATGTCAAAGGAAGAGACGGTCGCGGAGTTCGGAGTCATGGTGTTTGGAGGAGACAAACGCGGAGACAGCTAACGTCAACCCGACTTTGCGGCAGAGTTTGGTTGCCTAGGAGCCGCTACGAGGTGTTCAAGTCTGCCCGGCCTCATTCGAGTATCATTGTCACCTCAGCTGGCCCGACTGACGACGTGTACGCAGGAGAAAGCTTACTGGGGCGCGTGCTGACCCACAGCCACCGGCCCATACATGTACCATGGCTCTCGTACAGCAGCTCAACAGCATTGATTCATCCGCATCGCTCCGCCTGGAAGGCGCTGTGTCTACCCAAAAAGTTTCACTGGCGTTAAACCAAAGGTATGGGTAAACAACTACCGACTACATTGTGTTGCATGAACGAAAGTGTCTTTATCTGGTACATTCATCCCGCAATCGTCATCGCCTGCGGGCTGCATCTGTTGATGAGATGGTTTATTCGACGGACCGAGTATCTGTCGTACAGCTTTCGCTTGCGTTGTTTGGAATGCCTTGATGATTCCATCATCGACGTAAAAAGCTGCCGCAACGTGAAGGTGGGCCTGACTCCCACGAACCCTGTAGGTTGCGGATGCTCCCTGTCCGCGTCCATCCCGCCGATTGGCCGTCATAGGCGGTTGGACTCTACTTTCCAATATACTAGCCGTAAGAGTGCCCCTTGATCCCTCGGGCTGCGTTTGTCGCTGTACAGCACTTCTTGGGCACGCTTCAGGAGCAGATCCTTGTCGTGTAGAGCACAGATGCATGATTTCCAGGTCGTGGTACATTTGTAGCAGAACTCGGCTTTGCAGTTACAACTAGAACAAGTAAGTAGTGATTCAGACATGGTTGGAGATCGGTGACTCACAAAATGTGGAAAGAGCCATGAGTTAGCTCGATGATACGGCAACAGACAGGACAAGTCGCCCAACCCTCCTGTTCTGCTAGCTGCCTCAGACCCTCGTCAGGACCATCAATCTCGCATACACCTTCATGAGCAGGCTTACAACTTCTCATGCAGGTGGCAGTGTTGCACCAAGTACACACACGGTCGACATTCTCCTCCGTTCGTTCGTCTAGTGGGATACAAGCGCATTCACCACTACCACTGGCACACCAAATCGGCGTCTTCATGGCGTATTCGATGCTATTCTTCACATATTTTGCCATGATATCATCATCAACGAATTTCTTTGCATCTTCGAGCTCGACGTCCTGATCACAGCACTTGAAAGGCCATTTTGAGCGCGAGTTGGTGGCAACCGCAAAGCCAAAAGCTAAGCATTCAGGACAAACCCAGTGGCCACAAGTTGCTTTCAGATCTTTTCCTGGGTTGCAGCCATCACCGCAGATACCGCACGTCTGAGGAAGGATAGGTGCGATTCCGGTGGTCAGCTTCTTCGTGGGCGATCGGCCGGCAATGAGCTCCAGGAATTCTCTCCGAGGCCGCTCACCCAGGAGCAAGTTCTCAGTCTTGTCAAGCTCCTTGAAGATCGGGTTGATTTTCTCTTGAGTACTCTGAGACTCTTGTTTCATCAGCGGCAACCTGATCTTGGGCTACTAGTGTGGAAACAGTGTCTTGATTCTCAACATCGGCTATCAGAGTGCTATAGGCCAGAATGTGGTCACTGTACGACTTGATTTCATCGGTGAGGGCGGTTTGTGCGCCGAGGAGAGATCTGCGGAGGCGACCGCTGAGGCCGTGGCCTCTCAATAGGTCGGCGGCGGCGGTGAGACTGTCTTGAAGGCGGTCGCGCTCAGTTTGCAGCTTGTCGATCTGCGTCCGACCGACACCAGCATCCATAATAGACGGAACACGCCAGCCGAAGGCCGCACCGTCGGGTAAAAACGAATCTCAAGTCGTTGTCTTGAGTCTTGCGAAGGCAATAGGACCACAGAGCAAGTTCCAAGGAAAGTGATACAGATCAAAGAGCGATGCTAGGAAGGCTGAGACATCCACCACAAGGGTCTGTTCCCAAAGTCGTCAAATGCGTTTGCCTTGTGCCAAGCCATTGTGACAAGGCGGCGAGGCTGCAGTCTCCTGACAACCCTGTAGCAGTCTCTACTTGCCATCTTCTTTAGCATGATCTCTCTTTCTCTTCGCCATCATCCAATCTTGGGGTCAAGCATCCTCAATTGGTAGCTCCTTCATAATCTCTTCCCAGGCATAACCCATCCGCGGACCATCGATCTCCTTGCGGTCGTCATTCTGCTGGTCTACCATATCACAGTCTCGAATACAGCGACGACGAAGACGGCCCCCTCCATCTGAGACACAAGCATTATCAGAGACTAAGCAAGCCAAGGTGTATGTTGAAAATCAGTGATGCTTCATTTCTCAAATGTAACGGACTCAAGCTTGAGTGGAGCTCGAAACCTTGTGAAAGGGGATGTTATTTGCACAGTCTATCTAGCAGCTCGACAACCTATTGCATTGTCCCTTCAAGAATGAAGTCGAAGCTGGCACACCTTTGACAGGATGCGCAGTGCATCCTCAAATTGTCGACTTGTTCTCGTCTGTTAAGATACCATACTCGCAACCCACTGGTTATCTGGTCCGTTCCATGCGCCCCCCGAATCCATGCCTCCTCCAAGAACCCAGATACCTGGGCGAAAAGAATGACACCGTAACCATAATCTACTTGGAATACTTAAGGAGAAGCGTACCTCATTGCGCTGCCGTGGGGATATTCGCTCTAAAAGTCGTCGAAAGTAAAGTTCCTGAACTCCCAAGTCCATACGCTATGCAAACACACGTCAATCTTATACACTAACATCTTCATCATCTCCCATAATTTCGGGTACACTGAATCTCGTGCCCTTGGACAGGCTTCTGCTGATCTCGTCATGTTTGTCCGGCGTAGTCCCGGTCTCATTGTGATCTCTTTCGGCCACATCTTCACGTTTGATGTCTGCAAGAATTTGCTCGAAGTATGCTCGGAGGGTGCGAAGCCCTCGCAGATAACCACGGTCGATATCATTGGGGTGACCTGGAGGTGCAGGAGTGTTGGGCGGAAGTGGATCTTCGCCAACAATGCAGTTCGCGAAGTCGACAACCTTGACCTGAATTGGCGGCGGCCATGGCTTGCCTTCCTTTTGCTTCTTCTTGGCGATGTCGATGCCATGTTTCGCTGCATCGGTTGCTTCACGTGATTTTTCCGGTTCCGCATCGTACAGCATGAGCAAGCTGCTTGCGTAAAAGCGGTAGCCTGGAAGGCGACGTACCATGTTCTCGAGCCTCGAGATCTTCTGCAGTATCGGTGGAATGTGGCGAGCCACACTGCTGTAACTGATCCCATCGTATAAGAATCGGGTCAAAGCGTCGCGGAATTGCGGACCAGCCTTGAGATCGCGACCAAAGTACTTGTCCTCGTACGATGCCTTTTTGTTCTTCTTGTCAAATGTCTGCATACCACACACTCGTACGCCCAGCTGTCGAGATGTAGTCGTCTTGCACTTTCTCTGCTGCGACTCCTTCTTCTTCTTGGTTGCTTCGATTCCGTACTGCCTGGTGCCCATTTTGAGGTCCAGCACACAAGGTCGGCCCATTCCGCTGGTGAGATCCTCAAGCAGTATAAAAAATGCAACTCGATCACCAGATTTGCTGATTGCTTGGGCTTCTTTAGGGTTCGACGGTAAATGGTTGATGGCTGGCGCCAGATGTGGCGATCTATCCGACCGCGCCGACTCCTCTGACGAATGCTTGGAGCGCGACCCATTGACAGTCGGTACCTGGAGATGGCTGTCTTTCTTCACCTCTTTATCTTCGTCCATAGCGAAGACGTCTCCTGGTAGGTCGTGATCTACGTAGGCAGCATCTGCGATGTACTGCAACGGCGGATTGTCAGTGCCGTTGACTGAGTCCCTGTGACGCCGTAGACCCAAGCCAGAATGTCGACGCTTGATGTGATACTTGTTGTTTGAGTCATTGGAGTCTGCGCTACCTGCAGTCCGGACACGATCGAGGGCCTGCAGATCATCGAAGGCAGACGTAGAAGAGGAGAAGTGATCGAGGACTCCCTCGTCCTCTGCCACAGACTCTATGCCGTTGAAGCCGGTATTCGAAGGTCCGGCACCATTGCTCGATCGAGACTTTGGAGGTTTGGCCTGTATGGAGAGACTGCTCTTCCTCCTTGGGGCAACTTTTTTCACTCTTGGATGCGTTGAGTGGTGGCCATGGCGTCTGTCCTGAACTACTGGCTGGCCGAACACTTCATTCAAGATTTTGGATCGAAATTCTTGGTTGATGGTGGTATTGCCCCAACTTGGGGTATGCTCATGCATACTTGGACGATCAGACGTGCCATTGGCGCCATTGGCCTCAGGAGAAGCATTGGTCATCCTCAAATCTGTACTTTTCTTCCGACCATGGTTAGGGTCAGCACTCCTTGGACGTTCAGGAAGGTCGAAGTAAGTCGAAGGAATGATATGCCTGTTCTGGGCGATGAGGACCTGTGGGATAGAGTCAAATTTCTGGGAGTGGCTCACGACACGCGGTTGTGAATCACTATTGACACTGATCGAACGCCGTAAAGCATCTTTCGCTTCAACTGTCTGATCATCAGGAGCAGCAGGGTTCTCGTCCGTGTTCTTCACATCGCTAGGATCTTGCTTGGGACCTTTTGAGAAGGTTACATTCAATACGCCAATGTACATGGGTAGAAATTTGAGCATGTCTGGATGCCGTTGCTCGATTCGCTCATAGAACTCGTTTTCGCGATTGTTGAGCTGCTTGCAAACGGCACGCTTCGAGAAGCGGAAGATTGTAGAGTGACCACCAACTTGGTGATTGTATGGTTCGAGAACAACCTTGTTCTTAGGCTTTGCCACTGTTCCAGCCCTTCTTCGGGTAGGACTTCGTGGCTGTGTCGGGGTTCTGGCGAGATCTTCGGCATGACTTTGCTGGCCGTACTCATCTCCAGACTCGAGCTCTGACTCTGAAGTACTGATCACGTTTGGCTCCTGAACAGGGACCAGCTTAGGTGTTGCAGCTTCGTCGACGGATTGTTCACTTGGCTGATATTCTCCATGGAAAACCTTCTTGTCATGCTTGGAAACCACAGATATGTCAATGTGATCGGGCAAACGATCTTGCTCTTGGCTCCGCTGCTCCGCGGGCGCCAGCGTAGTCCTTCCCACAGTTGGAGAAAGTCTTTGGTCCAAGGGATCAATGTCTGGAGAGTCACCGGGCGATTTGAACCTCTCAATTTCTTCTGCCGTAGGGCCTGGATGTGGATAGTAGACGGCTGCAGAGATATGCTCCTCCTCTTCATGCTCTGGTTGAACGGTGACCTCCTCTTGTTGCGGTCGTTCCCGTCCGTCGGCTCGGCGTACGTGGCGAGGAGATTCAGACATGGGTTCTGGACTTCGGACTGGTGGGGTTTCTGATAGTCGGAAGCGTTGATGCTTGATATCATCAAGAAGGTCTGCCGGAATTTTAGGAACAGGGTGTTGCTGAGTTTGCTCTGAAGCCTTTGCCTGGCGAAAGGGGGATGTGGATTTGGTTTGGAAGGCATGGCGAGCCAGAGTGGCATCCGCAGGTAGTAGGGGACTGGGAGGTGGCGAGACGGAGGAGGTACCGCGCTTGGGTACGGTTGAAGGCGAGATAGGACGAGAGCCCTGTGACGAAGGCAGACGACTCCCACCAGAGCTGAGAGGTCTTGGTGGAGACAAGGAGACTTCACCAACCTCATCCAGCTGGCGGTGGTCAAGCCGCTTTTGATCTGCTTGAGGATCCCAGATACCCATAATGTGACTGGCTTTGCGACTCCTAGCGATACCACCAGTCTCAGGTTTCTTAACGGTAGCTTCGATAGATTTGTCAACGTGCGACCTGCCCCGGCTAACGCTGCGTTCGGACTTCTTATCACCAAGCGCTTCCCTCACGGTAGAGCTGTGCTCTGGAGGCCCTGAGTCGCTTCGAGCCTCAGTAGAAGCGGTGGCGACAAAGTTGGGCTCGACATGCTGGGCGTGTGGATCTTGTTTGGATTGAGATCCGGGCTCTTCCATTCGAGATTTGCTGCTTCCAACGGTGACCTGAAAGTGCTCGCCCCACGAATGACCGTCAGAAGCAACCCTTCTGATGCCCTTGATCGTACCTGTTGATTGATTGTATGTTTTTTCGCCTGCCGAAGTCTGTCGCTTTGTCTGTCCGGGAGAAGGTGGCAGCGTTAAGGAAACACTAGATCCTGAAGGCTGTGGGATGTTTGTTTGGCTAGACAGGACTAAGCCTGCTGTGGAGTGAGAAGGCCTATCATCGGGGGCAGTTGCGTTTTGGCTGCTATCTTGTTGGGGCAACCTCAAGCTAGGAGGTGAAGGAGAGTAGGTGGCAGCCCTACGAAGAGTAGATGTTGGCCTGACATCGCGAGAGGGATGGGCTGTCTTTTGTGCAGCAGCTACCGGCTGGTGATGTGTAGGCGGAGCATTATTCTGCGTGTTCCGAGATGCAGGGTTATGTTGGGTCGGTATCGGCGCGGCAGGGGCGTGCTCAGTTCCGGCAGAGAGACGATCTGACATGGGGAGGACATTGGGCAATCGGTTGCCAGAAAGGTCGCGGCGTGGGAACGTGATTGGGCAGGATTGGCTGGCGGAGGTGGGACGGGGGGCAGATTGGCGATGAGGTGCGGGATATGAGATGGTTGAAAACGGTCGCGCACAGCCTCAAGGGGACGTCGCAGTCAAGGGCCTGGGAATGGCGGTCAAAAGAAATCAATGAGCGACGAAGAGGATCGATGGATGTCCAATTGCAGGCGACCGGGGGTTGGGAAAGGGAGTCTGAGAGGACCTGTGTGAAAAAGCGTTATCTTGTGGGGAGAGGAAATTCTATTTTGCCCGCGGGCGGCGGCGACAGTCACCATGACGTGGGCTGGGCCAGCGGTACAACAACGTGCCCCTGTTGCTGGCCTCGCTTTTACAACACGTTTTCGTTTCAGCAGCGGATGAGGCATAGAGGGTGTGCTGTCTATCCTGGGTGTACTGGCCAGAGCTCTTGCGGTGAGCGAGACGGGTTGGGCCAATCTGTTGCAGAGACGTCTGCACGTGTTGACCAGCGTCGACAGCTCGCGACTACCGACCTTCGATCAACAGGGGTCGGCCTGCATTCCCCGGCTGACAGTCTAGCACTTGTACAACATTTTCTTCCCAATGCTTCTGCTCTAAGTAACTAGGGACGTGCCCGCGGGAAGACGGATGGTTGATGCCTGGGTCTAGTGGCCGGCGCACCGCCGACTTAGGTAAAGGATCTATGATACGGCCTGATCTTCTTCCACGCGCAAGGGGCTCTGTGGCGGTCGCAGTCTTGCTTCTGTATATTCAGCGGTGTTCAATCTTTCTCGGTTCAGGAATGGGGCAAGGATTGAAGACCCGTTGGGCGGGTGCATCCGTGCAACGTGTAGCATCCTGCGCCACTATAGGTGACTAGCGAGTGGGGGCTTTTTGCTTTGCCCTGCTATCCAGCTGTCCACGAGGTGTGTATAGAGGATTAGATTGGAGAAGATTCTCGTCGCTTCAGCGGTGAGGCTGTAGCCGGGAATGGTGGCTACTGGTATACAGGCCGATAACACACCTAGAACGTATATTCTTAGGGACCACATGTACCACCGGAGAGCCACCGGGGAAGAGGCTCCGGAGGCTTTCCATTTGTCGAGATCCAAGCTGGAATCGTGGCTTGCCGGGGTGGTGGCTGTTGACTACCCCGCATTTTCGTTTTAGTGCAAGCATTACGCGTGCAAGCTTCGACGCGTTGTGCGGAATAAAACCTCCGACCAGCCAGCATCTCTGGCATCGCAGACACGCAAAGACCTGCCTGGGGATGGCTCCCGAGATTGCGGACTCTGACGGTGAGTCGGACATCATCACCCACGACCGCTCAGCTCTCGACGTGCCCCCTTCTCCGCCGACGACGCGCTCAAATGGCACAGCAGAACATCAAGACTCTACCCAACGACTTTCTACGCTGGACTCGAGTGCGACCAAGAGTACCAGCAGTACGGAGAGGTTGATGCGTGGCCTAAATGCAGCACAATTCGATGGTGCCGATGATGCTGTCTCCGCAATACCGAGTGCGACCTTGACGTCAACCCCAGACAGGATTAGGAAAAGAGCACAATCCGACGGCCCAGGGCCACACGTTTTGGCTGCTGAAGAGCCAAAGTCGAAACGCCCAAAGACGTATGGTTCTAGAACCAGAGACTATACTTCCGACATCTTTGCTGCCGCCGACCCAGCTCAAATGTCAGATACGACGGAGCAACTGGAAGGCGAAGGTCGCCTCGAGGGTGACTTGCCATCCATGCTACCACCCAAATCTGACGCAGCGGAGGTCACCCAGCGAGAGCGTAATCGTCCGAGAAGAGTCGTCAGCCTTCTACAGCAGAGCACTACAACGCCAAAACACCACGTAACGACCACAATGTCATCAATGGGCGGTTATCAGTCTATCAACCTGGATTTCCGGGGTGATCAAGGACTCGACATGAATATGAATCCCTTCGGCAGTATCAGCCAAGTGTCAATGGAAAATCCAACATCACCAGATATCAGCCACATAACTGCGAAATCACACGATGATCAGTTATATGACATGATTGATCACTTCGTGATTCCCGATGTCCAAAGCCAGATAATGACCTCCCCTGTACGCAGAGGCACCCCATCGGCACCCCCAATCGAGCCCCTTAGTGAGGGAGAGGGAACTATGAACCTCTCTCATGAAACGCATGCCACGACCGAACGATCCTCAAAACGTCGTAAGACTGATGGCCCCACGTCTCGATCTACAGTATCTCCACCTTCAATACGCCGTGCAGCCTCTGCATCAGCGGAGCCTGCATTCACTATATCAGATAGACCTGTCACGAGAAAGCGCGGCCGTCCAAAGAAGAATACTGGCGATGTCGACGAGCTTGCTAGTGAGGGTCCAGCCGACGTCTCTATGGGGCCAGCTACCGATCAACAACCTTTCGCTGCGGCCAGATCCCGTGCAAACACCATGGACCTCTCCTCGCAAGCCTCGCAAACGTCCCAGGCCGCTAGTAACACCAAGAAGAAACGCAAGAAGACTGGGGCTGAAGACGCTCGGGCAGGCGAGCCTAAGAAACTCCCCTCAAGTGAACTTCACCTCGACGATGAGCAGATCATCGGCCTACCGCGAGAGAATTATCAGCCCCGGCCCAGCCGCTCCCGCTCCAACCGCGTCAACGAGGAAGCCCCGACCGTTTTCGCATCAAACAAGACCGCTCAAGCCCCTGCATCGACACCAGCACCCGCGACCTTGGCCTCCAAGCCTTCGATCACCAAAAGCAAGAAATCCAAGGTCAAGCGTGCTAAAACCTCCGCAGCAGCACTCTCCAAGCCATCGGATTCGATGCTCAGCGATGGCGAGGATGACGTCGTGTGGATGGACAGCAAGCCTGCAACTGTCAAGCTCGACTTGCCTCCCGACCTCGGTCTCCTCAAGAAAGAGCAAGAGGAACCCAAGGAAGACGAATCCGCTGATGAGCTACAGGCAGAGGAAGTACAGAAACTTGGAAGGAAAGGTCCGATGGTCAGCGTTGAGGTTCCTCTTCTTGGGGAGGAGGGTGAAGGTCAGAGCGATGGCACATCCGAGAAGAAGGGAAAGAGGGACGCGAAGAAGAGAGGACGACCAAAAAAGGGCGCCACCAAGGGCAAGGAAGACCTAATGTTGAACCAGGCGGTAGCGTCTGAGGAACATCAGGGCATCAGGCCTGCCCTGGCAACCAAAGACTCTAATATTCCTGCTCCCGTTCTTGCGCCAGATGCAAAGGGCAAGGCAAAAGCGCCAGCCAAGTCCAGGGCCGTTATCACCGACTCAGACGACGAAGACGAAGAAGCAAACGATCCAGGCTCTGCTACCACCACCACCACCACCACCACCCAAGCCGAACCCCCTAGTGCCCCCACCGACGCCGACAAAGGGAACACTCCCGCCCCAACCAATCTCACCCCTCCCAAAGCGCCAACCAACACAGCCACGCCTTCACCGCACAAGAAACCCACACACTCGCCTTTGAAGCCCACGCCGCTCTCTTCTTCATCCGCCTCCTCCCTCACACGCTACCGCATTGGCCTCTCCAAACGCACCAAGATCCCCAGCCTCCTGCGCCGCGTCGACCGCGACAAGCCGCCGCCCACCAAGACGGGCGTCAAAGTCAAGGAGCTGAAGATCAAGGGCGTCAACGACGGCACAGGCGGCGAGGCGGAAGGCGAGGGTGGAGATGGCCTCGACGGCAAAGGTGGGAAGTGGACGGGCGTTCTGAGGGACAAGGATGGAAGGCTCATCGAGTGGGACTTCTGAGGTGCCTGGTGAGAAATCAATCAGCCAGCAACAGGTTTCGAGATTGAGGTGTTTGCCCCCTGCGGAACATGTTTCGCGGGCTGGGAGTGGATGTTAAGAGGAGTTTCTGGTAAAGATGTTCGGAAAAGAGTATGTGCGCCAACGAGACGACGACCGTCATGATACGGAAAGGAGCATGATATCCCCACTTTCGCGCCGCGGCGGTGTTAGCGCAGCAGTTGTAGCATAGCACAGCATAGCACAGCATGGTAGTTCACAGTAGCATTTACAGAAGACGAAATGCGGACAAATATGTGTAAGCGGGAATTTAATGCAAGATGTTCCATATTCACGTGTGGGATTTACGCTCCATGGTATCTATCCGGTATCTCGAGTGTCCGTCGCTTCCTCTATGTAGCCGCCTCTATGTAGCCATCCTCGTCTCTCTAGGGCACATACAGCCTAACGAAACCGCCGACATTCCTCCTGCATGTCACGCAATTGCCAAAATTGTTCATCGCCAGGCTTACCCTGCAGTCCTCGCAAACGCAAAGACAGCGGCATGGCCATGCGATAATGGTCCGTGAGCTCGTCTGGCACACCACGCACAAGAGTCCCGACCCTGCGCCGTCATTGTCGGCCTCGTCCCTGACCTCATTGCGGCTCGCGCTCAAGCTGAACGGTGACTTCGTATTACGGTGCTTAAGCAGCAGAGCTTCCAGAGCCTGCGCTTCCTCGTCAGGTGTAAGGGGCCGAGGCCTGGACGTCATTGGGGACGGTGTAAAGAGGGGTACTGCTGGCGTGCGAGCCGCGGTGCGTTTGTCAGTTGTCCTGCGACCGGCGAGGAGGACACGGGCGCGCTCGCGCTCGGCCTGCATACGATACCGAGATCTCGTCATGATTCGCCCTGCGGACCCATGATCCGTCGATGTCGATAGATGAGAGGCGAGAATGCGGGCTTCTTCGCGTGCGTCGGCATCTCGAGGATCCAATAACCGAGCCAGGGTAGCTGGGTCGAGAGGAGTGTCGACAGATTCTGACGGAGTAGACTCGCGAGAGCGAACGTCGACGGCGGAAAAGGACCAAGTCTGACGACTGGGGCCATGGACCATCTGCGTGGGGGTTCGGGCGCCCTCAGGTTCGTCTTCCCAATCGTCGTCAAAGGCATCGTCATTGGTGCTGGCAGCTGTCGACATGGAGAGGATGCTGGTGGCGTCTTCGTCGATGGTGCTTGGCTGGTATTCACCACTCTTATCTTGCATGCCAAACCAACCACCGTCTTTCCACCACTGGTATATATGCTCGTCGAGGACTTTCTCTGCTTCTTCGCCCTCGTGGTCTCGTTGAATGTTTCGTCGCATTTCTGTCTCGATGTCCAGAGCGGGATTGTCCGGCGCATCGCCTCGCCCAGCATTCCCATGCAGGAGATCGGAGTTCATGCGGTCTCTCTCTCGTGAGGCACCCTTGAGAGACCTGCCTACAATTCGCCTCAGCCATCGTGGTCTACTGGTAATTCCCACTTTGTCCAGTGTGACGCCGATGCCGAATGCTATCCAGCCAGCCATAAGAAACATGATACCTCGAATGTAGATGAGGAGCAAGTAGAATCTTGTGGTCCTCTGAAAGGCACCAACGCCGTCCTGGCGTGGTGTAGGGTATGCAAAAGAATCTTTGCCGGATAGCTCACCCTCCTTCTTGTCAAATTTGCGTTCTTTTGAGTAGCCGGATTCCCAAACACCTCCTTGGTCCGACCCACCCGGACTTGACGATGGAACTCCATATTCTTCAACAATCTGAAATGTAGGTACTGCACTCTGTCGATCTCTTGACAGTTGCAACTCATCAAGTCGCTCTTCTTCAAGCCAGGTGAACTGCCTCATCTCTACAGATCGACCCTCGTTCAAGAAAACTGCCTCGGAAGCAGCTGTAAGAGCAGTGAAACCGATTCGAAGCAGGGCGGTGTAGAAGTCTTCTGCCCACCGAAGCTGAATGCCACGAAGCTGAATTGCAGCAGTCAAATTGTCGTGGGCAATGATGAATCTTTCCTTGAGGCTGCTGGGTTGAGGTATACTTGGATTTGTGCCCAGAGAAAGCGCAGTCAGCGTCAGAGCAATGCTGTAGATGGCCAGACAAACGAGAATACCGAGCAATATCAACATATGAGGCAGAAAACCGACGATGGCAACGGTGGGGAAGTGCAGAAGGCTCGAGACTGGCCGGCTGTCGCCCTCATCAGCCCGTGACATGATGCTATTCGTTGCGAATCCCCAGACAAACGAGCCCATGAACATACAACCCCAGAACGCAGTGTTGACGAGCCGCCATCTGTGTTGCTTGCCCAATACTGCTAGGATGTTGGAGCATAGCGCATTTGAGGCCGAGAGCAACGCCACAAGAAGTACTTCAACAGGCACATTGATTCTGTCCAGTATGTGCGGGCTCATCAGGGAGCTCACTGCATCGCTGAGAGCCATGACCGTTCCGGAAGCCATAACCAGCCCCGTCGAACTGGGAGTGGATGTTGCTGAGACGGTTGCGGTCGTCTTCGAAGCCGCCCTGGCTTGTTTCGCAAGCATCGTCAGAGTCGATGTAATCATAGATTCTGCTTCGGCGAAGGCGAGCGAGTGTTCAAACACTGACATGCCGACTTCGGTCATGAGAGGAATTTGCTGTAGCGAGCAGGACAAGCTTTCAACCATGTGCGACAACGCCAGCCGTAGGAAGGTAGGCCAAAGCAGCGAGAACGATCCATAAGGCGCTCTGACATCTGGCTCTGGTCTGCTCATTCCAACCGCGGCACAAGCTTGGGCGTCGGTCTGCCAGTAGAGGCCTTTAGACGTCAGCGAATACAGTGTACCTCCGTCAGTCGACCAGTCCAGCGTGCTGTACTTGTTGTTGTCCCCATGTCGGTACAATGAATAGTCTGGCGAGGTCTGACAGCGGATGGCGGAGAGTAGCTGGTAGATCTGAGGTATGAATAGCATGATTGGCACCAAACGAAGCGCGAGTCTCTTGTTCCATGATAGGAAGATGCGTTGACGCGAGGCGCCATAGACCGATACACGGTTTAAGATCAGAGCCACAACAAAGCATGTGAAGGCCCATCTGGAGGTCACGTACTGCATCACTCCCCAGTAGCTCTTGAAAGTGCTTGCCTGAAAGGCCTCTGAAATAATGTCTGACCACGAGACTGCTGCCTCTGCTCCTGCGTGAGCAGCTGCCTCGCCCGCAACGTTAGCAGCCGGAGCAGCAATGTTGTCGTTGGCCGCCGCTACTGAGATCAAGCCAGTCGCTTCAAGGAGGTAGCGTGGCAGGGTTCGGAAGACGGCGTTATCAAGGTCTCGTGCGATTCGGAAGGGTAATTTGGCAAAGTCTCCTGCGGACGACAGATTGAGATAGGATGAGCTAATGTTGAGCGCATATGCTGTCACATTGGACCAGGAAGAACTCGAAGAGAGGAAGGCAGTGGGGGTAGCAGTTGCCGACAAGACTGCAGACGATGGTATTTCCATGGCAATCGCAACTCGCGCGGAGGCGACTGCAGGGCCCGCTCAGACCATGCGGAGTAGTTCTTGAACTGGTGGCAGCCACAGCGATTCACATCAAGCGATGTTGTGCAGCACTATGCCACGGTACGAGCTGTGACACGGTCGCGAAAGAGTGGTACTGTGCTCTTACAAGACGACGTGGACGAGGAGATGACTCGGCCGAACCCGACCTTCCCGATCCGCAGCCGGCTTTCGGCAATTCCCCGCTCCGGGCGGAATCGAGGCTTCAAGGGGCCTCAGCCTTGCATCTACATTGGCCTGGACTGGAAACTATCCGGGATGCATTACTCCTATTGACATTTTGATGGTATCGTCGCCGCCTAGGTTTATGTAAGACTGTCATTACACGCCTGCTCGTTGCCTCAGCTATTTTATTGGGTCGACCCCTGAGGAGCTGCACGACAACAGCCGCCCACCATATGATTGCGGCAGACACCGGATCCTCGATTGCTACTCCATCACCGTGTCCTCAGTATCTGGGAGGAGGAGGCGCACCGTAGCCACCCTGTTGTGGCGGATAGCCTCCCTGCTGAGGGCCACCGTAACCACCTTGTTGAGGGCCACCGTAACCGCCTTGCTGAGGACCACCATAGCCACCCTGCTGGGGAGGGTAACCACCTTGCTGACCAGGGGGAGGGCCACCATACTGGCCAGGAGGTGGACCGCCGTACTGACCAGGTGGTGGGCCACCATAGCCGCCAGGACCTTGCTGCGGGGGACGCGGGGCATTACTCTTCTCGTCTTTGGCATCATACGAGCTGTCGATGGCACCGAGCAGTAGCTTGATGAGCCAGAGCTCTGGGGTCAGGTCAACGGGTGGGTTAGCGCGAGCCATTTCGGCCGACTCGACCTCGTAATCTAAAATGATCAGTCTTGCCCAAAAAAACGCTGAAGATGAGTTCATCGAAACTTACTGGATGTGCAATCAATGATATCACCAATCGTCGGGTCCTCATCTAGCTTGCCAAGGAATTCTTGTGCTTTCAAATCGTTGCCCACCTGAGCGAATTGGAAAGCCAGAGCGCCCTTGCCATAACGAGAGCGTTGAAGTTCGGTGCTAGCATTCGTGACGATTCGGGCAACATCCGAGGGAGACTCGCCAGTGGGTTGGCCGTCGGTGATTGTGATGACCAAGATCGGCTTTTGAAGTTGGCCGGACCGGGCAGGGCCCAGGACAAGAGGTCCGAGAATCTTGTTCTGCAGCTCGCGACCCATGGGCGTGAGGCCGGAAAACTTGGTACGAGAGATCATCTCGTTAACCATTCGCTCGTCCCTAATGCCGTTGCCTTGATCCGCAGAGTTCATGAAGCGAACTTGAATGCCGTCCGCGTCGAACAAGGAAGTCGCAAATGCGACACGAGAGAGAATGAGTTTCAGATCATCAATCCGTTCGCCGTTTTCCTCAAAAGCCATTGAACCACTGTCGTCGATGTAGAGAATGACATCATAGAGTGCCAGCTTGACGATATCGGAAGCAATCTCGGTGCTGATGCGCCATTGCTGGGCGAGGGTGGCAACTTGCTGAGCAGCCCGGCCAACGATCTGATTAAGCGCGGGAGATCCTGGAGGATAGAAAGCTTGTAGACCCTTCTCTTGGATGCAGCCTTCCAGAAGCTTCTGGTATGCGGCGGGATTGCCGGCTGCCGGAGGCGGAGGACCGCCTTGACCGGGACCGCCTTGAGGACCTCCATAGCCGCCTTGAGGGCCACCTGGAGCACCGCCATATCCACCCTGAGGACCACCCGGGGGACCGCCTTGGGGACCACCGGGGTAAGGTGGTTGACCACCCTGGGGACCACCGCCCTAGAGCATGAGTTAGCTTGATATTCTCAAACGAAATATTGTGCAAGTCAAAACGAACATAGCCCTGCTGCGGGTATGGCTGCCGTCCGGGATACGCTTGATTGTGCTGCACCTGACCTGGTGGCTGATATTGCGACCCGTATGATGCGTATGCGGATTGTTGCGGGGGTGGTGAAGCATATGAGTTTGGAGGCTGAGGTGAGGGAGGGTACCCCTGTGGCTGCCCATATTGTTGTTGTGGAGAGTTGTAAGACTGCTGTTGCCATTGTTGCGGCGCACCGAGATGGGGTGACCCATACATCTGCTGTTGCGGTTGTGGAGGTCGCTGCTGGCCGGGCTGAGGTGATGCGCTCGGACGAGGAGGAACTGGAGGGCCTTGTGGATAGGGTGATATCGAATTTGGCGACCAAGGTGGTTGCGGAGGTTGAGCGGATGCGCCAGGATATGGGGCTGATGCAGAATTGCTCTGCGACAGTTTTGAAGAGAACTTGCTCATGGTAACAAGGGCGCACTCGTTGATATGTCTAACAGAATGGTATGGTGTGCAGAGACCCAGAAGTTGAAACCAAAAAAATAATGGCTGTCCGGTCCGTTTGTCGCGATGTAGTCATGCAGGTGTGGCCAAGCTCATGCGTCACAGGTATCGGCGCAGCAGCCGCAGCGGGGCTGATGAGGGATCTTTAGGCACTATCGGCAGGGGCAATGCTTACAGGTCGTGGTTGATTTTGAGGGGCACCGCCTGGGTAAGGCTGATAGGACTGCTGCCCCGGCTAGCACGGAGATATCAGCGAACCCTTTCTTGACAGCCTGGCGCTCTTGGTACTCACATAACCGCCAGATTGTCCACCTTGAGGTCCGGCTTGAAGATTAGAAGGAGGGCCGCCAGCACCTGGGCCACCAGGATAGGGAGCTCCGCCCGGAGCGGACTGCGCAGCGGCGAGCTTCGATGCCAACTGCGAACGCGTCATCAGCTCAGTACACAACATTGCCTTGGACAGAATTGCGGGGCATTGGTGGATGAGGGGCATTTCCGAGTTGACTTACACCCATGACGGATCGTGCACGTGTTGGTCTTGTGCTTGGGTCTTGAAGTAGAGAGTAGGAAAGTTCGTTCCGAAGATTTCAATGTAATAGAAGACGAGAGGATCGAACGAAGCAGATGCAGGTGGCCTCTACAACAAAGCGCGGGCACGTTTTGAGTGAGCAGGGCTATGACGCTTGAAGCATTTAAGTGGGGATTTCGATGTGGCGCAGCGCTCAGAGGCCAGGATTCACTTTGGTCGATGAAGGCAACAAGTCTGCAGGTCCCCGGCCGCCCGGTTACAGACACAGCCACAGTGATGAATCCTGACCCAGGGGAGGGTTCAATGCAAAGGGCCTTACAGAGCTTGTTGGATTAAGTGATCATGCAATAATATTGGGAAACAATCGACCTGACGCAACAGTGATTCGAAATTACTTGGTACTCGCAGCTTGCACTCGAGGCTTGGCCGTGAACTTGGACTTGATACGACCGTTCGCAATGCAGTCGTTTTCAGCTGGATTATCTCAGTCTTCTGCCCACCGGTGCTCTTCTTTCGCATGCAAAGCCGGCATGAAATCATGCCTGGCTGGATGGCTCTGAGGTCGCTCGTCCTCCCCGCGGCCTCCTGAGCAAATAATCGAGAAGAGTCGAGGTCAGTGACTTCTCTGCTGGTCCAGGGAATTGAAGTGTGAGTCCTAGGCACTGCAATGCTTTGTGAACCTGATAATGTGAATTCACTGCCTGAGCCGCCTAAGATCCGCCTGCCGGCGTTAAGAGCTGACATAACCCCTAGCGTCTTGGCTATGAATAGGCGTCGACGGCTATTTGCCTGATGACAACCGCCTGCTATCATCGCACTCTCTGTCACAACCCATTTGCAAAGACCTTGTACCTCCTCATACCTAGCGACTATATACTAGATTGAGACCTGTTTGCCTCTGCTGAGACAGTGCATGTTCGCTGCCGACCATCTTTCTGAGGCACGATAGCTGTATCCGACCTTCGGGTCATCGTGGTTCAGAATGCCGACATACAGCTCAAGTCAACGAGCGCAGATCAACCAATTTTGCAACTTCACCCAGGCGAAGGAGAGCATAGCGGCAAAGGTATGACAGTGTCCATTTGACCGACTGAGCGAGATCTAACCACTGGTTCAGTTTCTCAAGCAACAAGACTGGAATTTAGAGCGAGCCCTGGATAGGTAGGTGCCTCTCTGTTGCTACCTGTCTGAACTTCTGCCTTTGTGTCTGTGTGAAGATTAAGAGGTATGCTTTGTGGCTCGTTGTTGGGATAGTCACCGCGGTGATGAGGAAGTACCATGAAAACCGCGACAAGAAGGTGCCAACTTCAACTTTTCTTCACACTCTTGCACCTTCGCCAGTTGTGTCCTCTCAACTACCAAACATCGATTGTACTATCCCGACATTGTACGAAGCGCTTGTCATCCCATCTCTGTTACCACACATTCTTTATCCTGTCAACAACACAAAATGCCCCCCAGACGTAAGGCTCCCGCCAATGCGGCCGCACCTCGAGCGAAGAAAGCTAAGACAGAGTCAGTTGATCTTCCTTCCCGCACCCCAATTCCTCGTGCCCCATACGCCGATGACTTCCTGGAGGATGCTCGTCGTGATGGTATCGACGTCAACAGCTCATCCGAGTTGGAGTGGTTTGCATGTATCTGGGCTCGGGTCAAAGACCGCGAGAATCACTATGCCGCCAGAATGATGAGTGCCGGTTTGGAGTTGCTACCACCCTCGCCGGCGCCGGACCCACCCGTCAGCTGGGTCGCAAGACAAATTGCGGACTTGGCTGGCTTCCCAAATGTCGTTGCGGCCGCGACCGCCCAGCCTGCCATCAATCAGCCTGCCATCGGCCCGCCAGCAGACACTGAGCCAGCAAGCACCCAGTCACCAAGCACCAGGTCTGCACTCTTTGATTCGCCACCTACTTAGGACCGACCCTTGTTGCTGAATTTCCAAGCCCCGCTCCAAACGCTTTTTACTTTGCCACCTCAACACTAACGTCTACCTAATAGTTTCTATGGTACCGGTACCAATGCATCTCCTCTTGCGGCCTCCCTAGGCGCCATATTTGACAAATATTCTTGTAAGTGACTAATCCTTCCACCCTGATCGTGGCTAACTTGATCTAGCTTCCACCAACAAGGACCTCATGCAGATTGAAGAGGACGAGGATCGTGGCACCGCGCGCTACATCCGCGACGTCGGAGTTTCCTTCGAGGAACCTGCTTTGACCGCTCTGCACGAGCTTCTCGGCAGCACCTCTGTTGGCGAGTTCGAGCGTGATGCCTTCATCAGTGGCTGGACTTCCGCCTCCGCCACTTCCTCTAAGATTCTTGACACTATCTCCAAGCAAGCCAACCACATGTCTATTCTCCGCAATAAGCTCGCCAGCGACCCTGCCTTTTTCAAGACCACGTACCGTGCGACCTTCAAGTTTGGCACTCAAGAAGGACAGCGCAACGTTGCCATCGAGACTGCCACTGACTTCTGGAGACAGTTCTTCACCGCATCCTCAGGCGGTATTGACTGGGTGACCCCTACCTCCCCTGAGACCCCCTGGCTCGACCTCTGGCTTGAGTACACCACCAACAAGCACAAGCGTCCTGTCAACAAAGACCTCTGGAACATGGTCGGCGAGCTGTGTCTCAAGAGCATCGAGCCTGGTGCAGAGAAGCTGGAGTGGTGGAACGAGGACGGTGCTTGGCCCATGGCGATCGACGAATTCATGACCTGGGTGCAGACGCAGCGTCCCGAGCTCGGCAAGAAGAGTGGCGACGCCAACAACGCTACTGCTACCAACGACGAGATGGATACGTCCTAGAAGCTGCGTGCCCTCTCGTGGCTAGCATTCACCGAAGCATCAAGAATCGAAGAGCACACCTAGGAGGCTGTGTACAGCGGTCACTATGTGCAGAAACTAGAGCAGACGAGAGACGGCGGGCTGATCACGAGCGACCATCGTCGCGGTCGTTCGGCTGAGAGCTTTCACAACACCAACACCCACCATACCGAGGAGATTGATGTGGCGCGAGTAGCAGGAGGAGAGCGCGCGAACTCCGTTGTCACCCTGAATCGTCGAGACGGCCGACGATGAACCAACCCCTGTTTGTTGCACATCGACAAACGAAGATGTCCCCTCTGCATCGATGGATCATTCGCGAGAGCGATTGATACCGTCCCCTAGCGATAGAATGCCTAGAAGGACAATCACAGAAAACAAGAAATTCAGAAACCTAGAAAAAAGCGCCATCGGATTCGAGCGGAATTGGTTGAGATGTATTGTCTCTGGACATAGCGCATGACGCCCTAGAGAAACATAGCTCTCAATCGTTCAAAGACCTGCACGCTTTTGTTCTTTCTTTGCTATCTTCATCGAATAAGCGCTGACCATACCGTTGCATCCTTTCTCTCACCGCTGGCACACGCTCGCAGTTGATATTCTGAGGGTTTCAGCTTCTAGCCGTAGCACAATTGGCGAAGCCCTTACACCTCAAATCTTGGCCTTTCGTTACTTCCGTGTCACATAGTATGCTCCCTGCGTACCCTCGTGCCCGCTCTTCCAATCTTCGCCTTTCCGTTGCCCTTTCCTGAACCTGTACTCAAACCATCACCTCGACCTAGCTGCCCGGGTAAGACCGAGCTCTTACTCCTCCGCTCAGCTAACATCTCCGCTCCCCGCAGCTGATCTTCCTGCAGCACTCGCTCAATCTCGCCGCTCTCGTATTTCTTCTGCAGGCTCATCCGGGCCATCTCGATATTAATCTCCAATTGCTCAATCTCGCGTCGAACCCAAGGTGAATCTTGGATACGGCGGAGAAGAGGAAGCATGTGGGTAGCGCGGAAGAGCTGAGAGGCTCGAAGCCAGCGTTCGTACACAATTAGGAGGTTGTGGACAGTGGTCGTCAGGTCATCGATCATGGTACGGAGGGTTGTGGAGAGCATGGACTCGGCCGTTGGAGCACCTCTGTTGGTGAGCTGAAGATAGGTGTCATGGACATAGGCATCGTGCACCTGAATCAGGGCTTCGATCAAACTGTATTCGCTGAGAGATGGGAGCGCAAGATTCCTAACGGAGTCAGCTTGACGGTAGTGTGAGGTTGGCAGACGCAAACCTCGAGACCAGACTAACACGCTGGCGATAGTTGGACCACAGAGCCACATCGGTCGGCACAAGGGTGAAGGCGGCAAGACTTTTGACATGTTCGATATTCTTGATCTGTTCAGCACAGTTCTTCGAGGATGACTCAAGCAGATGCACAAGTTCTTGAGCTTCTTCCATGAGCATGTCTTCGGCATCCTGTTTGTTCTCGTTATGCTGATGAAGTTGTAGATGTCCTCCAATCTGAACAATTTGCGAGGCAAGGCTCTTGAAATAGGTGGTGGCTTCTAGTGGAAGATCGCAAACCAGCAGCTCCGATAGGAAGGTGGTGTACTCATTCCGTAACCGGGACGTGTTGCTCACAACGAGGTGCTTCAAAGGAGTGGTATGAGTCGTGGAACATGTTAGCTGACTTGACTCATTGTCACGCTCATGATGAGACGCCGGTGACGAGTTGAGATTCAGTGCATTCTGCTGCTGAGGTGACGGTGAATGTTCGTTGTTGGCAAGCCCGCCTTGAGCAAGTCCACTGTCATCCACATCGATCCTGCTGCTCTTTTCGGATCCGAAGTCAATTTCGGTGTACTTTCTGCAGATGGAGAGAAGCTCGCCTTCTTCCAGGGCAATCGGCGGCAGTACAGCGATCTTTGGTAGGCCTTCCATTTCCGGGAAGATTGCTAGCAAATTGCAAGATGAGAGTGAATGTGCAGGTAGCAGTTGTGATGGAAGCCAGCACGCGAATGTTGCAAAGTAGAATCGCAGCTGTAGCATGCAGATGTGACAACAGGCAGGCAGAAAAACAGGCAGGAGCGTTCAACATATTTACAAACAGAAGAGCGAGGTAGCACTTACATCCCATTGATTGCCGATGCGTACATGAATGAGCATCGTTGTTCGTCTTTTCTAAAGAAATATACCAGCAACATCAAACACCAAAGCTGTCGTTGAGTACCTGGACATCTTCTCGGAATGTACGCTGGCCAATGTTTCCTCCAACAAGTCAGGATGTCAGAATGACTTCCGTCGTTCAGGCAGGAAACCGTCCATCTTCGCCGCATGACTAATTGGCACTCCACTTGAAGAGAATAGTGACAACTTAAGTTGGGCGATTTGCTGACAGGGGAAGAAGGTATGGAGACGGTCAGAAGCGCAAGCCGAACAGTAGACTCGAGAGTCACCGCTGATGGGGTATACCGACGAAGGACCAGCCCTGCTCACGTGCATCATCTAATGCCGAGCTGAAGCCTCTGTACATATCCAAACCAATCTGAGACCGTTGTCCAACAGCAATTTCAGGGACTTCAGACTGTTCAGACACCTGGTCTGGCGCGTCTGGCCGGGTATGGGGACCCTCAGACTTAGTCGGGGATTCCTGATTTGAAGAGCTCGTTGGGCGGCTGGGAGCCTCACGTACGCGTTCAGCAGCTTGCCAAGCGCTCTCCGCCTCTTTTCTGCCAGAAGGCTTCGGCTGGTAATCTAAAGGTGGTTTGAGGTCGTCATCATCGCCCGGTAAAGAGGTGTCGACGATGTTATTGCCAATGCGAGTAAGAGTGTGGCCAATGATCGTCTGGACCCATTTGTAGAAAAAGTAGAACGCAGACATTATGCCTATTGCCACGGCAATCCAGCTCACGTTCACCGCCCTATCTCGTCCGGTTGTGGTGGTTCCCGATCTGCGGTAGCTCCCAAAACCGATGCCTCGTGGACTCAGGAAGTTGAAAGGGTTCAATAAAGCTGTCTTGAGAAAGCCAACAAGGCCCATCGAGATGACACCTTTGAGAAAGTGCAGACACCATCCACTAATACTCCCGTTAGACGTGGCGACATCTACCTCGCTCCAGTATGGCTCGTTGCCCACAATTGTGTCATACGGATCAATGTAGAGGTTGATGATCGGATCGGCGACAAAACCGAGGAAGAAGACAATGATAACCATAACGCCGATGGTAAGGAGACCAGACGAGACCTTGCTGCCCAGATAGCGCTGGACTGTCATGCGCTTGAAGTTGAACTGATGACCGCACTCGTGACATTTCCATAAAGATCCCGCCCTGACACCTTCCGTCCGTGACCGCAATAGGCATAACTCGTGGATGTATCTCATTCCACCTCTACACTTGCACGGTCGGATCAGCCGCCCGTACTCGTCTTCGTTCTTGTATTCTACCACAGGACGCTGGTACTTGAGTGGCAACCCAGGAGGATACATTGTGACGGTGGCTACCACATCCTCGCGGCAGATGCGACACATACGCGTCGGATAAGTCCATCCTGGATATGGCTCAATCGAAGGTTCCGGATCCACGGTCGGTGTAGGTTCGAGAGGAGGCTCCGGCTCGGGTACAAACGCCCCAGGAATGAACTCTTCCATGTCGTCAGTGAATAAATGGGGTCGCGCTCAATAAGGGGAAGCGCCGAGCAGATGCTGCTCGTGTGAGCACGAGAGCATCGTATGCTTAAAATACGGGAGGGAACTACAGCAGGGCACAAAGAACAAAGACTAAGATTGAGTGGTATGCAGCTTGAGGCTAGGCATCTCTCAATCCTCGGGTATCGGGGCGAGCGATGCGACAAGAAGCGCCAGGGTGCCTTGAACGTTTGTGAAGAAAGAGGTGTGGAAGATTCGAGTTGGACTCGTCCGTGCCGGGAAAAACGGCGGCTGACCAGGATTGTCGCTAAGGGCCGCCGTACAGGCGCGACGCGCAGCGAGCTGCAGCCTCGCCGACATTGATAGTAGCAGAAGTGCAGTGCAGCATTCTTGACGATCATCTTGCATCTTCCCATCTCGACTCTCAACTCGTGATCCCTAATCTCGCAACACCGAGTGCTCCGAACACAAGATGGCGGATCGATATTCATTCTCGCTCACAACTTTCTCTCCAAGGTATGTTGCCATCGATGATTGACCGCTAGCATGAGACCTGACCTCTCCGTAGCGGCAAGCTTGTTCAGATAGGTATGAGTTACAGACATGTGCGGAAGTACCCAGTCAACTCACCAACATTTAGAATACGCTCTTAATGCCGTCAACCAAGGAGTAACATCTCTTGGAATTAAAGCCACAAATGGCATCGTCCTTGCAACCGAGAAGAAGTCCTCATCGCCCCTCATCGACGCTCCCTCATTATCGAAAGTGTCGTTGATCACGCCCAACATCGGCATGGTCTATTCCGGCATGGGGCCAGACTACAGAGTATTGGTCGACAAGGCCCGCAAAGTCAGTCACACCAACTACAAACGAATCTACAACGAATATCCTCCTACAAGGATCCTTGTTCAAGATGTCGCAAGAGTTATGCAAGAAGCTACACAGAGCGGTGGTGTTCGACCTTACGGCGTCAGTTTGCTGATTGCAGGCTGGGACGATGGAATCGAGCCAGAAACCGAAGAGGCCAAAGAGGGCGAGACGGAGGCAGAGAAGAAGCTTGCTGCCCGGAAAACTGGCGGCATTCTAAAGGGCGGTCCCAGCTTGTATCAGGTCGACCCTAGCGGCAGCTATTTCCCGTGGAAGGCGACAGCCATCGGCAAGAGTTCTACCTCTGCGAAGACTTTTCTTGAGAAGCGGTACAACGACGAGTTGGAGCTTGAGGTGCGCACCCCCCGGATTTCATGCGCCGTGTGCTAATTCTAGACAGGATGCCATCCACATTGCGCTGCTAACCCTGAAGGAGACCATCGAGGGCGAGATGAACGGCGATACCGTCGAGATTGGCATTGTCGGCGACCCTGCGAATCATCTGCTAGGCTATGAGGGCGTGGACGGTGCCGTTGGACCGCGATTCAGGAAGTTGAGCAAAGAGGAGATTGAAGATTATTTGACGAACCTGTGATGATCCAGACTCGGAGCCAGGTTTGCGGCGTTTGGGTCGGGCTAGGTCTATGCATCGCAATGGCGCTCTGGACCCACAGACTTGACTGGGCTGGAAAATGGAAGGCTCATGGAGTTTTTGCCGCGCGCCAGGTACCAGAATGCACCAAGCACGAGGCTGACAATAGCCTCGACATCTGATCCCAGCGCTCACGGATCACATACAGGCCCGAGTTCCTAAGGCATGTAAGCAGGAAGGGCGGCGGGTGGTACCCAACCCCCTTTCGGTCGTCATTCGGAATGACGAGCGACAGGCCAACTCAATATATGATGCTCACCCCTGTGTTTGATCTTTATCTCCATGCTGGTACTGCTAATCAGTGCACCAGATTCTATCTGGCCAACTAACATGGGCTCACTGCTTGTACCTTTCCTACTTCTAACACTAGCCTCCTCTTCGCCTCTGGCTCGTCGACAAGCAGTCACGGACGCAATCGCACCAGCAGCGCCGCCACCGCCCGGGTGCAGCCCTGTCTTTGACGGGATCTTTGGCGTCGCAGTACAGAATCTCACCGACGGCAACGATGCCCTCGATAAGCGGAAGAATCCCATCCGCCGCGGGGAATGTACTACAAAGACGCGTACTAGCCGCAGATGCACCTGCGAAGATGAAGCGAAACCGGCCTCGGCCACTCTGCCACCTATGACCGTGGCCCAGATCAACCAAATAGCTGATGGGCAGATACAAGGCAGCCTGCACACGGTGACCATGAACCCGATCGACCAGATCGCCGACGGCCAGATCCAAAACCACCGCGTCACCTACGCGCCCGCCGCATACGTGCCACCCACGGCGACCGCAACACCTGCTGTCGCCACAGACAGCGACCTCGCCGCCATCTCTCAAACCACCGCATCACCCACCAGCGCCGGCAGCGACGACCTAGACCCCTCCGACCCAACCAACGACAACGACAACGACAACGACATCGCCATGGTCGCCTGCCTCACCGACTCCTCCCTCCAACTTCAACTCTCCGACGGCATCCTCACGGACGCTTACGCGCGCACGGGCTACATCGCGTCCAACTACCAGTTCCAGTTCGACGCGCCGCCGCAGGCGGAGGCCCTATTCACGAGCGGGTGGAGCGTGTGCGGCAATGGGAGCCTGGCGTTGGGGGGCAGTACCGTGTTCTGGCAGTGTCTGTCGGGGGATTTTTATAATTTGTACGATCGCTGGTGGGCGAGTCAGTGTAGTGAGGTGGTGATTCGGGTGGTGGAGTTGGTGGATTGTGGGACGGAGGGGTGATGGAACTGGTGCTGTGGTGAGAAACCAGGGGGGCGGGGCGGGGTGAGAGGGCGTTGGGTGCACTCGGCATGCTTCGGGTAAAGGGGGGGGGGGGGGGTGTCCGTGCCATGCAGTAGCCGGATCCGCGCAGCATGTGTGAAGGACTTGACTGACACTAGCTATGGCGTTATGACTTATGAGCCTCGCAGAATAAACCAGGTAGACACGACATCATGGCAACGACCTGCCCTGCAGTACGAGTAGACGCCAGCGAAACCATCGCGAGCAGAAACTACAACGTAACTTATTGATGCTTATCCTGCCCCCCGCTCGCAACGTCACGAAATCACTCATTACTGTTGCCTCGATTGATTAACTCTGCTACCCTCAGACGCACGTCAATCAGAATGGACTATAGGTATTCGGTGTTACTCGCAGTCACCTTGCGGCTCATCAGATAGAGTTCACGGCTGGACCGGCACGTCCCAAAACGGGCAGGAGCACAACACTGCCAGAGACATAAGCATGTCCCTGAGAACCACTACGAGGATCTTCACAGACCATAGACCGGACCTACTGGGAGTTTCGCTGCTATGAAGGTACAGACACACCCGAACAGGCGGTTTCACGGACTGTGAACGATTTGAAAACGAGAAGCTCGCGCTGGTTGCCTCGTTGCCTCGCGCGTGCCAACCCCGTTCGACCCGGTCAGTCGCGGTATAGCTGGGATACACGCAGCAGAATCGCGATGCGCTGACCAGCACCGTCAAGCATTGCCGGACCTCTCATCACAAGCACTGCCTCGGCATCAGCCCATTCTGAGAGCCTCGACTACCACCACCACCACTGCCAGAACCACAATGTCCACCTCCCTGACGATCGCCTCCCAAACCATCAGCTTCATCTCCTTCAGCATCACCCTCCTCACCCTCCTGGGCGTCTACCGCGACCTCATCTCCACCCTCCGCTCCGCCCCCACGCAGATGCCACTCCTCCTCGGCAACCTCCGCCAGGAGATCCTCTCGGAGCGCGCCTACCTGCGCCAACGCTGCCGCGAGGGGCGCGACCCTTTCGGCGTGTTCCCTGAGCGGGTCGCTGGCTTACCGCCGGGGTCCCGCGTCAGCAAGAAGATGCGGAAAGCGCGGGACGGCGGAGAAGGGATGGCGTATGTGAGGTTGCTGGAGGTGACGATGCGGGATCTGTGGTTGGAGTTTCGGAATTTGGAGCGGCCGTTCTTGGTCAGGAAGGGGATGCGCGCCGAGGCGATTGCGAGGGGGGATTATTGGGGGGAGGAGGATGTGGAGGCTTGGGGGAGCCAGAGTGAAGGGGATGAGAAGGGTGGCGGTCGGAGTGGGGTGAGGAGGCGGAGGGGTAAGGGTAGGGGTAGGGGTCGGGGTAGGCGGAGAGGGATGGCCATGCAGACTGATCAGGGGGAGTGGGAGGCCGTGGAGGAGGATTTGCGGAGGGAGGGCTCCAAGTACTATAATACAGATGTGGCGCATCGGTTCATTTGGTGGCAGGTCAAGGGTGATTTCCAGAGGTTGGCAGATCAGATTCAAAGGATTCAGATTCGGAGAATGGAGAGGGATCTGTTCGAGACTGACGAGTTGGTCAGGCTCTTGGTGCGGAGGGCCGGCCTGCGAGATATTGGTGTCGCGGGCAGAAGCCCAGACGGAGGCGGGGGAGGTGCCGATAGCGGGAGTGAGAGTGAAAGCGTCGGCGTCACGGACGGCAGAAGCGTGGTAACGAGGTCTCGGGCCGGCAGTAGGGCGGCGAGTCGACGACGCAGTGGTCCAGGCAGGGAACTCAGGGAGGTGGAAGAACGGGGGTTTCGCAGAAGAGTGACACCGTCGCCCGCGCCGGCACCCAGGCAGTCAGACAATGAAGCCAATGTGGCGGCGAGGAGGTCCGAGAGGCGGAGGAGTGGTCCGAGGGTGGAGTATGAGGTGCTGAGACCAGGCAGTGCAGGCTACGTGGTCGTAGACGACTACCGCGGCGCGACGGGGAGGCGGCAAAGTATCTACGAGCGTGAAGTGAGAAGTCCCGATAGAGGGAGGAGTCGTGGCCAGAGTCCGACGCCGCGGAGAGGTCGATGATAATAGATCCGCGATCTAGTAACGGCCTAATGAAGACTATCACATCCCAGACGACCAGATAGTATCGAATCTTTGCCGCCATTCTAGCACCTGTATCTCGTTCTGTAGCTACCGAGTCTACCCTCTAGCTTTTAGTACTACCCTCAAGCCTGCGCCGAATCTTCTTTTTTCTTTTTCTCCTGCGCCGTCTCCCACTCATGGAAAGCTTTCTGCCTTTGCCGCGAGTTCCATTGCAGTGTCCGGGATATGCTGTTGACCCAGTCTTCACTCCGCCGCCCAGGAGGCATGACGTTTGCGAAGGGGTATCGCGAGGCTGAGATAGTCACGTAGTCGCCTGGGCGAAGCTCAACTCTGTAAAGGAGTGTTAGCCAGCTGAGAATTTGTGAGTTGAGAGGATGGGGTAAAAGTACCGTTCCCGCCCATCGAAGCTGGCCCAGCTGTTTGCCCTCGCGTCATAGGGCACGCCTAACCTGAGCACGATCGTGTCGGGTAGAATGATCGGCCGGAAGCTCAGGGTGTGCGCGCAGATGGCCGTGACCAGAATCACAGGGTTCTCCGGATGGCACAGACTGCCTCCAGCCGCCAGGTTGTAAGCGGTGCTGCCGGTAGGCGTGGCTACACAGACGCCGTCGGCTTGCACCGTGGTGAGATGCTCCTCATCTCCAAACAGCTCAATTGTCGACATTGTCGGATTGGGTCCCCGGTCCACAACGATGTCGTTCAAGATCTCGAACGTCCTATCTGGCTTGTGCGTCGGCTTGCCATCCGCCTCTTCTAGCATGAGTTCTTCAACCAGATCTGCCGAGTGGCAGTCCTCGGGGGACCTTTGACTGCGCATGATGGTACCTTCAAATCTCAATCGTAGGCTGATGGTGACGCCATCCCGAAATGCCTGTGTAAGCGTTTGCTGGTAGTTCTCAAAGTCAAACTTGGTCAGGAAGCCCAAGCTCCCCAGTGCAAAGCTCAGCACCGGCGGCACCACGCGCTGAAACAGCCAACTGGCATACAAGACGGTCCCATCCCCACCCAGCGACACCACGAAATCGAATGTATGCGGCCTCGTCCTCGCCAGCTCGTTGTCCCAGTATCTCAAGCGGCCGTTATAACTAGGATCCTCGGCCAACAAGCCTTTTGCGTCAAAGATCTGATTCTCCTTCATTGTGTTCTCCACGTAGACTGTATACTCGATATCTCGCTCCTTGCTCAGCAGCCACCTGGCCACCTCCCTCGTCTTCGCAATCAGTGTCTTGTCGTGCGCCTTGGTGAGCAAGAAAACACGCCGGATCTGCAATTTGACCTTCAGACTGCTCAGACGCTTCGCCAGCGAGCGTACACTCATGGCCATGTCGCTCAGCTGCCTCTTGGTCAACAGTCGCGAATGGATGGCTTGCACCTCCTCCGAGACACTGGTGCCATTTGATGAGGTAGAGTTCTGGGTCTTCAACGCATGTGTCTCATCGATCTGTTCCAGTTGATTCTCAAGCTTGTTCTCGACTTTTGGTTGTTGTCCTAGCGAAGTCTTTTCCACGAGCTTGTGTACTAAACATTGAGAGTTGGTCCGATCGTGTTGGTGTCGGTCGTTGAGTTTCTGTTGGAGGGTCGGCGAGGTCATCTCTGATGCGACGATGGAGGACTTGCGGCGACGAATGCCTTCGTTATCGAATAGGACCTGGTAGAGTTGAGTTCATTTCAAGGCGCACGCGTGCAACGTCTATGCTGAGGGAACAGCTTACCTCGATCTCCCGGTTGAGGTCATCGTCGCTTGAATCGCCCTCCTGCGCACAAGTCAGTCTCGAATGTGTGGCCGTCTCTGCGCATGGTAAGCTACTCTTGTCTGGGTCCGCGACAGGCTAGCCATGCCATCACTGATGGTTCGGCTCAGACGCGGGCCACTCGTGTCACGCTGTGGGAGCGACATCGCGTGCGTTATGAGACCTCTACGTGGTCCGACGTGTATAATGCAGCGTACAGCTCCCCGGTTCCAGTTCAGAGGACTTGTACTCGGTAGCAGCCAACAAGAACGGTTCGAAACGAGTGCTCCTGGGCATTTCCCCAGACTTTGACGTAACCGACTCGAGCCTTTTTATCCATAAACAGTTAGTGGCTTTAGGTACCGCGTGGGCCCTGCGTTAGTAATCGTACTACGACCACTAAGTGGCGCTGAATCACTGCTTGCCGGGAGTTGCTGGCGAGATGAGCAACGATTTGACTGTAGGCATCGATCACCGAGGCCAAAGAACTGGACAAGATGATAGGACCTGTGCCATTGCGGAGCTAATACAGCCAATACAAATGCTTCAATGGTGGGTTGCCTCTCTGTTTCGAGGTCATAAGCCAACGCCAGTCTATCTATGTTGGTGGGGGGTATTGTACATTCGTAAGTCATCATCTCATTGTCCCTTGCAGATTCATCAAAGCGCGGCAACAGGAGCTGCCGATGGAGCTACCTCATGTTCATCGGGTAGTCTTATAGAGTCACTGGCGGTCCGCATTGGAGGAATGGGCTTGATTGGCTCAGGTGGTTCTGGCAGAGTGAGAGGCTCGGAGTCGGAACTCCCAGTGCTCTCCGAAGGACGTTGGACCAACTCCGTGACCGAGTCAACCTCCTCAGACGTTGGAACTGGTGATGTCTGGTCGCGTAGCGATGAAGTGTCTATGGCCTCGTAGAACAGCATGAAGACATTTCCGCGACTCAGGACCTCATCTTGACTCATCTTGGTCACGACTTCATCGTTAAACACCCACCAATCTTTGTCACGTCTTCCAAGAGCCACGTAATGGCCATTCTCGTGCCGTCCGTAGTGCGTAACCGAGCACTTCAGTTCGTACGACCTCTGTACTGAGTTCTCGTTGACAGCAAGTGGAGCACACCAACGACTCAGGAAATCAAGCCGGGCTGGGAAGCGTATGAGCGAGTTGTTCTTGCGCTGAGTGCCGTACTCGTCGAATATGCTTCGATTGATGTGGAGAATCAGGTTCTTTGGTAGGCGCCCAATGGTGATCTGCTTTGCCTTCGTCCGATGCACTGGCTTAAGCTTGGGCCGTTTGGAGGGTGATGGAGTATCATCGTCGACAGCATCTTCTCCGTCCTTGCAATTAGCAATCGCTTTTGTACATTCGGTACACTCGACACCGTCAATCATCTCCGGTTCTGTGTACTCATCGAGCAGATCTTCGAGGTACGAGTGCCCGCGTAGTCCAAGATTAAGCGTCAGGCAATTGAATTGGGTGAGCGAGTAACCTTCCGAGAAGCCACACGTTTGACATTCAAGTGCTTGCGCAAGCATGCCGTCCATCGAACTCCTCGGAAGAATCTCTAGTAGCTTGCGGTCCGGTTTGGACATGACATGGGATTTGGGTACCGGGCTCCAAGAGTTGTCATCCAGAGATACTTTCTCCAGCATCTGCGCGCTCTCGTTTTCTGCTGGACTGCCATCGGTCGGCAACCCGAGACCATTATGCGATCGTTTCTTGAGCACCTGAAAGCATTTCATGTCTTCTTTCTCAACAGCCTCAACCACTCGTGAGAAGTATTCCTGGGCGTCTTGCTGTTGCCAGCTGTCCATCGATTTCAGCACAGTTGGTGTCCACAGGGTTGTCTTCCTTGCCGAAGCATCCCCAAGCTGACGTAGAAAATGGCCCAGCGCTTTGTGCGTGGCGGCAGGAACTTGCAAATCATCGCAAATGGTCAGGCTTTTCTCGATGTATTCTTGAAACGCGGGCAAAGATGCGAAGCCCTGCAGGATGCTGTTCTGGTAGCACGAATTGTCCCAATTGCCCAGCCCTGGGGGTCCTAGCTCTTTGCTTACAGGGAGTATTGTCTCCAGTCCTGAAAGACTTCTCGCTTTTAGAAGGGCGGTCGGAAAGGGAGTATGACCAAGGATGCGCTGAATGGCCTCCGCTTTGGCTCGCTGATTACCAAATTCTGACTTCCTGAAGCGGGTTGTGTCGTCTATAGCACCTGAGTACCGATGCATTATCGATTGCAGCGCGTATATAGCTGGAGAGGGTATGAGATAGATGGTTACTTCATAAAGTGTCCGCCTGATGGTGTCCGGCCATGCATCGAAGAAATTGAGCACATAGTAGCCCAATATCAGGAGAGCGATCGTTGTGATAGCCTTCTGCCACGGCGAGAATGATGCATGCAGTCGCTGCTGCTGTGGATGATCGAGGAAGGTGCTAGATGCATCCCATTCCAGGCGGTTGTTCATGGCGAAGGAAGGCAAATGGGGGGCTCAAGGCGCAGCTGCGACGTTCACACATGGGGTGTGGGTTTGCGAAAGAGCAGAGAGCTTCGATCGCGCTTGTAGGAGGAAATGTTGACTGCACGCATCAAGCAAACAGGCACGGAAGAGTGACGAAGACGCTGTCTCGGCGGGAGCACGCATGTCAGTTTTGTTGACTGCGGAGGCGAGGGATGACACGGACATCATATCCGCAGCTCCACCCCTTCAGTAGGTATCGACTTGTGCGAGCCTCAACATTACATTGGGTACCAGCTGTGTTCCTTGCCAGGTGCTTTCCATCATGTCGCGTCTGCTGATGATTTTGCTGCATCGTACTGTTGCCACGCCTCAATCGACCTCCGTCTCGCAGCATCCGCCACCTGCGCCTGCTCCTCCATCTCAGATTTTGCCCGAGTTGGGTCTCCAGTCGCGTTTCTAGTCCACCATTTCTCCCATAACCAGCCCAAAGCTTGTTTGTTGTAACCTCGCAATGTTTCGAGCGGCGGGATGTCCCCATGCACGATATTGTGCCTAAGATCGACGAAGTCTTCGGGCATTCCAATTTTCGCAGCGTAAGCGTACATGGAACTCTCGCCGCCGCCCTTGACCTTGGCCTTCATCTCACCAGATTCGTCATCGCTACTTCTCAAGATATCGCTGTCGTAGTCGTCATCAACTTCTATAGGCTCCGCACCGAGTGCCAGCGAAGCGGTGTTGGCTTTAGCCACGTCACGATCAACAAAGCCGTTAACAAACTTGACAAATGCCATAGCGTAGATGCTCCGCATGGCATTATCCGAGATATGGCTGTCCCGATCGGCCTGTTCGTTGTGTAGTGAAGCTTCGGTAAGATTGGCTGTCGCCGCCATGGCATGTGGCGTCCCGGGATTTCTGAGCAGGTAGAGCGCGATGAGATCAATAGCATCCAAGCGCTTGTCGGAGGCAGCAGGTGCGAAGGGATCAGGCTCTTTGTGTTCCGGGTAGAAGTAGTCTCTCACAAGGGCAAGCTCAGATTCGTGCTTCCACGCTTGAGGAAGTTTTTTGATGTCCATCACGAATAGTTACGTTCGCGTCCGTCCTTGCAGTTTAGCCGACACAGCAAAATAGGTAGGACGTATCTCATTAAGTTGCAGAGCATTGATCTAGAGAAGGCGTGAGACTCCCAGTAGAGAAAGTAGGATGCTGGCGAGCAGGTGCAATTACACTGTCTTGTATATGAGAATGAATACGCAAAAGACTGTGCTCGAGACATAAGCTCGGGCATTTTTATTCCGCAAAATTTCACCTACCGCGATGCTCCCAGCTATACTATATGTCTGTCGATGAGCAACTCTTCTGGGATGGCACAACTGTGCTGTTCGTTCGAACGGCTCCCACAGGTAGCTGCCTCAAAGATCATGCCCTTGCGGTCTCTGATTGTGTGAATCCTTACACGCATGCTGGGACGGAGAAGGAAGCCTTGGCATGATACGAAAGCTCCATGCGGAACGAAGCCGTGGTGCTGACGTCATGGCTAGGAGAGCAGAAGAAACAACTTGAGGACGAAGACACATTATATTCTAATGTTCTACCGAAAGGTAAGGGTTGTACTCCGATCGCAGATCGAGGAGCAGACCAGATGTGGCGTGAAGGCATCAGATCCAGCCCCAGCCCGTCGCTTGATTGAGCAAACCCCCACTGAAGCCGCTCATCGCCGAAGGATACACCGCCTGCTGGTGCGAGCTCACCGCGTGTTCCGTGTCGAAGAAAAAGCTCTGACCCGCCATGCTTGGGTTTAGCTGCGGTGCCTGCTCGTCGGTGAAGTGTGTCAAGCTGGTCGTGTCTTGGGCATCGGCGTCCGCGCTCTCGTCGTCCTCTCCATCCGCATCCTCCGTCTCATCTTGCTCGCTCTCGGGCTGCGGCTCGAACGACTCTTCCAGCTTCAAGCTCCGCTTCCTGGTGCGTCCTCCTCCAAACAGCAGAGAAGATGACTGCACTTCTGCCGGCGAATCGTAAAGACCCATCGCTACCAGCTCTTCGCCATCCGACTTTGCAGGAAGATTGCGGGTGTTGAGATCGAGCGGGGAGGCGTCCATGCCTCCTTGAATCGGCAAAAAGGTTGGTGATGATGGCGCTGTCGGTAGATCCTGGTTGAAAGTAAAATTCCAGTGCCAAGTCGGCTGTTGCACCGCCTGATAAGTGCTGTCCATCGAGAACTGTTGTTGCTGCTTCGAAATATCATGAGGCATCCAATACTGGTAATCAAAGGCATCTTCGTCATAATGGTGACCGATCTCATCCGCTGTCAAGCCTTCGAGGGGTGTTATTAACTCGTGGATCTGGGGCTCATCGACGACGGGTTGAGATAGCGGAGTGTAAAGTCCGTTGACGGTGGCGGTGCTGTAAAAGGTGGGTTGGTGATACGCATCATTGCTATCCAGAAAATAGGATGTGTTCTGAGTGAAGTTGAGGTTGGAATAGGTATTGGGGTGCCATGACACGGGACGAGACTGCTGCTGGCTGACAACGTTCGGTTGCTGGATGTTGCCCCGTTGCTTGTCCATCATCGATCTCGTCCTCCCGACAGGTACGTTCGTTGTGGCGGTCCTCCTTCGGGTCGGATATTTCGGAGACGTGTTCCGAGAATTGGGCTTCACCACTTTGGCTGGCCTTCGAAAGTATGACGAGACATTCGACGAGAATGGTGAGTAGGACTGACTGAGAGTGTACATTGAGTCGGAAGCGGGGAACACGCACTCTGGGCGGTATTCCATGATGGCGGCGGTGTTCTGTGTGGGAGAGAAGTGGTAAACAGGTCACGATGATAACATGACAGCGAGCAAAGTGGTTTTATTCGGGAGTGGGCACAGACCAGAAGTGGCAGGGGCAAACAGGTGAGATTGGGTTTCAATCATGCAAGAAGCAAATAAGTCGGTGGACCGGGCGATGAAGCTATGGGTGGAATCGACATCAGACGATGCAAAGCATGACGGGAGTGTGCGGTGAGCGGTAGCACCGAATCGGAACCAGGAACGCACGAGATCATAGAACCCTAGTCAAAGGCCGGCAAGATGGGGCAGTTGCATTTAGCGATGGACCAGTGTCTAGTTCTAGCGCTCTGACATAGCGAGTAGTCAGGAATGCGGGTTGGAAGGATAGGCAAGGAGCAAATTTGGTGGCACGAGTGGTCAACGAGCCATCGGCTGTCGGAGCAGCGAGGGCCACTTGGCGAGGGTGGCGAGCTCAAAGCCAATGAAAAGGCGATGACGCGGGTTCAAAACGTTGACGAAGGGACATCAACCTTAGATTGTTGTGGCATGCGTGTGGGAACAGGGATACAAGACCGGGGGCCGATGCGGGACAAGGGATGCGGATAGGCCAAAAGCCATGAGTTGCAAAACAGGGATGGGGTCCCGAGTGAGCACGAAATGATGTGTCGACAAGGAGAGTTTGGATGTGAGTTTCTGCTGCAAACACTGGCGGGTCTACCGGGCGTCAAGACTCAAGCGAGTTACGGGCAGGGACTGCAGGACCAGCAAGAACGAGCTAGAAGTTAAAATGAATCATGGTGGCCGGTAGGCAAGCGACCATGGACCGGGGGTGTTGGAACGGGACAACGCGAGACGCGGAAAGGTACAGGAAAGGAAGCGGGCCATGTCCTAACAGGGTCGCATGGACGAGGCGAGCGATCGCAAATGGGCGCCAGGCTACAGCTGAGGCGGTTGTACATACACCCAGAAGACACTTGTAAGGTTGACGGCGCTAGAACCATCCAGCACCGGAGTCTGTGCTAACAGAGGCCGCTCTTAGCAAAAATTGGACAACGGTGGACATGGTGGACATGGTGGACCTGGGCGGTGCATCCTGCGGGAGGAAGCGGCGAGCCCTGAGTCAAAAATGTCAAACTGTAGGGAGTAGGCGTGATTTGTGTATGCGGCTAAGCGCTGCAGGTGGGTAATGTAGGTGCGTGCATCGTATTATTCCTGTTGCCATGTGGGGAGGGGGGGCCCGGACTTTTGGGCGTTTCCCAGGCGAGCCTCTTCTGGCTGTGCCGGATCCGGCACCTGCCTGGGACGATCCATACCACCGGATCTCCTGATGGAGTCTGATGGAGCGTGTATATTGTACTCCGTAGGTCGTTAGGGGCCAAAGGGAGAGGTTCGAGATTGCTCCGATCCACCATTGAGGCGATGTCAGTGTCACGTCAGGGGTTTGGACGGAACGATGCTGAAGTGAAGGCAGGGCGGCAATGGTGATGACCAGACAATGTTTGGGTCATGAGCCACAACGAGGCGGGATGACACGAGGCGAGACGAGAATCTCCGTTGCATCATCTATGTAGGTAGGCTGGAAGGAGCAGGCACGACCGAGTTGGCCAGCGCTGGCATCTGCTGCACTGCGCGCTACTGGCATCCTGCACCTTACATTCCTTAGCCGTACGGAGTACCCTTGGAAAAATTTCTGAACAGCACCATGACCTTGAACCATGTTTAGTGGCGCTGCTTATCCTTGCCCACTCGGCATCATCGTCTCATCGTGCGCGTCTATCTCCAAATCTAGGCTTTTGGGTCATGGTGAACAATTCGGCCAATCATCGCTCTTCGCGCCCTTCTTCCGCACCATCGCGAGACTCTGGCTCGACCAGGCGGTCACGCTCAGCAGCCACTGTTGGGCCTGGGACACGATGCAGTTCAGATGACCAACTCTGGATGGCTCCGTACATGTCGAGAGGTGAGACTGCGTGTCGGACCCTTGATCCACCGGCATCGATACATGGGCACTATGCCCTCATCCCCGATTGTTCCACCTTGTGCTCGTCTACAGAATTGTGGCAGTGTCAGCAGCCCAGCGGGCGTCCATCATGGACAAACTGGGTAGGCGGCTGCTGCCCGAACCCTGGCCTCGGGACCCTCGTGCAGGAAAGTTAACCAGTTGTCAACGTTTCGAGCGACCACGAAGTCTATGGCTTCTTAAGTTCCAATTAGGCACACCTAGCCAAGTGTCCTTCGGCATCGGTGCTCCAGCCAAGCCTGCCAAATATCACCTGTGAATGCACTAGTTGCAATAACGAAAGCCTCGCACACCCAAGCCATCTGCAAGCCATGAAGCTCTCGCACCCGCCCCCACCAAAATCAGGAGAACGGAACCCTTGTGCTATCATCCTAATGCTGTGCTCACCGCAGCTCACCCACGCCAATCACTAGGACGGGACCTTCCAGCGCATGCCCTACGATGTGATCATGTTCGAGTAAAGATTGGACGAAGACGAGTAGCAATAATTGCAGAGAGTTGGTAGTGTCTTCAATACCTGAGGTTACGCGTCTTAGATGCCGTCATCTCCGATACTGTCCGGCCTCTGTGATACAAGCAGAGAAGGTTTGCAGAACACCAAGAGCAACATCTGGGGCAAGGCGGGCTCACTCGGCCATTTTCTGTCGTACGATATCTCCATCCCTGTCCAGCAGCGCTTGCACCACACTCTGACTCAGGTTCCATGTGGCTGTCCGATGACTTCCCAGTACAGAGTACTCCGTACGCCACAGAGAATCTCCTCTGCCTGGCAGCTTCATTCTTCATCCACACCAACCAAGCTGACTTGGGACCAGGCATCGCTTAATCCATTATGCTTTCCACAGGCAGGCACTCTCCCAGGGGACCGACCTCCTTAAGAATGCGTCTTTGGCGGTGTCGATCCTTGTCAAACGATTCGATACTCGGCTGAAATAATCCATGGGTGCGTTTAGTGCCCCAGCTGCCACCCGTAGTGGATCTCATGCCGGCTGCCAGCAAAAGTGGCAGCGAGACATTAGCGCCTTGTCTGGGATCTCACGATCCTTGATGGCGAAACTCTTTCAGCCAACCGAAGCGACACCTTTTCCTACAATGACCCAAGCACGGGCCCACCAGTTCAAGTGGCTCTCCAGCCCCTGGTCCGAAAAAATGGAGCCTTTCCTCCACATTAATAGCCTTGTGCTCCACTGGTGCCATTGTTCACATTCTCGAAGAGCCGAAGCCTAAATGGCGGCTTCGACCTCGCAACAGAACGGTTCTCGGCGGTCATCTTTGAGACGGTTGGTTCTCCTGGACCTATGTGAAGAACGAACCATAAAAAGACTGACACGCATTTTGCGAGCCAGAGTGGTTGTGCAATCACCGATGCAACATGGGCATGGAGCCCCAGCTCTAAATCTAGGCGAGTACAGGCCTGATAGGGTCCCAGACGCCCGCCGTATTCAGAAACGACCTCCACGCCCTACTCCGTACCGAGCTACACTGGTGCCCTTTGCGCAGCCGTGTTAGCCTGTATTTCCGGATCATTCACAGAAGCACATGATAAATAATTTCGTTTGTGTGTCTTGACTTTGGCCGATCGCACGTCTCACCACGCGCAAGCTCCGTGCAACGATGCCAATCCCCAACCAGCAAACCATGCCGAAGGCATCCTTGCCAGCTGCAGTCTGAGCGCCTGTGCGAGTGCTGTACTCGCTTTGAAAGAAGCAACCCCGTCACAAGCTGTGAAGCGCGACTTTGCAGTGATGTGTCTACTCCGTGCTACCTACCTCAACCATAAACCTACCTAAGGAACTTTCACCGCTAGGGCTGTGGACCTCACCCCTCGTACTCCGTACGTTGCACGCGTCTCGTATCTACTTGGCACGTTTAAAAGGTTGATCACGACATCGAGCGCCCAGCTGCCCCTCAAGGGGGGTCCAATGCGTTGGCACAGCAGGTGTCTAGATTCATTTACCAAATCGTAAGATTGACAACGAACTGCCGACTTGCCGCTCTCAAATATTGGCGGGTATATCAATTTGCTGGTTGGAGATATGTGCATCCGACCGATGGCCATGGCTGAGAGGAGCTGGAACGCGCTCATCAACAGCCTGTGGATGTGGGGAATTGCAAACCCGATACCTCGGTTAGTTGGTGGAGGTGAACAGATTTGCACTATCCTTTGAACAGCTTAGACTAGCCTTGTCATCCTCCCGACGATGACCGACTGCCTTCGAAGAGGCTTGTCAGATAAGGTAGTACCTACCGCGTGGCAGTCTGCTGGTCTTGTATCCAGAAGTAACTCGAAGCCCCATTTCCCAGCTCTTACCCAAGTACTATCAACTCGCGTCTTTGATTCGACCGTTCCCAGTGTTCAGCTGGAATGACTGCGAGGCCCTCCCGGTATGCGATACCGAACTCGTCGCGCCGTATCAGCATGACGAGGACATGAGGATCGTCGAACTGTGAAGTGGCTGGCCGGTGACCAAGAAGGATACATTCGCGATAGCCCTTCGGGCACAAGTCACTCCCCTGAAGGGATGGCAACAAGTAGCCATGCTCCGGGCGGGGAATCCTTCTCTTGTTATTCCAGAAGGTACCCGGTACACCGGGCAGGACTAGACGGCCTTGAGGCATGAGATAGAACGTCGCTCTTTGTGTGTAGAAGCACAAGTGGAAGCCGGGTTGCAGATGGCTTGCTGGGACGAACTTCATAACCTGCTCGAGGGGCAGAGCATACAAGCTGTCCAATGACTTGGGCACGCAGGAAGACTCCGGATGATTGATTCTCGAGCAAGTCAGCCCACGCGCTCCCGCCTTGATTGTGTAGCAGGCTATTGCAGGATGGTAGGTCTCGCATTCGTCGAACGAGAGCTCTCCTTCACGGGATACCCACGACCACGAAGGGAAACTGTTCTCCCTCGTCACATGCCTCTCCTTTGCTCGACCAAACCATGATAGTTGTCGCTCGAAATCCGAGATCATGTGTCCCCAGAAGAATTGCTCGCCCGAGTACTCCGTCAGCATCGACAGGATGCCCGAGAAAGCATTAAGCGCATCGGTTGAATACGACAATTCTCGCCGCGCGTACTCTTGGACAAGCTCAAAATACTTACGCGCTTTGAGATTCGAATATTGTTCCTCGAGACTTGGCCGTACGTCAACTCCAGGAGGCATGAAGCCTATGCGGTCGCTAGACTCGAATTGGAGGTCTTCATACCATGAGGCGGATGGACAATTCCAGTATACAAGCTCCCGAGTGAAGACAAGCCTCCGTGTGGAAAGAAGCTCCTCCTGATACGTCCAGCCCCTACGCGCCCACTTTGTCGTGTGAATGGAAGATTGGAAAGCACTCAGCAGGGTAATGTTGCCCGACTGCACGGATTTCTGTTCGTTGGTGCGAGTGTACGGTCGTACTCCGGGCAGACCCGCATCGCAATCGTCTCCTGAGGCTGCGATAATGGTGAACAGTGCGCTCTGGTAGACAAAGCCCATCTGTGCAATTTGCTCGTGTTTGTCGAACATGCTGTCTTGTCGAATACACAGGGCGTCGACCCAAAGATATCGAAACCCAAGGTTCTGTACCAGTAAGATCGCGTCGGCCACGGTCCGGGAGAGGTCGAGTTTGAGTAGGGCGCCCTTGTCAGACAGCTTCGCATACGACTCAGCTGAGACAGCGTAGGACTGTTCCTTGTCACCCCAGACGTAGCTCAAGGCAATATAGCCATGGTCGGAGCTCACATCATCGCTCAGGACAAGGCATTGGTTCTCAGTATCGATGAGCCGTATCGTACCGCGGAGATTCGATCGCCTGATGCACGAGCCTCGATGGTGTTTATCGCAGAGGTCAATCCAGGTCTTTAGCAATCTGAAGTCGCAGTGAGGTGGACGACTCCGGCCACATAGAAGTGGCCTCGTTTCGAAAGGTGCTTCCTCTAAACGATAGTAGATCGGGGCTGGAAGGGGCCGTATGGCTCCATGAATCACATTGTCCAGCCGGATGGAGCTCACTCTGTGGCCAGGTGGCTTGATCTCTAAGCCCAGACCCCACCGATCATACAATCGCCTTGTAGATACCGTTTCTTGGCCGAATTGCCGTCTCGGGTCTCGATCATAGGCGGAACCAAGTAGCGTTGGTTGCAGACGGTACTTGAACCCAACGGATGAGCCTGTGCCCACCGTGACTACCGCATTGGCGTTCAGAATGCCCTCGATAATCGAGCATAGAGCGCATGCATTTGAACGCGGACGAGAAACTTCGGAAAACCAACCGATCCCCCGCTTAACCCGGGTAGGGTCTGCCCACGGGTGGCTGTGTATCATGTCCATCCAGACTCGGCACTCGTAGCACATGACACTTCTCCCAGGGTCAGGGTTGCTAGACGCAGAAGTCTCTTGTTGATTTCTAGCCATGAGCATCGTCGCTTTCCTTCGAAACTTTTGCTCGTCCAGATCCTCCGTATCGGTAAGCCTGTGAGGTTCTCTCACTCTCCGTTCCGGGACAAGATCCTCATTGCGAGAAGTCCGGTTGAACCGTCTCCGAGGGCCAGATGGGGCGGGCTCTGCAGATGGGGCTTGCTTTTTCCTAGATGCAATTTTCGCCACGAGCTTGTCCTTGAGGGAGCTTCGATCCATGATGTCTAGATAGAATAAACCAATGGGAATGGCAACTGCACGAGGCCAACAGTATGAAGCCTTCCTCGAGCGGCAGTGATTTTGGTCAGGCTCTTGGCCCGAATACAGAGTGGTTGTTTGCTACGTGTAGCTTAACAGGAACCTGCACACTCCCCTGAAGAACAGCAGCAATGACGCGACGGTGAGCGAAATGACATGAGGGTTCCAACAGCGACGTCGAAAGCGACGCCAGAAGAGGGGGCAAATGATAAAGGAGAGAAAGGCGCAAGTCGGCTGTAGGTGGCTGGTCTAGTCGTGGCTGCACTGGTTGGGACCTTTGGTCTCGTGTCGTGGCTGCAGTGCATCTAGCCATCTTGATACACGGTACTTTGGTAGAACTTTGGTCGCTCAACCAATGGCCGAACGGAAAATGAACCCTGCGCTCACGACTCTACGGGCTGCATAGGTGTTTCATCAAGGAGTGCACGCAGATCACTGATGCCGAAGCATCTGACTAGGCCAAGGTTCAAGTTGAGAAGCAGTGGTGAATCAAACTGACTTTCAATTCGTGGCAAAATAGTCAGGCCCAGAAAGTTCCTTGCTTACGCTGCGGGGAGCTTGCGGGGGACAACGGGTGCTAGTAGCGTCCCCTGATGGAACCCCGTGTAGATGGGCTTTTAGATCCAATTACAACATCCCCTTATAAAACAGACAAAAAAACGAAAGCCCAATCACCTGACAGAACCCTCGGTCTAGGTCCGTCTGAGCAGGCCCAATGACTACATGACGAAATCTAGACTGAGTCACAACCCACAGCTAGTTGGAGCGGTTATCTATCTCAGGCCGGAGCACATTGGAGCACCTTCAACCCATGCTATTCGCGTTGTTCAGGTATGTTGGCCACGATTGGGATATGGAAATGGAGCGCATGGCAGCGAACACCCAGGTCCAGGAATAGTGGATCATGACGGATGGGATGCAGGACAGCCTCACCCCGGGTGCGACAGGAAGTGCAGCCTGACCTTGGTGGAAAGAGCTGGAAGAGGTCTGCTACCTGGTGTGACAAGGGTTTGAGCCTTGCAAGCTCTTCGTGAAAGATGAGCGCACCATGCATTGGCTCGGACCCTCTGTATAGGTAACATGGTTTTCGAGCATGCTGATCCGCTCCACGGAAAACCTAGGATCTCATACCTATAGAGCGTCTTCAATTGCACATTGCATTCGGTCAATGGTAGCCCTTTTGAGCGGCCTTTTTTGTGCTCGTCGAGTACGCCAGCTAACGCCGGTAATGTCTCTCTGTTTGGCTGCGCTTTCTTTTAGGAACGATTCAAGTCGACTCAACTTAGTCAGACACTCGGCTTGCTTGTACCCAGCTACTGTCGTGTAGTAAATGACAACCTCGAATTTTCCATGACCCTGGTGATGAGAGCTCTCTCTGTATGCGTGTCTCGTGCCGGTGCAAATGGTGCACATGCTGATAGGTAACCCGGCGGGTATGTCTTCATCAGCAGGCGGTGCGTCGGCGCTCGTGACAACCACCTTTAGTCTTGGTGCGTGCGTAGTCAGTAATTCTGAGAGAAAGCCGATCAAGTCTCCAGACTCATTTGCATCGTCCAGAACTGCTACGCAGCAGTCCACCCGGTCAACAACAACCACAACCGGTAGATCTGACTCGGCGACGAGTTTGCTGAAGAGGCTGCAGGCCTGGTCAAAGGTCACCGTTCTCTGGAACACGCGTTGGTTGCAGATCCCTGGTGTTCGGAGAATGAGTTCCGGGTCTTGCTCAAGGAGTTGACATATTAGCTTCTTTATCACGATTGCTGGAGAAAGAGTTCCGTCGTCTTGCCGATCGCATATGACGTACGGGACACATATCTCCTGGAATCGAAGAGCTTGAATCATATCCAGAGAAAACTCTGTGACCCAACTATCACGGCTTGCGGTCATTGTAGGTCCAAATATGGCAAGCAAGGAGGCATGTTTGGCTCTGCTCCATTCCTCAAGGCAATTCAGCATACCATTCTCTTCCCAGTGGTCCTTAGGCGAGAGGTGGAACTCTCGAGGTTGCCAGATGTTGCAATTTTCGTCAAAAGGACTTTCACTTGGAAGCAATGCGTCGGTCAGATCACTGGCCCAATTTCTCACTTGAATCAGCTGGGTTCCTACGGAGCTGCGTCAATCACTATTGCAAAGATCAGATGGGCTCGGTCACGAACTCACTAGTATAATCAATTTGCAAGCTGTCGACGGTCTGCCTGAGTTGTGCGATTTGCGTAGCCATGCCCTTGGAATAATCGGCAATACAGTCGATTATGCCGGATTGTTGCTTCAAAGTCTCGTACGATGCGACGGTGATTGTTGTAGTCGCTTCTTTCACAAGTCGCCTCAGCATCTTGTACGACTCTTCAACTTTAGCAACGCCTTCTTCGAAATCGTACTTCGAATTGAGTAGGACGATGTCCACAATCTTTGCTTGAAGGCCTGTTAGCTCGAACCTCACGGTGCCGGGATAGCAGGGCTCACATAACCTGCCGATGGCACACCACTCTGTTACACAAACAACTAGCTCTAATATATCAATAGATGTGGCTGCTAATTGTGCTTTTATAGTATCTGTCGGAAGCACAACTTTGTATAGCTCAAGAGAATCCAACTTCCGCAGGAGGTTGTCGAATATTGTGACTGCCTTCTCTCGTTTCTCTTGTTTGGTAACCAAGATCTAGTGCAATTAATACTCTCAGGTCATGGTCATGTAAATTGAAGCTCACTTTGAAAATCACCATCAAGCACCCGAAGGGGATGGTATACTCAGGACTCTGAGGCACGAGTGGGTCCAGAAGATCGCCCAAATGAACAGCCACGGATGCGATGGAGTTGCTTGCCTCGGACAACCACTTCAGTTTTGATTGCGCCAGACTCTTCAGGGCTTTCTGGTACTCTGCTGTGACGAATCGCCTGACAACACCTTCGTCAAAGTCTTTCGCGGTAAGTTGATTCGCTTGATCAGGCAAGATATTGGCAAGTCGCGCTTTCGACCCTTGACATGCATCCAAAGCTTTTCTGTAGATACTAAATGGTTCCAAAGACAATCGTTAGCTATCTCAGCTCTGAAATGAGCGGGCAGTCGGCGAGCCCGAACTTACAGGTCGTCGCTACCAGGCTGGTACCACAAAGCAAGGCTATCACATTGCCTCGCCATTCCTGGTTGCGTTTCTGGTGAGCCCTGGCCGGTGTACATAGTTTGCCTCAGCAGCGCGAGGACGGTCTTGGAAATCTCGACTCTTCTATCGATACTGTGAGGAACCCTGACCGTTTGATATCTTGCGCCTTCCGGGGTTCGGAGCTCTTGCACATATGAACATGCCAATTTTAGAGGATTCAACCTCACATCCTTCTAATGTTCTGTCGGACTGATTAAAGAGAGTAGGCGCAGTCGTCCAGCAGTGCGTGCATTAGTATGAGATCTAGTGGGTTGTATAGGTTAGCAACCTGACACGTCACTTCGCTTAGAGCCACTAGCCATTTCGCAGGATCTTTGGAATGTGGCTGCGCAGTTTGGCTACGGCAATCCTCACTTATTACTGGATGACTGCTGCAATTTGATTTTCCTGATTCAGCTGAGCTGATAACATTGACGGCTTCAGCCTGATCAGAGAAGTTTAAAGCATATCCACGTCCTTTACTATATTGCACAACCGTAACGTTTGGACAGGTTTACAAAGCACAAAAATGTCTTGCCCTGACACACAGCGCTGCATGAGCCACTTGCCAAATGGCACGGATGATATCACTACGTCCAAACCTTCAAATGTGCGTTTTAACCAACAAGCCATATTTCGTTGGGAGCTGCGGCAATGAGGCGAAGCTAACACATTTTTACCTTAGCAAGCCGACAAGGCTTCATGCACACAACGCATCGGGAGAAGAAGGGTAAATGCTGACGAGACTGTCTCCTGGATCAGCCAGCACGACTGGGATCTTGAGCAGCACCAGGTCGAGATATCCAGAGCAGAGCAAGCACGCTTTGCTCTCTGTTTTGATGATGCCAACGACAAGAGCATTGTCAGAATTTTCTCGCCGATCCTTATAGACGTTATCAAGACAGTGATCCCCTTCTCCTTCTTCGAGTCAGCTCCCAGAAGCGTGTCGTTTCAGGAGCCTTATGCCCATCTTTACAGGTATTCTGTGGACATTACCCGAGAAATGAGGTCCCGAGCCGATCTTGAACCTACAGCTTTTGTGGATCTGCAAGCCCTCGAACTATTCCTGCAAGAGAAAGCAGGATACTGGGTTTGGGACTCCTTGAAAGGCCGCAATGAAGACGTGGTCAGCTTTGAAAACCTTTGGGCTCTGTTCAGACCTGGCGATTACCTCGTTGTTCAAGATCGCCTGGAGGAGAAAGTCCTTTTCAAATTCACGCGCATGGACGAAGTTTCAGACACAGTGGGCTTTAAAAAGGACTTTTGCGTCGCCATGGCGGTGAACTTTTGGTTCGTCAGTTGGAGTCCAGGCGAAAAAAGATTCCGACAGAAGTATCAGCTGGTCAAAATAGAGCGCTATGTCGGACAGAAAAAAGCCAGCACCCTACCGATATATCCTCTACGATACGAGGACGAGGCCACTCAGAAGGTTCTACTTGATCGCCTACATGAGCGAGGGAAAAAGTGGGCAAATCTGGTGTCGAACTCTCCGACTTGCTTCAACCATTCTGGACAGGGTCTGCCACTGTCTCGGGGAGTAGTACCTGAAGACGTGGACATAACACAGGTAAGTTCACTACTGCCCAGATATTCGCGCCAGGCCATTGAAATGTGATAGGTGCAAGGTCGAATGGTGCTGGACTTGCGAGATGTCATGCAGCTCCGCAACACCGTAGCTGAAGTTGAATTCGGACCCAGCTCAAGCGAAGTGGATGAGAAGCTGAACGACTCCTGGAGCGAGTCCCGACTCTCCAAACTATATGACCCAACACAGTACAGACTTTGTCCTCCTCACATCAGTTGCTACCACCTGGAGACCGGCAAACACTACCTGGTGAGTGTCACCAATCTCGATCCGGTATGTTGGGAACGTTCTGCACTTGACCAACTTATTCTGGACGAGGAAAAGAAGAGCTTCCTCAAAACTCTCGTGAGCAATGCTGCAAACTTTAAGCTCAAGGCCGGCGACATTATTGCGAATAAGGGCCGTGGACTGACAATCATCCTTCATGGGCCCCCAGGAGTGGGCAAGACTTTGACAGCGGAATGCCTCGCGGAGTATGCGAAGAAGCCTATGATTCCCCTTAGTGTGGGCAATCTGGTCGGCATTGAAGACTCCATGGAGGACGAATTGACAGAGGCTTTCGCAAAGGCAAGCCGGCTTGATGCTATACTGCTGCTCGACGAAGCGGATGTGATCTTGGAAGCACGGTCTTTCGAAGATGTACGAAGAAATGGCATGGTTTCTGGTGAGCACAGAAGGACTAATCCACCTGGCTAATCACTGACGTTCGTTCAGTGTTTCTCAGACATTTGGAGTACTACAGTGGCATCCTGTTTCTCACGACCAACCGAATCAGCGCAATGGACCCTGCTTTCCAATCACGAATCCAAGTTGCCATCCAGTACTTCGAGCTCAGCCACAGACAGAGAAGCGACATCTGGCAGAGTTTGCTGAATAGCAAGGTTATAGATTGTACCGAGCACGACAAGGATACCATTATAGACCGACTGGACGAATTCGCGGATTATCCTCTGAACGGACGTCAAATCCGCAACGTCTTGAACTTGTCCGCAATCACGGCAGCAGCAGACATCACCAGTGACTACAAGGTTCAAGTCAGGCATGTTGAGAAAGCGCTGGCTGAGGCTGTGAAGTTCCAGCGGTTCTTCGACGATGGGAACAAGGACACGAAGAACAGGAATCGGGTCTGGAAACCGTTTGCTCCTCCGCAGCAGCGCACACGCATTTAGCAGTCCGGCAAGAAGTGGACGACGATCCGGTGTTTAGAGCTTCGGAACCGGAGAAGAAGCGTGGTCCACTTGCTGGACCTCCTACAGAGCTTGAACCAGGTCACAACGTACTGCACAGGTCTCGAAGGCTTGCTGCTGTAGAATCTTCAGGGGTGAGCAGCCTTGTATGCGCAGTGCCAAGCTTTCCGCGTTGGCAAAGGCCCCCAGACTCCGGTGCAGTGAGAAAACCTCATTCGGCACAGCATCGAGTCTATGTTTATCTAGTCCTGCTGGGTATAAGAAAGGAATAGACGAGCGCTACGTCTGTCGCCTTTTGTGAAATGTGACGTCGCAAGATCGACAGTCGCCCGAACTGCAGGCACGGAAGGGGCGTTTAGGCCTCCATTGCTCATTGGTTGGTATGAGAGCTGCCTGAGATGTACCCCCAACCTCCAGGTTGTGTAAACACTTGCACATCCTGCGAGGCATATATGGCATCGCAGCTATTAAGTATCTCCTAGCAACGACCATACCTGGCAGATTCCAGCTATACACCTTTGCCATCGTGCTCAACTTGTGGTCCACAATGACTCAACTAACCGATTCTACGCCAACGGACGCCAAGGACTATCTCGACGAGTCATTTTCAAAATGGCTGCTTCCGCTTCTAGAGAAGCATCATGTCCCAGGCTACAGCGTCGCCGTCATCAGCAATGGTAAAGTTAACTCGACGGGATACGGTCTCGCCCGGCTCCCCAACACGCCAGCCACCTCCGATACACTCTACCCCATGTGCAGTACCACAAAGGCGTTCACGGCAGCTCTTGTGGGGATGTGCATTGAGGAGGCCCAGAAGCAGACTTCCTCTTCCAAAAGCAAGGACAGTGGTGGCGGAGGTCCTGCCGCTTCGAGTGAGGCGGCTAAGTTGGAGGTTCTGCGTAAGAAAGGGTGGAAGACAGCAGTGCGCGATGTCCTCCCCGATTTTGTCGCTTCAGATCCTTATGTGACACAACATGCTACTCTGGAAGACATCGCCTCTCATAGATCCGGCATTGCAGGCCATGACTTGATTTGGGGCCCTTGGTTGGGATCATCCGTTTCTCAGGCCACTCGCATATTCCGACACCTCGAACCTGTCGGAGAGGACTTCCGCTCCAAGTTTCAGTACAACAACCTGTTATATGCGACCCTGGGAGATGTTGTAGAGACTGTTCTTGGGAAATCGTACAACGACGCTTTGCATGAGAAGGTACTGGAACCATTGTGTATGTCCCGAACCTGGGTGGACGTCGCGCGCGCGAAAGAAGAGCAGGCCACGTGGGCTCGAGGCTATTACTGGCGAGCTTTGGAAGACCGCGACGCCCAAGAATCGAAGGAGGGCCAGGAAAAGGGTTACTATCTCCCTGAAAAGGTACACAGTCTCCTCGGAGTAGAGCCCGCGGGTGCTCTTATCTCGAGTGTTGATGACTATGCTAAATGGGTCGTCGGTCTCCTTGCTGCTGCGAAGCAATCAAACAGCGAAGCCTCAACAGAAAAGATCGACAGTGATTCCCGCGCCAAAAGTGCCATCTCTCCGAGTGTCTGGCGGCAAGTTACAACCCCACGCATCCAGTATCCAGACCCCTATCCTTCGACTCTTTTCCAACAGCCGAAATCTATGCACGCACGGCCCGACGGCTACGCCTTTGGGTGGGTTATCAATGACACCTTCCTCCCCGGCCATCTCTTGGTCCAGCATGGTGGGGGCCTCCCAGGCATCAGCACCCTCGTGGCCATGCTCCCCGACCATGATTTCGGAATCGTGCTGGCTGCAAATGCCAACGGCGGTAGTGCCGTCAATCTAGCTGTGGCAAAAGAGCTGTTTGGAAGACGCATCGGCATGTCCGAGGAGGACAGGCGGCGGCACCTGGATCCCGAGAAGAAGAAGGAAGACAAAGGAGACAAGCAGGGCGTGGAGGATTTGGAGCCCAAAGTCAACGGCCAGCAGCAGGCCGCTGTGCAGCCGGCTGGAAACGCACCTACTTTCAAGCTGCACGGAAAGTACTTCAACGCAGCGTACGGCACCTTTCAATTCGAACCAGCTGACGCGTCCGCCTCCCTGGGCGCAAAGCACCCGTCGTTGAACGGCATCGAGATCGTCAGGCCCAAGCCGAAGGCCCAAGCCTCGCCCTCCTCTTCCAACAGGGAAGCAAACACCAATAGCATCTCCCCACCTACCATCCTCGTCACGCCCATGGGCCGGCGCGGCCTACACTACCAGCTCCTTCTCCACCCTTCGCCCGCAGCCCAGCCGCACGCCAGCAAAATCCTCTACCGTATGGAAACCCTCTTCAGTCACGGCAACCTCAGCCAAGATGAGTTTCCGGAGCTGGATCCCGGCTGGGGCGACCCCAATGACAGTGTGTGTCCGGGCCCGCCGGAGAAGGGGAAGGCGATTTGGGAGAGTGGAGGCGTCAAGAGCGGTGGGTTGGCGGTTGGAGAGGTGGTTCCTGGTGTGCGGAGGGAGGATGGGGATGGGGACCAAGTGGTGTGGAGGGTGGGGATGAGGTTGCTGAGGGAGGATGGAGGAGGGAAAGAGGAGGAGGGAGGGTTGGAGGAGGGGTGGGAGGAGAGGAGGATGTGGTTTACCAGGGTTTGGGAGGAGCCGTGATGGGAGCGTGGCTTCGGGAGATGGAGATGCTGTTAGATCGGTGGTGCTTCAGAAGTCGTCAAAAAGTATCTACTGCCCCGTGGTGTCCATAACTCAGGACACTGGCTTTCGTGTGTTGCAAATCGGCCAGTTCTACTTTTGTTTTTGTACATGGCACTCACTCGCTCGGAAAACGACCTTTCACAACTCGAGTACATACCCACGTACACACTCTCAATTCATCTACATTGAATTCTTCATCTCCCTCAGCTTCGCCATCACCTCCACCGGGCCCGTCTCGCCCGTCGCCTTCTGGATCCCGGCGTCGCCCACACGCATAAACGCATTATACCGCTTCTCGTCCGCGATCGTAAACTTCCCCTGTGTCTCCTTGTTCTCGTCCGCGAATTTTTGCAACTGCTTCACCGCATCCCCCCGATCCACCGTGACGAGAAACTTGACGTTCGCCTTCGTGTACTCGTGGCCCGGGAACACTTTCGTGTCGTCCGGCAGCTTCGCCAGCACCTCGTTCAGCGCGGTGTTCATCTCCGCCGCGGTGCCCTCGAAGAAGCGGCCGCAGCCGCCGATGAAGAGCGTGTCGCCCGTGAAGACGACTTTCTCGTCCGTGGAGGTGTCGCGCATGTACCAGCAGATGCTGTCCTGGGTGTGGCAGGGGGTGTGCAGGGCGGTGACCTCGACGTTCTGCCCGATCTTGAAGCTGCTGTTGTGCGAAGGGGTCTTGCTGACTTTGGCGCAGTCCTTGCCGCCGATGACGGGGAGGGAGGGGTATTTTTCGAGGATCTTCTCGTTGCCGCCGGCGTGGTCCCAGTGGTGGTGCGTGTTGATTATGGAGGTGAGTTTTAGCGATGAAGAGGCTTTTTCGAGGACGAGGAGGACTCTGTGGTGGGAGGAAGCATGTTAGTGGGGGCCACTCTTGAGTGTGAGGAAGAGAAATCGGGAGGGATATACTCGGGTGGGTTGGCGGGATCGATGATGACGGCTTCCTTGCTGGCGTCGTCGGAGACGAGGTAGGCGTAGTTGTTGGAGGAACCAACCCCTAGCTTCGCATCAGCGTATATACTCTAGGAGCGGGCATGCGAGTTCCATACACATGGGAATGCTTTGAATATGCATGGCGCGGATAGTTCTCGACGAATGCGCGGGGCTGGCTCGATGGACTAGATTTGTGGTATAGCTGGTGAGCGGTCGCGTTAAGAGACGAGATAGAATCATGAAGCAGGCCGAGACAAACAGTCCAAATGTAAGATATCTAAGCAGTGTACGCATTTCACCATGGTGCAGTCCATCGTCGCGACGCATGCGGAGAAGGTCGTCTCATCAGCTTGACGTCATCGGAGTTAAGCTTGATGACCCCGGGAGTTGGGAAAGCAGAACGGAGTAAGTAGGCAGTGAATAATACTCTGGTGGTGCAGTTGAAGTATTCCAAACGTGTATTCGGCCCATTTCACGAGCAAGGGCTATAACGTGCCGTAAGTACCGTACTCTGTTGTACTTCGCCTGCTCATCTGATGTCGGCTTTCACCTAGTAGTCTCTGGCTCTCAACCAGATCCACCACTTTCTCTTTGCCAGATATCGTTGGGATCCAGCCGCGCATCCAACCATTGACTCTCTCCCAATGAGTGTGCCCGTGACCATCTCTTACTTTCACCACCTTCTCTTCGTCCTCGCCGTATAGCAAAAATTGCACACCCATCATACCATCCAGACCGAGCACGCCGAAAGCTCCCAGAAAGAAGGGAGCCGCCTTAGCGATCCACTCTCCTCGCCGAGAGCCATGCTCATCTGCCCAGCCATTGCCGCCATATGCGCCAAAGTCACTCCACGCGTTGGGATTCGTGAGTAGAGAAGTCGAGTAGAAGAAGTTTCCGCAAAACGCGGCAAAGAAGAGGAGCGGAGACAATCCGGCGGTTGATTGCCGTGTCCAATTCTTGTACAGCTGAGGAAGGCGAGAGCCGAGATACAGAAGAGTAGAAGACCACGAAAGGACCATTCCGGCGACCTCGAGAGGCGTATCGGCGTGGAAGATATGGACACCGTGCGATTGAGACTGGCCCGGATTCGGCGCAGAAGAAGCTGGACGAGCTAGGGATGCGAGGGTCATCGCCAGCATAACAGTCCTTGGCGATGGTGAAGCCATCCAGCTTGAACCAAATTTCTCCATGACACCATTCGATTCCGATGGTGGCTTTGTCTTCTCGTAGTTGACGGCTGTGAAACTGGGGGCCCCAATGGCTTGAGCAGACGGGAGCCTCGTTGGCTCGTCATCTTGCTTGGGACTGGGCGCATCGTCGTCTCGGAAGCTAGTGTTAATTGGAGACAGACTATTGATCATGTCACTGGCATCATCGCCATCAATGCTGCTGCTTGAGGAGTGTAGACTCTCTCCATAGACCTTTCGAGTAAGATAAGTGTACCAGAAAAACTGCACCACCAAACACATATCCACAAACACATAGTAACTGGCGATAATGATCTGCCACGTCGCCTGATGCGTAAACAAAGCCCCCAACAAGTTGGTAGCATCCCCCAACAACCACTCCACCAGAAAGAATAAAGAGAGCCCAGCCGTGGATTTTATCTGGTAGTTCTTGTAAATCTGCGGCATTTGGGCGAACAGCCACGACACTATTGACAGCGTTCCGAGGGCGGTCGAGATAGCCGCGAGCGGCGTCGGAATACACGAATGGAAGTATGAGGATACATTGACTAGCCAGGGCTCTGTCGGCGAACAATGGGGAGGTAATGATGGCGCAAATATTGATATCATGGGCGTTGTAGCCATGACGGCTACGGGGCAGGCAGCGCGTCGAACTGTTCAGCCACGCGACACTGTTGTTGTAGGAGTAATAGGCTTCAAGTGTAGGAAAGTCCCAACGGTAGTCTTTCTTGCAAAACAGTTCTAGCAATCCTGAGCTCTTATCCTCGTTCAACGGGTGGCCGATGATGGGGCAGTGAGGCTGAGGCTGTGACAGTTGGCGGTGCTCGGTAAGGGTAGTGAGTCAGATGTGCTTGGGGGCCGGACTGAGCCCAGAAGTCGATGAAACGAACGCTATGCAGATGTAAAAGTGACTTGTACAACAGCAACAAGGTGTAAGAGACTCGAGAGGCTCACGTAGAACAACAGAAGCACGAGTGATTGTGAAGAGGAAATGACGAAGCAACACCCCGCGGTTCGAGGGTCCTATCGCGGCCTAGTGAACGGCAGCCTACCTGTTAGCCTGTGGAACGAGCCGGAGCATCCTGAACAGGTGGTCAGCCGGATTATGACAGCCCGGAATGACTGGTCTTGTGTTGCAGCTGGTGTGGCATCGCGAGGGATGGATCGGTGTTTGGGGGGGGTAGAAGAGATGGTGGGGGAAAGATAGTAATGATAAGCAGCAAAAGTGCCTGCTGATAGGTGCACATGGCTTCGCCTAACTCAAGCTAGTGTGGGAGTCGCCTAAAAGGCAGCCAGGCCCTGGAGATGCCCGCACAGGCTACCGCTGCAGCCGATCTCGCATCCATCCGTCTTTGACAGCCTTTTATGCATGACATTCCATCATACGGACCTTGCATTCCCCTTCACGAACCTCTCGAACCTCCTGGTTGGCGAGTAACTGAACTAAAAGTGCAGTTGAAGCATTCGCCTGCCCCACGAGATCAACCTGAAGCGTTCAGCTGTTGTGTGTCGACTTTTCTCTCGCCTCACTCGAAACCAAGCATGTGCGAGAACGGAGCCTAAGCATTGTTGTTACATGATAGTGCCACCGTGGGTCATGTGAGTAAAACGGATGACCAAAGGTGCTCACACAATCGCAGCTTCTGTATCGTTGCCATGATCTCGGGCCTCATAACGATACATTTTTGCCGACAAGTGACCTTCACACATCATCCTCCCCGGGCAAAGCTTCGTAGTAGCTCACATACGGCGGCCTACCAGGCTGTCAGCTATGCAACTCTTTTGACAACTGCCACGGTCTCACTGCTCACTTAGCAAGGTTGCGAGCCGTTACAATGCCCGCCGCTCCCACCGCATACGCGCCGAGCAGGTTCCTCCAGCTACCAGACTGACCCACGGCAAGTGCAACCAGATCGTAGACCAGACATCCGCCAAAGATCCAGTCGCTGGCAGCGCTGCCGAGGCCAAAGCCTACACCGGTCAATGCCTTGACGGCGAACGTGGCCGGCTGATCCTTGAAAAAAGCCGCCGACGTGTTGTGCAACAGATCGAGCACGCCAATGCCAGCAAAGGTCTTGGAGACAATGTGAGTGAGCACGCTCGACGTCGATTGTGTGTTCATCGGCCCCAGACGCGCAGCCACGTAGAACAGCTGCGTCAGCGTATTGATCGTCACAAAGCCATTGCTGATATCCAGCCGGCCGCCATTCCACGCCACCATCCATGCTGACACTCACAAAAACAACCATCAGTCACTGTACTCTCATGGGGGAACAGGAGGAGGAGGGTGATCAGTAACTTACCAGCAATGCACAGATTCCCCACCGCATAATACGGCACAAAGTCGACCATCTGTTCCAGCTCTCGTCGCTCCGCCGGCTTGGACTCGTCCAGCTTCCACAGCCGGTACAGCCAGCCGAGCTGGAACAGCTGCTGCGGGAAGAAGAAGCCCGCGATGAAGAAGGGCTGCGGCGAGAAGAATGACAGGTTCTGGTCGTGAATGTCTTTCATGTTGGGGGTCGACAACATGCCGTATTGCTGTGCGGCGAAGTCGATCAGGAAGCTGGCCGGCGCGAGCCAGCGCGCAGTGGAGAGTGTTACGCCCATTTTTCGAGGTCAGGTCTCTGCTTGTACGGTTGGGAAACGGTTGGGGACAAATCGAGTACTTCAGATATTTCCCACTAAAGAGGGAGTATTCAATGTATATATGACTTTGATTGACCAGCATTTCCAACGGCGCACGCGTGGTGTCTTGCTTCCGTCCATTGCATGCTGTATAGATGTCGTCACCACTCTCATTGGGTCGGAACTGCACATCAGCTCGGCACCGCAGACGACAAAGTCCGACATCTCCGAAAAAGTCGTAACGGACTGGACCACGCACGCTGCATGTAGAAGAGTGAACATGGACTTTTACATCTAGACTCAAGACACAAAGTTACAAGGCATTATCTCGTACTTTCCACCCCCATCAAACGTGATCCAACCGTCCAGGAAATGGATATTTTTGTCTTCCACTCCACGAATTATACGTCTCAAATCGAGATATGCCCCTACACGGTAACCATAGAAGCATAGCCGTCCAACTCCCTCTCCCAACAACGATGCCCATTGACCAGCCAGAAGAACTGCTCGAGGAAGCCCTTTGTCCCCTGCGCAATCTCCACCACACCCTCACTCAGCTTCGGCTTCGCCGCCGTCACCACGCCATACCACTCCGTCACCGCCTCCCCGTTACCATTGTAGTCCGCGACCTGATAGCCCTGCGCCTCCGAGATCGCCGCCTCTACAAGCTGGATACCATGTCCCAGTGCCGCAATGGCCTTGTCGTGCCCAAACGCTTCGCGGACCCAGAAGCGCGCGAGCCCGATGCCCAACAGCGTCTTGACGGCCTGCTCACCGCCCGGCACGACCACGGCGTCGAACATGGTGGACCGCATGCCGTTGAGGTGGTGGTCCGGCTGCGCCTCGCTCGAGCCGTCCGCGGCCTTGACCTTCTGGCGCTTCGGCGCGATGGTGAACGGTAGGGCGGAGGCCGCCTTGATGGCGGCGTGAACGGCGCTGTAGCTGGCGTGGTCGTAGCCGTCGGCGATGAGGATGGCGATGCGGCGCGACTTGATGGTTGGGTAGAAGGGGCCGAACTCGAGTTGAGACATGCCCTTGGCCGTCTTGCCGTGGTTCTTGACTTTCTGCTGCGTCGGCGTCGGGGCGCCGCATTTCTCGGCCACGGCTTGCGCGAGTGAGAGGTCGATCTCGGTGAGGCGGTCGACCATGCGTTCGTAGACGGTGGGGTCCTCGCAGTGGTCGAGCTCAAATGAGAAGGCGTTGGTCAGATGGAGCTTTTCGATGGGGGAGAGGGAGTTGTAGAAGAGCTGTGCTTGGGAGAGGTAGTCGGTCCACTTGTCGGTGAGCATGCGGGCTTTGATGCCGGATTCGGGCGCGGCGAAGGATTGGAAGCTGTCTTTGGCGCCGGTGTGGTTGCCAGGCGGGTTGGCATCGAAGCGATTGGGCCAGTAGTTCACTGAGCCTTTGGTGATGGTGTGGCGACCTTGGCCGTCACGGTTGAAATTCATGTAGGGGCAGACCGGTCTGTTGATCGGAAGTTCCTGCCAATTGATACCGAGCCGGGAGAGTTGCGTATCGAAGTATGAGAAGTTCCGGCCTTGCAGCAGCGGGTCTGGCGAGAAGTCGATGCCTGGAACAATATGTGACGTGCAAAAGGCAACTTGCTCGGTTTCGGTAAAGTACTCGTCGACGTTGCGGTTCAGTTCCAGCTCACCAATGTAACGAATGGGAACATCTTCTTGGGGCCAGACCTTGGTCGCATCAAAGATGTCGAAGGGGAACTTGTCTTGGTCAGCATCCTTGATGACCTGGATGCCGAACTTCCATTTTGGAGGTGCACCGTTGTCAATGGCTTCGTAGAGATCTTTTCGATGGAAATCGGGGTCTTGGCCAGCAATCTTTAACGCTTCATCCCACACGAGGGAGTGAACTCCCAGCTCTGGCGTGAAGATGAACTTGACGAAATGACGTTCGCCTTTGTCATTGAGGAGAGAAAAAGTGTTAACACCAAAGCCTTGCATCATACGGTACGAGCGCGGAATGCCACGGTCAGACATGGTCCAGTTATACATGTGCGTGGCCTCTTTGTTCAAGTAGACGAAGTCCCAGAAGTTACTGTGGGCTGACTGAGCCTGTGGGACCTCTGTGTGAGGCTCAGGCTTGACGGCGTGAACGATGTCGGGGAACTTGATGCTCTCTTGGATGAAGAATACAGGAATGTCGTTGCCGACAATATCCCAATTGCCCTCATCCGTATAGAACTTGACGGCAAAGCCACGAACGTCGCGAACGGTATCTGCACTGCCTCGGCTTCCTTGGACGGTAGAAAAGCGAAGGAAGACCGGCGTTGTGCGAGACGTGTCAGTGAGAACACCGGCAGAAGTAACATCGCTAGCACTCTCATAGAGCTTGAAGTGACCGTGAGCAGCTGCACCACGCGCATGTACAACACGTTCCGGAATACGCTCGTGGTCGAAACGATGGATCTAACGGGTTAGTGCGACTTCAGCCAAGGATTGACTCTGACTTACTCTCTCGCGTCCAATCTGATCTTCCAGATAGTGAGAGCCGACCCTACCAGACTTTGGGTCGACGTTTTTCAACCAGTGGTCCAGATCATGGATCTTGACGCCATGATCGGTAGTTTGGGGCTGACTAGTGTGCGCGTCTTTGATATCCTTCTGGAGATCTGCTATCTTCTTGTTCTCGGTCAGGCCTGCCTTGGTGGTGTTGGCCAAATCCTTGACATTCTGTGTAATTGATGAAGCCATATTTGCGAGGGTGTTAACTGCTTGGGAAGACAACCGAGGGCGTGGACCAGCTAAGGCGCAGGAGTGACGACTTCTTATGCAAGGTACTCTTTGAATTACAGAGGCTCATCTGTGTCGTCATTCTTGCAAATGCCGAATGGTTTCGTGTATCGACAGCGGTAGAGACGCGGGTGTATTACGCGTGAAGGCCCTCGCTTAGCCGGGACAGATTTCCGGCAGTACCACCTTACGAATCAGCGTTGCCATGTTCGTGATCTCAGCACCATGATTGCGTGAATGGGCTGATGACTGACTCCAGTCCTCGGGAGCCGCAGAAAGCTGCAGGCGGGATCACGAAGTGGCATCATGCCAATGAGATCATGGAGGGTGTGCCCGGCAATGGGGATGACATCTCTCGGATCGAGTATCCGCGCCTACACATTGTCTGCGGCAGGTCGTTACTGCAGCGTCCATGCGGCAGTAGGACATGGATCTGATTGCGTGATGATCATTGAGCTTGTTTCAGCATTCTCCAAAGGCGTATGGGTTGACCTTGAGGTGTCAACACGTGGTGGAATACCAGGGACGGGTGAGCCTCGCGACGTGATGCGGGTGTTACAGCAATGCGGCGAAACATTTCTCCGACCATGCACCGAGACTGACACCGCCGCCCATAAATCTACGACTCATCAACATGGACGAATGAGTAACAAGCACTGTCGAAGCTTTACACTAATCCGCACTTACGCTGGCACCTGCTTCCCGGGCCAATTCATTTTCGAACAGCGGAGCCCAGAATTTTCTCTCCAGCAAGTCGGTCGCTTTCCGTGTATCGTTGATGATCTGGCTCTTGTTGAGCAAATGCTGACACACTGCATCGTCGGCATCGGCTTCAGCATCGTAGTAGAAATTGCGTTTGTTGTTTTCCACGAAGAATGCGTGATGCCAACTTCGATACCTCATCGGAAGTTCTGCTTGAGATTTGACACTGACTGCTGAAGCATCGATCTCGGGTTTCGAGTTGCGATCTCGCAGTGCCCGGATCTGCTCCTCCGGAATGTCTTTATCATAGGAAGGTCCCGGCCCGCCCATCTCCAGATCTGCAGCTATGAAGGCAAGCTGCTGCTTGACCCAGGCTTTGGGTATCCGACGTTCTTCATAGATTGTGATCGCCTCAGCTATTGAAATGGACCCCTGTTGAACTTCCGCAAGTGCTTGTCCGAGGAATGCGGCATCCTCGATGGCGGTGGCAGCTCCTTGAGCGAGTGCTGGGTTCATCGCATGGCAAGCGTCGCCAAGTAGCACCACGTTTTTCTCCTTGTTCGACCAACTATCCATCTTTCGGATATGCAACAGCGGCCAGCGGTTCGAGCCCGGCGCGAGCGCCCATATCTTCTGTACAACTTCAGGGTAGTCTTTGAGCTGTTCATTGAGCTCGGAGAGGTCCGCATCTTCAACGATCGTCGTCGGCCAGCCGTCTTTCGTGTAGAAGCAGATGGTAATGTTCATTTCGGTGCCTCCACTGAGTGGATAGGTAACAAGGTATCCGTGTGGGCCACACCACATGTGGAAGTTGTTACGGATGATATGCCTCGCCTCCGGCACTTCGCGATAGATGGTGCTGATCTTCATGGTGTGTCGATATGCCACAGCTGGTGCGTATGGAACAGGCCCGACATCGGGAAACATCTGACCACGGATTGCAGATTTGATGCCGTCAGCCCCAATTACTAGATCAAAACTGTGTGAGGTTCCGGCACCTGTCGTGACCGTAACGAGCGGTGCGTGACTTGCCGTGTCGAAGGAGGCAATGCGAGCATTGGTTATGATCTTGACGCCATGAAGGCGAGCAGAGGCTTCCAGTCCAGCATGAAGATGATCCCGGCGGACAATATACCTGTCGATGTCAGGATGCTATGCCCTTGATGAGGTGGAAGGCAATGCCGACCATGGGAAACCACTGGCCCTTGAGACCTTCTTCGCATCAATCTTGGAGATCAAGTTGAGCCCCGGTCCCCCACTCCACGTGTTCGCCTCTTCGTGCTCAACCAGGTTGTCGCCAATGAGCTTGGTTACGCCCCAACGCAGCAGAAAGCGCGAGGCATTAGGAAACATCTACTTGTGGTCAAACAATGCTCCTGCAGGCTTCAAGGCCACGTACATGTATACCGGCGCCAATCTCGCCGAGCTTGGTAGCGGCTTCCAGGACTGTCACATCCGCGCCGCTTCTTGCAATGGCAATAGCAGCTGCCAACCCTCCCAAACCTCCGCCCACGACACCCACGTTCAACCTCTGCGATGGCATCTTGCTCAAGTGCAGATAGCAAGAGCCGTTTCAGTGTGGCTCATCTAAGAGCGTCTGCCGTCAGCTAGTCAACACACATACTTCCGTTAGCAATTGCCCCCGTGACTGAAAGAAAGGTAACGAGGCGAGTTTTGAAATAGCCAAAGTACAGGAAAGCCGGGATGTAGCAAGAGTGACGGCGGTCACCCTGATTGCAGATAAGTTGCAGGGTACGGGGCCCGTCTCCAACGGAGTAGGCCGAGGCGTGCTCGGCCCGCAATCGCGCAATGTGTTTATTTGGGTTCGGTCCGTCTGTTACGCGTGGTGCCAGCGAGGCAATGGTTGCCTGAAAGCTAAATACATTTGACGACTGCTGACCATGGGAGCTGGGAAGGTTCGAGGCGACGTACAATGTGCTTTCTACCCACCAAGATGTCACTCGCATTATTGTGAGGAAAGTGCACCGACGTTGAGGGCTTGGCGTTATCTAGGCAGGCGCGATTCTGGTGTTCCTCTTCAACCCAACTGCTTTCCACAAAATTCCGCAGATGCGTCTGTCACGGGTCTGGGATTTTGGTTCGGTACCTTTGGTTGACAAGGATGGTCGCAAAATGCGGCCAATGGGCCCTCGTTGAGGCTCGAGTCCCCCGCATCAGGCGATGCTGGTGCTCCGCCGCTCTTTCAGACAATCCCTTTTAAACCGGCGCTGGTCTCTGTCATCGTCGTAACTCTCACAATCTCATTGACGCCGGTGTTGGTCGAAAATTGGTTTCCAGTAATTCACCCTACCGTATGATCTTGTGAAGCGAGTGGTGTCGAGACCGCATGACCAGACAGTCGACGAAGTGGACGATCACAGCATGCAACCCGAAAAGGCGACCCTATGCGCTTATTGTACCAGATTGACGAACAAGAATCCTGCCGCGGCTCAACTTGAGCATTGGTCAACATTGGGGCTTTTGCGACCCTCAAGCACTAAATGTGCAATATGCAAGATCTTGTTGGGTAAATTTGACGACACTGTGAAGGAAGCGGCGGAGAGATTTAAGCAGATAACAGAAGCTGCTGCAGAGCAATACCCACTATCACTGAATCTCATTGACGACCCGAATCTGGAATCCGGGGTATGCTACAAATTTATAGAAGCTGGAATTGCTCTCCCGAACAAATTCACCTACATCTGGCGCTTCCACATCGCTGCACGCGAATCCCAAGGTTAGAGCTACAACTTGTGACATTGCGATAAGATTGGCTGATGATTACTGGTACAGCACCATCTCTGTTGCCAACGGCGTGGAACAACTTTCCCACTAGCCATGAAACGAAAGTGTCGAGGATACGAGACTGGCTACGCATTTGCACGAGTAGTCATCCTCAGTGCGGACCGAAATGGCCTTGTGAAGCGCCAAGGAGACTGGTCGATTTGGGTGTGGATAATTCCGGTGCCTTCAAGTTGGTGTCGACTGCAAGCATGAACTCAGAAAAGATCGAATATGTAGCATTGAGCTACTGCTGGGGAGCTCCGACAACTCTCAAAACGACGAAAGCAATGGTGGCAGCCTACCAGCATGAAATCCCACGTTCCGAGCTACCAAAGACATTTTCAGACGCAGCTTTGATAACGAAGGACATAGGTCTACGATACATCTGGATCGATGCGTTGTGTATCATTCAAGATGATCCGGATGATTGGGCGATGGAATCATCCAAGATGGCCGATATATATCATGGAAGTATACTGTCGGTGACTGCAAATGACTCCAGGTCCTCGTCAGGTGGTGTGTTTGTACAGGATAGCTCCCCGCTGTCTGAGAGAACTTTCAATGCACGGGCGTTCTTGAGGTCTGCAGATCACAGGAATGGCAGATGCACCTATATTCACATTGTTCCCGAGCAGAGGTGTGGCACAGCACTGGATGAAAGGGGCTGGACTCTTCAGGAAAATATCCTCTCCTCTCGGACCGTCGGCGTGATGAACTCGGAACTGATGTGGAGCTGTGAGTTCGGCACTTGTTGGGAATCAGGCATCAACTATAAAAGTGACAAGACGTACGGGGATCCTCCAGTACTCAAAACGAGTCTCTCTGAGAAGCAAAACCGTATCTGGTCGAGGTGGATGGAAAATTATTCCAGGCGCCGGCTCACGTTCCCAGGAGACCGGCTTGCGGCCATGCTGGGGCTGATCACCTACTACGAACGCATCATGCAGGACATACCAGTCTTAGGCCTATGGCAAAGCTCGCTACGTGAGGACCTGTCCTGGGTGAGGCTAACCAACCGATCTGAACGCTTACCAAATGATCTACTAGATCATAACCTTCCATCATGGTCACCATTCGTTTGTGATCAAGCTGTCAGCTCTGATTTTTGGTATGGAGGTAATGAAGGCACTGACCCACTAGAGTCTTGCATTGACGTTATCGAACATCAGGTGTCATGGGAAGGAGCACCGTATCTGTCACGTGTACAATCAAGCTCATTGGTGGTTGATGGATCACTACAGCAAATACATCTCTCTGAAGCGACTGAAGTTATTGGGTGCAATCCCCCTTACTTCAATCTTGATGAGGAGGAAGTAGACCCCGTCAGGGACCCTTTACCGTGGAGATGCGCGGTTCAATGGGACAGGGAAGGATACCGGCCGCCACAAAGATGGCCTTGTATGCTCTTGCAGAAAAGGCTCACAAAAGGATATGAGCTTGGAGGCGAAACATTCCTCGTCCTGGAAATCGTCAGAGGACAAACATACCGTCGTATTGGGATTGGATCACTCGGGCGCAGACGCACTCCTAATGGACCGGCAGAGCAAGAGTGGAAGTTCGACCTGAGAAACCGATCTAGAATAACTCTTATATGAAAGCTGGTGTTTTTCTCTATTAGACGCGCCGAAAAGAAGGCTTCTGCAGACCCTCTCCAATTATAGAAGAGCCGACGTCTCGACAGAATTCAGCCGATCTGACCTTGGGAAGAAGTAGAAAAAGTACGCGCCTTCCTGTGCTGGCTCTGGGACCTGTGTCTTCAGCCGATTGGGGTATAACTTGATCAGACCGTTGCCTGACATCCACACAGCGCCAGCATTTATGCTGCGAAGTCTCTCTAGATCTTTCCAAGGGACACAAATCCAATTTCTTTCAATCTCTAGAAAATGGCCTTCGTGGACTCTTTACCCGCAAAAACGCCATCGCTCATGCGTAACATCGTAAACATCCCATCACTCAATGATTTCGATGCTTGTCCAAAAACCACCCCGTCCACCTCCACCCGCCGACCCCCTTCTCCCAATCCCTCGCCCAATTCCCCTCTTTCGCGGCCTTCAAATCATCCACATTCAAATAATCCGCCCCCTCCCGCACCAGCACGCGCCACAAATACTCCTGCAACCCCTTCGGCCACGCGGGCACGGACCAGTACCGCACCTTCAGCCCCTGCTGGTGGGCGCCCCGGATCTGGGCGCGGATCAGCGAGAGTTGCTTGTCGGTCAGCGTGGAGCGCCAGGGGTACTGGATGGGGATGGGGAAGCCGAGGACGGCGCGCTTGAAGGAGACGGAGGCGTAGTACGAGTTGGCGCGCGTGTAGATGGCTGGGTTGAGGGGGGCGGCGCCGGAGCGGCCTTGGCCTTGGGTGGCGACGGGATTGGGGTTGGCTTTGTCGTCGTCGTCGTTGTTGTTGTCGTCGGGGTAGGAGGAGAGGTCTTGGATGGTGGATGAGGTAGAAGATGAGGAGGAGTCGTTGGCCTCGTCGTCGACGATATTGGCCATGAGGTCGAGTGGGGCGTCGAAGAACATGTCGCGGTAAGAGGGGTTGGCCACGACGCGGTTCCAGGGCGCGTTGCCGGTCACGACCACCGTGATGGGCCCGTCAATGACGTCGGTGCCGTTGAAGTAGGACAGGTACTTCTTCGTGCGAAGGGGTTCGAGTTGTGCCTCCACATGTGGCCATAGTGCTTCGCCATCGGTCTTGAAGTCGATGAGGAGGATGAGAGTCTGTCGCGGAGCGGTGTCGTAGACGCCGTTGCGGGGCTTGTCCAGGGAGGGGTGGAATTCCGTTGTGGGGTTTTGCTTGTCTAATATCTCAAGGAGGGGGTTGATGTATAATGACCGAAGAGTGCGGTTCGTGGACAAGGACGCGACAGTGTGGCCCACGAACAGATCGTCGTTGTATAACCAGACATCCGCCTCGACGCCGGAGCAGCCCACTGAAAGGGCCGAGAACAAAGGCTCTTTCCGCCAGTAATCGTTGTGACTGACGCAGGCGATGGGCTGGATGTCGGCCGTGGTGTCGGTCGGCCACGAGGTCGTGCCATCGGGCAGGTGTTCAGACATGCTGTAATGCGGAAAGGACACTTCTTCAGGGAAGAAACTGATCGTGAGGCCAACGATGGCAGTGATGAGGTTGAGGAAACCCCTGCTGGGATTAGCATGATGACGCCGAGACTTGGGCACTAGCGACTTACAGGAGCATGAGCAACAGGGCTACCAGACGCAGCACTCTCCTGAGGAGAGTAGGTCGCCGTCGTGGTGGCTTCTCAAGCGCGCCACTGGATAGTCTGCGGGTGCTGATGTATATCTGTTTGAGGTTGGGGAATCGCCATGTCGTTGAGGGCCGCGGCGAATGGCCATTCAACAGGTACTCATCTTCGTGCGCATGATGAATCGCCCCATTTTCGAGATCTGAATCAGAAGGACTCAGATCGGGACTGCTGGAGAAGGAGGTGTCGTGAAGAAACGGCACTGCCTCCGGTAGAGTCTGCACCGCTGATTGGGTTGACTGGCGGCTCTGTCGGGATGATGTGAGTGGTGATGACTGAGGCGACATGTTGAGCCTCAAGCCTGCGCAGTCGTCTGTTGGGGGCGAGAAAATCGCAGAAGCTTAACTGGAGAGCCGAGGCCTTAGCTAATCGATACCCTTATCCACGCATGGTAGATAGGCGGTCGATCGGAGGGGTGGCCGTGGAGGTCGCCGTCGCTGTGTCGACAGCAGTGAAGTAGAGGAGTGTCGCTGTGCTCTGGACCTCCAGGACCTTTAGTACCAGCGCTTCCAGCAGCCAGCTTGAGCTTCTGAGAAACAATAGCCTAGCCGCGAATGTGGGTGTAGTGGGTGGGATGTTCTTGGGGGTCTCGACCGGCTGGTTGGAGAAGTCGAGGGCTCACCGCCCAGGCCCGCGGCTTGGGGCACGCCGCACGGATATCCGCCGCGATTGGACCCGGCCCTGCCCGCTAGGGTGTCGTCTGTACTCGATAGCGAGGTCGTTGAGCGACGCTGAGCTGAGCACGTTGTGAAGCGATTGACCAGAGGGCTTTAAGAGCTATGAGCCTCGTGACAGCTGCTTGACGCCGTCGAAAGCGATCTTTTCGCACGTCAACCACTCCTTCCATCGTGCGCAACACCATCGACTAAATATCCCACCAACCCTAGACCACCACCCGTCAACCTTCTTGGCTGCGTCTTGCGTCGCTACTGGAAGCGTAACTCGCCTGGCGGACCAGCAGTGCGAATCCGGCTCCGCTTTGTCCCCAGCCGCATCCTCCAAAAGAGGGTCGACGCTGAAGGTTCAACCGTCCCGCTTTGGCGTCTATGATCAATCTCTGGACACTTGCTGTCGACCAGGCAGACGCGATACCACTTTGCGCATTGCGCTACAGCAAGCGGCGCAAAATCGGACATTCGCACTCGAGCCCGCCTCTGCACCCTGCTAGATATTGCAAGGTAGGTGGGTTGATGTCGCTCGTGAGCAGTGCTCGTTGAGTCATTACTTCATCTGGCAATCAACCGCCCGACACCACGATTAAGGGTCCAGAGTCTATAGTCTGATGCTCCTAGGTGTCGTCAGCTCGTTCGAAGTATGTGCCTGAATCATTCTAGCCCATCTCCTGGAATAGTATTGTCGTATTGATGCGCATCCCTGAGTTGACGACTGATTACGCAGCATTGCTAAGGATCGATTCTAGCCCGCATCTCGCCGTTAGCTTTCCATTTTTGCTTATAGGACCGAAGTGCTTCAAACGTGGGGTTGGTGTTCACGGGAAGCTTCATCTCTGTCATTGAGGCAAGTTCCCTCAGGATCCATGCTGATGAGACATGCAATATGTAAGCGTGTCGAATTTGTGGAGCTGCGAAGTGCGAGTGTCAGTGAGCATGAATAGGGGGAATCAGAGTCGATATAGTGCTACGTCGAAGGAAGCAACGGCAAAGTCGCCCGTGTGACAAGGCTGCCTACCAGCCTCAGCTCCTGAGCCAATCAGCAGCCTCAATTTACTGACATGCCTTGCTCCGCTCGTACACGACTCCTTGGCCAAGGTGATTCCACTGACCAGGTTGGAAGTGGGCTATTGCTCGACGATACTAGCCAGCAAGTGGACATGCCCACTCCTGTCGCAGGCAGAGTATTCGTGGATCCCCTTTAGAATACTACACCCCTGGTCTGTGTCATCTTCGCAACGTTGTAATTCCTGATCATGAACATCCAGATAAACGACAACGACATGATTCCAGTGCCCGCAGCCAGCATCCGTACCTGCGCATAGCCGTAGGATTCCTGAATCGCATAACGCTCTGGACTGCCCACTGCGTACGACAGCTGCGTCGTGATATCGCCGTATATCACCGCAATGTTGGGTAGCGCGCTTTCGGGGAGGTTGCGCGCCAGGGCGTTGGGAAATGTATTGGTCCAAATGGCTCCTGAGACGGTCGAGCCAACGGCACCGCCAATGGTGCCGGAGACGAACAGTACGGCCAGCGAGGCTGCGATGTGTTGATGATCAACTGCGGCGAGGACGGCGAGCTGGCAGCAGAGGATGAAGATGGAACCGCCGATCGAGATGAAGATCTCGCACATGATGATGTATCCGATGTTGCCGTTGGGGACCCGGAAGTGGATCATGAGGCCGAGGGCAAAGACATAGATGGGCACAGCGACATAGAACACCCACTTGAATCGGCCTGTGCGTCTGATGGCATAGCCGATGATGAACGCCAACACACCGGACACGACCTGGAAGGTCGAGTTGATGTAGCCAGCTTCTGCGACGGGGAGGTTGTAGACAACCTGCAAAAACGATGTAAAGTACCGATTCCAGCAGTAATAACTGATTTGATATGTGAAGTTGATCAGACACGCGCCGACGACAGTGCGATCAAGCAGAAATCGACCATTGAGGAATGGCACTGGGGCAATGTAGATCTGCTGTAACGTGAAGATGGCGAGCAGTACAAAACCAACGACCACCATGGCGATAATGTAGTCGGTCCGCCAGCCATTGGGTGCGGATGTCGCCAGGGTGAAAGGGAGCAGGAAGGTTGTCAGGCCGCATGAGAATAGCAAGACACCCAGCACTAAACTGATTTAGCTCCGTACAGCCGCCTTGGGGACTACACTTACCGTCGAGCTGAATGATAGCCCACCTGACAGTCTCCAAGATAGTCCGACCATTTTTCTCTTTAACGAGGAGACCATTCTTCAGCGCCTTGGTCTGGGCGCGTCTGAGCACGCCAAAGAGCGCGACTCCCACCACAGGCAGTATTATAGCGAAAGCGCCAAAGCCCCAGCGCCAGTTGACATTCAGCAGGAAGCCTTCAGCCGCTTTTGAACCTGCAAAGGCCGTAATCATGTAAGGCGATGACGTGAAAGCGAAAGCCAGGCCTCGATTCTTAAGGTTCGTCACGTCTGCAGCAAGCACACAGATCACATAGGTAACGCCCGAATTTCCGATCGAATAGAAGACCTGCAAGGTCATCAGTATATTGTCCATAGTCAATTGTGGTGCTGACACGTACCTGCGCGGCGCAGAAAGTAGGCAAATTCTGTGAGCCCGCCGCGATGGCCAGGCCAACGACGGAGAACGACATCATGAGCAGGAAACCCTCAGCTCGACCCCAGACGTCGAGGACCTTGGCCATGGGGATGTAGACGGCGGCGGTCATTGAACTGGAGACAATTCCCACTACATTCAACAAGGAATGCAACTGCCAGTCACTCGTCACGTATGGTAGCAGACTCGCCATGATGGCGCCTCTGAACCCATTGACGAGGAAGAGCATCCAGATACTGTACTCAGCTGTCAGTACGTGCGTGTAATTGTGCATGTGTCATGACCTTTGGCTTACAGGCATAGTAAGGCCGCGAGCGAGACCCTGGTCCAGCTCAGGGTGATGGCTTGAACCTTTTGGACACCTGCTTGAGCAGATGCGTCCGGCCTCGACGTTTCAGGAGGCTTTGACGCATCGTCGTCGGCTTCTGTGTTCATTTGGTTGACCGATGCGATCTTCTCTATGGCGCTAGATGCCTCAACATCGCTGGCTGGCGTGATCGTGTGCCCTACCTCTGATGAGTGCAGCTCATTGACCCCGGTGTTTTGGTGGGAGGCCATAGTGATGGTGAGAAAGTGAGACCCAGACGGAAGGCTATGTGACCTGTACTGACTTCTGGCAGAGGCTTTTCAGATGAATGCTCTTCGTAAATGCTTTCATTTCTCCTCAGGACGACGACGGGGTCTCATCGTCTGTCCACCGAGCGATTTTCCCATCATCGCGTCGCGGCAGAGCTAGCGCTGACTTTGCCGTCCTAGCAAAGTCAAGCGGTGCGGTAGTGCCATAACAACCAAGTCTTACCTGATTGATGAAACTACGTTGTGAACCGCGGGCTATGAGTGGCTTGAGTGGAGGATGGCCAAGTGGTTTGGTAGGGATCTATGTCGGCCAGCAGAGATTTCATCTAATCTAATCAAACTGCCAAGTCCGCCGAGCAGGCAAGTGGCCGGGTTGAACAGGGCGTCCGACCACTTCAACGCTGATAATCGGATCTAAGAAGCCGTGAACCCATCTTCGCCCTTCAGAACCTCAGGCTGTTATTGGCCATGACTAACTCCTGGTCATGCAAGGTCACGAACTATATGGTTAGAGTGTGTCCAGACTGCTCCCAAGGGCGATGTCGGAGGGCATCGATGTAATTGTCCCAGGACTGACTCAAAAAGAGGCCCAAGGTCGAAGAGAATCCCGACGGTAGAGGGTGGTGTCCACAGTCGCATGATTCTCATGATGAATCTGTAGGGGATTTTGGGCGCAATGAAGCAGGCTCTAGAGCACGGGAAAGCCGATCGGAATGATGCATTCAATGGATTGTACCAGGTTCTTTCGTGCAACCGTTACTCATACCCTATCAAAGCGTGGACGATATGGCGTACATGAATCTACTATCCTCACCCTGTTATGCGAAGCACTTTCAACACCGCAGCTCCTCAATGTGGCTAGTTGTTGCCCGGCTCAGACCGTTCTGGACCTGTCAAATGGCCGACGTAAAGGCCTTCTTGCACGGTCTCTGCATCGAGCTGGCTCCCTGATGTATTCCTCAATTGCTGCTCGTATCGCTGAGGCTCTTTGCGGCAGCAGCCGGACCCTTCTCGGCGTCGTTGATCGACATAGGTCCATTGAACCTTGCAGGGCCAGCTTGTTTGGCAGCGCGCTTCCTGCGCACGAACCACCAAGCAGCAGCTCCAGCAAGCAGCAGCCCACCACCGATGGCGCCAATGCTGATGCCCGCCTTCTGTCCGGCGGAAAGACCTGCACTCCCACCACCAACAGCAAGGGACTGGACCTCGGAGCTGTCGTGGCCATAAGCGTCTGCGACCGTGCCAGAAGCATGGTACCCGCCCGTTCCTGCGGGCAACTCGCACTCAGTGATGTTGAGATGGTTGACTGCATTCTCCGTGACGGCGCAGTTATCTGAGATACGGCGCTGAGGAGCGTGGTCTTCTGGATTGGTTGCTGGTCGTAGGAATGATGTCTCGTATGCTGAATCGAACGATGGCATGATAAAGGAGATCACGTCACGGAGGACCAGGTCAGGGCGGGCTGGGCCACGGTCGGGGAAGTTGTGGCGACGGTTGCGATTAGTCTGCTTATCGGTGAGGTACACGTGCTCCTGACGGACAGCATAAGCGTTGTTGGCAACATTGGTAGCAGTCTTCCATGCTGCCAGGTCCAAACGATCCGCCTGGTCATGTAGCCCGCCCAGATTGTGCTGCGTGGTATCAATGATGGCCCAAGATTCTCTCGCGAAAGTGCTCTGGCCATCACTTGCTGGAATGCCGAAAGTGCCTTCATCCGAGAGGCTCTCCAGGTCTGACGTGAGGTTGACAAGTCGTACTCCAGCATCTGAAGCAATAACCTTCCACCACTCATTCTGGTAGGCTGCAAAGTCAGACCCATCCTGTTCCACGGCCGACAAGAAGGCGCCCTGTGGATAGTCTTCTGACACTATCAAACTGTTGATATTGGAGGCAGCACAGCGATAACTGGAGGCAATAGCGTTGTAGATGCTGTTGGCTTCTTCCTCAAGACCATAGAGCATACTGACAAGCTTTAGGTAGCCCAGCTGCTTCAACGGCGCATACTGCCCGTTGTTGATGATGAGGATCCGAGAAGCGTCCGAGCGTTGACTGACATCGCCGTGTAAGGTGACATTAGCCTCGGGTGCTTTGTCCCAGTTCTCCTCATCATAGGTCACGTTCTCTCGCATGCGGCCCCTGACGCAAGACGACGTGACCGTGTCATACGGTCCAACGCGTGCGATGGTGTGGGACATGCCGAGCATCTGCGGAAAGATACATTAGGTGAGTTGCAATATCATGTCACTCGACTTACCTCAATGAGATGCTGTGAGAAGCCATCAAGGGCTTCAACGCTATCGACAGGCACTTTGACCACGAGAGAGCCGTTTGTCACAGACTCTGGAGGAGGCTCGTTGGTGCAGTGCAGCAGGATGTGTCTGCGCTGTCTGTTACGAATCTTGACAAAGGTGTTGTTGTACTCGGCAGCGAAAGGGTTGCTCTCGGAAGACTCAAATTTGGTCTCCCAGAAGTCGACATCCGAGTCCCACGAGGCCTCTGGGCACCCTTCCCGGAAGGCGGCAAGGGCAAGAGGCACGGAAGCCAGCAAAGTACTGATGCAAGTGGATGCCTTCATGATGACCGAAATGCTTTGGATGATAACGAAACAAGTTGGTTCATCTTTTCCCATCACAGGAAGACGTTCTTATATGCCATGTTGGCCAGGTGGAATCGCCTTTCCCAGCGCCCTGTGTCTTGCATTGCAGTGCCGCTAGTCCGTGGTCTGAGCACGAACCTGTATACAAGGATAATGGGCACCTTGGCTTCGTCTCAATGAGGTCCCCTTTAGCGAGACATGGTCGCGGTGGAGAAGGTGCGGAAGCAAACGCCGTCCATCGAGCCGCAAAAACACGCAGCAGCCATCAGATATTGACTTTGATCTTATCACTTGGCGGTAAAATATTTATCAGATCATCTGATATGGGCGAACCTTTGCCACCCATGAGTGGGCAAAACATGGCTCATACGACCCTTGAAGACGGTCCTCACGCCGAGTGGGTGTGTCGTGCTAGAGCCTGAACGTGGAGCATGCTTCGCTTGACGGCTGCAGGACCTCGACTTCGACTCTTGGCATCTAGCTACACCAACGGCTGCGACATCGCAACCAGGGTGCGAAGAAGCCGTGATACGGTGCCAACGCGACGACCACGCGGACATCGATGGCATCCGACCGACGTGACCGAGCTGAACACCTGTAGTGCAGCAGCTCGGCACAAGCTATTCAGGTCAAGTCTGAGGAAGAGGACCAGAGCTCCATGAGCGAGAATGGCCCCGCCCATTGGAATGACACAAACCTGACTATGTGAGCCCTGTCTATCGCATGCCAGTGGATAGCAACCCTCGCGTCGCTTGGTCGGACAAAGAATTTACCTCAACTTATAGCGGCCAAGACTCCGACTGCTTGCTCGGCTTCACGCCACCGGGTATGCCCAAGACATCGTTATGTGCGAGAACGAAAACCTGCAGCAGTGGAAGGAGGGGTAGTGACTGGGGAACCTTCTCATTGGACTTTTCCATCTCTGCCTAATCATACTCAGTAAGTACCTTTCTTTCCCGCAGGAAGCTTCCAACCAGCACTCATGCCGCCTTGCCGCCTTGCCGCCTTGCCACTTCGACCTCGACCTTACAACGGGCCATTCGGATGGATCAAGACTTTCGTGTACCCCTCCACTCGCTTGTCGAACTTGTCGTATGCCACCTCTGCATCGTCGATGCCGATCTCGTGGCTGACAACGAAGCTGGGCTTCGCCTTGCCCGAGATGATCAGGTCTCGTAGGTATCGGTTATACTGCTTGACATTGCACTGACCCGTCGCCAGGCTCAGGCCCTAACCCGACTGTCAGCCAACCATTTGAGAAACATCCACTCCCTGCCGTAGACTCACCTTCTCAAACAGCTTTCCAAAGCTCAGACTCAGCATGCCCTTCCCGCTAGCCGAGTCCGGCGCACCCGGGTCCGTCGGCACATACAGACCTGGAATACCCAGCCCGCCACACGCCCTAGTGACCTGAATCATATTCTCGAGCACCACATTCGGCACCTCCTTGTCCCCTCCACCCGCCACAGCCTGGTATCCCACCGCATCAACACTCCGATCCACCATGCCCCCATTCTTCTCCTTGATCGTCTCCACCACGTCCACCTTACTGAAATCAATGGGGATACACCCAATCTTCTCGCCCGCCTGCAACCTCTCCGGCACGCGGTCCACCACAAACACCTTACTCGCGCCCCGCAGCTGCGCCGAGTACGCGGCCATGAGTCCGACGGGCCCGCCGCCAAAGACCGCCACGCTCTCGCCCGGCTTGAACCCACTGAGCGTGACGCCGTGCCAGCCCGTCGGGAAGATGTCGGCCAGCAGGATAAAGTCCTTTTCGTTCTCCGTGCCGGGAGGGAGTTTGAGCGCGTTGAAGTCCGCGTAGGGGATGCGGATGTATTGCGCCTGGCCGCCGCGGTAGGGGCCCATGGCTACGTAGCCGTACGCGCCGCCCGCGAAGCCTGGGTTCACGCCTGTGCAGAAGGCGGTCTTGCCTGTGGCGGGGTGCCCATGTTAGTACATACATACCTTAAGTTCTCGGAGTAAAACAAGGACGTGGAGGTGGTAGAAGTCGAGGGAGTGATCGAGGGGAACGGACCTTCTTCGCAGTTGCGGCACCGGCCATCGGCGACGTTGAAGGGCCTAAAACATTTCAAGTCAGCTTCCAATGATGGGCCCATCAGGCAAAGTTCGAGAAGCTCACATCACGACACGGTCACCCTTTTTGAGCAGCGTCACGCCCTCACCAACCTCTTCGATCACGCCCATGTTCTCATGGCCGAAAGTAATGCCTGCCTGGGCTCCGGTGCGGCCTTCGTACTGTGCTTGGTCAGGGGGCAGACTCTACTAAAGCTGAGAGAGGGGGCCATTTGGGGCGCATACCATGTGTAGGTCGGAGCCGCAGATTGCTGTGAAGCGAAGTTAGCGGAGACCTACTACTCGTAGGGCAAGCGAAGCACTCACCGGCCGTGGTCACCTTGACGATGATGTCGTCCGGGTGTTCGATCTTCGGCTTCGGCACGTCCTCGACCTTGACCTTGAACGCGCCCTGGTAGTTGACGGCTTTCATTGTGTCACCCATCTTTGAACAAATGTTTCTTGTATGCCTTTAACAACGTTTCAGTGCTGGATAACCCCTTCCGGATTCGCGGTATATGGCTGAGGCTGATGCGAGCCAGGCAAGTGAATCAGCTATCCACGGAGAGGATATGTGGTGGTGCAGCCACGTCGATATGGAGCAAAGCTTTCAGGCGTATCCGTAGACAAGTAATACTGTTACTATCCGAGACAGAACGTAGGGGCAGTAGTAGTAGTAGCAAGCAATAGTACACGAACAATAGCGAAGATTTCCCACAATAAGCAGCACTTCATAGCTTACATATAGTTCCCCCTCCCTCCTCCTCCACCACCACCCCCCCTCTCCACGGCAAAGCCACTGCGGTTCCCAAGAATGTCACCCTCCAAGCTTCCGGGGATGCCCCTCACCAGAACTCGTACCGAGTAGTGTCAGCCACTCTGACGGCAGGGACTGCATCCACGCGTTGTGTTGCAAATTGCCGGCCCCGTTGTGTTGACGTATCGGGGGAGTCTAGACGCATTGCGGGGTACTCTGGGCAGCAGCAGGCCAGGGTAGGCAGGCAGTGAATATAATTTCCCCACTCCGACATCATCAAAGGACAGACGTCAGACCCGCGGGTTCCTCCAACACGAGGGGACACGAGCTGATTATTCGGTCTTCCACTACCGAGAAAGACTGGGCGCTGCAATCAGCAGCGACCTTGTCAGCAGTCCCGTGAGCAGCTAGGCTCGACCGGCGGCCGACGACGTACCCTTGCAAGCCTAGAGACCATTGTTCGAGACCACAGCTTACGATCCAGGATCGCGGAGCTGCGGATCGTCCGAGTTCGATGCTGGTGAGCACGAAATAACATGTCAATCGAACAAAGAATCATTCTTAAGTATCTTCTTTGGGAGGTATCTCGTTATGTGAATCTCTTTCCACGCTAAGAGCGTCTTGAGACTTCAAGCAGATTCCGCTCTCCACCGTTGCCGCTGAAGTCCATAGACATGCCAACTAGCCTACACCACTCCACTGCTGAACAGTCCGAGCAGATATCAATAGCTGTCCTTCTATCTCTGCAATAGGAATGCTCAAAATACCCATAAAACAAGCCTGAAAGCAATCGAAGATGCAAGGGCGGGTCTGGGTAGTGGCGCGAGGGGCGTGCAAAACTGGTACCGGGGGTCGTACATGATTGTGAATCTTTGGTGTCGTAGGTCGTGGAAGGCGTGAGTGGTGTGAATAGGGGTTCGTAGGGGTATCAGGGAGGCAAGGCCCGCGAATTGGGGCAGCTCGTCCTCGACATGGTGCGCATAAATATTTGGCAGAGCGCGACGCGAGTGTCCTTGTTAAAGACTCGGTTGGCGAGTGGATCGCTGAAGTGCTCACATGTCCATCGAGTCGTTGCTATTGGCGGCAAAATTGAATTGACCTTGAGGTTGCTGGTTGCTGAGGGTGTATCCTTGAGCATTAGCCTGAGGAGCAAGCTCCTCAATATCAGCACCAGCATCCTCCTCATCCGAGAAGTAGCGCTCGATGATGTTGTAAGCTTTCATATAAATCTCCTCATTGGCGTTGTTCTGGCAGTCGTGAATCTTCTCCATGCCGCCAGCCTCTTCGATGAACAGAGCATAACGGTTGACCTGAGATTCGGCAGTGTTGGCACCAGCAGCTTCCTTGTCCATCTCGCCGACCTTCAAAATGTTCTCAAGACCATCCAAGGCAACCTGGATAATCTTGTTATCGGGACAGCCAAGCAGGTCACACAATGGTTTGATGCAGCCTTGAGCAACCAAGTAACGGATTTGCTCTGGTTTCTGAAGACCGCCCGAGGTGGCGTTGGAGATAGCCCAACACGCTTCTTTGCGGGTCTTGAAGTCACCATTCGACAGGAGCTGAATCAGAGGAGGAATAATGTTAGCATCAACCACAGATTGGATCTGAGTCGAATTGCCAGCGGTAACATTGGAGATGGTCCAGCAAGCTTCCTTGCGGATGCCATCCTTCTGAGACCCAAGAAGTGACAGGAGAGCCGGCAGAGCTCCGCAGTTGATGATGACTTGAGTCTGGACATCATCACCGGTGACGATGTTGCCGACCGATCGCAGGGCGGGGGTCTGGACGGAAGTGGAGGCGTGCATGAGGAGCTCGACGAGGCGGCGCGGGATGCCGGCTTCGATGACGGCCTGGATCTTGTCATTGGACCCATCGGACAGGTAAGAAATGGCCCAGCAGGCGTCAATTAGGACCTCGTCATCCAGCATGTAGACGAGCTTGGCGAGGACCGGGAGAGCGGGGTGGATCTCAAACTCGTAAGCATCAGAGCCACCTTTCAAGGGAAGCATTCCTACCTGTTGCCAGTCTGGCTGGGGAGTCTTGCCACGGCAGAAATTGCTCAGGGTCCACGTAGCATTGCGCAGCATGCTCAATTTGCGACCGTCGCCAATAAGCTCGAGGAGAGGTTTGAGGGCACCCTGGCTCAAGACGTAGTCACGGCAGGCGGGGGAGTCTCCAGCAATGTTACCCAGAGCCCACACCGCTTGTTCACGGACATCGGGCTCGTGGCTGCGGAGCAGCTCGACGAATATAGGGACCGCACCGGCCTCGATAACGACCTGTGTCTGTTGAGCCGAGCCTGAGGCAATATTGGTAAGAGCCCACGCAGCCTCAAACTGGACCAAGGTATGGGGGGATCGCAGGAACTCGACGAATCGGCTGACGACGCCGGTCTCAATAACCTTCTCAATAGGAGGGTTACGCTCCTTGGAAAGAAGTTTCCGGAACTTTGTAGTGGCAGCGATCTGTGAGTCAATGTGGTCGGAGAAAACGCCTTTCACCATTTCAGGGAGGTCTGTAGAGAGCTGCGCATGATCAGTATTCGAAACATAAACTGCGCGGGTACGACGAACCTCGCTTTCGAGCATTCCACCTTCATCTTCGCTGTCAGCGTCGTCGATACTGCCTACACCAATTTCGCCATCGCCGCGGGTGATGCCTCGTCGCTTTGACAGATTTTCCTCTCTCTTCTGACGACGAATCTCAACCTGCTGCTCCTCACGCCGGCGACGAAGCTCATCGGGCTTGAATGAGTTCTTGGCCTTGAACTGAGTGCGACGATGTTCGGGGATGTAGCGTTCCGCCATGACGACAGATCAGGAGTGGAAGGCTTGTTGTTGGACTTGAAAGGCGGAAATGGTAACAGTGGGCTGGGTAGAAGTTGTCTGTTAATGGGAAAATGCGGCAGACACACCGGACTGCAGACAACTGGCAGTTGTGCGGAGCAAACAGAAGAGTAAAGAGAATGGAAGGCGCAGGTGAAGATTGTCTGTTTTGGGCTGAAGAGGGACGACTTGAAGTTCGAGCCTGCCCGCTCTTTGCCAAGCCAGCAAGGCCGTGACATGGCCTTACCAAAGCAGGACTAGCGGAAGCACGTGACTCTGCGACTGCCAAGGCCTTAGCGCGCCTTTTCGCCTCGCGTTAGACGTGACAAACGACGCAATGTGTAGGTAAGGAAATCCGTTGGGTCACGTCGTGAGACTCATAGTGAGCTTGACTGACGAATCTTTGGGTCTTCCCAGAAAGCATACGGACAATGTGATTGTGAGCTTCAGCGCGGCCTGAGCGCAGTTCACTATTCTCGATATGGCATACACTGGACTGCCCAAGGTCCCTGAAGGCTTCGAAGACCTTTCGACAGCATGGAATTACCCACTTCCCAAAGTCGGGGACAGACACTCCTGCAATATAATCGGAGTTTGCGTTGACTTTTTGGAATGCACCAAATCTGGAGGCACCGATTACACCATGAAGCTAACTCTGCACGACCCTTACTACATGGATGGTATTGGCATGCAGTTCCAGCTTTTCTTCAAAACCCCCTCAGGGGCGCCGCAAATCCAAAACCAGGGCGACGTCGTGATTTTCCGCAACATGGGAACCTTATACCATGCATCTCGCGGCAAGATGGCGATATCTAGTCACTCGAGCACTTGGACAGTCGTTGAGCACGCCAGTCTCAGTGATGCTGACGCAGACTTCTCCAACCTCAAGATTTACCGGTCTGAGCGCGAAGGCCGACGAGCCCCTCAGCCGACAGTCGAAGAGCTCAGGTACGCCAAAGCAATCCTTGCTCTCGATGACCCCTCGACCTGGCAAGCCCCACCGAAATCCACCTCTCTTCAAATCCATGCCACCATGTTAGCAAGCGGCGGCACCCCCAGACCGCCACCGAGGAAGCATCGTGTTATTTCATCCCTGGAGGTCCCATCTCACAATCGTGTCTATGTCGATCTAACCGCCGAAGTTCGACGTTCCTACGATACAGATCGGCTCCTTGAACTATACGTGACCGACTACACTCTGAATTCAGATCTATACGACTATGTTCACGACCCTCATAACTCGGACACCATCCATGACTATGGCGATCAATTTGGCTATGCTTCCAAGACAAACCAAAACTGGCCAGGGCCATGGGGCAAGCAGACCATGACCGTTGTGCTCTGGGAGCCACACCGTAGTTTTGCCCTGAAGAACATCACGCCTGGTGACTTTGTAACACTCCGTAATGTGCACCTTAAGATGGACACCCAAGGCGCAAAGCTAGAAGGTGTGATACATGGAGACAATCTACACCCAGACCGCATACTGGTATCACGGCTCCGGCCTCGTGACGCCAGCAACAATGAAGAGCTGAAAGACCTCCTGCGGCGCAAACAGGCCTACGAGGAATACTGCAAGCGTAGCGGGCTGCGCTTCATACGGAACGCCGACCCGGCCGAATTGAAGACAGCGAACGAGAAACGCAAAGCAGAAGCGGGTATCGGAGAGCCAGAACCGCAGCCTGGTGAGCAAGACCCGCAGGACAGCCGCACCAGGAAGAACCGCAAGAAGAAAGAGAAGCTCCGTGCCCGAGCCGCTGCAAAGGCCGCCGCCAGCGCCACCACCTCAACTGAAGCCAAGAGCGTTGTGCCATCCCTAGCACCAAACGCCCACGTCCGCACCAACGCCTCTCCTGCCTCACTCATCCGCATCGACGCCATCCTCGACCCATCCCTCCTCCAGCGCAAAACGCCAGAGGGAAACACGTGGACCACACCATTCCAGAACTGCCGGTACAAGAGCCGCGTGCGGGTAGTGGGCTACTTCCCAGCAAGCCTCGAGGCATTCTCCGTCCGTGTGCGACGAAGCCAGTACGCCGAACTGTCAGACATGGAGAGCCAGTCCGGGATCAACGAATCGGCGGACGAGGATGGCAGCGACGCCATGGACGTGGACGACAGCGGCGATGACACACAGAGCGAGGTGCGGTGGGAGTGGCGCTTCGCGCTGCTTGTCGAGGATCCTTCACCGCGTGCAAGCAGCAAAACCACTAAAGCGGCGCTGTGGCCGCGGGAGCGCAGGCAGTTGCGTCTCATCGTCAATGGCGCGGACGCAGAATACCTGCTGCGCGAGGAGGCGTGCGACCTGTCCAAGGACCCGCAGGCTCTGGCGCGGCTGAAGGAGAAGCTGTTCGTGCTGTGGGGGGACTTGCAGGAGAAGATGGAGGAGCTGGAAGCCGCTGGGAAACATGTGCTTGGCGATGGGGAGGTTGACGTGGAGGCGCCATCGGTGCAAGCGAGCTCACAGCCCTTTGAGTGTTTCATTGCCGAGTACGGAGTGAAGAGGGAGGGCACGGACGGGACGAAGGCGGAGCACTGGGAGCGGTGTTTCCGAATGTTCCATACCAGTGTTGCCTGACGCACTGGATCGAGGGGGATCTTACTAGAGGGTGAATGGTCATGGTGTTTGAAATGGTTCCACGAGGTATTGAACAACGACAACGAATGAAAGGTTGGAAGGAAGGACTTGTACTAAACGATAACGAGCTGGTCTGCGTCTGCCGGCCGGGACGAAATCGATATGGATGGCGTTCGAATTTCCTTGGGCTGTAGCGAGCAGGTCCATGTCAGGCCTCAGCCTCTGAACAAGCGCGTAGCTTCAAATAAACAAGCATGGTTGTATGTAGCTCGACGACCCTAGTAAACCCTGTCCGTCGGAATTTGGCAATGGGGCAATCATGACGCACATATCGTAGCGAACGCCAGCTCGCATTCAGGACAGAAGACCGGCGACCGCAGCGATAGTCATAGCATTTCGGCATCCACGAACTTACATCTGCACTTCACATTGACTTTGCAACGGCTCCAGCCCCGCCGGCACCAAGGAGCCGCCTCACTATCGCCTGCCGATCTCAGCTCCGGAGTCGAGTACAGCGACTTGCGACATTGTTGTTGTTGTCTGGTGAAATCCGAAATCACATTGGCCAAGACGGCATTGTCACTTGTGGCGGCCCACGCCATTCACCCAATCAAGACAATGTGGCGGTCCTGCCCATGCACCATGCGCATCCCACAGAAAATGTATCTAAGTCGCTGTGGGCAGTGCCCTCTGATGGCTTCCCCCAACGAAAGAATAAATGTGTCCGGTACAGGACATGGACCTGCCGTTGCGGGACAAGTGGCACGGTCACGGCGGGTGGCGTGGGCAGTGAGGTGGGAGGAGGAGTACCTTATCTTAGCATGCGTGGAGGCATATGAAGCCCATGAGCGACGATGTCTTGTGCCTACCTCCCCACTGTATAGTAGTTTGGTCTCTGTGAAATGCACAGGTTGCAGGTCTGGCGTTGATGCTTACTACGTCATGGGGATGACTGCTCCTGTGTTGAATGGTCTTTCTAGCATATACCCATGGGCAGCCTTTGTGTGTGTAATATATTTGTTCTGAAGGGGTCGATCTGCGCAAGTGGAGAGATTCTTTGGGGGTCTCTAAGAAGCATAACTTCCAGGACTTACTTGGCGCGCCAACTGCTGTATCTTGGGATGGGCAAATGGCCGGAAGCCGACAGCTACCGGGTCAATGGAAGGCCTGTGTAACATAGCAAGTGGTCCGAGGCAAAGTAAAGTAGTTGAAGGCGAGGCGCGGAATAAGGACCGATCCACATCAGGCATACGGCAGGCGCTTTCGGCTTCGAAGCGACGGTTGCTTATTGTTGACCACCAATAGCTGCGCACGTTGTCTGCAGGGCAAGATTGATGCTGCCTGCCTGGAGCTGGGAACATCCCCGGCATTGCCCTCACAGCCAGTCGACTCTAGACAGCCTCAACATGACTCTGAAGTGGCTTGGCGACAGCTTCGGGGTCGCTAACAAGCTGTGGTCAACCAGACAGTATGAAAGGGTACAGGTATATCGGGTGGCGAGTCTGACGGCAGACCAGGCACCCATTCTGATGGCGGAAACCCCAAGCGGGATTGTCTGTCAGTGTGAACTGGAAGTGTCGATCAAGTACCAGCCACCTGCACGACATGTGCTGCAGGACGCCCATTGATCCCGAATGGTGTTTGGCGTTGTGCTTGACGTTCAGTTAGCCCTCATTAGCTTGCAACTTTCTCTGCAAGGGTGGTGACTGGCGGAGATGCCTCGCTACACAGCCAGACATCCACGCAAAAGCTCCGATACTGGACAGCTGTAGGCATTAAGTCTTCGTAGCGATCATGATCGAACATCAAGCACTATAATTACTCACTTCGACTCGAGGCAGACAAATCGGCTGGCGTGTGTGGAGAGCAGCACGGTGCAAATCCTTATCGATAAAGTAAATGCCCCTCCATCGGAGATGTCATCGGAGATGTCGCAGTCGTGGTGGGGCACGCTTGGTACCGGGTACTCCAGTGACTCTCGTGTACTAGTCAACCTTTTACGAGTCTCGCACTCGGTGCAAACCATCGGCAATGACTTGTGGCCTGTTGACTGCAGAATATGGCAGTGACAATTCCTTTCAAGAACGATAGGCGATGGACAAGCGCAGATCATTGGTGGTGTCAGGCCGGAAAGCTGGTCCTGGTGACACGCAAGACTTGCGAAACATGCAGACATTGTAATTGAAGATCGTGACTTCTTTGGAGGTAAAGTCTGCGAGTGTGGTAGGTATCAAGAACATCGATCTTGCCTTCTGGGAAGTATGCACAGTACCGACTATAGGCAAGGTTCTGGACGTTCCTTTTCCTATCTAGTAAGGAATACCACAGATATTTACTTGCCAATCAACTCTGGTGGCGTCAGTCTTCCATGCGATCGGAGGTGCAGCACCGTCCAATTGAGACCGTGCTGTTCGAGTCAGTCCACTGGTGAAGTCTCGCAGTCCGCCGAAAGAGCACGTTGTCGGTGGATTTTATGAACAAGCTGAACGGCTGTGAGCGGCTCGGCCGGAATAGGTCTATCTGAAGCAACCATGTTGGTGGGTCATGTGTTGGCTGGATACTCTGAACGTTGCGAAGCGCTGTCCGCAGTGATTGGAGCAGACGCTAAGCAGGTTCGGTTTGCCTTGCAAGACTCGAGAAGTCAAAATCTCAAGTTTGACAAAGTAGGTGCCCAGATCTCAATCAGAACCTCAATAGCCACCTTTGACTTTGGGCTATGGCGGTTTCATACAGACACTGTAGCGTCAACGAAAGTCGGGGACCAGCAAAGCCCAGAATGTTGCGCCATCAGCGCCACTGGGTTATAAGTCGTCTGACCCTGCGTTTCTGGGTCTTGGCTCGAACCGAAGACGAAGCCGCGTGCTCGAGTCAGAGCCGCATACGCCTCGTCTTGGAGAGGGTGTCTGATGCCTGGAGAGCGTATGGAATATGGAGTAGCTGTTGCAACGCCCACCACATGATGGGTGGGTCTGGACAAGGGCCACCGTGAATGTAGCGCCGGGCTTAGGTTGCCTAGCCCGCGGCACCTGCAGCTCCCTGCAACTCATTTCTGATCGTGAGTGTTAGCGTGCCCACCGTCCTTGTGACCTTCGCATCCCCAGATTTTTTCACTGCCTCCCGGCTATTGGGACTCTCCACAGTGGTACGTCCCCCCCGACTCAAGATTCTCATCTAAACTTTCCTACTGGTAGCTCGAGGGACAGCCCAGGGGCCCAAGTCCGGCCGGCACCCCCCAGGCGTCCACACCCATTATGGTGCCCGTTGTGAAGGCTACTCAAGTACCACTCGACGCTAGACGCTGCTGTACAAGTATGTTCTGCTCGGGTGTGATGTGCGCATGTTCCCGGCCGCCTTTCATGTTCACATGAGTCGGGGTCTGAGACAGAAGAGACGCTTGCAACAGGCTCCGCCACCACTGCAAGTTTTGTCCACTTTGATCCAGCAGAGCCATCAAGTAGAGTATGACGGCACACACGGCCGGCACCGGTACGTGTTTCGTGATCGAACTGTGCCCAGGCATCTCAGTCTTGCAGAAGGCGGCCCCAGATTGACATCGGCGATCCTGGACAGGCGTCTCGATGGCCCGTATAACACTGTTACTTGTCCAAGCTGGAGCGCTGCAAGCTAGTACTGTAGCTTATGGCTACATGTCCTTTACACGAGGCCACTCCATTAAATTCGCTCAAGGAGGAGGGACCTGGTCCAGACTGAATCAAGGGTGCGGTATGCTGGTACGAGTAGTACTTGTCACGGTACAAATAATGACCCCCAGACTGCCGGCTAACCCCGTTGGAGCCTAGAACAACAGAGGGGCCCGGGCATCCTGGGAGGTTGTGCTTGGACCACCCTGGTTTCACCCAAAGCGGTCTTTGTGAGTACTCGCAGATACCTGTGCTCGGACACTGTAGGCGTGCTTTCATACTCGCTCGTGCTTCATATACCGGCGGTGCTGAGATAACACGGCATCACACCCACTCGAGTCTAAGTTGCGGCTTCCCTCCGCAGAAGGAGCGTAAGCTGAGGCGCGCAACTGGTCTCTGGCGGTCCGTGGGCCATGGTACTGGGTGTGAAGCCTCTCCAAGCCGTGAATATCCAGTTCAAGTTAGGCAGCCTCTGTGGTTGGCTGGTTGCGAAGCTAGTCACCTTTCCTTCCCGAAAGAAATCTGCTGGCAAACCATCCAGCAGTTTTGCGTCTGACGGCTTCCTGCCTGCGGTTTTCACTAGCTGCGTCGGGGGCAGTCCCTGAGTGGCAGAACACGAGATGAGACGCCGCTGACATGGGGTGCGCAGTAGTGATTGCAACTCGACGTAGGAGGTATGAACGCCTGCGCCGCACTGCTAATGGGCGGCAACTCGCCGTTGGGCCTAGACTTGCTGTGAGCTACTGTACTGACTGGTTGACTGCAGAAAATTTGCAAGTTTGGCAGTGGATAGACCCAGTCGATCAATTGCGGAATGTAGATGAGGCTAAACACGGCAGCAGTGATATGCGCAGAGATGTTCATGTCATGCTCGTCGTTGAAGTAGATCGTTCTGAAGGTGGCTTGCTCGCGCTGTCGGTAGGGAACGGGGAGTGGAGCGATGGGCGACTCCATGCCCCCGGGCTGGAGCGACCAGCACAACAGCTGCCCGGTTAGGTAAAGAGCGCCTGGACTACCGCTTGCACAGCCAACGACACTCGACGTGCCAGACAGCTGCGAAACTACATTTTTCTACCCCGGAGCGATTGAACTCAAGGGTCCTCGTCAGTCCACTGAGAAGCAGCCCCAGAACGCAGCCAATTAATCCAAATGCCCCAATAGGTGATGGACATCGCCAACCACCGCAGGGCCTGGCCTGTGACGTGCAAAGTCTGTGTCCAGCTCTCGCCTCGCATCGTCGTGCATCGCTGCTCGAGTACTCTCTGATGTCGCTCAACGTCGGCACAATTGTAGCCGCGCGACCGGTCTCTCTCTTGCCAGTGCATACATCTTCCTCTTGCCACCGTACACAGAATCATACACTTACGTGCCTCACTGTTCTCTCGACACTCACCTATTCGAAGCTGTTTCATACGGTGCTACAAAAGTATTGTGTCGGCTAGCTGCAGCCCCGAGCTCCCTCTGGCCCGCTTGCCCACTCGCAGCCCGTCTCCAGATCCCTGCTCTGCCTCGGCCGCGTGGACTGCTCACTGTTCCTCCGGTTAGGCTACTGCTCTTGATCTTTGCACGCTTTCATCCGTTCAAGCTCTACGAAGCACGCGCTGTGTATACTCCAGACGATCTGCGATTCTCAGCGACTGTACAACAACTGCTTCGATTTCGTTGCCGCAACCTATAGATTTGCAGCAATCCTCCGAGCCACGTTTACGCCCATACGTCGGTTACCCCGCGACCCCATATCCCCCACGACGTCTATCATAACTTCGCCTACGCCGTGGACTCCCCGAGATCAAAAGTGCTTCGAATCTGCAAGCAGTATCATAGAATATTAGGGCCACCGTGTTCCACCACATTGCGTCGCAGCCCTGAACCATCCTAGCCGAGCGTCTGTGTTGGATCACATTTCGAATGCTAGGATTACCAGACCATTCACCCTAATACCGCTTGGTGAGTGGTGAACAATGGCGGAAGAAAACAACGAGAACTCGTACGGTGATGTGGCTGCCACCGCTAGCAAGGAGGGGTCTCAACATACATTCGATGCTCAGGCAAAAGATGGTCCACCTTCCAAATCGTCAGCCCGATCAAGTTCTTCCTCGTCAGCGCTGCCTCCAGTACCTCAGTTCCCTCCTCCGAAGACGGACAAGCCCCGACCGCACGTATGCACTACCTGTATGAGGTCCTTCGCCCGATTGGAGCACCTCAAGCGTCACGAGCGGTCTCACACAAAAGAGAAGCCATTTGCATGCTCGGAATGCACACGCTGCTTTGCAAGAAGAGATCTGCTCCTCAGACACCAGCAGAAGCTACACTCGACAACCACTCCCTCTGCTCGACCCCGCGCGGGACGAAGAGAGAGTGTTGCGGGTACTGCTACTGCTGGTGGACCAGGACGAGTCCGGAAGAACTCGATGGCGAGCAATAACGTATCATCCATGCGACCGCGTGCCAATACCTTGAGTCACGTCGACGCTGCAACCATTGGCATGCTTGCTAATACAAATCCTGCTTTCGATCGACACTTTGTACCGGGCCACAATCATCACCATAGCCTTTCGGGAATGCCACCTGGTCAGGGCTTCGGCTATAGAGGCATGACAAATCTCCATGGTCTTGGACTGCCCAAGCTTGAGACTGGGCTACCTCTTGATCTCTCTGGTGGCCTGCGCACGGCTCCGCCTTATGGTGGGTTTGGTTCAGACTTTCCAATGGATTTCTCCCAGAACCAGGGTAATACAATAAATCCTCATGCGCTACATATGAGTGACATGAATGGTGTGGCCATGGAACAACCATTCCAGCAATTGTTCTATCCTACAAACATGCAGCATGGAATGCCCGAAGATGACGGTACGTTTGACTGGATGGCTCGTGGATTCGAGAACCAAATGACATTTGCTCAAGCCAACGAGAATGCTATTGATGACTCTTCACCGTCCGCCATGAGCACAAACAGCCCCACAAACATGCAGGAGTTGTCCGCCGAGATGCAGCCTGGACCAGGCCAACATCCTCACCTTTCCAATGCTCAAACGTGGCAGCAAGCCGTCGCCAACAACGCGCATATGGTCAACAGCCCCATGAGCATGGATTTTGGCTCTACCTTCAACGAGATGATGCCTGGGCACAACGGTACGATATCGCCGAAATCGCTTCTCGCGCAAAGCCACATGGGCCTCGACTTGAACCTACCAACGCCTCCAGATATGGCATCCCTGGATGTTACGGCAATGTCTACGGCTGTCCCCTACAATTCGTTCCAGCTCCCTCTGAGTAGAGATAGCGGCACATCCACCGCTTCAACGGCTTCTCACGACAGTAGTCTACGGCAAAGCTCTATCACCACAACATCCTCGGATCTCGTAAATGAAAATGTCAGGAACACACTGATCGCCGGCCTGTCCCAAAGCAATCCATTCAGCCAGCGGAAGTACTCTCAGCCACTCATCAGCTCTCCTCTCTCGCCAGACTCTGGATCCAAGACCAAGGGATTCAACGCTGCCACTTTTCCCAGTCTCCCCGACCTACAGCGTTATGTCTCAGCATACATCAAGTACTACCACCCTCACCTCCCTTTCCTGCATATTCCGACGCTCAATTTCGAGTCTTCAGAGTATACCATGCCGCCAAGGTTCGTTGGCGGCCAAGCGCAGTACGGTCAAGCCAGCGCGGCTGGTGGAGGCAGTTGCCTGGTGCTATCAATTGCCGCCATTGGCGCTGTGTACGAAAGAGAGATGGATCAGTCTCGCGAGCTATTCCAGTGGGCACATCGTTTCATCTTTAGCTATCTGGAAATGCGTCGCAAAGCAGACATGCATCGAACGCAGTTTGCTCCGCGACATGCTTCCGATTCCGAAGAGAGTCCGTTGTGGCTGGTCCAAGCGATGTTACTGCATGTCATCTATGGCCACAATTGCGGAGACAAGACGGCCGCGGAAGTTGCAAGCAACCACTGCTCCTCGCTAGTCAGTTTGGCCCGTGATGCCCACCTTGCACGGCCACAGCAGGGCTTTTCAAGTCGCAAGGGCAGCTCAGGACAGAATGGTGTGGGACACCCTGGTGGCGAGATGGGTGGTTGGACATCGATGCTCAACGAGAGTGAAGAGGTGGACTGGATGGAGTGGAAGACCACCGAAGAGCGCAAGCGAACATTGTATGCTGTTTTTATCCTCTCGAGCATGCTGGTCATGGCCTACAACCATGCGCCGGCATTGACAAACTCGGAGATTCGCATCGACCTCCCGTGCGATGAAGAGCTGTGGGCTGTCGACAGCTCACAGGCGTGGCAAGCTATGGGCGGCATCGGTGCAGTCAGCAGCAAGTCTACCACCTTTGCAACGGCACTTAGCCACCTCCTTATGTCTTCTCAACGGCAGCGACGCAAGAGCATGTCGATGAACATGGGCCAGACTCAGCCAGAAGTCGAGCTGAAACCGAGTACGTTCGGATGCCTGATCTTGGTGAATGCCCTTCACAACTACATTTGGGAGACTCGGCAGCGTCATCTTGGGCGACAGTGGACGATCCGAGACACGGAGCAAATGCATGCACATATCGAGCCTGCACTCCGAGCCTGGGAAGCGGCATGGGCCAGCAATCCGAGTCACAGTTTGGAGAGACCCAACCCTTTCGGTGCTGGCCCACTTTCTGCTGACAGTGTGCCTTTGCTTGACCTGGCGTACGTGCGCCTGTACATCAACCTAGGCCGGTCCAAGGAGGCGTTCTGGCAACGGGACTATAACTCGGTGGCAGAAGAGGTGGCTCGAAGTCCTGACGTGACTGTGCTGGGTGAGGATGGCCGAGGGCTTCAGCAACGGCGATCGTCTATGTGCCAGGTTGATGGCCAAGAGCAGGGTAATCTGGAAGCCAGCGACGAATTGATGCCAAACGACATGTCAAAGTCGCAGTCAACGCGACGGGAACGGCAGTTGCGACGTGCCGCGTTTTATGCGTCGGACTCATTGCTCATGTCGGACAAACTTGGGCTGATCTTTGAGGAAAGCAACTACCGCGAATTGACTGCACAATCGGCATTGTGTGCGTTTGACTGTGCTCAAGTGCTTTCTGAGTGGGTGACGACTGTGCAAGAGAGAGTTGGAAAGTACGTGGGTGTTCTAGGGCAGGATGAGGCGGATCTGCTTCAAGTTCCTGGCATTCTCCTACTCGAAGATGAAGATCGTCAGTTGCTAGGCAAGATTGAAGAGTTCATCAAACGAACGGAGCAGAAGTTGGGAAGGGACGTGAATATGGAGCAAGGCAAGGGAGGTTATAGTCCGCGCATCCTCGGTTTGACTGCTCAGTTACTGGATCGAGCAGCCGTATGGCCTGGTGAGGCAAATCTTGATCCCCCGCGGTTCCATGCTAACGAAATACAGTGACTAAACTCATGGGGCAGTCGCTTGAAACACAAGCGGTTCACATGCGAGATCGCGCGAATGTCTCTGTCACATCGGCGTAAATAGAAGACGGGGTCGACCAGCGCTGGCGAACGGTACATACGTGGCACTCTTGCACATACAGACGCGATTAGGATATCCCCCTTTGACGACGTGATGGCTTATGGGTATGGTTCTGGCAGTTAAAAAGTTCTTGGTTCGGATTATTGAGACGAAAAGGATTGGCTTGGACACATCTGATGACTGATGATGGATACTACTGCTAATGCATTGATTCCATACGTGTACCTTCAATAGCAGGATGCAATGCATATAATTTGCACGGACGATATTGTCACTCGGGACTCTGGTGTGGGGGCAGTTTGAAACACCCCACGCATAATGTCTTTGCGGTAGCTTAGGGATTGCTTTACGTAGGCTTAGCGGCCCGCCGCGCTCATAGATGTACACAGCGGGCAAAAAGGGCAGTGCCGGATCAAACGGCAATGCTACAGCCGGTAGAGGCGGCGAGATGGCCATGAACACGACGAGCCACCCTGGCACACATCATAGACTTCAGACATGAAGCCTGTCGAGCAGGTTTTGGGCCTTGGGTTGCGCTGGTCTGGAGCACGCCCAGCAATGCCCAGAGGGGCTTGTACGGGGCTTAGCAGGGCTTGAGGTCACCGGCGGCATTGGCCAGCTCCGCACATGATGAAATGGTGTCGCAACTCCACGAACTTCCAGTCTCTGGCAACTTCAATGGCAATGTAAAGACACTGCACAAGGCAGCGGTAATTGAGAGGTGTTTGCCAGGTAGTGAAGAGCATCGCAACGGCCGTCTCAGCCTCGCCCTCTGCTTCAGGGAAGCGGCCCCTGTCGCCGGAAGTCGGGAAATCTGAACGCGCCACTCAGCCATCTAGCGGGGTGTCTTCGGCTACCGTTGACCTCTCACAGATCTCAGGTTCCGCTATCATAAAATTTCGGGCGCTCGCTATCAGTCAGCCCGGTGCTGATGAATAGTGCCTGGTAGCTCGGTCCCTTCACCCTTGGTCCATTCCGCTTGGTCTGTACGCAAAGGCATCGTACTTGGCACTGTCCTTCGCCCCCCAGTAAGCCGGCTCAACAATCAAGACTCCACCGGCCAAAGCTCGCTCAAGCTTTCCGCCTCGACAAGCCAGACGACCCGTTCGCAGTTCCCCTCTTTCATACATATCCTCATTCTCTTTCTTTTTGCACTCTTTCCTTCTTCGATCGAGGCCCCGCAGTACCACTGTCTGGTGCAGGAATCGCACGCTCCTACCGCCAGTTACCACTTCAGTCACTACCGTTCCCCTACTTCCTCCATCACCCACGACCTGAATGCCCCGGATTCAGTACCAGGATATCCACGAAAGAGAAGGACGTGACTGGGGATAGTACCAATCTTAAGCACGAAACAGGTTATCTTTGACCCGAATTGGAGGCTCCTTACGTGTTACGTTGTTGAAGCCAGCCACCATGGCGTGGGAACATCTTTCAATCAACAAGCCGCACCTGGTCTATATCATCTTGGGCGGCTTCACTAGTATATTCATGCTGGTCTCTCTATTCATCAAGGAGAAGCTCTATATCGGCGAGGCCACTGTCGCGACCATATGCGGCGTCATCTTCGGTCCACACGCCGCCAACTTGATCAATCCGCTGACCTGGGGAAACACCGACCAAATCACTCTCGAATTCTCCCGCATTGTCCTCGTAGTACAATGTTTCGCCGTAGGAGTCGAGTTGCCAAAAGCCTATATGGAACGGCACTGGAGATCCGTTGTTTTCCTCCTTGTGCCGGTCATGACGTTTGGGTGGCTCATCACCAGTGTCTTCATTTGGTGGATGATTGTGCCTTTGAGCTGGCTCGAATCGTTGGCCGTCGCCGCCTGTGTGACTGCCACAGATCCCGTTCTGGCCTCTTCCGTTGTCGGAAAGGGCAAATTCGCCAAACGTATTCCCAAGCACTTGCGAGATATTCTGTCCGCCGAGTCCGGCTGCAACGACGGCATGGCCTTCCCCTTCATCTACCTTTCAATATATCTCTTACGATATGATCTGGACGCTGCACACGTTACGTTTCATTGGTTCTGCTATACCATACTCTACGAGTGCATATTCGGCGCAATATACGGAGTTTGCATCGGATATATCGGCCGGCGCGCCATTCGATTTTGCGAAGAGAAAGGTATCATCGATAGAGAGAGCTTCTTGGTCTTCTACTTCGTCCTGGCTCTGTTTTGTGCTGGATCTGGGAGCTTGTTAGGCATGGACGACCTCCTCATCGGGTTTTGTGCTGGTGTCGGATTCTCCAACGATGGCTGGTTTACCGAGCAGACCGAAGAATCGCACGTTTCTAACGTCATTGACTTGTTGATCAATCTGTCATACTTCGTCTACTTGGGGACCATCATACCCTGGGCCCAGTACAACGCTCCGGACCACGGTCTTACTCCCTGGCGCCTGGTGGTGATTGCAATCTTCGTGATTTTCTTCAGGAGAATACCCATCATGTTGATGTGCAAGCCATTCATACCGGACATCAAAACCTGGCGAGAAGCATTATTTGCTGGACACTTTGGACCCATCGGAGTGGGCGCTATCTTTGTCGCCATTCTGGCTCGTGCCGAACTCGAGACAGAGACCACCGATCCTCTGGACGAGCTACCTGCACCAGGTACAAAAGACTATGACCTCATCTACCTGGTCTGGCCTATTGTCACTTTCCTGGTCATTTCCTCCATTCTCGTCCATGGCTCCTCGATCGCCGTCTTCACTCTTGGTAAACGAATCAATACGCTAACCATCACCATGTCTTACACCAAGGATCCGGAGGAAGGACCTTCATGGATGAATAGATTGCCGCGAATCTCATCTCAGGGTCGAACGAGCTCGCGCATGTCCAGCTTCAGTGTTGATGAAGAGGAGAAGATGGTCATTCCGAAGCTACAGCTCCGCAGACAGAAGGAGGAAGAGTACAACGAGAAAGCTGATCCTCGATCTCTCAGTGCGACCAAAACTAGACGCAGAAAGAGGAGGGGCGACAGTCGTTTGGGGGGCCCAGTGTCTGCCAGTGCCATTGCTCCCGCAAGCCGTTCGGACATAGGCCTTTCAGGTTTGCAGCATCAAGAATCAGGGCTCAGCGGATCCGACACTCTGCTTGAGAAATCTAGCCAGCCCTCACCTGAAACGCAAAAGGGAGAGAATTCTACTGAAACGTCTCCAGAGCGTGGCGGCCCTCGTGATCGTCGGCCATCGCCGTCACGGTCCAGGTCCACAAGTAGACCAGCCGAAGTTGAAGCTTACGACGAAGGCGAGGAGCTTGTCGTAGAAGATGAAGAAGGCAACGTCTTGACTACACGAAAAGCGCAAGGTCTCACGGAAGAGGACAAGGCAAATATCATCGAGGAGGCTCGTCGTAGCCTGGACAAAGACGCGACTGGCCGCTTTAGCAAGCACAAGAATGAGCCTCACGAGAAGGATGAAGGAATGGAGATGGCGCAGTCCGCGGCTGATGCGGCAAGCAACCCGCAAAAGACTTTCCGCCAACGACTTACAGGCTGGAGAGGGTTCACTTCAGAAAAGGAAGATGAAGCGCCCAAGAAGAAACCGTCGGAACGCAAACGTGGTGCCGCTCACGCCTTCCAGATTGGCAACACCATTATTGTCGAAGACGAAGATGGTGAAGTCATCAAAGAGTACACATTGCCTGCAAGCGAGGATGCTCGGAAGCGCACCTACGGCCAGGATCAGCTCCGCTCAGGGATGCATAGGATGGGCACGTATCTTGGTGTCGCGCGAAAGCCCGATGAAGCAGCTGCAGCCGTCGGGGCTACTGCTAACCCTCGCAATGTACAAACTAAGGACGAGTATGACGAGTCTTCCGATAGATTAGAAGCCGAGGAAGACCCGGATGCGACTGAGACTGTCGAAAAACAGGGTCTACGGGAAGGGAGGACCGAGCAGACTAGACCGGTTGAACCTGACGACGACGACGGTTTGAGGCTGACCATCTCTCGTGCCCAACAGTACGGGTGGACGGGGCTTCAGCGTAAACAAAGCGCTGCTGGTGGACAGCTTACACTTGGGTCTGGAAGACGACTTTCGACCAAGGACTTTCTGAAGCAGATGCAAGAGCTCAACCCCAAGGATAGAGCCAGGGAGGTGGCAAGGAGCGATGCTCCCGAAGGAGTGAAGCGCGAGCTGAAGCGCGGCGCGGATGCTGAGCAGGCTGCGGCAGATGCGTTGGGGGAGAGGCCAAAAGGATTGAGGAGACCTACAGACTCTCGTACCCCATTGCAGCGGCCGGACGATGGATCACAGAACGAATCGGGCGATTACTTCTCTGTTCGGCCACGAGGCAACCGTACGAGGACGGATCGAACAATTGAAGAAGAGGAAGAAGACACTGATCTCGACACACCAGCTGAGAGACCGGCCGAAACGCCTGGAAGGGACATCCCAACGCATGACGTCCGCAGCGCTGTAGTCCGGCACAGCAAGGGGCAGCAGACAGCAGCGGATCAACGAAGGCAAAGGTTGGCAACTATCAGCTCGAACGACTCCGGCGAACGGGACGCCGAGGATGAGGAGCCTGAAACGATGGCCGAGAAACGGCGCCGACTAGCAGCTCTTTATGGAGGTCGAGGCGAGAACGATAGCGATGATGAGGACGAGGACGAGAGACCCCGTCCAGCCAACAAAGCAACGCAAGAGCCTGCAGCGGGACAGACCTCGCGGTCTATGACCGTGCAATGGGGAGGCGAGACGGGTAGGGACGACCAACCAAGGCGGGACGACGGAGAGGAGAAGTCGGCGGGTGGGTCTGCCAGGAAACTAAGGGGCATCTTCAAGCGGTAATTTGGCTATGCTAGAGCTAGACGGCAAGCGACTGATCAACCCTCATCGATTGTAAATACATAGATGAAGCAAACTTCAGAGTGGCACTTGACCTGCATTCGTAGATGGTCGTGAGGCTACTGCAGCATCGTCGATTGGGTCTGGCAGGAAGCTTAGCTCCACAGAATCCCGACGACGCCTTGTCGCCTTCTCGGCTAACCTGCCTCAATAGAATTCCGCAACCACATCTCCCCCCATGCCGCTTAAACCCTCGTTTACTCACTTGTTCTTTTTGCTCTTTCTGAACGCTTGAAAGCGTTCTCATGCTTTTTGACGATGGCAGCGCCGCCTACGGTCCCTTCATTTCACGCTCCTCACCCTTCGCAGTCCTCCATCCGTCACTCCTCTCAACCCAGTCTTCAATCCACATCTCAACCGTCGCTCACATCGCCCGATGCGACATCCCTCCCGTCACGGCCCCTCTCATCCTCCACTTTCCAACCGCAACAACACAGTCTTCGCACTCCAACACATCGCCGCACTATCTACGACCGTAACCTCAACCGTTCCTCGCGTGCCGAACTATCTCGCTCTACCTTCGCCTTCCTCATCGGTGAATCAATAGCATACCACCACCGCCGCATAAAAAGCATTGCCGACTTTGAAGCCCGCCTGAACAGCCAGGGCTACCTCTTGGGTAGCAAGTGTCTGGACCTCCTACTCTACCGGCAAACACCGGCGGGTTCGTCCGCCTCCGGCAGCAGCAGTAGCGGCTCTTCCAGCTCCAGCAAGGAAAGCGCGCTCGCCGTGCGCCCGTTACGGCTCATCGGCTTGCTGACGCTGCTGACCACGAAACTGTACCCGCTACTGTTCTCGCGGCCGGCCGACTCTCTGGAGCAGAGCACCACCAATAAGAATGAATACATGGTCATAGACAACACGCCATTGACAAATGCCTATATCACCGTGCCAAAGGAGATGAGCCAGCTGAGCGTCGCAGCATACATTGCGGGCATATTGGAGGGGGTATGTGATGCAAGTGGCTTTGCTGCTAAGGTGAGTGCCCATAATGCCGGGACGGACGTGTGGCCCGCTCGGACTGTCTTCTTGGTCAGGTTTGACGAGGGTGTCGTGGGGCGGGATCAAGAGCTGGAACGAGGGGGTATCAAGTGATGCATTCACAAAATAATAAAACCGATCATCGCAGCACATAAAAGGAGAGCAGTTCCAGGTCTCACACTTTACAGCCACGAGCAGCATCTCTTATGCGATAGCATTTCACGGGGGGCCTTCGCTGGTATCTACCTAGAGTGTACTATCCATCACACCATAACTGGCCGTCTTCCAAGTCGGAATACACTGCTTCGATAACGATCAGCATACAGATTGCTCGAGTATCGGAGCAGTGGGAGGAATTCCAGGACCGAAGGGTCCCTCGGGCTTGGGATCACCCTTGGGTTGCCCAGTGGTGCTCAGCGCATCAGAGGGAGGATTACTTGGCTTTGGCTTTGGTTCCAGCTTTGGCTTTGGTTCCGGCTTTGGCTTCTTCGGTGCCAGCTCCCAGCCTCCGTCGAGAGCCGTGGGAGACTCCAGGTCGCTACCACTGACGCTCAGTACATCCGGAGGAGGGTTTTCTGGTCTAGGCTGAGGCCTGGGAATGGGCTTGGGCTTGGGCTTGGGTTTGTTAGGATCATCGTCCTTTTGCTCGGACCCCTTGTCGGTCTCGGGAGTCTCAGGCTTCGTAGGGTCTGGCTTGGGCCTAGAGTCGACTGTCCCCTCATCCTTCTCATCGAGATCTGAGACCAAAGCTTCCTTGGGAGGTTTGGGTGGTTCGGGTTTGGTCGGGTCTGGCTTAGGCTTTGGATCGCCTCGGCGCCCATCCTTTCTGTCAATGTCGGCAATGGACCGAGACAACATCTGAGGCTCGTGCTCCTCGGGTCCGGGAGCCTTTGCAGTGATTGGTGTATCTGCCGGCTGAGAGATCATGAGGGTGGCCATTGTAATGGGTGCCTTGGGGTCGAAACCTTGTGGTTATATCAATAACAGTCAGCAGTGGTGGATTGACAGTCCATGGATGGAGGATGCCAAACCTGCTTGCCTCCACCGGAGTTTTCATAGATTTCTCAATCGTCTCACCGTTGGGTGAGGTTGCGAAATAGTTTGCACGTTTGTTGAGTTGTGTTAAGACAGGGCAACGACAACCCGGGCGACGATAATGCAGGTGACATGTTTGAGGCGCACGAAACAGCGAAGCCAGTCCGACAGAGATGACGCCTGACATAAGGATGCCCTTGGGGCGTGACCATTTAGCCTGGCTCGGTGTTGAGTCAAACGAACGGCACGGAACACGAACGAGTAATCGAATGCCGAAGCAACAGTCGATCGCACCGGTGTGGCGAGGCCCGAAACACCAACGAACTTGCCAAGTGTTGATGCCAGCTCCCCATATGCCTCGTTGCTCCCAAACGACTTCTTGGCTCTATCGCCGATTGTCTTCGAGGTTTCATCACAGACCCACCGACGAGGGACTCCCAAGTGTTCAGCCGAAGTGCTCAGATCACCGCGCACCTTGCCGGCATGAAGAAAATACCTTAGCAAACGATAAACCACTCCTCACAACCCTATGGGTACGCCCCGTTTGATACTGCTACGTTGCGATGCGGTCGCAATTCCGCGTCCGCCAGAATCATCAATGGTCTCTTCCCTTTCACTTCTCTTCTGATCGTGGCGTTCAACTTTTCGCTTCTCTACAAATATGGCCGGGGCATGGCATAGCCGGCATGGCAAGGCAAGGCAAGACAAAACAAGGGTCGGCAAGAAACGCCTACCCAAGCCTCCCGCACCACGTGCAAGACGGCGGGCTTCGATGAGGGCATTGCTCCTACCTCGGAGGGTGAAGATTTCACGCGGCTAGGAGCGGCAGCTGGGGCCGCAGCAGCAGCTGCTGTGACGACGTCGGACAGGCAGGCGGGCAGGCAGGTCGGATAGCAGGCAGAAAATGGTTGCGGTGCGAGGCGGTGCAAGTTCGGATGACGGCATGGCATGACCGGCTATGTACGGTACATACGTCTGTGCGTATATACACATGTGCCGCAGCTGTTGTTTGCGCTCTAGACACGATCTGGGTCGCACTTACAAAATCTGCCGTGCCATATCGCTATCTTGGATGCACCTCGAAACATCGAAGGAGACATCTCCTGCTTTGCGCAAAGAGAACCCACAACCGCAACGCAACACAATTAGCTTTACAGATCCACACAAGCTTTGAGAGCCAGAACGCTCGCCAGCGCCGACACCGACACAGACACTCAAGAGGGACAAACGGCGAACGAACAAGATGAATCCACACCGTGACACCAGCACATCCACATCCGCAGCCATGGCCGAGCCCAACACCAAATCTAGATCCCTCTCCCTCTCCCTCTCCCTCTCCAGATCCGGATCCAAGACCGAGACCGAGACACAGACCAAAACGGGGCCCAGAACCAAGTCCGACCTATCACCAAACTCCAAAGGCAAAGCTGCAGAGAAGTACTGGCGGGTAGGCGAGACGGCTCTCGGGCCGGGTGAGGGGTGGTATGGCGCGGCAACGCAAGCTCACGTTGGAGATGGAGGGGAGGGCGCGGTGGGCACAACAACAGCAGCCCGGGCTGCAGCGGCAGCAGTGATGGTGAATGCGGAGGCGAATGTGAAGGAACAGGCGAAGGTGAAGGCAATGGCTATGGCAATGGCGCAGAGTCGTCAGATGAACGGCAGGACTGGATTGTCGGTGAATGGAGTTGAGATCGAGGAGGAGGCTGCCTCGAGTGAGTTCGGGCCTGGTGAAGCGTGGTATTCGATGGGGAAAGCCGGGTAGGGAGGCGAAGTGGAGCGGCAGGCTGGCTGGTACGGCTGGCTGGGGCCGCGTGATGGGCTCTGATGTTTGGATCGGGATGTCGTTGATATGACTGATGAGTCGGTATTGCTGTGGCGTCTGGTGTCGCAACGCGGCCGAGGCTGAGCGTTTCAGGGGTTGGTCAGAGGCTACTGATTTACAATAGCTGACGAGTGATGTCGAATTTAGATAGCGCAGTTCGATGCGAATCAGGACTGGAGCTGATCGCTAGTCCACGAGATATGCTCGAGAAAGGAGCTAGAGTGTCTTCGAGGGTTGGGTCTCAAGACTGGGCGATTTGGCTACACAAGAACTAAACGACAGAGATTCTGCAATCGAAAACTTCGACTCCGGAAGGTCCCCAGTGCTTGTGTATCGCATCAGTAATGATAGTCCCTGCGCTGCGTGCTACAGGCGAGCCTCCCTGTCGGCGTACGAGACATTCGATGGAACGGAAGCGTTGCTTTACCACTGCCCATCGCATCCAGCACACGCATGAATGCCCGCGAGGACAGTGCGGGTACCATGATGATGGGTATAGATCGGTCTATCGGCGCCCTCTCCTGATCAGTAAGGTGTCAGATTCCATGACATACGCACACCTTACACCAAAGGTGCCTTTTAAAAAGGATCTCGGGGCCGTATGTACCACCTCGGCTTGGTGTGTTATACGGCTGGGACCCTCTTCTCACGGCTGAACAGTCAAAGGCGGAGGCCCAAAGGTAGACCCGTTCTCGGCAGACGTAGCAGTGGTATTGACCATACTGCTACAGTTCATCCACATAGTCGTCGTGCTGCCAGCTTCGGAGCTCGACGGTACCAAGTCATCGTACGCTCTTCTGACGGCGGCATTGATCGAATCGTAGAACGCAAGTCCGCCGCTAACGAAAAGGCCGGTGAAGATGGCGAGGAAAAGGAAGATAACGATGATTTTGCAGATGTTGACGGCGATTACTCCTATGCGGGTCATGCTGAGTTGTGAATAAGAGTCGTCGATGGATGGGTTGGCCCGGTGGAAGGGTTTTGCGACTGCTGGTAGTAAGGCTACGGTTGAGTCGTGACTACTGGTCAAGCAACAGCAGTGCAGCTGGATGACAATGGGAAGCCGCAACGTGTAGCGATGGCAGGGGTTCAGGCGGTCCAGTGGTATGGCAGCAGCGTTGAAGCGGGATTGAGGCTCTGAGGTCGCTCCTTACGGGATTGCCAGCGAGCCATTCGGGGTTTTCGACAACGTGGGAATTCATCCTCGGCTGGACTCTGGCGCTGTCAACAGCTTACAGTTGGGATATTTATCGTACGAACATTCGACCGGGATAATATGTGATTCTGATTGGGATAGATCGGCAGTATAAATCTGTGCTTCCACCCTCTTTCTACACGAGCTTTGGGTCGACCGACTGCCTCCGCGCATGATTGCGCTATCAGACGCATTGGAACTTATCTGCGAGGATATCTATACCATTCATCATCGGAATCTTCTATAATGTGTCGATGTTGTGCTCCCCGAAGTCGATCCGTGGTTGAAAGTGCTGATGAGAGATGAATTCCTCCCGACTCAACGGTGTGGCCTTCTACGGTGGATGGAAGGTCTCAAAGAGGCAATGGTATGGCCCGCGCTCAATCTCACGCGACCTTGTGTGCATAATAACTAACGAAGACAAACAGGAGGTTTTTGACCCTGCTGCCTGGGTAGGCTCTGCGTTCGCTGGCTGGAATTCAATGCCGGAAAAGCACAGGAACCTGGGCATCTCCGCAACCTGCGATCTTCTACGCGCCCACCAATCATGCAACGCGATCGCTACTTGATTATCGTATTCCAAGCGGAGCTGCCAATGCTCAATACGCCCTTCTCTCGATTCTCAGTTCGTCTACTTATACTAGATAGAATGGGCATCCGGACTGACTGCTTGTCTGTTGCAAGCCATTACAATTTACCAATCTTCACAACTTGACCATGATGCCTGACTCGGTGCCGACCTCATCCGCCCAGCTCAACTGCCTCTGCGGCGCCATCACCCTCCCAGGCTCTGTGCTCGATCATCCAACGTTCCCCATCCCAGAAGAGATCTGTCATTGTAACCCCTGCCGTTATGTCTCTGGCTCACTGTCGCCCGCCTTCCCACGCCTCACCTCCGCACCACCGCCGGCAGTACTGGCCAAGCTCACCTGTTACTCATCTAGCGACCGATGCAACCGCTACTTCTGCTCCACTTGCGGTGCCCATTGTTTTGTCGAGCACCCGCAGGTGCAGGACGAATGGCACTGCAACGCGGGCATCATCGATCCTCCAGCTTCCCCTCCAGTCAAGGATGTCATCCTCATCACCAGCCATGCCTATATCGACGACGCAATTGATGGCGGGCTCACGCCTCTCTTCCTGTCACCGACGTCTGGATACGACCCCAGTGATCACCTATACCCGGAAGTCCGGGGCAAAAACGCCGTGAAGGCGTCCACTGTCCTTGACATGGCAAAGAAGGCGCTGTCCTGTCCTTTGCCGGGCCCGGACGACACCCTTTCCGCCAAGTGTCACTGCGGCGGCGTCTCGCTGTCGATCGAGCGTGCCGACTACGTTCGCAACCCGCACAATGTTGGATCGAGCATGATGCCCTCGCACCCGAACAAGTATGTGGCCTGGTTCTGCGTGTGCCGATCCTGCCGTCTCGCCACGGGCTACTCGCTGCAGCCCATGGTCTACGTCCCTCCTGCCGCAATCCGAAACGCCACCAATGGTGCGCCTGTTGTCTTTGGACGGGCGGCCAAGGAACCCGGCGCCAATAAGGGCTTAAAGCTCAAGCACTACCTGAGCACCGAGGACGTGCAGAGAAGCTTTTGCGGCGGCTGTGGTGCGACCGTGTTCTACACCTTTCTGGGGGAGAGTGACAACGGGGTGGTTGATGTCAGCGCCGGGATTCTGAGGGCAGATAGCGGCAGTTTGGCAAGAGAGTGGGTGGAGTGGCGTGATGGGTACATGAGTCACGAAGAGGAATGTGTCGACAAAAGTCAGGCCGAATGTGTTAAGAAGGGTTGGACAGCACTGGGGCTGAACCAAGCATAAGGTAGTTGTCTCAATGTGGCTATGTATACGTCCCAGCACGTGCTATGAGTTGCCCCAGGTACCTGGATATCTGGGTATCTGGATAGCAGACCCATCTGTCTTGGCACGTTCACTGCCTGATGTCTGGCCTGTTAGGACCTCGTACGGGCACTTGTGCCGGGATTCGGCCCTTCACCAGAGTCAAGTTCCGTAGCTGATCACCCACAACAGTGTCCGCACCGTTTAGACTCGCCGTGGACTCCCCCCAACCTCGGCGGCCACAAAAGTGACGAATCAAGCATTGCCAAAGCCGCACTTCTTGGCACTCCACCTCATCTCCAACGGCAGCGGGAATTCAAGTCGAGGTCCGAGGAACAGCCCCGGTATCGTTCACTGCCCAGTACAGCAATATCCCAGTGTAACCTCTGCCCGGACGTTGGCATTCTCACTTCCAAGATCTCCAATGTCCAATCAGACCTGACCCCCGGAGGCGAACACAAAGCCTGACTATGCCCACAAAGGTGGTAGCAAATGTCTCGCACCGATGATTTCCCCAGACCGAACATCCCGACCTGTTCCCCCAAGCCCCAGAGTGGGGTCTGGGGCTGCCAGTGCCTGATCAGGACCAGAACCCTCGCTTGAAGTGGTTTGGCTCTGGCGTGCTCCGCTGCTTAGCAGTTTCGGCACCACACACGCGCCTTCGGACTTGTCGTTGAGGGTAGTTGTCCCGAGAATGTGGAATTAACCATGGGCCCACGCGGCGCACGACTCTTGGACAAGTCGGGCTGGCCAAGGTATAAAACATTCTTGCGTCTGCGTCTTGAGGCGTGCTTCTTTCCAGGCGACTTGTGGGCACCAGACTGGTGGCGTGAGAGTAGAACTCCGTAGCTAGGAGCTGTGTGGGTGCTGACCTCTTGTATGTCACTTCAGTGAGCTGACTGTGTAGAGGAAAGAACAACATCGAACAAGATCAAAACTCGTCCAAGGATCATCAGCATCGAACTCGTTGTATGCAACCGTGATCATGGAGGCCAAGACAAAAGAAACAGTGGCCCACGTCGAAGGCGATCCGGAAAAGTCCAATGCCCAAACCTCAGTGAACAACGAGGTTGGCGATGCGCAGCTTGCCAACATCAACGAGCACGCCATCACCGTTCGTCAAGCTCTACGCGCATATCCTTGGGCCGTGTTCTGGACTCTCATCGTTTTAGCATCCATTATCATGGAAGGTATTGTCTCAGAGTAACCAGTCGCCAGTGGAAACTCATGCTCACTATCTCTTCTGCAGGGTACGACACCATTTTGATTGGCAACTTCCTTGGGTGAGTCGGTACAGCCTCGTCAATAGACGCAAAATGTGTCCTTGGGCTGACGATGTATCTGCAGCTATCCCGCCTTCCAACGTCAATTCGGCATTCCCGTGGGCGATGACGGCCACCATGAGATCCCCGGCCCCTGGCAGATCGGCTTGCGTATGGGACAGACCGGCGGCTCCATCATCGGTGCCTTCATCAATGGCTGGGCGGCTCCGCGCTTCGGCTTTAGGCCTGTCTTCATGGTCGGGCTGTTCTTCATGAACGCCTTCATCTTCATCTCCTTCTTTGGAAAGACCATTACGATCCAAGTCCTCGGACAAGCTTTTTGCGGGTAGGTCCGCGCCCCGTCCTAGGGTGAAGCAGCTTTGTTGATCATATTTCTAGTCTTCCATGGGGTGTTTTCGCCACCATTGGCCCCGCGTACGCCTCAGAGATCTGTCCGTTGGCTTTCCGGCCTTACCTTACCGCATACACAAACATGTAAGTCTGGCCCATCTCATACTGCAAGCTCGCTGAGATGGCAAATACTGACTGACCCGTAGGTGCTTCGCCATCGGCCAGTTCATCGGTGCCGGCGTCCTCCAGGGCACGATTGACCTGGACAATCAGTGGTCGTATCGCATTCCCTTCGCCGTGCAATGGGCATGGCCTCTGCCACTGATGGTTGCCGCGTACTTCATGCCAGAGTCACCCGTTCGTGTCCCCACGCAATTACTTTTACAATAGATTAACAGATCACAGTGGTGGCTAGTTCGCAACAACCGCAATGATGCTGCCGAGCACAACCTCAAGCGCGTCATGGCTGAGGCGGAAAAGAAGAATGCCAAAGATATCGTCGCGATGATGGTGCATACTAATCAGATCGAGGAAGAGACGGTCAAAGGCACATCCTACATTGACTGTTACCGCGGCACGGATTGGCGCCGCACGGAGATCGCTTGTATGGCCTTTGCTGGTCAGGTGCTGTCAGGCAGCGAGTTTGCATACAGTGGAACCTACGTGAGTACCTGTGTTCCTTTAGCCAGCAACGCCTACTGACACATCAGCAGTTCTTCCAACAGGCAGGTATGTCAGCCCAGGATGCATACAAGCTGGGGCTGGGAGGTACAGCTATCGCGTTCATCGGCACCATCATCGCATGGTTCCTCATGAGACGATTCGGACGTCGCCAGATCTACATCAGCGGCTTGACCTCGATGTGCTGCTGCTTAATCACCATTGGGTTTCTGACACTGCCGCGGCAACGCGATAGCCTCGTCTGGGCCCAATCCTCGCTGTGCATCATCTGGCTGTTTTCTTTTTCGCTGAGTGTGGGCCCCATCGGTAAGTCTTACCGGAATGCGTGGGGGAGGGACCTCAGAAGACTGATCTGGTGTGCAGGATGGGCCATCCCTGCAGAAGTGTCGTCTACACGACTGCGATCCAAGACCATCGTGCTGGCGCGTAATGCGTACTACATTACCAACATCTGTGCCAATATCATTCAGCCTTACATGATGTCGCCGCTCGAGTTCAACTGGCGTGGAAAGACGGGCTTCTTTTGGTTTGCAGTAAGTCACCACTGATCCCGTCTCCAGATATCCGTGTTCAGTCTAACAAAGGCCATCAGTTCTGTTTCGGCACCCTAGTCTGGGCCTTCTTCCGTCTTCCCGAAACCAAAGGCCGCACGTTCGAAGAGCTCGATCTCATGTTCGCGCAGAAGCTGCCGACCAGGAATTTCAAGAGTCACCAGGTGGATGCGTACGATGAGAACTTGGAAATCAACCAGCGGGCCAGGAAGGCGAGCTTGGCCGAAAACTAGCTGAGCTAGTCTCGAGTGTCACCAGCGTGTCGTTGGCTACTCGCATGGCTGTCTCGCGAGCGTTTCATTCAGACAGAAGTGTACAGAGTCCTCGAGGGAGAAAGCTACCGCTCCCTACTCGTGTATTCAGAGGGTATACCCAAACACTAAACGAATCCAGCTTGACTCCCCTGTCCACCATGCCACAACCCACCCAACATCTACATCCCACACCTTCAACCCCCATTCACGCCTCGCACACGCCTCCCTCCCATTCCATCCTCAGCAGCAGCAACAATCATCAATCGCATGACAACATCCCTCCATACACTCGCAGCAGATGAAGCATGCGCACAGATCAACTAGTAAGCAGCAGCAGCAGCAGCAGCAGCAGCCGCCGCCGCCAATACGTCAGCATTTCCTCTGACACACCCCATATACTCTAGTTATTGATCCTTCTTTGGGCCCCAAAGAAACTCACAGATAATCCCCCCACCCCGCATCCCCAAGATCATCTTTCGCGGTTCCTGCCTTGCTTCTTCGCTTTCCTTCACACGTGGCGCGTTAGCAGAAAAGCCTCCCCCCACACAAAAACGAAACGCAATTTCTTTTGTGTCAAGAAAAGGCCGCCACTTACGCTCTTCTGAGCAGCCTCGACGTCGGTGTCAGCGGCTGCTGAAGCTGGGTCGGAGACCATCTGCTGCGTAGGCTTGTATTGCGCCGCGGCGGATGGGTCTGCTGGCTGGGATGCCATTTGTTTGCGGTTTTCGTATAGTAGTAGCAGAAGCAGAAGCAGAAGCAGAAGCAGAAG